ATTACGATTTCTCCTGACTTCTGGTCTATCCTCCAGCGGTTGATTCAGCACGAAGAGTCTGCCCCTATGGTGTTTGAACTTCTTCAGAGCATTATAGAGTCCATGCCTGACATCGTTACGGCCGATAATTACAAGTTTACGATCTCCCTTGCAAATGACTTTGTCAGTGCAGCGCATGTGGGGTCCATTACTGAACGTCGGAGGGATGGTCATCTTCGGAGAACTAAGAGCGTCAAGCAGCCCAAGGCTACGTAAGACAGCCCCTATTTTTTCAAGCTAGGCAAATGCTAACGAACAAATAGCGAAAATCACGTAGTCAACCGCGGTGTCAAGGCTATCGGTTTAATATACCATTTGACCGCTCGAGTTCCCACGCTCATCAAACAGTCTCACCTTGAGCAACATGAAGGTCAGTCCCCACAAATACCAATCCCTTTCTACGATCATATTCCTAACATCCTCTAAATAATCAGCCTGGGCTGCCTACTGGTATCCGATTTTCCAAACCCTCTCTGGCCAATGTATCAACCCATGCCGTGATATTCGACACCATGCCATCTCCACTCTTCAACGGGCTCTGCTATCTGCCGAATTGATCTCCGGCGACGACAAGGAATGGGCTACTCTCTTCGATGAAGTCCTCTTCCCACTCATCTTGCGCCTTCTCAAACCCGAGGTGTACCACTCCGATCCTATCGGTATGAGCGAGACCCGAGTCCAAGCAGCGACACTGGTTTGCAAAATCTTCCTGCGCTACCTCGACCAGCTTCCCAATCGCGAGGGAATGGTTCCTCTTTGGCTCCAGATCCTCGATATCCTCGACCGCATGATGAATAGCGGCCAGGGCGATAGCCTGGAAGAAGCCATCCCTGAGAGCTTGAAGAATATCCTTCTGGTCATGGCCGATGGCGGTTACCTCGTGCCCCCATCCCAGGACCCTAAAAAAGAGGGAATGTGGTTGGAAACTCGCAAGCGTCTCGGAAGATTCCTGCCTGACCTATTTGCTGAAATTTTCCCCGACGCTGGCAAGGAAGCTGAGAAGTCTCAACCTGGCTCTGGAGTTGCCTCCCCAGCCAAGCAGAGCCTCGACGCAACAAAAGAGACCGAGGAGACTGCTACTCCGGCAGAAACTGCAGTCGAACAGGCAGTGGAGACTGAGACCGAGACTGAGACTGGTGCTGGTGCTGACGAGAGCCAAGCTGCCACCACCGAGGTTACCTCTTCATAATCTTGTGTTATAGGTATTCCGAGTGTCTACAGCAGTCTTCGCTTCTTGCTTTTTGTCTGCATTTACATATAGATTAGCGTTGGGGTCGCAGCTTTGGACTTTGTTCTTTTGATTTTTTTTCCCCTACTCAATCTTGACTGTAGATAAAGTGCAATCATCTTATTGGCGCCGCCACATAATAAAAGAACAGTTGACTAGTGAAGCTACAAGAGCGGAACCAAAAAGCCTTCTACAATATCCGATAGGTGTAAATGCTATGTAGACCAATATACACGACAGTTTACAGATCTCCGGTATGAATGTTGGCCTAAAGATTACCGGATCAAGTAGCATGGAGACCAAATCCTCAAAGAATTCAATGCCCATAGGTAATAGCTAGGTAACTAAGATATGTTATACAACAGAGGAAAAACGCCTAGTTGATATCAAGTGTCGCGGCAAGCCAGGTGGTATGGTAACAATAGAATGCAAAGCAGTTCATTCATTCTCAACCTTGTTCGGGTTGAGTCAACTTAAAAGAAAATAGCAAGTCGGTGCCAGACTGGAGATGCAACGGGAAAAACAAAGATGACTGAGATGACTACATGTCACAAATGATACTTATACTAAAGAAGAATAGAAGTTTCAAGGGAAGCAGAGTGGTGTGGAAAATATGAAAGCAGAGAGCTCTCAGTTCAGTTGAGCAGACTTGAGCCTTCCGGGATATTCATAGTAGGCAGTGGGACATAGAAACTGCCTACTCATCCATGTCATCATCAAGATCGATAGCATCGGGATTTGCTGGTGCTGCGGGAGCTGCTTGGCCAGCGGGTGGAGGACGGTTACCACCCTCTGGGCCAGTGCTAGCAGCAACAAAGCCAACAGGGGCACGTGCTTGGCGTTCAATGGCAGCCATGGCATCGGCACGGCCTGCATCCTCCTCGTCTCCGGCTTGCTCATCATCTGGGCGTTGCTGGCTGCGTGCAATAGCCTGCGATGCAATAAAGTTGACATCGGTGCTTTAGGATTGTCAGTAACTTGATTATTAGGGGTGATTGGGGTAGGATATGAACATACTTGTATTGAGTCTGGACGCTTCTCTTGATGCGAAGCATTTCTTTGAATGTGTCCTCGTTTCCGTGTTGCACTTCGAAGGCTTCCCATTTCTGCCAGAAGGGAGCATTCGTGCGAGGGTCACAGAACTGCGAGGCGTGACCGTAGATCGCACGGGCACGGTCGATTTCGCCCAGTCGGCGCTCCATCTCGGCAAACTTGAGGCACATCTCCTTGGCCTCCTGGTCAGGCAGAGCTGCGACGGCCCGCTCATAGATAGGTCGGGTAGATGTGAGACCAAAGTTGGAAGCGGACTTGGTGATGTAGAATTCGAACATTTCGAATCGGTCCTCGTCAGAAACAGCCCGAGTTGCGCGCTCATAGATACGCATCGCATGTCGTGCAAGACCTCGTTCCTCCTCCAGATTTCCGTACATCAGGTAAAGGGGTTTGGCGAACTTTGGTGGGCACCCATCTAATGCCTGTTCGAAGAGGTCACGGAGTCTCTCGATTCCGATCTTGCGATCAACAGCCTTAGTCAGGTAAAGGTTCCAGAGTTCAAAGGCAACTGGGTAACTGAAGAGATCAAGACCGCGCTCGTACACCTTGAAGGAATCTTCAAAGTAATCATTCTCTTCCAGCAGGTTTGCATAGTTGACAACAGTTTGCGGTGTCGCGATACGAAGCTCGAAAATGCGCTCGTAGACCTTTCTTGTCTCGTCCAATGAGGACACACTCTCAACAAGATCGACATAGAAACTCCATAGCTTCCAGCTCTTGTGAACGCGCTGTTGCGGAGATAAGGTCTCATCGAAGTAATCCACCGTGGACTTCTTTGGCGCTTGAGTGGCTTTGGCCATAATGCTGACAGCTTGGTCAAAGTTTTCCGCGCGAAGCTCCATCTCGGCCCATTCGCACCATGTCTCAGCCAGCTCGGCCACGGATTTGAAGGGGACCTTGACGGCCTTTTCAAAGATCACTCTGGAGGTTCCCAGATCCCCACCATTCTCATAAAGTTTGGCGTAATTGATCCACAGCTCCGAAAACTTGCCATGAGCTTTCTTGGGGTTGATAGCGGCGATAGCAGCAGTATAGGTGTTGACAACTTCCTGTTTGTTATCCCCCCACAATCCAACCCTCTTCTCCCATTCAATGACATTGTTGGGATTTTGTCGCAAAAGAACGTCATTGACCAGGAATGGTCGTCGATCCATCAATTGCTCAAAGCGTAGCATGCGCGAGTCAAGATCAAAGTCGGCGTCTTCATCAAGTTTGCCTTTTTCGGACCGAACTGCCGCTGCTTCCATCAGATTGCCGATGATTGATTCCTCGAATTCGACATAAGAGTCAAAGATCAGGGTGAAATCACGGACTGTCATAACGGTAGTAATTCCCTCCTCAAAGACATCGCGTGCCTTTTCGAAATTACCCTTGGTGATCCAGTAGGTGGCCAGACCAGCCCACAGCTTTCCTCGCTGGTCTGCGAATCGATCAATGCCGCTTCGAAGAATGGCATCCACATCAATTCCCACTTGCGGGCCTGTTTCAATCTGTTTGGCTTTCGAGACCAACAAGTCCACCATCTCAGTCCATAATTGGAAATTGCTCCTGCCCTGCTTGGACTCAAACCGCGGGTTGTCAAGAATTTCCATGAAGACCTTGACAGCCTCCGTATATTCGCCCATCTGAACCAGAATGTCAATGTATTCCTCTGCATTCTCAGGATGAATCTGCATGTACCGAGCCCAGATCTTCACGGCAGTTTGTCCAGATGCAGATCGTGCAAAGCCTTTATATAGTCTCCAAATTCGGTTATGCTGAGTGACTGGCAATGCACGGAGAGCTCGATCGAAAGTCCTTCGTGTCTGAGTCACCATGGGCTGTTGCATTAGAACAGTGAGGTACATCTCCCAGATGCGAGGCATTTTGTTGAGGAGGATCAGAGCTCGTTCGAAGAGGGCGTTCACCTTCTGGTATTCCGCGCGGTAGACAGTGGGGTTGCGGCCTTTGAGATGCTTCGTTCGGAACTCCAGGTACTGTCACAAATGTCAGTCAGTGACTTGCTTGCAAACCAGTCTCAAATCTTCCTTACCATCTTCCACAACTTGTATGAGCGGGGCAATTGTCGGCAGGCACGCTCCATAATCTAGTAAAAGCTATTAGAAATCATTCCACAGGTTTTGGGGTCTTCAAGATACAACATACAAAAGCTTGCTCATAGAGCGTGCCATTCTGCTGCTTGAATTCGATGTAAGCCAACCATGGCTTAATGCTTCCAACTTCGCGCAACAGATCTTGTTCGTAGATAGTATCCTGGTCGGTCTTGTGCAAGCAGAGGTTAGCTATCGAAATTTTGGGTCGACGGAACTGAAAGTGCAACGGGCGCTTACAATCAGGTAGAGGTCCGGCCGGGACGCAGATGGGCGATCCATCTGTGCGTGCTGCCGGTTTGATCTCGGGGGCAGGAGCGTCCCTGGCATAGCGCCACTCTATTCGAGCGGGATCAGGTAGCACGTTCGCTAGTTCAGCATGGGAGAATGGGCGCAGGTGGTGAACTTCACGGGGAAATCACACAGTCGCGTTAATGAAGGATGAAACGATGAAGTCGTATGCCCCATCACGTGACTCTGGTAGCACCACATTAGGTAGGCGGTACATTCCTATCAGCGTCATATCAATGTGGCCGCACGTTTACAACTATCGTTAGTTTAGTTCTCCATTTGGTTTCTAAGCTGCCGTCATGTCGGGTGCTGTGGTAAGTGAAGCTTAGCATGAATCGACTGCTTTGTCTATATGTCTAATGTCCTTGCAGGGCCGAGAGCCAGTCTTCCCGACTCGCCAATCACTGGGATTGATGAAGAGCAAGCTGAAGGGAGCCGAGATTGGACACAGCTTGTTAAAGCGAAAGAGTGAAGCATTGACCAAGTAGGACCTCCACTGTCTTTCATACTTCTAGAGCTCCACTGATCACTAATACTTCTTAACAGACGTTTCCGAGGTATGATGTCTTGAGGACTTCGAGTCGGGTCCTCCCCGCATCCCGCATTCCCAATCCCCAGGAGTTAATTCCGATCCACAGAAATCACACGTCGCATCGATGAGGCCAAGCAAAAGATGGGTCGAGTCATGCAAATTGCAGCCTTTTCCCTGGCCGAAGTAAGCTACGCAGTTGGTGGCGATATCGGATACCAGGTTCAGGAGTCCGCCAAACAAGCTCGCTTCCGAGTGCGCGCAAAGCAGGAGAACGTCTCCGGTGTCCTCCTCCCCCATTTCGAGAGTTATACACAGGAGGGTGTCAATGACTTCGCTTTGACGGGTCTTGGTAAGGGTGGACAGCAGATTCAGCGCTGCCGGGAGACATATGCCCGCGCCGTGGAGACGCTGGTGGAGCTGGCTAGTCTACAGGTACGGATAATGGAGCACCAGGATCATCTACATGATACCAATGGCTAATTATCTTAGACTGCCTTTTTGATTCTGGACGAGGTTATCAAGGTTGTCAACCGAAGAGGTAAGCATAACATCGAACTCTTTGCCCCGGTGTATAAAAGCTGACTCGTCTTCTAGTGAACGCCATGTAAGTTTCATCTACCAACATAGTTGGTAAGGTATCATGTACAGTACTAACACGTTGGCCAGTGAGCATGTCATTATCCCTCGAACTGAAAACACTATCAAATGTTTGTACCACCTCCTTCACGATGGGAATCGCAGCACTAACAAGCCCTACAGACATCAACTCTGAGCTCGACGAACTGGACCGAGAGGAGTTTTACCGTCTTAAGAAGGTCTCGGGCAAGAAGCAGCGCGATGTTGCGGCTGCAGACGCCGAAATTGCGGCTGCTAGGCAAAAGGAAGCCGAGAAGAAAGCACAAGCCGGAACACCAGCCCAGGAGGCTAAGGAGGAGGAGGCCGAAAGTACGGATGTTTTGGGCGAGCAAGAAGACAACGATGTCATTTTTTAGGGATTTTCTTTTCTTTGCATCTTTTATTTCCCCCATTTCGGACTGCATCTACTGTCCCCATGGCATTTGATTTTGATATTTGTATCATTTTTGTCGACTACTACGGAGTAAATCTGTACTGTTTCTATTTTCCTGAGCCGTTTGCTTCATTCTCCAGAATATATTTCGACTTACTGGACTAATGCAAATCCCACGAATTGAAAAGTAGGTAAATTCAATGAAACAAAATGTACCCAGGTAGTCTCTTTGTATTGTGAATACATAAGTAAGATAAGAGCCCCCAAAACGCCAGTAAAACAATACCAGGATGTTTTTCTCTTTCTGGAGATGTGCAATAACGAAGCAACTACTGTCTCTGGTAGGTAACGCGGATGGCTTTGCCCTGTTCGCCCATGGGCATACCCGAAGTAGCCTCCTTTGCGCTAATAGCTCCTGCCTCAGTCTCATACTCGACGAATGCGATACCTTTGCGACCAGGAACCAATCTGACTTCTTTGAATCCTTCGAAGCGACCAAAGATAGATGACAGGGCCTCCTCGTTGGAATCGTCTGGGATTTCCCGCAGGAATAGAATTTTGTTGGGCGGAAGGTACTCGTCGGGGACAACGGCGGTGGTAGTACCAGAGGTAGGCTTGAGCCCAGTACCCTTGGTCGTCTTTGCGGGGCGAGCAGGCTCGGCAGCGGCAGCGGGACGCTTCAGCTTCTTCTGAGCCTCGAGGGCTTCATGGGCTTGTTTCCGCTCTGTAAAAGATAAGACATGATCAGCGATTAGATACAATGTACTTCCAGTAGGCAATGTGGTCGTCGAAAGAGCATTGCAACATACCCTTCTCGGCCATCCGCCGCCTCTTGTGAGCCTCTAGCTCGTCCGTGCCGTTTTCCCGTAGCACAGTAGCATCGCTCCTCGTCTTCGCGTAATCTAGGACCATGGGCTTATCGAAAAGATCAAATCCATTCACCTCTTCAATGGCGCGAGTGGCAGCCTCCACGCTGTCGAAGACAATGAAAGCCTGGCCCTTGGCACGAAGGTTGGTCTTTGCGACGATCTCAAGCACATTTCCAAATTCTGAGAAGATCTCTTCCAGTGATTGCTTGAGTTGCTCGATCTTGATGTGCTCCTCTAGATTACGGACCTGGTGGGTTGGGAAAACGTATATGTCAGTTCAGGTTGCGGGCGCGGAGCGATTGGAGATGGCGGTTGAAGAGGGGGAGAGAGTGGTCCATACATATACCCTGCGAAAGAAGATTAGCGGTCAGAAGTAAGAGAATTCAGAAGCGAGAGACACTTACGTGCTATTGGGAGGCATAGTCCCTTCTGATGCGCCAGCAGTCGCCATGGTTGCGACAGAATGAGCTCCGGAAGCTGAGCGAGGTTGAGCTTCTGCTTTCTGTTCGTCAAGATTAGATTGAGCCGGCAATGATTTAGATTATTATGCATTATTCTGGCGCTCCTTACATGAACTAGCATCATTGGTCTAGTGGTAGAATTCGTCGTTGCCATCGACGAGGCCCGTGTTCGATTCACGGATGATGCAAACCTCTTCTTTTTGCTTTTCTATCTTTTTGGTCTACTTACCAATATTTTCGTATATATTTATTTTGTTCCTTGATCTTTATGGAATTCAATTGGTTTTTTCTTTCTTTTCCAACTCAATTGTGCCATTGGTCATACTCGCGGGTACTCTTAAACCAATATTCAAGGAGTTTGAGGTTCTGCCCAGATTGGTATGTAATACGTTAATTTGCCATGATGTTCAGTAGCGCACGATCCATGCTGAGGACTATTTTAGTACTGAGCGTATGTAGCTGTCAAAAGGGCCCATTATCGGTGGGTAATTTTAACATTGAACTCAAGCACTCAAGTTTGTCTGTTTCTTTTTATGTTGCTGGCACCAGATTGCCCCTCAATATGTCTACTTTCTCCTTCAATTCCTTCGGGGCCGCAGACCAGTCCTCATACTTGAGGGTTTCAGACTCGGTCAAGGTGAAAAGATATTCTGCTGCACTCGAGCGAACCTGTCACACACGTTGAGTCAGTACTATGAAATTTGAGGAATATATTGAATGTGAACCATACTCTTGGGAATGGATGCAACAGCATCGCTGTTAGCTTCTTCAACACCTCCCCTCGCAAATTTCCAGTCCCTGATAATGCGGCATAGACTTTGACTGCACCTTCCATACGAGCAATATTCGCTGATCGGAAATGGGCCTTTTGGACGAGGAGGAAGACTTTCCGGAAAACGGGGTTGGACCCATTTAGACCAGCAACCGTGTAGCCATGATAGCTGTCCAACAAGAACGCAATAAGCTCAATGATAGGAATGGCATAACGGTCGTCTGGAAGATTATCACTCAGCACAGTTGACAAAACCTGCAGAACCTCCACCAGGATATTGGGATCAGAGTGTGGGTTGTGGGAATTGAGGAATTGAATCAAAGCAGCCCGTGAGGCGCGGACGAGACCTTCGGCGCCGGCAACTGCAGAGGTAGCCAGGCCTTGTAATAGTGGGAGACGTAACCATTCTTGGCCCCAGGATGAGAGCAATTGAAAGAAATACTCTTGAGAGGACACGTCGCTGACATGCTCAAATTTCCTGTTTGAATTAGCCCTGCTAGGACCAAACTTGAAACCGAGGCCCCTTACCTGTCGAAAGGATTGAATTCCACCATTTCCCAAAAACAGTCCTGTAGACAAAGCGATGCTTGTAGTCTGACCTTGTCGAGCTTCTCGCATGCAAGCCGACAAAGGCACCCGGCAAGTTCGAAGACAATAGGTGTGCTTGGTGAAAGTTTGAGTTCAAGTATTCGTGCTACTTCAATTGCCTCGATTCGAATCAAGGAACCGATATCTCCTCTCCTGTCCGTGGTATAATCGTTGAGGAATCCAGGCAGACTATGGGCAATTGTTTGAGTGAAAGCTGTGTTATAGTTAGCATCCACCTATTTTTGTTTTCTCGAAAGCATCTGAAGATACATACGTGAGAGTTTGATCGTGTGTGGCACAATACCGGTCGCGAAGCACCTCACAGAAAGGACTCGCTTTTCGATGGTCTCCTCCTTTCCAGCACACCTTAGCAATTCCATTATTATACCCTGCTGTAGACTTTCTCGGCCCTCGAGCTGTTTGAAAACTGCACCAAGGGCTAGAATTTGGCCACGACCACTGGAAAGCTTCGATGAACTACGAAGATGAGAAAACCACGTCTGCACAGTGGTATCTTGTTTTGCAGACGATAACAGTGGAAATAGTAGGGAAAGTGCTTCTGACGAAGTTTGGATAGAAATGTCGTCACCACGGGAAACAGACAATGATAAGATATGGAGAACACGGTCAAGCAATGCCTCCGATGGTCGGTCAACCCCAACTAATATGGTTGCTCGGCAGAGTGAGGAGATGAAACAAGAAGATGACTCTGCTGTTAACTCAGGACGAGAGCTCTGAAGGGTCAGGTCGTTATCGGTAGGGCTGTAAGGTGACTCGAAGACTTCCCACAACCTAGCAACATGTGAAGAAACTTCTTTCCCTTCCAGCGTATCTCTCATGTCTGGCGATGCATCCCACTCAGAGATGTATGCGTCAACGGCAAGGGCAATAGATAATAGGCATCCATGTCTCGACTCCACATCACCCCGAGGAATACGGGCAAGTTTGCCCAAGAGCCGCTGCAGAACGAAGCTTATAGTTTGAAATTTTCCCTGCCTGCTTAATGACCCAATGGACCGTGCTGCATGCCGCCGTGATTCGGCATCCGGAGAACCGATGCCTCGCCAATTCATCAGAGCGTCCAAGAGCGGACCCCAATACACCAGGTCCAGAGAGGCGGTCGATTTGGCCACATCGATCATAGCACGGGAACGCCGCGCAACAGCATGGTAGTCCACGACTTGCACAAGAGGAATCCCCTCAGTTATCATATTAGGGTGACGGCCAATCAATTCCTGTAGAGCAGCAGAGGCACCTCGTCGGATATTTCCGGACGGATCTACACAGGCAGAGCAGACCAGTTCCACAGCCAACTTTTGCAAAACATCCACTTCAATGTTTCCAGAGATCGAGGGGACAATCTGGGCTTGTATGGCTTGTAGTTCGGACGTTGTGTACTTTCGAGACAAGGCCCAAACACCAAAGCAAGCGGCATCACGGACACCGGTTCCCACAGAACTGCCAGTGGATGACCTTTGTTCGAAATCAAGACACGAGATAAGAGATTGGAGAATATCGGGGAGCTGATGCGTTGGAGGTGCACGACGAAACAGAAGATGGGATAGAGTCAGCATCAGACCCTGCCATTGTTGTGCGTCAACACCACTCGTGTTGCGTTTCAGCGAAATTAAACCGGCATTACGTGCCTCAAAAGGAGTAATCAAAGTACCATCGTCTTTTTCGTACAAAATGTTTTCTCCGAGTGAGCCAATAACGGCCTCGATGACCTCTGCTCCCATTTCTGGATCCAGTTTCAAAGCTATAACACTGAGTGCCTTGCTTGAAGCAAATCGAACAGGCGTATCCTTGTCCGAAAGGGCCACTAGGAAGTGATCAATGGCATCCTCCAGGATGGTAGAAAGTTGATCATCAGTGAGAGGGCCAACTCCTCTTTCACTCAGAGACAGAGCCATGACTGTAATGTTGCGAAGGATTTTGACCACGATTTTCCGGGCAATTGCAGAGGTTTTGATTATTGTTGAAACTTTCGAGGTACCCTGTGAAACAGAGATTGTCTGCTCAAAGACATGCCTGAGCAAAGGTGCAAAAATCTCCAACTGACCAGAACCAGCCAGACGGGCTATAAACGAGAGAACTCCGATACAAGAATAGACCGAAGTTGCACCATCATCTGCAGGCTGCATAATAGCGAAGGCCCAGTCAGTAAGGCGCGTCAAAAACCCAAGGGCTTGCATATCGCCACGCAAAGTAAGTCGTGCCAAGAGAGCCGTTGCTGCCTCTCGCTCTTTGCCAGGAACATTGATGTAATGAAGGGCTAAAGATAGTAGTGACTTTGCGATCATGGGAGTGTTTTCGGGTAAAGTCCCAATTTGCTGCAGATTATCGTACGGGATGGGAATATCATCGGAGGATAGCGAGGAAAGATCAAATGGTGCGAGCAGGAGATGCGAGAGCCAGACTAACATCACGTAACGCTCTTCCCACTGCAGCGTTTGTATATTGGGCCCCAAGGCGTCATCATGCGTGGAATCTGGAACAGAGGCACTGTCCCACTCCACGAAAGCTCGCAGCACCGAACCAAGGTATTTGGGCTCGTTGTTAAGGAACCTGCTGATCACCTTGGCTCCACGAACCTTACAGAACGTGTAAAGCAGCCTGCAGATTGCTTTCGGCAGAGGATACAAAGCCGGGCCTTGGGAAGGCTTCGCTGGTTGAGAGCCATACTGGCTGCGATGCTTGATCAAATATTCCAGAAAGGCATTAACTAGAGGAGGCAGTAGCTTCTGCAAATGCGGGTCCAAGAGTTGAGGCCACTCTTGAAAAGGTTCAAGCTGTGATGTTCAGTCAGTATTGTTGCAGATGATTCAAATTCTCTTCTCAAAAACCACGATTTATTGTCTTACAAGGTTTACGAGCTTCTCCGTCTTGGAGATTTGTGCCCATTTGCGTGGGGTGCGGAGAGGGGTTCCTTTTTCAAATCTCCACAACAGTGACGGCAGCTTTTCCGAGAACTCCGTCACTAGGTCGCCGGAAGCCCGTTGAAGCTTCAATTCACGGTCTTCCACAGCATCCATTGCGGAAAACGGAAATGTGGCTGTAGTCGTGTTTCTTTCACGATTCGGGGAAAAGCATCAACAAGCGGGTCAGGTCATGTGACGAGATGGATGTATCGAACCACATCACGAGTCTACTGATTTTCATGAAATACTTTTGGTTGGCAAGATATTTTGTTACCAAGCACACAATGTTTTTAGACAACCCTTGTTTGGATCTAGGAGCTTCGCCGTTCGTAAGTTGTGCACTTGAAATCCGAAATCCAGAAGATTAGGAAATATTTTCACGCGAAATAAGCATCAAATAATCTACTCAAAGAGGAAAACCAACAACTCAGCCCAAATTATGTGGCATTGAAAGTCAGGCATGCCATAGGCTATACTCAGACATGTGGAAACCCCAGGCACCTTCCATCACATGTGACTCTTTCGTTCTGAACTCCAATCATAGACTAGAAGGTTCCCTATAAGAGGACCAGTCGGAAGATCTGGCTATAGATAAAATATTGGCCTGGCTCCTCAGGAGTGGGTTGTAGAATAAAAGTCGAGGTGAAGATCATTGGCTTATCAAGTTCATCATTGATCTGGTGCACCCCAGACCAAACATTAGTTTTAACCAGGCCGCGGAAGTAAAGTAGGTTACTTACAGCCAGCTCTCCTGTAACCGTGATAACCATTCCTCCACCATTAGCTGGCGCGGCGTCTATAATACTGGCCTGGGTTTTCACAAGTGACAGCTCCGGCTTCTAGAGAGTATGAGTCCTATACAAGCAATTCTCATTCGTGAAACTTTGGAAAGGGACACTGACAGTCAGGGATTCCATGATTACCTCAACGCCTTGCATCTGTTTACCTTCCCATGCTAACATCGATTCCGGGCGCTAGTGTTATATTAGCCTTTCCATCATAGGAGGTTTTATGACTTAAGAGGCCCCGGAGTCATGGAATGTTTCTTGGATCAAGTATGACATACGTAGAGTGATGCTAATTTTGGTCTTTCGGATGCGTCATCGAAAATTGGGAACCAGTGTTGAACAAATTGATCTAGCATAATTTAACGAAGGGTACCCAAGCATAGAACGCGCTATGAAAGTGAAGAGGAGGCAAATGGCAAGGGCGACCTACTGGCGATCTCCATGATCTTCGCTAGGTGCTACAACACTAGACAAGGTACCTGGATCAGCCTACTGAACGTAAAAGAATATTATACTAAAGACAAACGAAACGCACAGAGATGGGAGTGGTAGCTGGAAAAGAATATAATAGGGACAGAAGTGTAGGGAAATGCTAAGGATAAAATCGACAAGAAATGCCTCGGTGTCGAGTATATAACAAAACAGGAGCACATGCCTCTTTCGCGTACCCATAGACGATGCATAAAGCTAGTAAAGGAGTTTGTAAACTACTTATCCATAGAATTAGTGCCCAAAGGACCTATCCAATCAACACCATACAAGTTGTCTGATGATACATATACCATTTTGGGAAAATTCCTTTCTTACTTTGAGAACTCATTACATGTCATAAAAAGACATGAGACTTTTCTCTAACCCGCTTAGAAGCTTTAGATGCTTTACGTCTTTCTAGGAAGTCTGAAATCAATTATTTTTTTTTGTTACAAAGATATCAATAGGACAAGATAACCGCTGGTGGCTGCGCTGAAACCAGATTACCCGCAGTTTGCTCTCGGAATCCACGTTTTAGAAAAGGTGCGTTGAATGGTTTGAATATAAGCGACCAATCATGTACGGAAACATTCTGACACGGAAAGTTTGAATTTGACGGATGCGACTTAAGAAAACCCGCTGGCATGAGATGAGTTTTAGGCAGACATAGAGGCACTTGAACATGACTTAAATCTAGACCTTGTCAGTTGGCCTAGAGAATGATGGATTATCCAGTTGTGGCGTTGGGCTCGTTGTTGGGCAATTTCATTCTTCTAAAACATCAAATGAAAATTACAGATGACAGATCGAGCAAGTAACTACCATCAAAATCAAAGCCTGAGACCCGGTAGCCCAACCTGGCCACATACATTAAGAGTCTTTTGTCGACAGATACTTTCCAAACACGATGCTGAACTGACCACCGGCGGCTGCCGAGACTAGTTGTTTCCCTTCGAGGTACTTGCTGTGAAGAAGAGTTGGCCTTTCGACTTCATCAAGACCCGGCTGACCAGCCTGACTTTGGGCATTAAAGCCCCAACTATAGGCTTTCCCGGACTCTGTAATTACAAAGGAGTGGTCAGTTCCCGCAGTTCCGAAAATTATTTTATCCTCCAACCCCGGTAGAAGATTAGGCCGTTTCAATATTCGTGGTCTACCGTATGTGTCACAGATAACGTCTGCTTGGGGCATATCCTCGAGTGCAATGCCAAGTGCCTTGTTATCAATGCGACCCCAAATCAGGCATTCACCGTGCTCAGTGATAGCCATGCTGTGATCCTTTCCACCGGAGATTGAGACAAGCGGGGCATGCTTTCTCAAACCGGGGACCTTATTGGGATATGCCACGATTGCATCGTTCTGGCCGGCGCTCGTCATAACGCCAGTTTGCCCAAAGTTGTTCGAGCCCCATGCGTATACGTCATCCGTCTTATGGATAGCGAAGGAGTGATATAGCCCCGCCCCAACATCCCTGATCCCAGTTGGAAGAGCGCATAGTTCTGGATCTAGAGGATGAGGTTGATGATGGCGGCTTGCCCGACACCTCCCGAGTTGATTTTGTTCATCACAGCCCCAACTAAAAACGGTACCTTTTGATGTCAATGCTAACACGTGCTGTGCACCAGCAACAATTTTGACCACGTCATAGACACCAGGAATCAGAAGAGGCGTTTGTTGTTCTCTTTTGCTCCCGCGGGAGAATCCAATCCCTCCATTAGCCCCCTTTGGTCGTCAGTCAATCTATGAATCTCTAATTGTGGGGGCAGGAGCGTTGGCGAACTTACTCGGAAGGTTCCCCAACCATATACCTGGCCATCCGTTGTTAAAGCAAAAGTCGCACTGTCCGAGGCAGCAAGCTGGCAAAACACAGTGCCTATTGGGAAAAGCGAAGGATCCACAGGCAGTGGTGTAGCTTCTTTCAAATTGTGAGTAATATCATCATCGTCACTCCCATCGCCCGATGAGACACCGCTTTTGTCGCTATCAGCATCGCGAGCGTCCTCATCCTTATCTTGCTGAATATCTCTTCCCAAGGCCCCTTCATCATTGACGCCCCATGTTAGAATCCGCTTGTCACGAGTAAGAGCCGCTGAATGGACGCCTCCAACAGCGATATGGACGACTCCGATACTCTGCGCGTCTAGTTTCTTGTTGAGAACCGGGCGCAGCAATTCCGGTTTCTTTGTCAGATCTCCCAGACCAAGCTCGCCGTAGCAGTTTGTTCCAAACACATACACATCGAGTAATTGAGTTGGTGGGACTTTTTGAGTAGGCGAATATTCTGTGACACAATAAGCCAATATCCATTACTTTCAGGAGTGAACCTAGCAGGGGAATGCCATGAAGTCTACTGGAGCCCCTGATGTACCTTTCAGCCCCTTGGGGTTCCCCCGCACCGTTTTCGTGACCTTTGTCACTCTTCTATCATTGCTTCCTCGTTCAACAACCTTGTCTGTTGAAATGGCGACTGAGTTCTGTTCTTTCGCTTTTCCTGTAGGACTGGGGCGGTGCTTAAGAGACATAGTGGGGAGGGGGGGGGGGGGGGGGCTAAAAAAGAGTGATGCGAAAGATTGGTCTAGCTAACAACCACTTCCAATTGACAAAGAATAGGATGCGGGAAATTGTGATTACGTCGCGGTTGCATCCTTTGGGCGGGGCTGTTAAGTAGACCCTGCTTCCTACGTATCTAATGCAGTTTAGCACGATAAATCCTGCTACACCTTTGCCACGACTATCTTTCCCTGAGTTCATGAGATTTGAAGCTTAGTAAGATTTTAGCCTCTTTTTTCTGTACGATCATCATTTCGACACACGCAAATACAACTACGGTGATCAGTAGGATGTGTCCTTTATGTAGCAGGCTACCTTTCCTATCGTTTGTCTTGAGTCAGTCACAGCACATAGAGCAAATGACTAAATGGGGCCCAAAATTATATCTTTCAACGCAGCAATATCGGATTGTGAACTGAGGATTCCTGCCCAGTCTCGTGTCCACTCTAATCTCCAAATGTAAGGATGCCGCCCTGTTCCATCGCAGCTTTTGTTTCATCCAAAATGGGATCTTCCCAATTGAAATGGTGTTTCTTGCGTTCGGCACTAGTCCAGGCCGTGATATCTACATCGCTACCACCAACACTCATCGATGCTGCTTCCAACTCCATATAGTCCTCTAAAGCATCTTCAAGTACCAAAGGGTATTCAGAACCATCTTTGGGCAACATGTCCTCTTTTCCTAGGACCTCATCCTCGAGCTTTCCCAGGTGGCTTTTGTGAAGCCCAACCAACCCAGCCTTGTACTTCATAGCAAAGGCTCAAACGAAGATGTCAAAGCTCTCGCCATTATACGGTTGCTCTTCATCAAGCAAATGTCAAATGTATGAACATCGCCATGATCATGCCGAGGTTCTTTACTTTCGTGTCTGGACCCAGGAGACCCTCTTCTTCTAGGGTAATCAACATGGAAAGGAACATGCATATGATTAGGCTCCAAACACAATACATGCTTCTCATGCCATCGACCCTGGGGTATGAATAGGACTATTAGCATCGGATAAAGTTAAGAAATTGGATGTAAAAAGCAAGATCAGACAAGTTTGGAAAGATAACCCTACTGGTTGAGGGGCTCAGCAGAATCTCCCATGTAAAAGTTGCCATAGCCTCACAGAGAGCCCACTGTTCTTGCCAATTGCCTTCAATCCTGCCCGCCCTTCCAGAATCCATCATCAGATTATCCATCACCTGCATCACACCATAACCAGCATGGTCATTGTTGTGTACATTTCAAAATTGTCCAGGTTGCGCACAGCCACCTGAGTACGCATGTCATTGATCTTCTGACATTCCGCGGATGTCAGGACCCAGGGGTGCTTTTTGTGTCTCGAGGCCGGTTTTTTGCGCAAACAGGTCTCGTCACCATCGCAGCTGGCGAGTTCCGGCTGGTCTTCTGAGCATCAGGACATGAATTAATGGACCTAGATTTACAACGACTAACCTCGCCTTCACCATCGGTTTTTTCTTTGCTCTCTGACTCATGTTTCAGAAGATCTTGAACCCAGTCAAGACACATGCATTCGTACTTGAAGGCCTTTTGGGCGTTCTTCGTAGCTTCTTAAGTACATGGCGGCTGAACTCCTAGAGGTAGATCCCGGGTGTAACGTCTCGAGGCAAGAAGGTCAGTGAAAGCGCCCCTCAAGGCCTTTTGGCTTTGGGACCCTCTGGCGGATTGCTGATCGACGGCGATGCATCAGTCAACGATGGATCGGCCGATGATGGATCCGATCTGCGTCGCTTGGGAGGCATTATGGGATTTATTTTTCACACAAATATTAGGCAGAATGTGAGCAGCAAAGTGATGAGAAAGATGGTTCTAGGGCAGACGCGACGTGTTGTTGCTATTGACACGCTACGCCGCCCGTCTAGGACGTTGCTACCACAGCTCAATGTGATATATCCCCTAACCAAGAAATTAGAAGGTTTGAATTCCAACATATAGTAAAGAGGCTCAAATATTGTATTGACCCTTAAAGAGGTCCGAAAAAACCTTTGGATTGACTTTGATACGCTCGAAGTCACATTCAAATGTCTGGAATTGATATGACAAATTGCGTCTTAGGTATGTACTTCCAAGGTTAGTCTCGATATGGGATTCATTGCCTCACTAAACAAAGAAGCCCCAAATAAGAAAGGTAACGGCAGATATAGTACATGTTATCATGTGAAAAACTGTCCCGCGCGATGCAATTCCAAAAGAACTGAATTTAAACCTTGTAACATCGAATCAAACATCGGGGACGTGCACTGCATATGACGTCATACACCGGCTACTCTTTCCCGTGGACGTTGGGGTTCGTGTAATGTCGCGATATGTCAATAGAAAAAAAAAACCAAGGTCAATATCCCTTTCATAATTCATTGAACAGACTGTATACTTAAAAAGAACTCGATGAGATTGCTGTCAGCTTGTTGCGTCGGCGATTTTTGTAACTAGTTCCAGCCGAACCCGATACACTTGCTAGTTAAAGTGAGCTTGAGTTTTATAAAAAGTCATGTCTATGCTTGGGAACATGTAAGCGAATTCTACTAATCCCAACAAAAAGTCTGCACGAAATAGAGCCATGATCCAGTTCCAAGAGCGGTCTCGTACTATAACGAATCCGGTATAGGAGGTGGTATTCAACGTGTAAATTACGGCAATACGAGGCCATCAGCTAAGAATTCTGTGAAAGATAGCCCCTCCAGTCGGCTGTTCCTTGATTCTTATTCTCGATGTCAATCTTGTCAAACCTCCCGCCAATAAACTGAGCAATCGATACTCTTTCACTTCGCCCACATGGATCCCGCAGCACCGGCAGACTCTTGCGAGACGTCACACGATGTCCACAAGTCGTTGGAAACCATTTTCAAGAACAATCGGGAGTGGGCGCTTGACAAGGCTCGCGCAGACCCGGTGTTCTTTGAAAAGCTGGCAGATGGACAGGCGCCCAATTACCTGTGAGTAATACGTGGGAGCTGGGGGAGCTCGTGTTATTAGTGGTGGTACTAGTACTGATCATTAAATTAACCCCGCCCAGCTACATCGGATGTAGTGACAGCCGCGTCCCCGCCAACGAGATTATGGGCCTAGAGGCCGGAGAGGTGTTCGTGCACCGAAACATCGCCAATTTGGTCCCTAACCTTGACATAAACGTCATGTCCGTGATCAACTACGCCGTTAGACACCTGCACGTCAAGCACATCATCGTCTGCGGCCACTACAATTGTGGAGGTGTCAAGGCCGCCCTGACACCCGCCGACTTGGGCATTCTCAACCCATGGCTCCGGAATATCCGTGATGTCTATCGCTTGCACGAGAAGGAGCTCGATCAAATTGCCGATGAGAGTGCCAGATACAACAGACTCATTGAATTGAATGTGGAGGAGTCTTGCAGGAATGTTATCAAGACTGCGGCGTTTCAGCAGAGCTACCTAGAACATGGGTACCCCATGGTCCACGGATTGGTCTTCGATCTTCGCGACGGACTGTTGAAGGATCTCAAGTTTGATTTCGAGGGGACTCTTGAGGATGTTAAGAAGATCTACTCTCTTTCCTGAGACTAAATACAAGGCAAAACAGAAACTACATATATTTCTGTCATAACTCAAATGCGTACTGAAACCTCCGAATTGATAGACTGACTTGAAAGGAAGCTGTTTAAATTTTTCAAACGGTTATAGGTGGTACTATTGTCACATTTTCATAGAGTTGTCGGGATGATCCATGACGGCCCCACATAGAATTGTGGTGATGCCGCTAAAGCAGCTCAGGCCAGCTGGAACATTCCCTTCCACCACGCGCCGCCATGCCCTGGGCACGCTTCATCTACAACGTGGCAACCCACCAAAAACATACCAAATGGATTGCGCCTCTTCTGGTTCTGGGCGATGCGTTCCTGTGCGCCCTGATCATATGGAAGATCTCCTGTAAATCCAACCCCAAGCCTATACCGCGACACGCGTTCAGTCAAGACAGAGCTAATCATCCCATGACCTCACAGACACCGAGATTGACTGGTCAACCTATATGCAGCAGATCTCCTTATACATTTCCGGAGAACGCGATTATCCCTCAATCAAAGGATCGACGGGTCCCCTAGTATATCCCGCTGCGCATGTCTACGCCTACACACTCCTATACAACCTCACCGATGAAGGACGCGACATTCTCACTGGACAAATCCTCTTTGCTGGCCTTTATCTGTCTACATTGGTCCTTGTCTTTGGCTGCTATCGTAAGACTGGGGCTCCGCCGTATCTCTTCCCTCTTCTGGTGCTTTCCAAGCGGCTGCATAGCATTTTCATGCTGCGCATGTTCAACGATGGACTGGCGGCCTTTGCGATGTGGCTTGCCATATGGTTATTCTTGAAGAGATACTGGACTCTGGGAGTATTGATATGGACCCTGGGTGTTGGAGTCAAAATGACTCTAGTGCTGGTGGCTCCGGCTATTGCCGTTATCACACTTCTGAGTGTTGGCTTGACACGCAGCGTTTGTCTTGGTTTCATAGCCTTGCAGGTTCAAGTAAGTGATGGATGATCCAGTCTGCATCTTCTATTCACCAACTGATCGATCTGTCAATTTACAGTGGGCCCTTGGAAGACCATTCCTGACAAAGAATGCGGCTGGCTACTTTTCGCGAGCCTTTGAGTTATCTCGACAATTTATGTTCAAATGGACAGTGAATTGGCGATTTGTAGGGGAAGAAACTTTTCTCTCCAGGGAATTTTCCGTGGCTCTTTTACTGCTACATGTTTCTATCCTAGCCCTCTTCACCCTCAGCTGGGTAAAGCCGTCGGGCTCCAACGTGTTCCGCTTCCTCCAAGACACTATCCAGGGTCGGCAACAGCAAGTGGTCCTTTCGAACACCTTCATAATGACTGCTATGTTGAGCTCCCTGGCCATTGGCATGCTGTGCGCCCGGTCGCTGCACTACCAGTTTTTCGCTTATTTGGCATGGGCTTCCCCCTTCCTCCTCTGGCGCGCTGGTCTTCATCCAGTCCTCATCTATCTCACATGGGCGCTGCAGGAGTGGGCCTGGAATGTGTACCCCAGTACCAATGCAAGCTCGGCGGTCGTGGTTTTGTCCCTCGTCTTGCAGGTGTTTGGTGTCTGGCTCAATGGACACGAGGTGGATAAGAAGCCAGCAGTTGGCCCTGGCCGCAAGGAAACTCGTACTCAATGAAAGCCGGGCTTCAAGTCCAAGTCTTAGCCCATCAAACCATATCAAGCATCGGATTCCTCATCGGAGGAAGGCATTTTGCCCACACGAGATTCTTCCTCGGAGTCGGAGTCACCCCCAGTATACACGGGCTGCTTAACGAATTCCTTGGGCCTGTCGTAAGAGCAAATTAGTTAGCGGTGTGACCACGAATCTCACGCTGTAGAAGCTCATACCAGAACGAGGCCTTTCTCCATGCCTTCTCATCCCGCACAATGTTGATAATCTCGCCTCCAATTTTATTATCCCGCTCATCAGATGCCTTGGTGTCGATCACAAGGTAAGAACCACGCTTAATCCAGAAAGTCGACCGAAACTTTGCTGGCAATTCGACCAGCATCTGCTGCTTGTCGGCTGATTCGATCAGGTAGATGTTGTTCCCGGTAGCCTTGATCGCACGCACGATCAGGTGGGTTTCGGCGAGCTCGTCCGGAGGGGTCATAGTCTCCTGGGCCGTGGCCAGAACCTTGCGACGAGGGGGTCCCATTGTCAATTAGAGGAAGAAATGAAGGGATTGCGAGATCTGTAAGTGGGGGAATTGTGATGCAATGGCGGTTTGATTATTGTGGGAGAATAATTTTCGAGCTTATCGGCGGGGCATCTCCGCAGTTGCTTCAACCTTGTTCCGCACCGATTAATAATGGTCACCCCACGCGACAAAGTATATACTGTCTAAACATCAAATTTTAGGCACACTAGCCTGGGATGTTAGCTATAATCCTGGTGTTTCAGAGATTCTTTAGTAGGTGGACGGTAGCAAGTAGGTGCCTGTTAGGATTTACTAATCAGGTGTGCTATTCGCCGAAGACTGTTCATCTACCTTCGCCTGGAGTTACTTAGTCTATACCATGGTCGGAATATGAATTCCTGGGAACTTAAATAATTGCTTGCCTATATAAACTAACCTTGAGACTTTCCTCGAGTCCTTACTTATAACTTTGTTCACTGGAAATACTTCATTCTACAAGGCCTAATATCTTACTTTGCCATTCCAATTCCGGTTTCGAAATGGCTGGACCAAGCCTGGGTGTTTTTTTTGATATCGAAAGTTCCCCTCACATCACCAGTCCTTGCCCTGCAGTGCAGAAGAAGCAGGGGATTGCGCAACACAGGTCTGATCTAGAACTGGATGAGGTCCACCCAGCACGAAGTCTAGACCAAATAGCCTGCGAACCACGGACGCAAGAATCGACTGGGTCGCTTGTACCCACACCAGGCGCATTAGAAAATCGGATGCCTACGCCAGCAGCTGAGAATGCGGCTACGATTGAATGGGTCCAGGACCGAACAGTGATCCCTTGGAAAACCAAGTGGCGACTCTTGAGTGCATGCTCGATGCTTTTCGGAAATGGTATGAATGATGGTGCTCCCGGTGCTTTGATTCCATACATGGAAAAGCATTACCAGATCAGCTATTCTATCGTTTCAATGATTTTCGTGGGTAATGCATTGGGCTTCATCTCCGCCGCCCCCGTCACGCAGTCAATCGAGCAGAAGTTCGGGCGCTCCAAGAGTTATGCCCTCTCGATGTTCCTCTTAGCCGTGTCCTATATCATCATCACCTGCCAGCCTCCATTTCCAGCAGTAGTGGTTTCGTTCTTCCTGCTGGGGTTCGGCGTGGCTCTGAACTTGGCCCTCAATAATACGTATAGCGCCAATTTGGGTAATGGTACCACGGCCCTAGGACTGATATGCGGTGCATATGGTATTGGAGGCACTGTAGCACCCTTGTTTGCGACAGCCATGGAATCAAATGGGATTCGCTGGTCACTTTTCTATACAATTCCTCTAGCAGTCAGTCTGATCAACTTGGTCTTTGCCCCATGGGCATTCTCAAACTTCGAGCAAGACACTCCAGCCGGACCACAACGAGCACTCTACCCAGCTGTCGAGGGCTCGGGCATCGAAGAACCTTTGACCCGTACTCAAATTCTCAAAAAGGTCATACGGAATCGCACCACCCTCCTGGGGGCGCTGTTCACTTTTGCATACCAAGGGGCCGAAGTGTCCATCTCCGGCTGGATGGTTTCCTTTCTCATCAACTACCGAGACGGTGACCCTTCTCGGGTCGGATACGTCAGCTCCGGATTTTGGGCCGGCATCACCGCTGGGCGATTTCTCTTGACCCACCCTGCTGCAAAGATGGGTGAGAAGTTTACTGTGCTGGGAATGGTCGTTGGAGCCGTCATCTTCCAGGTGATGACCTGGCTCATCCCAAATGTCATCGGAGAAGCGGTGACGGTCGCCATACTAGGTGTATTACTGGGTGCGGTCTCTCCATGTTCCATCTCGGTGTTCACGAAGTTGCTGCCTCGAAGTATGCACATCTCCAGCTTAAGCTTTGTCAGCGCCCTAGGCAGTAGCGGTGGTGCGGTGTGGCCGTTTCTAACAGGTATTCTATCTCAGCACGTGGGAACTATGGTATTACATCCGATTTGTATTGGGTTGTATGGTGTGATGGCGACCAGTTGGCTTCTGTTACCCAAGATCTCGAAGAGATCCGAGTAAGGGTCTCTTAATTTCCTTTTTTCCCCGCACGTGGGCCTTTTTTTAAAGGGATTTAAAGATGAAGCGGTCTTTCCCGGGACGACTACTCGTGATATTAAGAGGAATGTAAGAAACCTAAAAAGCATCTTCACATGAGATGATCAACTGACCACTGATCAACACTGATAACGATTCAAAGTTGCAAATGGATCAGCCATGTAAAGAAAAGAATGTGGGACGCACGGAAGTATAGGCAAGGAGTTCTCCACCTTACTACGTAGCAGATGCTTCCACAAAGTGAATCCTTGGAAGCGGTGACGTGCAATGGGAAAAAAAAATCGAAAAGAACCTGGTCTTTTATGTGCAAAATGAAGTACGAATCAAGTACGCAGGCCCGTACCCGATCAGAAACATCTGGACCCGAATCTCTGTCGTCTCTACCAATCAGGCTTTTCGGCACCGAGGATCATGTCATCGAGACCGTTTCACTGTGGGTTTTTCTTGAATCTTTTGGGTGGGATTGTTTTGTGACCATTGGATCAACTGGGGCTGAATGATGAGTTCAAAGAAAGAATAATAACCCGTTCTATGACTCTATAGGTTTCAGTTGTGCTTGGGTATCGGATCATAGTATAGGTACCGTACAGAGGTAGAGGCACGTGGATATGTTTAACGTATTTTTTCGCCACAAAAACAAGGCGAATGGGTAGGAGAAATCAGTTAGAAAACGAGTGAAGTGAAAGAGAAAAACATTATTAAGATGGATTGAATCTTTCCCCACCATTCTTCTGGCGTAGAATAAATCCTCTTATCGCGAGATCAACTGGGGCGAATCCCGTTACATTTTCCGTTGTGGCAGTATTACCCGTTAACCCCCCCTGTCAACAAGAGCCCCGCGAAACCCTTCTCCCACCTACATCTCACCACCGTCCGGCGCAGCACCCCAAGTTTTTCGTTCATACTGCCCTCGGTCCTGCCCATCATGGACGGCGACGAGCTTATTGCCTCGGTCTACCGCAAGATCGAGCGGGAAAAGGCCTTGATCGCCGCCGCCAGTAACATGCGGCAGTCGACCGACAACCCCCTCGTCCAACAGCGAGTCGATTCCAACATCCGCGATGGCCGCAAAAATATCGCCTACCTCGAGGAGAAGATGCGAGAGCTACAGATTCGTCATATGGAACAGCAAGGTGGTGGCTCCCCCGGTGACCAGCGTCAGGGTTCAGGACCCGCGCCGCCCCCCAAAGACTTCTCTGGATACTTCGCAGGCGACGGTGATGGTCATAATTACCCCCAGAGTGGCGCAGGCACTATGCCAACAGGCGCCCCGTTCGCCGATCCTCGGCCATACTCCCAGGTTCCTAAGGCGCGTCCTAATTATACAAAGCTTGGTATGTCTACCGTGAATCTAGCCCCAAACCCCCTCCCCCACTATCTACCTCGCATTAGCCTGGCGGGCCCTATTTTGAGACTAAAAAGAAACTGTCCGATTGGAATGCTGACATGACTTAATGTCTCAGATCTAATCAAGTATGACACTCAATACCTCGGACCGAAGATTCAACTCATGCTGTCCCAACTCGAATTCAAGCTGAGTGTGGAGAAACAATACAAGGCGGGAATTGAGAAGATGGTTCGCTTGTACCAGGATGAGGGTGATCGGAAGAGTCGCGCGGATGCCGAAGGCCGTCGCATTGAAAGTAACCAGAAGATCCAGCTGCTGAAGCAGGCTCTGAAGCGATACGAGGATCTCCACATCGACATTGAGTCCTCGGATGCCGCAGATGGTGGGTTTTGTTGCCTGGTAATCCGACCCAGAGTATTGACTAATTCCCAACAGATGAGAGTCTGAGCAGCCCCAACATGCGCAAGCCGTTGACCGGTCTTCTAACCATGCGCATTCACGGTGTGAGGGATGTTGATCACGCCACCAGCTCCCGATTTTCTCGCGGCCCTGAGACCTATGTCATTGTTAAGGTGGAAGATACGATCAAAGCAAGAACAAAGGCAACCAGAAACGATAAATGGCTAGACGAAGCCTTTTCCATCGATATTGATAAAGCGAATGAGATCGAGCTTACAGTTTACGACAAATCTGGAGACCGCCCGACACCCATTGGTATGCTATGGGTTCGCATCTCCGATATTGCAGAGGAGATGCGTCGCAAGAAGATTGAGACAGAACTCAACGCCTCTGGGTGGGTTTCTGCCGACAAGATGGGCGATTCGAGTACCCCTCGATCTGATCACCACCCCGGCTCGCCGGGCTCATCCCAAGGGGGCGCCAACTTCCAAGGGATGGCCCCGCCAATGGGACAGCAACCTGGAGAAAATTCGAACGCACCCCCAAGCGTGATGATCGATTCCTGGTTCGCTTTGGAGCCATTTGGTAGTATTCATCTTTCGATGAGCTTTGGTAAGATATCAATTTTGTTTTGAATTTTCTTATCTCATGCTGATATCAAATTAGCCAAGCAACTGAAGGACCGTCGTCCCTTTGATATCGGTCTTAATCGTCAAGGTGCCGTGCGTCAAAAGAAAGATGATGTCCACGAGAAGCAGGGCCACAAATTCGTCACCCAGCAGTTCTACAACATCATGCGCTGTGCGCTTTGTGGAGAATTCCTTAAATATGCTGCGGGTATGCAGTGCTCGGATTGCAAGTACACTTGCCATAAGAAATGCTACCCGAAGGTTGTCACCAAGTGTATCAGTAAGGCAAATTACGAAACCGACCCCGACGAGGAGAAGATCAACCATCGCATTCCCCATCGTTTCGAAGGATTTTCCAATATCTCGGCGAACTGGTGTTGCCACTGTGGCTATCTGCTTCCCTTTGGGCGAAAGAACGCGAAGCGTTGTAATGGTATGTAATACCCAGTGTTTCACGGGGTTATTGAAGTATACTAATTTTGCATAGAATGTGGTCTCACGTCCCACGCGCACTGCACTCATCTTGTTCCTGACTTCTGCGGCATGTCGATGGAGGCAGCAAATCAAATCTTGGAAACTTTGATTCGAACAAAGAATCTCAACAAGCCCATTCCTGTCAGTAGCGGCCTCAAGCACCATACTCTTCGGCCTGGAGGTCCACCCCAGCCAACCCAAGATCACGCCGGTCTTTCATACCCCCAAAAATCCACCAATAGCTCTTATGGAGCCCTCCCCCGGCAGCCCTCATCTGAAGCGGTAAGCGCGGCGACTAACTCCTTTATGACTCCACAGTCACCAACGGCACTTCCACAGGCTGCTCAGCGCCAACCACTTCCACCGAAATCACCCACATCAACGTCCCCTGCTGCAGCTGCAGCTGCCTCGGCCGCCGCGGCTGCGGCAACCGGGATGCGTAGCCCTCAGCAGACTCCAAGTATGTAACCGTCCTATCTGATTTCATCTTTGTTTCGGTACTGATTGATGTCTAGCTGAAATGAGCCGGCCTCCTGGGGTACCCTCGCAGCCTCCACCTCATGCTCCTTACAACCCAGGTGCATATGCTCATCTTCCTCAGAAGACTCAACCCCAACCGCCACACCTGCAGAACATGGCTGCAACTCCGGGCTATGCAATGCCACCTCCTCCACCGTCTGTGCAGCCTGTGCAGCCTACGCCGGTGGTGCAGCCGCAGATGCCGCCAGTTGCCAAGCCAGAGGAGATTGCTGCGCCCCCGAGATCTCGTATTGGATTGGATCACTTCAATTTCCTTGCAGTTCTCGGAAAGGGTAACTTTGGTAAGGTCATGCTGGCCGAGACCAAGAACACACGAAAGTTGTATGCCATCAAGGTGTTGAAGAAGGAATTCATCATTGAAAACGATGAGGTGGAAAGCACCAAGTCCGAAAAGCGAGTATTCTTAATCGCTAACAAGGAGCGTCACCCATTTTTGTTGACCCTGCATGCCTGTTTCCAGACGGAAACCCGCGTGTATTTCGTCATGGAATACATCAGCGGTGGTGATCTGATGCTGCATATTCAGCGTGGTCAATTCGGCCTGAAACGGGCACAGTAAGCTTTTCATATTCCAACCAAGTAAGGCTCAATGCCGAGCAGGGATACTGACGGATTAATTAGGTTCTATGCTGCAGAAGTCTGCTTAGCGCTCAAGTACTTCCACGAGAACGGCGTCATTTACCGTGATTTGAAACTTGACAACATTCTTTTGACGCTTGATGGTCACATCAAAATTGCCGATTACGGTCTCTGCAAGGAGAATATGTGGTACGGCTGCACCACCAGCACATTCTGTGGTACTCCTGAATTCATGGCTCCCGAGGTAAGCCCAAGGTCCACACAGGCAATGTATTGACTTGTTGTATATTGACCTCTATAAACAGATTTTGTTGGACAAAAAGTATGGACGCGCCGTCGACTGGTGGGCGTTTGGTGTCCTGATCTACCAGATGCTTCTCCAGCAGTCTCCATTCCGTGGTGAGGATGAAGATGAAATCTACGATGCCATTCTTGCGGATGAACCTCTATACCCTATCCACATGCCCCGTGACTCTGTATCTATTCTGCAGAAGCTGCTGACCCGCGAGCCCGAGCTTCGACTTGGCTCCGGCCCCACTGATGCGCAGGAGGTCATGTCACACGCTTTTTTCCGCAACATTAACTGGGATGATATCTACCACAAGCGCGGTCCCCCGCCATTCATCCCCACTATTACCAGTCCCACCGATACTAGCAACTTCGACCAGGAGTTCACCAGTGTGACTCCAGTCTTGACCCCCGTTCAATCCGGTATGCTATCACCGATTTGCTGATTGAGGGAACCCGTGCTAATCTTTGAATTTTTTCTTCTAGTGCTCTCTCAAGCCATGCAGGAAGAATTCCGCGGCTTCTCCTACACTGCCGATTTTGCTTGATTTCAGCATGTGCGGACTGCGACTATTACCCGTATTTGAGCACTTGCCATCGCGACTCAAACCGCCGGCTCGGTATCACGGGGCCTGGCACCATCGCGACTTTAGCCTTTGGTGCTGTTTTTTCTCTCTTGAAATTGCTTTACATACCCACTGCAGTTGTGTTTGATTGAATGCCAGCGTAGACGCCAGCTGTCGAACACTCCACTAAGCATGGTTTGGTTTTCTTCGATTGACATGAATAATGGAGCAGCTTCGGTTCTTTTCTTCTTATCGCTTGTTCTCCTATCTTTTCTTGCGTATCTAAATTGCTTGCTTTTTTGTTTACGTGTTCCCTTTCTTCTATTTCCGACGGGTTGGTTCATGTTGGCTTCCACGCCATACCGAGTCATGGCTGTTCGCTGCGCAGGACTCGCGGAAGAGTTCCTGTCCAGCCGTCGGCTGTGCGGATGGTTCTCGACCGCATGGATCGAGACGGGAGTCTTTTCAACAACCCTAAAAGCATTTGAATGAGTATTGATGAGTATGAAGACTACTGATGGCCGTGTGTGATGCGAGTTAGTTGAGGTTGAGGGCTGGTGCTGTGTTGCTTAACCCCCGTCGGGTCATGTTTCTGTCTCCGTGGCTTGCTTGGATGAGTATCTGATTCCCCTATGGCTGTGATGACAGGAGATGCAAATACGAATTAATACATCCTTCACTGAATCAATTCCTTGGGCTATTCACCTGGTCAGGTCTGTAACGGAGACTTGTTCACAATCCCAGACACCTGGGTCGTGAAAGGTAGCCCTAATTGCATTTTTCCTTCCTATTCCGGAATTCATAGCAATCATATCTAAGGTTGTTTTGTGAAAAAACAGTGAAGGCTTGCATATTTGCTTTAGCCAGGGACATGTTACACTCGTTAATTCACTTCTCGATCTGTTTATCTCTGTCTTTCCCTTCTTTTCTCCTTCATCCTCTTTGTTTCCTTGACCCACCCCCTCTTTGTTTGTTTCTCACTGTCACTCTAATTTTGTGACACCAGTCTCTTTGTTTAATTCTCACTCTTTTAAAACGCCACCAACCAAGATGTCTTTGTTGAGACGCATTTTTAGCCCTCGCTCCGCCGAGGAGACTCGAGGTGAGGGAAGCGACAACAACGACTCCGTTGGCCTTCCCTCACCACCTGTTCCTCAGGTCAGACGTGAACGTGCTCGCCTTCAACGCAGATCTGGAGCTACGGCTCCTACTACTTCAACCAAGGAGACAACACCCCGCGGTACTCGCTCTCTTGAACGCATTCGAAATTTAAAAGGCCATGCCACTCGGGCCCTGCGAATTGCTAGTTCGTCTGTTCGAGGATCTTCACCCGAAAGCACTGAGCGCCTCTCCACACCACCAGTAAACTCTGCGCAGTTGAAGCGAGAACAAGTGATTGAGTCTTTCGAGGTGATTGCTCCTCACGCTAAAGCACTTGGCTCTATTCCTGCAACGGTGTGTTCCTCGTCGGCTATAGAAGCCACGAATACCCCCCTCCAGTTGACTGCTACAGACAAATCGCCAGAGCTATCTGCTCCCTCGCCAACTGTACCGGAATCATCGTCTTCCCTAAGTCCGCCGAGTACTATTGTGCAGTTTAAAGCCGAGAATACTCCTAATCATACCAACCCACTGTGCTTCACAGCCCAGTACCACTCGTCTCCGATTGAGCCTTCAACACTAGCCGTGGAAAGTTTTTCATCCTCTCCACCCAATCCACCGAGTATTACTCCGCAATTAAAGGGCGAAAGCCCGTCTGCTGCTACCACAGCAGCTGTACTGCAACTCGCATCTTCTCCTTTCAGCTCATCTCCAATTGGAACTCCCACTGCCTCTGCCGCTAAGAAATACTTGTACTCCATTCCTCAGTATCACTCGCCTCCCGTTGAGACTACCACATCAGCCGTGTCACAATCCACATCTTCTCCTCTCAGCTCACCAATAAGTATCGCGCAGTCTCAAGGCGTAGAGGCTTCTGCTGCTACTACCACGCCAACCGTGCCGCAATTCAAATCTTCTTCCCTCAGCCCACCAAGCAGTATTGCGCAGTTCCAGGGCGGAAAGAAGTCCGTCCTTCCCAACCCCCATCACCACCTATTCTTAGTTGGAGTTCCCACCGCCGCTGATATGCCCAAGTCACGCAAGCGGAAGAGCCCAAGCATCGATCTTGAGCCCCCTCGCACACCAAAACGCCGAAGTCCTGGCATCCGGAAACATGATCTGAATATCTTAAAGGGTTCCGCCCTACCTACTTACCATTCTGAGCCGCATACGAAGCGCAAGCGAGACGAAAAGGACGAAGGACTAGTTTGCTCTTACGTTGCCCAAAGCCCCAACGAAGATTCTACATCATCGCAATCTTCACACTCTCTATACTCAGATCATAGTATTGATCAAGACTCTGAGCCTGATTCATCCCACAACCGACGCCGCTCTGGGTCGCCCAGTTCTTCACCATCCCCTTCAAAGCGAGCGAAAATGAATCAAAAGCAACGGGTCAATGGCAAGAAACATGAGGAAAATCCGCGTTCTGTCAAGATTAGAATCAAAGCCTCTGTAGGAAAAAAGCGTCCAAACACCAAGGGGAAGGAGAAGTCTCACGATAATGACGAAATTTATGTTGACATTGGGCAAAGTGAAGAAAGTGACTACCACATAACATCAGCCGAACGAAACGATCTGCTGTATGAGCTCACACGAGAAAGAGCCAGCCGCATGGCTGAAGCGGTGAAAATCCCCCCAGATTCTGGACTGGGATCAGTGCAGGTCAAACTGGTTCGCAAGCTAGCCACCCGTGGCTGCAAGCCTGTCATGTCCCGATTCTGGGCCAGTGATTTCACCACCTGGCCTGAATCACTGTTCACCTCAATCAGTGATGGAGAATCCGACTCTGCAGATAGAGATGGTGAAAATCTCATGTTCAAATCACAGAACATGTCAGATAACTACGCCATAAAGGCGCTCCAAGAATTGTTTGCGGTCAGTGGCCGCGTGCGAGACTGCTCGCTCCTGTCAGTTGAGCCCCAGTTTGTCGTGGGAAAAGCCATTCGGCAGTACCTGCACTGGGCAATTGACGATGCAGGTCTGAAGACCACCGGACAGACCATCCCGGTGCATTGCATCTGCCCCCGGATACCTGGGGAAGAAATCTTCGCGACAATCATGCGATGCTCGCGAAAGCTGGAGAGACTAGGAAAGCGCCATCAAATGGCGCACCGAGACCGCGAAACATTCTGGCCGACAATGATTGGCTTTGTAATCGCAGGACCAATCGTATGCCTGCTGTCTCTTGATACCGACCCCAGCTCCGAGGTGTGGTCTACCGATGACAGCTCCGATGAAGAGAGCCCGGCGAAGTTTTTGACCCAGTTCGATCTCTCCGAACGGGAGCAGGACGTTTGGAACTCCCTTGCAGTTGCCATTTGCGTTATACATCTCCGGGATACGCTTATCGAGCTCGCCAAAAGCTACCCTGCGAGCCGGGCTGTTCCCATAATCCGGGGACTTGGGGATGAGACCGACGACGAGGATATATGAGTAGATAGGGACGAGAATGTGATACTATTATTCCAGACTTCCCAGACTTAGTATTAAGAATAATCATTTTTAAGATGTCTTCTCTATGAAGACATTGATTCGTCATGTAATATCTTTTTATACATCTGTATACATAGGGTGCCGACTCGACACGAGCACCTTCTATCTTAGCATCCTAACAACCAACATATGCTAACAAAATCCACCCACATTGCCAATCCATGGTATCATTTAAACAAGAGAAGAAAAGGAAATAGAAAAAGAATGCAAGCCCAGCATCAAGCAGGGAGAGAACAACACACAGTACAAGCGCAGGAAGAGGTTATTGAGTCCCATCAGCAGAGACCCGGTGCTCATTTCCACGCGCATTATGAAACCCCAATAGCTCCCCAAGTACACCCTTTGGCTTCGGCACCGGGCACTCGTGACTAATATGTGTCAACTTCTCAGCTTCCTCCTCCATCTGGAAGAATGTAGTGACTTCTTCATCGGCGGCGGCAGGTGTCGGATGGCCCGGACGCGGAATTTCAGTGTCCAGCTCCATGTCTCTCCTCCTTCGGCGCCGCATACGCGGGACTTGTTGCCCGTCGGCTGTGATGGTCATTTCGGAGTCGGCAAAGGTACGGCGTGGAGCAGGGCAGGGGAAGACATGTGGCATGCCGACGACCACGAGAGACGCGAGGAGGGTGCCGGCGAAGAGGCTCATTGTTGACCGCGAGCGCGGGTGGAGATGTGGTGGCATTATGAAGGAGGGTGTATAAGTGGTCTTGAGGAGGAGTTCGTGTTGAATTGAGGTGGCGTGGTTGGATTGCTTTCGCTGTTGTCTTTTTTTTCTCAAGCCATCGGAAGGTGTTCACTAGTAGGCTGGACTAGACAACCTTGAGGTCTATGAGGGTATTGACAACGAGGCGAAGACCAATTGGACGGTGAGCTAGAGCTCTCGAGTGGATTCGAGGGTCTCAGAGCGTTGAACAGGAGAATCCGGGGAGTCGGACGATCCAAAAAGGCGGGAAGTTGAGGATGCGAAGGCTCTAGCCCATCTAATCTTATCTGGGTCCAACGTGATTGGTCCGGTCGGCGCAGACTCGGATTACGGGTTTCTGCCATCTCGTCTGCTAATTATTTCGAACTCAAGCTGTATAATCATGGCCTGGCAATCATGAGTCTCTATTTTTCTCGTGAAGGAGACTGAGATCATTCTGCATAGAGTCCGAGATATTGTCATCTAACCCACCGCGTCCCTCGTCACTATCTTCCCCCCTCCTAAATCTATCCACCTACCCTCCCCTCATCAAATTCCAGCTCAACATGAGTGACTTAGACCGGTACTGCCACTCCTATTCATGGCAAGTAGATAAATATAGCTGACCCCCTTTTCTGTCCAGGGCGATCGAGCAGCTGCGGGCCTGCCGCCTGATCCCCGAATCGCAAGTGCGCGAGCTGTGCTACAAGGCGCGTGAGCTCCTAATCGAAGAAGGCAATGTCGTCTCCGTTGATGCCCCAGTAACTATCTGTGGTGATATTCATGGCCAATTCCACGATTTGATGGAGCTGTTCCGCGTCGGCGGCGACGTGCCTGACACCAACTACTTATTCATGGGCGACTTCGTTGACCGCGGTTTCTACTCTCTCGAATCCTTCCTCCTCCTCCTCTGTCTCAAAGTGCGATACCCCGATCGCATGACCCTTATCCGCGGCAACCATGAATCGCGACAGATCACGACCGTCTACGGCTTCTACGACGAGTGTATCCGTAAATACGGCAGCGCAAATGTCTGGCGCTACTGCTGTGAGGTCTTCGACTACCTGGCACTGGGCGCGATCGTGCTCGGTGCCAGCTCTGAACTTGAACCTACTGGCTCCGGCATGAATGATACCACTCAGTCGACCATGCCAATCGATGACGGTGAGCTGGAAACTGAGGTGTTGAATTCGCGCGGCGAGGTCACCATGAGCACTTACCGCCAGCGGCAGCGTGCAGCCTCTGATATCTCAACCGATACACAAAATATTTCTCCTCCACGTGATACCTCATCTGGCCAAAGCCAGTCTGGACCCCCGATACGCAATGGAGTGCCGGGCACCGGCGCGAGCGGAGACGGGAACGGTAGCTTGGCAACGAGCCGCACCGGCGCTGTTCTCTGCGTGCACGGTGGATTATCGCCGCTTATCGACTCTGTAGACAAGATCCGGCTGATAGATCGTAAGCAAGAAGTGCCACACGAAGGCGCCATGTGCGATCTTCTCTGGTCAGACCCTGATGAGATTGAAGGATGGGGTCTGAGTCCCCGAGGAGCCGGATTTCTCTTTGGCGGCGATATCGTGAAGTCATTTAACCATCTCAACGGCCTGTCCCTGGTTGCACGAGCCCATCAGCTCGTTATGGAGGGGTATAAAGAGATGTTCGACGGCGGTATCGTGACTGTGTGGTCCGCTCCAAACTACTGTTACCGCTGCGGCAATGTTGCAGCGATACTCGAGCTAGGCGAAGATGCCAATAACGGCGGAACGGTTTCGCGCAGTAATGGAGAGTATGGCCGAAGCAACGGCGTTGGAGAATTGAACACCGTTGTCAGTCCCGGGAGGAGATACCGCGTTTTCGAGGCCGCGGCCCAGGATACAAGGGGCATGCCTGCGAAGAAGCCCGTCGCTGATTATTTCCTGGTGAGTCCCTCATTTTCGATTCTTGGTCTTTGTTTAATGATCCATTGAGGAATATCTCTCCGTACTAACTTCTGATAGTGATACCATCCACTGCATACCATTTTTCTACTATGCCATATTTTGTCTATCTCATCTTCGTCTACATGGTTTTTCAAACCCCTTTTGGCCGGCTCTGCATATCGTGTATTGGTGTTATGTATTTGCTGCAACCTAATGATCATTCATGACGGAAATCCTCCAATATTGGATTCTTGGTTCTCTTTATATTGTAATCGATTTGGAAAAGATTTCTAGAAATCTGATTAACTTGACAATTGTACCAGCTCCAAGGGTTGCAATAGGCTTGATTCTGAAACAGGAGTCAGTGCTAAGGAGAACTATTCCCTCCTGTTAGTCCATTGAACAACAATGAGACAGGAACTTTGTGACGACGCGCTTGTTCCCGAGCACAGAACACAAATGGAGACTAGAATTCAGACACCGGGATTCCCATGCGCTGATGGGACATGAAGTAAATCAAGGATACCATGAATTCCCTTATTGGGACCCAGTAAAATTTCCAACTCTTCAACAAGACTGCGTGCCTGCTTGCTCAGTCGACTCAAAGTCTCCCGACAATACTGGAAGCTCCCAGTCGACTCCATATACTTGATGGCACGCTTTTTGACCACTTCGTCCTCACTGCGCTGCATGAGGATATTGATAAGCGTCGCGTTTTCGGGCGCCGCATGAATGCTGTGAATTATTGGGTAGGAAAACTTGCCCTCCGTCAAATCTTCCATCAAACCTTTCTTCTCGGTATAAAGTCCACTCTGCAGATTCATGTAGTCATCACGGATCTGGAAAATAGTACCTAATAGCTCCACCATTTTAGATAGATCCCTAAATCAGATCAGCATTCCTTGTCCAACAAAAATATATTATAGGGTTCGTACTCAGTGACAGAACTTTGAATCTGCATCAGATCAAGTGCTAGTCGAAACAGACCCCCAGTTTTATAGATCACCATCAGAGTGTATTCCTCTTCTGTGGGACACACCACTGCATCACGCCAGTAGAGATCCATCCCCTGACCTCGATGTAGATCCAGTAGTGCTCGTGTAAAGATATGAAATACGCGTGGGTCTCCTATCTCATTTAGTCGTTCCTGTTGGAGAAAATATGTGTAGTTGGCCGCGTTGATGGTTTGGGCTACGCCAAAAACCTCGTGAGCCACAGGGTGGCCTCGGCGGAGCTGTGATGCATCTTGGATATCATCAATGCTGGGGATAAGATTAGCACGGGTGATATATGTAGAGGGGATCCTAAACTTACAGAAGTGATGCTGTGTGTAACCGATCAACCACTTCTTTGACAAGGACAAGCTTATGGCTTGGTAGTTTAAACCATTCGTTGAAAGCGGAGATCAATCTGCCTCGGATATCTTTTCCTGGAATCGAGAGCAGGTAGTCTAATGGAGCGCAGATGACCTAAGCGGGTAAGTCAGAACAGTGAGGGTCAGACTCTATTTAATGAGAATATATTATCTCAGACCTTCTCATATGGCTCCGTGACCAGATTTGGTCCATGATCCTGCTCCTCTTCCGGACTAGCCGTGCGTGGTGCAAGTTTCAGTTTAACCGAAACCGTTTGGAGGTTCTTCAAATTCAGTTTCTTGTGACGGTCTGTAGGAGCCGCACTGGGCCTGTCTATGAAGCCGGTAGGAGAAGGACGCCGAGCGATGAAGTTAAGGATCTTGGAAGCCGTGGAATAGATCATTATTTCTTCTGTTCATTTGAGAATTTCGGATCCCGAGGTCTTCCAAGGTTTCTTCTCCAGAATTATGAAGTGGTCAATATATATTGTTATAGCTTCCCTTGTCCTGGATGATATCGTAGGAAAAGGTACACCTACAACATATCGATGACTTGATAGTGGTGAAGATTGAACAGCTGATATACTTCATTTTAAATGCAACGCATAAGCCCTACAGTATACGAGGCTTCACTATGAGGAAGCGATGTTGGAGTACTTTAGAAAAGATTGGAATGGACCGCTTTGGAACTGGATCTTGGGTGAAATCGCTTGCATTGTCTATTGCAGCAATGCAGCATGCGGAGAGACCATGGGGATCAGCAACGCGGATCCAACCGGATTTGCCAATAGCGAACATACTATACATCTCATGCTTACCCTTCTATGTTTTGATTGTAGATTGGACCGATCTAAACTTCATTTACTGCAGTCTGATCAAGGATGGGATGCTAAACACTGCAAAGTAACGAATTGCAAGAACTTGGACTGGTATGAAATTAGGCAAGCGATATTAAATTCATAGATATACGAAAGAAAGAAAGAAAGATTGAATTCTATTGGAGAAAACTGACACGAGACAATGTAAAGAGTGCTTGCTGATAAAACCATCAACATCATCAATTCAGACTCTGTAGGTACAGACCTTTTGTATCCCCTAGTAACGAACAAAGAGACAATACCATCAAGTCTAAGCACTGTCTCCCACACCTCTTTCTCGATTCCCAACTTCTCTATTCATTTCCCTCTCTCAGAGATACACATTATCAGAGTACTCATACCAACTTCAACAAATTAGGGCAGGAGAATCAATTATGGGAAATTGTTTGTCATGAAAGCTGATAATATCTAAATCTACATGATACTCTGCTGTAGATCAACCGACTTTTCACTGTCACGACTGTATAGATATGCTTGCCTGTGGGGCTGCAGAAGAGTGGATCCTTGAGTTTTGAAGCTGAACTTTCAGATCGCGATCGATCGCCGATCTGAATCCCGTGCGTTGACCTTGGTGGATTTTGGAAATGCGTATTTGGTTTGGCTTGATCTAATATGGAGATTCACTTGATACGACCGATGCATCAGGATGGATCTCGTTTCAACATCTCATTTTCCAATAGTAGTAATAAAACTTTCGAGGAGATTACACCTCTCTTAAGAAATATATCGCACTCAAAATAATAAACGCTTATTCTAATACATTGGTCATAAAAAAAAGAATCATGTCCACTGACTATCGTACCCCGGTGCTCTACACTCAGCTGGCGAAGCCATATTGGATAATCCACCGCCCACCTGTGCTTCTTGAACTGCAATAGTGGGACTTGAATGCTGATGGGCCACCATGGGCATGAGATGGCCATTATTATCATATGACATTTGGGCAGATTGGCCTGGGATAGGAGTATTCCATCCAACGCCCCAATTCTCCACGTCCGGCGTGCCCAAACCTAGTGCCACGGCAGCATTTCGGTTCCACCAGTCGTGGCTTTCTTCAACTAGATGGTCAGTCCCGTCAAAACCGGAGACGGATGTATTTGAGTTTGGAGACAGAGCGGACTGTGTGGGGCCAATCTGATTCCCAGATTGACCAAACCAAACGCTTTGGGCACCAGGGGACGGAGCTGCTGAGGGACCGGAGGTTGCTAGAGGTGACGTCTGGTAGTTGACTTGCGGGTTGGATTGTGTATATGCTGGTTCTGGGGTTCCATAGTCGGCCCGCTGGGTCGTTGGAATCGGTATGTGATGGGCCGGGCCCATTGGAGGAGCCGATGGGGGCATGGTCGCGTTGGGATACTGGGGGCCTATTGAGACTCCCATCATGTTGACTGGGGGTGGACCGAGGGATTCTCTGTGTAGGCCTGATGAAACGGGGTTTGCTGGGGATTGAGGCCCGTCTGGGTAGGTATATGGTGAATGCAAGACATTATGTATTAATGGGGAGCCATCTGATGTGGAAGGCGATGTTGGTTGGTCCCAGGAACCCCATGATCCCCATTTGGCGTGGGTGCGCTCGAATATAGAAACTGCCTCGGCCGGTAGCTTGACATGCCACTTATTAGCAGAGATGTCCAAGATCCGTAAGGTCCGCCGTGCTGCTAGCCAGCCATCGGCCATTTCTTCGAGGTTTCGGAGCCCGTGAACAATATCTCGTTCGGGGTTTCTCCCCGGAAGGTTGAGAAGGTGAATGGTGCAAGCTGTGTGGGCAATATATACAACGATATTACAGATTTGTTTCAATCCATAGGTGCGTTTGTAAATGCGTAAAAGCTTTGAAATGATTGATGCGGCCTGGGTGCAAAATTTCCGAGGCGAGACGTGTGAGGGAAGTGGGGTGGTTGCCTTGGTATACTTGAGAAACGGCCGGTATAGGTGAATGAGAAGCAATTGTTCGAACATACTGAGTATTTTAATCAGCCAAGTACATCGGAGAGAAAAATAACACTTGCTTGTCACTTACTGCATAACAAGTACCTGGGGAAGCTGTCCTTCCTTTGGTTCAAATTCCCGCGGTAATTCTTTCTTCCACGTTTCAAGCCGGGTATGAACCTCACTTAGCTTTTTCAACTCTGATTGTTTGGACTGTGATTTTTCCAACTCCGAAGGATGATAAAAATATCTAAGCAGATCATTGCTGATCTCGCATAATTTCGAGATTTGTAGAGCTACCGCTCTGATACGGGAAGGTTGTGTATGCTCATGGCCAACGCCAGCGTCTGTGTATGGTGACCACAGCTCAGTCTCCTCCTGTGGCAGGACATCGGCTTTGGGTACGTTTGTGCCGGATGAAGACAACTGTGGCTGGCGGCCAAGGTAATTTGACCAGCATCTGCGACGCGTTAGAGATAGGCAGGCATATTAAGGGCACGGAGGGACAAACTTGTCAACAAGATAGCAGCCCCAGAAGGTTATCCGTCGAGCATCGACTTCCTCATCGGTGAGATTTCGTGCTCCCAGGCTGGAAGCATCGACATTCAGGCCGAGATCGGATGCCATGCGAAAGCTCAAGCCACTGTACACCCAGCCCTTGCCTTCACGGCCACAACCGGCCTCACGGACAGACATGAGAGCAAAGGCTTGGACCGTACACAATTTTGCATTTTCGTGTTCGTCATTCTCATGAATCAGTCGCTTAGCTTCTTTGAAGAAATGATTGCCGGCTGTTGCGATGTTGCCGGGATCTGTAAATGCACCTGGCCAGGAGCTGAAATGACACCCAAGGGCGAGCATGGCGTTAACGAGCAAGGCTGAGCAATATTGGCTGGGTATGCCCCGTCTTAAGTCCCTATAAAACATATCTTTTGCAAGGATGGTGAAGAACGGATAGTGCCAGGTGAAATACATGGTCAACAGATGGCTAATGAGTAAGTCATCCTCAGTTACTCGCGTCCATCGCCTAATGAGGTCTGTGTCATTGACCGGGCCAAGGATACTCTCGGCGTTCGAAGCCGACTCGTGCAATTCCGAGTCAGGTGGCAAAAAAATGAGATTTGATGTGCCGCCGATGAACTTGCGGGAGCCATCAAGCATAAGTTCACTCATTTTCCCTGATAACTCGTATTCGAATTGGTCAACCTCTGATGGGTTTTCATCGCTAGCTGGGTCTCTCGCCTCTGGGGCCGAGAGAAGCCCACTCTGCCGCGAAATGACAGATTGAGCGACTGCTTCTAGATCGTCGCATGACCTGATCTCGCGCACCAGGTCAAATGCATCGTCTTCGTCGTAGTTCAGCAATGCCTGGAATAATGTTTGCAGCGTTGTGTGCCGCGTTCGCAGCGTATCGGCATCTTTCTTATAGACGCCCTTACGGCGATGGTCAGAGTTTGGATCATAAACGCCTGGTTCACAGTCAGTTTAGGAACATGCGAATATTGAATAGAGATGCACAAACAAGATGTGTGGTAGACCGAGGAGCATGCAGCACAGCTGGGTAAGTTTCCATCGCACTGATTTCAATTATCAGTGATACTTCCCCACAAAAGCTGATGATAATGCCGATGGCATACCTTTGATTTTCTTCTGCGACAAGCAATGCAAGCTGTGCTGACACAGCGTCTTTTGGACGCTGCCCGATCTGCAGACATAATTTTGATTTCTTTGCTATGATAGGCGCAAGGGATTGAGGGTGCTTTCTCCGCGGAATGAAGCCCCCCACGTCTCAGCCTCGTGGCGGCCGCTCAATGGTCCAGTATTAAATGCGATCAGTGCATAATGCGTCCATAATCCAGAATACCAGCGGTAGCATAGAACAACTCCGATGGCTTGCAAAGCAGCCCGATGTGAGATTACGAGCGCTGTCCGAGCTGGTCAGCTTGTTCGGGCCAAAGAGACCGGGGGCGATCGGGGGCTCGGCCTTTCAGCTGAGGATCGTTTTCCCTACCAGGAATGTATACAGGGTTCCGCAAGTAATCCGGTTGAATCCTCGACCCCGCGGTACGACCCACTACAGAAGTGGGGGATGTTGGGGAATTTTGAAAAGGAATTGGATCTCCAGTACCCCAGAAACACCGATAGCAAATTGCTATTTGAGATGTATTCGACTTGATTGGACACCTGCAGGTCGCGAAGGAAGTTTATCGCTGGCCTCTGGATGGCTCATTCCCTCCCACGCAGAGCGATAGGCATGCGTGATAAGATCACGTGATTTGATTACTGTGTACTCCGGGGTTCACCGATCATTGGTCACGGGACTTGTATGAGTAATAGGATTTCTATTTCTGGAGTGAAGGCTGTGTTGTTTAACAATAGAAACGCTGACACATTGGGTCTGAGATAAAACAGGGGACACCGCAACACGAGAGAGGTGAAATGATACGGAGCGACAATAACAAACTATGAGACAACCCACAAAAGATCTACCGCGCTGACCGCCAGGTCAGCCAAAATAAGGAAAGAAAAATCAATAATCACACCAAACCCGTAAAGTCGGAAGGCTAGACGTAAAATACACAAGGCCCAAAATCAAAACAAAGACTTCATCAGGCATACACCGCAACTATCTCGCTTAAGCAGATCCACTGACCACGTCTTCAAGTGACGGATTTGAGTGCCTGCAGCCACCCGAGGGCCGTCGTAAGCCCGATCGGCCACCGCCGGACTTCATCACGTAAGCCAGAGACTCAATCAATCCGTATCAGAGAGTCCTGTTTCGGAATAAGTACAATTAACAAAATTAACTCAAAATATTCTTAATGGACTTTGGTTTTTTCTAGAAGGAAAAATCCCTCATGATCTATTCCGAAATGGGCAGGTCAGCCCCTTTTTTTCCTATAACGAAAAATTCCTTGCGGGGCGTTTTCTGCGAACGAAAACAAACACTGAGAACGGCACAGTATCTCCATTTATGCAGGCACACACTAAAAGCAACCTTAAAACCGTTCTCCGATCCAGGTTGGGTCAACCTTCCTTTTGGGCTGAAAAATTCAATACAAATCAAAAACAGATAAGATATAGCTTAGAAATCACGTTCCATACAAAGTACGTGTCAGATTATGTTCAGCAAAGTATAGATAGGTCAGACCGGGGATCCGATCCTCACTGCAGGGCTTCGACGGGTCCACCGGACGAACATTCCACGGGCTGTAACGAAGAAAAGAAATTACTAATGCGGAAGTAAAATACGCTAAACAATACCGGAACCCCGGCAGGTTATTGTCCCCCGCGTCCAATAAACAATCCCGAAATTTCATTGAAACCCCAATGGATGGTCGTGGCCCCACTTCGCTTGACTAAAGGGATCCATATTTTACGCTGTCACACGCGTACCTGCCCAATACACCCTTATCATCTTGTCCACTCCAAACCCTTTCCTTATCTTCTCTTTCCCCATCCCTCTATCGCTTTTAACTTTCTCCCTCCCTCTATCGCTTCTACCTTCCTCTATCTTGCTTTAAACATCCTTCACCTTCGTCCAACCTTACAACATCTCACTTCCCGAATCAACTCCTCAGCTTCAGCCCCAATATCTTATCGGCTGCTCTTTACTCTCCCGAAGTGTGCGTCGGGAGTCATAGTCGTCATTCCTCCCTTCAATGTATCTCGCCCAACGACTCGACCAGAGCGCCTCGTCAGGCCTATAAGCCACTGGAAGCATTCGCTTTGGCATGACTATTTAAGATGATGGTCCCTAGAGCATTTCTTTTCACCTCAGTGCCAACCCAGAAGACAATGAAGTCATTTGGAGGAAAGGAACAGCCGGAACAGTCACCGATGTATCTGCCCGGCCCTAAACCCCTATATGATGCGAAACCCCTAGCGTCAACGAATGCGGTTCCCGTGGGCATCCCGTCAAGACGGACCTCGCGCACTCCGGTGCGTCGAGAAGCCCGCCTCCGCACCCCTTCCAAGACGTCCGCCTCTTCCCGCCGATCCTCTTCTTCTTCTTCCAACGACCGTCAAATCCCCAAAGCAGTTGCCTCGATGCTAGATGCAACGGCTATTCCTGTGCCCCGACGAACCTGGTCCACACGGAGACCTCGGAAGCTTCCGAGAGGCAACAACGTGGAGGAGTTTAGCCGGTTAATGCAGGAAGGGGTCAAGTCCAAAGAAGACTATTTGACTGGCGGGGCGGGAAACTCTCCTCTAGATATCTTGTTGAGCCCACCGGAGGACAACGAAAAATATCTTGGCAATGACTCAGAATCCGAGCCTGCCTTCTCAGCCAGATCAATCTCGAGCGACTCTATGCCATCGCTTGCCCACGACCTCGCATCGCCATCTAGTATCTCTCAACCACCTACACCTGCTAGCCAAAAGAGTCCATCGGAGAGGCGACAGCTCCGATACACTCCCGCGGAGGACTGTGCTTTCGACCACCCACTTCTCGAAGTCGAGATTGAGGAAGGCGAGATGATAGAGTTCGATACCCAGGTGCTAGGAACACCAGATATGATCCCGGCGAAACAATCTGCCTCATTTCGAACCTTCCCGCGCCTGAAGTCTTCATTCAAATCGAACCTCACCGCATCATTACGTGCTATCAAGTCTGCCGCACAATCCGTGTCCTCTCTCACAACGCCCTCATTTCAGCCTGAGGACTTTCTCACTCGGTCACTCTTTGCTATTGCACCTGAAATGACCGACGACCGTCGACCTCCACCGATGCAAAACCCACCCTCTCCAGCATTGCGACGGTATTTAAACCCAACTCCAACCTCTCCGGCAGAGATGTGTGTCTACCACGACCACCCGCATGATTCTCCCGAGTTGACACAGTCTTGTGTGTCGATTCAAATGCAGACCTACCGTCGCTCTCGTGGCCGCGGTCACCGACGCAATCACTTCCATGTGGTTTCTAAGCAGAAACGCGACCAGTACTACACGTTTGACCCGGAGGTCCCGCCCATGTCACGCCAGCGTGAGCCCCGTGAGAATAGCGATTTCCTTCGCATGGTTGTCCTGGAGATGAACATGCGACGCAGCGGCAAGCTCCGCGAAGACATTCCTACTCGGGCTCGCATCTGGCTTCCACCTCGCAAGAATAATCAATACCGCGTGTCTGGAGACTACGAAGACTGTGAAGACAACAACATCCCATCTCGCTGGGTGGGTGTCTCGGCTTAAGGCCAAACTCTCAGATGTGACCAGCGCAGAGCGCCGTCAATTCATCAGTACATATATTTCCCATTTCCTTTCTCATCATACAAGCGCGGCGTTGGACAGGATTCAAGTGTCCCGGTTGACACGTCTCTTTTTTTTTCCCTTTGTGACATACCCCTACGATCAATCATAAATACTCTACCTAGCTTTCTCATTTTGCTTGGTGTCTGACCAAGGAAAGGCATGAGACAAATCAACTCTATTTTAAACAAGACATTCCTATTCGTTCTATTATTACCGGTAATACTGGTGTAAACACCAATTCAGTCTAGACAAGTTAATTCCCCGATCGTGATATCATCCCGCATTCATGAGATCATCACCTCATATCAGCCTTTGTCTCCGCATGAGCCAACCATTTGATTCCACATGGTCACGGGGTGACTCAATTGCTTTGTTATTTTGCCGATCTGGGGTTGCATGATGGGAGAATTCATCGGCAATTTTTAGCGATCTTCTTGCTGGAAACCTGAAAGGGCCATCGGTTCTTTTGTCCTTTGTACTAGTATTCGCTAGTAGTGACGTATCCTTGCGCCACCCAAGTCGCGATAACCCCCGCCTCAATTAATTAAACGCTTGATTTGTTGCCAATCCTGTCAAAAATCTACGAGCTATGCATAATCTAGAACTTAGATTTTCTGAACTCACAATTCAATAACGTCGACAGATGCATGCAAAGCCTGGAAGCTCATATTGTGACTGCATCGGTTCCCCGGTTCTCAGCTGGAGTTTCCACTAAACCGGCCTAGACAAAAGTAGCGAGATGTTATCTCAGAGTGGGCTTGTGGATCAATGATGAATCCAATAAACGTCTCTCTAGTTACCTAACTAATATTACTGATTCGCCCCAACGACTATTGCTAACGAAGTTGGCTATTGACTCATAATTGGATTGATCAGCCCTTTCGAATGGTCTAGAAGAATGGGCATTAGTCCTGAAACTCACCCGCACCTGTTTACATGCCAGGTAACAATCCACTTCGAATGGCCTATAACAGGGATATCCTTTCGCGAGAACAAGCAATCAGAAACAATACTGTACAGGGCATGGATCTACATCGGAAAGTGTGTCTGCAAGGATGATCGCATTTGAGGTCTATAAAAAACAGGAACAGTGCGATCGCCAATGTTTTGTCAATAATAAATTATTCATACCATATGCAACTTGAGCAACTCGAGAGATGCGATTTGCCCGCAGCATTTTAAGCTGCACCTTTAGAATCAACGCCGTTGCCCCACCAAGGGTCTCGCCCCACTGGGGATAACAAGGTTCAACGGAATGCATATTCCGGCATATACCCCACGTTATACATCTCAGATTATAGCAAAATTTAATTGAGTATCATCTCATCATCAAGAAACATAACAATGTCCCATCTGCAGTATTTCTCTTATAAAGGCGTAGGCGAGCAGAAGCGCCAGAAGTTCAGATATAGCCAAGCCGTGCGAATTGGCGACCAGATTGAGTGCGCAGGCCAAGGTGAGCTGTCAATCAGACATTCGGTACAGTTTTAGTTTGTTTGCTGATTTGTATATTCATAGGTGGCTGGGACCGTGAAACGGGAGAATTCTACAAGGAAATCAATGCACAAATCGATCAAGCATTCGCCAACGTCGAACACAACCTCAAAGACGCCGGTGGGGAGGGTTGGAACCAGGTTTTCCGTGTCAACTCATATCATGTGCCCATCAATGATGAAGCGTTAGCTGCTATGGTGCGGAACTTTGAGAAATATATGCCCGGGCATCAGCCCATTTGGACTTGCGTTGGGGTCCCTCGACTCGGGGAGGACGATATGAGGGTTGAGATTGAGGTTGTGGCTCATGTACCTAATTAATACCTAATTAAGCAGAACACAGCGATCCCGTCGATAGTAGAGTGACTGATGTGAAACGTGTTCAAGGCTGTTATTTGGAAATTCTTTGCACTGGTTCCTCGTTTAAGAACTTCAAGTTCAGCAGAGGTCCCTCCCATTGGCTCGGAAGGCTGAGATAGCACAAGTATATAAATAAGCGAAGCTTGCAGAGCAAGCGTCTTTCATTGAAGGCTATAGATTTTCAACATCAAGCTGCTCATCGAGGAACATTAAATCCTATGTAACATACAGGTTAGATCCCATACGCATGATCAAAGATACTTTAGAGGGAAATCAAGGAAGGGCCAAACTATAACTTACTCTCTTCATCCAACAATGTTCCATTCGTCCAGCTCTCTTCCACCCAAGCTACACTGACAAGATATGGGACCTTTTTACCAGGTCTTGCAGCCAGAGACTCTCGTAGAGAAGCAATATCTCCCGATGACAGTTTCTCTGGGTTTACAATGACATGAGTAACATCAGAGCTTTCGAGGGACGTTGTGATATTTGCTCCCCCAAACCGTGCAGTGTTTCGTGCGAGCTGCAGACGCATATTATCAGTTTTGAAGCTTGAATGGTTTTCCTCGGTGCTGGCATCATTTGCGAAAAAGAAAAATGTAAAACGGCGGAAAAGCCACCCACAAGGAGCTGTGTACCCGGCATTGATTTTGTCGTGGATGAGATTCTCTATTCTTTGCGATGTGCGAGAATCAAGAGTGTGATTTGCTTGCTCGTCCTTTGACATATTATTCAAGATCTAGATGTACGGTCAGTATGTACTATGAGTCTGGGAAGCGTGGGTAAGAGGGACCTCTTTGAGCTCATCAACATTCGTATCCCGAGCGTAGCTGTCTGAGAATCGATCGACATTTACTTTGATCTCATCATCTCGGTTTTCCATGGTAAAGAACATGTGTCTATAAGGGTTGATCAGTACCTGAGAATCTGATTTGTGTTCTGATTGAAAATACCTGGGTTCAAAAGGAAGCAGATAGTCGGACAGGCCTGCATCCTTCTCGTTCTGCTTGACACAATCAAGCACCCAGGACGGTTTGATGAGATTGATATCACCATGCTTTTGCAGCGATGCTACTTTGACCGTCCCTGAAAAGAGGTCAGAAATTTTTGGTTATCCTCTTTACAGTCAAACTTACTTCGATCGGCAATGCATATCGTGTCTGATGTAGCCGTGTTTGTTTGGTACACCTTGCCACCATTGGCTTTGACCAGCTGCTCCAATTCGCCTTTGGACCTCTTCTCTGGAGCACCGGCATCTGTCATAATGACTGGAGCGGTATCAGCAAGTGAGAAGCCATGCCTGGGCTTTAGATACTTACAGAAGTTTAGTTCATCAAAAATATGGCCTGATGGCCCCGCATATTGCACAATCTCCTTATCATCATAGCCTGCAATGTTCAAAGGCTTCTTCACTGCTCTCTTGACACGCTTCTGCTTGCGAGAATTGTCCACCTGGAACTCCTTCTCACGCTGTTCCTTCTCCACATTCGACTTGAGGTCCAAGAATTCCTGGACTGATAGCGAGGTCTTCCAGTTCTTGTCTTTCCGTACCTTCTTGAAGCGGGGGAAGCGGAGTGTCAATCCCATGCGAAATTCGTCACTCACGGATATAGACGACGCCTTCACGCATAATACGATCGATTCAGATGGCTTGATCCACATATCTGGCTTTTCATATTGAGCATCTCCACCGGCCAGCTCTATGAATTGAGTGGGCGGCTTCTTGGAATCCCATTTCTGCCACTTGCCATCTGTGTGGTGGCGTACTTCCTGGTAGTCAGCAGCGGTAAACCCACCTCCAACTTTGCAGAAAGACCAGAATTTCTCGGGATTACCGCCCTGAGATGAATGATTGTCGTCGACACGTAGCCCACAGAGAAAGCTAGCAAGGTTGCCTCCGCGGTGGCCCTGACCATAGTAGCCTCCTATGACTACCACGTCGAGAGATTCACCGAACTCAGTCATGTACTCGGGCTTGACTTTCATCCAGTCATCGTGGCGCTCATTCAGCCGGTATTGTGCTCGGGGATTTTTCAAGACGAGACCCTCCGAAGCTTGAGCGACGACTCTCCGCAAGCATGTCTCAATTTCAGCAGCCGTGGTCGCTTCTTCATAAGGCAGGATCTCAAATCGGCGATGGATGGGCTTAATGGTCTTCTGCAAAGCATTGCGACGGTCTCGGAGTGTGTATTTTGTCAAATCACGCCCGTTGAGATGCAGAATATCAAATATTCGGAACAGAGGCCGCGGTCCATTCGAAAACGGGTTGCGCTGTTCAGCCAAAGCTGCCGTCTTCAGGGTCCCAAATGGGACCATCGCATCTTGCTCGGGATCCCAGGTAATCATTTCACCATCTAAGATCACGCTTTGCACTCCATCCACAAAAGCATCCTTTAGATGCCTTGTCAGTGCTCCGTTCTCGTCATAGATCCCATTTCCATAGAGATAAGTATATTCTTTGGCTTTGCGGGACCAAAAGGCAAACCTGCGACCGCCTTGAATCGACTCATCAGGAGCCATATGAAGTTGCAATCTTTCACCGTCCATCTTCTCCTCGATCCAGAATACGGGATCATCCTCTGTCGGACGCATCCGTAGGATCATTTTATCAAATGAATGCATCTGAAACTGGGCCAACTGAGGTTGAAAGCATTGCATGAGTCCAATTCCTCGATCCTCTGCCTCAAGTCGGATATTAGGATCATGGAGCTCCCAGCAAACACGCCTCAAGCTACTAGAAATACTGTACAGACTCTCGGCGTCCGGATGCCAGACATTGAAGAATGTGCGTTCAGTGGCACCGACCTTCATCTGGCGAAGAATAATCCGGATGAGCCATGTAAGCTCGTCCGGGTTCATACGCCGATAGAACTCGGCCATTATATGCGTTTGCTCTTCTTCCTTTGAGGCTCCAGATAGCTTATCCAGCTTGTCATTGACTTCTTCAATTGACATGTCGCCCGGCTCGGTTCGCATGGGCCGCTTGGATAAAACATCATGACAGCGTCCAGCAAAGTCACCCGCCATGCGGGTTGCAGCAGACTGCCCGGGCAGCTTCCAGTTGAGCAGGTTGTAGCCATCTTCCGATTCTTTGTTGATCTTCATGATCTTGACGAGCATCTTGCCAATTACTTTTTCCTTCATCCCATACATCGGACGATCCCTGTCTTTATCCGGAAGAATCAGCCGAAAGGCCGGATAAATGTCGTCGCCGACTTCTTTGCGCCATCGTGAGATAAACCGGGAGATGACATCGTGCCGGAGCTCAAATGGGTTCGAGCTGGCATGGCCTGCATTGGGCCCAGCTTTCCTTCGGGCTGGAGCTGATACCGCTGGCTTCTTCTTAATTTGACTGAGGTTGTCAAAGAGCTTCAAGTATAGCTCGTGGAATGGAAGTGTTGGGGCGTGATTATGCGGGCGGTTTGGATATCTATTTTATAGCGGTTAACGGTGATATAAGTCTGGCGCCACGTAAGCTTTACTTCTCGTCAAGATCCTCATCCAGATTTGGAGCGGGCCCAGGCATAATCTCGTCGGAATCCATGGTGAAATGAGCTTAAGAGAGAAGGAAAGATGAGAGTTCCCCGGATGTTTTTAGCTCTAGGCAGCGATAGCGATAAGATAAAGCGCCCCATGTGACATCACTCAGGGACTATCTACACAATGTAGTACATGTAGTAGAGATCTTTAATTTACTTTCTCCGCGAGTAAAATCATTTATTCCCTTCTCAAGCCTATTTTACATTTCATGGGGTATATTGTGGGGGAGAAAAACAAAGATGCAAAAGCGAAATTCAAGCCTAGCGAGTATCCGCATTGACATTGCGGCTCTGCTCCCCATCTGGATTCCGTGCCACCAAATCAGCCAAGTGACTCAGAATCGCTATGGATCTTTTGGAGCTTCCCCATGCAGTCAATTTAGATAAAATCTCGCAGCCGATACGGAGAACCCTCTCTGGGCCCTCGGGCGCACAAATATCTCCTACGCCTGTGATATTGCCTCGCATCGAGTGACCTTCTCGCACAAATAGTTGGACCAGTTCATCATCGCAGGGACGATCCAGATGAATGAAACTTGGCTCCTGTGATGGAACCGCTCTCGAAGCCTGCGAATTGGGGCTGGTATCCATTGGTCCATGCACATGACAGGACCCGTACGCCCATAGTGTCAGCACGGCGACGAACACGGCTGCTGGCTCATGGAATGCATTCGTGGAGTATCGTCGAACGTGCCAAAGGGTCACCCCAGCGTGAATTATTGATAAACGAGCTTTGTACTGGTCATGACGTATCCAGCGCCATATATACTGCCACTCAATGGCGTGAGTTCGTCTACTCCACCGTAACTTGTTGAACGCTAGAGAGGTAGCGAGACAGCGAATCTCCCGAAATGGTGCCAGTAAAACAAGCCGTGCAGCATGAAGATGAAGAACAGTTGGATGTTCCAGTCCAGCGGCTTTGGCAATGGTGCTATTGGCAGTCCAGTGAAGGATGTCGAGGCAATCACAGGCGCTGTTGCGCCATTTAGAATATGATGGAATTCCTGGAAGCCAGACAGAGCCAATCGGAATAGCAGTCTCACGAGATTGCTTCTTGGCAGTCGGGTTCCAGAAGGAAAGCGGCCTGCGGAAGTAATCGCCCACTTCCCACATGCGGTGATAAAGAGCATGTATGAGAAGAATGTGACTAAATTCTCCAATACCTGATACCAGCCTCTTTTCAATGTAGAGTATGTGCACCGCATCATACAAAGACTCATTGACTGTGTACGGCGAAGTCCGAAAAGAAGCCTGGGAATGATTCGGCGAATGAAAGTCGCTAGCTGGATTTTCCCATAGCTGTTTCCACGCGTCCGCAGATTTGGCATGCCACAGCGTCTCATGTGCAGGTAATGGAGCTTGTCCATCATCGAGGGATAAAAGTGGTCGGTCGTCAAAGTAATAAGCAATTGTACAGTCCAAAAGCTTGGTGGGCGTGTCAGTAACTCCCCATTTCATGTATAAAGTGGTGGGTGCATACCCAGATACAGTAGCCAGTCCGTCTCCGAACTTCATCTTGGACCCAATTCATCCATATAGCATCATCTGACGAGCCACGCACTTTGCTTGGTTTTACCATCGCCAATAACTTTTCGCGGTTCATGAGAGTCACGAGATCCTTGAAAGAGCTCAAGGCGGATGCTTTAGCTCGCTCACTTCCGCTGTGGATAAGGCCAATACAGTTTAGCAGTATGACTTGGATTAGATCAAGAGAATCCTGGCCAGGTCGGTATCGTTCTTTCTGTAGAAGTAGATTGTTAGCCAAGCTAAGTACTAAAAAGGATGATTTGACTAGTTTACCTCGACATGAAGAGCACGCCGAATCAGCTCATGAAAGGCAGCTGTATGCTGGTCTGCTGTTGGCGTGTTTGAACTGTGGCAGCCGATTGCCACAAGGGCCACAGTCAAGAGCCAGTAGCAGTGATTAGGATTGAAGGAAGGTAGATGAACCATAGGATATACTGCCTGAAAAGAATCGAAGTAGCAGATGAGGTACCGGTTGCAATCCTCTGCGGACGGAAAATTTTCAGTCTCAAACATTTCAAAAAATGGATTCTCGCTTCGGCAAAGCAGGATAAAATTGCGGTATATTTCGTTATAAGTCGTGGATTCGATTTTCCGGACAGAGGACATCATTTCATCTGAAATAATTTCCATGTTGACTTCATGTGTACTGGGAAAGTCAAATCGGTGTGACTTGGCTTCATAAAGAGACTCATTGGTAGAATTCACGTCGGCAGATGAAGTCGACCAGTGTGTCTGTCTCTTTCTGTATTTTGGAAGCCGAGCACCGCCGCCATCGACGTAGTAGTCCGCTGATCGTTTCGTTGAATCGACAGATTCAGAATGGAGCGATGTTTCGCTGGGAACATGGGAACTTCGGCGTCGTGGACTTCCCATGTCAGTGCCTAGAGACAGATTTCCAGATGGCGTTTGGGAGATGTTTTCAGGTACTGACGTACTAATTTGATCAGCATTTATGACTGGTGGTTGCCATGCTATATGAGCCATATAGTTTTCTGGAAGAGCTGGTTGAGAAAATTGCGAAGGGGCTCTGGAGTCTTGGCCCTGGTCACTAGTCATAGGTCCAGCGAAAAGCTCGTTAGGAAGCCAGTTGATAGCGGATATCATAGATTGATCGAAAAATGACGGATCAAAATCCAAACCAATCTCCGGATTCCCCGTCATATCCAGTTCGATATCGACCCCCGAATTTGGTATGCCCGATTGAGGATCCCTTCCTTCAGGGCCAAGACCAGCTGACGTCTCAACGGCAAACATCTTGGGCAAATTCGGATTTGACATTCCAGGATATTCTCCGTTGGGGTATGTCGGCATTGGCAACGGCCCTGTAGACGACAAAGGGTTTGAGGGTGGTAAGTATAACCGGGGATCAGGAGGCCCCGACGCCGAGCCCCTTCCATCTGACGGTGTATTCTCCACGAGGGCGCCAATTGTATTTTGAAAAGTTTCCATCGAGGGCTTTGTCGATGGTGGGTCATTCAAGTCGTTCACCGAGAATTGGGCGAGCTGATAAGGTGTTCCATGTTCCACCTGAGCAGACGAATTGTGTCTCTGGGTCCGAGGAGATCGTATTGGAGAATGAGAATCCGGATCATGAATTCTTGATACAGGCGCTCCTCGTGCGCCGTTCCTCGCTCTTGCTTTAGAACGTCTCTCCGTGGGGTATTGGCATTCGAGTGTCCGGGTTTCACACCGTCCACATGGCATACCCCCACTGCATCGGACTCTGGCTGTCGCACAACTGAAGCATGCGCGAAAGGTTTTGACGGTAATCCGATGTGTGCGATCTTTGCCGCCGTCGGTTGTTGGGTTATGGTGGCTTAGTTCGTGGCGGTGGAGGGTATCTCTATATATGATGAGTCCACTGTCTCTTCCCACGTGGCATGTGATGACCTACGTCCGAGAGAAATGCCGACCGCATTGAGCACATTCGAACGGTTTCTCTTTAGTATGACTGCGCAAATGGCGCTTCAGATGTTCTGGTCGGCGAAATGTGCTGCTACAAACCGAACATTGCACCTGTCCCGAGTTCAACAAGGGTTGTTCGGCTTGTTCTCCACTTGAAGCATGCGCATCCACATCCACGTCCGTATCCATGGTTTCATCCGGGGTGGCATTGTCGTCCGACAGCATGGCGCCTGCAATAGAAAGATGCAGCTCCGTACCATGCTGCAGGGACAGGATCATGCCAGATCCTAAAATTGAGGGGGAGACCGGGGGCTCTAAAAACCGTTCCACATGCGGAGAAGCGGAGAAAGCGCTACGCGATTGGCTTCGACATTTTAAACGAACTTCGGTTAAATGAATCTGGGGTTAGCTGGTCCTTCGATCGTCGGAACTTTATTCAGGGCCCGAGAGGTACGGATTTCCACGAGACTTTATCGATCTTTTGACAGATTCCAAGATCCATGGATCGACATAATGGATTCAATCGTATTCCTCAAATGTACATACGGACTTCGGAGTCTACATAGGATACCCCGGTCCAATATAGTACATGCGGTTGCGTGGCAGTGAAGTGCACGGTCGCAATATCGAAAAGTGGGCCATCAGCGTCATTTGTTTCTTTTCCCACTGCAGTGAAATTCTTTGGAAAAAAAAAAGCTAGAGCAACATCATCATCGGTGGTGAATCCCAAACCTCTGTTGGAGATCGATTCCATGAACGGCGAGATCGCCGCCTCGAACCCGCGGTTGGCTCCCCCGGCCTTCCGAAAGAATGACTCCGCGCGATTAGGTGCAGCGATCGCCTTTCAACAATCCCGTCCACCATCCAATGTGAACCCCCAGTCGTCCGCTGCCACCGCGGCCGTCTTTGCCAGTCGGATGAATCGCCATGCGGACAAAGAGATGGATTCCGAGTCAGGTCCTGAAGTTGGCTCTGTGAAGGATAAGATTGGAAGGTTTGCTGGCAGTAACTCGCTCGCTCCGCCAGCCACACGGAGTACTCAAGGACGACCACGAACACCCTCATTATCGAAATCGCCAGCCCCGAAGTCACCAGCCCGAAGCCCAGGCCCAGAACAAGTGGCAGCACACCTGGCCGCAGCTCGTTTGGCCGCAGAAAGATCCCCCGGGCGGAAAGTACAGGAACCGACCAACGATGCTGCCCGACTCGGAGCCATGCGTAGTGCAAGCAGAGCACAATCTGAACAACCTCAGCCACGGTCGCCAGGACCGCGTCACGAGCTACGCTCCCCCGTCCCAGTTAGGCCAAGGCCCACGATTGAATACCCTGCGGACCGAGTGCTCGATGATGACCCTCCAAGTTTCGAACGAATCCCTGGCTATGGACGGTCTCCGTCCATCCGAGCTCCATCAAGTCCATCTCGCGCTGGCAGTATCCGTGGTCGGACAACAAGTCCTCAACCATCCGTCTCCTCTCGAATCTCTGTAGTACTGCCAGACCAAGTGGTGCTGAAAGCCCCCCCACTTCCCCCGCGGTCTACAGCCTCTTCGCAGGCCTCACTACGAAAACCGATTCCCACAACAAACTCATTACGACCAACACCGAGCATGGTATCGATATCGGGACTTTCACACAATAGCAGTTCGAGCGCGCTTAGTGAAGCAGGGGGGATGAATGAAGAGGCTCTCTCCAATGCCATTGTCGCCTCCTCCCTCGCATCCGCTCGTGCATCCCCCATGCCAAAGGCTTCTCAAGCCCCTCCTCCACCTCCACGCCGGCGACGGGCTCGGTCGATTCTTGCATTAGCACAATCGCCAAAGAGCGATATGTCAAGAACTCCAAGCCCACCGAAAGGTATGCCGATGACTCTCCGCGGCAGGCCGAAGAACAGCGATGTCGACCCCAAAGGGCGACATAAAATGAAATTACTCCACAAACACCCGCACAAACACCACGAAGGAGATCGGAAACGATGGCGACGAGAAGTGACTGAAAAGGAACGCAAGCGCTACGAAGGTGTCTGGGCGTCCAATAAGGGACTACTCATTCCATCTGAGTTCAAGCTGAGTGGGACCGAGAGGTGGCCTCCACCTTCAGAGATGGTGTTGAACCTTGTAGTGCGGGAGATCTGGTCCCGCAGCCGTTTGCCATCCACGGCACTAGAACAGGTGTGGGCCCTCGTGGATAATCAGGGTATTGGACTTTTGACGAAAGAGGAATTCGTCGTTGGAATGTGGTTGATTGATCAGCAATTGAAGGGTCATAAACTGCCAGTCCATGTTCCGGACAGTGTCTGGGATAGTGTACGGTATGTGACGGGCATCAAGCTCTCTTCGGTTGGGAAATAGGCATTTGTATCCATCATATATCTAGAACTGTATGAGGGTTGCGCAGGATCGCAACTAGCAAAATATACATACCATTGGGAAATCTTCCATTCAAGTGTTGTCTCCAGAGCTCTGTGATAAGAAACAGTACATACAGTATTCCACGAGAAAGTTTAATCGAACCTCCTCCCCCCTTTCTGCCCCTCTCGAATTCCAACTAAATGTGATTAGGGTTATTGTACTCCGTACCAAGATTCCTGAGTGCTTTAGTCTGTGGATTGACGCATGTTTCGATCTCCAAATCGGGGATCTCCACCGTCATGTGATCACCAATTGTGCACGCCACTGGCATAGTGACCACGGGGTTTGGTGTTTCAGGGGGAAATGCTAAATTAATGATTCCCATGGATTCTGCGAGATCGTCTTACTTTCATTCTCAACAGCGATCGTCGAAGCGCACGAAGGGAACTCTTGATCGTGACAAATTGTGGGCATCGCGAGCAAATCCCGAATCTCCACGGCTCGGGATTTGGATCCAGAAAGATCAAGCAATCAGCGCACCCGTTTCTATATCATAGGAAGCACTTCTTCACCTGTCCAGATTCCCACACCAAAATGCGCAATTTGGTCAGCTCAACGATTTAAGCACCTAGGAGTGTGGAGAGCAAACCCCGACCTGAACGCCAGACCCCGAGAGCTAGTAAGAATAGAAAGTGTGCGACAGAACGACCAGGGCGGGGATTGCGGAGTATCGCCCCATGCCATCCCGGCCGTGTGATTCGCCATGGTCGACGCTTTTCACAACGAGAGCGGGCTTGTGTCAACGGCGCTTCGGCCGATTCGCAAGAAGTTCGCCAAACCGCCCGTGAAGGTAGCTTGTTTGCCTTGGTACGTAACGCCCCGGGTCCAAGCCAATGCACAGATTTCGCTAATTCCCGCCTTCAGCCGCGCCTCACGAACCCGATGCGGTGGACAAGAGCCGTGTTCTAACGTAGGTTTCCACCTGGAAAATATTTCCTAGTGACTTGTCGCCTTTCCTCGGCGGGTTTCTATATTTGTTTCCTTGCATGATGGGACTGATCGCAATTTACGTGTACTGACAGCCTCGTCTTAGTGTCTCAACAAAGGCCGAAAATGCTCTTATCTACCCAGCAAACGGGGTGGGCCTCGGACGAAGAAGCAAAGGCCCTCCCCGTCGCCTGAGGAAGATGCGGCTCAACAGGATAGTTCACAGTTTGCGACGATCTCCGCTGAATTTGAAGAACGTAAGATTGCGATGGCCCAATCACTTACTTTGCCGTGGTACTAATGGCTCCACAGCGTCGGGGATGTTTACACAAATCGATGTACTCTCTCTGCCAGGCGCAGGATTACGGCATCTAGACTTCCCTCAGCAAGTGTCTTCTCTGTTCCAGGGTTACTATGCTGGGGATGCAGATGCCGCTCATGTTCCCCTGGAACTTATGCCGTCGCCATTGACTGGCGCACAGTGCTATGTACGAACTTACGGAAGTGAGCCAGAAATGTATGTTCATCCCGACCCCATGGCGCGTGTAGGAAAGCTTCTGATCATACTTGCAGATTAAACGCCTACTATGATTTCATTCATTGCTATTTCCCTATCCTTCCACCGCGAGTGGCACCTCAATGTCGAGACCGCCCTTTACAATGTCCGCTTGCTTGCTCTGACCCATCATCAGAGCCTCTGATGATGTACAAGCCGCAGTCTCCTCTGAGTCTTGCTATATCGGCAGTCTTAGCACTGATTCCGCACCCTGATGATCCTGATTCATCGTCGTCTGCCTCGCTTGTTCAGCGCAGAACATACGCCAACGCGTTCGCGCAATTGGCCAATACGGCCATAGAAACGGAATGTGATCTTGATATATCATCAACTGACCCCGGGCAGGCCCTATCGACTCCACGGCCTTCGGTCAACCGAGAAAGGCTTCATCCTCAGACCCCAGAAGATTTGGAAACTCTTTTGGCTCTACTAATTCTTTCGGTGTATGAATATTCTCAAAGAGGAAACCTGTTGAAGATGAGGTACCGCGCAGGACAAGCATTAGCTCTGGCCTTAGACAAGTCACTCCATGACTACGTGGAAGAGGACGAATTCTGCGAGGCCCGTCGGAGAGCATGGTGGATGACGTACTACTGTGTTATACAAGGCGCCATCGTCAGCACAACTGTGAGTCCAGTCATCTCGAGCTAAATGTGAACATATGTCTAATCATGAAACAGCCCCCCACTCTTGTCATTAATGACCCTCAATTCACAACCCCATATCCACGATTTGCATCTGATGTTGAGGTTTGTTTTACAATCTCGAAGCCCTGTCGTTCAAGGGTGCTTTCGAAGCATTGACGAATTGACACGTTCCTAGGGATGGTCCATCTTGATACAAGCACAACAAGTGCTGGTATCAGCGACACAATTTATTGCCGATCTAAATAAAACACTTGCATCGCAGTCAGGCCTGCACTACATGTTTGAGCGGATGCAACAGCTTGATTCCTGGACAAATTCCGTACTTGCACAAACCGAAATCCTCCCAATCACATCACACGAGCCAGACTTCGGCGACTGCCGCGAAACCATCACAGCACAATGTATACGAACAATGTCCAGGATCAAGCTATCTAGTGCCCAAATCAAAACTCATCGATTTCGCGCCTTTTCAGATATTCCCATCTTCGTCAAACGACACTGCGATTTAACAGCCGCCAACGCTACTAACACAGCCCAAGTCCTCACTCCAAAATCATCGGGCACAGGAATCAACAGTGTCTCATGTCCATGCAGCAATCTGGACCAATTCCGGCGAGCTTCATCAGCTGAATACATGACCCCATCGGACTCCTCCACCTCATCAGACATTCATCCTTACATCCCTCAATACCCACAATATCCCTTCGCTACAGGGTTCCCATACAGCACGCAGCACTCCGCCAAGATCTGCCTTCGCGCTGCCATTCTCATCTCACACTTGTTCGAGTCTTTACCGTACCCGCAACCACTACCTGAAACACATCAACAACCGCGTCAGCAAGGCAGTGTCTTACCTCGGACTATGCCTTCTTTTGCTTGTTGTTTGATGCAGAGTAGTTACGCGATGTTTATGATTTTCTACAAGGCTCGTGTGGCAAACCAGGCGTCCCCGGATGTGGAAACTGAGATTGTGAGTGACTCGATCGACAGACTGGTCGAGGAGCTTCGGCAAGGTCTGCAGCGGATTATCGGGGCTGTTTCCAACTATTCATTGGCTTTTGAAGCTTTGGATGGGATGAGAGGTAATTTCACCTTCAATTCTATTGTGCTTATCACTATTACTAATCTTGCTCTAGATGAGATTCAAGGAGCATACCAAACGGCGTTCCCGCCGAACCCAGCTATTTAAAGAATTCCATTGCCCGCTTTTCAAGCGACACACAATACTCGGCGTACCATCAGCGATTCCTAATACGCACTTCCCCACTCGTTTTCTATTGTTTCCCCGTGTTCATAGCGAGAAGCATACGATGTTTTAACAGGTGTTTTGAGTCTCTTTCAAATTCCTCTTCATGATACATGTATCTTAGTATGAACTTTATAATAGCAGCGCACACGTAATAGCAAAATACTGTTCTCTTTATGCACCTATATAGATAGGATAATGTCTGTCGCCTTCCTATGGATCTAGGCTGTCGCCGCTTTCATGAGGGCGCTCAGTCAGCACCACTCAAATCTAAGGTTGTCGAGCGTGATCGAGATCATGTCCAAAAGAGCAAGACTTCGATGTGATTCTCGTTCTTGATTGGTTCTGTATAACAAAATAAGATGGTACCTTAGGGGGTAGCATGACCATCCAGCTATAAGCCCCAAGGCCCCACTCGCGCAAAAAAAGAATTCCATTATCCCACTTGACTACGTACTATCCTCATTTTACAATGGATAACGTGATTAAACAGAATGGGTAGCAACTCTTGGCCTGTTAGCTTCTATCTAGCACCTTGCTCCTAGGAACACTTGGCTCTGCTCATTTGTTCTCGGCTACACCTTAAGTATCACCTGTCTGATCTTTACGAATGCTCCTAGGAAGTACTGTAGTTCGCTTAAGCGTGTTTAGTTTTTGTCAAATTCCGGGGTATATATAGACGGAGCTAGTAAAGGAAAGATGTTCTGTGGTATATTACCTCTGTTTTCAGGTTTTCCAATTCTTACGAATGACTAGATTTAGATGATCTAATATATTAGAACGGACACGTCAGGGCTTATTAAAGTATCTAAACGATCTTGATGGAGCTGATGGACTGTCATTCCATCCTATCTCTCATTTGTCCCACGTGTAACAGATCGCCAAGACCTGGAGTCTTGGTGTATAGCCTGGAGTTAGATAATCTGGCTTGGCATTCCGCTCCCAAGGCTTGGCGAAGGGGTTCAATCTTCCCAGACAAACTTCAAGATTCCGCACGTGCAGGTCTGGCTTATGTTCTATTCGTTCCGAAAGAAAACATGTGTCTCGCAATAACCCTCTCTTGGAGTGAGGGTATACCTCGGAGAGTTAAATATCCTGGATTATCTTGGCGAGAGGCTCTTGGCCGGAGACTCGCTCAAAATTAGCTTCAAGCTCGTAGTACTTAACAGAGATGCATTCTCGCTGAGCGCAAATATCTCGGATCTAGAACGATCGCCCTACCAAGATGCGTGTCTCCTCAATCTCTGCGCTGGCATGCTTTGCCTCATTTGCAGCAGCCCAGACCTTCCAGCGTTTGGGTGGTTGCCCTGACTTGGGATGTATCTTCCCGCCGGACCAGTACGTGATGATTTAATTGCGCCTAGTTCCTAACAACTAACAGCTATTTATAGGGTTGACTTCCTTGCTGGTCAGTACTTTGATATCCGTCTTGAAGTACACTCCCCCGTCAATGGCTCCGAAGCTCGTGTTGGAGAGCCCGACGAGAACTTTACCTTCACCATCGCGAAGAAGGGCAAGAAACCTCTCACCGCATCGGAATACTTCAAGATAGATGAACCTGAGCTGGAAAGGTGGAACTTTACATGGTTTGAAGGTAATACCTTCCTAACATCCAGTCCACGGGGAACACATAAGTTAATAGAAGCAGACCGATTCGCCGAGGACGCAGAGATGCCCTCTCTTGTTAACGTGACCTCGAAGATCTATCGCAGAATTGCCCTCTACGAGCCCGGCGAGTACGAGACTACCCTGACCTACTACGGGCAACAGAAGACTGTTGCCAACTGGGTTGTTCGTGATCTCCCTACCAAGCGACGCGCGAAGAATGTCGTTATGTTCATCGGAGACGGCATGACAACCAACATGATTACGGCAGCCCGCTTGATTGCCCATCGTAGCATCAATGGCAAATACATGACAAATATGGCAATGGACAAGTTCCCTGTGCTGGGACATCAGATGACACACTCCATGGACTCATTCATTACTGACTCGGCCAACTCCGCCACCGCCCTTTATACCGGCCACAAGACTACCGTTAATGCTTTGGGTGTCTACGTTGACTCCTCCGAAGACACTTTCGATGACCCGAAGTTCGAGACAATTGCAGAAATCTACCGTCGCAAGAACCCGAACGCCGGTGTCGGCATTGTCTCAACTGCCTTCTTGGCAGATGCCACCCCTGCAGGGTTGGGTGCTCATACTAGCGACCGCGGCAACTACGACCATGTCATCAGCGCCTATTACGAAAGTTTGACCGACTACGAGTGGACAAATTGGAACGGTCCCGATGTGCTCCTTGGCGCTGGTGCAGAGGACTTCATCAAGAGTGAGGAAACCCGCGACTACTACAAGCTCTTCGCCGAGAAGGGTTACAACGTCGCCTGGAACAATACTGCCCTGGAGAATGCCCCAAATGATGAGAGACTGCTAGGAGTCTTCGCGAAGGAAAATCTGCCTACTTGGCTTGATCGCAACGTCTATCAATCCAACCTCTACAACCAGAGCAACTACCCCGATGGTTCTGGCCGCGACGCAGACGACCTGCCCGGACTCAAGGAGATGACCCTCAAGGCTGTCGACGTTCTCGACAAGCGCCACCGCAAGGACGGCTGGTTCCTGATGTCCGAGGCCGCCAGCATCGACAAGCAGATGCACACTCTGGACTATGACCGGTCCCTCGGCGAGCTTCTCGAGCTCGACGATACCGTGCGGGCAATAATTGAGAAGCTCGAGAAGCTCGGCGAGCTCGACGATACCCTCATCATCATCACAGCCGACCACGGCCACGGCTTCGACGTGACTGGCTCCGTCGACACCGAGTACATGGAGGCGCAGACAGACGATCGTAGCAAGCGCAACGCAGTCGGATACTACGATAACTCCGGCTTGTCCCAATACACTATCACCGGCTCCAACGCCCTCCGCTACTCCGAAGGCGTCCACTTCCCCGCCCAGTGGGACCCGAGATATACCCTCCACGCGGGTGTTGGTGCCTTCCCTGACCACCGTGAGGATTACCGTATTCACAGGGAGGGTCCCCGCACACCTGCTGTGGAGGACAAGAAGCACGGATACATAGCTAATTATAAGGATGCCGTCACTGGCTTTATGGTCAATGGAACCCTGCCACTTGATGCGAGCCAGGGTGTCCACTCCTTGACTGACGTGCCGGTCTTTGCCCGTGGCCCTTGTCAAGAGCTGTTCGGAGGTGTGTACAACTCAATCGACATCTTCTTCTACATGGCGGAATGCCTGGGGTTGTCGGAGGTGAAGTAAGCTGGCAAGCCTTCCCCAACGTTAGATTGATTGGGAACCGCCATGGCGGTGTTACATAATTCGAGCCACGTCTGACAGCTCCCTTTATATAAGAGAAGAATACAATATACGAAAGAAAGAAAATGCTATACATAGGATATAAGGACCTGTAAAAATGACGCCGAAAATGACAGCTTCTGGCGCCAGAAACAGCTGCCTTTCCACCGTAACTTCCAGTGGTAAGCTGCTGGTCGACCGATGGCAAGGTCTAGATATTAACCACCACTACCGCCCGACCATGCATTACCACTTAACCACAATACTTCTATCAATACTTCTATCAATACACCATCAACATACCATTAACATACCATTAATACACCATCAACACACCATTAATATACCATCAACACCATAAGGAATAAGCTAACCTAACCTAACAGCATAAGTAGAGTCGTTAAGGCTAATTCTTAGCTACTGATATCAAAATGATAGTAAAGTCTCCTTACTACTTTAGTAGTATCCCCGGTCAGGTTATCCCGGATACCGAAGTATATAATGAGGACTATTAGGATAAAGGGGTGTTTGACTAGGTAAGGACCACCTGGACAGGTCAAAGATGTTTCATAAAACAGATCGTAGAATAGATCAAGACTTCTTAAGAAATTCCTTGATTCCTTATGTGCGTGAGATATATTTAGAGAGGGGTAAAACCCTGCTTTAGCGAGTCATACAGGTACTTATCGGGGCAAGATCGGACTATTGCAGGGGGTATATAGTCCTGCTTGGGTGTCGTGCCCTAACGTCCTGTCTAGGCCGTAACAACTCTAGTGTTAAAAGAAGAGATAGGAGATTAAGCACCTCATGAAGTATAGATAGTGCGGTAATTAAGGGCCATCAAAATATTATTGGATCAGCGATTAGCCTCAGGCTCACTTAGTAAACGTGAGCACCGGTTAAATTTAGTGATCACGCTTAGGATGATATACAACTAATATATGGCACGCTTAGTGAGTACTTAGTGAATCCTCTAGGGCTACTGAGGCATGCTTAGTGTATGCTTAGTAAGTACCCCGGCCTATGCTAACGAGCATAAGTGACACCCTTCCCCTAAACTAACCTACACTAATCACCTTATGCTAGACTCACAGCTACAGGTGATAGAGACAAGCAAGAAGAAGCTTGGCGAAGATCACCCCGCTTATCACGTACGTACTTTAGTCGCTCACAATATTATTCAAAATAGACTCGTTGATATGATCTTGATCGAGAAGTACACCTTATCTAGAATATATTTTGATATGTCGCGCAAAAAATCCTCGTTTCATTCCTATCGATCAATGGTAATCGGCTCAAAGCCATTCAAAACACTAAACTTTGCGACTTTCAAACCGAGTCTCCGTTCCAACAGGGTGTTCCGCAATTTTGCAAGCCTCTTCGGCATAACCCTTAATTTCAGGCCACAGGTTATCGGATGCTTCGCAAGTCATAATGGGAGCGGGTTGTGTGTAATCCACTTTCGAGCAGCGAGTTAGACCAGTTTTGGTCTTGACATGTTTCACAATATACTTCGCACCATCGATGGTAACCGGGTTGCATTCCATGTAAAGTGCCAACCCGACCCGCTCCATCTTCATGCGAAGATGCTTTGAGACGTTTGCCTCTGGACTGCTGTCCGGAGCACATGTTCCCTTCGTTTCGTCGTAACTCACAGGCTCGCTCATATAGAGTCCTGTGCAGATACTCTTGTCCATCTTGATCGGTGTCTCGCACCAATTAAGAGCATCCTTGCAAAATCCACTTGCCGGATACTTGTCACACTCAGATGTTTTGTACTTGCATTTCTCGGCGAAACATTGTTTTTCCTCGTCTTTGGTGCATTTTTTTGTGCAGGCCGAACCTCCCGTTGTACCAGAGGCCTCGATGTGCTGCTGCGTGTAGCCAGAGGCGCATGTCGTGAGACCGGTTTTGTAGTAGCTCTTGCAATTTTGTCTGGTGCTACAGGTAAGGCCTGCATTGTCGTCCCTTTCGAAGAGAGTTTCCACTGGGCTGGCCACGGTGCTGGCGGCCAAGAGGCTAATGACCGCGAAGATAGAGCACCAACGAATCATGGTGTGAAATTTTTTGGAAAAAAGATTGCGCAGTCAATTAGAACGGTTTCAAAAGTTGGCGGTGGCTTGTTGCGTACAACTGTTTGTTGGGTAGGGGCGACTGAATGATATGAAGGAATAGCAAGACATGAATGTTGGGCAAAGGAGAACTTATTTATACTTTACCACTTTCCCCCTTTCCTCCCTATATTAGCCCTCAACAGACATACCTCATCGTGCCTACCTTCCTATACGTCACCGAGCAGGATGCTTACTTGGAAAAGCCCAATCGCTCATACAGCTAATGTCCGAATGGTTCTGACATCATCAAGATCAACAAGACTAACGAGGTCGGCAACATCAACACTGTTACACTAATAAAATCAATCGGATCTAAAACACCCCCATTCTTCTCCATAACCCTGGAAATCATTCGTGATCAGCAGTGGACTTCAGAGGCCCTCGGAAAGATTAGCTTTTATAGTCTCGGTAGATCGTCTCTGCAGGATCATACCTTGCCTCAAATATCGGAACACCTCACAGCTGCACTTTGCATGACCGATTCATATCAGTCAATTTCACTTTTCATCTTCTTCCAGTCAAGACGCGTTGGTCTTGAGATTTATCACCTGCGTCTTATTTCGTTACACACAAGTCACCTCTATATAATTGTGAAGCTTATCAGTCCTATAGCCTACACGCATTATCCCTTCCTAGTTAGAAGCTAGTGATAATCTAAAAAGCCTTCAGCTCCTCCCGTAAATGGTGATTGGAGGAAGAGGGGGGGGGAAGTCTTTCCCGTCTCAGCTGAACTGAACTATCTATAACTCGCAGCTATGTGGACCCCGAGGAACCCCGAATGCCAAGAGTTGACAAATATGTGCACCTTGGTGTGACCGATCCCACGCTAGGCAAAACCTGGCATATTGGATCTCATTTACATGCCGTATGCTGAGGGAATATTCAAGTCATACCTGAGAATGACAGCAAACCGTCATTCGTCTCCCTTTTTTCCGGTTTATTTGTGGAACGCTCGTGCTACTAAATACAGTATTAGTGACATTGGCGATAGATCTATCCTATATACTGATTTTGTCCTACTCTCCTTGATTTCAAAATTGGAGGCTTGGTGATAAAGAGTTACTATTCCCAAATATAGGTATTGATGGACCTGAAATATCGAGTCCAGTATATTTCTTTTGGTAGTAGAGATCTCTGAAACAGCACTAGGACCTTTTTACTTACGTGAATGGTCTTTATTATTCTTGCTCAATACATCCCTTCATATCTATATCGAAACCATGGTTCGTGGCTCCACTATTCTTCAGCTAAGAATAAAGAGAATAAAAACAAAGCATCTGCTTTAGTATGAATAGATTGTCTTTGTCCAGTACTTCATTGTCATTGTTCTTAGTCCATAAATTCTGCCCGATCATACTTACGATTGATAAATCAATGTATATTGAACATCCGAAAGTCAACGCCTCGTAGGTAATCCAGATAAATAGTTTTGATATCAGGTTGGTACTATTAGAGTACAGAGAGTTGACATCTTTATTTATCTATTGACCTAAAGGCCTACCTGTGACTATGACGCAAGCGCTCTGATCTGCTCTTAATTATATTCTCCGAAGAAGATTCGGAATATGTCTTACACATCTTGTCTATGACTAACCGTGACGAAGCTCTTTACTTTGAGAGAGCTAGGTGCGCCGGACTTGAAAGAATTTCTGGAGTACCGAGAAAATGTCAGCACTGATTGCTCAATGAATCAGTTGTTCTGCCAAGGACACTGGATACACTTTCATTGGAGCCTGTGCTCCTCATTCCAGCTATCAGTTACTCGTTGATACGCCTTGCCTGGCTTTATGCGGCCCACCATTTTATGGCTTCCTCTCGGCTTCAATGATTATGTTAAAAAACCTTCTGTGCGCCGGGCATCATCCGTACAGCGCCGGGCGAGAACCTCTGCGGATCGACCACCAAATCAGACTTCTTCGCCATTTGTCACAGTATTACCTCTACTATGTCTGCTTGAGAACTCACCCTTGGCAACATACTGACTTGCCAACACCGAATGTCAAGATCTGGAGTGGTTTCGACTCATAGAACAAAGATGCTATCCTCTATTTAGAGCCGGGGTTGGACCTAGAGGATGACCGGTGGAGGGCCCAGCATGTCAGGACATGTCAGAGGACATTGAAAGCCAGTGAGATGGTGGATGATCCGCGCATGTGATTCGAGATGTAATCGAATGAGCCAGGGCTTAAGTTCTTCCCAAGCTCTTCCCTAGGAGAGCATGTTTTTTTCGGAACGTGTCTCACACTCGGCAGCACAGCATTATCGAACTGTCATGGCAAGATGGGCCGGGGGTGGTATTGTCTTCAAGGCGCAGGAGATTCTAATCTCCAAATTGGGGAATCCCGAATTAAAATCGTCTGTTTTGATCCAACGATCAAGGAATACGCTTAGCATTGCACCATGATTACGGTCTCGGTGCGAAACGGCAATGGTCGTACCTGCCCTGTCGAGCCACCAAGCGAAGGCTTGCCACCGTCTCCACCAGATTCAACAGATTCATTTTTCTAATCTCATCCCGCACTTCTGCTCTTCTGTCTGCCTACTCCGTGACGAACCCTGAGCAATGTCAGACACCAGGAGTCCTGGTTCGGGTCAAGTTGAGGCCGTTACGGCTTTCATGACAGCCCTCGGGCCGATTGTCGTTGACCTATTTCTAGATCGCGGGTCCAAAAAACTGACTGTGATTCATCTTCCAATCTGGGAGTGGGACTCTCCTCTACCTCGCAAATGGGATGTATGAGAGGAAGTCAGAATAGCCTGAAGAGCCACAAACGACGCCTTGAATTTATCTTGCTTTTCTTTCATTGTTCATATCTCTTGCGAGATACAGGAGAGTCCCGTTTCTAGATCGAAATTCATGTATTGTAGGCTTTTTCCTTTTTTGCAGCCATCTAAATATGACCCCCTTCCGAAAGACGAATTCCATAAGAGAAAGGCTGAATAATCTGAGGACGCCGCTTGCGATTATCCAGGCTGTTATGGCCCATTCCAAACCAGGGGAATGAAACGAGAAGACTGGACGTGCTCAATTTTCTGGAAACGGTCGCAGGCCTTCGGGCTCACCAGTCAGTCTACTTGGGTATGTCTTGATACTCTTAGTATCACAAAAGGTTCCCTTTTTGGTTTGAGGGTTAGCCATTATCTGAATAAAAATAAAGAAAAAAGATGAGGACTGAGACATCCCTGCTTTGCAAGTGCGGTTACGACAACCCTTTGTTAAGTCATGATTCCAGGTGACCGGGCATATTGACAAATTGACCACTCAGACAAAGGGCTTGAAGTAACTGTTTTGAAGAGTAAGAATTAAAGGTGGCGTGAGGTGGCCACTAGCTCAAAAAGGGTACTTGAAAAATTGGCAGACATTGTCCTGTATGTTCACTGGAAGCAGAGCTAAGCTTTGATAAGATGCAAACGCCATATATTTCCTCTAATTCTTCGCTAGAACGGTATAAACGCTAGGTGAACATAAAGTAGCCCACCGTACCAGTTAATGGGGTAGCCAGACCGAAAATTTGGAGTCCTTGGGGAGAGGAGGGCGATTTACAGCTTCGACCGAATACCCTCCAGCCTGAATTTGACATCCTTTAAGACTTTGCTTGATGGTTTCCAATCATCGAACTGACGTAGAAGCTCCGTCGTCTCCTCCTGTAGCTCACGACGCACGTGCTCTTCCTCGAGAAGGCCACGCATCGCAAATGGGAGGATATACGGGTTTGAGGCCGCAGAAGGATTGGATCGCTTGATTTTCAAAGTTGCATCCCGGGAGGTGGATGTTTCCAATGCGAACTGGATCGCCATATAATATACAGCTTCGTCATCATACAGACGGGAATGGCCATCGCCTGTATAGAGACTGCCGGCCAGCGGGGTGCTGAGTTCGCGGATTAAACCGTGATCTGGAATACCAAGATTTCTAAGTTTCAGGGCGAAGCCAACAAGGTGAGAAACACTGATGAGGTCAGTATACATCATTTGAGGGTTTTATTTCAGGAGGGAAGCTTACAAGCTTGGTGCATGCACTCTACCATCCACGAAAACAGACCGGTAGATGTAAGGATGGGCAATTGGAGAAAATAACGAAGACTGCATCAGGCCATTAGTGGGAGTTGCGAAAATTTGACGGTCCGGGTATCGTTTGCATACCTCTAGGGAGACGAGTTGATCGTCAATGCTCCCGACATAAGAGATTCTGACACCAAAGTCAAGTGCACATCTCAATGCAGCTTCATAGTCCTGGGATACTTTGCTTGACGGTAGCTCAAAGTCAAATAACTCCCCGGCAGACCCACTGATCCATCTGGAGCGATAAGAAGAAAAGGGGCCCATGTTCACACCGGCCATAGCACATATGCCCACCCGTGAGGCATTGACACAGCCAAAAGATATCAGCTTCGCGACTAGCATAATCGATACAGGTACACCCTGACTGTGACATGCGACCAAAATGAAATCGGCCTTGCGAATCTCTTCCATCCAATTTAGGAGTAGCTTCCATAGTAAGTCCACTCGCTCTGAAATACGCCCTTCCCCTTCTAATGCAATTTTTTCAATATCACATGAGTATCCATGGTCTGCTGTCCATTTTCGAATTGATTCTGCTGCCATGTTGGAGAACCGGATGGATGTCCCCGTAGGTTGCCCAAGTACGGTACGGATTAATGGGGCAGGAAAGTAGCCATGGACACCGATGGCGAGAGCGCGTTTAATTCGAGGTGGTTCTTTAACCCGGGACACATGATTGTGCTCAGGGCCCTTGCTGTAGTGTAGAAATCGGCCGAGGGATTGCAACAAAGAGGGCGATTCTTCCAGCTTGTATGTGTCTTCGAATCGGGGTAGCACTTGATTTGGCAGAATGTTCTGCAGCTGTTTTGAAGCAGTGGAGTCGATAGCTCGAGGCTCTATTGGTGGTGTGAGGGTAGATGTCGCCTCAATTGTGGATATAGCCCCGTCCTTGAAACGACTATCGTTGAGCGGCTTGACTTTGAGGCTGCCCTTTTTTGTGATGTTTACATTTGCTTCAGGATCTGGTTCAAGCCCCGTTGAGCGAGATGGAGTATTCGGCGCTACTGATGCCTCGACTGCCTCAACTTCCTGCGGCTTTCCCGGCATGGCGTTCTTTGCTGGATCTTTCGACCAGAACGACCATCCTGAAGACTTCATGGTTCCAGCCGGGGGTTGAGGCAGACCAGCTGCCTCTTCACGCCCTCCGGTGGGATCCTTTGGTGACATATCCACGTCTTTGGTCATTGGCGAATCTGATTCCGTGGGAGGCAGGTTACCCGATCCAGCTGTTGCCTGTTCTTCCTGTTTACTTTCCGAGGAACCGTACCACATCTGCAACCAAGAGCGTTTCTGCGCAGTTGAAGTAGTTTCGTTTGCCACTTCGGTCTGGGCTGGCTGTTTGTCTTGTTCTTGTTCCAATTGTTTCCCTTGTTCAGTTGGATTCGCTATGTTTGTTTCAATATCGGCATTGTTTGTAGCTTGGGTGCTGTCGCTTGGCCTCTCGACATGGCCCGTGGTTTCAGGGTCGCTCACAGTCTCTTTTTGCGTGAATCCAGTGGGATAGATCCATGAGAACCAACCGCTGGGTTGCTCAGCTGCATGTCCTGCATGCAATGTGTTGGGCTCCGGACTAGCGCCAATAGCCGGCTCTTGTCCTTCGGCGGCTTTTTCTTGGTGCTTGGTGGGAGCAGAAGATGAATCTTTATCTGTTGCTGGTGTCTCTGCCACTGAATTATCCTCAAGCTTGTCTAGAGCCGTTGTAGATGCTGACCCATCCGAAGCGATGTTGACTCTGGTTGTAGTCACGTTTGCAGGGAGCGAACGGGTGGATGCGCCAGCCTTCTTAATTAATTGAATGGAAGGCGCTCTGTTTCTTTTCGGCGAGTTAAAGAGGGAGGTTGAGGATTCTGCGAGGCTGGAGGCAACGTTCTGGGCAACAGAGATGCTCTCACGGGCAACCTCGGTAACTGGGGCCGCTTTGGACACTCGTGAGGCAGTCGACCAAGATCCAGGGTACCAACTCTAGAGCAACAATAGCACATTGTTAGATAAGAGAGCAAAAAGACTTCATTTTCTTGGTAACGCAGACTCACCGCACGTCCTTGAGGCTGAGAGTCGGAGCGGTCTCGCCCAGTATTGTTTGGGGATGCGGGGGACGGTGAGTCCGCGCCAGAAGGACTGGGCTTCGCTCGTTTGCGCGATCCCTTGGGCGTCATGGAGGCGAAGGTAGTATCATCAGGTAATGTCAGAATGAACAGGACACGAGCTCTTTCAAGGTTTAATGTAGTATAACAGACGCCACGAACCAGGACATCTGATAATCACGTCACATGTTGGGCTGATGGATGCCTGGTTTTAATGCCTTTGTGCCTCAGGCTGCAAAAATGAAAAAAAAGCCACCATTCTCAGGCATCAAGTCCATCCAAAGGTTGTGTCAAAGGCGGTGAGAGATAAGTCGACTTTTTTTTTTCGTCTCCGCCGATGCTGGGAATCAAAGTATACAACCTCTGTCGGTTTTTTTTGCCTCTTTTAGTTTGCATTCAGGGCAGTTAGGTCTTCGGAAAGACCGCCCTTTGCTTCAAAATGGCCATCCAGAAAAAGGTTCGTTTTCCTTCGATCGCTCTTTGAACAGTGATATTAACTACGATTGAAGCACGGAAAAGGTCGTTTGGATAAATGGTATCGCCTGGCGAAGGAGAAGGGTTACCGATCTCGAGCTGCATTCAAGCTGGTACAGTTGAACAAGAAGTATGGATTCTTGGAGAAAAGTAAGGTCTTGATCGATCTTTGCGCTGCGCCTGGTGTAAGTACCCACTTTCGAGGATTCTTCAATAGCTTCATGTCTGACATCTGCAAAAGGGTTGGTGTCAAGTTGCCGCAGAATGTATGCCTGCCCAGAGTATTATTGTCGGTGTCGATCTCGCCCCAATCAAAACGATTCCTCGAGTCATCAGCTTCCAGAGCGATATTACCACCGACAAGTGCCGCGCTACAATTCGTCAACACCTCAAAACTTGGAAGGCAGACACCGTTCTTCACGACGGTGCCCCCAATGTCGGAACAGCTTGGGTGCAGGATGCTTTCTCCCAGGCTGAGCTGGTACTGGAGTCACTGAGACTCGCTACGGATTTCTTGATCGAAGGCGGAACCTTTGTCACCAAGGTCTTCCGATCCAAGGACTACAACCCTCTTCTGTGGGTGTTCAAGCAGCTGTTTGCATCAGTCGAGGCAACCAAGCCCCCGTCATCTCGTAACGTCTCTGCCGAAATTTTCGTTGTCTGCCGCGGATACAAGGCACCCAAGCGCATCGATCCGAAATTCCTCGACCCTAAGCATGTCTTCGCGGAACTTTCCGACCCGACCCCGAACAACGAGGCTAAGGTTTTCAATCCCGAGAAGAAGAAGCGTAGACGTGAAGGTTACGAGGAGGGCGACTACACTCAGTTCAAGGAGATCCCAGTGACCGATTTCATCAATACCACAGATCCCATCGCCATTCTGGGTTCTTACAACAAACTCAGCTTTACAGAGCCAATTGGTGGAGATATTGCCATGACGACTGTGAACCGGCTTGAGGAGACTACAGACGAAATTCGGAGATGTTGCGAGGATTTGAAGGTCCTCGGAAAGAAGGAGTTCCGCAACCTGCTCAAGTGGCGATTGAAGCTCCGCGAGAAGTTTGGATTGGTGGTCAAGAAAAAGCCGCAAGGAGATGAGGGTGAAGGCGAAGAAGTCGCAGAGGTCGCCCCTATGGATGAGGAACTGGCTATCCAGGAAGAGTTGCAACGGATGCGAACCAAAGAGTCTACGCGGGACAAGAAAGAGAGGCGCAAGGAGAACGAAAAGAAACGAAAGGAGATTGTCCGCCTTCAGATGCACATGACCACTCCTATGGAAATTGGTATGGAGCAACATGGACTTGGAGGTACAGGTCCGGACTCCACATTCACTCTTCGACGGGTGGATAAGGCGGGTGCCAGAGATGCTGTCATCAGCGCCCGTGATGTTCCCGTGGAAAGCGAGAGCGAAGAAGAGTCTTCGGAAGACGAAGAGAGTGACGACGACGGTGATATTCTGGAAAGAGATCTCGATTCGATGTACGACCAATACCAAGAGCGCATGCAAGACAAGGATTCGAAACTGCGCGCGAAGAAGGCACGCAAGGCTTACGAAACCGATGAATGGGACGGTTTCTCCGAGGACAACAAAAGCGATGCCTCCGACAACGAGGTGGAGGAGGAGGACGAGGAGGAATCCTATGCCGCTGCTCCCGAAGATGCAATCCCTCGTCCGGGCAATATCTCAAATAATGCCGCTCTATTCTTCGACCAAGATATCTTCCAGGGCGTAGAGGAGGAGGAGGAGGAAGAAGAAGAAGAAGAAGAAGAGGAGGAGGACGAGGATGAAGATATGGAGGATGTGGAGGACAGTGAGACCGAAGAGGAGACCCCTGCACCTAAGAAAAAGAACAAGAAAGAACCCAAGAAGCAAACTTCGGAGTGGGTTGATTCGGACGATGAGCCTGACCACTTTGATGAGCCTCGGAAAGCCAACGGCCAGTTGGGTATGTCTTTTCTCTGCCTCTTTTTGAATCTTGTGAAGTTCGCTACTAACACCAGAACTACAGATATCGACATTATTACCGCCGAAGCCATGGCTTTGGCTCACCAGATGGCCACCGGCGAGAGAAAATCCAATGACATTGCTGACGATGGTTTCAACCGCCTCTCATTCCGCGACGTGGACGGTCTCCCGGAATGGTTCCTTGACGACGAGGGCAAGCACAGCAAGATGCAACGGCCGGTCACCAAGGCTGCTGCGGCTGCTATCAAGGAGAAGTTGCGTGCTATCAACGCCCGCCCCATCAAGAAGGTGATGGAGGCAAAGGGTCGCAAGAAGTTCAAGGCTGCGCAGAAGCTGGAGAAGTTGCGCAAGAAGTCCGCTCTTCTAGCCGATGACGAGGCTCTTAGTGAGCGCGACAAGGCGCAGTCGATCTCCAAGCTCATGAGCAAAGCCACCAAGAAGAAGCCCAAGCAGCAGGTCAAGCTGGTTGTGGCTCGCGGTACCAACCGTGGTATTTCTGGTCGTCCGAAGGGTGTCAAGGGCCGGTACAAGATTGTGGATGCGCGTATGAAGAAGGATATTCGGGCGCAAAAGAGACTGGCGAAAAAGAAGGCCTAAAATTTTTGTTCATACTGCATATCATTAGACATGGATTAGTTATCCATAATACCCGAATTTCCGCATGTTATATAGTCTTGTAGTCTAGGTTCCTAATTTGGTTAAAGTCCTCGTGCATTCCAAGGGTTCGAGTAGTTCGAAGTGTAAACACGTGGGCTAAGCGTAGTAAACGCCAAGAACCAACACCCGCGGCGGTGGTTTCCCCGAGTGGCGCTTATGCTTATCGATTACTTTCTGCCCATTGCAACTTTCTCTCCCCAACTCTCTAAACTCCGTCGGGGAAGCTGGAGTGGAATTCACTATATATACTAACGCACTTCGTCATTCTTCATGTTTTACCAGTGCATACATTAGACATTTGTTGCATTTCTCTGTTCTGTTCATACAGCATTCTTAACTGCATCCCACCTGATGGGCTTTTTCGACCACCTCCAAAAAGGAGGGGGGGCCTTTACCCTACAGCCGCAGAAGACCCAAGTTCGCAAAGTCGTTCAGACACGACCAGCCACGAAAGCAAAATCTGCCACCCAAACACCCGTCAACGGTTCACCTCGCGTTCCATCCTCCTCGGAGCGGAGCCGCAAGGCGCCCGCGTTCAAAGCCCGGTCGGTCTCGAGTGACGCAGACACCCGCCCCTCTAAACGACTCAATACCCCCTCACGCGCTCGAAAAAGACCAACACCTGAGCAACGGCTTTCGAGTGACGACGATGTTAGTGATAGCGATACATCCTTCGAGGTGCGCAAGCGTGCGCGGACCAGTGCTAGTGCGGAACCAGATCCCGAAAGGCGGATTCGCTCTGTGAAGGCATTTTCGGAGGAAGGAGCGCGTCCATTCAAAATGTGCCATGCATCCGATATTACCTCAGGCCAGAAGGCTGGGAAATTCAAGCCGGCGTTTGGGGCTCAAGGCAAGCCTGCCGAGATTCGTTTACAATACCCGAGTGCTTCGCAGAAAGAGAGGTAAGCATTTTCTTTGTTCCTCTTGTGTTTCACCTTACAGAAAATAATGTTTTTTTTTTTTAGATTCGACTGCGTGGTGCCCCGCGACAACGACGAGTTCCGGCCTATTGACGATATTGTTCAGGTCATCGAGACCGTCTCCGATAACTATATACCCGAAGAAGAAGCGGCAGAGTTCAACGACGAAACCACTGGAATCAGACGGCGCTTGCGCAGAGCTCTTGCGGTGACATCGGAAGCCCAATTCCGCGAAGCAGTCGATGATTACAACAAGGCAATCGAACGCCTAAGGATCAACGGCAGTATTGCGAAGCATTTAAATGCAACTCAGCGCATTAGTTTGCCTTGGGTAGAGCGAATTTTGACTCAAACATATGCGCGCACGGTGTCTCCTCGAGTGGAGTCTCTCCGACAATATGAGAATGGCACTGATAATGTATACGGCGAGCTTCTCCCCCGCTTTATCAGTAACATTTTCAAGGAGACCAAGTTAAAGTCTGGTCAAGTCTTTGTCGACCTGGGATCAGGCGTCGGTAACGTTGTACTTCAAGCAGCGCTCGAGGTAGGCTGTGAGAGCTGGGGCTGTGAGATGATGAACAACGCCTGCGATCTGGCAGAGTTGCAGCAAGCCGAGTTTAAGGCTCGCTGTCGGCTTTGGGGTATTGCGCCAGGCAAGACTCATCTTGTCCGGGGTGATTTCTTGGAGCAGGAGAGTATTATAAATGTTCTGAAGCGTGCCGATGTGATACTCATCAACAACCAAGCTTTCACGCCGCAACTCAACAATGAGCTTATCAATCACTTCCTTGACATGAAGGAAGGTTGCAAGATTGTCTCGCTTAAATCATTTGTCCCTGCCGGCCACAAGATTCAGTCTCGAAACCTCAACTCTCCAATCAACCTTCTCAAAGTCCAGCAGAAGAACTATTGGTCTAACAGCGTGAGTTGGACCGACGTTGGCGGTACATATTTCATTGCCACCAAAGACAGCTCTCGGCTCAAGGCATTTGCGGATGGCACTTTATAAGAAAGAAAAAAACATCAGAACGAACAGCTGATTTACGATTTTCCTATCCCCAAGAGACTGACAGGCATTGATTGTTTAAATTTGTATAAATTGTGATTGGTATAGGTCCTGTATATTACCTTTTGTGTTTCTTGGACATGTCTCCTTCTATGTGTATGATACCATTTTGACTTGTATATAAAGGCGGTCTGGTCCAGTTCATCTTGTGTAACAAGCGGTATCTTCCTGTTTAGATGGTCAATAGACAATCTATGTGCCGCTAATAGCCTCTCAAAAAACATCTGGGCTGGCCACATGCACTGAGAATATTCTATGAAAATTTAGAGGCATCATTCATGGCATCTGCCTCTAGACCCATTCTCGCCATCCAGCGATCAACCAGCTCTTTATTCTCATGCTGAAGCTTGTTTGACTTTTGGTCAGCCATGTTCAGTTGAAGATTCAATGTCGCCATCTCGTCTTGGAAGTCCTGATATTGTGTGAGCCAGAGAGTCAAGCTGCTTGAGATGATCATCCACAAATTATGCCTTACCTCGAGTAGTTTTGCCTTGCCCCGTAGCTCCTCGTCTCTATCTTTGAGGCGTGAGTTCAAATGCTGCCTTTCGCTTTCTAATGCGTTAATTCGGCGAGCATCCTGGGTGGTTTTCTTGCGAAGCTTTTCCACTTCAGTGGTCACACGATTCAATTTCTCCTGTAATTCCGATCGAGATCGTTGTGCATCTGACAACTCTGCGCGAGTAGTATTCAAAAGCTCAGTTGGTGAGGCATCAGCCGTTTGGTTTTTGGCCGCCGTGCCCGAAATAGTGCGCTGGGGAGCTCTCGGGACCGATGACTTTTGGTCCACTGCAGGACTGGCAGCTGTTTTTATGGGGGTGGTAAGCGTAGCCGTGCGATCGGCGAGATGAGTATCTAATACCGAAAACGGCATGTTAGTATAGATGCCCAGAATAAGGACCTTGGCAAGAGGCACGAACAGGCATCGTAGAGTGCAACGTTGGCCTTCTCTCTTTGGTCTCGAACGGCCAACGCAGCCAAATACTCGTCTCTCCAGTAGGACATTCGCCGTGGGGGAGCGATCGACGGGGGAGGAATGCGCTTTGGCGATGATGTCGGGGTTGCTATCTGTTATCAGGATTGCTACTGCCCCCCTCGACCGCCCGGCCTCGTGTATCAGCGGATCCCGCTGCAACCCAACTCCAACACTCCAACTACGTTCGTCTACTTTTTTCACCTCCCAAACATTTCGGGGTAGTTGGTCTTGACTATCCTTTCCAAAGTTACATTCGATACCATTCTAGTGGTATCTGACTCACTTTCCTTCCCGTGAGGCCCAAAGAAATATCGCAGCCATGGCGTCACGAAAGAAGGTCCTCCTCAAGGTATGATCTCCGCACCAGCTCCGTGCCGCCCAGCATGGCTATTTTTGACCACCCCCATATTGACGAGTGAGTTTGTTACTTTAGGTGATCATCCTTGGTGATAGTGGTGTCGGAAAAACCAGTTTGATGAACCAATATGTGCGTCTTTCTCGCGTCCTCAAGCTAGCCTTCTAGCGTCTCAGCCACGCCCGACCTCCCCGCTTTGAATTAGCTGACATATTTATTTCCGTCAATCAATAGGTCAACAAAAAGTTCAGTGGAAGCTACAAGGCCACAATCGGAGCCGACTTTCTCACCAAGGAAGTGCTAGTCGATGACCGACTGGTGACGATGCAGGTAAGACTAGCATAAACAATTCTACCAGTAACACCACCCAAGTCAGACAACTGACTTCCTCTGTCTAGATCTGGGATACTGCCGGTCAGGAACGATTCCAGTCCTTAGGTGTCGCCTTCTACCGTGGAGCCGATTGCTGCGTTTTAGTCTATGACGTGAATAACTCTAAGAGCTTTGAAGCTCTTGACAGCTGGCGAGATGAGTTCTTGATCCAGGCCAGTCCACGGGACCCCGAGAGCTTCCCTTTCGTGAGTTTTTTGTTCTTCCGATGCGGGGTTGGCGGGCCATTCGCCTTTTCCACGTGGTCATGGCATGTTAGACCCAATACTGACATTCCATTCAGGTCGTTATCGGTAACAAGATCGATGTAGAGGAGAACAAGCGGATGATCTCTTCCAAACGAGCCATGACTTTCTGTCAATCAAAGGGAAACATTCCTTACTTTGAGACCAGTGCCAAGGAGGCGTTGAACGTCGAGCAGGCCTTCGAAGGTGAGGCTTCACGCTTCATTGTACAAAACGATATATCGCTAACCACCCATGTTCTCAGTCATTGCCCGAAGCGCTCTCGCACAGGAAGAGGCCGAAGAGTTCAGTGGTGAATTCAGCGACCCTATCAACATCCATCTGGACAATGAGCGTGACGGCTGTGCTTGTTGATACCCTGGCCTGATAATTCAACCTGATACTCATGACGTTTAAGCGGTTTTTCTTCTTATTTCTCTTATTCTTTCCCCTTGGAGTTAACATGATCGTTGTTGGTGGTTTCCATCTACCGTTGAGGTTTTCGCCTGCAGAGAATGTCAACGGGTTGCTTTCTGGATCTGTCTCCGTGTAGATGTTCTCGTTCTTTTTTCTCTCTCGGAATGCGTTGATTATTAGTGGGTTGCCTTGGGTTAAAGGTTCTAATTGTGGCCTGCTGATAGTAATCAGCGTTCTTTTCGTGTTCCAGTCAATATATTGATCTCAAATCCATTCCATGTTGTCCATAGCCAACTTTACAAACAGACCAGGAAAAAATCAAAAAAAATACTTTCTGCAACAAAATAGAGACAGATAGAAATGGAAAGTCTGGCAATTGTGAGTTGGAGGTAATTTTACATGCGGAGTAAGAGAGAAGTGATCATCCGGACCCTTAGTGCTGATAGGACTGCGCTGCTTATCGCCGATCTTCATCCGGACACTGATTGGCATCTCCGCCCTCACGCGCACATTCGCTCCGCTAAGAGGATCAGTGGTCTTTCCCTCCGGAGGAAATCTGCATCAAGGAACCCTGCTCTCAGATCCTTAGGTACCACGGACCCTCAAGAGCAGTATTTACCGCTCCACCTAGCGCCCGAGGCTGAATCAATATCAACCCTGCGACTGCCGAACTCAGCACGCCATCGTCCCGGACCCCAGATTTTACAAACATGTCTACCAACCTAGATGCGCAGCCCACGAGAATGGGGATGGCGAGGCGGACTCTCGGTATATGTCTTCTGCTGCTCGTGGTAGTACTCTGGACAACCTCGAATTTCCTAGGAAGTGTACGTCCCTAATGCTTCCCGCATCGCCTCCCCCCCAAATCTCCAACCCAACCCTGGTACGGTGGGCATTTGCTGACTTTGAATACGCTGTGTAGACTATCTTTGCCGATAAGACATATCCGAAGCCTTTCTTCGTAACATACCTCAACACCTCGCTTTTTACAATTCCTCTATTCGGCGTTCTGCTCAGTCGGACAATTGGCCTATGGCGCGCCGACAAGCTTGGGCAGATTGACTCGTTCTGGAGTTGGCTACATCATATGGACTCGGCTGAGTCGGTTTCCGCCGATGAAACACGGGTCTTGCGCCGTGTCTCGATTGACGATGAGGCTCGCGGTAGTGGTGACTATGACGGTGCGCGGTATTTGCCCAAAGACGCGAACGAAGATGAGATGTTGGGATTGAAGGCGACTGCGAAGTTAAGCTTCCAGTTCTGTCTGCTTTGGGTATGATCGCTGCTAATACTAATCATGGGTTGTGAAACGTCGCTAACTTGTTACAGTTCACGGCGAACTATTTCGCAATGGCTTGTCTTCAATATACGACTGTTTCAAGTACCACTATCCTGACTTCGACTAGCGGTGAGAACTCTTTCCCTGCATTTGAAACGAGTGTCTTTATGTTTGGATTGGGACTAATGTCATACATCAGGTGTCTGGACACTGATCTTCGGAGCGTGTCTGCGCGTTGAGAAGTTTACGGCCCGAAAAGCCCTTGGTGTTCTCGCCTCTCTCATCGGAATCATCTTGATCTCGCGTGTTGATCTCTCAAAGCCAGATGCACCAGCTGCTCCCACTGCTGATGGGGGATCGGGTACATTCCCTCACAAGACCGCCGCCGAAATTGCCCTCGGTGACGCCATGGCAGCCTTCAGCTCAATTTTGTACGGTGTGTACACTATTGTAATGAAGAAGCAGGTGGGCGATGAATCGCGCGTGAACATGCCACTTTTCTTTGGTCTTGTTGGCTTCTTCAACGTTATTTTCATGTGGCCTGGTTTCTTCATCCTGCACTGGACAGGCGTTGAGTTGTTTTCGTTTCCGGAAACGAAGCGTGTGTGGACTATCGTTCTGGTATGGCTATATAGTAAACCTTCTTCGATTCTTGCTTTCATGACTAACCATGGGTCTTTAGGTCAACTCGGTCGCTTCTTTGATCTCAGATGTTGCTTGGGCGTATGCCATGCTTCTTACCACGCCCCTTGTGGTTACCGTTGGTCTTAGCTTGACTATCCCCTTATCATTGGTTGGGCAGATTGTGCTGCAGGGACAGTATGCAAGTGCAATCTACTGGGTTGGTGCTGCAATCGTGTTTCTATCATTCGTGGTGGTCAATCATGAAAGCAAGACCTTGGACGATGAGTCTCCTGCAGATGGAGGTAGATCATCATCTGGGGAGTATGAGAGTATTCCTAACGAAGATTTACAATGATCATGTCAGTACTAGACTCGTGTGATTGTCGGTATCATTGGTCTCATTATGGGCGTTTCTTGATTATCATGACCTTTTACTTTTTCGGGGCCATTACATGCATTTATACTGTTTCAGATGCCCAGGTGGTGTCAATATAGACAGTGCATTCTTTCAGTCTAATGATCTCATTTGCTTCCTGGACCTATTCCGTACTTTTAAGGATTTTCTAATTCTTTGAGAATTACTACATTCTAATAGAATTGCGTAGCAGACACAGCCAAACTACTAGTCGGACACTTTACTATAGGGATTACAAGGAGGCTTGAAGCAATCAACCACTTGGAAATGGACAGATTCTTGACTGGTGTCAAATATCGATTAAGAACATTGGAACGTGAGAGACCAATATGTGCAGCATATCAATACAAGAAGGAAAAGTATCCACACAAGATAAATGTCAAGTAATGAGCGCCAAGGTAGATCTCCTCGCCGATGAACAGTGAATTAAATGACACAACGCCTTCCGTTTCTCCAAAGACGCTGGTAACAACAAACCCTGGGTATATACTGAATGAAATGATAACAAAGAGGGTAGAAGGAAAGGAAAGAGACGACTGGAGAGTAGACGAATAGGAGAGTAAGTGGTAAATGACCAGTAGTTTGAAAAATCCATGAAAATGGCGTAGATCAAGATGGACCAAACGAGGGGAGCCATGGGTGAATAGGAGAGGTTGAAAATGAGAGAAAAGCAAGAGAGGATCAACATACGTGACGAAATCAAGTCGCGGCGGCAGTTGTTTCAAGCTTCTTGCGAGCAACAATAATACTCTTCAGCGAGCCAAGCCAACGCGCCAAGGATTCTTCATCTGAAGCACAAAGACGATAACTCTTTTCTTCCGCGATGATTTGCAGACAAAACTTCTTCGACCGGGACAAGGGGTCGATCTCGGCCACATCGATGATCTGTGACATGGAGATAATTTTAACAGGTGAGTACTCCTGCTCATCCTTGTAGAAGGCGAGGTTCTTGGACCGTAGCACAACCCAGAGTCGTTTCCACTGGCGCACGGCGCCCTTGATGCGCAGTCCCTGCAGATACCCCTGGCAAATGACTCGTTCGGGATCGCGCAGGATGCCTAGATCTGCTTGTCGGCCTGCATCTCGCGGCAGGGATGTTGACAAAAGTCTGTCATCCGGCGCGGAGATGGAGAGGGTATGGATGGAAGGCATTGAGCGCAACCGACTGTTTCGTGGAGGCGGGCCATCGGAAAGCTCGGAGTAGGAAGTGACATCGTTGCCGGAGTAGTCCTGGGTGTAAGGGGGTTTGCGGGAGGAACGGGCGCGAGGAGACAGGGTGCGACCCTCGGGGGAACTGGGGCGACCGGCGGCATCGAAGTCAGAGTGATCGGTTGTATCCTCGATGAGTTGTTTCTGGATGGCGGGGGTGCCGTCTTTCTTGGATAGTGCCGCTACAGCAGCTTCGTCCGCGTCCGCGGGAGTCTCTATGCGAATGCGAGCAATCCAGTCATCTGCGTCGCGTTCGGAGAGCGCCTCGAACCGGTAGTTCTTGGAGGGCGTGAACACACCGAAGACATATTGGCGATGTGAGCGCGGCGACTTGACCGAGGCGACGGCGGTTACGTCGGATAGATTGATCGAGACGCGGAGACGGGTGGTTTCTTCATCCTTGTAGACGGACAGTAGATTTGGGCGGAGAACGAGGTAGGCAGGTTTCCAGGAGGCGCGGAAGACATGTTTATGCTTCACCCGTCGAGAAACGCGGCCGCTCTTGAGCACGCGGTCGAATTCGAAGCTTCCGTTCTCGTTGACGGGGGAGAAGGTATCCAGATTCATATGGCCGTTACGCGACGGGGGTGGGCGGAGATGATCAGGAACCCGGATGGCGGGGGATTTGTTGCTGAGCCCTTCGGAGAGCGAGGGACGAGCCAGCACAGAATTCATGGTGGTGATGGAGCATTAGGGTCGCGCATTAATGAATTATAGGGGGAAGGGATTATCGACGTGGAAGTAGGAAAAGTCTAGATCTATGAGGAAAAGGGGGGCAAACCCCGCGGTGTGTACCATGCAAATTGCTGATCGTTTCCTATCAATTAAAAGTCAAACTGAGTCGGTGTTTGGAGTTGCAGATTGTTTAATAATAATAAAATCGGGATTGCCCAGGTGATAGAAGTTGCATGGTGGATGACCTTTATACTTGGCAACGGATGATGCCTACGCGTGGTAAGCCTGATGTATACGTAAGTACCAGATTGCCGTATTGTGAACGATATACTTTGAGGTTCCCAAGGTTATATGGCTCTATTTTTGATGCCTATTTCTAAGCATTTGATCCCATGTAATTTAATGAAAAAGAAAAAATAATAACATGAAATCCAAGTCGAGTAAACATGCACACGAACACTACGCAAGGGTCCAGACCCCCTTCAGGCCACATCGCCCGTAACGAAGAAAAAGTGGATCGGACCCTGTACTCCCTCCTGCAAGGTACGGTACAACTCTGGTTTGTTTATTATCTTTAGTAGATCTATTATGATCTATCTATCCTCGACATGTAGTACTCATCTACATTTTATACATAGGAATCCCTGCTCGTTATAGGCGGGAGGTACGGGAGGCTCTTCCGTTCTGATGATTTGCGGGTACAACGGCACAGTCTCCGACTCTGGACCCTCGATCGTCATGCGCTAAATCCTGCCATAATCTCCAGGGCTGTCAGAGCACAGGAATATCTTGATCATAAGTTGGCTCGGAAATCAAACCGGTACGCCATTGTTCATGGATTGCATATATAGGCGTCACGGAGGCAAATCCAATATCCAGATGTATGGGAAAATTGCTGCCTGTGATTACTTGTCAAGCATTTTGGGTGGAGATGATCATCCATATCCCAACTTAGGTACATTAATTCTAACTGATTTTTCTCTCTCCCTTTAGCGAAATATAGAATCCACAACCAGTATGTCAAAATCAAAAGCTTCTAAGGCCCTCGTGTACCACAACTAAGGGGCCGCAGCCAATGACCACGGGCCGAAATAAAATTAAGCAAAAAATTAAGAAATTGTTGAACGGCCCTAAGAAGCCCTACACATCCGGAGCGTAATAATTGTAGTTATAATGGAATTGGATATATGGAGATTATTCGTTAGATGATCTTATTCTATACAGATACAGTTGCATTAGAATCTGAAGGTCAAAAATCGAGAATCCCAAAAAATTAGCTACCTTTTTCGCCCCAAAACGACCGTAGCGGATAGATTACGGTAAATGACATACCGCTCGATGATCAATTTCCGGGCAATCACTCCGTACCTGTCGGATAAAAAACGGTCTCGGGTGTGAAACGCGTGCCAAGTACTAAAGAGGCCACAACGCTTGCGCCTCCCTGGACTAGGCTTGGCGAGACTTCTCAACTTCATCCCCATTCCCCCCTCAAATCTTTCCTCCTTTTCTTCACTTGACCAACCATCGTCCATCTCATGTCCACCACTCATCGTCATTCCTATTGTTGAGGTCATCTGCGTTAACCGCTCCTGACCCCTCTCAACCCTCGGCTGGGACTGAGAAGGACTTCTGGGGGGACAGGAAAGGAGGCATTCCTCCGGCCACTCGTTTTTGTCTGAGATCTGGTCGTTGCTCATCTGAGTATCGGGCCCCGGATTCTCTTGATTACTCCCCATCGATTCACTCGGAACAACCTCCCCCCCCGTCTCTGATCGCTACTGGGGTCCTACAATCTTCTAGCCCTGTGCTATTTGCCCGGGATCCGATTATCCACCGTGGGGTTTCGACGCGTGCCCCATAATCGCACCCATGAGCTTCATTCAACGCATCACAAAGCGGCTGCCCAGCGCGCCGAGCCTTCCCATAGACGATGAGCCCCGGGAGAAGGGCCGCAGTTCCGCCCCCTTAGCCTTCTTCCGTCGGCGCATTCGTTTGAAGGGCAACTCGTCCATTTCGATACCCCTGGGATTTGTTTTACTATTTCCATGTCTTGTAATTGTCTTCATTCTACTTCTTTTCGTCCGACATCCCTCGTCACCCGGGGGGATTCTAATTCCAGCGGGCACTCCGCCTTCCATTCGGTACGTCTTGCTCTCCCCCGACTCTACTCCGGCCTCAATAAACAATGATTCGTGACCAGTAACTGACCGTGTACTCGTGAGGAACAGGAAAATCAGCGAAAAATATGACAAGGTTTTCGCCACGGGTTGTTTGCCCATCGATCCCGAAGGGCCGAAAGGCCCCAAGGCCAACGCCGCCTTCGTCGTCCTCGCAAGAAACAAGGAACTTGAAGGTGTGATCCAGTCGCTCAAGTCCATTGAGCGGCACTTCAACCGTTGGTGGCACTACCCCTATGTCTTCCTTAACGACGGAGACTTTGATGAGGAGTTCATAGCAACGGTGAAGAACTACACCAGCGCGCCAGTGGAGTTTGGCAAGATTGACGATAGCATGTGGGGTTTCCCTGACTGGGTCGACCACGAGGTTGCGAAGGAGGGTGTCCGCAAGCAAGGTGACGCCGCTATCATGTACGGTGGTATGGAGAGTTATCACCACATGTGCCGGTTCTACTCAGGGTGAGCGATCTTTACGAACGAAGACCATGACACACAATACTGATGCAGTCATATAGACACTTCTACAAGCACCCTCTCCTGATGAAATACGAATGGTACTGGCGTTTGGAGCCCGAGATCAAGTACTTCTGTGACATCACTTAGTAAGCACCCCCCCTAACAACGTCTTTCTTTCCTCCAGAGTGCTTACATGCTATATAGCGATCCATTCCTCAAGATGATTGAGGCGAACAAAACATACGGTTTCACCATTGCAGTCAAGGAACTCCGCGAGACCGTTCCGAACATCTTCCGCTACGCATCGGCTTACAAGCGCAAGAATAACATCAAGTCCAAGGGTCTATGGGAAATGTTCTTGGAACGGCCAGCCGAGGAGGAAGTCCCCCCAGAGGAAGAGCAGAAGCAGGACAAACTCCCCGATGAGATCTTGCAGACCGAACCAGGCGACAAGAGTCTTGATGACATCGACCCTGAGGCCATGGAAGGCGAGAACTACAACATGTGTCATTTCTGGAGTAACTTCGAGATTGCGCGCTTGGATTGGTTCCGAAGCAAGGAATACGAAGACTTCTTCAATCTGATGGATCGGAGTGGCGGATTCTGGATGGAGCGGTGGGGTGATGCCCCTATTCACTCACTGGCTGCGGGTGCTCTGCTATCCCCGGCCGACATTCATTACTTCCGTGACTTCGGTTACCGGCACACCACCATCCAGCATTGCCCGGCCAATGCCCCCGCAAGGCAGCTTGCCCGTGAGCCCTACCTCGAAATGACCACCGAGGATGAGAAGAAGCGGATTGAAGAAGACGAGTACTGGGCCACCCCTGACCCGGTTAAGGAGAACGGTGTCGGTTGCCGGTGTCGCTGCGACACTGACATTGTCGACGTTGAAGGCAAGCAAGGCAGTTGTCTTGCGGAGTGGGTCGAGGTGGCTGGTGGTTGGGCATCGCCATAAATGAAGTAATTACCGCTTGCCTTGACTCTTCCGCATCGTTTCTCATTGCCTGCTTGTCCATGCGTTTTCCTTCAGCTGCGAGCATTACCTGGGTCTACCCTTGGGAGTTAACTCTGCTGAAACCTGCATGTTGTGTTGGTTGGATTCTTTTTGGGTGGCGTTCAACGGATCTCACGGCTTTTTTTATTACTCGGAAGATGGCGTGATCATATCCATCATCCATGTTGTCGTATTCATCTAGCGTGCTGTCCACGTCGCTGGGATTGGCTGTGTTCTATTTATGTTTCGTTTTTGGTTGTTCGACGAAAGGGGGTCCATCGTCTGGTCGGCAGGGTGCCAACGTTCCATCTCTGATGGTATATTTACATCTTGTTCCTGACGTTCATCTGATCTCGTTTGCCTCCGATCACCGGATGGCGATTGGTCAGCTCGAGAGAGTCCTGTGCATCACATGGGCATACAGCACAGTCTCGGTGACGAGATCATCCCTAGTACAATATGGGTGGGATACTGGGGAGAATGATGGCATCAAGCCTCTGTTTTTTGTTGTCTTTTTCCCCTTTTACAATTTTTTATTTCCCTTTTTCTTGCGACTTGTCACTACTACAATTGTTTCTTCCCCTTCTCCCCAGTTTCCTCAAGACTTACACTCTCTTGTGGTTATTCCCCCAGCATGCATTCATGAAATGTACATACCTTGTTTTTCCCTCCTCCCAATCATCCTTGGTCCGGTGGTTTACACCCACCGACCCTTCTCCATCACATTGCTTTTAAACCTCGCAAATACCAGATCGAGCATGGCTGTTTATAGAGTATGGAATAATCACCCGGTGAATTACGCGAGAATGAGATCAGTATAATGCACACTATCCAAGTTTGATCATTTCCTGTGTAGAGGTAGATGCAGATCGGAACTCAGTTAGCTATTCAGGCTTAGGCTAGCTAGTAAAGGAAGCAGCATCATGTCAGGTTACATGAGCTAAGCATCAATTAGGCTGAACTGAAGTCATGCAAGCGTTTTCAGGTTACAATCATGTTTAGATCGATAGTTGTCAGGCTGATATGACCTATCCACGCTGTACCGTGAATTGCTCTACGGACCTCGGCGATACCACCGACTCACAATGCCATTCCAATGCGGGACAGCGGTTAAACCATGATCCCGTTTAGATTACGACAGTCGCTATCAAGTAGCGTCGGATAGGAAGGTGACATTAATGAGGGGAAAAGGTGAGGGGGTTCTCCATAGTGAGGGGATCTGCATTGATAGACCAGATAAACAAACCGCACCCCTTTCTCCGAAAGCTTCTTTCTTCTCACTTCACACCCAATGATGTTTTGGTTGTTTTCTATACTCGGTGTGGCTGCTGCCTTTAATAACCCACCAGGGGTAGATATCTGGTGTGGTAAGGCATATTATCCTACGTAAGGAGCTTGTTCATTGAGATGGCGCGTATGTTTGCTTGGTCTAACATTGTGCTTCCTATAGCAATGCCTCGTTTGAACCGGGGGGTTGGCTGGATAGTCCCGCTCTATCTACTGTGCCATTGCTTGATCTAAAGGTTCGGCCGCGCATGAGTTTGTATACAGCGTCCGATGAAAAGGGGTCTTTCATCATTGATGCAGGGATCTCATACATCAATGGAGAACCCTTGGGCAGTGACACCGTTACTGGAGAACTTGGACCTCAATCCTTAGAGATCTCGATTTCTATCGAGGGAAGCCAATTGACCGTGCACCACACAGTGCCTCTCAATTCATCCTCGACAGAAGTGGAATTTCCCCTACTACATCTCCCCCCCTCGCTTCGAGTCGTACAATGTAACACTCAAAGCAACTCACCCAAATAGCCATCATGCATACACCGCGACAACTTCACTATACCATCTACCCACCCGAACAGATGGTGGCAGTGTCACAAAAGTGGACAGTCTCTACGGCGGACTCTCTGTCCAAAATCAAACCAACCCGTCAGTCTGGACGCCGCTGCTTCCATACTCTTACTACGTCAGCTGGGACGGCTGGCTCGAGAAATCCTTAGACAATGTCCAGAAATTCAAAGACGATGGCTACAACATCATCCACATCGTCCCGAACGCAGGCCTGGCTAATGAAGCATTCAACTTCACCGAGCTGAGCCTCTTCCTAGACAAAATGGACGAAGTCGGTCTATGGCTTATGTACGACATGCGCTGGACATACAAGAATCTTACCTCCGTCCGCGAGCAGGTAGATATCCTTAAAGACCATAAGAGCATGTTACTGTGGTACACAGGCGATGAGCCAGATGGACAAGGTGATCCACTGAATGCCACACGGATCACATACGACCTTCTCAAGTCGATAGATCCCTACCATCCCGTCTCCCTGTGCCTGAACTGCTACAACTTTTATTTCGAGGAGTATTCCTCCGGAGCAGATATCATTCTTTCGGATGTGTATCCCATAGCCGTGAACACGAGCTGGTCGACTGTTTACGAGACGCCATGTAATACTACCTACGGGTGCTGTGGATGTGATGATTGCGAAGGTAGTGTGGAAGACATATCGGTTCGGCTGGATAAGTTTGCAGAGTATCAGACCTGGCTTGGAGCAAGTCCTAAGCCCTTCTGGGGTGTTCCGATGGCTTTCGGAAATGAGACTTTTTGGACTCGGTATCCGACTGCAGCGGAGGAGGTTACTATGACGATGCTTAGTTTGAATCATAATGCGAAGGGCATTGTGATGTGGGACTGGCCGACTACTACCGAGTTGGCTAATGTGACGAGTGCGCTTAGTCGGGTTCTTGCTGGGGATGAAGTTACTGGGTTCTTGTTGGGTTCGCCTACGGTTTCGTTGCAGGCTAAGGGGCATTCGAAGATGGATGTTGCGGGGTGGACGCTTGGGGATCGTATGTTGGTTAGTATTTTGTCGTTGCAGACTCCTTCTTGGTCGTCGTCCGTGACTGTGGAGCTACCGGAGAGGGCTCAATCGGTTACTCAGGTTCTCTGGGGCTCTGGGGAGTGGAAGCTAGTCGATGGGCATCTGGTTAAGAAGGGTGGAAACGGTTTAGAGACTGACCTGGTAGTTGTTGAGCTTGCCTCTAGATAGACCGACGGATCTTGGATAGGCTGTTTGCCTAGGTACGCAAAGCTGTATATACTTTCTATAGAATAGTTGACCATTCTAGAAGAATGTCTGATATGTCGAAATTCCCACTATCATGGGTTTGGACGCACGCTCTACCATATAACAACTGTCTTCTAAATGCCGGCGCCTAGGCATGTTAATAGAAAGAGATCGCGTCGAAATCTTCATCGGCAAAAATAGGATATGGCCTTACATGTTATCATCTCTATCGGGGTTAGAACAGGTGTGTTTTATATCCGGTCCAAGGAAATATTGTTGGGGACAGGTGAAGAGTGTGGAAATGGAGGCCAAATAGACTTTTGCAGGCGGAGTAAAGAAGAAAAAAGGATACAGTCTGGTAAGTCCCCGGGATAGGGTTTGATCGTTTAAGTAGTCCTCCGCGCGTAAGTAGGTAGGTATAGTTACTTAGCTACTGCATGGGTATGAAAACACTATACCAAGACCCAGAAAGAGGAGTCTTAAAAGTCTGATAGTTGCGCCAGCTTCACCTACAATGTACGTCAAGCTATAGAATACAAAAGACAGGCGTATAGATGTCAATGTCTCGACTCCACCTTAGGCAGCAGGTGGGGCCTAAAGTGGAGTTTCCCGCGTTTCTTACTTCCTTATCATTATGATCATGAATGTGATCGGGATCTTATAGAATGTTAGATTTCTATTCAAAAGATCAGAAATAACAAAAAAAAAAAAACAAATAAGATTTAAGAAATAGGAAAACTAACCATATCTCCCTGTACGTCTATGTAGAGTGGAAGTCTAAAACCAGTTGCGTCACTAACTTTCAACCCCGCCAGGTCATGCTTATCAATTTATCCCCAAAGAGCTTCTTGTTCCCCCTCTTTCTCTTCTTTCTCTATCTTCTCTCTTAACTGACTGAAACCTATTCATCAAATCCCCCTTAGACGACTTCTGAACTCCCTATTCTTTCATTTCGGGATTATTGTTCCCCCGCCCTTGCCCTGGGTGATAAACCAGCTGACGGGCAACTCCCCGCGGACCCACCGGGGCACATGCCTCCACGTCTCCATCGCTCTTGTATGTCTTCCCTTTTCTTTTGTTCTTACCTTGCTCATTTGATTTCATTTTGGCACAGAATCCAACTTACTCCTATGACCCTCAAATCATGTCTAACGCTCCAGAGTCGCCCAGGCGTCCTACGAGCGCCCACGCTTCTCATCTTCAGTACCCGACCCTCCCGCCGCTGACAGCCTCTGTCGAAGAGTGGTTATCTCGTTCACGACCCGCCAACAGCATGACTTCAGACCGTCCTCTTGAGCCCCTTCCAAAGTCCCTGAGCGATAGCTGGGCAACTCTCAGCGTATCAGATCTACATTCGGAGGACGGTAGTCACTCCGAACAGACCGACGTGGGGTCGTTGATCGACCAGTCCACACCGGATGATGTGGCTAGCCTGGACGAACGCTACAGCAGTAGTGAGGCAGGTGGTCCTGATGAGGACGATCTACAGGAACATGAAGACCACGAAGTTTACGAAGATGAAAGCCTCAAGGCGGATCGGTTCTCAGGCCTATTCCACCCCGATGCGGCCATTGATGATAGCAATTTAACTACCATACCCGTTCACCGACAGTCCATCGACTCGATCGAGTTCGTCGAGCCTGATAAATGGCCAGAGATGGAGCGGGTGGAATTAAAGCATACAGTCCGTATCTTTGAGGAACCGGCAGCGTCTGAGATCAAGGCTCAACTACCAGAGTGCTCACCCCAATCAATTCTCATGGCGACGGTCCAGCAGACCATGACAAAGCAAAGTCTGGATCTGGATAAGCCCTTCCGCGTCTTGTATGTCGGACAGCCGGACTGTCGCAACATCATTCTGGACAAGATCGGCGATGTCTTAGTATCGAGCTCGTCCGCAGGGTCGCAATCTAGCTCTGCTGAATCTTCACGGTACCACGTTGTGCCAACATCTTTTGGAGCTGGAGCTGTTCCGAACTTTGCAGAACTCCTTCCTATTCATGTCCAGCTCGTGGTTGACGAGTGTGTGGCAGCTACCAAGGGCAACCACTCGGGTGGATCCTGCACGGTATGCCTTACCTTCAAGAATCGGCCTTCATGCCAGTCTTGGTGGGGCGGAGATGACTATCACGTCTCTTCCTCGTCGGAGTGGACTTTGCCAGATGTGGCTATCCTGTTCGTGTCTAGTCGTGACAATGATGTCGCCGTGCAAACTAGGCATGCTGCCCATACATTCTTGGAACGACACGGGGTCCCCGCCATGGTCATCTCAGATGAACCGCTTTGGGAAAAGGCTGGCGAAGTCATCCCTCTGAACGAGAGCAGCCTTCACGTGTGTCTGGAGTCTCGAGATGCGCAGACTGGAGAAACAGCAGTGTTGAGGCGCTACCCCATCGATCTCAAGACTTTCGAGAGTATCACGCCTGGTCAGCTCAATAGGAACCTAGCTTCGCTCATGGACTTTTACCCCAAGAAAACACTGAAGGTCTCTGCCGACACACCGATACCATCCGAATCCTACTCCTGGACTGACCCCGAAAAACATCCTCGCAATTGGATCCCATCCTTTGATGCTGCTCGAGCTCCTCCAATGGGTGCAATGCTGCGACTCGCCACACTGACGCTCGTTTCGGCCATTGTGCTGTCTCTTGGATATGCAGCGGCCAAGACCATCGTCGTCTTCATTATGCAATGGGCTGTTGGCTCAGCACTATCCGGCGGACATACCTCAGCACTGACCCCGATGGGTTCAACAACTCCACTAGCCTTGGAACATATGGGGCACACTTCCCTTTCACTGTGGTCGGGTGATTCGGGGGCCATGGATGCCACTTCTCCCGGTTGCTCCCATATAGGCCAGGCAACACCACACACTGTCTCAGGCATAGGATTCTCTGAACGAAACGATGGATTCGAAATACAAGTAGTTGGAGACTGCCATGTGGCCATCAAGCCTCCGCGTAACATCGCATCCCACAAAAAACAGCCTCGGTTCCATGTTACGGTTTGCCGGGACGGGAAAGCCCTAGCGTACGAACTAGCTGCACTGTTTGATGGTGTCTATACGCTGCGGCTGGACCGAGAAGATGCATACGGTTTGGTCAATGTGACAATCATCGCCAAGTCGAAGTCACAAGTCAACCAAACTATTATCGTTGACTTTGGGACTCCATGGCTGAAGATTGCGAATTGGAGAAGAGCAGCTCGTGCGGTCTCTTCACAGTTCTCAAAAGACTTGCAGATTGCTCAAACTGGGTTGTCTGAAGTGTACGGCCGACTGTCAACAGATTTACAAGTGATCATGGGGGACGTGGTCAAGAGATCTCATTTCCTGCGCCACGATGCTGAGCGCGTTGGCCATGACAGCCTACGCGCTGGAGATGGCATGCTGTCCAGATCAAAGCAACTCTCTGAGGTTATCACCCGCAACGCTGTCCAGAAGTTCCGAAGCGTTTCTTCTGTTTTACATAGTCGCTCTGTCCGTGTCAACGAGGGAGCCAGAGGGGTCCTCAGCGATACCTGGGGCCGTCTGGGAAAGTCAGCGTCCCAAGTGGACCTTCGTTCCATGGTGGATCGAGTGCGCAATGCGAAATCTGACACGCTGGATCGGGCTCAGACTCGTGCACGTCTTTTCATGGGACGCGGCGGAAAGGAACCTGCTAAATCCAAGAGTAAAGGGGGTAAGCGCTAAGCCTAATCTGCTTTGCATCATGTTCTACCACACACTCTCTTGCTCATTCACGATCTGGCTAATTATGGGTGTTTTGTTGTTTACGGCGATTTGAGGCGGGGGGACGGATTTTGGAATAGTTCAACGCGGGGATGCGGCGCAACACAATTGCTTTAGTTCTTTTTCTTGTTATTCCCCAGTCTGCAATAGCACTTCAAATACCTCTCTTTCTATTCAACTAGGGCTTCTTTAGATTCAGATAGTTTCACACCCCCTCGCGTTCTTAACAATAAGTCGCCTTGTATGGGGCCTGAAGGCGGTGGCGATATTCTGCCCCCGCGCACCCAAACTATTAATTTTTCCCCCCTCATTGTCATCTCCTTGATCAACAAACCCAATTCCTCTCCTGAAATTTACCATATTCCGGTGTTTTATCGCCTGTCCATCTTTCAATAACTCCTATCGTCTCCCTTGAAAAACCCCCAACCCTCTATTCACCATGTCTGACGTCGCGGAGACCAAGCCCGACCCCACCACTGCCGTTGAGGAGCAGCAGCCCGAGACCACCGCCACCGGCGAGGGCGAGAAGACTGTGACCGAGACCGCTGTTGACGCGGCTAAGGACGCTGCTGAGACTGCCAAGGACACCGCTGCTAAGACCTCTGACAGTGTTTTCTCCATGTTCGGTGGTGGCCCCAAGAAGGAGAAGAAGGAGGAGACTGAGGAGGGCGCAGATGAGCCCTCTGGCTCTTCCAAGGCCCAACAGGCCGAGGAGGTGAGTTATATCCTTTCCGAGATGACGGTCATAAGCCTGGGGACCTTGAAGATGGGGCTTTCTTGGCCATAGACCTAAGAAAAACACGGGAGCGCGGGGTTATAGTCCGGCCCCGCGTTTTGTGTGGTGGCTTGCCAGATTGTCATCCTGTTCAAATCGGTCCCCCACGGTGAAATCCTGATAATTTCTTTGACTGACCATGAGTTTGTATAGAACGAGGATGAGGCCCCCGAGTCCCCCGACGTTCACTTCGAGCCCGTTATTCGCCTGACCGAGAAGGTGGAGACCAAGACCAACGAGGAGCTCGAGGAGCAGTCCTTCAAGATGCGCGCCAAGCTGTTCAAGTTCGACCGCGAAAGCAAGGAGTGGAAGGAGCGTGGTACCGGTGATGTGCGTCTGCTGAAGCACAAGGAGAACCAGAAGACCCGTCTGGTCATGCGCCGCGACAAGACCCTCAAGGTCTGCGCCAACCACTACAGTGAGCCGACCCCATGAAGTACATCAGATCTGCATGGAATACTGACAGATCATCTAGTCGTTCCCGACATGAAGCTGAGCCCCAACGTCGGCTCTGACCGCAGCTGGGTGTGGAACGCCGCCGCTGATGTCAGCGAGGGTGAGCCCGAGGCTCAGACTCTGGCCATCCGCTTCGCCAACAGCGAGAGTGAGTCAAGCCGTGATGAGATACACAAGGATCACTTATGACTAACCTGTCTGTAGACGCCAACCTCTTCAAGGAGGCCTTCGAGAAGGCCCAGCAGGAGAACGAGAAGCTCTTCAACGCCGAGGAGTAAAAATATGGCCATTGCTATTTCCTCGCTCCAACAATGAACGAGTGTGAAATAAAATCACGACTGTGATACACACTCGCCGCCGACAGCTTCTTGCTTCGTGGACCACGACTTTTAACTGCTCCCAACCCCAATCCCAACATTCAACCATACCTTATGTCTTTTCACCAGTTCAAATTTCACCATATTCAATTCCCCAACTCCCCTTCCCCACGACTGTACACGCGAGACGGCAGTGATGAAGATGCTGTTCGCACAGACGTCGCAATGCGGTTTATGAAACGAGGGCAAATACTTGATGTCTTTGGTCCAACAGTCGGCAGTAGATAGACCCCCTTTCCCATCGAATATACACCCTGCACATCATATACAGAGATGCATGAGTAATTACTCATGTCTTGTACTTGTAAAGAAATGCATTCTCCAGTTGGAATCATTGAAATCATCTATCTAGTTCGTACAACCCATAGCATCATGTAGTCGCACTACTCTGGTTCCTAGAGTTGAACAAAAATCAAGTATTCACCGAGTATGCGTTCGAAATTGATCCAAAGTCAAAGATTAGTGTAAAACGAGCTGAAGTGGTTAAATTAAGGCGAGTCTGCAAGTCGCGGGGAATAATACATGTAGGCGGTGTTGAGTCTCCTTCAACCTCGCACCTCCTCCCCACCCGCATCTTTTCCTCTACAATATACAGGATCAAAGCCGGGGGTTTATCGAGCAATAAATTGTCGCTATCTCACTTCTCTCGATCTTTTAACGTTATCGAGTCTATCCCATTCCTTTTCCACCGCAACTGGAAGGCTAAATCCCGCGCGTCTTCTCATTTCGCACTGCCGCGCAAACCACTTCCTTCCCCAAACTTCTACACGCTCCGCGCGCCTTTGTTAGGCACAACCATACCGTTTAAAGGTCTGGAGCTACTCCGCTAAAAGTTCTTGCCATCATGCCTGAGGTAAGTCATCATCCCATCTCTGCCTGCGCCGCACCTCGACGTCTATGCGGTCTCAGTCCATCACGGTCCTCCCGCTCTACCAGAGCTCCCTTCTCATATTAGGGATGCATAAGAGCATCTAGCGCACTCTTTTCTCAAAATTTTGTAAATTTTATGCTAATTGTACTTTTCTGTTATAGGTTAAGCGCACCGTCCGTCTTGTCACGGAGCAGCATATCATGTACGTTCCCGACATCCTGCCTACTCTGCCTGCCCTACCTGTCTATCCACACACCAGAACAGCAATTGAGCCCCTCCGCATACCCCAAAGCTTCAGTACATCATTCATGAGTGGCAAAGTGGTGTTCTCAATTGTTGGTGGTTGAGGGCGCATACTCGTCAACAAGACCGTTGCGTGCGAGCAAACAACATTCGCATCACGCGCTGCGATGCCCTTGGATTTCCAACTGGGTCCAAGCATCCTTTCTTGCCTGTACTCTCCGCTAAAGCACATGCGCTAACTGGGATTCGTTCCTTCGATACAGTGACAAGCCTTCTGAGGTCGAGGGTTTCCCTCAGCGTTCATGGTCAATCGAGGTGTACGTGGTCAATGACAAGGGAGAGCAGATTCCCGCCACCCTCTTCGACAAGGTCACATACCACCTTCACCCAAGTTTCGGCTCCCGCGCTGTGCAAAGTAGGTCTCTCTTGGCTCTCTGGATTCATGTGGACCGCGGTTCACAAGCGCGTGACTGCTTAAAGGACTTCAAGCTGATAATACATCAATAAACAGCTTTCAAAAACCCGCCCTTCCGTATCCAGGAGGAGGGATGGGGTGAGTTTGATATGCAGATCGAGCTTACCGCCGACAAATCTCACTTCGTCAACCATGACCTCAACTTCTTGCAAGAGCGATACGAGTCCAAACACATCATTGTAAGCTGACTCTACCCACGTGGTTTGAATGACACTCTTTCTGACTCAGTCTTTCGTGGCATTGTAGACTTTCAAGAACCCCAAGCCAGCTTTCTTAAACATTCTGCGTGAATCGGGCTCTGTTCCGGGTGACGAGAATGGGTTGAAAAAGCGTAGCGCAGTTGGTGAGGAGAGTGCTAACAAGAAGAAGAAGCGCAATGACAAGAACGTATGACTCGCCCCCTCTCTTGAGGCTATGGATATCAAACTAACACTGCCCAGGTGGACATGGATAAACTTGCCGAGGGACTCCAGAAACTCGGCGAGGATGACCTCTTGCAGGTTGTGCAGATGGTGCACGACAACAAGTCAGCAGATTCGTACACAAAGAACGACGTCGACAGTATGTGCCCTCAAACAAACCTCAGAACGTACATATACTAATCTTTCCATCAGTGGGCGAGTTTCACGTGGACCTGTACACGCTCCCGGATACTTTGATCAAGATGCTCTGGGATTTCACCTCGGAGCGTGGGGCTATGTAAGCCACAGCATGGTTGTTTTTCTTCCTTGATCTCACTTGCACTACTCGGCTTCTGTCAGTCCGGGATATCCCCTATGCCCGTTTTATTTTCCTTGTTTCCTTATCTGCTGTGTCTTTTTGACGGGGAGTTAGCGGATGCTCATATCAACCTGGCTGGTGCTTTCCTTGCACTTCTTGTCCTCTCTTTCTCTTTTTCTTCGTAGACTCTGAGCTCGTTTAAAATAAGCCATGCTTTGGTGGGCTGGTGCTGATACAGTCGTGAGGTACGGATTGCTTAAAAACTAAGTTATGGTTCCGATACCACAATTTGATCTTTTAACGTGTTTTTGTTCGACCGGCATGGTTCCGTTTTTTTTAAAAAAAAAATGACCTAAGAACCCAAACGTTATGTTTCTAAGAAGGGAACAGTTATCATTGACAAATTAACTCAAGTAAGACCTTTCTGCGAGTCAATATTTGACGACCGTAACCGTAACAACTTGATGGTCAAATACATCGGCGGCTTAGATCCACTTTCAGCTTTGAGGCCACCTCCCAAGACTGTTACAGCAAGACGTGAAACATGCTTTTTATACCTCGATTGCAGCCTACTGAAGGACATGGGGGAAGGTCCCCTAGCATTTATTTAGAGTATGGGGTTTGAGGCTCACGTCAGTGGCATCGCAGAGGAAACAATAGGATAAGCTTACGATGACTGTAAATTGATAGTGCTGAAATCAAAGCCGGAGAAGAGCGGCATGCGACTCTAACACGAATAGAGTACCGTTCATGCAAGGGTATAAGCTAAACCCTACGTGGCCATTTGGGGGACGTTGTTATTATTAAAGTCCCCGAGAATCCCGTACGACTTTAAGCTTTCAAGTTAGGGGCTGAGAATGGCGGTCTGTTTCATCAATAATACCACTTGATCGGTATTCTACAGAACGGTCAAATAAAGCTGCACCTACTTAATTGTTTACTAGAATAAAATACTAATTGATCATGTTGCATAAAATTAGAAAGCAGATGGGATATCTCAAAAAGACAACACATTACCAACCCAGACCGGTCAGACCAGCTGAAACACAGTCATCCACTCGAGACAAGGAAAACCGTAGACAACGGCCATGTGAACCACCCAAAAAAAAGAAAATATTGTACATGAAAAAGAATCGCAAACTTCGATGCGGTCTATGCGCTCCAACGCCGTTGAGATTGCCACCCATTCTTCCCTTTTGTGGACATAGAGACGAGATCAGGATAAATCAAGAAATTGTTGTTAAGACACTTTGAGAAAAGAAAAAGGTAATGAAAGGAAATGAGAGGATAGGGGTTTGCGAGGAAAGAGCCAAGACGCCATGCTGGGAATGAATGAAGGATGCAAGATCATATGTGCATAATTAGAACACGCGGTTCCTATGAATAGATTAGTATGACAGGCCTAAAATCAGGAGATCAACAATGTGAAACATACAGCTTCAACAGATCCTCTAGGCTGTCTGCGCTGCAGGGCCGACCTCGAGGAATGTTGTGGATAATATCCGTAATGGTAGCGAAGACATCGCCGGCACGGTAAGCCAGCAAAGCCGGGGCTTGGATGTGATCCATCTCAGCAATTTCATGGTGCAGCTTGACAAAGCGAGTAGTGGCTTGTCTGCGGGCGATAGTGTTGAGACACTCTTCCACAATGGCACTCTCATCAGACTAGCATGGTGGTTAGTCTCGACGAATACTAAGTAAGAATGAGACAAGACATACCTTGGGATCATAAAGACAAACCACAACAACAGTACCAGAAGTCACCTTCTCGATAGCATCAAGGTAACCCGCAGCATCAACAATGTCGACCTGACCGTAGTGACGTCCGCGGGGTGAGGGGCGCCGGGCCTGGCGATTCTGCAAAGCTTGCATACGCGAAGCACGCCACTTTTGTAAAAAGCGCTCCTCCTCATCCTCACTGCCCGAAGACCCATCCGTCACAGGAGGCTGAGGCTCAGGCTTAGCCGAAAAGGCGGGGCCATTCTGATCAAAGCCCGCGGCATTAAGCAAAGTCCTACGGAAAGACTTCTTGCGTGCACGCTCAAAGGCCTGGGCGTCGGCAATAACACCCTTAGGACCGGTATTGGCCTCGAAAGTGTTCTTGGGAATGTGGTAGTTGGTAGAGGAAACCATGTCGTCGTCGAAATCTTCGTCCTCGTCTGAGGAGTCGACGGTGTGGCGTTGGCGCAGGTTGCGGGGAGGAGCGTCGGAGTCAGAGTCGTTTTCGTCAGAGAAGTGGGGTTCGTCGTGATCGTCTGGGTGAGAAGTGAATCTGTCGCGATTGTTATTCACGAGGGCATTGAATTCTTCTTGGGCAGACATCGTGAAAAAAGTTCCGTCCGGGGGTCGGTGGGGGAAGTGGGAATTTATGAATGCGTCCGGTGCCTTGAGTTGAATGAGGAATGGAGAGCTGAGATTGGCTAGTGAGTTTCAAAAGAGAACCCCCTGAGAGAATAGACAAAGAGAAGGTTGAGACGGAAGAGGGGCTGAGCTGGGAAGAGATCGCCAGGGTGAAACGGGCACAAAAGCCCCTTTTCGATGTGGTTTCAGGCTCGACGATCCGGGATCCACCGAACGGCCGAAGAACTTCAACTACGTATACCGTCCGAGTTAGAGTATGAGACTACGTCAGGCATGTAGAGTATGACCTTGGAAGTAAACATAAATATTTTGATTCCTATTTACTCTTATTTATTCTGATTCACTCATACTCATGTACCAAACACTCTAGTGTGTACTAAAACAATGTATGCTTATTGCACGTGGACAATTAACCTTGTCGCCCTAACTTCGCCCTAAGCCTAAAGTCTAAGCCTATAAGCCCGCGCGGTTCGTGCCCATCACATTCAAGCCTCGTTTCAGCTTTGTTTATTTTTTTGTGATCAGTCGGATGAGTTGTCCATGAAACCTCGACTAACGCACCTCGGCCCCGAAACCAATCCACCCATGACGCAGATTCGAACCTCGATCCACACCGTTGAACAGTTCCAGACCCTCAACGGGAATCAGCCGAGTCGCAAGGAGAGATCGATGGTGGATCCGCTGCCTGAACAGGAGAACAGTCTGTGGAGACGGATGATGATGGATCCTGGATGCCGTGCCGCGGCGAGCTAAGAAGAAAAAATTAAAAACGGATTCCTGTGCCTCGTTTCGAATCCTTCGTGTGCACGGTCTTTGCCTTTTGCCTGCTCTTTTCTTTCATTCTTCCACCCCCTTGGTTACGGCTGCCCAAAGATTTGGGGGGCCAATGAGTCTAATTACGACCAGTTCGGTTTCTTATGCCGAAAGGAATCTGGGGGGGGAAAGATTGACGTCGAAGGTTAAGAAAGCCACTAAAATAGGCTTGTGAACTGGGCCATGGTTGGGGTCCCGTGGATTTGGCCCCCAGATTGCAATTCCGCTAGGGCTGGGCTATCGGCTACTCTTCCCCAGAGTTCGCGCTAGGGATTGGAATTGGGTTTGGCTCTCCCTGTCGTATGTTCATTTACATTTTTAGATCTTAGCATATCATGCTGACTAGGAGACCCGAGTCACGCACGGCTGGCATTGGCGAATTTACAGGGATATCACCGGCATCTCCGGGTTACCATTGAGCACAATCCCTGTACTTCAAACACTACGCCATACTCGGGTTCCTCAGTGAGGCCTACAGGTCTACTCGTTCTCTCTACCAGGGCAGCTCAGAATCTTGGAAGACACCATGTATGGAATGCCCTAGGAAGCTCACGCCACGCTCACAGACGCCCAAGCCCACCAGAGAGGATTCGAGGTACAGTCAAAGACTGCAGCCTCAGATCCCCGCAGAAGATAAACACAAAAAGTGAAAAGCACAAATGGAAATTGGAGCTGCTCAAAAACAGGATTGAGGAAATCCGGTCTGAATCCCTGAGGAGATTCGTGGTCACAAGGACACAAAATAGGTACATACTCTTTGACGAGACAGTGAAATAGGAAAAGAGATGACGCGGTAACGCAAAGGAAGATAAATCAGGCAAAAGCAAAACAAAGAGATCATGGCCAAATCCAACAAACCGGTCCTTTCCTTTCCGAGAAAATACATACCGAGACCGATGCAGAAAAGGCAGTCCAGAACGAAGAGGGGTAATAGAGAAGAAGAAATAAAGGGGGAAGAAATTCAGTAAGTGTGGAGGGGGGAAATAAGGGAAAAGTTGAAAAGAAGAGAATAGGGGCATCATCCAGCAGGAGAGAAACAGAGAAACAGGAAACCGACGAAATAGCCATGGAAGCACCAAATCTCTGGTCTGAGTCTGTACCAAAGGCCGGTACAACCATCAACACATCCAGACGGCTGCTCTCTCTCGTCATGTCCAAACATTGTGTCGTCGCTTTCGTTTCTTCCCCGGCGCCGCGTTTACCTCCACCATCCAACGCTTTCCGTATCGCATGCGACGGACAAATCTGCGCCGTATTATCAGGGGAAGCAAGGAGCTCCCCGGTAACTGATTATTATCGTACAATGGCGGAGATCCGACCCATCGAACCAAGAAAAATTTCGAATAAGAGCATTGCAAATGATCGACACGGGGGTATCTTGCGTTTGTTTTTCTTTTTGGGGGAGAGGAATTACCAGGCCCAGACCTTGAGAAGGGAATCCCAAGATCCAGTGCACAGACTGATGCCGTCGTTGCTGACTCCCAGGCAGCTCACGCGGTTCTCGTGGCCGCTCAAGGAGCCAACCTTATCACCACGAAGGACATCCCACACCTGATTTCGCGTCGTTAGCAGATATCCAAACAGGTATTCAACTTCCAATAACGTACCTTGCACTCGAAGTCGTCGTAACCGGCAAACAGTAATCGGCCAGACACGGAGAAAGCAACGGAGGTGATACCGCAAAGAACTTGGTCGCTCTGCAGGAAAAAGAATTAGTCTCATATTTTCGAAATCAAAGGGTTTGTCGCAGGAACATACCTGGTAGATGTTCAGCTCGCGATCAGCACGGATATCAAACAGACGGCAGGAAGTGTCGTCAGAGCCGGTACCGAAGGCATTGCCATCGGGGAAGAATTGGATGGCGTTGATGTCGGACTCGTGGCCAGCAAATGTCTGCACGGCCTTGCCGGTACGAATATCCCACAGCTTGGCGAAAGCATCACAGGCACCAGAGACGAAGATGTTCTGGTTGGTCGGGTTGATGCTGATCGACATCACGTCACCAAGGTGATCAGCGAACTCGGTAACCTTGGATCCAGACTCGATATCCCACAGCATACAGGTCATATCGCCGGAAGAGGTGATGATGCGACGATCATTGATGAATCGGCAGCAAGAGAGGTAACCGGAGTGACCAGACAGCTCGCGCGCAACCCGAGTAGGGCCTTCGCGCGACGACAAGTTGTAGATGGAACAAATGTTGTCCAGACCACCACAGGCGACGTAGTTTCCACTGGGCGCGTACGCACAAGTCATAACCCACGATGAGCGCAGGGGGATGGCGTGAACTTTGTTGGTGGTGTAGGCATCCCAGATGATGAGCTTTCCGTCCTGCGAAGCTGACACGAGATGGCGGCGGTCGGTCGACCAGTGCATGGCGTAGATCTTCGCCAAATGACCCTTCAGTGTGCGGCGAGGCTTCATACCAATTCGAGGGAGGGCATCGGTCTCTCGCTGTGCTACTTGGCGGACTATGCAAAGGGTCAGCATTGGTCATCCAGATTCCACCACCACATCATCCTCCTGAATGTAGGAGTAGCCGGGGTTCTATTCCGGGGTGGTGAGTTCAAAGTGCGGATGGTCAGGAAGTCGTACGGGAGGTGTCGGCCAGCTCATCCTTCCGGCGCTTGATCTTGTCCTTCAACCCCTCTGCTTCGCGCCGAGCCGCGGTAATTTTCGCCTGCATCTGTTCGCCCGTCATGTCGGCTGCCATGTTGCCGGATAGGGGCCCCTGGGGTCGTGTTGTTGGGAGGAGGGGAAGCTAAGGAACCAAGGTCCAGGGGGGGGGGGTAAAGGTATTAAGGAGTGGGAGGTTGAGAGGGATCCGGAAAGGAAAAAGGAACTGAGAGTGGAGCGAGAGCGGAAGCGACCGAGTTCAGGCCTCAAGCTGTGAACATAGTCTGTGAAATAAAAAATGGTCGCAAAGGGGATTGAGACGGGCTCGAGGAAAGAGAGGGAGAGGGAGAGGGAGGAATCGAAGGTTCTGAACAGGGGGCGAGTGTATTACCGGGTGCTAGTGGTAACTTGATGACCTCGCATTGCAACTTGGGAACTCCATGATTTACAGTTCGCGTGTCCTCAATTGACCCATAAATAATTTTTCATTAAAATTGGACATTATGATCACAATAAAGAATTTACAATTGTTTCTTCTTATCATCATCGTAATGGTCCCGAAGGTGGCTAAGTGATGATTTTATGGTTTTATCTGTGCATGTTCCGTATTGATGCGCTATTTCCCCGGGCGGTAATACCCTGACAATACAGGCGCCCGCAACAGGGGGGTGAATCCTCCCCGGGTACCTGAGCCAGTGATCTTTGATTCCTGTGCTTTTAGAATTGAATTACTGCGTGCGAAGACAATGGACCAGTTCCACATAGGACTAAGCAGGAGGTTCTGGGAGGCGAATTTGGCAATTAGCGCTGACGAGGTGGCCCCGAGCAACCCAACAACCCTAACGGAGGATTTCAATGCAGTGGCGCTGGGGATCAGCCTAGCGCACCTGGCCCCAATTGTTGCTGATGGGAATTGATAAGTTTTTCAGGTCTCCTAATCTCTTTCCATACGTAATATCTGGTACAGTACATGTTGCGGAGAAAAGTTGGGAACGATGGGTCTATGCAGGTTATGTATAGAAAACCTTGGAGCCCCCTGTTTATAGAGTGCAGCCTCAACTTTTCTCCACGTCAGAGAACCGCGGCTAATTTCTCCCATTTCTTTGTCTACGCATTGTCTGTGATTGGTGTGGTGCATCTGGGCGTCATAGCCCCGATGATCTTTTCCGCGTTGCGGCCTTGGGGGCAGTATTGGGGCTATTTAAAAACTTACGGACATTAGACGCCCGGAGATGAGGGCGCATTTCCCTTATACCTGAAGAATCATGATTTTCTAATTGTTTACAATACCGCAACTTCTTCGGCACTGTACCACCCAGCCACCAACAGGCCCAAGCTCATTCGCCATGCCTTTTTTGGTTTAATTGAGGACTCCACTGAGGCTGACTAACCTGCATATGATTTCTCTACACACTGAAGAAAGAGAAGCAAAAAATCCTGGAAGGACAAAAAGATACAAGAAACTTGATATCAAACGGGGGCCTAACCGTTTGGTCCTGCCAATTTACCTTCAATCTCCCAGATTTGATCGCTTCCGCCGACTCGGCTCATCGGTGCTTCAGGAAGATGAGTTCCCCACTACGGCGTGAGACCGTCTCTGGGCCCCTTTTTTTGTTTTTTTCCCAAAACCCGCAAGCTTGATATGAGTCTAGACGATCATTATTTACGTGAATTAACTTCCACGTGAGGCTGATATTGTGTTCTTCTTGGTTCCAGCTGGACATTATACATTCTCTGCACGTCAGCAGAGCTATTTCAGGCCGCCTGAGGGGGCCGATCTGGTATTGACGGAGTATACCGTTTACAGTTTCCATTGTTCGACTTTTTTCAACAACGACCCACTGTATATTGGATGTGCCTCTCCACCGACCCCCACTGGAGGATCTACATTAGAGGCCCGGTCAAATGCAGGTGATATTTACCGTTCGTCATTTGTCCCTTTCGGATGCAGCCAGCCGGGCATAAATGCACATCTTCGTAATATTAGACATGAGGCTGCTGGCCGAACTTCCGAATTATGCTGAGTCAGTTATGACTATAAGTTAAGGCCTGGGGGCTCTAGATTCAGCCTTTAGGCACCTGGTCATCCGCGTCCCAGGAGATTTGTATGTGGATCTGCCAAGTACTGGAATACTTGATGCCCAACTACCACTGTAAACTGCTTTGGAGATATTTCAAAGTATGTATGGTTATTACCGCGAATATTCCTATCTATCTTGTACAGTAGGTAGTGTGAAGACTACATTTAAGGCGGGTCAGGAAGAGGCATGGCACTTCAACTGGGGGTCTTGGTAGTTCATCGTGATCCCAAAAGTGGATTCTTCAACATGGGTGACCCATTAGTATCATGGATGTTCAACGGTGATTTCTCCATCCGAGGTCCCCTTTTATGGAACCTGTTGGTGATTTACATAGAGAAACAAAAGGATAGCAGTGCACGGGACTCGAGTTGATCATGATCACGTATTCCCTGTGCTTGGGGCATGTGTTTCCCCATTTCAGATATTGCGATGTGCTATCAGGGGCTACTAGCTTGTGTTGGGCCATTGGCTTATCAATACATCTTCTAGGGTTGGTGGCCCCAGACTGCAATCAGTGCACGAGTACCTCTGGGCCTTGACTTTGTCAAATCATGCGAGAAAATTGAAAAACACCCAACATCGCCTGGGCATAATTAGGTGAATAAAATGGACCTTGTGTCACATTTTTAGTTCTAATGGATAGCGATCAAGGTGCATATACTCTCGGAAGGGCTGACCTATAAAGATTCAATATTAAGACTCCACGCATATTGCGACATTCAAATTGACCGCAAATCAATTCAACCCTGCATAAACAACCTGAGGAATAAGGATGAAACAGATGAGATGTCAAGGATTTTAAAAACCTGCATATATGAATAGTTATATAAATGTTTATCGTCATCAGTTTCAGGGTCGTTCTTCTTAAGACTAATTAAACCCTTGGAGGCTGGGTTAGTCAACTCGGTATCGGCCTTGTCGCCACGAGGGAGCGGATATCTCCTGCAGGGCGGCAACGTAAACGATCGGGCATTTCTCCATTCCAAAATCATTTCTCATGAATGTAGTAGAGTTGGACGAAGAATCTTTTTCTCATGTACGACGGTGCAAGTGCCGTTAAAAATAGAGCGAGTCGGTTCACGGTGGCGGGAAAGCCAATGTTCGGGTCCCGTAATATTAAGGAGGCACCTGACGCCTCTCCGCTTTCGCTCTCAAAGGCTTTTCTCTCTCCTTCGCCCATCAACCCAACACCAACCCACCCCCATCTATTCTCCCTCGATTCCATCGCATCTATCTCCTATTCCTCTCTTTAATAGTTTGGGAATCACTGGTATCCCTGCCATCCGTCTTTCCTCCGCTCTTCCTGTCGAGAGTCTCGTGGAGTCATCACCAATTCCGCACCCCCTCAGTCAACCCTCATCGGGCACCGCTCATAGTAAACGATACTATCTCGGTTATCTCGATGTCGCTGGAGTAAAACCATCTGATTACGCGAGAGATCTTTGATCCCACCGCTTGTGGAGTCGACGTCTGCTGGTTTTAGGGGGCTTGAATCCCACCATCCAGGCATCGTCAAGGTCCCCAACTCATCCGGCCTTTTTTGCATACTGGATGCCCTTCCATCCATTTTTTCTGCCCTGCTTTTAGTTTATACGAGGATCTCGTGTTTATCTTCTTTTATTGATTACCATCTGCCTCGTTCATCATGCGGGAAGTAAACTTCAGCATCCCCAATGTGAACAAGGCCTCGGTCAACATCACAACCACCCTCTACGACCGACGTGCCCTTGATTGTACATCTACCTTACCACTGATCAACTCACTGAATCACCTTGCTTATCTCACAACCTCGTCTGCGCGGATCCGGGATATTCTCACCGTCGATGGCGGCATCGAACGACTCGTCTGCATCCTGAAGGAGGGCAGGAGCAAGGATCTGATGGAGATGTGGAAATGGAGCCTAGCATTTCAATGTGTGGTGAACATCGGAGTTCGAGGTTCGGAGAACGTGAGGACCAGGGTCGTGGAAGCCGACATGGTCCCTGTGATTGCCACCATTCTGGACAACTACATCAAGGTGGTGGACAAGGTGCGATCGCGTGCCGATCCCGAATCTCATAAGCACTCCAGCCGATCGGCCATCCCCAGCAAGTCCAGTTCTGCCGTTCGCGAGGTTGCTGGCCGGTCTGGTCCCGAATCCAACCCTTCGACTGAGTCTCGCTCCTCTCGCCGCCAAGCCCCTCCCCCAAGCATCGAAATCCCTCAACCTTACTATCAGGACAACCAGCCAACTGACTCGGATATCATGGATGTTACCTCCCCTCCTCGCGCCCCGATGACCTCCCCGCCCGAACGCAGTACCTTCCGACAGGATGTTCACAATCACCGGACCCATGATGCCCGCTATACCCGCGCCAGTCATCGCCTGCGCACCATGCAGCCTCTTGCTACCGCTATTCCTCCGATGGATACCGCCGAGGGATTCGGTCTGCGACCTGTCCGTGATGCCGAGCGCCTTGCCAGCATGCTTCCAGGATTACAGACGGGCATCATCTCACAACCGGACTCCCCAACAACTCCCAGCGGGCCGCTCCAATCTCAAGCTCGAAGCATCCCTCCGCCGCCTCCCCCGGTTCGCGCTCGACCTCCAATCCGGCAGCAGCAATCTGCCTCTGGTGAATCGGATGATGCCAACGGAGAGGACTCGACTATGGGTGACGATACTGTCTTGGGCCAAGGAACTGAGCCTATTGTTGGCCTGCCAAATCGGATGGACATTGATAGTGTTGACGAACAGTCTACAACTACGATGATCGATGATGTCTCCACCAGCCACGGTGGTCTGACCGTCACGGACCCATCCGAGGAGGGCCCGGAAGCTGAAACCTTCAATATCGCCCACCGCTCTGCCGTGGATGGCAGCATCATCAACAACACCGCCAACACACAAAACAACGGTGGACTGGGTCTTTCCCCCACTCAAGCCCCGAACAACCCTAATTCTCCCACTCTCGCTCCTAGCCCTTACGCCTTGTACCTCCGTGATCGAAACACCCCCGCGACTCAGGGCGTCCTGACCACCATGCCCCGAGATGAAGATGTCTTAATGTCCCTGCAGCTTCTTGCATATGTCTCAAAGTACTGCAATCTCCGGTCATATTTCCAACGCTCGCACCTTGTTCCCAAACTCAAGATCGATCGCGAATTGCATCTCCTGGATGACAATGCCGATCCGTCTTCTCCCATTGAGGCTCCTGAGGAAGAAGATGAGTACTTGCTACCTGATGATGTGAACATTTTCCCCCTGGTGGAGAAGTTTACCGTTCGACATCACTCGAAGGACATGCAGTATTGGGCTTGTGTGGTGATGAGGAACCTTTGTCGCAAGGACGAGTCACGAGGCGGCATTCGTCAGTGTGCCTACTACAAGTGTGGCAAGTGGGAGGAGTTTCAGAGACAATTTGCCAAGTGCCGCCGTTGCCGGCGCACTAAGTACTGCAGCAAAGACTGCCAGAAGGCAGCATGGGTATATCACCGCCACTGGTGTCACACCACCCCTTGATACGACCCACGACGACCTTGAAGGAGTTCTCATTTCTTGATTTCCATGCATACTGGCTCGCATAGCGTCATATCCCTCACACCCTTCCCGATATTTGATTCCAAAGTCTACGTCTCACTTCGTGCATGGCATTTGCAAGTTCCGGCGGCGTTTCCATTCGACCCCCCGAAGATACCTCGTTACATGTCGATTGGCTTTTCACTTCTCTCTCTCGCACAGCTCGCCCATCCATTCTGCTTCATTGACACGTCGGGTCTGTCTTTGAGGCCCTCGCTTTATTCCCTTGATTCCCATATATTTCCCCATTTGTCATGAATGTATATCTTTTAACATCTATCATAACGAAACACTTGTTTCTCTTTGTTTCTTGAACCCCCGTTTTCTTGCAGGCCTTCCATACCTAATTGTGCGGCCAACGAGTTTCCTATGTCCTTAGATGGGCACCTGTCTTCACACGTTCCGACCGACTCTCGGTCTCTTGAAGCATTTCTTATTATTCCATTCACGATGTTTGATTCATGTTAATGCGGAGGATTAGTTTCTTCCGTCAGTTTTGCACTTTGCCACGACGGCACCGGCGTTTGTCCATTCAGTGGTACCGTTGTCTATTCATCATGACATGAAACCCCCAACATTTGCATCTGAAATTTTCTTTCGCTCCAATAACCTCTCAATTGATCTGATTCTACAATTGTCTCTACTCGTCCTTCGTAAATCCATAAGTAGCCGCCAGTCTCGACTCCAAATGCTCCTGCGCAGTCAAAGGTCTCTTCCCTGGCTCCAAACTTCCAGCACCACCTCCAAATCCAACAACACCAACGCCTCCCACCTTTGCCCGATGCTCCTTCACAACCTCACTGGGAACGGGAACCAACTCTGTAGTATCAACCGGGTGGCAGAAATAAACCAGCGTATACCGATCCTGCGGGTTAGGGCTCCGCTGCTCCGCCAACGGGAACACAACCCGGTGCACGGTGGACTTCAACAGTCCATCCGTCCAGTAACTCAAGAGGTCTCCGATGTTCACCAGGATAGGCGGGAACGGGTACGCATCTGCATCATCGCCGGGGATAATGGGAACAGGTGCCCAGGTTCCTTCTGGAGTATAGATCTCCAGACCCGGCTGTCCAGGGCGCTGGAAGAGAAGCGTGATACTACCATAGTCTGAGTGGGCACCAGCACGCACGTCCTTATCGTGCTTGTAGCTTGCTGTGGCTGGGGAGAAGATTGAAGGGTAGTACAAGTAGCGGAGGATACTACCTGTTTCACCTAGGCTAGGGTCGTGGCGGGTTGTGAAGAAATCTTCTGGCATCTGGGTGGTATATTGTTAGTTCGGGTGGTGTAGACTGCGGGTATGTGCGGTGTATGTTTCAATGCTGCTTGATGGGTGCTGTCTTACCTCCAGGCCTAGAGAGAGGAGGGTAAGGATTCGGTTGCAGGTCTTGTTGCAGAGCTTTGCGAAGCCATGGATCTCGGATTCATGGGGTGCCAGTGATGCAGGGAGTGGCTGTTGGGCTTTGCCGTCTTTGAAATCTCCAAAGTTCATGGCCCTATACATCCGTTGTCAGTGAGATTCAATATGATGCTACTTGAGATGTTCACTTGTGGGGTCATACTCTTTGAAATCTCCAGTCTAGATAGTACAAAAATCGATATTTAGCTGGAATTATAAATTCGGATGCTAAGAGTGACATACTCGCTGGTGCTCTGGATCAAGAGTCTCCGTATGCATACCTGACCATCCCCGGTTCTATAAGATAGATTGGTCAGACAATTCAATAATCATACCTCGGATAGAAATCTGGAGCTTTTAAGCACTCACGTTCGGCGTGATCCGGCATGTCTCCTTCTCCGCAGCCGGGGAGGCAAAGAACTTCTTGGACTATAGCAATTTTGTTAGAATGAGTAGATCTGATCAAATGGACATAAAGTAGAGAGCAAATACCAATCCAAAGCCATGATCGACGTCTGCAACCGAAAAATCGGTGCCCTTGCTGTTCACATACAAAAAGCCATACTTAGCAGCCGCATCGAGCATCGCTTTCCCCACGGCGGGGTCATGCGGGTTCGAGATGTCAATGACAGGAAGCTCGATTGGGGCAGCGGTGTCAGCCATTTTGAGTTAAAAATCCAAATTCCAGCTGGAGTTGCAAAGATTAATGCGGGGACAAGAAGTTAGTGGGCCTACAACGATATATAGAGGCGCTAGAAAGATATCGGTTACATGAAAAAATACGCGGGCCTATCGCGTATCTGCCATATCTGCCGATTACAAGCGGGTCAGTTTCCCATGGAACTTGTGCCGTGCGCGACTTCCGCTATTGTACTTGCCTAGCTGGGTAATAGGTATCATAAGTGCCCCGCACGATAACAATTGTTCCATAGCATTGAAGGCTGCCCAAGCGGTTATGGTAACCGAGGATGATAGAGGGCGTAATGGACTCATGATTATATATAGTGGTCCCATATCTACCGATAGAGTGGGACTTTTGTGCATTGACAGGTTTCAAGGTTATTTCCTATTGTCCAAGCTGTAGACCCTTGTAATGATCCACCATGATTCTATGAATATTTACTTTTTCCTGCACAAGGTTGAGACAGTACTACTGTAATAAATGGATGGTTCTCCGTAGTGATTGGTGATTGGGCTCTACTGGGGCCTAGATTTAGGGATTAAAGCTAAGCGCTTAAATGCTCGCGCTGAAATGCTCCATGGGGATTGGAACAAAATAAAGTAGATAGAGATGGAAAACACAAGATGTACTGCAGAGGCCTTAAACTAACAGACAAGCGCTTGTGGATGTGATGTTGTTTGTGAGGGAAAGTACCTAGTTGTGCAGAAAACAACAACCACAACTCCGCTTTCCCCCTCGTCACGCAACCATCTTCAGCCGTCTCTCATTCCACCCCCACGCCATCATTTTTCTTTCTAAGCTTCAATGCCCGGCATTTAGCCGCGCTTATCCGCCTCCAGCTTCAGAACCATGCCTAGTACAGCCCCTGCTCCCCCTTTGGCGAACTGACCAGCCTAACCTCGTGTTCTCTCTAGTCCGTCCCTTCGATGACTGGGCTGTGGGCCGCACCCAGTCCCTCCCCCTCTCCGCTCTGAAAGGTGCCGTCATCGGTATTGATGCGTCGCACTACATTCAACAGCACCTGGTGAACCAGTCGACTCGCGAAGCCCTTCTGGGCGCGCTGGGTGGCTTCCCGTTTGCCTTGAGGAGCAACATCGAGAAAGAACTGCAGGCCCTCAAGAACCTTAACATCGGTTGCGTCTTCGTTTTCAATGGACTAGAGTTTGGCAAAAGAGACCATCGCATCCAAACCCAGCCAGCATCTGTGCGCTCCTTCGAGCAAGCTTGGGAGCTATATGACCAACAACAAGCCGATCAGGTCGTCGACGCCTTCAGCAATGCCGGTATGAGCACTCTTCCTTCTCAAAGGCCACCACAATGGTCGACATCGCTACCCACTTACGATCAATGGAATTGTTCGACCCCATATTACCCAATCTTGGCTGACCAACATGCACCCCCAGGGACCCCGCCCCCAGAAACACTCTTCAAATTCTTGACACGGATCCTTAGCCAAAACGGCATCTCCTTCATGGTGGCGCCTTACAGCGCGGTTGCACAGGTGAGTTCCTGGGAAAGGGCGGCAACCCCTCATCGATTTGGTGGATGCTGGGAGCCTAACATTAACATGCAATTAGCTCTCCTACCTCGCCCGCGGCTCCAATCCCGTTGTTGATGCCGTGTACGCACCATCCGAAGCCTTCCTATTCGATTTAGATAAGCTGGTGACTCGCATCGAGACTGAGCCTGCACAGTTCACCTGGCTCACAAAGCAAACCTGCCAGGAGGAGCTGGGGCGTCTGTCGAACGAACAATTCACTGAATTTCTGCTGCTTCTGGGATCTTCTTTCCTGCGTCCATGCCCTCTTTTCGAGAACCCCGCTTTTCCAGGAAAGCTTCCCAACATTCGCGATGCTCTGCCGATGTTCAATTCTGCGGGCCGGACTGCTTTGGGCATGTGCGCTCAATACGAGGAGGATCGTCGCATGGTGGAATACCAGTATGTGGACCGATATAAGCGGGCATTCATGAGCGTGAAGCATCACGTCTACATGGATATTGACGGACGGGTTGCACCTATGGAACCTGAAACCACTTCTTCCGATCTGCATGAGCTCATCGGCCAGCGTCTTCCAGAAGAGCTGTACTTCTACTTATCCAAGGGAGTTCTCGGTCCAGATGTACCAAACTACTTGACACTGGGTGAGGTGCGGATTTCCCTCCCGCTCGGAGCCGAGGACAACGATATCTACCGCCAGCTTGTTGGCGAGACTCTCACACCAATCCGGACACAGTCAATCTGCCTTTTAGCAAACTCTCTCCACCGATTCTACCAGACAAAAGAAATCCAAATCCGCCCATGGTACGATGAGAACTCGGACCAAAAGATCAACTTGAAGGGTATTCCCTCCGTAAAGGAGACCATTCAGTCCTGGAAGATCTCTTCTAGCCAGTTCCCAGAAAGTGTTAAGAAATTGCAGGCGCCGCTTGGCTCCTTCAAGTTTGCTGTGCAGAGCCTGAGTAACTCGGACTTCGTACCTAAATCATTCGCGACCAAGGAAACTCCGGTATGTCTTGTCCAGAGACGCAGATCCAACTTCATATCTAATGCTTTTCTAGGCTCTTTCAGCACAAGAGGATATTCGAGCCAATGTTATGTGGCGTTTCCTGCAACTGCGTGGCTATGTCGATGACAAGCATAAGCTCACAACGTGGGGCAAGTGTTTGGAACAAGCACTGTCAAGCGTGGACCCTGCAGATAATTTAGAGGATGCCATTTTCATTGCCATTGAGATGCTCCGCTTTGATCTTTTGAACACCAAGAATTGGTTCCAGAGTGTATCTGGGGGTCCTATGAGAGGATCAGGTATGTTGTCTGCATGGCCGCAATAGCCCCTTTAAATACCAGAACTAACCACCCTATGTTTCTGCAGAGGAAGATAAGACTTTCAACATGCTCGTGTCTCGTGTTGCGTGCATTGCGAAATTACAGCATAAGAGCATCGGTTACTCTGGTCCCTTGAGCCGGCAACTTCTTTGCTACCGGTCTTTGATCTCCGAGGTGCGCCATGCACTGAGGAATTTGATCGAGGTGGTCTTGACCGGTCTGCTGCTCAGCGGAGACGCCGACCGAGATCGTAAGGACTGGACTGAGATGTCCATCAAGTATGAGACCTATTACCCACAAAGAAAGAGCGGAACCATTCTGATTTTTGTTTAGATTACCTTTTATTGATGATAATGACTGCGGCCTCGGAATCGCCGTTCGCACCTACTTGGACGATCTTCCCTTGCAAGCAGATCCCACCTCACCCGAGGCTCGGGCGGAGGTCAAGTCGAAGGGCAAGGAGTGGTTCCAACATAGCGAGAGCTTCACTGGAAACCTGGATCAAGCTTTTAAGCTTTGGGATGCGGTAAGTTTTACAGGCCTCTTGCACGGCCAGTGTTTCAAACTGACCCTCTATATAGGTCTACAAGACTACCCAGGCGGCGGGCAAGGAGCTCAAGGACGCGAAGTTGTGGGATGATGCGAACAAGTGGTTGTCTGAGCGACGGTAATGAGGCAGACTGCGGGACGGGTATTCTTTGCATATGATTATCAATATCATTAAGGGGCTTTCGGGGTCTATATTTACTCGGATTGCATCCGAAGTTTATATTTTTCGCTGCTCGATTTGCGCGGACCTCCAGGTCTAGGATGTATCGGCAAATTCTCTATTGTATTACTATTTAGTAATCCGAACCAGGAAAAAATCAACTTAAAATCATTTCGGAATTACCTTCCTTCGGCCCTGGGTTCTACTCTTAAGTGTTACTGCCAGCTGCCCAGGTGTGTCCATAGACATCCATTGTTGTTTTTCCGGCTTTATGTTGCATGTGAGATGTCTATATATTTAGCACGGTGGACCCTGGGTTTGACATGTATGAAGAAAAGGAAATTAAACCCTCTTAGCCCCATTTAGATATTGCTTCAAATGAAAACACCATTTACTATAATTGATCAATCCGACATGTACATAACCCCCAGACTTGAATAGAAATGTGACATTGAGTAACCCCATAACGGGGAAGTATAAGTGGAAGATCAGCGGGACCAAGTGGCCTCTTCGATGTTTTGTCATCATCGCCCCATCCCCCCCCGAGCTAACTAAGTTATTCTTTTCTCCTCCCAAAGCGCCCTCCTGTGTAATTGACTTGCACATTTCAAAGTCATTTAATCCAAATCAAAAATATACAAAATGGCCCGTCTGAGCTACCTGCTCCTGGGCGCCCTCTCGGCGCTCGGCAGCTTCGCCAACGCCAGCTCCGCCGTCAAGGACCTGATTCCCAGCAACTTCGACGATGTCGTGCTGAAGTCCGGCAAGCCCGCTCTGGTCGAATTCTTCGCCCCCTGGTGCGGTCACTGCAAGACCCTCGCCCCCGTTTACGAGGAGCTCGGTGCTGCTTTCGCTTTCGCAGAGGACAAGGTTACTGTCGCCAAGGTCGATGCTGATGCAAACCGCGAGCTCGGAAAGCGTTTCGGTGTTCAGGGTTTCCCTACCTTGAAGTGGTTCGATGGCAAGAGTGACAAGCCGGAGGAGTACAAGGGCGGTCGTGATCTTGAGAGCTTGTCTGCTTGGATTACCGATAAGACTGGCATTAAGCCTAAGGGTGCACAGAAGGAGGCTAGCAAGGTTGAGATGCTCAATGATGCTACCTTCAAGACTACTATTGGAGGCGAGAAGAACGTCCTTGTTGCCTTCACTGCCCCGTGGTGTGGACGTGAGTAGCGAGCTCCTTTCATCTTTTTATTATTCTCGCACCTTTCTCCCAAAAGCCTTATTTACTGACCCCATTGCTTTCCGATCTAGACTGCAAGAGCCTCGCTCCCACCTGGGAGACTCTCGCCAATGACTTCGCCCTCGAGTCCAACATCGTGATCGCCAAGGTTGACGCCGAAGCCGAGAACTCCCGCGCCTTGACCAAGGAGCAGGGTGTTACCGGTTACCCTACCATCAAGTACTTCGCCGCCGGCTCGACCGAGGCTGAGCCTTACTCCGGTGCCCGCTCTGAGGAGGCCTTCGTTGACTTCCTGAACACCAAGACTGGTACCAACCGTGCTGTCGGCGGTGCCCTGAACACCAAGGCTGGCACCATTGCCGCTCTGGACCAGCTGGTCAGCGAGTACGTGCCCGCTGCTAAGTTCGAGAAGCTGGCCGGTGAGCTCAAGAAGGCTGCCAAGGGCCTGCAGGACAAGTACGCCGAGTACTACATCAAGGTTGCCGACAAACTTAGCCAGAACCAGGAGTATGCTGCCAAGGAGCTGGCTCGTCTGCTCAAGGTCTTGAAGAAGGGTGGTTCCGCTCCCGAGAAGCTCGATGACATGGTCTCCCGCAGCAACATTCTGCGTCGCTTCGCTGGCGAGGGCGAGGAGAAGAAGGATGAGCTGTAAATGGCGATCCTCTTCTTTATCATTGTTTTTATTGGTGCTGGTTTCTCCGGGAAGCTACAGTATATGGAATTGTAGTGAGCCGGTGATCAGCGATGAATATAGTCTAAAGGTTTAGCTATGGGAACCTATTGGCATCCCGCTGTATTGTATGAACCGTGAATTGATATGATGTCCAGCGGGCTTTATGCCTTGCAATGAATGTTCAGAGACCCATTTAACGCCACTATCAATACGTACGCAGCCTGGTAAATATCTTCGAAGGTTGTCTCATTTGAACGTAGGGTATCATAATTGCATATCAGGAAACGAAACTTCTGAACAACAGGGCGCTATCTCAAATGCAGTAGTCAATTGCCTCCAAGCATCTTCAGATGCCGTAGACTGTACAATGAGACAGTCACTTGTGAATGGTCTCTCACTGCGTAGTAGTCGCTGAGCCCGCATCGCTCCCCGCAGCAGACAGAGAGGCCTCCAATTCATCTAGGCGGCGAGTCATGTCATCCACTGGCGAGATTAGTAAGTATATCAGCATTGGTCAACATGAAGACTAGGACCTACATTTGCTGAACATCTCCTTGGAGACATTGTCAAATTTGCCCTGAAGTTGGTCGAGAAGCTCATCGACCGCCACAGTGAGTTGGCCTTGGGCGTCAGAGTTCTAGACCGATTTAGCGGAGGGGATATCGATATTAGGGGCATAGTGAGCGCCATACTGGTTGTGAGAGAAAAGATTCCTCTCCAGAGGTCTTGGTTGGTGAATCTTCCTGCGGCATGATGTATACCTCCCAAGAATGTGCAGACGTCGACAGTCCAACTTAAAGTGTACGGAGAGTTGACTGTATGGCATTCAGTTGATAAGGCCGGATCATTATTTACTCCGACCACCGACCCACGCTAATCTCAAATAGTGCTTATCGGCCACGCTAAACCGTATCAGGACTGGCTCGGGTTCAAAAAAATCAAGAGCATTCCTCCGCTGTCTCTCTACAACCGGTCAATTTCCAACAACCGATTCCCTTCCAACCACACACAATGGTTAAACGAAGCAAGCTGCTCCAGGCCCTCGATGCCCACAAGGGTCGCGACTACGATGCCGAGAAGCAGAAGAAGATGGTGAAGGCCGCAGAAAAGCGTAAAGGCGTGAAGAAGACCGACAGCCCAGCAAAGGCCAAGGAGACCAAGCAAGATAAGGAGGAAGTTGCTGTGAGCTCCGAAGCCGAGGAGGACGACGAGGAGGAGCAGGAGGAGGTCGAGGCTGAGGAGTCCGACGAAGAAAATGCCGAAGAAGAGGCCGAAGAGGACGACGACGAGGAGGAAGAGGAAGAGGAAGACATCCCCCTATCAGACCTTGAAGACGATGAACGTGAGGATGTCGTCACCCACCAACGCCTGACCATCAACAACTCCGCCGCGATCACCGCCTCCCTCAAGCGCATTTCCTTCATCACATCGCAGACCCCATTCTCCGAGCACAACTCCCTCGTGTGTAAAGAGCCGATCGAGGTTGAAGACCCCAATGATGACCTGAACCGTGAATTGGCCTTCTACAAGGTCTGCCAAGCTGGCGCAACCGAGGCCCGTGGTCTGCTGAAGAAGGAGGGCATTCCCTTCACCCGTCCTGGTGACTACTTCGCAGAGATGGTCAAGAACGACGAGCACATGGACAGAATCAAGAAGAAGCTGTACGATGAGGCAGCTGGCAAGAAGGCCGCTGCTGAGGCGCGCCGCCAGCGTGACCTTAAGAAGTTCGGCAAGCAGGTGCAGGTCGCCAAGTTGCAGCAGAGAGCTAAGGAGAAGCGGGAGACTCTTGACAAGATCAACACCCTGAAGAAGAGTATGTTTTACTGTGCTCTAGCAGAGCTACTTCCGAATTTACCGTGACATCTAATAACAATTCTTTACAGAGCGCAAGGCTGATACTTCTGCTCCTACCGACGATTCCAAGGACCTCTTCGATGTCGCCATTGAGGAGTCTGGCCCGACTGACCGCAAGCGTGGTCGCGGTGACGGTGGTGGCAACTTCAAGCGCCAAAAGAGAGACCAGAAGTTCGGCTTCGGTGGTAAGAAGCGTCACTCCAAGAGCGGTGATGCCGCATCCAGTGGTGACATGAGCGGCTTCTCTCAAAAGAAGATGAAGGCTGGTGGTTCCAAGCGGCCCGGCAAGAGCAAGCGGGCCCAGGGTCGCATGTAAAGTGTGATGTATGAGGAATTCAGGTTGTGAGACGGAGATGTGTGAAGGCGCATTTGGCGCCAAAAAAATCTCATGGTGGAGAATTTCCACTTTTGCTTTCTGTAATAAACTATAGTTACCCTGCATCTATGAATTGACTTATTTCTTACATTCCTCCGGTGAAGATATCTCAAGTTGACACCCAATCCATAGATGGCGCAGATAAGAAATGTGCCGTAATATCAATACCGAATCTATAATTATATACGGGTAAAACAAGCGCTGTCATTATAGCACTTCCTTATCGGTACAAGTACTTCCTTATCGATACTAATAAATTACCAAAGCTACATTAATCCTCAACTTTTCACTCGACCTTCTCCTGACCTCATTCCGCCAAATGCGCGTTCCATTTGGCTCCAGACTCTTCCGCACCACAATGTCAGGCGAAAAGATCCTCGAAGGCTGCTTCGGTAAGAAACCACCCTTCAATCCAACCCAAGTCCCAATCCTAACAATTTCAACAGCCATTCACAAGCCGCAAGGCGTCACATCCGCCGACGTTCTTCGCAAATGCCAAGAGCACTTCAACCCCTCCAAGGTCTTCGCCCCCTGGCTCCAAAATGAGCGCGACCGCCGCGAACGCGAAAACCAGTTCCAGCAAAACCGCCGCCGCCAAAAGAAAATCGAAGTAAAGATCGGACACGGCGGTACCCTCGATCCCCTCGCAACAGGAATTCTAATTGCCGGCGTCGGAAAGGGCACAAAGTCCCTCAGCAGCTTCCTAGAATGCACAAAGTCCTACGAGACCATTGTGCTGTTCGGCGCGGAGACGGATACCTATGATCGCATGGGCAAGATCGTGCGCCGGGCTCCATACGAGCATGTTACACGGGAGAAGGTTGAGGAAGCGCTTAAGCAGTTCCGCGGCAAGATCATGCAGAAGCCGCCCATTTTTTCTGCGTTGAGAATTAATGGAAAGAGGCTTTATGAGTATGCGCGTGAGGGAAAACTTCCGCCTGTTGAGATCAAGACTAGGCCTGTTGAGGCTTTGGAGCTGGAGATTGTGGAGTGGTATGAGCCTGGGACACATGAGCACCAGTGGCCCACGGAGAAGATGGTCGGGGATGAGAAGAAGGTTGCGGAGCAGTTGCTTGATCAGCAGGCTGGTGCTCCTCCTAAGGTGGAGGAGGCTGTGCCTTCTAAGCGCAGTGCTGCCGATACGGCTGAAGCTGAGCATGATGCCGATAAGAAGCAGAAGGTTGGTGAGAGTGGTGAGGCTCAAGCGGTTGCTGCGCCTGCTGCTTCGGAGACTGCTGCTGATGCTCCGACTGAGGAGAAGACCGCTGCTACAGAATATCTGTCGGACTCAGATGCTGAGGGCGCGGATGGTTCGACTAAAAAGCAGCGGCCTCAGGCGCCTGCTGTCAAGATTCGGATGACTGTTACTTCTGGATTCTATGTTCGTTCTTTGGCGCATGATTTGGGCAATGCTGTTGGCAGCTGTGCACTCATGAGTGAGCTTATCCGGACGCGCCAGGGTGACTTTGAGCTCGTCCCTGAAAAGGTTCTCCAGTATGAGGATCTTGCTGAGGGTGAGGAGGTCTGGGGCCCGAAGGTTGAGGGATTCCTCGGCGCTTGGGAGGATAAGATGGCTGCCAAGGCAGCGGAGGCAGAGGCGGCCAAGGAGCAAAATTAGAGCAAGACACATTAATTGATGTTCTATAATAGTATATAGGGTCCGGTGTAAAAAAAGGGTTTTTATATTCATGTTTCCAAGGTTTCTGTTTCCAAGTATTCCAGGAGCTAGGGCTGGAGCGCTTTTATGATAAAAGGAATCCTGAGCCATTAGAGAGTAGATAGTTTGTGGGGATACCTGCATGTAAAGAAGCAAAGGCGTATTTGATCGCTAGTAGTACATCACAAGGGTGCCACGGCAAGCTATTAGATCCGCGTCTCCTCCGCAAAGTAAACTTCCGGAAATGCTTCACGCATCTGTTGATAGTGTTGACTGATTAAGTACTTCATGAGATTGCTAACGGGAAGAGCAGTATGCATGCGCTGCTCAGTCTCGACCAGCTCGACTCGCATTTGGGTTTCCCAGTCATGCTCGCCGGCGTGGTCTTCAATCTCCTTCTGGCGTTCCGCTCCTTTGGTGGTGATCAATTTAGGACAGCCAGCCATGCGGCATGCCCATATTTCGGGCTCAGGTTGAGGTGTAGGCTCAGGGACTAGTTCGGATTCAAGCTCAGAGTGGCCATTTAATTCAGGAAGTGGTGGAATGCCTCCTAGATCTGATTTTTCAATGCTCATAGTTGATGCAAGGGTAGTAGGTTTTTGGGTGGTTTCCTGAAGCATGCTTTTCAGGAGAGAAGCTGCAGGACCGGATTTGGCCATGAAGGACCTGGTTCGTGGCTTTGCTGACGCCAATGGAGTTCGAATTAGCTCGTGGCCGCGGGTCTTGCTAGGTGTTTCAATGTCGGACATGGCGTCTGGGTCATCATCATCGTTATCATCGTTGTCAGACTCTGTATTCTGCTGATTTGCCGTTACATTTCGATTCCGTTTGCCCATAACTTTGGCAGAAACGGCGGCACTCCTTGGGCGGAGGACAGACTTTTGAGTCCGGGTAAGACCTTCATCATCGCTGGAGTCTTCGAGGGGCTGTAGAGGTGTGAGGAGGCCATGAGGTAAGGGATCAGGCTGTGAGGCAGCATGAGTAAGTTCTCGGTGGATGACATAGCGAGACCATTTCACTCCAGATGTCTCATCTTCATCCAACTTCTCGAGTACGGTACCCGCTCGGGCTGCGATAATCTTATGAGCATTCTCTTTGCTGAACGAGTAGCGTTCAGACAATCGCTCGGACACTAGGTCTAGATGCAAACGGCGTTTCGCCAGATGACCTTCTTCCTTGAGCTCCTGTATCAATCGGTAGATAGCATCGGTTTGTGACTTAATGATTGTGGCTGGATTGTGTCGAGGAGTGGTGGCTTCGGGTTCATCCTCCTCCTCCTCGTTCTCAGATTGGGGTGATAGGCGGTCCATGATCTCCTTGTATTCATCCTGACACATAAAAAAGTCAGTAAGATGAAAACGGCGAAGAACTCACAGCCAGCCAGCTACTTACTTTGAATTGTCGGCGAAGATGGATGAAAACATTGGTCTTATTCCATTCCATGTCCTCATCATCTTCAATCATGCAACGCAGCAAGAAGGGCCCATGTTGTGTAAACACTTCGGCTGAATTCTCTCTGGTCTCGCAATCGCCATGTGTGTGAAAGACGTACTGCATGGGGTTAGTCGTGGGCAGATCGAATACAGTCAAGGCCTAGAGGGAGTAACGTACTTGCTCACACAGGTTCTTAAATGTGGGATTTAGCTGTTTCTTTCCATGCTGGTGCCTGTCCATCAGGAAGTAGTACATGTCCACGGCCTGGACCATGCGATTGAAGGTGGGCAGGTAGCCCTTTGCGGGTGATATTTGGTACCAGCCAGCCTTGCCGGCCACCCATAGCTCGACGCTGCGATCTTCTGTCTGGCCGTAGGCATAGTGGGTAACATCGTCGATAATAATTCGTTTGGAGAGGGTATCAGGGTCAAGCACTACAGAGTGATGAGGAATGTAAGCAGCCGGTCAGACGCGTTTGCCGTCGGCGGATAATAGTTGATCGATCACGTACCTAAGTGTTCTTGATTCGGCTTCAGATCTAACTGGCCAATGACCTGCACAGGGTTGTTCTCATTGGCTTCTAGCAAATTCGCATACAGCATTTTACCTGGTCGCAAGACCTTGACCTCGGACAGGCCAAACTCCCACCAATCATTCTCATCTGAGATGGAGGGATCGATGGGAGGGAGGACTAATTCTTCGCGGGCGGTCATGGTGCCGGTCGCGGCATGGTGAAGGAAGACGAGGAGGTAGGAGGAGCGAGTGTAGATGAGACCCGCTCGGAGCCATGAGAAGGCAGAAACGAGCTGAATTCTTGCGGGACGTCAACAAAGAGTAGACCGGGGGATCGACCAGCTGAGTCAGGAGCCTGAGGCTCGTAATTAACCTGGTCCAATATAGTGAACCCAGTAGGTACATTATAGACACCACTACAGAAGTTCCACCAGGATGGAACGCCTTTGATGAGCTAAATGTCTAGTTTACTATGGCATATTGGAGGCAAAAGCTAATCATCGTTCTTCTTAACTCGATATACACTTATCTTCTAGAGACTAATACTCAACACCCCATTATAGTGACATCGCTCTTTGATCCATTCTTCCGGATTCTTTATGCAAATCCAATTAGAGTTCCTTGCACTCGAATTGATTACCTGGTAGGCTGTCTGTGAAGCATGGACTTGCTTCAAATCTAGCACAAAGTTATCGATTTGTAATCCATAACGAAATCCGAATTCGAAATTATCGTGAACGCATTTGTTCAGGTCTATGCTAGGTTGTATATCGCTGCTTGGGTTCCTATGCGCGGAAGAGATTAGTAAATTGCATCTCTTTACCTACCCAGGCAGGTGCCATTTCTCTCTGTCATATTCGTTACATGGAGAGAAAGAGCGGCAAATGGTTGATATAGGATCGCTCCTCACCAAGAGATATAGCACGAGTCTCCCAGATCAATGCGTGGGTTCTGCACCTTGAACTGCAAAGTTCCCAGTGTATCATCGGAATATAGAGTGGCACACAGGCCTTGAACCTCGAATACTGTGGTACGCTTCACTGGGTTCGCAAGGCCATGGCCAAAAATTGCCAGGAAGGGAAAAATGGCCACGAGCTGCATTTTATATGGCCAGAGTAAAGATGAATAGGAATCGAGGCACTTGAAGAGCTTTCGAACAGAGAGAAAGATGAATGAGGTAGAACATCGTCACCAGTCGTCAGATCAGACGGGTCTTATAGTTCCCGGGTATCGAAAAACCTAAAATTGAGAAGAGAATTACCGGATGGCCCTGGACCATGGAATACGAGGTGAGTGGTGCACCGAAAGGTTTCGATAGGTTAGGATTATCCCACGGTATACTCACATCCAAATCTGAAGCTTTCAGGGAAACAATGTGACTTGGTACATGAAAAATAGTACGTGGATCTTTTGTCGGTGTAGCATTTCCCCAAGGCTTGGATTGCTCCTTACTGCTGAATTCCAAGGTTGCTTGCATAAGTGAACGCTATTTAATTATGCTGCCTTGGGACACAGGGAGATCTTTGATTAACGCACCACGTATCTATGGCGTAGCTACCTCTTTGTACATAAAGCCACTCACCTAGGTAGAGAAGGTGTCAGATGGGTTGTCTACAGATTCGACCAGCATCCATAGCACCACAGGCCGCCCAAGTACAAACCACCAAGAAGTAAGAAAAATATCGAGAGGTATAGAACGAGTACTTAGTATGCAAAGCAGAATGTGTATGCGGTGCAAGAAAGTAAAAGCAGAACTAGAAAAAACTCCTAGGCCTCGCAGGAAGCCGATGCTAGATAAAGCGCAAGGCCTGCTGTACATGGGAGAAGTGGAAAGAGAAATGAGCTTTTGACTCGGAGGGGTATACCAAGGAACATGCCACATATATCACGCACACAGATAGAGATAAGGAGAGAGATGACACGGGTGAAAGAAGTGGGATAAGACATTTGGATGAATGGAGTGAAAGGCACAAAGGCCAAACCGTGTGAAGATGGGAAAGAAAGAAAAGGAAAAGCCGGTGTATCCAGAGTAAGACAAGGCAGTTGCGGTGATTGAATGTAGCGCAAGCTGTGAGATGGGGAAAGATGCAAATGAAGAGAAAAGAAATAGATGCAGGGACTATCAGTGGAGGAATCCGGTCCTCCACTGATGAAAATACTTATGATTGGTTGGCAAGGTGAGCCTCAACAAGAGCTGTGGCGCAAGTTAGTATGCATAATACGCAGGGTAATGCTGAGATGAGACTTACACTGCAGGGCGGAGGTCTGTCCCTGTCGAGATTCACATGCACACTGAAGAGTGCTGCCGTCCAGGAAGTTCAGCAGAATACTGTTGGGGAGTTCTTGCATATCTTCATCGGGAAGGCAGGGTGTACGGAACTCAGTGAGATGGTAGCGCTTGATCATGTTGCGAGCAGTCGCGTCGGTGGTGCCAGGTGTGAGCACAACATATCCATTCTCATCGATGCGCATGCATCGACGTTTCCAAAGAAGGGTATCTGGGAATTGAACGTTGACCTCGCCAATTTCAATGGGTTTCGACAGGCTCTGGTGCGAGGATGACGGGGAGAGGGCTGACTCGCCAGCGGCAATGGAGGCAAGATCTTCCTCCTTCACAGGTGAGCTCAGAGCTCCAATGATACTACGACGAGAAGTAGCCGTGATCGATGACATGCGGCGCATCAAGCGCGAAGCGCGGGATACTCTCTTGTCTTCAGCGGTCGGAGAGGGCGACTGCAGATTCTCGTCAGTCTTCGTGCGCGAAGACAACGACAGCCGGCTTGTGGGCCGAGAGACGGAGGTCTGTCGGCTAGACCCAACAGATGACATAGACATGCTTCGGTCCTCCACATGGCTGACAGTTTCTGCTGGTGGGGATGGGGTTACGCTTTGAGGCGCAGAATCCTCAGTCGACTCATGCTCCACAGTGAGTGGGCTGGGTTGAAGGTTGAGGACATCGGACTCAAATTGCTCTCCACCCGAAGAGGCGGGTGAGTCAGTTGAGTCACGCAGAATATGAGCGGTCACGGAGATCGAGTTGGTACGGCGCGACATGCTAGTGGCGGGGCGTGAGTCGTGTAGGTTCACGCTCGGCGCGCGCGAGAAGTCAGGTAGGGTAATATCGCCAGGGTAGGAAACTGATGCACGCTTGCGGAGATTCTCAAAGGATGAAGAGGCAGATGGCGCAGGTCCATTGGCGGATGGGATTGGAGTACCCTCTCGGCTCGAGAACTTCTCCAAGGCCTTGATGCGGCTTGAAATGCCTGATGAAACATTGACCTTCTTGGCCATGAGCGGGGTCGCAGGACCATTGTCGAGGTATGAGCTCGACGCAGATCGGCCGCCTACGGTGAGGGTCTGTGAGACGGACGGAGACGGAAGGCCATAGGGGCTCGAGACGGCGCGGGATGGGCTTCTCCAATGTTGACCACCGCTGGGTGAATTGACAGCAACCGGTCGTGCCTCCTGCACAGTGGCAGATCTCAATTCCTCCATGAAAGAATCGTCGGAAAGAAGGCAGTCGTCATCCGAGTACTCAAGAGTTGGAACTTGAATTGGCTCTAGGTGGATCTTTCGTCGCTGGTCTAAAGGAATCGGGTCTGCCTTTTGGATCTTGGACTCTTCGAGGGCAGATTCATCCGGTGGCACAAAGTCAATTGAAACAGTCACAGGTGCGACCGTGGGTTCGATCTCAAGGCTAGGTGGGGTAGTCTTCGGCGACGTGGAGGGAATAGCGACAAACTCAGGGGTTTCTTCGCGGGTCGGATCCACACTGGGACTCTCCAATTGTTCCGTGACAGACACAGGGGTCTCTAGTGATGGTGAGTAATAAGAAACAGAAGAATCTTTAGGCCCTGAAGATTGTTCTGGAACTTCTGGAACCTCAGTGGAAACCGGGTCAAGGGGCGCTTCGACATCCACGCTAGAAGAAACTAGTTCCTCCTTAGTCTCGGTTTGGCCGATGATTGCGGAGTTCCCGAGCTCGGCGCGTGTTTCATCTTCAGGAACAGTCTGAGGCGTCTCAGACTTTAAGGCCTCTGAAAAATCCCCATGGTCAATAGAGAATGTAGTATCAGCACTGGGGCCCGAAGTATGTGAGGATTGCCTCTCTTCGGAATCTGACACAACAATGTCAGCCGCAGGCTCTGGCTCGGAACTTTCCATCAGAACCAGGATTGGAGATTCTTCATTCTCCGTTGGAATCTCATGACGTAGCTCGAGTGTAGGTGGTTCATGAACTCGCAGAGGCAGATCAGACGATTTTTCCTCGCGGGGTATTTGCTTTAGCTCGGGCTCGGGCTTCTCTGGCTCAACTGCCAGATTGACATTCTCCTTGTTTTCCTCCGGGTCTGGTGTGGTCTCTGATTGCGTCTTTGGCTCATCGGCTTCAGTAATGCTTGAATTTTTCTTCGTATTTTCCGCTCGTTTGGCCATGGCCTTTCGCCGTTGTTGAAGTGCCTTCATCAGTCGTTCCTTTTCAGGGGTCAACCCGGAAGAGGTAGACAATGCGCCCAGGGATTTAGCTCCCGGGGACAGTTGGGGTCTCGAGATCGGAATGCTCGGAGGAGGGACAAGGAGTGGGGGAATCGGCGGTGCGCGACTGTTAGGCCTGGTCGCAAAGGAACTGCCTTGTGATCGGGGGCGAGGAGGCTCCACAGCGTTTTGCTTTCGCACCGAGGATGATCGCATATTGGACGGGAGGGAGGCAACGGGCCGTTGCTCAGCATTCTTGGAGCTTCCGGAAGTGCGGGGCCGTCCGCTCTGGTCTAAGGAGGGACGGGGGCCGAGTTTTACTTTTGGCGTGGATGAGTATGTGGAGGCGCGTTCTAGTTCTCGTAGTGAAGGTCGTGCAGATTGCGTGGACACTCGTACTTCGTCCGAAGGCCGGGGAAACTCGTCGAGGATGTTTCGGTATTTGGAACGCCCCGAGCTGGAAGCTGGGGATACAGGGGCTGGGGACATAGCTTCGGAATGCGTTTCGCTGGGGGTTCCTCGTGAAGGCGGGGGTCGAGAGCTTGCTCGCGATTGGGGTGGACGGATATCGGGAGAGGATTCGAGCTCGGAGGAAGAAGTAACTGGGGGTACGACGGTGGCCTCTGATTTTTGGCTACCAGAACGTTGCCTCACTTCACTTTTGGGGGGAGCTTGCGGTTCCGGCTGTTCCTTGGTCTCCTCCTTTGCACCAGTCTCTTCTGCATCTTCCGTGATTTCCATCAGCCGACGTCTCCGCAGCGAGCTTGACGAAGAGGTTATTGATCCCGACGCAGTATGGAGAAGACACGCGGATGACAGGGCGCTCTCGCTGAGGTCGGACGCTTGGGTTAAGGCGAGCACGGAGTCGTTCGGGGTAAACTTGTCAAGGACAGACGAAAACTGAACGTTGCTTCGCGCTAAAGGAACAGAGCGTCCCAATTAGTACGATTTGAGATGTAAAGGAGACACCCATTGACGTACCTAAAATGAGCCGGGACAACCCCTCGGGCATGTACCGAAGAATGACCTTCCTTCGCCGGTACTGCAGAAAGCCATAGAGAGGCGAGATCTCCTCGTAGTTGTCGATGGCGTTGCGCACCTCGGGCACCCCGCCGGTGCCTCGCTCCAGTAAAGCCACTTCATCTCTTGCAATGTAGTGTAGAAGGAACCTAGCAGCACGGACAGTCAGATTCAATTATTCTTAACAACAATCGGTGAAATTGAGTGTGAAAGGGGGTGTGAAAAGAGGCAAGGATAGACATCGTGAATCAGGCGATCGAAGATCTTGGAGAAGCATTGCGAAGCCTTCCGCAATAAGGACCAAACTCACCATCCACCTGCATCAGCCAGAGCACTCTGGTAGGCTTCAACGACGACGGCAGTATCTAGCCCATTGAGAGACATGGCGTGAACGACATGGAGACTGAACGATCAAGTCGAAAGGGGGAAGGTTTAGGAGAAAAAAGGAGGGGATCAGTCCCGAGAGCCTAACAAGCTAAGATCTGGGCCGAGTGTCTTGATTTGGGGCTAACGGATTTAGATCTCACAATCAGAGTATCCAATCAAGGTAATTGGAGTTTCCAGTGTCAGTTGGGATGGAAGTTCGTAAAGGATTCCAGAGCAGGATGCTGATAGGCCTGCTTAGGCACGGAGCAGTGGTTTCTTGAATTCCTGGAGTTTCTTTGGCTCAGGGGCATCCGCTTCCATTCGTTCAATGACTCCACTTGCGGCTATCCCAATTTAAGGTGAGCAATCTGAAACGCTCGTTCGGTTTGCCTGCTCTTTATAGTTAGGATCTCTTTCGAGGGAGGCATTCCCTGTACATATTCTGGATCGATGGGGAAGAATGTTATCTTGGCCGGGGGAAATCCGAAAAATGCAGATTATAGCCATCTTTGACACTGTATGATCTGTGCGGATATTCCACTAAATTGGGTTCATCCCGATTTGCAGGCCAGATCGGAATGCCAGATCGACGTGTCCAACATAGTAGTAAGCGTGGATGATATAGTATCAAATCTACTCCATATAAAATACGGGGCATATCAGTTCCGTGGGCGCATTTCTCCGGCCGAACACCTACAATACTCGGCGAGCCCCGATAGCGGGAACCTACTTATATCAACCAACGTCCCCGCTATAACGGTTACAAGTATAATCAACTCGACAATGGATCTTCCAGCCATCTCCACCATTACCTCTCTCCCTCAAGAGACTCAGCTGCGCGTGCTGGACACGCTCTTCGAGCCCTCTCCCGAACTTCACCAACTGATGATCCCAGTTCTGGCCAACCAGACTTTCTCTTCATATGGCACTCTGATCGAGGCTGTGGGTGGTCGTATGTCTGCTCTCTCTGCCGTCAACTCCCCCACCGACCGGGACGTGTTATTCGGCATCCTAGGCTCCCACCCTCGCCTCGGTCGGGCTCCCGCCAACCCGGAGCATCTGAGCGAGCTGAGCAAGAAGGAGCAGGAACAATTGAATACCGGCGCTGAAGAGCAGGGCGAGAAACTTCGAGCACTAAATGCGGAATACGAACAACGATTTCCCGGATTGCGATTTGTGTAAGAGCAATTCCTCAGGTTATAACTATACTTTTCTTTTTGGGACTATCGCTGATATTTCATGACAAGCTCTTTTGTCAACGGCCGCAGCAGAGATGTGATTATGGCAGAGATGCGCCAGCGTATTGACCGAGGTAATCAAGAAAAGGAAGTTGAGGAAACAATTCAGGTGGGCTTTGGAATTGATATCTCTTTGATCGCAAGACACTGACGTGCATAGGCCATGTGTGACATTGCAAAAGATCGCGCCCGCAAACTCCAGGCGCGCATTTAGAAATGAACAAAATATATACTATAAACAAGACTTTGAAGTCTTGGCATGTATCAAAGAATCCAGGCAAGACGATAAGCTCTGGGAGGCGAAAAGGGTCCAACAGTATGGGGCTCCACCCGCTTCCAATTTGATGTCATCCATGACTTTCCCGGCCGTTGCCGCTTAGCCTATCGTCTTTTTTTCTGGACTTTTTCTTTCTTTCTATAATATTCAATCAATACTGTGATTCCCTATTTCTCTCTCCCCTTTGCAACCCATACTATTACTCTCCCCATGCGCTCAACGCGCGCCACAATATGGTGGAGAGCAGCGCGGACCAGACATTGCCACGAGCGCCAATCCCCGCGATAGCCGGGGATTCTAAACCACCACCTCCCAGGGCTGCAACATTCCCCGGTATGTAGACATTGCAATTTGAACCGGTTCTTTATGCGATCCGTTTCGTGCTTATGCGACAAACCCGCCGACGCGCGACCCCCTATATTTTCCAAAATACAAACACATCAAGTAGAACCCACTGACAGCAAACTTGATAGGCTCGGTTATCTCGGACGTCCCATCAGGGTCAAGCAACAGCCAACAGGATGGCCAGCGGAACTCTCGTCGTCCCATGCCCATTGGTGGTCCGTTGGTCAGAAACTCTACCTCGTACACGCTGCATGAGACCCGGACCGAATCCAGCGCCATCGACCCGTTATCTCAGGTCAGCCTTGTCTTTTGGCGCATGTGTCGCGCTGGACTGAATCGCAAGAACTTTCTAACCCTCTCTTATAGCATATCATCAAGCGCACCAATACGCAAAAGTCCATTCCTCTAAAGTTATTGGGTCGGGCCTCGTACGAGGCCGATGCCGGGAGCTCGGAGTACAACTTGTCAGATCATGGCGCGGCTCGGGGAGATGCGTCAAACTTAAAGCTGCCCAAGGAAAAGAAGTAAGTTATTCAATGTGGAATCTCTGATGTTTGCGCTTTCTCCTCCGCGTATATTTTTCTCTTCGCAAGAAAAGAAAACATACGTATGCGCGGAATCCGGGACCTCCGAGCTCCGATCATATTGACCTTGGCTGACGAGATCTGGCTTTCTTTTTTCGCCCAGCAGAAAAGGCGTTTCTTTCCTAAGTCGCATTATTGGCACAAAGAAGAAAGATACGTTATCCGAGGCAGAAGATGATACCTCAGAAGCAGAGGCCAGTCGCATGTCCGTCGAGACTTCGCATCCAATGGGGTTCATCCCCCGGCACCCGGCCCCATCACGGTATATGAAGGTTCGGGCGCATTACAAGAAGGACAAGACATTCGATCGTCTGTTCTTGGCACAAGAACTGCAGGGCGGGGGCGTGCAGCAGCCCGCCGCAGGAAGACGAGGGTCAACGTCGACGAACGCCAATGATGATACTGGAAGAGCGATTTGGGCTCTGAGTTTCTCTAAAGATGGCAAATTTCTAGCTGCGGCGGGTCAAGATCGAAAGGTCCGAGTATGGGCCGTCATCACCACACCAGAGGAGCGGGAGCAGGCCACACTAGACGGTGATACTGCAGAGGCGCAACAGCTGAAGTTCACGGCACCGGTGTTTTCGCCCAAACCTGTCAATGTGTACGAGGGGCATACCGGAAGCATTCTGGACCTGAGTTGGAGTAAAGTATGAAGACTTATTGCCTTAAAATTGAGTGCAATCAGCTAACCAGAACAGAACAACTTCCTTCTGTCCTCATCTATGGATAAAACTGTCCGATTATGGCATGCGAGTCGAAATGAATGTCTATGCTGCTTTCAACACAGCGACTTTGTCACCTCGATTCAATTCCATCCCAAAGACGATCGATTCTTTTTGGCAGGCTCATTGGACTGCAAGCTACGACTCTGGAGCATTCCAGATAAGAGCGTGGCATTTATGACGACCGTACCGGATATGATCACAGCAGTAGCGTTTACACCAGATGGCCGGCATTCAATGGCAGGATGTCTGAATGGTCTACTCAACATCTATGACACTGAGGGTCTCAAGGTATCAGGGCAGATCCACGTTCGATCAGCCCGAGGACGAAACTCGAAAGGCAATAAGATCACCGGCATTGACACTATGATGATCCCTGAGGACGATCCGAACGGAGATGTCAAAATATTGGTGACTAGCAATGACTCGCGAATCCGGCTCTATGATTTCCAACTGCGGACCCTCGAGGCAAAGTTTCGGGGCAATGAAAACACTTGCAGTCAGATCCGGGCATCATTTACCGAAGATGGTAAGCATGTTATCTGTGGCAGTGAGGACCGTAGAGCCTATGTCTGGCCAATTGGGGCTGCTGAAGGAGATTCCGACAAGCGAGCCGTGGAGGTGTTTGAAACACAGTCCGCCATCGTCACCGTGGCTGTGACGGCGCCTGTGAAGACCAAGCAGGTTCTTGGGCTATCGGAAGATCCGATCTATGATATCTGCAACCCCCCGCCTGTAGCTCTCATGAGTCCCGAGGAAGCTGTAGGAACTCCAAAGCAATCGAGCTCCGACATCAAAAAGCCTGAGCACAAGCACAAACGGTCTGCATCAGCACCGCGCTTATCCATCGTGTCGAAAATGGCGCACGAATCCCCCTCGTACTTGGCTCGTTCAAAACACCCCGATGGAAGTATTATCGTCATCGCCGACTATTCAGGCAAAATCAAAGTCCTCCGACAAGACTGCGCCTTCCAAAAACGTCGTTACGAGAATTGGGATCACTCCACTATCTCCAAGCGGCTTTTACGACGTTCCAATTCCACACATCAGAGTATCGGCTCTTCAATGAGCAAAGACTCCGCACATAAGACCCCATCCGAGCGAATCGTCTCCTGGCGCAACTCCGTCATCCGCAATGGCCGCCCTAGCACTGAGGGATCCCGCTCCGGTCTCCGCACCCGCAGTCCATCTCCACAACACCGACCAGCCGCATTTCGGCTTTCATCCTCCCGACCCTCAAGTATGGGTCCGAATGAGTCTCTTTCAATTGTCTCAAAATCCCCGCCCCCATCGCCTCGTAGATCCCGTTTGGATCATAGCCATAGCCACCTGGCCGAGGACTCTAACCAACAAAACGGACATTCACCAGACCCGCGCAAACTTCCCTCTACGGCAGCCGAGATTGTGGCTAGCGGCAAGGGCAAAGACAATCCGCTTTGGTTGCAAGGAGATCATAGCTATGCATTCTGGAACAAGATCACACACGATGCATTGGCGGCCAAGTCCCGCCAGTCGAATGATCTCCTCAGTCCAAATCGCATCCCTTCCGGATCCGCAGGCGATCGCAAGCTAAGTATATCTGGAGGCAGTGTGCTCAGCAGCGAATATGGATCCTCCATGGGCGAAACCGATGAGGATATTCTGAAATGCGAACATTGCAGTGGTACTAACTTCCGTGGGGTCAAAGACCGGGGTGGGAAGCAGAAGTTGATTTGCGTTCAATGCAATCGGTCTGTTTCTTGAATCTATCTCGTTTGTTTTCTTTCAACTTACAAGACATTGGCGCTTGTGTATTGCATTTGGTTTGATCTGTTGGTACATATTGGTTTACTATTTCCTTGGCCAGTGTTGGATATGGATCTTGGAGTTGAGTGGAAACAGGCTAGAGGCGTTGGACCTGGATCCTGACTCGACATGTATTATATGATATGGATCGCGTGTGAAATATTCCTGTAAAGAACTCAGTTCAAAATTTAAATATGTATAAATATGAACAATTTCCCAAGTCTAACATGCATATTTTGAGTATAAAATGTTAGTAGGTTCATAGTTTGTGGTTAGTAGGCTGATGCCAAGACATCGAAAAAGTCCGGCAACTGATAACTGATCGAAACCCCGGACTTCCTCCAACCACACCATCTTCCAATTCTCTCACTTCGGAGGCTATTTCCCTGTGAACACAAATACAGATCGCCAGAATATTCTAAGCAGCTTCGGAGTTCACCCAGAGCTACCAATTCCTATTCCTTCCCGCGCATCCTGCTCGCACTCAACCTCACACTCGACACCTCACCACAAAAGCGAGACCGGCTCTCGTCTATATCCAACTATGCCTTACCTCCCTACCACCCAGGCATTCCTGGAGCAATCCGCTCTGCTTCTCGAAGCATACCCGGAAACTGTAAGATACCACGCACAAAGCCACATGGCCATCCCACCATCTATCTCCACAACCCACGCAACCCAATATCTGTCTCCGCACTCCCACCACCAGCTACCCATTCTCATATCTCCAACGAACACCCAAACCCCGAAACAAAAGAAGCACATACCTATCCCAAAGACTAAAAACCACAAACCACAATAAAAAATGAAACTAACAATCCCAGACCCGCATCACAACAAAATACAGCTTCCCAACTGAACGCCGCGCCCAGCAACACAAGCGCGAAAAGTCCCTCGCAAAGAAACAAGCATCTTCCACAACAGAAACCGCTCCCACCGAATCCACACCAACCGCGCCTATTGCATCTCTCACCCTGAAAACCTACAACCCCGCCACAGGCGTATGCCTGAAGTATCGCACAAACAAGCTGCAGGAGGTTAGCCGGTTGATGACTGGCTTGGGCAAGTTGGCCGGAGGAGCGGATGTGGCTAGTCTGGGGTTATCGGGACCTGGGGCTGATGTTGAGATGGTTGATGCGCCGGCTGCTGAGGAGGAGGTTGTGCAGACTCAGAGTGGGAAGGTGCCTGCTGGTGGGAAAGGGAAGAAGAAGGGCGGGAAGGGGAAGCGATAGGAGGTTTTAAGTGAATATTGAATATTGATATTGATTGTATTGTCGTGTTGAGCGACTTGGTATTGGCATAGAAAATAATGACTTACGTGGTTCGTTATGGATTGAGGCTTTGCGTACGTTTATTCTACTGTATGTGCAGATCTTAAGTCGTTGTGCTGCGATGGACATGTAGCAATTTCAAGTTCATGGGGTATTGTACATTAGAAACTATGTGCTACGATGAGAAATGCTACAATAAGAAATGATGGAGAATTTGCTGAAAGTGTACACATCGAAGTGATTGAATATCTAGATACAAATATCCGCCATCCACCCAATATTAGACAACAGGGGAAAGTCTAGGACAGACCAAGAGAAAGTAAATCGAACGCCATGCCCATGCGCAACCATTGAGAACAGATCCCATCAAAACAAGAAACAAGAAAAAAAGCGTGATATCATGTGGAAAAGCGGAGCGAGAAACACCCACAACGCTGGGTATAAAACAAGAAGGGGAGAGGGAGAAGGTAGAAGGCGACAACATCTAGAAGTCCTCATCGAAGTTGAGGCCACCGTCATTGCCGGGAACCTTCTCACCATCAGCGTCCTTCTTGGTGCTGGCCATGACACCGGCCTTCTGGTAGTCACCAACACGCTTCTCGAAGAAGTTGGTCTTGCCGGCCAGGGAGATGGACTCCATGAAGTCGAAGGGGTTGGTAGCGTTGTAGTACTTCTTGTTGCCGAGAGCGAGAAGAAGACGATCAGCAACGAACTCAATGTACTGGCACATGAGAGTGGAGTTCATGCCGAGCAGGGCACAGGGGAGAGAGTCGGACAGGAACTCCTGCTCAATGCCGACGGCCTCGACAATGATCTTCTCAACCATCTCGGGGCTGGGGCGGTTGTTCAAGTGGGAGAAGAGCAAGCAGGCAAAGTCAGTGTGCAGACCCTCGTCACGAGAGATGAGCTCGTTGGAGAAGGTGAGACCAGGCATCAGACCACGCTTCTTCAACCAGAAGATGGAGGCGAAGGAGCCAGAGAAGAAGATACCCTCAACGGCAGCGAAGGCAACCAGACGCTGGGCGAAAGTGGACTCCTCATCCTGGATCCAGTTGATGGCCCACTTGGCCTTCTTGGCAATGCAGGGAACTAGGGAAGCAATTAGCCAATGTAAGATGGTGATGTGGAGTAGATGAACATACTGGTATCAATGGCATCGAAAAGGTAGGTGCGCTGCTTGGGCTCCTTAATATAGGTATCAATGAGCAGGGAGTAGGTCTCGGAGTGGATGTTCTCCATCATGATCTGGAAACCATAGAAGCAGCGGGCCTCAGGGACCTGAACCTCTCCACTGAAACGCTCAACGAGGTTCTCGTTGACGATGCCATCGGAAGCAGCGAAGAAAGCAAGCACGTGGGAGATGAAGTAACGCTCATCATCGTTGAGGCGGTTGTGCCAGTCGTGCAGATCCTTGGACAGATCAATCTCCTCAGCAGTCCAGAAAGAGGCCTCGGCCTTCTTGTACATTTGCCAGATCTATTGATCGACATGTCATTAGCCATGTGTTCTTCCAATGTGGCATGCAGATAATCTGCCCCACAGCACTTTACGCGTGGACGCGTCGCCGACGTGACTAACCTCGTGGTACTTGATGGGGAAGAGAACGAAACGGTGGGGGTTCTCCTGCAGGAGGGGCTCGTTGGCCTCAGCGGCCTTGATACCAGCAGCAGTCTTGGGGGCTTCAACAACGGCCTTCTCGGTGGGCGCGTCGACGGGCTTGGTGGCGGTGGGGACATTCTCCTTGCCAACGGAGGAGAAGTCAAGCTTCTTAACAGGGGAGTCGCTCATCTTAAGGTTCTCGAGGGAGGAAGCAGCCTATGGAAGCATTGAAGTTAGCTTTGGACGACAGCGCGACGCGTGTGGCGTGAGAGGCGAGTCGTGACATCACGTACCTGCTTCGATGGGGTAACCTGGGCAGCCATTGTGCAAGTGTCTAAGGGCAAGTAATCACTCAAGAAAGATGAATTGCAAGATAGACACGGGAAAGTAAAAAGTCAAGAGGCTTGGAATGAAGAAAGAGCGGAAAATGGGAAGGGGAAAGAATCAATTAAGTAGTTTGGTGGGCGTGAATCTTTTAGCGCGTCCGAATCTTGTCACGTCGCACGTGACTACGTGTCCCTTAGGTCAGCCAAGCAAGGCGCGTCCAGGAAAAGCGAAAACACAACAGAAATGTTCATGCCACTGCTTTTCCACCGGCTTCCGACGCTAGGGGAGTCGATCCATGGCCGTGCCTGCGGTAGCCCCCTCGACCATTATTGAGCTAATTCGTTTCCATTCCAATATAACCTCCTACTGTACCAGAAACATGTGGGCATGTCAATTGCTATCTAGCATAATTGCCTTCCAAATCCTGCATCTGCTACGTCTACTAGGCACCTAACCTCAGTTTTTTGGACCGTATATTATGGCAAAGCCCGAGCGTCAATAACGTCAGTAATACTGCAAGACCCAGTTTTCACGCGTCGTGTTTCCTAAAAATTTCAGCTCGACACTAGTGGGGCTACCCACTGCCCACTCACAGGATGAATCATGATCTGATAAGCCTGCAGACCTTCACGCGCCAGGACGCGACAGGGCCACATTTCGGATTTACGGATGCTATTGGTAATCTAGACCAGCCATGATCCGTCGGCATTGGCTGAAATTGGCAAGGATGATGCTCCTGTCGCGTTTGGCTCATCTGTTTACTCCCCCACAGACCTGTAAGCTCTCCACTGGAGCCCCAGCCACCATTGTCCTGGGCCGAAGCGCGGCATTTGGCTCTCTTTTTTTTGCTCCAAAATGCCAATTGAAAGTGCATCTCGCGTTCAATTAGGCCTGGAGTGCATTTTATATAAAACCTCAATACGATATAGCTGCCAGATCTCAAATTTCCTTTGGAATGCAGGAGCCTTATGTAGACCCCGTACAGAAGGTTCTGGGGGTGGGGGTCTGAGCAGATGCTGCGCGTCGGAGAATGTGCCGATCGGCTCGCGTGCTGGATCTCGCGTCGATGGGGGCGAAACTAAGTTTGCCAGTTTCAAGGCTGAGCATGTCGGAGATGCTAAATCCGATAGTGGCATCCCTTCATGTATCCACTTGCCAGGTTTGGTGCTCAGGCAACCCCGATGCCCTCGAATGTGAGACCCACTATGGACGTTTCCTGGCACATTGTTGGCGTTTGACGGCGATACCAATCTCAGGAACAGGTTGCTAGTTTCCCGGATACCACATGTGGAGGCAGGTTGTTTAATGACCCTTGGCAGTGGCAATTATTCATTCGTTACAAATTTACTGTAGTTGCTTTGTTAGCAATGTTATCCCTGGAAGTAAAACGCTGCATTTGCCATTGCAGCGTCACATTGAGCGCCAGACACTACTGTAGAGATATCCGATCTAAATCACATTATGTTCAGACCTGAGGTGTTCAAAGCCGTGGCTGCAGTTTTGCAATTCACGCGTCGATAGACTTGGCCCGTGCTGCGACGCGACTGAAATAGAGTGGTCAGTGGTTCATGACGCAACATTGCATTATCGTTTGGAACACAATAGAAGACCAAAGGAGATTTCCTGAGAAAGCTTGATAGTTATTGAACGTTCCCTTGTGTACATGAAATCGCGGCCAATTTTTATCTGTCAACATATGAGCTAAAATGTAGCTTATTCTGAAAAGCGGGGCAAGCTTGGAGTCTAGTAGATGTCACTGATACCCTTTAGGCGAGCACTTCTAGGGTCATGAATGCATCGGAGGCTTACATATGGACTATAAATACACTGATCGAACAAGCTTGCGGTCCCAAATCTTTCATCTGATCGACAGGCTTATAGCGTAAGCGGGATGCTCCATATCACCCGATTGCGGGAAGCCAAGAAGAATAAAGTATAGAGCCCAGGAGTCATAGCCTTGAGCTGGCCCATGGTAGTTAGAGGCCGTGGTGGATCAAATACGGGCTCAGTTGGGTCGTCCATTCTCCAGGACTGTCTACTCTTGCTGGAGAGAATGTAAAAACGCTTTCGAGGACTTACCTTGAAGGCTACTACGGTCTCATTGGATAGGTACATCTGAATATTTTGCTAAGGACGATATATCATCTAATCTTCTCCGGTCTGTCCAGTATGTACAGAACATCTCCAAAGCAGGGAATCAAATGACCCCAATTAACGCCCGATCTATTTCAATCCGGTATCACGCAAAATCCCATGCCGCTTTCCGATGCAACCTGGCACAATCCAACATAAACAGAAATGCAAAAAATGACAAAGCTGAAATACATGTTTTTTTTTGACCAGGCGTTTAGATCTTACCACGGAGAGAATCAGGCAGAACCCGATCCTCGAAGCGGCGCATCAGCTTATTAGTCTGCTCAGCTAAGCTGAGGGTGATGATCTAGAGGTGGAGTTAGCATGTGACATATTCTGAATGAGGATTGGGGTAAGCTTACTGTGTGGGGCAGAATGCGGGCAAGGTGGGCAAAGAAGCCCTTGTAGATTGCGAGCACACCCTCCTTGCGAACTGTCTTGAGAAGACAGTCAAATACGCCTCCGTAGAGGTTTCCAGTCTGGTTGTACATGCGCGCCATAATAGTATCTAGAGATCACGTTAGCTTTGAGAGTTCCTTTTCTTATAGGTATGATAAGCTTACCAGGGGGGTGCATGAAACAGCACACTACGAAACCGGAAGCGGCGCTGCTGGCCAAGTGCAAAGCAGGACCCTCTTCCATACCCAAGTGGCGGGTCAAACGACGCTTAGCGAAGAAGTAGGTCGGGAGCTGAACAGCACTGCCGAAACTGGTCCGAATCATGGCGGCGCCAACACCACGGTAGATACCCTTGATACCCTCGGACTTGTAGATCTTGCTCAAACCATCAAACGAGTTCTTGTAGTTGTGCTGAGTACCGACGGGAAGGAAAGGAGAAAATGATTGGAGGCGGGTCTTCACTAGGAAGAAAGGAGAACCAGCGGCAGCACCGATAACACCAGAGGCGGCACCAGCGAAGACATTGGCGCCGAGAGACTGAACAGTGGCATCGTTGTAGATGGCAGATGTGACGTTAGAGCGGATAGGTTCATATAAACCCAGACGGCAGCCGTTTAGCAGGACTTGGTAGATGTACTGAATAGCCCAAGTGCGTTAGTTTCATTGAGATATACCAATCTTGTCTGTCATCCAATGGCGCACTTACGGCAGATCCAATTCCGCGGAACAGACCGCGAGGACCCTCATTCTGGAGAATGACCTTCACACCATGCAAAGGACCCTTGTATAGCTTGACGGCCTCACTCTTTGCCTGCAATTCACCCTGTAGCTGTAGCCGAATCTTCACGGTCTCGAAACTATGGGTAACGGTGACGGCACCGCAAGCTGCGATACCTCCGGCAAGGAACGCTCTATATAGGAACGTGAGAGTTAGCGCAAGGCTTTCTAGTCACAGTAGAGCTTAGTATCACCATACCCAGTAGTTGTCGACATCGTGCTTGGAGTTGGAAGTTGCCGCGGCGTGCACGGATAGATTGGTCGGTAGATTCGGCGACTGCACCGCGATCGGAGTGGCAATCAAGAGCACCGAAAGGGGGTCACTGGTGGGATATAGATCAATTTTCTAGCCCACTACACTTCTCTAGAAGAGCTAAAGGCCAATACACCAATCTATAAGCATACAAAAGACCAAATGTAGGTGCCCGAGGGATGAGATGGGCGATCAGGGCTGAAATGCACCTAAAGCTTACCTGCGGTTACTCATGGACTGGGGAAGAAGGCCTCGGAATCCCTCGATTCTGATTGGTCAATGCTGCTGACGAGCTCCGATCGCAGGAGGTCCTGGCGCTACATTGTCACGTGCAATAAACAGGCGGTGAGGCAAGTAGATCGATCACACACACGTGACCAGGGAAGTGATGGCAGAAAAAGGAAGGCGCTACGAAGACAAAGAAAGCGCGTGGGGAGCTTTCCTACATAAACAGCAAACCCCACCTGTCATTGAATCATGAGCGCATCCCTTTCTTAATCCTCATTTCCATCTTCTAATTATCGGTTCCCCTTCTTTTCACTTAACGTTCACCATGGCCGACTCCCAAGCATCGACCCAAACTCAACTCTCACAGCCAGCTTCACAAGAGCTGTCAAGTCAAACTCTGCCAGAGATAATTCGCACCTACCGCCCAATCAAGGTAATATAGACTTTTCCCACTGCTGCCTTTGACAATTTTGCTCACTCAATGCTTCCATTTAGTCTTTCAGAGGATCCAAGCCTGATGCCTCGACCCATGTGACTTCCTTGGACTTCGACGACTGCGGCGAATTCCTTGTCGCAGCCGGCGATGATGATGCAATTCAGCTATTTGATATCAAGGAAGGAAAACTCAAGAAGACAGTTCCAAGCAAAAAATATGGCGTTCACCTTGCGCGGTTCACCCACCACCAACGATCGCTTCTCCATGCGAGTACCAAAGTCGACCATAACCTCCGGTTGCTGGACGTGCAAAATGAAGGATACGTTCGTTATTTCAATGGCCACACAGATACTGTGACAAGTCTGGCACTGGCGCCCTCAGGGGACCATTTTGTTTCTTCAGGCAAAGATGATACAGTTGCAGTCTGGGATCTGCAATCCCGGAACCCGCAGGGCAAGTTGAACCTCGCGACCCCATACTTGGTGACGTTTGACCCTTCTGCGTCGGTCCTTGCCATCGCCTCGCAGTCTACATCCTCCGTCCTTCTCTACGATTTCCGCAACTATGATAAAGCGCCCTTCTCAACTTTTGATCTGGCTCCCTATGAGGAAATGTACACACCAAGTACTCGCGGACGTGCCTGGACCCGACTGGAGTTCTCGAACGATGGAAAATATCTGATGGTTGGAACGGATTATCATGGCCACTTCATATTGGATGCATTTGATGGCTCTATCAAGGCTTTCCTTACTGGAAAGAGTAGTCCGACTGGCCGTGCTGCCCCGGTGTCTACGACAGGCAAACCCCGTGGCCAGGGTGATGCATGCTTCACACCCGATGGCCGATATGTGATTGGTGGCAATGGCGACGGGCCAGACATGCTCGTATGGGATATGCAACAGAAGCCCGAGGCCAACAATATGCTTCCTCCTGTGGCCAAACTTCCCCACCGAAACCGAACAGCCGTTGTTGAGTACAATCCAAAGTACAACATGATCGCGAGTGCCGATCAGGACACTGTTTTCTGGCTTCCGGATGAGCTGCCGAAGCCATCAGAGAAATAAGCCATTAATTTCAGGGTGCCCGGCGTCTTCAACGCTACAAGGCCGGGCTTATGTTTGTTTGATTACGACGCAATATCCAGATACCCACTTTACGGAGTTTTGTTCGACGCTATGAACTCTATGACCGAATTTTATCATAGTATAGTTTTTTATTTAGCATGAATTAACCACATTGACAATGAATGTCTAGTCTTTGCGGTCCCTGTCTTTTCCAACTAAGCTTCTCGCTGTATCACATACCCAGACCACAGGGCCCTCGAGATGCTCATCGTTTCCTCGATTCTTTTCGATGGTAGTCTCGATCTGTTTATCGATTGTGCGGTTGCTGGTGATGGTAGTCGTGCCCGTGACCCATCCGTACATAAAAACACTATAGTTTATATCTGACAAGCCTTCTGCAACTTCATCAGCGACAGGAGGAAGCTTCCCCTCTGCCAAGCAGGCATTAATCACTGGCTGTGCGTCTATCACCTTTACAGGGAGTTTCCAGTCTTCGGGCACATGATGATCAGACAAGGCCTGGAACCGTTTAATAAGTGATTCGCAACCACCATCCTCAGAAGGCTCTCCCATCACAATCCTCATGCGAGCCTTTTCTGTTTCGGTTCCAAGTAGATCCACAATTTCGCGCATTCGTGTACCTGCTTCACTGGTGCAAACCAACTCGCGGCAGCCCATGGCTGGCCATAATTCGCTTGGGAGCAAGGGCATCTCTTTGTCGACTTCTATTTGTCGAACGATAGCCCTATGAAAACTGGGCAAGATGGGAAGATTCTTAACATGAGATAAATCAGACACCATCGCAAGCAAAAGAGTGCAATCAACATTCAGAGAGGAGGTGAAGTTCTTGAATGGCTGAGGCAGTAGTCGAGTGAGGTCTGAATTGCCTATCGTAGCTGACAAGCTCTCCTGACACTCAACCTGGATACCATAACTCCGCATCTCAGTCAGAATATCATCAATTTCAGGGACATTGCCTTCTCCAATCTTCGGTAAAACAATCCGTAGTCGAGGATGTCTATACCTCACCCGCGTAGCATCAGCTGCCTTCCTCAGATCCCGGGCCAACTTGATCAGCTCCAGGTCATCATCATCATCATCATCCTCCCCTGGATCCTCCCCATCAAAGTTCCGTAGTACTGTCCTTCGGGGCGGACGCTCACTCTCAGATCCTGAGAAGTCATCTTCACTATCCGCCTCCCATCCTTTCTTCGCCATTTCGAAGAGCAGCCTGCTCTCCGAGATGGTCGACACCTTCACCCACTCCGTCCCATCGCCTGCCACAATATCCACAAAAACACTCTTGCGTTTATCCTTGTTGGCCTGCTTCTCATTTCCACTCTTCTTCCAAGGTGCCTTCGTCTCCCCATCCCAGTAAAACCGTTTCCCCAAGGCAAGCAGCCCCTCACAAGAACTCAACACAATGCCCCACACAGCCTGATAAAATGGCAGATTCGACGACCGCAGCGCATGCATCAACCGCATCTCTACATCGGAATCTACATCCGACTGCATATCGCCAATGGGTTGTTGTTTCTGTTCTCCATGGAGCTCATTGTCGCCACTATCTTCCGCATTTCGTTTGGACTTCTCAACCTGGCTCTTGATTCGCTCTTCGAGCTTTAGAAGCATCTTCATCTCGGCGCTCACGTTTGAACGGAACTGTCGCACTTCGACGAGCTGCGGGTTGCGGAGAGTCGCTTTCAGGAGCGCTTGGAAGGAGTCTAGGTCGTTGAGGAGATCCATGCATTGTTTGTGTAGCTCGGCGGAAGCCTTGGTCGAAGCTTTTGTTTGCTCGTCGTTGGGAGGGTTCAAGGACCCGGGGTCCTGCATCATTGTTGCGGAATGCGTGGAGTTATACGGTCCTGCGTAGATCTGATTTGCGGGTTCGGTGGGATATGGATCGGATTGAATGTACTTTCAGAAATTGTATGATGTATTCCAAGCCTTGGTATCTTCCAATTATGGTTGGTGGAGCTTTGGGGAAGGCGCTGTCGCGTCGAGGTTTTTCCCCGCGGAGGGGATTTATAGTGCGGGTCCTGATGCGATTGGCTAACTTATCGGGCCTGCAGGGTAAGGCCAATTAAAGATTTTGCGACCGGGGATTAGCAAGATTGATTGCGTATATGTATACCGGATACTGGGAAAATAAAACAGCTCGAGGCAGCTAGCCATCCAGTGTCATGTTTATAGCCTTGTGGAATTGGTGGACCCGCTTTGGTGAGGCTCTAAATGACTCAGGAAGTCAATTTGCGACGAGCTTCTATAAGTTTCGACTGTATGTTTCGCGTTACTTTACCAATCGCGATCATGACTATTGATTTTGACAGAGGCGATTAAGGCTTAGCTGATTCGCTATTGATGCAGCAAGGTATTCAACATATACTTTGGAATTCAAATACAAGCTAGGGAAAGTAGATACCCGTCACTAATTCGAGAGAAATAAAAAAGAAAGCCAACGCCATGACATGCTTGTGACCTTGGAGCGAAACTGCAGGTCAATTAAACCCAACCGCAGGAGTTGCTCAACTTCTTTAGAGGAGAATGTGGAGTTGCAGACAAAGGCAACGGGAAGCTTCACATCGTACAACTTAAATCTAGTGGGTGAGTCTTTGGTGCTCGCCTGAGTTGCGCGGAGACTCGTCATCGTCGGACCATTTATCCTCGTCACCCACTGCGAAGATGGTCTCTTCATCAAGAGATGCGCGGTGGGCGGAGGAGACGGGCTTGGGCGGCATGGGGGAGAGATCACGACGACCCTCGGCGGCAGAGCTGCCAGGGTACTCGGGAGGAGCATCCAAGGGATCCTCCTCATCGAGCCCACTGCCGAATGATCGGATCTCAAAACCATCGTCATCTTGAGCAAGCTGTATATATTGTCAGTATACATGGTTGCGAACATTGAAAGGGGGAGAATATTCTTACCTCGTCACTCATAGCGAAGCGTCGGTTATTGGCTGTTGGTCGCCACAGATAAGCCACGAAGCAGATATCAAACAAGTAGACCAGGTTGAGCCAGCCATCCAAGACAAACCACCGTGCCTTCCAGTGCTGAGGAACAAAGTCGGCATCGCTGCGGCCAGCGAAGGCGAAGGAGTTGATGAAAAAGAAGCCGAAAATGACAATGATACTTGTAAGGATACACCACCACAGTTTCTTGTACATCAGCGCCTTAGTCTTTTGCTTGCGGTCGATGAGATCTTTCATCGTAGCATTGAGACTGTTCAAGGTCCAGACATAGAAGGCAGTCAAGGTTCCAGCAAGAGGGAGAACAATCAGGAGCACCAGGGGTCCGGCGCTGTCGGGCGTAATGGAAAGACTGGCCACGGAGTAGATGACCGCGAAGACGAAGTGGGCAATTGCCAGAATACGGACATAGATCATTGTGCGACCGAGAGAAGGTTTGACAACACCGTAACCCATACAAACGATGAGCAGGAGGAAGAACGAGAAGGCATTTCGGCCGGCGTTCAGAACCGCAACAATAATCATCAGTGCCTTAGCTCCGGCATTCAATCCATGGATGTTTTGGAAGTTATAGAATCCCCAGGTCATCAATTGCTCGACAATTAAGAATACCACAATGGCTGTGATATAGTTCTGGACGGGCAGAATATCGTGGCGGTTTTGCACATAGAGGAAGGCCCAGAAAACACCAACGACGGCGTACACAATTGTCAAAGCACCGTAGAAAGGAAGCTTTGCGATTTGGGCAGCAGGAAGCTCGCCATACGAGTTGCGGAAGGTCACCACGGCAGTGTAGGGCTCGTCCGAGTATGCATATGTGCTGACGCAGTAAAAGCCGGTCTTCCGTACGGTGTACTTGATTGCGTCCGGGTCGTTCAAGTGGACAGCCGTGGAGACAATTGGGTTCGAAGAGACATCGGTCGCATTGGAGGTCAAAAGGAAGGAGCCGATCTGGTCTGCGGTGCAAAGTTTGAGATCGACATTGTTCTGGTCGCAGATAGTTTCCTTAAGTTCATTCTCATGACTTCCCCCCTCGGTCCGGTACTGGCCAATTAATTCCTCGTCCTGCCATTCGAAAATGACCAAGCTGGCCAGTGGATCACCCTGTGTTGCGGCTGACTTAGAGAACTTGACCAAGATGAAGGGGTCAATGTTTCCTCCCCAAGCCTTACGGCTGTACATCCCTGAGCAACGTTGTCGGTGCGCTTCATCGGATTTCTGCACAAAAAACGCATCAATATGTGAGCAAGGTTTCATCCGTCAAAAAGGTCAGGTTCAAAGGAGCTCACCAGTTCAACATCATTGGCAAGCACAGAGCCTGCCAACAGGGCTGTCAGGCCCAGCGTCCGGAGCCAGCTCTTCATCGCGATCAGGCAGCAGAAAGCAGGAGAGGCTCCAGGTTGTGAATAAATATGCTAATCAAGACCACACCACATCCAAGCTAGATGGGATGCAAGAATCTGAATAGGAGTAACGTGTCTTTGATGTGAATGTAGCACAGCTGTCGCAACCGGAATCGTCGAGCTCACTGCGTGGCCTTCTGGATCCCCGGAAAGCGCGTGGGGATTAGCTAAGCCCGCACCGCCACTTTTTTCTTTTTGTTCGCGATCGACATTTACTTCCTCATTGTTTTTGAGATCGCCTCCAATATTCCCTTACTTCCACGGCAAAATGCCGGCTATAGAGATGGATGCTCCTTGTATGGAGTGCAATGAGGCAAATGCCATTTTAAATACTCGCAACCGGTCATTTTGTGGGTATGTGATCTTTGATCTCCAACTAAACCCCCACCTTCAATTTGCTAACGCTTCCCAAGTCCTTGTTTTCAGCGCTTTTTAGCATACAAGGTTTGGCGCCGCATGGATCATTATAGGCCAAGACCACAAAAGAACGTGAAGCCCACCAAGCCTGCGCAACCCCAATTACTGCTCCCGCTTTCCCTCGGTGTTTCCTCCTCCGTTCTACTGCATATACTGGATACAGGTTTGAAGCGCCAACTTGCGAAATCTGGCAGGACATCATACGCCATTCATATACTTGTCGTTGAGCCTTCCACCGAGTTACCTACAAGTGTTTCATATGACACACACGTCGACGCAGTCCGAGAGGCTTTCCCGACATATTCTGTCACTCGGATACCTCTCCACAGCATCTTTGAATATGTCCCGGACATGACGGATATTATGGCCGAATATGCGGGGCCTCAGTTCACTGATGATGCCTCTCAGTCAAACGAAGAGCGGTTAGCTGCTTTCCGTAGCTTTGTCTCGACTGCCACATCCAAGTCAGACCTGGACACTGTTCTATTTACAAGACTAGTCGTCGGCTATGCGAAGCAGGCTGGGTGTGAGTCCATCTTGTGGGGCGATACAGATACTAGTCTCGCAGCGAAGACACTTGCTGGTGCTGCCAAAGGCCGAGGCGCCTCTCTCACCTGGCAAGTATCGGATGGAATGTCACCTTGGGGTATAAAATTCGATTTCCCTTGCCGAGATATTTCCAAGCCCGAACTATCGCAGTATGAAAGTGTTTGCCCGGAGATTTCCGCGGTGGTCGTTCCTGATGCACCACTTTCGGACATTATACTCACCAAGAACTTGTCAATTGATGAGTTGATGCTGCGGTATGTGACTACTCAAGGCGAGAAATATCCTGGTGTCATGGCAAACGTTTCGAGGACTGCACACAAACTCGAAACTACGTCGGGGAGTCCCGGTGCTCTATGCTCATTGTGCGGAGGCATGATCGAGAATGTCAAGGGCAATGAAACTGGTCTTACAGTCGCCAGTCAATTTGCAGGAAAGGGGTCTCAATTCTGCTACGGATGTATGAGGTCTCGTCCTGAAATCATTTCATAATTAAGAAAAGTTATGGAGATGTGTATCATCAACGGCGCATCGAAAGTAACGCGAGCAGAAGGAAAGGGAGCAGATGGCTCGCAATTTTGAAAGATTCTCGATCATAAAGATGGCATTGAAATCATGAGTAAGATTTCTCCATTCATGCTCCACGCTCAGGGTCCTCCTGCGGACGGCTTGCCCCGCCAAACCATTTGGCGACAGTCCGATTAGATCGAGATTGCTTAGCAGGTGGAGGTCGTGTTGGGGTATTGGCTTCTTCCACATACCTACCGGAGCCATGCTCCTGGTATGTTGGAGGGGAGTCACCCACCACACCACTCTCCTGCTTGTCAAATTCGTCGGGGAGACTGTGGTCGATCTCCCGAACCCGTCGCTCGCTCCTCCTGGTTGAGCTGGTCTGCCTGGAGAGGGACTTTGCGCCCTTCTCACGCAGATGCTTTTCAAGAAGCACGGCATTTCTTGTGTTGCACTTGTACACCGCATCCGCGATATCGCCGATGAATGGCACGAGACCAATGACAAAGTCAATGATCACGTTCACAAGCATCATATACCGTAAACGCGACGGCAATCCACCCTCGATTCCTTCACATGTCCTCACGACCATCATGGCCAATGCAGCGTCGCTAGCGTCACCAATGCTATATCAAAAACAGTTAGCCCGAAGAATCAGAACCAATGGATGTGTGGTAAACTTACAATGGTACGAGTCCAATAACACTACCCCAGCCGAATCGGATGCCACATAAATTGAACAAGGAGTAGTCAAGTCGATACGCCCGACGCTTGACCTTGGTAAGGATGTTGGCATCGTGTTCGGACAGTCCTGGTGGAATCGCCTTACGGCGCTTTTGCTTCTTCTTGCCAACGGCTCGACCAAGTCGAGAAGCAGGTACTTCTTCGAAATAGGGATCCTAAAACCAGGAATAAATGCCTTCGTTAGCTTCAGTCACTTCACAGTAAACAATAGAGCCCACTTACCTCCATTCCAAAGCGATTTTGCGCGGACTCCGCAAGCACGCGCTTGCTGATTAGAGAGAAGAGCGCGTTCGACATATTGAAGGCAAGGACTTCTGCTCTTCACCTGAGTTGTGTGTAGTGTAGCAGTTATGGTAGAAGGCTTGAAGTTGCAGCTAGATATAGCCTTTCAAGGGGTCCAAAAATAGACTCCACTCTGAAACTATTAGTTTCGACAAGGCGGTACTGGTTTTGTTACGCGCTGGACTTCGTTTCGAAGCACAAAGGAGAGTGAGAAGGTAAAGGTAAAGGGAGAAAGACCCGACACACGGCAGGGTTGAGATTAGCAGATTGGGCGTCCGCAACGTCATTCCCCAGTCCTTATTTGCGAATCCTGGTATTTGCGCCGATCTGTGGCTGTGCAGGGGATATGCTTCAGCTGGCCCGTGTCGTGGCTGTGCAGATCATGTGGCGAATGCGGATAGAGCTTTTGCCCGATTTACAAGGCCTACGTTCAAAGTTGTGGCTCAGTCATGACTTGTTTGTACAGAAACCTCTTTGCTCTTCTTCTACATTTTATTTACTCAATACCCTTTTAGAATAGGCTTCTTTATGCCGCCGTCAATGTATGAGTTGTTTTGCTTGCTTTGCGACCAAGATGATCCACTTGTGAGTGTCTTAATATAGAGAATGACTTTCATTGGCGAGGTCATAGATCATGATATCAGACACTTCTTCGTTTCTGATTTTTCAACTATAACTTTTTGCAGCCTTAAATCCCTGTTCCTTGAAACTATCGACTTCTTCTTACTTGATCAAGTACCAGCACTTATCAAAAAGCGCAAATATCATCGCTTTAACGAATGCCACGTGATTTTGGGTTGATGTGCGCCCAATGATTTAATGACCAAGAACTGGTGTATAGATCGAGATTAGAAGTTGGCCCGAGTATGGAGGCACCTATCTCAGCAGTCTTAAGAAAATAGCCAAGATTACTCATACTGGGGGAAAGTGAAACTTTTCTCTTTAATCAAAAGATCATAAGATATTCTTGTATCAAGTTGACCATATACTTCAGCACCGGCAGTATCCGCCCCCGAACACCTGGGCGCCACCGCCTGACTCAGCCGCCATCACTTGGGCCGTTCTCAGTTCCGCTTCCCACCCAAAGCTCCCCCCATCTCGGTGAATCTGGCTTCTTACTGCCCTCACTGTGGTATTTTGCGACTTTCACTTTCGAAAACAAATTCCTCTGCCCGTCCTACAACTAATTAGCAATCTTCCCGTTCGACCTCTGACACCTGTCGCGTTCGCGACGCAAGCAAAACACCTAGTTTCGGTTGTCTGTGCTGAGATGCTAAGCTTCGTTGCCCAGTATGACCGAAACAAAGATGCAACTAGAAGACTGTGAGACTTAACGCTTATACTGGCCTACCACCACTGTGACTAACTGGGGCCGTTGCGCCGCAATAGGGCTGGATGACTTATGTGTCCGCTTCATTATCAACCTACCCCGTGAGGAGCTCGAATCAGTAGAGCGAATCTGTTTCCAAGTCGAAGAGGCACAATGGTTTTATGAAGATTTCATTCGTCCACTTGATCCTGCGCTACCAAGTCTCTCTCTGAAAGCTTTCGCCCTCCGCATTTTCCAACACTGCCCTCTTATGTCGCAATGGTCCCACTACCATCATCAAACGGCCTTCTCAGAGTTCCTGGCCTATAAGACTCGCGTTCCAGTTCGTGGAGCAATTATGTTGAACCAGGACATGGACGAAGTTGTCTTAGTCAAGGGCTGGAAGAAGGGCGCTAACTGGAGTTTCCCTCGAGGAAAGATCAATAAAGGCGAGAAGGATTTGGATTGTGCTATCCGTGAGGTTTACGAGGAGACTGGATTTGACGTACGCAACGCAAACTTGGTGGAAGACGACGAGGCTGTCAAGTATATCGAGATCTCCATGCGCGAGCAACATATGCGACTTTATGTTTTCCGCGGCGTTCCCCGCGACGCTTATTTTGAACCACGGACACGCAAAGAAATCAGCAAGATCGAATGGTACAAGTTGTCAGAACTGCCAACACTCAAGAAGAATAAACAGGATGAAGGGCTAGCGGTGGCCAATGCCAACAAATTCTACATGGTTGCGCCCTTTTTGCACCCGTTGAAGAAATGGATCTCGCAGCAGAAGAAACATGTGTCTAAGGCTCAAGGTGGTGCCGCTTACTCTCAGAATGAAGGTTACACTTCAGTCGACGACAATGGGTTTCAAACAAGCGATTCGATGTTTCCGTCTGCCGCTGTACATGGTGTTCCTGTTCCGAGCGATTTGCCCGAAGTGACCTCCGTTGAAGATGTCTCGTCTCATCTCAAGCGACTCCTCAATATCAATGGAGGTGTATCAACGCCAGCGCAAATCCAAGCCGCACAGCCTGCTCAACCGGCAGCGGTGGACCAATCCAAGTCAAATGCTTTGCTTGAATTATTGCGACAGGGCTCCCAAGACGCCGCTCCTCAGGTTCGGAATGCTGCTAATACCCCGCCGATATTACCTATGGCACAAGCGCCTCACTTGGCACCCAACTTCTACCCTGGTTTCCCACAGCAGCAGCAGAACATGGCCCCAACGAACTTCATGCAGCAGACATCTGCGCAACCATTTTACAACGGTCCGCCTCAGGCAAACATGCAACATGCTCATTTCCCTCCTGTGAGCCACCCGGAGCTTTCTGGGTCGCCCGCTGTTCAACAAATCCATCCAAGGCATACCCCAAGCTATCAGAACCGCCAACCTGTGTTTCAATCCAATTCCTTGGCACCCCAAAGACAAGGAGCGGCTCCGTTCCAGCAGACCGGGGATCCTCAGTTCTCCCAGCAGGCCCAACCACCTCAGAAAATGGGGGCAAGAGTGCCACCGGCGAGTAAGCTGCCTCCGCCAACGCTCAATAGCCAATCACTCGCATTGCTGGGTATGTTCAAGAACGAAGCCTCCCAAAGTCCGAGGAGCCCTCAGGTTGCTACACTCGCCGCTCCAGAGCAAGGTCATGTCAAGGTGCGGAAGACATCACAACATCAAGACAGTCTTTTAAATCTATTCAAGGGCCCGGCCACCTCACCCGCTCCTCCACCGGTCGAACTGTCAGGCAATCCTGTACCCCCAGCTCCATCCGCACCTGCCGAGGTTCAGATTCTCCAGCGAGCCCACCAGCAGACAAGCCACAACACACAGCGAGGATCTGGTGCATCCAAACTGGTCCAAACTGTGGCTACCGTACCTGGGCCTTTGAACATGCCCCAGTTCGAGGCGATTGCCAAGTCAACATCCAGGAAAGGACCGAATGGACCTAGTCGGAAGAACAACTTCAACCGACGAGATCACCAGCAGACACAGCAGCTTTCATCTCCCATCACGATCTTGCCGCGGCCTCAGTCGTCGAAGCGTGATACATCCATCTCCGGACTTAACGTGCAGACAATTCAGCCTTCGAATCAGTCTCCTGCCCCTCAACCGCAAGCTCCTGAGCCAATCAAGCCATTCCAGCCACAAATTTTGCGACGTTCTGAGAAGACAGGATATGAGAACTTGATGGTGAAGACTCCAAAGACTGAAAATGTGGACCGCACAAGTCCGGCCCCGGGTGTACAGACACAGACACAGACAGCAGCCCCTCACAACTTTGACCGTCGACCGAGTCAGACAAGCGCCCAAAAGGAGGCTCTTTTATCTCTATTTGGCAAACCAGGTCTGTCTTCATCTCCCACCTCCGCTGCCCAACCAGACCACCATGCTATGGCAGTCTCAGGGCTGGTTAGTCCACTTTCATCCCGTCACTTTCCCAGCAGCGCTGAATCCCTCTCACGTCGTGGCACCCCCTCTGAGACCGATATGGTCCCCAATCGCATTGCATCACCGAATCATAAGGCGTTTCTTCTGGGGTATTTGCAAAGTGCTGCCAAGGGTGGCAAATGATTGTTTTTCCGTTTTTCAATATTGCATTTTTCTACAGGCCTGAGAGCCGTTTGTGATTATTAGATCCAAATATTCTAACCCTGACACAGTTTGTCAAGACAATGGTCCAATCTTGTAAAGCCGAGTTTAAAAATGCTGGCCATAGGTATCATAACACTCATATAATTTTCAATCACAACCAAGCTACCACAGTCCGTCATAAGCAACGAGGAATGGAAATTAATCAGCTAACAACACAGAATCCGTGGAAGACAGAGAACTATCACAAATCTCACGCTAATGAACACGCCGCCAATGCTCTTCCATATTATCCTTCCTGTTAAAAGACCTTTCACATTTCTTGTCCGGACACCCGAACGAACGCGGAGTAACATGTTGAGTTTCAATATGACGCATTAACACAGACTTCCGGGCAAATAAACCTGGGTATCGACAATTGATCCATTTGCATTTAAAAGGCCCACAGCGAACACTAGGACAGGAATGTAAACAGTCAAAAAGAAAGTCCGTGATCCAGGTATATTGTTAGATGGTGAAATCATACATCTTTTTTGAATCGCGGCCACTATGAACATTCTTGTATTTCGCACTGTTATGCTCATATTCTTGCTCGTCATATGCTGGCTGAAGTCTCGCATTTGAGTGAGGAATTTCCTCTCTATAGGGCGTCAAAGGCGAAAGGCTTGCGCGTTTGGTATGATGTCCAGAGTCTGTATAGTGTTCAGAGTCATGCGAGGCTCGTGGACATTTGCTGTAGCTTCCATTATTGTTAATGGCCGTCATAAAAGAGCTGTTTCCATTCAGATAGCAAGGATTTGCTGCGAGTTGAGGCATAGGACTCGGAATAGGACCTGGGCCATGTGGTAAAGGAGGAGCTTGAAAGAAGGAACTGTAAAGATGACTATCCGAAGGCGACATGCTTGGTTCTGTCAAGTGAAAAGAAGAGTAGACGGGAGAGCCTGGAGGACATCTAAACGCTTGGTCCCTCCAGCTTTGATCTCCAGGCAGCCTCATGATTTCCGTGCCATGCGGCTTTGATGCCATGAGGATAAGTTGAACAGGAATTTCGAGTAGGCTGGGCACAATACCATGAAGGTACTTGAGACTTAAATGTTCGCGCCGGGAATGGCATCGAACGATCTAGGTAGGAGGGCGGGGATGTTGGTGCGGAGTGATGTGTCGATCTCCTACCTATAGCTGTGTTGTTATTTGCTTAGCCACGAGCCTTAGAGTTAAATGTGGGTAAACACCCGGGCTAATTAAGGCTGGTTCTAGACCTCTGAGAATCTAGACCTTTGAACTTCAATATTATATGCCAGCCGTGTGTAGACTAGATCCTTCGGCTCAGACCTATATGGTTCTAGACCTGCACCAAGTAGCGGTATAGTTCGCATGTGCGGCCCGAATCTTGCGCCCAAAAGTACACTGTGGACAAACTCCTGAGCCTCTTTGATCCAGCCGAGGCTTGCCTACCTTCCCTGGGCTAGACCGAACTATTTCAAAGTAATCTTTTCCAACGGAAACCTTTGCAGCGGTACATAAGGCGAAATGATGGCGGTGTTGATCCAACTTGATTCTGCCATGTCCCACCGCTCAACGTCATCCTCCGCGGTAAAAAGAAATACATCGACTCACATTGGTCCCACTATCCACAGCCAGTTGCGCAAACATGATGCGCCCCCATCTTTCAATATGCAACCGCTGTCTGGGATACAGCCGGTTATTCTCAACAACAGCTTCCCGAGCTGAAATTACGAAAAATGCAGCTCTCCCCCCAGATGCCGGATACGCTCAGCTTACGAACCGAGGCCTCATCTCCATCACCGGTATCGACAGCGCAACCTTCTTACAAGGCCTGATGACGCAGAACATGCTAGTGGCCAATGACCCAAACAAGCCAGTCCGACGCACAGGAACATACACAGCTTTCCTTAACTCCCAAGGCCGTATCTTGAACGATGCGTTCATCTACCCTGTCCCAATCCCAAACGGCAACGATCTTGAATGGCTAGTTGAGGTGGACAAAAGCGAGGTGCCGACTTTGCTCAAGCATCTGAAAAAACATAAGTTGCGCGCAAAACTGAAGCTCCGCGCCCTCGATGATGGAGAGCGCACGGTCTGGTCGTCCTGGAAGAACCACGAGCAGCCGCGGTGGGCCGCATACAACCTGGAATCGGAGTCGGCCGCGACATCACCTTTCACCCACTCGTCCGATATTGTGGGGTGCATTGATACCCGCGCTCCGGGTCTCGGCTCTCGTATTATAACACCCGGCTCGGAGGACCTGCGCACCCATTTTCCGGATGAATCACAGCTGGCGGGATCACAGGTCGGATTAGATGCATATACCGTGCGGAGGATTCTGAATGGTGTTCCGGAAGGCCAGTCGGAGATCATTCGGGAGTCGGCATTGCCGATGGAGTGCAACATGGACATGGCGCGGGCTATTGATTTCCGAAAGGGATGCTACGTTGGCCAGGAGCTGACGATTCGCACGCACCATACCGGTGTGGTACGGAAGCGCATCCTTCCTGTGCAGTTTTATACCAAAGATATGAGCACTGCAGATGGCCCAGTATATGAACCTTCTGCTGACATTCCGTTGCCGCCTGCTGGAACAAATATCATGAAGGCTGGTGGTCGCCGAGGCCGGAGTGCTGGCAAGTTCCTGAATGGTGTGGGGAATATTGGTCTTGCTTTGTGTCGTTTAGAGATGATGACGGATATTGCCCTTACTGGTGAGGGAACGCAATATACCCCCGGGAGCGAATTCAAGCTCTCGTGGACTAGCGAGTTAGACCAACCCGCGGAAGTGAAGCTGCAAGCTTTTGTTCCGTCCTGGGTAAGAGAACACATTCAGACTGGGGGAGTGCGGCAGCCGACTCCACGGCCTGTCGACACTGATGGTGAAAGGGCACGAGATTTCGTGGAGCAGCTTGAGGAAGAGGAGGAGCAAGCACACCGACGAGCGGAGTAGAACCGCACCTGATTCTGAAGAATCCTTGTATAGTATAAAACAGTGTAAAAGACATGTAAATAGTCATTATATCCCACTTTAGCAATGAGCTGTGTTTCGGGAGCTGAATGGCCCGCCTTTGAAGTCCGTACATCTGCGAGTCGTACCTGAACTGGACGTAACCAGCAGAAGTTGGAGTATAGGTGATCGTAAAATAGAAGCGAGAAACCGATTGTTACCCCACAACTCCCACTGCTGGGTAGGGTCACTCGGGATAGTAGTAATCCATCAAATATTTCATAACTCTGTTCAGCCTAACATTGGTTGGGGTATCTTAAATAAGCCGAGAATCTATATATACACACAAGAAACTATACACTCAAGTGGCCTCAAGTTCCATTGGCCTTCTTTGAAGCATCAGCAGCATCCGCGGCTTCATCTTCTCGTGCAAGCTCCTCCTCTAGAGCTTTGCGTTCCTTCTCACGCTGTGCAGCCTTCATCTTCATCAGAACCTCATCCTGAAAACTAGGCATACCGGTAGGTCTCGCAGATGCATTGAACGAGGATGCATTTGGCTTCATAGAAGCAGCCGCAGATCCAAATGACCCAAACGAGGGTGTTTTGCCCGAATTGGGTGCCGATTTCAAACCCGGGAAGTTGAAAGCTGACGCTGCAGCCGGTTTGCTGGTATCGGAGGTCGAGGTCGAAGGGCCAGAATCCTGCTCTTTGGAAACCGAGCCAGCAGCTGCCCCCAGGTCTGGCCCATCACCCGATGCCCAGCATACCGAATCAATAATAGCCCAGTCACCATCCGCAGAACGGATCTTCTCCTCGCCATCAAGAACAGCCGCATGAGCACTGACAATAGACGTGAAAACAATCATGCCTGTAGCCAATGTGACCTTGCCCTTCTTCCCCTCCAGCTTCTTTCTCTTATCCTTGAGTACAACAATGGCCTCGACAGGCCCAAACGGCGCAAAAAGCCCTCTCAACCCCTCCGCCTCCAACTCCACCCCCCGTCCCTCCCGCACCCACCGCACCTTAACTGACCTCTCCAACTCCGACACATTCGTCTCCTGTGACCGGTCCACCCGTTGACTACTCCGATCAGCCGCCTTCCTCTTCTCCTCCTCCTCCCGCTCAATAACCTTCTGCTCCTCATCCAACTCGCGCTGCAACTTCTCCTGCGCCTCCTTCCTTCTCCGCCTTCCATCTTGCGCAATACGCTCAATCTCCGCCGCAAGCTTCGCCTCCGCATCGTTCTCCTCCATCCATGACCGTTTAACTCCACGCTGCGCGGCTGCGCCTGCCCGTTCGCGCTTTTCCAGGTCCTCGACCATTGACCGCCGGGCTGAGTCAAGCATATCGCGCTCGCGCTGCTTGCGCAGCCGGGCCTCACGCGCATTGTCATAGAGTTGTTTTACGTCTGCGTCTGTAAGGACATCGTGGGCGATTTGGAGGGTGTGGAACTTGTCGATATCTGCTGGGGTTGGGTTGGCGATTTTGTCTGGATGGTATTTCAGTGCTGTGCGACGGTATTGGCGCTTGATTTCGGATAGGGTTGCTGCTGGGGAGACATCGAGGAGGGCGTAGAAATCTTGATCTGAGGCGGCGTGCGCCTTGAGATCGTCTGATGACATTTTGGCGGTTTATGAGATGCGAATGGAGGTCGGTTGATATTGTAGATGTTTAGAAACTGCGCCCGAGAGTTGTGATTGAAATGAAGGAAGGGGGCGAGTCCCTTTAAGGCGGTTGACGCTGTGTTTCTAGTGGGGGTCGAGGAGTTGGAGTTGAAAGTTGAAGGTTTCGGGGAAATTTAGTGAGTTGCGGCTCAGGCGGTGGCGTCATGCCCTAGATCTACGATTTTGTTCAGCCACTGCCAGGGCAGTCTCCCAAGTTCTTTCTATGCGTACTCAAAAGACGAAGAAAACAAGCTCCATGGCTAGCACCTACATTTTCATATATGATGACTAAATTTGACCTGTATATTTAGTCACGGTCGCTTACATGTTACTATACATAGATCCAACACGTTCTCCGATTTAGCAGAATATATAGTCACCCTTGGGAAGCCTTTGAGCAAGTTTTAAATGAATAAATGAGCCTCTGCGGAACTTCGAGCTGAATTCAAAGTAGCCATATTATTCGAAAATAATTATCTACTGGAAATCTTAAACACCAAACCATGGCATGGGCACATGAAAATCGAGTAAATAAGAACCCGGCAGAACTTGAGAAGCGCAGGGTAGTCATGACTTGACTTATACAACATCGACCCCATCTTAATTGATTATCCTGTCTATCACCTGGAATGGAGAACCCAGCATTTTCGGGCGTTATTGCTCCAAGCAAAACACTTTTGGCCTTTGCTATCGCTATTGTGAAACATAAACCTCCAGACAAAGACGTCAAAGGTGAGCGGACACTTGTTTTGATTACCATACTTAGCGGCTAATTTGTACAATACACAATTCATCAGACTATATCCTGGAGATCCGCCACTTTATTCGACACGGCTTGCCAGTCGAGTCGTCCGACAAGTTCTTCGACAGTGTCGCTTTCTGGCAAAAGGCATACGGAGAATCCGAGGCAGAGCAGGCAAAACTACTCAACAAAGTCTTCGAGCTGGAACAACGTACTCAGGGCCTTCTGTCAAAGATCAACGAAGCCCAAAGCGCCAGCAATACATTTTCACCATCTAACAAACGGAAAGCCTCTTCATCAGGGAGGCTGAAAGGTTTGGATCCGCCAAGGAAGAAGGCGCAATCCCGCAACTCACAGGCTCAACGGGTCAAAGCCACCGATAATGAGGATGATGAAGATTCCCGCAATGAAAATGGTTATTTGAAACAATCTGCTTACAGTATGGCATAACTCAAGACTGACTATATAGTAGACCCAAAACTCATGAGACAACTGTACACCGTTGAACGTGCTCTCCAAAAGAGGTATAACAGCAAGCCACTCACAACCGATGCCGTTACTCTGTGTAAAATAGCAGAGTCGGAGATTTTGGGTGCTATAATCCGACTGAATACACCGGAAAGCCAATCGAAGATCCCTTCCAATCAGCAGAACCGAAAACCAGATCTGACTACCATCACCAAAGCTACAGAACTATCGTTCAACTTGGTCCACCAAGCTCTACACAAAGTGATAGGAGCGCAAGGAGAAGATTATTGCAAGGGGCAGATAATCTACTACCTCGTGTGTCTTTTTGAATCTACAATGGGTTCCCTCACTCAGCTTTGCACGGCATCACCACAGACCGTTTCAAGCACGGTTCTCCAGGAAACTTCAAAGGGCAACCGAAAGAAAACTCAAAGTCAAGGAAACAGCCAAAAGAAAAAAGCATCAATGATTTCAAAGGAAAAGAGATTGAAAATTGAGAAGAAAGAAGCTCACCTTCTGCTCGACCTGCTATGCACAATGGCAATGTCTCTAGATTTGACCCGAAATGAAGACCAGGAGGTGATGGAGGGATTTCTTTTCATTGTTATAAACCGCGTGGGAAAATTGCTTGCCCTATTCGTCTTCAATGATTACCATTTACCATCAGATAGCTGTTCAGACTTGAAGGCCCCACAGGGCATTCGGGCCATGAGAGAGGGGGGGTCTGACACAAGGAATGGCACAACTCGAAGCGGAGCAACTTGTCCGATTCCTCGATCAAGTACTGGGTAACCAGGTCTCTGATACGGAGATTATGAACTCTCGGTTCATTCTGAACACGAAGAGGCGTTTGCAGAAGACTCTCATGCAGGCGGTCTTTGGAGATGACGACCCGTTGTTTCGAGGAGGGTTGGTTCGTCCCGCAACGCCTCCGGCTTTGAGTGATAATGGTCGATCATCCACCCGACAGAAGTTCCCTGAATGGTTTACTGAGGAGCTATGGCGCTTGGTTGGTTGGGATCTTTTGAATTTCATCCCGGAAAGAGGATAAACATCTGAGAATTCCTTATTATTCCATATACCTTCTGGTTATTTTTCCGTGAAAGGCAGGAAGAAGCACCTGGGCAAGAATGGGTGACTGAAAGAACCGGAATAATGTACTGATATATGTATCTTTTGGCTATATGCTATAGCAGGATGAAAGCACTTAATATTTGATTCACTCAAGCCCCAATCTTAGAACGCGATTCGCGTTACTCCCTAGTACTAAACCAATAGAGTCTGCTTTCTCGTCCCCGAAGCAGCTTCTAATAGCCTTATAGTTCGTCGTAACACTAGGCCACTTCTCATCTTCATCCTGCAAAGGCGGGAAAAACGGATGGTCGGTACCTGTCGAATATTAGCCGAAGTCCAATAAACATACCAATCGCGGATCATGAATCTCACCAAACATAAGACGATCATGACTTCCAGCAGCAACAGCCGCCTGCAAGCCCGCAGAACCATAAATTACCGCATCAAGATAGATATTCGTCTGCAAAACATCCCAAATACTCCGCTGCGGCCCCGGCTCATCACCACCATTAACAACAAATTTCCGCTCATGCATAATGCAGCTCTCAATCCTACCCGCCAGGAATGGAAGAGTACCGCCAGAATGAGCAAGCAGCACCCTCAGCTCCTGGAACCGGTCAAAGACCCCACTCAGCAACATCCGCGTCACAGCAATAGTAGTTTCCAGCGGGAAGCCCAGCGCAAGCGGGAGAACATGTCCGTACCGAGAGACCGCCTCAGGACCTCCAAACGCCTCATCTGGCAGACCGTAGTGTGGGTGCAGGAAAAGAAGTAACTGTGTCTCTTCCAATGCTTGCCAAATAGCGTCCAGCGCAGGATCATCGAGTCCCTTTCCCAGTCCAGACGTACCCATGATCACACCACGGATATTGGGAAGTGTGCTTAGCCTTTTGATCTCCTCAACGACGACACTGGATGGCGCACTCAATGGCAAAGCACCGAAGGCGAAAAGAGTTTGTTTCTCCGTTGCAGACTTCGTTCCTTCTGGGTCGGAACTCTGGTTAACCTGGGCACAGGTTGAGTCGAGATCGTTATTGATTCGTTCGGCCCATTCTTGTGCTTCGGGACTGGGGACGAAATCTAGCCATGGGTTTGCGAGCGAGATCACACTGCAGTGAATGCCGTGCTTTTCCATGAAGGCTAGCTTGACATTTATGTCTGAATAGGAGGTGTCGACTGGACGGCCTCGTTGATCGAGGGGTGTGGCTGGGTCATCGTCTGATGATAGGATGATTAGACGGGGTTCACCTTCGGCTGGATCGTGGACGTAGGGGACTGTTTTGCGTGCGCGAAGCATCGCCAAGTATGACGGTGGGTAGACATGAGTGTGGATGTCGACAACGAGCTGGGTTGCCATGATGTAGGCTGATTTTGAGGGTTTGCTTTGGTTTTGGAGAAGAGGAGTGTAGGGACTCAGATGCGGAGTATTAATGAAGAGTGATAAGGCCCGCAGATGCGGGGTTGATAGACCTGATAAACAGATAAACAGATAAACATGCACGATTAACGCCGATTAAGAAGATATGATTAGATTGCGTATTCTATCTAAATGTTTGATTGCGATAAAAGAGGCTCGGATCGATAAGATTGTTTATCAGGATGTGGTATACTCTAGAGCCTTTTCATGCTCGATCACATGGCCTACTTACTTTGGCATGGGTCAAGAATACTGCAACTTGACTGAACTTCACAAGTTCAATTGGTACATAGTAATTTGCTAGAGTAAAATACAGCAAATAAGGTATCGTCCAGCAATTCCTCGCATAACACTAATCATTCTGATCTTCACTGACGTCCTGCCTTTGAAGAAAGAATTAACCCACCGTCCAGTAATTCTAGCCGAAATATAAACTTACAAGACAGAATTTCGCTTAAAGCTGGTTACCAGCAATGGTAATGGGCTTCTTGTTGGTGAAGTTGGGGATATCGCCGAAGATGGAAGCGGACTCAGGGTCCTTGAGGGCATTGGTGGCAGCCTCCTCGCTCTCAAACTCGAGGTTGGCGGAAATGTAGAACTGGGACTTGGATCCATCGAGGGAGGTGGTGTACTTGATGATCTTCCAGCCGGTCAGGCCGTGCTTCTTCCAGACCTTGTCAACCAGAGGCATGTGGGTCTGCAGGTAGTAGGTCTCATCGAAGGTGATGCCCTCCTCGTTGGGGTACAGAACGGAAGCGTGGTAAACCATTTTGAATGATTTAGAAATTGAGAGACTTGAAAAGCTTGAAGTGGTTGATAACACGGTATATTGTGAGATGATGTGGAAAGAATGACCCGAAATGAGTCCGAAGTGAGGGAGGAGGGGCAATTTGTACTTCAGATCTGCAGCTTAGATAATGTGACCGAGGTCCAGGAACAGCAATGTGGTCCCAACAAAGTCCGGTGGGGTCCGGTTTACCACATAATGAACCTTGGAACACTAGTATGGAATTGAATTATAATGCTGTCGGACTTCAATTTAGTCCGTGATTTGTTGATTTTAAAAGGCGCCACAATTGGGTTCTGGAGTTAGTAGCTGATCATGCACGGGTAAAACGGCCCCAACTGGGGACGCTTAGCCGCATTGAAGAGTTTAAGCTTGAAAGTCGCTTCATTTGGGGGCGATGCTGGAGAGTCACTTGATTACCGCCCCAATATCCAGCCATTTCGTATAATATCATGCCATATAGCTCCGAAACAGGCAATACAAGCCTCTCGAAGCTATCTCATTCTTGACTTCTGAAAAAGTGGCTCGGCCCGTCGAACCCATTCGATTATGTTCGAGGATATTCCGTGGACTTGATTGATTACCAACCGCCTACGGTGTGAAAATACTTGGTTACACAACCAGGGAAATGCTGTCCCTTTTAATATGTACTCCACAAAATGGAATAAATTACATAAAGTATAAAAATATAGGATAAAATATAAATCCGTGGAAATATCACCTACTATCGAAGAGATAAATACTATCAGCTTTTGATAAGGATAACGATAAGATCTCCGATTAGATTTGCCAAAGGGTATGATGAACTTAACGTAGGTGGAGCCATAGTATGAGGCTGATTAGATGTGGGGAAATGCCGTATCAAGCTGAAATTAAATCAAGGCCGATGTACTGGATCAACATTTGAAAAAACAGAGTACATACAATGTAGTTGTTAACTATAGGTAGAGAGTTTCAAAATCACATTGAAGCCGAGATCTTCATGATAGAGTAGATATTTGTCGGTCCGAGCGCGTATGCAGAGCTTATCTCCACATTCTTATCTTGCTGCTTTCCCCTCTTCATCTGTCTTTCCCCTACTTATTACTGCTCTTAAGAGCTTTTTACCCCTTGATCAAACCTGTCGTGAATCAAAAGTTGCGAGATATAACCGGGTTCTGATCCAGAATGGCCAACCCCGCCCTAGAGATCCACCCGGCTACCACAGCCATCGAGAAAGACGACTTGGTCATACCTGTAAAGTCCCCTAGTATCTTTGTGACATCATTCTCATGAAAGCTCATTTGGTTTTCAGGTCATTGATTTTGGCCCTTTCTTCTCGGGAACTCCATCTGATAAACATGCCGTCGCTCTCTCCATCACCAACGCCTTCAAGACCTCCGGGTTCCTGTACCTCAAGGCTCATGGAATACCACCATCCATCGTGTCCCGAGTCTTTACCTCATCATCCCGCTTCTTCAGTCGACCCCAGAGTCAGAAGGACAGTCTGGGCTGGACTACCCCACAGTCGAACCGTGGTTACATCGCAGCCGGGCGGGAGAAGCTCGCCCCCCTCGAGGAAACAGAGGGGATTAGTACACTCCGCGGCTCCGCACCGGATCTAAAGGAGACGCTGGAAATCGGTCGGGAAGGCGTTGAAGGCTTGCCGAATCGCTGGCCCGATCATCTCGATGACGAGGGCAGAGACTTTAAGGAAACAATGTTGTCGTTTTTCGAAACATGCAAGAATTTACACCGACAAATAATGAGTGCAATTGCCCTTGGGATGAATCTGCCCGAACACTTCTTTGATGACTTCGTCAATGAAGGCGACAACAATCTGCGTCTGCTGCATTACCCAGCTGTCCGGAAGGAGGTCTTCAAAGACAACCCAAATCAAGTCCGGGCGGGCGAGCATAGTGACTATGGTTCAGTCACTTTGTTGTTCCAAGATCGGCATGGTGGTTTGCAGGTGCGCAGCCCGAAGGGAACATTCGTGGATGCAACTCCTATTGCGGATACTATCGTTGTCAACGCTGGAGATTTACTGGCTCGGTGGTCCAATGATACAATTCGCAGTACCCGCCATCGAGTAATCCAGCCACCCATGCCAGTGGGCGAGGATGCAGCCGACTCGGATACGTACCCATCCCGGTACAGCATCGCGTACTTTTGCAATCCTGATAATAATAAACTGATCGAGGCACTCCCGGGGACGTATGGAGAAGATATGCAGATAGAAAAGAAATATGCCGATATCACCGCGGGTGACTACCTAGTCTCGCGACTGACGGCGACTATCTGATATATGGCCACAAGTGCTATTGATACCCAGTTCCATGTCAATTTGTCCGAGGACCACAGCAGCACTTATATCAATCCAACCAATCAACTTTGAAAATTCAATATCACACTTATGTAAATTCAACGACCGCCCCAACATCCAAGAAGGCAGATCAGTAAGTAGCAGGTACTTGGGCAAGTCGACCACCATCAGTAACAATAATAGTACCATTCAAATAACCACCAGAGGCACTCGCCATCCAAACAACCAACCCGGCCATATCCTGTTCCGCTCCACCTCTCGTCAACGGAATCATCTCCCTCGGGAACGAACCATCCGAGATCCCAGTCCCCTTAATGCCCTCAGTGTCGAAGACATGCTCGGCCATCTCTGAGTAGTACAAGCCAGGCGAAATCCCATTGAAACGAATATCATACGACGTGAAAGTCGTGGAAAGCATCTTAACAAGGTGATGCACTCCAGCCTTCGACACATTATATGCGTAACTGAACGGCGGCTTCCGATTGAATCCCGCAAGGGAACCAGTGATAACCACCTGTGCCGTCGGAGGCGACATCACACCCTGCTGCGGCGCTGCCCGTCTCTTATTCGCAGCCTCGAGAAGAGGCAAGAATGCCAGAACAGTATAATAAGCACCCGTCACGTTAACATTCATAACATTGGTAAAATCCGCCATAGGGATGTTATACAGCTCGTCTCGAATCTCCGTGATGGAAGGAAGAGATCCGTCGGCCTTGGGCTGAGGCGAGCGCATCATCGGACCCATAATACCGCTGTTTGCGAACAGGATATCGACATGGGTCGTCTGGGCTGCAATTGCTTGATATGCTGCTTCGAGGGAGTCTTTGGAGGTCACGTCGCACTGGACGGGAATGACGATGCCCTCCGGTGCTTGGGCGGCTGTTTCATGGAGAGCGTCTTCGCGTCGACCGAGAATGAAAATCTTTGATACTCCGTTTACTGCGAGTGAACGGGTGATGATGCGGCCCAGGCCTGATGGGACTGTGTTAGTAGATTATTTTTAGGGTTTGATAAAGTGTTAGTACTTACCGCTGCCTCCTCCGGTGATCACCACCACTCGGTCTTTGACTGAGAACAGCTCTGATGCTTGCAGGTGCGACATTTTGCTGATTGTATTTGAACAGATTGATCGGTGTTAGAAAATGATTTCAGTGGGCAGGACGTGAGTCAGGGGAGTATTTCTAATCTCCTCGGTCTTCTCCCCGCACTGGTGGTATCGTCATTCCCCACTTGCGATCCGCGCTGGCTCCACCGAAAATCCATTGGCTTGTATGATGGCATTGATCCTTCTTTGTTTGCTGAAAAGCATTATTGTAAATATCGATCTTCTATCTTGAGGGTTGCCCCCTAAACATCACCATTCCGAGGAGTTGTGAAATTGTCATGTCAAAATCAGGGTTGAACCAGCGGGGGAAGGAATCCAAAGCTTAACTGTCGGCACTTGCATGCGCCGGACACGTGATGCACCCTCTACAAACAGAGCATTCATGCAGTACTTGCTTCCTGTTTTGTTCATACTAATGTTCCTACATTCCAATCCGAATGCCGGAATAATCCGGACCTAGAATATTCATTTTCGCTGGGACCTGGCATTGCTTCATTCTTCGGTCAATGGTCGAGATACCACGTCATTGCCGAGATGACCCGGAATTGTTGACTCCAGCATCGAACATATGGCAGCTATGGGAACATTCAAAAAGCTACATCTGACTGCCGCCTAAATGTATTAGACTTTTCTGGCGTAATAAGCTGATATTTTCCATACCAACTCCTGCAGACAAGCAAGGCTCCCTTCGCTAAACATGCAAGTTCCCGTAAGAATTGCTTCTAAGGTTTCAACTAATCACAAATTTTCTTGCTCTCAGGCATAGTATTCAGGCCAAAATCAAACCTTGACCTTGCTGACGCAGCCTTTCGAGCGGTTCGGAGTATATCCCGCGAGGGTTCTGCCATGACAGGGCACTGACTTCAATCGCAATAATCCTGATCGAGAGGCCATGAGAGCAATATGCGTTGCAAACCTATCAAATGGTCTGGTCTACACATTAGTTGCGTCAGTCAACGAGCTATTGCTGGCTCGAGCTATATATGGTACTGGCTGCACATGCCCGTGAATCGGATTTTTTTGCAATCCTAGACAGGATTTGATTGTACTTAGAAAGACTTTCCCATTCCGAGTCAAACGAAGCGCTGATAGTACCAGTGGCGATGATTTGGGATTCATTCTTTACATTGGGCCTGCTGAGCCTGTTGGCCTTGGCATCTGCATTGCCGAATGACATTGTGGCCAGAGAAACCTCAGCGAATGTTTCAATCTCAGCGAATGCTTCAACATCGGCACCACCTACCCGGTCTCATCCAACCAGTCTGCCACATTCCGCATACAATGGAACCGCGACCGTTACTGGCGCAATTGCAGCCACATCGGTTGGAACTGGTATACCGTCTGGCAGCGTTGCGCATAGTGCAACAACTTACCCAAGTGACGGGAAGCTACACAATGCCGAGCCAGCACCATATGACCCTGCTGGAGGCGTCGGGATGAATGGGTCAATCCCTGTGTATAACGCCAAGAGTGACTTTGACTACGAATCCTTGGTATGGTCCGCAGTTCATACCCTCCAACTACCGTTTGCCCAAAAAACAAGAACTAACAGCCAAGTACAGGCCCTTACATTGTATCAAGAGTGGATTGAATTGGATCTGTTCCAGGATGCATTGAATCGATTCTCAGTGGACGACTTCAAGTCCGCCGGACTGACGTCCAAAGACCGAGATCTCATTGCATTTATGGCCCAACAGGAAGTCGGCCACGCAACTATGGTCAGTAACATACTCGGCGCCAAAGCGCCACAGCAATGTGCATATATCTATCCCCACACCACTGTGGCCGAATTCATCGACTTCGCCCAGAAGCTGACCCGATTCGGCGAAGCTGGTGTTTACGGGTTCCTAGCACATCTTGACTCCCGCGAAGCAGCCACTCTACTAACTCAATCCATCTCAACCGAGGCACGCCAGCAATTGATCTTCCGTGAGTTTGAGGGCCTCTTTCCCATGCCAGAATGGTTCGAAGTCGGTATTCCGCAGTCGTGGGCATGGACCCTGATGGCACCATACATCAGTTGGTGCCCGACGAACCAGACCCGGCTTGTATGGGAGAACTTTCCAGCCCTGAGAATCCTTAATCAACCTAGTTTGTCTAATGGGGCAAGTGGTGGTGATAACACGTCCATGACCCAGAACGATACTCTTAGCGCAGGAACAAGCGTGGTGACAAGCAGTAGAAAAAAGAGGGTCTTCAGGTCGGGCCGGGACTGCGGCGCTACTGTGACCACTGAAAATGTCACTCTACTTTCTTACCCGGGTCGCCAGGTCGCGCTGCAGTGGGACAATCCGGGTAAAGCTGTCGGGCCAAACAACAGTTATGTCACCACCACCCAAGCGAAGGCGGCCAAGTATGTCGTATGGGTTTCACAGCTCAACATCACATACACGCCTCTGATAGGTAATGGTACTAATACGACGCTTGGATATACTATCCAGCCAGACTTGCAGACCTATCAGGGTGATCCGGCGTTTAACGGGACGATGTTTATTGCTATCACGGATTCGAACCCACCTTTGACTTCGTTTAATCTCAGTTTGATTAATCCGCATATTGTTGCTGGGCCGGCTATCTACCAGGCCGGTTGAGTGGGATTTGGTTGATGTCATAAAGGGAGGGGACCTCGGGATGGCCTGGAGATATTGGGTTACAATGGAGATAAAAGGTGGGCTAGTGTTAATTGCACGCGATTCGAGAATTTATTTAGACTGAGAATATGACAATGTTTTCGATATTCGTTCTCCCTCATTTTGGTCAGGTCTGCGTCGAGTTTGCCGAGCGCAATTGATAATATTAATCGGAGAGGCTGAAGATACAGCTACTTCAGGCATCCATCGGCCTTCCGGCATCTTTTCACCGTCTTGAGATTTGAGAGGATATCTGCTTGTAAGCCAGCGAGACCGCCTTGGCGTCGGACGCGGGATGAAGTGGAGACGAGGCCATTGGGAGACTGTATGTTGGTATTTGGGTATCTAGGCACCCGTGCATCTGCCCAGCTGCGAACTGAATGGAAACCGAACAGACGCGTAATTTGGGTCTACAAGACCGAAGCCCTCTGAACTATTTCCCCATTGCTCTTACCGTGGTGTCTTCTAGACACCCCATGTATTACAGCCCGTGCATGATGTATTTTTAGTAAAGCAAAATATAAGATTAGATCACCGCATGATAGAGTGTCCATGATACTATCAAGACAGATAATTGTTACTGAAAACATCGTGATTCAGGTCGTGTCCATGCATCGCTAAAAGCAGAGAACGCTCATATGTACATAACAGCAAATATTATTCGGAATTAGTCCGATCGTGAGACACGGCCAAACACCAGTTCTCCAAAGAAGTAACCGACCAGCACCGCGAAGAAAAACCCAACATTCATGGTCATCACTGCGATCATGCTAAACGAACAAGTTAGCAAGGAGAAGCGGGTTCAGGTGGAGGGGAGAATCGGCTTACAGTAAATATGCGATGCCTTGATGAACCATTCGTAGTGCCGCTCGAGGCAGATTGACCGACAGCCGCCATGCAGTCACGAGATCCGTTTGTGTGGGTTGATCTTGACCACCATTGATGAGAATCGAGTACCTTGCGTTCTTCGCAGCCCAGAACACGTCGAGCTTGGATAGCATCGCAGCCGAGGCCCGCCAAATCACGGTAAGGAAGAAGAGAAAGAACCATGAGCCAACATAGCCCGCAGTAGTCGTTGGCATCCACGACTGGGAGAAAAGAATTGCGGAGAGGTTGTTGGTGTTGAATGCCATATCGGACATGCTCATGTCGGATGAGGAGGTGGATGACATTGTCATGCTGGAAGAGGTGGTGGTGGCCGTAGACATGTCCATCTTGAAGGAGACCAACCAAGTCCGATTTTAATTAGAAGATCAGCCTGGATAGATTGTGAATCTCCCCTATGAACGCAGTGAGTAGAATTAGAGAAAAAATGGGGAAGTTCCCGAAGTCATCCCTTGCGGCAGAATAACGCGACACGTGGACGAGCAGATTCGAGGGGCAGATTTCGAGTAGATATCAATTTAGAAGTTTGAAGATGTTTCCAAGGTTGAATTCCGTGAATCCGCGCAATGTTTCTTGGTTGTGATTGGCCGAATATCAAACTCCCGCAAATGTGCTCAACACTAATCCCAAAACGGCAAGGATAGCAGAAAAAGGCTTGAAAAGGCTTGATAATGTCAAGCTTCACTATCCGACACGGACAATGGACCCACCTGGTCTCGTATCATGTCTTCTGGGTGCAGATATTATTAATCGAGGATGGATCGTCCCATCTGACAGCCAGCATCTTCTCATTTTCCACCAATTTTTCCGATTCCTAACGTTCTTGTTCCGCCAAGATGGATATGGATATGGACTCAGGCATGTCTGGGGGTCCCGACCTCACAGATGAGGGACTGGACATGTCAAATTCTACTGTGGCGTCAGATTTCCTAGATGCCTTGTTGGATGACACGACCCTCCAGCAAACAGATTATGCTATTGCTCGCGCCTTTTGGTACGGCATTGTCATTGTGATCGTGCTTGTGGGTATAGCCCACTGGACACAATGGGCCTTACTCAAGTTACGGTCAGTCATCACCAAACCTGTTATAGAGGGATCCATCCACTAATGCATTGGCTATGTAGATTGCGCGCTGCGGCAGCAAATCGCGCCCGGCCTGCTAGTCCTTCTAACCCAGTCACGTCCGCATTGGCAGGCTGTACAGCAGTGTTTCGGGAAATATCTTATCACCAACTCACTTTCACGAACTCATGGCTTCGGATCCCCACTATTGGATCTATTGTACTTATCTTAGGATATTTTGGGTACATCATGGGCCTGCAGTTTTATGAATGGGACTATCCTGGTGCACAGTATTGGCAAGCTCAAAGCATTCGGGCGGGTTGGCTTACCATTGCCCAATTCCCGTTGGTCCTTCTTCTGGCTGGAAAGCGGAATTTGATTGGATATGCCGTGGGTATGTCATATGAGCGTCTGCAGATCTTACATCGTTGGGTGGCCCGAGTCATGCTGTTGACTGCCACTATCCACGGTGCTGTTCAAACGTATGGATGGCACAAGTATGGTGTGATGAAGCTTGAATTTGACACCGATAGCTGCATTCCTACAGGTATAATTGACCATCTCCATTCTGCGTCGGATTTTGGCTAACAGTGAAAAAGGCTTTGCGACTTGGATGATTCTTGTATGGTTGGTGTTGTCTGCAACTGCGCCGATCCGCAACTGGCGATATGAGATTTTCGTGGCTCAACATATCATAACCTTTATTGGCCTTGTCGTCGCTATTTTCTATCACTTGCCATCCACCGCTTTGAGTTCAAGGTATGTATTCTTTCACCACAGCCTCGTTTAAGCTTCTAATCCGTATTAGAATATACGCTTGGATTGGTGTCGGCATCTTCATCCTCGACCGCCTGCTTCGGACTATCATCTTCACATATGTCAATGCAAAGCCAGCGAAGGCTACTATCACCGAGCTTCCTGGTGATGTCACAAAAATCCGCATTGCTTCCCCCCGAATCAAGAAGTGGGGCCCAGGACAACACGTCTTCCTGTCGATTCCGAAGCTGGGACTTGGACAGTCACACCCAGCTACCATTCTTTCAACTCCTTCATCTCACAAAAATGACCTCGTGTTCCTTCTAAGAGCCCACCGCGGCTTTACTCGGCGACTACTTGACTCTGCCCAGTCCTCCTCGGCTAATCTACTTGAAAAGACCGAGGATTCCCGAACTGTTCAAATTGCAGGGCAACACCTCTCCCTCATCGGTGGACCATACGGAGGGTCCCAATCTGATTTCGCTGCCTTCGACACCGTCCTCCTCATCTCCGGGTCAACTGGTATTACATTCACGTTGTCTATCCTCCTCGACATTGCGCACAGAGTGAAGACCCAGAAACTTCCTGTCCGACGCTTGGTGTTTGTTTGGGTGGTCCGAACTGTGTCCTGTACAGAGTGGGTCGCCGATGAATTACAGCAAGCAATGGAATCTCTTACCAGCGCTGGTATCGAAGCCGAGGTACGCTTCTTTGTTACCTGCGATGCTGAGCCATCCGAGCCATCAGAGAAGAAGATCGGTTGCCCGTGCAAGAACACGGAAGGGCCATGCTGTTGCAGTGGTCTCGGTTCTTCAAGTCTCCAAGTGCTTCCTGATACAATTGTCAAGTCAGAAGATACAAAGGATGTCATTTCAACCTCTATTCCTCAAGACACAGCGGAGACTTCCGTGCCAATACCGGCCTCGAGCTATACATCTGGGCGACCGACGTTGAAACCCTTGCTCTGGGAATTGTTGGATCATGCCAGGGGTGAGACCGGTGTCGCAGTCTGTGGGCCCTTAGGACTGGTTAGCAATGTCAGAAACACGGTGGCTACAGTTAGCGAGGAGCGCGGTTCAAATAAGGGAACTGGGGCTGAGGGGGTTTATTTGCATGCTGAGAGCTTTGCATGGTGATTATCACCGCGTATGATTGCATTTTATTTTGTACAGGACATGAACATATGTTAATAATGACACGACATGAATGAATACCCATCAATCAATATACATTTCAATAGTGAAGATTGTTCTGTTGATTTATCCGTAGCTTCAGCTTTGTCTATATATCGTACATACTAATCACAAGACCAGGATTCGGATATGATATCCCCATATCTCTCCATCAAGGATTGGAAGGCAATCCCGCCCACCTGAGATCCTCCAATAGTTGCTTCAAGAGAAAGAAGTCCCTTAACGAGCGTGTCGATTCTGTGATCTCCAACGTCATCACAACCAAGGAAGGTCGCGTCCATTAGCGGATCTTCTAAGCTGTAGTCGTTCGAAACGTGCAAATGAATACTATGCTCCACGGCCTTTGCAAGTGCCGAAGTCATAAGACTAGGAGTAACGTGATATGCAATGATCGGAACTTCGGAACCAAGGCTGTTCTGAATGTTCAGATTAGCCTCGGTCGGTAGTGCAGACACGGCTTCCATGATTTGTGTCATTGATGAGACAGCGACCTCACGGCACAACTGCATACGTGACAAAAGGCCTAGATCACAATATTGATTGATTTTCTCGGTGAATGGCATGAGTGAATCAGCGAGAACAAGAACACCAAGGCTCCAGAATGAGATCATAGAAGCTATACAAGCTGTCAGATATATTTTAGAAAGAAAGTGACTGGAATGATTCTACTCACCAACAGATATTCTCCGAGCGAGAGACAGACCCCCAAAGGAATCGGTGCAGTCCTGCATGAAAGGTTGAAAAGTATCATCGAACTCCTGGACAGCGTCCACTGCTTGGTGTATCGCATTGCAAGTTTCAAGTGGAATGCCGGAGCTTATATCATCTAGCTTCAGAAGAGCTCCTCTGACATCTATGATTTGCCGCCAGATACAGAAAGACCGCACAGTTGCTCCATGGCATATAGAAGGGTCCTTGCTGTCTATATCCTGTAGACTATGGTAGACAGGCTGTCCTGGAACCGTACTATTTTGGGTTTGTCCTAAAAATGTCAGACCCAGTAGTTCTTCATATGACGACAAAATTACTCGAACGAACCGTTCTCACGTGCGAAAAGAGCCGGAATTTTGCACTCGTGGCTTGCAGTGAGTGCCGCTCCCAAATCACGTATATATCCACACCAACGAACAAGGCTTAGACTGGCTTCTGCCAGAACGGCATATCTGGAAAAGGGTCCCAATGTAGCACAGTATTGCATGACAAGTTTGTCTAAAATGCAAAGACTTCCAAGGCCAATATCGAGGAATTCGTGCTCGATCCCAGCAAATCCCAGACTGGCGTAAGCTTTGATCGGGATAGCAATGCCATCAAACAATAGAATTGCAAGCACAATCCGGAACGATCGGATATGCTGGCTGGCCATAATCTGTGATCTTGCATTGAACCACGCATCAGTGTACGCGTCCAAGCAGGAATCATGATCTGATGACGGTCCAGTACCAGAGGAGGAATGTGGTAAAGGAATCCACTGCAGCGCGAATACTCGAAGAACAGCGTGTAAAGCTGCGTCGGACTGATTTCGTGCAGCCAGTCCTAACTTATTGCCGTAAAGGCCTGCCAGATGATCCAAGAAGCGTGCGGAACCGACCAAGGTCATGTTGCAGGAATCCTCTCGAATGGCCGGTTTGGTGGCCATCCTATCAGTGTTGAGCTGCAGTTGTGTTGAAGCATTATCCTCTTGACACTTTGAGCCTGAAGGCGTAGGAACCTCCCAGCTCTCCGTCGAAGCAGCATCTGATTCAGGTGAGGCGGAGCTCGTGGAGATGGTGCTGTCTTCTATCTGATACCGATTTTGCGTTGCATACAAATTGCAATCGTAGTCTAGATATCTTGAAGCGCATCCATTGACAACTATCTCGAAGATTCGTGCCAGGCGCGTCTCCAAGATTGCTGTATCGAGCTTCGAGTTCAGTAGATATATCGGGCTTCGTCGTGAGATTCCAAGCATTGAGCCCACGCCTAAAGGTAGAACGGGGTGGTTTTTGCGTAAGTACCTTGGGGCTAAGGTCATCTGTTTAACATGCTGATATCCATACTTTGACACGGATTCCGGGCCAGAAATGGAATCCGGGTAGTTTTGGTTTGACGACTCTGCTTCGTTATTTGAGGAATCATTGTCAAGGTTGAGCCACTTTTCAAACAGATTGTCTCCATTCAGAGGTCCGGGGTACTTTGCTATCTCTGAGATGTCATAATCATTTGTTGTATGCTCCGAATTATCGTGTCGCTTTCGCTGCTTTCTGCTCGATCTTTTGTCCAGGCGTGATGTGGCAAAATTGAAGGTGCAGGTATGTCCTAAGCGCTGGCAGTGTGTGCAGGCCGGGCTGGAACTGTCAAATGTAACCAGTGGAAAGGTACAGCGACGCTTTGATCGGCGACAGGGATCACAGCTACTGTTCTGGCGACGCTGTGGGGTAGCATGTGTCAATGTTCTAGATGGCAAGCTGTTGGACATTTTGTCCTACTTTGACTGTAGCCATCGAATAGATATTGATGGAGATCTTATGAGCCAAATTTCATGATGGTATTGGAACTACCATTCAATGACCACCACGAGAAGCGATATTTCGTCGTTTCGAAAGCTGATGGAAGCAATGAAAATAGTTGTTGCTAAGTAATCATATTTCCGTGTCCACCCGGGATTTGCGGATATCCCGAAAACACCCGATGTATCCATGGATACAGTATGGGCAGACCATCGACGAAGCAGTACTCTTGATATTAACCTAGATAGACATTTTATTGCTGAGGTATGAGTGCTCGATAGCGGCTTATATAACCTCGTTCATTCTTTTTCCGCTTCTTCTCTCTTTCATCCCCATCTGCTTCGGAGGTTCTTGAAGGTATATCTAAGTTGACTCTAGTGGATCTGATTAAGTTCAAAGTGCAAGTCGATTTGTTCGAGATATCTCAATTGTTAACGAGTTAAAAGAATGCCAGGCCACTTGCAAGTAATGGGGATTAATTGTCTATTACTGTCTTAGATTGACAGTTTTCCAGTCCACTTGCAAGTGGAAATTCAATATCAACGAGCCACCCGTGGACGGTGGTTGTATCGGAAAATCTTCCGCTCCTTGAATTGAAGCATTAACAAAAAGTGTTTGGGAACCATATTTTAGCTGGGCTGGGTCCTCAGAGCAGTGGTTTGTAAAAGAAAGACTCTTAGAAGTCAAGGTATAGAGTTTGTCTATAAGCACAGAGCTTCCGTTATCAATATCAGTCAGGTGACAAGGCCTCTGACTAGTTTTGTGACGCCGAGTAATGAGCTTCGCACCCCATCCTTCGTGAATGCGCCCAAAGCAATGTATCCGAGGCCGGGCCCGACGTATCGCCTCAAAAAGGTATTGGCAGCCTGCTCTCTCACCAGAGTAAGTATAATACAGAATGCCTTTTGGCGGACCATGTGTCATGACAACATCAACATTGTACCTAGAGAACTTGTGTCCCTGATCTGGATGATATTGAAAGCCCCAGCTACCCAGAGTTGGTGTGTACGGGCTAGCGTACACGGTCAAAAACGCACCATTTCCAAGACGAAAAGAGTGAGTACCTTCGTCGGGGAAACTGATGCCAGCGGATTCATTGAGAATGCATTTGGCATTCCCATAACAGCCATATACTTGCTCAACCAAAGTAGGGTCGAGAGGCGGCCGATACTCCGCCAATATTTCCTGGAATGCTGGGATATCCAGTGTGAAGTCGTGATTCCCGGCTATCACGAGTTTGAGGGGAGCATTTACGGACTGTAGCAATCGGATGCAGGCCCGGTACTCCGCAATCTTGGACTCTGTAGTAAAATCCCCGCAGTGAATCGCGACATCTGCATATTGGCCTGATACGGAGTCTGGTAGACTGTCGAGCCCGTGTGTATCGGATATTACCAGAAATCGGGTCTTGATATTGGTTGAAGTAGTCGCTGTCATCCTTAATGCTGACTGGTAAGAGGCTCTAGTAACGTACTAAGGAGCGTACGATAGTGGAAGAAGTAGTTCATAAATTTACGGAAGAGGCCAAGCTGTAGTGCCTGCTGAAATAAGGTAGATAGGAACATGGACTAGTCCCGATTAGGATGATCATCAGGCCCCAAAGTCTATCTCTGTCCGCAGAAAGGTGATCCTCGCACTTTAGATCCCGCTTTCTTTCACTTATGATGAACTGCTGGACGAGGATAATTTCAGCCTCCATAACTTGGCGCTTCCAAACATCGATATCTGTGAGTCAGACCCACCTACCCAAGTAGGCATAGTCAAATGTTCCAGGCCCAACACCGGCGCCAACAGTTGGACACCTAATCTAGTGATAAGTTTGCTTGCATGGTTGGTGATAGATGTGGTCATGAATGATTCGCTCACATATTCTGCTACGCCGGAGTGATGTGATCAACCTGTAAAGATAGGGCGATAAGCGCCGCTCACGTTGTAGGTGGCTTTTCTTTTTCCGTTTGTACAAACGGCCCCAAAACGCATGCAGCAAGGCATATTCTGTGGTATTGCAAGGCAGTATAGTTTGTAGACTGGAGTTCAGCCTGCTGCTCCAAATTTCTTATTTCAAGCTCTCTAGTCGCTCACAAAATCTCTCCTCACCCAACGACTCAACACAGACATCGACTAACAACTGACTCCAAAATCAAACAAATTTGAACTACAAACGTCCCTCTCAGAATCTCCAGATCATGGAGGAGGCTTCTTCACTTATGTCTCTGACGTTAGAGGAGAGTTTGTACCTATTTCACCACTTATTTCTTCCGCCAAAGCTTCCACAGGCAGATGATTACAACGCGAGACATGAAAACCTTCTGCTCAACAGCGTCATTGATGCACTCCGCAGCTTCAGTGGTTATGTTCTGACCGCAGATGATACTGTTATGCCTAGAGTCATTGAGATGATCACTCGCCTGAGACAAGCGCATAATTCTTACGGTGAAGTTGATGAAGAGCAGCTCATGAAGAGTCTAACAGAGCTGCCAATTCAGAGTAAGTGCTCTCTACTTTACAGCTTATCCAGGCCATTCCTAATCAGCTACTAGATGGTTTTCTACCCATTCACGTCCGCGAGCAGAATGCGGGCATCCTCTTGAGCTGCCAGCGTGGTGCGATACAAATAGAGTGCTTTGAAGTATCAGCTCGCAACGGGTCGGTTATGTCAACAGTGGGCCGGCTGCGCCGTGATTTCCCAGGCCCTGCCATGCTTATGGATAGGAATACCTTTGATGAGCCCGGATTTCGAGAGATCATGGCCCAAACAATCGCACGGATGAGTCACCAGCCAGTTGCTGGAACCAAACCAAAGGTCAAGAAAGCTCAAGAGGAGCACGATGAGGACAGGGATACCACACATCCAAAAATGGTGACGGAGCTGCTCATGTCAATCCTCCGCCCTCGATGTACCGATGTCACAGCTGCACAAATTTCAAAGAATACTCGCGATGAAGTGATGTGGCTCAATTGCCGATCGCCATGGCGCCGATCCCCATTATGGCTTCTGGTACGCGTAATCCTTCAGTTGGCTTTTCGCAGGTTGTCTAAAGAAGAGGGCTCAGATGATCTGTATAAAGAATTCATGATATTCTTTTTGGCCTTCATCGTTGGTAGAGTTTCAAATGCAATGCGCTCAGAAAGTCATTTCCTCATGAGCGCTAAGATTGTTCGCCGACTGCTGAAGCTTGACTTGGCAAATGAGCCAGCCTGGTTCTCGTCGGTTCAGGGGATCTTGAGACGCACAACTGGTGTCATTGAAGGCCAATGGAAAACTATCAGAAGCCAAGAAACCAGTATTGTTGAAATGGCTCCGCTGTGTGATTTAGACTTTCGTCAAGATATCCAATGTGCGCTCCCTTGCCTTGACCGCTACCTCAAGAGCATAGAAAAACGAGGCAACAAGCGCCTACGCGGAGATGATTTCCTGCCACAATCGAAGCTCATCACATACCAACAAGCAGAGCTTCCGTATTGCCTTGATTGCCACGATTCTGACTACAAAGCGTACAACCTTGCTGCCTTCGAGGATTGGGTGGCTTCGTGTCTCAATGCATGGATGGAGGTCCACCAGGGTGACGAGGCAACTTGCGGTAAACTTGGCGCTTTAATCACTAAATACTTTGAGCGAGCCTCTTCGTTATACTCAGATAACCCAGAAGCCATATCAGTTATGCTTCTCACAATTTTGGAGCTTTGGATTGCCTGTGACAAATCTGCCAGTCACATCCATGATAACTTGAGAGAGTATGATGCATATATACCTGTCGACTGTTTCCAATCACTCTTGCTGCCTTTTCGATCACAAATGGCGAGACTGGCTTGCGCTGAAGAGTACCTGAGTCAACGTCATGCTCACCTCAGACGTCAGAATTCGAATGTTTTCCATGATTTCGGGACTTCAAACTGTTTCGCTGTTCGATACTTTGAGCAGTCTAACGAGCACCAGCAATTACTTGCAACCATTGAAGCACATGCCGTCCAAGAAAGGGCGAGAAAAAAGGTCGAGCTTCGGGAGAAACAACAACGTTACAAAGACCTGATGCAAAAAGCTTCCGAGACGGCATGTCAATACAACGAAGTCATTGTGGACAAGAGATTCAGTCTTCGAGAACGTGTTCACAGCGATTATTGCCCCAAAGAGAACTATGTGAGAGAGGCCAAGTCTATTGGTATTAGTATCCACGAGTGGCCTCTGCCGACTGATCCGTTGAGGGCTAAATCCACCGTTTTTGAGCTTAGGGTACCCGAACCTTTTGCAAGCTGGCGTGACATCACCGTATTCTTTTTGCACAACTGCTTAAACTCAAAATACACGATGGAAGAGAGACCAAGAGCAGTGCACCGTCCAGAGACGTACCAAGGTCTCTCTTCGTACTCAAACAATCACGGACGAAACCAGCGAATTAGTCTTCTTTCACAGGAAAAGCCTCACGATAGAACTCACCGACGCGACAAATTGATAGTCAATGTGGCCGAGAATGATGTCTGCCTCAAAAACGGACTGAATTTCCGATTCTACGACAATACTTTAGCATGTTTTGTAAGCGACTTGAACAGGACAGATCGAACAGAGATTTCCTGCACCTATAAGCTCCCACCGTACAGCTCAAAGCTGCAAAGATATATGTTCCGGCCTGCCAATGATCCAAATGGCCCGTCACCGAATACTGTCATTGCGACACAGTGTGATGCCCCAGCTAACATGTCCCTGGGAGAATATAAGGCCTTAGCAATCATGCCTCTTGGACTAGAGATTCAATGGCAGAATATTCTGATAGAACTGGCAATGCCATCGGTGGACATGAAGAAAGTCGAAACTGCAATATTTATGCACCAAATCATCAACCAAGTGGGCCCATCAAAAGCAGGCACATCTTTGAGACAAGGGCATGCGATTTTGTGCGACGATGAATTCACCCTGAATATACTGTCCCGAATCAACGAGACCATGGGGAGGATTAAAGATAATTGGGAGACTATTCATGGGTTCAACAGTCTCATCCGCTTGACTTCAAAGATTCTGTCTTTGTCTCCTTCCCAGAAAGTCCGTGCGATGTGCCTCGAGTGCTTGGGAAACCTCCGCCGCTCTGCTTTCCACTGGGTCAAGCTTGTCAAAACGAAGGCTAGTGAGACAATTGATGATACTCACAAAATCAGTCTTGTTGCAAAGAGCGTCCATATCGCATTGGTCTGTGCAGAGACATTCAATGTGGAGAATATCGCCCCAATGTTTGTCGACTATTTGGATATTTCGATCTTTCTGCAGTGCTCTTTGGTCATTTGGAACGGACGGAACACGTTGACAACGCAACCAGGCTCAGTGCTTCATATTTTGTACCATCGGTGGCAAGTTCTGAGTTATCGGAGTCATGTTGTTCTCGCAGAGAGCATCGTTCAGCGCAAGAACCCGGGAATGGACATGGCAATAAAAGCAGCCTGGGCAACGTACGACGTTACCTCGAAGTGGTCGAAGGTATCGAATGACGTGAACTATTGGTTGCTTACCCGATTGTCAGTCCCGTCAGAGCCTAATGAAGGAATGCTGGTGCATTACAACCTCTTGACGGGCGAGCTGCTTGTGGATGGTCTCCCGCTTGCGCGCCTGCCTTCTGATTATGAATCCCACGAAACATATCGCACTTTGTTCGGGAAATCCCAATTGGAGGTAATGCCAAGCAACTCACCAGGGATGCAATTTTCCTGTCAAACACAGTATTTGGATCATACTGTACATGTCGGAAAAGAGTATGATCCGGGGTTGACCAATTTTGACTTGACAATCAAGGCATCAAAGAATGAAAAAGTCTGGCAACTTCTTCCGTCAAGGCTTTTTGCTGGAGATTTTCCAGATGACTTTGTTGAGAACTACGTGCACTGGTATTCAGTCACAGATGACCTTGTGGAATTCCGACCTGCCAAAACCCCATGGCTGACATCTAGTCAGAGCTGGCGGCTCCAGAGAAGCTCTTCTCAAGTTACCTGGAGTCTTCAGAGACAAGGGACGGTTTTAATCAGCGCCATATCCAAAACGGCCACTGTGCTATCAAAAGTCTTCTTGCCGGTTGAAAAGGCATTGAAGGTACATTACATTTTTGATGAAGCAACCTTGGATCTGCATATCGAGCTGCCACGTCTTCGATTGGAATTTATTCTCAAGTCACATTCATCTGCGATCCAATCTCGACAGTATCCCGGCATGTCAGTCGATGACAACCAATCCTTCGACTCCTTGATTGGGCTACGTAATAAGCTCCTGCTCAAGGACGGTGACTCGCATGATCGAGTGATCCTAATACCTGAAGGGATCGTGTCTTGGGCTAGAAATGATAATCATGTCCATGTTGAGATCGGCTGGCAAGCTGCGACCAAAATTCATGCATATTCCATCGATCATCATCTCGGGAGACTTCTGGATAATGGAAGCTTACAGAGCAAGCTATTTCTCACATACTTACATGCTCTCACGTCATTTTGCTTGCCAGATCCGCTCCCCAGAAAGACAGGGACAGAGCAAGCGTTATCTATACTTCGGTCCGCTTCCCTGAGATCTTTTGATAGGCTTGAGCCAGAACAAACCGCACTTCTCGAGAAAATAGCATCCCTCACTCCTGCCAGAGAGTTCTACCCTACGAATGTGCAAGAAATGCAGAGAGTTCACTGGCAACAAGGCCTAGGCTGTCTCTCCCAACACCACGGGTTTCGCGAAGAAGTCGCGGCTATACTGGAACAAGATCGTCGCATGGCAATCTTCCGACCTGAGACAGAACTGAGCCACCCCTCACTTCCACATGTGGAGCAAACACTGTTACTGCGCGATCAGATCCGCACGGCCTCATTCCGCACCTCGGGCTTCGGCGCGGAGGATCACACGGAGAAGTATGACGGCATCTACAATGGTCTCGACAAGAGCCGCACATCTCCCGAAGGATCCCAAAGCTTCTTATTGTGTAAGATGCTTTACGACGAGATCCCTTCTATTCGCAGACTTCAACCCGAGGAGTTGACGTCACATCTATGGCAATTTCTCACTTTATCTCCCAGTGTACAGGGTCCCCACGCGCCATTTGACACTAAAAGACTGAGGTACGATGCTGAGTGGGTGTTGGATTCAAAACCTTTCCTTGCCAGTAATTGGTGTTGTATTCACCACGTCGCATGCACACGAAATCACCGCTTCAGCAAATTCCAGCTCATGAGTTGGCTCTCGGTTCTCGCCTTCTCGAAGAAACCTGACATGATTGCCCTTGAGACAATTGCTTCCATTTTTGTGATTTCGGGCCTCAATTTGACCAATCCGCCGTCTAGAGCGCTATTTCTGCCAGCAGAGGGATTTGTCATATCCCAACCTGACATTCGTCGTCGAATCGAATGGGAACAGCGTCTATCCACCCCAGAGTCGGAGCTTGCGCCCGAAAAATATGAGACATATCATGAATTAACATCACGCAGGGACAGGCTACAGCGGCAAAATCGCGGGCTGGTCTTGGAAAGTTTGTTGCTCCATTACCAAAACGAGTGGCCCACCAGATCACCTTCACACCCCTCCTCGCCAGTGAACTTAAATACAAATGATTATTTTGATGCACAGAATATCTTCATTAAAGTCTCCAAATTGTTCAATATATGGCTCGACAATAGAGATCTGAGACAATACATCAACGATCTTGCGAATGTCATTTGCAGTCAACCGGTCGAACAGGTCGAGACTCATTTATTCCAGCTACCACACTCTACTCAGAAGGCACAATCAAAACGTGGCTTTGTCCTTCTTGATGATTTACTTGGCCCTCAGCCAATCCTCGAAATTGAAGAGCCGCGATTGAGTGAATTTCTCGTGGCATCGTCGTCATTAAATAAAGCAGCCCCCGACCTTTCGGCTTTGTTAAGCTATTTGGGTGTACAGGCCAAATCCAACTATGAGAGACGGTACGTCGAACAGCTCAAAAGCAGTTTCACTTCTTTGAAAGATGCCAGACAAGGGTACCACATCGATCTGGACCCTAGTAAAATGAAGGCGGCGATCTTTGAATACCTCAACGCGTGTGTTGGATACGTCGACAAAATGAATAGCGCTCTTGTGTCTCAACTTCGTCCCTCCACTGAGAAATCTAGCTGGTTCATATCGAAAAATTTGTTCAAGTCAAAGCTGGTCGCAACAGCCCTCGAAATTCAGCAATGTCCAAGGCTGTCGCCAATCCTTCTTTTGGAACAACTGTCGCGCCGTCGATGGGGGCCACTTGATATAGATTGGAAAATGTGTTTCATTACTTACGGGTGCTCAATTACGAAGCTGCAGCGGGCGAAACGACTTGCTAGCCTTGTCAAACACCCGGATGAACTACTGAAAGAACTCCAAAACCCAGGTCATACCAATTGAAATCCGATTGAATTCCCAGAGACTCTGCTATTGGAGATAGAAAATGGCATCCTGATACGTGGCATTCAAGAGCAAATTGCCGCGACAATGAGGCACTCTTCCCCTGGAAAGAACGCAGTCATGCAGCTGAATATGGGCGAGGGGAAATCTTCAGTCATCGTCCCTATGGTAGTGGCGGATTTTGCGAATGGATCTTGTCTAGCTCGCGTATTTGTGGCCAAACCGCAGTCCCGACAAATGTTTCAAATGCTGGTCACGAAGCTGGGTGGTCTCTTGGGTCGGCGTGTTTATCACATGCCTATTGCACGCTCTCTGAAACTTGGAGAAGCGGAAGCAGACGAAATTGAACGCATGTGCAAGGAATGTATTTCTCAAGGCGGTGTTTTGCTTGTTCAACCTGAGCATATGCTATCATTGAAGTTGATGTGCCACGAATGCTTAATAGCCGGTAAATCCGCCGTGGGACGTTCTCTACTTCGCACTTTGCAGCTGTTTGAAAATCATGCCCGTGACATTGTGGACGAGAGTGATGAGAATTTCAGCGTCAAGTTTGAATTGATCTATACCATGGGAGTTCAGCGGCCCGTTGAACTCAGCCCACAACGGTGGGTTATGATACAAGAGCTACTGTATCTGGTACGACAGTATGCTAGTCGTGTTCGCTCCGAATTCCCCGAATCTATTGAGGTGAACGAGCAATTGGGGAATGGCTTTCCACGAGTACGCTTGCTCAATCATGATGCCGAAGAGGCTCTGATTGGATATATCGGGAGGCACATATGTGAGAATGGGTTTGGATCTCTATCGATATCGCGGCAGGCTCAGCCCATTCGAGATGCTGTGTCGAATTACATTATGGAACCCGACCTCACAGCAGAGCAGATTGCTGCAGTTGAGTCAGAAGACACCGCAGGGTTTTGGGGTGAAAGCACACGAGCTTCCCTCCTTTTAACGCGGGGTCTGCTAGCTGGGGGCATTCTGGCCTTCTGTTTGGGTCAGAAGAGATGGCGCGTCAACTATGGGCCTGATCCGAGCCGGAATCCATCCACAAGGCTTTGTGTACCATACCGAGCCAAGGATAACCCTTCACTTCGTTCAGAATTCAGCCACCCTGATGTGGTGATTATGCTGACGTGTCTAAATTATTACTATGCCGGACTCAGCAACGACGATATATCCCTTGCCTTCAATCATTTGGTCAAGTCGGACCAGGCAGATGCTGAGTACCGAGCGTGGGTCGACAGTTCTTTTGAGCTTCCACACACCTACCACCAGCTTGTGGGTGTCAACCTGGATGATCGGTCTCATTTTACCGATCAAATTTCCCCTGCTCTGCGATTCTCGAAAGCTACTATAGACTACTTTTTGACACACATTGTCTTCCCCAAAGAGATGAAAGAATTCCCCGACAAGCTGTCTGCATCTGGCTGGGATATTGGTGAGATCAGGGTAAACCCTACGGTAGGATTCAGTGGGACGAATGATTCACGGGAGACTCTACCGCTGAGTGTCTCTCAGCTCGATCTACCGGAGCAAAACCACACGAACGCATTGGTGCTTGAATATTTGTTACGGAACGAGAATTCGGTGGCCTACATCCCGCAGCACGCGCAGCCATGCAAATCAGATGCCCAGACAATCCTGGATCTGGTTCTGGGTCTGGATCCTCCGGCTCAGGTGATTCTGGACGTGGGTGCACAGATACTGGAGCTCAGTAATCACGACGTGGCGGCGCACTGGCTTAGCATGCTCACAAAACAAGGGTCAATCCAAGCAGTTGTCTTCGTGAACCAAAACGACGAGATCTGCGTCCTAGATCGAAGTGGACGTGTGGAACTCTTGCAAATATCACCTTTTGCACGACGGATGGAGGCGTGCTTTGTCTTCCTTGACGAAGCACATACAAGGGGAATTGATTTGAAGCTCCCGACCAATTATCGTGCGGCAGTCACCCTCGGTCCCGGCATCACGAAAGACAAATTGGTGCAAGGTATGTCATTTTGACATCTGATGTGAGGCAAAGTCTAGAACTAACAGTATCTTAGCGTGTATGAGAATGAGGAAATTGGGCAAGGGACAGTCTGTTGTATTCTGCGTTCCCAAAGAGGTCGAGTCAAATATCCTGGCCTTGCGTGGCAAAGATTCGAACTCACATATCGATGTCTCGGACGTCCTTCTGTGGGCTGTTTCTGAAACTTGGAGTGATATCAGGCGCAGTGTGCCCCTTTGGGCGGTTCAGGGCACCCGTTTCGAGCGCCAACAGGAACTGTGGCAATCCTATCGTCAAAGCGAGAACCTGACTTCGACAGAAGCCGAACAGTTCCTCGAGCCTGAATGCCAAAGTCTTGAACAGCGTTATCGTCCTGGCCACCAAAAGAAACCTAGCTGCGAATACCTTTCTAGTGAAAATGAGACTCTGAAATTGATAGGGGAGCACTGCCGGAAATTCGAAGGTCTCGACACTGGCTTATCCACCCTTCTGGAGGAACAGGAGCGCGAACTCGCGCCTGAGATTGAAAGCGAGCGTCAGGTACAGAGGCCTCCGGGTGCCACCCCTGCACCACATCAAATTCATCCACATATTGCTTCATTTGTCGTCAGGGGGGTCCTTGAGAAGCCTTCCAAGGCTTACAGGCCCGCGTACCACACGCTGCACAACACCTCTGCAGCCTCGTTCCTGGATGTATCGCAATTTCCGTCCAGTCTCCTAGCTACCAAAGACTTTTTCAATACGATCAAAGTGCCCTCTGGCTCGACTTTTATTGCTGATGCTTTCCAACGGCCTGTCAGGTGGGTCCTGGTGAGTAGGAATATGGCACACGTGATGATTATCAGCCCCTTCGAGGCCAATATTTTGATGCCCGAGATACGTGAATCAGAATTCGTCAGTCTTCATTTATATGCGCCACGCCAAAGCCAAGGATTCGCCTCATTAGATAGACTCACGTTATACACTGTCCCTGAAGACGTTGACAGGGGCACAATGCCTGATTTGTTTCGGATACAGCTCAACCTCTTTTCTGGACAGTTGTACCTCGAATCATACTCTGAGTACACAAGTCTTTGTGAGTTTCTAGGAGTAGCTTCTGTGAAGACGCCACCCGGATTCGTTGTCGCTGCGGATGGTTTTATCAAGCAAGGTATCCTGGGAGCGAAGAAAATCTTCAGCGAAAGCCCGCTCAAGTTCCTCGAAGTGCTTATGTCCCAGATTAGAAAGGACTGCCAGGAGATTGGCCGGACACACCTTGGAAAAATCGTCGGTGGCCACTTGCTATTTCCGCTCGACTTCCAGGAATCAGCGATAGCATCCATCGAGGCGGATCTTGAGACACTGGAAATATGATCGCAGATTGTTAGTTCTATACTGTTTTGCTGAATGTACTTCTTCCTGCTTATTTTGCTATATCTTGAAGTATTCATTGTCTCCTAGTAATCTTATCTCCTGCATCCACTTAGTCCAAAATGATAGCCATCCATCAAGAAGGGGTCATCTCCAAGTAGTTGGGACGAGGCCGCTATCCTTGATGACACTATATGAGAGAGCTATGGAATTACTGCATTTCATGTGAGTATTTGATTGTGTAAGGTCGCGGACTTTGTTAGAGCTCAGCTTCAAATATCCACGATATGGCGACACCGGCGAATAAGAGAACTGTCCCGGAAGTAGGTAGACCCAGCTCCCCCGAAAGGCTAAGCGGGACCATAGTCACATCTGGTCCAGTCAACTGGATCATCGGGGTGAAGTACCAGGTCGATGTAATTGCAAGCCATGTCATGACCCACAGTAATCCGAGGATCCTCTGCCACATAGCCGGCTCATTCTTCTCAGAATTAGATCTCTCAGCTCCGAAGCGACCCCATAATTCCTGCACACAATCCTCGATGATAATTCCAACGACGAAGCCAGTGTAGAAAGTGATCGATCCCGAATATTCAGGCGGAACACTTTGCAACAGGTCCACAATAACATGGTACAGACTCGATATCAGGAAAACAGCAAATAGATTGGCATATCGTTCAAGGACTGATGATCGAGCCAGGCCCAGAATATCTCGCGCGATGAAGTTACCCAAGGACGAGAAAGGCTGTCGCATAAACTGGTGCCAGAATTTACTAGGTCTGTTAGTGAAGAACCCCACAAAAACAAAGAAAGCAATATCTTACCCCCAAAAGTTTCGAAGAGTGTATGCTTCACTTATTCTCCCCCAAGCCGGTGGCCAATCCGAGGGCGAGTCAATTCCAAGGCCAACACTAGCGATGGAAAGGAGACGATATGCAGAGTCGCCGATGAGTCTATTCACCACGAACCAGATCGCTAGATGTGTACCTGCTCGCTCAGCCCACTCACCACACGACAAATTCCATTGAATCTTCGACAAGAGCTCCCTGCTCGTAGGAGCCTGCTGAGCCGAAAGTGTCTGAATGACATCGAGGGCCAAATATTGCCAAGCGAAGATTGCAGATTGACGAAGCAAGAAGCGAGATCGACTGGGTGCCTGCATACCCCGTCGCGTGTAGTAACGGGGCTGAGATGGTATATTCTTCACTTGCCAAGGGGTATTGAAGCCGCGGGTAAATATCAGAGCTCGAGTTGCTGCAAAAAAGTACGAGATGATGCTCTGGGAGTTTTGGACCACCTTGGTCAGATCTTGGCGGTCTAATGGATTGATCAACAATATGTTGATCGCTTGCAGAACCATGATCACGAGCTGGCAGATCGCCTGGCACCAGGTCGGACTACCTGCGGGTGCAAAAGGTAGCATGAACCGGTTGGCGATCCATATCATACATGGTATGGCGAGAAAGCGAAGTGGTGATTTCTTCGGAGTGATGACGAGGACGGTGGTCGGAATGAGTGCTTGGATCAGATAGAAAGCAAGAAAGTCTACTATGTTTGCAGATGTGGTCTCGTGCAGCCCGTACATTCTCCCTTCTGGAACAGAACTAGGATCATTCCTTAGCTGAATTATGGGAGATTCGGCCCCCTATTTGTGCTGATTGTAAAGACCTGAGTTGGTCGCCTTAGGCATCAACCCCCACATTAAACGACAGATTAATTGCCATTCAGAAATGACAGCTCGAAGACGGAAACTGAAAGCCAATAGTTGCCAAATCTTATATGCAACTTAGTCTATTTACTTGATACGAACAGTGGAGAAGTTGCAAACATCTTAAGCCTCCCTCCACGTATCATTATCTCGAAGGCTTATATTCCTCACCATACGCCCAACCATTAACCTTGTTAAGTATGAGTTTATCCTGATCAAAATCCTCTAGCATCCGAACCTTCACTTCCACGTTAGCATGACTTCGTTCTACTGAAGGAAATAGCCTTACATTCACAACAAGGAATGGAGGGTCGGGCTGATCCAGAACGATAAAACAACTACTGCCACATTCCCCACAAAATTGGTGCCGAACCATACCAGTATGAAATTTATGATTTCTCAGCACATCCTGCCCGCTTTCGAGTGTAAAGTCGGCCGTATTAGGGTATACAAGCAGGTAGCCGTTTTTCCTGCAGATTGAGCAGTTGCAGTTGTTGACGGGGTACTCGTGTAGGGGCGGGGAAATGGTAAAGTTGAAACGAACGGCTCCGCAGTGACAGTTGCCCTTGTGGGAACTACTTTCGGAGGTCTGGGGTGGCCGAGGGTCATGCATGGCTTGATTGTATTGGGTCTTTGGTTTCCTAATTCTTGCAAGGTACTCGGGGATCTTCAGGTTTAAGTATTCGGATGGTTGTCAGCATTACGAGCCTTGTCTTTGGCTGTCCGGATTTAAGTTGGGGGCCGAGGCCTGGACTTTATCTTCCAATGACATGCTTGAAACAGATGAGTCAGAAGTATACCCCCTGTTCAAGCTGGCTCATGTATTAACTATCTTTTATCGTTTGTATTCTTCGAAGAATAAGAGGAGACTTATGTCCAGCAATCTTAGGGATCTTCTAAATAGTCATTAAACATCCCCTGCTGCACGGCGCAGACACTCCACAATAAAACCTGGATTGCTCATGAAAGGCGAATGGCCTTCCTCACATTCTTCAACATCGAATGCCCCCTCAGCCTGAGCAATGATCCGTCCTTGAACCGAGACCGGCAAAGCACGGTCATTCTTGCACTTGATGTATGTGCAGGGGAATTCAAGAAAGGGTGAATAGGTGACCGGCACAGCCATGGGACCCGGAGGGAATGAACCCAACAGATCGACTGCTTGCTGCACCTCTTCAGGGTCGCAACGGTTATAGAAGACCTCCCGCACGACGTCTTTGTCAAGAAGGATCGCACCATCCTATTCACAACCAGTTAGGTTCATTCCTCTCATACACAATAAATCGATAAATCAAAACTGTCTTACCGGTGTGGTTTCCATCGTCTTATGCTGCGATTCAAAGCTCTTCTTTTGCTTTTCCAGTTCCTCCTCTTCGGGAGTGGCAGGCACCATTTGGCCTAAGAAGGTCTGGCCTTTCGGCAATGCCATTGCACACATATACACCAGTCGGACCACTGCCCCTTGGAGACCCTGCTTCTCTCTGTCGGCCTTGCCCAGACCTTTGACAGACTCGGACATCGCGACACCGCCAAACGAATGCCCGACCGTAATGACGTCTTTTCCCACATCGAGGTATCCCATGATCACTCGGCGAACTTCTGCGGCATCCTGGTCCCAGCTGGCGTGTGGGGGACTGGAGTCAACAGAAGGCATGGCTACACCGACTGCCTCGTAGCCCGCGTTCTCCAGTGCGTCAATGAGCTTTTGGTAGTGCTTGGGTCGGTGCCATGCCCCGGGCACGATGACGATGACTGGCTTAGGCATTTTGATGGCGACTGCAAAGATCTGATTGAAATCGAAATAGAAAGGAAATCAAATAATCAATTGACATTCCAGAGGAGATATTTCCAAATATTTATAAAACGCTGGTCCTTGGCGGCGGGCAAGATCATTGGTCAAGTCCTCGTATCGGTTCCGACGATCGTCGGTTCCGGATCTATACATTTGCACTTGGCAAAGGTTATGCCATGGATAACTCACTTCAGTGCTGCGTCAATCTAATGCAATAAAGTATAAAGTCAACTAAGCTCTAGTCAGGGTAGATGTATAATCAATTTTGGTCACATTCGTAATCATATCAGGTAGATTGGTAATGCACCTTTTTCTGATTAGTAAGGTCACGGGGTTCTCAGATGCCTGCGAAGGGCTTCAACCTCGTGCTTGCACGATATGTATCTCCAAAATAAATGCAGGTCACGGTCTGAAACTACAGAAATGCAGGGTATCATCCAGATGTCGATACTGAGACTTCGGGATTTTTCGGTGGGTCTCGTCGGCTCCGCTGCAGGATCCACTTTAGAAGAACGTGAAGAAATGCAACAAAGCGGTAGAATGTCTTTTTAACCATAGATTTCATTCAGAAATAGTGCAAAGTCAATGTTTGTCTTATGAAAATCGGTTCAGGTCTATCTCAAACAAAGCCTATTATGAAATGTGAAGAAACACCGTCATCGACATCGACATCCCCGCCGTGAGCGCTTGATGTGATGAGAGGGTGTTATCTAGGGGAGCTTTTTGATCGAACACCACAGCTTCACTAACCGCTTTCAATGTAGCGCAGCATTCAAAAACCAGGGAGTAATATGATTGGGTACATACTCAGGTACCTACTTGCTCATGTCACTATGTAGACTACGCTAGAATGTGAAGGTGATTAAAGCGTGACACCCACTGAGCCACCTTTTCTTACTCATATCATGGCTTCAGTGAATCATTATCTCGTATATTAACGTCAATTCAGCGAGGTTATGTGATGCACTTCCAATAATCGAGATAACAATAAGTGCCCTGCTTTCTGAATGCGATTATTGAGGTTGTTCAACTAACTTTGTGATGTTCAATTATCGCGCTCCATCTATCAACATCCTGATTACCATCGGTGATAGAGAGAAGCGGGTATGACTGATGGCTGGTTTTGTCTACTCTCACGCGGCTAGTAGCTTCAGGATTGCTGAAGCTCCTACACGCTCATGCACTGTCGCGGTCTCTATCAGAGCCTCACGCAGCGTCAGGCCTGGGAATCTGACTCTGTCATACTCTGCTTCCAAATCCACCCCTCTCTTAACAAAAATCTCTATCACCGCCTCTCTTCCGTTCGTTGCAGCAGCGTAAATTGGTGTCTCAAGACAGCGATTTGTTGCTTCTGTATCCGCACGTTCAGTGTCCAGCAGTATCCTCACTGTTTCCACATGCCCATTAAACGCAGCTATGCCTAGCGGTGTTCCATATTGGTGAAAATTGGCGTTGATATCCACCTTTCCAGTATCCAGAAGCAGCTTCACCAGCGGCGCATACCCATATTCCGCCGCTATGAATAGTGGCGTCCGATCGTCATCTACTTTGGCATCCACATCGATGTCACTTCTCTTCTCTAGTAAAATCTTGATCACCTCTGTATTTCCATTTTGCAAGGCTTCGAAGAATGCACTCTTAACGTCGCTCTGTCTCTGTGCTGTCGCCGTTTCGAAAACTCGTTTGACTGTAGCTGAGTTTCCATTCCCAGAGGCCCATATCAACGCCGAAGACCCAAAGTTTCGAGCATTGTTCCGATACATATATGGATTCAGAATATCATAAAGTCGCCAGTTTACTTGGCATAATGAGTTGACGTCGCTTTCTGCTAGGAAGACCGCAAATTCTAGCAACACTTCGATGGGCAGGTTGAGGAGAGCCATTCTTGGATCTCAGGTTCTCAAAATATCCGATAGCTTTTCGAATAAGCTAAGGAAGGTTGTCGGAGAAGTGCAAAAGATAGGACGAAGGCCGTAGAATGGCGTGCTTCAAACTTCATTACCCACTACTTGTGGTCTGTACAGCTTGCTGCTGGGTTGGCATGTCATAGGATTTGAAGCGTGTGTTGACAAAAAAAAAAAAAAAAAAAGGTCTGAGGGTGTGCGGTGGGTACTAGTCTTTCATATAGGTTTTGTTGCAGCCTTGTGAGCGACAAAGTTTAACAACCCCCTATTAATAGTCAAGCCAAGTGACTAGTTGACAAGTTGCCCACAATTTATGAGGGGAAAAAGTTGCACTAATTTATTTCAGTCAGGTGAACATAGCTACCATGTCCCTCCACTTGGAGCAGACTTAGACTTCTTCCTTCTCCCCACCACACATCACACCATTTTCATATCTGATATGTTCAAGATTTGAAGTTAATTCATTCCTATTGTATTTTTCAAACTTCAAAAATATGATCATCTAGATCCTCCCCATCATTCTTCCTCGTCCACGGGAAAGCCATATCCAACCAACAGAGCGGGTTCATCAATATTATGATGCTGATAACTGCAATCGGTTAGAAATCACAAGAGAAGAGTAAGGTAAAATCAAATATCGTACCTGAGAACACCAACAGCACCAGGCTCGAGCATAAGAAGCAGAGGGAATTCCATCGGATATCCAAGCCAGCGCTTGGTAAAGGCCCGAAGAAGATGACCATGGGCAACAAGTACAATATCCGAGGGGTTTTCACCATGCATGTTGTCTTTGTGAGAAGCCCTGATTTCCCGAATGAGACTGTCAAGGCGATCCGTAACATCTTGCGCAGATCTAAGACCTTGTCAGCTATGCATCCCTTTGAAAACCAAACCACCCACGAAAGATATATTTCAAATGCGACAAAGAAATACTTGAAACTTACTCTCCCTCTTCGCAGCCATCGCGCCAAATATCCCAAGGCCGCTCAGCATCCAGCCCACGCTCTTTTCTCAGAGCCCGGATCTCCTTCGTCACCAACCCCTCGTACAAACCATAACCCCATTCAGCCAATCTCTCTTCTTTCTGAGTAACCTTATCCTTGCTCTGTAATGCCTGCTTATCGGCATCATCAAATGCAATGTCAAAGGTCTGCATCGCTCGCTTGCGAGGGCTAATATAGACTCGAGCAAGGTTGGCCGGGTCAATCAATTTGCCCGAGCCAACAATCATCTTCCCCGATGCAGAGACTTGTTTTCTGCCAGTGGGTGTGAGGTCCAGCTCAGTAACGCCGGTGTAGCGACCGTTCTGGGACCATTCTGTCTGGCCTGGTACTTGTTAGGACTCCTTGCTGTTTGTTTGTCTTTGTTGGATGCACGTACCGTGACGGTAAAGAAATACACGCGGGGTACCTGCGTCTTGGCCGGGCATTTTTATGAGTACTTGAGGTTAAAGGTCTAGATGGTGGCGCAATGATAAGATTGGGGTAACAAGTTGGGATCGAGCGTCGCTTGAGGTTAGTCATCACTTTTTCGAGTCACCGGGGTCAAAAACTTGGGCCGCCCAATCCCTGTAAGTACGAGGCATTCACTCACAGCCCAATGACAATGGCCGTACGAGAAGGGGAATTAGAAGCACAGAAGGTGGCGTCGATTGAGTATCGAGAGAGAAGAGAGACATATACCTGCACACCCAACAATGAGCAAATAGATTTAGTGCCTAGATCGTCAGGCAGACACGTTGTCAACAACTTCTAGTCGTCACTAGATTACACCCAAACAAACATGCCACATGGATAGATAAGGTATACCTAGCTTCAATGCTTGAAGACTCCTTTCATTTCTAGGTTCATTATATCCGCCTATCAGACCGGCGTTTAGTGACTATCTGTTAGGTCCCGATATATTCGGTGACTGCCTCTGAAAACATTTCTAGATAGCAAATTTAATTTAATGTTTTCATCATCATCAATTCCAGTTATTTGTACACATGTCTTCTATTCATCATGGCGATAAATCGACAATAACCAACCCCAACGGACCCTTCCGCCCGTTCTTCACGCTCACATCCTTTTCACAAAGCCAACTTCAACCAGCCGCTCCATTTGAACATTCAAACTCTGGATCTTCGTCCGGCTAGAATCCCTAATAAGCAAGAATGCCCAAAGAAGCATGCGCCGGAAATAGTTCCGTTCCTTCGTGATGTTGAGCTGTTCCTTGCCCACAATGTAGATAACCTGCGCATTCGACGCACAATTCAAAGTAGCCAGCTCGGTATCCTCTTCGCTGATGATATCTGAGCATTTCAGGAACCCACGAATCAGCCCCAGAACAAGAACCCCCAGGTCTGGAGTGATAATCTCATCGGTGTAACCATGTCGCACCATCAAACGGTAACAATTAGGGATAGGCTGCTTAGTCGCATTATCGGCCCTCGTGAAACACCGCGTGATGGTGTACCTCTCCTCGGGAGCGACTGAAGGAATGGACAGGGGTCGCAGGTGAAAGAAGACCGTAACCTCTGGCATTGCGCTGAACTTTTGCAGGAAGTGGAGAAACACAGTTGGGGTGTTTATCGCGCTTCCGGACTTATCGAAGAATATTCCTAGTCCTCTGGTCCGTCGGATGTAGGGACCTGCGGGGTCATGTTTTAGGTAGAGCTGGTGGTCGCGGAGGAAAGTGGTATGGTAGAGAGGAACATTGTCAGATTCTTCGGCGTTCCATTGCTCTTCTTTGCCGTAGCGCCAGAGGATGAAAAGGCAGGTCAAGATCACGGCCAACATGAGGGTGAACCATGCGCCGTGGGGCACTTTGCTCATGGCGGCGGAGAGGAACATGCCATCCCAAAGGGCAAAAACGATGAAAACTGGAAGAACGATCCAAATTGGGAGTCTCCATACGATTAGTGCGACGACGGCCACCATGCAGGTAGTGAGAAATGAGACTAGAATGACGCATGTTCCGTAGGCCTCTCCGAGTCGTGTTGTCTTGATGCCAAATTGTTAGTGAGGGGTTGATATATTTGGGCGGAGTAGAAAATGCATACGTTATTGTACACTGCGGTCACGATTATTGTTCCGATCATCATCAGCCAGTTTGCGATCGGAATATAGACTTGACCGTGGAATGTTTTCGATGTATGATAGACTTTCACTTGAGGGAAGTAAGAAAGTTTCATGATTTGACACAGCAACTGTATTCTTGTCAGTGGAGCTTGATATAAAAATATCCATGCGCAACCAACCTGATAAGCCCCGGTGATGACCGCTTGGCTTGCAACAATACAGGCCAAAACAGCCACGATAAGACTGGGCCAGAGCATGCCAGGGGGGACAGTCAAATAGAATGGGTTTGCATAGGCACTGGGATTAACGCTGATGTGCGCTCCTTGGCCGATGTACTTTTCCAGGCGTTAGCATCATCTAATTTTAGACCGAGTTAGGCTTACCGAGATTAGGAGACATGGGTAGACAAAACAGAGCCATGAGATCTGGATTGATCTATAAAATATTTTTGTAAGCACCTTGCGGCAAAGCTTCCAGATCATCATATGCGTACCTTCGGGTAAACGCGCCCAGATCGGCGAACAAGGTCTCTACACCAGTAAAGGCAAGTAGAATACCTCCAAGAGACAGCCAACCGTCCTGTTTGTTTCGCACCAAGAAGGCACCGGCAAAATACGGCGAGAATGCCTTGAGAATGGAAGCATCGAACATCACCAGATTCTATCAGTGGAAAGAAGTATCAGTAAACTATGTTCAAGAATTTGCCAGTGACACCGTAAACTCACATAGATTCCAAAGGTGAGGTTGAATAGCATCCAAACGATAACGATCGGTGCGAAAGTGCTCGCAATCCTGGTGGTTCCAAATGGCTGGATGACGAAAACCAGCACCAAAATTCCGCATGAAATGCCAACGACTGCAGATGTGGACATGTTTGGATTAACAACAGTTACTCTGTTAGTCAATTAGCTTTGGCTCGGTATTTCACGAACTTGGTTTTCATACCCTTGAATTGCGCCTAGAATTGACTGGGCGGGGGTGAGAACACCATCTGTGAAACAAAATGTTAACCAGAAGTACATCCTCACATTTGAGTGTAAACATACCTGCCAGTATTAGGGCCACGCCAAACGCCCCAACCACTTTTAGAGTCCACTTGATGAAAGTGCTTCGCTCCATGATGCTGCGAGTCATCAAATTGGGCTTTTGCAGTTCGTCCGTGTTGTAGCGTTGCATCCGAACCAAATCTGAGTGCCGAGGATCATATCGGACCAGCTTAGCCTGTATTGAACAACTGTGTCAGTAAAACATTGGTGCGGAGGAGTGGCCACATCATACATATCGAGACAGAAGAGAGTAAAGCGCAAAAGTACCACCCTCGCCCTCGTCGTCTGCACGAAGGACGATGAAGACATATTTGATAGTGACCATAATTGTAAGAGCCCAGATGACGAGAGAGACTGCCCCAAGAATATCGGCTTTGCTTGGTTCGCTGCTGAAGGTGCTGGAGTAAACGTAGAGAGGACTCGTGCCGATGTCACCATAAATGACTCCGAGGGACTGGTAAGTAAGCCTATGTATACTTTGGTGAGCAGATGCAACTCGATCGAGTTTAGTGAAATGATTCTTCGTCACATACCACGCCAATTTCCATCCTGAGAACTCCTGTCATTTGATAAACTGTCAGCAAAGCTTGAAATGGTCCATTACACTGAAAGGCCTTACCTGTTTGCGATGGAAGTCTCTCTCTTCCACTTCTTTGCCTTCAGAGACAGAATTCATCTCGACATCAGCTATCTTGGGGTCCTCTGCCTTTTCACTATTGATAGTGTAATCGGGCGGAGTGATTGTAGCACGAGGCGCCATCCGATGCTTCACCAGCCCTTCTGGGTCTTCCATGGCGGATACTCTTTATTTCAGAGAGCAAGTTTGGAGGACGGTAAGGAACGGCAGTGAGAGGCGTGGTGGTGAATATGGGGGTAGGGAAAAGAAGTAGAGAAAAGAAGTTCCATAGCAAACATTTAAGCAGATCTAAAGATCCTATGATATTGTCATGCAAAAGCGATCTAGGGACCTTGACAGTGCTAAAAATCTCTGTTATCTCGTTCTAACATCTATAGAATTCCCACGTGTCAGGGTTTGTATAAATCGGGAGACATAGATCCATCAAGGTACGATTACTGAGATTGAAATGATACGAGAAGATAAATATCTCATACACTCCAAGAGGCTCGGACCTGCATCGCTTTAACGTAGCGCCATTCGGACGCCGCGATCCTTTTTAGCCAAAATGACGAATCACCAGAGCTAGATAAGATTTTGATAGTCCTATTGGTCGTTTCCAAACACTTGGCGACCTTTATACGAATCTTAGATTGGAATTTGGAGAAAAGAGGGATTTTTGACAGTTGATCACAGAGAGGGCGGGAGTTGGGGTTATATGAGGCAATTATCTCCCCCATACAGAATTTATCCCCAAACCACGGACCATCTGTCATTGAAGTACTTGTCAATGTGTCATACTGATAAGAAATAATAATTAGTGATTCGATTACGACTGCAATTTACGATCGCACACATATCCATAGTCACCAAAAACATTAAAAGAGCGAGTGATCCAAGACCTCACATAGTGGAGTAAACTATACCGAAAACCTGAACCTGAATTTGAAATTTCAATCATCAGCGACATTTCTATTACTAATTCTTTGGTTTCTGGAATCTAGAGACTATGCTCATTTACCCCTCTCCTCCCCTCACCCCTCCTCTCTTTGACTCGGTAGGAGTGCCTTTTAAGCCGGACTGCCTCCACTATGAAAGTGAACAAACGTGACAAACCCCGAATAAACCCCGAGCTCGGAGAGTTAGAGTGGCTGAAGAGCTGAACGTGTGAAGAACTGAGGGGCGGAGGGGCTGAGGGGCTCTTTCAAGAGGCTGGTGATCGGCGTTCGTTTGCATTCTCGCCAAGAGACATCCGATCGATCGATCCACAATCAGGCATGTTAACGGAGATCATCACGAATAGGCTTTGAAAATCCTAAGCCGGAGCACGCAGTAGGAATGAATGAGGGGTACAGAAATAGCGGTGTCCTCAACGTCCACGTTGAGTTTCGATGCAGCCCAAATAAGTTTCAGTCCTGCAGAAACCCATATTCAAGTCTGTGGCTGAAAATGCAAACCCAGGACCCAGACTGCGGGAAAGGTTACACAAATCCGATCTGCAGATCGCGTGGCAATAACAATGAATGCAGGCGTACAGTAGGTGCATTAACTATATTTGCTTGTTCCTGCGCCACGTCCACCTTGGTTCCTGGTTTGGATTGCCGTGCCGTGTGACACCTACGGTTGTACTACAGTGAAACAAGTGCGGCTGGTTACACAAAAATATCTTAACAAAATAATTGGTGAATGATGTCATATTTCATGAACCCGAGACGCCGCCTTCGCAAGAGTGCGAGGTGATATATGGCTTGCTATATAATTAAAATATAAAAGTAACATTTGACTTGGAACTCGAACATGCATCAAATCCACTCCAACCATGAAAGACCACGAAACAAAAGTGCAGACCCAAAAAATGATACCCCCAATGAAATACAGAGCGCCCGTAATCTGTTGTAACCGGGTTTGCCCACCCGGGATGATCTCAAGTGATAAAGATCCTGAGCTTGTAATCCAACACCCACCACTCGAGAACGTATCGAATCGACCGCAGAGCCAAATCTGCTTAAAACGCCATGAACCAAGGAACGCCCCTTCCTATAGGATAAGAGAACAATAATTAGAACACAAGATGAACATGGCAATCCCCAAGAGACGATGCAAAAAGCAAAAAAAAAAAAAGCAAAGAACGCCAGCTTGATGTGTGTTGGTCTTACACGGTAACCCGTCCTTCGGGCGCCATTCCGACTGGAACATCCGCGCTGGTAGGCAATGCCCGTGCGGCGCTGTTCCCCTCGAAACGAGATAATAAGTTCGCGATCATCTGTCGGTAGGTGTTCATCTGCGATAATTTGAACCGTTGGATCTTCCCGCTAGCCGTGCGGGGAATCTCCTCGACGAAGATCACACCGCCATCGAGGGCTTTGTAGCTGGCCAACTTGTCGCGGGCGAAATTGTAAACTTCTTTGGCTGTGAGTCGTTTGAGGGCGGGGTCGCGTGAGCGCACGACGAAGGCGCGGGGCACTTCACCGCTACCATCTGGTAGATTTACACCGGTAACGGCGGCGTCGATGATTCCTGGGTGTTGGAGGAGGACTGTCTCCACTTCGGCGGGAGCCACTTGCCAACTGTGGGGAATTGTTAGTATACTCAATTTTGGGTCTGTCAAGCTAATAGAGTTGTTATCTTACCCTCGCACTTTAATTAACTCTTTTGTCCGGCCAACGATGTAATAGTAGCCGTGCTTGACGTATGCCACGTCACCTGTGCGGAACCAACCACCGGCTTCTTTGGCATCGGTGCGGCCCTTGTAAGATTGTAGGAGGCCCGGCCCGCGAACGTACAGTTCGCCCGCCCGGTCGTCATTCTGCACAATTCTGCCTTCAGAATCGACCAGGCGTGCTTCATACCCTGCTAGACGGGTGCCGATGCTACCGTGGTTATTTTGCTGGCCGTAGCGGTTCTGGAAAATTACACCGACTTCGGTCATACCCCATAGCTGACAAGCATAGGCCTGCGAGTGGAGGAGGCTCTGGAATTGGCCCATTGTCTGCGCATCAATTGGCGCACCAGCAACACCGACATATCGTAGCGATGTCAGGTAGCTGGCAACAGGCATGGTAGAGCGGTTGATCGAGTTCACAATCGCAGGTACCACATATGTCTCTGAGATCTGGTACCGGTGGATAGCAGACAAGAATGACTTCATCTCGAAGCGTGGCAATACGAAAACGGGGTGGCCGTAGCGCACAGGGAACAAGTGTGTCCACAATGCACCGAATAAATGAAACATAGGTAACGACATGAGTCTGCTAACAGGGAACGGCACATCATATTGGATTGATCGGTGGTGCGACACAATGGCGTGGTGCGACAGGATAGCAGCCTTGGGAAGGCCACCTGTTCCACTAGTCGAGAACATAGCTGCAGGTGTGGACTGCGCCTCTCTAGGATCAGTGAAAGTCATCCAGTGACTTTCGCCGTAGCAAAGCAAACGCGGGAAATTGAGGTATGCAGCATCCTGCGTGCGCATGGCCATAGCATCCTTCGCCGGGTAACCCATCTCGTACGACAGGAAGAGTTGAGCGCAGTGATCCACAGCACGCTCGTCGACCACGCAAACCTGTTCCGGACGAATACCACGGGTGGCACCGACCTCCAACACCATTGGGAGTGCATCGCTAGTTGTGAAGATGAATTTGGGCTCGGCGAGGGAAATGATGTGTTCGAATTCGGAGGTTTGACTGCGGGGATTTGAACCCATGTAGACACCGCCGGCGCCAATGATACCGAAGAACAGAGCGGGATATAAGATCTGTGTAACGCAGTCCGAGTCAGTATCTCCGAATAAAGTACTTGGATTATGAGATGCAGTGTAGTCGGGTTTCCCAACTGGGCTGGCTGCGATTCTGAGTGACTTACGCTGTTCCCCAGATGAAGTAGTACACAGTCACCCTTTTGCACGCCATGCGCTTTGAAGCCTGCGATCAAAGTCCGGACCAGCTGCCGGAATTGCGTGCCTGTGAAGGACCGCGAAGGGTCCTCAGCATCAATGAAGAGTGGCTGGTTTTGGTTATATGGATTCGGGCCACAGAAGGTGAATGTCAAGAGATCGGTGTAGATATCTTGGTTCAGCAGAGGATCCATGACGCCAGTAGGCGCGGAGGCATCCCAGTAGCCCATACTGCCGGATTCAGATCACAGAGGGGAGAAAAAAAGTAAGTTGATTGGTATGTAAGCTGGAATCAAGTATGTGGAATGGAGTAGAGATTATATAGAGAGATGTGGAATTGGATGCTCCTGGAAGGGGTATGGATATCAATTCTCAAGGGCGGGAGGGGGAAGTTATATAGAGACATTGTATTCTATTTGATTTCCTGAAGCAGGATCCTTCGAATGAATCGTTGATTTGGAATATTTGGAATACATGCTTAGGTCATCAGGCCCCACTTTACCTTTGAACCGAGATACTGGGCCTGACAGAAGGCACGCAAAGTGTAAATTTAGCTTTTTGGTTCCTTCGCTAGGAATTCACTCCCTCGAGAATTAATTGAATCATCCCATGATCACGATTATTGGATGTGATATCATGTCTATGATGGCAAAAAATGATCATCCTAGTGACAAAAGTACAGAAACATATACCGAGGATGATATCGAAAAAAAAAAAAAAAAAAAAAAAAAAAAAAAAAGAAAAAAGAAAATAAGGAAAAATAACCATGCCTAGGCCAAAAATGTATGTGTCATGGTCGATTGGTGATGCACTCGAATCGAATCCATCCGGCTCCACCGAACCGGTTCGCGCTAAAACTAGTGGCGCACCACTGCGGGTCTATACCTTGCCCTTATCCCTTCCATATCACCTCCTTTGCCAGCTGAGCCACAAGCCACAACTTGGAAGCTCGGATCACTTTCATTTATTGTGTTACATACCTTGCCGGCTGTCTTCCCCCGTCTTCCCCCCGAAGGGGTGCAAAAGATCGACCAGATCGGGATCAATTTCTCCCTTTCGTTTTGCTGCGAGTCAATGATTTACAATATGCAGATCGTGGGTCCCCTCTAACCTAAAGTCCCCAATTTCGAGTGGCGCTTATGTTCTGACCGCACTTTAATCTCCTGCACCTCTACAATAGCCTATTGGCCATGCATGAATCTGCATTTCCCACGAGCTGAGTCCCCGTCAGATCGGGACGGGACTGCGCATCCACAGCCCCGGCCGACACCTGTCCCGTGTGTTCGATGATGTAGTCGATCGTAGTAGACACCTGCCAAACTGTAACCCCAGTCAACTAATGCAGTCTTTTTCGTTTTCTTTTTCTTTTTCTCAATTTCTTCTCTGGGGGGTTTCCCAGGGTGCCAAATTTGAGGCTCCACCGTTGTCATGTCATCGGTGACAGCCCCCAGAACCAAGGGAACTGTCACCGCCTCCCGCTCCACGTCACTTCCAAGGTTCGTGCGATATCGCTCATCCCACTTTTCGTTTTCCCCTCACGACCTGATCTGACCTGAAGTGGGGAAATTGGTCCACTATCGATAGGCCCCTTCCGTGTGACGAACCCTCGGTAAAATGGAAAATGAAAAATAAAAAATAAAAAAAAGGTGGTCTCCACCTCCCTTCGGCGGAATGCAAGAAGCATCCGTCCAGAGATCTAGATCGACTAGTGAAAAACGTGCGCCACACAGCTGCAATGTATCATGCAATGCAAGCCCTCCAGGACCGCGGTGTCGGTGACCCACCCCGACCATCGGGCGCCATCATACATTTTGGGCACCTGCGAACTCAGGATCCGGTTTCCACAAGACTGCATGGCGTGCCCCCGCCCTGCAATCAATGATCGACGATCGACAGTAGCCGGACAAGGCGAAAAAAGCAAAGTAATAGAAAACATGCCATTCCTGCGAGGGGGTGTGGCAGATAGACGTTCGAGGTGCAGGTGAAGCGCTACCACGTTCCAGGAACAGAAAGGGCATTGTCTCAGACCGCATGATTTGGTATGCTGTTATCCGTCTTAGTAGTCGATCGTCGGTTCAGCTTCCCCGATCCCTTCGGTAGTCGTCCGGGTCGTGGAAGGTTTCACATGCGGACATAGTTTAGCAATATTGGGTTTCCCCATGCAGTTCCCTTGACCGATCATCTCCGGGGCCAACTTGCATGCAACGAGGGCCCTAAAACCCCATTCAGGATTGAACCTTTAGAGCGACCTGCAGCGAGGGCGTGACAATGACTTCCTTGGACCAGGCTTTTTGGCCGACGATCGTGAGAGCAAGACTCTTGATTGGGTTACATCTCGAGGCGAACGAAGGGCAGTACTTACTGGAATGGGTCGGGCTTCCGAACCTTCCCGTCTATCCCGTCTTCACTGTCAGGTGTAGATATTGTGTTCAGACGTGGCCCACCTTCGACGCTATCATTGACACCGCATGAAGCCCCATAATGACTCCAATTGCGATAGAGTGCCATAGATCGTCAGCGGCAACAGCTGAATGCAAGGGTAGAGGAGGTGGAGGTTGTGAGCTCATTGGCACCTCAACTTGAGTATTGTCCCGCTAGCGAGCCTTGCCCTAACTCAGGCGGGATCTGGGCCCATGATAGTGTCATACACTAGATCAATGTTAGGCTGCGGTGGGGAGCAAACACCGAAGGAATCCTGTAAATCCCATGGAAATACACCCACTAAAAAATTGGAAAATGAAAAACAATAAATCAAGGAAAAAAAGAACCATTAGAAAATGATGCCAAGGCGCAATCATGGTACCATTGGTCCGGAACAAGGATTGTGATGAAAGCAGCTGTGATCCAAAAAGGAAATAGTCGAGCGAAAGTATTGATGACCCATAGAGATCCCTGACTTGGTTCCATTTGGGGAATCCACTTGCGAGGGGAGGGAAATAGAGGATCACACCCTCGCAGTAAGATAGGGCTAAGCACACAAAAGGCACTTAATCCCTGCCGAAGTATGAAAGGGTATTCGACTTGCCCCCCCTCCAATTGTGTACCTTCATTCCCTTTCAAGGTTCCTGGTGGCATTCAAATTGCCCATTGTTCGGCCTCCAATCTTATTCCTTGAACCAAGCATCCTGGTCAAGTTGCCAACTTCCTTTATCGTTTCATTTCGGCCCTCTTTTGAAACATCCTGGTCTGCTCTTCTTTAACCCGAACATATCGTCTTTGATTCCAAAGTATAAGAATCATGTCGATATCAGAGAAGACCATTATATCCAAGCCGGAGCCTGCTCTGGTCAAGATGGAGTCCCATTCTTCACCTACATCCAGCGAGGTAACCCTCACCAATGGCGAAGTGGACCTTGAGAAGTACCTGTCCAAGGAGATGGGCTCGGTATCAACCGACTCAGGTCATGATCGAATTGACCTGGAGGCTCAAGCACCTCTGCCCCAAAAGAAGCCGCTGGCCGGCTTGCGCTTTGCCCTCCTCACAATCTATCGACGACTCTTTACCCTTGTCTTCCTCACAAACGTAGGCGTTTTTGTGGCGGTCATGCTTGCTGACCGCAAGCTAATTGCCCTGGTCAACGCAACGGCAGCCAATCTGTTGGCATGCGGGCTGGCCCGCCAACCACTGGTCGTCAACAGTATCTTCTACCTTGTGTGCTCGATACCTCGGTCCGCCCCAGCCCCATTGCGCCGATTGGCCGCACAGGTGTACCATTATGGTGGCGTTCACAGCGGTTGCGGAGTAGCTGCACTAGTGTGGTACATTGCGTTCGTCGGTGTCATGTCACACCAGTATTGGACGCCATCTCCGACTAGCGCATCGGCTGTCAGCATTTCAGCCGCCCCCGTGGCAGTGGCTTATGTCATTCTCGTGCTTCTGTTGGCGATCACCGTTGTATCGCACCCCACGTTTCGCACTAAGTTCCATGATTATTTCGAACTGATCCACCGTTTCTCCGGGTGGCTGGTCGTGGCCCTGTTCCTGGTGCTGCTAATGCTGTTCGCGCATGAATTCAGCTCGGCCCAGAATCAGACCCTCGGCAATTTCCTCGTGTCCCTGCCTGCCTTCTGGTTCTTGATCGTGACCATTGTGGCGATCATTCAGCCTTGGCTTATGCTCCGCAAGGTCCCGGTGCGGGCCGAGAAGCTTTCTGCTCACGCTGTTCGCCTACACTTCGACCACACCACGACGGTCTTTGGTAAGGGCACCCAGCTGTCCAAGCACCCCCTGCGTGACTGGCATGGGTTTGCCACTTTCCCCGACTCCATCGCGCTAGGCCCGCGTGGAAGGCCTAGCTTCTCTTGCTTGGTGTCCAAGGCTGGTGATTGGACAGCTGCCACTATCAACGAACCGCCAACGCACTTCTGGAAGCGTGGCGTCTTGATCTATGGCTTTGCATATGCCATGCGCGTCTTCAAGCGGGTCATTGTTGTAACCACTGGCTCTGGTATCGGCCCCTGTTTGTCGTTCCTGGGTGATGAGAACCGACCCGCCCTGCGGGTGATGTGGCAGGCCCGCGCCCCGCTAAAGACATACGGCCAGGGGGTTCTGGACCTGGTTCGCCAGATGGATGAGTACCCCATCGTTCTGGACACGGACCAAACCGGTCGTGTCGACATGGTGCCAATCATCGCTCGCCAATTCAAGGAGTTCAATGCGGAAGCGGTTTGCGTGATCAGCAACCCTGTACTAACCGGGCGCATCGTTCATGAGCTTGAGGCACGAGGTTTCCCGGCGTTTGGCCCGATTTTCGATTCTTGAGTTCCAATGGTTTTCCGGAGGCGTTGGCCCCCACCATGTCGGTTCCGGGGGCGCAATCTCGATTTCTCTAGGCATTTTCTTGTTTAGTGTTCATTCCATGGGTTTTCTTTTAGTTATATATCCTCTCTGTTTATCGGCGTTTCATTGGGCATTGGACAATATTTCCATGGGGGGTGTATCTTATCTCGAGTCATATTTACCTTGAATATATCATCATTCGGATCAATCTTCACTTTCGTTTCATTTTTCTTCGCTTTATCCCATTCGGCTTCGCTTTGTTCACAGAAAACGGGAAATCAAGTTCTCAAGGGTTAGGGGGTAAGAGAAGGGTGGTTGCATGAGCATTAAGGAAGAGATTTTGTTCTTTGACTGGTGATTTGGAATCGTATCTGCACAGGGGGCGCTATGACCCCCTAAAAAACGAGTTCTCTGTCAAATGCAAACAATGGAAACCACACGGTTGGAACCTTATGCGTGAGACGTGATTCCCCATACATTAAATTCCAAATTGTCCGGGTCCACTATTGGCTAATTGGCTGGTGACTCTTTTCGCTACCCTAGGGAGTATAATTCACGGCAACGTGGTCTCGGAGGAATTCACGTCAGACGTCAAGAATCTCTTTTAAAGCAAGGCGTCTCTTACTCTAATAAACCGAGTTTTTTTCATTTTTTTTTTCTGGGGTATCTCCCTGCTCTGAATAATAATACCACGTTCGTTATATCTACTTTGACACCCCTGCGCTTACATCACGCCCTGCACTACCGGTTGCAAAATCCACATCAATGATGCACAGATGCAGCGCAGCTGATTTAGCGTAGGATGTTCTATCTTCTTATTAGCTCATGGGTATACCGCTCAGTTTGTCCCGCATAAAACGAGGCAATCACGAGGGGTCTGTGCACGGGTACAGGTGCACATGTCACTTCGCATAGCGTAGTGTAAATCATCGACTCTCTTGGTATTCCGAATCTGCCCAAACATGAAGACGGCAATCACATTTTTGCAGATCATACTATGTGGTTGCCTTTTGCCGCCCTGAATGCGAACCAGGCATGCTCAAGTGGGCTATGGTTGAGCGAAACCATGGAAGCAGTTCAGCCTGATGCCCAATTCTATGCTGTACAACATTACTTCCAAGGTCAATTATATGTATGCTGTCATATGTTTGCCTTAAAGCTATGGTTGGATATGATCAGTGTGGATCTTTCACTACGCGCAGCGTCGTTGTCAAGAGACCCATTATTTGCCTCAGTTGCGGGATTTTTGCAGAAATGTTGGGCTGGTTGAGTATTTCCACGGGAGGAAAGGATTGTGACATTGTCTTTTCATGTGTAGTTCCAAGGGTTCAACCTTTGTACTTTGTGATTAAAATAAGCTTAGGGGCATTCCATGGTTCCCAATTCCCAAAAGTAAAATTACCTCATTGGCTATTGATAGCTCACCTCTATATGTCTGGGCACATCGCGCAAATTTAATCCTTGTGCATACTACTATATAGTTCTGGGTTCAGGCCACCCAATTTTTCATTAGCCTCCAGATGTCAAAGTACTTCCATGGATAGTCCACGACTGCAGAAGCCTGGCTTTCTGCATGCATATTTAATTTACTCCAGAGCCCGATTAAGCATTGAGATTACGCTGACCATAAGCCTCAAAACACATATACATATCTTTTTCTAGAATTCCTCTAGGCTGCACAGCCTTAATGACTCCGTATTACCCTGCCGCCCTCAACCACCAAGCCCAATGAGCTAAAAGCAAAACGTCACTGAAGACCTCTGCGCGGCACGAGAAAGCGGGATCCCGAGTCCGCGGCCCCGCGGTGGCAGCTACCCAATCCGGTTAGACCCCGCGGAGCACTCGTAACGCAATAAAGTATATGAACCTCAGCATCTCACACAAAAAAAATAAACCAAGATTCCATATCAGACTTCACAATACAAAATACAGACTTCCAAGGAACCTGAAAAATAAACTTTGAAAAGAAAGTGATGGAGAAGACTCGCAAGGTAAGTCCGTTCTCATCCTTGAACCCCGCCCAACGTCTCCAATAAGCAAACCAAACCAAACAAAGGCTGACATGACATCAACGACATGACAGGCAATCATAATAGGCGCTGGACCTGCTGGCCTTGCAGCCGCCCTACGCCTCCAACAACAAACAAATATTACCTGCACACTTTACGAGCTGCGGTCCCAACCCACAACGCTCGGTGGCGCTATTGGAATCCAGCCCAACGGCTTACGCCTTCTAAGCAGACTGGGCGTCTACGATGAATTTGAAGCTCGCGGATACAGCGGCACAAGCCTAACGTTACATTCGCTTCAGGGACATGATGTCGGTTCCACAGATATGGTAGGCTGGGCACGTGAGAAAACGGGCTTCGGGTACCTCCGTATCAAACGGATGGATATCGTGGAGATACTGAAAAACGCAGTGGAAAAAGCCAAAATCCCAATCCACTTTGGAAAGAGACTGGTCAAGACCGAGAACTTCGAGGAGGCGGGTGATTCGGGATCGAGAGCCGGTGTGAGGGTTACGTTCGAAGATGGAAGTGTCGACGAAGCCGACATACTGCTTGGATGTGATGGAATTCACTCGTTTGTCCGACGCACCTACGTTGATTCGGAGCATGAGCCCGTTTACTCTGGTCTCTCGGGGCTTGGGGCCCTTGTTCCCAGCTCTGCTTTGTCGCCTGAGACTACAAAGCTAATCAATGGGCTTGAGGGCACGCTTACGGAGGAGGGGATGTTGGCTGTGAATCCCTGCTTGCCGAATAAAGAGGAAATGTTTATGTTCTTCTCCAAGTGGGTTCCGCTCCCTGATTCTGGGGATAGTCGGGATGGTTGGGAAGTACATGGGAAGGAGGAGGTGGATGGGTTCAAAGAGCAGCTTCTTAGTACACTTGAACATGCACAAGGAGACTGGAGCAATGCGCTTCGAGAGCTGGTGCATGGTACTTCGTCTGTGAACTTTTATCCTGTTTATCGGCTGCCGCTCGGTGGGCGCTGGTCCAGAGGACGGTCTGTGCTTGTTGGTGATGCTGCTCATGCCATGTCGCCACATGCTGGACAGGGTGTCTCCATGGCGTTGGAGGATGTGTTTTTGCTTTCGAGACTACTTGCGGACCCCGAGAGATCTATCGAAGAGGTCTTTGAGAAATATGCTCAAATCCGACGACCTAGGGTGGACGAGATCTTCCAGATGGCCGCGGATAATGCGGAGATGAGGAAGAAGAGTACACCGACAGGGTTGTGGTTGAAGGAGCTGAAGTTCAGTACGATGATGAATATCTCTTGGGCTTTTGGTCTGGACAAGAAGGGAATTAAGCAGGGGCATTTGGTGTACGACATTGATGAGGCGGAGCTGTGATAGCGATCTTTTTCTCCCTTTATTTTTTTTTTATATCTGACGTAGTTCATAGATGAGTACCCTGTCTGAGTATTAATAATCGTTTGCACATGATCTTTCCAACTGGGCTTCCCTTAACCCCCCAAAACCCCCTATTCTCTCTGCTCATCACATCAAGGGATGTAGTGTGGAAATCCACCCTGATCCTGATCCTGGCGCCATCGACGACACATAGAAAGTGGAACAAGAACATCTATTGAGAATGGTACAAAGTACTAAAAGTGGAGTTTCTAGGAGTCATGCAATATTGTCTGTCTCGAAAATTGAAACAATTATTTTACATTTGTTCATTTAAGGTAGTGGCAAACGTGTACTCCCTTGCCGAGCGGGAATCTACTACCCATTTCCGCTGCAGCGAAGGCACCAGGTTATCGGGTATGATATCGATCCATGAACAAACCCTTGGGATCTAGGTACGTGCCTGCATAAACGATGTGGCTGAGGAAGATCCAGCGATCCGATTGGCTCACTTTCTTTTTCTAGCTAGGCGTCAATACCCAAGCCACCCCTTGCATACGGCAGCACCCTGTACAGTAGGCCCAGCCACAGTAGCCACCTGCCAATAGTACAATGCATTAGTTAGTGGAGCTGCCCTGGTGGGACTTTAGAGGGCTGCGTTGGCTAGACCAATTTATTGGTTCTATCCGGACATCCGGTGCCGGTGTGGACGGTCTGGAAGCATTCGGGACTCCTTTGAAACGGCGAGTGGGGCATCGTGGTGGGACTGATGAGTGTTGCATGACGCAATGTTACGGGCAGGTCTAGACTTTAAATGTTTACGTGTTTACAGTGACGAAGAGAAGAAAGATTTGTTGGTAGACATTTAAGTCATTGCATTAAGACATAAGAGTTGAGAATCGATCACAGCCGAAGTGTAGAAAGCAAGTCTAAACAGATGGGGAATTATTGATAACAGGAGAATGTAAAGAAGATTTGTTCACAGAAGTAAAAGGTATTGGGTATCATGCAATGTTGGAACGAAGCCCGTCCGTCCAGTTAAGGAAATGCGATCAAGGGCCAAGTTGTCTTTTCTGTATCCGATTGTGCTTTTTTTGGCCTCCGAGAGACCGTTGGATTTCGTTGACGCTCATCACCGCCGCTGAATATCAAATGTGGGTATTGGATTGCGAATCGTTATCCTCCGGGAAGTGATTATCGTGATAGAAGAATGTTGAGAAAAATCTTAGACTGGTAATATCTTTTTTTTTTTTGTGGGGAATCGTTGAGATCGTAACGTCATGACGGAGAGAACGATGATTATTGGCGGGAGGAATCAACCGACGGGGCGATAGATGGAGCCCGAGAGGCAGGAGTTGAGGGACCTGGGGAGTTGGTGACAAGGTCGTCCAAGGTGAACCGCACATGGCCACGAGTAGACTGGTTGGAGGAGTGTGTAGAGTCACTGTCCAGGCGCAGCGAGTCTAGTCGCTCCAGGTCCTCGTAGTCAGGCAGCGGGAGCGGTGATCCGTGATAGTCTTCGATGACACTGCGGTTATCGTCGGGCTTGAAGTAGCCAGGTGGGCTGGCGGGAACATCCTCGTAGACAGGAGGCATCTCCTCGTCCCAGCTGATACCCAAGCCACTGCGCTCGGTCACGTTGAGGTTGAACTGCATGCGGAGCACACGAGCGGCGCCAGTCGGGGTGATAAGACGAGTGTTGCGGTTGGGGCAGAACTCCTCGGCCACGATGAGCTCGATGACGAGGTTGTGCTTGACTTCCAGGCCACCAGGAGCCTCCATGTCGCAGACCGGGTTGGTTGTTGGGTTGATGCTGGCTTCGAACTGCATGCCAATTTCACCGCCAGCGGTGTCAAAGTCAGTCTTCCACCCGCTCTTCTCTTCATTGTGGCCGATGATGCGGGTCTCCTGGTGGAGGACACCCTTGCCCTCGCCACCAATCTTATGGGTGTGCTTCTGGCAGGCTGTGGACACAATCTTCTGGTGCTCCTCAATGCGCCACATCATCTTGCGCAGACGCCAGCGGGTCTGGGTCTCCTCGCCCTTGTCCACCACACCACTCAAGGTCATCTCGACGGGGAATTGACCGATGGGGTGAACCACAGAGGGCAGCACGATACGGCCAGTGAGGTTGGTAGGAGGGAAAATTCGGATAGATGACTTGTCATTGCCGGGGATCAGAGCGCGGCGAACGTTCAGAGGCAGCTTAACGTTGAATTCCTCGCCAGTGGTGCTCTTGGCGTGGGCCAGCAGGTAGTATTCAATCTGGCCCAGAGAGCCATTGCAAGAAGCAGGCACGTTGCCTGGGAACAGGTAGCTGAAAGGGAAGTCGTGAGTACCGGCGTGGAGGGGAAGATCCTCGGTGAGGAAGTTCCACTTGTTCAACTCTTCAGTTCGTGTGCCACAGCTCGCGCAGTGGTTGGAAACTGGTTTCTTGGTGGTAGTCTTGGAGATGAGCTGAGCGTCGAATTGGCTCAGGGTGACATTGCCAATCACTTCACTGATGGCAAAGCGCAGGCGGCCTGAGAACAAGGCACCGGTCGAAGTAGCGGGAGTTCCATAGCAGACCAATGGGGGCGATTCCACTAAAACCTCCATCTTGGCCGATGGGGGGGCCAGCTCCTCCTTTCCGAGGCGCTCCTTGGACCGCGCCGACTTTCCCATACTGCGGCGCTTTTCCTTGCTGTGATCTCGGTGGGGGTGAATCAAGTGATCCATGTGGAAGGACAAACGACGCTCCGGAGAGCGGGCACGGTCCGGTGTGCTGTTTGCGGGCTTCTTGTGGCCGTGGCCATGGTGAATCTCATTGACGGAAGTGGTCGAAGAGGAGTTGGAGTGAAGGGGAGTCGATGAAACCGACGAATGCAAAGAGCCAGAGCCCCGAACAAAGTTGGGGATCAGACGGCCCGGCATTTTGGGAGAAGTATGAATGATGAGGGATTTGAAAGTGAGTCGAGAGGAATGTCAAATATTTGGTGGGGGTGGGATAGCTGTCAGTTGCAGATCAGGAAGCAGTGCGGTGTTGATATAATTGCGACAGGTGAATCCAAAACATAACTAGCAATTCAAAGTAAATGGAAAAAAAGAAGTTACCAGTGGGAACCCATGTCTATTTGAACCTGAATTTGAAAGATCATGTGCTTGAGCCTAATAGACCACCGAATCCGTGGAAAAGCGCATTGAAACTAAGAAATTTTCTAGTTCCCACTTACATCGTCTATGCGGCGAGCCAGGCACGGTGGATTCTCATTGGCTGACAAAGCCTGGCCACTGAAAATTGTGGATCATTTTTGCCCAAAAAATTGAAAAAATTGCAAAAAGATTGCAAAAAGGATGTGAGAAAAGTGGGGTGAGAAAAAGCGTCATTGTGGATCCGTACCGTACACATACGCTCCTGTTACACACCTCTTTCATTCTTTTCACTTTCTTTACCGCTTTTCCCCCCACCATGGTTTCCTCCCTTAATCACCCTTTCTGGTTGTTGTTGTTTCTCCAATATTCTAATATTAGGTCGAGTCTGGAACAATAGTTGACGTAAATTATCTAGAATTACAACAATAAAATAATAATCATCGTCATCGTCATTGATTTCTGATTCATCCGGATGCGCCATTGACAACCATCACGGGTTGTCGGATCTGGTGCCGGGGGCCATAAACCAACGAGATGATCTCGACTGGGCATGGATCGGGATCGTCTTCCATATCCTGTCGATTTCCCCACATAGGGGGAGGGAGCATCATTTTGGGATGGAATGGCCGTGCGCAAATGACTCACGGTCGGCTAAGTAGCCGGCCTAAGGTTTTAGGTCCTACAGGTACTCCGTACCAACAACTCCGTAGCCTTTCGGGCAGTGTGGTCGGTCCATCCTCGCATGTGTTCGGCGGGGTACACCTCAGAACTCGGCCCCTTTCAAACTTTGGCCTTGATTTTCCTACAGGCGCCACGCATACTTCCCCGGATGATTATCAAGCAAAGACTTTGACCGATCAGCTGAGCATATATGTCTGGTGGGCTAGGCTAGAGTAGTTTACTCCGTACTAAGCGACTGAAAGGCTAGGTTCGGCGTTCCAAGTCGCCGAGGCAAGTCCAGCTCGTCTGTTTCGGTCGCCTTCCATTCTACCTAGGGGCATACGTAGTATCCACGTTGACGACTACACACTAATAATACATTTTTACGCCATACAAAAGAACAGGTCAGCTGGTACCATCACGTGGCGCCATGGCACATCGACAACACTTGACGGCTGACAGAACGGAACGGGCTGCAATACCGTACCATACAGATCAGAAGCAGATCACGATGCTCCCGCTTTTCCGCATTGAGGCAGACAAACGCGTGCAAGACCCTGATCCACTGAACTTCAAATTTTCTTTTTTCTTTTTCTCTTTTTTTTTTTCTTCGCCGGCTTCGTTTCTCCCTTCTGCCACCGTTTTGGGATTAGTCCATTCTGCAAATTTGCGATTCCATACCCCGCAACTACTACTGATTTTGCGGGGCACTCTTCGCTTCCATGAACACATGGCAAAGGAAATACCTGTAGATGTAGAAAATATGGAAGAGCTTACAGATGATCTCCATGAGAAGGTCTAGCCCAGCTGTCAAAATATGCTCTGTGCTCTCCATCAGGGGACTTCAGCGAATCAAGAATCCTCCTGCCGGCACTAATTACCTAACAGTTTGCTCCCCAAGATCCCTGACACCCTACAGAACCAGCACACCTCAGGTACCTTCTTAAGCAGAGCGCACGGATGTATCAGGTTCATATCACCTGCAGCTGCACCTGAGCCATCACCATGCAAGTCCTACGTAGTCGTGAATAAACTCGATTTTAAGGCTCGAGCGTCCTTGACTCACTCTCTCCGCGGAGCACGTCTACCATGCGGTGAGGATCTGATCACGCCATGACACCGTCTTAGACCCGAATACTACACACAAAGTACATATTATGATCTAACAAGGTAATTGGGGTCGCGCTCGCCCGCGTGGCCCCTTCTTGGCGGCATCCCCCCTTCAACCATGTCGATCCATGGCTCCAGACCAACATGAGAGACCCAGTTCCCGTTAGGCGCTTTGCTATGCGGGTACCGCGTAGAGTAGCCGGTTTAAGGTGACCGGAGTGGGTTGCACGACATCGGATGTTTTACCTCATCATATGGAATTGAATAGTTTCAATTGTTTTAGGATGGGCCAATTAAGTATAGCAAATCGAGTTAAGCAAGTCGCCAATGGAAAACGCGCGACATGGCATGCCGTGGATACGCCCTCCGTTGAGCTTCCTGATTCGGGTCGATCTCGGAGAACCCCTCCGTGGCTTTATGTTGACACAGCCTTGTTGGCTAATTACTTTCCCACAAGCTATACTTTACACATGTAGTTACTTCCAAGGTTCTCAATTGCTTTTCCTGTTTGAGTTTTGCTTATTCGATCGGTGCTAGTATATAAGCTGCATGTACCTACTACGTAGGTACAAGCCACCGTCATTTCGCTTACGTTGTCTAAGCAATCCTCTCTTTTACCCCTATACGTAAAGCAAATGGCATCATTTTTCCATGGGTCTCTAGAATTGGTTTGTCTAGTCTAGTCAATCGAAATTTTCTAGATGCCACGGAAAACTCCCGCCGCCCCACTACCAAGAAGCGGGAGTTGCGCAGAAATTTTCTGCTTTCCCGGGAAATATCCACACTTCGAACTTTATACTCGGCCCGGGGCAACGTGATGCTTAACCTACTGGCGGTGACTGCCCTACCAAGACTTGTCTTCCTTGGTTCTAGAGTCCGTTTCAGGAGATGGTGGATTGGTTTATTACAATGGTCCCGTACGGACGTCCGTCTGATTTCCAGAATCCATAATCCACATGGGGCCACTCCGTTTCGTTTCGGAGAGCGCCGATGACGGACGGAAAACTTCTTGTTCTGTGATTCTGAGTCGTTGACCGGCCCGAGTGCAAGTATCGGTGTACCGGTGGATATGTCTTATATTATTTTTTCAATATTTTTATATCGCATTGGGAATTTAAGGGGTAATATATGTCCGATCACATCATTCCAAGATTTGATGATCGCCGCGGAGACCTTGGTGGTCAGCCTTATACGGTTAGGGTGTCATATATGAGTCAACTCCGGTTTTTCGGCAACAAGACCACTAAAAAAATAAAGTACCGATCGTATGAGCATCAAGACTGTTTGAAATTGGTAGTGTCTTTTGCAACGTTTGAATTTTGATAAATTAAATTCCAAATGGGAGTCAGCCAACAGTGACTTGTATACAGGAGCCGCAGGACTTATAGTGATGCAAAGAAGACGCCCAGAAGGTTACGGACAAAGTCACTCTCGTTGCATTGAACTCCTCACGACGTGAAATGTTGTACTTTCGCAAGTGTTTTCTACGTCATGTATTGATAGTCGTTTAAAATACTAGTGGAAAAAGGAGACCTGGGGAAATGCATTGGCCTTGGCCCTGCCATGTTATCTGGGCACCAAGACTAGGCGCGTTCCTTATCTACCAGGGATCCAATGCTAAGCAATCCCCAATTGGAGGCTATGTGACACCGCCTTCCGATAAATAGATCAAGGCCTTATGAGTCAATGACACTCAATGCGTTCATTTGAACCAAGCGCTTTTTCTGGATCAACCGTGGCTGCCAATGACCCCTGTCCCTCTACGACCGGTTACCATTTGTATGTACCAGAAGTCACTCAGGCTGAGGAACTTTTGGTTCTACGCTAGTATTCGAAGGCTTCTTCCTTGGTCGCTCTAGCCATTACTCGTCGGTATTGATGCCAACCATGGGATTTCTGGTCCACGGGTGCAGGTCATCGTTCAGATGGCATCCGAAGAGCGCATCTTGTTAGTCTGGATCCACTGCGAGACAGGGTCTTTTTTACAAGCATTTCTACGTTGAAAGCTAATCCATTGGTATTGAGTTTGAATTATGGAAGTCCTTGGCGCAGGCTCTAGCCATGTAGATGAGCCCTCAGGTTTTCTAGTGTGTATAGTTTAAATCAGTAACATCTTCCCATGGTCACTACGTATATATCTTCGATGTTTACATATACCTAGGCATGTACATATGTACATACCATTCAATGCCATAATCAGTTCACTGGAAAATTGGCAACTTCTTTCCCAATTTTGATGAGAAAACATTCCGACAAACGGAAATTAAATTGATATTTATTTACTTTAGGGAAAAAACCCTTGCAAAGGACAAGATATGAACCCTGCCACGTGATCCATTCTGGGGGATCGACCCGCAGCATCATGTTTTTGAGCTTCCCCCTTTTCGGGACAGCTTCATGCCACCGTGTTCTTTCAATGTGATCACTTACTCTACTATGGGTCTTACCAACTACTAACTCAATTATACTGTTGACGGCTAATCCCGGACGCTTCCGACTTTCCAAACACCAGGTGGGATGTCTACTGCCGTTCTCCACTGTGCCATGTCTTGAGCTCCTGCAGCCTGTGATCCACTTTTCTACGAACCGACCTTACCGCATCCCGCCGTGCATCACTTTTGACCTCTCAGTGGACAAAGCAAGAACAACAAACACCGCCTAGGCCCAGGGCGCTGAAATAAAGCGTCAAATCCGAGCTAGAGCCAGGCGAAGAATTGACATACCACGGCTTCAACAGTCCAATCAATACCCCGAACAAGTCCCCATTCCTCTCGTCCTACCATCATGGCGTCGCTCAATTGGGTTTCGGTGGTGGTAGCTATTGGCGCAGTCTTCCTCTTCTGGACCTTCTCGGCCACGTCGTCTTCGCCCTTCACGCGCAACTTCCCACGGCTCCACAACAAGCGGATCTGTCTGTTGATCGCACACCCTGATGATGAAGCAATGTTCTTTGCGCCGACGGTTCTGGCGCTCACCAAGCCAGAGCTGGGTAATCATCTGAAGATTCTCTGTCTCAGCACCGGTACGTCATCATCTACTCCGCACCGAAAATAGGGACACAGGTCCTTTAGGCCAATGTCTCGTCAGAAATGTGCTTCGCATGAGTAGATGGATCAGAAGCTAATCAGTCTCCTTCAACAAACAGGCGACGCCGACGGTCTCGGCGAAACCCGCAAAAAGGAGCTTCAAAAAAGCGCCCTCCAGCTCGGCCTTCGCGACGAATCCGACGTCTTCATCATCGATGACCCCACCCGCTTCCCGGATAGCATGACCGCGGACTGGCCTGCAGATCAAGTCTCTTCCCTCCTCGCTTCGGCCTTCTCACCCGATCTCGCTGCCACCCTCAACGGCAGCAAAAAGGCAGACCCCAAGAAAGCTCCCACTGCCACCATCGATGTACTCGTTACCTTCGACCAGCACGGTATTAGCAACCATATAAACCATCGCTCGTTGTACCATGGAGCTGTGCACTTCATGCGCTTGCTCATGAAAGAGAAGCCTGGATTTGCGTCTCCTGTTGAGCTGTATACTTTGACGAGCCTTTCGATGTTTAGAAAGTACGCCGGTGTGCTCGATGCGCCCATTTCCATGCTCCACGGTGCCTTTTCCAATGTCGTGGCGAGATTGAGTCGAGTGAAGAAGGATGGATCCGGTCCAGCAAGGTTGCTTTTTGTTAGTTCCGTTGCGGAGTGGTTGACTGCCCAGGCGGCTATGGTGAAGTGTCATCAGAGTCAAATGGTTTGGTTTCGGTGGGGATGGATCACGATTGGGCGGTATATGACCGTTAATGATTTGAAGAAAGAGAAAATCTAGCTGGATCTTCTTGCTGCGACTCGTACGCTCATGCAGTTGGACAAGATTTATCTATATTGAATTCTTAGGTGAATATTGTCTTATGACTGCATCCTCAGTATCATCTGATACTTTCAGGCCTGAGGGCTCCTGTACAAATGCTATCATTCGTTGGATATAATGAAAACCATTCGATGTTTGATATTATTGTACGCTTGCGTGATGCTGAAAACATGCTGCGAAAAGATGCTCGAGCCTAAAGACTTGATGGGTATCTAGAACAAATGGTTGTAGCGCCAGCACAAAACTTCAACTCCTCAAGTAACAACCTTGAGCCTGTAAATAAATCTCTAAACCCAAGATGACTCGTCCAGCAGATACACTCCTCGCTTGTTGGGCTTTAACATGTCCAATGCAGCAAGGCGGCCATAAAACCCACCATTGGGATTGTTTGCGTTGGATAACGAATGATCTTCTGGATAGTCGACCCATGATCCACGAAGATTTGCAAGAGTTTCCTCAAGTTTCTTAGATGGAGGCGTTTGAAACTTGAATAACGTGTTCAATGGTGCCATGCTTTTATCCAGCCACGGATACCGCAGCAACATATCCTGCCATTTTGCAGCCTCGCTCCAGAATCGGTGCTCCGGACAGAAGAACAGTTTCTTATTACTTGCGTCTCGTCTAGCAGGGGCAAGAGGCTGTTTCCCATGCCAGTCTCGGTCTTTGAAGCCCGTAGGACCCAGGAAGTCGACCGTGCCGCATTCTGTGTCGTAGAATATTCGCATTCGACTGGGGAGAAAATCGCGCCACTCTTCGATCATCTTGGGCCGTTCCCGTAAGAACCAATCCTGGTCGGTTGTGTCCTGCCAATTGGGGACTCGAACTGTGACATATAGAATTCGTTGTAGGATGTATGCTTGTTGGTAGACTTCCAGTCGGGTGATATTATATGAATTGATCGCGTCAGAGAGCAGAGGGTCCTGAAATATTGAATCATCAGGCGAAGTAATCTCTTTTCTCTTGATCTGCCGATTTGCTTTTTCCAACACTGGCTTTAGAAGCCTCATGATGATTGTGCGTTTCTCCTGCTGCCTATGTCTCGTTTGAGACAGAAGTTCATATGCGCTCTGCAAATACGACTTGCATTCCTCCAAGCTACCGCGATCAATACTGATGTTGATCATGAACCGCCACATTTGCAAGGTTGGCGTGATATTGTAGGGCTCAGAGGTCATGGTCTTGAATATTGATCGCACTAGGTCCGCCGACACTTTACCAACAGTATTGTCATCTTCGTATCTGTTTTCAGGGGCCCGAACTCTGCAGAGAACATACGCCCGTTCGAATAGCTCATGCCATGCCTTTGTGGGGATGGGAATGTTGTATGAAGAAGAGATGAACTGGATTGTCTGGATTGCACCAGTGATATCGTTGTTTGTGCCCAAGGCATGGGCGACCGCGAAAAGAAGGTTCTTAGTCGGATATAGTGCGGACCACGGTTCATAGGGTGTGGGAGGTGGTAACTGGGACGGATCTTCTGTCTCCTTGATAGCATCGATGTCAATGTTCCACACAGTTTGTAAAACGTGTCGGAAACCAGGACCGTGGCCCGTCCGAGCCGATGCAAGCATCACGTTGATATAGGTGCGCTCATCAGCTATGTGTCCATAATCCATCATCTCTCGAAAAAGTTGTAGCACAGGCCTTCGAACACTGTTCTTGGCTGTGCCGTAACCCCGCCAGCCTTTGTTGGGTTCCGCCATCCGTCGCTTTTTGTATGGTTTGGGCAAGACTCGCAAATGATAAGCCTCCTCACCTGTATAGCAGTGGTCCCACACCTTTGCCTCCATGTAATGGTTGTAACAAATCCCATCTGGAATAACTCTGTCTCGTCTCATTGAATCCCATAGATCATCCGCAAGTGGGCCATTTCCCATCGCTCTTGCACAGTCCAAGAGATGGGTATATTCCGCCAATTCCAGCGCAAGACCCTGAGAAGTCCGATTTCGCGTTATCCTGAATAGATTTTGGACCATTTCATCAAAGACCTCTTCGGCGCGTTTGACGCCGTTCAGCAAGGAGGACCAGGCATGCAGGGGGTGGTGGAGGTCTCGGAAGGGCTCCACAAAATGAGCGGGTGACAGCCGGTGGAGCGACTCAATAAACGCGATCTGGGGTAATGACCCAACCAGCCCCGCCGACCGTGGGTCAGTCAAACTCGCCATTATTTGGTTGGGTTGTCCGTTCTCAATGACGCGATAGAACCTCTCCGCGTATTCTGCCTCTTCCTTGGGAGAATTCCATGTTGGAAGAGGGGTTGCGATCGGTTCTTCTTGTACTTGTTCCACCTCTTCATAGACCGGGGAATATAGTTGTTGGCTGCTGGTGTTGAAATCCTGGATTGAAGTACAGCGGATACCATCTCGTTTTTGCCTTAATCGAGGACTATTCCATGTTGAAGAGCGAGGAGTCACGGAGGAGAGTGGTCTCGTGCGCCCGGTGGAAAATAGGGAACGGGGACGCGTGAAATCGCACAAGCCAGGCTCTGTAGTTGTTGGGGACCAAAGCCGGTAAGAAGAGAATCTCTCTCTGGAAAAGCTAATCCTCCTCATCACTGGCAAACAGAAGGCAGCATAAGTGCAATGTAAAAGGGAGAAGAGAAGACAAAGAAAATGTGAGGAGAAAGCTACACAATACGAGCTGGGAATAAGCGCTTCGACCCCGGATCAAAGAGGGGGTACACGGTACACAGTACTTCTGCAACGTTTCATTACTGCAGAGGGGTGCTCAGACCTCTGCAGTTGTAGAAGTGACCGGGGTAATGCTAATAACACACATACTACTATGAACAGACCTAGACGCATGTCAAGGTCTGTAAAGGTCTAGAGTGACTGGTTACGAGGCTCTAGGCTTATTATCTTGTATCAGAGTACCCTGGATGGATAAAGTGGAGTGACGGGTAACCTAAACAGTTAAACTCCATTCTTTTCCCCATTTTTTCTCCAGAAAATCACACAAACACTTCAAACAAAAAGTCCGGGGTAAACCTGAATGACTCAGCATTGGCACCAGTCATCGGCTAAGCCCGATTAGGCAGCGGACAAAGCTCTCCGATTCTGTTTCCGCCCGCGATCGAGTTGAAGACAAGGAAATTCACCCAACTTCCAATTCTACCATGGCCGATAACGAGGATGCAGGTGCCTCTGTCTCAGAGCCCTTGGATCTTGTCCGTTTGTCTCTGGACGAAATTGTCTTCGTGAAGTTGCGCGGTGACCGTGAACTCAAGGGCCGCCTCCACGTGAGCCCACCCGCACCCGCACTCAGACGACCCCTCAGCTGATTATGATGACTTGCTAGGCATACGATAGCCATTGCAACCTGGTTCTCGGCGATGTGGAGGAAACAATCTACGTGGTAGAGGAGGACGAGAACGAAGAGGAGACCACACGGGTAGGGATTGTGTGTCCATATTGATGAGACCAAAACGCTGACTAGGGCTATTCTGACTAGACAATCAAGAAGCAAGAAGAGATGCTCTTTGTGCGAGGTGAGTCGATCCCGCTGTTATTTGTCACCCGAATCGGTTTCCTAATTCTGCTATAGGTGATTCCGTCGTTTTGATCTCCCCCCAGGCCTGATCGGCCCACGAATCGATAGAGGAACCGGCGTCTGGCGAGAGGAGGACCTAAATGACACCTAGGCCGATTGGAAAATGAGATACTAAGATACCATCCACGGGCTGCATAGATACGAGACCCCATGAAAGTTGGTTTATGACCCTTTTAACAAGACTTCCAAGGTTCCTGATCTACCGTAACCCGTAGCATAGCCGCAAGGCTGTAACCCCCACTACTTACGGAGCTCCACTGTTAGTCACAATAAGATTCTTTTGGTTTCTAGCTCGAAGCATAGGAGTGTGTGTGGTCACTACTCTGGGCAGATGATGGCGGGAGTGAAGTGATGACTCAAAGCGGGTGACTCGATTCCGGACAGCTAAGGTTATCGATAAAGGTGCCCCCGATCGCCCCATGCGCCTTCTTTCCCCTTCACAACCTTCTACACCTTACATTCACAATTTAAATCTCATTTACTGTTCTTACTGTACTAAGGACAGTCAAGCAATGATCCCTCGAATACAAGTCTGAATCGCGCCAGAGCAAAGGCCAACCGGTCCCACTTCGATATCTATCCCCGACCGCAACGTCACTACCCTAGAGGTCCCTCCGTTAGGAGCCTTTCCACCGAAACATGCCAGTACACCCAAAAACAAATCCCGAAGAGCGGAAACGAGGCGAAATCGTATGTAACTCCGGTTTTGTTCTGCGATTGCCCTAATTCATTTGTCCATGTATCTTAGGCCCTCAGCGAGTTCGCCGAGTATGCCGAGAAGCAGCAATCGCACCGTTCAGCTGTCGCTGTACCCAGTGATAGTGGCTATGAGACAGGAAGCGTGGCGCCAAGCCTGGAAGACCATGCCGAACTAGACATTTTGGATCAACTCTGCCTTTCCGACACCCCCCGCACCGTAAAGTTGAAGGAGCTTCTCGTGGGGACGGGAGAGGATACCGAAAATAGTCTGCAGCTGCTAGCTGGAATATTGCAAGCGCGCACCGACGAAGGCCTCGGTGAGACTATTTTCGACCTTGGTCTCGAAGACGGTGGTGATTCAATGGGCTTCGACCTTCCTCAGTGGGAGACCGCTCTACAGAGGCTGCGCGAAGCTGCCGAAACTATCCCTGCCCACTGCCGAATACTTCTTACCTACAATGTTGGGGGTCCTCAGGAATGCCCGAAGAAGGAAGATCGACCCAAGGATGTATGGGGTAAGGTGCTGATCCGTCAACATGCGGTCAACATAGAAGATATGGCGGAAATTCGAATGGCTGTGGTGGGCAATGTCGATGCAGGCAAAAGTACCATGCTTGGTGTGCTAGTCAAGGGCAGTCTTGATGATGGTCGTGGTCGTGCACGACTCAATCTCTTCCGCCACAAGCATGAAATTGAGAGCGGGCGCACTAGCTCTGTCGGGTTGGAAATCATGGGGTTTGATAGTCACGGCGAGATTGTTGCCAATTCGCAGGGTCGAAAACTGTCCTGGGAAGAAATAGGGAAAAAGTCCGCCAAGGTGATCTCCTTCTCTGACCTTGCGGGCCACGAGCGGTACCTGCGAACTACCGTTTTTGGTATGCTGAGCAGCAGCCCCAACTACTGTTTGCTGATGGTCGCCGCGAATAATGGCCTGATTGGAATGAGTCGTGAACACCTGGGCATTGCCCTCGCACTCAATGTGCCTGTCATGGTCATTATCACTAAGATTGACATTTGCCCGCCCCAGATCCTCCAAGAGACTCTGTCTCAGCTGTCGAAGATTCTCAAATCACCTGGTGCGCGCAAAATCCCCATATTCGTCAAGGACATGGAGGAGACTATCAATACCGCGGGTCAGTTCGTCAGTCAGCGGATTTGCCCTATTTTCCAAGTCTCCAATGTGACTGGTGAAAACCTGGACCTGGTCCGAACTTTCCTCAACATTCTCCCCCACCGGGGTCACTATGACCAGGATGGTCCCTTTGAATTTTTGATCAACGACACCTTCTCCGTCCCCCATGTGGGCACTGTGGTCTCCGGTGTCGTCAAGTCTGGTGTGATTCACGCTGGCGACTCCGTCGTGGTGGGGCCCGACTCCCTAGGCCAGTTCACAACAACTGCTATTAAGACCATTGAACGCAAAAGGATACCAGTAAATGCTTGCTTCGCCGGCCAGTCAGGATCTTTCGCGCTAAAGCGTGTCCGCCGCAAGGAAGTGCGTAAAGGTATGGTCGTCTTGAAGAAGATGGACCAACCGCCTAAGGTTTACCGGGAGTTCGTCGCCGAAGGTATGAAGCCAAATCGGGAATCTTGCGAATATCTACTGACATGGTTTTAGTGCTGATCTTGTCCCACGCAACCACCATTAAACCCAAGTATCAAGCCATGTTACACGTCGGAGCGGTCAGCCAGACATGTTCGGTCATTGACATTGACCGCCCTTTCATTCGAACGGGCGATCGTGCGCTTGTTGCCTTTCGGTTCATCCAGCGACCCGAGTTTCTGGCCCCCGGCGATCGTGTACTCTTCCGAGAAGGTAAAACGAAAGGGCTGGGCATCGTCAAGAGCATTGGCTATGACCCCAGCCAGCCGCTGAGTGCCACAACAAAAGGTGACGCAGACACCTCAAAACCTGCGAAAAAAACATAAATACGGTGCACGGAGCTGTGTCCCCAATGTTTCATCTATTAATTGTTTATTTCCTATTCTTCTGGCGGTGGCTTTGTTCTATTGTTACATTCTTTATTAGCCCCACGTGATGTGACGTCAGATGATGACATCTGTCGATCGCTGTATCCATTCAGATCCATTTTAGCTGCAGCTTGGTCCAATTATACTTGGGCCACTATCGTGTCCATATTGTCCATCCTGGGCTCCACTGACGTAGTAGATTACACCTGCTGTAGATATAGCCCAAGACGCTCTGCCACATGCGTACCTTTTAATCAATTTCAACTTACGCTTTCCACAAAACCTTCCCTACCCATTGATATCTGATTCATCCTTATAAACCACCCCCCGCCCGTCAAATTATCTTTCCATTCCAACCCTACTTCCTATACTTCCCCAACAATGGATACCATCAACCAATATGTCTCCGCTGCCTCCACTGCATTGTGGGGCGAGAACGCGGAGTCTAAGAATGAAAATGTTGCACATGGCGATGAGCCCATTTCAGGTGTGCAAGGCAAAGGAATGGCCAGTGACCCCTATGATGCTGGAAACCGTGACGGTAAGTCGTACAAATTGGCTATAGCCCAACTATGGCACGAAGTGGGACTGACAGATACCTAATGTAGAACAACCCGATGCCCCCAAATCTGATATCAACACTGTTCCACAAGAACCAGAAATCGGCGGCATACCTTTGATGAAGGCTGACCCTTCTGTGGGAGATACCACCTTCGGCGCTGTCTCTGTCCCTGGTGCATCTGGATCTGGCCTCAGTGACTCGTCTATCCCTAAGCTCGCTGAAACCCAAGCCACAGAGCAGCGCAGTACAAATGAGAGTGCAGTTCCCAAGACCCAAGAGCTAGGAAACAAAGATCAAGACACTGCTGAAAGCAAAACTGTTGAAAGCAAAATTGCGGAAAGCAAACTTGCTGAGAAGAACATTACTGAAAACAAGACTGATGCGGGCAACATGGCTGAGGATAAGGTAGATAACGCTGAGAGCAACGTGGCCGAAAACAACGATGAACTCCCTGCTCCACCACACAATAAGGACGTCAGCGAGGAAGCGCTGAAAGGCCCACAGGGACCGGCGCCTAAGGCTGCAGAGCAGTTCGAGAAAGAGGAGAAGAACAAGCAAAAGAAGCCAGCTGAATCTAGATCTAGCGGGGACAGTGAGTTTTGATTATTCCTCTCTAGTATCTATCTACTGGTAGTATGGCTAACGTGACTGATAACTATAGGTGACCCATCTTCAAAGAGCAGCGACAAAGCTTCTAACGGAAGCGGAGATAAAAAGCACGGTGCCATGGCGAAGGTGAAGGAAACCTTGAATAAGGTTGCTCACCCACGCCACGGGAACAACAAGGAATAAATGGCGAACTTTACTTCTGGGAGATAGATTGGTTAGGCCGTATCCCATGAATTTGGTTTGTGTTGGAGATGGCTGGATTCTATTGATATCTTCTTTTCTCGGTTTACATACTTGTACTACTACCCAATCGAATGAATGCGTTGTTATTTTACTTGTGATAAGGTTGAAGTAGCCGAGTCTATAATTTTTCATTGTGTATGTGTCCTAGGTTGTAGCGGCCGACGCCCGTAACAGATGGAGACGTCGAAGGTAAAACCTTCATTGGGTCTAGTAGGTAGCTACCGCGCCTGGATCTGGAAACTTCAAATAATCATTCACCCGTCATATAATCCTTATAACCCTTTGAAACTTCTTCGAATCAACCTTCGAAGTTCATTTCAACGAATACCAACTCAACGTTCATTCGAATATGGCGTCTGTTAAAATGTACCCAAGCTCTGGCTGTGGCTTCTTTAAGCCCCGGAGATTCGAAGCGGTGGAAGAGTATTGCATAGAATATATTTCGGGTGTGAGATTCAGTGATAGGCGTCTTCAATATGGGAGAAAGCTCAAGTACGATCGCGATATATTTATCGATGTGATTCTTGCAGAACACAGTCTTCGATCAACTTCCCAAAAGATAGAGGCCTTACAGAGTGCGATCAAGCATTCAGAAAAGGTAGCGGGCATCGAAATTGACTGCGGGCACGAAAAGACCCTCGACGAAGACAATACCAAATTGAAGAAAATGCAGATCGAATATGCCACCCGGAAGCACCAGCTGTACATTGCAGAGTCAATGATACCCGAGCATCCGTTAAAGAAGAACTACGATGCCCTGAGGCTGGATCCTAGGTGGTATCTACGAGCCGAATTGACACAGGACTGCATAAGTCGTGGTGGATGTTGTAGTAGAGGCTGCGGATGCTGTGCTCAACGCCATTTAGCCCTTGAGAACACCACAAGAGTTGGACACTGTACGGTGGAGTGCGAGTGTTGTTCTACCCACCGAGGATGCAAATTGTCATTGGAAGAGACCAGGAAGAAGGCCAGGGAGGAGCTTGAGCAAAGGCTTCGGCATAACAATCCAAGTCATCTTTTGAGAATGACGAATGCTTTTTTTGTGAAGCCTAGTCGATGGTCGAGATAGCTATTGTTGTGGCAATCCTGTCACGCCGAGTATCTCCTTGTATTTTGGTCGCTTCCAGAGTGCTCACTCACTCACCTTCAACTGGGCATTAGGTTTGATTTTGCTTATCTGTTCTGGGCCTTAATCTTAATTTGGGAACGGTACCTCTGATTTGTTCTCTTAGCTTGCTGTGCAATATTTAAGTAGTTTCATTATGAGAATATTTGAAGCTAGAACACCAGCTACCTCAACCCGGGAGGATGATTCATCTATTGTGACAATAAAGATGATTACCCATATTTTAAAGTATTCGTAATTCCAAGCAACACAAATATGCCGCAGATACTGGATCTATGTGTGGCTGATTATAACCTTGAAAATGTTGGTTGAGTTGGGGAAGACGGGATGGTTCCAAGGTGTATGATGCGCCTGAGCGCCGTATTTTTTGGCTAATTCTTGTTTCCCCCTTGCGTACCAATTCGATCTGCTGCATAGCCAGCATCATGATTGCTGTTTCATGACAGTGTTGGAGACCGGCATTGGCTTAATGGACTTGCTCCACTGAAATCAGTTAACGTCATTTCCCCGCAGATAGCGATAACCTTAGACAACCCCTGTCGACCTGCATGCCAGTGACGAGCACCTCGATATCGTGTCTCAGGAGCATCCCTTTCTCTTCTGGGCTCTCTTGTCACATACTTACCTAACCAAATATTGATTAAGTCAAGGTCGTTCAGGTCAATGAAACAACCTTCTCGCAAACACCTCGAAACGCGCAGCGCGGCCACTTGATCAGCCGCCAAGATGAGCGTCCACTCGCTCGACTATGCGCAGCATGGCAATATGCTTGAACCGCTTCCAAACCTTGACCTCGAAGCTGGACGTCACTCGCCCACCTCCCTCACGGAACGATCCCCAAACAGAAGAGATGGGTCATTCGTAGACGCGAACGCGTTCACCACTGCCGCACGGGTCAACTCCACCGACACAGCCAAACGTCGCATGCGACGCTCGAACACGGCGCGCTCCTACCATCCTGAAGGCTTTACCCAGGACTCGACTTGGCAGCCCGGAACCGAACCTGGTATTGATCCAACCAAATCCCTTCCCGCCTCGAGCGCAGAATGGGCATCGAACGTGCCCAGCGACCTACACCGGGAGTGTGAAATTACAGTGGTGGATTTTTCGCAGAATGAAATGCGGCAGTATGAGCTGGACAACGGATCGCTGGAACAGTTTCTGGCGCGTGAGCAGGAGCCATGGGTGCAGTGCCGATGGATCAATGTGAACGGTCTAAGCTGGGATGTGATCAAAATCCTTGGAAACCATAAGAAGCTGCATCGGCTTGCGATCGAAGACGTGGTTCACACAACGAACCGAACGAAAGCCGATTGGTACTCTGACCATGTTTTTGTTGTGCTGGCATTGCAAAAATTGGTCAAGCTGCAAGACGACAAAAATGACTCGGATGACGACGACGCCTCGGATGGCAAATTTAAGGAAAGGTCTGGGTCTGTGGCAAGTGACAAAAGTTCGGTGTCTATCAAACGGCCTACCAAGCGAAACCTCATTCTGGACGCTCTCAAGGACCTCTTCCGGTTCAAGCGAGCGCCGCATGAAGAGCGCGAAGGCAAAATTCACGTCGGAGCTAGTGTTCGCCCTGGTCCACGCAGGCAGTCATCAAAGCATACGTCCCACTTTGGAGATTTGTCTTCGACTAAAGGACGTACTGCCAGAACTCTACAGCGATATCGTGGGGGTCCAAATGAAGGCCGAATTGAGTTCATGGAACGTCATGCTGTGTTGGCCGCCAAAAACCTATGTGTCACACTGGAGCAAGTTTCAATCTTTTTGAACGCTGACAACTCTGTGACGTCCTTCTTTGAAAGTAGTGCCGATGATATAGAAGCTCCTATTGTTCGGCGCTTAAGTTCCCCCGAGACGATTCTGCGACAATCCTGCGATGCAAGCATGCTCATGCAAGCCATCCTTGATGCTATTATCGATCTTGCTCTTCCAGTAACCATGGCCTACCAAGATGCCATTGGCGACCTCGAACTTGAAGTCTTGACTGATCCGGATATCGATCAATCCAAGAGCTTATACATCCTGACGTCTGAAATCTCGGTACTGCGTAATTCTATGCAGCCCATTGTCGCCGTGATTAATGCGCTTCGAGATCATCGATCCCAACCCATTGGTACACCTGGACTCGGAGTCGTCCGCAGTAGCCCTAAGAGCCAAAGTACTGCGACTGACGATCCATACTATGATCAAGACGATGATCCACGAATCGAAATTGCGACGCCAAATTTGAAGAGCGCCAGCGGTTCGACTGTGACGATAAGTCACATGTGTCATACCTACCTGGGTGATGTTTTGGATCACTGTATTACTATCGTGGAAGGATATGATCAAATGCGACGTGCGGCAGATAACATGATTGATCTCATTTTCAACACTATCGGTGAGTCTAACATCCTAGTCTGGTAGGATGAGACTAATATGTTGGAAGGTGCCTACCAAAACGAAAGTATGAAGCAGCTCACAATCGTCACTTGTCTGTATCTCCCCATGACGTTCTTGACGGTATGTCTTACTAGCATATTTCTCGTGTTTTTTTGCATTCTAATGATGAGTGTAGGGCTATTTTGGAATGAATTTCACTGACTTTGCTGGCATTAACAACAGCGACTCGTGTGTCCCTCATTAAACCAATCAGCTTTATGGATAAGATGCTAACTCTAGATGCAGTTATTTCTGGAAAATTGCTATTCCTTTCGTGTTTGTGACAACTTGCTTATTGATGTGAGTTGTGATATCTTCATCGTCCAAGAGAAATTACCCACTGACATCAATCCAGGCGTGACAAGATTCAGCGTACAGCTGTCATGCTCGCTCAGAAGCGTCTTATTACTAGCTCCAGGAAACAGCGACAAGGGCGAAAGGAGATGTAATTTTATTGTGATATCACGGCGGTCTATTAATATTGGGAGTGGAGTCTCCGCGGTGTTGTACATTTGTCCTATCGACAGACTTTCAGTTTTGTATATCATATCCATAGAGTACAGTTATATTATACACAGCCTCACGTGTTCTCATCAAATAGTCTTTTGTCGAAAAGCCCAGTAAGCCTTCCAAGGAAGTCTCCAATCAGAGCGGAGCAACTCAGGACGGAAAACATCGAAGTCATGCTCCTGCAACCGATCCAGCCAGAGGCGAGTGCCGATAGCTGGCATGAAAACGCCAAACGCCCTGTTCACCTCATCAAGAGGGGAGTCACGAGAGTGGCTCGGCGTATCATATTCATGCCCTTCTTCACCCTCATGCTCGAAATCATGTCCAACATCCTTGCCCTCACGCAAGTTGCTCAACATCTGCTCCACAGTAATCAAGTGATCGCTCGCGCGGGTCGCAACTTCAAAGACCGCATCGCGCAGCCCCTCAGCTTCAGCACCCCGCCTCAAAACCTCCTCTTCCTTCACACCAGCCTTCGCCATGATATCCAGCGGCAACATCACCGCTCCCTGCCTCGCCCCGCCACTCAGTCCCAGGCTAGCCGAACCGCCACCAGTCGGGGACTGAGGCTGTGGTGCTGGAAACGCAACCAAAGGAAGACCGCGCAAGACCGCCGCAATACCCACAGCCTTTCCAATGTGGGACGCGACATGGTCTGCAGTCACAGATGTCATTGGCAGAGCCTGAAGAGTGAGGTACATAAGAGTGGAGTAGGTACTCTCGGCGTAGGACTCTAGCGCCGCGATATTGGTGTAAGGATCATTCGTGAGTGTCTGCTCACGAGCATTAATCAACCGTGTAAGCCAGCCCTTGCTTATCCGAGCCTGGCCCTCTGTGCGCTGATGGAGTTCGGAGATGGCGGAGGAGAGGAGGATTGCGACGGGTTCTTTGGGTGGGTTGCCAGCGAGGATTTTGGCGACGGAATCACGCCAGAATTGCAGGCGCATGAGACCTATTGTGGGCGAAGAAGTTGTTTCGGGGATTAAAGAGAGAGAGACGTTCAATGCGCGAAGGGCGAGGTAGAAGGAGCGGGCGTGAGGGGGTATGAAGCTACTCAAGGTGTAGGATGGTCGGTCATATTTTCTGGTTTGAAGAATGGGGTGAGTAGCTGGAGTCTAAAAGAGATTGACCGAGCATCGGTAGAGCTTGGTCAGGGTTGTGATGCGTACGAGAGTAGAGCGACGCAATATTTATGGGCGCCTTGAATTTCCTCAGCGGTTAGAGGAGACCGGACTGCGTGGGTGCGGCTGAAGCATCTTTTTTGTTGCCGTAATGGCTTTGAATAGAGCAGGCGAGCACTGCTGGCTCGGCATGGTCGAGCTGCCTCTTTGAAGAGAGACATTGTTGGGTGTCGGAGGCAATTAAAGATGCAAGTTGGAGAAAGTCGAGGAAGGTTGTAATCCGCTTACTAGTATTGGTCCATCCGCAGTCGACCCAGAATGGCCGAATTATTACTAATTGATTCAGTTTAAACTTCATAGACTATATTAGTCAAAATGAATTGTACATCATTATTTTCATCTTACCATATAGATAAGTTGGTAAAAGGAAGGTGAAAAATCAATTAATTGCCGTTGACTTTTTTCTCGGACTGACGTCGATCCGCCCGTTTTCGCGTTTCTCGGCGCGTCTTCCCATCTTGATCTTCTCACCCAACCTTCACTTTCATGTCGAAACCACGATTATGAGCGAGGATTTGGATCAAAGACCAGCGAAAAGACAGCGCTTCTTTGTGGATGATGCTGTATCTTCTCCAGGCCCAGACGCAACAAAAGCACACGCGTCGCTACCGCGATACCACCCCGGAATCGAGGGTCATGGCGAAGAGCAGGATGGCCAGGAGAATATCCCTGAGGAACAGTCCCCTAGGGATGGCAAATCTTCGATAGATTCCACAGCAAAACCGGCTCCTCCCTTTGCGACCGAGATACCAGACACTACAATGACGGATTCGACCTCGGTACCTTCGCTACAAAATGGAAAGACGGGCTCACATACGGACGAATCTATTGCTGTAAAGAGTGAAGCCCTAGTTGCGGACTCAACCGGTTTCGATGTGGAGCTTTTTACCAGTATCGTGGGAGAAAGACTCCCTTCGGATTCTATTCAAACCATCCAAACCGCAGCCTCGAACAACATCGAAAGAGCCGTGAACATATACTTCGATGGATCCTGGAAGAAGTCCTTGAAGCCTAGTTCCCAGATAAACCCTATACCTATTCGCGCGGCCTCTTCTGTACAGCCAGACCCCCGCGCTGGAGTGTCTTCTCGCCCCGTCAACGATGGCCTCTCTTCGGGATATGACTCTTTGTCGCGAAAGTTACCCCCCTCAAGGTTCATCGGAGCATTTGGTGTGGGTGGCTGGGCAACTCGGAGCGGGCCTGCCTTACTGAAGCATGGGGACCGGGTGAAAATCGAGCGTGCAAGGTCACAACCAACTACCAAACGTGTTCGTGGAGGCAAAACTATGATGAACCATAAGGGCGATGTCTTGACACGATTCACGAATTCTGCCGGGCAAGAAGTTGGTAGATTGCCACATGAGACAGCAGAGTGGGTTTCTACCCTGATTGACCAAAAGATCTGCCATTTTGAAGGTGTTTGCGTCTTTAGTGACGACAGGCTACGAGTCAACGATACCATCTATCTACAGTTGCAGTGTTTTCTTCGTAGAGAAGTGTTTCAAAGCGATTTATTCAAAGGATCGACAACCGATGATAACAGATCAGTCGGTCTCTTTGAAGAAAAAGAGAATATAGAGGAGAGAAACCTACGACTCCGACAGGTCTCTCTCGTCAAACTGTTCGATGCAATCGAGCTCAAGCCCACATCGACAAACCCCGCCACCGAGAAACACAAAAAGAGTGGAATTCTCCGGGCTGCCGAGATGGCAGAGCAGTACGACGGTGTCAAAAAGGAGAAATCCAAAGGCTCCAAAGACCCCGAGGACTCTTCTGAAGAGGATGATACGCCCGAACTTGCCCAAGATCAGCTTGATGCGTTGTATCGGAAAGCCCAATCATTCGACTTCAACATGCCGGAGGCTCAGCCCGCGTCAACATTCCGAATGAATCTTCGAAAATATCAGAGGCAGGCTCTTCACTGGATGCTTTCGAAGGAGAAAGACCGAAAGCAGACTGCTGAACGTTCAATGCATCCGTTGTGGGAGCAATATAAGTGGCCAGTCAAAGACAGTGATGATAAAGACCTTCCTGTATTCGAAGGAATCGACCATTTCTATGTCAATCCATACTCAGGAGATCTCAGCGTGGATTTCCCAGCTCAAGAACAACACTGCCTAGGTGGAATCTTAGCAGATGAAATGGGACTTGGAAAGACGATTGAAATGATGAGTCTTATCCATTCCCATAGAATCGAGCCTCCCCAAACTTCAAACAACATGAATTCTGTGAACGACCTTGCCCGAGTACCGCACTCAACAGGTATAGTTCCTGCGCCCTACACAACTCTGGTCATTGCTCCTACGTCACTACTTTCGCAGTGGGAAAGTGAAGCTTTGAAAGCGTCGGAAGAGGGAAGCATGCGTGTTCTCATGTACTACGGAGCCGAGAAGGCCGTCAATCTACGAGATATTTGTTGCGAATCCAAATATGCATCTGCACCTACCGTTATTGTAACCAGTTTCGGTACTGTGCTATCCGAATTTCGCTCTCTGGCATCTCAATCCATAATGTCAGCCAGTGCACACGGTGGCTTGTTCTCCGTTGAATTCTTCCGCATCATTATCGATGAGGCCCACACCATCAAGAATCGGCGCTCGAAAACTACTAAAGCATGTTGTGAGCTCAAGACCACCCATCGATGGGTGCTCACTGGTACGCCTATTGTCAACCGGTTGGAAGACTTGTTCAGCCTAGTGCGCTTTTTGAAGGTTGAACCATGGAGCAACTTCTCATTCTGGAAAACATTCATTACTGTTCCATTTGAATCGAAGGAGTATATCCGGGCTCTCAATGTTGTACAGAGCGTCCTTGAACCGCTTGTTCTTCGACGAACGAAGAGTATGAAAACACCAGAAGGTGAACCATTAGTTCCTCTGCCAACTAAAGTCGTCAACATCGAGGAAATTGAACTCCCTCAAAAAGAGCGAGAAATTTATGACTGCATCTATAATCGGGCCAAGCAAACTTTCAACGACAATGTGGAGGCTGGTACTCTTCTGAAGTCTTACTCGACCATTTTCGCACAGATTCTTCGTCTCCGCCAGACTTGCTGCCATCCTGTTCTGACCCGGAACAAAGAGATAGTTGCGGATGAGGAAGTCGCTGCGGCTGTCGCTGATGCAGCCAACGAGATGAAGGACGATATGGACCTTCAGCAATTGATCCAACAATTCACTGCCGCGACTGCAAATGCTGAATCCGAAGATCGGTCCGTCAAGTTCACTGCACATGCCCTTCGTCAGATTCAAACCGAGTCTAGCGGAGAGTGTCCTATCTGCTGTGAAGAGCCCATGATTGATCCTGCAGTAACTGCATGCTGGCACAGTGCATGCAAGAAATGCCTTCAAGACTTTGTTGCGCACCAGATGAACAAGCAGGTCGACCCACGATGCTTCTCATGTCGAGCTCCAATTGACGCCAAAAACATCTTCGAAGTCGTTCGCCATCCGTCTTCCAACCCAACGGCAATGGATGGTTTCGCTTCTAGCGAAACGGCAATAAACGCCTCACAGCCTGCTCCACGTATCTCTCTTCGTCGAATCAATCCGCTCTCACCATCTGCACATACCTCCGCCAAGATCCATGCGCTGATCAATCATCTATCGCGGGTTCCACCGGGCACAAAATCAGTTGTGTTCTCCCAATTCACGTCATTCCTCGATCTAATCGGCCCCCAACTCACTCGCGTCGGCATCAAGCACGTTCGCCTTGATGGTTCCATGGCCCAGAAGCAGCGCAAGCAGGTCTTGGAGCAATTCACCAAGGCCGATACTTATGAGGAAGAGATAGTAGACTCTGAGGCTGATGAGAATGGCCAATCTTCATCCTCTAAACAGCCTCTCACAGTCCTATTGATCTCTCTTCGTGCTGGTGGTGTCGGTCTCAACCTCACGGTAGCAAGCAATGTCTTCCTCATGGATCCCTGGTGGAGCTTTGCTGTGGAAGCCCAAGCGATCGATCGTGTTCACCGTATGGGCCAAACACGCGATGTCTCCGTCACGCGGTTCGTTATCAAGGACTCCATTGAGGGGCGGATGCTGCGCGTTCAAGAACGCAAAATGAATATTGCCGGCTCACTTGGACTACGTGTCGGCGGTGATGAAGGGGATGATAGCAAGAAGGAACGGATTACGGAGCTGAAGATGCTGTTCGAGTAGCTTAGCATATGTATCTTTGCTCAAGTCTTTTCAGGTATAGCATCTTTCACCAACGGCATGTCAAGGTGCGCTGGAAAATTAGCATATTCTCCCACCTCATTGAACTTCATCCGCTTCTGTTCCATCCAAAACAATAGATGCAATACAAATCCGTATCCACACTTCGAATGAGTTTTGCAAAGGTCACCAGCCATGCCACTCTGAGAGCTATATCGGGTTCATTAGAGCTCCCCGATCCTGCACTGATCCGTTGGTTGATTCCAAGGTTGTCATCTTACTGTCTTTTGCTTTGCTAATCCCCTCAAATCAGATAGCATACAGTGCCACGGATGCTGAACAGAATAAATGGCCACCTACCCGAGGCAGTAGTTTCAAATTTGCCCTTGTCCTCGAAAAGTCTGGCGTTTGAGAAAATCCTCACAAAGAATACAGTAATGAGAGAGAGAGAAGCATCAATGAAGAATGTGTCCCTTGTTCTTTGTACCTGCAAACTTCGAGAGGAATAAAGTCGTACCGGTGCGGTGTAACAAAGTGAAAGAGCTGGCGAGGAACGGGCAACGTTCGTGTTCATGCGGATATACGGAGTCAAAAACGACGCATCTTAATTCAAGCACCGTCATAATCACGGCCTCTGTGCGTGAATTGGAGCTATACTCTCCTTGCATAGTCAAATGTTAGAATACTTCAGTGAGATTAAATGGCATGACAAAATTGAACTTACTTTTGCTTTACCATCAAGCTACATGAATATGTTCAATAGTATTGCCCGCCACCTCATGTGATCAATGATAGATTCATGCGTTTAAAGTATCTTTCTCACATCATGATCATTCCTAGATTGAATCGATTCAAATTGATTTGAGAGAGACATAGACGCACTTACCCGTAAGCCAGAGTGCTTGCATCGACATTATCCGTGTCATCCCCTGCGGTTCCGCATCATCGTGAACGGACACGAACAGATTGTTTCAGTACTAGAACATAAAGCTTCAGGATACCCTACATGTCTCGGTGGGGTGACTCCTTCAATGTACCATAACCCCCTTTCGACTTGATGGGTTTGGGGCATCTAACACTAACGTGTGCCGGTCTTCTCGAGAGAGTGTAAGTAAAATGAGCAAGATCTCCTTTAGCCTCGGCTCACAAATCTCATATCATGTCACCTCGATTCTTCACTTTCTTGGGGATCATTTCTCTCGCTGGTCTCATCGTCGGTATTGTTGGCGCTGTTCTGGCTGTCGAGGACTCTGTCGGAATCTCATACAGCAACAACAGCCAAGATGCAGGCTGGTCTTGCTCTTTTCATCGCTGTCTATGTCCTGACACTGTGTTGCTTCAGTATCCAGACGTTCCATGCATATCACTCACAAGAAAGGCGGAAAGTTCTCGGCCATGAGATTTATGTTATTGCTGCTGTCGGTGCTGCGCTGCCTTTCCTACTGATACGCGTCATTTACGCTTCGATCGCTGACTATGGCATTAATCTGGATTTTAACTTTTACGACGGCAATGTGACCATTTACCTGTGTATGGGAGTTCTTGTCGAGATTATTGTTACTACGATATGTCTCGCTGTCGGCTTCCTTGTGCCACTTATGCCCGTGGATGAAGCCATACCTAAGCGCAATCGATCACGCCAACACAATAGAGAGGTCGTCGTCGGATCTGAGGCGTAATCTGCGGCCCCACGGTTACTGTAGTGCGCTAGACGCTTCTCTGCATATTCCTTCGCGCATGTGCGAGTACAAAGTAGATAAATAAATCAATTTAGGGTCTTACAAGTGATCTTATGTCGTTCCTGCGTATATTAAAATCTACGGTCACTTCGAATAGAGTGATACAATTAACCAACCTAAATTTCCGACGTTCGACAACTCTCACATCCTTTTACCCATATATGTGGCTGCAAGCATCACAGATAGAAGTCAAATTTTCTTGTCTATGCAAGGATGTCAATTTAAAGTCATGATCGGACTATCCAATAAGAAGAATATGAGCCGTTTGGCTTTCATCAGGAAGAAAACATCATATGAACGTCCACTGGTGGCGGGAGCGACCTATTAGTGGCATCTGCAATTAATATTACCGCAGGCATAGCACCACACCGAATTGCATACGCAGCTGGATAAAAACTTCCTATCAGCATTTGCTATCACACCATAAATTCTGTACACAAACATATGAGTACCTTATATGGTTGCAGCCATAAGTGCGCTCCACAAAGGCCTTGCAAGTCGGGCACATCTTCCACTTCCTTTGCTTTGCTGTTATTTCCAATTTTTTCCATTCCTTTTTATTGTTGCAGTCACCAGGATGGGACTCGTTACCACAGAAAGTGCAAGTGCTGCACTTGCACTTTGGGCAAATACCAACATGATCATGTACCCTGTCAGCTGGAATTGGCGTAAGGCAGCGCTTATCAGAACAGATGGTTTGTGGCACTGGTGGTGGTGGCTTGTTCACCTCAGCGAGACGTTCCTCAAATTTCTTGACCATGGAGTCTCTGAGTGCTGGTTTAATCGTAGACCAAGGAATAGGGGTGCCGCAGCACTTCGGTGGGAAGAGGGAGATATCAGCCAAAGTGGCTTCCACAAAACTTTCGATGCAACTGTTGCAGTAATAGTGAGAGCACGGGCATTTGGACATATCCTCAGCAGGAAGGGCCTCCATGCATGCAATACATTCCTGTTGATTGGATGCAGGTACATCTGTTTCAAGATCCGACAGTGAGGGCGTTGCGGATAGTAAGCTCAGGCTGGAGCTGCGAGATACCAAAGACACTTCACCATCCGAATCTGTCGTAACTGCCTCTGCTGACTGATCGGCGCTCGACTCGCTTGAGGTATCATCATCAAATAGATAATAGCTATCTACTCCGTTTCCCTCATCGGCGTGATCACCGTCAGCAGAGACATCGTCGGGCTCGGGATCTTGAACTATATTTATTCTCTCAAGAGCAGCGATAAACTCCTGGGGTCGCGAATCAAAGTGATCTATTTCTCTTTTCCACGACTCAAGCGCAGCCTCGTGGTCTGGCGAATCCAAATCCGGCTGTGTGACCTTGACACGCTTGACACGATCTAGCTCGGCTGCAGTGTCACTTCTCAGAAGCTCGTATATCAGACTTGCTGATGCAGAATCCATATTTTTTTTGGAGGCCTTTGTCAGATTTGAGAATCCAGTTCAAGGTGAGTTCAAAGAGATAGATAACGCATTGGAAATTAAGTCACGTAGATGGCAGATTTAAGGCTGGGGTAGAATGGTTCAGATTTGGATTGTGAGGAGCAATAGTCCATCTGACTGACAAAGGAAATTACATAATATCTTGAAGTTTCTACTGAGCTATTCTGTCAACTAGTATTGTTTGCTATCGATGGATGTCATAATGACCCTGTTGACTTTCCAAGCCGAATTGACCCCACAATTTGAGCATAATAATAGGCGAGCAAAAGACAGACCTCAACGGCTCACCACAATCTCAACTTCATGATATGTACTCCTCAGCTTGATCTGATGACGGAACTCGGGATAAAAGACTTTCAATTAGCGAAATCCCTTTCTCTGGACAGATAGACCTCTGACGCCGAAGAGCATTGAGACTTTTGGCACAGTATTCTGACAGAACGGCATTCTCCTCGCAAAGTTCATCGGACATACACGTGAGAACAGTGAGTGTAGCTGCCATAACGCGATTGTAATATAAAATTGTCCATTGATTGCTTCCCTCGTTGTTCACGGACAGAATTCTGTCTACGAGTGAAATCGTCTCCTTTGCAGCTCCAAGACAGACACCTTTGGCCATTTCAGAGGAGTAGAATGGCGTCGAGAAGTGTGAATCGATAAAGAACGGACGATGCATTATGAGCATGGCATGGTTGAATCCTATCAAGGTGTAAGTAGAGATAATTGACAACTGCGCAAAAAGCTCACTCACGTAGTTCGATTTCGCACCGTTGCTGCTGCACCCAAGGAAATTCAGCCCAGGCTTGTGGGCCTCCAGTGGGTGCGATCTCCTTTGGAGCTAGATGGGTGGGGAGGTCCCCTCGCCATGTCATAAGCTCTGCTTGGTGATTCATAAGCCGGCCAACAAAGGACTGTAGGTTTGAATTTCGTTCACTAATATCCGCCGCCTGTTCGACAAGGTTACTAAGAAGCTGTAAAAGTGGTCGTGTACCATACCAAGTCAATCACTTTGCGCAAAATCCTTCCAAATTTCGCCACGGCTTTAATGAAATCAATTCTGCTAACAGTCTCATCACCGTCCTTATATCTTGATCAGTCAAATGTCACTCAGAGGGTCTTTTGGTACACGAACCATTTCCTCCGATGGATAAGGTGCGTTAGCATCTCTCTCTCTGATACAAAGTGGTCTCCCATATTCAATGCATATATCGGACTCTAGACTGTAGAGTAACCACCAAGCACGAAGTGCAGGTTGAAGTGGCACAAGATGCGGGTTCGACACATGCATGTTATTGATTCCCAGTGTGTAAGCGAGACGGATGGCAGTGCCAAGATAGTTATAAGCCACTTCCTCATGTCAGTGCAATGTTGCACTCATCTGGACTGAAGGGAAAGGACGTACAATTGGGCTGCGAAGTATGGTGGGCATAAACAGCCTATATCACAGTGAGCGGGTCGAGCACATTTGGAGCCAGGGGTCAGGATCCATACCATTAACATGGAAGCTTGTACAGTCAGGATATTAGCGCCGTCAAACAATGACCCAATAAGTTTTCGAGCCTCAGCAAAATAGCTGGTAGCCCACTTGGTGTCCTGGGAAGTGTTCATGTAAAGGGCGCCTAAACATAAAGCTGAGTTGATCGCACATCGTGTCTGCAGTGTGTTGTTCGTCTCGTCGGTTGAGTTTGGATGATCCCAGAAATCATGCCAAATGTCGCGAAATGTGGCCTCAGTGATAATTGGGTAGGTGCTGTGAACGACCTTGAAAAAATAATCGAGATGCCGGTTGGCGATGTTTTCACGCCAACAGAGATTTCCGGGATTTTGGATCCTGTCATACTCGTAGATTCTATCTGCCAGTTCCATTTGATCAAAAGATTCGGAATCCGAATGCTCCCGTCTGGCTCTCTTGCGTGGCCTTTCAATGGTAGCCTCAGTACCCTCGACCTGTGGTGATGTTGGTTTTACGTCATTGAGCAGCATCAAAGTAGAAGTTGGACCGTAAATTGCGGACGACCATTCTCTATCCTCACACACAATGGCCCTTGGCAAACTTCGTTCTGATACACCGGCATCTGTTGAGATATGAGTATGATGGAAAAGCATAGATGAAGGTATCTTGGAAAAGACATCACAAACCTCTCATCCCAACCGTATCACCTGTTCGATATGTTCGTTCACCAAAAACTGCTCTTTCAAGCTCCAATACTCGCGCATTCATCATGTCCAGTCCTCTGTCGTCTTCGTTAGCTTTTGCAAAGCTGTGAGTTCCGGGTCAATCACCCATTTAGTCTGTTGGCCGCTGTGGAAGGATCATAACAGCATTGCGCCTTGTTCCTCTCACAGGACTTGCAAGGCATTAAGCCATCGCACTATGTAATACTCAAGTCAGTCAGGATTCGGGTTCATATTAACGCCAGGGCTTTGGGGTTTTACCTTCAATTTCTTTGCCCGGCATGGATCGCAGGCCTCGGTCGTCTTCTTGCGTCCTCGCGCATTCGGCGTTTGACTCGGTGTCGTCGACATCATCGACACTATAAATGGTACAAAATATCTTCAGATCGGGAGGGCCGTACAGTGGAATTGAGGGGTTGGTTCGCGGACATCCCGATCGACCTTCTGGACCCACATGGGGAGTTTGATTGGTTAAATCATGTCACGGGAAGAAGATGTACAGAAAGAAAGCTATCAATCTATATGCGATGGATTCTATGGACATCTGTATCCTAGACTCAAAATTGAACCAAGTCTTTAACTTGCACTACCTGACCCGTCCGAATGGCCTTATTCGCAGCAATTCCCGTCAAAATAGACATAGCCCCATCCACATGGGACGCAGCACGATTCAAGCGATCAGGGGAGGGTGTTCCGAAAAGATCATTCAATAAAACAGGATCACCACCACCGTGTCCTCCCTCTCCTTCAACAACCTCGGCCTCATATGGTGGTGCAAACATAGGATGCACTGTTATCTTTGTATGTGCCACAGCACCCTCCTTGCTCTGATCACCTCCTGCGTTGACATAAGATTCTTCAAGTACGTCCATCTCCAAGCGACCTCCAGTTCCATTGAAACAAACTCTAAATCCCTCCCACGGGCAGTATGCATTAAGGCTGTATGTCATAACTGCTCCAGACTGGTAGCTTACCAGCACGCCCATCGTGTCTTCGATGTTGATGCCATCGCCGAAGACACTTTGATCGCGGTAATAGCCATCTTCATGCTCAGCGTCCAGATACATAGCTTTGAGCTGAGGGTGGTCTTCCATATGAAGAGCGAAAGGGTCGTCGACTGCGGCTGCACTTCCATGCGCTCGCGAGTAGAACTTGGTCTCTCCTCGAGACTCGGCATTCTCTTTGCCGTAAAACTTCAAATCGCCTTGGGCGAAGACAGTTGATGGACGACTGCCCAGCCAAAAATTCACCAGGTCAAAGTGGTGAGTCGACTTGTGAACTAGCAGACCACCACTGTTGCGTTTATCCCTGTGCCAGCGACGGAAGTAATCCGCACCGTGACGGGTATTCAGGAGCCATTCGAAGTGCACGGAGGTCACTTTTCCAATAGCACCATCCATCAATAGCTCACGCACTTTCGTATTATGAGGCGCATATCGATAATTGAACGTAACGCGTAATTGTTGCTTGGTCTCCTTGACAGCATCAAGAATCATCTGACACTTTATCTCATCCACCGTCATTGGCTTTTCGCTCAACACATCGCACCCCAATTGCATAGCACGTATGATGTATTCATGATGAGTACGATCAATGGTTGTCACTATCACCGTATCGGGCTTTGTCTCTTCGATCATGCGGTCAAAATCCGCTGCTTTGTATGTCGGCAGTTGTGCCAATCCTAATTCCTGTACCCGTGCGTTGGCGACATCCATTCGAGTTTGATTGGTGTCACAGAACGCCACAAGTGACGCGCTTTCCTTGAAGTCCCGAACGATGGCGCTGTAGAAGAACGCGGCGCGTCCTCCGGTGCCTACGACGGCGTACTTGGTCGGGGCCATGTTGTGATGAGCCTGGATGTGGCTTCCAATTGTTGAGGCCTTCAGGGTACATCAAAGAAAAGTTCTAACTATTTGTTCATATCTTTGAAGTCGTGCACCTTGAGTCAGCGCGCTGTACCCCTCAGCCAAGAGAAGTGGTTGCCCCCACGCTTGTTGCTGTCCAACGTTTTTTCCATCAATGAGAAGAGACCCCGCAATCCCCAGTTCTCATCCCCACACTATCCATCATGGGGCTATAGGCCACTTTGAGCCTTGAAACTCTAACCTCGAGTACTCTCATGATCCACCTCGGGTCAAACATATCCGATGCGTCTATTCTTTTTTGGCAAACAAGCATTCGAAAAAGTAACTAGTCTGGATCTTAGGTGTCAGCCTATTTTGGCCCATAGGTGATACAACTTGAAGCTCGACAATTTCGCGGTATAAGGGAAGTATTTTAGTGGGTTATTTAACATTATTTTACAGATACAGAACGAGGAAAACCTCACGATCCAGACTTTGGCCTCTATTTTAGATATTTTCTGATGTTTGCAAGGTTGGAGATAGCAGATACACCGTACCGAGCGGCCTCGTTGGTCGTCACCCAGACGGCCTCTTCTCCGTGGTCAAAGTACTCCGGAGAAGATGTCTTGAGAACAGTCCAATCATGGTGAGCAGGGTATCCATCAGTATTGAAGAATTGTTCCCAAGCTGCTTGACCAAGATCATTACGTTTCTGTTCCACAGCTGCAAAGGCTGTGAGAGTCGAATGGCTCTGTCGCCATGTCGCATGAGATGGAAACTCGAAGCCAAACTCTTGACGTTGAACATCTGGTCCTCCGTTATAAGCCCGACAGTAGCGTAGCCAGACTGTCATGAACCCCTCCACCGTTTCCGGGTTTTCACTACGGGCGTAATGAAACAATTCTGAGAATATTTCCGGGAATCCAAATAGCATAGACAAATGTGAGATCGCCCACTCCGGAGTCGGAGGCGGGCACTCTCGTACCTCGCCGGTGGCAGGGTTCAACAAAATAGCGTTATTTCCCATCCCATGTTTGAGCCCAGCAATCCCGTCCAGAAGCTTGAGAAGAAGGTTCTTGCAATCAGCCCATCCCTCCGACCGCCGCTCCCATGCGGTCAACCAGGCAGCAGCGAGAGGCCCACAATCAAGGCCAATGTTTGTCATAGCAAATCCTTCAGGTATGCCAGCGTGTTCTTGGACTTTCCGATGTGAATCCAAAGTCAAAAGAGCGTTTTGGCATTCCTGGAGCTCCGAAATAAGGTCACCTGTACGCTCATCTCCAGTAAGGTAGAAATATATGCGCCGATATAACACATTCGAGATTCGAAGTTGTTTCGAGCTGTCGCTGAAGTGCTGGACACCATGACGAGTTCCAAATCCTTTAAATCTTCCCGTATGATACGCATCCACCTCACCGGTATGTCTCGTCATCGCCTCAGCCATTCGAAAGGCGTCCGCCCTTCCAGTGTGTAGAAAGTATAGCCAAAGCCATAGGTCGGTTGAAAGTTCAGAATTATCCCAAGCAAAGCCGCCGACATCGTATCGCCAGGCATGCCGATACGCATCGTAAGTATGCTGGACGTCCCCATGATCCCAGAAACCATACCATCTGTTCTGTTCAACCTGGCCATGATAGAAATTGAATAAAAGATTAAGCCTTTTGTCAATTTCTGTCTCTTGAGAGGTAGGTTCGATGCCCAGGATCTGCGAGCTAGGGGCCCAACATCCATGGAATGCACCCGTGGAATGCAGGTGTTCTGGTGCGGCTACCAAACGAGGTGGGTCTCGAACTAAGGATGAAAAACGACTGAATTCCTCATTCGAAGGTGTGGCGGTGAATGGTTTGAGAAAAAATTGATTCGTTCTTCCAATGCCATTTGCAGAGGCAAATCCCGGCTCGAAGTCCTCGTATGTGACGTTCAGACCGTCCAATTGTTTTTCGTATGTGTCCATTCCAAGCCCATCGTGGTATGGCGTAGTTTCCAAAGGCTCGGCAAGTGGCGAGTATAGCCAGACTGTCACTTTTCCCCGGTCGGACGCTAAGTCGCTCATATCAAGTTGAGTGGGATAGCGCTCCCAAAAATCAGACATTCCAACTGCTAATCCGCCGTCGTGAGCCGATCCCACGTAAGCTGTTCCATCAGCTCTCCCACCTCCAATTACTTTGACCCAGGAGCAGCCCGGCTTGGTACGTTTCTTGATTGTGAATCCGTCCGATGAAAGTTGAGAAAGAGAATACGATTCCCATGATGGAATGTATGATACTCCTTTTGTAAGATCGGTCCTACTCCACTCGTTTTCATTCAAGACAACTGATTTTCCAGCAGCTTGGTCGATTCGATTTTGGACAGTTGGGCCATGGCGTAATCCAGTCAATCCTTTCACTTCTTCCTTGAGAACGCCGCCACTCGATCCTCCTATTCGGATATGGCGGTTATAAAGCTCAGTCTCTCCAAAAGGAACAGCGAACTGGATTCCAAGGGAGGTCAAAGGTTCGTCCGAGTTGAGGTCGTGGACGAAAGAGTGGATAATCCTGATAGTTGAAGAATTTGAATGAATGTAAAATCGCATATCAAATGGAAGATGAGAGACACCGATAGCCTCTACCACACCAGTGACTTTGATAACAGCTCTACTAAACGTGATGTTTTCAATATCGACCGCATTCACACGCGTCGTATACTCTTTCCTGTTGATAGATGCGAGAACCGTAGCATTTGAACAAAGCGATCGATCATTCAGAGCAAGACTCTCCAAGATCGATGAGCCCCCCGGTGCAGCGAATTGCAATAGCAGTCCTCCTTGTGTTATCACCCGAAGTTCAGAGCCCTGTCGCTCAACCTTGACACCTTCCTGGGTTACTATCGGGTGTGGTGCACCTTTGACCTTGTATTCTTCACCATAGCCGATGTCGCCAGAGACCGAATGAGCCGTCCATTTGAGCGACCCATCAGCCCAATAGGCGATTTCTCGGCAATCCAAAGGCCATTGGTTGCCGTCATTTTCAATCACAAATGTCTGCTTTGAATGATAGAGACCCTGTGGCCATGACATGCCAAACGAAACGCCGCTTTCAAGGGCGTGGGGGCCATTTCCGTTCAGCCACCGCAGATTGTTACCCATGATTGTTGGGCAACTGAGAACTGGACCCCGAGCGCGTAGATATTTGCGATATTTAGATCATATAATACGCGCATAAGTTGCTGGGGTCGGTATTGGTTGATGCGAGGGTATACCAGGCTCAATTAATGCCCATTTCTGGTAGACAGGTCCGACAATATGATGTCGCGAATGGGCGAGTGGATCCAACGAAGGATTCGTTCGATAAGACACCTTGAATTACGCGTCTCTCTTTCGGAAAGGAACTGCAACTAGATGTAGTGGCGCGATCCTTTCCGAGATTGTGGCTTCCCCTCTTTCTCTCCCCGCTTAGGCTAAAGTTTTAGTCTGTAGGGCTCGGTGTATCTGATGCCGGATCAACACATGGTACACCCGTTAATCAGTGAATTGTGTAAATCTTGGAATCAAACTTTACGCTAGACGCTATAGTCAGGCTTGGGCGGAAAAGTCTCACTTTAGGGTGAGTTTCCTGTAAATGAGTATCTTGGGATTGCGAGCCTGAGCCTCATGTTTGGGCAGCTTTTCTATTATCCCTTGGCTCGCTCATGCCTACTGTGGGTCGTCTTTTGAAAGATTAATCCTGAAATGGGGCGCTCGCTTGGCATAATTGCTTATGCAATTCAAGCTCGTAAAACGGATTCTTTGTTCTCCACCCTCCACCTACGGCAGGTACTTTGGTACCAAGCGCTTTGGAAATTTCCTGTCCAAGGGCATTCAGATCAAGTGCCGAGGTCTCAATAGCCTTTAGTTCTTCCAGTTTTACTATTCTGTTTCTCTATATATTCAAATATTGGGTGGGCTGTCAAGCGCGCCCATAAGGGGACTCGGCAACCAGCATAGGCCGACAGGGGTGTAGATAAGAGGGCCATGGCGAAAATTCGGTGAAACTCAACGTCTAACATTCGGGATATCTGACCCCGGATCGACACAGGAAATTCCTGATTGATTGCGCACATGAATTGTAATTAGTGGAGACAGCTGACGAGCCTAAACGGGCTTTCCCCGGACTCTGAATCCCCACATTCCGGGGATGCGGAGTAAAATACACAAGGGGTTGCGGTGAAAGTCGCTGAACAGCTTTAAACACTCCACGAAGGGCCTGGCAATTGCGAGAATCAAAAACCCTTCCTCTTCATACTCCCCTTCCTACCTGCCGTTATTTCGACATGGCTGAGCATCAAGAAGATGTTAGCGACAGAGCTACAACGACCGTGGTCTACGACAAGGATGAGGAAAAATATTCAGCTGCAATCGACACCCTGAAGGGCGCTCAGAGAGCGACTGACGATGAGCATGGGATGACTCTCAGAGAGGGTATTCGAAAGTACCCCAAGGCCGTATTCTGGTCAATCTTGTTCTCAACGGCACTTATCATGGAAGGATTCGACCACGCGTTCGTCAGCGGTTTCTTTGCCTTTCCAGCCTTCCAAAAACGATACGGCGAGCTACAGAGTGATGGCTCCTACCAAATCCCTGCCGACCTACAATCTGGTATCAGCAACGGTGTCAATGCCGGAGAAATCATTGGTCTCTTGATCAACGGATTCGTTGCCGACTGGATCGGTTACCGCTGGGTCATGATGACCTGTCTCATGCTCATGACGGCTTTTATCTTCCTTCAGTTCTTTGCCACGAGTATCTATATGTACATGGGAGCTGAGATCTTATTGGGTGTGCCGTGGGGTGTCTTCCAGACTCTTTCTACTACATATGCTGCCGAGGTGTGCCCTAACGTCTTGCGACCGTACCTCACAATGCTGGTTTCTCTCTGCTGGAGTATCGGCTACCTCCTGGGTACTGGTGTACTACGAGCTTTCCTTTCCTCAACTGGACAGTGGGCCTACAGAATTCCATTTGCGCTTCAATGGATTCTACCTATCCCGCTTGCGATCGGTATCTTCTGCGCCCCCGAGTCGCCATGGTGGCTTACACGCAAGGGCCGAATGGACGATGTACGAAAGTCTCTGCGCCGTCTACGATCCAATGATAGCTCGGAAGCCGAGATTGAGGATACAATTGCGATGATGGAACACACTATCAAGATCGAGAACGAGATGAAGGCTACAAGCAACTACTGGGATCTCTTCAAGGGCGTGAACCTGCGTCGCACCGAGATCACCGTGTTCGTTTATCTCATTCAAGAACTTTGCGCACCACTCGTATCTTACATTGTGTACTTCTTGGAGCAAGCTGGTCTTGCCTCTGCCGCCTCTTTCGATTTTGGCATGGGAGAATATGCCTTGGCTATTGTTGGCGTGTTCATTGCCTGGTTCTTAGTACCAAAGGTTGGCCGTCGCACGCTGTTATTGACCGGTACTGGATTCTTGACATTAACTACTTTCGTCATTGGCTTCTTGGGCATTCCAAGCATATCTACCCATCCAAACATTGGTTATGGAATCGGAAGCATTCTCTTAATTCAATACTTTGTCCTCTTTATCACGATCGGTCCTATCATCTATACTATCGTGACTGAGATTCCTTCTAACTTCCTTCGAACCAAGAGTGTTGCTCTGGCGCGTGCGGTATACAACATTGGTGTCCTTGTTTATGGACAGCTTATCCCGCACATGGTTCAGAATGCGGCTTGGGACTGGGGAGCCAAGAGTGGCTTTTTCTGTGGAGGTATTATGGCCCTTGGTTTTATTTGGGCTTATTTCCGTCTTCCAGAGACTAAGAACCGAACATTCGCTGAGATGGATATTCTGTTCAAGAATGAAGTCAAGGCTAGGGACTTTGAGAAGACAAAGGTGGATCTCGCATCCGAGACTGTCTCGCAAGAGTGATTTCTTATCCGAATTTTTACGCTTACTAGTCCTGTGAAATCACATACATTTCAACTTTTTTCCAACAGCTATTAGTCTTCTCTTCATATAAAGCTACCCCCCTTAGATTCTAAATATACACTGCGCCGCGTTGCCCAAAGGTCTTCGCTTTTGTGAAGTCATCGACCCATGATCTAATTCGTTGCCTCAGGCGCCCAATATGAAAATGAGACTCTACCAAACATGTTAAACTCGAGCCATATAAGCTCCGGCCGAATTTGTTTAGTCAAGTTCTAGACCTTCTCTGGGCCTTCGTACGATTCTAAAAACGGCGAAACTATCCTTTTGTAAAGATTTTCGATTTCGGACAAGACTTAGGACCACTAATCTAGGCCACTGCTCATCTATGGTCCATACTAAAGGCTAATTGTTTGACAGCGGAGATACATCACCTCCTTGTCTCCAGACATGTTTTTGGCCCAATATACATGCCATGATCTGGACGGATTAGTATATAGATCCTTCCAGCCTTTTACAGCTCAGAGAATAGTAAGGATTTTTACCATGGATTTGCCTAGCGGCAGCGCAATCATTATATGCTGGCAATGCGATACCTGGATGCATTTATGTCGATGACGAAAAGGTTCTGCTTCATCACATTGCGCCTACTGTGAGGCATCACAGATAAAAAGCTGTTTTGTATGCACCCATTTCGACTTTGGGATGTCGAGCTAAGACTTCTATCTTTACCAAAACACTCCCCCTATTGATAACATTGATCTTTATTTCTATACTAACACAATATGCCTGGCAACTGGCAAGACAGCGCGGTGGATGCTACAATTGCCCCCAGAGATGGCCACACGGTTCTGATGGCGTGGTGTCGGGATGACCGGGGAGATGTGCGACAAAGTCAACTCGACCTCGATGAGCACATTGGCGATATGCAAAGTACACTCATTACCCTATGACCAGACGCTAGCTATTCATTGACCATTCCTAGATAAGTTTTCGTGGTTCAAAAACGGATTTACCCGTGATGCTCTTCAAGACAGTATTAGGTTCGACTTCAGAGAAGGAGCATCTCAACAGCCTGTACTCCGCGCTAGATTTGCTCCAAATGCGCCCGAGGCTGATATCAATACTGCTGAGCATATCAGAAACAATGATGGCCAGCTTGAGTTTGATCTGCTGTGAAGCTAGGGGGAGGGGGTTTCTCGACAGACCTGGTCTCAGTCACCAGTTTTGTAATTTCTTCTTCGAACTTTACCTAAGTATCACTCGTTGGCAGATGCCTTGGTATGGGTTTTTGTTCCCATGTCTTGTCATGGGTTTTCCCCTTACTATGATGCAAATGCAGAGGCATCTTCTACATAATTCAAGCGAGTCAGGGTAGCCCCCTTATTAATTGGAAAAACGAACGGTCACACTCCATCGGGAAAATAATGAGAGTTCTTTTGAGATATTTCATGCGAATTCTGAGCTTCTTCTGTAAATATTCTTTCAAAAGTATGACGGTCGAACTCGCCTATTATCGATATGCGAGGTTTCGGCCCCTATCTGCCCCCTCTTTAACAAATTATGAGCCTTAATGACTCACGAAAAAGTCACGTTCATCGATTTGCTTTCAAACCAAAGATACAACCCGTTATAAAGCAGACATAGAAGCTTGACTTGGTCTCATCTTTTCTGTTATCTCCAGAATTTCCAGCAACTAGACCCTCGAGATCATCTTTGTTTCACGCATACACGATAACATGGTAACCTGCACAAGCATCCCGGTAGTTATACCAGAAGATGGCCTACCGACGAAGGCTATGATCAAAGATATTGTCGGCGCGTTTCTCACCAAGGAATGGTCAAATATGGATCCAGAAACGCTCGTTGTGACATACAACACTGGATACGCAAACACAAACTGTGTCGTGGAACGACCAAGGCCAAAGGGCGACACGCACGCCGAACCTCTTAAAGTGTTCCTCAAGATCAACGGCGAGCTTGATGGAGAAATTGAGGTGTTCAAGGACTTGGTTCCCAACAAACACGAAGAAGCACAGCTGTGCTATGATTACGGCCAATCAGGTCTTGGTGCCAAAGTCTATGGTTTCTTTCAGACACAAGATGGTGCTTTCGGAAGGGTTGACGAGTTCCTGGATGCACGCAATCTAGAGCCAGAAGATGTGGAAGACGCAAATATCCGAGCCGACGTTGCAAGAGGACAAGCCGCTTTTCACGCCATGGCGACACAACGGGAGAAAAAGCTGGTCGAGACATATTACGATATCATCACCCGAGATCTTGCGAAATATCATAAAATGGAAAAACTCAAGAGGCTAGCCAACGAAGCAGGTGTCAGTATTGACAGTATTATTGACTTCGACTTTGTGTCGCGAATTAGATGAGTTACCGATAGACTGAATTCGATCGGAGGAAAAAAGGGATGGTGTATTCATGACGTTCAATTCATGAATGTGCTGGTGAAGAACAGCCCCAAGCCGGGAGAAAGCAAGATCATCCTCATAGACTTTGAATTCGTCTTCCAGAACTACCGAGCGTTCGATATTGGCGGCCACTTTTTGCAAAAGATGTTTCAATGGTTTGACGACGAGACCAAGATTGCCAAATGCCGACCTTATACTGAAGAGGAGAAGATTCACTTTTGCGAGGAATACGCAATGCGATGGGATGAAACGACTGGGGACTCGGATACAGGGCAGCAGGTCTTTATGGAATCTGAGCTGGGTGTCATGCTGGCCATCACATTTGAAATCCACAACATGCTTTGTTTTATGGACCAAGGTGATGCCAAGGAACCTTTGGAACTCTTGGGGCTCAAGAAGCTATTTGAAGAGTTTGTCAATCAGTACAAGAGGCTTGGACTGGAGGAATAAGAGCCAAAATATATTTTGGGCGTTCGCCCTCAATGTACATACCTAACTCGGGATGAATTTTTGGCACAAAATCTATGACCTTGTCTATAATTTCCCTATAACGAAGAAATGAAAATGTACATACAGAAATCGTCTATTCAAATTCTTCCTTGATCGCTACGGCAAATCTGCGGGCTGCTTCTGTGAGATTCTCTTTCGATGCCGATGCAAAGGTAGCCCGGAAGAACATTCGACCCTGTACTGCATCACTCTCGGCCCAAAAACACGACCCAGGCGTCACAAAAACCTTATTTTTGACAGCGGAATCAAAAACGGATTGTTGGATTGTCGAGTGGTCACTCCCAGTCTTATACAGAGGGTGGGACTTCCAGTTGATCTCAATCCATTGCTAATGAAGTCACCAATCAGCAAAAGTGTGCACAGAACATAAGTATAGGAATACTCACAAACATGCCCGCGTGGGTGGGAGTCCAGTCCACAAAGTCTTTGGGAAGATATATGTCGCATGCCTCAGCAAAAACGTCCCTTCTCCATGTATATTCCTTCTGGATACTCTTTAGCCACTTGAAGAAACCCAAATGTCCCCACTGGTGATTGAGGAGCTTGAACACAATAACCTGGGAGAAGCCACTAGGATGTTGAGATGAAGTTTCATTCTGTCGAACAAATGTCTCAATAACCTGCTGAGACGCAGTGACCCAGCCCATCCGAGCACCAGGAGAAAGAACCTTGGATAGTGAATCCAGTCGAAGGACTCTCCCATCCACATCGAGACTCAAATATGATGGTATAAGATCATCGGCCTGAGATGAGTCAAGAGCTTGGTTTGGGCGGTACTTCGGCAACTGCAGGTAGTAATAAGGCTCATCTTCTACAATGTAGAGATTGTGCTTTTGCGCCACATAATAGATGGCCTTCCTTCGTGCAAGAGACTGCGTGGCTCCAGTTGGATTTTGACCTGTCGGAATCATGTAAAGCAAAAATGGTTTACGTGCTCCCCGAGCTTGCTCATCCCATTTGCAAAGCAAGTCGTCAAGCTTGGTTGGAATGATACCTTGTTCGTCCATCTCTACGCCGAGAGTTTTGATGCCCTGGGGCCATGCTGTTTCCAGTGCACTCGCGAATGCATAATTCTCGACAAGTATATAATCTCCTTTGTTGCAGAAGATCCTGAGGGTCGAATCCCATGCGGCTGTACTTCCGACGGTTAGGCAGCAGCCCCAGTCAGCGTAAGGAGGGTCATGTAGTAACTAAATCAGTTAGCTGTGGGTCCTAAGCTTGAAGCTGGTGTGGTTATGTATGGCGATCTTACTTCTGTATGCTCTGTCACAAAGCGTATCATCTGTGCAGAGCCGGTTCCTTGACCATAGTTCAAAGCAACATCCAGGCCTAGAAAACATCAGCGAATTGTTTCACCAACGTCTGAACGGGTGAATCTAACCGTAGTCATTGACTCCTGCCTCAAAGTCATACTTAGCCATGTGAAGGACTGACTCGGATACCCCTGTCTCCACCGAATCGTTTAAGCTGTTTGACACTTTGACATCGATCTCTTTGAATGGGAAGTAGGCAGCTGAAGGTGCTCCAGCACCGAGGGAAATCATGCCTGAGATTTTTCACTATTAGTGTCTTTCAGTGAAATTGGTACATATCGTACTGACCAGGTTCTGCTGCAGCTCGAGCAGCTGCCTTGATGCTGGAGGGTTGTCTTTTGGATGCCTCTTCGGAAAATAGTGCTGTTCGATATGAGTAAGACGAATCATTCATTTGACAAAGAAGACCAAGTGAACAGCCTACCTTCCCATCTTTTTGCTGTTGGCTTAGAAGCGAATGACCCTACTGATGCATCGAGCGCTTCGCATCCCAGCGAACTTTTGAATAAATCACTATCGCCCTTCGCTTCAACTTGGCCAAATAAATCCGAACTGCCTTTTCGCCAGAGAGGATCGCCATTGGGGCCAAGGCGGCTGGTAGCACATTTAGGGAACATCGTGAAGTAATGTTCAGCAATTGGGACCTCCAAGGTCTAATGATTCGTTTATTTACTGTGCAGAGATTAAACAAGAACGAGAAAGTATAGGCCTTATATATTTCTGCTCAGATAAGGGGCTTAACGAGTCAGTGTGGGTTATCTCACTTTCCAAAGCTGAAATAAAATTGCTGTAACAAAATCCGATAGAAAGATCCACAAGCTTCAATCATTATCCCGTTGACCAAGGTTGCGATTGTGTATTGAGTGGATATATAGGTCCCAGCCAATCGGGGAAATCCCCTTCGTCACCAGGATCCACCTTCCACGCGCTCTCCAGGACTGTTCATCATCAACAGGACTCGGTCTGTCTCCCCCACTTTTGAATGGCTTTGGCTGCTTTGTCTGGAATGACTCCCTGGTCCGTTTTCGTAAGTTGTAGGGGACAAGTACCAGTGAGACACCTACAATGACCTCGATTGTCCTCCTAAACTCCACGGTCTTGACCTTAACAAAATCGAGAGAACATTGCAGCAAAAAGATATCCACTGCATTGCGATCCGTTTTCATATTTCATCATCTTTTCAAGAACAACGAATATGGATAAAGCGGGGTGAACCCACCTGAATCGGTAGTGTAGCGGGGCTACTCACTACAATGATTGGCTCTCGGAGATTCCGAGAATACATTCCTTGGCTTGGCTTCGGGGCATAGTCTGTACACCCGAGGTGAATATAAAGTCCCCCATTTTCCAGTATTCCAAGGGGCAACCACGACCTTTTGACACTAGCAAATATGACAAGATCTACGGAGAGACCACTCAAGCGCGCTCGCTATGCTGAAGATGATCTCGATAATAACGAATTGATGTCCGCTGCCGAAGGATTCTTCGAGGCTTTGGGTATGTAAATTGCCTTAAAGATCTGCTCGAATACTACTGACGTATCTCTGAAGCCGAGGCCGGCGTCACTTACTGTTTCGTCAATCTGTAAGTATTAAAATAATGCCGGTGTTGACATTTCATGGCAGGAATTAACATGCAACAGAGGAAGCGATCATCCTGCCATGCTCGAAGCCATGATCAAAGCAAAGCAGAGTTAGTCTGCCGGCCGAGATCGAACAAACTATATTGCCAATTCTAACCAGGTCCAGAGCAACTTACCAAATTTCCCAACATCATTACGTGCCCATCGGAACTTGTGGCTTTGTCGGCAGCTCTTGGCTTCGCTCAAGTCACAGGAGATCCAGTATGCACCCCGCACTTTACCTTGCCTGCATTTTCTCTAATCACAATTAGCAATGCGTCCTCGTACATGTAGACTGCGGCACACTAGCGCTTGGACAGTCCATTCACAATGCCTCCATTGGTAGAGTGCCCGTGTTGTGCTTTGCAGGCCTTAGCCCCTTCACCCAAAGAGGAGAACTTCTAGGTTCACGAACTGAGTATGACACGACTCATCTCTTCCTGCTTCCCATCTGACTTTGGCACAGATTTATCCACTGGCTACAAGATGTTCCTGATCAAGCCTCGATCCTCCGGCAATATTGCCGATACTCCGGTGAAATCAAAACTGGGCGGAATATTAAAGAAATGGTCAACAGAGCCTTGCAAATTTCCTTATCGGATCCCAAAGGTCCAGCTTATCTTATGGCTGCAAGGGAGGTTCTTGAAGAGGTATGGGCCAAATCAATACTTCAAGTGAATAATGACTGAAAGACCTCAACTATAGAAAGTGGACAGAAAGTTTCTCGAAAAAGAGAATCTAAACCCGATCGCTCCAAGTGCCTTACCCGAGTCAGGTATTAACTTTTCAATCCTGATCTTTGAGCATTGCTAATGGCAATAGATGTCGAATTAATTGCAAATGCACTCTTAAATGCGAAACGTCCCCTTGTGATCACAGGCTATCTTGGCCGCAACACTCATGCTCCACCGCTTCTGGAAACACTTTGCGACAAATTACCCATTAGCGTTGTCGAGATGGTAGGCTCCGATCTCTGCATACGGAGCAATCATCCAGCCTATTTGGGCGTCACTGTCACAACACACCCGGCGGTTCTGGAAGCTGATGTCATTCTCATCCTGGATTGCGATGTCCCGTGGATCCCAACTGCAGGAAAGCCTCAAAAGGGTGAGTAAAGTCTAACTCCTTTCAAATGACAGTAATTCACTTGCTTATTTTCATTCCAGGCACAAAGATATTCCATCTTGATGTTGACCCGCTCAAGCAACAGATGCCTCGTAAGTCTCTAGTTCTTCTTACGTGTGTTTACTCCATAACTAACTTCAATTGCTAGTCTTTTCTATCAATGCTATTCGCAGACTCAAAGTCAGCTGCGAGATTGCACTCAAACAGTTGAATTCCTACCTGGATGAACAAGCTTTAGACAGCCGGCGCTACATTGAAGCTTTCAAAGCACGTGAAACCCGCTATAATGAATGGCGTGAAGCCCTTCAGGCTTTGGAAAAGCCATTGGAAACTAACATCGTCACCGTGCCACACCTGACCTCCAAGTTGAGACAGCAACTCCCCGAAGATACAACCTATGTTCTTGAGGCAGTCACAAATGCAGGACCTATTATCCACCACCTCAATCTGGTAAAGGTAATTACTTTGACTGCAGTAAATACGTCGTGATTGTTGCTGATTTCCTCTTCAGCCAGGAAGTCTAGTCGGCAGTGGAGCTGGCGGTCTAGGCTGGGGCGGAGGTGCAGCCCTTGGGGTGAAACTAGCGAAGCCGGAGACCTTCATCTGTGCAATGTGAGCGCGATCAATTCCTGAGAGAGAAAGTGAACAAAGCTTAATGATTTGCAGTGTTGGAGATGGAACCTATCTATTCTCACAGATGGAGAGCGTTTATTGGATCGCACGGCGCTACGATATTCCATTTCTACTCATTGTTTTGAACAACGGCGGATGGAATGCACCTAAAGTGTCCGCTCTCCTTGTTCATAAGGACGGCCTATCCTCTAAATCTAACAGAAGAGGTAGGTAGTTTGGCCGTCTTGATCCGGAGCTATTTTACTAATTTGTTACGTAGATCTCAACCTATCATTTGAACCCTCTCCCGATTACCCAGGGATTGCTACTGCAGCTGGAGGTGCCTGGGGAGCGACAGTCAAAACACAAAGCGAACTGGGTCCAGCCATCTATGAGGCCAGGGACGTTGTTCAGAGCGGCAGATGTGCAGTGATTGAAGTTGCGTAAGTGCTATTCGTGGACATAGCCTTTAATTGACCCGGACCTAATATGAGTACAGGGTTCCATCGATGTGGAAGGAAACCTAGAGCGAGACCAAAGAACTGGAAGTTGTGTTTAAATATTGTCTTGATTGAATTGATTGAATGAAGTACCAGAGATAAGAATTGCAGATAGTAAAATGCAAGTTGATTTTGTACAGTATCATCACATCAGTTGATCACTTCGACGCCATCCCAATGCTGTTTCCAGTTCACCCACCATGAGCCATGCTTCCGCCCGAATATCAGAACAAGATATAGAGACAATTAGATACAGAGAATATGAGAAAAAAAAGAACATTTAGGAAAAGGGAAAAGGTGGTGATACAATAAGATCAGGCCCGAGCAAATGGCCGTGGTTTCCAAGTAGATCGATCGAATCCAACTTGTGGTTGCCTGCCTGCATGTGTAGAAGTGCGAGGGGGAGTACGAAAATCGGGATATAGACCGGATTCCATATCCATCAGGACTGCACTCTGGGGTTGTGCAGAAGCCCAGCCGTTGGTTTTGCCCGAACTTTTGGTTGAAGAGCGTGTAGTTGAAGGTTTGGTGGCTGGGGCCGAGCGAGTTTTCTCTTTGATAATGTCGCGCACCTCTTTGTCATCTTTGGTGATCTGGGCTTTGATAAATGCTACATCAGATGGCTCGAAAGTTGACATGACGGACTCTCGCGGCGTGTAGGTGTACTTCTCGGGGTGAGGAGAAGATGTCGGTGTGATGGAAGGATCCAGCAAAGCTCGCTGGCCTTGATCTAAAATCTGCGAAATGTCTAAAGTTTCACCGTGAGGAATCTTGTCAGGATGCGAAGGTGTGACGCAGTCCATGTCGACCTCCTTTCGCAGCACATGGTCAACGTCAACGGCGGAGAAATAAGCACAAGACTGAGGAAGATCATCGATGCCCACTTGCTGTGAGAAGAGAGCACGGGTCCAGACGTTGGCGATCTGCAGAGCTAGAGCTGCGCGATATCTGTCCTCGTCCTTGACCAGGTATCTGATTTCATCATGGACGGTGATTGACAAGCGAGCGTGAATGTTGAATCGTCGAATCAGATAATCCATTCCGACAATGAGAAGGTGGAGATAATCTACCCCAGATGATTGAATAGCCCAGTTGATGCGAGATGTCATGAAGCTGCCTTTGTTGATGAAACGTCGCATGAGGGCCTCTGTAATCCCAGCCCCCAAAGCGGGAGTTCGTGGTTTTTCCTGATCGGCGAATTCCTCCAGCTTGTTGAACACAAATGATTCAGTTCCACCTCGCCAGAATGGGGAGTCACTGAGAAGTCGACGCGAAGTTCGTATACCCTTGGTCTCCTTGTACAGATTCGCCGCTGTCTCTTGTGTTTGCCTCTCGGTCAATGACGGATTGAATTGACGGAGGAGAGTAGCAGCAAACTTGACGCCTGCTCCATAGATACGCCCATAGTTGAAGACCTTGGCATCATTACGGGAGATTCCCAGAATCTGCGCACTGCGAGAGTGCAGATCGGTTCCCGCAGCCTTGGCGCCCTCCAGTGTCATGAAACCGATGGCATTGCCTCCGTGTATCTGGAAAGATGCATCACCGACAAGACTGGCTATCCAAAGCTCTTGAGAATCAACATCTGCGCCGACAAACGAGTATCCAGGTGGGGCTTTGATCATGGCCTTGAGCTCTGAGCCGACTCGGTTGCTTTTGGCATTGCTTGCAGTGAGCCAAGTATTCTCCACCGCGCGACGAGTAATAGTGCCCATTGGGATGATCTGGGGCAAGATGAACCCCAGTCGGTTCTCATCCTTGCTTCCAGAATCCGCCAATTTGACTTGGTCCTGGTAGACTACCATCTGACTCATGATCCGGTCTCGAGCACTGATCCAATATGAGCAAGAGGCATTCATGTCCAAAGCTTCCTTGGCAAGCTCGAATTGTGACGATAAGATCCCGCGTTCGAAATATTGCATGTAACCTTTACCCAGCGGATTGGTGCATCTGGCCTGGGGGCCATCTTTATGTGGGATCTTGAAGTAAACGTTTTTTCTGTCGTCCCGCAACTGCTGAAACTTCTCTTCGGTCATGTCACAAAGTACAACTGGCTGATTTTCGTATTTTTTAACTTGGTCACGAGGAACGCGAAAGGTCCAGCCGTGCTTGTCAGACCAGATGAGTGGATATCCATCCCACGACAGCTTGAGTAGGATAGGCGCAATTCGAGTCCGCACCGTCAAACTGATGTCCGCATTGCTGCTGGGGAAAAGATCCTTGTACCACTTGGGCATACCTGGCTTCTTTTGACGCGCCGCTGGGCGAGGAGGATCGCCTTTCTTCTTTCCCTTCACCATTTTGATCTCTTGGCCGGACCAGTCCAGCTGTTGCAACCAAGGATCACTTGTATAAACATCAGGCTGATCTTTGCTCTTCAAAGCTTCGTTGCATAGTTCAACAAGTTTCCGTTGGACATCATCGAGTCGTTTGTGGTATGTTTCCTCGGCCTTGGCAAGGTATTCTTGCCAAGTTTGATTGACTGGAAGAATGACGGAGGACAAGTGTCGCAGAGCGCCGAAGCTAACAGGATGGGGGCAAGTCTCGAGAAAATTGGGGAAAACTTTGCGGTAGACGCGGTGGGTAATGGCGACATCTGCAGCACAGTAGTCCACTAGTTCCTCCCATTTCGCCAACAGAGATTCTCTGTCAAGCTCGCCAAAGAAATCTCTCTGTGCCTTGTCGATGGTAACATCGCAATGAAACTTTGCCACATCCCGCAAAGAATTCACTGAGCTTCGACCGACCCATAATTCTTCCTCCTCCTCACGTAGCATGTTATTCTCAAGCAATGAAGCGAGTTCGGCAGAATTGTGGTCGCTGGCAATTTTGTCGCGTAGGTCTTTGTTCTTCTTATGACGCATCCACGTAGGCCTTTGCTGCGAACACATTCCATTCACAGCGACATGAAGAGACATTGTGTCCACGAAGAAGTTGTGCGATTGGCGCATGTCATATTCCTCAAGGACCCGGGCACGGTCATATCCAATATTGTGTCCTACCACTATCCGGGGCTTCAAGGGGTCGCCCAACGGTATCAGGTGTATTTTCTCCTCAGTTTCACCCAGAAGCCACGGCGAGAGCCATGCATACCAGCTTGTCGGGCTGACAGCGCAAGCCATGACTGCAAAAGGATTGTCCTTGTACATAACCTCCGTATCGAATGTGAGCATCTCCTCATCCGGAGCATCCACAGGCTCCGAAGAGCCATCTGGGTTGTATTTGGTCCATCCACTGCGTTTCACCCACTTGCGCGGTTTTGTGGGACAATTCACGGCTGCATAAGACTTGGCGAAGGTCAGATATGGTTCCGATGCATCCATGCCCAGCTTATAGAAATGCTCATCCAGAGTCTGTCCATGGAGAGGGGGCAGATCAAATGCGATGGGATCTGCTGATTGGGACTTTCCGAGGAGGTCGTGTCTGGTCAAGTGGTCTCTGGACAAGGCAACGAGTTCGGGATCTGGTACGCGAGCTTTGCTGGGAAATACTTGAGGATATACATAATCGCTCAGCTGCTGAACACCGATCTCGTTGAACCTAGGCGATGCGGGAACTAAAACTCCGTCAGTGGATTGATACAAGCGGGCGCGCCCGAGCTCCGGCTGCGATCAACGTACCTTGAAGAGATCTTTCAGGCGATGAGTTATCGTTGGTAGCGAGAGAATAGTGCCGTGAAAGTCGGCTACGCAGAGAAATTTGCCATGACTGGGGATGAATCGATGCTGGTCGCAATTGCACGCGCGCAGATCTCACGAGCCCCCTAGAAGGAGAGCAGGAAAGATTCCACGATAACATGGTCTGTGGGCATTAATTCAAAATAGTAATGGGATCAGGTCATGGTATCGTCAGCGCGACTGCAGCCCTGGGCTGCACTTTGCTAATTGTAGAGATGAAGGTGGTTCGTGCTTTTTGGGAATTTCCATATCACTCCCTATCGCATCTGAGCGTCATATCCGGCGGCCGGATTATCAAAGATCCGCCACCCGTTCATGTATACAGCCAAATTTAGTTTAGCGCCGTATTATCATAAATGATAAATAGGATGGCAACCTGAGCTCTTGCAAATTAAAGCCAAATTCAGGGGGTATGGAGTCTAAACTGAGGCTGATGCATATTACACACTCATCCAATAACCGTGTTACAGTAGATACTACAAGGAGATTAGTGTAGACTCGCGTCTAAAGCGAAAAGGTGCGACATCACAAATGTCATGTGATATAGCAGAGGATATTTGCCATCTCAACACCGCCCTCTTATCGTTATCGCGATAACTATTCTTCACTTTCTTGATCAACCTTTTGCCCCACAACCCCATATATAACTGTGATTCAACTTGCAAACCAAATCCGTGTTGATCATCTCCGACTATAGCCCTTCCTCAATGATTCCGGCCATCTCGGCCATTCTCTACAACACCCAAACATCAGCATCGAGGCCAGCTCAGCATGAGTCGTAGAGATCCGGTGGTCGATTTGACCCCACAGCCACAACAAATGCGAACCGCCTCTGGTCAATCCAACTCCCAACAAGTCTCATCGTCGCGTGACCGGCGTTCAATATTACTTGAATCACCACCAGGTCCAGCCCGTGGTGTCAAGCGCCGTCGGACTGATACTGAGTCATCCTCTTCTGAGGAAGATTCTTTGGAGGATGAAAGACAAATTGACTCTGTCGATTTGACCAGTCCTGAAGTACCAGCGCTCGCAACAGCACTTTCCAAACAGAGACGGGATGCCATCGAGGCTCAGCAATCTCATGATGAAGACAAAAGTATGGGACTGTTGAAGGCTTACAAGTGCCCCATCTGCATGGATACACCAGAGAATGCGACAAGCACTATTTGTGGTACGTTCTGAAGACATCTATTGAATTTTCTTAGTGGCATTTCCTCACATGCGTTTCAATCTAGGTCATCTGTTTTGCCACAGCTGCATCATCGAGTGCTTGGATCGTGCCCTCGAACAAAACAGGCAGATGCGGACTACCTGCCCTGTCTGCCGAAAGCCTATAACCAAGAAAGAGATAAGCGGCCCGCGCCGCAACCTCATCCCTCTGCAACTCAAGTTGATGACCAAGAAGAGGACTTCATTGCAATCGACAGAGGCCTAGTAACTATTATTCTTTTACCGAGTCATCTCAGCATCGCATTTCCGGGCATCATACGGGATGTCGTTCATTTTCATGGGGCGTTTCTTCGGGCGTTCCTTATATTTGCGATTTCAGCTTCACATATAATGTTAACGAATGGAATGAATCACCAACCTTTCTTCTTTCTTTGTCTATCTTAATACCCAGATCTTGGGTATAAAGAATGAGTCAGTAGTGGCATCAAGGTCATTTCTTTAGTCCAACTCCCAACTGTGTTACATATATGTTCGAACCCTTGGGAAAGGCTGAGAGAAGTGACTTTACTATTGTTGATAGAGTTGACTAATATTAATATATGGCATGAAAGCCTAGTGCTAGCCTCACAGTTCTAGAGAAACAGTTGAGAGCCGGCATGGGGCGAATGTTTCTTATCCTCATGCAACCCACTCATAGTCAGCGAGAGGAAACTCGTCACTACTGGCAGATGCACTACCAAAGAACATTTCCACGAGTTCAAAAATCCTGGTCCAACAAATAAAAGCGAAAACCTGATTTCGCAGCCATAAACCCCAAGCTGACTGTGGTGCAAGAAGTGCAGGAATCAACGGTGGTATCTTTTGTAAATCATTGATGAGCGGCCTCATTTGCGCTTCATAGCCCCCAAGTGCCTCATCAAAATTCCCCTTATGCTTACAAACCTCGCCAGCCAACAAATAGGCACCGACTATGGCGAGGGTTGTACCAGTACCAGTAGGCCCCGGCGCATACCCTGCATCCCCAACAAGAACAAATCGACCCTTGGACAAAGCCGGGGGTTTGACCTGAACCAATTCAGTCGCATAGAAATCATTCGACAATAGCATGCATTTCAGAGCCAAATTTGCCTCCCATCCCACGCCCTGATAATGCTGACAGATATAGTCCTTGACCGCATCTTCTCCCTTTTGCATGGCCTTCCGAAAAGGCAATATGCTTTCCATGTCAGAGCGTGGATTGCATCCCATAAACGAGATGCGACTTCCACCCGCCGCGTCAGCTCCCACGGCCATAAAACGGCCCCCAACAGCACTATGCGCTTCCCCGATCTTGGTTCTTTGGCCGAGATCTTGATCAGTACTGAAAAATGAGATCCAGCTATTGGTCGAAACAATATGATCGCGGGAACCACAGCCGAGGCCGATAGATCGAGTTCGCGAGGTCGCTCCATCGCATGCGACGACAAGGTCAAATTGTGCCTGGGGCAAACTGCCTGTGAATTCGACTGTGACAGGCCCATCTTCACTGGGGCCTTGCTGGATGGAGGCAACTTGTTCGCCAAAAACATAGTTGATATTCTCGTTGTCTTTTGTCATATCGTAAAGAATCCGGGATAGATCACCTCGTGCTATCTCGTATTCAGATACGAGTGATTGCTTATCAGGGTTTCCGGTTGGTTTGATAGTTCCGTATGCTCGGCCCTCAGCGTCGACGAAGCTGATGCCCTCTATGTCTGCTTTTTTGGCGCGAACAGCAGCTTCCATTCCTGGCATCTTTCGCATGACAGTCACACCGGCCACCCGAATATCAATGTTGTGTCCATTTGTGCGTAGAGCTGGGAAGCGCTCGATCACTGTGACATTGGCCCCGGCTTTGGCGAACCAGTACGCTGCCGTTGGCCCCGCGATGGAAGCACCCACGATGAGGACCTTTAATTGAGACATTACCTAATGATGTGTACATTTGCAAGAGATACTAAGAGCTCGGGAGGAGGAAATTTAAATACCAACTCACGGACTTCTAAAACCCGATGGCGCTCGGGGTGAATATTGCTGACGAGGCATAGAGCTCGGGCGGTAGTCGGGCCCGCAACCCCCGAACTTGTGTTAAAACTGGGTCGATCTTGAACCTTGAAGAACAAGTCAAATCAAGATAATGACTTAAACTCGTGTTTCTGACCTTTAATTGGCGTAAATTTGCTAATTTTGATTTTGAGTTTATCGAGTAACCAAAAGGCTCGAACGAAGGTAGACTCTATTCAACATCGCAGACTATCTACGCTATCTACTTGGAGGCTTGTATGCAAGAGGATATAACATGTGCAAAGAATGTGCTAAAGGACATTAAGTTCATTAAGCGTACGAGGCCCAACCTAGAGATAAAGACGTTAGTTTCGCCTTCGCCTGCAAAGTATAGAGAAAACATACCACAATACAGCATAGCAAGATTCCTTTCATCCGTTGCCTGCTGGATAAGTTCATTCACAGTTGCAGTCACACTGAGTGTTTTGCTCAATTTTTTTGCGACCACCGTCAAAGCTCGGTCAGCCTCGCTTGGCTCATTCGTCGAAGATTGATCTGTTGTCCCTGGCACAACAGGAAGCCCGTCACCCGCATCCTGATTATCCTGCATCTTTTTCATTCGCAGCGGCGACACAGTCCAGCTGTACAGTGGATCATAACGAAGAACATCAAGAATAGTCATGATACTATACGACTCTTGTCGGAGTGCCTCCAAAGTAAATTCACAGCATCGCCGGAACACACCCTCTGTCTTGGTAATGCCGAACCCGTCAACAAGATCCCGAGTCAGCCGGAAGGGCACGACTTCTGGAACGGGCAGAATACGCCCTTGTTCAAATGCGACACCCAGATCAATGTGAACAACTTCACCTGTCTTCTCATCCAACAAGATGTTATGTCCATGCCGATCGCCAAGTCCCAAGATGTGACCGAGGATTGAAATTGCAGCGGTACTTCGGGTATAAGCAAGTCGCTTGCTGAACCAGTCATCGGGGTTGTTGAACTTCTCCATGAAGAAGTACTTCATCACTGGATGAAAGTGCTCTGTTACTTGGCGATATGTCCTGACTCGCTGCTCAAATGATCGATTCTGCACATCGGCGATATGTTTTCGACAGGCACTTGGCTTCATATCTTTGGGGAAATAACGTTGATGCGCAGGCATCAGGTAGTCATGCAAGGGAATAGTATTGGGGACAAATTCGATGATACCTGCATGGAGGGTCAACGGCAACACCTTGTAGGTCCTGATTCCCAAGTTTCGCTGGCGGGTTGGCTGGTGATCATTCAAAACACTGCTGACTTGCTCAAATACTTGCTCCATGATCGCGTCTTGACGAAGGTCATCATTTCCTCCTTTGTACTAAGCTTGTGTTAGTGGGTTGATGGTTGTAATAGAGAGTGGCAGACTCACCAGCTGCTTGTAACGGACACCGTTAGTTGCAGTGGCTGTAACAATCTTAGGCGCGCTGACGCCAGATGCAAGTGTGAATTCAGAGGAGAATTTGGCGACAGTAGGAACTTTGCTGTAGTCCCGGTCCCGCCGGAGCTCGATCTTCATAGTTGGTGGCGGTAGTTTGTATGTGAGTGCATCTTGTCCAAGACGCTCACCAGTAGGAAGTTTCTTCAGAGGGATTCTGGCCCCAGTTTTGAATTTGGGGTCCGGCTTGTCGACCGCAAAGCGGACGTAGGTTATATTCATATTATGAACCGCCACCCAGGTCGGGCCTATTTTGCTATCGTTCTTCAAACGATCCACAAGCTGGTTTGCGGCACGGAATCGAGAATGGGAGGAAGGGTCTTTTCCTCCTTTGGACTTGCTGCTGGCAAAGATCTGATACATGCCGTGGTATGGGTGTTCAACGCAGATCTTGTACACGAGCCCATCCAGTAGCGCCTGGAAATCGTCGGAGACATCAAGCAGGCGAGAAGAGAGCTGATTCATGAGTGGGGCGAATTTATAGCTCGGCACCTCATGGAGATGTTTGGAGACGGCCGCATTGGCAATCTTGCTATCAGACTTGTCTAGCCAAAGAGCACAGAATCGAAGGACATCGTTGTGGTAGGCATCACTCTCTTGCAAGGCAAGTAGATAGTTTTCGAGACACTGTTGCAAGAAGGCTTCTCGACTTCGCAGCAAACGCTGGTATTCGCGATCATCAAGATCGAACCACTGCTTCGCCTTCGAACGGAAATTTTTCAGGGAGTCCTTTTCCCGGCCCTCTGCATTTTTCATCATATCCTCCAGGCCTCGAAGCTCTTTCTCTTTACGATTGCGCAATTGTTCCACTCGCTTGAAGTCTTCCAGTCCGTCAGCGTTCAGTAGCTGCTGGTCACAGAACGCTGCGAATCCATGGTAAACTCGCCCCGCAGTTTCTCCTGCCGATTCACCTTTCAGTTCTTTGACTGCCGGAGAGAGGTAGTCTTGAAGGATTGAATCTGGCTTCTCCAGGCGTGCTTCGGCGACATGATGACCCTTGAAGACTTGTGTTAGAATCTCAAACCCAAACCTGCAGTAAAATGGAACTCACTAAAGTGACAAGCAATTCGGAGCGGCTCAGTGGAATCGCTTGCTTTTGTAAATCACCTTGACCTTTAAGAAGCTGCAGCATTCGAATAGATGCAGTCATCTCGCCCTGGTCCCAGAGCACATTAGCAAGATCAAACTTAGTCGCCCCATCAATGTTCATCCCCAGCTGAGCACATGGTTCAGCCAGCCTTGAGAGGCTGATTGCTGATTTAAGAGATGCCTGGGACACAGCATGTTTCCTAGTAATATCGAGGGATTGGCGGAAGACGTTCGCTTCAAGTAGGCATGACTCTGCGAGTTTCATCTTGGAGCTTAACTTGAGCAGGTCACTCTTCCTGATAGATGAGAACAATGCCTCGTGCCAACTTAGAATCTCTCCAACCTCGTGATAGCTAGTATAGTTAGCATCGATGATCATATACCAGTTCCAGGTGTTTCCGCATTTTTACCTTTCAGTTTTCAGCCAGCTGCTGCTATCTTGGATCCGCTTCCACTCATTGTTCATTTCTTCGGAGGATGATGACTGGATTACATCACTCATCTCTGTCATAATACCTAAGGCACGCATTGTGTTTCTGATCTGGATTGCAGATCGACCGGTGTCGGTTAAGGAGTTGATTGTCGCCAAAAGACATCCATCGATACAATCAAATATCTCTGGTAGAGAAGACGAGGTGTTAAGGCTTTTAAATGCACGAAATACTGTCGCTGACGGGGACGAGTCCAATGGTGATACAGGCAGATCCCATTGCTGGAGGCTCGTTGCTCCCTGCAGCATATTGACTGTGGAAAAGGGCATATTCTTTGTTCTCCCTCCGGCCGAAAGCATTGTATTGGCAACACCCTGCAGGTTCGCAGCATTCAAAGCTTTCAGCACCCCGGAAGGATTCGCGATTTCAGATACTTGAATTTCGCTGTCATATTGTGCACTCTGGAACAGAAGATTTTTGAGTCCGGAGCTCTCGTACTCCAATCTCTCCATAACCGTGGTCAGGGAGGAGCTCTGCTGGATCCCGTAGAACAGATCTGGATCATCCACATTCTTGAAAATGTCATGGAGAAGTTCCAATGGAGGTTCATATTTCACGACAGATGAGCGACGTGATCCTGCAACAGCCCTATTTGCCTGGATCTCAAGAAACAGAAGCGCAGTTTTTTGTAAGCCACACTGATGCGCAGCGGAAGAAGCTTCTCCAAAATCGATATCAAGCCACGTATCCCGCTCAACAATAGTTGATTCATCTGGGACAGGTTGATTGCGAAGATAAAGGATGCAATTGATCACACTCCGAGCATGAGCCATCGTTTCGCCATGCACTTCGCGCAAAATTTGTCTGAAAATCTCAGAAATTTCCTGCCGAATCTGCCCTTTTCTGTCTTCTGCGAGTATAACGTCGTGGACGATATACGGCAGTAATTGCACGGCCAATCCAGGAATCACGTTAAGAACCTTGCGCAGGGAACCAATCACAGGATCGTTCAAGGAGACATTACACAGGAGGAGGGAAGTATTGCGAGCCCAGTCAACCACGGAAAGCCCAGATACATTCGCGTTTGCTTTAGTACAAATGTCGACTTCGGGTCCCGAGAGTATAATATCAGGGCAGCTGTACGGATTCCAGATAAGGGCTTTCATCAAGGATTCGGGGATGACTTCCGCGCAGCCTTGAAAGTCTGGAAACTGCGCTATTTTGCTGAGAATCAGTTGGAGAGTACGTTCAATCAGACCAGCCTCCACATGGTTGTGGTTGGGTAGCTTCTCGCAAAGGATTTGGAGAATGCTAGCCTTGGACTGACAGAGGCTGTCAAGTTGATCGTTTATGTCAGATGCTTTGAAGAGCGAAAGTTTTTGCTCTCTCAGCAAGCTTTCGTCTATTTTGCCTGTAGCAGCGAATGAACGTCCGATAAGCCGAGCTGCCCATAAAGAGTACTCGGGTCCGCTGTCAAATTTATCCAGAGTGTCCCATAGCGAAACAACGTGGGAGGCTGAGTCAAGACTGAGGTCGTCCTTTTCCAACGGTTGCTTAATCTCAGGGCATAGTAGGGATAGTACATTGTCGCCAATCGATTTGCTCAACAAAGGCTGTGCAGAGTTGCGATCTTTCAGCACTTGGAATACCAAATATTTTTCATTTTGACCATTCAGCGAATCACCGATGACCGAAAATTGTTGTGCAATATTGAGAAGTTGAGAGAAGGACTTCTGGTCATCTGCACTCCAATCCGAACAATCGTATGCTTTGATGACATCATAAAGCCATTGGTGAAAAAGTTGCGCGTTCGCAAACACTGTCCTGAACTGACTCTCCTGTGTTGTGCTTTCGGGAGATGATGTGAAGAGCTTGCGAAGTGTGACAAGTGTGGATATACAAATCCCTGCCATGAACCCCGGAGCACGCGTCAAGTATGTCTTTCCAGCGTCGAGGAGATACCAAAGAATACCCAGCACATCTTCGCAACAATGAACATCAACAAGAAATGGCTGTAAGGCATGTAAAAGCATCTCAAATGGATAATCCTCCAAAATTATTGGGCCAGCCAGACAAACTAAAATCCTAATCTTTCGAATAACAGAACATGTATGGAGCGATCCCAAAGCAGGGTGGATCGACTCCAACAGGGATCGGCAAATGAACGAAATCAAAGTCGGTGTCCATATCGACTCGAGTTCAAATCCTGCACGGTTGCAAATAAAATCCAGCTCGTCCAAGAGATAACGAGCTCGGAAAGATGGCTGCTGGTTTGCGGGCAACAAACTTTGAGGATTGCATCTACTGGCAATTTGGGTCTGGATATCAAGCGCATAGCGGAAGGCGGGGCGTTTGCTGTAGGCCCGCTCAATCTGATCATATCTGTCAAGCGCCTTGAAAAGATTGGCAATTATTTGAGGAAATTGGCTTTCCACTTGGACCAGAAATCCGGGGGCGCCGAGCAGCTTTCTCAGTCGGAATTCCATACCTTTCGGCTGGCTCCCCTGTTCTGGTGGAGTGGAGATGTCACGAGCAACACTGTAAGCCTCTGCTTTGTGAAACGACGTTTCCAGCAGCTTGATGTGGGGCTCTTCGAGAAGGGCTGCGAGTTCTTGTGTTTCTGACTCTTTGGCACGCATCATCATCTGCCCAACGAGCTCCTCCTTCACATCAGCGACCATTTCTTTGAGGCTCCCATACCCAAAGATGCCATATGGCATTGAAGTGATTGGCTGGGTCTCCGTCCATGTGTAAAGTATCTGGGACGCAAAAAGCCGAAACAGCTGTCTGCCGTCTTCTAGCCCTCGGGCCTTGGAAACGTATTTCATACATTTACGAGCATAATGCAAAGAGAGCGGGACCTGGGCTGGTGTTTCGAACATATGGTAAATGCTTCTTCGTAGCAAGGTATGCCATTCAGAAGCCAACAGAGACAAGACAAACAGGCGAAGAGCAATCCCCTCGATCCAGTCTGGGTCTCTGGGTAGACTTTCCAGCACATCGTCGAAGATTGCATCGTGGTCCTTAAGAAGAAATCTTTCGAAAAGAGTCGGAACAAAATTGGCAACACTGAATTTAACTTGAGCATCCCCCTCATGGAGGATTGTGAATAGACTTGTTCGCGGTGACGGAAGCGATTGCTCACTTCCGTATGAAGGGCATATATCAAGGACCGCCTGTATTAATTCAGACATAACGATGTAAACCCTGGGGGACGCTCTCTTTCGAGCGAGGAGAGCCTCCATGAACCAGCTATACAGATCCATGGCTGATTCATTCAAAGTATCGCTCTGAGTTCCTGTCCAACATGCAACAACGCCGGTCATCATACGAATACAAGCATTATGAGATGCTTCACAGCGTTCCATTTCATATGACTGGAGACATGTTTCTCCAGTATCTTCAATTATTCGGAGAACGTCGTCTCGTCCCATTTTCGAACAGCAATAGTAGGCCTCAGGTAGAACATGACGGGCAGCGAGGAGATCTGCTTCATCCAGGCTAGCCAGGTATTCAGCCAGGCTCGAATATTCGGATGGCTCATGATAGGGGGCGGCAGGCTGTGATCTGAGCAGAAGGGAGAGATGGACAGTCAAGCAGCGCTGAAAAGAGACTGTGTCTGGAAATAGAGGGATAGATTCTCGGTTCAAAGAAAGGATCATATGGCCAGCAGATTGTTCTTCTTCATTTGATGTCAGTTGATCATCCAAGTCCATTATATCTGTGGAAGCAAAGCGATGTTCCTTCTGGTCTTGGCGAAATTTTTCAAGTATGTTGGCGAGCGGAACAACAAGCGGATACAGACCCGCCCAAATAACGGACTGGGTGTCTGGAGTTGACAGTGAAGGAAGTACAGGCGATAATATCCCAAGGCACGCCTGCATGAAGTGGGATCCATGTGTTGCCAGGAAATCGCATATGCCACACCACAGGGTCTGGCAATTCTGCCGGGCGTCTTGTATCTTTGGCGCTAGATGTGGAGGAAGACATGCCACATAAAGACCAGAGGCGATACAGAAAGAAACTGAGATTTGGAGAAGATCACCAGTGACATTGTATGACTTCTCTTCAGTCAATGTCTTCCACATTTGAAGAAATGCTTCCGATTTTGATCGCAAAAGCTCTAGAATCACCTCATCATCAGGTTCTGCCCGGGTCTGGAGCTTCAAGCTCCATGCGGTATTCCGGTCCCATGGTCTCCAACTTCCGAAAGAGCCCCCAGTATTGAAAAGATACTCCAGAATCCCTCGATTTTCGTGAAAGAAAAACCAGGTCTTAGCGATGGTTCCTGAGAGGCCTATTTGTGGGAGACACGGAAGGTCAACGGATCGATTTGTGCATGCCAAAAAAAGATTAAGTAGGTCCAGTGGGCGGGCATACATGGCGACATTGGCCGTTTGAACCCTGTCTGTTACGGCACCTAAATTGAGAGACTTAGTCATAGACAATAGCAGCGAGGTTTTTTTAATGCATACCAATCGTCCAAACTTCTCTCAACCAATTGCAAATTTGATTAGAAGAATTTTGAATTGAATCAGGGTTCGTCCGTGCAATCAGCGACCACAGCTCTAGGGAAGAGTCTGAGATAGCAGAAGGCCCATTGAAGTTCGCAGACGAGAGCAAGGATCGTATGGTATCAGTCGCTATCGAATAATCTAACAAGTCTGCTTCCAAGATGGAACTGGTCAACTTGCAAGCGGCCCGCGATGTGCCAGACGAGGAGAATGAACGGATTGTAAGGTCTATTGCCCGTGGCCAATGGGCCTTGAAAACGGGGAATCTCGCATTTGATCCCTTCGCAATGCTATTTGGGTTGCCTGGTTAGCTAGCAAGAGTACTCGGTCAGGAATTCCATACATACCTAGTCAGAGCCAACATAGTCCAAGACGATACAGTCGCACTATCATCAAGGATACACGGGACCAGTCGCTGCGTAATGGCCTCCTTACTTTCAACATCCATGTCCTTTTCTAGGAATGGGATTAATTGCAGTGCACAGATCTTTCGTGTGCCAGTTGCCGATGTAGCGTCTCGAACAATGTCTTCCATCACCGAATTGACTCGCTGTCTTTTGTGCGATATTTCGTGATCGGGCTCAGAGCCCGGAAATTGGTTTGCAAGTGAATTTAAAAGCTTGAAGAGGTTCGCAATCACCCATATAATTGTCCAATTATGTTCTGAACGAGTATTTCCCAAACGAGGGCCATAAATTGATGCGTTGCTGTCTACCGTCGTGTGATAAAAGACAATATCGTCGATTTGCAACTGGTCTTTCTCCGGTCGCTTCACATATTCAGAATGCAAGGAATCGGCCAACCTCTCTATCAAGAGCATTAATGACTCAGTCGGGTCCTTGGCAGCCGCATCGACCAGAATAACCATGCACAGCATCAAGGTAGCGAGGAGCTCGTCTTTCAGGCTGTGAAATTTAGTGGTCCAAAGACGTCGAATTACCGGGATCAGGGTCAACAAGGATGATCGAACCAGCTCGGATTGATCAAAAAAGACTTTTGTAACGACTGTATTGATGCTACTGAATGCAAGCTGGTGAGCATTTCCAGCCATTATGGATGGCGACTTGACGAACTCCACCAGGCCCTGGAGTATGTTCTCGGCCGCAGCTTGCACGGGGGCACTGGGACTCGCAGTCAAAAGTTGTATGCATGCTAATACCTCCCCAATGTTGTTTCTATCACCCATGTATTTTTCTCTCTGAGTCGGGGTTGGGGTCATTCTGAAAGAACTTGAGGGGCTGTCGCTACCGTCAAGTGCCTCCTCGGGGGCAGAACGATGACCACTGCGAATACTGAGCTGGTTCTCATTCGCATCTTCCACACTGATGGCTGCAAGGCAGAAATCCATGAGTTTCTCCCATTCTGCATCGCCGAGATGCTCGGTATGGGGAGCATGGCGTAGCAAAGATGCCAAGCATTTCGTATAATCGACACTCAAAGGTCCCCATAGATCTTCTCCTGGAATCGGTATGGTCTCGGTGATATGGTCAATTATGGCACGGACGGTCTTGGTTCTTAAGTTCCGCAAAAAGGTATCGACCGCATTCCGAAGCACCGATGCGCATGTTGACAGTCGGGTACTAGATGGGCTCTTGGAATTCGATCTTTGGGCACGATTGTAAATTGATCTTTCTAGCGCAACGAATCGAAACAAGGATTCAAAGATTTTGTGGCAGGCTTTATCGCTGAGGTCCAGCCTAAAATTATTCAGCTGCACGTTAGCTATCACTTCAATGGGCACAGGTGTATTGGTTGCTTACAGCTTTGAGCTCTGTTTATTTTGTTGTAAGATATGTTTCAGGTCTAATCAACTCATTAATTACAGCTCACTTAGCAAGACAATCTTGTAAAACCCAGGACCAACCTGCTAGGCCATCAGCACGGTCCTTCTGCTTGTCTGACGACAGAAACCCCAGTGTTTTGTCCAAGAATATCTCTCCCATTGTGCTGGAGATACACTCGCGAAAAGCTGCAGCAGTCTGTAAGCATTGACAGCCCTGCAGTTTCTCCTTTGACACCAGATATTACTTTTTAATCTGCCATCATCGAAATCCAGGAACGTGGTGTCGCGACGGTGTAGAGAGTTGTTTTGTGGAGCGGCAGAATTGGTGATCACCGCCTGGGATTTTTGATCGCGTTCCGCCTTTTGGAACAAACAGAGCTGTGAAGCTTCCGTTTCCTTCAGGTACCTCACCCCGCGCTGTCATGACAGAGCTCACCCGCAACCTCGCCGGCCTGCGAGGCCTGTATCAGGACCTGTCTGCAATCTCGGACTCTTCGCTGGGCAACATTGATCGCCTGGTCTACGAATTGGACGCTCATATTCAAGACTTCCGAAGACTCCTAGACAAGCCCACGAAAAACGGTACAAGTCGCCAACAAGTTCTCTCAGGTGGGTTGTTATAGGGTCCTCAAGTTTCGGCTTCATTTTTAATGTGAAATTGGCTGACCTGAACTGCTATTTTTTAGGGAAAATCACTGTTGCCGGTATACCACACGAAATCAACCATGACTTCCAGCAGGGCGCACTACAGCTGGCTGACGCCCTGAACCTCGATGAGCTACAAGCTGCAGAGATGTTCTATGCCGCACAGGATGATTCCCAGGTTTTGGATCGGCCTCCTTTGATCACTGCCATTATGCGATTCCACGAGCGTCGGTCTTTCCTCCTAGAGTGCCTGCGCCTAATTTTCCGCGAGGCTAATGAGGTCGAACGAGAGCGAACTTCGGCTATCTTGCATGATGTTCTTTCCGATATCCTGGAGGTCAAAAACAGCACCATGCAGAATGCCTCGCTTTATGCAAGGAAAGGCATGCAGGCCATGGCCGACATCGAAACATGGCTATTGCTTCTTGCGGATCAGGTCCAAAAAGTTTCAGTCATTGGCTTTGGAGAACACCGCGAAATCATGGAGGCTATTGAATACCAGCGTCACAGTCTGCAGCAACAGCACGAATCACTCGGCGCTATCATGTTCTACCTGTTCAAGGGCACATACACAAGCCCGGAGGACTTCCGCGCTCTCGTCGCACAATTGAAAAAGCTGGATCGCTTTGATGGGCTATTGATCCATTATATTCCCGTTGCGATCGCATCTTTCGTTCAGCATGGATCTCCAGAGGGCTCTGGTGTACAGAAGGATGCTCGAAGTCTGAATGAAGTTATTACCAGTAGCAAGGACGGTCAGACCTGGAAATTACCCACCTTCCATGCTGCTATCATCGCTCTGTGGTTGTCAGTCTACAGCGGGTGGTACTTTGATGATGGACCATCCTCGCCGGTTGCCGGTGCTGACCTGGAAAAAGAAGCGAGGGAACGCACGAAGATGTTTATGACTGCCCTTGACGACGGTGCCCTCGATTTTATGCTCGCAATCTGCTCTAGTATCAACAGTGAAGAATGGGCTGATCCAGCACGAACAGAGCTGGTGGCGCTGCTCCTCAGAGAAAGTGTCATCACATTACCAGAGCTTGACTCTTGCTCTGAATACATGAAGGAGCTTTTGATGGAAAACTTCGAAGTGTATGTTGAGTCATGCATTGCAAACATGCCGGATGCTGTTCGATTGCTCAAGTCCGAGGAAGACACTCAAAGGTTGGACCAAATCACTGCTCTGAGAGATGGCCTGACATCAAGTCTCCACCGTGGTTTGGTGGAGGCTCGAACTCACCTCGAGTCCCTCCTGATGATAATATCATTTTCTTTTGAGCAGCGGCAGGATGCTGCACAGGAATTTTGGGCAGATCCTGATGGCAACCTTTACGGCTTTCTCCAGTGGGCCTCGAAGCGCCAGACGGTTCCTCGAGTCAGTGCTTTTTGCGAAATGCTCTGCTCTATCTCTGAGGGTGAGGAAAATGCAACTGCCGCGCATCGGTTTCTGTCGGAGGAAGACAAATTTATGGGCTCAAAATTAAAACGGTCGACAACAATGAACTGGATGCAAATGTTTGCTGAGCTGCGTCTCTATGCCAACCGAGTCACGGAGAAGCCACAAACTACTACTGCTCAGCAGAGTGCGGTGCGGGCCCGAAAATCCGAGCCTGTGGATATGAGCGAACCTGAGAGCCCAGTCATGTTGACTTGTTACCTCCGTCTCATGGGACATCTGTGCAAGCAAAGCGCAACCATTCGAGACTGGATGTTGCAAAATCAAAACTTCGCCGTTGTGGACACCCTTTTGAAGCTGTGCAGTGGCCCGATCCCAACACACCTCAGAGCGACTACCTTTTCCACGCTCTCGGCGTTAATGACCGATAAGACGTTCGCCAATGGAAATGAAATGTGGCTGCGGGTGGATGAATATTTGTCTAGCGAGCTCCTAGCTTCCTTGTGCATAGGTAAAGTTCCCAGTATTTCAAAGGGCGTATGGCGCCAGCAGCAGGCTTTACAGATGATTGGAGAGAGCTTTGATCAGACCAATGCACTCGTTGGTTTACTCAATTCGCTGATTACCCCGGCGTTCGATTTGACTGACAACCCTCTGTCGCTTTCTTTCCCGGAATCATTGGGCTCGGCGTATCGCATGCCAGGCGTTGAACCTTACATCGACTTTGTCATGGGACATGCTGTATCTCGCAAGATCCAAGAACTCAATGATTACCAGTCCAGCTTGCTTACCTATAACTGCATGGAATTCATTGTGGCATGCCTACGAGCCTTCAATGAGGATCTTGTCACCATTCTCAGTCAGCCATCGCACGCCTCTGATTACACAGCAACAACTACGGCGCTTACCAGCTACGTTCGACTTCACCCCTTTGCCCGTGTTATGGAATGGCTTTTCAATGAGGACGTCCTCAAAGCCTTGTTCGCAAACAGTAACAAGGATATTGCAGAGATCGCTCAGGCATCGTCCAATTCTGTTATGGTATTGACTCTTCTCCGCACTATTGAGGTGATGAACTTGATCCTGGATCTACAGTCCACGTATTTCAACATTGTGAAGCCAATGGTCAAGGTCAGCCCTGCAACGAACAAAATTAATGTTGCAAACTCGTCGCTCGCTTCTTTTGAAGATAGCGTGCTGAACAATCTGGGTCTTGTGCCTGCGCTATGCCTCTATTGCGGTACAGGACACCAACAACTTACTGTTACCTCCATGACATTGCTGGAAAAGCTCTCAAGCTCTCGCAAGCTGAACAAGATGTCGACTCCAGAGATTTCCAGGTGGCAATCCTCAAACAAGATCGTGGAGGTCCTCGCTAGTGAGGTGGATATTGACAGCATATCCCGTTCGCTCGTGGCGCAGATGGCACCGGATGAGAGGGAACTTGAATGGGGTGCTCAGGCGGCCGGTTATGTTATTCGAGAAAGCCTTCTGGCTCTGTTGAACAGTTGCCTCGGAATGATCACAGATCGCCCCACCGTCGCACATCTTCTACTTGGGTTCGGTTCTGTTGGCAATATGCTTGATGTGCCATCAGAGGGCCTGTTCGCAATGCGGTCGTCTCTTTTGCATGCCATCATTGATTTCCTGCGGGACTATCCTGATGAACTTGATGGTACTATTGTATCTTGGACTGTCCACCTCAAACGCGTTGCCTTTGAGGTTCTTCGGCACCTCTGGTCTTCAAAGCTGGCAACATACTTCACTCTTGGTGAGATGCGTATCAGTGGTTTCTTACCGCATGTGTTCTCTGGACAGACCCTTGTCGGTCCTAACACTGCCTGGCACGGCTTTCCTCTGATGTCAGATGAGTTCTGGCTGTCCGAGGCCACGTCAGCCTTGAGTGAATTCTTGCTTTACAGAAGTCATTTGTTTGCATACGCTGCGACGGAAATTCGCGCGGCAGCCAAGGTCGGGTCGCCTACTCTTCAAGCAGAGACACTCTCAACATTACTCGGTGACTCTGTTCTGGATAATGGCGACTCTATCAAAACCCACTCCGTCTTCGACCTCTTTGACTTTGCTGATCTTGAAGTCGCTCGCGAGTTCGAGTTGCCGCAGCTGCAGTTGCTTGGTAACATTCCTTTCGATATCTGCGCCAAGAGGAAGGAGGATTCGTTCGTGCTCTATAATATTGCTGAACTTGAAGAACTAATTCAAGTTGAGAAGGCGAAGATTTTCAACTATGGAGCGCCCCGGTCTCAAGACGAAGAATTGTTCAACAAAGAGGCAGATGCCTTGAAGGCGATCATCCACGCGACAAATCAATCGCGTCAGATCCAACAGAACCGATACCTCGCTCTCCGTTCTTGGGCAGAGCTTGTCACCACCATAGTCAGCTGCTCTGTCCTAGATGATTCAAACAGACCAACATTCATTCTGCACTCCATCCAACTCATTCTCCCCAAGTTGGAGATTGCCATTGAGGGAGACTCACCGGAGGCGATTGAGCTAGCACGGCTGGCTGAAACCCTCATTGGTAAACTCGCTTCTGACTTGTCTGCAACTCCTGGCTCGCAGAGCGGCGACGTCATTGACGAAAAGTTACATCAGCTCTTCCAAGTATCTATGCGCGGCATCACGTTGGCTACAGGAAATGTGTCTCTGAGGGAGGTCCTTTACGGAATCTGCTCTCACTACATTACTCGCATCACAACATCCGAGTCGGTTCATGCCGGTCTGCAACGGCATAGTCAGCAAGTGATCAAGACAGCCGGGCCTGGTCTTGTCGAGATCATCTGTGACGACGCATATACTGGCCAGGAGGCTTGTCGAGCTGCCGCTTTGCTTCTCCTGAACTGTCTGGCGGTTCTGGACAGTCGCACTGATTGTGTTCTCGCGGAATTGATCTCACAGTCCAACTATCTCAGCTTGTTCCTGGATGCCGTTAGATCCTTGCCACATGAATTACGCAATGCCCCAGCAAATGGTAAGTTCTAACTTCACAGAGAACATTCAAGTCTACAATACTCACTCGTGATTTGTCTAGATACCCCCGCTCTCTTGGCATTCTATGAATCCCTGCTGGCTTTGCTTCAGCTACTTTCTCAGACCAAGAATGGCGCGATCTTTGTTCTCAAATCCGGTCTTTTCGAGTCAGTGCGAGAGTCACAATTGTTCTCTGCTGATCCCGACATTGGCATAGGTCAGTTTGCCCTATTCCACCTAGTTGAGCCTGTCCATTTACTAACTTCGCTAGATATTGACAACCCCGATTCCCTACGAAAGTTCTACGATCTCCTTTTATCTGTGATCCGTGTCATCGTATCTGCGGTCTTCTCTCGGGGAGTGCACAATGAGCAGATCAAGGCCCAAACTCGAGCCTTTATCGCTGAAAACCGGCCATGCATGGTGGGAGTGTTCAAGCGATTTGCCAGGATTGGGGGTGATGCACCGGTTGGCCACCAGGACGCCTTGTGTGAACTTGTCAAGTCTTTTATGGCACTTGTGGCGGCCTCTGATTACGTCGAATTTGAAGAATCAGAGGTGCAGCAAACTGTTCGGCCTGGCTTATTTTCATGACATCGATGCTTAGGATCTGAAGGTCGCTTGTCAGCATACAAGGGCAGGTTTTTGAGGGTTAATGGTAGGTGTAACATACATAGGTAGGCGGAGTAGGCTGCTTTTCAGAGATTGAGCGATTTTAAGACCCGTTTTATGAATCTATTTCACGTTCCAATGATTCCAAGCTTCAATACAAGGATGCCTAGCTTTTCAGTTCAAGCACTGAACCTTGGAAGTTTTCCTGCCTGGATGGTTCCAAGCTTCTCCCTTGAGGCCATAGCTATACTATTGGATATACCCGGGGCCACATAGATGCCCAGGTGGTATACTTGCTCAATTTGTAGGTAGGTGCGTGCGTTCAAACGTTGATCAGTTGCGTGGTTGACTGTCGGAGGGAGTTTAACGGCATGTATGGCGAAAAATATATTTCTCACTGGGCACACGAATCTTGCATCCGCACTTCTTTCCAGAATTGATTCATACAACACATCTCATTGAATAACTCCAGCTACAAATCCAAATCAAGTTTTTAATATCTGCTTTTTAAACTTTCAGGTTGTTCATGCCACAATTCACGTCATACATATCCAGGCATCCAGGCGGTGGAACGTAAGCTCCGTATCTTATCGCCGTGCGGAGCCCAGTTCGCAGGGAGCAGTTAATTCCCCTCCCAAACCCGCGCCTCTCCGCCTAGGGCAATGGTCGATCCATCATAACAATCTCTCCTTTGATAAGCGCTTCTCCCCAGAGTCGGACCGAACCGGGTAGATGCAGTCGAGCGGCGACCCCGAGCAGAGGAGCGGTAAGCGCAAATCGATCGGCAAGAGGAAGCTTTCTGATCAAGGAGAGCCATCGCAGCCACAGTCGCAGAGGACCATCTCCGAGCTTCTATCGAAGAACAAATATCCACACAATTCGCTGCCACCGAAATCCTCCCCGACCTCTAAGCGATCCCGCTTCTCCGTCTCCCCCTCGCGCTCATCCCCAGCTCACGCAGTCTCACCCAATAAGATGTATAACTTCTCGGGATCCCCGCCCAAGAATGGCGCGGCTTTTGTCCGGGCTGTGCCTGCATCTAACACTGCATCAGACAAATCCGCGATTAACCCTCGTCAGAACAACTTCAACCCTGGTGCCGGCCCTAGAAAGCTCGTCGTCAAGAACCTTCGAACTGGACCTCGGGCCAATCATGAGCCATACTTTAACAAGATCTGGACACAACTTGATGGGGCCTTGACAGATATCTTTGAAGATAGGAAGCCGAATATCTCACTCGAAGAACTTTACAAGGGTGCTGAGAACATCTGTCGACAAGATGGGGCGACTATGTTGGCGAAGAAAGTCCAGGACAGGTGCAAGGCGTATGTTGCGGGTAAACTACGTGATAATCTGGTGACAAGGACAGGAGGTGGTACAGATGTCGATACATTGCGGGCAGTGATCGAGGCATGGTCCTCCTGGCATTCAAGACTAGTAGGTTGCTGCCTCGTCATATGGGACAAATCGTTCATGGGCTGACTTTAGGACATAGATTACGGTCCGCTGGGTTTTCTACTACCTTGACCAGTCATTCCTCTTACATTCGAAAGACTTCCCGGTGATTCATGAAATGGGACTCATCCAATTTCGCTCCTACGTCTTCGCCGACAAAAGTCTTAAGCCCAAGGTTTTGCAAGGTGCCTATGACCTCATCTCCGTTGACCGAGGAGCGGAGACTAGGATTATGCCGGACCAAAGTCTACTTAAGAATGCCATGGACCTCTTCCACAACCTGGATGTATACAACAGCGATTTCGAGCCATTATTCATATCCAACACCGAGAAGTTTGTGACGGCGTGGGCTGCGGAGGAGTCAGAAAAGCCTCTTGCCTCATATGTCGAGAATAGCCACTGCTTGATTGAACGTGAGGTGGAAAGATGTGGATTCTTTTCCCTCAACCGAAGCACGAAGCAAAAACTGTCCGAACTCCTGGATCAATCTCTGGTTGCCGAGCATGAGGACGTCCTTCTCAGACAGAATGAAGTGGTTGCATTGATGCGATCGGGGAACAATACTGCTCTGAAGCAGCTTTACGGTCTGCTCACTCGGCGAGGCCTCGGTATCAAGCTCAAACCAGCGTTTGGAAGCTTCATCGTGGAGGAAGGCTCCAATATCGTGTTTGATGAACATCAAGAAGTAGTCATGGTCATACGATTACTCAAATTCAAACAACAGCTAGACGAGACTTGGTCTGATTCGTTCAACGGGGACGTGGACCTTGGTAACACTCTCCGGGACTCATTTGGTCAATTTATGAATTTGGGCAAGAAGTCAGAATCTTCCGGTGGGACTGACAACCCTAAGACTGGTGAGATGATTGCCAAATACGTCGATCGGCTGTTAAAGGGTGGATTGAAGTCACTGCCACCTAGTCAAGCAGATGCGCCGCTAGACGACTCATTCTCTGAAATGCGACGACAGCTTGACCAAGTGCTCGATCTTTTCCGATTTGTGCAAGGGAAGGCAGTCTTCGAAGCATTTTACAAGAATGATCTTGCCCGGCGTCTGTTGATGAACAGAAGCGCAAGTGACGAGGCCGAGAAGGAGATGCTTGTTCTCTTGAAGAAAGGTTTGAATCTATTCGGAATTCTTCATGATTGCTTCGTTTTCTAACACGGTTTTACAGAATGCGGGTCAGGCTTCACTCATAACCTTGAATCGATGTTCAAGGACATGGATGTAGCACGCGACGAGATGGCTGCTTATAATTCTATGCAGAAGCAGCTTGATCGTGAACAGCGTCTGTCTATGGATTTGAATGTTAGCGTGCTCTCCGCGGCGTCTTGGCCGACATACCCCGAAGTTCCTGTCCAGGTCCCACCGAGCATCCTGAGCGCGCTGAACAGCTTTGAGAAGTTCTATCATAACAAGCACAATGGCCGTAAACTCACCTGGAAGCACCAATTGGCGCACTGCCAGCTAATAGCTCGATTCCCCAAGGGCAAGAAAGAGCTGGTAGTCAGTTCTTTCCAGGCAATTGTACTGCTCCTATTCAATGACGCCGAGGGCGATACCTTAAGCTACAAGGACATCCAGGAGCAGACCGGACTATCGGACCCGGAATTGAAGCGAACCCTGCAGTCTTTGGCGTGCGCCAAGTACCGTGTGCTGAACAAGAAGCCCAAGGGTAAGGAAGTCGAGTCGACGGACGAATTCAGCTGGAACTCTCAGTTCAATGATGCCAAGATGCGGATCAAAATCAACCAGGTCCAACTGAAGGAAACGAAGGAGGAGAACAAGACTACCCACGAGCGTGTGGCAGCAGATCGTCATTTCGAAACTCAAGCGGCGATTGTGCGCATCATGAAGAGCCGCAAGACCATCACGCACTCCGAGTTGATTGCAGAGGTCATCGAGGCTACTCTCAGCCGGGGTCAGCTCCAGCCTCCAGATATTAAGGAAAACATTAACAAGTATGTTCCCGCATCTATTTAACATCCAAATTTGCTAACATTGTTTCTGCAGATTGATCGAGAAGGACTACATGGAACGAGTTGAACCTAACTCGTACAGTTATGTGGCATAGATAAGAATGATAGCATGACCATGCGAGCAGGTTTCCCTCCTTACAACTATCGGGATGGATTACCGTGGGAGTACTGCTTGTGGACTTATGTCCTGTGTGCTGGCGGCTGTTTACATCCTCTTTACTTGCATTTCCGCAATATATTGGTCTTTTTGTAACATGAATAATAGTTTATTCTCGTCACTCAATGCCAGAAATCGTAAATTTCCCGTCCTCACCCTATCTACAACTGCAAATAGCCCAGGGCTTTAGTTAGAAAATTGTTGCGCTTCTCTATGAGAGCTTCCAGAACAACTCTTTTGGAGAAGCCCTTGATCGTAGAGAGGATATGATGGACAATGTGGTTGAACAGAAGATATGGGAAGCACTTTTGGCCGAGTCCTTCATATAAGGCGAACACAGCAAGCATGTGGCTATCTTGTGTTGACTTCATTTTCAGGCACTCTTGCACACTTATGCTTATAAATCGATTAGAGAAGCACGATTGAAAGAAATACGAATGAAAAGACCAGGACTTCAACCCCTAGAACATGCCTCCTGTAGATAATGGGACGTTGTCAGGGTATATGACTGTCGAATAGTGGCAAAAAATATCTCCTCAGCGCCACACTTCTATCCATTCTTCTCTACTCCCCAATACTGTATGCTTACACCTCTACAAGCAAGGCTTTGTTTCTCAAGCAGAAGAGATAGATAAATGCAGACCAAATTTGTCAATATCCTGGGCCCAATCAACACTATCAACGCTATACTGCGCTTCCTCATCCTTTTCTGTCATGATATCAGACAAGTTAGTTCTCGCCAAGTGTATGATTATAATTCCCCAGTCTATGTAAACGTTGTACGTGAGCAGAGAAGCTAGAGTCTACGTAAGAAGAGAGCAGCCCAAATGGGCCAAACCATTACGTTCTTAAACCCCAAGCTACTTACATAGTAAGCTCTTTTCCCCCTCAATTAGATTTGCACTATACTTTTAGAAGCCCCACTGGTTGATCCAATTCGACATCTGAGCGCGAGAGACTGGTCCCAACATCGCCATAGTCTTGCTCGCCTGTTTCGCCTGGCCAACACTAATCTCCGCTGACAGCGTGCTGTCACTCGTGAGACCTCGATAAAACTGAAGCATCTTCAAGGCCGGCTTCTCAAGGATTTCCTGTTCGGACGGATCACTGATTGCCTCGAGCTCATCGAGCCAGTCCTCGAGAGAAACCACCTGTAAGGGGTACTTATCCTGAATGGCGGGAATGAGCGAGGACCACTTGCTGCGGTTGGGGTTTGTCAGATGGAAGACGGCATTGGGTTCCTCTGAGAGGACCGAGCGGCGTGTTTGAAGGATTTCAAGCGTGATATTGGCCAAGGCATCCTGTTTATGTTAGTCAATTTGATTCTGGTAAGCTGGTGGGGCATAATACCACTTACTACAGAAACCCAATCAATAGCATACCCACCCAGCTCTGCCGGAGCTTTACCCATCGCCTTGGATGTAGCCACAAGGGTCGGAATCCATTCATGTGGGTTCCAAAGTCCCATCCGAGTATCAGGACCGGCAATCTGGCCAACACGGAAAATGCTTGTCGGCACGCCAGACTTTCGTGATGCCTCCACGCAGATACTTTCACCCACAAACTTTGACTCGCCGTACCCTTGCTCGAGAACCTGCTCGATGCTTTCCATTGCTACCTCGGGAACAACTGGGCCCATGGTTTCAGACACCCAGCCTCCGATTGTGCTGACCGATGAGATGAAAGCTACATGAGCGTTATAGCGACCGTTCAGGCTGAGGTTGACGAATTCGCGCATTCCGAACAGATGTGGATGTTCGAAAGATTCGACTTGGTGGTTGAAATTCACTTTCCACGCATTGTGGATGATGAGGTCCACTTCGTCAAGGAGTGATTGGTACTTGTCAGAAGCAAGGCCAAACTGCGACTCGCCGAAAGATACGTGCAGGAACTCGACCTTGTTTGAGTCGAATAGTGAGGATGCTGGAAGACCTTTGAACTGGAAGCTTTCCACTTGGCGAGCGGCGGCATCTTTGGTGCGGTTGAAGCAGTAAATTTTGTTGACATTTTCTTGGTTAATGAGACTCTGGAGTAGATATGTGCCTAGGGAGCCGGTGGACCCAGTAAGAATCACAGTGGAAGCTTCGGCGGGCTGGGACAGTTTCACGGAACGGGTGGGAAGGTCGCTCGTATATTTTGAAATCAGATTGGCAAGCTTGTCAGCCCGTGAAACCTTTGTAGTCGTGGCCTGCTCTCCCTTGAAACCACTCATCATCATCTCAGTCAGTCTGTTGACGGTCGAATGGGCGTAGATGTTCTGAAGGCTGATGAAATCGATGTTCAAGTCGGGGCTATCGGCACGAACAGCATTCTTCAATAGCTTGCTCAATTGGATCGTGCGTAGTGAGTCCATTCCCAAGCTGTATAGATCGTCGGCATCACTGAAGTCTAACTCGCCAGATAGGAGTGAGATGACGTTGTGTAGGTACCCTTTCATGTTCTCCAAGTTCACAGGTGAAGGCAGCTGCATCTCCAGCTGATCATATTTAGTGGCATAAAGGTCGTCAATTTCTTGGGCATAATCATTGTTCACGGTGTGTCTTTGTGTCGTGCCCTTCGAGGTAAGTCTAAAAGCCTTGTCAGGTGATGAAAGTCGAATCATATTCTTCATGACTCGGCCATAGTTGGGAACCATTTCATTGGCCTTTTCCACTTGTGGCCAAATCATTTCGACGAACTTTTTCTCATCATCTATCAGTTTAGCTCCCTGTGTTGGTTCGATCAGCAAAGCAGACTGGAATCTGCCCTGGCCGATCAGCAATGCGCGATGCACGGAAGGATGATCCTCGACCATCTTCTCCAAAGTGACTGGGTTCAGTTTCTCTCCATTGTTGAGTACGATCACATCATCCAAACGACCGTGATACTTCCACAACAGGTCATTGGAGGCATGCTTCGTAAACAAATCCTTAGATCTATACTCCTTCAAAGTGGGGAAGGTGTGAAAGACGCCGTGTATGAGGCGAGACTGTTGAGTTCGAGGGATGACAAGCTCGTACAGCCCATCCCCAATTTGTTGCATATCAATGTTATATGCTGGGTTCCATTCGAAGTATCCCCAATTGCCTTCACCAAAAGGAACAAGGGAATTGATAATACCCATTTCGCTGGAGCCAATGACCGTTCTCAATTCTGTATATTGACTCAGCTTTTGGCCGATTTCAGGCGCCAGGGGAGCGCCTCCAAAGCATACGAAGTCAAGTGTACGGAGGCATTCAAGCGCCTCCTCTGATTGACTCATGTCTTCTAGGATCGAAGGTGGCAGGATGGTTGCAGTGGGCTTTGCTTCTTGCAAGACAGTGACGAGCAAGTCCACCGATAGAGGTTTGTCGGGGCTTGACACGAAAGGAATATTGTGCAAGATAGACTCAAAGAATGAGATCAAGCCCATGAGGTGGAAATACGGCGTGCACGACAGGACCAAATCGGCCGGGCCCAGGTGGTTGAAGAAGGATGACTGACGACCTTCAGGGCGAGGGAGTTGTGCCGCGACATCCCATGTGCCGAGGAAACCATGAGTGAGGGGAACAGGCTTTGGCATTCCTAAGAACGAATTTTAGACGTCAGCGGCTAAAAGAAGGCTATGAAGAGAGATGGCAGTCAGTTCCATACCGGTTGTGCCAGAACTGTGAATCATGAAGGCAATTTCGTCCTCAATTTCCCCATAGCTTTTTTCAAAGCAGTACTGCTCCAGCCCACGAGCATCGCCAAGGATATCATCAATGCTGGGAACCTCTACAGAGTTGAGGGCCATATATTTCTGGAGTTCCAGTACTCTGTGGAGCTTCTCATGGCTGAACAACAACTTGGAGGAGTTTGTCGCTTCAATAACATGAGCGTAAGCTTCATTCGACAGCCGAGTGGAAGGAAAGAATATCTTTATTCAAGTTTAGCTTCCCTGCAATGAACAGACACAATATAGCTACTACTTACCGTGCAGCCCAACTTGTGCGATGCGAGCATAAACAGGATATACCGAACGTCATTGTTCCCCATATACGCGATAGTCTCTCCCTTCGTTGGTCTTCCAATGTGCGTTTCAATCCACCATGACGTAGCATTCACTGCTCGTGACAGCTCGAGGAACGTGATCTCTCGGAACCCATCTTCGATTTGGTTGCTCTTGGGAATCAAGCCAAATCTGCGTCTTGGATCGGATTTTGCAAGAGAGTCTACTTCAGTTGCGAGGAGCTTGGTAGATGGCTTCAGGAAAGCCTGGTCAATCCCAACCATGGCTGTTTCGGCGCGGGCGAAAGATGGCATGATCTTAGTGGGTGAGATGGATAGGCATTCAAGGATAGAAGAGAATGAGCAAATTTCATACGCTTATATTCCTAGTTTCATACTTCCGATAAATATGCAATTTATTAGTTATTACTTCCGATGGATATACAGTTCATAATCCAGTGCACAAAGCACGTACAACGTACACAAGTATCATGTAATCTGGCCTCTAAGGTGTGGATCTATGCAAGGAATAGCTTTTTTTTAGACAGTGGGGACACTTGAAACAGACAGCCAAGCTTTTCTAGGTTATGAAAGGCTGAAAAAGCCAGCCCAAATATCAACATTGTACTCCGTATCGCGTGATGGTCGGCTAATTTGCAAGGGTTGATTGGTTAGTGTATGTTTATCACACCTCGCATCGGCAATTCAGCAGGTTAAAGACTATCCCCGCCATAGTGCTCCGGATCTGATGGCGGCCCGGATGGATAATAATAAGTTATGAGCATATGTTGAGCATAGATCAAGGCTGTCAGATGAAGATAGTCATGAATCATGATCTTAGATGCCGCGTTTCCCGATTGTAGAAAGGGACGTTAAGGGCATTACGTGAATAAGAGTCCTTGCGTCGGGTAATTACTTTAATATGCCAAAACACTGACTCAGGTAAAAACCTGATCTTCAATACCTTTTGAAGAAATGGCCATGTTTTTGACAAAGTCCCCTCTCATCTAATTTGACCAGGACAGCGACAGTAGTTTGGCACATCATGTTCCCTCAAGGCGGTCTAGAGAATTTCAAGATTGACGTGTCAACAACTCGCAGGAAAGTTTCCGAATACTCTATCTACGAACCGAAACATATAGATCACCCCTTCATACAAGCATAAAATTTGGAAAAAATTAATGCAGACTTTATTTAATGCACATGTGCGTATTTTTTTGCATGTTAATGGGGTCGCAGGGGATTCTGAAGAGCGATCGATCGCACAAGTCTCTGGCCCCGGGGTAAAGTTAGAGAAAGAATGAGCATACCAGAGATAAGTCGCGGGACAGTGTTGATCAATTTGAATGTTGTAAGTGGCGTTCGCATATTCCAAGAATCCAATCCCTAGAGGTCTTGATCGGACTTGACCCAGTGGGCGATATCAGGTAGGTGCTCACGGAGAAAAGATCATGCTTGGATAAAAATCCGGTGACTTCCAGTGCCTTGGTGAGTATAGAGTATATCAGAAAGCATAAGGTTTATACAGAACGGACCGAGTGGCTTAAAAGCGGCAGCGGCTGACCACTCAAGCGGGGAAAGTCAAATGAGCTCCACACGTGACACATTCGATTTATGCTTATTATTCATACAGAATAGGTGCTTTCAGACTTGCCCAAATATATGCTACATTTCTACATCTACAAGTAAACCGATTCTTTGCGACAATTCCATACTATGTCATCACAGAATGTATCCATGGATCCTTGCCGTGACAAGGCCCGGCGAGCCGGTCCCCACATCCTCAAATCTGACAGCGTTGGAAAGACCTCCAAAAAGCCCGGGCTAGTATAAATGTAAATTGGCTTTCCTCATTCTCCCTCTTGCTTCTCCTGGCTTGGTCGCATCATTTCCCGTTTGTTGAGTTGTTCAGTACTTGTACAGCTCACGCAACAGTAGACCGCAAATCAGCTCCAAACTCAATTCACCGCAACTACCTTTAAATTTCGTGTTATCAAGATATGGATGGAGGGAAATGCGAATACCAGTATGCATTGCCCATTTACTTATAGTTGAAATTAGAATATAACCTATATTGTAGTTCACTTTAGAAACTATAGGCGCGCGGACCTCCCCGGATAGGTCGAGGGGCAAGATGAGTTTATGAACGTAATGATATTCGGACGAGAGTGCGCCACAGAAGAGGATCTACTGGTCATGCTGCCTACCAAATAAGTAGAAAAGCCCCACAGGTAGAGCTACAGCTACTCGGTCGATAAGCTGTGCCTGACGGGTTACCGCGTTGAACTCCGGGATTACCCCACAGGGTAAGCCGAAGGGCCCGGTTCCATCGTTCCAGAACTGAGATAGAGCATTCGGAGGCAAAATGTTCATGTGAGCTGCGAAAAAAAGAGGGTCTCGCAAATTAAAAAAGCAAAAAGAACTTAATCGTATAAAGAGCGACATATTCGCTGTTCAGATAGTTCCTTCTTGCTTTCCCTCTCTATTGCATACATTACCTCCGATCTATACTTCGAACCTGTACTCAAAGCTTCCCCCGCGTTTGTGTACGTTTCACCCGACTCTACACACCACAATCTTTGGAATTCTCTTCCTTTTCGTCCAATTGCCTCTCAAAATTTACACAGACGTCCACAGTTCAGAATTCGATGCTAGGATACGAGCTAACAGTGAACAACAGCCCTCCGCGTTGACCCCCACTTTTTCCCCGCCTCCAAGTCGCTCTCTAGAACAACAGGTTTCACGAAAGAACTCGGACCTATAGAAGACGGTTTGACAGCTAGGCCTTTTTTTCTTCTCTCGTGAGCTTGAAAAGCTATACACATCTACCGTCATTCCAGCGGTTGAGCATCTCTGGTTCCGCAAAAGTTTCCCGAAAACGTTCATTCATCAATATGCAAAGTAAGTACTTTACTTTTTCCAAAGCTCCACTCTGACGTTGAGGACTGGGATTTCGCTCCCCACCACTTCCATTTCTATCTCCATTATAGCGGTCTAGGAAAGTCCACTGACAGTCGTCACAGCCAAACACTTCTTCTCCGATCCGACCCATTTGGTCTTGACCGCATTGAACTCCATCACTGTCACCAACCCATCCCTTGCATTGGACCTCGAGAATAAGATCGTTTTCCGCCGCCCAGATGCGCCCCGCAAGCCTAAGAAGGTCTCCATCGTGACCGGTGGTGGATCCGGCCATGAACCCGCATTTGCGGGCTTCGTCGGCCACGGTTTGTGTGACGCGGCCGTGGCCGGTACGGTTTTCGCTTCGCCTTCTGCGGAGCAGATCCGTCGGGCTGCGATGGATCGCGTCCCCACTGATTGTGGTGTTTTGATTATTCCTAACAATTACACGGGTGATGTGCTTAATTTTGGTATGGCAACGGAGAAGTCTCGTGCTGCGGGTATTCGCACCGAGTTCTTTGCTATGGCCGATGATGTCGGTGTTGGCCGGAAGAAGAGCGGTAAGGTCGGTCGCCGTGGTATTGGTGGTGCTGCATTGATCTTGAAGCTGGTTGGTGCTCTGGCGGAAGCTGGGTAAGCTAAATCTGGGACTATATCTTTATTGCTTTCTTTATTGACAATACCGCAGCGGTTCCCTCGATGAGGTCTATGGTCTCGCCCAGCACGTTAACAACAACTTGGTCTCCATTGGTACTTCTTTGGAGCATGTTCACATTCCTGGTCGTCGAGTTCCTGAGGGCCTGGATACTATTGCACCTGGCGATGCCGAGGTTGGTATGGGTATTCACAATGAGCCTGGATCCCACCGCGCCAAGGCAGACTTGGTCGAGCTGGTCTCAACTATGCTGCGCTCGCTGCTTGATCCCAATGATGCCGACCGTGCCTACGTCACTTACACCCCCAAGGACCAGTTTGTTCTTTTAATCAACAACCTGGGTGGAGTGAGCATCCTCGAATTGGCCGGTATCACTGATGAGGTCCACCGCCAGCTGAACAAGAGCTATAATGTGAACCCGGTCCGTGTAATCCAAGGCACATTCCTTAGCAGTTTGGACGGATTGGGCTTCAGCATCTCGCTCCTGAAGCTAGCTGACACCGGCCTTGGAGCCGGCAAGTCCCTCATTGAGCTACTTGATGCTCCCGCAGAGGCCGTTGGCTGGGCTGCCCCTATCTCCCACGCAACCTGGGAAAACCGCATCGACACCCCAGTGCAGCTTAAAAACTCCAACCTGGCCGAGGAGAACCCAAGCAACCTCAAGCGTAAGCTCCACCCTGCACTCCCCATTACCCCTAAGATACTCGTATACTAACAACCATCTAGTTGACCCAGCTGTCGTTAAGAAGGTCCTCGGCGCCGGCCTGAAGCGCGTCATCGCCGCCGAGCCCGAAGTAACCAACTACGACACGATCGTCGGCGATGGCGACTGCGGTGTAGGCCTCCAACGCGGTGCCGAAGCCATTCAAGAGCTCCTCGCCAGCTCGCCCGGAATCAGCGACGACATCGTCAACACAGTCAACCGCATCGTGACAGTCGTCGAGAACGTGATGGACGGAACCTCAGGCGCCATCTACGCGATCTTCCTGAACGCTCTAGCTCACGGTCTCCGCGACCAAGACAAGGGCACCACATTGCAGGCTAACACCGAAGTGTGGGCGAAGGCACTCAAGCACTCCGTCACTGCATTGGGCCGATACACTCCTGCTAAGCCCGGTGACCGTACCCTTATGGATGCACTTGTCCCGTTCTGCGATACCCTCTACGAGAAACATGATGTAAATGCTGCCTGTGAGGCTGCTAAGCAGGGTACGGAGTCTACTAAGAGTATGAAGGCTAGTCTTGGTCGGTCTGTTTATGTTGGTGGTGAATCGGAATGGATTGGTAAGGTGCCTGACCCTGGTGCTTTTGGTCTTAGTGAGTTCCTAGCTGGACTTGCTGAGGCTGTTTAAGCTTCCAATGCTGTGTGCTTCTTGCTTGTTCTTGTCTTCCGTATAAATAGCGTGATACCAGACCTTGGAAAATTTCAATGGGTCTTTTAGTGGTCTATTTAATGTAGTTCATGATGATGACCAGTTTCATGTTAACTATTTGCTTTAAGCTTATTTTCAGGCATAGATAGCAATTCATCTAAATGTCATGTGTTTGAATTGGCACAGGTCTCCCTTTCTCGATAATTTCACTTCGAGTTGTTTCTTAACGAAGTCTATAACCAACGGGGCATCTGCATTGATTAGACTTTTAGGTGTATACAAGCCAACATATTGACCCCTCGCTTTACATTGAAAGTGCGGTGTATGGAGGGGGGCGTGCATACATTGATATGCGCACAGAGATTTAAGTACTGAAGTCACTTCCAAGGTTCGGTATGACCTTGCAGCTTTCTTTAGGGTTAATAGAGCCATGCCCCACGACAATGTAGCATCCTCTACATAGTAGCCTATTCTTTGCTGGTAGTAGAGTACGTACTCTTCCACCCTTGCGTCTCCGGTGTTCATATACCCCACTAAACGCTCTAGGGAAATTATATAGCCCTACTGAAAGCCCGAGGCGAAAGGAAAGAGACAGGAGTACGACAAAGAACGATCCCAAGGCTGGGTCAGTTTGAGAGAAAAAAAGATGCATTGCGAACATATCTCAGCTCTAAGGGACCGCCGTGCTTCCCTAAGAGCGGACACAATCCCATCAACAGAACGCCAGCAAGGTTTTTTTTTTGTAGGCCAGAAGTCACCTTTGCATGCGAATGCTACCTCACAGGCAAGGTTGAATAGTCCCAGATCTAGCCTGAGATGTTGCGACCAGAAGCAAGGGACAGGAGATAAGTATGTAGAATGGGTGAGGTAAGCAGGAAAAAGGGTATCGATATCGATTACATGATGAACCGTAAATCACAGGATTGATCTGCGGCGCAAGCGGAGAGCAAACCGTCCCGCATATTTAGAATTCCGAGATATCAGGGTAGATCGGATGCAGGGGGATGAACCACCCTGGGCGGGATGGCGATGCGCATGATAAGGGTGAGGTGATAAAGCACTCAGCTGAGCAGGACAAGAATGACAGAGTCACCACGGAGGAACCTAACAGAGTCAATTGTTAGAAGACCATTCGGAAAAGCAAGATGAATAAGAAAGAGAGTGTGGTGTCTCCACCAGGTTCAGGTCCAACCACACGTACATCTTGCTAATGAAGCGATCCTTGTTCACGCCCTTGCCCTTGCTACCCTTGGGCTTCTCAGTCCACATCTCCTTCACGTTCTCCAGCACCATGTTGCAGTGTCGGTCAAAGGCCTTGACACGGGCCAGCAACTTGCGGTTGTTGCGGCAGGAGATCAGGACCTGGGTGTGCGTGCGGGTGGCGGTCTGAAGCAGAGACAGCGGACCAGCGGTGAGCTCGTGCTCCTCAACAAGAGCGACCTCATATTCCCTGTTTAGTTGCAAAGCAAGATTAGCCTTTCGGATTCATGTATGTCTTGAGAGCGCGCATGTCGGAACGAGGCTAGAAAAGACGGTCGGGGTACCGCGTAGCCCCGCACTTCATACCCCTTCCAGCAATTAGGCAGCATCAAGTAGTGGAGAGGAAAGGGATGACAATCATCGGTGAATCCGGAGACATTGGAGGGACGGGGATTCGTGAAAGAACGTACGTGAGCTCGCTCTTAGGCTTGTTGAGCAAATCCCTTTGGGAGAATTAGGTCAGCTGAATGGTACTAGAGTTAGAGGATTATTGACATATCACATACTGAATTTTGGGGTCGGGAGCTGTCGACATGGTGTGTAAAGTGTGAGTTATAAATGGCCGAGAATGGTCGCTCGCGCATGCGTTAAGATGCTGGAAGGTGAGCAGGTTCGATAATCACGTGATATACAGCTGGCCCTAGAATTAACTGTGCCGCGACCAGCCTCATTTTTCCACGCTGAGATGTCAAACAAAGATTACTCCAATCTTGGCGATATAGGTCTTTAATACAGTCATCAACTGTAACTTGGTATTTTCATGCTGTAGTCGTCTTCCACTAGTCTGAACACAGATGCCTATTCTCTTTCTCTACCAGTGCATTTTATCACTATGGGTGAGTGGTACGTCATTTTTGGCATACACCGCCCGGCTGGCGCAATTGGCTAGCGCGTACGGCTTTTAACCGTAAGGTTGCCAGTTCGATCCTGGCGTCGGGCGTTTTGCTGTTTTTTTGAAAATTATTCCCGCACCCTCAGGCACCAAGGCACGCGTTCTGACCGCGGCTTGCTCGCGATTGGCTGCGTCACGTCGCGTACACGCTTGTTTAGAGATCAGCGGATAGCTTCAACCCGCGATGCAAGGTCTTCCCTTTAAACCCTCCAACCCCCTCACTGTCTGCAGGTGCAACTTGATTTTTTCCCTATTCCCGCTTCATCTTTGATCCTTTTTCTTCCCTATTTTTCTTAATAGGCTTTTTCCATTGATAGAACCAAGGCTTCCTTTTACCCTTCCAAGGATCGACCAGATCAACATTCCAGTCCTGCAGACCCTGCTGCAAAAACTGCATATCGGCGCCATTCTCCCGGCCGACCAGATACTTGACCGATATGCTTGGCTGATAGATCGACTGGCTCCCATCCCACCTGCACTTATCCCGGTGCTACAGCGTACTGTGGAGCAATAAAAAGGCGATTTGAATATTTGCCCTGCCAACAACCTCGATCCCCACCTCCCCTGCCTACCGACACCCTGCCTTATCTTCTTGCAACCATCCCCGCCTCACCCTCTCTCTACCTCGTCTTCTTCTCGATTCCTTCTCAATTGCTCTCTTCGTCTCGGCCGGAAATTGTGTATGGAGACAAATCGAATTGTATGAGATGGACTCTCAGGACGGAATCACCGTCCGCCCCATGAGGCGTATGAATTCTTCTCAGACAACCAGATGACGCCCATAGCTAAAATTCTCGTTTAACAGTTAAGGTCTTGTATACCTTTGATAACGAGAATAAAACCAACTGTCTTGCTCGCTGGCCTCATGTGCTGGAAATCCAAACGGCTTATCTGGATGAAGAAACACCAGTCGGGGTGATTGAGCTGAAGACATGTATTCAAGCAATTGTTTCAGCGAGGTTCGACTTCCCCCTCAAGCTCATGGTTATTTATATGCTTACTCTTTTGAAGCCCTGAATTGGTGGCACAATTAGGAAAGGACTACACAGTGTACGCTTACGACTACTCGGAATACGAAACCCCCCTCGTCGGTCAAGGAATGCTTTCATGGGTACTGGCTTCATCTTCACCAACACCGGAGGCGCCCGCTCACCAGTCTAAAACCATGGTAACGGGCAAGGTGTGCAAAACCCCACTGGGTCTATTTTCCAAGGGCGCCGGCGCTCAGGAGATCCTAGAGGTCAAACTGCGATTGGTTCCTGTTCCGACCGTTATGCAAAGCCAATATCTCGACAGCATGCAGAAGTACCGAGAACTCAGCAATGTGATCCCTCACGACTTCGATGCACAGTCCTGGACAAATTTTATGCGTCAGAATCCCTCGCTGATGGAGGCCGCTCGAAACCAGTCACAGGACCGAGCGAGTGCTGGGTCCCCGATGGGTGGATCTGGAATTGGACGATTTCATCAAATTCTCAGCGAAGGCGCCACTCCCCGTGAGTTCTCAGGGTATGAACGGAATGAGTCGGTGCGATCAGTTTCGCCCACGCACTCTTATGGTGCTCCCAGCAGAGTATCAACACCCGGTGGAATTCGATCGGTGATCCAGCAACCCCAACCTCAATCAAGACAACCTTTCAACCAAAGCAGCGATATGATCAGGCCATCTTCGAGTGCTTCTATGCGCGACAGTGACTTCCAAGTACCGCAGTCTCACTCTAGGAGAGATTCAATTCAATCCGGCTACGCCAGTGGGGGCGAGGATATGGATCCTCAACCACGGAAGAGAGCCAAGCTGTATCAAGCAGGCTGGCCAGGAAAGTCCGATATGAACATTGAAAGGCAACCCAGCTCGCTACGAGTTGCCGCCAGCACGGCGGCTTCTGTTCGGATTCATCGTCCAACTCCCGTCAATCCTTCCATTGCAGCTGAACAGTCTCTCGTCGAGCCCGTTCGCCCGCCAACCCCAATCATGCGTCCTGGAGAAGGAACCCGCCGCCTTCGACCTGCGTCAAGCATGCTGCGGGAGTCGTCCGTCATCAGCTCATATGGGTCGCCATACATGAATAGCGATGACATCGGCACGGATTTCACAGGTCATTCTCCTGACGACTCCCGTTACCAAGGACTGTTCGAACCTCCATTTTCCATGCCTTCCTCGCCTCCTATCATGGATTCACGGTTTCCATCCAAATCCAGCCCTGTGCTACCGCCCCTTACATTAGATACCGACTCCGGCTTCATGAGCGGTGGTCTGGATGATATGATGGATGATGAAGCGGCTACTCCAGTGGAGTGTGGCCAAAGGGCTGAGTCCCATGGCCTAACTGAGAGAAACAACTCTCGTTCCGTTCGCTCTACAGTGCAGGCAACATCCCCAGCCAGTGCCACTGGCACGGTAGCTGACCAACCTAATAATTCCATGATTATCAGCGATGCTCCCATCCAGCAACCTACGAAGCCCCAGCAACAGCGTCGCCCTGTTTCGGCAGCTGGGTCCAGACCCAGCTCGCGGAATAGCGTGCGCCTGGCACCCAAACCGCTAGCACCGGCACCCATTGCTCCTCAGGGTGAACTCGTTCGAAACACGAGCGCCGTTCCTTCCAGCGATCCTGTTGCGCCTACCCACCCTCCCCTTCAATACTCCCACACCTGGGCCGGGCCAATGAGTGACTTCAGTCTTGCTGATAGCTCAAATTCGGCACCACCACGGAAACCCGAAACAAAGCCTCGGAGCGCTAAGAAGAGAGTCAAGCAAATCCAACAGCGACTGGATGATGCTATCAAAAGCGGTCAGGTTCCTCCTTTCTGTGCTAATTGCGGCTGCATCGAAACCCCTACGTGGCGCCGGGCATGGTCGAAAGAGGTGGTGGGTGGGGAGGATATTGCCAAAGAAATGATGCAAGACAGCAATACCTTGTTCTACGAGTCTTTGGAACGTGATCCCCAAGATGCAATCTCCAAGTTCAAAATCTACAAGAAGACTCTGCATAGCTGGGACAAGGAATGGACCCAGGTTTTGCTTTGCAACCCTTGCGGTCTGTGGCTCCACAAGTTCAAGACAATGCGTCCCGAGAACAAGTGGAACAAACCCGGTGCAGATGGTACTGAGAAGAGAAAGAAACGTCCCGTGAGAAACCGCAGAACTGGTGGTCCACTGTCACTTCCCTCAACCAGGACTCGCAGCATGGCTGCATCAAGCGTGACCGCAGCCTCCTCTCCAGCCCCAACCGAGGCCTCCTCTGTCCAGCCCGAAGACGGAGCTACTCCCCTGGTGGACAACAATCAAGAACAGGATCAGGATCAGGATCAGGATGACGAAGGCGAAAATTACCCCAACAAGCGTCGCCGGGCTAACAGCGCTGAGCCCCCACGGTCAACCGAGAGCTCGCACACTCGTTGGGAACACGATGACGCTGTGGAAGCCCTGCGTCGTGCGATTCAGTCCAGTCCGGCGAGAAATATGGCAGGCCGCAAGGCTCCGACCTCGGATGACTTGACGCTTACCCCCAAGCCCTTGCGGCGGGCGTTGTTTGCCTCTTCCCACAACGAGAACGCTTTGAAAGAACTGGATGATGCTATGGTGAACAGTGGCTCTCCGAGACGCAGTCCAAGAATTGCTTCGCGTGGGGACAAGGCCCTGGAGAAGGAGAATATGGCGCCCACACCTAATGATGACCTGAACGAGCTCTTCGAGAGCCCATCTCTGGACTTTGAACTGCCTATCAGCCCAACCCCGCGTCGGCCCCACGCTCGTTTTAACATACATGAGCGACGACTTTCGTTGCCTTCCAACTCGCCGACTGCTAACCGACGCAAGGATGTTGGATCGGCTACCCCTTCGACTCGTCTCACCGCGGAACGCTTGCAACGTATCCAGGAAGGTCAGGATCAAACCCGCACCACACCTCGACAAAATCGAACCTCCAATAAGTCAGATATGCCCTCCTTGTTGGATTCTGCGGCATTCGAGTCTTTTGATGGCATGATTCTCGACATCTTTGACAATGCTCCTGGTCAGTCTGACTTCTTTGAGCTCGAGGGCTCAAAGGCTGATAATCAGAACTGGGCTGAGTGGCTTCCAACAGACTACGTCTCTCCCAATGGATCAGATGAAAACGCTGGAGCTTCAGAAGACTTCATTAATGCCATTCTTTCCGATCCCACCGTTCTCAAGGAGAATCTCCACAACTCACAATTCAATCCTTTCGCTTTCGCCGATACCCAAATCCCTGACTCGGGTTTCTTCAGCTCTGATGCTCTACACGCAGACCCCATGGGGATGCCCAAGCCTCATTCTGCCACCGAGCAGTCAAATGGCCAACAGTCGATGTCTCCCACTGTGTGAGCAATCTTCGGCCTCGACTTGGATATATCTTGTCCTTTTCATGTTTGTTTTATGTCTTAAGTTTTTTAGCGACGGCGTTTGGCTGGTACGATTTCCTTTGCTTATTGCTACACACCGACCTTGTCTTATCTACAGGCGGCTCTATGCTCTTGTTGAGCATACTCAGTTTTCCATTGTTCTGAATTATGACTGAAAGAACCCACAATCGGGTCCCCACCGTCTATCGCTGATGCGTTGTCTCTTTATTGCTCAGCTGATGATTGCTACCGGAATGCCTAGCGGCCCGGAATACATGAAAATAAAATCAAATAAAAATTCAAAATTACACTACAAGCATTTTCCATTCCCTTTCTAGTAAGTAGTGGCTTGAGGTTTTCAAATTTGCTAACTTGAACCTCTGACCGTCCATTTAAGCCTCCCTTATATATGCCTAGACATCTAGTAGTATTCAAATCACCAGTATATAAGGCCCAGGTATCTGATGAAATTGAGCGTCTTCATCTGAGAGAGACCAGCAACCATCCTTAATAATGAATTTTGGAAGGGAACAAGCAACATTTGCCATGGCAAAAACCTTAGAATTTGATCATAACCTCGTATAGTATGCAAATCGGAGCTAAGCCACCATAAGACCGTGGACAAAAAATGACAAATAGACAACGTAGTGCCATCAAACTTGCTACTCAAAGCAAGAAAACAATTATCCACCAGATCTAAATCGCGCTTTTATCCTTCTCCAGATGCCGTAAGAATCACACTACCTTTCAAAACACTTCAAATTCTTTACTCGGTACTGTAGAAGATGGTCTTGAAGCGGTGGGTAGCCTCGACAACATGCTCATAGATCTTGTAGTCTAATAGTGGTAATCAATCCAGTTAGCATAAGGCCTGTTACATTCGGTTTAGCTCAAGATAGAGACTCACCACAATCCGCCGGGTTACCCCAGTCCGTTGTCTCCAGGACTCGGAGTCCAACCTGAAGAAAGCAACCGTAAGTAATTTATTCCTCCAAATGCTGGTCTTAATGCTCGTTCCTGTTCAAGCTCAAGAAGAACAGAACAGGTCCAGGGAAATGCTCGAACTCGGCGAACTTACCCCACCATCAACATCAGTCACTTTCCCCACAACTTCGATAAGCTTCCCCATCTGCAAGTTCTCATCCGGAGTCAGAATCAGCGTCACATCTCCATGGGTACCGCAGGTGATCTTCGCTTGCTCGCCGTTAAGCGCGCTCACGGTGCCCAGAATAGAGACAGTGTGTATAGTGCCGGCGGCGGGGTTGTTGGGGTGGAAGTTGGAGAGGTGCTGCGGCAGGACGCGGGGTGTTTGAAGAGACATTTTAGATTGGCAAGTCTCGTAAGGTTTGGTTTGGGAGATGGTTGAGGGAGTAGGCGTTGTGAGAGTGCTTTGATGGAATTGAGCCGATAGACGCGTTGATAGGACGCGTGGGCACGTGATGGTGGGCTTTTTAAAATCAATGTAGATCGGGGGTGTCGAGCAGGTCAATGCAGCTATAAGTGGCAATCGAAAAATTGAATCTGATCAAAACAAACTAGAGTCTTATTATCATCATGGACTCAGTAATATTAAATGGGATCAGAGGTAATACTTGTTAATGGTCCTTTTACTATATTCTCACGTGACCATTATCAATTTCAATTGAAGCGGGAGCTCATGTCCTGCGACGTCAGACCTTCACAACTTGCGCCGTGATCCCCAATGGGTCCTTGAATCTTCAACACTGCTTATAACACTACATAAGATAACAAAACTGTGTTCAACTCATCTCCTACCCACCCCAATCACTACATCACCTCGAAAACATGCCTCCGCCCCTACCATCTTCCCACCGCGGGATGACCGCGAACCCGCTCAAACCTGTGGGCCGTTATCGGCCTGGAAAGCCAGTCGCGGAAGAACACTCATCATCTGAAGAGGAGGAGGAAGACGAAGATATCGAAGCGCAGAAAGAACAAGAACGAAAAGAGGCTGAGCGCCGGAGACAACAAGCTCCGAAAGCAAGCTCTTTCACTTCTGCGGCCGCCCGCAAAGCTGTCCAGGCAGAGCAGGATGATGACGAGGAAGGATTCGAGACTGACGAGGAGGATGAAGATGAGGAAGCACCAGCATCAGTACTCAAGGCTGCAGCATCAGCACAGACAGCTTCAGCAGAAGCTGTAGCATCCAAACCGGCTCCGGCAGCCGCCCCAGAAGAGAGCGAAGGCGAAGAGGAAGAGGAAGAGAGCTCAGAAGAAGAGAGTAGCTCGGAGGATGAAGCGCCCCGGCGCATGTTGATACGGCCCACATTTATCAAAAAGGACAAAAGAGGACAAGGCGCAGATCAAGCACAAGCCGCAGCTAGTGCCGCAAACGCCGAAGCTGAAGCTGAGGCACGCCGCCAAGCTCAAAGACAAGAAAAGGCGGATCAACTAGTGCGCGATCAACTCGAGAAAGACGCAATTGCACGCTCATCAGCAAACCGGGCCTGGGACGACGACGAGCTAGAAGTCGACGATGAAGAAGCCATCGATGACAAGGACGGTGTAGACCCAGACGCAGAGTACGCCGCATGGAAGCTCCGAGAATTAAAGCGAGTTAAGCGCGAGCGCGAAGCTATCGAGGAAGCTGAGAAAGAGCGCGAAGAGATCGAGCGCCGACGCAACCTTACAAAAGAAGAGCGTGATCGCGAAGATGCCGAATTCATCGCACAGCAAAAGGAAGACCGCGAAGCCACCCGCGGCCAAACAGGCTTCATGCAACGCTACTTCCACAAGGGAGCGTTCTTCCGCGACGACCTGGAGAAAGAGGGACTGGATCAACGCAATGTCATGGGCCGCCGGTTCGCGGATGATGTTGCGCGTGAGACGCTGCCTGAGTACATGCAAGTGCGTGATATGACCAAGCTGGGCAAGAAAGGCCGTACTCGTTACCGCGATCTCAAGTCCGAGGATACAGGCCGATTTGGTGGAGGGTATCAGAATCGCCGGAACGATAATGGTCCGCCTATTGGCATTACTGATGAGCGGTTTATGCCTGATCGGGGGGAGGATCGGGGCCAGGGACCGACTGGGCCTACGGGTGCCAATGCCAGCTTTGTTCGACCGAGGCGGAGGTCTAGATCTCGTTCTCCACGGAGGGATAGACGGGATAATCGGGAGCGAAGTCGCTCTCCGGAGAGGCGGAAACGCAGCCCGTCTCCGTATGAAGATCGGGATAAGCGCCGACGAGTCGATAGTTCATGAACAATACTATATCCACTTTGTGAACATGGCGTTGGAAGGATTCTTTAGCCAAAAGCTTTGCATTGCTGTTGTTATATACTGGTATATACTTTTCCAGCAAATGATACACCCATCTACGCATTTCAAATATTTAGTCTTTAGCGTGCTGCTTCAGGCCAGGATATTCCTATTATCCATATAAGTAACGTCCTGGTCTCCAAAGATCCCATGACTGCCTTAGCATATCGGCAAGCTGGTAGATCTACAGGAAAGCAAAAGACAATCGTTACAGACATTGCTCGGATCATCTCATCAAATCCCCGCTAGAGGATAGGTAAACATTGGTTCTATAAAGTCCGTCGTCAATAAAGTGGAAGACCTATTTAATGCCCGCACGCTCCAAAACCTTCTCACGCTCCATAACACTGTCCCCAAATCTCACAAGGAAAACCGTCCGCGAAGGCCACATCTCCGTCGGCTGATTATGCGTCGAAACCTTAGCCTCAAACCCACACCCATCACACACGCCCTCAATAATACCCGCCACAAAGGCTGCGCAGTTAAGCATACTCATCTCCCGCGGCACGCTGATATAGGTATTGACCAGCGGGTCGTTGTCGGTGATCATGTATTCGTTAGGCGTATCCGGGGAGACGGAGTGCTCGAGAGCATCTGCTGAGCGCTGGAAGAGGAGGCGCCAAAGTGGGCCGTGAATGAGGTGGAGGAGGGTTAGGATGCGGAGAGGTCTGTTTGGTGGTGAGGAGGATGTTGAGGAGCTTGAGAGGGCTGAGGATGAGGTTGATGTTGCTCTGTAGAAGAGGAGGTCGAGGAGGCGGAGGCCTAGGGGGTATCCTTGTTCATTTAATCTTGGATTGTGTTAGTGGGATGATCGGAGGTTGGTTTCGGAGGTAGAGCTCATTGAAAGATCTCTTGGAAAACGTAGAGGTCGTACCGTTTCTCTAGATCTTGAATGCCCGTTACCCTCCGCTGGGCATATGTGACCATCTCCGCAAATAGATAGGCGAAGCTTGCCCGGCTGGACTCCGCATTGCGGCTGCGGTTCAGATGGCGGTCGTAGATGGTTTTGCGATTGGAAGGCACACGGAGGCCTTGTGTTGGAGCTGGGCTTTGTGGCTGCTGCGGCGCTTGTGTTCGGTCACTGGATGTGGATTGCGGCGTTGCGGCGTTGCTGATTGACAGCATGGCCGAGTGCCTGGGCGCGGCCATGGTGTGTAGAGAAGGATGCAAATAGGTGGTGGGATTGAATTGGTGAGTTAACGATCAAGGATGAGGGTGCTGGTCAACTCTTGAGATTATGTATTCGTCATATGTTGTTGGTGGTTTGAGGGGTCAAGCTAACTTCGTCTCCGGTCGTCGCGATGTGGATGCGATCTACGGTGGAGCACATCAGCCGCGAATGCAACTCGTGGAAGATATCTATGTGAACAAAGGTTCTACGTCGTTGGTCGTACATTTACAGGAAAAGAGTTTAAAGTAGAGAAGATGATTTGAAAAGAGTAGATTTCATTCATGAGTCTAGACAGGATGGCTGCGCAGACTAGTAGGCCGTGCAACGGCTACATAAGCACCAGAAAAATTTTCAAGGTGCTGAAACCAGTATGCCAGACCGTCTAAGAAGCGACAACCAACGAGTCAAGACCCAGTTTGTTCTATATATAAAGATGTGGATCCAAGAGCGAAGTCAAGCCTATTCTGAAACCACTGTTAGTGAGGTTCATGGAAAAGTTCATATATATATCACACAAAGGGAAATAGCCAATTCAATCAGACATCCAAGGAAGTAATTGCGCACATTGATCCCGAAAAAGGTTCGATTGGGCCTAGCGTGGAAACTGCGAATGTAGGAACTTTTTCATCATATGAATTGGGCCCGAAGACCCTTGGCTATTCCCGATCGCGAGAAAAAAAAATCAAGTCAAGAACTTACCAAATTAGTGAAGCATGTCGAAGAGAAGAGAAAAAGGAAAAGAAAAGTCTGCGTTGTGCTACAGAGTTCGCATTAGAACTGTGTTGCAGTTGCAAGAGATGATGAAAAGAAGAAAAAAGTTTCGGGGTGCGAAACCGCCTTTTATAGGGCGGAACCAGCTGCCCCGGAAACCAATCTCAAGCGAATATATCCACTTAAGCTCAGAAAATTTTTTTCAAGACTATGGATATCGTAAACAATACCAGTATTTTCAAGTGAAGAGATTTTTCAGGCTATCAGGCTCTCAAGCTACAAGAATTCCATATCTACAGTCTAGCTAGTAGTGTTCGCCATATGATCAGAAGCAAGAAAACTTGAAATTTCAGATTCGCAAGACATAAACTCGTTAGTTCACCAGTCACGTTCCCATAAAGACCTGGCCTTATTTGAAACTCTTCTGTTTCGTACGAGAGTTCCAATTCAGCGTTTTCGAAATGCTGTGCACCCAGTCTTCGCCCCGTCGGTCCTGAGGCAAGACATTGGCAAACGGGTATCTCGACGCCGACACTGTAACATAGTCGCCTGGATGTAATTCTACTCTCTCCCGACCATCGAAACTGGCCCATGAACTAGTCCGGGCATCGTAGGGAACACCCATACGCAACACGATGGTATCGGGAAGGATGATCGGACGGAATGAGAGAGTATGGGCACAAATGGCCGTTACCAAGATCACCGGATTCTCGGGATGAGAGAGCGATCCCCCAGCCGCGAGGTTGTACGCTGTCGATCCCGTCGGTGTGGCAATGCAAATTCCATCGGCAAGCAGAGTAGTGAAATGCTCGTCGTCGCCAAATAGCTCGATTGATGACATGGCTGGGGTCGAGTGGTTAGCGATATCATCTCAAACGGTTAAGCACATCAAGAAACGTACTTGGATTGGGTCCACGGTCCAGGACAACATCATTCAGAATCTCGTATACTCGATCCGGAGTATGGGTCAATGTATCTTCCCCTTCCTCGCCAATCAACTCCTCCACCAAGTCGCGACTCGTCAAAGTGCGACTATGCGGATCTTTCAGCCGCGCCTTGCTTCTCATAATCGTACACTCAAATCGCAACCGAAGACTGACAACCACACCATCTCGAAAGGCGTTTTCCAGAATCTTTTTATGATCAGCAAAGTCAAAGTTTGTCAAGAAACCCAATGACCCAAGCGCAAATGACAGAACAGGCGGGACAATACGCTGGAATAGCCAGCTAGTATAGAGAACTGTGCCATCCCCACCGAGGGTGATCACAAAATCAAAAAGGTGGGGCTGTTCCTGTGCGAGCTTAGGATCCCAGAACTTGAGCCGACCCTGGGCTGTTGGTTCATCCTGCAGTAACTGCAACGTCCCAAAGTCCGGATGGGTTTCCATGCGGCGTTCCACGTAGACATTGTACGGCGCATCACGATCCTTAGAGAGTAGCCAGCGAGTCACCTTCCTAGTTAAGCTCACTAAAGACTCATCATGTGTCTTGCTCACGATGAAGACGTTCTTCACCGTCAGTTTGAGTTTGATGCTTCCTAGCTTCTTCGAGAGCTTCCGCACGTTCCAAGCCATGTCGGATAGCTGGCGCTTTGTCAGATGTCGGGATTGGATTACTGTGGGTTCGACCTTGAGCGTTTTGTTATCGCTATCGACAATGGAGACGACATTATCATCGCCAAGGGCCTTCGCATCGACGGCAGGTTCATTTTCGGTCACAGCATTGATCACATCTTGCCTATCAAAAGCTTTGGGTAAGGGCGCTGCCCATTCGCCCGCGATGAGTGAATGCACATAACAAGCTGTCGTCCTGTCCTGTGGATCGTGGTGTCTCATTCGGGGTTTCTCCATGGTCACTAGGGAAGATTTGCGGCGGTGGCTGGAATCGGGGTAGAAGACGACCTGGTCGGGGGTTAATTCCGTAAATGAATGCATGCTATGTTGATTTTTGCTAGCTCACCTCCAGCTGGTTCTGCGGCTCCGTATCACTGGCCCCTCCGTGGCTCTAAGAAGCATGGATCAGTTCCAATTCCCTGGACATAACCCCGCCATCCCAGCACGTACCTCGTCCACGGCGGCCGAAGATGCACCTCGGTCATCGTGGTCCATCGCGCGCAGATTCTGGACTTTTGTGTGTGCTAATCAGACCAGCATAGTGGATTGAGGACTGGTAGTGAAGGCCCAGTGTTGGTGCGATGGAAAAGAGATGTATGGCTGGGGAAAAGCGGATATGACGTAGGTCCCCTCATTCCTTGCAAGACCTCCATAGCTCGCTTGCTTTACTTGTGTGGATCCCTCTTTATATTCCTTTACTGTGTGATTATGTCGATCCTTGCGAATTAAAATCTGTAATTTAATTTATATAGATCGAAACCTTCAATTGGTCGATCCCGACTTTTACCGCGATCTAAGTCGATTTCGGTACATAACGAAGATCCCCCGGAAGGACGGAAATTCAACTGGGGTTTCAATTGGTTTACTATCTCTACATTGCATTCTTCATCTCTCTCAAAGCAGCCATCACATCCACCGGGTCGGTCTTGCCCGTCACTTTCTGGATCTCGGGGTCCTAGATAAGCAATGTGAGTATCTGACTGTAGATGTAAAGAAATAAAACTTACATTGACACGCATAAACACGTTGTGGAGCTGCAAATAATCAGTTTCTATCGCAATCAAATCACACATTTAAGTACATACCTTTTCGTCACCAATGGTAAATTTGCCCTGGGTCTGCTCGTTCGCCTCAGCAAAAGCTTGAAGCTTCTTAATAGGCTCAGACTGGGACACTGCAATGCAGAACTTGACATTGGCCTTTGTGTACTCGTGACCGGGCTGGATTCTGTCAGCGGGAAGTCTCCTGAGATATAAGGATTACATACATAAACCTTGGTATCGTCGGGCAGAGCTGCCAACGTCTCATTCAATGCCTTGTTCATCTCCGCAGCGTTTCCTTCGAAGAAACGACCGCATCCTGGCAAGAAACTTGTTAGGATTGACCTATCTATGGCATGGGCTAATTCTTACCGCCAATAAACAAGGTGTCACCAGTGAACACAGCCCGTTGGTCACCATCTTGCATGTAATAACAGATGCTATCCTGGGTGTGACAAGGGGTGTATAAGGCCTTGACAGAGATGCGCTCTCCAATTTTGAAGACCTCACCATCTGCCGGGGTAGTGGTAACAGACTGGCAATTGGAGCCTCCAATGACGGGAAGCTTGCCAAACTCTCTCAACTAAAGAAGGTCAGTCAAATCCATGCCGGAACAAGTACTATGACAATATTTACCATCTTATCGTTGCCCCCAGCATGATCCCAGTGGCTAAATCATTAGTATCAACAGTGTTGGTGTCACATTCAGTTGCATCAACATACTGGTGGGTGTTGACAATAGCAGTCAAATCAATCTTGCCTGCACTAATCTGCGACTTCAACTCAGGTGCCACCCTAGAACCCAGCAAGGTTAGCTAAGCATTCATCAATGCACCTTACAATTTCAGATATAACTGACTCTGGGGGGTTTGCCGGGTCAATAATAACCGACTTCTTGGTTGGCTCATCTGTCACTAGGTACGCATAGTTATTGCCCTTCCCCGTCCCTGCAAGAGGAAATATTAGCTCGGCAGAAAGTATGCTACTCTTTGGTAGCTATTTGAGATCCGTGAAGCTCCACTTACACATAGGAATCGACTGGATATGCATGGCTCGGGCTTGTGAAATTAACGGACGAGAACGGAATACTCGAATTGCTTTTGCAAAACTCATTACCAATGGAATGTCTCGTGCGGGGAGAGGTTATGACATTAGCTGTACAGGTCCGGATTACATATCAAACGTCATGCGGAGAAATGGTTTGTCCGTGACGACCTTACTAATGGTACGATGTCTGATTGGTCTTCTAATCATTTCGTAGAAACGCTCAATATCAAAGTGGGGCAACATTTTCAACCCTTGAGCTCAGCAACTGCTAATGCTATGAGTGAATAAGTGATTTCTGAATTCTCTTTGAGTGCTGCCAGCAGCACCGTTTACTATATTAGATAGATCTAGTGAGCCGAGGCAACACCCAGAGGCCGACTGTCCCACTTCTCAACAGGCCCCCATCCATGCGCAAGCAGCGTCTCATCAACACCAGACAGCACAGGGCGATCACTGTTCTGCGAAGCAATTTTCTTAACAGAAGGGCCCTGAGAGCTTTTCTGAGAAGAAGGCTTGTTCTTCCGCACACCGCCATGCTCGCGTAACCTATCGCTCAACATCTTAGCCCAGTAGTTCGGGTTTTCATCGCATGCACTGAGAATGTAATTGCGAGAGCAGTATGGCTGCTGAGATTCCCAGGAAGATGAAGTCAACAAATGAGTCAACCAGAGGAAGTACGCCTCGGCGACCCCGTCTCGAGGGGATTGCCTTGAAGCATCGAAAACAAGCTTGTGTACTAGCTCCTCCGATAGGTACATCAAGAGCGAGTGATGATGTTCAGTGATCTTCTGCAAGACAGGATCCCACTTTTCAAAGTGACCATTCATAGACTCTCCGATTCTAGCCGATTTAGTCAGCAACAATGCTTTCGAAAACTCACTCGATAGAACTTACTTTCGCTCAGAACCAACCAGCAAGTACTCATCTAAGAGGACAGTAGGTAGCAACCTCACAGCCTCGTTCGACTCGCCACAGATCGAAATTAGATCAGTCGAAACAGAGATCTCCTGATCCCGCTTCCGCTTCTTCGGTTGCTCCGTTGACCTAGAGCCAGTGGAGAATTCCCGCAAAACGCGAGTAAGCGCACTCTGAACGGACGCGCTATCGCCACGATCAACGTTAGATACGGCGCCCAGATCGTCGATCTCGGCCCAGTAGTTATCCCAGAGCCACTCAAGAGAGCGCTGAGAAGCCTTGCGAAGGACGACCAAGGATGGCGGTTCCCGGTGAGTCGCTTCGTGACGCAACTCAACAAACGACGCGGGTAAACCCAGATCCATAGCGCGCTGAAACATAGTCTTGCGTGGGCCTTGGACCTTGGAGTCGACGAGGCCAGTAACGAACCTAGATAGCCCGTTAGCTCGGTTCAAATGGATAGGAAGAAATCCCTTTAGAACAGAACACAGATTGGCCTGAGTTATATATGGTAATACATACCGGCAGAACGCAGCAGAGTAGGTAGCTCGAATAGAGAATATCGAATTCATCTGCGCATTATCGTGGAGAATAGCGTCCGTCAGAAGGGCTGTCGCCTCAACGTGATGCGGGACATTGCCACGAAGTTTCCAAGCTTCCACCTATGATTCCCAGTCATGTTAGTATCTCGGTTTTTCTAGACATCTTAATGATTGAACATACCACCGCGCAAGCATGACTGCGCATATCTGGGCCATCATAAGACGGCGATGGATAGAACTCGCTCCGCACCTCCGCCAACTGCGACTTATTCTTCCATGCTGTGAAAATGACTTTAGCCATTTCCAGGTCCTTGGTCTTATGGACTTTTTTTTTCTAGATTCCCAAGGTACTATCGATTAATGAGCTTCGCTATATTCGCATCTTTTCTTTGACTGGAGGAAATATTTTCGGGTGATTGTTGATCCATTGGGAGAGTTTTGCCGATGCTTAAAATATCCAGGCCAATCAGAGGCTTGGTAAGTGCACGTCATTTTCTTCAAATAATGATTTAATTTTTGTTTCTTTTTACTTTTGATGAATCTTGGTGTTGTCATGATCATTTTGATTTCATTTGGTTTTCATTTGATTTAATTCTAATACTAGCACACTAGTGATGTTGAGTAATAAGCTAAACTATGCCCGGGGTATCCATTTGTGTTGACTCCGGCCTTCCAGAAAAAATTCCAAAATAAACTCCATGCTATGCCGCTGTTGCGATAAATAGAAAGAAAAATGTAGTGTTGAGTCGATCAAATCCACCCATAACCGTAGCTCATGCACGATTGGTTCAGGCTAGCGAAGGGTGCTGACGGCATTGTTTGCTGATCCATGTCATCGTGGTCGAAAAAGAAGGACTTGTGAAGAAGGTTCAACGCTGGTTGAGCGTACTGCCTTGGCTGCGACACATGCTGTGGCATGGGCGCTGGTTGCTGCGACATGCTCTGTTGAGGAACAGGCTCCATATCGTTCTCGTCGTCATCTTCGTCTTTTTCGTCGTCAGATGGCGAGAAAGTTTCCTCGAGCTTCAGCCCCTTTCCCAAAATACCCTGCTGCGACTGGCTCATAGAACCATTCGGTTGGCTGTAGAGTCCCATGCCGACCAACTCCTCCTCAGGCTTGCCCTGCTTCTTTTCTTGGATTGAGGCGGGCGAGTCAAATTGCTGGATAGGAAGAAAGTCGGGAGTCGATGGACCACTGAGCTCTCCAGGGGAAGGCACGCTGGCGTAGCTGGGGCATGTAGTCTCGGGTGGAGGGATGTTGGCCATTGACAGCATATCAAGTGACCAGCCATCAGAAGTTGTTTGCATGGTCGACATATCGACGGGGTTGGAGCCAGTATCCCATGCCATTGACTCGACCTGCGAGTTGGGCATGGTGTGTTGAAGAGGCATGGCGTCGTTGGTGTCGAGGTAGAAGGGGATGTAACTATCCGGTGAGAGCGTAGCGTCGGCAGACATTGGATATGAGAGCATATTCTCGCTACCATAAACAGAGAGAGCATTCATGTCGAGAGACTGATTGGGAATGGTGCTCATGTCGGCATAATTCTCTTGGGTGTAATCAGGAAAGTATGTTGAGTGAGAAAGGCCCCTGGTCCTGGCTGAAGATGGATGCCAACTGATAGGACGAGGGTTGCGAACGGCAGAAGCCAGAAGAGCGGCTTCCAGCGATGATTGATACTGATTAGGAACTCCCTGCATCCCACTCTGAGCAACTGTAGTCCTCCTCCTAGCCATCGATGATGGGCTATTTCCAGCACTCCTCGGCTTCATGACACGAGAGTGTCGGGGCCGAGGGAAAGCACGGGCCCAGTCCTGCATTTGCATGTTGTTGGAGGGGCTATAGGCATACTCTGGAAGCCATGAAGAGCCAGTCGAAGAGGCTTGTGATTGATAGCAGTAGTCGGCCATAAAAATGTCGGTTGGTGAAAACGTGGTAATAATTTCCTTTCTATTCCTGAATAATGCACTGGAAAGTCCCAGGTAGGAGTGACGTAGTGTTTTGTTGTAGGAAGTGTTAGTCAGGAGAGAATAGAAACCGAAGTTCCTAAACAGGAACAACGGTTGATTTTATGGGTATGGGAGAGTGAAGATCCAGGAAGGGTAAGCGATATTATAAGGGAATCCAGGGAGCCTGGCGATCTACCACCCGCCCCAGGTCCACGATCCCACCGCAGAGGATGACACGACGTTGACACTAACGAAACGAGCCTAGTGGCAGAACCACAGGGCATGGAACGGGTCGAATCCATAATCAGGAATCAGGCGCATACTGTTTCGGCCAAGGGCAGAATATTCCGGAGTACAGAGTGGAGATTGGTGCGTGGAACATTTTGCGGCGAACATGGGGAAAGACAGAGTTTAGTGGTAAGGACCCACTATTACCAAATGGACGTGGACCCTCGGGCTCTTGTTACAAAATTACTTGTAAAGTATTTTACTTTTTCACCCCCTAGAGCATCAATACTAGACTCCTAACCTGGAATGTTGCGATCCGATCCGATCGGCGAATACAACCTCCCTTGAAAATGGTCTCCATTGATCAGCCCTGCAATAAGAATGCGAATGCGAGATGGTCGGGCCCCCATAGTGTATGGTAGCGTCACAACCAGATCAGAGCCCGTTACGCAAGGGTTACCAATGTGGTCGTTTAAGATCGACTCGCACATCCTTCGTGTTCCTTGTAATCGAGGTGGCTTGCCAAGTGGAGTTTGTCCAATCTACTGGGAAAATATGAACTGATGACTCCGTCATGGTGCTTTGTCACGCCCTTTCCCAAGACGTTCTAGATCGGGATTTGGCGATGAGGGGGCAGCTCCCTTCTTTGTACCGTGCATACCCGGTGATGTTTCTTTTCTCCGCTGCATGCGCCCTCTTCCGGAGTACATGATGCAGGAGATGCATCTTTGCCACCAAAAGCGATCGTCTTTTATTCCGATCCCAGAAAACGGACAAGACACTTTCGGCTCTTCAGTGAGCCAATCAGAGGGGTCATCAAATGGAACTACGCTCCGTTGGCTTGCATGTCAATCCCAATATCACCTGAGTCACCACTAATGTCTACTGTATGGACCTAATAAAGTGGTACTACAGAACTGCCAATGTGCGGTTGTACGCAGGGTGGACCTGTTTCATTGAAAGACCGGTAGCCCGTGTACCGCCACAAGAGTTCGTGTTGAACAACGTCGTAGGGGCGGGAAGCTCGGCAAGCGTAGAACGTGGAGCCTGAAGTTTTCAGTTTCCTCTTTGGGGTTCCATGTTTCTAAAAGAACCATGTTAGCGCTAGTAGGAGTCAAACGCCCCCAACCTCTACAAGGATCCAAACGTCCCATGTACTATATATTAACCTGGAAAGCAAACAAGGATCTCAATGTGACCAGTTCCCTGCACGTCTCTGGACGAGTAGAAAGGGTCGGAGCCAATTTCCTTCAACCTTGTGGAACTACAACGGGATGGATTCAATAGATATTGACCCGCATGGTCTGTGAGCAGATTTTGAGGATAATTGAGCAGGTGGAAGAGTTTTGGGATTTCATATTAATTAATATGGGTCCAAGACCCATTCTGTGTCACCGATCAGGAAACGGGCGGTAGAGCCACCATTCACAACGTGGCCGGGCGGATCTGATCGTGCTTAGCGCTGGGCTGCCAAAGCCGAAGTTCCTTACGACGCCCGGACCTCCGGGAACGGGCTTGACGTTTTTTTTCTTTTTCTTTTTTCTTATTTAGCTTTCCTTGCTGCGTACCCGCTTATGATCGTAACTATTTAATTTTAATTTTCTTTTCCTTTTTCTTTCCTTTGATCCACTCTATCGGTAATGGACCCCCTATCTGATTTGCTTTTGATTTGATGAAATCAGACCTTTAGACTTGCATTCTAGTAGGAAAGGAGCTAGTCGATTAATCTATTTTTCTTTTCTTTTTTCATTTCCCTAGCACTAGCACCTGCACGATGTCATCTGCCGTGGGATGCCTCATTGAGCAAGGATTCGAGACCAATGCAAAACACCCACTCTGTCCACATCATTACATAGTGATCCAAGGCCGTGTACCGCTCGGAACGCAGTTGCATGTATCCACTTCATGCACTGCAGGGGCCACTGGTAAGAAAAAATTGGAGACAATCATCAATTTCCAGAAGCTCAGGGGGCCACTAAGAGACTTCGCTGTTCTCTCTGCCCCCTTTAGGTGGAGTCAACGCTGACACAATCTCATAAATTGCCGATCTCTGGAGTATGTGAACTCACCGCAGCGGCAGAGCTCCCAATTGAAGATGGATCCTTTACTGGCCGAGAGACAGTCCCAATGTATGTCCTACGCAGAGTCGCAATGGCCGGAATAGAGGTCGCTTCGGACACTAGGTCATTTCGGCCTTTTTACCCAATATTGGGATCATCCCCTATCCCCTCCAAGTCTTTGACTTATGCAGTGTGATACGAACCTATCCTGATGGAGGCGGTAATATGACATAGTTAAAAAGCCGAGGTATCAGGGCACCTGTTAGAAAGCAAGTATCATCAGCCCTGCATTCCAAGGCACAAGGCAAAAAATAAAGTAAAAATAAAGTAAAAATAAATGAAAAAAAGAAATTTTGCAAAATGAGAAAACCAAACCAGTGCTCCACCATGCACCATACCAATGAGAATGGGCGGTCACTCTCCGAGACCCGACCAGACCTGATCCGGGGCTGATCTTCTTTTGTCGCGAGCCTCTTTTTGTCCTTCCTTTCGCATCCCCACTCGCCTAATCCTCCGACGCGTGCTAGCGTTCCTGGGCAACCTTCCCACTGACCCCCGCCCAGAAAAGTGATAGTTAAAGCGGGGCTAAATCAGCCTTCCTTGGTCTTCCAGACGTTTCAGTCGGGCTTCACGATTACCCGAATTCCTGTGCTCCTTTGTTTGGTATCCTGTAGCCTTGACTTTTTCTTAGCCCCAAGGATGCGGAAGGAAGCTGCGGGCTAAATCCATTTGGATTACCTTAGTGGCATGTCATCAACTTCTTACGGTGTAGCATCGTGCGGATGACCACCGCCCCCATAGGAGCCGTGCGCAATGATATCAAGGTCGAGTAATGTGATGATTAATAGAGAGGGGCCTCGGTCGGATTTCCCCTAGTTACTGGGATTAGCGGTGCGCCCCCTCCTAGGGGTTATTGCGACGATCTTTTCAAAAAAAGCTTGGGACCAATTATCCTCCGATGGCTTTAACGGTGTACGAATTGTACCCTGTACAGTATAGAGCTCCTGACTTTAACTAAAAATGGGCTGAAACCATGGTTTCTGCCGTCCCCCGATAGGCTACAGCATCAATAGTAGGCTGTGCTTCAAGAACTATGATTCTACTGGCCATGTACAGAGTCCAGTCTTTGCTGTACGTTTACGTTTACATCTGGTGTAGATGTAACCGGTGATTCTTATTGGTTCCCTCCAGACAACAGCGCTGTCACACAGCGTCGCTCGGGTCTTCTTTGAGACACGTAGGCTGCAAGTGCACGATAAGGGATATGCAGCCTCAGCAACGACCATCGGTTACGAGGTACCTTTAAATGCCCCCATGATTAAGTTCTGAACTCGGTTTTACCCGTGCGCCTGCGTCGGGCACAATTCGGAGCTTCATGCAGGCGACCATCTTCAACTCACTCGGATCCTGACGCCTGAGGCGCGGCGCCACACAAGGTCCAGGTGCTAGTGGGGCAAGACGATCTGGCCGAGTGAGAAGTGGATCTGAAAGCTGACCGTCACACACTTGCGTTGCCTAGTGGCGGAGCGCATGCTAAGAGAATTGTCGAGCCCAGAAGCGGTCAAGCCCAGGGGTTGGGCCAATCAGCTTTCATGAGCTCGACATTACTGGTTTCTCGACATCCCTTCCCAATCTATGTGCAACAGCTTCTCTACCAAGTCAACTCCCCAGCTTTGAGAGAGAATGGTGGATCCACCTCGGTCGCTATGGCCCATATTGAGAGTCAGCTGCTACAATGCTACGCCTTGCGGTCAAAGGGGAGATGAGTCCGACACGGCTCGACGGGGTTCCATCGGCCCCATGCAGGGGTCGATCCTGCTCTCATCCTCTCATCCGGCTTGATATTACTACGTAGGGCACATCAGTGTATACATCGTGACACTCAGACATACCTCTTCCCCCCTGCGAAAAAGGACGATCGGTACAGCTGAGCGCAAGGGTATCAACGGCGCATCCGAGCTGCAGTGAGATGGCACACCTGCACCTGATAAATGCCGACCTATGTCTGGGTCCTGATTGACAATTTGACTTTATAGGCCCGTGGAATGAGGGGAGGATTCTGGAGATCTATCCACCTGTCCTCGAGCGTTGGCATCTTGGCTACAACGTACATGAAGGGGGTGAACACTGAACAGGGAAAAAAGCAAAGAATGCCCAATGGATCCACTGATGGACTCTGTACTTTGTAGACCTTTCACGACTCATTCCATCACATCAGCTGGCAACACAAGTTCACCGTATCCAAGTCCAGGATTTGTGTGCCCGACACCGACTATTGATAAACCTAGACGCCTATTTTCGAGGATCAGTGGGATATATACTTTGCCCCTCCTAATATTGTGTGTCCCACATCGTACGTACGCCCCGTGGCACAATTTCGGGCACATCTAACAAAGGAAACTGTAACCATCACCCACTAGTACATCGCTACAGTATCACTAGTCGATACAATCTGCATTGTCCATGTTCAAATGGGGGCCAAGATCTTTAGTATACTCCGGCACTCCGTCTAAACAGTCCGATCAATCACAGCCAAGAACGAACCTTGGAACCGGCGATCTTCAACTCTGCAGCAATTCATGGAACAGAAAACCCTGTCCTTTCCAAGGGAGGCTCCACATATGCCTATCCCTTCCCAAATCGCCAAAAACATGGAGTTCCCGTACCGCTTGTCTCCGTCGATAGTCTAAGGTGAGAGGCCCCTCGTGCGTCAATGATCCAGTTTTTCTTTTCAGTCCCGCAAATCAATTCCTGTCTGTCTTATCCGATGGAGTCGGCTCGTAACCCAAAACTAAATCCCAGGACCAAGTCCAAGACCCAAAGAAAGCAAAAAAAAAAGTTTCCTTTCCACGCAAGTTGCCCGGCAAATCTTGTAGATCACGCAGCACTTTAGTGGAGATTTGCTTTTTCTTTTTGCTGGTTGCTGGCTACCAACGGGTACAGAGACTATTGACTTTTTTCTTTCCTTGTCCCCGCCAAACTTCCCTTCCCCCCCCTCTCTGTTCCCTAGTTCAATCTGACTTGACCCTAGGCCCCCCTGCGACATACTTTTGGGATTCACAGGAAGTAGTGCATCCATAGTGTGTGCTAGTCTCAAGATCCATCGGGCGCATCGGGTAAATAGTCAGGATTTCATTTTTCTGATGCAGTATCGGCCGATCAATGGATCATGTGCCTATTAGCCCCCACCTACAACACAAAGATTTAGAGCTTGAAGTCCAATCTCCGTGGAAAACCCATGGCAATACGAAGCCGAGATCCCACCTATAGTTGACTGGCACGGAAAGATTACAGTCAGAAGATGACCGTAACTGGGCTGGGGGCCTCGGGAGTTGTATACGATGTACTCCGTACAGTATGTGCGGAGTAATGGATTTGTTGGGAGCGACTTGCGGTTTGCTGGTGAGATCTGGATATGTTTTCCGGAATCCGCGGGACCGGCCACGTCTGAACGATGACGCCAGATTCATCTCACAAACTTCGGTGTATCTGGAGTGCTGGAGTGTACGATGTACATCTGTGCATGACATCTACCGCTTGAAGCGGAGTAAGCTTCCGAATGTTAGGAAGTACATAATCTAGGCAGGACTGTATGCGCAAAAGGCTACAGCCATTCGGGCGTATGCATGCATCTTATCAGTGCGCGTGCGAATGTGAGCTAGCGACTGATGACGCAAAGCTATCTGCCTGGGGGAGGTATGTGAGTCAATGGGCCTAGACTCTAATAACCAGGATGCTGGTATGTCTGCATTCATGTGAATAATCGGTCAATGACTTAGTATGGCACCATCCACTACAAGTTTCAACGTAAGGGGTTGGAAGTATTGCTTGTTGATGTGAGGTTGCACGGTATACTTGCATTGGATATTTACATATCACAAGTTAACATGGATGTCTGAAATGCAGGCAATTTTTTCTAGCCAGTTCTTGTTGTTTCTGTACTTTTAATGTTGTTTATCTTGTTCCTTGAATTAGGCTGCTGCCAACTGGCTGGACTTGGGTCTAGGCCCTACCCCCATGTCCAGAGGCAGATTGCAATGCTTATGATTCTAGGCAGATGCCCTTGTAGCAGTCATTACGTATGATTTATTTATAGACCGAATGCTCATGCCTATGTAGTGATAGGCGGAATGTGAATGCGCCGATGAGCATGATCAAAGGCGGAGGGCAATATACTCTAGAAATCCCGAGGTCCACATGTAAACCATCACCTAGATAGAATTGCAGAATAGGTTTCTGAGAGTATCCGATTCCAAGGGGTATGAATATTAATCCTAAGGTTCAATTTCTGGTAAGGGCATCTGGGTATCTTAATTGGCAAGCTGCCCGCTGGAAATGGCTATGGCTGAAGGCATGTCCAAAATATATAACCAATCATTGTGACATTACATTTTCGAGGCAATGATTACGAAATTGAGAGCACTGACACATGAAATGACCAGAATAAAGAGTAAGAAGAAAAGTGCCCATATATTAGAGATGGTGATATTTTAAAGACCATCACAGATAGTCCACTTAGTTAAATGAGATTGAAAGGTGGCCATCTATTTCCGTTACCACAACCTTAAATTCCGACCGTTTATATATACAGACGGCTTGGACAGGACGTTACAAGGTTCTGAAAAGGAAACTGCCTAGCTCTATCTCAGGGTATATCGCAAGATCAAGTGTTCGAGACAGGGACAGCTCTAGTCCAGGGCTTCACACCCATCAAACAGAATGTCTTCTCGCATTCCATGTCTACACCAGCAACCCAAAACAGTGCGCCGAGGCGAGTCATCACTGCACATATCCAACAGTAGGGACGCAATACGACTGATGTTTCGTATTAATGAAGGTGTAATAGTCCCCTCCATGAGCGTCCAGGACATTTTAACTTCTATGCTTGCCACGATTTAATTCACGACTCGCCGGATATCAAAGTCCATTTGCTCGGCAGCAATTACAAGGCTTCACCACGCATCCGAAAAAAAGTCCCATGCGACGAGCGCAAGCTGTGGAATCACCGCGAGCTCGAAGCCAGAAGGGGTATACTGCGGACAAGGGTGGTTATGTCCAATCTAGCATGAGAGGCGGCAAAAATTGCTGATGAAAGATATCGGCACGATTTATGGAAGACGTAATGTTTCTGACAGGTTGACCAGGGAGATGCGGTGCCCACGGAACCAACACAGTCCTGGAGGGTTTCACGACGCAAGAGAGCGTTGAGCAGACATATCCAAGTGACGAACTGCCTTGAAAATGGATGAGAGATCTGAAAGGACTGAAGGGCGAAAGTGAGGAAGCAGGCGGTTGTTTCGGACGTGGAGAAGCATGTAGGTGTGTTGCAGACTTGGTAGATATGCTAGATATCGGTACGTTGACGAGCTGTTGAATTGACTCGATGGATGTAGATAGATCCAGACGCAACGTGGAAAAGTCTGATGGGTATAAGTATGACTTTCACATCGCCTGGTCAAGGTCAATGTTATCACGATAATGAGAAACGGGTATGATATAAATGAAAAGTGATATATTCATGAATTGTAAGTATCTAGATGGGATGTCTCCCCGCTATACCAACCTCGAAAACCCAGTCCCATAATGAAATGGGGTCGAGTTCGAGACCAGATGGGGGACAGCCAATACAACAGCATTGGCCGGTTATGTTCATCTTGCTTCATTGTCCACACTTGCTCGTCCTGGTGCATTTTGCGACGACGGCAAGCTCTAGCTTTTGGAAGAGCGTTTTGTTTCTATATAAAGTGGGGGTTGGCAAGTATCACGAACGAGCGCATGCATACTGTGATCATGGTTTTAATTGCTGGGAAAGGCTCTCTCCGTCAAGCGCCACACATTAATGGGCTGGCGAACAGGCCAGGCAACAGCTGGTAGAACCAGTGAAGAAGAGGATATACTTCTGAATCATTCTTCATGTGTCGAAGTGATGTCGATTTGGAAACCCCCGTTGACATAGGGAGAAGTGAGTGGAACTGGAAAAACTCAACTTATAAGGCGGCCGTGGGTCACATGATCAAATGATTTCTTCCTGGGATTATAGGCACCAAGTGATTGGCTGACTGTTAATGCCTGAGAGGTCGGGCAACTAACTCCGCGATCACCGATAATCGATAAAACAGCACCTTGCACCACCATAGCTCAAGGCATGCGCTCATAGTGCTCATGGAACGCCTAATCCGATCGACGCTGAAAATTACCCCGGGCAGGGTCGCCCGCTTCGCCATCAATGGCACCGGGCTGTTCTGCGCATGCGCCCTCGTCTGGGAGAACATCGTGACCATACAGCTCAGCGAAGGACCCTCCATGTACCCGACCTTCAACCCACGCGGCGACTGGCTGCTCATCTCAAGGATGAGTCGCAACGGAAAAGGAATTGAGGTCGGCGATGTTGTACGCTTCAATCACCCTACTTTCCTGGGTGTTCATGGCGCCAAGCGGGTTCTTGGAATGCCTGGAGATTTTGTTTGTCGGGATCAACCTTATAGCACTGGGGCTGGACAGCAACCGGATATGATTCAGGTATGTTCTTTTTGTGCTGGCGAATACATGTTCTCTTCTTGTTCATTGTGTTTCTTGTTTGGACCGGAATAGCTGCTGACTTGTTTACTGATTAGGTCCCCGAGGGTCACGTATTCTTAGTCGGTGACAACCTTCCCTGGTCAAGAGATTCGAGACAATTCGGCCCGGTTCCTTTAGGACTGATCAATGGCAAGATCGTGGCGCGTGTGTGGCCGAAGATGGAATGGGTGCGCAACACAATGCAACCTGCGGAATTGGATGATTAGGCTTTTCAGTATATACCAAAATTGGGAAGCTATGTTCGAGCATCTACACGGAGTTTGTTTGGGGTTTGTGAAAGGAAAAGCATTTCGAAGAAGATTTGGATCTGCTGTGCATATTCATACATATTCAATTGTACAATACAAAGTTATAACTCAAAGCAATATTGGAACAGGTGGTATAGAGTGGAGCGCATCTACCGGAAGGAAGAGGGGTTTCTCCGCTTGTAAGGAAGAGGCTCAACCTTCTTCCGGCGCAGCTCAACATCAGCATCGCTGTAGCCAATCTGCTTCATGACGTCCAGTGTAGTCTCATCCCACTGGCTACGGAACAGGTGGGCGCCAATGGCCTTCAGGTGGTAACGGGCCTGGAGAGTACGCATAAGCATGTTCTCACGCTCAGTCTCCTTGGCCTTAACGGCGGCAAAGTCGAGCGGCTGGGAGTCCTTTTGCTCCATGATGAAAACAGAGAGACGGTGGTAAGGACTACCCTTCTGGGAAACGGGCGCGACCCAGGGAAGAACAACCTGGGAGTCTGTGGAAAGTTGGGAGAGATCGACCTTGGTGGATACGGCCGAGATGGGTACATTGACGGCGAGGTAGTGCATCTTGAAATCAAAGCTGTCGGCCTCGACATTGGGAACATCCGGATCGACGACGGCAATGGTGACAAGCTTCTCGCCGCTCTCGAACATCTGAACGTCCAACTTGGGAGCTGTGGTGCTGTCCTTTGCGAGGACAAAATCACCAGGCCCAATCTGTCGCTTTCCAAAGTACAGCTTGGTCTCCACAACCGGATCGCATTGGGGTAGAACGTCCGGAACGACGTTCATCTGTGTAATACGCTGCACCAAAATCTTGCGACGGTATTCTCGCCATTTGCGGTCGGCCAGGTAGCGGTAGATGGGTTTGCTCATGTCGCCTAAATAAGAGAGAGCATTAGTTCCGGTTCTTCTCAAATCTCCATCTCCTCGGACCTGTCTTCTCGGACCTGGGGGTTCAACATACCTTGACCATCCTCGAACTTCCGCTTCACCAGTGGATCATTGATATCGGCCAAGATCTTGAGTTTCTCCAGGTGCTGTTGCATTGCGGTCACGCGAGACTTTCGCGAAATCTCGCCTCCGGCCTGCTCGACCGGCTGTGCCTGCAATCGCGCAATCTTCTGACGCATCGACTCAATCTCTTCTAACTTCTGGGCTCGATCTGCGAGAAGCACCTTTCGTGCTTCTTGGAAACATTGGTATGGCAGTTGCTCGAAAGGGAGGCCGCCAGCAGTCTGCAACGCAGCACGGCGACGACGGGATCCAATGGGGGCAGTGCCCTGTCGCATCAATCGACGTTCCAATCGAGGGCTTGAGACGAGGGATGGATCGGGTGATTTATAGAATGGCTGGCTCTGTTCAGGTTGGGCGTCCGCAACCCCGGAGGTTGACTGGAAGCCGCGGGTCTGGACCTGAACGCCGGAAAGGCTTCTGGCGTAGGAATTGCGAATGCATTGAAGCAAGGGCTTCGACGCCCGCTCACAATGAGCCATTGTGAAAGGCTTTTTTAAGGGTGTGGGGTTGGGGTTGGAAGTAAAGGATGGTGTTATTATCCTCGGGGGAACATTTTCTGCTTTGCAGGCCAAGACTTCTGCTGGCGCCCACCGCCTCCCCGGAATCAACTTTTGCTCTTCCCATCCAGAGACAGCACGTTACCAAACCACCCAATTAATTCGCTACAACTGCTGTCAAAATGGCTGGTTGCGAAGCGCTCCGGTCCTTGAGGCTTCTCTCGCGCACTTCAAGTGGTCTTTTGTCTGGACCCGAGAATATCACGGTATGCGAACCGCCCACGAGTTCGATCCGCTCACAGGCTAGTCACAAGCAAGAGGAAATAGACACTGACAATATTCTCGATATAGCGACGATGCCTTGTTCGATCAATGGCAACAGAGGCTCAAACCAATGCCTCATCTACTCCCAATGTCACCCGCTCCTCGCCTGCTCCATGGGACCTCCCTGTCTCGGTCATGACCTACAACTTCCCTTCCATGGAACCCGCCAGCTTAGTGGAATACTCTCAAAAACAACTTCAGATGCCTATGCGTAAAGATATTCTCCACCGTGCAGTCGTATACGAAGGTGACATGACCCGCCAGGGTACCGCCAGCACCAAGTGGAGGGACGACGTGCACGGCAGCCACAGGAAACTCATTACACAGAAGGGATCTGGACGTGCTCGTGTGGGTGATAAGCAGTCACCGATCCGAAGAGGTGGTGGTGTTGCACACGGTCCTCACCCTCGTGATTTCTCGACCGAACTTCCCGCCAAAGTCTACGACCAAGCCTGGCGCACAGCTCTCAGCTACCGGTTCTCGCGCGGAGAATTAATCGTTATCGACAATACGATCTCTCTTCCCCATGATTCTACACCATTTTTGCTGCAAAACATTCTCCTGGCGAATGGCTGGAGTGCCAGAAAGGGCCGTTCGACATTCATCACAGAGAAGGTGGATGAGGAGTTGTTCGACAAGGTGTCAAAGTTGCACCGCTATGCCACTATTATGGACCGCAGTGATGTGGATGTGAAGAATCTGCTGGAGACCTCGCGGTTGATTATTGAGAAGACGGCGCTGGACCGGATCCTGAAGGAGCACTCGCGGGATCTGTTGAGTCGCCCGGCGAAGGCACTCTACGTTTGAGTGGTTAGCCGTGTATTGTTTTTTTTTGTTTCTTGTATTCTGGCCATCTGTACAAATAGAATATCGATCTACTTACCACTTGAGCGAATGCCAGGTTGGATTATTATACTGTCACAAGCCCATAGGTTTTGAGTGATGCATCAATTGTGTAAACTTGATTTCATATACTACAAAATACATGTGCAATGACAACTCTGAAGGACCGGCGACGGCGGCTCCCTATCTTAAAAAAGAGGCTGATACGCCGGCATAGCAGGAAACTTTCTTTCTGAATAGTAAGTGCCTCACTATGATAATCATGAACAAAAGAATATAGGTATATAACGAAATGCCATATTCAATGGGGGATGTTATTGTGATAGTACTGCCCATGGCTGCTTAGCTATCCTCCACCGCCGAGCGCTTGTCCTCGGAAGAAAATCCATTCCAAAAAAACTCCCGAGGTCGACGGTAAAGCGGAGAAACAGCCGATTGCCCTTTTAATAACTTTCCTTTACCCCTCTTTGGTTCCCTCCTACACTCCGTGTCAGTCCCTATGTTACTTCGACACTCATTCTCCCGGCTACCTTCGCCGCCGAGCTGGATCTCGCGGTTCCCATCGCCAGCAATGCCTCTACGCGCCAAGGTCATCAACCCTGCCTTCCAGGCAACTTCTTCGGTATGTACGGTCTTTTCGAAAAACAGAGCTCTAGAGGCTGACCGGACTAGATGTCGACATCAGCAAATATCACCAAAGAACTCCCCGGAGACGAGGCTGATGACGTCCTGTTCAACTCGATCTACGGTCTTCGCAGCATTGAGCTTAACCGACCCAAGAAGCTCAACTCCCTCAACGGCTCCATGGTCCGAAAGATTCTCCCTCGTCTGCAGGTTAGTATCAATGACACAACAAAGAAGGCAGGGCACTAAAGGACAAATGATAGGAATGGGAAAAATCTCACTTGGCAAACATTGTTCTCATCTCCGGCGCTGGCCCCAAAGCGCTTTGCGCAGGAGGTGATGTCGCAGCATTGGCACTGCAGAACGAGAAGGGAATTGAGGGACAGAAAGCTTCCGCCGATTTCTTTGGACTCGAATACCGCCTCGACCACTTGATCGCGACATACTCGAAGCCCGTCATTTCTTTTATGGACGGCATCACCATGGGCGGCGGTGTCGGTCTCAGCATGCACGCCCCCTTCCGAATTGCGACCGAGAGAACCGTCTTCGCTATGCCCGAGACAACAATTGGTTTCTTCCCTGATGTGGGTGGTTCGTTCTTCCTGCCGCGCTTGGACGGCCAGACTGGTACCTACCTGGCTCTGACTTCTGCGCGCCTGAATGGCGTGCAGGCTTTCAATGCCGGTATCGCCACTCACTACCTCCACTCCAGCGTTTTGGGCAGTGTCACCCAGCGTCTTTCAGAGCTGGTTTTCCCTGACAACGTTGCTCTCCCTGAGCGGTTAGACACCGTCAACAAGACCATGGCCGAATTCGCGGTTGGAATTCCTTCGGATGAGACCCAGGTTCTTGGTAGCGCGAACCGCCGCTCCATCGAACGCTGCTTCGGATTTAACACAATTGAGGAGATCTTCCAGGCCGTGGAGAAGGAGAAGGAGACCAATGAGAAGTGGGCACAGGAGACTCTGGATACCCTCTCGACACGCTCCCCAACCTCTCTCAAGGTGACACTGCGTCAAATGCGCCTTGGTAAGGAGTGGGACATCGCGGAGACCTTCAAGCGTGAGCACCAGATTGCAGCCAACTTCATGCGCCACCCCGATTTCGTGGAAGGTGTGAAGGCACGTTTAATGTCTAAGCCCGCTCGCCAGGCCGAGTGGCAGCCGGCCACTCTGGAGGAGGTTTCGCAAGAAACCGTCGATAGCTTCTTCACAGTTCCCGAAGGCGAGGCTCCCTTGGAGCTGCTGAACAACACAAAGTACCGGAACTACCCTCATAAGCGATTCACTCTTCCCACCGAACATGATATTGAACAGGTTGTGCGGAACAACCGCATGTCCAAGACAAAGACTGTTAAGCACTTCGTTGAGCAATGGAACCAAAAGGAGGGTGTGGCTGAGAAGGTATACAGTGTGCTGGCTGAGCGAACCAAGGACGGTGAAAATGGCTTGACATGGGTATAAAGTAGGTAGAGATTGTCGACAAGCGTGTATTTTTCTCTCTTAATTGCTCTCATGACAGGTGGTTGGCCTGTTCTTTGATTGCTGTATGTATTAGACTACGGGAGTTTATCCCGGTTTTGGATATTGGAACATTTGCATCATTTCAAGAGTATCAAGTAAAAATCCTTGTATGGCTACTTCGGTGTCCCAAGTGATTTAATGTACAAAGATTTTTGAAGATTGAAATGTGTATAGATGAGTTGGCGAATCGGTGTTTGTTTGACAACTTTCCAATGTCCTCAACCAAAGGTCAGCCCACCCGCAAGATTCCCACCCGTCACCCCACGGTTGAATCTAAATCTTCAATGAGCACTGGTATAAGAACGACACCCTGCAGGGGCTAATTCTACAATCTTGGGCTAAGTTACCCAAAAAATAAACATGAGTATCGACCGGAGATCCTCGGAGGCCAGTCAGGTATTTTCAGGTGACTCCGCGGCTTTCTTGCCTATATCCAATGCAGCCTCACCAGTGTCACCACCCAGCAGCGCTGCACCGGGAGTTCGATCAGTGCTAATCCGTCTATACACATCTCACCTACTCTCAGCATGGAACTCTCGGATGTTTGAGTTCGGTGCTGTTTTGTTTTTGGCGTCCATCTTTCCTGGCACGCTACTCTACGCTTCGATCTACGCGCTTGTTAGGGCCTTGTCTGCCGTGGCCCTCTCATCTTGGCTGGGTGCGCTAGTTGACAAGTCGGACCGACTGGTAATCTTGAGGCAGTCGATTGGTAGGTGGGCGATATACTGGAGAAAAATTGGGAGTGTCGACTAACAAAGTTCAGTTTGGCAAAGAGTCCCAGTTGCGATCTCTTGTTTGTGCTTTGTTGCTCTCTCGGCTACGAGCAACTGGAAAGTGGCCCTGATTCTGTTCGTTGTGCTGGGATTCTTTGCTTGTCTTGAGAAACTGGCTGTCACTGCAAATACGGTAGCAGTTGAGCGTGATTGGGTTATCGTCATTTCGGACAGCATCAATGTGCCTCGACAAGGTAAGGATAAGTCTATATTGGCGGCGGATTCAATTCAGTTCTAACCGTTGATACAGAATTAAATGCGTCGATGAGACGTATTGATCTCTTTTGTAAGCTGATTGCTCCAGTGTTCATCTCTCTCGTGGATAGTTTTTCGACCCGAGTCGCTACTTGGACTGTCCTGGGCTTGAATGCTGCGTCTGTACTCGTTGAGTACTTTGCCATCGCTCAGGTATACAGATCAGTTCCGAATTTGAGAAAAGCAACAATCTCGTCCCAATGTAGTGGCGAAAACGAGGCAAACCACACTGACCACCGCTCATGTCAAACAATAAAGAGCTACTTACGTGGGAGCATAGCTCCTTGGAAAGAATATGTCGCAAGTCCAGTATTCTTGCCGTCCTTTGCGCTGAGCTTGCTGTACATGACTGTTCTCTCATTTGGCGCAACCATGGTCACATACCTGCTCCATAGCGGTTTCAATCCACTGGAAGTCAGTTGTATGCGTATTGGCTCGGTGGTCGCCGAAGTCTCTGGCACATGGACAGCACCCATTATTATGAATCGCATTGGTCCCATCCGGTCTGGACTGTGGTTCTTGAACTGGCAGTTCTGTTGTGTGGCCGGAGCGGCTTTTGCATTTGTTCTCTGGGACTCAAACTCCAAGCTAGTTGCAGCAACCCTGATTATTGGTGTTGCTCTGAGTCGGATCGGACTTTGGGGCTTCGACTTGTCGGCACAATTTTTAGTTCAGGAAGTAAGTATTCAACGCTGATTTGCGATGAATAGAGCTAACATGCCTCCAGAATATCGACGAACACTCCCGGGCCAGGTTCTCGGCAGCGGAGATGGGACTGCAAAATATTTTCGAGATGCTTTCTTTTGCATCCACCATCGTGTGGTCTTCTCCTGAACAGTTTCAATATCCGGTGATGATCAGCGCTGGAGCTGTGTCGATGGCGGCCGCCTGCTTTGCGGCCTATGTGCGCAAGGAACGGGGGCACCTACTGCATCGATCAAAGTGTTTGGGAGGTGACAAGCCAGGATACCGACAAATTAGAACTGCGAATAGATCCGCAGCATAATTCTTAGAGTCACGTCCAGTGAATGATTGCATAAAATGCATGATCTCCCAATCCGTTGAAAGTGGCCCGTAGATGACATCCATGGATCCAGGCACCAGGTACAAGTATGATGTAGGTAGCTACATCATATCCGATTGCCCACGTGGTAGTCTGAGCGTATGCATATCACCTTAAAATATGTTAAGCATATACGCTAAGAGCAAATCAATCTTAAATTAATTAATTTATTGTCCTGCTCAACGCTACTTAGGTTGGGGGTTCAAGGCTATTTTCGGTGGACTTGGCCCCGAGCTCGTCATCTCGCGCACTATCGCGACTCCCGTGGAACCGCTATTGCGGGGAAAATCCGTCCAGCTTTGTAATTATACCATTGACTATGCTCCTGCTCCCAAACCTGGGACCGTTTGTCTCATCATGGAGGTACCATCACAGCGACCTCCATCTAGAGCTTCAACTCGCACACGACTTACCCAGGCACTGGGCTTACAGGTGCCCAAGGCCCGGGGAGCTGGTAGGTCGGGCCCACGCCGCCGAACGGGGTGCTTAACATGCAGGGCCCGGAAAGTGCGCTGCGACGAAACAAAGCCAAGCTGCTCGAACTGCGATCGACTGCGACTGCATTGCGTTTACAAACCCCCTATCGCCCTCGGCGAGTCGTGGACTTCACCTCCTCCACAATCCAACGATAACTTTTCCTCTGCGGCGCATCCTGTACCCCAGACTTCCCCGTCGCCCGCCATAAGCACTTTGTCAGCATCAGCATCGGCCGCCGCCGCTGTCGCTGCAGCTGCGAATGAGTCACATCGATCGCCAGATTTGAACTTCTTCAATACTGTGCTTCGCTCGGACGATCGCCATCGGACGATTCCAGCGCTAGCTGCGCCGATTCGACGACTGCCCACAGATTCAGAACCATATCCGGAGCTCGGAGGACCCTTTGATATGCTTGGTTTTATGGGAGGTATAACATCTGAGCTGGAACAAAAACACCTCGATTTGACCAGTGGGCTTGCTGGGTTCGCCTCTAGTCCAACCCCACAAACGTTACCAGCAGGTGCTGGTGGAAACACTGGAGAAGATGGACAGTTTGCAGACAGGCCTTCGACACTCAGTCCAGATGCACAGTCCTTGTTGGCTGATGGCATGTCCATCGGTAGCGCTTCTGATGCGGCGACCACGCGCGGCAGCTGGTCTGACCCTGGCACCACCTCGTATGAGGAGCAACTACTCCAGCATTTCTTGGCAAGTGATCCACCAGCAGGACTATTTGCGCCGGTTTCTATGGAGTGGAAATATGTACGACCAGCGGTGCTGGCGTATAGCCGAGACTTTAGTCCACTTTTGAATGCGTTGTACTGTTATGCAGACATCCACAAGGCGGCTACTGAAGGAGGGAAACGATGGCGCTGGGCGCCTACATATTATCGAGTAGCGAGCTCAGAAATTCAAGCATGCCTGCTTGGGGATGTGTCTGAGCCAACCTTGATCAAAATCTTCGCGACAGTCTTTTTCCTAATGTTATCTGAAGTGAGTTACCGTGCTATAATGCTTCGCAAACAAGACTGACGGGACAACAGCTTTTCTCATCCCCCGAATTATGTGCTCCAGGCACCTCATACCTCCACTCAGCTTACCTTCTATTGCAACGGTTCGATAACCGGACAAGGATTTGGACGGGTCTCGGTTTTTTAATGGTGTCGTGGATTTCGCTGCTGGATGTGAAATCATTAATCGCAGGGCGTGAAGGTGACCCTTTAGTTGAACTGGGCAACATTTCCGAGCAGGGAGTAAACTACAAGTCACAAGGCGCACAAGGCGCGCGCATCCCTCGAATGGCCTCAAACGAGGAACAAAAAGAGGACGATGGAGCAGAAGAGCACTTCCGCAGTCCAAGCTATCTAGTCTACGAAGCGATTGTGGGCCCCGCATTCCGTTTCTTTGTGCAAGCGCAACAAGTCGTACGGCGTATTGTCTCCATCGACCTACACCACCGCAGTCGTGGAACACTCAGCGATGAATTTGAGGTCCTCCAGATCGCACATAAAGTCGGTGCAGACCTCGAAACCCTTTGGCACCGCAGGCCATCCGTGATTGATGTATATGGGCATCCAGAAGCATTAACAGACACACTATGTGCACCTGTAGCTCTCAACATTTGCCGCACATTCCGACAGTATGTAGCCAGCTTCCTGGCCAACTTCATATATCTACACCGCGTTGCATTCGCCATCTACCCACGCACTGATCGTGTCAATGGCGCCGTCAACCAAATCATACAGCTAGCGACCGTTGAGTCTGCCGGTGCTGAAGATGACCGTCTCCCTGTCAGTTTTCTCTGGCCGTTATTCATTGCAGGCCTGGAAGGCTCTATCGAACAACGGCAGTGGGTCTTTCAGGAGATGCAACGTATGGCATCTGCTCGGGAGAATGAACCCGCCACATCGCTTGGACGTCATCCGGCTGCTGATCAAGTTCTTCTATTGCTGGAAGAAATGACGCGGCGGCAGGATGCGTCGCGTACTTGGGCGGACTCACGGTGTGTGCGGCGAGAGCTGTTCGCGGACTTTTTTATTCTGATTTGATGTGATATGGGGTGGCATGGGTCAAAATGCATATATACCGGATAATGTCTGGCAATTTTGATTTCCCTTTCCGTTTTAGTGCTCACCCCTTGCCGCTTTTTGCTCACTGAGTAAAACGTAGCACGCCCCTGAGCACTCCGCCCTGCTCACTTAAGTACTACATAAGCACTCAGACTTGCTTAACTAACTAACCTAATATAACTGACTAACTGGTAACGTATCTCACAAGCGAGCGGGCCACATAGTCGGCCCTTCCTCCTACTTGATGGAGTCGCCAGCAGTGGCAAAGTAATCTACGAAGACGCTTATGTATACTACTGCACCCATGAAAGATTCGGATCATGATACATGATACGCATACATTCCATTTGTTGCCTTTTACAATACCTTGCCGAGGGGCTTGCGTAATGACGATCCGGGAGGGGGAATGGGGGCCAAATCCAGCTTCCAGAGAATGACATGAAGTATATCCAGTCTCAACGAGAAACGAAGCACAGAATATACGGATGCATAATTAAGAATACGTCTGAATAGCAGGGCTTTCGGGCTGAGATTGATCCCCAGCGATGGCCAAGCAGTGTAAGTACGTTAGCCCTGAGATCGATCCCAAAGTTTTGACCTGGCAGTGCCAAGTGATGCACATAGTGGATAGTACAGCTTGTAAGTAAACTTGTCTGCTTTGCGGATTACTTACTTGGCTTTATCGCGCGAGTCGCATGATAATTAGCGCCATGCTGATGATGTAAACACACCCCTGCTCATAACCTCTCACAGTGCATTACCCCAACTGCGCCCACCACACCCCTGAAAATAATACCACCCGGCTACTCGCCCACTCGTGACTCTCATTCCCCTGCTCGCTGTATATAACCCCCTAGCGTGGTCAAAATGGCTCTGGCACTGAGACAGGCCTGGCCACTCAAGGCTGAAATTCGACTAGGCAAGGCCATCTCGGAATTCAAAGCGAAGCTGTCGGATGGGGAGAAAGCGGAATTCAACACAAAACAATCGAGTTCACAGTCCTCGCCTCCTACTGTTCAGGATGTGAGGATTCTCACAGCTAAGATTGACCGCGGCCACGGGGGTCGTTGCTTGTCAACCAGGTTTATGAGCGTCATGGAGGCAGTACAGCAGTTTGTGTCTTTTGGAGACATAATTATCGGAGGATCGGCAAGCATCATTGCGTGTGGAGTTTGGTCAGTGGTACGGCTTGCACTATCGGTGAGATACCTTGTTTTGACGTATTTCAAACATGAGATAGAGAATTGACTATTTGAAGATCCTCTCCAAGTCGCACTCCTATATTGAACAACTCTCTGAGATATTTGTGCAAGTCGGTAACTCTACTCCTCGTCTCGAAAAGATTGCCACGCTGTATCACCAATCGCGGGACTTACAAACGGAGATCTATGAATATTTCATCGTGGTGGTTCACGTCTGCTCTGACATGGTGCAATTAACCAAAATGTCAACTCTAAAGAGACTGGGATCCTCTATTTCAGATAAGAGCTTGGCTGAATACAAGAAAGAGCTTCAATTCCGGGGGCAAGCTATCAGGGACGAAGTTCGACTCCAGATGGCAAGTGAAGGGCAACAAGAAGCAGAAGCCAATGCAAGGGCTCGAGATACTCTTTGCTTACTTGTTCAGTCCGCGTCTGACGAACAGAAGTTTCGAACGAAACAACGGATTCTCGATTTCTGCTCGCAGATTGAGTATACTACCGCATGGAAACAAAGTCGGAGGGCTGGCACTACCACCTTGTTTCGCGACTGTGAGTGCTATAAGGCCTGGAAATCGGATAAGTATTGCTCAACGCTTGTGTACACCGGAAAGCTTGGCGTCGGAAAGTCCGTAATGCTTGCGAATATGGTTGATGATCTGCAAGCATATGGCCATGAAAAACAGGATATGATTGCTTTTTTCTTTCTCCGGCATGACACATTCGAAACACTGAATGCACGAACAATTATCGGATCTGTGACTCGACAGCTGCTTACTCAACTAATTGACCTCGAATTGGACAATCGCTTGTTCAAAGATATTTCTGAGCTATTCGCGATGACAACGTCTATGGATGACTATAGACGGATGAGAAAAATTCTCAGTCTTGTGCTTAGTCCACGGAAGAGGACATTCGTTGTCATTGATGGAATCGATGAGCTGAGCAATACTGAGATGAGAATATTCTTTGAAAGATTCAGTGATCTGCAAAGCAAACTTAGTATCTCGCTTTGTATAGCAGCACGCCAAGATTCCAGTGATGCAGTCAAGAGTAGCAGAAAGTTTCTTCAGAAGACAGTGGTTACTAAAGTGCCACCAAATATGGAAGAAATCAAGAGCTACATTCACCGAGAGATTAAGCATCGTCTATGGTCAGAGCAGTTGATTGTACAAGACACATATTTGGTTTCCGAAATCGAGAAATCTCTGTACAAAGGGTCCCAAGGCATGTTTCTTTGGGTTTCATTACTCATTGAATTCCTGTGTGGGATAGATACAGATGAAGAGATTCGCAGTGCTCTTGATGATCTACCACAAGACCTCTCAGAGACATATTCCCGAATCTTGAGGAAATCAAACAAACCAGGCCGTCCGTACCAAAGGCTGATTTTGGAGATCGTCTCAGTTGCTCAACGCCAATTGACAGTTGAAGAAATACAGGAAGCACTCAGCGTGACTCCGGGGAAGACAAACTGGAAATCATCACGGCTTATCAACGATTTCTACGCCACTCTCAAGTGCTGTGGTGGTCTTGTCACCGTTGACGAAGAGACACTTGCCATACATTTTGTTCATCACAGCGTGAAGCATTATCTCACAGGATGCTTCAGTTCCCCTGAAAGCTGCTTTATTCAGCTCAGTGATGCACACTGCAGGATGTCCGATATCATCATCACGTATTTCAGCTACTCAATATTCGAACGACAAGTTTCTAGACAAGTTGTCCCAAATGTACGTGCTGGTCCAGCAGTTTCAGGGATCATTCAATCAACACGTTCCAATTCCGGGTGGATAGGGGGTATCACACTGGACTTTCTACAGAAAAAGGAAAAGCAAGAACATGGCGTTGATATGAATATTGCAAAAACTCTAGCGGGATTGAGACCTGCGGTAGATGGGTCGACTCAAGGAGTAGCATTCGCAGATTATGCCACGACGTTCTGGTCTGCTCACCTTGCCATCTCCTTACCCTTAGCTGCTGAAATGTCACTACTCTTCAACAAGCTGTGCAATCGGAATTTCTTTGACGCAGACAAGGCACAAGGAAAACAAGTTCTTCTAGGGAAGGCCGCAGAGTTCAACCAGGCTGCTTTGATGAAATATCTTGTTGAATCAATGGGTGTTGATGTCAATTGCACAGTAGATGAAACTGGAAGAACGGCACTGTGTATGGCTTGCTTATCCTGCCATTATGATATCGTTCAATATCTTCTCAACACGGATGGCATAGATCCAATGGCATCAGACGAGAGCATGAGAACCCCTTTACATATCGCGATTGAGAGTAGCCACGATGACATAGCGAAAGCCTTGGCCGCTCACCCTGGCATAAATGTCTCACAGGCTGATGCCTACGGCGTTACCCCCTTGCTTCTAGCAATGAGGATGAACAATGTGGTACTCTTCGAAATTCTCCTCAACCATCAGAGCGTGAATATCAACCAAGCTGACCCGCGAGACCAAAGGACACTTCTTCAAAAGGCCGTGCTTACGGACAACATGGTCTTTGCAAAATCTTTGATGCGTCGCCCTGACTTGAAGCTCATTCCCTCGGGTTATGACCAATGTATCGAAGTTTTCTCTTGGGCTATTCAAGAGCAGAGTGGCTCCCTCTTCGGTGCTTTGATGGATCACCGCGAAGTGGACATCCACCTTAGGAGCTTATACCCCAAGATCATAGAGCCGGTCATCAAGTCGAACAACAAGTCTATTCTGAAGAAATTGCTCAGTCATTCTCGTATGGATGATGTTTCACATAGCCCTTTTAACAGCCCTAAGCTGGAAAAGATAATACATGGAGATATTTCCATGCTGCAAATTTTCTTTGAACATCAGTCAGTCCGTTTGTATATCAGCGAATACTTGCACATTGCTGTCAAATGTACCCTCGTCGATGTTGCAAAATTTCTGATGGCTTACCCCACCATTGAAATTCAACGATGTGACATGGCTGGACGGACTCCTCTATATCATGCCATCCAGAATGGCGACATTCCTATGGTGGAGATGTTTCTTGGTTGCCCTGAAGTAGGCGCTATTACACAAAGTCCCATGAGGAAATCTCCATTGGGAATTGCCATAGCTTGCCGCAACTTGGCAGTTGTTCAAATGCTCCTGGAGCCTCACGTCATCCCACTCAGGGAATTGGCCATGGTGATAGGACCAGCTCTGGAATATGCCATTGAGCACGGTAATCGGGACGTTGTTGCAGTGCTTCTTGACCATCCTAGAGTGAAGACGAGGGCCACTCGATTAGATGCCGAACACAAGTTTCTGAACCTGGCAATGAAGAGTTGCGATCTGGCTACAGCTGATTTGTTGTTAAACGACATTCGAATATCGAATCGCTTACGTGATCAGCGTGGTAGAACGGCTCTTCACATGGCAATAGAAGCTTCCTGGAAATCAAGTGATGACCGGATGGCAGCCATCAGAGCTCTCACAAAAGTACCAAGGCTAGCTAATATGCTGGACTACGAGAATACAAGCCCGCTACACCTAGCTGCACAGATGAACCTTGCCGATGTCGTGAAACTTCTGGTTAGGACCTCGCGCCAACGTATCAATTGGCAGAACACCGAAGGGCAGACACCATTGCATCTGGCATCTTCCAGTGGCGGAAGCGAAAGCATTATCCCACTTCTGGCGTGTGCAGCGATTCCTAATGTCGAAAACAACAAGCATATGACTCCTGCGAACGTCGCAAATGAGACAGGCAATGATGACGCCCAGCGCCTACTTTACAATTACAGTGCAAGTCTAGACAGTATCGGCGAGGGCCTACTTACACCCCTGCATTGTGCGGCTGAGCTTGGCGATACCCACATTGGAAAACTTCTTCTCATAGAGCATCCTCTTTTACTGAACCGCCGGGATGGTGACGGAAGAACTGCTCTCCACCTGAGTGTCATTCACAAGAATTCCGAATTTGCTTTACTGCTCCTCAGTATGGCATCTGTCATCTTTGATCAGCAGGATATATTCAATCAAACACCCCTCTGGTATGCAGAGACCAATGGGGACAAAGAGATCCAAGATGTGATTTGGAAGCTGCTGCGGGAAGCAAGGAAGACAATGTAAGATATCAATACCATCTTACCTCGTAGATCAGATGATGTGGATGGTCTCCTTTAATCCTTTTTATCTCACATAGTGAAGTTTACTCTGCTTGAGAACATTGGAAAAGAATAACTCCTTCACAACTAAACTATGTATGAGAGCCTATATAACTAATGCCTAAAATAGCTCTTGCTTTCAGAACCATTACCCACATCAATATTTATAGGCCCCTTTTCTATCTTCCTGGTGCCTATTTGCCTATTTTATAGGGCCGATCACCCCTAGGGTGAGAAGTTTGATGCCGTTCTGACCTCAATCACCCAGTCTGTAAAGTTCCCACCCATATGACACACATCCACCTAGCGTGAGCCCGTCACCGCTTGAGTGTAACAGCGCTTTAGAAAGAATTGACCATTCAGATATGATTTGGCTTAGGAACGACTGAGCGGACGGGAAGCCCTGATCTCCATACCTTATGGTCGTATGTACTATCAAGAGGCGAGAACAGGGATACATAGTACACCTAGGAAGAGTTCAAATCTTAGGATTCTACATATCTACAAGTTAGATAGTCGGATAGGTCATAGCTGCAGAAATTTAAGACTCTATGGATGCTCTGGTCACCAATTGGACGGTCTACGATTCAAATATTAGATTTAGTCAAGCCTCAGAAAGCGATAGTCCATATAATGCTACCTAGTAAATGTGCAAGCTCATACACTACAGGCACGTTAACATTTATCTCAGTCAGTCCCATAACGTCAAAGTAAGAGATGAGGTCTTGGGCAATATAATCCTCACGGATTAGACCCGTGTACTCATCCAAAACGAGGAAATCTATCCTATTATAGGTGACTACGGATCCGGCATCCAGTGTTTTTAAATTGTATGTCAGAAAATAGAACTCAAGTATAATAAAGGGCATTAAATGCTACTCACGTGGGGAAGCGCGTGAATTTGCTTCTAAGAACGCCCTCTATCTTCTATTAAATAACTATCTAATGGCCGTTACTAACCCATCGGATAGGATCAAAAATATACTTTTTCTATCTAGCGTAGGTGTTTTAAACGAATATATTAGTTAGTCACTATAGTAAGGGTACTACTATTTCTAGTGGAAGAAGGGAAGTAATTAGAGAATAATCTCATATTAGGATAGAATATCGATTTTATAAGGTAATGGTCTCTATACTAGATAGATAGATACTTATTTAATATATAGTAATAGTAGCTACTAGAAGTAACATTACCTTTATAGTATACGATTAGAGATAATATCTTTTTGTAGACTTCCGTAAGGCCTAACTAAGGCCTAAGAACTCGGCCTAAAGCCTAATCTAGGCTAGGTCTAGGCCGAACTTCTCTAATCAAGACCTAACCTAGACCTAACGCTAGGCCCCTAGTAGTCTACAAAAATCTCACCTATATCAACCATACTCACCTAGCGTGAACTCGTCGCTGCTCTAGTATAGCAAGGATTCAGAAAGAACTAACAATATGGATCCCAGGTGGCTTAAGTACGGCCGTATGTAGCGAAACTATCTTTGAGATAGACTATATCGTTTGATTATGATGGCTGTTCTTACTACAGCCTAGGTGAGAAATATTTGAGTGCTGCTTTAACGTCACGCGATCGGGTTGAGAAGGGCAAGTGGGTAATTGATAAGGTGACAGGGAGAAAGCGGCTGAGAAATGAGAGATCCGGCGCATAACCCGACTACACGGTCCACACTGTAGTGCTTACATAGTGCAGGTTCCAGCGCTTTAGGCGGGAATTTGACTGGTGCAAAACAAGTAAAAGGCTCCACATAGTAAGCACTTGGGCCAATTTTAGAGCACTTCTTATTTAGAACATTAATCTACAGGCCAAGGAGACAGGAACAAGCAGTGAGTTATATTTGCTGATCAAAAGGGTCATGGCGAAATTAGACTATTTTGCTGTCCCGACCGATTCTCATCTTTTGTCTCTCACATTTTCCTACCTAATTTTTCTTCCACGGATCATCTATCGCAGTGGGGCAAGAAAGTCAGCCTCCAAGCCGAATTTGAAGTGGATACTTCCCGCCGGTTCAATTTACTTGCGTAGTGGACTCGGGGGGAAAGGAGGGGGGATTGAAGAATTCGGACCCAAGTTGGCGGAGAATCGAGATGGACATGATGAGATCAGGGAAGGATTTACTGGCGTTTGGTGCCATTCTCTGCTCTCTATTTGCAGGGATGACACGTGCGGCCTTAGTTGGCACGTTTACTTACCCAGTCGAGAATGGACTTCTTTATTATGATGGAGAAACTATTGATGTCAGCTGGACATCGACATTGAGCAATGCAAGCCTCAGTCTCTACTGCCGTTATGAGACTGATTCAACTTGGAACACCTACGAGAGTATGAATTCCTGCTCAACAGGCCGATTGGTGGACAATCACTGTCATACAGTCAAAGCTAACAAGCTTCTCTTCACTCTCTAGTCTCAAGTATTGGACTTGTAGATTCAATCGGTAGCAAGCAAGTTGATGTCGTGATTGAGAAGTCATCAGACTACTGCTGGTTCAATTTATTCGAAACAGGGGACGATGCGGATGGCGTTAATAGCGTGACCTTCCTCATCTCTTCTGACGTTCATAGTGGGACCACAATTGGCCTCTCGGGGGCGGCGACCACGAGCTATGCTGGAGTCGGCGTACCGACTGGTCCTGTCACAGCAGCAACAACGACAGCGACGACGACAACAACAGCAACAGCTACAGCTACAACACCAGATGTAACCAACAGCACATCTACCTCCACAATAGAAACGTCCACGAAATCTGTCACGGCTTCTTTAGCCAGCGGGAAGTCAAGCGGGGATCTTAGCACAGGAGCAAAGGCTGGGATTGGGGCTGGCGTCGGCGTCGCATCTTTGATGCTCCTCGGAGCATGTCTACTCTGGTTCTTACGGCGGAAACGGGGGCGGGGGAACGGACAAGCGTTCGCTGAAGGACAGCGAGGAACAACAAAGGAGAAGACTGCGTTGATGGATGCCGTAGAAATTGGAGCGACAAAAGGAAGCGCATGGCATCCTGACACTGTCCAGGAAATGAGGGATAGTCAACGCCCATTTGAGCTTCATGCGAGCACTGGGCCGTATACCGGGCATACAGCAGAGCTGGATGGCTGATCATGTGGGGTTCTCGGCCGACTTGAAGGAAAACCGCTGGCTTATTACCTCATGTCATTGCTACATAGGCAAAGGGCGCTAGTAATGTCTATAGAATGAAATTCACCAGCAATACGCGAATTGAAGTTTACTCGTCTACCCCAAGCATCATACCGAATATCAGTCATGAGAGCCTCGCACTTCCCGACAGCAACTATGAAGTCACTCTGGTGCTCACCTTGATCGGCTTTGCGCTGGCGTACCATTTTCCTGACGGGTGTGACTCCGTTATGCCCGTTATGCCTGTTAGAAAGACTCCGCGATCAGCTGAATTCAATACCACCAATTTGTTCATATAAGAAAGACGACTTGAGTTTCTTCACTTCGCCGCCGAGGCGATTTATAGCCTAATACACATAGTTATACTATACCTGTTGAGTGGTCGGCACCATTCTATATTCATGTTATCTCCAATAATTCACATCTGTCTTCTTTTGAAGCTCGATAATCATACACTAACTGGAGTGAAAGTAGCGCGCGAATTTCAATCGGATTAACCACATCACGAGTATTAAAGAACAACACCGCATCACCTTCTCCCTCTATTCACTTCAATGTTTAAGGCAACGCTTGATTGGATCCGGGACATAGGTCAGAGAACAAGCTCACTACCGCTAATCAGTTTCATATTCCACAGCGTAGTCTATGGAGTAGTGTGAGTAAGAAAGTACCTGAGTATGTACTCGATGTTATTATAAGGCTGAATCCCGAATCCCACGCTAATCTAAATGCGTTTAGTCAACGTGTTCAACGAATTTTGTGGTATTTAATCTTTGCGCTCTATTCTCTTTGAGAGATAGGCTTTACTGATGCTGAATCACAAGCCTCAAGAAATGGCATCTCTGACTGCTCGCTTGTCGAGCCACCCTCACGTCCTCAGCATTCTAGAAAAACGGTTTATCATCTCTTGGTTATCGAAGCGATAATGAAGCAGATCTTGAAGATCGTTTGATGAAGAAACCACGAATAGACTTGGAGTCCCTCACCAGATCAACCTAAACAGCTCGCCCTGATACTTAAGCTAGTTAGCTGCGATTTCATTCACATTCTGAACTTCCATCGTAAGATTGTTACCCCGGTCATCTCTCACCCAGTCTCCGGGATTCTGATCCATAACGCTTCACAATTCATTAAAAACCATACACTTTGTCAAAAACAAAAACATACAACAGTCAGGATTCGCATGTGGTCACCCACCATACTACTAACTAACCGGCGTGTGGCTTAAGTACGGCTGAGCGGACGGGAAGCCCTGTTCTCCACACCCTATGGTCGTATGTGCTTGGAATTTCATCGAAATAAAATATATAGTTCTATCTAGTGATGAATATGGTGCCCAGGGGAGAAATTGCTGAGAGCCGCTTTAGCGTCGCGGGATGGTTATTGAGAAGGGCGACTACGCAATCCATTAGACAGTGTGGGAATTCTACGAGACATCACTGTATCGGTTCTCCCAGTTCCCTCGGACGCATGACTCCTCATGTATCTACTTAATCAGGGGTGATTACAACGTTGACTAGGACTGGTGTAGTGGGCAAATATATACATACTGTACCTTGAACCTCAACATCTATTTCCACGTAAATCCACCACCATCAACGATTCAAGACCATAGATTCATTGATGCTCTAGAACACACTTATAGATCTTAGTCTATCTATTATGTTTATCACCTAAGTTAGAGCCCTGGGCCTAGACCTGGAGAGAGTCCGACTCCACGCCGTAAAGCATGCGCACCTGTCCGTGGTCCACATCATAGTGTTAAATTCGTTTGCAAATTTCGTTTGTTTTCAATTCAAGTTTAGAAAGGCGCAATTTTCGAATATTGAACCTTTCATCTTTTTTTAGAGTTTCAAGCCTTCAAATGTAGACCTAGACTTAATTACCTCATCGCTTATACACTATTTCCCTAGGATCTACCCTGTCGGTTGCATGTAAAATCCCCAACCATTAGCGGGATTGGATCTACACGTCTCCGCTATCAAATAGAGCCAAGCTTTTTTGCCAAGTGGATGATCTTTCAATTGCTGTGGGCCTATTTGATTCACATGACTGTTTGCTTTCCAAAGTACCCATGCTTGTCAATCTACATAGTAACCTATCTGTCTCGTTCTCGTATCGCACAAGGGTTCAAGGGATGAGGACCCTAACCAAGGCTAGTCAAGTGCGTACATCGACCGTATAGAACGGGGCAAATTAAACGAGGGCTGAGCTATTAGTGGACTAGCCAGTACCTAAGACATTTGGAATGCTACCTAGGGCTCACTGGACATTAACCCCGCATAACGCGTATAATGGAGCTTAGCCTCATTAAGCCTTTTCCGGGGCCCCGAACCGTCTCTGCAGCAGAAACTAATTTAATTATCTTCCCCGGGGTCAGAGCTCGCACTTCTAGCCCCCTAAATGCCGTCTTGAAAAGCTTGAGCCTGAACTACCGCGGGGATTTATCGGCTTATGTCGCGAACAGCAACCGGCGATTTGTTTGCTAATTGACTTTAAGATACTATCGTAGCTTGGGAAGGTGGGATCGTGTCTCACCCCCGCATCTCACCGGTTAAATTGGAAGGCTTTATCGGTAAATTGAGGTTCAAGGAATGCATCATTGCTTCTACTGGATTATTGACACTCTGCAGGGGAGAAGTGATTGGGCGGGAGAGGCGCAGAGCTGCCCTGCACCCCGGCTCACATTTCCCCATTCTCATAAATAGTCCCTGGCCTGCTTTTCTTTTTCCTTCTTCTGCTTGTCGTTGATTTCTCACCCCCATTTCAGTTTGTAGCTCGCAGATCTTCCACATACACTCACCATGTGGAATCAGCTGGGAGTTCTTCTCCTTGCCGCAGTACCGGTTATCGGGACAAGTGACACGTCAAATCCCCTTACTCAGGGCAACGACACTGCTCCAGTCAGTCTAATATGCTATGTTGTGTAATCGATATGCTGATAAATTCTAGTGGCCTAACTCCGTCTACTCAAATGGCACCGATACCAGCAACCCCGTGGTCGCCGCAGGCTCCAAGTCAAACCAGACTTCTCCCCCGTGGTACCCATCACCATGGGGTGAAGGGTTGGGTGATTGGGAAGCAGCGTATGCCAGGGCCAGATCAATTGTCAGCCAGATGACTCTTACGGAGAAGGTGAATCTTACAACTGGTGTCGGGTATGTTCATATACTCCTTTTTCTTGTTTGTCTTTCTGCTATATGAACTAACTCATATAGATGGGAGCTCGAGCGATGCGTTGGCCAAAATGGCGCCGTCCCTCGACTCGGAATCCCTAGCATGTGCATGCAGGATTCGCCCGTGGGAGTCAGAGATAGTAAGATTACTTTACCTGCGATGCGCACTTATACTAACTTCTGATAGCGGATTACAACTCGGTCTTCCCGATGGGTGTCAACGTCGCCGCAACCTGGGATCGAGGCATGGCATATACCCGTGGACAAGGAATGGGCTACGAGCACAAACATAAGGGCAGCAATGTTCAGCTGGGCCCAGTGACTGGTCCACTGGGTCGTGTACCCGAGGGTGGAAGAAACTGGGAAGGCTTTGCACCTGACCCAGTACTCTCGGGCGTGTTGTTCGGCGAGACTATCTCTGGTATCCAGTCGCAGAACGTCATTGCCTGCGGCAAGCACTTTATCGGCTATGAGCAGGAGCATTTCCGCAGTGCAGGAAATGGCTTCGTGTACCAGGTCAATGAGAGCTACAGTGCTAACCTAGATGATGTGACAATGCACGAGATGTATCTTTGGTAAGCTACATCATGGTTACATAGCTGTCCATATGCTGACTACCACAGGCCGTGGATGGATGGTGTGCGCGCTGGAATGGGCTCTGTCATGTGCTCTTACAACCAAATCAACAACAGCTATGCGTGCCAAAATAGCTATGTGCTCAACAAGCTATTGAAGGCGGAACTTGGATTCCAAGGCTTCGTCATGAGCGACTGGAGTGCGCAGATGTCTGGTGTTGCTAGCGCACTGGCGGGTCTCGATATGACCATGCCTGGCGACATTGCCTTTGATTCCGGTACTTCATACTGGGGAAGCAATTTGACCGTTGCTGTTCTGAATGGCACTGTGCCCCAGTGGCGCGTGGACGATATGGCCGTCCGTATTATGGCAGCCTGGTATTACGTTGGCGTCGAAAACAACTACGTTCCCATCAACTTTGATTCTTGGACCCTTGATACCTACGGCTACGAGCACTACTATGCAAACGAAGGGTATGGTATGATCAATGAACATGTCGACGTGCGAAACAACCACGGAGCTATGATTCGTGAGATTGGTGCGGCTAGTGCAGTCCTGCTGAAGAATGTCGATGCACTGCCATTGACCGGCAAGGAAAAGTTCACTGGAGTGTTTGGATCCGACGCTGGCCCAAATGCATATGGACCCAATGGGTGCTCTGACCGCGGATGCGATATGGGCACCTTGGGCTGTGCATGGGGAAGTGGAAGTGCCAACTTCCCATACCTGATTACCCCGGGCTTCGCCATTGAGAACGAGATCTACAACCATGGTGATGGAATGTACCAGGCCGTTCTCGATGACTACGCCTACTCCCAGGCCGAGTCAGTGGCCAGCCAGGCATCCGTGTCTATTGTTTTCGTCAACTCCAACAGCGGTGAGGGATACATCAGTGTGGATGGAAACATTGGTGATCGCAACAATCTCACCATCTGGAATGACGGAGATGCTCTGATCAAAGCTGTCAGCTCAGTTTGCAACAACACCATCGTGGTCATCCACAGCGTTGGCCCAGTCCTTTTGGACAGCTTCGTCAACAATGACAACGTAACAGCGATTATCTGGGCTGGTGTTCCCGGCGAGGAATCCGGAAATTCCATCGTCGATGTGCTCTATGGCAAGGTCAACCCTGGTGGCAAGCTACCATTCACGATGGGCTCGTCCCGCAAGGATTACGGAGCAGACGTCCTGTACAAGCCCAACAGCGGCGAAAGCGCCCCGCAACTCGATTTCACCGAGGGACAGTTCATCGATTACCGTGCCTTTGACAAGGGCGGCGTAACTCCCATCTATGAGTTTGGCTACGGCCAGAGCTACACCACATTCAGCTACTCCGACATCACCATCAAGAAACACAATGTCGGTAAATACACCCCTACAAAGGGCTCTACCTCCGCAGCTCCAGTTCTGGGCAAGGTCTCCAGCGATGCATCAGAATACACATTCCCGGATGATATCACACCTGTCCCCTACTTCATTTACCCATACCTCAACTCCACATCCCTGAAGAAATCAGCCGATGAATCCGACTACGGCGTTTCGGGCTCCATCCCTGCGAATGCCCACAATGGCTCCCCACAGCCCCGTCTCCCTGCGAGTGGCGTGGGTGGAAACCCTCTGCTATGGGACGTGCTCTACACGGTGACCGCCAAGGTCACCAACACTGGCAAGGTAGCCGGTGACGAGGTGGCCCAGCTGTATGTGGGATTGGGTGGACCAAATGACGCAATTAGACAGCTTCGTGGATTCGAAAGACTGAGCATCGCCCCTGGGAAAACTGCTACTTTTACAGTGGATCTTACGCGACGTGATCTCTCGAACTGGGATACTGTTTCGCAGGACTGGTTTATCTCGGACTACAAGAAGGCTGTTTATGTTGGTGCTTCTTCACGGAACCTTCCTTTGAAGACTGTTATTTCTGGTGCATCGGCCTTCAATTAGTTCGTTCATGTGTGAGCATTCATTAAGATGATACGTTAATAAGGCGAGATCTGTGAGCGGAAGGGATTTATTGTACATACATCCAAGGGATATTTACTGCGCAATGCATATTGTTCAAATCGGCGAAGAGTTCTAGATCGGTACAGTAGTAGTTGAGTATTTGAGTTACCATATCTAAAGATAAACTCATAGTTAAAGTTAAGTTACCAACTCAGGATTGAGGCACCGAGGTCAGAACGTTCTGAAGTTGGGTAGTTCAATTGGTACAGTGAAGTCGCAGCACAATAATCTTTTTGATACAAAATCTGTCATAATTATGAATCATAGCCAAAGCGAATATTTCATTAATTGGAGTGGTAGCTCAGCGGTAGAGCGATAGATTGCAATTAGCGATCATCTATAGGTCCCGTGTTCGATCCACGGCCATTCCTTTCTTTTTGTTTTTTGTCCGTATCTACCAACCTAACTACTCTCTACCTCATCAAACTCAGATCTTCTTTTTTATATATTCTATCCTTTTCTTCTTCTTTCTCCCCTTCTTCTCTCAGCAGAGCTTCGGCAACAGCACAATACATGGCTTCCATTGTTTACTCGGCTATTGTTCACGAACGGAAGAATAGGAACGTTCACTATCGTTGTATAGAGCTACTGTATGTAGTCCCCGACATCATATCTGATATGCTAATGACAAGTTTCCTTAATCGACACATAACATTAATACCAGTGGCAACCTTGGAAGACCAATATCCAACATAGGGTCGACACTCTTACTCTATGTAGTAGCAGCTGCCAAAGCCGTAAATTAAACTACGAATCACATTACTCATCTTAAGATCTTAAGGCATATCCAGTCGTTCATATATATCTAAAAATCCCAAGCCCTAATAAAAAGAAATTCCACACCAGTACGTCCTCCTGAAAGAAGAGCACTCGAAAAAAGCCATGATAGAAACGAAGTCAAAGTCGTCTCTGAATTTTAAGGTATGGTCACAAGACAAAGGGGAAACGTAATCGTATCTCACATATTTGTGCTCATTCGGTGCACAATAGGCACGGCACTCGGGGGCAAGCTGCCCATCTCAGTGACGACCATGTCCACATACTCGGCCGGGGTAACATCGTACATCAGATTCAAGAGTTGCAGGTGAGAAGTCTCCTTCCAATTGGCAAGAGGCGAAGGAGAAGGAGTGCGGTCAGAAGTGGCGGGGTCAGGAGTAGGAGCAGCAGGTTTTCCACCCTTGCCCTTCTTGGGGTCAACAGGGGGAGCAGTGAATGCTGCCGGGTCCGGAAGACCAGTGACCTGTTGTGCGGGGTTGGCGGAGACCAGCTCGGCGGCATCGGCGATTTCATTGACAACGATACTATCGAGGGCGACACGGTCCGTGAACTTGACTGTCTCGCAGCATACAATGACGGGGACTTCGACACCTCCGGCCCGTTCCTTCGCGGACATGGCGACTAAGGCAGTACCGACACGAGAGTAAAGACGGCCGTTACTGGTCATGGCGTGGGCGCCTAGGAAAACCTTTGTAGCATCCTTAATGGCGTGGCTGATACCGTGTACAAGTGAGTACTGGACATCCAGACCGGCATTCGCGAGGGCACGGGCGAGATTCTTGCCCTCGAATAGTGGGCGCGAATCAATGATCGAAACTCGGAACTGTTTTCCTTCGTTGTGTGCTAACAGCAGAGTCTGCTTGACAATGGAGCTGCCTGCGAAGGTCACAATCACATCGCCGTCCTGGATCTTCTGTGCGGCACTTGCGGCAATAACCTGATCGGCAACTGTGATCTTTTCGCGGATAAAGCTGTCGATAAAGTCGCACAATGTTGCCTTGGCGGCGGCCTCCGGCGTAGAGGGATCAATTCCGGCAATGGCCAACTTAAGCGCGCGAATAGCGTTACCCTGGCTGATAGAGAGTGGTCGACATGTGGAGAGGTAGGTAATTTGGTGAGAGAGGTGGGTTGTCATGTGGCGGGGGAGCGAGGTACCCATTGGTGTAGTGTAGGATTCGACGACCTTAGAAAGTCAGGAGGGTTAGTTTCAAGTTTCCAATGCTAGAAATGGCTTATGATCAAACTCACTCGCTTGAAGGCAAGCATGGTAGCCACGCATCGCGCGCTACTTCCGCAGACCACATAGTCCCTCAACTGCAGACCCAATGCTAGCACCGCGGGGTGCACCTCCTTACCAGCACCTGCAATAGTAGTCCTCCGTTGTTGACCGTAGAGATGACCAAAGACAGCAACGCTCTTATCCTCCCTCTTTTTCTTCTGCTCCACAGCAGCGCCAGCGCCGACCACAGACCCACGTCGCGGAGGAAGCACCTTTGATCCCTTCTGTGCAGCACCTCCACCAGCAGCATCTTTCCTCGGGGTAGCCGGAGGACGAGGCTGACCGGGTGCAGGAGCTGAACCGCCCGCAGCACCAGCTCCGCCATCTCGTTCAAGTTTTTCCTTAACGCGCCGAGCAGCTTTCTCTGCCTTGGCCTTCTTTTTCAACTCAGCGGGAGTCAAGGGCTTTTCACCAGCTGCAGCGTCGGCTTCAGCGCCGGCAGATGCTGAGGCATCTTTGCCCTTTGCGGGTTTGTCTGTTTGTGCGGGGTCCTTGGGCTTTGCGCTCTTTGCATCGCGGATCGGGAGGGTTTGCTGTGAAGGGGTCTCGGTCGCGGGGGCAGGTTGGGCCGGCGCATTAGCCGGCGAGGAAGTGGGCACCGAGTCAACGGGGTCCGTCATCTTGGATGACTCAATCTCGAGTTGTGAGGGGCGTTCAGTCGAACCTTGAATTGCTTGGTGGGGAGAGAGGGTTGAGTCACGGAAAAAGAAATGATGCCATAAGCAGCCCACAGCGTGCCGCAGCCCTAGTCTCCGCATATGTAGTATGAACAAGTGGGGAATACCGTGTATATCTAAGAGGGATTATGAATAGGATTAGAGGCAGAAAGTTACAAAATCACTGAGAATGTATTCACTATCTCACTCTACTAAGTTTCAGCCTGAACGGAAAGTTTTGAAACATGCATCATGTCAGGACTCGTTATTCATGTCAAGGGGTCTCGCTAGAATAGAAATAGACAAAAAAATAAAAGAAACAAAGAAGAGAAAAAAAGACAAATGCCTAACATGACTGGTCTGCCCAAAACGTGGCTCCAGATAGAATAAAGAACACTGTACCGCCAACACCATCCAACTGTATACGCCAATAAAACCCGCAAAATCTAGCGATTGTTCGGCGCAATAGCACCCAAGGCGCGTCGTTTGGGGGTCATCGACTGGTCACGTCGCTGCCAACGTTCATGATCTGATGCCAACTTGCGTTTAAACACACTAAGATCACCAAGGAGATCTTCCATGCGAGACTGCATCAGGTGAGCTTCACCATCCTCATCATCCCAAGTCACCGTCTCGTCGTCATCTTCATCCTCATCGTCATCTTCCCAGACTTCGGGCTCGGAGTCGGATGGAATAACAGGAGATCCTTCACGAGATACTGGCTCATCGTGGGGCGGCTGATTTTCCTCCGCTAATGAAGCCAGGCTAGGCTGTCGCTGTGCCAAGGTGATCGGTGGAATGGGATTTTTGAGGCTTTCGAGAGCAAGTTTCAGGTGCATGCGCAAGGCCTCGTTCTCGGTCTGGAGCTGGCGAATCTTGCAATCACTGACCATCTTGGTCTCTTCCATCAGACGTTGCATCTTCTCTACCTTTTGCTGGTACTCATCGAGCTTCTCGTCCTGCATTTGAGTTGCGCGCTGGTTTTCTGTCGCTTGGCTCACACTCAGCTGCAAAGTCCGGATTGTTTCGGCCATCTCCGCGATTTGTGCATCACGTTCTGCTGCAGAGACATGATCTTGGTTCACTCGAGCCCGGGTTCGAATATGCTTAGCTTGGTCGGCGTATCGTAATGTAGAAAGCGTTTCTTCGTAGTCGGCGGGTGCAATGCACGCAATCATGGCTGTTTTCGAGTTTCCTCCCAGACTGTCCTTCAACAGCCAGGTAAGAATAGAGTCACGGTAAGGTACCAGCTCCTTGCCCTTCCTCCCCCCGCGGGTTTTCTTTGGATCCGCCAGAGCCGCAATAACACGACCAAGCGTTGTGAGTGACTTATTAATGTTGGAACCTTCGCGGAGTCGTTGGCCTGTCGCTTCAGTCGCTTTGGCACGCTCAGATCCTGCAAGATCAACCAGTCGAATACGCGCAGTGCGCTCAGTGGTCTCATCCGTTGAAAGGTCATGATGGATCTGTTTGAGTGTAATAGTGAAAACCGCATGCGATCGAGATGATGTATCGTTCATCTTGGTGCTCGCCGTGGTACGCGACATATCGCCCTTACGCATAAACTTCATCAATTCCGTGTAATTTCTTGCTGTAACTTCGGTCAAGTCTTTAACGTATGGGCCCTCGGATGGCGACTCTCGAATTCGCAGATAATGCGGTGGGTCTGTTCGGGGAACCAAAAGATCCCGTACATGCTCATTGTATACCTCGAAATATGACACGCGGACATTGTAGCTGATATCGGGAGATGGCGAGTCTTCAATGCGTTGGAACAGATCTTCGCAGGTACGCGGAATCAGTCCTGGCTGTTCGGGGGTACCCATCATGGTGTAACTTTTGCCAGAACCTGTCTGACCATATGCAAAGATACATGTGTGGTATCCTTCGAAGTTGTGATCCAGGAATTCCTCACCCAGGCAGTTGTAAACGTCCTCCTGTTGAGCGAAATGATCATCTTCTTCATCATGCGACCAGAATGAATTATCGAACGTAAACGATTTGTCCTCGAGAATCTTGCCCCGCGCTTGCGATTTCGGCTTTCCAAGGTCGTCTGGGCTGGGTTTCGGTGCTAACAGGCGAGTCATCTGCGTATGAGGGTCCATCGAGATAAGGCATTCTGCCTGGCGTTGAATCTCTATCATTAACGGTTAGAACACTCCGTTCCTGGCGCGACCTTCCCCGTGCCTGCACACGTACCTCTGGGGAGAAACTTCCGTACGCGCACGACGACGCGCACATTTCCTCCTCCTGCTGTCGGAGACATTACATCTTGACGGCCGATCAGGGATACACCTTCTCGGGCGCGAAGGGATGGACTGGAGGCGGTTGATCGCAGTGTGGCGGCGGAGGCGGATGTCGAGATCACGCTGGGGGACGTGATGCCTGTGAGGGCGGAGGAATCGGATGAAGTGGCGGAGGAGATCGAGCCAGGCCCGGCCTGGCCGATGTGGTGGTAGAAGCGCGGATCTAGCGCCATGTCCCTGCTGTATTCCCTCAACAACTGAACACAATCGTTGACGGCTTCGCGTCGTCGTTCGACGAGGTAAGGGTACATGCAATGAATTGAAATGAAATACAGTGAAAAGAAAAGGTAGAGATCGGATACAAGGAGATTGAAACGAAAGTGGAAAAGAACGAATAATGAAAGGAGGGGGATGTACTGTTGCGCGTTGCTTCCTTGTGAGGTTCAGTAGTTCATGTCCGGTTTGCGGGGAAGTCGTTTTCGGATGTAAACAATGTGTCGCAGGATCAGAAAACGGGCATGCTGCGGAATGCACACCAACGAAAGGATGAGATTCAAACAAATTAAAAAGATAGATAGTGGCGAGTAATGACTTAGACAAAACTAACAAAGAGTTGGGAGAATACAAGACGGTGAGCGCAGTACAGCCCAAGGTGGGTTGCCATAGCAATGGCCACGTACTATCTAACCTACTTTTCACTGCGATCGTCATCGTTATCAACAATTATATTCAATTTCAAAATTATAACACTGTGCACAGTCTGGACCCAATTGACACTCCACTCTAATCAAAATCCTTGGTCATAGCATCATACACGTCGACGTCATCCTTACTTTGCTTTCCAGCCGGGGAGTCGGGGACAGGGTTGCCCTCAGCGTTCATGTGTTCCGCCAGCAATTGGGTAGGACCAATATCATCCAGCTTCTTCTCTTGACCCGTCTTCGCCGTTGCCATTCGACCGGTCGAGCTCTGCTTTTGTGTGCCCGGGTTGACGTCGGCTACACCGCTGAAGCGCTGGTTGTCTTGCTTTGAGGACATTATGGAAATGAAGGGAAGATCTCTGAGATATGGTAATTAGTATCCGATCTTTGCCATTCTGCCCAAGTCGACCAAGCAACCTCAACGGTACCTTTAAACCTTCGACCTGAACAGTACCAGAATAGGAAGGATGATGTTGCTTACCAGTTATGGTTGAATTAATCGATGTTTTGGTATTCAGATGATAGTCATATCTCAAAAAGACTATAAAGTAGGCACGCGATCACCCAATATTTATTGCTGGGGTATGGTGGCGGCATGAGATTATTATGACGACGACATTCACCACCACCGTGTTCGCTCTCCACCCTCGCCATTCGTGTTCAACTCTTTGTGCCACTAATTCAGATGTTCTATTACTTTCTCGAAACCATCTGAGGTTGGTTTGACCAGTAAGTGTGGACAATGCAGAATGGTAGACTTGAGGCATCCCATGGATCCTTCGACCACGCATCATGGGGTCGATTGTTGCCACAAAGGTCTCTCAACTTTGATCTGTAATTCGGTAGGGATAATAACGCATCATGGGACAGTGATGCAGACATTATGTGGCGATAGAATCGTGATGCACTATATTTGCATCATCTTTTTGGTCGAGGAAGCTTCTGTCCAATTGGCATGCTCCAAGCTGATGCCATCACGGTACCAATCAATTACAGATGCCAAAGCTCCATTATCTGGATAGAATCCGGGGCAAGCTCATGAAGCTCCTGATGCCTGTGATTGCAGGTGTTTACATGACCCCGATACTGCTCAAATCAGATACGTAGTAGAACTTGTGTTTGTCGAGTTTGACGGTGGCGTGGCATTGGGAACGCACGATTCACATGGTTTTGGAAGGCGCGATGCAGTCGACTATATATCCATTCGTCTTTTCGAATTGCAAACCTTCTCTCCTATTTGTTCTTGATATTCCCCTCATTCAAGAAGGCATTCTTCCCGAATATTCCAACTGCCACACAAAACAAAGTGAAAAATGCGGCCATTACACTAAACGGGGCTCTGTTCTATGTTTCAGATCCTTCAATTCCAGCCGTATGTGTCAAGAACTTCATAGGAATTCCTCAAGTAAAAATGGAAATTCAAGCGAGAATTCTCGATGGGTGATCCATACAGAAGCATCCTTTTATCAATCATTGATCGACAGCAGGCAACGGCAATGATTGAACGGGGCGGACCGGTACTGGAATGTGGCGGCCGCCCGACCTATGTGCAGCCTGCTGCTCCCCATCAGATAACTTTATCCTGCTTTGCAAAGTGGGTAAAGTGATTTTTAAGGTATGCGCAGTTAGCGTGATGCTGACCTGGCATTTCCGGGGGAGATCACTGCCCAGGTTGAATGTATCGGTCGACTTCCGTGTAGCTGGAATGAGCCTGGAAAGTTTGTCGTTATTTAAGGGTTGTGCACCCCTACCCAGGACACAATCTTGGTTCTTTCTCTTCCTCTTGTATGGGGACGTGTACAGTTGATAGAGGCTGATTTCAGACCATGTACATTTCTTACATTACATCCTTATACTTCCCTCTTTTCAAATTCACCATCAATTTCCAAGGTTCCTATACTACACTTGCACGCCACCATGACCCTCCAATTCCCAATATTCCCGCGGGATTATTTCCAACCAAGTCCAGCAAAACAATTCTTATCTTTGAAGAATAGCCCAGGCATCCTGAACCCCGCATATATTGATCAGATCTTCCAAGAGCTGAAGCCCATCAAGCCGGATAACCTTATGGGAGAATGGGATGGATACATCTTATCGACCGGGCACCCATTTGAAAGCGAGCTGGAAGAACTCAATTGGTTCGGCAACACGTTCGATTCAAAGGATGATGTGGCGCCGCTCATGGTGGCTAAACATGGGGATCGTGTACGCTTTGAAGATTGGGGTGGCGCTTCGGTAAGTTTGTGCCTGGACATAACACAACTTCGAAACCTAGGAATGCTGATCCTTGAGATCCTGTAGCTATGTGAGATGAAGTATCAAGGGATCGTATCTGCGGCTTTAATCTACGATGAGCGCCCGACGATGGTATACTACAGAGCTGTACGGTCGAACATGGTAGCGGGAATAATGGAAAGCAAACGATTTGGACAAGCAGGGAAGGTTTATTTCTACTTGACAAAATGATGTATATATAAGACACCATTAGCGACTTTGGAGAAATGGGTGAAAAGCAATCGAAAAGGAAAGACCATATCGAACACTCAGGTATCCTTCCAAGTTCTTTTAATTTCATTCCCAATCTTCTCAATGGCATTCCACTCCAATCCACTCCAAACCTCCGGTTTCTGAACAGCCTCCACAAAATGCTTAAATGCCATGACCGTCTGCGCTGCCCATCGCTCCTTACTAACCTTCCCTACGCCAACAGCCAACGGCGTCATGAGAAGGGTTTTAATAATCTCCAAGCCAGCTCCATCGGCAGGTCTTTGAGCGCTGACATGACGATTATGTCCCTCAACCTGGCAAAGCAAACTCCAAGTACACTCATAGACAACCTCCCGATCCCAGCTCACATCATCTGGTTCACGCATAGTCGGACAGATAGCTACCCACGAACAGTCGCGTGGATTTTTTTTCAAGTGCTTGGGAAACTCGACGAGTGTACAAGAGCCCGGAGGAGCGAAGCCTCGGTATTTATCGTAGAGGACTAGCTGTGCTGCGCGGGTGAGAGCGTGGTAGTCATGGCGTGGACTGAAAGTCATCGAAATCGCATGATCAAAGGCGCCGTCGAGGCGACCGTAGGAGTTTGCGGGGGAGACTATGAGATCAAAGGTCGTTGAGGGAGGAATGCTGTTTAGGCGCTCATTTATGGTGGTGATCTTTATCTCGCTGTTGGTGTGGCTGGGCCAGAGATCGCCCATCGCAGCTTTGAAAGCTGCTATGTAGGCAGAGTCCATGCATAACAGCAGAATTTCAGGGATGTTTGAGGTCATTTTGCCATAAATAGGTGTCGAAGGAAAGTTCGTGGGTCGCTCTGATTTATAGTTGCGGCTACCGTAGCTGCGGGGCTGAGGCTCACTCTCTGCTCAAGAGTGGATACTGGCGGATTTTCAGTCTAAGCCTCCAATTTCTGAACAGCCTCCACAAAATGGTCTGCGCTGCCCACTCTCTATTAATCTTCCCAAGGCCAACAGCAGATGGCGTCATAAGCAGAGTTCTGGTATATCCCAAGCTAGCTCCCTTCGGGCAGTAGGTGTTCTTGTTCCGTGGTTATCACTGCCCATCTCAAAGTATTGGTCAAGTATTCGTGTGGTTGAGTCCTCGAAAGATACAATATAGCTGCATGTGGTCTTACTTGCAGCATCCGCAGAGTAAATGAACAAAAAGCCATTCTCGCTGGGGAAAATGGCACGTCTTGACTAACTCAGAAAAGCCCTCTTGTCAATTCGAAGCATAGCGAGGATGGAGAAGAAAGAAGAGAAGATGTAAAAGGGAAAGGCGGTTAGATTGGGTGTGTACGGATGCATGTATCATTTTTTGATCGAGTGTGAGCAAATATATGCCTGAGTACGTACTCGATAATGATACTAGTCCGAAATTCGGATACTACACCTTGCCTAATACAGTTATGTTGGACACGGAGGATTTTATTCTCTACCCATTTAATCAACTGTACACTTACATATTAATTGGGGTTTGTCTTCTGTATAAATTCGTTGATTTTTCAAATTCCCGAGCTCGGTCGAGCATATGCATCGAAAATAATGTACATGAAAATGGGTATTCAAAGTAAGAGAGTAAGTAGCAAAATTGCCTGCTAAATGCATCCAGATCGTTAAGAGTCCTCAATACCTAGGTCTCTCTCCTTCCTCAATGTCGCTGCCTCTGCAATATCATCCGCGTGACCTCGCTCTCTGGCGCGGGCTTGCTCTTGAGTCGACACATAGCGCACCAAACTCTCGCAAAGCCGGTCTAAAACCCACTCTGGTTCAGTCTGGTGCGCCAACATTGGGCTGTTCTCGCCAATCCAGTCCCAGTTCAGGACCCCAAACTCATCTTCGTCGAGGACCAGTGTATCTTCCTTACTGTGGTGTTGGCTTGATGATCCCTCGGCCGAAGATGGTCGGGTCCGGGGATTGGTGAATTGGATGAGACGAGTAAACTCCACCCATTCTTCGTAGTTGTACCGCTTGCGCTTTCCTTCGCACACATCTTCAGTAGTGCGACGAATGGCGAATGCAAGTTGTTGGGCCAGTTCGTATGGCGAGGGATGGGTCACGCGCGCAAGTTCCTCAATGGTCCGTGTAGGATAGGTTGGGACAGAGCTGGTACGTCGAGATGGGGCTCGTGGGGTCTCCTTTGCAGCCTCCGGCTCCCCACTCTCCGGATCGGCGGTGTCTCCTGTATCAGCACCGACTTCGAATCCACGTTCCAATCGTTTCTTTTCTTGACGTCTTTCCAGATATCTTCGGGTAAAAGGTATGTGAGCGAAACAAGACCGGTAAGTTCCACTCTCGGGCATGATGGAATATTCAGCAAACTTCTCTGTACCATGCTTGAAAGCAGAAACAACCGTATCACTCATCTGGGAGATGAGCATGGTCATGGTTGGGATGGCTATAAGGGACCACATCACAAAAAACGGCCGTCCAGCATTCGACTGGGGAGTGAAGTCGCCGTATCCAATGGTGAGCAATGAACAGAAGCAAAAGTATAGAGCTTCAAAGTAAGTCCAGTCCTCTAGTGTCCAGAAGACAACGGCTCCGCAGCTCCACACGATTCCAAAGACAATTATGCTGATAATTAAATCGTTCCAACGACGAAAACGCATAGTTTCGTATTGTATGCCACGCATAGCATCGAATCGATCCTTTTCTTCTCTCATGATCAGCAGTTTAGGTCGTCGATCTGCAGCCAATGCATGAATAGTGTTCCGGATCGGCTGGTGTTTCTTATGCTGAGGGCGATAATTAATCTGGGTCTTTTGACGATCAAGTTCTGTAGTGAGCACTTTCTCGGCATTGTTTGAGGTAAACTCGTCAAAGGTGACAGAGCGATCGAAAGTATGCTGCCGTCTCTGTTCGATGTGCTTTCGGACGACATTGTCGTAGTGGACCTCCCGGGCAAATTGATGGATACTTCCAACAACAAGACCAAGCATGATAATTCCGAATACGGCATACGGCCAAACGAGACCTCTTCCAAGGGAAGTCTGAGCTGTCACATCACCAAAGCCCAAAGTCAAGACTGTGATGTCGCAGAAATACAAGGCATCTGCAAATGAGATGTCGAGTACTTTCTGGAAGAAAGCGGCACCTATAAGCAGCCAAACCACAAATGCGGTCATTTGTAAGATAAGAGTGCGCTGATCGTCCGTGAGTGAAAAATGCTGTGGATATCTTCCAAGGAAATATCCTAGCATGTTTATCATGAGAAGAGCACCCAGTAAGAGATAGAGGATTGCCGCGATTACTGCACTCCAAAAGGCCTGAGAGTATACATCATCTGTGCCATTGGGGGGAGCGTAAATAGAAAGAGATGCAGTCAACCCAGCCAGCTGTGACGTCGTTAGCTCGAAATATTCAAAACACGACAAGGGTCCCATACAATACCAGGCGCAATAAACCACATAATAATCGTCACCGGCAAAGCAATGATGTAGCGCACGGTTTGAGTGAAATTCAACAACAAGAAAATATTGCCAACAACACCACAAAAAAGCGAAACTGCGTTAAAGGCCGTGATCCTGCATTATAAGTTATTAGCGACAACCAAACAACCCCTGATAATGCCAGCACATACCAGTGAGGGTCAGCATAGCCCTCCTGATACCAATTTCCAGCCGGACTAGTTGTTCTGGAAGTAATATGGCTCCTCCATGGCATGACCAGCGCAACAATTGACATCACGTTGGCCAGCGGCCCCGCCGCAGCGGCAACCAGCGGAATAGCCGTAGAAGCAATCCACCAAGACTGAGGCTCATCATCCTCCGGCGGTCTCATATGAAACTGGCTAGCGAAGCGATCCCAGAGTGTCGATTTGCCATCCTGCTGATCGCCCGTAGGATTGTCGTGTGGAGGGGGGCCATTCTGCATGGTTCATTCGGGCCTGCATACGCGAGATCGGAAGGATCAAGAAGCGCGCGATTTTCCGATCTGACCTCGGGATCGCTACGAAACAGGCAACTGAAACACCCGAGAGGTGATCTGGAGCCTTGCGATCTGAGCTTGAGCTTGGCGGGGGATTCTGCAAGACCTTCCCCTGGTGCATCCGATACCTGTATCTGCACTCTTTGGTGGGCGACTCAATCTATTTCCTAAGAAGGCAGTCGATTTTGACAATATGCAGACTTAAAGACAAAGGAGGGTTGGCAGGCTTTGGAAACCAAAAGCACGGAAGCATGGCATTGTTCTGCAGGTGATGTCAACCGACATGACAGCAAAACCTGCGGGTTGATCTGCAGTCACGGGATCCTCCCCCACATTCATCCATGGCTCGTGGATATTAATTTGTGGTCAACAAAAAGTCAAGTATAGAATGAAAACAATTGGTAGGATTGAAATTGCGGATTATATAGATAGGATAGACCGGGTGTATAGTTGGAAGGAGTGGTAGAAGCCAAGCCTTGCTAACCTCTTCTGGGTTACCGCTCCGGGTGAGACTTGCCTTTCTCACTGTCCAGAGGGGGTGGCCTCTATGACCATCAAACTACGTCTCATCTGGCTACTTACTCTTATCTGAATAATGTCCTGTAAGTGGAACTGCGAAAGCATAAGTATCATATTTTCTTAGATCTGTTGTTACTCCGTACATTGTTCTTACATGTACATCTAGAACCCGCTAACGAAGGTTTCAATAGAATCCACCTGTGTACCAGAATAGAACAATGGTCAAGATGCAAAAACTCCGATAGTACTCTGTACCATAAGATAGACGTAAGGAAATCCAGTCACACAGTCATCCAGACTGCAATAAGCGTTACACAAACTCAACGGAGTCTGACACCAAATCCAAAACTCAGCACCCAATAACAAGCAAGCCCCCAATCTCAAAGGATTTAAAAGTAGGAAAACGCAAGCGACCATGTGCTCAGAAACCTTATCTAATGCATGCACGACTCATCCGCACATGTATAATAGGAACCCCGCACCTCCGGGACGGGAAAAGGCTACCGGTGATAGGTTCGCCACGTAACAACCCCTCCAAAGGCAACCCACGCCCCCGCGCCACTTGGGGGCCGAAGGACCAGTGGCAGTTGTTATCACCTGCAGGATTATGCAGGCGCTTGGCCCGCGCTGTTGGAGGGTGACATCAGCCGCCGTCATGGTGATTAGGTACCTGCTTTTCGGGCGTACAAGGCGAAGTATATTCTAGAACATGGAAGTAGGTACCGCAGATGTACATGTAGGTCGAAGCGCCGAGGTGAATCGTTGCCTTTTTGGGGGAGTTGGTTGGGCGATTTCAAGTATGGGCCCACTGGAGCTATAGAATCAAATTCTCGTGGAAATAACGGTGATGTGGATCGTGGGTACATGTGATAGATGGGGACAAACCTAAGCGCTAGAGTTAATTACGATTTACGAGCTACGGTATGTTGGCACAATGTAGATGTTGAGGTTTTGTGGTTCTGGTTCTATGTACAACCCGATTTTTCCTCCTAGCTCAACATCAAAGAAATATCACAATGACAAAGGAAATGACCAAGGAAATAAGCAGTAAACAAGATTCGCAGATTAAAATCGCGAGATGGTATCATCAAAGCAGAATGACACAGGCATCAACAGGAAACCGCATGACGCAACAATGAATAGCATCATGCCCAAGAATCGAATAAGACGCCACCCCAAAAAACAAACAGAATAAGAGGCGCCGAAACCAAAGGATTCTTTTGGATCGCCCCAGCTGGGGGCGGAAGAGCTGACGATGAAATAACAATAACAGCAGAAATTCGAACAGCCGAAGCCAAACCTAACGCACTGCAAATGCAATTCAACAACTTGTCAAATGCTCCCGGTGTAAGACAAAGGAAATAAGAGAGATAACAAGCAAACAGAATATAACTTCTTCTCTGTCAGGATTGCTCCTCTTCGGTGTATGGAGGTATAATAGTATAACCGTCTATTAAGCGGACGGCCGGCGCAAGATATCTTCGCAGTTCGCATCGAAACGCATGTTCCACAGCCGGATGCTGTTCATCAATTTTTCCGTGTTTTCGAGTTCGCGGTCGCGGCCGAAGATCGATTCGACAAATTCGCAGCCTGCGTTACGCCCCATAGATACGGGAGCGCCTTTGCCACTTTCCCTTTTAGCGGCCTTCCACATGTAAAGTTCACAACCTTTTAGCAACTTCTTGAACCGGCTCCAGAGTCGGTCGCCACTCTCTAGGAAATCTTCAACAACTTCCTGCGCCTCAATGCACTTGATTCGCGGAAGACATTCGTCCGCTCGCTTCACCTTGCCCGCAAGTTTGATCAGCAACAGCCACAAGTCACCTGCCACGTCGGCCATGGGTGTCGATGCGCCATGGTGGAAAACCGTCCAGTCGTAGATCCATTTACCGAGGGAGCTGGCATCGAAGACACTGCCGAGGAGAATAATAGGTGCCTCGGTAGGGTCCCAGTTTTTGATTGAGTACCCGGGCGGAATTCCGGCGCGCTCCGCGTCTTCCTCGGTGGCGGTGGGTGGCGGTTTTGTGGCGGGAGGTGCAGGCTTAGGCTTGTTTGGTGTGCGAGTCGAGGTGGACTGGCGACGAGCACCCTTTGAACGACGAGCTGCCTCCATGTCGTCGTAGTTAGGAACCTGGTTGAAGTAAAAATGAGAATCAGCGGCTGGGTTTGATTTGCGATGAGCAGTTGACGCGGTGCGACGGTGCTGGCTCTCTTGCTTGGTCGTTGCTGTCGGGGGACGGCCAGGGCGTGGGCGCTGGCCGGAGGCGTAGCGAACATCGAATCCTTCGTCAACCACATCTACAAAGATGGGTCGTTTCTGCGATTGCGAGTTGGGTCCGAGGCCATCCCCCGCAGGATGACCGGTCGTATAATTGCGACGGTGTTTGGGCGGGCCCGCATAAGAAGCACTTACATGATCGTGCTTGCGCGGCGGAATGCCTTGTTCTGGTGATGGTTCGTAGTAGTTCTGCGGGTAGCCATAGTACGACGGTTCTTTGGTGGCCGTGTAGCTGGCCTTGCGGGTGTGCCGTCGCGCAGTACCCCGAGGTGATGTGTAGGGGTTTGCGTATTGTGAAGCGTATTGAGCGTAGTAAGGTGAGGTTGGCGGCGACTGGGAGTAGTCGTAGGTCGACCACCCCGGTGGTGGAGTAGAATAATGATACATTATCGAAGTAGCATGAGCAGCCGGTGCCCGGGTTCGCAAAGCTGGAGAAAAGTAATAGGTTTTTCTCGGCTTGAAACCAAGTTATAAATCAGGCAACGGTGGCGAAGCGACAAGATACCACACACACTGGAGTTAAAAGGAAAAAAAACAATGAAGTCAACGCACAACCAAAGAAACACCCGAATATATTATACAACAGGGTATCGTATGCACCAGAGCAGAAAAGACGCCGATGGAGAATTGCAGATAAAAATAGGGTTGAGTAGGACCGTCACCGTGGTACGGTTTCTGATCGGAGAGAGGAGGGTTGACAGTAGATGTGCTGAGCGTGCATTTGAACGTTATTCAGTTGAGCCGACGAGAAGGGGGCTGGATGAGACCCGTGAAGTTTGGATCTCGCGTTTTGTTAAACCAAAAGGTCAAGACTTCCTGAGGAGAGTCTGTATATAGGAAAGTGGAAAAAGTGCGAGATCCACGAGTTTAGAGCCGAAGCAGGCGAGAAGAGTGGAGATGGGAAAAATTCAACCCAATATGAAATAGAAAGCGAAGAAGAAATGGATCCTTAATTGTCAGCGCGCGAAGATGACTGGGGGCGGCCAATAAGGATCCACTTGCTAGGGGCCACCGTGGAGGTTGGCGTTCTTGGTTGTGGAAATAACGTCAAAAGGACGATAATTACGGAATTTATAGCGTTATCGCGTTTCGGATTACTTTACGCGTATTAATCCCGAGTATATAGGGTTAGCTTTTAGGTAGCAGCCCTCCTTTTATAATATTCATGACTCTGAAATTGTCTCTAATCTTTTGACTCATAAACAATAAAATATAAAATGTAAATCATAATGACTCTATTCCTGACCACTATTACTCCTGATTTCATAGTCTACCCCTCAAACTAGTCCAGATGGAGACACTCGGCTTCAACATGTACTTGATTCGGGCACCGGCCAACTGCATCCTGTGCGTTTTGATTTTCTGGTTGGTTTTGTGAGAAAACAAGGCTGAGTACTAGGCAGCAAACTGCCTATTTTATATTATTCTTAATCTTTGACTCGGTAAATGGTGGTGTGAAAGGAAAATGGAGGGGGACCGCCACCAATAATCCCGAGTCTCTGAATGGCCCCATGAAGCGGAGGTGATTCATAGATACTTAGCGATCGTTAGTTGCGTCGCGTGTCAGGCCTCTGTTGGATAGCACAGGCCGCCATGTGCTAGACTTCCAGAATCGGGCCAACTTTGATTTCCGGACAGTTCATTCTGCATGAACTCATTAGTTGCAGCACATCAAAAGTCGATGCTAAAGCGACCCGAATGGGTAACCCCATCCCACATTTCGATCTGGGCCTGCCCAAACGACAAACCAGAAATCCTCCGAGATGGATCCATGGTTGACCAGCGGCTCTATCGTATCTCCCGGCTTCTTGTACGGCTCATCCCGTTTCGTTCCAGTGGTTCTGACGACTCCACTGACCCATATCGCGTTCTTTGAAACCACCGAAACCCACTATGTTGCCATGGCAAAACACATACTAGTGCAGTATAGAAAAACCAAACTCCATCAGGGTCTGACTTGACACACAAAAACCTTCACCGTTGGGCAACATCACGGACCACGCGCCCTTTACCGCCGGTCGCTGGGCAGCAACCGTTTATCTTTTGGGCCAAAATGGATCTGAGAAGAAAAAAAGAGGAGCTCTGCAGACCGCAACTTGCATATCCACCCAGGTGTAGAAGCCGAGAAAAAAAGTCTATCACTCACAGAGAATCCGCTTTGCAAAAATAGATCTGGCGACGGGTGTTGGATGAGGCTGTGTAGACTATACCCTATAACTGAGACGACCTCAAACTACAGAACAATAGAACTATTTTGAATGAGATGAGTAGTTCACAAAGTCAAAGAGATATACTCAACGACCATCCGACCATTTTTATTCAATATTATAACGTGGGGATATCCATGGATGAAGTGCGACCGCATCACCAAACCCTAAGCAGGCGCGCATCGAGATTGGTTCCCACACGCATCCACTTTGTTCGAACTATGACGTCCAATCCTTTCAATACATCCAACAGGTCTCGAACAAACCAATGATTTACCAATATTTTAAGGTAAAGAAATAATACAATAAAAACCAATGTCCTATGACCTATTACCATACCCACCCAACCAACACCTTTACGTTCACGCACCAACCGAAGGGATGGAATAAACAAACGAGAAACACGTTGGATCCTTACAGGCCTCACCAAGGAATTCCAGGAGCATCCTTGACGAGTCAAGGGTCACAATTCTTGCTTTTTGTTTTTTTCAAGATTTCTAGATGAGTCAACCCTTCGAGAAATGTCCCACCCCTTAGAGAAATCCTGCGCCACCAGTAGGCAACGCCGATCCTGCAAAGTTGCACATGGCGGATGTACTTTTGTTACAGTCTAATATTCCGCCTTTTCAGTCTAGTCCCACATCTTGTCTGCCCATGTACAGTATGCCTGTATCTCCCAAGGCCAGTGAATATCCCTACCTGATGTTATCAACGCAATATTTTTCTGCATATGTATATGTACTACACCCTACATAAGAGGCTCTTCCAAGGTTCGAGCACACTATTTTTACCATTCAGCCCCTCCATCACATTCCCAGCCGAGGCGTCTTCCAGCTATGCAAATGTAAAGGGGCGAACATGGAGATATAGGGGCCTAAACAGCCTAATCTATGGTTCTATGTACTGCCCAGCTGATTGCTTTCTAGAAAAGCGCTTTCAGGTCTAGGGCCGAAGGAATAAAACCTAAAAACTGGCAGTGGGCGCGGCCCGGCTGTACCAGAGGATGACGAGTGGGGCATTGGGGGCGCGCCAACGGGCTGGATAAGCCGGATGCAAAGCGCATATCAGCTACCATAACCTTGCTCGGGCGCACGTCCATTCATGCAGGAATTTCTATTAATTGATGGTTGCCTTTGTGCGATTTGGGGGCAATAAGCTCCGAGTATTTGCAAATATCGCTTACATTGTAGTGTTGTATGGGTTGCTTCTTTTCTTTTTCTGTGTTGCTTATCTTGTAGTTGCTCAGGTGTTGGGTGTGTGCAAACCCTTCAGGGGGATGCGTGCGCATACTGTTTCGAAGCACGGTCTTCTGTATTTTGAGACATGAAATTTATTAATTTCGCTTCCGAGCTTCTCTATTGGTATGATTTTTAATATCAAAATGAAAATTCTGTCGATCAATAATCTGCGTTGTGCTAAATCTGATGAATCATGTACCCCTTGCGCGATCTGGGTTGAGATCAAAACAAACCACCTGCTACTGGCATGTCTCACATGTTTGTTCTTTCATGAATACATAGAATTTAATCTATCGCTCCTCATTCTTTCAATCAAGGGGTTTCACATGGAATATTCATTGTGCGGTGTGCGCGCACTGATCACATAGAGTTCAAGGGATGCCCTTACCCTGAGCCCTATGGTCAATGCATCGAGGTCGCTGGAAGAAATAGGGGCTGGGATTTTTCCCGCGTCTGACCAGGGGTGTGATCCTGTCGAATATTGTGGCTGTTCATTTTCTGATATCAGTGGTGTACATATAGAAGTTCTCCACAGTACTCATGGCGGGATAGTTCCCGTGCCAGACAGATATTAGCACGTTAGGTGTACATAGATTGGTTCCACTTCTTTGATAGAAAAGCCTAGGCCCTCCTCTATTAGCTACATACGTATAAACCTGTTTATAATCAGGGTGCTATGGGATTGTTAACTGGGCTCAGGGGAGTGTGACCAATGTACGTCTTCAGCAGCCATATTGTAAACTCGGAATCCGTCAGTCTTAATATCCATTAAGTGTACGTCTGTGCATATAGGTAGTTACCTATGTAATTATGGTTGCACTAGGCATCTTATTTGGCTGTCAACCGGTGCCCCGGGATCGTTTCCAATTTATATACAAGCTCATCGCAACCACACGTCCCGAGGTCATATACATAAATTTTCCAGATACTGTACCAGTGAATGGTCAGCCATTACAGCTCACCTCTCTGCACCTTGCGAAACTCCTCCGCCCAAGGGAAATTCTCATACCTCGACCCATCCGGCCGAACCTGCACCGTTGAAGGCGCATAAATCCCATTAAGCATCCAAGGATCCCCATTTGCAGGAAGAGGCAACTTCCTCAATCGCATAGGACAAAAGGAATAAGTAGCAACCTCAAGCCGTCCAGTGGAACGATACAGCCTCATAGCATCAGTAATGAAAGATCGACACTGCATGTACCAAGGCTCCAGGCTCAAGAAGTCCTCCCACTGCGCATAAGGCCACGGCTTCTGCATAGCAGCACTAATGACCTGGTGGACCTTAGCACCAGCTGGAAACCCATATCTGGCACAGAATTCCCCCGACACCGCGTCCGACAGGTGTCTCTTCCAGTGCCAGACTAGTGAGAACTCAGTCGCCAGGAAGCGTTGATCAGGCCGGAGACGCGGGAGGACATAGTCCAGCATGAGACGGTGGCCTTGTAGAGTCGGCATGTGTGGATGCAGATCTACGCCCTCGAGCTCCGGTCTTGAGGCGATGAATTGAAGCATCCGCTCGATAGCTGGCGTTCGTTTTGCGGGTAGGTCTAATCTGTTCAGAGCGCCCATGTACAGTCTTGTTGAGGTGATGCCGTTGGTATTGCGGAAACGAATCACCTGGTCGGCAAGTGTTTCGTAGAAGATGTTTAATCTTGTGTCTGCATGGCCTTGTTGGACTTCGATGAAGGGCTCGTTTCCTATCACCAGAATATCAACTTTGCCAAGGACTAGTGGGAGGACGCGGTCCAGACACTCGAGCTCTGTGGTAATTCCGGCACTGTTCACTGCTGGGAAACTGATATTGGTGTAATTCCACTTGAATGAAAGGATGGTCTTATAGCCGGCATCTATGGCTTTGTAGAGAGCTTGCATGTTGGGGTCCTGGGCAGCATGCAATGCGTCTATTTGATGCATGTCGATGAAACCGCGGATCCACTGCGTGTTGACGCGCTCCAGCTCGCCATGGTCCATCCATGTAAGTTTTTCGTTGTAGTTTGCACCCAAAGCCCCTAGGGCTGTTCCTGTGAAGTGAGACTTCATCTCAAGAAAGTTCAAGACGCAACAGATTGGAATTGTTGGAATTGAGATTATATATTCGGCGGGTAAACTCCATCGTGGAGACTTGCCGTGGACACGTAAGCTACCGCCTTCTACTCCCAGAATGAGAACGATGATCTTACGGAGATATTACTGCCTAGATGGCTTATATGCTTCCAAAATTAGACTTATTACTAGTAATGCTAGCTCTGGAGATGCTAGGCCCGTCCGTGGGCAATTGTTCCACAGGTTGTGGCACATTCCGAGGTTACAGGCAATGTATTACTCAGATGACGTCAGAGAATCTATAAAATATATTCACAAAGAAAAAAATTGAACAGACGTTCTATATAGGTATATATAAGTGATGTGAACCGAGGCTGTTGGTGCACGCATTCCTCGTCCCAAATTGTATGTGACCGTTATACGGATTAGAGAACCTTGAAAAATCAAGGCATATGGTATCAAAGAGTGGTATCACGATCATAAAATGTGCAAAGCTCCCAAGTCGCTGATGGATGAATGAATAAACACCTGTCCATTCCCAATGAAGGCAAGCCGGAATTATAGCAGAAGCATTGCCTTGATTAAGTGCCTGCAAAGCACCGATTAGCTAGCAATAATTATGCCACCATATATTCACCACCGCCCCGTTTGGCCTGCATGACACGGGACCAGCGGAATGCCTGAGACGTAATGGAACTCGAGCTTCCATCCAGTGGAGGCGGAGGACCCAGCTCAGAGGGATAAACCGGATATGAGGCGTCTTCGGAATGCTCTGACCAGATCTTTTCCAGCAGTTCCAGACAGGAAAGATTGTTCACAAATCCGGAATCCTTCGAGATATCCTTGCAACGGTCACGGATGGCTGCACGATGATCCTCTTGAACACATTCTGAGCCCACAATAAAGAGCGGCCAAAGAAGATAGACATCGGATTGCACAGCACGAAGACAGTGCATAGCAAGGTGCACGAGGTGCTGAATACGTGGGTGTTGTGATGGCAGACTTGGCTCCGCAAGGCGCTCGCAGTACAGGAGAGCAGCGTGACGGAAACATTCAGAAATCTGGTAGACATCTTGTAGATTCTCAGGGGCCACATGGTACGTCACTGAGGGAACCGAGGGAGGAGAAGGGTCTGGGATGAAATTTGGAGAATTCCAAGTGGGTATTGTTGATGCGGCGGTGGGAGGTGGAGAAGGCATTGAAGTTGAAGAGGGTGGATCGAATCGCCAGGATTCGAGGCGTTGGCGCAGCGAGTACCATTCGGTCCAAAAGGCAGGAGAAGATGGTTTTCTTGCCTGATCGCTACTTTGAGGTGGAGTGGGCATAGAGAACGCGTAGTCGGGTCCAGCAGAGAACCCTGGTCCAGAGAGCCCGGTGACAGAGTCCCAGCCGGGGAACAGCATGGCCGGAGGGAGGGACGTAGTAGGAACAGAAACATCGGCTGGTCGATTTGGCTCGGTGGGTTGTTGTTCCTGACTTAGAAGGTTCAACCGCCCCAACTGGGAAATGAGCTTGAATAAACGGCCATCACAGCCTGCCAGATTCTCAAGACCCCATTCCCCGTCTGATATGGAGCTGATATCCAAACATCTTCCACGAAGCTGTACATCACGATCATTTGTGGTAGCAGTCAATGTATCAAACCAGGAGAACATGCGGATAAACCATTTCAGGTCATCAGTCAAGACAGGAGAGTGGCGCATTCGAATGGCGAGCAACCGCGTAACACCGGCAAACTGCGACCGAAACTCGGCAACGCCTGTGTCACATCCATGAAACAGGCAGAGAACCAACAAAGTCGCTAATACCGAATCCGATAATCTGCGACGAGGATCCGCCAGATCGGCGTTTAGAGCTTTCACGGCCATTGCTCGGTGGTGGTTTTCTTCGCGAGCGTAGCCCTCGGGTACGGAGATACCATATCGATCTTGGAATGCCTCATCGGTGAGAGCACGATGAGCCATCGATGACATGCGCGCAGGTAAAGTCCTTTCCGTGGAAAGATGATTTCGTTCCCGACGCTGCCGCAAGTTGCTGGTTGACAACGTAGCAATAGCCTCCTGCAAGGATTCGCTCTCCTGGGCCAGACGAAGCACGTGGGTCTTGAAGGGATTTGTTGGACTATCAAAAGCCACAATCATCGGCGCGATGACCTCGGTGAAATAGCTGATGAGATAACGGAGACGAGGGGTGCGGCCTATGGATCGTGCCAGAAGTAGCTGGGAATACGACGGTGAATGGCCAGCATCCCACCGTATCGATTGCTCGGGTGTTGCTCTTTCATACTCCTCATCAGCATCTTCACTTGGTGTTGCCACTTGCGGGGCCCAATTTCTGGCAACAGACCAGTTGGGGCTAGCGAAAGTGGTCTCTGGGCTAAATCCAGGATACGGCATTGAAACATCCGATCCCACGCTTACTACGCTTTGCATGCTTGGACTCAATCGACTAGAAGCAACCGGCCGACTCGGCAATGGGAGGCCTGATATTGGAGGCGGGACGGCGGGTGAGTTGGTCCATGTACGCGGGTCCGGCATATCCATTGTCCAAGGCATACTCGACGTTTCCGACATGTTTGACATCGCAGATGTACGTCGCAGATCGGTGTCCACCGGGTTCAACATCCCGGCATCCATATGTTCGGAACTCATGCTAACCGGAGGTGCCGGGACTGGAATCGGAGCTGGCGGATGTGAGACTTGAGGCTGATTCTGAGTATGCTGAAGGGGCGCCTGCGCGGTCGGCTTCGGTTGTGCCGGCTTTTTTGAAGCCTCTGCCGCTGAGTCCATCACCGGAAGCTTCTGGCCCCGGAGCTTGCCTCGACTCGCCACTCCCAATCCCCATGTCAACGTCGTCTTGTATCCGGAACATTCGCGGCCGAGTTCGAGACACTGGGAGCAATACGGGCGGCGTCGGTCACATCGCGCTCCTCTTTTTGAGCACGTGAAGCAGTCATCGGGGGCGCCGCTCACGACCGTTCTCTTGCGACGTTTTCGCACCGGGGCGTTCGGGTCTGTCTTGCGGGCTTTTCCTTTGGCAGGTTCCCTCGGTTGGCTAGCTACGCTCTCAGACATGATGGGCGAGTAGTGCGGGAAGCACCCTCAGGAGGTCCATGGGGTGTCGGCCACAGGTCTGGCGTTGTCGGTCGTGCGGGCCTTCTCCAAGGTATATTTTGTGGGAGATTGGAGAACTTCAACGGGGTTCCGCAAGTGGGTCCTTTAGCAGGTAACGGTTTATGGGGAAAGTTCGGCGGATAGAAGTTTGGAAGATCGCGAACGATAGCCCAAGAGAAGCAGGAAGCGGAGGGGAAAGGGAGAATAAATAGGAAGACCAGGATCAGGGAGAATGGAGATGAAAGTTAGTGGGTAAGAGGATCTGCGGTGGAGGATGATCCGCGCTCTAGGCAAATCAGCCAAATCCTGCGAAAACTCCGGCTCTCGCTTGCAATTTATCCCTCAAACTACTCCACCATTGATCTACCTAGAACACCATCGAAGGTGGGTTCTTATTCTTGAAACCCGAACCTTAGAGCCCACGCCACTTCTAGTTAGTCGGATTCACTGGTGTCGGACTAATACCCCCCAATGTATTAAGTTTAGTTTCGACGCAATAGATTGTCTATATGACATGAACTAGTGAACCCCATAAATGAGTTTCAGGGACATCGTAGAATTATATAGAAAGGAGAAAAACCTTAAAGTATTTCACTCCAGCCCTTTCAATGTGACTCCTACCACACAGTTTCCAGTAGCACGCGAGAGATAATCTCCTGATGGTCTCGTTGCCAAGCATCGCGGTTGACCCGCCGCTTTCCTTCTCCCCAATCTCACTCTCCTCATGATCGGATAACAATTTTCCAATCGCTCACTCTCCCCACCCTCCTTACACTGCGGCCTAGGCAACTGCAGGTCCCTTCTGATTGCCTGATTATTCCGTCGGGAATCTTCGATCGGCGCGCCCGTGCGCCGCTCGCTCGAACCCCCTGTGACTGGTTGTGGTCAGCGCGACGCGCGCTGAGGATCAACCCACTCTGCGAACGTTCTGCTCCGGCTCCTCCCGCAAACCATCCAATATGGGATTGTTCAGGCCAGGTCGGGCAAGGTCCCTCCTCCTTGCCATGATGGCCATGATTTTAGTATGCACGGTCTACCTCTATTGGTCCCCGATCAACGCATCCTCCGCCGTCTCCGTGGTTCCAAGCACAGCCTTCGAAGTGCCCATATCAGAACGCCAGAAGGATTTTTGGAAAGCCTTCCATCCCATACTAGAGCGCCATAATCCCAATTGTCCATCGCCGCAGAAATTGGAAGATGCGGGTGCGGGCCATTTCGACCCCACGGTAGACAGCCCACGGCAGGATATCACAACATTGGCAGAGGAAGATCAGAAGAAAATGGAGGAGGCACATGCTAACTTTGTTGAAGAGATAAGAGCGGCCGGAAAGGCCTTAGAGCCCGTCCACACATCCGGGAAACGAGGCCTGGTCTCGACGGCTGGCTCGACGTACCTACCGGTTTTTGTCTCGTCCATGCGGATGCTCCGTCGGACTGGATCCACATTACCAGTGGAAGTATTCATGAAGGATGCAGGTGAATACGAAAAGCGCATATGTAATGACGTGCTACCTGCCCTCAATGCGAAGTGTTTGGTGTTGGGTGATGTTGTAGGGAAAGATATCATTGAGCATTATCAGCTCAAGATCTTTGCTGTACTCTTTTCCTCATTCGAAGAGATTGTTTGGATGGATGCGGACTGCTTCCCTCTAGGAAAGCCCGAAGATCTGCTGGACTCGGAGCCTTATACCTCGTCTGGCTTAGTGACATGGCCAGATTTTTGGAGGTCCTCAGCATCTCCTTTGTACTACAAGATATCTCGTCAAGAGGCGCCACCCATCACAGCCCGCCAATCATCAGAGACGGGTGTCTTCTTGGTATCGAAGAAGACCCATTTCCTGCCACTTCTTCTTGCGGCCTATTATAACTACTATGGCCCATCTCACTACTTCAGGCTGTTGTCCCAGGGTGGACCGGGAGAAGGCGACAAGGAGACCTTCCTCCAAGCTGCCACGGCGATGGATGCGCCTTTCTATGCCGTAAGTGAGCGAGTACAAGCCATCGGTCACCAGTTGGGAGAAAGGCTGGCAGGCTCCGCCATGGCCCAATCGGACCCTCGAGAAGACTATGCTCTGATCTCGCAAGCTAAATGGCGAGCTAAAGATCCCAATGTGGCACCACCGCCACATGTCTTCTTCATCCACGCAAACTATCCTAAATTCAACCCTGGCGACAATGTGTTTGGAACAGCGTGGGAAACTACACCCACTTTGAAGGAAGATGGCTCAGATGGCCGTGCGTGGACAGCTCCTCCCGAAACAATTCGGCGATTCGGATATGATATCGAGAAGACTTATTGGGAAGAGATCAAGTTGGTCACATGTCGTTATGAAAGCCTATTCAAGTCGTGGGAGCATAAGGCTGGCCTTTGTCAGAAGGTGGAGGACTATTGGGCTCATGTCTTCGCTGAACCGCACGATGATGACCCAAAGTTCACCCTAGACGGTTGATCTACCATCCGCTGCAGCATTCGCCCCGGCATTTAGCTTCTTCATGAACCAGAGGCCCGGTGCCGCGACATGACTTTATTACCTGCAACACAAGGTTCTCTTTTCAGGTTTGTACGGTAGAGCTCCTGCATCACGCCAAAGCTAGTGAGTGTTGGTTGTGCTAGGGTTCCCTTGCAGCTCAGAATCCAGTGAGTTACTCAGGCTGCACATACTTGTTGCTGAGCGTTATCATGTACAATACATCAGATGTTCCTCCATTTCGGGTCTGTTGCACATAATATATAATTTATCATTATTGAAGGAATCGTCTACAAAGTACTACTGAATCAACAATGAGGATTTGGTGGCTTGAATAATTTCGTTCTGTTCAATGCTCTCAGAACACGGAAACTAAGAATTCGTCATATCGTACAGGATAATTCCCAGCCCCATAACCAAAAACTTCACATCGTGGGTATGGGTATCATAACATCATGGCAAACTTTTTATTTCTTGATGCCCTTCTCACGCAGGCGCTGCTCATCCTCAGCCTGCAACTCGGCATCGATCTTAGCGCCCTTCGAGGGAGCATTTCCATGGAGCTTGGCCTAATAACAGATTGTTAGAAATGTTCTTCCCCAATAATATAGAAAGAGTATAACTTACAGGCTTGGTAGGGTCCTGCTTGCTCAGCTCAGCCTCCTCGTTGACGTCGTTGTTGTGGTGGTGCGAAGAATCGGGCTTGCCGCCTTGGGAGGCAAGCTTGTTGGCAATAGAGCGCTGGTCCTTGGAGTCCAGGTTCTTGTGGCTACCGGGCTCGCCCTCCTTGTAACGCTCGCGCTCGTTGATCTCGGACTGAGGCACGTTGCGCTGGTCACCGGCTTCATAGATAGCACGGTTGCCGACGCTAGATTGACCAGACATATTGGATACTCGAAGATTTGGCGAAGATAAAAGTTTCGGGAAGATTGGTATGAAAAGAAGAAGGTATTTGAGGAATTATTGTTTGTGAATCGTGAAAGGAAGAATTAGTTCAAGGGAAAATCTCCGTCTTATACTTGGCTAATCCGGCCACCGAGTATGATATCGATGGGCGGTGATGTCATGTTGGAGTCACTGAGATCATACTTGTGGGTCAAGGCCCAGACTGCTTGGAATGACAATTCGACGTGGACGATTGATCGTGTGCGTGTTAGACCCTTTCTTTGGGATTTACATCAGGGCAAGCTTCAAACAAGGCAGCTTGCGTCTGTGACATCGTAATGAACCCTGTGCCCCTCCACTTGTATACTCCACTATTACGTGCCCATTAAAGTCGAGGGTTTTCTTTAAGCTTCTTCGTTAGTCAGTTAATTTATCTTCATTAATTCTCATAATTATGTTCGTCAAACTTGGTGATATTTTTGATGAGTCTGTCGTAAGATAACGAAGAAAATGAGACTTACGCACCGCGACCCACTCCGGCCATCGGACTCAGTCATAGGGAGTTCATTATGTACCACGACACCACCGAATCACCGATGAACGATGCGATCGCGTCTATCTTCCCTATTCAAGGCCATAGAGCACAATAGGGTAGCTTTCCAAAGCTCAAGTAGACTATACAACTCCTTTCACTGCCGAAGCACCTACTCCACCGCCACAATGAGCTCCTCCGCCCCTGCCGCAGCTTCAGCACCCGAAGTGCAACCCCGCTTTCAACAGCTCTTCACCGAGCTAGAAACCCGTTTTAAAGCAACCAGCCTTGGCAATGACAAGTGGTATATCCTTGCCACTTCTACTCTAGCTGCTGGCCCAGACCCCGAGCGCGCAGACCAGCTCTACCTGCACCTCATCTCCCAACCGGAGTACGCAACCTCGCCAGCTCGACAGGCTTTAGTGCGCCGTCTGCGCGAGGCACTTGTCAAGTCAGTCCCCATTGTAGGTGTCTGCAAGCCCATCGAGGCCATCTTGTCCATTGGCAAGGTTGAGCGCGATGAGGATAAGGACTACACCTTCACGCGCGAGAACTGGCAGTGCGACGAGGCCAACCATCAGCGCGGTTCGGAATGGATGCAGAAGCTGTACGCTCGCAACACCGGTGGAACTTTGAATTTGTTTGCCGCGCATCAGGACTTCAAGTGGTTATCTGAGGAGATTACCTATGGGTTGTATCTGTCGGACCGACAGATCCTAGATGATGTGGATACGCAGCTGGTTGTGTTGCCTGGAATTATGAGCCAGAACTTGCCGAATGAGACACATTGGCATATTCGGGGCACGAGACGATTGGGTTTGCCTAAGGAGGAGGTTCAGGTTATTTGGGACTGTGTTCAGCTTGTGGCCAAGTTTTTTGATGTGAAGCTGAACAAGGTGCCTACTGTCGAGTCAGTCGAGTATGATGTTTAGATATAAATATATCAGTTATAAAGACTATGCTCCATGGGATTGATTCTATGACATTGATTTTTCGAGGGGTATCTCTTCATTCCATCTACCATCTATGTAGCTTTCACCCACAGCAATGACATAGATCCGGCCGATAACCGATAAGAGAAAAAAGTTCAAAAGCGGCCGCGGGGCGGAGCAATGCCCAAACACCTTCAATACTCACACATTGATTAACCTCGAAACACAATCATGGGAAAACGCAAGCAAGATCTTGGTGATGTGCCCATGGGCGGCACAAAGGACGAGGATTCCTCCGACGATGTGAGCGCACACCCCGCACTTTAGGCCACACAACTTCTAACCTTGCGCAGGACACTGACATGATCAATGTCGACTTCGAATGGTTTGACCCGCAACCTGCAATCGATTTCCACGGCCTTAAGAACCTCCTCCGCCAGCTATTCGACAATGATGCTCAAATCTTCGATTTGTCCGCCCTCGCCGAATTGATCTTGTCGCAGCCGACACTCGGATCAACCGTGAAGACCGACGGCAATGAGTCGGACCCGTACGCTTTCTTGTCTGTTTTGAACCTGCAGGAGCACAAGGTAAATTGATACTCTCAAATTCTGGCGCTCCTGCAGAACTAATGGCTGTTATTGTAGGACAAACCCGCCGTGCAGGAATTGATCAAATATATCACCTCCAAAGCCGCCGGTAACCCCTCCCTCGCCGCCATCAATGAGCTCGTCTCTCAGGAGCCCATTCCTCCAATTGGCTTGATCCTGACTGAGCGGGTCATCAACATGCCATCCCAGGTCATTCCCCCTATGTACAACATGCTTCTGGAGGAGATTGCTTGGGCAATTCAGGACAAGGAACCCTACAACTTCTCGCACTACCTCATCATCTCCAAGGGCTACGAGGAGATCGAGTCGAAGCTGGATCTTGAAGAGTCTCGGCCACAGAAAAAGACCAAGAAGGGTGGCGCTGCTAACCAGCGGTTCTTCTTCCACCCCGAGGACGAGGTGCTGCAGCGCCACGCCCTGTGCTCTGGCTCATATGAGTTTACCCACAAGCAGGATGACGGCCACTCGGACTCCAAGCGTGCGTTCCAAGAGCTTGGTATTATCACCAACGGAAGCATGATCTTGATCGAGGGGTCCAAATTCGAGGCTACAGTCAAGGCTGTGCAGGAGTACCTGCAGTAAATGGTGTGAAGATGATCTTCATATCATTCCATTTCATGTCCCATTTATGAGAAAATATTCTATGCAGTCTCTTTTTTAATTCCTGTCTTGCAATCCTTCCACGCTCACCCTGTCAGCGTAATGATTATATAGACTTTATAAATAGAACCAAAAGTTCATAACGTCATGAGTCAAATCACCGTCTACTCCCATTGAGTTCCCTTGAGGCGCTGCATGAGGTACTCCACCTCAACGACCTTGGTGAGTGGGATGACACACTCCTGGTGATAAGTTAGCACTGTCCCTTGTAAATTCAAAAGGGTGGAGCCAATTCTCCCAAACTCACCTTATACATAGCGACCACTGCATCAATATTGATCTTCTGACCCTTCTCCTCAGGGAAAGCAGGATCTGTGCCATAAGTCTTGGCCTTAAGTCCCAACCGCTCAAGCACCTTTTGCTCCACCTTCGCGTCAGTGATCGCAGCATCAATGCCCGCGCGATCTTCCGCCTTGATCAAGCGCACAAAAGTCTCAGGATCCTTCTGGAACTTGGACTCTGCGACGAACTTTCCAAAGTGAATTCGTCGCGACAGCGCCTGCAAGCACGAAACATCACAGGTTGCAGCAGATCCATAGTTCTCCTGTGCCTCACCGCGGTCTTCACGGCCAAGGTTCGGGCACACAGCCGGCAAAATCTCGTTGATGTAGCGCGTCTTGATAATGTCGTTGACGTTCACATCGTTTTTGTGCAGGATGTGCGGGTACTGCAGGGGTGCGAGGATGGGCTGCTCGAGCACATCGGGGAAGAAGGGGTACTCGTCGGGGGATTCATAGCGACGCACACGCGATTGCAGCCTTTCTTGCTCGCGGAGGAGGTAGTCCGATAGGCTCAGTTCGCAGTTTGGGATCTTTACACCACCGGGGACGTAGATGGTCTTGTTGAGGGGGAATTGGACTCGCTCGATCAAGTGGAAGGTGATTGTGTCCTCCAGACGACTGTAGAGCTAGAATTTTAGCAGCTATTTGACTGATATTGTTATGATCAATGAGGCTTGTGATAGGGCCTGGATCTTCTGCGGTCAAGCTATGGATATAGCGGGGTGCGCGGGGAAAAGCTACTGCCAATTTTTTTTTTGGCGACTGGAGAAAATCGAGGACTCACATGAGCTGGAAACGAATGTTGGCAAGGTCCAATGCCTTGGAGGCATCGGACAGATTGATGGCTGTGTCCATGATTGCGAGGGATGGTATTGGGGAAGGAGAGAATGCTACGAGTCAGCGAAGTCGGAGATGGATCTACTCCCGGTGTATTACAGACCAAACGGCTCTCTATTTATACAGGGCAAAATGGCACAATGCAAGGCTCAATTGAATTCTCATTATAAGCCATTCAATCAAAAAGCCTCGTATTTAATTGGAATATGTGTCTTAAAAAAGGAATCATCCCCCGCTAATTCAGTGTTGGGGCAGGCCGGGTATTCGGTACTCGGCCAGTACGGAGCTCAGCTGTATGGGACCAGCAAACATGTACGTACCTACAAGTACAGATACTGAAGGGCCCCAAAGCACCTTGCAGCAATCTCACTAGTCCGGATCGGCTTGCAGGACTAAGGATCAGACCCTTCCACTGCACCTGGAATGGATATAACCTGGTTTTGAATATTAAAAGTACCATACGGCCCTGTACGAAATACCCGGGGAACGCGGTAAATCATCGCGTGGACACATGACGGTTATCTCTCCAACCTTCTCCGAATCTCCCTCAACAACGCATGGGTCAAGGTTGAGCCCCTAAGACGCCTCCTAACATGGAGAATCACCGCCGCGACGAGTCGCCGTCCGGTCTATCAGATATTGTTGAGGGCGAAGGCTTGCTCGGAACCGGATTGACGGTAAGTTTTTTTCTTTTAAAAGCCTTTCACCTTCCAGCTGTACCCCTCTTCCACGCCGCGGGCTAGGCTAATCTGGATGCGAATAACAGACCCGTCACATCGAAGCTTTCGGGCGAAAGGTCACCACGACCGCGGGACACTTGATGGGACCGACCGACCAGAATCCAAACGCCCATTATCAAAATGCTATGAGCGACATCCATCGCGAACTGCGCCGGCCAGCGGCGCAGCGCAAGGTCTTCTCTCTAACCCAGACGACTCCGACCGATCTCGTGCGATCGAGGCTGTCCACCACTGAAATCCAGTCGCGTGCCATCTCTTCCCTCCCAGATGAGCTCCTCGCCAACATACCCGAGGACAGTAGCTCCTACTCCCTATTCCAAGGTTTCCAGGCTTCCGTCCCTGAAGAAGACCACGCACAAAAACGACACCGCAGGCGCAGCTCGAAGAAAGCACTGAAGGATAGCGAGAAGGGCGGCGCCCTGACTGCTGGTCCAGCCGGGCTGAAGGAAGAACGGAAAGCGCTGAGTCGCCGACTGGACCTAATGGGTATCCGGAAGAACATGTGCAGCGCCGAGATTCACGAGATAGACAACAAAGTTGCCAATTTACACAAAATGCGCCAGATTGTGCTCGATCGATTAGCCGGCTTGGAGATGGACGAAGCGGCACTGGAACATGATCGTGGGTTGAGCCTTGTGGGCACATTTGACGCAACAGCATTTATTCTGACATAATTGTAGTAACGGAGCTCGACAATAAGCTTGAAGACTTCCCAGAAGAAACCCCCGAGACTTCCGCCACCGCGGAAACACCCCAGACCTCCGAAGCCAACGATGACTCTACCGTGTCTTCCGGCGACCCGGCTATGGATGCATCTTTCATGTCCGAATCTATATATGAGAAACTTCCTAACTCATCGCCGAAGAGCCTGCGCCACCGATCTATAAGAAAACGATCCATGCCAATCCTCCATGAACATTTCGCCCCAGGCTCCTTAATCAAGGAGATCCAGGCACACACCGATATGGTCACCGCCATTGACTTCGACTATCCATTCGGTACGATGGTTAGCGCTGCTTTAGACGACACAGTGCGTGTTTGGGACATGAACGTTGGTCGCTGCTCAGGATTTTTAGAAGGACATCATGCATCTGTTAGAACCTTACAGGTGGAGGATAATATTGTGGCAACGGGATCTATGGATGCATCTGTTCGACTGTGGGATCTGAGCCGTGCTCGGCCCACTACTCGTGGCAATAGCCGTCTGAACAAGCATGAGCGGGACGAGGAGGAGCTCTTTGAGACTCCTTCCGCTTCATCGTCCAACTTTGAAGATTGCCATGTCTTTACTTTAGATGCCCATGTCGATGAAGTCACTGCGCTTCACTTCAAGGGCAACACGCTCATCTCTGGATCCGCGGACAAGACATTGCGCCAGTGGGATCTTGTTAAGGGTAGATGTGTTCAGACTCTGGATATCTTGTGGGCGGCTACTCAGGCCTCTACAACTACTTCAACAGATGGAAGCTGGCGACCATCTGGTCGTCTTCCAGATGCGTCTGCCGATTTCGTTGGAGCTCTGCAGTGCTTTGATGCCGCTCTGGCCTGCGGAACAGCTGACGGCATGGTCCGTCTCTGGGATCTGCGTAGTGGTCAGGTTCATCGGAGCCTCGTGGGTCACACTGGTCCCGTCACATGTCTACAATTTGATGACATGCACCTGGTGACGGGTAGTCTTGATAGAAGCATTCGGGTAAGCTTTTGTGTATACTTTTCACCAGGACGTTGAACTAACAATTCTCAGATCTGGGATCTACGGATGGGCTCAATTTCCGACGCCTATGCCTACGAAAAACCCATTACCAGCATGATGTTCGATTCCAAGCGCATCGTGGCTGCCACCGGTGAGACCGTAGTGAAAGTATACGACAAGGCCGATGGTAAACATTGGGATTGCGGCCCTGGTGTTGGTATCGAAGAAGAGGGGCCATTCCCCTCTACCATCGAGCGTGTACGACTCAAGGATGGATATCTCGTCGAAGGTCGCAAAGACGGCACAATGGGTGCATGGACATGTTAAAGTGTCGGGATATCATTCTCTTCCTCTGCCCTTCTCCATCATCTTTGCAACCTTGCTTGGGGCTCTCCATTCCCCCCCTCCCTTGCCTTCCACGCCTATTGTATAGTATCCCAACCCCCTGCCTAGAGCGCTGGATGGAGCAAAGTGGCGCACATGGAAGAACTATGATATCGACTGCTCTGTACTTAGCACCGTTCCATTTTGCACGCCAATCCAATTCACTTTGTTGGAACCCCATATTCTTAAATAGACATAAGAAGAAAAATCAGAAACAGAAGAAACAGCGCGTATGATTTGTCGGCATAGCTTTGAGCATTAAAAATAGAAGTCTGCCGCAAAAAAGTTAGAGTGCTGAAACTACGCGACAAAGACTCATGACAAAGGCAAAGGAAAGCATCATGTCACACTTCAGAGTCGAGGCCGAGATTCTTCGCGCTTGCACGCCCAGACTTCTTTTTATCTCTCATCTCCTCCTTAAAGAAAACCCGCCATTCCCACCATTCCCCTCCGACTTGCAAGGACCTCAATTCATTCTTATCGCGGATCATCAATATTGCTGATCTCATTCTCGGGATCCACATTTGAAACCCGCAAGTCACGTTCCGTCGCGCGTCTGCGCGTCTTGACTATTGCAAAAGCCTGGGGTCGCAAGCTACAAAGCCTAGCTTTCACGGCCATCGTATTTCCAAGCGAAATATTGATGATTTATCAATTCCAAGTAAGTATCTGAGTAGTCTCGGTGATCGCTTTGCCTGGACAGTGGGGTTATACCGACAAGGGAGCGCGGCATCCCCAGTTACCTCCATGCCCCGTGGCATCCACACTAGGCTCTGTTTTTGTTTGAATCTGAGTGAACCCGGAGCTAACATTGATAGCCTCACTGGTTTATTTAATCGGATATCTCCTGCTGGGAGGTTTTTGCTGGTCTCTCGGCACAGTTTGTTTCAGACCGGGTACATCCCGTTAAATAAAAGAGTAAGTGTTGGTTGCCTCTTTGCTATTCTCGTCTGGATTCTTTGATCGGAACAAGCCTATTGCCCTGCTCTGATACTTGTGTGACACCGCCCTTGATTCCTGGATAGCCTGAAAGGCTTTGTCGTTACTTCTCTGCAACTACACTAATCATCTGCTGTCTGCGAGTTGCGTTTCTCATCATTTGACATCCCCGCTACATTGAGTAAAGCCTACTCCACTGGCTCGCAGGCTCCAAGACAGACATGATTCTAGTTGATACTCGACAATTTGTTGCCACGCGCTAACTTGATTGCACAGATGCCTCCAAGAAAGCTTCCAAAAGGGTACGTTGAGGTTGAGGAGAGTCCATTCCAACCATTAGTCCCACACAACCCATATTTGCCTCCCATACCAATCAAAGCCTCATTTGGGTATGGGTCGCAATTCGGGACAACCATGCCTAGGCGCTTGCCCGCACCGCCACCTCAAAAGATCACCAACCTCAGACAAATTGCCGAATCCGTTAACCAAGCCTTGGAGAACAGTCAACTGAGAGCTGCTACTGAAGTCAACGCACAAAAGAAGGCCCAAAAAATGCCACAAGGAACAGCAAAGCCTACACCAAAGAAGCGACAACCTGCTGAATCTGTTCGTCGAAGGACGAAGCGAGAGCCGACTCCAGATGAAACTCAGCTACACCGGGCGTTGCGCGAAGCAACTATGACGCCTACAAAAGAGGAAAGCAACCAATCTGACTCAACACCTTCACCTCCAATTCAACGAACTGTGTCCACAGACTCGAGTCCTGGTGCCGAACCACCTCTCCCACGACGTTTATCAGTCATGTCAAATTCGCCAAATTCTCCGCTTTACCCATCAGCTCTTCAGCGTGGTGGACACGATACTCACGAAACAAACAGCTCAGGTCGATGGAGCCGTCAAAGCTCGATAGATAACGCGTCTGTGGTATCTTGGAATCTAGAGCGTGATATTCACGAGGATGACCTGAAAAGGACGAGACCAAGCACCCATGGGCGCAATATCACTGCACCTCCTCGGCGCCCTTCGGGATTATCTAGTATTCTTCCTAGTACTATTGACGAGGAAGAAGAGGAAGGAGAGGAGGAAGAAGAATATGGTGATGATGAGCTAATATCGGAACACCCGAATGAGCCCAAGTCCGAGATTGAAGCTGAGCCGATGGATGGATCTGCCTCCCCTGCAGGTGGTTGGACTACATCGGTGCGAACGATCATTCCCCAATTCTTTCGTTCTGAGCCTAGTGTCGAACCTCCAGAGTTAGTACCCCCTGAGGACCTAGCTCGTGAATGGCATTTGCCAGCCCGACCAGCAACCCAGGTTGAAGACGTACCTTCCAAAGAATCAAAGCGAACCAACTGGGGCCGCCTAGCCATTATGCTGCTATTGCCCTTAGCTCTGGCTATTTCCTTCCAAATGGGGCTCTGGGAGAAGCTTGAATTTCCGCATTTCCCAGCTCCCATCCAATACTCTCCCAATGCGACTGATTCCGTCGCTGTGCATGGTCTCAAAGACCAGGTCTCGAAAATGAACGAGCAGATGTCATCCTTATCTCGCGAACTGGTGGCTGTTCGATCAGAGCATGCTCGTGACTCGAGCCCTACCTATGCTGTAGGCGTACCGGCCGGATATGAAAGCCCAATCCATAAAATCAATTTCTTATCTCTGGCATTGGGCGCTATCGTTGATCCGCATCAAACCACACCTACAGCGGACCGCTCATACCCATTCTATCAGCGCGTTGTCCTCACCATGCTTGGCCTACGCTCGACTATTACCGCTTCGATGCCCCCTGTGGCTGCTCTTATTCCTTGGGAGGAAGTAGGAGATTGTTGGTGCAGTGCTCCACGCAATGGAGTGTCTCAGATTTCAGTGCTTCTTGGTCGTGACATCGTGCCAGAGGAGGTCGTCGTGGAGCATGTTCCTTCCGGTTCCACTCTAGACCCAGGAGCTGCACCCCGAGAAATTGAAGTCTGGGCTCGGTACCGTGTTATTCCCCTGCCCTTCCAGGGCTCTTCGTCCATCTTCTCTTGGTGGAAGTCAACTCCTCGCCGGCCGATTGAGCCCATGTCGTCGAGAGATGAAGGCCTTGGAGGGTACAGCATTCCCGGCGAGGATTCTCTCCATGAAGTACTCATGAACTCGTTGAGTGCGACAAATATGTATGATCCCGAGAGCGCCTACTCGGACGATCCCCTGCTTGGCCCGAATTTCTACCGCATCGGTAAAATGGTGTATGACATCAACAAGCACAACAATGTCCAGCGATTCCATCTGAACACAATCATCGATATTCCGACAATCCGAGTGGACAAAGTGGCATTCCGGGTGAAATCCAACTGGGGCTCGAACCACACGTGCATTTATCGGTTCAAGCTACATGGCCACATCTGATTTATAATATCGTTGCACCGTCTTATATGGCTTCTATATTATGCTCTGCGTTTTATTTACATTACTCTCTATCTCTCATGGAAAAGGGCGAGGTGGATACGAATTTGTTTTCATGTTCTGCGGCGAGATGATACCATGCATTTAGCGTGCAACGGCGTTAGGGCACATCGCCAGGGCGATAGATTTAATACCAACATTGAGTTTCACAATGCTTGTTTTAGGCTGAAAACTATTTACGCCCAAGGCAGACTCAGGAACGCTTTGACCTTCGTGACACCTGGCGCTTGATGCGCTGTTCAACCTAGAATTTTGCAATAAGCGCCCACTTGCCTTTAAAGCGCGTAAACGTCAACATAACAACAACGGACTTCCAGTATTTTCGCGCTTTGCTGAATACATCAGTTTTTCTCCCACAATTTCAGTGACACAATGGGTCAAGCTCATTATTACTGCCATCATCGCTGGTCCAATGGACCTCCTGCTGATACACCGAAATCAGAGGAAGAAGCTCTTGCCCGAATTGATGAGCTCTACAATTCCGGCGTGCCATGGTTCAGCAAAGAGACTATCCGCTCTGCTTTAGAGCAGATGCAGCGCCAACCGGCACACGGTGACCAGATCGTTGTCAAAGCGGTGGACGGCGCAATGGTTGAGTATGATATCAAGTCCGGCGATATCAAGACCATGCGTGACACAGATGGAGTTGAGGAAGAGTGGGTACTGTAAGTGAACACAGAGCATGACCGCGATCCCCACTGAGATATATTCTTCCCCGTCTTATGCCCAATTCACTGATACTCTCATAGCCAAAGACCTGCCATCTCGTACACGTGCCGAGCCAGTATGCGGCACCATATTTTCTGGCGAGGTTTCGACAAAGAAGTCCCGAACCTCAGTAGCATACAAATCGTGCATTCGTGTCTGATCCGAAGAAAAGATAAACATGAGCCCGTTGACGCCTTCCCTCGTTTACCGCTGGAGGTAGCCCGCCCCGATTTTGAAAAGCACCGACAAGACTGGACCGAAACGGAGATGTGCAAGAATCTCACCAAGTTCCTGGACTCCTCAGCTGCGCACCTAGAAATCACCAAAGTCGTAGCCGTGTCTCTAGGATGTCTCTCCTACCTACAAAATCAGGATCAAGATCGATTCGGTCGTCCCGCGTATCAGCATGCCCTTGTCCTCACGCTACGTGATTGGCTTAAAAAGAAGAACGGCGTGGCTAAGGTACCTAGCTATGTGCAGGATCCGGAGTACGTGGATGTAGACCGGGCTCTTCTTGCAGAGCACGAAGTTGAGGTGATTGAAGATCCAATGGCATGGTTGGAGATGGACGATTTCTCGATCGTGGTGTCTATTGCGTCGAATGTGCCTACCAAGGAGATCATCACTGATGTTGCAAGACCTGCGGTGGTTATTTGGAACAAGGTTGGTGATAATGATTATGATAAGAGAGGGGAGGGGTCTTTGTAAGTGACTTCCTTGCTTTATTGGACTGGTCGCACTTATTGCTGTGCTAACTTGGCATAGAACGGATCCGTGTTCTGCTCGGGTGCGGGCGTTGATGGAAGGGTATGACTGCTTTGACTGGGGGGCTAGTGATGAGCATTTTGGGGATGTTTACATGTATGTCCGACGACCGCAGACTTTATGTCAAGAGTCGCCCTGATTATCTGGATTAAATTATCAATATGCAAGAAAAAGACCATTCACAAAGCCCTGAAAGCTGAAGAACGGAAAGGGATGAAATAGCATAGATTGAGTTGAGCTGGATTTGAACTCAAGATTATATTCGTATTCAAATGCATTGAATTAAGGATATAGTGTTCGTGATCTTGTTAACGATGACTCTTTGACGTGGATGCCTGAAAGACGAGGCACCAGAGCATGGGCCTATGGGCAAATTAACAAGCGGGGGAGTTGATGTTTGAGGCTTTAGATTTTCTCCTTTTGAACTTGTATATATTCTGTAAATTATATCCTTTCCCCCGGGGATCGTAGAGAACCTTGGGAACCCCAGATGTTTCCCCACTAAAGTTCCTTTCTTAATTTTTCCCATCCCCCTCGCACCCCACTTTGGGCCATGACGAAGGCGGAAGACACTCGGCCTCAACTCACCGGGCCCTTCAACTCCCTTGGTCACGCGCCTTTCGTGCAGCCATCCTCGTACCTTCGCCCTCCAATGGCCTCCGAGAGACCAATCGATCGGGAAGAGCGTCAAGGCCTGGTGAGTTTCGTAAAGAATTGACCTCCGCGCTTCATTCCTATCCCACTCTTCTACCCCCCGCACTCGGATCAGCCATCAGATATCCCCGACAAGTTGGGCTTTCTTTTAGAGATCTGACGGGGACACGAAAGAAAGGGAACGGGGAGACCGGAATTACAATATCCTCCTAGCTCGTGGCGGGTGACCCGCGCATCCAGATCTTGACTAACGCAGCGTCAAACAGCGTGCCATTCGCAATTTCCTAAAAGTCCGCACCAGCTACGACGTCCTCCCGCTGAGTTTCCGCCTCATTATCTTCGATACCTCCCTCTCTGTCAAAGAGAGCTTGAATATTCTCATCCAAAATGGCATGTGTCAACCCTTCCCCCAGCTCACGACACAAACGTGAGGAAATCCAAACACCGAGAACACCCCCGGCTGACTGCGAGGAAATCGGGAAGTACAGGCATCGTCTCCGCCCCGTTGTGGGACTCTAAGGCTTCGAAATTCGCAGGTCTTCTGACCACTTCCGACTATATCAATGTGATTCAGTACTATTTCCAGAACCCCGCGGCTCTCGACCAGATCGACCAGTTCCGGTTAGATAGCTTACGAGGTGCGTTCCGTCCCCACTTACCCACTTGGGCTATAGAGTCGCCTAAAGACATGCACGCTGACCATGACTTGATGACAGATGTTGAGAAGGCATTGGGTGTCGCGCCGCCCGAGACAATCTCCATTGACCCCGAACGTCCCCTCTATGAAGCATGTCGCCGCATGCTTGAGTCGCGCGCCCGTCGTATCCCCCTCGTTACCAATGACAGCCAGACAGACCGCTCCCATGTTCTCAGCGTCATTACCCAATACCGTATTTTGAAGTTTGTGGCTGTCAACGTTCCCGACACTCAGATGCTGCGCCGTCCCTTGGGGGAGCTCAAGGTGGGCACGTATACCAACATTGCGACAGCGTCGATGGACACGCCCGTCATTGATGTGATTCATATTCTGGTCGAGCGCAGCATTTCTAGTATGCCGATCTTGAATTCAGATGGTATGGAAGCTCTTCACAGGTCACTATTTCAATACTAATCATTTATATAGGCGTTGTCTACAATGTCTTCGAGTCGGTAGATGTTATTGCGCTGATTCGAGGTGGCGTCTACGATGACTTAAGTCTCACCGTGGGAGAGGTGCTGAAGAAGCGATCACCGGTATGGAATATAGATGACCCATATTAATGCGCAATCGGCTAATTATTTGTCCAGGAATTCCCGGGTATCTACACCTGCTCACTCAACGACGGACTCGACACTATTTTCGACACCATCCGCAAATCCCGGGTCCACCGTTTAGTCGTTGTAGATGAGCACTTCAAGCTCAAGGGTGTTCTCACCCTCAGTGATATTCTCCACTACATCCTGCTTGAGGGTGAGACTGATGAAGTATGATCAAGATCGGCAACCTTCTACCGCTCTTATACATATGTTCTTTTCCTGCATGATACCGGCGTTTGTTTCTTGTTCGTGTCATTGAGGACACAGCGGGCTTGAGCCCAGGTTTCTTTTATGTTTGGATTGACTTTTGAGATTCTCATGAATGTACAAAGGTAATAATAAGGTCTACACTGTGCACTTAAGTTCATTATTTGATACGAAGTCCAGCCTCGGCGCTGGAACGGACAGAAATAGATTTCCTTCTGAATGTCGATGATCGAATCAAAATACTTGCTCTTGATATCTATTTGCTCTTTCCCATTCTAGTTGTATTTGACGGGAAAATTGGAAGGTGCGAGTGTATGATACTTCCCGCTTCACTCTTTAAACTTGCTCTTCTGTTCTACAATGCTCAGTCTTGACTCGTGCCCTTCCCTGCTTTCATGTGAGTGACAAGTATGCCGTCTTTTCGGGCTTTGTTTCGATTGAAGCAGCGGGCTAAATCCACTCCACCTGCTACTCGCCATACCTGGCATGGACTACGTCGCTCACAGTCCGCTGCTGCTCCCTTGACCCAAGAGCCACAGCCAACTGCGATCAGTGAAGGAATTAGAACACCGATAGAGGAAGAAGGCGTCAATGATTTAGCAAGTTACCAAGATACGGATGACCAACGCGATGATTCTAGTCACGAACCATTGGAAAGACAGTCTCCCAGCGTACCCACGAGCGTACCCACACGCGAGAGCAATGATGGCAGCGATCGTTCTCGATCCGAATTTCAGCGTCGATATCAGCGCGAATCCCAGGGCGGATCTGGACGCTTGAAGGGCCTCATCTCCCGGCTTCGTCTGGGCAGATCCCAGGATCGAAGCTCTGCATCAGAATCGGCTCAGCCTACGATTCCGCTACCGCAAAATGGTGCCGTGGACCCGATGACAACAGACCCAGTCAAAAAAGCTCTTCATCCGCAACATCCATCTACTGTCGAGGGTGAAGTTCTGGAGCAGCGCAATGTTAGCGCCCAGACCGTGCTTTCTCAGGAATCGAACCAAACCACCGCCACGGTGAATCGGCACCCATCTCAGCGCATTCCCGTACCTATCAAGGAACTAGAAGATAATGTGTTCTGGTCGAGCTTGTTGGACTTTGACAAAGATAATACTCATGTTCCCGAAGCATCGGATCCTTTCTCTGACGGGAAGAACATCGAATCGCGGCATCAGCCCGGAGCGTCATCCCGGTACAGTGATCGCAGCCAGATACAATCTCAGTCCTCTGCCCGTTCTCGCGTCGAGATTGAAAGACAATCCTCTTCTAAGTCTCACACCAGTCACCATTCTGTTCTCAATGCCACCCGAGTCGGCTCTGGTAGCAGTCAAGGGAGTCGAGGCAGTAGACTGAGCCGTGTAGACCCATCCCAAGCGGCAATGAGATTCGACGTGCTCGCTGCTCAGTTGAACTTGGCCATTTCGATCCAGGGAGATGAACCTGCCATTCCTCAATGTAAGTCCTCCTACCATGTTGCATATTGTATCTAACGATCTCTCTAGCTGAAGAGAAAAAGCCGGAGGAAACTAGGCGGCGAACTCGATTCGGCCGTATGCGCCCAACGCAATCGAATCAGACCCTGGGAGAAGTATTTTACCCGATCTCGAAGCTGCGACGAACTAAAACATTTGCCAATCTGAGTCGCCGACCGAGTCCAATGAGCTCTCTACGAGGAAAATCGGTTGAATTCATTGCACGGCTTGGAGGACACAGCTACCTGATCTTGCCCTCCAACCTAGCGCCTGCACCCTTGAAACTGCCGGCATGCATCGTGGCGATGGTGGTATACTTGCGGGCGTCTGGTTCGTGAGCCTCACTACGTACGTCATGGTGTGCCTAATTGACCCGGGTTCCTGCAGGCCCCCATTCGACCGAGCTTTTCATCGAACCGGGCGACATGAAGGCCGCCACACGCCTGTACGACCACTTTGCGAATCAGGTCTTGCTTGCGGAGCGAGATGCAGACAAGATCGCGTTAACAACACGGGTAGTTGCTCTTCCGCATGTCGAGACCGAGTCCAATGCAGCAGCCGTGCTCAGCGTCGGGTGGGTCTTCAAGGAAATACTGGCGGGGTTCCCTGGTGGGATTCTTGGTTCTGTCCGTCTCTTTCAGGTTCTATATAGCATTTACCTAGCCGGCCCTGCGAGTACAGGCTGCATCCAGCTAATCGCATTGGCGATTATGGCATTGACCGGGGAGATGCAATGTGCCCTGATCTGTGCAGTGTTTGGGCTACTCACCAGCCTCCTGCAGAAGACGGAGAATATGGAAGAAGAACCAATCACTCATCCCGGGGACTTGGTCCGGTCAGTGGCAACCCCTCTCCAGCCCGATGGATTGGTGCGGGTGTTTGGACCGCTACTGATCGGTGGTTTGGATCGTGATCGCGCGGCGCAACGCTCGGTGGAACAGGAGATTGAGGAGCAACGGGTAGTGGGGCTGTTGATCGCTCAGTGGCGTGGTGTTAGTCGCCAGCTTCGAGAATGGAAAGGTGATTCGCGGACTGGAAAGCGAGAGTAGAAAGGGGTTTACTTGATTTGTGTATTGTTATCCAAGTTATTCATGGGCGCGTTGTATAAGGTAGAACTAGCTCAGGGTATAGTGTCAATCATGGAGAAGGTTCTCCACTTTCCACCAAAACTTGGTTTCTCAATGTCGCGTTCTCCACTATGATTGGATGGCTCCAATCCCGGCTTCTCAACTTGGTTGTTGTTGCTCCTCTATGGTGATGTCAAATAAATGTTAATAAACCTGGACTGGTTTCCTTTATATTCTCCGCTTTTCTATATATGAGATCCCCTTTCTGTCTTGCTGGAAAGGAAGGAGAAGTAGACCATGCAAGTGGGCGCCAAGCAGAACCGGGATGGACAATGGGCGTTTGTCTACTTTCCGTAACACTCTCTCTTGGTCACACATCCAGAACTTGCTCGCCATCCCCTTATTCGCTCGGATCTGCTGGACCGTAGGAATTGATGTCCGTGGCTCCAACCGGACGACCGACACCTAGAACACTTCTTCAGGCACCGGCCTGAATCTAACCCGTGGTTCTTCCTTCCCTTTCTTAACTTACTTGAGCACCTCAACCGAGGACGCGACCTGCTTGACGCCCGAGACTCTGAACGGGAAGTGGCTTTGGAACCTGAACCTGTGCTCTTTCTTCGATACACAAACATTGGCCATCTCACAACCCCTCTTGTCCCTGCCGGCCCATTAGAACCCGCCAAATTGACCACCTTGATATGTCTACTGGAAACGTGAACCCTCTGCCTAACGGGTTACCACTCTCAGACCTCAATTCTCTGGGCGCATCGCCCTTCACAGCGACAAACGCTTTTGCGGGCGAGTTTCTAGGCCTTCCAATGCCGGACGAGGAACAACTGTGGGGCCTTAGCCCCATCTCACCAACCCTAGGCACCGGCGGATGGGACGCCAAAGCCGATGCAGCAGCCTTTGCCAACTCTGCACTGGAACGAGATCTCAAAAATGCCCAGGTCCGCAATGGTCAACCTACCCCGCCGCCATACGAAGATCAGTACGCGCGCGAGTCCGCCGGTCTAGATCTAGGTAGCGCAAGCAAGCGCCGCCGAGCACGGGAGTACCAGACCGCCACGGACAGCCTTAGTCCGGACCTAGATCTAGACGACGCATCGCCCTACCAAGAGCGAGCAAAGCGGGCCAAGTTTCTCGAGCGAAACAGATTGGCTGCGAGTAAATGTCGACAGAAGAAAAAGGAACACACGCAGGTTCTGGAGGTTCGCTATAAGGAGCAATCGGAGAAGCGTGAGCGATTGGTCGGCGAAATTGCACGGTTGCGCTCGGAGATCTTGTGCTTGAAAAATGAGGTTTTGAAACATGCGCAGTGTGGCGATGAGCCTATTAAACTTCATCTTGCGCAGATGGTGAAAAAAATCACCGATATTGATGGTCCGGCGCCTGTTGCTTCTGCGGCTGTGAAGCACTCGCATATTGATATTATGAAGACTACGCCTTCGCCTGTTGCTCCCACCCCACCACCTACTTCGAGTCGATCTGCGGCTGTGTCTCAGGCCCCTGCTGCGCCGTCGGCGTTATCATTTGGATTCGATGACCCGCTGCAATTGGAACCGGCTGCTGCGGCTGCGGCTGAAGTATTCGAACAACAACTGCGGAGAGATTCTGAGACTTCTTTGGTAGCTGAGTCGTCGTATGCATTTTCAGCCGACGACAACTTCGATGATTTGATCAACGTTTAACGAATATGACTATTTCTTTTTCTGTTGCGATGAGCCGCGTCACGGGTCGGATTGACCTGCTTCCGCAATGAATCTGTTAGCAATGGCGTTACACGGCTTTCAAAAGAGCTCGGATCTGCTTTATTTTTTTGTTTTCCTTGTTGCCTCTCATTCTATGCTGTACTTGATAAAATCCAGTGTCAAACGGAAAGACTGGAGGGCGTCCGGCGTTGTTAACATGGATGTAATGCCACACATCCGTGCGATTGGATTCGAATCGCCACTTTCATTTCACACCTTCCTAGCTGCTATTGGCTGTCACTCTCTATCATGTTTCTATTAGCACACTTTTTGCTTTCCATGCTCCTACTCAGGACTTTCGGAAAAGGCTGAGCTTGGCTTGCTGGATTGGGACCTTTTCTTTTTGTCTCCTGTTTACCTTGAGCGCTTGATAGGATCCTTATTTCATTCATAAGTATTCAATGAGATATATTGCGATTCATAAGGCCTGCAGCCTGTTTAGTATCCAGTGCTTCTTTGCAATCGAAATGTATGTCCTATCAATTAGGCGTCCATTCAGGCATCCCGACAATTGCCCTGTTGCTCACCCGAGGATATTAGAGCCTCAAATCCCATCCAACTTTTGGTCTAAGTCCGGATAGTTCATCTACCACGCCTTGCACATTCTTTTAATTGAACCCAAATCAATCGAGAGCGCGAGATGCATTGTGGATATGGACATACCTGTTCCACTGATACAGGTAACCACAATCTTTTACTTTACAATTTTAAAGAACCTGCATTTCTGAGGAGACGAACTATATACAAAGAAATTGTAGTTCAAATTCCTTATATGGTCCGTGCGGACCGGGCTGCGTTGATGTTCGAGGTCAAATTATGTCTCACATTTCGAGGCCATGATAAAGTTGTCGCGTATCTCCTTCATCGTGGGGCAAATGTCAATGCTAGAGGTAGTCAGTACACTACGGCGCTTCATTCTGCCGTAGTAGTAGGCAAAGAAGGGACGGTCAAGATGTTGCTCGATGCAGGTGCCGACGATGAGTCGGGATGAAGAAGGACGCAGTCCATTGCACTTAACATCATCATTGGGCCATGCTGCAGTGGTCAAATTACTCCTTCTGCGTGGTTCAGCTGTCATCTTGAACGAAGTCCACTTCTAATACGGCAGCCCTTTGGGTGCAGCCTACACCGGCTCGCATTTCCTGTTGCCAAAGTGCTTCTGGATTTTGGTGCAAAAGAGTCATTAAAGCAAATATCTGTTGACCCAAATTTATTATCTCAGGGTGCAGTGCATCCGGACATAGGCCCGTCTGGTGATTCACCTGGGATTAAACTGAATTTTCCATCGCCATCGACCGAGCCTGTATCAGCTAATTTTAGCCGTCCTCAGACCTGAGATGATTTCAGGATTGCCATTATATGCGCTTTGCCCTCAGAAGCTGACGCAGTGGAGGGCGTTTTTGATTGCTGCTGGGATGGCGACGACGGACGATATGGCAAAGCTGTGGGAGATACAAACGCCTACACAACAGGCATAATAGGTCGTCATCCGGTTGTTTTGGCTCACATGCCTAGTATTGGGAAAGGGGCCGCGACCAGTGTAGCTTCAAATCTGCGGAATAGTTATAAGAATATCGAGTTGGCCTTAGTCGTGGGTATCTGTGGTGCCGCTCCTCAGACTCCAAATCATGAAGAGATTCTCCTTGCAGATGTCATTATCAGCGGTGGAATCATTCAATATGACCTTGGTCGGCGTCTTCCGCACAGCTTTATCAGGAAAGATAGTCTCCTCGACAACTTGGGTAGACCTAATCCGAGCATCCGCAGTCTGTTGGCTAAGCTTCACGGTCGAAAAAACCTAGTGCAGCTGCAGGAATTGCTTGGTGTTCACCTTGCTGCGTTGCAGGCAAAGTGGCCTGATCAAAGCGTACAGTGTCCAGGTATGGAACATGACGTGCTTTTCCAATCCACATATCTCCACCGGCACCACCAGGCTCCATGTTCTGTCTGTTCTATTGAAGAGCATCAAAATGGACCAATCTCCCAACCTGCTATTCAGGCGACTTGTGAGGAGCTCGGATGCGACACGGCCTTGACTATTAGACATCAAATTGCCCGTGATGAGCAATCCACTATCAATCCACGAATCCACTTCGGCCTGATGGCCTCTGGTGATAGCGTGATTCGCTCGGGTGTAGATCGCGATGCCCTTGTGCAACGGGATGGGGTTATTGCTTTTGAAATGGAAGGTGCAGGGGCTTGGGACAATCTGCCGTGCATTGTTATCAAAGCTGTGTGTGATTATGCTGACAGTCATAAGAACAAGCGCTTGCAGAGTTACGCTGCTGCGACGGCAGCCGCCTGTACCAAAGCATTTCTCAAGGAGTGGGTGACCAATGATGGTCATCCAGACATAGATTACCTAACAGATGAAAAGGCACCATAGGCTTGGGTATCCCATGCATGTGAAAATAGACGCGTCCAATGTACTAAAGTCCTGGGGTTTTACCGAATGCTCAAAGGGACTGTTTATATATCAGGCTAATAAAGACCACAAGCGAGCGGTGTGCCTTCCCCGCAACTTGCTCTTTGGCCTTGATACATTTAGGGTATGAAATGTTGTATTGATGTAGGCATGCGACTAATATTGAGCTGCGGTATCATGGGCTGCATTCTTTGCTCCAGGGCTTACGTGTGCTAGATTTGACTTAGTGGATACTAGGTATAAAGAAACCATAAAAGTGAAGGGATATCTGAGATCAAAAAGACGAGTAATAGCCCGAATACCCCTGGATATTTTAAGCCTTTTCCAAGGAAGATGCTAAGATGTCCTCATCGACATAAAACATAATACAGTCATTGTTGGAGCTCACTGATAGATCGCGCTTAGCATTCGGCATCTAGGACAGGCTCGAGAGTTTCCCGTGCATCTTTATAAACTGAATACGGTGAGTACTCATACGCGCTATCAAGAGGCAGTTCTTCACCATTGACTCATGTAGCGAAGCGCCCATTGACGCCTGCTCCACAATGGTGCTTTGACCCTTTTGGATGGCGCCCGGCCCGTGCCTCTTAGTGGAGCAACAATGATTATTGTACCATTCACGATCTATCAGATGGGTCAGCTAGTGCGCTATAAGCCCTGAAGGTGACGGTTCCTGTTTCGAAGTCGTGTCCACTTTTGATTGTTCAGGGATATAGACTAGTCCTGGATTCGCCAATCATTTCGGCTTTGTTATGGTTACTTTATAAGCTTATGCACTGGGCGGGGAAGGACGCCTGAATCAAAATAACCCACGCTCAATACGAGAAATACTTTCTTCTTCATTTTGCGGGGTAGCACTTCAGGTTGCAACCATGTTCTCACTCTCAATCGAAGCACTCGCGCAAGCTTTGAGTACTGATATCCTCAGTCTCGGGTTATCAACTGCGACCTTTGGAATTCTATCTCATGTCGTTGTCTTCCGCACTTTACCCGTCGAGGAATACTTGGATAACCTCCTCGCCTTGTACGTTGCGGCCACTGTCGCGATCGGGTCTGCGTACCTTTCTATCACGGATGTATCATTCCTACAAGCACTTTTCCGTGTGGGTGTGATTACATCGGCCTTTAATATAGGTCTGGCATCAAGCATTGGAATCTATCGTTTGTTTTTCCACCGTCTGCATCGCTTCCCTGGCCCTACGCTATCCAAGGTCTCCCGTTTCTATGATGCCTACCTCGCTGGGAAGAGTCTCCAGTACAATGTGGAAATTGAGAAAATGCACGAGACATATGGTGATTTCATTAGAACTGGCATGTTCCAAGATTGCTTTAGAGAAGTACTTTGAACTAATGGGAGATCCTTCAGGACCACGTGAAATTTGCATCGTTCGCAAATCAGCACTACCACTGCTCCATTCTCCACAGTCGCAATGTAGCAAATCTACCTTCTACGCACAATCACAAACCAAGTCCAAATACTGCAATGTTAACCATACACGCGACCATGATGACCACCGCAGACGCCGAAAGGCCTGGGATCGTGGGTTCAGCCCTAAAGGTAAGGGAACCAGTTTCACTTCGCTTCCCTTGTGCCCACATATTGACAAATGAGATTGCAGCTCTTGCAACATACGAGCCCAGCGTCGGAGCCAAGGTAGACCAGTTAATCTCACATTTGGAGAAGAATCTAGGTCAAGCAATCGATATCAGTACCTGGGCAATGTTCCTCAGTTTCGATATCATGGGGAACGTAGGATTCGGAAAAGAATTCAACAACCTCGCAACTGGAGTCGAGCACCCACGTATCAAAGCCATCCACGACCACATGGCTATTTTGGGAATCTTGATCCATGTCCCATGGTTGATGAATTTTGCCGGTAGGATTCCAGGCGCAGCAAATGAGTTTGCCGGGTTCTTTAAATGGTGCGAAGATGAAGTCGTGCTGAAGCAGAAGGTTTGCTACTACTCAGTCCGTATTTGATACAGAAGTTATATACTCATGTGATTTAGACCTGGGACGTCAACGAGTACCCGCAAGACGTGGTCTCATGGCTACTCAAAGCATATGTCGAGAAAGATGTCTCGGCAGCACCTACTCCGACCGCGCTGCATGAGGACTCGCGCGTGGTTCTTGTTGCCGGTAGTGACACTACGGCTACAACACTAGCGTCGATAATATACTACCTCGCAAAAAACCCTGCTGTTCTCTCTAAGCTGCAGCGCCTATTGGACGAGGCTATGCCTGGTGGATCTGGCGAGTGGTCTTACGAGAAGGCTAAGAGCGTGACTTATCTTGAGGATGTGATTAACGAGACGCTCCGACTTCGGCCTGCGGTAATGGAGGGCGGATATCGTGTTACGCCGCCTGAAGGTCTCCAGGTGGATGAGGCTTATATCCCTGGGGATGTGAATGTTTTCGTCCCTACTCAGTTGATTCAGACTGATGAGCGGTATTACGAAGATGCCAAAGCGTTTGTTCCAGAGCGATGGCATGAGAAAAAGGAGATGGTGCATGAGGGAGCTCCTTTCCTTCCATTCTTGATCGGTGAGCTGAAATTACGGCTATATTCGCCGAATCTTGGAGCTGATCATTACTAGGCCCGTATATCTGTCCCGGGAAGAATCTAGCCCTGATGAGCCTTCGTATCTCGGTTTCGAGGTTGGTACAGCTCTATGATGTCAAGTTTGCACCAGGTGAGACCGGTCATGCTTTTGAGACTAAGACGCTGGATACATTTACGACTACGCTGCCACCGTTGCAGATACAATTTCAGCGGCGCTGAGCTGCTTTAACGAAGACAGAAAGCAATCAAGCAAGCCAAGCGTACTTAATCATGGGCCCAATTTTGATTTCCCTTGTTATAATGAATAGCATATTATGTCGATGTTGTCAAGAGCTCGAATCATATATGATAATGGCGATTTATAGTGATATTCGGGATCAATTTAATATCTTTTTTCTCCGCTGCGGAATTTGAACTATACAGCAGATACAAGTTGAGGTTGCAGCATAATTCACTCTCATTTCAAAGTTGTTACTTGCTTTCAATCGGGCTGACTCCTGTGGACATGGATCGGCGATATAATTGTCACACGTCTTGACCACTAACTTAGTGGTCAAGACGTGTGACAATTATACCGTAACAGCAAGATCCGTAGCTGCTGATCCAAGCAGATTGTTCGAAAACAAGCAAACTTCTTTACAGTGAACCATAGACTAAATAGCCAGTCAATTGATTAGATTCTTATTCAACAACATTTCAAAACAATAAAACTACCTTGGACGTAAATACCATATCAGATGCTCTAGAAACGCCAAGCATTGTTTATCAAAGGCGGTGAGATTTGTCCGTCGCATCTAAATATTGACATCGTCATTTCTGAAGGTTATCTGCATCCACCATAAACAGATAACCAATCAATCCAGCCTACCCCGCGAATTGATACCTCCGTGTACTCATACCAATCAGAATCAACGACAAATAAACAAAATACCAAATCAATTCTCAAAATGGTACACTAACCTCCCAAACCAGCGCATCTCCCCGAGGTCACTCCCCACTAACACCTTCACAACAGAGCAAAGACTCGTCCTCAACATACCTACACATGCACCACCCCCGCCTAGCAGATTTCTTCGAAGAATTCACGCGTCCGCATACCTCAACAGCCTCAGCCACAAACCAACAATTCAATGCAAACAACCAATCCAACAACGCAACTACCTACGGCTCCTCATCTCCCTCCACAATCCCCTCATTCCTGCCTATCGAAGACATCTACGTCCAACCACAATACCAACCTCCAAACCCCGAAGACGAGGACGACGTTGTGCCGGACCAGCATGCTGCGTTTGGAATTACTCGAGCCATGGATCGGAGACGGGATCCGGTTTGGCGTGATCTAGGGCTTGAGGCACTGGTGAATGGGCAGGGACATGGTGGTATGGGTGTTTCTGCTAATGGTGGTGCCGGGGGGACGGGTGCCGCTGGGGGTTCGGGGCCTGCGGCTACGTTGAGGGGAACTGGTGGGGGTGCGGCGTCGGCGATGTCGGCTGCTGTGAGGGTTAGTAATGCTGGACGGAGGATGGGTGGACGAAGAGTTGTTTGTTTGCGGTGAGAAATTTCTTATTTGCATGGGATTGGGCATTGCTGGTGTACTTTTGGGTGGGTAAGTTTATGTGTCAAGTAATAGGAGTTATGGGGGTTTAGTTGCATGGACCTTTTCGTTGATTCATTGCATTGGTATTGTCTTTGGACTATCATGATCAAATTCAAAAGTCTGGACAGGTTTAGACTGCCGGACAATTACGCCTCCTAACGCCGTGCATAATATATGCGAGATGGTTGTACAATTGTCGCGCCCTAGATCCGGTTGATGTCTACCCGGGCACGTTCGTAAAGCTTGTGGTCGAGTTGCTTCTCCTCGCGTTCTGCCTCTGGGATTGTCCGGGGGTGAACTGCCATCTGCGCATATGTGCCCGGGGCACGGCGCTTGGACAAGGTGCCGGGGTTGATCACAAGCACACTATCGACAACCTGTAGATCATTGTGGTTAGAACGGATATTATATTTTTTTTAAAAAGATGGGATAACGTACCTTGGCGAAAGGCGGAAGCATGCTGGGGACAATAAGTATGTCTGGCCGAACATTCCACCATTCACCCAATTTCAGGTAGGGCACGTCCAGCATTGCACCTGTACCTAGACCTGAAGCCGTCTTGGGAAGATTTGCGCGTGCAACAGAAGGGAACAGAGGGAAGAAGTGTCGTTGCTCGACCAAGTACTTGGGTAACCGACTGAGCAGGTTGCCCTCGCTGAGCCTGCCGTGTAAGACTTCCTCGCGGCGCAGCTCCGAGAGTACATCGTGTGAGCACATGCCAACAACGGTCTCGTTGAAAGATAGTGTCACAGGGTTGGAGACCATACGAACTTGTTTCGGTAAACCGAGGTCTTTCTTGAGCAACTGCTCTTGTGGCCATGAGACATGGCGGCTCAAAGCGTCGCGTACAGATGGGACGCAAACAACTGTGATACTGGGAACAGCTGCGACCAGTCGTGCCAAGGGTGTTGAGATAAGGTGTCGGAAGATTGTAGTCAGGGTTGCGGTATCTGGATCAAGGCCTTTGATGTCTGGGAGGTCAAAGTCTCCTGTTGCGAGCAGTGGATGTTCGACATCTAAGAACGGGCCAAGGAGTACAAGACTGTCCGCGTAGCTGTCTGCAGCTTTCTGACAAAGCTCCTTGAGAGGCTCAAAGTCCAAGTTGTCGTCGGCTGTATACGGTCCAGCTGCTACCATGACATTGAGTGGCAAATTACCTGAATTTTCCAGGCGCTCGTTGATATTATCGAGGGTCACTGCCGGGGAGGCAGCAGGGGGCAAAAGAGGAATAGGAAGAATCTCCTTGACGGTGAAATATTCGCCCGAGGGGTTGATTCCTCGAAGAGCGACGATCTGACCAGGGAAGAAATTAAGGCCTGGCACCGAATCTATCTTCAAGGGAATTCTTCTGCCTGCACCAGTCCTGCGTGAGGTCTCGAGAACCAGAGAAGCCGTATTGAGTCTACCTTCCATAGAATCAGAGGCAATCCGACCAACAGCAATGATCTCACTTGTGCTTTGGGTAGCGGCGCTTCCAAAGGTGATTTCATCCGAGTCATATTGTTTCTGGAAGATAGTCGTAAATTCATCGATGCGGTCATCGAGGATCTCAGATGATTCCGATAGTCTCATTCCCATTGGCTTATACCCAAATTTCTTTAGGTCTGTGTTGGCGGTGGGCCGAATGCGCGGTTCGGAGAACGGAGCCATGGGGGTTTCAGGCAGAGATAGATGTCCATTCAGTGTCTCTAAAGTTTGTCCGGCATTTGGTCTGTCGGCAAAGGAAACGGAGCTGCCAAGTATGTCAGTGGTCTCAATCGCCAAATTGATGTATGCGCATGACGTACGGCCCAATCCCATTACCAGGTGCCAAAGAGCCAGGTGTCTTTGCGCCGTTAGGTGTCCCAATCTTGTCCATCCGTCCCATTTTAGGTGTTGCAGGGGATGAGAACTCGGCCTTGCGCTTCGTTGCCGAGCCATTTATTCCTGCCATGGATCGGGCATTGGACGCATTGGGGGTCAAATCGCCTAACCTATACAGTAGAATGTTCAGCACTTTGCAAAAAGGATTCATAGTGCTGTGTTCCCATACATCCCAAACATATCACCACCTGCAGACGCACGCGGGGTTGCTGTGATAGCGGTCCTCTTCTCATGCTGTCGTCCAGCCTTGCCGCGACTTTCACGCTCCAAAGCTTCCTGAATATCCTGCTTCAAAGCGCGAACCGAGGTCATGTTCAATTTGACCTCGTCGCCCATTTTCATGCTGTAAGATTCCCATTTATAGAAAACCTCCTCCGCAGTGATCGAGTGTATCCGCATGATGGACTGGAGTTCGGCAAGAACATCTTTGGGAAGGCCATTGGGACAAGCTGCAGCAAAAAGCTCATTCAGCTCGGTGGTGACGTCCATGGTGGGCGAATGTGTATCGAAGGTGTTGTCAATCTTACAAGCTGGTCACTGATCTCAATAATTCGAGAGTTTAACTCCGCGACGCGAGACGCGTGAGCGTGTGGCTGACATAATCAGGGGAGGATTGGGTAAAATTAAACCGAATTAAGATGCAGAAAAGTGGAGACGATCTCGGGATTGTTTTTAGCTCTCCGCGCCCGCAATTGTGTCCTCCTTGCGTGTATTCAATTTCGTTTCAAATCTACGTATACCCATAATGTCAGCCAACGAGTCCGCAGAAGTCGTGGCATCTGTGCCCGCAGCTACCAATGGCGAAGTGAAGCCCGAAGCTCCCGTTGCTGAGAACCAGATCGAGACCCCTAAGACAGAGGACGATTTCCCCAATTCCGCCGCGGACGGTCTGATCAAGAAGCCATTCGCCAATCCCCTCGAGACCGCCAAGCCCGTGAAGCCGGCGGAGTTGACCGCGGATCAGCAAGCCAAATATGAGACCGTCCTCAAGGCCGTCTCGGCATGGACCACCGTGCCGAATACCTCTGAGAAGAACGCCCCTACAGCCCCGATCACCGATGACGAGCGCATGTGGTTGACCCGCGAGTGTCTCCTCCGATACCTTCGTGCCACCAAGTGGAATACGACAGAGGCTGAGACCCGGATCAAGCGTACGTTGACCTGGCGCCGGGAGTATGGCATGGAGAAGTTGACCCCCGACTATATCTCCATTGAGAACGAGACGGGTAAACAGGTCATTCTGGGCTATGATAACAATGGTCGGCCATGTCTCTACCTGCGTCCTTCCAAGCAGAATACCGAGAAGAGCGAGCGCCAGATTCAGCACCTGGTCTTCATGCTTGAGCGAGTCATTGACCTCATGGGTCCTGATCAGGAAACACTGGCACTTGTGATCAACTTTGGCGAATCCAAGTCCGGGCAGAACGCCTCCATTGGCCAGGCGAAGAATACCCTGGATATTTTGCAGAACCACTACCCCGAAAGATTGGGACGTGCTCTGATCATCAACTGTAAGTAGTGCCCAATTCTTGATGGCTTACACCGCTAATGTGTCATAGCGCCGTTCTATGTTTGGCCATTCTTCAAGATCATCACGCCTTTCATTGACCCGGCCACCCGGGAAAAACTCAAGTACAACGAGGACTTGCGTAACCACGTACCTTCCCAGCAGCTCTTGAAATCCGTCGGCGGTGATGTGGAGTTCGAGTACGACCACCTCATCTACTGGCCCGCTCTGAACAAGTTGGCTGAACAGCGCCGTGAAGCCAAGCGTGAGCGTTGGTGCCAAAGTGGCAAGCAGGTTGGCGAGCTTGAGAACTACCTCAAGGGCCAGGATATTCCCAGCGCGTCGCAGGGTACTAGCGCCGACAACTAGAAATCGAAGCGCCAATCCTGCCTCTTCTTTTCATGTTGTCTTTTTGATTTGATAGCCACTCGTTCTACCTCCTTTTTTCAAAATTGGCATCATTCCCCCTTTCGCATTTCGGGCTCGTTGCATCTTTTGTGTATCTGTGGGAGTATACGTCGTGTCACATGTGCGCTTGTTGATAGATAGCTTCTTTAGACTGCAGATACAGATAAATCTCTACATACTTAATTAATGATAGATCAATTGTCAGGTGATCCCAATAAGGTACCCAGGCCACCCTGGAACTGATAGTCCTTGTCCACCACGCAGCTACCAACCCAACGGTGAAGTGGGTCCGCATAAACAAAGCACAGCCCTGGAGGTAGTTCTTAGCCCAAAATGGACAGCTAGCCAACGTTCGGCACCTGAAACCCGAACAGACCAGGCTAGAGCTCCCAGGCAAGCCGTGCTTGTGGAGCAAACCAGACATGAAACACCCGGTGGACCGTTGACGATTGCAGTTGAAAGCACGGTCTATAGAACCGGCTTGAGTCCGAGCTGATGCGGGACAGGATGGACGAGCCTAACGGCGCCAGATCCAGTGGAGTGGAGCATAGACCAGGTGTGGAACAAGAATTGAGGAGCCCTGGCTATTGTTTTATTAAGATATTGTTTTATTAAGAGGAAAATCATGGGATTCAGTCTGTATCCATGGATTATGGCATATAGCTAGCATTGTGCTGCAATCTAAATTCTTTCGATGCCGCATCAGGGCCAAAAGTACAAATTACCCCCTCGGTCATGCATGGTCGGCAGCTTGCTGATGCGTTAATGAGCTGGAAGTGGACCCGGCATGAACGATGATCGATTGATCCTTCATATCCCGACGAGCACGAGACCTGATTCTGGAGCCCCATCGGCCCTAGGATAGGCGAGTGTCATGCAAAAAATTACTAGCGGTGTGATTTGTCCTGTTTGCTATTGTGGTCTATGAGATCAAGTGTGACAATGTCCTTCGTCTCACAGCATGTTTAATACTAGACTAATAAATAAGTGTACGATGAATTCCAGGGGCTGTGTGACCCGAGACTTCAATTACGATGTCGATCTTGCGCGGACGGACTCATCTCGGCTGGTATAGGCCGACGAACGCCTTAAATTTTCCTTGGAATGACTACATAGATTATGCAGAGGGAATGTGAGCTGTGAGATGATCCATCTCTTGCATATCCCGTATGTTGGGGTGCACGTGGTCATGTGAAGAACCGAGGCTTTGTTCTATATAGCATAGCAGATACCTAGAAACAGGATGTATAGTAAACAGCGAGTTCCGTGTCTTGATAGCTCAATAAATGCCTATACTGTTCACCTGGGCAGTAACGGATTTGGGGCGGAAAGCCGGATAGGAGAAATTACCAAATTGGTGGTCATGGGCCGTCCCTGGGTCTCTATCCACTTCAGGGATCGACGGTTGGAGTCTGCACGGAGGATTAATATTCTTGCAATTACTCCGTATGCCTTAGCTTTACTGATACCTTAGGTCTGTCTAGTTATACAGACTATCCCTTGACAAAATAAAGTATACTTAGCATGAAACAACAACGGGATGAACCATAGAATCGACGGATGAGTTCCCCAGCCTTATCCACCAACCTAAAGATCAACCTGAAACGAACGGTTAATTTCTAGGGGGGAACTACGGAAGTATACACGGAGAAACGGAATGCCACAAGGTTGACGAAAAAAAAACGTGGCTTTACAATCGTGTCGAGGGATGACAGGAAACATTCCGATGCTCCTTAATTCAAGTCAAGTAGAACCGTGGTACAGAGCGGGTAGTAACACGCAATGAAAGCTGATTAGTTCAATAGTTCGACAAGGAAATCAATAGCAAATCGGATCCAGTCTCGCTCCCCATACAGTGTATGTTTCCCCTGAACCCAAAGTTTCCCCCCCCTCGCTTGGCTTTCACAGAGGAGTCTCCACTCACCAACACCGAATCCTCCTTCATCTTAATCGAAGCTAAACCACTCAGAGTCTAGGCGTGCACGGTCTCGACTCCGGACGTTGCGCTTTTTGTGATTCTTTATTCTCCCCTTTACCCTGCTTTAGAAAGGGGATTATTTTTCTAATCAATTCAGTCGGGGAGTTATTCGTTCTCTCAAGGTACGCCCTTTCTTTCAGCGCGTCAATGTTTCGGTCCCGCATACAATGCACAAAAACTTTTTTTTATTTAAGGGGCTCCCTAACTAACATCGCCCTCCGCATTCTAGACATTCCCGACCTTTGTTACGCCTCATGACTGCTCTTTTTTAACACCCCTGATACTTGATCACTGAATTTCCTCTTTCTTATTCTCTGTCCCACCTGGTGTGGTCCATTCCAGGGAAGAGATGACGGTCTCACCGCCAGCGTCGCCATCGGGCCCTGCCCCGCGACCCATCAGCGCGGTGATGCGCACACCACGCAGTAGTAGTCGATTGAGTATGAGCAGCAGACAAGGTGGAAGCCGTGCCTCAGATGAGGATGGCAAGACCGCTGTGAAAGTTGGTACGTGGGCTTCTTTGAAATGGATCTGGTCCGGTTGTCACGCATACACAATGCGAAACTATAAACACCCCCGGAGCGGATCGAGATAATGGTTTTTGGTTCTTGCCAAAATGCTAACTTATCTTACTAGCTGTTCGAGTTCGACCTCCACTTAAACAAACCGACCCCGGATACGAGTTAATACCCCAACGATTCCAGCGCTCCATGGTTCACGTTACAGCTTCCACCAGCTTGGCCGTGGACGTACCACAAGGGCGCAAGCTTTTTGTTTTTGATCGCGTTTTCCCAGAGACAGTGGACCAGGATGGGATTTGGGAGTACCTTAGTGACAGTGTCAGCTCCTTTCTCCAGGGATACAATGTTTCGATCCTGGCCTACGGTCAATCCGGCGCTGGAAAATCTTATACAATGGGCACATCAGGCCCCGGCGAATTGGGCAATGAGAATGCGATGGGTATCATTCCCCGTGCTGCACAGCTCTTGTTTGATACATTGGACGGTCCAGCCAAGCACGCCCGAAATGGGTCCAGTTCAACCGGCACTGGCCTTCGAACTCCACAGCGGTATTCGATGAGCTCTGCAGCGAGCTTTGGAAAGCTGAACATTGAGAAGAACTGGCAGCTCAAGGCTACCTATGTCGAGATCTACAATGAGCATCTCCGGGACCTGCTCCTGCCCGAATCCGCGGCTGCCTCCGGCGATCGCAGCAATGTCACTATTCGCGAAGATGCTAAAGGACGTATTCTTCTCACAGGCCTGCACCAAGTCAACATTAACTCGTTTGATGACCTGATCGGTGCCTTGAACTTTGGATCCGCTATTCGTCAAACCGATTCCACCGCCATCAATGCCAAATCATCTCGATCGCACGCAGTATTCAGTTTGAACCTGGTGCAGCGCAAGAGTTCTGGCCAACCTAGCTCACCCAAAGAAAAGCGCATGTCTATGCCGGTCGATTCCTTCTCAAATGGCGATTCTGTGACGGTGGACAGCAAGCTCCACTTTGTTGATTTGGCCGGTAGCGAACGGCTGAAGAACACTGGAGCTTCCGGTGAACGTGCCAAGGAGGGTATCTCCATTAATGCTGGTCTTGCCGCCCTCGGCAAGGTCATCTCCCAGCTCTCCTCTCGCCAATCTGGATCCCATGTTTCTTACCGTGACTCCAAACTTACCCGCCTGCTACAAGACTCGCTGGGTGGCAACGCTATCACCTACATGATTGCCTGTGTGACCCCAGCGGAGTTCCACTTGAGCGAGACCCTCAACACTGTCCAGTACGCCCAGCGCGCTCGCGCCATACAAAGTAAGCCCCGCATCCAGCATGTTACGGACGAGAGCGACAAGCAGGCCTTGATTGAGCGTCTCAAGGCCGAAGTTGTTTTCCTCCGCAATCAGATTCGGAATTCCGAGGCAACAGAGCGCCGCGACCCAGTCAACACCGAGCGTAATGAGCGCAAGAATGAGCGGGAGATTCAATTGCAAAACCAGCTGCTTGATGTCCAGGAGAGCTACAACGCCTTGAGCCAACGTCACACCAAGCTGATCTCGACATTGGCGACCGATTCGGAAAATGCCGAAGCCAATGATGCTGTTTCGGATCTTAGTAAAGACTCGATTGAGCGTATGCAGCGCTCGCGATCATTCGCCGCGTCTGTCGAGCAAGTTGTGCTTGAATACGAGAAGACCATTCAGAGTTTGGAGTCATCGCTTTCCGACACCCGCTCGTCTTTGTCATGCTCCGAGAGTGCTCTTTTGGAGCGTGAAACTAAGTGCACTTACGTCGAGACCGTCAATTCGCAGCTTCAGTCTCGCCTGCAGAAGCTGTTGGACCGGGAAACTAGCAACGAGACCTACCTGCACGAGCTTGAATCCAAGCTGGATGGTGCCTCTACTGGAGAGGAGAAGCACGCTGCCATTGTGGCCGAATTGCGCAAAGAGCTCAGCCGCGCTCGTGAGAATGAAGGAAGCTGTGAAGAGTATATCTCTACACTCGAAGACCGCCTTGCCGAGTCTGATCAGGACATGGAGCTGATGCAGCGGGAGGTGATTCGTCTGGAGCACGTTATCCATCGCCAGCGGGGTCTGGGTACGCTGGATAACTTGCTTCACGACCTGGATAACCGTCACAAGCTGCCCGAGGGATCGGAAGGTGCCAATGGTGTTGATCCTGCCTACACTTCGTCTGCCAAGTTCTCCCACAGACATACCCCCTCATTGGATGTTCTGAACGAGGCCGTGGAAACTGCCATCCCCGAGTCGGACGAAGACCTGGTTGAGCCTATCCCGGAGGAGGACGAGAGGGAAGCTACCCCTGAAGATAAATCCACTGGTGATGACCTGGAGGTCCTCGAGAACCTGACCAACAAGCTTGAGGCTCGTCGCTCCGAAGCCCTGCGCGAGGAGCCTCTCCACAGCCCTGCGCAATCCAAGTTTGTTGCCGACAAGCTTGAGACCGTTACCCAGGAGCTCTTTGATCTCCGTCTTAGCCACGAGACTGCCGTGAGCGACTATGAGACGCTCGAGGCCAAGTACGAGGAGGCTCTAAGGGCTATTGCCGAGCTTCGCCAAGATAAGATTGATGAAACCCTTCATCCCGCTCCCGTTGCTCAGAACGAGGCCTCTCGGCCTGTTTCTTTTTTAGACAACGGAGACGCTCCGGTCTTGAAGTATGGAGGTCAACACTCATTCTCGCAATCGCTCTCCTCGGAATTGTCTTCGGCCGGTGGATCGGCTGCATTGCTCGAGTCTTCTGAAGAGTCCAAGCTGGAGAACGAGTCGGTGCCTGTTACTCCTGTCACCTCTACCGCTACCGCTCAACAGGAGAGCGAGGAAGTTGAGCAGATGCGCAACATGCTTGCTGAGCACAAGGTTGGTGCTGATCTCATGGCTCAGAAGTATTCCGAGCTCCAGAGCGAACACGAGGAGATTTTGGGCATTGTTGAGAGGCTGAAGGCTGAGGCCGAGGCCCAGCGTACCAAGTCCAGCTCTCCTACTACACCCGGTTTCAAGATGATCCGCCGCATGACCAGCCAGAATCTTCTTTCCGGTGTTGACCGTGCTCACCGTTCTCTCACTGCACTCCGGATCATTGCCAACGAGGAGTTTGCCGAGAAGCCCGATACTTTCCAAAGCTTTGAGACTCACCTTGATGCCACTATGCATGAATTGTCTACTCGTATGGAGCGTCTCCAGTCCCTGGAGGCTGAGAACCACAGCGTGAAAAGAGAGATGGAAATGAAGGCCACTATTATTTCCGGTCTCACTCGTGAACGGTCCAGCTTGTCAGGTGCCTCATCCGTGGACATGGCTCTTGTCAACCAACTCCGTGACCAGATTGTCAGCCAAGAGATTCAGATCAACGAACTTCGGGAGGCCCACGAGACCCGCGAGAAGGGTCTGATGGCTGAGATTGAAACTCTCAAAGGACTTCTCAAGAGCCAAGAGAATGCTACCAAGGCTATGGATGCTGGAGCTGATGAGCAAGACAAGCGGATTGACGACTTGGAGGGTGAACTGACCGCGTGGAAGGGCAAGCACCAAACTGCCCACGAGTCATTGCAGTCCTCCGAGAACCAACTCACCACCACCCTTGCCGAACTCGAGACTGCCCTAGCCGCTGTTGAGGCTATGCGTGCTGCTGCTGCTTCGAGTGACGCCAATGCTGACAAGGAGGCCACTGCGAAGGAGCTGGAGAGCGAACGAGCTAAGCAGGAGGAGCATGTGAATGCTCTGACCAAGGTTATCGACGAGCACAAGTCTACCATTGCAACCCAGTTGGAGACTATCTCTGGCTTGGAGAAGTCGCACGCTACTGCTCAAGAGCAGCTGCTCGCCCAACAGACTGATGAAGTTCTTGCCACTGGCGCGCCCGATGCGTCCAAAATTGCTGAGCTTGAGCAGCTGATCGCATCCCACCGATCCGCCATCGACTCACAACAAACCGATCTTCAAGCGATGCAAGAAGCCCACAAGCGCGAACTGGCCGAGCTTGAGGAACGGGCCAAGGCTGCCGCTCAAGCCGAACACGAGTCCCAGCTTTCCGAGAAGGATGCCAAATATGACCAGTCGATGGCAGTCCTCCAGAAGGACATTACGGAATCTCGCAATGAGTTGCTGAACCTTCTCAGGGCCGTCTCGGGTCTGCTCAGCTCGGATGTTACCGCCGAAACTTTGACAGACCAGATCCAAGATGTTCTGGCTCAGAAGCAGCACTTCTCTGAGAAGTACGTTGAGCTGATGGATACCAATGAGAATCTTCGCAAGCAGCTTGAGGACAAGACTCTTAACAACGCCGAGATTGAGGAACTCACAAAGAAGAGCACCACCCAGGACGCCAAGGTTAATGAGCTGGCTCTCTTGGTTGCCACACTGGAAGACACTCTTCTTCAAAAGGAGGAGCAGGTCAAGAAGAAGGAAGCCCTGATTGAGGAGATTTCCTCTGAGAAGGAAAAGAGTGTCCGTCTGGTCGAGGAGCTTGAGGAACAAATCACCAGCAGCTTTGACCAGCACCACAACCGTCTGTCCGTTATCCAAGCGGAGCGTGACAGCGCACTTGAAGATGCCAAGGCTCGCGTTGTTGTTCTTGAGAAGGATATTGAGACCTACCAAGTCCGCATCGAGCAACTTGAGCTTCAAATCAAGAACAACGGTGGCCAAGATAGTTACCATGACCGTAGCAGCTCCATGACCTCCAACCTCCGCAAGAGCGCATCCGCCGCATCCCTACCCTCGCCTCCCCCCGCCATTCCTCTTCCCCCCCCTTCCCACCATTGCCGCTCAGTCCAATGGTAGTGTTTCCCCTCCCAGCTCTCGCCATGCTAGCAAGGAGCTGGTGAACGCCCAGCTTGTCGAAGACCAGGAGGCCCGCATCCGTACCATCGAGAAGCACCTGTACGCTGAGAAGCAGCTCACTGCTACCCTGGAAGAGGCACTCGGTGACCTCGAAGCCCAGAGCAGCAAGGTCAAGACCGACTGCGAAGCCTGGAAGAAGAAGGCCTGGAGTCTGGATGACGAATTGTCTACCCTCCGCAAGGAGCGCAACTCCGCCCGCCTTTCCCTGCAGGCTGTCGAGGAAGAGCGAAGCGCCCGCAAGGAAGCCGAAGCCGCGCGCGCCCAACTCGAAGAGCGCATGAATGCTCTTAACAAGAAAAAGAAGAAGAGCACCCTCAACTGCTTTTAATTGATGCTTTTCTTCCTTCTTTTCATCCCCAAAAACTCGCCCCATAAAAGCGTGTTCTTTTTACGCCCTATCGTTGATGTATTACACTTCCCCCTACCTTTTCACGTTACTTTTCTTTCTGTTCCATACCCCCCCCCCTTTGATCTACGTTGCACTTACTACTCAACAAATCCCTGTATTATGACACGCAGCCTTCTTTTCTTCGTCGATTCATCGATACCTCTTCTGCCTTTGCCTTTGACCTTTGTGCTATAGCCACTCACCCTTTTATGCACATGCGCTTCTCTTCTTTTTTCTCTGTCGTTTCACATACCATTCGTTTCGACAAACCCTTTTATGAGGTAGATTCTTCCATAGCCGAATCTCCATTGTACATTTTTTGCTTCGGATATATCTAGATTGACTGGTGCAAACCGTGAGGGAGGAGATTGTGGCCTTACAAATTGTTTCGCTAGTTTCAGTATTCAAGTGATTCAATTTTTCCATTCCAGACTCTACATCCATGGATTAACAAGATTGGCTAGGACCGCGCGTCATAGATGTGTCTTCCACAAATTGTAAGTGGTACACAGCAATATACTATTTTAAGACCCCAGTCCGTTTCTCCGAGCGCACCTGCAGTAAGAATCCAGATCCTGATACAAATTTAGCTCAAGCCTCCACCGGCCTCGGGCATATAAACCCTCCTAGCGTCCAAAGGCCAAAGGCCAAAACACCCACGGACGAACTTCGTCCGATGAAATAGATAAAAACATTACAATCCCCAATGTCCGTCCCAACACCTCCCTTCATTTTAAAAAGTTCTCCCAAAATCCAAATAAATATCAAATCACAAACATGTCCACCGATATCCCCCCAACAATGCCAGCCTGGTATTACAAAACCCGCGGCCCAGTCTCCAAAGTCCTAACCTACACAAAAGACTTCCCCACACCAAACTCCTCAACACTCGCCCCAAATGAAGTCCTTATCAAAGTAGCCTACGCAGGCTTCACACCCACCGCAAGCACACTACCTGCCATCATCCCGCCCTGGATCCAAAAAGATGGCACCGCAATTCCCGAGCTGGAATTCTCAGGCACCATCGCCGCGCTTGGAAGTAGTACTATCCGGCCAGAAATACAGCTGGGCACGCGAGTCTTCGGAGGTACCTCGTTAGGAATATTGCTGCGACGTGGCTCGGGTACGTTGGCGGGGTATTGTCCTTGTCCAGTTGATCAGTTGAATGTTGTTCCTGCCGGCATGGATCTAGAACATGCGGTTGCTTTGGCTGGGAATGGAGTTACGGCTGTCCAGGTTGTCGATGCGGCGGATGTTAAGCGAGGTGATAAGGTCTTTGTTAATGGGGGGAGTGGGGGTGCGGGGTCGATGATTTTGCAGGTTATCAGGGACCGGGTTGGTGAAACTGGGGTTGTTATTTCGAGTTGTTCGGGTGGGAATGTTGAGTTGGTCAAGTCTTTGGGGGCTGATGAGGTATGTATATGTGCTCAACTCCGTGCAGCATATCTGAAGTGCAGGTGGGTCTAACGGAGAATTGCTGTAGGTCATTGATTACCGCCAACATGATCCGTTACATGAGTACTTGGCGAAAGAGCATGGCGAGACTCGCTTTGATGCTATTGTTGATACGGTGGGTATTCAGGAGCTTTATACTAACTCCCCGGGGTATCTGCGTGAGGGGGGCCGGTTTATCAATATTGGTGCTATGCAGGCTCAATCCGCCAATGGAAGCTTGTTTGCATTTGCTTGGGCAATGATTTTGAATTTGGCTTTGCCGGCTTGGTTGGGTGGTACGCCTCGTCGGTACCAGATGGTTATGGGGACGCCTGGGGTGGATGTTATGACTCGAGTGAAGGAATTGGCCGAGGACGGAGTTTTGGTGCCCGTCATTGATTCGACTTGGGAGATGGAGGATGTTTTGAAGGTATGTCTTGCATTTTTGAGCCATGGATACGATGATACTTACCAGTGGGCTTTCTCTAGGCATATGAAAAACTTCATTCGCAGCGAGCAAGAGGAAAGGTCATTATCAAGATCCAGAAATAGATTTATATTTGGGTTTGCGATGAAAGCTCATGTACCATAGATAATTATTAATTGATTTATATGCTTCGCTCATACTTTCCACGCTCGTCCTCTTCCGCTGGATGCTTCTATCCGAACCCAAAGCGTGGCCATGCTTGCCGCGAAGAGTAGCACACCGGCAGTTATAGTAGCTCTCCAATATACAGACACACTTGACAATGCTGACTGCCCTGGGAGTAGTAGTCCTGTTAAGGGTGTTCCTAGCAAGGCTCCCATGCCTCGAATGAGGTACAGCGCACCATTTACCGAAGTAAAGTGCTGTACACCGAACAACTCAATTAAGCTGGCCGGGAACAACGAGATGTAGGCGCTACCAAAAGCGCCGTAAAAAATGACGAAGAAAATGAACAAGACCTCTCCTGCTTTGATGGAGATAGTGGTGCCGGCAAAAGTAGCCGGGAGCCATAGCGCAAATGTAGCAATGGCACTCATCACAGTGGTGGCATACAAAACATTTAAACGGCCAAGTTTGTCGGCTGCATAACCGATCACAATACGTGAAACAAAGTTTGCCGCATTGCTAATCGTGATGAAGTTATCCGCCATGGCAACGCTGTATCCCAGAGACCGCGCAAAAGCCGCAAAGAAGAACAGAGGTGTCGAATATCCAGCGGACTGCAAGAAGCAACCCAATGCCTGCGCGACGAACTTCTTTGACTTGGCAACTTCCCAATTGACAAGCGGGACTTTAGCCCAACCAGTTTTCTTCGAAATCCCAGCATTCTGTTCGTGAAGTTCCGCTTGGAACTTCGGTTCCCATCTCAATGCATATCCGGAGATAGGCACGAAGAGAACATTCAAACATCCAGAGATGCGTAGCGCATTCCGGAATCCGATTTGCGTAGTAATCGCCCGGAGCACAGGTGGCCAAACCATACCGCCGCAGGCGGAGCCAGAAATCACGATTCCCATTGCCAGACCACGACGCTTGTTGAACCATGTTGGGCAGACGGACATGGTTGGAACGTAGGCCATGCATGTGCCAATACCGACGAGGACACCGTGTGTGAGCTCGAACTCCCAGATATACTCACTTAGACTGGCAAGGATACATCCAAGGCCAAACACTACGCCTCCGAACATGATGATCGGCTGTGGGCCGTAGAGCTTGGCCCAGGCACTGACGAACGGCCCGCCCATCGACATTAGCGCAATAGATAGCGTACCAATAAGACTGATGATCGAGGACGATGTCCCTGTGAATGGGGTTCCGGACTCCTTGGCCATCTCCTCATAGATTGCCTGGTATACTCCGAACGAGAAGACGATACCACAAGTCATGAACATGGTGATAAAGCCGGCAGCGACGATTATAACATGGTGACTGTATTGAGTTAGCATACACTATACGTACAGTGTGGAGCCCTCGAAAAGAGGAATTATAGAATCATGGACAGAAAAGCTTGGCAAAGCTTGTTGATTGACCTAGACTTACAAATCCGAGGGTTCCGAAGTCGAATTATCCTGCGACTCATTCTGCGTCGGTGTTGGTGGTGGAGCCTCTCGCTCCGTTTTGTTGGCTTCGCACATGTCTTTTTCTTTCATTTTGGCGGCGTCCCAAGTCTTCCACCTAACACGGAGTAAGGAGGGAGAAAAGAAGAAAGAAAAAAGTCACGCATTATCATGAACCTCAAGGATCACGGCAACGACGGCATCTCTGCCACCCGATCTGATAATTCCTTTACGGAGTACCTCCAATTTCCCCGGAGTTGAGCACTATGCGGTCGTTGCCGACTCGGCCTTGCCGTTTTAGGGATTATTAGACTACTTGCTTTGTCAGAATTGGAGTCGAGTATCATTGGAGTCGGCAGATGCATGCTATTAATGGGGGGAATTTGGCGGCACTGAGAATACCCGGCAGATGGACCATGCCAAACTTATCCGAACGGATCAGATTCTCGGATACTAGACCCAGATACAGAAGCACTGATAGCTTCAGATAGCAACAAACAGTGTAAAGGAACAAGAAACGTCGTGACAGTTTTTTTTTTCTCTTTTGGAATGTATTATGACACCTGCATTTACCCTGCAAGTTAATGCGAATCAATGCAAATATAAGCTACACCGTTGCTAGTCATGTGATGACGTATACCCACGTGTTCTTTATCGTCATGAAGCTGTCGTGTTCTCCAGCTTCAATTCACCATCCACAAACAACATGACGGGTCTTGCGCCCTCTAATGTGGTCATCGTCCACCCCGATCTTGGCATCGGTGGTGCTGAGCGACTTATCATTGATGTGGCACTAGCTCTTCAGAACCGCGGCCACCGCGTGACGATCTACACATCCCACCGCGACACGAACCACTGCTTCGACGAAGCTCGCGATGGCACACTGGATGTCCGCGTCCGCGGCAACACCATATTCCCAGCGCATGTTTTCGGTCGCCTTCACATTTTCATGGCCGCCTTGCGACAACTACATTTGACTGTGTCGCTTTTGTCAGAACTGGGGTCGAGGGATACATTCAACGGTACGACATCGGACAACAAAACAGCGGAAAAGGACCAAGACCAGGACGATATCTTTATTGTCGACCAACTGCCCGCATGCGTGCCTTTCCTTAAAACCTTTGGCCGCCCACAAAAGTCCTACCGCCAACGGATTCTATTCTATTGCCATTTCCCAGATCAATTGCTTGCGCGCCGTGACGAAGGTAGCTCCCTTCTTCGACTAGCCAAGCACCTTTACAGATTTCCATTCGATTGGTTTGAGGGTTGGGCTTTGAGCGCGTCGGATAGAGTTGTTGCAAATTCAAAGTTCTCGCGTGGGGTTGTGCGCCAGGTCTTTGGGGCGGATAAGCTGGGAGATGTCGAGGTTGTTTATCCGTGCGTTGACACCGACGAGAAAGCTATCGCACCGGAAGCGAAATCGGCGGGGCCTCTTTGGGGCGGAAAGAAGATCTTGCTGAGCATCAATCGCTTCGAGCGGAAGAAGGATATGGCTCTGGCGATTCGAGCATACAATGGCCTGGGTGCGGAGAAGAGGAAAGGAACTCGGTTGGTAATTGCTGGTAAGTACTTTGCGTTGTCTTCGTATCGGAAATTCAGGCTGATCATGTTTTACCTAGGCGGTTATGACAATCGTGTCCAAGAAAACGTCCAGTACCACCAAGAGCTCGACACCCTTGCATCTAGCCTCGGACTGCAGACCGCAACCGCGAAGACTGTTGTCTCTGCCCTTTCCATACCCGATGATATCGATGTTTTCTTCTTGCTCTCCGTCCCTACATCTTTTAAAGACACCCTACTAGTACAGTCAAAGCTGCTCCTCTATACCCCGATCAATGAGCACTTTGGCATTGTGCCCGTCGAGGCGATGCGTGTCGGACTCCCTGTTCTAGCTTCCAACACTGGCGGTCCATTGGAAACAATCGTCGAGGGCGAAACGGGCTGGCTCCGGGACGCACATGCCGTCGATGAGTGGACTGCTGTGATGGACAAAGTTCTAAATGGACTGAGTTTGCAGCAAGTGGAAAAGATGGCGGCAGCTGGTAAACTAAGAGCCGATAGTGAGTTCTCACTCACGGCTATGGGCGATCGGCTGGAAGAAGAGATCTCCACCATGCTCTCAGCAGAGCGTCGTCCGTTTGATGGTTGGATGCAGGTGTGTGTTGGGCTTGCTCTCATCGTGGCATTGCTTGCAAACATCGGCTTGTTTGTGTACCACATGACTGCTTGATGTAGTTTATCTTCGAATTTAATACCCCACTTGTCTTTTATACTTTGCTTGAAATCAGGGTTGGTAAAAGAAAGTGTCAAAGTTATTTGTCCCTATTGATTATTATCATATGGTAGCTATTAAGAGATAATATGCTCACCCGGGTCGACTTCTAGACAAAGACCTCCCATGATTGATGAAATAGAGTATTAGGGTAGGTAACGGCTCATTTAACCTTAAAAGGTGTAGATTTGCAGATGCGCGATAAGGGTCACCTGACTTCGTGACGTCGCGTTTCGCGACGGCGCACTTTCACTTCTTGATATTGCCATATCACAAAATGCCCGAATTTATAGACCTGATCTCGTCTGATCCCCCTGTGCCAGAAAATTTATCCTCGCAACATGTACCGCAGTCAACGCAACCGATTTCTCGACGTCCATCCCGCCTGGGACTGATCTCATTGGACTCAATTAGCGCCCCATTGTTTACCCACGATGACAGTGACATACCTCCCAAGAAGCGAAGAGTTAGCCGCGAGAGACAGTCACCCCTCCGATCCGCGCAATCAGCTTTGGGACCTGCCGAGTCAGCGTTTTCCGAGTCGGCGTTCCCAAGCTCATTACCCTCAATACAATTCTCGGACGACGACTTTAGCTTTCCACCCTCACGCCCCGCCGCGCCCAAGACACAACCGGCTCCAAACGTGGACAATTCAGATCCTATTGTTTTCACGTCCCCTGTCTCGGCAAGGCCACCTAAAATCATGCCTTCAAACCCTCTCAACCGATTCTCCGGCCCTCAACATCCAACTTCTCAAAACAAAACCTACGACCTACCTGACATCATCACCATTGATGAGGATGATGAAGATTTTTTGAAGGCTACTGGGAGAAACGGAGCCAATCAGTTTACCCAAGACAGCATAGAGGAATTTAGTGATCCGTTTTCCATTCCGGGGTTCGCAGATATCATTGGAAGTAAAACGGCTTCTAAACCAATGTTTTCCAGCAAGACTGCGGAGTTGCTCGCTACTATCAGTGCAAAGGACAATTCTACGAGTGGGAAAGGTGCTTCGAAGGCAGGAAATCGAAAAAGTAAGAGTGTGGGAACTGGTACGAGGGGTTCGAATCATTCTGATGACGAAATCGATGAACCCATTTCACCAAAGCGGCCAGCGAAGAAATCCGGCAAAATGACGACTGAAGAAAAAGAAGCCAAGGCCAAAGCTCGTGCCGAGGCAAAAGCACAGAAGGAGCTGGAGCGCGAGCTCGAAAAGGCAAGAAAACTAAAGCTGAAGGAAGAAAAAGCAAAACAGAAACAGGTGGCGGCAGATATTTCAGAAGTGAATAAACTCAAGGTCGACAAGAAGGATTCTACGCCGGAGATGATCACACACATTGCATCCTCACTGGAAGACGCTAGTGTGGGTACTCAGACTGTTGAGTTTATGAAGCGACTTGGAGTGGAGCACAAGTTCTTTGCCAGCCCGATCCCTAATCTGATCAAATGGAGCCGAAAGGTCAAAGCGAAATACAACGAGGCAGCCGGTCACTGGGAACCGTGCGCGCTCCACATTGAGGCAGAAAAACATGTTCTGTGCTTGGTTCCGGCGCAAGACTTTGTGGATATGGTAATTCCTTCCCCAGACGAGGAAAGGGAAACATTGGAGCTTCACGTCCTTAAGATCAGGAGCGCATACCCCAGCCACAAAATCATCTATCTTATTGAGGGCCTCACAGCCTGGATGCGCAAGAACCGGAATTCAAGGAACAGAGCTTACCAGGCGGAGGTGCTTCGCCAATATGAACAACCAGCAGCTCCTGAACCCACGACGGCCCGGAGTCGCGGCCGAAAACCGAAAAACAAACCCGAAACTACACCCCCTGTCGATGACGATACGGTTGAAGACGCGCTCCTTACGCTGCAAGTGACCCATGCATGTCTTATTCACCATACCGCGACACCATCAGAATCAGCCGAATGGATCAAGAATTTCACCGAACATATCTCCACAATCCCCTACCGTCGCGAAATGATGGAGGGTAACGATGCTGCATTCTGCATGGACGTGGGTCAAGTCAAGTCCGGTGAAGACAATCTAGACACATTTGTCAAAATGCTCCAGGAAATCAACCGCGTGACAGCTTCCATGTCGTACGGTATTGCAGCACAATACCCATGCGTAACGGACCTTATCCGCGGTATGCGCATGCATGGGCCCACGATGCTAGAAGATGTCAGGGTATGTATATCTCTTCCCCTAATGGCCCGTCTTTCCCGCGATTGTAATTTTAAATCTGCTATATATGCAAGAATCTCCGCTGATCCCTGGACTAGAAATCTGCAAACAAGAATGGTGCTCTGACAGACTCGAGGGTTGGCCCCGCTGCCAGTAAAAGGCTGTACAAGGTATTTACAGGTCTTGATCCGACATCAACCGACGTCTAGCCCAATTGGGGAGGCACGAACCTTGGTCATGGAGCGCTATTTTTGCTTTTTGATATCCCTGGTTCAAAACTGTTTCCCATAAATAGCCATCAAAGCTTGAAAACAACTCACATAACCCAGGGTGTCAATGTCTCATTGACACCTAAATAGTCCCTGAACAACTTCCAAGATAAAAGGGAAAAGCTTAGCCTTTACGTGTGTAATACTGCTGCCTGCGCTGGTCGATAAAAGCAGAAAAAGTGGACAAAGTGGAGTGAAGTGGAGACTCAAGACAGTAATATTTGCCGAGCACGGGTAAGTTGCCTTAGCAAAGCTTGGTGTTCTCGCCCCGTAGGGCTGTAAGGCTGCGGTACCACGTCTGATAAGGGTCCGATGGATCCCTTTCCCAATTATAACTCGTACATCAAGTTTCCAGATCCCGGTTTCACAGCCTTGATCCACTCCCTCGCCGTCATTACGACTAGTATTCGAAACGGAAGTCATGTCCGCAGATGCGATGGTCGGAGATCAAGCGAATAATGGGCCACCCACGGAACACCGGCTATTCCTCTTCCAAATGCAGAGATCTTATTTTATCAATCGATCAATCTGATAAAAAACTTGCCACATCTTAGGATCCTGGCACAGTGGCCTCTACATATCATTCCTAGTTTTGAATTTCCGGAACGAAAATGGCTGCTGGAAGATGGGCTATTAGCCCAATGCTGCTGTTTTCAACTGGCTTGCTCGTTCTCTCGGCTTTCAATTATGGGTTGAGTGATCAGGCTTTTTCGTCTTGTCAGGCGATGGACGCCTTTGAGAAGCAGTTTGGTGTGTACGATGCTAAGACTGATGCGTACAAGATTCCGGCTCTGTACACTTCTCTGTATAACAGTCTGAAGGCAGGTGGTCAGATTATTGGTACGTGACCTGCCCATTATACTCAATTGGGTCCTTTCTGACGAAGTATCGTATAGGTGTTTTCATCGGCGGATACGTGAGTAATCGATGGGGACGTCGTATGTGTATCTTCACCATGAGCGTGTATGCACTCGGCAGTGCCTCTGTCGTCGTTAGTTCGACTACTCAAGCCCAACTCCAAACGGCCAGAGCTCTACACTGTGAGATCCACAACCTCTTCTACACCTATCGGAACACCTGGCTGATATCTGCGATTTCTGATAGACATCTACCTTGGTATGCAATTGGCCGTGATCCCAACCTTCTTGGCCGAACTGGCACCAGCCAAAAACCGCGGCGGAATGGGCGTGCTATACTGGCTTAGCATCAAAGCTGGTGGCCTCTTCATCACCGGTATTGCCCGCGCCACCAAGAAGATGACTACGAACGCAGCCTGGAGGATCCCCTTTGGACTTATCCTAGTCGTCCCATTCATTGTCATCTGTCTGGTCTGGTTCATCCCCGAATCTCCACGTTGGTATCTTCTCCGCGACCGTCAGGATGAAGCTCTGCGATCCCTTACCCGTCTCAAGAGCAAGGATACATCTGACGAGGAGGTTCGGGAGCGATTCGAGATGCTTTCATTTAAGGTTGCTGAGCAGCTGCAAAAGAAGTCCTTTAAAGATCTCTTTACGCGCCAGAACAGACAGAGAACTTTTATTGTTTCGGCGGCGAATTTCTTCCAGCAGGCAACCGGTCAGGCTTTTGCTTCGCAGTATGGAACACTGTTTGTTAAGCAGTTGAAGACCATCAATCCGTTTAGTGTGACTCTTGGTACTAATGCGATTGATATTGGTGCGATTGTCATCTCTGGTTTGTTGATTGATGTTGTTGGACGGAGGTTCGTTCCTTCACTTGTTCCACAAATTGTGGTATATGGTGCTAACTTCGTTTCCAGGGCGTTGTTCCACACCAGCTCTAGTCTTCAGACTGTGTCATTGATGACAATGGGTGGTCTTGGAACGGCAGATTCAAGCAACGTCGATGCCAAAAAGGGTATCGTGGCCATGCTGCTTCTTTTCAGTTTCAGTTGGTCTCTTGGCTGGGCTCCTCTGACATACGTTATTGGCGCGGAACTTCCTTCTTCTCCGTTACGTGAGATGACACTGCAGATCGCTTATACTGTGAAGCTTATTACCGAGTACGTGACATATCGCCTGATATTTTTTGTATATGTGGTACGATTGAGTACTGACAACTCATTCTAGATTCGTCGTGACTTTCACCTACCCTTACATGGAAACTGCTGATACGCCCCACCACGTTGACATTGGCGGCAAACTGGGCTTCATCTATGGGTCACTGTCGGCTGTTGCGTTCGTTTTTGGCTGGTTTTTCATTCCTGAGACGAAGCAACTGGAAATTGAAGAGATTGACCAGGTTTATGCCTTGAAAGAGGGTAAATTGGAGGATATCGAGTCGGCTGACGATGAGCGAACTACCGTCACTGAGATTCCGAAATAGGGAGTCTATTCGATTTGAAGACTTAATTGGATGGCGGGGCATCTGCGAATAGACTAGAGATCGACTTGGGAGTGGCCAGTGTCCATGCAAGAAGATGGTGATAGCTACTTGTAAATAAGAATGAATGTGGCTCTGAGCAAAGTCCACTATACTAGTCGATGAATCGACACTTTTAACTCATCCATCTCCAGGGCTAGAAAAGAGAACTCCTACATTGAAGGCAAGTGCATGCGAGTCGGAAACGAACGCAGATGTTAATTGGTACCCGAATTGTTCGATTCCATTGACTCCGTAGATGTTTATATCGCTAGATATGAGCAAACCCAAAAACGAAACGCTAAATGACTAGGATCGTGGTTAAACAACCACACCTCGTCGCTTCCAACCTCTCCAAGCAGCTAGCCAAGCCACAATGGCAATCCAAACACTAATAGTGCAACCGACGGCCCAGAAGCCATAGCATCGCCAACCATGGCATTGGCCGTCAAAATCACTGCCACTGCCATCATCCAACGCATTCTGGTACGCGGCAGAATAAATAACGCCCCATAGTGCGGCGCCGACGGCAGGCATCATAGCTACGATACCCCAGTTCGTGGCAAAGTTCTCTACGCCCCATACGACGGAGATGATGATCGGGGTAAGAGAGAAGGCGCTTCCGTAACCGAAACCGACGAGGGCCGTGGTCAGGTGGAAGAGAGGGGGCAATTCCAGTGCGAGGGGAGAAGCAAGGATGAGATAGCCAATTGAAAGAAGAAGTGCTGACGGTAGGAGAAAGACCATCCGGGAAACCGTGGGGCGGTTGTTCTCTGCCGTAGGGACTGTGTGTCGGCGACTATCTGGGATTGGAGGGAATAGATGCGTTGCTGGTGGTGCAAAGAAATCGGAGAGGGAGCCGGTGAGCAATCGGGCAATGGTCGATGTCAATGCTACAGTGGTGACATGAGTTGATGGAAGACCGGCTGGCGGTGGTAAATTGAGTGCGTAAGATGGTGGCGTTAGAGTTGGGATGATAGTGCCGAGCTAGTCTGGTCAGTAATTTACTACAAATCAAGAGGATCGAAGACTCACGTTATTGATGTATGACTCGCCAGGTCCAGTGACCAGGAAAAACCCAGCGGCAAGCCACCACATGGTAGGATCGAGGAGGAACACCCGAGTCTCGTAATTAAGAAGCCAGTTCTTCTTTCGACGTTCTTCCTCTTCTCTTTCCTTCTCTCGCCGTCTCTCTTCTCGCTCTTCCCCGGAAAGAGTTTCCTCTTCGTTGTTGTCCAAAAAGGTGCCGTATTCCACAGCTGCCCGAATCTCACCCCTAGGTCGGAAGAAATCGCTTTCCTCGAGGAGTCCACTGCGCTCCAGCTCCTCGACGGTCTCATCGATATATCGCTCCTCTTCGTCGTCGTCAACGATGCGCAACGCAAAGGTACCGATGATTCCAGTCACTAGCAAGACAATGCCCAGGAAAAGGAAGTATCGAAACACATCCACATCTCCACATTTGCCGTCGGGATCACGCTCGCATAGTACATAAGTTCCCAACTGACTCTGCCACATTCCACTCAGTCCAAATGCTGCGATTGGCAAAGCAAGCATTATGCCCTTATGCTTTCCTCTGCCATAATTCTTGGCGCAGGTCGCCACAGCAGCGAGGTACATGCAGCTCGTGCCCATTCCAATAGCAATGAAAGCCACGATCATCACCCAAAATGGCCACCCAGAGCCTCCCACATCTGGAGGCGGGCCACTTCTGTATGTGAACGCAGCAAGAAAATACCCCAGTCCAAACAACCCACCCGAAGCCAAGGACAATGGGGATGGGCTATACCGGTCGCATAAGTACCCAAATATCGGAACCAGTAGGTACATCGCAATCTCAGCCGCAATGGAAATCGCATTGACCCGAAGTTGGGTGTAATGAAGCCTGGTCAGCAACAAATGCCCGTACAACGAAAACGCCGTAATGCTACCCGCACCCAGACTAAAAAGCTATGATTTAGTGACCAGAAACACCCAGGACCGCAGCCACGAAGTCGGTTTACATACCAGGTAATAATAGCCCAAACAAAGCTAATGACTCGTATAACCTCTTTATGCATTTTCCGTCGATCGCGTTCGACAATACCATCCACGACATCGCTGAGAAGTCCGTCGTCACTGGTCGCACCGAATCCTGAGCGTGAGGAGCGGCGTGAGCGGCGTGATCCCGCCCTAGACCGCCCATTAGCTGGGTTGGTATCCAGATTGGGCCCGTCTATGTTTCCATCTTCAAGGAGGGGTCGGTTGGCATCGAAGTCCCGCTTATCGACATGGCCGGTGGAGCTGGACATCCTGCTCAGCACACCCGGTCGCCTGTACCGGAAGTCTCTGAGGGAATGGATAGGAAGCGAAGGTAGCTTTGTACGTTTGGGGAGCTATTCGATGAGGTACTGTTAAAACGGTATGGGGCTCGGGGCTATTGGCGGAGGTCGAATGATAGGCACCCGTGTCAGCTGGGTGGATCAGTTGCTTTGTTGTCAGAGCTCCACCCTACGTCATTGGGCTTCAAATGGGGCCCATCTCAGGAGTGATTGACTATGGCTTGTGTGGAAGATGAGGAGAAATGGAAAGTGAATTGGAGTATGGAGTAGTGCGAGCAACTGGAAGGAGTTCCCCCAACCCCGATTAGAATGCGGAGCTTATCGTCGAACACGTGATATCAGCCGAGGCTGCCAAGAGCCAAGTTCGCGGAAATACTACTTTAGAAAGAACTGTGAAGAACGTGATTTTTGACTTTTTGGATGATTCTGTCTAATACTGGATATGAGAGTATCATGTACAAACAGCACGGGGCTGGAAATAGCCCCGCAAAGTGAAGGCCAGGCGAAACCAAAAACCTTCGGGGTATTATCAATAAAACAGAACCGAGAAGTGAATCGGAAACAAAAGGTCGGGATAATCTCGTACACGCCAATCCAGGAAATGAAGACGGAGAGAAAACTGAAAGAAAAGCGAACAAAACCCAGGCTCTAAATGCATCCAGGATTGACAAAAAATCATTGAGTCGTCCGTGGACATCGTTACATCGTCTGCTCTTATTGAGGGCAGTTCGGGAAGGGAAAGGGAGGTAAGGTAGAAAGTAAGGGGGAAGGGAGAAAATGCAGGTCGAGTGTGGATATTTCATGACACAACTCGAACTGCACCATCTATCCCCAAGCGCCAGATTGGCAGATAGGCCAGGATCATTTCAGAAGCTGACTTCACCCGCATCACTTTCCATCACATTCTCGTCATATTGCTCGGACGGTTGCTCACGAACAGCGGGTTGGGAGCCTAGCGCAATGCCCTCCCCCTCACCACGTTCAATGAATTCGTCCTTCGTGACCTCGTTCATAATACGCAGGAAGTACATGCGCAACGTGCGAAGGCCTCGTAGGTAACCACGATCAATATCGTTGGGATGGTGTGGTGGACAAGGGGTGTCAGGGGGCAATTCGTCCTCGCCGGTGACGCAGTTGGCAAAATCAACAATCTTGAGTCGAACATTGATATTCTTCTGGGCATCTTCGTTGGCTTGGGGTCGGGAAGTGGGGTCAGTAGTTGGGTTGGGGGTTTGTGGAGGAGTGGCTGGCTCTCCATCATACAAAAGCAACAAGCTGCTGGCATAGAGTCGATAACGATCTAGTTTCCTGATCATGTTTTCCAACAGTGATAGTTTCTCCAAAATGCCGGGAATCTTCTTGGCCACGCTGGTGTAGCTGACACCATCGTAAAGGAAGCGGGTGAGAGCATCCTGGAATTCACGGCCAGATTTCAAATCGCGTCCAAAGTATTTATCTTCAAAGATGTACTCCTGCTTCTTGACGTTCCAGGCTTGCATGCCGCATAAACGTACTCCAAGTTGCCGCGAAGTTGTTGATTGACACTTGCGCCTTTGCGATTTCTTCTTTTTCTCATTCGCCTCGATGCCATACTGTCGGGTACCCATTTTCAGGTCTAATACGCATGGCTTGTTCATACCAGCTGTGAGATCTTCAAGGAGAAGGAAGAACTGGACTCGTTCGTCATTTTTCAGCTGCGCTTCCTTTGGATTACTAGGCAAATAGGCTGTCAAAGCATCCTCCGGCCTAAGCTGGGAAGAGGCAGCTGATATCCTGTCAGATGACAGATTCTCAGTGGTGGAAGGTTCGCTGGGAGCGTCTTCAGAAATTTTCGAGGTAGAAGAACTCCCTGATGGTGGAATACCCGCAGACGCAGGTGCATCGCCCTCCATCGAGAAGATTTCGTCTTCTCTATCTCCACCATATCCGTCATCTTCGAAAAACATCAGCTCTCCCTTTTTCTCAGAACCGATACTTCTTTGCCTTTGAAGGCCACCGCCTGAATGTCTTCTTCGCACATGCTGACCACGGTTGAGAGAGTTTGCGCGGTTAAGCTTATCGTCAGTCTTCACTCTCTCTAAGCGATCACGATTTTCATCCAAAGCTGTGGACGCGGAGGAAGAGAGAGCAGGGGCTTCAGGATCAGATCGCGCAATGTCCATTGCTGGACTCCTTAAAGTACGAACTTTGCCAAGACCGGAGGGACGCAAAGTAGATGTATGATCTTCAGACAAGTTTTCACCCCGACGAGTTATTTCCGAAGTGGTTCTGGACAAATGCAGATGTCCACGGGCATGTCGTCGATGGTGGTGAATGGCAGGAGGGCTGAAGACCTCTCGAAGGACCTGCTCCTGAAGCTTCCTGTTGACCGTCGTAGCTCCCCATATCTTTGCTTGATTGCTCAATGAGTTAGGACTTGAGCTCGGCTCTCCAAGTCCACCAGCAGAATGTGGTCGGGTATTCGAAAAGTCATCCAATTTCCTCGATCGTTGGCGCGAAAAGAGATCAGCTGGGATGATGTGGCGGTTGTTCTCAAGAACCACTTTAGGAATTACGCCAGTGACCTGACTCTGGCTCACAATTCGCTGAGGCTCTCCTGGTTTTTGAGAATCCATTCCAGTGGCGCCATTGCCATTTGATTGTTTTGCTTCCAAATTCTCGTGAGTGCCATTTTCAGTATGTTCTTTCGGTCGTTTGGGCGTCTTCGAAAAGGTTACATTCAGAACACCGATGTACCTAGAGGAAAAAAGTAATCAGCATCAGGCAATAAGTGAAAGTGGAGTTGAATATGACGTGGCGGGGTCTGGCGCCTAAGTAGGCAGCCAGTCGATTTTTCCTCTCTCCATTCTTGGTGCAAAAAATAAGACTTTTGTCGACTCACCTGGGGAGAAAAAGTAACATGTCTGGATGTCTTCGTTCGATGCGTTCATAAAACTCATTCTCTCGATTGTTGAGCTGTTTGCAGACTGCACGCCTGGAAAATCGGAATACAGTTGTGTGACCACCCACTTGATGCCTATAGGGCTTCAACTCAACAGCACCAAGGGGCCCAGCTGGCTTGCGACGTTCCAGGATACGTGAATGCTGAGTGGGAGTAGCAGTCGGCGTAACATCCACATCGTCAGTCAAGCTGGAATCATCAACCGATTTTGCACTTTCATCGGCAGAAAATGCATCGGATTCGGCGGTGGAATCATAACTGTACTCGGAAATCGGGCCCAAAGGCTTCTCTGGTACACCATCGGGTGGCGCAAGATCACCATGGAGAATCTTACTTTCATTTTTAGATCGAAAGGATATATCCACATAGCCAACATCTTGCTCGGGGGGAGGGCTACGTTGTTGGGGTATTAACATCAATCCATGACTCTTGTCAGTTGCAGACAGTTTCATAGGCTGCACGCCTTGCGATTCCGGTCCTATTGATCGTGGGTCATTGACCGCTTCGGAGACGGCAACACGCTCGTGAGGGAAATAGACGGCAGACTTGATTTGCTCATTGCCCTCGTCTTCGAACTGTGCCGAATCCCGTCGCTCATCCTGTTCAACGGAGCTCAGCGAATCGGCAAAATGCTCAATATGAGGCTCTTTCTGGAAATAACTCCTGCTGCGTTCCGAATACTGGGCGGGAATGCTTCTGGAAAAGGATGAACCACGGGCTCCCCCCGGAGTCAAATGGAAGTTTCTGATTTCTTCAAGAAGACCGCGCGGTAGAGCTGGCGGCCGACGCTTCGAGGGTCCCTCCGACTCTGGCTGATGCTGTAATTCAGTTTCATTTGGTGTTTCGAACGATGGGCCATCCCCGAGGGAGGGAAGAGAGATGCTCCTCCGAATCAGTCCACTATCCTCCGACAGATTTGAGGTCTGCATGTTGTGATCCATAGCATGATCCCACAATTCTGCGGCCTCATCGTGCTGTCGGGAATGGTCCTCCCATTTTTTCCGCTCTGGTGAAGTGGTATTCTCTTTGAACAAGCCCAAGTAATGGCTGGACTTACGACTGCGCACGTTGGAAGCAGGCTCCGCGTTGTTCAGATTCGCCTCAATCGTACTATCCACACGTCCACGGCGGCCTCGACTGGGATTCGGCTCTAAAGCCACGGCCCGAGAAGATTCGGCGAATGAATCGAAGGAAACGCCTTCTCGGCTCAGCGGCGGCCGCCCGTAGTCAGGCGTCAATGACTGGGGTGAATGAGAGACATCGTCTAGTACGGATGGAAGAAGACTGCGTTCGGTCGGTGAGTCTGGGCTGTCAAACCTCGTACCTGGATCACCCGGCGTATACAGTGATTGAACACCAGCCTCCCTTTCCTGGTCTTTCACCTGGTCTGGAACGAAGATGGACGAGCGCAAGGCAGAGAAAGGGGAGGCATCGGTGGAAGGGAAGAGAGAAGAAGAGCGTAATGGGAGATGTCTGCGGACGTCAACTTCCATGTGGGAAGGGTCGACGTGAGGATTGAGGGGAGAGACCTTAGAGGGAGGACTTGGAGCCCCGTGCACATCATCGAGGCGCGGAATGGAATTCACCTGGCGCTCATTCTCCGGGGCCCTTGCTGGGGGCAATTGTGGGGTATTGGCGCCGCTGTCGGTAGGAAGGTAGTGGGTTGCAAAGATACTATCTCTTTCGGACAATTGTGGACTGTAGAAGGTTTCCGGGCGGGGAAAAATGGCCTGCGGGTTCGTGGGAGCCCTTTTTACAGTGAACGGAGGTGCAGGCTGGGTCCATTGACGAATTGTGGGGGATTCCGCCCGCGACGGGGAGGATGCCTGTGGAGCCCCCTGGGACAGGTTTTGCTGCGGTGAATGCAACAAGTGGTGACGTGGGTTGGGCCGAGCTTGTTCGACCTCCGCTGAGCAATCATGTTGGGCAGGCGCGGCAGGTGTCACCAGGGGGTAAGGCAAGGTATCTTCGGGATCGGACGGCGGGTTTGACATGGAGAGGACATTGGTCAAAGTTACAGGGTCGGAAGGGTCTGGAAGCGATGGCGACAGTGGTTGGTCAATGCCGGAGGGGTGTTGGGGGTCGAAAGGATGGGACGCCAACACGAAAACGGAGGCAGACAGCTTGCTGGCGTCACGACAATGAACCACACCGAGTTAGTGGAGAAAGTGACCAGGAAAGTGACTAGGGGGGGAGAGATTTTTCGAGAAACACGGGACAGTCCGAGGGCCACGTTGGGGAAGAGACGGATCTTACAGGTGGAGGTTGACCGCAAATCGGTCAGATAACCGGGATCAGAGGAGGTGAATTGGTTTGGGGTAAAAAGAGTAATAGATAAAGGATGAGGCAGGCTGAGACCTAGCCGGTAGCACAGTGACGCCGATCGTCCGTCACCGCCTTGTGGAGACCCGATCGTGAGGTTCTCCTTCTTCCTGTTAAAGTGGAGACTTAGATGAATGCAGGAAGATAAGAAGGATAATGGAACAAGGAAAAAACTGGAGAAAAACCGTCGATGGGGGTGCGATAGGAGGGAGATAGGAAGAGTGGAACAGAAAGAATGAAGTCACCTGCATAGGTTTGCCTTCTATATGATTTTCTAACTTCGATCTTCTTCCCTTTACCCCAGACTGAATAGTTAATTCCCTTCAAACCCATTCAGTGCAACATGCAGTCTTATCTTCAATTTCCCAGCCACACTAACGAACAATGATGCGATCGTCGATCCGTTCCTTCTAGGTCAGATGCAGCGAATCTTGCAGAACAAACATTTCCTCCCAAGTGACACGATTCATCACAATTCGAAAGGGAGAGAAATGTTGGTACGATCAACCCACACTCTCACAGTGGCACTTCAGATAGGCTACCTTGGTCCAATTCCCAATGGTTGACGACTTCTCCCCGAGCAGTGGGGGCAAGGGATAACAAAGTTCTCGGGTCGATCCCTCTCAATTCATGGATTTCTCTTCAGCCTATCAACGGGGGTCTTGCACTGGCGTGCAGCGCTCATGGTCAACCATACGGTGTCGCCTCCACCATTCTTAGCCAGTCGGGATGGCCCCTGGTTCATCACTACTCATGATTGGCAGGGGCTTTATTTGAGGAATTCGGACAGGAATAGTTTCTCAAAACACCTGACTATCGTAGCCAGGGATAGCGAAAGCTAAATGCTCATTTACCAGCCGCGTCTCAACCTATCTCTAAAGGGGCTTGGAACAGGAACATGCGGTGTACCGTTCGATCTATTGGTCTTGGCCATGTCGGTGCTGTCTATGCACTATATGGGGGTCCTAGGCATGTCCACTGTGAAAAGTATCCCTTACAACCTTGGAAGAACACGAATTTAGGGAGCTTGGTGCTTCATCTTTAGCTATACAGCTATAATGCAATGAAAATTCTTGTTTCCTCTCCTCAATCTTGCTAGAAACTGGTACCGGCTTGAAGATACGTCACGTTGAAGTCATTTCACGGTCATTGGCAGAATACGTTATATAATGGCAGTATCGAATGAATTCAATGTTCTTCATTGTTACAATTCAACAAAGGCTCACAATTTACTCTAATTTACAATGCCGTCCAAAAAAGTTCTTATCGTCCTGAGCGATGCAGACTCATTTCCTCTGAAGAAGACGTCCGGGCCCGACGCCGGCCAAACGGTGGACCAGCCCTCGGGGTTCTTTCTTCAAGAACTAGCCAAGCCCCTCCAGAAACTTCTCGACAACGGCCATGAGGTGACCTTTGCCTCCCCTAAAGGCAAAGAACCGACCCCAGATCCGAATAGTGTAAGCCTACTGGCATACGCAGGAAACTTCTACGAACGACAGCGTGAGAATGATCTTATGGAACGCATGAAAGCCGAAAATGGATTCACCCGTCCACGAACGTTCAGCTCCATCAGCGATGAGGAATTATCAACCTTCGCTGGAGTCTTCATTCCAGGCGGACATGCTCCTCTTGCCGATCTCGGTGATGACCCAGAGCTGGGCCGTATTTTGCGGTACTTTAACAAGGAGAATAAGCCCACTGCGGCGATTTGTCATGGTCCATATGCACTGCTGAGCACAAAGAAGGCCGGCGACGGGTCGTTTGTGTATGATGGGTACAAGATTACCTCATGGAGTGATGCGGAGGAGAAGGCGGTAGAAACATTGTTGGGTGGGGAAGTCGAGAAAGTCGAGTCGGCGTTGAAGAATGCAGGCGCCGTGATGGTTGAAGGAGTACCTGAGAAGTTTGGCGGAACCACACTACATCGAGAGTTGGTTACTGGTGGAAATCCCTTAGCAGCGAATGCTCTTGGTGATCGATTTGTGAGGATGATTAGTGTATGAGGTCAACAACGTGGTCGCGCATTGTAAAAAATAACGAGGAACATGTTATATAGCTTTTAAGGTCAGGCTCAGGATAAAATATGGATATGCTGCGCCATTACCCAGTCTGAATCCCCAGTTCCCCTATCTTCATAATTTTACGAGTTCACCGGTCGTCGCTGCGTATTGTATGATAATATATTGTCATATTTGATATAGCGGCGCCCTGGCGCTTGAAGATAAGAAACCCTCCCTGAGTTATAAACTAATATCTACTTTATAGGTATAAGTAAGTTGGACAGGCTCTTTCTCAGCGTACCATAATACCCCTCATGTTCCCATTGGCTCGCCAGTTTTCAATTATTTGGAGCCAGTGCTCGATCCCTGAGCCCCAAATACCCGACCGTGCCAAGGCCATCTGTCGCTCGGGTTTGTGAAACGCACGATCAAGGTCACCCTCTAAATTGAAGTACCCCGGTGTGCATCCAAGTGCAACCCCCATTGGCGCAGAATGCATCATGACTTGAATGCCCCAGTCCTCTGCTGCCTCATCAGACGGTACGACCGCAAAGTGTACGTCATTGGCCCTGCGCTTTGCTTCGGCCAATATATATGACACATGTTTCGCGTACTCGTCGAGGCTAAAGCGATAGTTCCCGCTTGTAGAAGCCTGTTGAGGTCCGGAGAGGAATAGATTCGGAAATTTGGCATCGATGACGCCGTGCAGCGTTGTAGGGCCGAAGCGAGACCATTCCTCACTCATGGAGACTCCATTCAAGCCTATGACTGACATGTTTGCCTTCTCAGCTGGCGTGCCAGCAGGCGGGGCACGAAAACCTGTCGCGAAGATGACTATATCTGCCTGGTAAGTCTGGTCGCCGACGATAAGAGAATCTGCGGTTATCCGGTCAACACCCTTGCCGTCCGTATCGACAAGAGTCACATTGTCTTGGTTAAAGGTTTTGAGGTAGTCGTCGTGGAATAAAGGGCGTTTACACCATACAGGATACCAGGGTTTCAATTTCTCTGCGGTTGCTGAATCCTCAACCTCTTTATCCACACGAGCATGAATGCGGATTTGACGAGGAGCGTCGATCTCAACCAACCTTGCCGTGTATTCTGGGATATCCTCCGGTATTTTGGGTCCATCTTTATACCCAGTCAGACCGACTAGACCAGGCGCGCGGGTCCATTCATCGTTGACCAAATTGACTGCTGGAATCTCGCTCTCGCTTAGAGTGAAATGTTGGTGGAAATTCCGCGTTCGCTCTCGTTGCCATCCTTTCGATCGTGCAACTTCTTTACGAAACCATGCTTCATCAGTCTCTCGCTGATCCCGAACATCCACAGAGGCCGGCGTCCGCTGCACAACATAGAGATGCTTGCACCATTGTGCGAGCCGTGGAACAGTTTGCACCGCCGTCGCTCCTGTGCCGATAATCACGACCCGCTTGTTCTTCAAGTTGATAAGCGATGGATCTTTGGGAGATCCACCAGTGATATCGTATGCCCAACGAGCAGAATGAAACATTTCGCCTTGGTAGTCGAAAATCCCCGGGATATTCGGCAGCTTAGGCCAGTTGAGCACACCAACAGCAATAGTGACAAACTTAGAGCGAATTTGGAGAGTCTCTGGAGATAGGCCCTTGCGACGCTGGATCAAATGAACCGACCATTCTTTAGCATCCTCATCCCAGACAATCTTCTGTGCCTGGGTTTGAAAGACGGCGCAGTCCACCAATCCCCATTTCTGCGCAACAATATCAACGTACTCCCGAATCTCTTCCCCTTCTGAGTATCGATGCTTAGGTATGTATCCCGTCTCCTCCAAATAAGGAAGATAGGTATAGCTCTCAATATCGCACATAAGCCCAGGGTACCGATTCCAGTACCAGGTGCCACCAAAGCCACCAGCCGGGTCGATAATGCGGATATCTTCGGCAAGTATGCCAGCCTCGACCATGCGGACAGCATTTTGTATACCACCCCATCCGGCACCGATGATCAGCATCTCGCATCGGTTATCGGGGAACTTCTCTTGGAGCGGAGGTTGGACTGCTGTCGGGTCAATCCACGGATCGTCGGCGAAACGTTCATACTGAGGGGACTCTGAGACTTCGATGAATTGTGCGTTTCCATCCTCACGTAGACGTTTCTTCCTTTCTTCCTCGTAGCGGGCTTTCATTTGGGCTGCTTTGGAGTCAACTTCCTCATTGGGAGTGAACAGAGGGGCATTCACTTGACTGTTGAGGGGTGACATGGTGGAACAAATGTATTGCTGAGTTCAAGTTCTGTTAAGCCCAGATGACTGCGTGCAGGTAAAACAATAAAAAATCCAGACTATTGAGACCGATTCGCCCAGTGATCTGCTTTGTTTACCCCACAGCCAGCAACTGAGGGTTGGAATATCAAGTTGGGGGCTGGACGGCGATCATCCCGCAGAATGCCACACCAGCATGCCACCGCTGAATATTGACAGGCCTGTCTAAAGGGGTCTAAAGGAAGAATGCCCAACGGCCCACTGAGGCCTACATGAGGTGGATTTCCCTTCAAAGAAGATAATCAACAAACATGAATTTACGTGTTTGTGATATATGTATATGTAGTATTCCAGATTATATGGTTAAAAGCTATAGGTCTTTTCATAGAAAAAACATTGGTGAGAGCCAACGCAATGACGTCGCGTGTAGATAGCCAACGCTTCTTGTAACTTCTTCCACGTCTCCCCATACCTATACACCATCACATACACCATAGCTGATCTCCAGCAGTGGGCATTTTGGGGGAGGGGGGGGCAACTCCTCGGTGGCTGACTATATTTGAACCTTGAATGGACCAATCCGTCAATTGCTCCCCAATAAAGCTTGATGAGCCATGGCGCGAAACCCCGGAAAAGCAACATCATCCAGTCATGTCTCGCACAGCCTAATGGTACCAGGGAACGATCCTCGTGATAATAGTCACTTTCCTCAGTCCCATTTTCCAAATCTGGCCGCGAAGAAATTGTTTTCGGCTTCCCCGCAAAGTTTCGGGCGAAACATGCTACATCCAACATGAGGCAATTGTGTGATTTTCGTGAACCTCATGAAGCCAGCCGTATCGCCCTCCGTCCATGTCGAGCACGAACATCTCGAGCATTGCGAATTCTCTGATTCACTACTCCGCAAACGATTCAGCACGAGCCATCGCCTTCGCCACATTCTCTTCCATAGCCTGGTACAATGCGATCGAGCTAGTTATCTTGTGCTTCGTCACTTTCAAACGCTGGCGTGGGTGCTACTTCTGGAGCTTATTGGTTGCCTCCTTCAGCATAATACCCTACTGCCTGGGGTTTATCCTTCTCTTCTTCCCGACAGGGGTCACGCCATATGTCTGTGTAACACTCATCGTATTCAGCTGGTCCGGCATGGTCACAGGCCAGTCCATGGTGCTATGGTCGCGGCTACATCTACTTCTGCGGAACACAAAAGTACTATGGAAAGTCCTGTGGATGATAATCATTGACGCCATACTGTTACACATAACAACAGCGGTCCTCCTGTTTGGCACCGTGGGAATGCCCTCGGGCCCCTTCGCCCATGGCTACAATATCATGGAGCGAGTCCAGGTCGTCTGGTTCTGTATTCAAGAACTAGTGATATCGAGCATCTACGTCTGGGAAGCAATTCACCTGCTCCGTCTCCGACCCGGAGGTCAATCTCGTGGAATTTTGAGCCAACTGCTCGTCATCAACATTATCATCCTCTTCTTAGACGTCGCAATTGTCGTCATTGAATATGTGGGATATTATGCCTTGCAAGTGATGTTCAAGCCCGTTGCATATAGTATCAAGCTAAAGCTAGAATATGCCATCCTGGGGAAACTGATTTCTGTAGCGCGTGAATCATGGGATGACCGCGAACTGCCACATGGTGGTTATGGAACAAATGAGGCCAGCATCTTACCATCTTCTCAGGACATGTCTTCGAATTTTGCGTCTCGTCGGCATACTCAGGATCAGTGTACCTCCCAGGAGACCTCGGAAGTGTCCAGGACCCACAACTAAGCTCGTAAGTTTTAGCACTCCTGTTGTTAATTTGGCTCTACGATGGAATGATTATCTGATACCCTAACATTCACCAACCGATCCTTTCGTGCATTCATTATAAAAATGAAAAAAGCTATATTACGTCTGGTGTGTTTTTAATAACGAAATGCAGGTCCTCGAACCAAATTCACGTGCTATTCCCAAACCGGCAATGAGCTTTTCATATAATGTCTTGCGTCATGTATCAAACATGTCCAATAAATTAATCATCTTCATTCCTTCTTTCCTTCAGTGATAGATTTAATCAAACTTGTTAATACTATGATATTGTGAGCATTGGTGACAAAGGCTGTTCATGGGTTTTGCACCAAAAATTGGATATACATAAGTATGGCTCCAATATTCGTGCCACTTAATGATGGATTTGCCAATACCGCTAGAGACCCAGATAACATTGGCAGAATTTCTTTTGATCGACTCCAGAGGACCGAGGATGTCCCGCAAGCAAAAAGAAGAATATTGCATCATCCGTGAATCGAACACGGGCCTCGTCGATGGCAACGACGAATTCTACCACTAGACCAATGATGCTTTGATTATGTAACAGTCTGCCTACAAAGCTATAAGAGCATTGCGTCCACGGTGGGACTCATGGATCTCATGGCTAGCTAGAAATTTAACTTGTTTGGCAAATTATTCAATAAAGCACTCACAGAGCTCCCAGGAAATGTGGTTAACTCTAATAATACTAATGATCACGAGACCTGTTCCATCAGATGTTGATTCCCCTCAGGTAGCAGATTTAACTGAGACTCAGTTGCTTACATCTAATCGTGACAGCAACCGTTAGCATCCCAAGCAACATTAAGCAAATTTAACACATGCATAAAAGAAGACAAATCCGAGGAAGAACAACAGTCTTCATTCATCATATTTAATGGTACTGCCAAGTGTACGCTGGATGTAATACCCAGTTTAGCCAATAGCCTTGGCGGCAATCTCCCTGCTTTGCTCGTTTGGCTGTTCAAAGGGCCCTTTCGACAAATTCTGGCTGAGTAAATGGGACTAAGGTCATACCTTGAGCAGCAGCAGCATTGCTCTTGATACTATTGATTAGTTCAGCTTGGCTCTAAATAGAGTCATTACAAATAGGTCGAGCCTACGATGTCAACAGCTCAGACTATCTGGAAAGTTCTGTCTTTGTGATGAGCAAGACTTTAGCATTATATCTACCATGAATCAAGGCATTTGCTCTCTGTACTTTATTTCAAAGGTGCCAAGTAATTTTTTCGCTATGTGCTTGTTTATATGTTGAGCTGTACATAATAATAACGTGTAAATTGAAAGTAGATGAATGCAAATAAATTATGATACAAAATCTTGGAAATCTCCAATTGCTTCCAAGGTTTATTCTTTGCCCCAAACTACGGTCCTCAGCCTCCAGTTCGTACGCAAGTAAGCGTTTTCCAATTGCGAAAAAAGATTGTTGGACGAAGGCGTGTTTTTGACATCGCCACTACGTCATCAGCGGTCACTATTCCACTAATCCACGTCGGCGACCATCAAGCCAAAACAGGAACAAAAAAACATGTCACCTGCCCCCTTGCTGGATGAGCAAGGCATGACAAACTTAATCTTGCCACTTACGCACTTCATCCTCGTGTATAAATACTAACCATCAAGCATTTTGGAGGTATCTGAACAATCTATACCTTAGCTGCCAATAGCTTGACCCATAACCTCGATCAAACACAAACATCAACATAACACACCGGTATCGGGATCTTATTCACCATGTCATCAATCATCACGTCCATCAAAGACCTTATTGCCTCTATATTCGAAGTCATATTTTCCATATTCCGCACGGCATTTGATGCAGTGTATGGCTTGCTTCATGCATGCATCGGATTTGTTGTGGGGACCATTAAGATGGCGCTATATACGGTCGGAGATAGTTTGAAAGCCCTAGGTGGAGTTGGCAAATTCATCGCCAGTGAGTTATTCGTCCTCGAAGAAGATATGGAAAGGTTTCTAACGACTGTGAAATAAGGCAATTTTGTTGTCATCGCACTGATCGCTGGTGGCGCATACGGCTATCTACAATATCAACGTCGTCAAGGACGCACTGTCAGAGTTGGGGAAAAGAAATTGAATTAGGCTGGATTCTGTAGCTACTGTCTTGGCGTCTAGGGGGTTCTGTATCTATACACAGTTGCATTTTGGTGGCATTCTGATGACGTCGGTGGCTCAGCCAATTGTTTGATAGCTTTTGAATTTACATTTTAAGCTGAATACCTTATTTCCAATCAAACTTTCATGTCAGCCAAATAGATCTCACGTGAATCATAAGATGCTGACAATTACCTGGCCAATTAGAAGGTACAGAACTTGGAGAATAGAAAGCTGAATATGACAGGGCGGATATGACCCCTCGAAAACCAACAATCCAGAGCGAATTCCTAGTGGAGAGACGAGAAAATGGCTCAGCCATACGTGGCCGCTAGTGACAGTGACGGGAGGTGTGATGGACTAGATGTGATGAGAGGGGCCCTAACGCCCAACGGGAGGTGCCGGGCGGGTCCCAGTCCAACCAGCGTTCAAGACAATGTGAAGCAGTTGCATTAGCCGTGCAAGGATCGCCCTAAACGACTAGCTCCTACGAACCTCGAGCTCATCAGCCACTCATGTTACTGCGTCCCTGCGGACTTCTAACCAAGTCCCCCTCAGAATATCTCCACTCCGGCGGTCTAGCTCTTTCTGATGTCCTCTCATCACGCGCGGGCTTCCCCTCTCCAGAGCTGCCCATGCTGCAATCGGTTCGTTCCCTATCGATCTGCAGTCGCATATCGTTTCGCTGTGGGCCGGCGGAAGATTAGTTAACCGAGCGCGTCCCGCACATGAGGATCTCCAGGGGAAGCTGTTGGGATGCGCCTGTTTCAGCAACAATTGCCTGATCACTTCCCCTCTCCACAAGCTCTGGATCCAACTGTGAATCCCATAGCCATTGCTGTACTTCGTCCAGTCTGCTAGCCTTGAAAAGCTTCCACTTTCTACAGTATAGACGAAGTGTCGCACCGTCTCGCCCGCCAAGATGAGTCGACCATTGCAGCTAGAGACCCAGAATGGACAGGGCCCAAATCCCCGATACTCGTTCATGGAGACTCCGCTTGAGATGCATCCATCGTCCCATGATCAGTTTCCAGCTTCGACACCCCCGGTTCCTGCAGATCCCAGCCCCGCTCCGCAGCCAGCAGCGATCGAGCAACCAAGGGAAGTACCACAGCAATCAGCGCAGTACTTTCCCAGCGAGAAAGAACAACACTTGCAACAGGAGGGCATAATTCCCACGTATTCTAAATACCCGCCGCCAGACCAGCACCCGGCGCACTTTGCTCCTTATGCCGAAGCAACTCAGCCACAGCCTGATATCCAACTAGTTCAGTCGCCCATGCAATCACCGCTCCACTCGCCAGTTCACTCCCAGCAATACCCTCAGCATGCGTATCAGTATCAGTATCAGCAGACGTATCAACAGCCACAACAGCAGACCTACCAGCAGGCGTATCAACAGGCCTACCAACAACAGGTGTACCAACAAGCGGTTCAACAGACGTATCAACAGCCACACCAACAAACACCCGAAGAAACGTACAGTCAGCCTCCAAATTCCCCAGGGCCTTTGCCAGTAAAGATAAATCCCGATGCTCCTACGAGGAGCGATACCATGACGGTTGCGCCGGATGTGAACCCATTACAATCGCCCAAACTGCCTTATTTCCCTCCAACGGCTGCAGTCTCATCGCCGGGGCCAGCACCAGAAGATCTGAGTACATTCCACCAACCTGGCCAAATAATGCATCCGAACCAAGAAGTCATCGGTGGAGGGTGGACCAACGGGATGTGCGACTGTTCAAACAACTTCGCAGCATGCTTTCTTGGTGTTATCTGCCCCTGCGTCCTTTACGGAAAGACGCAGTACCGACTCAACAGAAAGTCCAAGGGAGAGGATCCGACCAACATGTTGGGATATGAATCTTGCAATGGCGCGTGCACAGGAATGGCTCTACTATGCGGTTGCCAGTGTAAGTCTCAGTCTTTGACTCCTTCTCCCAGAATAGAATCAATAACTAACATCCACAGGCATTCTAACCGCCCTCCAACGCAGAACAACACGTAAAGCCTACGGTATCCCCGGAGACTGTGGCTCAGACTGTGTTCGAGCCACCTGCTGCTGTTGCTGCACACTAATCCAGAATGAGAAGGAAATTCAAAAGCGAGAGGAACACCGAAATCGTGCTGCTGTGGAAAGAGGCGCAACGTTTTCACCCTACGTGGCCCCTGGGCCAATGACATACCCCCCACCGCCGAAATAAAGTGCAGGGCCAGCATGATTCATTCACTGTACAGCGAGCCTTTACGGCCTTGACGTGTACCTATAACGAAGCGATATTATATCCCACTAGCATGAAATCAATTTTCTTTGTATATGATCGGCTTTCCTGTTTCGAGGCGATTTGCTCTGTAAGTTGTGCATTTTCGCCGCGTGATGTCACTTTCAGGCAATCAAATTAGATAACAAGTGGTTGTGCACTGGAGTGACAGCATGGTTGATCCCGTTGGAGTCTCAGCGGTAGATCATCCAAGCTATAAACTAAGGTGCTGAAAGTTGAGGATGGGATGTATCCAATGGCTGCCATTGTGTCACTGAATTGCATGATGTCAGCCTACTAGGAGATCGACCAATCTTCAAATATCAGGATCCCTGAGGGCTATCTGTTCTCAAAATAAAACCTACAACCTGCTAAGGTTGGTTAGACTCGGATACTCCCACAAACCTGCCACGAGGCATACGGTCCACTCAACCTCGAGGACTCTATCACATATTTCCTGTTGTACTTACTGCCACCACCGTTGAACTCCAAATATCGAATAGAGAGAGATATTGACGTGAGATATCAATTGAAATATCTCCTATGGAGTTTAACGGAGACAACCCTATTCCAACACCCCCCACCCCCCATATCCCATCAGCATAGAATTCTTATGTTATTGACCTTTTTCCAAATTCTGCGATTCACTCTACGTATATATATAATGACTTGGTTGTGCATAAAATCCTTATGAAGCTTAAGCAGACAGTCAAACCCGATGCGGGGCTACGAGATTAGTGTTCATGCTAACGTCGATCTACAACGCACGATCGCTCAGACGAAGAGATCTTCAACCAACAACACTGACAAGAAAACGTCGATCATGGATAAGACCTCCAAGCGCTTCTATTCGAAAACCCCTATTGGTTCAGCGGAACAGACATCTAGCAAATAGCTCTCCATGCCAAGCGATTCACTCAAAGTCCCCACCCCTTTAACCTTCCACATGACTGAAACAATGCGCAATGACGCGCGGGACCATGCCGTCAATTTCAACCCCAGAAATAAAACCCCCCTTTACCACCACCCAAGCATGTCAGGCCGATCGCTAGGCAAAATGCGTGGGCTCGATGAGAGTACCGACCTCCTTCTTCGTGTTGGACAGACAGCAGGCGAGCAGGTTAGGCATGGCTGGGACGCGTTTCTCAATTTCGCGGCCCGAGATAACGTTCTCGAGGTTGCGTTGGGTTTGATGTGAGTGCCGCTTGCTGTGTAGTGAGGAGTTGAGTGAGGTCTTTATCGCTTTACGTTGCTAACAATACTGCAGCATTGCTAATTCCTTCACCAAAGTCGTTACTTCGTTTGTCTCCGATATAGTTTTACCGGTTGTTTCACTGCTTCCGTTTTTGAATCGGAATATGGATCAGAAATTTGCCGTTTTGTCGCAAGGGCCTCACTATGATCCGGAAAAGGGGTACAATACGGTGAAACAGGCTAGGGACGATGGGGCGCTTGTTTTAGCTTGGGGGTACGATAGCCGACCCGTGAGCATCAGGAAATTTCGTGCTAATCTAGTTATAGGGGATTTGTCGAAAACATGTTGAATTTTCTGGGCGTTAGCTTGACTTTGTTTGCGGTCGCGCATTTATATATGCTCGTCTCTCGTAACAAAATCATCAAGCCTACTGTGAGATGCAGATACTGCAGAAAATACATCAGCGTGGAGGTTGTACATCCACTTCAACATATGATTGCTTTGGTATTGACTATATACAGGCCTCGCGTTGTCTCAATTGTTCAAGCTGGCAGGATGGCAGAGAGGACGTGTGCAAGGACGATGAGGTAGAAGAAGATGAATATCGACTTTGAAAGCTCTGGTGGAGTAGAATCTCTTTCTCTTTTCTTGCAGGCGCTGAGAGGAACGTAGAATGTTCTTTGAATTTCAGAATTTGCATCCATCGTGGTCCTTGTATAGAGTGGCCGAGTCCAAAACTGTACCATTGGCGCTGGCTTTTGAGAGGGTAGCGTTAGAAACATCGTCAATCTGCAAGATATTTATTGAGTAAACTCACCAATAAAATCCTGCGTGATATGGGTGCAGTTGTGAACAGTGAATCGACTCCATCCATAGACAGTGTCAATAGCCTGGACTGTATAGTTCTCTAACGGTGTAGTCAAGGAGGACAATCCTTCATAGTGGCCAGCAGCACCGTTGACCAGATACCACGGAGCGGACGGATTGTCGAGACCGTTTGGATCTAAGACACCATTGGCAACAGGTGTCATGCGTTCATAGAAGTGTTTATGACCAAAAAGCGCAATATCAACCCCGTATTCGATGAGGAGTGGTTCAAAAGCTGCTTGGCATGTGTCACACTTGGTCTCATCGACATACCAGGGACGGTGGCCGGCGACAATGATCCAGGGTGTCTTTTTGCGGTCGACAGAGGCAAGGTCTTTCTTCAACCATTCAAGCTGTGTACCATTGGGTGCGAAAGGACCAGCGTTCTCGTCTGCGCTTCCACCGGGGAGATCAGGGGCATCCGGAAACTAAGAAAATGGTAAGACAATTTCGAATCCAGGTCCCTTGGCTTCAAACTTACATCGGTCTCTGTGTTGAACTGAATGTAGTGGACCATTCCATAGTCCCATGAGTACCAAAAGTTCTCGAGACCCCCTGACTGTACAGAAGGCATACGGAAGTGGTTCCGGAAGCCAGTGAAGTTAGTTTGGCCCTGTGCACAGATGCTCTCTGTATAGTCACCGCTTCCTCCGTCGTCACAATTTGCCTCATGGTTTCCTGGTTTGTTGGATCTTAGCCTTTGGGAATCATTTTTGGAGATGGATTATTTTCAAGGATTGACCTACCTGGACCCACCATGTATGGGAGTTCCATGGTCACATTCCCAGACATCTCATTATAGAAAGCATTCAAAATGGCTTCATATACTGCAGCTCCTGCCTCAACGGTAGTGTTAGGCAAGAATCCATCGATCTCTTCCTTCAGCCAAGCATCAGCGTAAGCAAGATCACCATCTAATTTGCCTATCCGTCAGTATTTGTTACGCGCGGCCAAAGAAGAGTGACAAACCGTGCCACATGAATTCCACATGATCTTTGAAGTGGTTCAAAGATTGCATTGTGGTAATTTCACCGGGGCTGAGTGCGTCTTTCTGACCGTAGGAGGTCAGACCTAGGGGGCCCATAGTTCCCAGGTCTCCAAAAAAGGCAAAGGAGTATGGGCGAGGATTCCCAGCTGGCAAACTAGTCTTGAATTGGTGATGATCATGTTCGTCGGCACATTGCACAGCAAAGTTGTACTCAGTGTCTGGCTCCAAGCCCTTAATGAGGACGTGGTTGCTGTATGTCGTCGAGGTCGGATATGTGACAGAGACCTCCGAGACAGCGATTTGATCAAGCGATCGACCGCGTCCGTAGAGAACCGAGGGGGATTCCAGCTTCTCTTCTGTATTCCAGCTGATCATCATGCCACGGTCCCCAGCGTAGTTGAAATGCAACTGCTCCGGTGCTGTCTTCTTGCCACGACAACCCAAAGACGCATCTTTAAAGGCCGTGGGCAGTGAGGCGGCATACCCAATAGCAGCGAGACCAAGTAAAGAGACAATCATTTTGATGTCTCAAAGGTGTCACTGTCAACGTGGAAATTCACAAACGACCTTTTGGAGCACAAGTTCTCAGGGTGCTCTCCAAATCTCAAGTGGTGCCAGCCATAACTGGATTAATCACGCGTATAAATATTCACTATAACCCGTTTTATCTCCAGTGGCGGTTTAGCCTTGTGTGAAGTGGATCAGATATGCGCTAAGCTTCTGTTAGCGTGATTCTGTAGCCTGTTAGAATTCAGGCTTGCGGCACGCTCGCCGCTAGAGACACGGGAAATTGGGGGAAATTGGCTTCCTTCCCTAAATAGGCCGCATGAACCGAAGTAAACTAGATTGCTTGGGACACCGTGCGCACTTTCTGATCACCTCACTCGTCAGGATTACCATTGATATGGCAGCAATTGGCTTTCCGGATCTCGGCACATCGCTATGCCCATAAGGCTTTATGACCTTCTTGCGTAAAGTTCATAAAGGTAACATAAGGGCTAATCATTTGTGGGGATTGACAGACTTTTTAGGGCGATTGGGATATCTAAGATGAAGAGCGAGCAGAGGAAAAGGACATGTTGATCATTGCCTATCAATATCCAATTTTCATCATTTTCATCGTTCCCAAGAATATGAGTGAACGTTGAAGTGTTGACACGGCTTATACTTCTGTCAACGTATCAAAATATTAAAGAGAAGTATCAACAACACGGGCGTGCAAAAGCTCCAAAATGAAGAAAGATGTAGGTAGAGCGGGGAATCTGTGGACTCCACCTGCCCAGGTGACCGCCACTTTCCAATCCCCACGTCCACCCTTTGGCTACCACTATTCAGTCCCCCGTCATCTTTATATTATCTCTACTCATTCAATCAATATGTCTATCACTCACATCGTCCTCTTCCAATTTAAAGCTGGGATTGACCCCCAAAGAATAATTGACGTATGACGTCTCCCTTCCCAAGAATCATGACATCAGCTAACGCCAATCAAGGTGTGCGACCGTATGCTCGCATTAAAAGACACTTGTCTTCATCCATCATCTCAAATGCCTTATATAAAAGCATCTACGGGTGGTGTCGATAACTCTCCTGAAGAAGCACAGGTACGTGCAAACCCAAAGTCTTATATTCACCACGGAAGGACTAGCTCGTCTGAGGATGATTAAGCTGATGCATTATTCCCAATTCAAAGGATGGTATCACCCATGGATTCGTTGTCGAATTTGAAAACGCGGCAGACCGAGATTACTACGTCCATAGAGATCCAGTGCACCGCGCCTTTGTTGATAGTCTAACCGGACTCCTCGAAAAAGCACAGGTTATTGACTACACACCAGGAGTTTTTTAAATTGAGCAAATTCAAGTTCATTGTCTATCTCAAAAATTCAATATCGCAACAGAAACAATCTGAAAACCAGTCAAACAAAATCGTATCCATCATTTCTCGTTAAAACTTCAATCTGTAATCAAACATAGCTCCACTGTATCCCGGCCTTCGCGAACTTAAATGGTTCAGAAGGTACGCTGCACTCCGGGTGCCCCACTATCAAGATCAGAATTCACACGAGGATCGATCTTGTTGGCCAACTTGGAGGAGTGGGGGCCCACTGTACCTCCAGTCGCAGTGTTGTTGTAGCTGCTACCCGCAAGAGTGTTGCCATGGGCTCTGTTACCCATGTCTGAATCAACACGGGGGTCGGCCTTGTTGGCTAGGTTCGAACTGTGGGGTCCAGCGGTTGTGGATGACGGAGCGGTGCTGTAGTGGTTTCCAAGTCCTCCAGCGGTTGTGGATGAGGGAGCGGTGCTGTAGTTGTTTCCAAGTCCTCCAGCACGAACACCTCTGTTGTCCATGTCCGAATCAATACGAGGGTCGGCCTTGTTGGCCAAGTTCGAACCGTGAGGACCGGCAGTTGTGGATGTGGTAGCGGTGTTGTAGTGGTTTCCAAGTCCTCCAGTGCGAGCGGCTCTGTTATCCATGTCCGAATCAATACGAGGGTCGACCTTGTTGGCCAAGTTCGAACTGTGGGGACCGGCAGTTGTCGATGCAGGGCCGGTGTTGTGGCTGCTACCCGTAAGAGTGCTGTTGTAGGCTCTGTTGTCTAGGTCCGAATCAATGCGGGGGTCGGCCTTGTTGGCCAAGTTCGAGCTGTGGGGGCCGGCAGTTGTCGATGCGGGGCCGGTGTTATAGTTGTTACCCGCAAGAGTGCCACCATGGCCTCTGTTGTCCAGGTCTGAATCAAATCGGGGGTCCGCCTTGTTGGCCATGTTCGAAGTGTGGGGACCGGCAGTTGTCGATGCGGGTCCGGTGTTGTAGAGGTTGCCTCCATGTCCTCCGACATGAGCCCGGCTATCGTCAACTCGGGGATCAGCCTTGTTGGCTAGCTTCGAATCGTGAGGGCCAGAACCAGAGGTGGTGGTGTTAGGAGCGTTGAAATAAGCACCTGACACATCCTGGGTTGGAGCATGGCTCGTCGCTGTCGAGTCCACACGAGGGTCAAGCTTGTTCGCCAGGGCTGAGTTGTGTGGGCCATTGTTGGCGGTGTTGGCAGTGTTGGTGGTGTTGGTGGTGTGGGCGGAGTTGGTTGTGGAGGAGGAGTGGCCAGTGAGGACCTCCTCAGCTTTCTTCATGAGACCCATGTTGGATAAAAATTGATGAAAATGATAGAAAGGATAAAATCTGGATCAAGATGATATAGTAATGTTTGAGTATTGCTTTGGTTGTTAAAAAAAGTAATGTTCAATTGTTGCTCAAGGGGGACATTTATATAGAGCTTCCCCAGATACTACTCAGGTACTACCCCAGCAAACATGGCACATTTATGACGTTGTATTTGATTATGATGCTAGTCAGCTTCAAGACATTCCAATAGCAAATAAAAATAAAGTCTTCTTGATTGCATTTGATTCGCTCGTTGTCGCGTCAGTGGCGTTTTGCGGGTTGAGCGCCCAGTTTTGCCACAGTGGGGACCTGTCGCAATGCGCCAAAACAGGTCCAGTGTTTACCACCACCGGTTCATATTTAGGCCTTCAAAACCACATCCCTGCACATTGGCCACAAAGCTGGCCGCCGATCATTTCGCAATACATTCCTGGGCATATGTAACAAAGAACTGATGTAAGTATTCCATCATGGCTTCAATTGAACTACATCCAGTTGTAGTACAGTGCCTTTACTGATAGCGTTGAGGCAAAATCCAACATCTCATTGTGTAGTACTGTAGACTAGGCGTCAACAATGGCTACTTTTGACATCATGCCAAGCGTCCCAGTTACCTGAGTATTAGCCATTAAATCTATACAGTACGTGAATGACTCCAACACTTCAACATGCTCCCGGGTCGACTATGCAGAATGCATAAAGCGCATAAAGTGGTGTGAATAGACAGAATCGAATTGGGGTTTCACTTGGAAGCTGGGGGTGCTTTGTTAGGGCTCACTTGACTCGGTCATCAAACGGAGCCGATAATGTATAGGCATGCCGACCTGTGGAATCTGTGAAGCTTATGGTATTTTCAGAATAATATCCTCAATAGCCTCGGAGAGCCGACGGCATAATCAACCAATCGAAACAAAACCACCAAGGCAGCCAATGAATTCAATCTAATAAGGTCTCGATTGTGTGCCTCACTAGCTCATTGAAGATCGTGACCTCCTCATATTTCCCTCTCATCCTTTTATATGAGATTGAGAGAGATAGACGCAGCACGATGCCTTCAGGGTTTTCTTTCGAAGCGGACAATGCCTTCGGCCCTGTGATGGATTCTGGGTGCCGCGATGGCTTTGATTTCACCCTGCTGTTTGAGCAGGCCACATTCGGCCTCATCCCTGCGGTCGCGTTTCTCCTATTATCTCCTGTTCGGCTACAAAGTCTCGCAAAATGTGAAGTGCGAATCCAATTTAATAGATTGAGGTCTGCGAAGCTGGTGAGGACCTTCGCACCATTACCTAGAAGGTCTGACTTATATCGTAGCATAGACAACTATCTTCGCGTTTGCCGCGATCCAACTCGCCCTGCTCATAAGCTGGGCACAGAACGCTAAGCCCTATACAAAAATCTCCGTGGCATCTGGAGCGGTTAATCTGGCAGTGGCAATGGTAATTTTAGTCTTATCGTGGATGGAGGATGAGAGATCAGTCAGACCGTCATCACTCCTTGCCATTTATCTTTTCTTCACCCTACTCTTCGACATTGTGCAGACAAGGACTCTTTGGTTAGCGCGCGGTCGCGCTGGAAGTCTCATTCCCAGCCTATTTACGGCTAGTGTGGCTATAAAGACGTGGATGCTTCTTCTGGAGAGTTTAGGGAAGCGGAAGTACCTCACAGGTACATATCGTGGTCTGCCACTAGAGAGAACGAGTGGTATCTTGGATCGGTCGTTGAAGTGGTGGTTGAACCGTCTTTTTCATGCTGGTTTCCGATCGTTGCTCACCGTGAGTGATTTGAATGTCCTTGATAAGCCTCTGGAGTCTGCAGGCGCGGCCAGAAAGACCCAGCGAGCTTGGGTCCAACGTCAGCGCCCTGAACGCCGCTTTGAATCCCCTGTGCAGATGTGTTGGGCTCTCAAGTCCTCATTGGCACTAGTTAGTAGTTTTTCCTCGACTGTGTATGATGGGATTTACTTTTGCGCAGCCTTTCCTTATCACTTCCATGCTTAGCCGGCTTGATGATCCACATGCCGTGATGAACGATGGCTACGGCCTCATCGGCGCTACGATTGTTATCTACCTGGGAATCGCTATTTCCACGCTGTCATATAACCACATGCTAAATCGATTTACGACAATTTTCCGAGGGGCCGGCTCGTCGATGATCTATGACCATGCGTTGCGTATCCCCGATGGCAGACTGGAAGATCGTTAAGCCACGATAACTCTCATGACCACCGACATTGATCGGATTATCGCTTGCCTGATGACTTGATTGAATGCCGGGCTCGTACTATTGAGGTCGTAATTGGCATTTCGCTACTTGTTCTTCGTATAGGATGGGTTTGTCTGATGCCATTGATTATCGTGATCCGTGGGTATCCCAATAACCTTACATCACGTTACTAGTTGCTGATAACTACATAGTAACTAGCGTAGGGAGTACGTATATCTCGAAGAATATTGGGGGGCAGCAAAAATTATGGGTTAATCCATTCAACAGCGCATCGCAATCACCCGTTCAATGCTGGGTGATATCCAAAATGTTAAGCGGATGGGATTAAGTCAAACATTCCTTGATCTCATACAGGACAAAAGGGTCCAAGAAACCCATCGGATGGCTAGACATCGATGGAGCATCGTTTGGCAAAACATGATCCAGAACCTACGATGGGCAGTAGCACCAGCGTTGACTTTCGCAGTCTACGATGCTCAAGGAAAGGAACTCGATGTGACCAAGGCCCTCAGCAGTCTGTCAATAATAACGCTTCTCACTTACCCGGCCTCTAAGCTGCTTAGTGCAGTTCCTTCCACGGCGGCAGCTACGGGATGCTTCGATAGAATCCAAGCAGTTCTCATGGTACCGACTAGTCACCATGGAAACAAGACACCTCTTCTGGTACCACTGAAGAAATTACACTCACTCGAGCGATAGCTCCAGTAAGCTGCAACCTATATCATCCTTGAGTTGCAGGACTGCTGATTCCACGTCCCCCGTCATATCTATGGAACGAGTCAGTATCCGCCCAGTTCCATCAGCAAAGATAGTACTACGAGATATTTCTCTACAAGTCCTAGCTGGAGATTTGGTAATCATTCTGGGACGAGTGGGATCTGGAAAAACCACTCTGCTTCGGGCCTTACTTGGCCAAGCAGTTTGACAGGAAGGGGTGACTACAGTGAAGTTTCAGAACCCGGCCCTTTGCGCCCAAGTCCCTTGGATCCCGATGCAAACCATCCGAAACGCAATTTGCGGGATAACAGGACCGGTCACCGCTGCAACGATTGATTATCAGTGGTATAAGGACGTTCTTCCTGCACGTGCCCTGCTTCCAGACCTGGAATCTTTTCCCGAGGGTGATGCCACGCAAATCGGCAATGGATCCGGAAATAAGTTGAGCGGCGGCCAGATGCATCGTATTTCCCTTGCACGGGCTGTGTATGCTCGTAGGAGATTTGTGCTGTTAGATGATGTACTCAGTGCATTGGATCGGAAGATAGGCTGCCATCATGGAGCGTCTTTTCGGAGTTGACGGGCTTCTGCGACGAATAGTTTCGACGGTTGTGTTGGTGACTCACGAGGGTAGGACTCCCTTTGACAATGTCGATGCCACAGATTCCTGTTTTTGTGCACTGACAACTCGACAGTTGAATGTCTATTGTATGCGGACCAGGTGCTGGTTATTTCGGACGGGAATCTCCGCCGGGAAGACGCCCCCGAGAGAAGCATCCACCAAGCTTTGCTACCCGACGCTGTAGCAAATGAGGGCTTGGAGGAAAGTACAGAATTGACAATGAAAGATAAAGCAGCCGAGATCTCTAAAGCGAATGATATTAACGATCTCAGAAGAGCAACAGGAGACTCGGCTGTTGATAGGTACTACTTGCGCTACATTGGCTGGACGAATGCTATGATTTTTGTTTTCTTCGTGACTGTCAATGTCTTCTCCAGTACATACAGCCGTAAGTGAAACATGATTTCATACCGGGTACTCCTTGCATAACCGACATTGGTTTACATATAGAGATCTGGCTCGAGCGGTGGGCTAACCGTGGCGGGGGTCAGAAGCCCCTCTATGTCACAATATACTTCCTCCTCGCGATTTGCAACATCATCGGGAATGGTGGCTGCATTTGGTATGTTGAGTGGTCTCCATAGGACTGAGCCACCCGGACAAGTAACCAATTGTCTCCAAATGATTAGGGCTATCTTGATCCTGATTTCGCCGGCAACGGCACGCCGCCTTCAATACGTCGTGTTGAAGACTGTTATAAGGTACATACTCGAATTTTTATCTTTTCGGGTCTTCGTCCCCGCTGATCTCTGAAGGACGACATCGCAATTCCTTGCAAAAATTTATACTGGGTTAATATTGAACCGATTTAGCCAAGACATGACTCTCATTGAAAGCCAATTGCCTATCGGCGTGCTGATTACTGTCTCAAGTAAGTCCCACTTCCTTACATCTGTCACGATTTGTCCCGTACAGATCTTGATTTCAATATACAATCCATCGACTATCATTGGCACTCTTGAAGTTAGGGCTTACCATGCTTATGATTAAAGATCTCTTTTCTTCAATTGCTAGCGCCGCACTCATTGCTACGGGCTCGAAATACATGGCTATGTCCCTTCCTTTCCTAATATTTGCTGTCTTTTTGCTACAACATATTTATCTAAAGACATCACGACAGCTTGGAAAGCAAAAGCCCACTTTGCTCTCATTTCCTCGATACAGTTGAGGGACTTGCTACAATCCAAGCATTTGGGTGGGAATCAGACTTCCAAAGCAAGAATTCAAGACTCTTGGACGTCACCCAACGCACGTACTATATGCTGAACTGCATTCAACGTTGGCTTAGTCGGGTCCTGGACCTCATTGTTGCCGCAGAAGCCATTCTTGTCGTCAGCCTTGCGGTATCTTTGAGGCAAAGCACTAGCGTGGGATTACTCGGTGTCTCACTTAACAGCATCCTCTGTAAGGCATGCCTACCCATGGGCCAATCTTTCAATCTCTTAATTCTTCCCGAACGGATTTTTCAACCTATCATCCTTGCCTTTCTGACTAAACCTCGTTAAGCATTCAACGGAAGTCTCTCACCTTTGACCTTGGGCTGGATACAGCTCGAGATATCACTTGGTTCAATCTTAAGAGTCAGGAATTTCGAAATGGACGTCATCAGTGAAGTCACAAGCGGAAAAATAGAGCCGCCCAGCGATTGGCCTGATCAGGGCGCAATAAACGTTTCAAACGTTACTGCCCAGTACCAGTAAGAATTGCACAGAGATGAATAGTTTTTCGTTTTAGTCACTAAAATGATACTGAACAGTCCAAAGGCTATTGCCTTGAAGAATATTTCCTCATTGCTTCTCCTGGTCAGAAGGTCGGTATTCGTGGGCGCACTGGGAGGTAAGTAACAACTTTGCTTTTTTAATCCGGTGAAATACTGGAAATTTGGCCTGACCCCTTTCTGTTACGAGAAATTAGTGGGAAAAGCTCTCTATTATCAGTATATTTAGGTGTTCTCAGTATCACGAATGGATCAATTCTGATCGACAACGTTGATCTTGCCACCATTCCACCTGAAACGGTCCGAGAAAGGCTTGTCACCATTCCCCAGGATCCATTCATCATGGTGGGATGTACATTCGGATTGAACACAGACCCCACTGGAAAGTCCTCCGATGCAGATATCGTCGCTGCCCTAGACCGAGTAGGGATCTGAAAGGGCGTGTTGGACGACAGAGGAGGACCGGAGGCCGAGATAACCAATACTTTATCTCTATCGAGAGGCCAACAACAATTGCTCGAACTCGCCCGTGCGATACTGGAAATACAGGCAAGCAATTCCAAGATCCTGCTTATCGACGAAGCAACTAGCAGTGTCGACATGGGAACGGATACTCTGTTCAGGCCCTTCTGCGACGTGAGCCGTTTCTTTCATGCACGATTCTCACTGTGGCACACCGTGTCCATACACTCATGGATTATGATTTAGTCTTTGTTCTAGATCAGGGGATAGTGATAGAGATGGATGGGCCTAGGGAATTTGCTAGCCAGAAAGATAGTGTTTTTAGCAGCCTTCTGCATAGCCAGACCCGTTGATCGAGACCGCCCAGTGAAACTCAATAGTTGATGATCTACTAAGAGTCGGTCCACTGTCAGTCATTCGAATAATCATTGACTACGATATATTGTGCTCTTTGTAACAATTTGTATGGCAGTTCTGACCTTTAGGGAGGCTTCATGGATGAACGGGCTTAATAGCTCCCCCAGTGGCGAGTCTGGCTGGCTTGCCTCCTCTCTTCTAAGGCCTGTATCTCCTGGCTCTTCTGTTGAATGAGAGCATCAATTTCTGCCCGTTGAATCTCCAGTCTCGACCGCTGTGCCTTGGCGTGGGATATGTCGAGGTCCAGGCTCTCAATGGTGAGGGGAGGGTTTGGCTCTTCCTGAAGGCTGCAGCGGTCTTTATAGCCACATAGATGACAGTTGGCACAGTATGACTCTCCAGGCACACGGACACATCGATCAAATACCCCGATACCCCGCTGGCAATGTGTGCATTGGTGGCTGTTTTCCAGCAGTTTCCCGGTTGACTGCGCCAGCAGTGCCTCGGCATTGCACTTTTTCTGGGCTATGAAGCCATCAAACATGTAGCCAGTCCATGGTAGATTCCCCTTCTTGGTGTGGCCTGGTGGCCGTAGTGCTGGCTCGCGTAAGAGAGGGAGGTCACTCATGGTGTGTAGCAATGTCCCATTTTTGAGAATTTGAGACCTGCTGCGAAGCCAGTAGGCTGCCTTGGCTCGATGCGCCCATTCACCTGGCTCCATAGTGCTGCCTCCGACAGTTGGCGGGGACGGGATTGAAGTGACTTCCATCACTGTGTTAATGTTATCAATGGTAACTCCGCTCATACCGTCCCGAGGCCCTGACGTACCGTGTGTTTGGAGTGTTCAAAGTGAACTTGAGAAAAAAGTCCCGTTGTAGCGTGGGTGATCCGAGAGAGCAAGTCGAGTGGAGGTAAGGTGAGGATCAGGACGAAAGTAATCATCATTCAAGCTTCATAGCAGAAGGAGTGAGATGGAGAAGAAAGGAGAAGAGCAGAAGGGTGAGGTGGAGAAGTCAGGAAAGAAGACAGAGAGAACTAGCGTCAGAGATCGAAAAGAAAAATATGAAATTGAGTCATACTCCCTAGTATAACCACCAAGCTAATAAAAATACATGAACCTAACCCAGCGATGAAATACCACGATTAAACCACATAAAGACGAGTGATACAGGGCTAAAGGATTTTCAGACTCTCCAGAACCGCGTCCCGCAGGCTGTCGCTTTCAGTATTCTCAATTCGTCCACTGCGCAGGCGCCGCAATTCCGATCCTAGGATCATTCCAGCTTCTTCTGCTTCGCTATTGTCTGCTGGCTCATCGAAAGTATTGTCATCAACAAGCCGCTCAGGGATTTCGCATCCTGAAACACAGCGAGCCAACGCCTTCAAAGTTGACTTATGGAGGTAGGGTCCTTGCGAGGGCCAGAATGTTCTGACATCAAATTTGCTGGGGGCAAAGTCAATATTAAGTCGTTTGGCGTTGAGGTAAGAAATTAGGAATCGGAAGTATAAGTACCGCCGACGCGGACGGTTGTCAGAAAGGAATGTCAATACTCGATTATCAAGATCCTTCAGACGATAATAATCTCCATCCTGCTTTCGAACGATTGTGTCACTCATATTTCGAGACCGAAGGTCAAGGAGGACACATTTCCAAGTAGTAGGCGTTTCGAATTCACCAACAGCATTAGGAACGGGCAATATTGAAATTATTCCTTCATCAAGGAGCTCTTCGACTTTGCGATGCAAGCAGAGTGCTAGTCGATTGGTTTATTAGTTAAATCTTAGCCAATGTAAAGGGAGTCAGCCTCCTTACCGTTCCGACAGTCATCTCGTACAAGCTCTCTATCCTCGTCACCAAACAGATAAGACACCTCTTCGGGGCTGAGGCTTTTTGGGACGATGTGAGCTGCTTTAACAGCCGCTGCATCAAGGTGGATGCCAAGGACATGACAGTACGAGTCTCCTGGATCACAAATTTTGTCCAAACCGTAGAATCGATTGACATTTCTCTTAAAGTCCTGAGGCTTAAATGGGGGCCCTGGGTTCTTAGATTTCGAAGCTGCCATAACACGTGGGACAATCGTGTCCCGATAGGCTCTTTCAAGGAGCCCTTCCTCGAGAACTGCATGGTGTCGTTGTTTCTTCAACGCGACGTTTTCTTCTAGATCGTCTGCAAGCATCCTCGTCTGGCGTTTCAACACAGTGAGCTTTTTGGCACTCGAACGAAACTGATCTAGGCAAGGGCCTAGCTGTTCTTGAAAGACAGTATCGTTTAGGGCACCTGTGGTTCTGGCTTCATCCAGTCCCTCCTTCACGCATTTGAAGTAGTCTTTCTCACTGGCAAGGGATTCAATTTTTGCCTCCAGGAAATCCGAAACCGTCGTTTCAACTGATGCCTGAGAAATTGCGGAAACCTTTGAGGCAGCGCTGATCGACCGAGCTTGGCGAAAATGGATAGCGTGACGGCGACCTTGGGACATGAGAGACGAGATCCGGTCAGGGATCGCGAACGGGGGATTCAGATCCATGATGATGTTGATCAGGAATATGAACAGCAATCTTTGGGAATTCGCGAATAAAGGTTAATACCTAGTAGATCGAAGAGCAGGGAGAGTTTCGAAATCTATCAGCGGAGGAAGGTATGTGGAGTATGGGAAGGCAGCGCCTTCGGTTCTCCCGTAACGGTGGGATACTAAACCAAATCGAACATAAAGTTTAACTTTTCAACCTTTATTTATCACAGAACAGCTCTAGCTTATAGTATTAGTCATATTAACGGAGGCGATAGTTTGCCTACTAGGGGCGAACAAAAAAAATCAAGGGTCTTGAATGTTCATGTACCAAGTGTAGAAGCTCGCTATTAAATTATTCGAGGCCGTTGTTTAATATGTTTGCATTGTCTTACTGCGTATATGCTTGCATCAAATCTGCCTTCAAATCAAATTCTATATCAGGCCCACCACAATTGATACTAAGTTTAATCATATACCTAGGTCAATAGATCCACACTATGTACCTAAGGTGAAATACACATGTAGGCTGATAGGTCCACATTATGTACCTAACTTTGGACCCATACCCAGGATTCATAGAAAACTTCACGCGTCCTAACTTCACGCGTCCTAACCTCACTTCTCTTGTTTACCTCCCAGCCTTTCACCTGCCAACTTTCTTCTTTCTACCCTTACAACTCCCTACTCTCTCGCCTTTCTCATGAACTCTAAGTCCGGCTGCGTTGGATCCTCTTGATCCTCAACAGCAGATATGTTTCCGTCAAATATGTTTGGGTAGGTCACCTTCGCCTTTCGTCTAAATGAAGAACTTGACTGATCAGACTGATGAACAGCAAACCCCGCCGAAATTTTGGGTCCATCCCGTTGACCCCTCCAGTCACAATTGAACGACCCACTCGACCTGATCATGCCGAGAACGAGGATCCCACCACACCTACCAGAGGACCTGCAGGAAGGGGACCATCAAATCCTCACAACGCTGCTGCCGGGCCTTCGAATCCGTTCCGGAGACCTCTTACTCTACGGGACACTGAACGGCTTGAGGAGGATAACTTTCGTGGCAACTTTAACACTGATGGGATTGAAGGCGCCAATCCTGAAGATGCTCATAACAAAGGGAAAGGTTCTACACTCCCAATCGATGAAACTCTTCTGGGGACTTCCGTGGGTCCTAGGCTAGGAACCGTGTAATTCAACCCCGTTTTCCTAATTTTACAATCCCGCTAATATCATCTTTCAGTTATGAACGTGGACCAAATGAGACACAATTCGGTAAAGGCAAGACGATTCCCGCAGCCACAGTTGGTCACAAAGTTCTTCCTCCCGGACCCTGGGCTGAACTGGTAATGACAACCCCATTTTCTGTTGCGGTAGAGGGTGAACTGATCAAATCCGACCTGCTGATCAAACTCCGAACAATGCCACCTCGGCAAGAGCTCGTGTTACGATTTGGCCGTAAGGTGGTTACCACAGGTCTGGTTTTGATCCAGGAAATCAACAAAAGCATCAACAATGTCGAGGCTACGCATATCCAAGTGGTTGGTACTGTTCAAGTCGGGGCCGCTAAGTGCTTTCATTGTTTACGTTCGACTGGCCCTTTTGCACATTGTGTGACAGCGCCCGGCGCGGCTGCCTGTGGCAATTGCCACTGGAGGTCACAACAGCACCGCTGCTCATTCAACGACCTAGAACGCCCAGTACCGTCTAGCCAGTCGCTACGCGGTCCCACGACGTGTCATTGATAAGATCTCAGCCCTGAAAGCTGAAGCGGTGATACTTCTCGAGAAGATTCAGGAGCTGAAGGAAGAGTTCCGTAAGACCGACGATTACACTGTCGAAACCATCGAGTCAAATCCCGAGGCTACTCTACCCGCGTTATCACCAGAGGTGCACGAACAGAAAATGAAAGACTACTTCCGGCTCCTGCGATTCAATTTCTTGAACAAGCTTCGTGGGAAATTCGGAAAGGGAGACAGGGACTTTGCGAAGATTGAAGACCGTGCCCAGAATTTGATTGAGATGATCGATGACTTGACTCTCTAAATGTATTTCAAAAGTAGCCATGGCTTACAATTTGATTATGATCTGGAATGCTCAAGCACTTTGAGTAGTTACTTACGTTATGGAGTGGATCTCTTCAAGCTCTACAAGGAATACATAAGCTTATATGTAGTCATGTTCTCCCTCGCATATTATGTCCATCCGAATCCGCTGTAATGTCACAGGCCGAGTGACATGAATGAAAAACTTCAAATGATGGATTGCATCACCATAAGTCTTCACAGAAACATCTGCATATAGCAACTACTTAACAATAATAGTCCGATGACTATCGTATCCCATTGCCACAGCTTCCCAGACCTGGAGATGGCAGGGTGACTTCCCATGTTTCTCTTCGCGTTAACACAGCAGGCCGCCGTTCCGATTCAGCTGATAAGCTGGTATATAAAGAGCATTGTCAATCCCTGTTTCCCATTTCATATCTTTATTGATCAAAGATTTGGTGTTCTTCTAGTCAATTTTACCCCTTTCTGGAGTATAACATCAATATCTATTAGGCCCTTATCAGGTATGGGCAGTTATGGAGTCAGTACAAGTAAAGCCATATTGGGCCACACTCAGGAAGGCTCACAAGCATAAACAACAGCTGGCATTCCATTAAATGATGTTGAGAGGTGCCCAAGCTCGAGACTGGCTTTGGCGACCTCCTGGGGTGTGCTAGAGCATCCAGGTGCGAGCATGCATTTTATTGGTTCAATTTACCTGACTCTGCCCCATATTTTGGATAAGTTCGACCGCTGTGTTGGTCTATACAAACCTCAATATCAAGGCCCAAAGCAACAACACCACATAACCCCCAAGCCTCACCTTGCTATATTCCCACCACCAGGCATGCTATGACTAATCCGAGCAAATTTTTGGGATCCTCAGACCCTCTTGATTAGTTTGGAAGTAGCCCCGTGATCATCTGGCTTGGTTCTGAATTTTTATGGATTAATCAAGATGATGTCTAGTTCTTGTAAGTTTAACCTATTTCCCTTGCCAGCACTGGCGACAGCGAGGTCCTAGAAGGGATCATGTTTAATCTCACTGGTATCATCTTGCCGCAGTCGGAGACGGGTCATGGAACGCCTACAGTCGGGCGAGGCCTGACCTCTTCATTTACTCGAGAGTACGCGTTTGTATGAGTACTATTTGCTTTCTTTATGATATTTTGAACTACGTATGCGTGCTGCGCTATTATATAGGAGCAAATATAGGAGTATAGTTCAAATTGCAGTTTGAATCGCATAATTTAAGGCTTTAAAGTCGTTGATTTCACCTGCAACTTTACAATGGCAGTCAGAATAACTAACTAGTTAGATGGGTTTGACTGATTACTCTCTCTAAGGCTCTCTGTGTGTAATCCTGGTAATTTTGAGCTTTCTGCCCACTCAAGACCGGGAATACACTTATATTAGCATACAAGCTCCTAGACGATACTTAGTTATAGCACGCCCTGGACCTGCTACTTAATACCAGCGATTAGAATGCGGATGGTATTAACTCAATATTATTGTGCTCTAACGCTAGCCCGTAATCTGATTGAATTTCTCGATTATAGGTCGTCGTAGCGTACTGATACCGAGTGATTCAAAAGAATTTTGGAAACCTAGATCATAGATGAAGATCGGTAAATTATCAGTGGTAAATAACCTAGCAATGAAGAAATACATGGTAGAGAATCATAGATTGTAGCTGCCGTTCGTTACACCATTCTCTCCAGGGCTCATAGCAAATCTCTTTGAGTCTAGGAAGATGCGCAAAGACCACTGCTAATGTAATCGGCCTTTAATGTTAGCGAGTCTGTTGGTGAAAGCTCACCTATCGTAGCTGGGACTAATGGTAGTTGCTGCTACCACTTATCCTCTTTTTCCTTAGGTTAAAAGGTTCCATCTAGCTCCATCTCGTCAAACGCTTTTCGCCTAGAATTTATGAACTGAGTGAAATTTCGACTCCTAGAAATCCAACCATACTAGTGGTCGTGAAGTTTGACCTTCATTGGCTAGTTTATACTCACATTTAGATCATACTCCTTACTAGAATTAATCCATACGATCAAATCAATTATTCCTATTCGTCATGGCATGACATAACTCATGAGTCAAGCTCAACTAAAGTGAGGACAATGTCTCCCTGCCACCAGTTCCAGTCGAACCTACAAGCCCGCCATCAACAACAACATTTTGCCCAGTAACGTACCTCGAAGCACAACTAGCTAAAAACGCAACAACATTGGCAACATCAAAAGCATCACCCATTTTGCCCAGAGGAACATTGTGATCCGTAATCCTCTTATGGATCTCCCTCTCCTCAGCCAACACGCTGTTACCTAGCTTCTCCAAAAGCGGCGTATACATCATTCCAGGCGCAACAGAGTTAACACGAATCCCTCTGCCCGCATACATAATGCCAGTCACCTTAGTAAAATGGATCACCGCCGCTTTAGCAGACGCATACGCTACCTGCGGCTTACCAAGATACCTCATACCCGCAATCGAAGCATTATTGATGATAGCCCCAGAGCCTTGTTTTTCCATTATGGGCAGGACGGCATTGCAGCTGAGAAATACCGATTTCAGGTTAAGTTGGATCTGGGCATCCCAGGCCTCTTCGGTCATTGTAGCTGGATCACCGGTTGCGGTTCCGCCGACGTTATTGACAAGGATATCGATTCGGCCGTGTTTTTTGAGGACGTGGCCTATTACTTGGTTTATCTCCTTGTGGCTTGTTGCATTGAGTCGAATTGCTTCGCAGATTCCTCCATCATTTTGAATTCGTGATGCTGTTTGTTGGGCTGCTTGGAGATTTATATCGCAGGCTATTATCTTTGCGCCGGATTTACTGAGTACTTTGCTGATTGCTGCTCCGTTGCCCCAGAATTTGGAATTGGGAGAGCCGGATTGGCCTGCTCCTATTATCACGGCTATTTGGTCTTTGAGATCGGGGTAAATGGCAGAATTCTCTCTAGATTGGTTTGAAATTAGCTGGGATATGAAACACAGTCCATGATGGTCTCACATATGCGCCATGTTGCGTAATTTGTGGCTGAAGTGTATGTATGATGTTGAAGTAGTAGTTAAGTAGACCGAAGACCTTTGTACAAGAGGTTTCCATGGGAGGGGTGTTTACCCCGGACTTGACTCCGAGCATACTGAGAAGCGTCGGAGTTGAACTACCTTCCCCGAGAATTGGGAGGTGTTCTGGAATTTGGTTGGTGGAGGGATATACTGCGTCTCGTCTCGAGGGTCGCAAGGGGACATATTAGCATTTCCCCGCTCGGCATTATGCCGATCAATAATTGCATTTCTTGCCATTGTAAAGCACTTTAGTCATAGATGCTAATCTTTGTTGTCTGAGGATTAGACTTGTGTGCTCATAAGCGAGGTGATTTTCTAAATCGCGTCAATTTCGCCATTTAAGTTGTCGCTTGCGCGATAGACGAAGATTGCACTCGCAAGTGATGATCTTTGACACAGATTGACTTGAATCACATATTAGCCTTTTCTCAGTCATTGTAGACTTTGCATGATTGTATTGATCTGTAGCTGGATTTGGTTTGAATAATGGGAATCAAGAAACCTGAGCTAAGTATTATACTTGGGTGCCGAGACTTTGAAGGGAAACAAACAACCACACATGAGCTCCAGTCCACAAAGACAAAACGCCTCAAGATGTACCCATCATCCATATGAGGCCATGTCTACCAGCTAGAGGCTCATTCAAAGCCACGAGCTGTCTCTAAGACTGACGTGTACGGAGTATATAACCGCAGGCTAAGTACATGTATAGTGGGTCTGGGGTTGTTTGGCGCGGAGAGAAAAGCGGAACTTTTGAACAGAGAAATCGATTGCCTGGATTTGGTACTAGGCTGCCGATGTACAGAGGTTCAATATCAGTTTTCAATAATGTCCATTGGCTATCTCAAGACTTCCAGGCAAATGTAAATGCAATCATTAGAACATAGCGAGAAAACACAGCCTTAAGTATTGGTTTCGCTTTGAATTCCATGGACTTAATCTATCCCACCCAAATATACATGCGTATCCCTTCCAAGAAAAAGAAAAAAAAAAGCATTCTTCTCATCCCTTCTATCGCGACAAGTAAAAAAATAAGATAAACAGCGTCGGAGAATAAAATAATTAGCTGCAGTTGTCTGGCACAATATCATAAGTCGTTCTGGATATAGTGCAAGTCTTGTGTCATTCACAGTAGCTTCGGATGCTGCCCAGTGACTTAAGTGGTCAACTTAGAGGGGGCGGGAGCACCGGCGTACATGACGATGAAGATGATGGTCAGGATGGCACCGGCAGCAATACCCTTGGCCTTGGCAGGGTTGCTGCGACGGTACTCGCCCACCTGGAGGCGCACATCAGTGGCGAGGGACTGCATCTTCTCGGCACCAAGCTTGTAGTAGCAAAGACCACCAAGGGCAATGGAGTAACCGAAGAACTGCAGGGGAGTGACGGGGTCGTGGAAGATCATCATAGAAGCGCAGACCAGCAGGATATCCTTCAAGATACCAGCCATGGTCAGGACGACGGCAGAAGTCTTGCCAATCTACAGAGTGTGTTAGTTCCAGCTTCCATGATCAATTGAATCGAGGGCTTGAGCGTACCAGAAGAACGACGGAGGCGTTCAGCAAGAAAGCAACAAGGGCATTAGCAATAAGGGTCATAACACCGAGGCCGTAGATGTCGGCCATGGTCATGCGGGGCAGATCGGTGAACAGAGTGACAACACCGTTGGTGAGGGCACAGGCCGGGGCGTAGTAGTAGAGGGAAACCAGGGGGTCCATCTTGAACTCAGCAGAGCTCAAGAGACGCTGGACCATGACGAGACGCAGGGCCTCGAAGATGATACCACCGACCTGGATAAGGAAACCGATCATGTCGAACTTGATCTCACCAAAGGAGGCAATAACGACACCAACGACAATGATACCGACATTACCAAGGGTCTTGTAGTTGGCCGGGGCAATTCCGAAGGCCCAGGTAGCAAGCAGGGTCACGACAGCGTTAGTGGCCTTCAGCATCTGGATGAAGGACACACTGAGGTACATGTAGGCCAGGTTACCGCAAATCAGACTCAAGCTGAACATGATACCGATAGGCACAATGGCGCGACTATTCGCATCCAAATGATTAGCGACCGCGTTTCCATAACTTTCTTTCAATGCGATACTCACGTGTAGGTGGCAGGGTTCATAGGGACATTGTGGCGGGAGTCCAGGATGGTGGTGCAGCGGGCCAGAATCTGGGTCATGGCCGTAGCGAAAACCATGTGCCATGTCGTAAGGAAAAGCGCTGAAAGCGAGGATGTCAGTTCGGTCGTTTTTCTTGTTTTGGGATTGATTCGGAAAAGCCGACTGAAGGGCTCTAATCTCCGATATGAGAAGGGTGGACTTACGGAAGTCTAGAAGCACGACTAGTTAGCAAAATTTCCCATGCGATTGTATATGACAGATTGAGACTTACTAAAGTGAGCAGTAGACAGAACCCACTTGTTGAACAGAATGACACTGGAACTGAGGGCAATCCACAGGCTTGAAGACGTTTAGTAGTTGAACAGGGGCACGGTGTCGGAGGACACCTACGCAATGTAGAAAGCCGGGTGCAAGCCCTGGCTGGGAGCGGGAGCAGTACTCCCACTCTCCAACTTGCGTTCGTCCTGAGAAGAGCGGCCGTTTGCCATGTTGAGAATGTGTAGCCTGAAAAGGAATGACTATGGTGAGTAGATGTGTAAAAAGAAAAATGCAGGAAGCCAGGATATTTAGGGGCAAGAGATGATCATCGTGGGCGGTGTGGACCTCCAGTGGCGCTGATTGGCGCGTGGGTTTGTTGTACACGTTGACGCGTGTGGAGCCCCCTGGAGTGTGGCAGTGTTTCAGGTTTTCCGCAGGGTCTGGGTTCTGGTGCTTGTTTTTTTCTGGTTCTCCAAAATCTTTCCAATGGACCCCTTTTCTTTTTAGCCCGATCGAGGAAGGGGTTCTGAATCGATCCACTTAGACATGGGATGACAGCTCTGATTATTCTCAATGGCCAGAAATCAATGGTGGGAAATTGCCTTGCTGAAAAATGGAGTCCATTTTGAAGACTCCACCGTGCAATCTTATGTATAAATTGACGGCAATTCGAGAGTTCTGACCCTGATTTTATCGCCAAAGCTTGGGCCATCTAGGATAATTAATTAAACATTGCAATTTACGGTGTCTATGGCATCGGGCGAAAGATAACGCCAAATAATGTATTGTGTGTATGGGCAGCCCTTAGCCATGACATGGTCGATTTATCAGCAGTAGCCAGAGGATCAGGTAGGCTAAGTGCCTTCCAAGACTCTAGAGCAACTGTGCTATATTCTCAACCAATGAAAAGTGGGGAAAATCAAATGGAAGAATAGCTACCCTGGGCCTCAAAAATATTGTATATGTTTAATGCCAAGTGTAACCGCTCTAGGGGCTAGTAATTTACTGCACCTCGTGCCCATTGTATATCTCACCCGCTGATAAGAGAACGAGCACAAACTACACACTACATCCCCCTCCTTCATGACTCTCGAAAAAAATGGATCAAGCAGAACGCTCCCAGGCGGCCAATTGTGATCAGATTCCGATCGTTGATCTGTCTTATTTATCTAGCCCAAATATTGAAGAGCGCCAGCAACTCGCCCAGACAATTTACGATGCCTGTACTCAAGTTGGATTCTTTTACATCAAGGTATGGCCCCGATGTATTTGTTAGGTACATCATGCTATATGTTTCTTTCGTGACTTAATGTACTTACGTATCCTAGCATCATGGTATTCCCGACAAGATGATCAATGGCATCCATGATGCTGCAGAACGCTTTTTTGCTCTTCCGGAGAAACAAAAAATGGACCTCTATATTGGAAATTCTCAGGTGTGTAGTGCCTCGTCATCCTAAGTTCATGACAAAGCTAGAACTTGTACGCACAGAAATTCCGTGGCTACAGCCCTTTAGAGGGCGAGAAAACAACCGGCACAGACGACGACCCTATATCTGCTGAAGAAGCTACGGGCGTTCTCTCCGAGGCTTTTGATATCGGGTACGAGATAGCGTTAGACTTTCGAAAGTCCCCAGGTGCCACTCTTGGCCCCGATACGTATGAATTGTACGGAGATAACCAGTGGCCTGATGAGAGCACGCTTGCCGGCTTCAAGAAAACGTATATCGAATATTGTGCCACTGTTCTGGAGCTTTGTCGACAGCTTATGAGGATCTTCGCGCTCGCTTTGGATGTATCTGAGGATTACTTTGATTCCAAAATTCAAATACCGGGTGTCACTTCTAGGATGATGCATTATCCTGCTCAAACTGTAGGGGAAACACGTGAAGGTCTGGGAGCACATACGGTGAGATTTTGCGCACTTATCTGATCATGGCTGGTGAGTGCTTATTCACCTTCTCTTAGGACTGGGAGTGTTTCACCATTCTTTCTCAAGGCAAGGTGCCTGGGCTACAAGTCTTAAATCATCGCGGGGAATGGATCCTCGCACCTCCTATCCCGGGAACGTTGGTTGTCAATATTGCCGATTGCTTGTCAACGTGGTAAGAGTCATGCTATATGATGGCTCATCTCAATGCTGATCCTAGTAGGACAAATAAGAAGTTTAAATCAACAATTCATCGTGTGACAAATATGTCGGGCGAAGAACGCTATTCGATTCCCTTTTTCTTTGGGATTGACTATGATGCCACTGTATCTGTCTTGGAGAATCACACCTCTGAAGATAATCCACCTTGCAGGACACCTTTTAAGGCGGGGGAGGTAGGTTTCCACAGCGTCCATTGAAGTCTTGAGCGATCGCTGATAATGTGAATTTAGTGGGTCCGTGAGAAGATGTCCAAGGCATATGTTGGCTATGAAGGCTAGCTAGTTTTTAATTCTCACATTTGTAAGCCGCGATCGTGTTATTATGGGGAATGGATGCCAGATGAAGTAATGCAATACTTGTAGCTTGCATGTCATGACAATACGAAATGAGATGGGAATCGAAGTTTTCGTCGAATTGTCTTGAAAATCTCAAGAATGGCGTCAGCTGTTCCATGGTGAACGGCCCAAGGCTTGGTGCATAGTATTGCTTGTTCAATCAATTCTTCAAAGTCTGGTACAAGTGAAGCGAGACTGGGTGTTCCCTTTGCCATGGAAATCACAAATACCGCAGCAAGAAGCCTAGGAATTGATGCGTCAGTAGCTAATTCATATTTCTCTTGGGAGAGCGATGGAAGTCCAGGTGTCGTAACTCACGCTTGCAGTCTGAGCCACGTCGAGTGCGTTCTCCTTTTCAGAAGGGGCACGGTTGCGCGAATGAAGTGTCGACAACTGTCAACGCAGGCCTCACAATTGGCCATGATATACCCACTCAATGGAGCGTCCTGTGATTGTGCAGCAAAGACTAGACAAGGTCGACAAATAACATGCTTTGTGGCATAATAGCGTGTTCGAAGTTGACTATCATGTAGATCTCGAGGGTTGGGGTTCTGGAGATCTGGTTTGATAGTATCTGGCAGCGCATCAAACCACGCTTTGAGTTGCCGGCTGAGCTCTTTGTTGACAGCCTCAAGTGAGGCAATTGAAGGTTGCTGTGTGGATGCCATCGCCGCCCCGCTGATCTTCACGGGAACGGTTCTACCATTTGGTTCGACTGCATTGCTTGCATACATGGTACTGTGTATACGGTTCAAGAGCTTTCGAATGGAACACATGGCAAGGAATTTAAGATTATTGCGGTCGCTTGGGTCCGTGAATTCTGGGAAATGCAGTTCATCTACCAGAACTTCAATTCCGCTGCGAGGGAAATGAAATTCGGCAAGATCGTCACTAAGGATCATTTAGTATTGCTAGTCAGCATGAGATAGGAATGGAAGATAAATAACCATTCAAGTACGTAACAGGCCCAAGCAATGCGGACAAGCACCACCTGCTTTCCGGGTGCGATATCTCTTTCCTGCAGGCTAGAACCGGATGTCAGCTTATGTAGACCACGGCTACTAACAGGGTGTAATACTAAGAGAACATCATTTGAACTGCAGTCGACGCTGAATGTATCGTTCTCCAGGCTTGAAGTGGACGACTCCTATACCGGAAGTAAAGAGAAGCGTAGAAGAATGCAAGAGGAACCGTCAAGTCTCGTGAAAAAGGCGCAGTCTCCACCGTGGTCAGGATTTGATACCCGTGTGCGAAATAATCCGTGCCATTGCCAACTTCAGAAGACTCAATGTCAAAATTTGCACTAGGATTGGTACAAATCTCTCCTAGAGCAAGAGTCATGAGACAAAGTGCCGCGGACATATCAGGTTCCTGGTATGGATGTAGAAATTTCTCAAACATCTCAAGAAATGGCTTGCGGTCAAGCACGGGGAATTGAGCGTGTATGTTGGAGAAAAAGCTGGAAACAAGGCTATCAGTTATTGAGCGACGCAGATTTAGCCTCTCAACAATCGCCGTATATGACACACGCGGTATCAAAGGTTGTAGCCGGCGTTCTGATTCCAAGAACAAGAAATAGTCTTGAGGATAGTCGCCTATAAGTCTCTTAATCTTGTCGAGTGTCAGTAGATTTCCGGTGGGAGTTTGGTGACCTAGTGGGATGAGGAGCGGGCCGTCCTCGGCTTTCTCGTATTTCGGCCGCGAATCCATAGGCTGCATGTCGCGTGCGAGAGTCACATATGCCGGTGAAGAAAGAGCAAGATTTGTGCTCTGCAGATTTGATGGGCTATTTTGTGACCAGTGCAAAGTTTCTGGACTCGGGCCTGTCGACAGCAGACGATCAGATAACGCGGTAATGACAGCGGACTGTTGCCGAACAAGATTTTCCAGCTGATCTAGTCGTTGCAATATCTCGACTGATGGATCAACATCTCTATGGGCCTTTATCAGTCTGTTTGTAAATATTGAAAAATGATTTGTTGGATAAATTTCGTACTTTTCATTGGGACCGTCCTTGTACTCGCATTGAGCACCCGCACTAGCGCAGAACGCGCATGTAGGCCGCTCGCCGTCACATTTGCGTTTCCTGGTGATAATTAGGATACAATTCTCCCTCTTATCGTATGGTGAGGAAACTCACCGGTATCTGCAGAACTCGCATGCTAGCTTGGCTCGTTTTCGGGGAAACTCCATCTGTATAGCGCAGATGACAGAGAGTTGGAGTAGCGGGGCTGAAAACAGGCGGGGAAAGTGAGGCGTCGAGTTACGAAAGGCCCTTAATAATCATGCCAACATTGCAATGCACGCTAGTAATGCAGATGTAAATTGTATTTGGGGAGACTGGTGGTTGCTAATTATACCTAAGCTTAAAGGCACGAAAACCGTTCTCTGCAACAACCATCTCAATACGGCTTCGCTCCAGCAAGTCGAAGCAGCTGGTCCGTGTACTCTGGCTCCTCCAAAGGCTTAGAACGATTGCGAGGATCGACGGTACCATCCGGCAGGTGGATAGTCTTGTCGCGGAGGACGACATTGTCATGAGGCCAATGCGTGGTGGCTCGGAATGATTCAAGTGCTTCCTTCTTACGCTTCAGAGTCTCCTCTGTAGCCAGACTCGCCGGGGAATATGAAGCATAAATCACAGTCCGAATATTCCGACTTTGGGATGTAGGCTCTCCACCCCAATGCACGGTCCGTGAATCCCAAAGGATTAGATCCCCAGGTTCCGCGAGAACCTTGATAGGCTTGATCCCACGAGATTCGTACCATTTCATTTCCTCTTCGCTGAAAAATCGGAAGTCCTTCTTGAGCCAAGTTGATGGATCCACTTGCGTATCAAAGAATTCGTCGGACAGAGCACTCGATTTGGGCAGAAGGATTAACGAACCATCTTCAGGGCCAGCATGGCTGAGATTGATGATACCTTGAACGCAGTGAAGTCCTCGGCGAAATGGCGATTGATCGACATGTGGCCACGGCTTTGTGGCTGGCTTCTCTTCTCGGTTGGGTAAGGTGATGTTAAGAGCATCGAAGGAGACCAATAACTCCTCGGTACCCCATATCTTGGCAAATGCCTCCAAAACCTTAGCCTCCATCCGCGCTTCCCACATAAACCTTTCATGAACCACAGAATAACCAGTAAAGTTATTGGCTTTGCCGTGCACTGGAAGATCTTGGTTTGCCCATGTAGATGGATCGTTGAAGTCAAGGCTCGGATTGAAATATTTAAGCCACTCAAAGGCCTTCTCTCGATAATACTGCGCTTTCTCAAGCGGTATCACATTTTTGATGACCACAAAACCTTGGGATTGAAGTTCATCTCGCCAATCTCCATAAGGACCTGCAAGCCTGCTCCGAAGTCAGTAAATGCCATGCTATCTGATGACGATGATAAAGACCGACTTGAATGAAGAATGATTGATCGTGCTAGTAATAGTCTGAGTCGTAGTCATGGTAGTAGTATGATAGAAGATGGATCAAGTCTAGAGAAATGATACTGCGAATTGATAGATCCTGGGGTTTGCGGGTCCTATTTATATGCTTATTCGAACATATTAGAATTTAGCAGGTAACATATTAGGCATCTTGCAGATTTTCCTCGAAAGCCATTCGTTGATCTGCTTTCTCCTCACGCTTTCGAGCGGATCTCCAACGGATAGACGGACCATCATTCCACCTGAGCGGGACAGTGGGTCATAGTCCTAAATAGCCAATCGATCAAACATATACGAAGGAGCACTACGCAAGCAAAGTGGTTCAGAGTGTGAAGAAAAAAAGGTAAGTCAAGAAGAAGACCAGCATTTTGCCCCCATGTTGTCCCAAATTTATGGCCGAATTTCCACCCATGAGCCGTTTGAAGGACCGGAAATCATCACAGGCCAACACAAATGTCTCAAGTAAACTTGGTCATGTACCACTGTCGGGGACTCAAAATCACTAGGCGAGTATGGCTCATGTTTACAATAATTATTTTTTTGAAAGGACATAACGGAACATACGCTAAATTCTCAGGTTCTTTTGGACTACACCCCCCCCTCTTTCCTTCTTCATTCTTCTCTTCCCCTATCTGGACCTTCTAAGCCTTGTCGGTCATGCTCTTGCGAATTAAATCGAGAGCCTTAGTCCTTTTTGCCGTCTCATATACGTAGCTAGTAAAAGCGCACTTAGATCTACTATACATCTCTCCCTTGCGCTCTGCATCCCGAAACTTGATCACTGTCTGGATTTTCGAATTAATGAGCATGAAATGCGGTTTTTCTACTTCATCAATCTATTGGCACCATGGTCTTTGGACATCTTGACTCGTCACTTTAGTGATTGGAATTGTCTAAAAATACAATTTATGCAGTATGTGAGCCCAGCAATATCTGGACAAACACATGGAAACAGAAAGAATACATAGTATCAACCATCGAGACCAAAATCAGATGGAAGATGACAGTGGGAGTATCGCTCAATATAGCCAGAACAGACACCAAGTAAAACGGAAAACCAAAGGGCAAGAATCATTGTTACAGAGACAATGAATCACTTACTCCTTCTGCTCCTTGAACTCATTATCCGCAATAAGGTCAGGGTTGGCGAGACGCGCCTCACCGGGGATGATGCTGTTACGAGTGCGCTCCAGCTTGCCGTGTTGAACACTAGAATCCCATGCCTCGGCGTAGTGTGCATCATGCACATCATGCCAGAGAATCTTGACAGTCTCGGCAGTCTCGGGGTAATCACTTTCCACCTCGCCGATCTTGACATCCTCGCCACTGCGCTTGCTAAGGTATCCCTCAAGCACCCCAATGCGAGCAGCGTTCTCCTTCGCTCTCTCCTGGTCCTGGTGAAGAGCCTCGCGCCTACGCTGGCGCGCCTTCCGAGTAAGATATCCACGCGAACCGTCACGGCTCAGCAGTCCATTGGCGATCTCTTCTTGCTGGATAGACAGCACAGCCGCAATGTCCGCGACGGAGGTCGCCTTCTGGTCCATGAGCGCGCGAGCGCGTTCCTTCTTCTCCATGGTGTTGCCGACCCGCTTTCTGTTCATCCTGTCATATAATTCGGCTTCAACGAGGCCCTTCGGCCTCTTGGCCGCTAGGAATTCTTCTGTCACGGTAATCATCTCTTTGGGCGGGGCGAGTTGTCGCTGCATTGAGAACTCGCGGAGCATCTGATAGGCACGTAGACCAAGCTTTGAGTCGCTGAAGTGGACGGAGTAGTATGGCACCCACATGTCGCGGCGGACCTCGGCGGGGACGGTCTTCTTTCCGTGGTAGACCATTTGGTTGAGGACGTTATTTTTCTACAGGGACCGAATTATTAGTCAATCAGTTCAATTGCGACCAGCAAAACAGTTTGAATGACCACTGGAGATCATAATCGATGGTACCCACCTCCAGATACCGGGTCAACGAGTACACGACCTGCTTCGTGCGAACATTGTGGTAGACAAAGATGTTCTTTCCGTGTGTGATGGCATTCAATGCCTTCTGCAACCGCACACCCTCGCGCTTCGCATACTCCTTGAATGCATTTGACTCGGGGTTCCGGAGTTTCCCCTGGATCGGTGTTTGCGGATCAATTGGTGGCCGGCGGACAAATTTCGACAAGGATGCGATCCTGGTTGAATCCAGGATCTTCTGGATTGGCTTGGTGATTGAGGCCATCGTGGCCTATTTGAGGGTGTCGGAGCACCGGGAGACAGAATCGGAGTAATTCAAGCCAGGGACTGAGTTGAGGTTGAGATGTTGGACTGGGAGCCGGAGTTGATGAAGTTGAGAACGGAGGTGGATTTTTTGACGGGGCGGCCATGGTCTTGGCGCTGCCTGCTCTCCGCATCACCTTATCGCTTTGCTCTAAACATCACTTCCCAAATTGGTCTCTTTCACAGATAATCACCATGTCACTTCTTTGATCGCAGCTCTTGTTGTATTAAAACCCCTTCCGTTCCTCCAGTCTGCGTGATGGAGAGCACTGTCACAGCTACAGAGCACGACGGGGGCTCTCGCAGAGAGCGGCCATGGCTGTATGCATCGGTATGGTCCTCGAATCCGTGAGAACAATATATGAATGTACTGATCATGCTTTAGAATCGCAAGCTGCGCCATCTTTATGGTATATCTGTCCGAAATCTGGTCGTTACACCCCCAATAAATCGAGCGCGCGGCAAGACCATTGATGACGACGACATCCCAAACGCCCTTACATCACCCTCGAAGATTCTGGCGCAGAATGAGAGCCGCTCTTTACATCCTTCGCGATCCTTTACCGACCTCAATTCACGCTCAAATCCCCAAAGCCATGCAGAACCGAAGCTTGTCAGACGCGAATCGCGACGACGAAGTCTCCTTCCTTGGAATGACCCCAATCCTCGAACGAGACAGGTGAGCTTGGAAGATATCACAAAGAGTCGCATGGCAGATACTTGGGTGTCTATTCACTGCGACGATGTTGATGAGCCGGTTTATATTAGCGAGGTGGTTAGTAAGGCTACCAACCCAAGCTTTCGTTCTTTCGACCTGAACTTCTGTGGGCCTGGTGTCTCTAGGAAGGACACATTGACTCTGAAGCTCTGGGCGAAGACAGAAAAGATGGCGGAGTATATGCTGCTTGTCGAATTGCAGCTTCACCTACGGTCCCTACAATTTCTGGGCAGAACTATCGAAAGCTTCCACCACCCACTACCCGCGAACTCCATCTTGTTCCACTTTCCAGATGGGGTGTACACCAATTTAACAAATCTTCCGTCGGTCGAGCCATCTCTCGGCGGCGCAGGCCACCGGGCTACTGCTGATGGAGCTGCGCTGCCCACATCCTCATACGACGCATTGATGCGGTTGGCCAACCTGGATGAATGCGTTCAGGATGCGCTAGCGACTCGAGAGAAGCTAGAGGTACAGATTGGCGATATTCTCAAGAAAAACGAGGATGCACTTGCTACCCAAAGTGATGCGGCTAAGGCGCAGGATCGCCTCGCCTCCATCAAGCAGGCAGTTGCAACCGAGCGAAAGCAACTTCGGGCATCCGCCAAGCGCAAGGCCGATCTCATTGCAAGCATCAAATCTCGGAAGGATGCTATGGAACAGGGTCGAACTGCACAAGAAAAAGCTCGAAGTCATCTCCCAGATGCCCAGGAAAAGCTGGTCTCTAGCGAGCAATTACTCCATCAGACCTCGGAAGATGCCAAGGGTCAGATTCGGCGTATCGCCGAGGACCTAATGGTCATCTACCCAATTGAGCCCATTCCAGATAAATCACTCGCCTTCACTATCGCAGGACTACCACTCCCCAACTCGGACTTCGAAGACATCGACCGTGACATGGTTGCAGCAGCACTGGGCTTTACCGCTCACGTAGTATACCTGCTCTCGTTCTACCTATCCGTGGCCATCCCTTACCCCGTCAGCCCAAACCAGTCGATATCCCTAATCCAGGATCACATATCCGCAGATCTTCCGCAGCGCATATTTCCCCTTTACCCGGTCAGCGTCCAGTATCGATTTGAGTATGGTGTCTTTCTCCTAAACAAGAATATTGAGTTTTTGCTCAACAAGTGTGGCATTCGAGGCCTGGATATTCGACATACTCTTCCCAACATCAAATACCTTCTCTACATTTTGACTGCGGGTACACCGGAGATCCCTGCTCGTAAAGCGGGCGGTATTCGAGGCCTCCTTGGTACAAAAATGACCCCTAATTTATCTCGGCGAGGGAGCATTGAAAGTGCGGCATCTGGTGAATTAGTTCCGCCACGGAAGGCATGGGACTTGGTTTCGAAAATGAACGGAAGTCTTGCTTTGGATCATGGGGCCAAGCCTCCAGTGACCACAAACCACCCGCTGGCGTCGCGCGTTGCTTAGGCTTGCAATATCGAGGTTTTACTAGGTACCTCGGACGTTTGTTTTTTTCTCTCGGTTCTTAGCATCGTACCGAGTCTTCTCGACTGGTCTGCATAAATTTTTCACGGTTGTCGTGTGCATATATATTGCCTAGGGATCATACATATAGGGATTATAAATTTAGCCTGGGCGAATGAAATTATCTCATCCTACCTAGTTCCCCTAGACCGGGCCATCGACCTGGAACGCAGCCTACGGTGCGTCCCACTTGGGGTACTTGATTTTATGGAAGCATCCATGGATATCCGTCAACTCTGTTGACCTTGGTGTTGTACAGGATCCAAAAATAAACAATCGACCTAAGCGAACTGCGTCAACAATCCGAGCAGTAGATTATTGGTATAACAATTTTGCTTTCTCAATTTGATATAATCTTGTCCCGATTTTGATTTTGGCCAAAATAGCCATCTTGAATCCACCAGTATTTGTGGATGTAACTATTACACTTTTCCTTACCCCGCAGGATGATATTCCATTATACAATAAAAATTGGTGGCTGGTCAATGGGGTTTGTATGTGGACACGGTTGAGTTTGTAATGAGTATGACAGAATTTTCGTTTCTTTTTTCTTGACCTTTACATTTAATCAATCAATTCTTGAAGTGTTACTCCGGACACGAATTCTGTGAATCTGCCTCGGCCAATGGTCCAATCGGTTCTTGCTCATATAAGCAACCCCACCGCCCCTTCACAGCTTATCTTCGCTTTGCATCGGCTTTCCCCAGTATCCCGCTACCCACTCAAGCTGAAATAGGTCACCTTTTCGAGAGCATGGGAGACTCTGTGGGCCGTGATCCCGGCAAGTCGCCGTCTCCTACCCCGCAGCATAGACGCGGCTATCAGGCTTGCGATCCGTGTCGCAAACGCAAGGTCAAGTGTGACTTAGGCAGTAAGATCAGCGATCTCCCATCCCACTTGGGCTATTATTTTTGATTCAGCTGACTGATCACACCTCAGGTGTCGATAACCCTAGACCCCCACCCTGTGTACGATGTCGTCGCGAAAGCAAAAGATGCGAATTTTCGATTACTCGTCGCAAGCGCAAACTTTCCGAACCGCCTGAGGAGGTGGAGGAGGAGGAGCCTGATGTTCTTCGCCGCGACAAACGAATGATGATTGGTGAGGTCGCGGCGAAGAAAGAAGCATCGGCTGACGGATCTCCATTTCTTCCATCTGAACCCTCCTTTGATACTGATGGGTTTCGCGCTCGTCAGCGCTGGACTGAAGCGCCACCTCCTGTCGCGGCTGCCGCTGCCGCCCAACGATACACTCCAAGTGCACCCATAGCTGCGCCAGCGAGACATTTTATGGAGTCGAGAGCCTCACGCATTCCCAGCTACTCCGCTGTTGAGAGAAGCTCGGCGTCTGGATATGGAGGGCCGCCTATGATGAATCACACAGCGGTGGAATTGTTGTCCCCTGCAATCACCAATACACACGATGCTTTACACTTGCTGTCCGAGGCAGCGGGGAGAACAGAGGATTTGAATCGCTTTGCCGCAAGACAATCCGTTTCCTCTTTCAATTCAGGCCCCTCTCCTCTGGCACATGTCAATTCCCCGGGGAATCTGAGCGGGTCCTTTTCACGGACTCCTCGATCGGGGATTTCCATGGGTGCAAATGGTTCATACCCAACTGGTGCACCCGGTGTTGTAGATCCCCAGATATCTGAGGAGACTGGTCCCTCTGAGAGCTCAGCTAATGCTCAAGACCCGGGGTACATCGATGCCGTTCGCGCCTGGTCACGGTTGCGCTTTGTCCGTGCCGGATGGATGACGGTCGAAGAAGGCATGGATTATGTTGCGTATTACTACGAGAACCTAGCCCCGATGAGTCCAGTAGTGACTCCGGACTATTCTGAGCCTTCAAAACACCGTATCCTACTTACCGAGGAACCGGTATTAGCAGTGACGATTCTTACAATTGCTTCACGGCATTTGAAACCCAAAGGCGATGGTGCTAGCACCCGGGCATTCTATATCCATGACCGCCTCTGGTCTTACTTGCGTGGCATGATCGAACGTCTGTTCTGGGGACAAGAGAAATTTGATGCTGGAGGACCAGGGATTGGTGGCCCACGATCTCTAGATCTCGCTCCAACTTCCAGTCGGCCCGGTGTGAAAGGGAATCTGAGAGCCCTAGGAACCGTGGAGGCTTTGCTGATCCTTACGGACTGGCACCCACGGAATCTTCACTTCCCTCCTGGTGATGATGAAAACACCCTTTTGGATATCGACGCCCAGTCTCAAAACTTTGCCGACAAGGACTTGGACCATGGCGAACAGGTAAAGGGAGCGAATGGTTCAGCTGAAGGTCGAGTCGCATTCCAAAAGTGGCTGGAGCCCGCTTGGCGATCGGACCGAATGTCTTGGATGCTATTGAGTACCGCACAGGCTCTTGCTTTTGAACTTGGTGTTTTTGATCACAAAACCGAGCCAAAGGGCACACCTGAGTCACCCGCTGATCAGATACGCAAACGCCGTCTACGAAGGTTGATTCTGGTTTTCATTACACACAGCAGTGGGCGATTGGGCATTCCGTCGATGCTTCCTTTGTCCGAATGGGGCCAAGACGTCGAAGGAAACAACATCGACTCCAAGGATGGTGATCCAGACCTTGATAGGATGCAAGATTGCTGGATGGGTATTTCCAAGATTGTCTATCAGGCCAATCAGCAGCTATTTGCATCCAGTGAACAGACCTCGGAATTAATCAAGAGTGGGAGATATCGCGAACAAATCGACTGGTTCCAACCTCAGCTACGAGAGTTCCGACAGCACCTTGATCGTGTCAATCGTGAGTTGATAACACACGACGGACCTTATCTTACAAAACGACTAACATCTTGCAGTTTCCTCGGCGATGCGAAGCATCCTCCTGATTGAATACGAGTACACACGTGAGTAGACAAGGTTCCAAAAAGTCTAATGATAATTAGATGCTAATGTCACATAGGGTTGTATGTCAATTCGCTTGCTCTACAGGCGGTTGTAGACCGATGGACGACTATGCCCAACGAGTCTGCCCAAACTCAGTCTGGACGGCCAGGCTCCGGTCCGTCGCCAGTCAACACCAAATTATTCCGGACGATGATGGAGCTCTACCGAGTCAACGAGCAATATATTCAGGAGGTCGTGGATGCCTCTCGTAAGATCCTGCAGACGGTTCTGGAAGGGCTCGTTCCGGGAGGGCGTCTCAAGCATGCTCCCATTCGGACGTTTTTCCGGATTCTGTCTGGCATGATCTTCATCCTGAAAGTAAGTCCCACTGTGGCAAGCAGAAATTCCTATGAATGATACTAACCCCGCCTGCAGACATTCACCCTGGGTGCTCGTGAAGACGATGTACGAGTCTCATTGGATCTGCAAGACCGGACAGTGGAGGCCCTTCGTACTTTCGTTGTCGATGATGTGCACATCAGTAATACTGTTGCGAGACTGCTAGCATTGCTGACTAGCAGTATTCGGACCCGCTTCCTACGTTTCGCGCCGCTTGACCGTGGCGTGGAAGGTGACGGACAGGACCGTGGCTCCGCCCCGGTCTCACGAGCTCAGTCACCACCTCGGGAGAACGTTTCGGGTCGACGTGAAGGGGGGCAAACCCCTTGGTCATCTACCCAAGATGCAACTCCGAGCGGAGGTTTAGGATATGTGGAGAGCAGCAGCGCCGGCGGACACCCGATCGGATCAGCTCATGATTCTCTTGCCAATATCCCTGCGCAGCCGATCAACTCTTCCAACCTGGGTGTGTCATTCATGCCGCCACCCCCATCCGTCTACTACAATTATTATGACTCAAACTCGACGATGCCTTCCAATGACCTTGGGAGGTCCTCTCCCAACCATGTTGTTTCCTCCCAGCCTCTCGATAGCAACGGCGCCAGCGCTGCTCTCCCAGATTGGTTTGCTCTTCCATTGGATCAATTCTTCAACAGTTCCACCGCGGGGGTTGATCAGGGTCTGGGCGGGACCGGACCAATGCTTGGCGAGTTTGACATGTTAGAGGTGTTACTTAACGAGGGCTATGACAATACTGCTCACGACGGCGACTCCGGCGGACCCCTCGGCTCTCAGTTCTTACCTTGATCAGTGATTCTGATCGTCAAGAACCCAACCTCCCTGGGATAATACCTCAAGTCGGCGTGACATGTAATTTTTCCCTTTATGCTTTGATTTCCCCGTTTAAACTATATACCCCTGCGGGATCCACACTTGGTGTCCCTATTCGTGCTTTGCGTTTTAGCCTGGGTGGAGGATCTGATTCGTCGGCGTCCCAATTTCGTTGAAACAAGTCCTGCCTTTTTGATGCTTGGCGAATGGCCTAGTCTTTCGTTTACTTGCAGCCTGGAACTCTAACGGAATAAACAAGTTCTTTGCTTTTTTGCTTTTTCGTCTATATTATTATTTCCTTCTTTTGATATGTTAAGGTTTCTTCTGTAGGCTTCCAGATTAAGGGTCCCGCTCGGTGTCCGTCGGGTCTCAAGATAGCGGGGGCTGAGTTTCATCATTATATGACAGAAGGTTTCTTCACTTGCTGGAATTAGCCTCCTTTGAACCATGAGCTCACCGTTATTGATGTAGACCTTAAAAATTTTGTATTGTTCTCAGCCTCGTGAAATAAGGCTCGCGGGGTGGCTGAGAGTACGTCCTGGCCGTTGGGCCCAAGGACTAGGTACGAGTGTTTCAGATGGGGCCATGGTAGACTAGTCTTGCGTGTCCCGTACTACCAGAGATTGAATACTACACTGGATCACAAGTCTAGGAAGGAAAGTCTACATAACATCATTGATGCATAGATCGACTATTCTTCTGGGTGCATCACATCTTCACAGCCCTCTTAGATCACGGTGGATACCACCAGTCTTCTCTCAGTAGCCCCTACGACTAGCTTAGTTGCATAGTTCCAAACGCGCCCAACAGCCTCTTGGATGTAACAGCGGATAAACCGATCCTTGAAGGATCTCTTTGCCGAGTCGCCGGCTCTTGAACGCCTTCGACTTGCCACTAGGGATGTTTTGACAAAGTAGACCGGTGTGACTTGAGTGCTGGGCCTATCAAGACTCAGCAGTGTAGCAGGTGCGATCACAAGTATGCAAATCAGCAGTCTATCGTCGATCTACAGTATCTGGCTGAGATGCTGATCCCCACCCAGTTAGGTTATTGTAGACGTCAGGACGATCGTAGCCCCGAAGGAACTCGTAGCCGGATCGGATCCCTGAAATACGCTCGACGATACAGCACGATAAGGATCTCGGGAGGGTCATATTGGCACGTTCACGAGATGAGAATATGATATGATTTGAAGGGTTGTCATGATCAAACGCAGGGTCCAGTTAGTTCAACGGATATGCAGAGCCGATCTCAGCGGAGTCGGACTCCGGTCGGGAATTTTTGTGTTTCACTTATGCATATATCTCTTGCTTGGCAGGTGATTGGTTTTTTTCTCCTATTATGCTACCGCTACGGGCATGTTTACTCGAGATCCCAGTTTTGTGGTTTTGAAACGCTGCAAAGAAATATCTAGATCTTGGCTCGAGAGTAAGGGAGGGCCGATGCGGAATAGATGTCCAATCATAGATCGTCTAGCGTACCTTATTAGCCCGAATTCATCAATCAGAAAGTTCTGGACAACTCAGTCAGCTTGCTCCTCCAATGAGAACCCAGTTCTACCGTCCGCCAGGGACGATGCTACCTCAACTATAGGGGCTAAAGTATACAGTATCCTCTTGCGGGCTGTGATTGGCCGGTCATGGAGATAACGGGTGATGATCGCCAGGGCTTCTTTCGGGCAACTCTATCACTCAAAATTTATTATGCGTGGTCCCTGAATAATCAACTGTGTTTCCACTATTCACAGTTCACTGGTCCTGTAGAGCCCCACTGGAACAACACCGTCGGGGACGGCGTATGGGGATCGTCAGGGTTCCGCCAAACGAAAATGCGTATCAAGCTTCCACCTGACGCTCAATGAGCCTTGCACCGGACTTCTCCGCCAGACAAGCGCAAGTAGCTTCAGGGAAGGCGCAGAATAGGCTGACATGCAATGCCACAAGCCCCACCTTCAATGTGCCTGGAGTCTGGGATCGGCTATCAGACCCTTCTCCACCTGCACGAAACGCGGTTCCATCGCTTCATGGAATCATGCCTAGTCCCTGTTGAAGTGGAGTCATACCCCGTTGTGCCATCCTGGCTGGCCGATGGACTCCGTGACGATCTCGAGGTTTACGGTCCCGAAGTCTGTCCAGCAATTGGATCGGCATTGCTGGTTGCCCCGAAGAGAAAGACGTCCTTCTGGACCGTGCGATTGCCGCTGTTATTGGTGCCATTGTATATGCTTCATATTTGCAAGATGGCCAGGCACCCAGAATCTATAAAGCACCCTTGGTCTCCGGCCGTTTATGGTTCTCTATCCCCTTCATCACCATCTTTCTACTTCATTCTTTTATAGAAATCATTCTTTGAACTATCCACCATGGTTGTCTTCAGCAAGGTCACTATTGCCTTGGCCGGTCTGGCCTCCGTTGCTTCGGCCGTCCCCACTGGCGGCAAGAAGAGCAGCTTCACTGTCAACCAGGTTGCTGTGCCTGCCACCAAGACCCAGAACTTGGCCAACAACTACGCCCGTGCTCTCGCCAAGTACGGTGGTAACGTGCCTACCCACGTTTACGCTGCTGCTCAGCAGAGCGGTTCTGCTACCACCACCCCGGAGGATAACGATGAGGAGTACCTCACTCCTGTCAACGTCGGTGGTACCACCCTGAACTTGGATTTTGACACCGGCTCTGCCGATCTGTAAGTGGATATAACTGCTTGGATACCGAAAGTAAGTCCACGTGAATATCAAAGCTAACTGTGATTGCAGCTGGGTTTTCTCCTCGGAGCTTCCCACTTCTGAGCAGGAGGGTCACAGCCTCTACAAGCCTAACAACGGCACCAAGCTGTCTGGCTACTCCTGGTCCATCTCCTACGGAGACGGAAGCTCCGCCAGCGGTGATGTCTACAAGGACACCGTCTCCGTCGGCACTGTCAAGGCCTCCGGTCAGGCTGTCGAGGCTGCCTCCAAGATCAGCCAGCAGTTCACCCAGGACCAGAACAACGACGGCCTGCTCGGTCTCGCTTTCAGCTCTATCAACACCGTCAAGCCCAAGACGCAGACCACCTTCTTCGACACCGTGAAGTCTACTCTCGCTTCTCCTCTCTTCGCCGTCTCCCTGAAGCACAACGCCCCCGGCTCCTACGACTTCGGCTTCACCGACCAGTCCAAATACACCGGATCCCTGACCTACACTGATGTCGACAGCTCTCAGGGCTTCTGGAGCTTCACCGCTGACAGCTACAAGATCGGTTCCCAGTCCGGCAGCTCCATCAAGGGTATTGCTGACACCGGTACCACCCTCTTGCTGCTCGATGATGAGGTCGTCTCCGCCTACTACAAGCAGGTCAGTGGTGCTGCTTCGGACTCCTCGGCTGGTGGCTACACCTTCGATTGCTCTGCTACCCTGCCTGACTTCACGGTTACCATCTCCGGCTATGATGCTGTTGTCTCTGGTGATCTGATCAACTACGCCCCCGTCTCTCAGGGCTCCTCCAAGTGTTTTGGTGGTATCCAGAGCAACTCTGGTCTGGGCTTCTCGATCTTTGGTGATATCTTCCTGAAGAGCCAGTATGTTGTCTTCGACTCCAACGGCCCTCGCCTTGGTTTCGCTGCTCAGGCCTAAGTTCGTGTGTCTTTGGCTCCATGATAAGCATTGTGGGTAGTTTGTACTCACTCTGAACTGTGGATATGAATGATTTCTGTGTGTTTGAAGGACGGCTAGCGGGGCTAGCTAGGTATGATTGGGGGAACTTGTTGAACATTTCACCCTGACTAAGTCTTGGACCCGGCTTGGTTTGTACATGGTGTCTATAATGCGTGCAGCACATAGTTTATACTACGCATTCAAGTTTTCGGTATTGATTTTGGTCTTTTGTAACCTTGAGGATCTGTAGATCAACAGGTAGGATATTTCCAAGGCTTGGGTGATGTATGCAACGAAGTTGGGGACGGATCACGCGACAGGCCAGCATAAAACCTCTCAGGCCTACATTTCATGGTCGGGACTATTGGGATCGTAACCCAAAGAGATCGGAGAGGCGCCGAATCCAAGTTCTTCTTAAGCCTTGGAAGATGGGTTGGTCGCTAAAATAGGTACGTTTAAACTTGGGCCTGGGTATTGAGATAGAAGCTTGTCTCCATAGTCATGATGCATCAGATAGTGGAAGTCAAGTGCATAAAAAGTCTCATGGGCTACTATATAGTACATTATTGACTCTCTCATGACTGTAGTGCATAATTGAATTCGTGAATTCATGGACGGAAATGTATATGCATGTGGGGAGAGAAAAGAAGGCCAACAGAAGCTAGCCCCCGGATCGGTACATACTCTTCAAAATATTGTATGAGATGTGATAATTGGCCCCCTATAACCTGTCTGAAAGGAAAGAAAAACAATCGATCTTAGATTTATAGATGAGCATACGGTTTCAATGCAAAGGAAGTGCGTGGTACTCGATACGAAAATTGAGGAATGACTATGTGGGGAGATACAGTAGAGACTGAGCGAGTGGACCCGGTGGCGGATCATCTCGACCCGCCCAATTCTCCAGACTCCTTCACGACTTTAATTCGTTCCGCGAAACGAAGACCACCTTGTCTCTCCATTCTCAAACAGAGTGTATTCGCACTTCCTCTGTCCACCCGTTACATCCCTTTCGCTCGGCCTATATATTTCCAACCGCCAGCCCGTCCAGCCTCCGCCTCCGACTCTCCTTTCCCGATCTCCAGCCTTGAACGCGCGGCTTCAGAACCTGAATTATGGCCGTTTGAGGCACCCAGTCCGATCATTGTGCGCCGAAATATTGACGGGAACCCTGCGGCATTTTGCTGCATGAGCTGGATCGGCCGGCTGCTGGAGCCGCCAGGAGTGTCTGATCATGGACAATGATCTCCGTGTGACTCCCCGCCAGATCTGGGCGAATCCGACAACGACCTCAACTAAAACCTATTCGTCTGGATGTACGCCGTTTGTCTTACCTAGTGATGGTATGTGATTCCGCGGTTGTTGCATGGAAGACCTGTCTCGTCAAACAAAGTACTGACCTCCCGATGATTTGTGATTCCCAGGCATTATCCATGTGAATAAATCCTATGAGTTGACACTCACTGAGAATGCAGTCTTTGAACCGACTTGTACCGGCGACTTGAGTGACTATGTACATGTTGCCGCCGTTCTTGATACCCGCGATCCGTTTTACTCGTCCGTCACGCCACAACTCTACGCCATCGGGTGCTGTACGGTCGTCAGTTATATTCTCGTCATTATTCTACTCATTACCCCGCGCACCTTCTTCGTTGGAGGCCCCGGTGGCGGCGGAGCGAATTTCCTTGGCCGACATAGCATGATCAGTAGATCATACAGCAGGAACTCATCGATTGTCGGGGTCGGCGGCCGGCCATGGCTGCAGAAAGTGGCGGCGTTTCTCGTCGCCATCTCGTTGACAATCGCTACGGTAGACTCTTTCAGAGTGGCCGAGGCCCAGTACGAATATGGATACTCGGATGCCGAGGCGCTCTCCGAGGAGGTCATTGATGGGTTAGAGATTCGCGTTGTGCGTATCATTTCACAAACATTTCTCTGGCTGGCGCAGGTCCAGACCCTAATTCGACTGTTCCCGCGACATAAAGAGAAAGTCATGATCAAATGGGCGGGATTTGCCCTGATTGTTTTGGACACGATATTCAGTATTTTGGAGAGTTTCTTTTTTAAGAACAGTACCACACATCCAAGACTATACGACGATGCGATCCCGGCACTAAGCTACTTATTTGAGTTGGCGCTCAACTTGCTATATGCCGCGTGGGTCATTTTCTACTCTATCTCAAAACACCGATATGCGTTTTTCCATCCAAAAATGCGCAACATCTGTTTTGTGGCGTTATTATCACTAAGTGCTGTCTTAATCCCAGTGGTATTCTTTGTCATGGACATCGCAAAACCGGAGATTGCCGGCTGGGGTACTTATATCCGATGGGTCGGATCGGCAGCGGCCAGTGTTGTAGTATGGGAATGGGTGGAGCGCATAGAAGCGCTCGAGCGTGATGAAACCAAAGACGGGATTCTGGGACGGGAAGTATTTGATGGCGATGAGATGCTTGAGGTGACTCCTTCTGAAGAAGTTGACTGGCCACGATATCCACCCCATGGTCAAGATAAAGGTGGTGGAAACGGCGCCTCTTCAGCCTGGGGTGGAGTCAAAAATCTAGCCCACCGACCTTTACGAACTCGAGTGGGGATCAACCGTGCAAATCGCAATCGTGGAGCTGGTGGCTTTCCCCCCATAAATGGTGTCGTGGGATCAAGACGCCAGAACCATCGACCTACTCCGCCTCCAGCAGTCATCACACCGGTCAGTCGAGCTGATACCAGCAGTGCTCCCAGCACTGTATATAACGTTCGGTACCATCCAGTGGCCAGCCCAACACCACCTGTGGCGATGCCGCACATGGAGGAAGAGGTAGAATTGGAAGAAGCAAAAGATATTGAGATCGAGGGATATCCTGCACCAGATGAAGTGGAAGACCAGGCCCCTCCTCACGATAGCAGAGAGCAATCGCCACGCATGGTCCAGGCCGATCCGCGATGGCGCAATCTCATCAACCATTTTAAGCGAAGACGCGAGTCTCTCCCAAGGGAAGTCGCTTTTGCGCAAGCCACCGGGGAGCAAGCAACAAATGAAGGCGAAGAGGGCGGAGAGGGCGATCCTGACTTGTCGGCTGATGATCATGAGCAACGTGCCACACAGGCGAGATTGAATAATAATTTCTTCTCGCTTCATCGGCCGCGACTCCCGGGGACAGGTTCACAACCTACTGATGCACCATTGGCCGTCACAGTAATTCCCGCCCGTCGTCGTGGACAACAAACATGGTCCCCTCAACCTCGGAATGGGTTGTTGGAAACAACACCTAGTCAACATGAGCAGCAACAACAACAACAACCCCGATCCGGCTACTCCAATTCCAATCTACCAGTCAGGGTTATCCCTTCCCAACCAACCGCATCTACACCATGGGGCGATGCGGGCCTGGAGAACGGATGTGGGGACTATGTTCTTCGCTATGATCCCGAAGCTGCTGCTTTGGTCAATGAGCATGTAAGCCATTCACGAGAAGAACCTGTTACTAGTGACCGTGCTAGTTGGACAGCGACGACCGTCTCGGAGGAAGATTTACATCAAGATGATGAGCCTCAAGGTGCGCAGCATCACAACGACAACCACGCACCCTCTTGATCATTTACGGTGTTTTTGAAATTCTCGGTGATTTATTCAGGCATGGAGTTGAACATTTAGGAGATTTTGGGAGCATGGTTGGGACCTTGCTCACATTCGAATATACCCTGGGAACATAACATAATTTTTTGTCTTTTTAGTATCTTTTGCCTTACATATGATTCTAATATCACGTATATTACAAGAATATTATTGACCAGCTTCAATGCAAGATGCATAGGCCACGTCTTATTCTGGATTCAGACCGCTCTTTTTGCAGATCATAAAATGTCTAACGCCATCAGGATTATAGCTATCTAAAAGCAGACGTCCTTTAAGAGTAATGTCGTCATTCAGGGTTGTTTCTTGAGATATCAAGTTTCCGATATAGTAGCATCTCGGTATAGTAGAATTAATATAATGCGGTATTTGGAGAGCCGTGGTTGGTCCGAGTGGATCCCAGCTTTGATGTTCGGGAACATTTTGCTCCGAGACTTGTGCTTCCCCATACTTTCTCCCCCAAGTCCATGGCCACTGTCAAGGCGTCGCATCATGGCGGCCGTCAATCAGAATATGTTTGATGCTAGCATCACCATCGATCGCCCCCGTGGCGCATCGTTGATGGTGCTGCCGCTGAATCTGATTGCCCAGATCGTCACAAATGTCAGTTCCCCCCACACGTGAAAGCCCGAAATTACTGACGTGATGAATGCGCAGGTCGAAGATACAGGCGACCTCGCCCGGTTATGTCGAACATGTCGCGTTCTCAACTACATGGCCCTGCCACAGCTCTATCGAAGTCTGACGCTTACCTCGTACGACAAGATCCGTTATCGCGATGACCAGCCTGAAGGAATCGGGAGTGCGAGCCCGTTCACCATGGGACTCAACGCAGTAATAACCCGACCGTTCGCGTCGCTAGTGCAGTCAATTACCTTGCGCGGTGACTGGAAGGAACCTGATTTAGAAGAATATGCTCAGGTCGGCCGTGTGCCGGACTCGTCGATGTTGCTGAATATTGCGGTGCGGGCGGCGATAGATCGCACGACGAGTTTGGAGAGCTTCAGCTGGGAGCTCAATACCAAAATGCTTGATACTGTCTACGCGGGCCTAATACAACTGCCTCGACTCCATTCCTTAACAATACGATTTCCCTCCACCCGCCATCCACAACCTACGCATGTGCTTCCGCCCATGCCACATCTCCGCTCGCTCAAAATCACCGACATCGACCCTCTTTGCTATCCGGATGATATCGCGACCATTCTCTGGAAGAGCAAGAAATTACGCGAACTTAGGCTTCATTGGTCACCCCGTATGCGCATTGCGCAAGAACCGAGTATTTCTCTGCACAATTATTTTCGGAAATGCATCGCGGCAAAACAACCGCTTGCTGTTAAAAAGCTATCTTTCCAAAACTTGTATGCCTTCCACAGCGAGGAATTCAACCTTGCATTTGACCCGACAACCGTGGAAGACGTCACATTCCTGAGCGGGACGGATAATACCGGCTTGATGAATACGTTTGTGGAGCAAAGCTGGCCGACGGTGCCGCCGCATAAAAAGTTGAAGATTAAGTCGATCCGCATGGACGCGATCTCAAAACGAAATTCAGAGTTTCTAGGAAATTTCAGAGGACTCGAGCGAATGTACTTTGTTAACGTTACTTCTGAAAACCCGGACTGCCTCAACTCGCCTCGTCTGACAAGTGCACCCGCGGCATCGGCGCTCACCCCTCCCGTGTCCGAGAATCCTCATGGTACAAATGGCACAACAGCCAACTCTCCCGCCAACCTCGCTTCTCCAGCCAGCCAGCTCAACCTAGCGTTTGGTGGACGGGATAGCTACTTGTCGGGTATTACAATGAACCATGGCGCATCACTGCGCCATCTTCTACTCTGCTCGAAGTGGCCTCTCTCCACGGCCATAGTTGCACGTCTTGTTCATAGCTGCCCGAATTTGGAGCAGTTGGGACTAGCAACGGACTTCTCAAGCATGGATTCTCTTGGAATGCTAGTTCCTTTCCTCCGGAAACTGGTAGCACTTCGACTTCTGATCCCTGCCGGGTCACCAGCGCCTCAGAATGGTCCACCTCGGGGATCTCATAATAGTCCGATAGACCCTGGAGAGAACCCGTTCTGGAAAGCCAAGAATTTCCATGCCAAAGCCTTTTCCCCCTCCGCGAAATGTGTCAAATTTGCCCCGGCAATCGAGGATCACATCAATAATGCACGCAGTCTGGCAGATATTGTGGACTTAGATGACGAAACTTTGATGGAGATGATGAGTTATGACTTGGCCGACAAGCAGATTTTCGGTAACGTCAAGATTATTGGGATGGGCTGGAAAGTCTTCCAGCTGGGAGACTTTTACAAGGCCCCGGTCCCTACGTATTATGAAGATTCCGAAACCCCTATCGCCGGGTCACCAGATGAGAGCCTCCACAATGGCAATCGTCCCACTGGAGGCACACCAGACCAATCGGCCTCAGCTACAAAATCCATATATCCTGCCCTCCATTCTGAGGCTGACCCTACACGCGCATCTCACAATTTTGCTGCACCGTCTTTCCCAACTAGGGCTCACCCGCCTTCATCCTTAGGGAAACGCACAAGAAGCGATGAAGATAATGGATATGCGGACGCACCGTCATCACGACATCCATCCGAATTTCGAGAACCTCCATCACGAGTACAGTCATGCCAGACCGCACCTACCGTAACCGAAGACGGCCAAATATGGAGACGCCGTATGAAACGAGTAGGCTGGGATGTGGTCAAAAATTGGGAGATCTGGGCGCTAGACGCACAAGAGATCTGATCTCACCACAGACGAAACAAAACTTTGGCTTATAGAATACTATGTCACTTTGCAAGGATGGCTCTGGTGATACAGGAGTTTGCAGGGCAGTCGGTGTTGTTTGAATCTTTTCTTCTAGGGTCTTTCTCCTATCATCAAGTTGGCGAATTATCGGAGTATATAGGCTTTGATGGGTATTTATTTTGCGGTTGTATGGACCCATGTCATTCCAGGCTCTACGCTTTTGATTGGGTCGGAGGAGTTTATAGATACCTTTTTAATCTCAAATAAGACATTGAAATAAGGTCATAAAGATGGTAATTGATCACCTAAGCCTATCCATTTACGCGCAGATATGACGCAGGGCTTTGTGAACAACTCACAAAACAGGCAAGTATATCGAGGTCGCTTTCTCGGAGAAATTGAAATACAAAACCGCAGAGAGCAAGATACAGGAAAGGCTGGACGACTTCAAATTTAGTCTTTTATATTTTTGGGGGGTATAAGCAATTATACTGACCTATACGGGTTTGCTGTGATGCACCTAATGGGTGCGCGCAGGGTGGGTGAAGGCAAGCCTCGAGGTTTGAGGCCGTTGGGAAGCCATTGTATTATCCCCGAGCTGTTGCTACAGCGGGTAGCCGACATCGGGGAAAGAGTCGAGGTTGGAGAACAAAGAGAAACAGAAACGAGATAAAGTACCTATCCACATTGCTTAACTACTCAACCAACCAGCAGCTGAGATGATCTAGCTCGATCCCCACTTAGGATTTGACCCTCAATTTTGCGATCACTCTTATCATGGGGGCTAAAATCTGCAGAAAATAATTGAGACAGGCCACTGCTTCTTTTCAATATTGAAAGAATCAAAAGCTCAAAAAAGAGATAAATGTTCGATACCTCTAGTCGAATATGTGACTATTGGCGAATCGACCAATTCGATGGCCTAAGATGAGTGTCTTTTGAAAAATTGCTCTAGTCAGGCCATTATTGACCCCGGGCTTGTAGGAAGTAAATTGCTCGTCTTTTAGTAAAACTCCGAAGAAGCTCCTTGCGAAGATAGGGTTGATTTTATAGTACTTGTGACTAAGTGGTGCAGTGGCAATCTTAGATGGTGTGTCGTTCGGTCAACAGATGTATCACTACTGTACTTAATCCATGGATTTGCATAGTATTTATTGGTTCTTCGTGTGTCCAAGAATCCAGGGTCTCAAATACAGTTCACTAATCAGGCTCGAAGAATCAGTGGTAAGGTAAGACAATACAAAATCAGTCTCAAGCGGGGGAATTCCGGGAAGCGTCCAGATTTATCCTAGTTCCGGACTACGAAGTCTCTGCGCTTTCAATCCTTTCATTCGTTTATCGTCTGTAATATAGTTGGAATCAGGATGTCTTACAGTTGTACTAACCCGCTCAAGCGTGTTTCAGAACGGCACTTGAAGCGCCAAACCACAACGGAGATCCTCTTTTATCACAAGCTTTTGAAGCTCGGCTAAAACACCAAAACTCTCCAAAAATACGACACTGCCTCGTACAGCGACCCTGCATTGGCACATAAGTTTAACCGACTGAAGAAAGCACCCCGCATGCCGAGCCCGGGAGGTCGAACGCCTTGGCGCAGTCGCCAACATAAAGCAAATCCACCAGTCGGGGACCCTGTTTCAGCCCCGACGCCATCGTCGGATGTAATGCACTTGTTCAGAACGAACCCCACATGCGGATTCACTCAATTGGGTGTTGAAGGAGCCCTTTAGGACAAGACTGATCATCCGTTTAGTGCCATGCCAAGGGTTCTGATTCCACGAATGAGTCCTTGCCCGAGATTAGATGCAAATTGGTTGGAGCCAGTGTAGATAAATAGTTCAAGTTGCCCTAAGTGTTTCGAAAAGCATCCTCAGAATCATTTTCTCCCAGGTCAAGCAAAATGGGTTCTCGGCATTTGGCTCTACCGGTGGCGCTATTCACGGCACTAGTGCATGGATATGCAGACCCTGGTGCATGCTCAGGACAGTGTGTTGTGTCAGACCCGACACTGATCCAGAGATCCTCGGACAGCAAGTATTTCCGATTCTCTACTGGAAATGAGATTTCGTATGCTAGTTCGTCTAGCATTGCGGGACCATGGACTGTTATTGGGTCTATGCTACCGGATGGATCATCTATTGATCTGGATGGAAACACTGATCTTTGGGTGAGTATTTAACCTAACCTCCAACTTTCTTTCAATGCCAGTATCTGACTGGTGGTGGATTTTGCCACAATAGGCCCCAGATGTTCACATCGTCGACGACCTTTACTACGTCTACTACGCCGTCTCGACGTTTGGTTCGCAAAACTCGGCTATCGGCCTAGCAACATCAGAGACAATGGAGCTTGATTCCTGGACCGATCACGGATCTGTTGGCGTTGCTTCTTCCTCTTCGAAGTCGTACAATGCCATTGATCCTAACCTGATCGATGCTGACGGCACCTACTACCTGAACTTCGGCTCCTTCTGGGACGATATCTACCAAGTTCCGATGAATTCTGCAGCAAAGAAGACATCCTCGTCCTCGTACAACATTGCCTACACCTCCTCTGGCACTCATGCTGAGGAGGGTGCATACATGTACAAGTACGGTAGTTACTACTACCTGTTCTACTCTGCCGGTATCTGCTGCGGCTATGATACATCGCTGCCCGCGAGTGGCTCAGAGTACAAGATTAAAGTTTGTCGTTCGACTTCGCCGACTAGCGGATTTGTGGGTTCCCCTGGGTATACGTTTGATTGGTATGAGGCTAATGCTTTCATTAGGTTGACAAGACTGGTACGGCTTGCACTAGCGGTGGTGGTACTGTCGTGTTGGAGAGCCACGGTACTACTTACGGACCAGGTGGACAGTAAGTTCTTCTCCTTGGAGTCTTTCTTTCTACTGGTACTAATGTTTAATAGGGGTGTTTATGATGATCCCACTTACGGACCCGTGCTTTACTACCACTACATCAACACCGATATTGGATATGCCGATAGTGACAAGCAGTTCGGATGGAATGCCATTGACTTCTCCAGCGGATGGCCTGTGGTGTAAAGAATGAGCACATGAGAACCCAACATACTGCTCAGGTCTTCATACCTGTCATTCGTAAGCTATCTTTTTGATTAAGCCAGTTCACATGCGTTCAGCCATGGTCGTGACTCAAATTGTTGGATTAAGGGACCTCAGAGTCAATGAATATTTTGAAAACATCAATACCAAGCTTGTACTACTTAGATGCATTTGATTTGTCTGCAGCGATAATCCAAACGTGCATCGGTCTATATTTATACATCTCCCGAGGTCATTCATCGGATACATAAACATACTCTTCCAGATGAATTCAGGATCCCTGGGACAGGTTTATGTTCCGAATATCGCTTAGTGAGGGCCGAGAAGACCCTTTGGAGAGCCGATGGTATATCTACTATATTCTACCTAGCTTACACTTGGTATGAAGATTACTGTTGTATTGAGCGGAAACTAGTGGAAACCAAATAGATTGTGTCATTGATACTCACTAGGCCTGCCGTGATATACACCAATGCCGCATCATCCAAGTAAACAACGCCCGAGGCGCTACATTTGACAGCCACTGGACAACCAACCTCTCTTGCACAGGCTTAGTGAGATCTTCGGCGGAAGCCACCAGCACCGGACGGGCCAGAGCCAGTAGCACCAGGAGCACCACTAGAACCAGTAAAAGAGGGAGAAGAATCTCCACCAGCACCACTAACATCATCAGTACCACCCCCAGACTCAGCAACACCACCACTAGCCGTGTAAACAAAGCTATAGTTAGGATCATAGGTAGCAGAAGTGTTAACTGCAACAGTGACCCAACCCAACAAACCATCACTGAGATCATCACCCAGCTTCACATAATTAATAACAGGATCCGAAGTCGAGTCCGCAGTCTCTGTAGAAAACACACGATCGTCCGCATTAGTCGTGATAGTAATGTTGTTACTACTATACGGATATGTAGCCTCAACCTCATAGATAAGATCCTGATCCCAAAAGAACTGGCCAATATGCGCAACAGTTCCACCGGTGATAGTGTTATTCGCCAAGACAGTCACATCCAAATGCGCAACAACATGGTGATGAGTCGTCCGACCAGAGTAATGACCCGGGAAGAGGGTATTAAACTGCACAACACCATCGCTATCAGTCGGTTGAATGCCACGCAGGAAAGTCGCGTTCAAATTCGACGTATCGGCCGTGTTTCCATTGCCGGTAGCCACAAGACCAGAGTAAACACCCGTAGCATTGCAGTTCCAGATATCAAAGTATAGGTCCTCAATCGGCTCACAGGTCTCCACGTCGACAAACTGAGCGTCGAAAATAATCGGCACACCCGCCTGGCCTTCGCGGATGTCTGAGCGGATCAGCTCGCCCAGCACGTAGTAGGGACCTGTCTCGCCTTCAGGGTTCAGAACACAGGTCGAGCTGGTGTTGAACAGACTATCTGCGGGTGTATATGCAGTGATGCTAGAGTCATTGACCAAGTGGGATTTTGCGAGGACGTCGTCCGTGTCTCGAATTCCTAGGTGGCGGCGGTGGAGGTCGTAGGTTGCGCGACGGCGGGCCTCGGCTCGAGCATTGAGACCGCTGGACTCGAAGCGCTTTGCGCATTTCTCTAGGCCGCGACGGGCGTGCTCTTTGAACATGCGCTTTTGGAGGTTGGCGTGGGCATCGTGTTTCTCGTGTTCGCCTGGGTGGGCGAGGACAGAGGGAATAGTCAAGCCCAGGAGGCAAACTTTCCACAAAGCAGTAAACTGCATCATGAAAGCAAAAGATATATGATAAAAAGTTTGTGTAGAGGATTTTTCAGTCAATTGAGAACCTTGAAAGCTGTCTGATTCTAGTTTCCTTCATGAGGGCTATTCATCAATCCTTTTATACTTCTGATGCACCCCTGCTCATCACTCATCAGTATACATCCATTCCGCAACACCCATATCCTGTTCACCAACGGTGATTGATTCAAAGTGCTGACGACTCCTTTCATACCCCGGTTTCGTCTGCTGCGTAAATTGTGGCTAGCGATTGGTCTGGAATTTCGTCACATTGCCAAGAAAGGTCTAGCCAAGTACCTGCCAAGAGGGCTAAGTCGCGGCCGCGCACTCACGGAGCTTGGCCTTTCCAATTATGCTTCGAACCTGAAGGAATCCATATCAGACTTGGGGTCCTTGAAGCCGTTTGGTGGATTTACAATAAATTTCGTCATCTTTGGCTTAAGCCACCAGATATGTTGAATATTGGGCAGGAGGGTGATCGACAGTGTGGACGCGGCCCTGATGATCGAGGTCGTTCTATCTTGAATATGGGGTATAGGATGAAATCCACGAGCCTGTGTCGGTTGTGATAAATCAGATTCCTGTTGGGACCGATTTTGGAATCATTATGCTGATACTGAAGAGAGGTTTTGATCATTTGTTATCATTTTGGAGGTGTGTTTAAGCCGCGAATGATAATACCTTCTAATCTCGAGTCAAATCATTTGCAACACATGCTAATATAGGCGTTTAAATCAAGATGAAACTATTGACCCCTGTAGCCAAGATTTCACCGGAGCAGAATTTAGCGCAGATGTGCATCATCGATCCTGAACTAAAATAACATATTGATTTCTATCCAATCTCCGGGTGGCCCAGGCGGACGTGCTGGTCTAGATGGAGCCGTTGGTGGGCCTTTGAAGGGAATCTGCCGGGGAATCACAGATGACCCGGTGGAGTAATCATCGATCAAGTTAAATTTGGAAGTGGAGGACTCTTTGCTTTGGTCGAGGACCTTTGAAGCCTGGCGTAGACGAAGATCAACGGCTACGATTGCGATGGTTCTGCGTACAATTTACATTGCAGAATAATATGGCCATACATACAGTTACCATGAAACGATATTCAATAAAAAGGGCAGCGTTCTTAATTTCATGAACCCAGGTTTGAAAGTGGAAGATCCCAAATATCAAGGGGGAAAAGCCAACAGGATATTATGACGACCAGGCCCTAATCCCTAGTTGGCAACATAAACATTTAAGGTGAGGGTGGAAACTCATGACTGACGCCGATGTGCAATGTAAATCAGATAGGCAAGAAAACATAGAAAACATGCCAAGAAACTCCGGGTTCCATTCCGGCCACTTTGCTCTTGAAGCATTGAAGTGAGGTCACGGAGGCAAGAAGAAAACAGAAATGTGCACGTTCTAATCGTTTGCTCACGGCGTCTTCAGGACCAGCTCTTCAGAACTGGTCCGTATTCTCCCAGTCAGTGAGGAGAGGATTTGTTCGGACTGAGCATGTCTACTCAGGCAAGCTACCGGAAATCCCAAACCCGGGTTTTTGATCTTGGCTGGCCTTCTGGACAATGTCTAGACCGATCTGCTCTGTAGGAGGCTCCAGACTGTTGAGATCTTGGCTGGCAATGTTTTTCTGCGCATCCTCCACAATCTTATCGGCTTCACTCATGCCGCGTGAGGTTGAGTCGCCGTCCACGCCGATATGCTCGGACTTCTTGTTCACTATATCCTTAACGCGGTTGGAGTCGAGTCGAATCACCATGCAAGACAAGTTGTCGGTACTAAAGCGTGCGAGTGCGTGTTCGACCAGGATCTTCGAGGCACGCTGTGCGTCTTGTATGTTTCTGATCAGATCGACCGCCTCTTGGTCGGTGCAGACATCCCACAGCTAGAGAATTTAGTCAGTTGAAATGGCTAGACAAGAATGATTGAAAGGTCGGATTTAATACTTACCCCATCGCAGGCAAGGATGATGAATTCATCCGCATCGGGCTGGATGACAGTCTCGGTGGTGTACGGATGCCCTGTCACCAGGTCTTTGAGATAAGCATCACCCAGAGCTCGAGTGACCGCCAGCACTCCATTGACACGGTTGTTGAGGATCAATCCACCGGCATTGGCGATGCGCTTGCCTTCATTCTCATCGCTTCCCTTGTGGTCGTACGACAAACGAAGCGCTTTCCCGTTGCGACACAATACAATTCGTGCATCGCCCACGTTGGCCGTGTACAAGACCCGCTGGCGAACAGCATTTTCTTGTAACTTGGGAAGAGCACCAGATCCTCCCATCGGCGTGTCTTGGGTCGGAGTTTCGACAGTGTCTGAATTGTCGTTCTTATTCGCTGCCGCCATAGCGGCCGGGGCAAGAGCGGCGGAGCCGGTGGCCGAATGTGAGCTCGGCACGCGGTCCTCCCAGCGGAGCACAGCAGTCACAGCAGTACATCCACTGTTCTTGACTGGCAACTTCTCCAGTTGTTGATCAACACTCGTAAAGGTTTGATCGAGAAGCTCAGGCACAGGTGCATTAGGACTTTTCCGCATGATCTCCTCAAGGATCAAATGCAGTTTCTTACCGCACCACTCCGCCGCAAAGGTACCGGCATGCCCGTCGAATATAGCAAAGTAGCCATTGTCTGTTTCTACCACGTTTGACAGCTCTCCAGAGCGAGAGTCATTGGGCGGGGAGGTACCATTTAAGTCGGGCGACGCGTTCGGGGCTGGGGTCCCCAGGAAGTTGTACAGGTATGCATGCGTATCTTCCATAGTACGACGACATTTTCTATTCCGGTCTTCTGTAACGCCGACTCGGAATGATGATTTTGCGGTAGGGCCTGATTCACCCGCGGAGTTATTGAACGACCCTTGTGGGACACTCAGGGCTGGATCCATCTTCCCCAGTCTCTGTAGCGGGCTGTCTGAACTTTGCGGGCTGCTACTGATTCCCGAGTACTCCTTCACGTTGGAGCTGCCCCCGTTGAGACTCAAAGAGTTTCGGGCGTTGCTGAAAAAGCTGGCAGCCTTATTGACAGTGCTACTGCGACGACGCTTATCTTTGTCAGCTGCCGGAGCCTGGTCGTCGCTCTGTCGGCGGGTAAAGAATCCGGTTCCAGGCGGCGAGAACCTCTTGTCACGGGGACTGGCGTTTTCCGGCTGGAGGCTTGCGTCGTTGTAGGACCCCGGGATCGGGGTTGGTTCTATCTTGTCTTTGGGTGGGCTCGAGGCGCCACTGAACATTCTGTTCAGCAACCCACCCTGCGAAGAAAAGCTGCGGCGCTTGTTTCCTGCCAGCTTGGATAGATCCTTGGATGACACAAGGATTGCGGAAAATGGGCGGGGTCGAAGGTTGTTGGGGGGTGAATGACGGGGTTTTCGGTGACCTGACGTAGTGTGTCCACTTGAGTAGAAGAACACTGGCTGAGTGTCCAGAAGCATGTTAGTATGATAATCGCCAGGCCCAAGAACACAATATCAAGTCCAAAAGTGCAATGCAGCAATAAAGAGGCATAAGGCAGGTGGCAGAGGCAATCAACTGATGTTTCGCAGTTTTGGGCATGATCAATGGGGGGGCGAAGAGGCGAGTGACCTCCGTTATGTATGGGGGCGGGCGGGCAATAAGATGAAACAGCGCGGGAGCCATTGCGGGAATAGATGAAAGGGAGTATGGAATGAGATGCAGTCATCGCGAAAATAATACCGATACAACGCGATATTGATCAACCTTTAGATTGCGCGACTGATCGATCTCTCAGATTGCCCAACCCCACCCCCACGGAACCTCCGGGGGTGACAATGGAGATGAAAGGGAAGGCCATGCTTAACGTACCGTATGAATAAGGAAGGGTCTGATAGCTTGAGTAACAAAAGGATCCGACGGATCGATGATGGAAGAATGAGAGAGGAAAGTGAGTTCTGGTGATGCGATCCGGATGGGGAAACCGATCCTAACTCCGCCCCGTGGAGCCAAGAACGGAGGAGTGGAGCGGCTCAAGCTTGGAGGACGTCACTGTAGTGGCTTCCCAAGGGAGGGAACTTGAAATATCAAATGATCCCACTTTTGAGACTCCTGCTACAGAGTACTTGATTTCGATTAAATTCGCTATGTCTCGGTACGTAATTCGCGGATCGGCCGATCCCCGTCCCCCTGCATATGGATCTTCCATGGACTATATAATCAATTATTGGGAAGTACTCCGTTTATTGATTTCCTCTGACTAGACAAAATCGCTTTCCTTAGCTAAGGGTAAATGGTATGAGAGCTATGTGATTTGTATTAAAACAGCTTGATTACAGTCATATAGTATTATATATGGTTAAAGGTACTTTGTGAATATGGCATATCCAACTAAGTAACCGAAAGTGTTAGAACAAGACTAATGGATCTTGGTTGAATGTGACATTAATGGTAAAATTTAAGGTAGAGTATCTGAACCTTAGAAGTCTAAAGCAATATTCATGAATACATACCCAAGTATGTACTTCATGACCTACGCCATCACCTCCATAAGCACCTTCAGAATCACCTTCATATCATCACATCCATGAGTTGGGTACCTCCCGGGCATGAATATACTCGTTTCTAAACTGTTCCCTAGAGACACCATGCTGTGATCGTTATTAAGCAACGGCTATATACATACAAAACCGGGTTGTCCACATATAATCCACCCGGGGCCCGCGCCAAGAGAAAAGATAAAAAGATAGAAGAGACTACCATGAGCTAAAGTCTCCAAAGCCACCCGTACCTTTCACCTTCTTGCGGGCAGGTTCTGGAACAGGCTCTTCGTCAACGTATTCAACAATCTCATCTTCTTCTCCACGGTCAGCCAAAGCAGCCTGGAGGTACTTTCCTACCCCACTGGGAGCACTCTCGTTCGATTGGGCGCCAGGGCCACGTACTCGCTTTCCTGTCCAAGTCATGCGCTCGTCGTCCACACGACGAGTACTAGTCTCATCCTCCTCCAAGGTAGTAGTAGAACCATTCTTGGCTTCCTCTGCGCGCTTCTGGTTTAAGAAATCTTCAAATGGGTCCACAAATACGGTGACTTCCTTGATACGAATTTCCGGGATGGGTCGGTTAGTATTTGCTTCCACTGGGTGGGTTTCAAGGGCGTTAAGCGTAGTAGACGACGGAGTGGGATCATCGATGAGACGACCAAAGACAGTATGCTTGCGGTCCAGATGAGGGAGGGCTCTATACGCAAAGAAGAATTGACTGCTGTTGGTATTCTTGCCCTTGTTGGCCATACTTAACGTGCCTCGCGCATCGTGCTTCAGAGGCCCATCGAACTCATCAGAAAAGTATTTGCCCCAGACACTCTCGCCGCCTCGGCCAGTGCCTGTGGGATCACCACCTTGGAGCATGAAGCCTTTGATGTTGCGATGGAATGTGACATCCTTGTAGTAACCTTTCTTCGCAAGCTGGATGAAATTCCATACAGCCTTCGGGGCATGTTCGGCATACAACTCCACATTCAGATGCCCCGCAGTGGTCACTAACCGGGCATAACCCTTACCCTTTACCCGACCGCGCTTCAGCATGTACTCCTCTTCAGATAGAAGTGCTAACTCGGCTGAGGTATGAGGAGTCAGCCCAGTGCTGGTAAAAGAGGCTGCAGCTTTGCCAGTGGTAAATCGTGCCGCGTTGTAGGGTGTAGGCTTTCCAGGTTGAAAGGCTCCAGGCTTGGCAGCCGAAGTCACAGCCCCCGTCTTGGAAAGTGCTTTCGAAGCAGCAGAGCTAGCCTCCTTCTCTGCTCGGTCTGCACGTGCTTTTGCGACAGCTTCCTTTGCTTTCAAAATCTTTGCCGAACTTCCTAGCGCATTGGTGTTGACACTAGCTGAGGCCTGTTGCTCCTCCAGAAATTCAGTTTGGCCCTCTTTCAGATAATTGAACGAGCTGAGGTCGCGAGATTCGATATTCTGCGGGTCTTGTAGAGTGATGATGTCTTTGCGGCTGAATTCTTCGTCGGTAACCAGATCGCGCCAAAGCTTTCCCTTAATGTTGAGGCGTTCAACAGTGTCCCAGGAGAACACATTTCCCGTATTCCGTAGTGCGACAATGTGGGTGTTATCTGTTAAGACCTTGTATGTCACCGGATCGACGTACTCGCCCTCCTCATTTTTCGCGATCGTAAGCTTGATGAGATCAGAGCTCTTCAACGGCGACCCGTCCACTGGGTTTGTCCCGTGCTTCTTAATCCATGGAATGATATTGGTCAGGTCAAAGATGACTCCTTTCTGTGTGCAGACCGGGTGGGCGAAAGGTTGGAGTGACAGGGAACAGAAATTGAACGGGAGGCGCTTGAATGCTGCATGAGGTCCACCGCGTCTGGCCTTGCCAACGCCAGCGCCCGCACTGGCTGAGAAGGCATCCTCCGAAGCCCATTCAGAGTGTGTGATCTATAATAATGTGAGAATTAGTATTCGAAAATGCGATGGCGGGGATTTTTCTCATCGAGAAGTTGTAGGCGTACGTAAAGCTTATCCGTTCCTAAGCGCGATCATATTAGAAATTGTTCTCAATATGCTTCATCGAATGTAATCAAGCTTACCTTTTCCCATAATGTACGAAGCTCAATGTTGTCCTGCGCTGATTGCAAGTCGAAAGATCGCGAGAATGACGCAGGAGGAACTAACTGTTCTGGGACTAGCGACCCCGATATAGTTGACACCTTAAAATCATGGTTTGCTTATCACGGCGATAGCGCGCGTCTCTCCCCACGCGTTGCAAAAAAAGTAACTATATTGACCCGCACTTCCTGAATCTTTCATCCCCTCTGCCCAAGGGACTTCTGTTAATGCATGCTGTCAGAGCAAGACCCCGATCAACACACATTGCTCGAATCTTTTCCGCCAATTGCGCACCCAGATTCTCCGAGCCCCTGAAGGTCCCTGCCTATTCATCAGCACGACCCGCGTCGGAGGACAGCGCGATGTTTAAGAAAGCTGTTAACGATCACCCAGGGGGGACAACCTCCAAGCCTGTTCAATCTAGTCTCCTCCGTACGAATTCAGCTATTTCATCAAAAACTCCCCCTCTTCCTCCCCCATCAGCGGGCATCAAACGAAAAATCGAGATGGCCAATGGTGGAGGGTCGACGCTCGGCTCCCTCCACAGCACCGTCTATTTTGACGAAAATGATTTCGACGATGACTTGGATCTCGACGACCTTGATGATCCCTTTCCAATCACTGCGCCGACGACAACATTTTCAAGGCCAGACCCGGTTACATATCCCAAAATTCAGTCGGCATCAACCACGACCGTAGACAGCAAGCTACTGCCAAATGTCACATACCCGGATCTTCCACCCGCATCTCAGGATCATGCTCCACCTTCGAGTAGCGTTCAGATTCCATGGTCATCCTCGCCCCCGTCCCATTTCCAACCGCCTTCCAAGGTGCGTCCTTTGCCGTGGCTACAGGCAGGCAGGAGAGAGCCAAGTCATGAAACCAAGAACAGCCTCATCACCCCTAAACGCACCAAACCTACGGATATTTGGAACAAGAGTGCCAGCGCCATTAAGGAGGAGCAGAAGGAACTAAGGCGGGAATATAAGAAAACCCAAAAAGAAACAATGCAAGATTTGGCAGCTGAGAACTCGCAAAGCAACAAGTCTTTGGCTATCTTCCTTAGCGACGAACAAAATTCTGTGCTTGAGGCTGTCGTCGAACGTGGAAAGAGTATTTTCTTCACTGGTTCGGCAGGTACCGGAAAATCGGTTCTTATGAGAGAAATCATCAAGAAGTTGCGCACGAAATACAAAAGAGAACCAGACCGCGTGGCAGTGACGGCCTCGACTGGACTCGCTGCCTGTAATATCGGGGGTGTCACAGTTCACAGTTTTGCTGGTATTGGACTTGGCAAAGAGGCAGTTCCAGAATTGGTCAAAAAGGTAAGCGCCCAAAATTCTACGTATAGCAGGGCGTATTGGTGTTGACAGATCGAAGATCAAGAAAAATCAGAAGGCACGGGCCCGCTGGCTACGCACAAAGGTCCTCATCGTTGATGAGGTGTCAATGGTTGATGGTGATCTGTTCGATAAGCTCGAGGAAATCGCCCGACTCATCCGAAACAATGGTCGGCCATTTGGAGGCATCCAGCTGGTGGTCACTGGTGATTTTTTCCAACTGCCCCCCGTGCCAGAGAAGGGCCAAGTCGCGAAGTTCTCCTTCTCTGCAGCAACGTGGAATACTACCATTCAGCACACCATTCTCCTGACTCATGTTTTCCGTCAACGTGACCCGGAGTTTGCGGCGATGCTGAATGAAATGCGATTGGGTAAAATCAGTCCTGCGACAATCGATGCTTTCCGAAAACTCTCCCGGCCTCTCAACTTTCACGATGAGCTTGACGCGACTGAACTGTATGACCTGTATTCGTCAGGAATATTTCTTACTCTGACTAACAGTTTAATAGATTCCCCACTCGCCAAGAGGTCGAAAATGCCAATACTGCTCGTATGAACAGGCTGTCTGGTGAAATGATGACATTTACCTGCGTCGATAGCGGGACTATCAAAGATGAAAAATGGCGCGATAACTTGTTGGCTAATTGCATGGCTCCGCCAGTCATCAAACTCAAAAAGGGCGCTCAAGTCATGCTGATCAAGAACATGGAAGATACCCTGGTGAATGGATCTATTGGCCGAGTAGTAGCCTTCATGGATGAGGCAAGCTTCGACTACTATCGCACCAACGAGGACGAATTCCACCCTGCTGGAGAGAACATTGGTGATGAAGAAGATAGTGCCGCTCGTGCACGGAAAAAGCTTAAGGCCATGGCCCACAAGGAAGGTGGCCCAGCCGTAATCACGCGGAAATGGCCTCTGGTGTGTTTTTCCCAACCCGATGGCACAGAAAGGCACCTGCTGTGCCAGCCCGAGGCATGGAAGATCGAACTTCCCAACGGCGAAGTGCAAGCTCAACGTGTGCAAGTGCCCTTGATTCTGGCGTGGGCTCTCTCTATTCACAAGGCTCAGGGTCAGACACTACAGCGAGTCAAAGTTGACTTGGGCCGAGTCTTTGAAAAGGGACAGGCATATGTAGCTCTCAGTCGAGCGACTTCTCAGGCCGGTTTACAAGTCACTCGATTTGACCCCCGCAAGGTAATGGTCCATCACAAAGTGGTAGAATTCTACGATAACCTTGTCTCGATTTCCTCGGTGCTCGGGCCGAAGGTTAAGAAGGCCAGTACTTCAAAACCCGCCGAGGAGTTTGATGATGACTGCTTTGAGGTATAGGAGGACCAGGTTGAAGAATTTTATATCCATGTATTGATGTACAGTACCATAGTGATATATATGAATCATACAATCATCCACTCATAAACATTGTTCAATTGTTCATTGTACCTTTACATGAGTAACAACTTCTCTACCATTAGATACTAGCCGTCCACATTCAATCTGAAACTGGCTAGGATGAAGGTTATTGCTTCTTTTATCTTTTGTTCCATAATGATTGATGTATACTGATTAACACAACTCAACGCTTGGAGAGCCCTACGCATCTATTGTCTTCATCAAACCAAAGTGAATGGTAAATGAAATTAGTATACAGTAGTACTTCGTGGAAAGCCCTAATTTATGGGGTCAAACTTGGATCCCCCACATCGAGTGCTTATCGATAAGTGACCGCACGTGATCTATTTTGTCCTTGAAGCTGCCTGAGCTTTCTTCTCCAACCGCAACACCTCGCTCTCCTCACCCAACAATCAGACTAAACTGTTCACGCAACCTAATGATCCAATTGTGATCGCATCACACTTGCGGCATCCAGTGACCATGGCTTCTGAGTTCATAGGTTACTCCGTGATCGTGAGCCTGAGGGAACCACCTGGCGGGAAGCTCCAGGGCCAGGTTGCTAACGTGGTTGGACAAAACTTGCTTCTCCAAAATGGTATGGCAGCAATTATGATCTTCTCATTTGATGTTTTCTGACTGACGCTTTTCCTCACAGTGACTCTTCTGTGGAATGGCCAACGTCTCGCCAGCTACTCCGTGGATGGCTCCGGAATCACAGACCTGTCCCTGCAAGAAAACAAAGCACCTCTGTCGCACCCACAGAATGTGTCGCAAGAAACTCCCAAGATTCAGTCTGCTCAGTTCAAACCCCCTCCACAGCAGACTTTCGTCGACCCGGCTATCCTAAGCTACTCTAAACCCTCTACCAAACCCGCCAACCCTCCCACTCAATCTCACCCGGTCTCACATGGTACTAGTCAAGCGCCTGCCCCAGTCGCAGCGTCGTTGTCTGAGCCATTCAGCAACCTCGACTTGAATGTCAACACTGGCAATGGTGGGTTGCGAGGACCCTCGCAAGAGACGGATTTTCAGGCCGCACAGAACCTGACCCCTACCAAGCAACCTTCCAAGCGCAACAGGCTTGGTAATGAAGGTGGATATATGGGTAAACATGGTGGTGGTGGTGCAAACACAAATCCAAAAAGCAAAGGCTGGCGCCAAACTGCGTTTGTGGAGCCCGTGGGTCCGGCTGCCCAAGCATCACCCGAACATATCGTGCGGCAGCCGGGCGCAAAGCTTCGCAAGAAAAAGACGCGCCGCTCATACGCTGAAGATCATAGTGGCTGGGCCACCGAGGACGCAACCGACATTCAGGAGCTGGGTGACTTCGATTTCGAAAGCAACCTCTCCAAATTCGATAAGCGGCGAGTGTTTGAAGAAATCCGGAATGACGACACCACTGCAGATGAGGCCCGTCTAGTGAGCTTCAACCGTCTACCCAAGCCTGGTACTAATGACGGCAAGAACCTTCACTGGTCGGAGAATGTGCTTGATAGCCCGCAAAACAGTGACACCGAGGACGTCGAAGGCATAAGTGATGCCAGACATAGTAGTGAGAATATCTCTGGGCGTGACCGATCTAGAGCACCTGGACGGGTCCAAACCTCTCGCAAGAGTAGCGCTATAATGAGCCAGCCTGTGATGCCGCAGATCAATGTCCTTGGTCGAAGCCAATTGAATACCTCTCGCACCACAAGCCCCCACCCGGGCCGCTCATCTGTGTCTCCCATGGTCGGCTCCAATGCATCCAATGCATCCCTGAGATTGACCACTACCAATCGCAGCTGCCCAACTGTGAGCCCTTTGCAAACACTTGAGGTTGAGCAGATTGCGGTAGCTGAGTTTGGCTTGAGTGAAGATATTGTTACAGAGAATGCTGGCCGAGGTATTGCCGAAGCAGCTGTTGCTCTCTTATCTAGTGACGCCGCTGCGCCGACTATATTGATCATTACAGGCAATCATCGCACGGGCGCTCGGGCTATCGCTGCTGCGCGTCACCTGCGCAACCGCGGCCACCGGGTCACTGTCTGCCTTCTAGGCCTTGAATATGAGAGTGAATTGCTGGAAAATTGTCGCAAGCAGCTCGATATTTTCCGGAAAATCGGAGGTCGTATATCGAAGTGGGAGGATCTGTCAGCTCGTTTATCTACTTCTGACCTCAGTCCCGACCTGGTGATCGATGCCTTATTTGGCATGCACCTTGCCTTTGATGATCTCCGAACCGATGATCAGGGGGTTGCCTTTGAGATGATCTCATGGGTGAATCGAAGCAACATAGAAGTGCTCTCAGTTGACATTCCGTCAGGCATGTCAGCCTCGAATGGTATGCCTCCCCCTTCTTCAATATCTGCATCCCTTGGAACCAACTAACAATGCCTACAGGTGATATAACTATGGTTGACGGCGGACAGCTCTGTATCAATGGCTCGTCGGTCGTCTGTCTTGGTGCACCAAAGACTGGAGTTCTCAACGCTCTACTTTCTGGTGATGGCCAGTCTTGGAACCTTAGTGTTGCTGACATCGGTATACCTCAGATTGTGTGGCGAAAGTATGGCACTCGTCGTCGACATGGCATTGATTTTGGCAACCGCTGGGTGGTGACGCTAAGATACCAGCCCGCGATTGTCTAGGTGGACGCCCAGGCTTTATTCATTATGAAAGAAAATCATTCCAGGCGTTTACATCATCAAAAGGACTAGGCAAGGATCAATTGTATATTATCTTATCATTAGCGGATCCATTCGGAAGTTAATTCTCAAATGCAAAAATTGAAATATGAATTCGATCCTCCATCTTACTGGAGTTGGTTATCACAGAAAGAGAGTTCTCATCGGCTACCCAGCACGGAAATTACTGAACCTAGGGTGGGAGCAATGTATGCAGGTATCGCAGGCAATACTGACGAAGAAAATCTCATGATACGCTAAGGATACCCAGGCAACTATAAGAGACAACGCAGAGGCCGACACCAAAAATCAGACTGCAGTGTAAACCCCGTAACAGAGGGCATATAATACGAAAAGCAAAATGTCAATAGATGTGAAGAAAGGGTCGTTCATCATCGTCGAAGGCTGTCCAGCCGAGCTTGAAGATCGTCATCATCCGCGTGGCCTCCACCACCAACAGCTTGCGCAACGCGGGTCTCTCCGACTGATTCCTTTTGTATGCCGGAGGGTGTCTCGCCGAACTGTTTGTTAGACTTGTTAGTATAATCGTGCCCATTCGACCGTCTGCGATAAGGAACACAAACCGATTGGCCCAGATCAACACCAATTTCATCCAGAACCTCCTTAACAATGTCTTCACCCTCTTCCTCTTCGCCTTCCATACCCGTTGCTTCGTCGATCGCATCATCCATCATTTCTTGTCGTTCGTCCATGACTTCGTTCTCGCGCTCGAACTCCATCGCAATGCGCTGCAGTGCTGGGAGATTCATCTGTCTATTCATGCTGCCGAGAAGCATTGTAGCTCCCTTCATGGATTGCATCATCTGTTCATTGCTCCGGACCGTCTAGCGTGGTATGAGTGTAAGCATCATTTGGAGGCCTATGGAGGGGGCGGGGTATGTAGATCTGGCCGTACCTGAATGCGCAAAGAGATAGCCTGTAATTGCGTGCGCATCTGGTAGAACTTCTGGATATATCTGTTTTCCCCCCATTAGTCAGGATGCCGCAAGAATGGTGGTTTACAAGGAAGGGGAGATTGGCGACAACACGCACCGTCGTGTTCGAACCAGATCCTTGGCTTGGATCTTGCATGCATTGATTTGACCATTCTTGGCGCTCTTCTTGATATCCTGCACCAATTTCTTCTCCTGATTCTCGAGCTTAGTCCGTTCTCGGTCGAGCTCGCGCTGTGTTCGGTCCAGGGCACGTTGGTGTTTGCGCAGACGCTCTGCGGGCGTCATGCGCTTACCGAACGCCCATTCGATAACCTGGGAGGTGGGTGAGTGATATATACAGTGGATAGAAACTCATGATCACATACGTTCATGATGAGGTCTGGATCAGTGATCTCAGAGGAAGGAATGCGGAGGGAATAAGACCGAGGGGATGCTAAATGCGCAGGTGTATTGGAACTCTAGGCACTAGTTAATCAGTGACATCAATCATGTAAGATACCGTTCGGCGATAAAGTCGTAAGTTACGGGTCACATGCACACCCTAAACCCTTTTAGGCACAAACGTCACCTTAATCTTGGAATTTGATTATTCATTGACAATTTCTTGCTTCTTAAAACAAACAAATACCTTCGGATGGCTTTCCCACATAACTCATTTTCGTCATGAGTCAGGATTATTTCCCCGGTGAGGGCTCCTCCAGGTCCGCCTCGTCTCGTTTTGCTGGTGAAGAAGAGGAACGAAGTCCTTTTTCCCCCAAGCCCCACCGGCTTATATGACTGTGGGCAATGGTTCGACCTCGGAAAGTGCAACCGCTCTGATGTCTTCCTTAGCCCACGATTCAGGCTATGGAGGCAGTATCGCGGGTGAGAGTGCCGTAGTTGGTGATTCGAGCTCGGCTTGGCGTGCCGGTTTGTTGGAGGACCGACCAACTCCGGTGCATACTCCCACGCGTCCTGGCGAGTATAATCCGGCTGGTAAGTAACGCGCAAACATATCACGGTGTTCAAGTTATTATATGGCTGGCTAACGCGGTTTCTGTCGAACAGCCGAACACGAGAAACAAGTCGTCGCAAATCATGTCCACCAGCTTCTCTAGTATGTCAACCGTCTCCATGTATACTCTACAAGTGTACAGCATGCTGACAACGCACTTTACAGCAACTCAAACCGCACCAAACTTGCTCGTTCAATCTCCCGGACTATCGAAACGTTGAAGGAGCTCCAGGATATGAACCGCCAGTGGCCCGCTCATTACCCCTCGGTGCAAAATGCGCAAAGTGCTCCTTCATCACCTAACACACGCCCACAAATGCACCATGCACAGTCGGACTTTAGAACAGTTGACTCAAGGCCGACTACTCCCCCTCGGCCAGAGTTGAAACGCGCTTCGACTACAATCAACGGAGACTTTGGTGAATCAAGTGCCGCTGCTGAGCGTCGTATGCCTCCGGAGCCTCGGTTGATGACTCCGCAAATTGCACAAGAATTCTCGATCTTGAAGCTTGATCTAAAGCTTGGCGCTTTGTCTCAGGCTGAACTGGTGCATTCGTTGGAAAAGGCTTCGATCGCCTCCTTGTTAGATGGGAGGATCAGCCAGAGCGTCAAACATCTCCTTTCTTTGCGAGACCGTATTGAGGATACATCAAGCAAAGTCTTGATCACAGGTGATTTGAATGCCGGAAAGTCAACATTTTGCAACGCTTTGCTCCGACGAAAGGTCTTGCCCGAGGACCAACAGCCCTGCACTAGCATCTTCTGTGAGGTGCTTGATGCTCGTGAGAATGGTGGAATCGAGGAGGTACATGCAGTTCACAAAGACGCCCACTATAACCGCAATGACGAGAGCACCTATGACGTGTACGCCATGAGTGAACTTGAGAACATTGTGGTCGACAACTCCAAGTACATGCAGTGCAAGGTCTATGTGAAGGACGTTCGGTCGATTGATGAGTCTTTGCTCAACAACGGTGTTGTTGATATCGCTTTGATTGATGCTCCGGGCTTGAACTCGGACTCTCTGAAGACTACAGCCGTCTTTGCTCGCCAAGAGGAAATCGATGTCGTTGTCTTTGTTGTGTCTGCCGCCAACCACTTCACCCTGTCGGCAAAGGAGTTCATTCTCAATGCCGCTCATGAAAAGGCCTATATCTTCATGGTGGTGAACGGCTTCGATCAGATTCGCGATAAGCAACGCTGCGAGCGCATGATTCTTGACCAAGTGGGCAAACTCAGCCCACGCACATACAAGGAGTCTGCTGAGCTTGTACACTTTGTTTCAAGCAATGCTATTCCCGTTGCTCCACCCGGAGCTATCTCACAATCTGGCTCCGGTGGGGGTGATGGCGGTTCAGATCCCCATGATGATGATGATGATGACGACACTGGCAAGGGCAAAGGCAAGGAAAAGGAAAAGGAAAAGATCCAAGATTTCGAAAATTTGGAAGGAGCTTTGCGACGCTTCGTGCTTGAGAAACGATCTCGCTCGAAGCTTGCTCCGGCTCGGACTTATCTCCTGAATCTTCTTGCTGACCTCAACTCGCTTGCTACGGTCAACCGTGATGTTGCGCAATCCGAACTTACACGAGTCACGGATGAACTGGCAGAGCTTGAGCCTGCGTACGAGAATGGCAAGAAGAAGAAGGGCGAGCTGATAGAAGGTGTGGACAGAGCTATCGACGAATCATGCGACGATACATACAATCACACTCGTACTACCCTGACCAACACCATTGCTCGGGTCTCTGAACAAGACCTAGGTGTTGAGTACCCCGGTCTTTTCTCAGCATTCCAATATGCTGAGGATTTGAAGCTGGCAATGCTGGATCAGATCTCTGCTGCCGTTTCAGGCTGCGAGGATTATGCCAGAGATAAGACTGTCCAGGGGGTTGGTTTCATTCAAAACCTTGGTCTACTGCATGTTGGCGAGGATAAATTCAGTGTGCTCAATTTCCGTGCAGACTTGATGTTCCGCAAGGGTCGTCGCCACACCTTTGGCCGACAAGTTGATACTGAAGTTGAGTTCTTGGACTTTTTTGATGTAGCTGGTCTATGGGAACGCCAGGAGAAGATGGCAGGAACAGGTGTTGCAATGACTGCACTTACTGTGGTGGGCGGCAGAGTCTTTGGTGGATTCAGCTGGGTGGACAGTGCCCTCAGCGCAGTCAAGTTCCTCGGACCGAACAATGTTCGCCGGCTGTTCATCCCCAGTGTCATTGCTGCTGCCGCTTTGACCGCAGCTTATATGCTGTCCTCTATCCCGTCAACTTTGCCTCCCCGTATCTCTCGGAAGATTGCAGCGGCTCTTGAGGAAATGGATTATGTCCATTCAAATGCAACCCGCATCTCATCTGAGGTGCGACGTATCCTTCGTCTGCCCGCCAAGAATTTACAAACTAGCTTGGCTCAGGACATTGAGGACCTTGCCCGCCGCAAGCAGGAGGTCAGCAAAGTCAAGCAGGAGAGTGAAGTTGCTACCAAGTACTTCTCGAACTTGTTCCGTGACAGCAGTGAGAACCGTCGCTCCGTCGAGGCTCTCGACCTCGATGGTCCACTCCCTGGTGCCATGGGTGCTTTCGACCCATGAACAAGGCAAACCATGTATCAACAGTAGCATTCTCTCATATCCCTTCTCCTTGTTTACTTTGAAGGATGTATATTTCTCTGATGTCGTTTCCTTTCCTCTCCGTCCACGAATATCCTTTCTCTTTATGTGGTCTTTTTCTTACTCAAATTGAGATGCTGCAACCGTATCTCAAAAGATACGCTGTAGTACTGCAGCTCTTTATTGCCTTTTTTGTTTAATATGGCGTGTTGGTGTGCATCGGAGGTCATTCCAAGTTTAGCCCAAGATTCCCATCTGAATTGACATTGTGATTCTTTCCTTTAATCTTCCTCTCGATGTAGCTTATATGCTTTGGACTTGACTCAAGGATTCCAACACAAACCAAGGTTGTCATGGACGATATCTAAGCAGTCATGGTATGAGTATATAGGCATGACATCATAGCTCAGGCTCCACGAAGGGAAGTTTCCGCTAGCCCTAGATAGGCAATCTCGATTATAGTTCGACTCTTGATTACGATGTAGATAGTAGCTAAATCTGGAGCACTTTTGCATGATCATGCCAGTCAACCCAAAGCTACATTCCCCCATTACGAAACTACTTTAGATGGGCAAAGGTTCAGCCAAACACTGAATGACCAACCCGAATTTGGTGTTCAAAAATCGTTTGTTTCAATTGAATAGCCATGAAGTGCACATGTGGCTGACATAAGAGGATATGACTGAAACTGGATCTAAAACACGAATAAAAACGCCATAGAACCCAAGCGGCGCCATGCGTAATGCAATGCAATGCTCATGCATGAAATAATGTTTCGAATTCCACCCATGAAAGCCCTACCAAATCCCCAAACACCGAACGAAAGAAGATGATGCAAAGATAGATTCACGTGCATAATCAATCATCACCTCTCGGGTGCTTCCTTGTCCTCCGTCCAGACGCCCATCCAACATCCTCTAACTCTTTGACCTCCCCAAGCAAAACGCCCGGATCGGCCGACTTGGGCTTCCGAGCTATCTTGCCCGCATCGCGCAAGAATTCAGCTCTCATAGCGGCTGCGTCAGCATCCTCGTAGTCCAGCTGTGTCATCTGGGGCTCGGTGTTCTCCTCATCCTCCTCGTTCCCATTGAGAGGCTGCTTATCAAGGAAATCAAATTTCCCACCGGCACCGCTAAACATCGACGACAGGCTTTCGTTGTTAACGCGGCTGGTTGTGCGGGAGAGTGAGTTTGCTCGTGTCAGATCGGCGCTGTCGATGGGTAAGCCGAGGCCATCGTCGTTGAGGGTGTCGATGGAGCTAGCTCTGGATAGTGGTGCTGGGTTATCAAGCTTAGTGGACGAGTGTGATGTAGCGCGACCCAGGAGAGGTTTGCGCTTTCGTCTGAGTGGGAAGTTGCCATCTTCGTTGGTTGTTGGGCTTTCATTTGATTGGCGGGATTTAGCAGCCTGGGCTTGTTGAAGGAGTCCCTTCAGCGCGGTGTCCAGCGCGGATGGTCCGGTAGGTCCTGAAGGGGTTTGATTTGGTTGTTTGGAGGTAGAGTCACTGGTTGTTGGTCTGTCGGCTGTTGTGCTCGGGGATGGAGACCGAGATTCCGGGATAGATGGTTTAGGCGCATTATCGTGGTCTTCATTTGAGAAGCCATCATCGATGATAGGCATGACCCGTGTTCGATTGTTTTTCGCGGATCTCGAACCTTCACTATTCTCTTCATTGGCTGACTCCGCTGGAGCTTTAGATCGTCTGTCGCGGGATATTCCCCCCTTCTTGTGTGCACTATCTTCGTTTTCAAAAGCAGCACCGGGCTTTTCAACGCTACCTCGAGGTTGTGATGTCTGCTGTTGGACAAGGTACGGCTCAAATGGCTTCTTTTGGCCAGTCTGAATGGAGGCCCAAAGCCAGTCTGCAGAGACAGCTGGGATACCCCATTCTCTGATATGGCGCAATTTGTTCTGACTTGCAGTATGAGGGTCGAAACAGATCAAAACAGAGGCCTGCGACGTAAGAACTTCATCATAGGAGGCACCCATCAGATTGACCAGCTTGGATACGTGAAGAAGATCAATGCCGCCGAATCCAGTAGAGCATACTCGCATTCCGGAAAATGCTAGTAATTATTAGTAATATTCCGTTGTCAAGCTTCCATGGATACTCACCTGGGATCGGGAATCTAGGGAAAGGTGTGCTAGCAACGTGGGATTCTGGCGGAACCAACGCTCGGGCATGCAGACACTTCTCCAGCCACATATCTGTGACGACCTCACATTCAAATGCCATGTTGTCCGTTGATGGAGCCGCCGACTTCAAAGTCTGATATGGCACCATAATGTATAGTCCTTGGCCTGTCTTCGGGATGCTTGGACGAGAGAAGTCGCTCAATGATCCTACGCACTGAGCTCCATTGAACCCGAGGTGGCGGTGTAATACTCCCATCTAGAGCACATAAGTTTCCATCATTCCAAATAATGATTGTAAGTGCTTACCTGCTTGGAAGAAAATCCCTCGAGGTAGAAATACGATCCGCCTAGGAATCCTTCTGGAACTTGGGGTTTGGGTGCTTCTTCTGGTGCCATGGCTTGACTGAAGACTGACTCGCTCGCGAAAGATTTGGCAGCTTGAATGGCATGTCTCGGAGGTGGTGGATCAGCTTCTTCGTCCTCGTTGTTGGCGGAATCGGTCGTCTCGTTGTTCATGAAACCAGCACCAATGATATCACCCCAGATGTTTTCATTCTGACCGATCAATTTTGTACTTGCGGTCCTGCGTAGCTTTTTGCGTGGTCGTTTATCTGCCGCGCCTTCATGAGGAGCAGATCGTTCATTTCTAGAATCGCTCTGTGAAGTGAGAGAAGGTCGATTCCATGCTCCAACACCTTGTTCTTCCGGCGGTACCAGTGGATGGTACTTTTCCTCGTCCAGGATCATTCCCCGCTCAATGCAGTCATAAAACCACTTCTCACTGACAACTCTTATTCCCCATTGTGTCGCAAACTTGTATTTCTCTCCGTCTGCAGTCCGCGAGATGAGATGGGTGACGCTCTTGGTCAAGTCTTTCCGAAACTCTGCCCCATTCTCCACGGAAGTGTCATGCATCTGAGTCCGAATGCCCATATCCGAGAATCCCGTAATGCATAGCGTAAGGCCGAAGAAGGCAGGCATCTTGTATTGTATCTCTAAGGCGCGAATGTCGGTATCCTCTCCCAGCACCCACGATTGGCGCACGGCCTCGATCCATTCTGGCCGGACCACAGCAACGTCATTTCGCTCTCGTGCGACGAACTTGTATTTGGCAGATTCGGTGGCTCCGACGAGAAGGTGAGTTACTTCGGAGGTGAGGTCGGGTCGTTCAATTGCGCCCATCTCTTTCGCAACATTCACGAGCTGAGTCTGGGTTTCGCGCGCGTCAGTCCTACTCCACAATTTTCCTTAGACATCGGGCTCTCATTAGACATACCCTGTACTCTAGCGTAACCGCGGTGAAGCAAATCACCGCGCCTGCGAGCGGCTGCTCTTTGTCTATAGGTTGATTAGCAATCTGCGTACGGACTGCATTGCAGACTTCCACTGACCCGGTGCTCCTGTCCCTGCCATGCTTCATGACTGACAAGCACCTCCCACTGCTAAGCAACAAGTTTTAGGTCCCATTGAGGTAAAAACATCAATTAGGGAAAGCAAGTTCTTGTCCGATCCCGCGTCGCGATAATTGATGATCACGTGGGGCACGCGCCCCTTGGTCAGTGACCTACGCAAGTTGCATTGTTATTGCTTTCATCTTATAGGCTGACATATGAACAGTGTCCATTTATCTTGTCTTATCTTTTTTATCTTGATTTGGCTGGAGTGATAGTCAGTCAAAGAATAAAGTTCCTTACTGAAGAAATTGCGCATGAAGTGGAGATTGCCAATTTGTATATGTATGTTCTGATCAATATTGTTGCCGTTATGCTATACGAGAACTTTGATTATACGTTGTTTGAAGTGTTTTCAAACCCTACATTAATCATATATTCTTCAAATCGGCTAGATAGATATGATTTTGAAAGTCCCATCATTGGCTATGTCCTTAGCATGGATATATATAATTGTCACTTTTAGGTACAACACCCTGGGGTATCCTGGTGCCAAAGTTACCTAATTCTAATTAATGAACCAATCAACGAGGAGTAAACAGATAATGGAAAATCGGTTAGGTAGCGTAAATTTGGAATATGACCAGACTTGGCGTATTGATTTGTCCATTTCGTGCCACCGGTGACTGTATGCGTCCTGTACACCTGATGTCTAAAGTGCAATAGTAAAACTTCGGAAGATAGTACGAGCCATGTTCAAATGTCAACCTTCAATGTTGATAAGATCGGACTTTCTAAGATTTCCTAGCAGTTAAGCTGAATGAACTGGAACAGTTGCCATAAAGTCTCCATAAGTAGTACTGCATGAGAATCGGTAAACGTCATAGATGTTGCCTGGTCCGTCAGGCCCCAGTGCCGATCCTCGGGACCGAGTGCCCCTCCATTTTATTTAACCGCCCAACCTTCCTTCTTGTCTCTATCCCAACGCTTGTTTTCATTTCTTTTTTCCATTTCAAATACCCAAAAATTTCATACCCCATAATCCATTCAAAATGGCTCGTCAATTCTTCGTCGGTGGTAACTTCAAGATGTAAGTTACCCCATCTACACTACCCCGCGATGCTCAGGATGCCCCGCCAGAGCACGCGAAGCATTTCGGAGCTGCAAGACTGACTCTACAATCACAGGAACGGTGTGAAGGAGAGCATCACCAGCATTGTCAAGAACCTCAATGCCGCCAAGCTCGACTCCACCACTGAGGTCGTCATCTCTCCTCCTGCTCTGTACCTCACTCTGACCCGCGAGCTCGCCGACCCCAAGATCGGTGTTGCCGCCCAGAACGTCTTCGACAAGCCCAACGGTGCTTTCACCGGTGAGATCTCCGTCGAGCAGCTTGCCGACTCCAACATCAACTGGGTTGTCATTGGCCACAGCGAGCGCCGTGTCATCCTGAAGGAGACCGATGAGGTACGGGAACCCGCGATCTATATACCGAGCCAGAACTATAAAATGGCTATGAAACTCTCCAAATTGTGCCTAGAACTGACAATGTACACTATAGTTCATTGCCCGCAAGACCAAGGCTGCCATTGAGGGCGGTCTCTCTGTCATCTTCTGCATTGGTGAGACTCTTGAGGTACGTCATTCCTAACTTTGGTTACCCGTGCTTTTCGTTCCGGTGTGGGTCACCGGGATGCAACCTGATGAGAAACTCCGCTTACACCCGACTGTTTTGTAATGATATAGGAGCGTGAGGCCAACAAGACCATTGATGTTGTTACCCGCCAGCTCAACGCCGCTGCCAAGGAGCTGAGCAAGGAGCAGTGGGATAAGGTGGTCATCGCCTACGAGCCCGTCTGGTAAGCTGATCTCTTTCTACTTCCCATCGTGCCATTAGAGAGGATACAGTTCTAATCTGCATCTAGGGCTATTGGTACCGGCAAGGTCGCTACCACCGAGCAGGCCCAGGAGGTTCACGCCGCCATTCGCCAGTGGCTCGGTGCCAGCGTCTCCGCCGAGGCCCAGGCTAACGTCCGTATTATCTACGGTGGCTCCGTCAGCGAGAAGAACTGTCGGGAGCTCGCTCAGAAGGAGGATGTTGACGGTTTCCTTGTTGGCGGTGCCAGCTTGAAGCCTGCCTGTAAGTTTTGATCCATGCCTTCTTAGTACTGGATGCTAACCATAATCTAGTCGTCGACATTATCAACGCCCGCATCTAAGATGCTTTTATTTCAGTAATTTGATACTCCCTTAGTGCTAGAGTCCCCAAGTTGACCTGGGACAAAGCCCTAAATTAGCAAGGCGAAAAGCTTTAAACGTCAGATATGTTGTCATGAAATATATGTACAATGTTGGATCCGCCTAGTATTTCCAGGTGGCGGTATATTAGAACGTGCAGTATAGGATCCTGTAGACTTGAAGGAAATGCATAAAGACTCTAGCCCAAGGGCATTTAATCCCTCACGAAGAGTACATCACCGAAACTCCAACCCCGCGCCAAAATGATGGCCCACCTCCGGGCACTGACCCACCCGACGAAGAAGCATTCGGGGCCACTGAGAATGATCCCGGGCCTAGCCCGACACCCGCGCTGACCAAGAGCTCTTTAACTCGGCCTTCCCAGAGCAAACGCATGTTCCAAGATTGGTCAACACGGAGCTTAATGACTGAGTCACCGGCCTCGACATCACTGCCATCGTCCGATTTAATGGGTTCGGGTTGAACCGGGTCGGAGATGAGTGGAGAGGTTGGCGGAGAACCCGGGAGGGAAGCGGAGAAATCATGCAGGCGCATCTTGCGGCGGGCCCATTCGATGTCATCGTCCGCAGAGAAAGTGGATTTGTTGCTTCGGCGCCAGAGCTCGCAGCCCGCAACCATCTCACTTTCCCAACTGTAGACATTGAACCCGAAACGGGAGCTAAATGCAAGGTTTGGCGAAGCACTCAGAGAGTATGTTGCTGATAGAGAGCCAGTGATTGGGGTCAAGGTGAGTGTTAACGTGTAGGGGAATGTAGATATGGGCGTGGGAAGGCTGGATGAAGAAGAGGATGAAGGCACCCGGGTTGCGGCAGGGAGTGTGGTGAATCGCAAGCCAGTAGACATGCCAATCAAGGATGAGGTGGGAGAGTAATACGCTTCCGCACCCATAGAAAGAAGCGATAATGCAGGCGAGGCATTAGCACGAGGTTTTCTAGGATCGGGACCGAAGTTCCAGAGTCCGCGCCAGCCAAATAGGGCATTATCTGTGCTGAAAAGATACTCATTGCAGTACTTTCCGGTGTCATGAGACAATTGGGCTAGCATTGACGCTTGCGGTGCGGACTTAGATAATGGCGGTCCTTGAGTGGAGCAGACGGCTAGACATAGTTGCATAGTTGGAGAGATCCTTCGCAAGAAAAGCGCATTCAAAGTGGTCGGAGATGGGAGATGTAGAGAGGCATGGAGAAGAGTCGCCTTCCGCTGTACTGCTTCGCCTTTGGTATGATCACCCTCGCGTTTTGGGTCCGTGATCCCGGGAATATTGACTGCATCTAGAAGAGAACCCCACCCCCAGGCTTGTACCGGAGCCACAGGTACTTGCACATGTCGGTAGCCAGGAGAGATCTTTCGAAGAGGGATCAATGCACTTCGGCTAGGAGTGTTATGGAAAGGCACGGTGCTGAAGAGGTACGACACAGATCCATCGAGCAATCCAACGGTGCCAAGAGAGTAGCTGGTCCCAAAATTGGGGGTTGAAAGCGACGACAAATGTACACGCAGTCGCTCTGGAGTCGAAAAATCGAGAATTGCTGTCGTCCCAATGTTAGCTTTGATCACTCTTGCGCGTTGTCGCATCCCTGAAAGGCGACTTACACTGCGTCGTGGTAGTCAACGACAAGTACGAATTGTCGCGGTTCCAGTTGGTCGCCTCAGAGAAGGCCAGCTGGATGTAGTCCATGAATTCCAGCATTGTCTATACAAGGGACCGAACCCTTGGAAGTTCACGTTGAGTATCTCGAAGTTGTTAGCAGCTGGTTGCCCGATAAAGACTAGTGGGGTATCGGATAAGGCACGTGACCCGCTTATCAGCGAAAGAAAAAAAATGCCACTCGGGAAGCATAATAGATCCCATCGATTCCCTCGATTAATTTGATACCACATTATCTTCAAAATGCCTCGTTCAAAGCGTGCGCGCGTCGTCCACGAGTCCAAGACCACCAAGAAGGACCACAAGGAGCAGACTCGCCGACTCTACGCCAACATCCGGGAATGTCTCGAGCAATATGACCATATGTTTGTGTTCGCCGTGGACAACATGCGCAACACCTACCTGAAGGATGTGCGCACTGAGTTCGCCGACAGCCGGTACGTTTCAATGGGTGCTGGAATGAAATTGAGCCCGGTATTGCAGAGATGCAGTGCGGAGACGACTTGAAATACCGCCATGCACAACTATCTCGAATATCAAAATTATAGACAAGATCCACTAACGCATTTTTCAGTCTCTTCTTCGGTAAGACTAAGGTCATGTCCGTCGCTCTCGGCAGCAACCCCGAAACCGAAGCCGCACCTAACGTTCACCGCGTCACTCCCTTCCTCACTGGTGCCGTCGGCCTGCTTTTCACCAACCGCGCCGCCGAGTCTGTCATTGAGTACTTCGAGAACTTCCGCCCTCAAGACTTTGCTCGTGCCGGTACTGTGGCCACCCGCTCCTTCAGCATCCCCAACGGTCTTGTCTACCAGCAGGCTGGTGAGATCCCCGCTGAGCAGGATGAGCCTGTCAGCCACACTATCGAACCTGCTCTCCGCAAGCTTGGTGTTCCCACCCGTCTCATCAAGGGTAAGGTCATGCTCGAGCTGACCGAGGGCTCTGAGAGCTACCAGGTTTGCCGCAAGGGCGAGACTCTGGACTCCCGACAGACTACTCTGATGAAGATGTTCGGTGTTACTTCTTCTGAGTTCAAGGTTGAACTGAAGGCTCAGTGGACGCGGAGTACCAACGAGGTGAAGATTCTGGAGCAGGGTGATATGGAGGTGGATGCATAGATGTGTCTTCCGCCTGTGTCGACAAAAAAAGATTCTCGTGGGCATCTTTACGGAGTTAAGGGCGGGCGCTTTCTTTTTTTCTTTTACATTGATACACTGAACATCCTCTTATCTCCATCCTGTTTCTCTGGGAGACTTGGATCTCTTCCAATTGATGTGCCTACGATTATGGATAGATACTACTAAATTGGATATAAAAAAATGTTGACTGTTCCCTTTTTTCTTCAAGAAATATTACATCTGCTAGGATTATGCCTGTTTTGAAGTCATTGCATTGGCCCTTACCTGGTCTTACCTGAGCGTCATTGAATTCCATCACTTCAGAAACTGCTTGAACTAAAATACATACTTACCCTCGGAGAGTGATCAAGAAAGGTCCCACTGGGAACGAAACAAACGCACGTAAGGAAACCAAAAAAAAAAAAAAAAAAGGACCGCAGGGGAAACAAAAAGTAAAAACTGGAGAATACAGAAACACTCCAAGGGAAGATTTTTGGGCTAGTTGCCGGCAATGTATGTGCGTGCCTCAGCAGAAGAGTCCATAAGAACTGGAGATCGACCTTAAAGATGAGTGTAGGCGGTATGGTCTGGACATAGCTTTACGCGACATCTTGAATTGATGACTGCACTTGTTTCGCCTTACCCCATTACCCTTGAGAAGAGAAAGGCGCGCGATGGCCAAATCGGGGATACCCACCGGCAAGCCAGGGCTGAGAAGGGAGAAAGTAGCATCCATTGACATGAGGGGGAACATTTAGTATCGTCTCCGGGATCGGGGGTCATCGTAGCCATCGTCTTCACGGGGTCGCTTCCGTCCAAAGTCCTCCCGGCCAGCGTCTCGGCCAGCGTCTCGGCCAGCGTCTCGGCCAGCATCTCGGCCAGCATCTCGGCCAGCATCTCGGCCAGCATCTCGACCGGCATCTCGGCCACCATATCTGTCGCGATCACGGTCCCCGTAGCGGTCTCCTCCATTGCGATCATCACGGCGGTCGCGGTCTCTGTAGCGATCACGGTCCCGGTCGTCGCGGCGGTCCCGGTCCGAAGGGCCATCTCGTGGGCGCACAGGCTCCCGGTTGCTGCCACTTCCACGGTCGAATCTACCACCACCGTAAGAGCCTCCACCTCCGTAGTCTCCCCTACCACCTCCAAAGTCTCCTCTACCGCCTCCGAAATCTCCCCTGCGGCCACCACCGGGACCAGAGGGAGCGTTGGGGGGTGGTTGGCCTCCACCACCGAATCCATTACGGCCGCCTTGGTAGCCAATTCCTCCACGAGGTCCGAAACGGTCACCACCCCGGAACCCACCACCTCCACGGAAGCCTCTACCGCCACCTCCGAATCCACCGCGAAAGCCGCCACCGAAACCTCCAGGTCCAGATGGCGCATTGAATCCTGGCCCAACTGGTCGAGAGGGCATTGCCTTGGTGTATCCACGACCTCCTAAGCCACCACCAAAGCGACGAGGCTTCCAGCCCTTGGTCGTGCGTCCACGCTCCACATCCACTAGGACTCGTCGGTCCTTGATACGGATTCCATCCGTTTCCTTGTAGGCCGCTGAATACCGGGGATCACTGTGTTAGCAATGAATTCTCTTACCATAACCTGGTTGACGGGGATGTCGCGATTGCTAGCGGCATAGTTTGGTGATAATACCTTTCATATCTTTCTCGCGTTCGTAAACGATAAACGCATAACCTTTATTGGGTTTTTTGGATGCCTTGGGTGAGACTGTATCTTTGACGATGCGAATCTATGAGGTATTGTCAGAGAGAGTAGATGAAAAGAAACCAAGGAAGGTCGAGGGAGCCATCTTACACGCTCAATGGGGCCGAAACGGCCGAACTCTCGCTCGATATCTGATTCTTTCACATCGTAGCTGAGTCGTGCCACAAAGAGAGTTCTGTAGGGGTCACCTCGTGCTTGCGGATCCTTCTCTGGGTCAACTATTACAATGGGGAGATTCAATTAGCAAGTCTTATTTCGCGATGAGAATGAAAGAGATGGCACATACAGGTTTCCAACCCATCGGTCACCTGCTTCTCTAATTTTTCCTTCTTCTCCAACTTCTGGCGCCATTTGCGCTGCAGCCAGCTCTCGGTCGCGTTATAAGGGGCCTCTTCTGCGAAAGTCTTCGCCTCAGCAAGGTACTGAGCCACTCCGGAGATGGTGCTTTTCTGACAGTCTTCCGGTGCGCGATCGCTGGGGGGGATGTAACGAAGAGGTGGTCGCGGCTGGAACAAGGCCAGTAAAGGCGGGGGAGTTTATCAGTCATTGTAAACCCTCGGCCCGTTGACAAGTGACGTGAGGGTGAGAAGTAAGCTGCCACCTGGTGAGGTTCCTCAGGAGACTTCGCGTTCTTGTGGTGTAGCAAGGGAGCTTCCGCTGTAAACGCTGTAGCCGCTTCTGGCGCAGTCTCACCGCCTTCACGTGCACCAGAAATTGTGACCCGGAAGGAAGTCGGCGATTGGTACTTTGAGATATCGTTAAATCACAGCAATGCCAGTCAAAGGACTCCGAACAGTTACGACGGCCCAGGTATGTGCTGATAAACAAATGAAGGAGAGCGGGGACATTGTTTGAGACACAGAAGCTGATTTGTCGATCCCCCCAAAACAGAACGGCGTCGGCGCCTTCATTCACCAGTGCAAGCGCCTTGACTTTCACTACTGCAAATATGGCGGCAGCTCACGGGGCATGCTGTAAGTGCATTCAATCCCTGAGCCCATGTTCATATATGAAATATACTTATCATTGCAACCCCAGTGCCTTCCTGACCCAGACCCTCCCCAACTTCGCCCGCGAAAACCCTCAGATCGAACTCCGAGTAGCTCCCAGACCCGGCAAGCACCCCGTCATCAAGGGTCAATACGTCAATGGCCGTGAGAAGGCAATTTGTGTGCGGAACCTCGAACCCATCGACATTCTCAAGAAGGCGATGATTCTGAAGGATGCAAGCGGAGACAAGTTGAAGCGGACCAAGAAGCCAGTGACAAGTATTAACGAGAGTGTGCGTGGTATCTGGTCACCGTACCACGGTGATCTGCGCGGTGTATGAGATCCTAGGCGTTTCCTATTTGATAGCATTTTTACTGGCTGAAATTACGGCCTTTACTTTTCAAGCGATGGACCCCTGCCATTGCATGTTACTGTATTATTGATCAGGGTACAATTGATTTACTTCGATTCTTCTTCCTCCAGTGGTCTGTTGGGCAAAATGCTCTTTCGTATGGCTCCGATATATGTTATGCAATGGCCAAGGCCGTTGCAGCCAAGGATCTCAGGATTGATTAGGATTGCCAAATCCACATCGCGAGGGTTTCCTCCGATGCTGTCTAGCAAGGGAGTTGCGTGAATAATATTTGTGCCTTATCGCCTGCCCAGGTGGCAGATCTGATATTTTATCTGCAGCTTGCATGCATGAAACCCAATATGAGCGGGACCGACTAACCACCCATGTTCCCGGCTTGACATCTGATTAGCTTTACATAATTACTAGGGATTTTGGACAAATATATAGATCTTTCATTGACGAGATTACTCTTGAGATGTCCCGAGTAGTGCAGCTGAGCCTTGCAACAAGATGAGAATTTGAGTCTTGATTGTTTCAGTAGTATGACTTCGGGTTGGGACAAACCATGAAGATGGGACATTGAAAAACGAACGCCATAAAAGATAAAACCGAGGAAACGCCATAACTTCCATGCATCACGGGTATCAACGAGAAAAGAGATAAAAGACAGTAACCGCAAACGCCCCACTCATCATGCAATGCGATTCTAGAGATCGTTGACAGAATCATAGATAGAGATGGAACATAGCTGTTGGTGCACTAACTGACTTGCCACAGTCAGCAACCTTGCACTTAGAGAAAGGCTTCGACCTTTCAGGTGCGTTGGCCTTCTTTTTGGCTTTGCTTTTTGACCGATTGTCTGCGCATTCGCCACAATAAACCTGGAACCAAAACGTTAGCCTAACCGTAAATTCATGAGAATTCTGAAGTAACGAACATGTCCGCAAGGCTTTGCGACCCAAACCTCCTCTTTCTTTCCATCACCGGCTCCGAGTTCGCAGGAGCAGTTGGGGCAGATTGCAATGTCGTCTTCTCCAAGGGTCCGAGTGAAACCTTCTGGTGGCGGACTGGGTGCTTTGTACGCCTCGCGTCGTCTAGCCTCAGCTCTGTCAGTGTGTTGTTGCTGCATCTCAAAAGACGCAGATCCATAGTCAAGGATCAAATCGTCGGGACCTGCATCCAGCACCACGGTTTCCACGGGTGATGAGCCGAGGTATATTGGCTCTGTGTCAGGTCTAAATCTGCGTATACGGGGTCTGGACGGGCCCGCAATGTTCGGTTGTGGGACCATGCCGTAGGCGTTGTAGCTATAGCCAGATGGCGGATTTGAGGAGGGGACTGAAGCGTCTTGGACGGGTTGTCTGTGACGGCGGATCAAATGGCCCCAGGAGCCATCAAAACGAGGCAGAATGCCCCATAATCGCTCACCAGGCTGAAAGATACTAAGATCAACACCATCCGCGATGCGATCACTGATTTCCGTGTAACGGGGCGGAGGTTGTGCAGGAGCATCGGGTTCGTCATCTAAGTCGATCACTTCCGGCAGCGCTCCCGGCAGCTCCAAGATGGAGCGGCCGAAACGAGGCAGTCGTGCTGGATGAGATGTCCGAGTATCTGGGCTGCGAGGTAAAAACCGCTGGGGTGGTGAATCAGGCTCATCGGTCAGATCAATTGGATTCTGAGCCTGCGTGCCAACTGGGCGGCGAAAGTCAAAGCCATGACGGGGATGCCGCGCGGGTGGCAATGGGGGGCGGGCACTCGCTTCTAGCGGAGGAGGTGGGTGAAAGTGGGATTGCCATGATTGATCAGGATCCTCACTGGGATCTTGTTGCGACATTTGGCGATTTCGCTTAAAAATCAGGGCAAACGATTGTCAGTATGGCGGCTACTTCACTGGCGCCCCGCGCTTTCTCCGGGATATTGCTCACCTTGGACCTGACGCCCAAAATTTGGACGCCAGGCTCGTTGCTCATATCAGAAATTGGCGTAGGGAGTAGGGAGAGACCTGACAAAGCTAGTTGACAAGGCTAGCGGGAAGACCATGGAAAGGTAGGTAAGGAAGAGGGCGGCAAGGTGTTGGCAGACATGATAGATCACTCCCAGTACGCCCGAGTTCGAAAGCGGTGTGCCTTCTTCCGCATAAATATGGCGGTCGGAGAAGCGGTAAAGGAACGTGGGGTTATACACCAAGTATAAGAAGCCTTTATCCCCAGAGTGGGCGATTGAGCTGTTATAAGATTGAAACCAAGCAAAGAGATTACCCAAGAAGTGATGAAAATAAGAGCACCATGTGTAATTTATAAATTTTCATAAAAGATATCGATTTCATTGCTCCAGAGCTGTTGTGAACGCATCATGAGGGGGAAAAATAGAAAAAATCAGATCCAGCTCTAAAATTACATGTTTTGACCTTATTGATTATGACTGCAGCACAGTCACCGCGCCTGCCTCGTTCAAGGCTACGATGCTTTGAGCCGAAGATCCCCAGGCAACGGCAACAGCTGGCACAGCACTCCGCAATGGCTCTGACCACTCCTTGGATGCTTTGGTGAATTGTTGAACAGTCAAGCCACTGGGGCCACCAGTCAAGAGGAACTGGCCAGTGTAATCCCAGAAGATCGACTGGACCTCGCTGCCGGTGTCCAACGCCTTGGTTTCCTTGGAGCTACGCAGATCCCAGATCGAAACAGTGGTGGACTGAGCAGCCACCGCAGCTAAGAAGGTACCATTCTCAGAGAAGAAAAGACACTTGACAGGTCCAGACATAGCGAAATCTGCCGCCGGGGCACCAGTCTTGATGTCGAAGATCTTAATCTGGCCATCAGCACCACCAGCGCTCAGAAGGTGACCATCCGGGTGGAAATTCACAGACAACAAAGCTGCACAATGATGATTAGTGTCATGATAAATTGTGTTTTAGGAGATTGTTTGCTTACCGGAGTCGGTGAAAATTTGAGTGACCACACTGTTAGTGGACAGATCATAAAGAATATAGCTCTTGTCCACACCCACGGAGGCAACGATATCTCCAGTTGCATGCACGGCAACAGCGGTGACCTCTCCAGCGTGGGAAGCAAAACTTGCCACCTCGCTGCCATTTTCGAACACCTTGACAGTACCTGTAGCTGAACCGACGACAGCCTTGTTACCAGCCCATGTTGCATCTGTCACCGGGCCATCTGTCTTGAGAGTCTGAACCACACTCTTCTGGGAGAGAGAGTAGACACCGACTAGGCCATCAGAGCCACCAAACAGGGCAAGGTCTCCTGTAGAATCGATCGACAAGGCTCGGCTGCCTGGGTACAGAGGTTCAGAGGTCTCAGCGGGCTTGAATGCAGAGATAGCATCGCTGGTAGCCCAGCCTTCGGGAACGGGGCGCTTGCGTCGTGTCTTTGAGAGTCTGTACAACATCCAATGTCAGTGATCTGCAGCACAAGCCTAATTACAAGCAAATCCACGTACGTAGCTTGTGTGTTCTCAATTCGCTCCAACACCGCCTGAGGCAAGCCCTCAGAGTCCACCTGCATGGCCTCACCATCAGCCACAGCACGACTGGCCCCAACGCTGACCTTCGACAGAGCGTCACGGGCTTCATCCCGCTCCTTTGTCAACCGTGCGATCACCCGAACGGCAGCGTCATGCTGGTACAGTGCGGAGCTGAGCTCGCGGCGGGTCTGCGCAAGGTTCTGTTGAAGGGTGTATGTCTCGAGAGCGAGCGCATCCCATTCTTCTTGGAAAACACTGAGAAGAGAAGGGATGGATGTCAAAGTGGGAGGGCGAGGGCGAACAACGCGCTGGGACTTGACATCGATCAGCTCGTCAGCGGCAAGCTCTTCGCCATTCACTGGGTCTTTTCCATGTTCGGTGATGTAGGCCTCGATCAGGCGCTTCTCAAATAGGCTGCCTAGATGATTATTAGGAAAGATGCTAGATGAACATGGTGGCTGGAGAAGACATACCGCTCTTGGGAGAGACGACAGGCACTTGAGGAGCCTCTCCAGAGACTATAGAAAACGAGGTTAACATCTCCTGGACCCAAATGGTAAAAGTCAATTCAGCGACCAAGGACTTACTTGCACACAGCATGATTTAATTGAGGGGGAGTTGGGGTGGGGAGAGGTAGATGAGGAGGAGCTGGTAACGCGCAGCGGCTCCTTTGCACTTTTCGATGTGTCCCGTTGGGGTTTAGCGCCGTATGAGCTGTTCGCGGACTTGCACTTTACTTCCTCCTCCTGCACCACCAGCTCCTTTCTCTAAGGATCTTTCGGTTGAAGCACCAATGGATTGCATTTTATAATTTTACGCGACTCTTGGCTTGTTTGTTCAAGACAGAAAATCGAATGAACTTGACCGCAGCCATCTACACCAGAAAGTGTCGCGACAATGCCCCAAAACCCCAAATTTGCCTACGGTATTTTACCTTCTTCTTCCTCTACAGGCTGAACCTATCTGATTGTATATCTCCCTATTATAGAGGCACAAGAGCCTGCTTTTCTACAGAGGCTTCGGGGCCAGTACGGTGGTGATACGTCCGGTCGCCTGGAGCGACCTGCCGCGCGAAACAAAAAGCTCAGAGATCCTAAGGACGATGAGGAAGACGAACCGGTGTATGTCGACGAAGAAAGCAACGAAGTGATCACCAAGGAGGAATACAAGGCGCTGGTCGAACCTTCAAAAGATCATGAAACAAACACCGAGGACTCATCCACAACCGAGGGGCATAAGAAGCCCGCTGAGCCCATTGCTAAACAGAGTAATCTCACTGAAGTTGGGGGCCAGAGAAAGCGAAAGCAGGCCAAGGTAGTGGGTGAGGAGAATAAGGCGGAGTCTGAAGCACCTGTGGTGCAAGAAAAGCAAGACAAGCCCAAGAAGTCCAAGAAAGCAAAGAAAATCAAGCTCTCTTTTGACGAGGAGTAAAGATGAACATACACGCATTCAAACAGCAATTTGCCTGCCTTCGACCTAAAAAACGTATAGTGAGTCTGGATGATTCATCGTGAGTCAAAGCGGATATAGTTACTATTCATCCCGTAGTAAGCAGCATCAGGAAAATTGGAATTCCATGAAATGATTTGATTAATAAGAAATAATTCATGCGCTATTAGATCGTAGAACATCTAGCTTGGCAGGTACAGTTCAATATCAGAAGCTATTTATTGACGTGAATCTCCATTTTTCATCCGGGATTGCTGTTATCGGATTTTCCATTTCTCAGCAACTTTTTTCCTGTCTTCGGTCACTTCCCTCCACCAGTTACCTCAACTTCTTAGATCGACCCGGACTCTTAGACCGGTACATCGCTCAAGATGCCCGTCGTGAATGTCGACGATCTAGTTCGTCTGCAGCGGAAACCTGACGACATTCGAAATGTGAGTGTTGCCCCTCCATCCCACTCTGATGTCAGGCCTGCGGTTATACTAACACAACCTAGATCTGCATTCTCGCCCACGTTGTAAGTTTGCTGTACAAGGCGAAATTGATTTCTGAGATCCGAAACTAATCATCGACTTGACTTTGCGCAATGTAGGATCATGGCAAGACGTCATTAACCGATGGCCTGATAGCCACCAATGGCATCATCTCGCCCAAGCTAGCGGGTAAGATCCGCTACCTGGACTCTCGACCCGATGAGCAGCTCCGAGGTATTACAATGGAATCTTCGGCGATCTCATTGTTCTTTTCCATGCTCCGTCGTCCGGCACCGGACGCTGCACCGGTGCCTAAGGAGTATCTGATTAATTTGATCGATTCACCGGGTCACATCGACTTCAGCAGTGAAGTCTCTACAGCGTCTCGCCTTTGTGATGGTGCGGTTGTCCTCGTCGATGCTGTCGAGGGTGTCTGCAGTCAGACAGTCACTGTGCTTCGTCAGACATGGGTGGAGCAATTAAAGCCGATCTTGGTCATTAACAAGATGGATCGGTTGGTGACTGAGCTCATGATGAGCCCCAGTGAAGCATTCTCGCACCTAAGTAGGCTGTTGGAACAGGTCAATGCTGTCATCGGCAGTTTCTACCAAGGTGAACGTATGGAGGACGATCTGCAGTGGCGAGAGCGCATGGAAGACCGTGTGAGTGCCTCCGCCACAAAGTCTAAGAAGCAGACTTTGGACGACGAATCTGTTGCTAGTATCAGCGAGGCTACGGAGTTCGAGGAGCGTGATGACGAGGACCTCTACTTTGCTCCGGAGAAGAATAATGTTATCTTCTGCAGTGCTGTCGATGGATGGGCATTTACAATCCGTCAATTCGCTGCAATTTACGAAAAGAAACTTGGTATCAAGCGTACAGTTCTTGAAAAGGTCCTTTGGGGTGAATTCTACCTTGACCCGAAGACCAAGAGAGTGCTGGGCCCGAAGCACTTGAAGGGTCGAGCCTTGAAACCCATGTTTGTGCAGTTGGTTCTCGACAGCATTTGGGCTGCTTATGAGGCGACAACTGGTGGCGGCAAAGGAAAGGGGTGCGTTAAAACTACAATCTATATCAATGATGACCTAACTGACTCTTTCCAGCGACCCCGTTCTATTGGAGAAAATCACAAAGTCATTGAACATCAATATTCCACCTTATATCCTGCGTGGCCGCGATCCGAGAAATATTATGACCACTCTATTCTCAGCATGGCTGCCACTATCAACTGCAGTCCTGGTTTCGGTGATCGAGTATCTCCCAAGCCCCCAAGCTGCGCAATCTGCTCGTCTGCCGGAAATGATCAAATCGTCACCGGGCTCAGACCACATCTCTGAAGATGTCAAGCAAGCTATGGTGAACTTTAAAACTGGCCCAGAGGCGCCTGTCGTTGCGTATGTCAGCAAGATGGTTGCTATTCCCGAGAGCGAGTTGACTGCCAGCAAGAAGCGCGGCGCCACTATGACTGCCGAGGAAGCCCGAGAACTCGCCCGCCGCAAGCGAGAGGAGATTGCGAAGATGCAGGCAGAAGCCAGTGCAGGACGTAAGGACGATTTCGAGCAAATGACATCGCAGTTCCAAACTACTATGTTGATCAGAGAGGAAGAAGAACCGGAGGAGGTTGCAGAGGAGGAAGACCCAGATCATCTCATTGGATTTGCCCGTCTTTATTCGGGAACTCTTTCGGTGGGAGACGAAATCTATGTGCTGCCACCTAAATTCTCCCCCGCAAACGCGCATGCCAGTCCGGAGCCCAAAAAGGTTACAGTTACAGACTTGTACCTCATGATGGGCCGGAGCCTCGAGCCACTCCAGTCAGTTCCGGCTGGTGTCGTATTTGGTATTGGGGGCCTGGCAGGCCATGTCCTTAAGACAGGTACCCTTTGCAGCCAGCTCGAGGGAAGCATTAACTTGGCGGGTGTATCACTAAGCACCCCACCGATTGTGCGTGTTGCTCTGGAGCCGGTCAACCCTGCTGATCTAGGCAAGTTGGTCACTGGCCTACGTCTTCTTGAGCAGAGTGATCCCTGCGCTCAGTACGAGGTCCTCCCTAGCGGTGAACATGTTATTATCACTGCGGGTGAATTGCATCTCGAACGCTGTGTTAAGGACCTCCGTGAACGCTTTGCTAAATGTGAAATCCAAACCGGTGAAGCTATTGTTCCCTACCGGGAAACCATCGTCAATGCCCCAGAGATGGCATCACCAAAGAACCCTGAACTTGGTCGTGGAGGTGTGCTAGCAGTATCCCCGTCCAAGCAGATGACACTTCGTCTGCGTGTTGTGCCACTACCGGAGGCAGTGACCGACTTCCTCACAAAGCAAGTTGGTACTGTGAAACGATTGCAGTCACAAAAACGTGACGAGGCCAAATCGGAGGAGTCAGCAACAGAAAATGGTCAAGAAGCAACTGTTGATGCCGCTGACGAAGCCCATGAGGGCAGCAATCTTTCTCTCGTCGAATTTCGAGAGGAACTGACCAAGATATTCGAAAAGGAAGTCAAAGAAGACAATGAACTATGGAAGAACGTCGTAGACAGAATCACTGCATTCGGACCCCGAAGAATCGGACCCAATATCCTTGTCGATGCCACCGCCGTCAACACCTGCGAGAAGTTGTAAGTCAATCCCAATCTCCAATCTATATACCGCAAAACTAACCAGATCCACAGCCTCCTCGACGACCCAAAACAAAACGCCGCTGTCTCCACCGATAACCAGCAAGCCCTCCTCGTCCGCGACTTTCACGACAAAATCGCCTACGCCTTCCAACTGGCCACAAGCCAAGGCCCCCTCTGCCAAGAACCAATGCACGGCGTAGCAGTCTTCCTCGAAGACCTCTCCGTTCAAGCGGCGGAGGGCGAACTCGACATGGGCCGACTAACCGGTGACTCAATCCGACTAGTCCGCGAAGGCATCACCCAAGGATTCCTAGACTGGAGTCCACGAATCATGCTCGCAATGTACAGCTGTGAGATCCAAGCAACAACCGAAGTACTAGGCCGTGTCTACGGTGTCATAACCCGACGCCGTGGCCGGATTCTTTCTGAAATCATGAAAGAGGGAACTCCTTTCTTCACTATCATTGCTATTCTGCCTGTCGCCGAATCGTTTGGATTCGCTGAGGAAATTCGGAAGAGGACTTCTGGTGCTGCGCAGCCGCAGTTGATTTTCTCGGGCTTCGAGGCCTTGGATGAGGATCCGTTCTGGGTTCCTGCTACTGAGGAGGAGTTGGAGGATTTGGGTGAGCTTGCTGATCGGGAGAATGTTGCCAAGAGGTACATGGATGCTGTGAGGAATCGGAAGGGTCTGGTTGTTCAGGGACGGAAATTGATTGATGCTGAGAAACAGAAGACTCTGAAGAAGTAGTCAGGCTTTGGTGCTTCTTCGGTTGCTTCATGTTGTTAAAAGATTTGGATGTATATGCTGGATAAATATAAAAGTAGGATTGTCTCTTTTTTTTTTAATTCTTTTCCGATATACCTCCTCCCCAGCTATAGATGCCCGCAGGTACTTCAGGTGCATTGACTCGGCCTTTATAACCCGTGGACCTAATTCTTATAAATTACCGGAAGGAGCACAATAGGCACATGAGATCAAGTTAAGCGCAATTCATTCAAAGCTAATTCTAATCTAGTAAAGATTATGTAGAATGTACCCACCCCGAGATTCTCTTTCAAGCCATAGATTCAAGACAAGAAGTAGTAGAGGGGTGGTTCGCAAAGGATGAGAGTCCCCGCGCGTTTCCAAAAGAAAACCGTTCATATTCCTGCACTGACAAACACAGCCTGACATTGATAGGTCTCGACCATGTATACTTAGGAGGGTAGTAATCTACGAGTTGTTGACTAGGAAGCTGTTCTGTCCGAACAAATCTTCATCATACCGCAGCTACCGGAAGCTGGAAGAGATAATAATTCGTTTTTCATTCATGAACTTGGTGGGTATCACATAAAGTCTGCGGGAGGAGTTCGGCCTCTCAAAGCAGTGCTGGTACATTCATATCGCCATGTGCTCATGTTGTCGGGGCGAGTCTCGGTAGGTGCCTATGGGGGTAGAGAGATCGGGGTTGTGTGGCTTCGGCTCATGTCGAGGCAGTTGGTCATAGGCTCCAAACGATCGCCCGAGGTGAAATGGATGCATGAATCCTGTCACATAGCCCGATCATGTTGCAAGACTATGTCTCGTGTATGTTCACGAATGATCCAGATTGGGGCGTTGCCTGTGCTTATCGAATGCAAGACGGCCTGGTAGTGGTAGTAGTAATGACTTCGAATAGTCTCCGCCATTACTAAAGGGTAGGGAACAGCGTCCTTGAAGAATCGGAGCCGGGCTGCACAGCTCTCAGTAAGGGCGCGCAACCTTTCGTGGCTCACCAGCCCCAGTAACAGGGTCACGCATCTCCTTCCAGCTCACAGGGAACATCATATTTCCTGCATCACTGCGGGCCATGACAATACCCAGATCGTTGCGAGCAGTAGTGAGGTAGTAGAAACTTTGATCACCCTGGGAAATGACAGAGCCACGCACAATATCGCCAACACGGAACATATCTTCCATAACGACACGATCCTTCTCGACAGCGCGAACATCCTCCTTGCGAATCAAAGCCTGAAAACGCAGCTCATCGGTACTATTGTGGTTCTCTGGATTGGCAGCAGATGTTAAAATAGAGGCGACGTTGTCGTTGTCTGAAGCATTCTGCGAGGGATCCTGCGAGGCGTCATCCAAGACAACGAGGATACTGACAGTAGCCTGACGCTTCTGGACGCGGGTGACACGGGCCAGAACAATCGAGTCGACAGCTGGTAGGGTATTGTATCGTTGCTTTTGATTTGGGGCTGAGGCAGCTCGAACTGTGGCTGGGACGACCCGTGAGACTCGAAGAGTTGACTTGGTCCCTGTCTTAGGTTGGGCAGGATCCGCGACGACGGGACCGGCGATGGAGGCGTAGATGTTGGATTGTTGGATGTGTGTACCGGGTCCTGCAGAATACATGGCAACGGATCCCAGGCATTGGCCTGGGATTGCCACGGGCGGAAGAGTTGTTGTCATTATGTTGAGGGTATGGAAGCTTGTAAGTGGAGGTTTATGCAGGAGTGATTTTTTTAGAGCTATGGCCGGGCCCGGAAGTAGGTTTCCCCGCAGGTCCCCGCTATATTGACCCAGACTACAGAACTTCTTAGTATGCATGTACAGCGTACAGTATACCGAATGCTATTTGCCTGATCTTGATTTTTATTCCTTGTTGAGCCTGGGCAAAAATTTACCACCGCTCAAGGCTGTGGATGCATGGTCGAAGTTTCAGGGCCTAGAGTGGACAATAATGTTTGCGTATGCGCACTTATCTGAAGGACTCCTTGCTCGAGACGATTCAATTATGAAAATCCACATCTAGCATTAATACACGGTGTATGCTTAACAACACAGAAGACACGCACCGACCCAAAGAATACCATGGACATGGAAATAGCAGAACAAAACGGCCCTCCAGATGCCCGCTGTCAAGTAAAACCGAGTTTCAAAGGATTCATGCCCATACTAACACCCGGGGAATAGATACGAGGAGTAACATAAGAGTTGATTGGCCAAAAAAAGAAAGGACCGAAAACAGGGATTTGCATACGTTAAAATCAAGAGGCCATACCCTATGCCTCAACCAGAGTCTGTTTGGGACCAGTACCCAGCAACTCCAAGCACCGCCGTGCGAGTGCAATCACTTCTCCCTCACCATCATCCATATCCTCTTCGTCAGATTCAATGCTCTTGTCGGAGATTGATTTGACCATCTGTACAATGTCCTCTGATTTGGAGATGTACCCAATAAGCTTGTTATCTTCAGATTCTAGCAGCTGGAGAAGAGTCCAGATAGCAATGTGCTGGAAGGTCGGGTCGCCGCTTGCGAGGAATCGTTGGAGATAACCGTGGATGCCGCCGTTCGGGTCTGTCCAGTTACGGACAAAGATCGAATAGTCGCCCACTAAATTTGTAAGTGATATGTTCAAAGAAAGAAAAACGTGGACAAGTAGTTCCACACACCTTTGGAAGAAAGATTGCCCAAAGCAGCTGCACTGTTTCCTTGTACCTCAACGCTCTCGGAGTTTGTCAGTGGTATCAACACATCGAATACCCCCAAGTTGAGGAGATGGATTTTTAGGTCATCGCTGAGGGCCAGCACAGCGATCGCGGCAGTCATTTCTGATTGAACGGTTAGTGGGACCCGAAGGACTAAGTCCTTGCATTTCTGCACAGCGCCAGCCTGCAGGACGAGCTCCTTGTTCTTATCAGAGCTAGCAGCAAGGTTACGCAGCGTGGATATAGCATGGCATTGGATCTCCTCGTTGTCAGTAGTACCTAGCAAGTCCACCAATGGCTTCAGGAAGCCTGCTTCAATGATCGGGGACTCGTTGAGGGGATGAATAGAAATGTTGCGAATGCAAGCAACGGCAGAGAGGATCAAGGGGAGATAGGATGATTGGAGAAGTCGAAGTAGGGGAGCAAGGCCCCTGGCCCGAACAATTTCCAGCTGGTATTTCTCATCGGAAGCCAGGTTGCGCAGGGCGAGAGCGGCTTGACATTGGACCTTGGGGGTGGATGAGTCCATCAAGTGGACCAATGATTGGACCAGACGGGACTCGGTCTGGGCAAGTCGCTTACGATTGGTGGAGTCGACGGCAATATTGCTGAGTGCGGTTGTGCAGTAGTATTGGACGTCGACATCGGGAGAGGAGAGGAGGTGGACGAGGACTGGAATAGCACCGGCATTGACAAGTTGTTGTCGGTTATCATCTATGGAGTTTAGCGATCGCTCCCAGATCTGAACGAGAAGAATGGCCTACCGGAATGGGTCATGTTGAGCAGCGCTCCAGTCGCGTTCCGCTGAACGCGCATATCCTTCGACTTAGCGAGGCGGATGAGAGGGCCCAGCGCGCCCGATCGAGCGATCTTGGCCTTGTTCTCTTCGTGTGTGGCCAGATTCGTGATGCAACCCACCGCATTGCACTGCACCTCCACGTTCGGCGACATCATCTGGCGGATCAGAGGGGCCAGCCCTCCAAGGGCGACGATCAAGACCTTGTTCTCACCTATGTCGGGGTTAGTGACGGACTCACATGGCGAGGAACGAAGACTGACCATTGACGGCAAGATTACCCAGCGCAGCACTGGCAGCTCGCTGGACCTCCAGATCGGAGCTTTGTAGCAGGAAAAGGATAGGATCCAGGGTATCGCGATCTACCTCCCGTACATCTGCAAGAAAGAGATTAGGCATTGCATCATCAAAGCCAACTTGCGCCATTACGCACCTCGTTCGGTAATTTCGGCGAAGGTCAAACTAGCGCTTCGCTGTAGGTCAATGTTATCAGAATATACGAGGGTGCTCAAAGCTCGCAGAGGTTCTCCTGAAAAAAAATCGGTCTCGGCGCGCTGTACATGGGAACGGGTTAGCCATGAAATGAGGTAAGAGCATTCCCGACCGGAGGTGTGACAAGGCATCCTCGCCGACCGCGACCACGCACATTTTCCAAGTATCCCAATAGATCTGAGACCGCTTCTCGCTCATTATCGGCTAGAGTTGTTTCATAGATGTCTTCTCGGGATCGGCCTGCCCCGAGACAGGCGGTTATATGACACCATCGGTCGACGGCCGACAGGCACGACCAGCAAGTGGTAGCGAGTCCACTCATGCCTCCTTCAACAGACCCGCATCAGGGCGTGCAATATATGCGATAGATTGAGGTGAGGGAGTCGACAGATTTCAGCGGGGTGGAAGTCGAGAGGCTGGAGCCCGAAGCATGCGCAAGCTTTTTTGGGGGCGGGGAACACAAGCGCGTGATGGTGGGTGAGGTTTGATCTGGTCTTTTACCAGGGAAGAAAAGAAAAAGTTGGGGGGATAAAAAGGGAAGAAGGGGGGTGATGAAGAGGAAGGACGAAGTGTTGCAGGAGCTTTCTCACTAGTCTCCCCCCCTCAACCCGTGTTCAAGGGAAACCGGGACTAACAGGTATCACCTTGATAGCTCATTCTCTTTACCACAACTTTCAAATACCTTCAATCTTATCTTCCTAAGCTTCATGAATCCAATTATTTGTCATCTCTTATTTGAAATTCCTATTCTGTGTCTTCATTCTCTAATGTATCAGCAGTTGATCTAGTGCTACCTTGACCAAAGATAACGGGAGCTTCAGCACATCATCCGCAGCTATCACCAATCAGAGGTGCCACATTCGGGATTTGATACCTCGGCCTAGAGCATTGAATCTGGGATGTCGTGGTGTATTTGGCATGAGTATAGACCAACATCTATTCAAGCAATATCTCTAGTCTCATCTCGATGCCACTTTCCTATATAACCAAGTTCCATAACCCTATGTCACCCCAGCCTCCTCAGTGGGTCCGTGCAGTGTAGACCCAATGACGTTCTCCGTCTTGTGATGCGAAGCATATGATCATCCGGTGCAAATGATGTTGCGATAGCATTCTTATATGTCTGCAAGTTTCTCTCCATTTCCCGTGCACTCATCAGATGGTTAAGGGGTGGGGGGAAATAGGAGAGAACGTGCACGGATACGCCATCGGCTAAACCTCCAGAGGCAATGGCTGTCAAGGCTAAAACAGGGCGTTTCCCCGCAAAATCGAGAAAAAAAAAATCAATAAGGAACTCACGAGGGACGTATGACTTTATATGCAAGTATCAGCGATAGGTCCATAGCCGTTCTGAAGACTAGCGCACATGAGTTAATGGGCCCATTTCTTTTTGCTTTATAAAGTCGTTAGGGCCTCTGGTCGGCCCCGTCTGGTTCCATGAAATCTCCTCGACGGTTATATCATAAGGCATTCCGCTGATTGGATTCCTTTGGGATTTGGACATCTGAACCGTTCCTGGCTGCGTTCATTTCCCCAATTTGCCTCCTTCCCCCTCTCTTCTCTTTCACTTCCATCCTACAACTTCCGCCGATGCGCATCTAGAGATGTCTTGGTAAACTACTTTAAGCCGCTTTTTTAGCCCAGTTGCCGATCGCTCTGACGTACTCTGTACCCGATCTGCTCTCTCGCCTTGAATCGAGAACAACTGTGAGATTGTCAGGCAGAATTGCCCAGCGCTGCAAACCACGCCATGTCTGCCTCTACCGCCACCGCCTCCACATTGTCTGACTCTCCTCGCCCGGGGCGTCTCCGCCGCCTTAGCCAGCTACGCGCTTACACCCAAAATCTCTCTTCCCCCAGTGGGCAACGGGCTCGCAATTCTCTGAGTAGCCGAATCCCCTGGTTATCGCCAACTTCTAGCGAATTCCCTCAAAGCCAGGGGACATCTACTTCATGCCCTGACGATAATTCTCCTTTGTCTCGCTACACGTCCGCGCCCACTGGTTATCGAGCCGATAGCCAAGTCTCATCCGCTGAATCTGCATCTCCCCCTCCCACCGACTCGAATCGCTCGACTGAAATGGCTCGACTCCGAAGCGTCTCCGCCGTTTCTGGCCGGGCACCACGACTGGGGCGCACTGCGACCCCGGAGTCACTGACCCAAATACAAACCGCCCCAGTGCCAGCCCCAGTGACCACCCCGTCCCCAGAGCCAACCACGGCGAGCGACGCAGCGGATCTACCCATCTCAACCCTCGATGCGCAATCACCAGACGCACCCAAACAGAGAGCCACCATTCGGTTCTTCCCCTATCAGGATAGCTACCAGAATTCTCGCCCCTCATTACCCTTTGTCCCCATCTCCCGGACCCTACCATCGGAGAGCTGTGTGATTCGAGTGGGTCGCTATTCTGAGCGTGATGGTATTCCCATCCCCAACCCCGTTGAGCCGTCAGATGCTCCTGTGGGCTTCAAATCCAAAGTGGTCAGCCGCAAACATTGTGAATTTATGTACGTCAATGGCCAGTGGCATGTTAAAGATGTAGGCAGTTCGTCCGGCACGTTCTTAAACCATATGCGTCTGAGCCAGCCGAACATGCAGTCTCGTCTGTATACCATCAAAGATGGCGATATTGTGCAGCTAGGAATTGATTTTCGGGGCGGCGAAGAAATGATTTTCCGCTGTGTGCGCATTCGTATCGAGTGCAATCGCTCTTGGCAGCAACAACCAAATGAGTTCAAGTATGATCTCCCCCTTTCTCTCATACGATTCCTGCTAATCATTCAACAGTAAAAATACGGAGAGTCTCATCAAAAATTTGGGAAAGGGAGAGACCGCAGATTATTCTGGCTGCCGAGAATGCTCGATCTGTTTGGGCTCGGTTTTGGTACGCCATTCATTCCCTTCAACCTTAACTACTGTTAACCTTTGCCCAGCGACCTTACCAATGTCTGTTTATGGCTGCATGTGCCCATGTTTGGCATTATAAATGCATCAGTCGCCTTCTCCATTCCCCCGACTACCCAATGTTCCAATGCCCCAATTGTCGCGCATTTACAGACCTAAGCGCCGAAGTCGACGACACTAATGACTACGAGCCCGAGAGCAAGGAGGACAAAGAAGCGCCAGCAACTACCGAAGAAAACGGACCTGCCCCTCGTTCCGAGACACAGTCGCCATCAAACGCTCCCTTAGCCACTGATATGCCGCACCAGCAAGATGCCATCCCCGAAGAACCAGACTTGGTCACCGACGTGGAGAACATGCACCTGCAGGAACCGAGGCCAGACGTGGACACGGAAGATAGCCGAAGCACCGACTCTCCTGCTCCGGATGGGAGCAGTGATGATCTTTCGCGTAGCGCAACGCGCAGCGCCGCCACTAATATACCCGGCTGGCAGTCCACTCAACCTCTCAATGTTCCCCATGTCTCTCACCTCCGGGCAGATACACCCGTCCGCTCGGAGACCTCAGATGACAACCCCCTGACCCCGAGAAATGATTCGGGGCCCCTTGCCTTCGACGGTCGTGCAGGCATGCAATAACGAGCGCTTGACACTCGAATTAATCATTCATCTTGCGATATTGGTCACATACATTAAATCATTTATTTTTGAAACCACAGATATTGGCGGTCTCTTTGATGCATCTGCATGCCTCAATAGCGTTTATATTCTTGTTCTCGTCTAATTTGACTCATGGCACTCTGGCGTTTCCTTTGTTCCTACCCCCCTGTCGTTTTTATACCCCTCTTGCAGCAGGCTCTCCATTGTGGTGATACTAGGCGATCTAGGAACATTCTTTGGTTGATCTTCACTTTGTTCTTATTCACCAGTTCATATTGAGTCAAATGCTTTTTAATACGCAATTATGAGATCCAACTGATCTTGCCTGAGTTCTTGCGATTCTATTAAACGACTATAATTAGTGCTTACTACCCCGCTTTGAGGTCAGCCTTATACTGTGGGGCTACAAGGATGTAGGACCTCGTGTCTCAACTCAAAGTTTCAGCTTCGGTCCCTTGTTTTATCTTCATATACAGTGGCGACCGCTATCGTTTCCTTACTGAGCAGAGAGAGTCTCTCAAGCCGTAATCACATGATACGTCAATGCGTACATGATTGGCTTTATATCTAATGATACGTTCCAGGCTTGAACTGACTCAGGACAAGTAAAAAATTTCTTAATGTATGTGTACATGTACCCGTTACAGGTCTAAAAATACCAGATCAACCGCAAGATGCTCATCAAATTTTCGTATGATAGTGCCTAGCAATATCCTCACTATATCACATGAAGGGAGAGCTTTACATGGAAATTCAATAAATGACCTGGGCTCTTATTCTCATTTTCACAACAGATGCTTTCTGCTTTGTCAAGCGTGAAGTATTTGTTGGGTTGGAGGTCAGGAAACCAACCATCCATGGATGTACACACTGAAGGCGCACTTCGGAAGATATGCAAGGAGATTAGATATATCATGAGGCACTAATCTTCTTCTGTGATATTGAGCATGTCGAGCTGCTCCAGAGCTCCTTGCATCATGTTGTGATCTGGACCCAAGGCTTTCTCGTATCCTATGAGTGCTCGCTGGTATATCTCCTCTGTCTCCTTGAGCTTGCCTTGATCAGAGTAGAGAAGGCCAAGGTTGTTCATCGTTTCGAGAGTGGACGTATGATCTAGACCTAGGGTTTCTTCGTAGCCTGCCAGTGCTCGCTGATATATCTCTTCTGCATCCTCGAGCCTACCCTGATCAGAGTAGAGATTGCCAAGGTTGTTCATGGTATCAAGAGTGGCAATATGGTCTGGACCCAGGGCTTTTTCGTAGCCTGCCAGTGCTCGCTGGTATAGTTCTTCTGCCTGTTTCAGATTGCCTTGATGCTTGTAGAAGATCCCAAGGTTACTCATAGTATCGAGAGTAGATTCATGATCTGGACCTAGAGCTTCCTCGTAGCCTGCTAGTGCTCGCTGATATATCTCCTCTGCATTCTCGAGCTTGCCTTGATCAGAGTAGAGATTACCAAGGTTGTTCATAGTATTGAGAGTGGATGTATGATCTGGACCTAGGGCTTTCTCGTATCCCGCTAGTGCTCGCTGGTATAGTTCCTCTGCCAGTTTCATACTGCCCAGGCTTTTGTAGAGGTTACCAAGGTTGTTCACAGTATCAAGAGTGGATGTATGATCTGGACCTAGGGTCTTCTCGCATCCTGCAAGGTCTCGTAAATACATCTTCTCTGCCTCGTTAAGCTTCCCCTGATTTTTGTAGAGAATCCCAAGATTGTTCACAGTATTAAGAGTGGATGCGTGATATGGACCTAGGGTTTTCTCCTTGCCTGCTAGTGCTCGCTGGTACATTTCCTCTGCCCCCTTTAGATCGCCCTGATGTTTGTAGAGAATCCCAAGGCTGTTCATAGTATTGAGAGTGGCTGGATGATCTGGACCTAGGGCTTTCTCGTAGCCTGCCAGTGCTCGCTGGTACATCTCCTCTGCCTCCTTGAGCTTGCCTTGATCAGAATAGAGATCACCTAGCCCAAGGAATGCGCCCCATACAGTATTATTCTCCCTTTGAAGTTGAACACGTTGAACGTAACTCGCATGTGGGATAAGCCGTTGCTGAAGTTCTGAATAATTCCTGTCGCTTTCACTAGGAACTATCCATCCGACTGATATCAGTGCTAGTTCAGAAAGCTGGCTAGAAGTCACATCTTTAGTCGTACTGGCAATGTGAAAGCACCAGTCTTGCACCACAGGATGTATTGCATAGCTCCCTTCTTGTTGCTTCGTTTCAAGAAGAGAGAATTCTATAAGGGGCTTCACATAACCTTTGAACGTAAGTCCACTTGATATGATGTTCTTAAGCCAGCCTGGAACATCAGGGCTATTAGAAGCACTTTGCACTAACTCATACCAAATGTCTCGATTGTCGAAGCAGGCAAGTAATAGAAGAAGCTTTGCTGCGTTTGGGGCTCGATTTTGGATCTCACGGTATGATATCATCCATGTCTGTAGCATATTTCCTTGCTGGTACTGACGCCCAGGGCTTGATTGTGACTGTAGTTCAGACCATGATTCCTGGTAGAAATCTAGGTACTGGGTAATACTAGTGCCGGTCTGACGCATAAATGCCGCAGCGATGACAATCGCTAATGGTAGTCCGTCAAGACGGTGAGCGAGCGCAAGGGTATCTATTCATATTAGTATTATTGCTAAGATCTTTATATCAAGTATATACTATCCTACCTACGCTACCCTTTAGATCCTCAAAAGTGCTATCTTCCGATAGACCGCTGTTCTTTAAGAGAAGCTGAATAGCTTCTGTCGAGGCAAGCCTGTCAATTGGAACGGACTTTGCTCTGAATTCTTCAATGAGCCCTGGAAGTCGAGAGGTGATGAGGATAGAGCCATGATCTGTCGCGGGAAAGAACTTTCCAATATCATATGCATTCCCAACGCCGCTATCAATTGGAGAGTATTGATCAAAGTTATCAAAAATGATCAACCAGCGAGAATTGCCGTCGTTTGCTAGCCACTGTAACACTTGCCTAGCTCGCTGTTCGAGCTCGTCGTCACCGATTGCCTCGTTGGTATGGGTTTGCCCAGGTAATCGAGGCAAGACAGAGCTTAATGATTGTAGAAGCGTGCCTCGATCTTTGCCATTTAACCAAAAGACAGCGGTGAACTCGTGTTGATGTTCTCGCGCGAATTGGACCGCTAGCTGTGTTTTTCCTATTCCACCAAGCCCATGTAGAACCGCGACCTTTCGTCTTTGGGAGTCTGTCGGCTTGTAAAATTGCCATAGGAGGTCTAGCTCGGCTTGCCGTCCCACGAAATTTTCGATCACAGGCACAGCCGTTAGATCAAGAGGAATTTTGAAGCGATTAACTAAGAATGTATAAGTCTATTCAGTAATCTATTCAAAAGGAAAGGAGAGGCCAAAGACCGAAGTTAGCGCTTCTCACCAGAATTTGATAGAGCATTTCGGGCTGTGGGGGTATTGTCGATCTGATTGAATGGAACCACCAAAAGCAGCTCTTTAGCATAGGCTGCCGCCACTGCCGCCGCATATCCTTGCCAGTCCTTATTCTTATGCGAGTCAGCATAGTCACAGATGCCTCGAATAACCAAACACTGAAAATCATTCATGAGCCCCGCCGCTTCCATCTCAACACAGTATATACCCAAGTCCTGGGCTAGTTGGTCTCGTATTCTGCCATTTTTCATCACCCGATTCGCAGATCCAATCAGTCCATAGTGAATGACTGGCTCATCATAGTCTCGCGAAGGTCGAGATATTACTCTCGATGGGTCGCAATTCACGCATGTATTAGATTCACCATGATCATATTCCGCTTGGTATAAATAGTCCTCTTGGGTAGGACGAGTAAACTTCGCGGCCTGACGCTGTGGTATCTTATTTTCGATGTCTGAAATAAATTCAACAACCCGACTGTCTTCTGTAAGATGTTGGGCTTGTATTGTGGCAAGAGCAGTTAGTAGGACCTTCGGAGGCCGGTTCAACATCCCAGTCCGCTGAAATCCATCGGGTAAATCTTTCCCAAAATCATATTGGATCACGCCTCCAGATGTGTCCCTTGGCTGGCTCACCACAATATCTCCTAGCCGAATATCTATGTTGCTGCTCGGTACGCCGCCACCAACACCGACCAATAGACCGAAGCGGATAGAGCTGAAGGTCGAGAGCAACTGCATCGCGACTATTGCAGCTGGTACAACGCCATATGTGCCGCCTGGTAGACAGGCAATGACGATGTTATGTTCTTCAATATTTCCAAGGATGTAATTGTTTTGATCGGTTGATGGATACGGCAGGTGCGGATGGATTGTATCCAACATCAGCTTTGCAGCCGCCATCTCCAGCGGTAAGGCGCATATCCATCCGACTGTATAATCGTCATGAGATAGGATGGCTTTAGCAGCCATGCTGGGTTATATAATGATAAGTCACCTGATACTGAAAGGCTGATCTCATATGAGGGTCATCAACGTCTGTAATCGCGCCACCACGGAAACTTCCTCGGAATGAATGCTGTACAGTTTGGGAGCAGCGGGGTTGGAAAGTGAGGCTGAGGCATCGTGATCTCACAGCCAATCATATTCGTGTAGTGGAGATGGGCGCGATTTACACGATCAGCATGGTACTCGGGAGACCCCCAAAATCCTGAGCGATCCACCGATCGCTAAAGCGTGCCTGACAATTCGTGGATCGCTTACCAGATCCGAAGATATGTCGTATAAGAAGGCCACTTCTGCTTGCCCGATCACTTAAAACCACTACCAATTCGAAACCTAGAGCCTTAGTCGCTTATTACATACAGATTCATTCACGTAGACGAGATGGTGTGAGCTAGATACTGAGATAAAATGACAGTAATCAACAAGTACTGTAAATCTAGATTACGCCCTTTTAATTTGCTCATACTTGGGTATCTGCTATTTTGTCAAGGTACTTCGGAATCTAAAACTTTTACTGGCGAGATTTGCTTTGGACTATTTGGATAATCGCATGCTACTTCATATCAATACCTTGAAAATGGAGAAGACCTTATTGAGATTATCAATCTTGGAAATTATAGGTAAGATGAATCAATATTAGGTTTACTTCTATGAGAGTAATATTGTGCCAACCAAAAGAAAAAGCAGTATGGAGTACATAGATAAATGGTACATATGTCGTAAATTTCCAATATTGTTACTAAAACGCCCCAGATGGAAGTTCAATGTGCCTCGGGTATCATCGTGATGCAGTGGCTTGCCACACAGCATGGCCTCGCTAGTCGGAGAAAAATTACAGAAAAAATCGAAGTAGATGGAATATAGGACAAGTCATGACGCAGTGATCATAGGTGATCCAAGGTTGTCCGTTGAGCCTTCAGATCTGAGATCAAGTGTGCTTGAGGCCCTGAGTGGTGGAACGGTTTGCTTGGTGTCATCCGTATGCAGGGAAAGGTGCTCAGGAGTTGATACGCTGGTTGCACGTGAAGTATTGGAATCGTCGTCGGTGATGGTGGTCGTAACGGACATGTTTTCGGAAATGGTGCAGTTGGACACTGATTCAGTCGTCTCGTATGGTATAGATTCTGGGGTAGCAGCCTCATCTTCAGGCTGTGTGGGAAGTGGGCCCTCAACGGCTTCGTAGAAAAGCATGAAAACACCGCCCTGAGACATCACATGGCCTTCGCTGACCATCTGCACATCGTCATCACTCAGTCGGTACCAACGTTCAGGTTTTTCTTTGTCTCCTTCGGCTTGAAGAACCTCGTCTGGGACATGGGCTGGGAATGTTGCAGTCGAATATTTTCGGTAGCAGATATAATGTCCGTTCTCGTGTCGACCGTAGTGGGTAATGATGGCCCGAAGTTCATAGTGTCTGCTGGGTAGACACACTGCCTGACCTGGCGAGGGGAGCATAGATTCAGAGGGATTTGTCACCCATTGCTCAAGTCCATCCTCGGATTTCTCAACCTGAGTACCGAGGCACCAGTCATTCAAGTCCATTTGCCTCGGGAACTTGACCGCGGCATAGTCCTTTTTCAGCATACCAGTCATTTCATCAAAAAGACTTCGGTTGATGTGGACAGCCAGACATTGTGGTGCGCGTGCAATCACTGCCTGTCGGGATTTGGTGGTAGTAACGCGATTTTTGGATGGGATATGACACTTATTGGTAAGTGTCTTTTCGGCGAAATCATCTTCATCGAGAGCGGCCTGCACAGAATCAAGCCGCTCCTGTGCGGATGTCCTCACAGCATCGGATAACCCTGGCGTCTGTAAACTGTCAGGTGAATCTTCGTCACCAGTCATGCCGCCAAGGAGATTTTTGAGTTGAAATTGTGCGCGCAACAATGTGCACTTGGCACACTCCACCCCCTCAATGGGCTCCAACGTCATGTACTGATCCAAACACTCGCGCACATCATACTCGAAACTATCCCCGAGCGGCACGGTAAGACAGTTGAATGGGATGAGCGACAGCCCTTCGGTCCAGCCACACTTCATGCAGCCCACTCGTTGTGCAAGCAGCCCTTCCAGTGGGTTTCGTAACGATGATTTCTCGCTCACACTCCTTTCGGTGTCCAAAGTATTATCGCAGATGTCCTTCAATATATTCTCCTCTCGACCAACCATCTTTAACCCCATATTTCTTGTCTGTCCCCGCGATGCATGTTGGATTTCGATATCGATTTGGTCAACCAACTTAGAAAAGTATTCTTGCGCGTCTTGTTGTTGCCAACTGCTCATAGATTTTAGGTCGGCAGGAATCCACAGCTTGTGCCCATAATTAGATGCGCTATTTAGATGCTCGATGATTCCTTTTAACGCTTGGTGTGTAGAAAATGACCCCTTCTCCCCTAGAGACTCGACATTTCGCCCCAGGAAAGTTGCAAGGGATTTCAAAGAGGCCAGTCCTTGGATAATGCTATTTTGGTAGCAGGAGTTGTCCCAGTTCCCTAGTCCTGGCGGTATCGCGTCGCTGCTGTTGCCCAGCAGGGCATTCCCGAGTCCCGATAAGGACCGCGAGCGTGGGAAGAAAGGGAAGGAGTTGTTGTCAAGACCCAGAATTCGTTGCATTGCCTCATTCTTGGTCTGAAAGCTCATCTGGGGGGGACTTGAGGGGGATGATTCGGATGGCGACATGCGAGTATCCAATGCGACAATGATCCAAGACGGTGTTGCGAAGACAAGAACGTTCCAAGCGATACGGATTAAGGAGACCGGAGCGAAGCCAAAATGATCGAGGAGGAGATAGACTGATAGCAGGGCGAGGAGAACATAGGCTAAGGTTTCGTTGTTCTGTAGTGAAGTGAGAGCTGTCTCATGGTGGCTGTTTAGGCTTGCGTAATGGATGGGGCCAGTCGAGAAGATGTTAGCGCCCTCTCTGCGAGCATTCATGGCGGAAGAGAAGAAGGGAAAGAGCCGCAGCAGCAGGAATAAGACCTGTTGAGCATGGGCCGTAAATTTCCGAGGAATAAGGGCGAGAAGGCCAGGTTGTGTGAGGAGGTGGAGAAGAAAAGTATACAAACGTTTTGCTTTTCAATCCGGGGCTGCGCTTTGGGTGCATCGCGCTCTCCGCGAAATTTTCTTTTATCGATAGCAAAGTCTCCACACACTTTTTACTCAAAACAAATCCCACCATGGCCAAAAGTAAACGTGAGTTGCACTGAAATTTTTTTGTATTCTACATTTCTAATTTATATCTCAGCCAGAGTATCTAACACTCGTGCCGCTCGGCGGGCGGCTTCGCCCGTAGATCGGTCTCTGGACGCTGCCCCCCGAGTTGAGGAGGAGGTTGAACGCCCTTCCGTCTTGGCTGAGCGTCGCAGTTCCGGTATTCAGAAGAAGCAGGCACAGAAGAAGCTGTCTAGGGCGCAGCGCTTGAGACAACAGAAGGGTATGGACCGAGCAGAGGCCGTCTTGGACCAATTGCAAATTAAAAAGGCCAAGAGTCTCACTCGTGGAAAGGCTGTCAAAGCACGAAGTGTATGAATTTCTAATGAACTGTCCGCCCTTGGTATATTTGTGCTAACAGAAAATCCCGCACCATAGGCTGAATGGGAAGATCTGAACAAGAAGGCACAAGCCTTTGCTGCTCTTCAGCAAAATGACGAAGACGAAGACGACGATGACGACGAGAATGATGCCATGAAAGAAGATACTGTGCCCACAAAGCCCAAACAAAATCCCTTTGCTTCTGCATCGAATGATGTGGTGGAGGCTCCTGCGACCGTCGATGAGGATGATCAGATCACCTGAATAATGCCGATCTCTGGAAGTTTATTTCCTCGGCCTAAGTTGGTTGATCATGCGCTCAATTTCCGTAATTGCAGGACCGGACGCCTTGGTCCGAAGGAGTTCTAAGGTGTTAATGTCCTTGGCCTTTTGTGCCTCTTCTCCCGCCTTGACGATCATTCCACACTTGATCCACATCTCAATCCGCTCGGCGACTGGTAAGGTTGTGCATTTAGGAACGAATAACGAAGCAAGCTTTGTGTTTCCGGCGCCAAGGACCTCGTTATAAAAAGGCTGTTATCTGGTGTAAGCATAATTCGAAGCAGCTCCGTGATTAGAAATCTTACCTCCCACCCAATAGGGGACTTTTTGCTCCTACCAATTTCCTCTAACTCACCCCAATCGCGTTTAGCCACCAGGGCTCGAAGGCGCAACCACCAAAAGGTCTTCTCGGGCATCTTAAATTCGCTCTGCATCTTATGCGCACGTTTTCCATAACCAGCCCGAAATAGCCTGAAGATTGTTTCGTTCAAACTGAGACCCATGAACTCTGAGTGGTCTGCAAGATCTTTGTCCAATGATTCTTGGGCCTTAATGAGCTGGGATGCTTCAGAAATCAATTTTTGTTGTAAGACCACGGTAGGATCTTTCGAATCTGACAGCAGACGCGATGCAAGCGCAAGTTTCTCCGTCTGGCGTTGGGGGTCTGATTCGCGTAAAGCTTCCGACAATAGCGCATTAGATCCATCGATAGGCCGATCATCTTGGTAGTATAGATCCTTTAGAAGCTCGGTGTCTTCATCTCGAGCCGCAGTTTCAACAAGTGCGGATGCCATGGGACGACTATTGATCATTCGGAAGAAGCTCGCTAGAGGGATCGTACTCTTCAGGTGCAGAAGAACGTAATTCACTAGATCATCATCTCCGCTTTCAATTGCCTTGTCCAAGGCAAGCTCATCTTCCTCCATGTTTAGTAGCAATGGGACTTGTTTGCCAGCTCGTGGTTCATGGTTCAACAGCTGCGTAGCCAGGTGCGATCGACCTTCATCATAGGCAGTTTGTGCAATGACCTCAAAGGAGATACCTGGCTTTCCTTCTAGTCTTTGAACAATGAGCTTGCATACTGCTTCATCATCTACCGTAGAAACCCGGACCTTTTGACTTGCCCAGTGAACATAAATCCGATCTGCAGGTATCTGGAGATACTCAGAGACTCGGATGGCAAGGAGATATTCATGACGGCTAATTAGACGCTCGATGAGGCCTTCCGGAGTGAGACGTAGATATTGCTCATATGATAGCGGCAACCCGATTTGATAATCTCTCACTGCCGTCAAGACTCTCAATTTTTCGGTCATCTCGACAAATTCATCACTGTTGTAAAGCTCGATGACTGATTTTCCAAACGATGCTGCCTTCAGCAATCGTTTCTGCCAATAAGCATCGAATTCATGGCCCGCGGCTTTGATACACGTATCAACCGCTGCAGGAAGACTTGAGCGAATGCGCTGAATATTCTCATCCGCTTTAGGCGACTTCTTTTCCAATTGATCCACAGAGTCAAGTAGCACGGACGCAGGAGAGCCAGAACCAAGTCGAAAAATCTCTTCTGTAACGCCGTGGACTTTGTGTAGAAATTCGCAAGTATCATTGGTGAGCAGACGAACTCCATCAAATTCGGGTATGACATGCACACGGCCATCGTAGTAGTATCTATCGAGGGTCAATAATTATCACGAATGTAAAGGGAAGCTACTTACTTGGATGCAGCACCACTAGGTCCGACGAGATGAATCTCGTCCTCCCAGGCGAGAATAACCGCATCATCTCCGCACCATTTCACAGTGCTAGGTGGTACCCGAGATTTTGAATCATACTCGCTAAGCTTGTTCTGGAAGTCGTTGCTGACAACCCATAATTTGCCCTCTGCGGTGAAAAGGCCAACAAAGCGCCCGGTCGGAGATATGCTAACATGCTTAAATGGACCGTCTTGCAGAATCTTGTCTTCGGCCTCTGTAGAGTCGACCAGATAGACAGTCTTATCAACCGCAAGCAAGACCTCCACGGATCGCGAAAGAGTATGCGCGGGTGGGATCAACGCCCATGACGAGACTTCACCTTCAGGGCAAGGTGCAAGAAGCTTGGGTCTTGGCTCATCATATTTTGAGACCGCGATCAGCTGGTTGTTGGACAACAATGCTACAAGGCCGGATGACCAGAATTGGCAGTCTCTCACGCCATACTCTTCGGCACCCTACTACTATTAGCTGGTATTCAAATGACAAGGCTCAAGAGCCAACTCACGTTACCAAGGGAAAAAGAGGTGAAGTCGCCGTCCAAGCCGAAATAACGGCGGACTGTGCCATCCTCAGCCACGACCAAGAGCTCCTCTTTGTCGGACCAGCCGATTCCACGGATAGTGGCTTGCTCCCACTTAACAGAACAGTCAGTTTCAAGCAATTACGGAAGATAGCGTAGGAGAACACACGTTGATTCGATGAATTTGCTTTCCTGAGCATGAATAAACATCGATGCTCGATCGGGACGCCTGTGAATCCCGCAGCCTGATGGGCTTGGTCTCATCGCGATAAAGCGCTACAGAAATCTCTTGTTTAGCTGCAGCCTTTTAACTCAGAGAGGAACCATACCGATAGCTCCACCATACGGCGCGCCCGTGACGATGTAGTTCTCTAGTTCAACATCCTCATCGAAGATAGCGTCATATACGGGGATTTTGCGATAGAAGCTGTCGCCGACCTTCTCCCAGTTGGCGAGAGGGTTTGAAGGTGCCATTTCGGGGCAGTAATGATCACAGAAGATGGCCCTGGAAAGACCATACGCCCGTATCCCCGTGTCGATGTTGGTGACGGAGTGAAACCGCAGCTTCCCCGGGGGGTTCGCGCTAGTCCGCTTTGGAGAGCTGTTGGTGGCTGATTATTAAGGCACCGAGGCATCAACGGGCATCATATGTCCGCAGCTCCCAGTTATCCCACTCACCTACTCTATCCTGTCACGCCTACAGGGATTGGGTTGTCGATGGAGCTCAAGAATGGATGATACGAGTCTTGAGGATGTTGCACGACAATTGTCTGATCTCGAAGTGGCTCTCTTTCTGTGTCTCGCCGCTCAAGAACATTGCTTGATTGAGACCACGGGCGACTCCGTTCATGACCTTGGCAAAGAGTTAGCGCTGGTATGACACCTCGTATAGGCAAAACCTCATGTAGATTGGAGACTGATGAATTCTTAGATATGTTCAAGCACATTTGAACTCTCATACTCTATTCTTGATTGTGGCTCTGGAACCTCCATCGAGGATATTCATAATGAGCTCCTTACTGCAGACGCTCGCAAATCATTGGTCCGCCCGTCGTACTCTCGGGCGAGGACCGAGACGGTATGGATTCTGGTTCATAGGCAAATCGCTTTTGTGAATATCGACTGACCATCGCAGTCCAGCAATCTTTCTTCCTACCTTGGCGGACATCGGGACCGCAGCAAGTCCCCCATTCCGAGTATGGTAGCTAACGAACCAAATGTGGTCAATGTTATCATTGCCAAGGACTTCAACTTGACTAGCGAGGATTTTCAAGTTCAAGTGTTGCAGGTAGACTTCAGCTCTTGCCCGCGTATCAGCAAAATACTGACTACTGCAGTTAATGCGGACCCGGCAGCTGGTGACAGAAATCGGCATACTCAATGCGCCTTTGGATTTCTTGTTTGTGCCACTTGTGGCGCGGGACTCTGCTGAGCTACATCCCCCACTAAAGGCACATCTGGTTTGTACTTCTGATTCGCAATCTGCTGCGGAAATTACCTGACGTAATTGCTATAGCGTGACCAGCTATTCATCTCGCATTTCCACGACCCCGACGATGGGTTTGTATACCTTGAAGAGAACGACTGGCTTTCCGATGCTCAGCTTTCTGCGTCGTCCGTAATCCATACCCCAAAACCACTACAGAAACCGAACCCCAAAGTCAACCGCATGGTAAGCATCTAATAATCCCTTGCCAGTGACCAGTCTCTCAATTATCAACTATGTAGGTAATAGAGAAATTCCGCGAAGCCAGCAATTCAGTCACTATGAGTGCTGAAGTGGTTAGGTATATCCAAGATATCGTTGTTTTCTTGCGTCTCAGTCGCGCAGTTGCCGGTGGTGTTTCAGCAAGGGCGAACTCTCAATTTTCCCAGCTTGCCCAGTAAGTCAAGATTGAAACCTGAAGTTGCTCGTTATTGATCGGGATTTGCAGATTCCTGACCCCGCTCCACGGCATTGATTACCTCACACCTTCGATCGTGGCATTGGCTGCGAGAAAGGTATTTCGCCATCGCATTGTCGTTGCCTCTCCTGGTGATGATCGAAGCCTCCAATATGGAAGCGACCTCGCCGCCGTTTCCCGCGTATTAGTTGACGTGACACCGGACTCCATTTTGGATGGTGTCCTCGAGCTGGAACCACCACTTTAATCATCATCATTGAATCTATTCAAAATACCCTCTAAACTTATGATCAACTACTGAAGAAGTAGGTTTAATACTAGGTTTCTTAAGCATACAGCTGCAACAAAGGATCCGGGATTTGGGTTGTCATTGTGTTCATGGTTGTGTTCACCATTTCTCCTTTTCAATGAACACAAATCTCATTATCGGAATAAATCTGCTGCATATCTGGCACAGCAAATGTGTGACTAAGATACAGAAAATAGATATCTGGAATCACATGAAGCAAACACGTCAAAGCAGCATAGAAAATGAAACATACAAATGCAGAATACAAATGCAAAGAAGCCCATTCAGAGAGCCGAACTGAACGCCATAACCAAATGCCATGACCCGATTGCAAGAACTTTTCATATTATCTGGACAACGCCATCATACCGTTTCGTTCCTTTTCATTCATTGTCAATGATTCATGGACTAATTCTCCTCTCCCTCGGAATCGTGTCCACGATTCCGGCGACGCCGATGCTCAGTGACGGGACGATCCTCCATAAAGATGCTTGAAAATCCCTGGAAACGCTCGTCTGGCATAGCGTAATGGACATTGTGTAACGCTTGCTGTTCAAGTCCACGGGAAAAGACATCGGTCAGGCGCTGGAGCTCCCGAATATGGTCATCATCCAGGACACGACGCCAGTCAGCGCGGCGCTCTCCGCGAATCTCATCTTCCTCGTCTAACTCCATCCGCTGTGGACTGTGAGCAGGCTCGGTAGGAAGAGGATCATAAGCGAAAATACTAGCAGGCGGTGCAGGATATCCGTACCGGTTAACGGAAAGTTCAGCAAGAGCATCGGCGTAAGGAATGAGAGTGATACCAAAGGCATCCTGCTGGGGGTTGTTGAGACCGTTAAAGCCAGCGTTGTCAGTCCGAGCTTGGTTCTGGATGGGGGACTCCCAGTCAGAGTCAGTGGGAAGAATGTTTTCCTTGTCTTCATTCATGCCACCATAGGATCGTGGCGTGCTGGGAGAGGTTGATTTCTTGTCGGGGCTGTCTTCACGAATATCAAAGTACCAGCCACCGGTGGTCCGCGTTTCATTCTCGCCGCCGGCGATAGAGGTGTTATCCTCCGACAAGATTAGAGAAGAATCACCGAGCCTGGCACAAGGAGAGGTTTGGAAGGGATCAGGAGAGCTTTCATAATTCACATCTTCAATGTTGTCTGGGTTGGGGGTTCGGTCTAAAGAGAAGGGAAATCGGTTGGCATACTTTGTTGGAAACATCAAGTGACATCGCCGAGGGGGTTCATACCTCTGGCATAATTGGAGCGACGCATTGCTCGTTCAAAGATGGATGTTCCTGGTGTAGCAGGACTCTCTGAGTGTGGAGGTACCCAGTCATGGGATCGCAACGACATGGAATGAGTAGGGCGTGGATAAGCTAGAGGCATTTGGCCTCGCCTGGTAGGGCTAAGCGAGGGGCAATTGCCACCAGGGAGCTCCATTTTTAGGATGATGGTTATCGAGTGAGAGGAGAAAGCACATGGGAGAGATAGGGTAGAAGAGAAGAAATGCGTTGACATTCGTTGTCGTCGTGCTTCCCAATTAAGACGGGACCCATCTACATATCATACCTGGTGAGTCAACAACTACTCAAGACAGGCGGCAATCTAAATTATGTATGCCTATGTAGTCTGTTATTATGGCTCTCAGGTGTAATAATAAAGGTGTTTGGTTCTACACGCGTTGAAGAGAACGAAGCCTGCTAGTAGAGATTGAACTAATGAACCTACTGTTACCCATCTAAGCCCCTCCACAGATTATTAGTGATAAGACCAGTCATAAAGTCACATAAACATCATCGATGTTAAGTCCGAACTTGAAGGTTAAGCTTGAACTTGGTTTAGAATATATACAGTTCCTTCGAGTTAATGTGCCTTGGGTCAAACTTGAGAAGCTAAGAGACTTGAGACCGGGCCTCAAAATTGCTTTCTGCTTCTCTGTTGTCAAATACAAAAGATTTGATAAAATACGCTGTGTTATCAAAGAGCGTTGTTTTGTACATTTCGTATACCTGATGCCAAGGGTGGTTGGTTTTCAGGTTGGAAAATGTGGGGGCTGGCATACAAAAAGAGGGGATTTCCCCAACATCACCCCCTGAAGCAATAACTTACTCCAGATCTTACTAAATCGGAGTACCCTCGCTCGAATGCTTTAATTAGTTCTTCATGTCCGGGGCAGAAATTCTCGGCGTCGTGGCCAGTGTGATTCAGATCGCCGAACTCGGCGGCAAGCTCTCAGTCAAGCTATGCACATTCTGCCATCGATTCAAGAATGCCAATAAATCACTAAGAGGTCTTTCTAAGGATATCGCACTGACCTGCAATGTGTTACGTCAACTGGGAGAGAGTCTGGAACAAGACGATTTGGCCACTTTATGTTCTCCCGATGCCTTTGAGACAGCCCAGGAGGTCTTGAGGGAGTGTGAGAAAGTCTTTCAAGATCTGGACCATACCATCGAACAGCATTACTCAGACCCTTCTTCCAAAACAAGGATTGAGCGAGCAACGAAAAAGATCTGGTTCCTAATGAATGAGCCACATTTGGATGCCATGGCGGGGAACTTGGAAAGATTGAAATCAACCATGCTTTTGATGCTAAATGTGATTATGTATGCGGGCCAAATACGCAGGTGAGATCCCCTGGTTTTCTCGGATCGTGGGCATTGCCGCTAATGCATGAGCAGTCGCCGTGAAGCAAATGAGCTTCAAGAGCAGCGGAATTTGCTGCTTGTGCTAGCCAACGAGAAGCTTGAGAGCGAAAGGAATTACGAAAATCTTACGAAGTCACTGCAATATGTCAGTCTGAGCGTTTCAGAGACCGGTACTTTTGATTCGTCTCGAACAAATGAGACAGATGAAGACAATGACGAGCTCTACCACTACTATAGAATGGTCAAAACTGTGCTCAATGATATTGATTCCGTGCAAGGATTTTTGGACAGCAGTCGCTATCAAAGAGTTAGAAGTGGCTTTGCTGGAGTGCATAAGATTGAAGCATCGACTCTTCAAGAGAAGTATGGCAAGAGAGCTACTCAACTCTTCCAAAGCAATCTTCTGGGAATCGGTAAGTTATCTCCATGTCACTACTGTGCATGATACCAATATATATAGTACTGTGCGAATACCCACTGACCGAAGCTTATAGAAACCGACTTAGCTGCGCCTATACCTTCCAAAGGGTCCACCAATAACGTTGTAGGTCCTCAATTGAATTCTTTAGTCAACTATGTACTAATGGTCAATTTCTTACGTAGTTGCCTTTGTCCTCTGATAGTTTTAGCCTTGATTTTAGTCCGATAGACCCCGACGGTCTTGGGAGTTTTGACTTTGACACTTTCCTTGGAACTGAGACGGCCCAGGCGTCTGTACCATTTTCATCTGAGACAGTCTCGAGTCCAATGACGACTCGGAAGCGGAAGGGACGCCTGGCCCCTGAGGCGCAAGATGATCCCGATATGTCTATACCTCAAGAGGATGGCATACCCGAAGCCAAAAGACAAAATAAAAGACGAGCTGCAGAACATACCATATCACAGGCTTTGCCTGAATATTGCTTCTCGTCTCCACATGCTGGTGCAAGCACGGAGGTGCAAAACACATCATGTGGTGAAACAGAGTCTGCAGCTCCAAATGACCCTCTGCTCGAAGGGCTGGAAATTTTTATTCTGCGCTGGACAACCTTGACAGAGACGGAGCTGGGCAAGTAGAATTGTGGGGCCATTCAGGGTATGGGATGTACTAGTAAGGAGGCCTTGACGAAGCTCGAAGAGGAAGTGTCCCACAAATTGTATGTCGTGAATACATGCTGTGTGAGAGCTATAAACACGTCCTGTGTCACTGACGCTGTAGGAACTAGAATAAGAACCTACTTGCTTTCGTTCCAACCGAGGTCGCCCTCTCTGATTCTATCAATAAGGAGCCTTCGGCTTGTTTTGATTTCAAGCTCAATGCGAAATCGAATTGTGTATCCACCACAATCGGGTGAGCGGATCCACTCAAACGAAACTCACGAAGCAATGATCGACAGGGATCTCGCACCGTGCCTTGTTCTTAGGGGTTTGGGCTTCATCGGACGCTAAAATCCTTCAGATCTGTACCAATTTCAAATCGAGAACCCCTGATCGATTCTCTACATAAGGACGTGATCAGCCCTCCACCTGAAGTCACTCGAATCATGACCCGAGATGCCTATTGCGATCTACAATCCCATATGAACTAGCTGCTCTAGATTTTGTGTAGTGGACCATAATGGATACTATGCCATCATTTCAAGGAAACTGAACATTAACAGGACCTAGGGCAGCCTAGGGCTTATGTGTGCCCCTCTATACTATTAGAAAATAGTATTTGCTATAAAGGAGATCCCTCCCCAACCGTCTCACGACCCCCATATCTACATATTCTCAGGTGTTGGATTCTCCAAGTCACATCAAAATGCAGTTCAAAAACATCCTCGTGGCCTCCTGCCTGGCTCTCGGTGCCTCAGCCACTGCCACCAACGCCACCGATATTGCTCCGTCAGTCCAGAACCGCTTCGCCCAGATCGACCTTGGTTACCAGCAAACCTACCTGCTCCTGAACCACCTGGACGACGGCACAAATGACACTTCGGCTGATGTGAGTGACCAGTTAACGCAAAGACAGACCTTTATTGCCTGCGTATGTAGTTACTAACGCGGTATTTCGAACTCAGGACGTCGTTTCTGCCTACAACGCCACTGCTTATGGCGAGGCTAAGGACCTTAGCAAGAACCAGCCCATCAAGCCTTTGACCGAGTCCACTCAGCTGGTGATTTGCCAGGCCTTCCACTCGGTATGAACCGGTTTCAAGGTCTTACATCCGAGTATGATACTAACGAGATTCTTGAATAGCTCGCCCTCACCGGTATCCAGCTGAACAACGCCTTTGTTGACAGTGCTTCTCACTTTGACAAGGCCCAGCGCAACGATCTGCAGGTTGCCCTGTCCAAGGTTAATGACGAGACTGGCGTGAGTTGTTTCTCCTTACCCTCTTCTAAAACGCATTGACTATTCTTCAGATCAGGTTAATGATGTTTCTTTAATATAGTCATTCTTTATTCACGTTGCCAAGCCTGCTCTTCCTTACTGCTTAGCTACCCTCCAGACTGACCAGTCTGCTATCTACAAATCGCTTCTTACCGCTGCACAAGCTTTGGATCCCTCTGAGGCTCTGGTTTAAGGTTTCTTTTAGGTATCTTGGTTTTCAAACGTCTCGGGGTGGTCGTGAATCAACGATCGTGACTCTTACAAACAGATCCTTGAATATATATTCTTGTATATACTGTACTATGTGTCTCTGGCGCAATGAATATCAACATATAAAGCAACCCAAATATTTTAAGCAAAAGTCTGGAAGGTTACAGATTGAAAACTCAATGCTTGCGCAGAACTATGGGGCACTCACCGCGAAGCTCACCGCGATAAAGAGGTGGGAACTCGTGGACTACGGCATTGTACGTATGAACTGAATGACCATTGGGAAAATACCTCGAAAGGGAGGGGGAGAGAGAGAAACACGGCCAGAAATCGATACGGCGCCCTCGCAACGACCTCTCGGGAAATGTCCACGACGGAGTTGATGTGCAAAATATAGCCAGGTGTGCCCAAATGCCGTACCGACCAGCTAGGCCGTTGTTACGATTGAAGGTTCAGACTCAAAAAATTTGTAGTTGAATAAATTGTAGTATCGATATCTATGAGTAGAGCCAGACTTCACTGATAGACAGCAGAAGCAAGACTCCCTGAATACATAAATCATCACAACCAATCTACCACAAAGTTTTCACATTTCATCACCCAGTCATCATTGTTACTCGGTTAAACTTCGCTGAATACATAGCACGTCACATCTCTCGAGCATCATCAACAGCAGGGGGGAAGGAAATTGTAGCCCCGGAGAAGTATGCAACACAAGCAAGAGCAACGCACAGCCAGGCGAAGCTAGAGCCATGATCGAGGTAGTATGGTTCAAGTGCGAGGGTGGGCATCATGATATCGAAAAAGGCACCACGAGTAAAATAAGAAATAAAAACAACAAAAGGGCAAGCAAATCAGAAAGTAACATGGTGCCTCGATCTCTCAAGAAGATGCAACGTTGCCGTGTAACCAGTCCAAGTTAAAACCGAGTCAGAAATCTTGAATCTCATACTATCCGCTGCAAATTTCCCCATGTATTCACACAGTTCCAGGTAAGCAGTAAAAATGACAATCCAGTAGCATGAGAGCAAAGTCCAGCGATGTTTCGTTTCATAGATTGAATTTACCGGAAGTGACCAGGTCCAACCATACCACCTCGAAGATCTCCGCCGTTGGGCTGACCAAACATCTCAAGCAAGTGGCGAGATGAAGGAGGGGGTCCCTGGGGACCCGGGTTGCCGGGTCCAAATGGGCCCTGGCCAGGGCCAAGTCCCATCATAACCTCCGGGTTAGGTGGCATGGGAGGAAATCCGGGCGGTGGGGGTCCACCCATGTATCCAGGCGGGGGCATCATGCCTGGAGGAGGGCCGCGAGGGAAGCCCTGTCGCTCGTTGATGGGGGGTGGGTTACCAGGCATGGGCATCATTCCAGGAGGGAAATTGGGATTCATGCCACGGTTGGGTGTGGGAATTCCAGGTGGGGGACCCATTGGCCCATTGCCTTGCTGAGGAGGAGGCTGACCGGTCCATCCAGGAGGTGGCATATGTTCAAGACCTGGAGGTCGCTGGAGAATGGGGGGCTGCTGCTGAGGGCCCTGGGGGTGTCGAGAACCCCCAGGAGTCATAGGGCCATTCTGAGTGCTTTGGGGGTAGTGTCCCTCATCAAAGTAACCCATCGGAGGCCCATTGGCCACTCGGCGCCGCAATTGATCACTATCCGGCCGCTGCATGTTGGCAATTGCCGGATCATCCAAGAAAGTGGGTGTTTTCTGGGCAGTCAACCCAGGCGGGGGGCGGGTCATCATTTCTGGCATCAACCCAGGAGGAGGGGGAGGACCGGCATTTGGAGACTGAGGCAAATGTCCAGCGGATGGCGGACCGATCCGAACTTGCTGCATCAGGCGGAGCAGATTCTCCCTGTCACGAGATTGGTGGTCTTTACCGGCAAACTGTGCCATGGGACTCTCCTGTGGAGGAATGGTGAACTCATGACGCGAAAGTGCAGGAGATGACATGTTCATCGCGCCACGGGGTTGCTCTCCTGACATCATCGACATGGAGCGCGGTTGATGCGATGAATCGACCTGGTTGGGAGTACCATTGTTGGATCGACCACCACCCCCACCCAGCATCTGGAGAATGCGCTGGAAACCTTCCTGGTCCGCGTCGCTGTGGGCACTGACTGGTGTACCTCCAGTCTGGGACAGGGGAACAGCCTGCGGTTCGGGACCTCGGGAAGGACTGTCTGGTGGAGGACTAAACAATCCGGCAAACCGAGAGGACTTTCCAGGCTTGCCGCTAGGGATTTCATGCTTCGGGGTCGGCTCAACAGGAGCTGGCGGGCTAACCTCCTGTACTGCAGGTTTGGAGTCACCTAGCATGCCAAAGAATCGATCCATCGCAACGTCGCCTACGAATTGGGTGCCAGATTGACTGAAGATCTCTCCGTCGGTGCGGCGAGTCTCCAGTTGCTGATTGGGAATATCGGATTCCACAGGTGCTTCTCTCTTCTCTTCGTAGGCAGCGGGTTTTTGCGCAGCGCCAGAGCCAGCCTTCATGGCCACCTTCCAGCGCTCAAACTCTTCCTGTGTGTGTGCTCGTCGTGACTCATCTCGGTCATTGCTGTCCAGCCATTCAGGCTCCTGTTCCATCTTGCCTCCTCGGTTCCAGTCGCGATCCGCTCCGTGTCGGTCACGACGCCATTCTCGGTTGCGAAGTGGCGCTTTATCATCATCGGCCTCGGCACCATCGTGGGCTTGCTCATCGCGGAACCAGTTGCCATCGTATTTGGTTCTTCCCGGTGTGCCATCCTTCTTCATGAAGCGGGGGTCTTTGTTTTGAGGGCGTTCAGTATTGCTGTCTCGCGCATTCTCTCGGTTTTCCCACCGATCGAATTCTCCGTTTCGGCGTGGTTTGCGATCTGGTTCCTCGGGGCCGAAGGTGCGACGTGGGCGGCCAGCATTCCAGTCCTCCTTGTCCCCGCGCCGGCCGTTCAGGTTTGGCTTCCCATCGCGACGCTCCAAGTCTCTTTCTGGGGCATCTTTCTCTTTGAAGAATCGATCGCGGAAATTGAATCGATCGTTCTTCTCGTCTGGCTCGGTTGCCCGCGCGGATCGATCTGTCAGATCGAAGGATCCTTTACCACCGATGCGCGATGATGCAAATGCAGTCTTCGGGGGTCCGAGAATGATATCTTCTGTATCAATTGAAGGCCCAGTTAGTTACTAACTCAGTGGAGATTGAAAGCATGTGACGGAGAGGTACCAGAGGGCACAAGCGCACCTGAATTGGAGCCTCGGGCGGAATGACGAGGTTCAAAAATGCTCGGTCGTCGATTCGTAGTTGTGGGTGTGTCATTCGGGTTATTAGGATCTCGAGTGTTCTGTTGTTTGCGCTGGGCGGTTGTGTCAGGTTGAGGCCTAGAAGAAAGGCATGGGTCAGTCTTGACGTGGACAGTGCGGGATGGTTACCAAAGTGGGGAGGTTGGATAGACTCACATCCATTCTTCGATGGGAGGTAGGCCAGAGGGTTTTGTGATAAGAGGTGATTGGCGCAGCCATAATAGCTCATCGATCTCGTACCGTCGCGCCATGACGGCCCTATCTCGAGCGGTGTGTGCGATGGTCTTTGATGGAATTTATGATGCTCTCATTGGGCGGTCAGGGGGTTAAGATGATAAGGAAGCGACGATGTCAATCGTGAAAAGGGTTTGAGTAGTGCTTGAGAGTAGGATCCTAACAGGGAAAGGTTTTTGTGGGAGGGGGGGAACGAGGGTGTTCTTCGGGAAATGAGGTTGAGTGAGGAGAAGGTGTAAGCCACTTGTGGCAAGGCCTCGGGGCGGAGCCGGGATCGGTAAGAATCTCGTGGTCCACAAGCACTCAAGCAGTCTGTTAAAACAGCAAGAATGGTGTGGGAGAAGCGTTGTAGAGGAGAAAAGTTGTGCAGAGAATATGTCAACAAGAAGGGTTGGGGAGAATACACAAGCTGGGTTTTTTCTTGCGGAAAAGGGAGGCACAACTTATGCGGGCGCGGTTCAGCTGATCTATACCTTACTGGACCTGTCCCTTCAATATATACCAAGTAACTCTTTGTTTGGTTTTTTTTTTATTATTATTATCATTTAACTTTCTAAACGATGCTATCTTTATACGCTTCGACCTAATCATGTGCCAATTTGAATGCCCTCCCAATAAGTATGCTGGAGTAGTCTGTATTTTCGAAAGGCCCTAAGGCAGACAGCTATGCCAGCCTGAAGCTATTAGGTTTTGCTGGCGGTCTAGTGTACCCAGCAATCGTCAATGCTGGACAACGGTAGTAGTTTTATTTTGAAAAAGCTTTCATGCTCGTGGCTGGGAACATAAAGCCAGTTGACGGAGACATGCTTATACTTTGTAGCTTTGCGGTCTTCGTTATGTCATCACTCTCTTCCTTTCGACTGCTCTACCTTGTTTTTGTTGACAAGGCTGCTCGTTGTCGGTGAGGTCTCACCCCTTTATAATTCATCAATCCAAATAAAAAAGAGCAAACCCACTTAACATTGCCCGTTGACTGATTTTTGTCAGGGTTTAAAACGTTTAAGGTTGGAAGAATGGGCGGAGCCTCATCAGCCAATCAGCGATCGTGAAATCTCGATGGCATCGGAACTTCGCATCCAAGAGCGAGAAAAAATAACACCCAACACTCCAAACATGGCGAACGTCACAGAGCATCCCTTCAGGGTGAAGAGAAGAAAGCTGGATGAAGGCTCTCAAGGAAACCAGGATGTGACATTTACTTCTTCAGCTCAGCTCCGTGGAGCGCTGGTTTTTCAACAGAACCCCCAGCTAGCCAATAAAGGTGAGTCGGGAGAACTTCAACTGTCTTGCAAGTATCCAGACTGATCAGAACCACAGGAATTATCCAATTCAAGCAGTTTCTACTATCAATTAGTCAGGCAAACGAGAGTGACAAGGCCCAGAAGCTGCGTGTTCTGAAAGAATACTGCGATAAGCAAATCACTCCCGCCAAAGAAGAAGGTGCCGAGGCGATCTGTTTCTCAGATATCACTCAGACCTGGAGCTTTGGAGAAAGCAGCAATCATGACCATTTGTTGACTAATGTTCCGTCGGTGCTCGCCATTTTCTTTAAGACTATTTCTGGGGACCTGGAGTTCCGCGATTTTGGTCTCGCGCTGTGCAAGCATCTGCTGCAAAAAGAACAACTGAGGCTGTTCAACCGTGGCCTGACTGCTTTCAAGTCTAAGGAGCATCTTATTTCGCCCTGTCTTCGCCTGCTGACTGAGATCGTTACTTTCGATGGAGGTGCCGTCGCGCGCCAACTGTATCTTCGCCGCCACATTACTTTCAAGCGTCTCGAGATGTTCTTGACACCAAGCAAGGCACAGTTGGAGACAGCGGATGAAGAACCTTCACCATCAACAAAGAAGTCGACACTAAGACGAAACGCTCAACAATATCTGCTGGCCAATTTGAGAGTGCAGCAGCATTTAGAAAAGGGTGATATCATTGAGCAGCACAAGATTACTCGGGCTTTCCTCGATTATTTGCGGAAGGACCCGCGGGAGACCGTTATGGAAACGATCAAGGCAATTGAGAGGGATGTGGTGCAAGACGCCTCTCTTTCTCGCAAATCGAAGAGCAAGTTTTTCAACCGGTGGAACATGGAGAAACTGGTTACCCTCTACGGCTACGATCGAGAATCAGATGAACCCAACCCCGAAGGCATTTCCATTGCGAATAAGATCCATCGCGTCTTGATGAACGTCTGCAAAACTACTGGCTTAGGCGTTCTTCTTCCCGAAACCGGATGGTATCCAGTTGGATCTGATCCCGAGTCTCTGATTGAAGATGACACCTCTATCGAATTGGGTCTCGACTCCCCCATCTATGTTGACAAGTACCGAGACTCAATTCCGGTTCGAAACAATACTTTATCGCATCTGATTCAATGTCTTCGCCCCGACGCAGACAGCCTCCAGATTGAATTGCTGGTGACAATTTTCAAGGTAGCACCAGAGCTGATCGCCGACTTCTTTACCAAGAAAGTCATGTTCACATCCGATCCTAAAGCAACTCCTTCCTGGATGGCAGAGTCAGCTCTTTTGTTCTCGATCGTGCAGTTGCCTGTTCCGACGAACTGCGGCTGGAAGGACAAGCAGCCTATGCTCCCCCCGCCAGTGTCGATCGTCGCGGAAAACATCCTTCCCCGACCGTTGAGCCAAAAGATCATGACCCGCTGTTTGAACCAGAATGCGGAGATTGTCACTCTCTTCGCTGTCCGCATGTTGACTCTAGCGTTCACGAAATTGCGAGCTGTATTGAAGATCTTCCGTGCCGATCATGGTCGAGCCCAATTGTTCTGGAATCAGGCCTCTTCCAAGCTGCTTGCTGAGTTCTCGCGCAGATGTCCCGCCGTCAAGGATGTCGTTGTTCTTTTCCGACGGACTTCCAAGGAGGATCTGCAGCAGCAAGAAGCCGTTGCAGAGCTACTGACTTGCTACTATGAAGTGATGCCCGATATCGCTCTGGAGGAGAATTTCGATGTCTCATTGGTTCTGGTCGATGTGCTGAAACGGCTGGAAGAGTCGGATATCAGCGCAGATGATTCCGAGCTGCTCTTGAGCCAGTTGCAGAGTGTTCTCCAGATTGCTCAACAGTCTGCCTCGCTACGTTGGTGGCAAAAACCAGGTAAATTGAGTTTCTTGAATATGTTTGATCTCCAATTCTGACTCTTAACAGCTGCCATGAACTACACTCCATTCACATCCATTCTCAAGGTTCTGATCGACACTTCCGACAAGGTTTCTTCTCGGCGAATTTCAATTCTTCTCAGAACCATCCTGGTGGAGAACTCTGTTTTGCATAATGCGCCCAAGGCATTCAACGCTCTCTTGTCCAGTCTTGAAGAGTCTGAAAGCGAGTTGCAGAAACAGCTGGTTTTCTTCGATAACTGCGTCTCTCGTGTTGCCAAGAAGCCCGTCCACTATCTGGACATCGTTGGATCTCTGACCGACGATGAAACTGCAACAAGCCCCATCGTGGCGGCAATAATTGAGCAGTGGCCTTTCGTTGTCAAGGCAGGTGACGAAAGCACGGAAGCGGCTGTTTCAGCATGGATCGGCAAGTTTTTGGGGCAATTGAAGAAAGAGGGCGAAAGCAGCAAGGCGCTGAAGGCTGCCCGGGATTTATTGATGGAGGCCACAGAGGCCAAGAAGATCCGCTCTATCTTCAAGAAATGCTTAAAGGATAAAGAAGATGCTGATGATGAAGATAAAATGGACATTGATTCCGGCCCTGCCCAGGCAACCGGAACCGACAAGGCTTCCTCGGTGGATCTTGATGAGATCTTTGGATTCCTTCCCACAGAGGGAACAAGTCACAACGCATTGCATAAGTGGGAGAGGGAAGAAATCGAGGCAGCTTTGGAACAAGGACATGTTGACGAGCTGATTCTCTGTCTCTGCTCCGAGCACGAAGAAGTCCGAAGACAAGCTGTGGCCAACCTTGTTCGTTTCATGGCAAAGCTGAAGGTATTTCATACAACACTATTTACAATACTGCATATTCAACTAACATTCCCAGGAATCCAATTACGCCGAATGGCGCACTGTGTACACTCTGACCGGAGAACTGCTTGAAACCGCGAGCAGCCTTGGCTTCAATCAGCCCATTCCTTGGATTGTAGGCGAGTGTGCTTCAAACTGTCTCTCCGTCCTCCTCAACCCCCTCCACAAAGTCTACGGAAAGGTCAACAAATTCTTGCAAAAGGCCCCATCTTGGGAGGTCGAGAAGATCCCCTCATACTGGATCGACCGCATCTTCATGCACGAGCCCGAATTGGACGACGGCTACTTTGAAGAGATTGACTGGTTGCTCGGCCTTTTCGTCAAAGGTCTTCGCAGCAAAGCTGTACGTTTATTACATTACCTCTTCTGCTCCTTTACACATCCCAACACTAATTAATATCATCTAGGATATGGAGATCTACCGTCGCGCAAACGTTTTTGAGCGTATTCTCTCCCTTTATCAATCGCCTAGTATGAACGATTCCACCCGCCGGAAGATCTTGCACATTATCTACCGTGCTACGCAGGTTGGTGGCAGCACTACGCTGATTACTCGTGCGGCTGTTATGAGCTGGATTCAAGTCCAAGTTGCAGAGGTTGAGTCCTCTGTTAAACAGGCCGGTCTCCTCGCGGCCCTTGCACGCACGCTATACGAGACAGCAGACCGTGAGCGTATTGAGGCATGGAGCGCTGGAACTGTTGAGCGTGCCTTGAAAGAGATCGAGACTGCATCAGCATAGGTTGGAGCCTTAGAGGCCATGATGTACCATACATAATTTCATTTAAAAATAGACTTGGTTTGGGAGTTTTTGGCATGATGAATCAAATACTCTTTTGAGCAACTTCTTGGGTAATATTCCAACAAAGCAATACTTAGATACACTAGGACGAAAAACAATCCATCCATACACATAAATAAACCAAAATCAACCCCAGGTTCCACCACCACCTCCCCGTCCTCCACGGCGCTGGGCAGAAAGACGCCAATCATCCTCGCCTGCAAAGCGATTATGCAGAGGCTGGATGCGCTCGGCCTTCTTGCGCTTCGACAAACGGTCCGTAGGCGCGACCTTGAAGAATGTAGGCGCAGCCTCAACAAGCCACTTTGGCTCGATAGAAGTAGTGTAATGCATATACTCCTTACTCGTTAGAACAAGCTCGTGATAAATAACATGCTCAGAGCCCTTGCCAAACAACGCAGAAGACGGGTGAAGGTAAACGGGTGTACCCTGTACCAGCGTCTTATATCCACCTTCTTGCTGATCTTTCCGAGCTGCATTGCGGAAGAAACCAGTGCAAAGAGCTTGTCGTACTTTGGTGGTGTCTCTGCCGCAAGAAATGATGTGGTGCTTGTACCTTTGCATGATACCGAGCAGTTGCTTGCGGACATCCTCGGCGCGCTTGATTTGCCTTGCTTGGATGAAGTTTTCGAAGCACCAGGAGGAGTTGAAGTTGGATTGCTTCCAGCCGTTGTACACGTTTAGTAGAGTCAGGTGGTCACCCATAGGGTCGTGGAATTTGGCTTTCTTTTGATCGGCTTGTTGTTGTTTCTCCTTGGGACGGTAGAATGGACTTGTGATTGATAGCATTGCGACGATGGACAACACTTCGTCTGAGCAGCCCATGTCCACAGATGAGATTAGCACCTTGGCTAGAGCGGGCTCCATAGGGAAATCGGCCATTTTTCGGCCTAGGCGTGTGAGGAGACCCTCATCGTCTAGTGCAGACAATGCGTACAACTCTTCCAAGGCAGTAAGCATCGTGTTGGTGGGTGGCGGGTCCATGAAGTCGAAGTGGAGGAGGTCATTGATGCCCATTGCTTTCAACATGAGGATCGTATTACAGATGTTCTGCCGTTGGATTTCAGGAATGGTTGTTGGTAGCATCTCTGATTGATAAGCCGCTTCGGTATATAGTCGGAAACACTTTCCTGGGCCAGTTCGTCCAGCACGGCCAGCACGCTGTTTAGCCTGGGCTTGGGACACGGGTGTCACCACAAGAGAGTCCATTCCAAGCTTCGGGTCATAGGCGTTCTGCTTGACAAAACCAGGGTCGATAACATAGAAGATATTGTCGATCGTAATGGACGTTTCGGCGATGTTGGTTGCAATGACGACCTTGCGGGCTCCTGGTGGTGCGGGATCGAAAATTCGTGATTGCATTTCGCTGGGAAGGGCAGAATAGACAGGGAGAATGATCAATTCAGGGACCGATGGTCCTAAAGCTTTCATTCTTTCGAAAAGAATTTCACACGCCGTGTCAATTTCTTCCTGACCCGTAAGGAAAAGAAGGATATCACCGGCGGCCTCAGTCAAATGGATTTGCATAACGGTGATAAGAGCCGCATCGAGGTAATCAGATTCCGGCTCTTTGGAATACATAACCTCTACGGGGTATGTTCGGCCAGGAATGGAGAAGATAGGGCAGCCATTGAAGTATTCAGAGAACTTTTCGGCGTCCAATGTCGCCGAAGTAACAATCAAGCGGAGGTCGGGCCTGCGTTTGACTGTCTTTTTTAATAATCCGAATAGAATATCAGTCGCAATGGTCCGCTCGTGAGCTTCGTCCAACATGATCACGGAGTATTTCTTGAGGTCGGGATCGATCAAGATTTCTCGCTGAAGCATACCATCGGTCTGGTACTTAATGATGGTCTCGGGGCTTGTCATATCTTCGAATCGAATTGTGTAGCCGACTTCAGCTCCCAAGCGACAACCAACCTCCTCGGAGACACGCTTGGCCACGGACATGGCAGCAACACGGCGTGGTTGAGTGCAACCGATGATGCCCTTGTTACCGTATCCAGCCTCGGCTAGATATTGAGTTAATTGCGTGGTCTTTCCTGAACCTGTATCACCAACGACAATCATAATTTGGTTATCTGCGACAGCATCAAGTAACGGTTTACGGAACTTGAACACTGGCAAACTTTCACGCTGCTGTTTCATAGGCATATCCGTACGTTTGCCAAATGACTGGGTCTTTCCATCTCCGTCTTTGCCCATCGTGACTCGCTTCCATTCTGGTACCGCTTCGTCGTCCTTCGGCTTGGTAGTACGTAGCTCTGAAGCAAATTTCCGGTCTTCGGGATTCACCATAGGGTCGAGCCATTGGGCACCAAGGTCAACATCGGCTGCCCGTTCAGCTGCTTTATCTTGTGCTTCTTGTTGTTTCAAATCGCGCCTCTCCTTGGCAAGAGTTGTACCGGACATTGCTGCGCGGTTCATGGATCCATCAGGAGCCTTGACAACACGGATGGGAGAGAGTTCCAGTGATTGCTTGGTCTGGCCAGCCAAGAAAGGAGGCTCGTCGTCCTTGACTTCGATGTCAACATCTTCCTCCTCTTCGAATGCTCCTTCACCGGTGAGAGTGGCATGGTATTCTTCCTCCAGGTCAGGATAGTCTGCTGCGGAAGCAACACCAGATGCAATCAATTGGCGGATTTCCCATCGTTCCGGAGAGGTCATGCGCTTTCGATTCCGCATTGGTCGGCCATTAGATTCTTCAATGACCGGCACATCAGAACTGAGACCGCCATACCGATCAATTGCGCCACCTCCGCCATCGAGTCGTTGCATATTAGCGCCTGACGCTAAACGTTTTTGAGGGATAAGATCCATTCCAGTGACTTGATCGGCCTCTTTCATCGAAAGACCAATACGACTGCCCTCGATGCTTACAACTTTAACTTTGACTGGCTGCCCGCGAGAGACGAGGTCAGACGGATGGTTTACACGCGCGCCCTCTTGCATGGCCGACACATGAACAAGACCATCAACCTTCCCTTTGACTCCCTGTAGATTGACAAAAGCACCAAAATCCTTCACACCTGTCACCGTTCCATCGTAAATCTTGTAAAGTTGAGGGTGGTCGTCCAGCTCAATGGGTGGTCTCATATCATCTTCGTGATCACGGTGACGCCGTCTCCGGTCTTTATATGTATCGATAGATCTCCCAAACTCGTCGACAAGGTCGTCATTCTTGCTGCGTCGCTGCGATCGAGACCTTGAGCGGTATCTATCTTTGTCTCTGTGTCGACGTCCACGACTATTGTCGTACTCCGGGCTGCGACTTCGTTTGTGACCGCGATCATCTCTGTCTCTGTGTCTCGAAGTTTGCGGTTTGTCATCCTTTGCCTTTCCAGCCAACCCTTCCAACATGGCGAATGTATCATCCATCGCGCCAACTTGTGTGTCATCGGCTTGATCCAGGTAGTCGTTTTCCGCCCAGCGTTTCTCGGTGTCTGGAACAGCAAGGCCCTTAAACACGCGTGCTTTTTTCTCTAGCGCATCAAATTCGTCTAAACCGTCGTCGATATCTCCATTGTGCGCGTCGCCGTTGCCTGCTTTCTTTGCTTTGTATTTCGGGTGCATGGTAAGGACCAGGCGATCGATACTCTCCATCAGACTCTGCGGGAACTCGGCACCCATGTCAACGAGCCCCTGCTTGAACTCCGGAAATGCGCCATTGCATTTCAGGTGTTGATCGATGACAAATTCGGCGAGGGTTTTGTCGTTGATGCCCAGATGGTTCTGGAGCTCGTTCGTCACCCGCGACACGAGTGAGAGCAGCTCCAGCGACTCCAGGTCATCCATGGCGGTGGGCCCGAGGGATATAAGGGCAAAGCGACCAGGGGCGAAAAGCAAATGCCAGCGAACAGCGAAAAGGAAAGCTTGGAGCACGGAATGCAATGTTGAGGTTCAACTCCAATTGAAAGGCGGAAGGAAAATCAGTCCGCCCGGTCGCCACTGATAAGGATAAGATAAGCTGATAAGAGAAGTGTACGAAGCAAACATAGACCAGCGCTATATAAAGGCTACGAACATAAGTGAGAGAAATCTATAATTCAGCTGATCACCTGAGCATATGATGGAGCTGTCCAGAAGTTAAGGTGGCTCCTATTCTAACCTTCCATATAAAAATTATGTGAACTTAATTGCTACCATGGATAACTTTCGCTTGGACGGCGGGCCATCTACTGAGATCTAGAGACGACGTTTATGCAAGGATCACGCGATTTCTCCAGGCATGTTCAAAGTGCATGAATGTATGCTTTTATAGCTTCGATGGGGTGAGGAAAGGGGGGGGGGGGGGGGCAATCATGCAGAATCTTGGGTTTTCGTGACTAGTGCAAGATTAAAATACTGGAGACGTCTACCTGTAGACTTCTGCGTAGTATGCTCAAATCCATAACAGAGTGGATTGTTGGCTTGGTGCTTTCTATCTAATATACAAATATACAAGTGTTGTTACAGTGAATCTTAATTATACACGAGGAGTCTGTTGCTCCACGAAATCTTCGGAGTCCTCCATAATTCCCACAGTTTCAGCTGGATCCGAATCCTCTGGCAGTTCATCCATTATGCCCTCGGTTCCATGTTCTGGGGAGACCAAATCCTCTTCATGAATGAGACTTTGCTGGCTCATGATCTGCTTCTGTAGCGCAATTTGGCGTTTCAGGGAGGCGTCCTTGCGCAAGTGCTTATTGGCGGAGAACTCGGTTAAAGCTCGCATCAGCCTCTCCTCCGTAAGCGTCTTGATATGTGTCGCAAGGGTTCGATCCGTAAAGACACCACCGAACCGGTAGCTCAGCCACAAATAAAGGATGATAGCCTTATGAAGCCCCTCCAGCTCATACATGTAATCCTTACTTCCAGACACAGGCTTTTCTAGGATTTCCAGGTTCAGGTAAGGAATCTCCAACAGTCGCCCTTGAGTATTGCTAGCGATGCATTCGGCAAATGCCAAGGTCACGTCACGCAGGGCCAGGTTTCGGGTTTCCAATGGCGCGGCAATGAGGAAAAGCTGGTCCGTGACCGACAATCCGTCCACTCCATCCAAGACCTGACAAGCTTCCTGTTGGCTTTCTGTACTGCACATGAAGAAAAGGCGGTTCATTTGGGCGATTTCAAGCACTCGCTTGAGCAAGTACTCAAAGGGAACATTCCTTGGGAAGTAGAACGAAAATTTCTCGAAGGCAAAACCTGGCGGCAAGATACCGGCGCCTCTAAGTGGCGGAGGCTCAGTGTGCATGGCTTCTCGGATGTATGGGAGATCGACTTCTTCAAGACATGTAACCAAACCGACGTTGGCGCCGTCTTGACTACTATTCGTAGCGCTGGCGGGGCGGTATCGACCAGCGCGTCCACCGATCTGTTTGATCTCTGGAACAGTTAATCGGATCAATCCGGCCGGTGTCCGCTTAATAAGAGTCTCGAAGATGATACGCTTGACGCTCCTACGCTTGGGTCAGTCAGAGCCTCCAGGCTAGATAAATTGATGGCACTCACAAATTCAACCCCATACCAATCGCATCACTTGCCACCAAATAGTCATAGTCGTTATCGGGATCATTGAACAACGCTGCCTGCTGGGTTCGAATCGGCGCAGGCAGACCGCCGTAGACAATCGCAGCTCGTCTTCCAGTGATTTTTTCAATGTCTGCCTTCAGGGCGTGAATTCCAACACGAGAGAATGCAACCAGGCAATCGCCCTTTTGAAGTCGCTTTAAGTTGCCGCCAAGGCTATGTGGCATCACTTCCAGAGCGTTGAGCCTCTCGTAACGATGAATCTCCAGGATATCTCCAGTAAGGGCACACAATTCTCGAATAAGCGGTACTGCACGAGTCTCACCACAAAGGTGTAGTTCAGCAGCCTGACAGCCAAGCACAGCTCGAGTCCACGCCCAGCCTCGCTTAGTATCGGCAATCATCTGAATCTCATCAATCACTCCAACGTCGAAGGCCTGTCCCATGCTAACCATTTCCACAGTATTGCTCACAACCCGCGGTGTCTTGCCATCCTCGGGGACTTGGACTTCGTCTCCCGTAACGAGACTACACGGTATACCGTTATCCTTGAAGCGATGATATACCTCCTGTGCAAGCAGTCTTAAAGGTCCAGCATAAAATCCAGCTTTGGCTTCTTCCAACCGCTTCAGCGCATGATATGTCTTTCCCGAATTTGTGGGGCCGACATGTAAATGGATTTTCCGTTGGATTGATCGTGCACCAGGATACCATTCTGCGGGGAAGCGAAGGTCAACCACTTTCCGTTGCGCTTCGAGATTGGAAGTCGAGTACTTGTTCGTCAGATCCTCAGCGAATAGCATATATTCCAATTCATCCCGTATTCCCTGCGCTCCGTTATTGAGATATGACTTTTGCAACATGGCCTTCAGCTCTTGTAGCGGAGTCCATTTCGCTGATGTCACGGTTTTCTCATCTACATGGCAGGCATTCAACACTTGGCGCTCAAGCCGTCCCCATCCGTCCAAAGGTTGCCCTGTTGTGCGAAGCCTCTCCTTGGTTTGACGCAATGCAGTTTCAACCACATTGTAGAAATCGTGAGCCCGGGTGGTTGTTTGGCGAGCAGCTCTTCTGGCGTCGCCGGACTTCCCCCTGCCTTTCTTTCCACTCTTTATGGATTCTACGGCCGCAGCTTGCTGGTTAAGTTTTGCTTTCAAGACAGATCGACTTGTTCGTTGTAGAGGGGAGGTCGTTGCGAAATGTCGCTCCGTAGGTCTAGCGAGCGAGCGAAACGCGCAAAAGAGCGAGTGACTGCCTCTGCCAGTCCATGGCTGCATGGATGCGCAGAATTCCGGCACAACGGAGAGGAGTTCAGGGTGGATATAAGGGCGGTGATTTGATCTGGGCGGCCAAATTGTCGAATTTAAGGGCAAAAGGAGGTTGACTGGTTTCAGTAGTCGTTTCAGCGAAAGTCGAAGAAAAAACGATCACATTTGCTTATCGGGATGCGTTCCCTGGCGCGCCACCCGAAGATCCACTTTCTTCCTTGTCGAAGCTCAAATGGTGGGGAACCACTTCCCCTTCATATACCTCATACGAAGCCACCTAACTCATAGTTTGGTGCTCCTAATTCACCGGCCTTTATTTCCTTACACTCTTTACCTTTCGTACACTTAGTACACCTCCCGTGGGATCCGTCTCTCTACCTTCAACCAGCTGCAGCTCCCACTCTGTGGCCCGCCAAACATGGGCGCTTCTGTAATTGAAATCCAGCGCGACAGTAAGTGTCTCCCCTGGTATGGTGATCGTCCCCTTAACTAAATCGCTCTTGACAGTTATTCTAAACACGATCCGCCAATCCGTCGGCCACGAAGTACGTTCATCCCTCCTCCCCCGCTGTCACGGACATTAACAATCTCGCTCCCCCGTCCAGTGGAAAGTTCTGGTAGTCGATGAACAAAGCAGGAAATTAATCAATGCCGCCGTCAAAGAGGAAGAGATCCTCAACCTGAACGTCTCCAGTGAGCCCATTGTTACACCTCAGTTACCTCGGAGTAGCTTGCTAAGAAAAAAATCACCACCCCGCAGATGTCGAACAGATCGAGCACCGACGGCCGTCCAACCCGGACATGGACGCGCTATACATATTATCCCCGGAATCATGGATTGTGGATTGTCTCATGGCCGATTTCGAGGTCAGACGGTACCGGAAGGCATTCCTAGTTTGGACCTCTTGTCAGTGGGCGGCAACACCGGAAGCTCCAGAAGCCTAGCTAACGGGTGTCTACAGTCCTCGACCCGCAGCTCCGGCAGCGACTTGACCGATCTGATATGGCACGGGAACGGATTGCCGACTATCGTATCATGAACATCAGTTTTTACCCTCGAGAGTCACATTTGGTCACCTTCCGCGATCCATACAGCTTCCCGATTCTGTTCCATCCAGGCTGCAACAATTTGATCCGTAAACATCTTCAAGAGCTGGCTCAAAAGGTAGACTTCCCATTGGCTTCACATGTCAATTGTGATCTTAAACTGACACTTTGCTTCTCTCAGATTGTCTCCCTCTGCGCTTGCTTGGGCGAGTATCCAATCATCCGCTATTTCAAGCCACGAGCCCCTACTCACGAAGCTGCTGTCCTTTGCTCCCATTTGGCGCGGTTTGTTCAGAATGAATTGGATCAGTTCGCCCAATTCCAACGCGATTTCCCGCCACAGACTAACCGACCTCGGGGCGTTTTGCTCATCGTGGACCGGTCCATGGACACATTCGCCCCTCTTCTCCATGAGTTCACATTCCAAGCTATGGCTCATGACCTTCTCCCGATCAAGGATGGGGACAAAGTCACATACAAAACAGTGCTCCACGAAGGCAAGGAGAACGAAGAGCAGAAAGATATGGAGATTGGTGAACATGATAAAGTGTGGGTGTCGTACAGGCACATGCACATGAAGGATTTACTTGGAAAATTAGGAGAAGATTTTGCCAAGTTCAGAGCCGCCAACCCTCAGTTTGCTGAAGAGTGAGTTTATCAGCGATGACTGGTGCTTATTTCCCATACTGGTCAGGCTGACAATAGACTTCGCAGTAACGACAAGACAAGCGTGAACACAATCAAAGATATGCTCGGAGGACTGACCGAGTTCACGGAAGGCAAGGATGCATACACCCTGCATTTGAACATGGCAGAAGAGTGCATGAAATACTTCCAACAGCACAAACTCTTGGAAGTGAGCTCCATTGAGCAATCATTTGCTACCGGTCTCGATGAGAACTACAAAAAGGCCAAAAATCTGGCAGCACAGCTTGTTCAATTACTCGACGATGAGCAGGTCATTCATTCCGACCGACTTCGGTTAATTCTGTTGTACATCATGTACCGTTACGGCTTGCTAGGCGGGGATATCCGAAAGCTCATGGCGCACTCCGACCTACCAGGGCGCAATGGGGACGTTATTGCGAACCTGGAGCTCTTGGGTGTACGCGTCGAAAAGCCACTCAAAGACGATAAACCACCACCACAGCCTTTGTTCAACCGGTGTGCCCCACCTCCAGAGGGAGAAGAGATCAGCCTGACACGGTACGAGCTGGGCGTCAAGCAAATGCTCGAGGAACAAATCCGGGGGTCACTGGACACTACCACCTTCCCATTTACCCGACCTCACACAGATGCCGATGGTAGCATGGCCGCGCAGGACATGTTATCGCAGCAGACCTCTCTTCGCAGCGCCAAACCTACTTGGGCCCGCACACGAAGTGTTGACCAGCCCCGCCAACGTATCATCGTCTTCATGGCCGGTGGTGCCACCTATTCCGAGTCCCGCGCCTGCTACGAGGTCTCCCAAGCCCACAATCGAGACGTCTTCCTCGCTACAACACACATGCTCAACCCGGGCCTGTTCATGCGCCAAGTGGGCGATCTCAGCGTTGACAAACGCCGGCTGGATATTCCGGCTGAGCGTCCAAAGCCCACTGCCCCCGCTCATCTATTCGAGCGTGAACCACCGCCTGCCCCAGCAGCACCACCGCAGAAGAAAAAGCCGGTTGCCACCCCGAACCCGCCCACCCCGCCTACAGCGCAGATGGCAAACATGTCCATGAAGAACGGATCAAATGGAACACCACCACCCCCGTCTAGCGGGAAAATCCACAAGAAAGATAAGGAGAAGAAGGAAAAGGAAAAGAAAGACAAGAAGTACCGTTTCTTCTAGGTTCCATGGTTTACTTGTGCACTGTGTCTCCATTCAAGCGCTGTTGTGATACCATCATTTCTTTAGTCTTTGTCTTATTCTGGTTGGTTGTCGGATCTGAGTTCCCAAGCATATATTCGAGGCGCTTTCATCGACAGCAGGGAATTCCCTTGAGCTTCGTTCTTGCTTAAGTCATAGGGGTTGCAGGCAGGTTCTTATGGACGTATGAAGAGAAGGGGAAATCCGTAGTACAGAGGACTTGCAGTACATAGGAGGCAATTTACGCTTTTACCGGCTGTAGAATCTATCAGTTCTATCTTCGAAATTTCAATGCCTATTTTAGTGCGGTCTTCCGCCACCTCTCGCGCGGGCTGTGGTGATCCGCTCTGTATGAAGTAGTTCATTAAAGCATAGAATTACCTCTTTTACGAAGTAGTGAATTTATCGCTTTTCTTATTTATTGGCTGACAAGACTGTTGGAATGGCCTTGAAGGCGCATGCAGAGTGTATATGTTCGTATCAAGGGTATCATAATCGAGAAATGCTAAAACAAAATGCCAAACCCACCTCAGATCCTCATATAACGAGTACCTACCCGCTTAGCAGGTATACTGTAAGATTTCAAGCACTCTCTCCAAGGTACTTCAATACCTCATCATTCTGGAAAAACAAATTCCTCATCTTCTCCCCCTCCTCTTCGCCTCCGCCTCCTTCTTCCTCATGTCCTTAGGATTCAATTTTACAACCTTATTCTTCACCGGCAAAGGAACCTTAATCGGATCTCCATCTTTATCAAGTCCGGATCCCAATCCCGCTGTATCGTGCTTGATCCGGCCCTTCAGCGGCTCCCTGATACCTTCGCGCCCTGCTGCGCCTAATCCGAGTCTGCTATCGGGATCCCAGCCGTAGGTGGATAGGTAGCGCATTCCTGCGCGGGTACGATCGAGATGGCTGGGTGGGTAGGAGTGTTTGAGACAGACTTGGTGGGCTAGGGAGGCTTCGTGGGGACGGGATGTTGTTTCTTGTGATTCTGATTGTGATTGTGGATCTGACAGGGGGAGGTTGCAGACTTCGCAGTAATTTTGTGTGGAGTCTTTGGAACGCTCGACGTTTTCTGTAGGGACTGGAGGTGCAGGCGAAATAGTCTCTGTTGTTGGTGGAGCGAAATGAGTTGTTCTGGGTGGCGGTAGAATGTCCTCGGGCGCATTTGTATTTGTATTTGTATTTGTAGGCGTGGAAGGAGATGTCTTCGATGAGTTTTGTTGCTTCAGAACGATCGACAGGTATGTATCTGCGATATTGGTGCCAGTAGAAGATGAGCCGGCCGTAGTATTCAGCTCTCCCGAGCGCACAAAAGGTACTCTCTTGCGCCGGATTCCAGCGCCGAAAACACGCTGGTCTTCTAATGGTAGGTAGTAGTCCTCATCGTCGTAGTCTTGGGACATGGCGCACTGCGCTCGAGACTATGTAACGAGTCGAGTCAAGAGGAAAGCAAGCTTGATTGTAGGAAGGAAGATATTCCAAGAATAGAATGTTCTGTGGTGATAAGATATCCTTATCGATAGCGATAAGAACGATAAGCTAACATACGTACACGCTTCCTCTTTTCTTTACCCTTTCTACACTTTCTCTTAATTCACGCCCGCCCAGCATGCCTATCCCAATTCTCATCCAGGCAGTCCAGCTGGGTGTCTCATCCATCCCATATGCTTGGCCAATCCTAAAAGTTGCGCCATGGATCATACTCATCGCTGCGCTGAAGTACTACTTTGGCGGAGCCCGCAACACCTCCGAGCGACTGATGCATTCTAGAAGGATTATGGTGACGGTACTATACTCCCCCGCAAACAATTCGCTTATTCTGAATGAATCACATACTAATTGTATCTACGGAACAGGGCGGAACGTCCGGTATAGGCGCACAAGTTGTTCTAGGACTCGCGCAGCGCGGAGCCCAAGTTATCCTCCTAACCCGCCAACCACCCTCCGACCTCTTCGTTGTCGAGTTCATCGACGATATCCGCAAGAACACAGGTAACCAGAATATCTGGGCCGAGCAAGTCGATCTCTCCTCTCTGCACTCAGTTCGCACATTCGCTACAAAGTGGATCGATAATACCGAGCCCCGTCGTCTGGACGCTGTTATCTTATGTGGCGGCATTGCTGTACCGGCGTCCGCGAAAAAGAACACCATTGACGGAATCGACGAGGAGTGGCAGGTGAATTATCTTGCCAATTTCCACCTGCTGAGTATCCTGAGTCCGGCATTGAGAGCACAGCCCGCGCACCGAGATGTACGAGTGATTTTCACAACCTGCTCAGGCTACATTGGAGCGAAATTCGAACTCGACCGTGTCAAGAGGGGTATGACTGGCAGTTTCATGTCAAAGGATAAGAAGAGGGTTATTAAAGCTGCGCCGAAGGGTATTTATGCGCTTAGCAAATTTGCGCTTATGAACTTTGCGTTCTCTTTCCAGAGACATTTGAGTTCGTTCAAGAGACCTGATGGACTTCCACCTTGTACCCGGGTTCTGGTTGTGGATCCGGGTCATACACGGACTCCTGGTACTCGGCGCTGGATGACTGGTGGCTCGCTTTGGGGCTTGCTGCTCTATCTCATTACATGGCCGTTCTGGTGTTTGGTTCTCAAGTCGCCGCAGCAGGGTGCGCAGAGTATCTTGTATGCTGCTATGGAGGAAGAGTACGGTCGTGGTGTTGGTGGGTGGTTTATCAAGGAGTGCCGGGAGATGGATCTTGCGCGGACGGATGTGCGGGATGAGGATGTTGGCAAGCGGCTGTGGGAGTTTAGTGAAAAGCAGATTGAGGAGGCTGAGAAGGAGAGTGCCATCAAAAGGGCGGCGGAGAAGAAGGAGAGGGAGGCTGCTAAGGAGAAGGAGACTCGCAAGGAAACTGCATCTGGAAAGGCGCAGACTCCTGGATCCAGGCGGAGCAAGAAGGCTAAATAAGTGGGAGAAGATGGTTTTAAAGTGCATGCATGTGATGGGTGTTGTTGATTATAGTTGTTACTTCGCATATATAGAGTTTCTAAGGGAATACAACAGGCTTTATTTCTCTTTCAAAAGCTCCCGTTTTGCTTAATGTGATCATAACTCTTGTCTAGGTATACGTATATGAGACCAATTAGAAATAGGAAATTCGTGTCATTTATTCTACTAAAGTTCTATGCCAATACACATCGGCTCATATCAACTATTTTAATCCCGCTGCTAAATCAAAATTACTTCTTCAGCTGAGCCAACAGCTCGGCCGGCGGCTGCTGACGGTAACCCTGGGGGTTGTTCTTGGTCCAGAGCCAGAGATCCTCACAAGCATTCTCAAGAGTGCGGGTAGGGGTCCAGCCAAGCTCATTGGTAGCACGGTTGGCATTGGCAGTCAGGTTAAGGACATCACCATCACGACGGGGAGCAACCTCGTAAGCAAGGTCACGACCGACAGCAGTAGAGAAAGCCTTGATCATCTCAAAGACGGTAGAGCCCTTACCGGTACCCAAGTTCCAGGCACGAACGCCGGGGTTGTTGGTGCGCAGGTAGTTGAGGGCCTTCAAGTGGCCATCAGCCAAGTCGAGAATGTGGATGTAGTCACGGATGGCAGTGCCATCGTGGGAGTCGTAGTCGTCACCGAAGACGAGCAGCTTCTCGCGCTTGCCGGTGGCGACCTGGGCGAGGAGGGGCAGCAGGTTGTAGGGGACACCCTGGGGATCCTCACCCATGATGCCGGAGGGGTGAGCACCGGCGGGGTTGAAGTAACGGAGGAGAGCACCGTTCCACTTCTTGGCCTCAGCCTCGTTGCCGGCCTTGATAGCGTTGTTGCGCTGGGCGTTGATGGCATCGGTGATGGCGAACTCAACGGCGAACTTGGTGTTACCGTAAGGGTTGGTAGGGCCCAGAGGGCACTCCTCGGGGATAGGGATCATGTTGGGGAAACGAGTGGCATCGCCATAGACAGTAGCGGAGCTGGAGAAGACAATGTTGGTGACATTGTGCTTGACCATGGCACGCAGGAGATTGATGGCGCCGTAGACGTTGACGTGGTAGTAGTCGAGGGGCTTCTCGCCAGACTCACCGACAGCCTAGTTTCAGGAACGAGTTAGCAATTCCAGCTCTTCTCAATTGTGGATCATAGGTTCATTTCATTTTGAAATTGAGCTCGTACCTTCAGGGCAGCGAAGTGGATAACGCTGTCAATGTCGGGGTGGTCGGCGAAGACCTTGTCAAAGGCATTCTCGTGGGTAACATCGAGCTCGTAGAACTCGGCCTTCTTGCCACAGATCAACTCAATACGGTTGAGAGCCTCGACGGAGGAGTTGTACAGGTTGTCAACGACAACGACCTTGTAACCGGCCTCGAGCAGGGCCAGTGTGGTGAACGAGCCAATGTAGCCCGTGCCACTTAACGCGGGGTTAGCTATGATCACAATCGCAATAGCGGGGTCAGTTGCCACTTACCCAGCGACAAGAACAGAACCGGTAGGCATTATGAAGTAATTAAGAGGTTTGTGATTTAGAGGTAAATTGGAATGAGAAGGAGGAGAAGAGGACGAATGCGGAGGGGCAAGTCATTTAAGGGGAAATCCCGTCCATCCAGCCCGGTGGGGGGCAATCACCGCGGGCCCGTCATGGCTGTATATCGCCATTACGCGGAGCCCATCAGACCTGAAAACCCGTTGAAATTGATGATTTAATTATAAGGAAATATCATTGCTCGCCTGATCTATTGCGTTTCCTTTGTCTCCTTTCTCAATTGAAATCATTGATTCTCATTGACAATCGTAGAGTTATAATTCGTAGGGTACAACCAAGTTTTTTATTAATTTTATGTAGATCGCAGGGATCGTCCATGGCGGTGTATTATAGCGCCATCAGGGACAAAACCCAGCAATTACAAACTCGTATTTATGCGTTCGGGTCATGGTAGACGACGGATCTTCACCTGGTTAGAGTAGGCGATTATCTGTCATTTTCACCGGAAACACAACCTCGTTTCACTTGAAATAGCACGGCTCCACTCAAGCGCCAAGGTACCGCCGAATCAGATCCGCCCAGGGTCCATTGCGATCCAAATGCGGGACCCCGATTCAAGAGAACATCTGGACCATGTACAATTGAGGACTTTTTTGGCGAAGTAAAATTATTGAATACATTGGTCGAATCGAATCGAACCCCAGCTGCATCTTTGGAGTAAAAGAACAGTGGAATCTATTCATCCCAAAGAATCATCCGGGAAAAAAAATAAATAAATGGATAAATGAATTGGTATGAGCAGAAAAAAAAAGATAAAAACACAAGTGCTTCAGTTCAGGGATATTGCGCCCTGAGTTACCCTGAGAAATAGTCGGGTCAAGCTAAGTGCTGGGAGAGAACCCCTTATGTCCTGAGTCCCCGAGGCTAACACGCCGGGTGGCATTTCAGCACCCCCATAGTGCGGTCAAAGTTCAATAGAAATCATAAATTCATTTCCACAATATATGGTGGAGGACCTCGGGGTTAATGCCCATTCAGAGAATGGGCTGGGGCACGGATGGACATGGGAGTCGCGGGTATTTGGGAGCCATAATATATCGGCTAGTCGCGCATGACAGGGGGAGATGAATGATAGTGCCCCAGAGAGTGTGTAACCAAACACATTTAACCAAGAAGTTCCACGTCCAGGCCAATGGCCCGCATGAACAGGTTGACATTGCCCAGGCGTTGGCTCGACATATCGGCGGGGAGCGTCTTGCTGTAACCAACAGTTTCCATAACACGATCCCTGCAAAGATAGTTAGTATCCAAAAGATATCCTGTATCTCAATATCTAGGGGTTACTCACTTGACAGCAATCACCAAACGTTGTTGTTGCTCGGGGCTGGCACCAATTCCTACGGCGGCAAGGAATTGCCACACGTACATATCGTCACCAGAGTTGATCGAGCCAGGGAAGATATGTGCCAGACCGGGCTCCAACATGTCAAATAGAACGTTGAACTTCTCAACCCACTGCTGCCAATCACGCTCAGAGGCCTGACCAGCCTCCTTGACGATCTCGGCTCTACTGAGCAGCATGGTCAGGATACCCAGACCAGTCTTAGTGCGAGCCACATGTATGACTTGAGTCTGAGCGATGACCAGACCCAGAAGGCCAATAATGATGTTGAAAGGAGCCTCATTCACGTAGCCCAGCAGGCTCGGCATCACTGCCAATGAGAACAGATCTATGGCTTCACGCACCGCAACGGACAATTGGGCTTCGCCAGGTCCGGAGTGTTGCGCAAGACGGACCACATCCAAGCTGTCCAAGTGAACCACTATCATGGTGAGGATGGTGACCCGTTGTTCTTGATCAATGTGACGGAAGATACGGGGAATAGCTTTCTTGCCCTTCGGGTAGGATAAGAATGCGATGAAGGGGTGGGGGGTGGTTGCATTGGGCACAATAGGCTCCATGACCTTGAGTGCTTGCCACAATTTCTGGTTGAGTGTCTGAACCTGTTGTCGCCATTCCATGTGCTCCTGGATGGCTTCCGTATCACCCTCCTCGGGTGGGGGTGGCATGGTGCGCTCCATGTCCTCCATCGACATTAAAGCGTTGTAGACAGCCTCAATGTTGCCCAGAAGAGATTTCCGATCACTGGTGCTCAGGTCGGACTGCACCTTCTTTGGCCGGGCGCCTTCCGAGCTGTCGGGTCGCTTGAGGTTCAGCATTGGCTTGGGTGCCTTGGCATTGCTGAAGGAGATCTTGCCCAGACTGCCTTCAATGATGAGCTGCTTGTTCTTCGGCTTGGCCTTGGCTGCCTCGACAGCACGCTGCACCTGCTGTTGCATGCGCTGCATGTGGTTATCTGCACCCTGGAATGCCCGACGGTTTCCATGACCGCCAATCCGGTTGCCAGTCTGCAGGAGGTAAGTCTGAGCAAAGTGACCCAGGGGTTGGTGGGGATGCTGGCGTGGGGCGCCCCGAATCTGGCTGTACACCTGATAATAGAAGTCCTCGGCGAGCACAGCTTCGGGATCGGCATCCGCCACATTGCCAGCCGCAGCCACAAGTTGCTGGAGCTGAATGCGAGTGATGAAATTCTTGTCCTGGGGTGTCATCAAGCCGTTGCCTCGAGACAGGAGGAAAATCTTGTGATTGCGCTTCGCCCGCTTGGCGTCCTCCATCAAATAAGCGTTGCGCTGTTCCTCGGTCAGGTGCACCAGCTGCTGGGGGTTAGTGATAACTGGCAGTCCGCCGTTGGGACCCCGAGAAGGTGGGGGTGGCATCTGCTGTTGTCGCTGGGCGGGAGGTGGACCTGCATGGCGAGGGCCTTGAGGAGGCAGGTTTTGAGGGATGTTGTTCTGCACAAGATGCTGCAGGGGTGTACCAGGCATAGGGCCCGGGCCTCCATACAGCTCCTGAATGCCTGGAGGAGGGTGCGACATATGCGGGGGCAGTCCACCCTTCTCAAGCTGTGCTCGGAGGAGTTCCGGGGGGATGTTGGCGGGGAATCCATCAGGCAGCGTCGGAAAGTCCTGCGGGTGGCGCATATAGGACGGATCGGGCATCTGCTGAGGAATTGACTGCGTGGGGATGGGCCCGAAAGCCTGGCCTCGATTGCGCATCTGGGCTTCCACCTCCTCAAGACTCATCATCATCTTCCGGCTAGGGATTGGCATTGCGGGCATCGGGGCTGGACTCGGCTCCGGCTTCTTCTGCGAGAGACCCCACACGCTGGACTTGGCTTGCAGATCGGGGATGTATCCAGGGTCCGAATACTTCTCGTAGCCGGTGCGCTTGATCGACTCGGCGACAGGATGGGCAGCTACGTGGGCATGCAGCGGGGCGGGAGGTGCGGCCTGGGGGTTCTGCAAGGTGTATCGAACGTGCTCCTCGCCAATTGCATCGGCAACTTGGGCAGTCCGACCGAAGAAGTCAAAGTCCCTGCCGACAGCTGGTGCGGCATCTCCACCGCCAAAGGTGTCATCGTTGAACTCATCCTGGTCGTCATTGAGCTGGTCGCCGAGGCCATCGTAGGTGTCCTCAAAGTCGATCCTAGATTGGCGTCAATACAAATCCACAATTCGAGTCACCATCCTAGGCTTAGAGGATTCTCACGCGTCATCATCTTCAAGCGCCGAAGCACGGGCAACCTCCGCGAAGGGATCCGGGTTCTCGAAGAAACCCCGCGAGCCAGCAGGACCAGTATCCTGGTCCCTAGGCAGGGTGGTATTGAAGCCAAAGAAAGACATCTTTGGTCAACAGGAGAGAGGGGGGAGGGGGAGGAGGAGAGATAAAGGTGGTGATGGTGGGGAAAGATTTCCAATGAGGTGTAAAGCTGGGAAGTTCAGGGAAGTGCGGGTGCCTCAAACTTCAGGCTTCAACTTGCCAAGTCCATGCGGCGATCAACGCACAAGTTTCAGGTTCCATGTTGATACATGCAAAGTGGGGGATAGAACTAGATACTCATGAGGCTCAAGTTCAATTGGAATAAATCTCATCATTCTGGTCCTACTTGATCACTTCTGTCGCCAATATGGCTAATTCTCCCACTATAGTTGATGTAATAGGTGGCTTCTGGAGATGAAACCCACCCCATTTAATTGGGTTCCGTTGTCCATTCACCGTGGTCATACTCTATAGATCGACATGGCTTAGAAATAAGTGGATTAGCTGTTATTTCCAGGGTACAACGAGGCTGGCCTACGCAACAATTCATTCGTCCCCTGAGACGTTCATTCCTGGTGAAACCTAAGGCGGCTGAAAGCGGTTGTTCGCCATAGCGATAGCCATTGCGCGGCCTCCCCGAATCCAGACCCTGTCAACTTCCTCCACCCCTTATCCTAATTTTCTTTTTCCCCTTCCGATCCTATTTCCTCTGTTTGATTTATCCTGTCTTGCACATGGTCTTGAGTTGAAGTGGGCCTTCCCCGATTCTGCAGGCCTGAATTCCTGATCGCCACTCGTTTCTGCCTGCTTCAGCAGCGCCTAACTTTCCGCCACCATGTCTATCTCCGCGAGGTATACGCGATACTTAGTGTTTGCCTTGGTGGTATGTTCTTCTAGTGCTATTTCTTCCCATGCCGACCTTGAATGCAGTATTGGATATTTGAAACGGACGCCAGACTAATACGTGTTTAGGGATTGACATTCTTCTACCTTGTCTCCAGATCCTCTCTTCAAATCCCAACCAGCTCGTCCTTTGCCCCACCCCCTCCTACTTACGAAGAGGTTAAGGAGGAAAAAACAAATTCCCAAGTTCCCACATCCAATGAAAGGGTGAACGCCACTTTTGTTACTCTCGCCCGTAACAACGACATTTGGGATATAGCCAAAGCCATCCGCTCTGTCGAGGACCGTTTCAACCGCAATTTCCACTACGATTGGGTTTTCCTGAACGATAACGAGTTTGACGACGAATTTAAGAAGCTTACGACCGCGCTGGTGTCTGGTACCACCCACTACGGCGTCATCCCCAAGGAGCACTGGTCGTACCCGGAATGGATTGACGAGGACAAAGCGCGTGCTGCGCGCCTGGAGATGGGTCGCAAGAAGATTATCTACGGTGACTCCGAGAGTTATCGCCATATGTGCCGCTACGAGTCTGGATTCTTCTTCCGCCATGAGTTGATGATGAACTATGAGTGGTACTGGCGCGTGGAGCCTAGCATTGAGCTTTTCTGCGACGTTCCCGGAGACCCATTCCGATTCATGAAGGAGAACAACAAGAAGTACAGCTTCGTGATCAGTTTGTATGAATACATCGAGACCATCCCCACCCTGTGGGATAGTGTTAAGGGCTTCATGAAGAGTCACCCGGAGCACATCGCTGAAGGGAACGCTATGGAGTTTATCAGTGAGGATGGTGGTGAGAGCTACAACAAGTGCCACTTTGTACGTCTGCCAAAAGTTTTGATATTTGACTTTGCTTGATTGATTCTAACTTGAACACAGTGGTCCAACTTTGAGATTGGCAGCCTGGAATGGTTACGGTCCGACCAATATATCGACTACTTTACTGCCCTGGATAAGGATGGTGGCTTCTTCTACGAGCGGTGGGGAGATGCACCAGTTCACTCGATTGCTGCTTCCATTATGCTCAAGGCGGAAGAAATTCATTTCTGGAATGAAATCGCCTACTATCACGTTCCATTTACCCATTGCCCAAGCAGTGAGAAGACGAGGCTGGATCTTCGCTGCCACTGCAAGCCCAGCGAGAACTTTGACTGGGCAGGCTACTCATGCACAAAACGGTGGTTCGACGTGAACAATTTGCAAAAGCCCGATGGCTGGGATTCGAAGCAATGACTGAAGGTCCTCGGTCATTGGGCACTCTTCCTGTCTGGGGTTGGTGTCATTCTTGTCATCCTTTACCGCGATTTACGGCTTTGGTTATTGGTCCGAATCAAGGTCATTGCTAAAGTTGTGATTGATATTGTTAGTCGTCGCCCATATACAATCAAACACCACTCCGCGAGTGGGAAATAACGGTTCTATCCTGGGCTTGGCCTGGAAACCCCAATTTCCTTTTCTTCACTTCTCTTTTTGGGTTTACATTTTTCATTTCTTCTGCGTCTCGATCCCAGGCGGCTACTCATTTTCGATTTTACTACCATGTGTGCCATGTTTTACTATTTGGATTCTCGACAGCGTTTTTTATCTGTTCCTGAGGTTTGGATGCATGGGCGGAGTACCAGATTCCTCAGGATGAGCATCGTTTTAACTATACCATTACATTGAGCCTGAGAGGATGAATGTAATTCAGACACTCTTGTACGGTCCTGAGGGATGAATATGAAATGAAAAATAGAAACATCAAAGAATCGCTCCACTATGATCAAGCAATAGGACGCTCTTTACTTCAGTAGTATTCTGACAATGATTCCAAAGACCGAAGCCAATTCATACGAGCCCTCAATCTGCTGAATGATGAAGTCTTTAGCAATCCTCAAAATTTAACAATAAACCAAATAACTGTTTCCTATAATGATACATGCGATCCAGTAAATGACACATCGCCTATGCTGCACAAATAATACAAGGCAAAAAGAAAGGGAAACAAGTACTGCAAATCTCTGGGCATCAGATAGCCCAGCTTATAGAGCACTGGAAAAGAGGATAGAGCAGCATGATTCCTGACCTGCTGCTCTAGCATCTCATATCAAGCCAAATCCCACGTGGTATATCAGCCCATCTAGTTGCTCTTAGGCTTCTTAGTTCCGTACTTCGAACGGCTAGAGTTCCGACTTCCAACACCACTCAGGTCCATAGCACCACGAACCAAGTGGTATTTCACACCCGGACAATCCTGAGCTCTGCCACCACGAACCTGAACGACACTGTGCTGCTGAATATTGTGACCTATATTACCCAAGAGTCAGCCACAATCCACACCAATCGCAATCGCAATCTGTAATTCGAGTTGTCAAGCATCCTTGGATACATACCTTCTCCGGGAATAATGGCAGTAATAACCTTGCCAGTACTCAAACGAACACGGGCAATCTTTCGCTCTCCAGAATTGGGCTTCTTGGGCTTGGTGACACCGGTCTTAAGACACACACCCTTCAGCGCTGGGTGCTCCTTCAGTGCGGGCGAACGTCCCCGGCGCGCACGCTGACCCTGTCGGCAGCCACGGCGGACCTGGTTATATGTCGCACGGATAATCGGGGAGCTGGAGAATTGCCGGCGGGCAGTGGCCGACAGAGACAGAGCCGTTTGGGTGCGGAACACGGGCTGGAAGTTGAAGCGCGAGGTGAGCGCGGGCTGTGGGCGGAAGGCGCTGGTGGAGGTGGTGAGGGTACGGAGGGGTGTTGATGTGATGGCGGGGCGCTGGACAAGAGTCCGCAAGGCCCGAAGGGCCAGAGGCGAGATTAATTGAGGCATTGTGGGGTGTTCGGGGTTCGTGATGATGCCGTCGTTGGAGTTTCTAGAAATGTTCATTTGAGATCGTCGCACGTGACTTTGGGGATAGTTGCGTTTTTGGTTTTTGTGGGAGGCCGGAGGAGCTGGACGCGCTGCTGCTTCTCTGCCTGACGTCCTCCGCAAGTGCTGTCATCCTCTAAGTTTCTTGATCTCCTTTTCCATTTCCAAAACCCTGTTCGAAACTCCGCATTCTTCATATTATCAGCTACGATTTAATATTTGAAGGAATTATCCGAACATCCGTCATAATGGTGCGTTATCAAGCTACAGCTTCGACATCATCTAGTCGATTCCATCTCCGGGCAACGCTAGTCACACTCATACTACATCACCAAACTCTTCTCTTTTGCTAGCCCTGGAATCTATGAACAAGCAAAATACAACATAATTACTTGGGCATTTAGATCAAAATGAGCTAATCAGAATCTCCAGTCTCTCCGCGTTGCACCCCCATCTGGATACTCCAACAGCGTCTCCAACACAACAGCCCGCCACACTCGTCCCTCAAAGGGCGCTCCCTCAGCGCCTGGTCTCCCCGATACTCTCCGTAACAAGATCACTCTCCCCGCCACCGCCCACGCCTCTTCTACCAACAACCCTACCGCCAGCGAGATTCCCTCTTCCACACACCCGCTCGAGGCCCGCCTTATGGCCTGGCGCGCAACCCAAGATGCAATGAAGATGGAGTCCCTGCGCCGGGCATACGGTATCGCTGAGCCTGTCCGTCGCGGTATGGAGCTGAAGATCGTCCGTGATGGTTCTTTCCGGCCTGCTGTGCTAGGTGGTATGAAGGGTGGCAATGTCCACGAGGATATCTTGTCAATTGGAGGCCGGGACACGGAGGTTCAATGGGAGGACATCTTCAGTGGTATGTTGAACAACCGGCATATGGCTCAATTTTGCTTAGCGGTCTTTTGTCCTTTTGCTAACTGGGGATATTCAGGCGACGAGTTCCGGGAGCCACCTTCCTTCCACGATGAGATGGAGAAGCGCCTGAAGATGGAGTTCCACTAAATCTTACGTTGATTATGTGATGTCATGGCTTCTTTTCTACTTTATTCTGAGGGACTTGTTCAAATAGTCTTGCATTCTGTCCCATCTCCCCATGCCCAATTCATGCCCACAGCAGGGATAGATTACACCAGTGAGTGCATCATTTATGTCTCGCGCTAGCGAGGCTATGATGTAGCTCTATCAATCTATTCTTTCCAGAAAACACCTCTGCGGTTTAAGCTTCCATCTAATATTATTCCAGGATTCCTTAAGTATATTGATAGAGTGAGGTATTGCCTGCTGATACCAAATGTGCTTGAAACTACTTTAAGTAGATGCCTCATTCCCATGACAGATTTTTGGTTTACTACTTTTGCAGCAACCAGGTATCACGGGCAGGAGCGACTCATCGATTCCATCACCTGACACATGGCAACAGTCCATCCACTTCACTTCTGAACTTGACCACCTTCTCACAACTCATCAATTCCACCTGCCGCGTGGTAATACTCTATCCACCTCATATCTTAATTGATGTCCTTTTCATCACTACTTTATTCCCTGCCTTTTCATCCCCCAGCAAACGTCAATTGTTCTCAGCGCCTGGTTTCGCCAACTATTCAATTCCATACCTTCAGTCACCGCACAACCAACAGCAATGGATCCCAACGCCAATCTTCACCCCGTCAATTCTGAAGGCTCACCAATCAAATCTGATATTGCCCTGATCAAACTTGAGTACTCGCCCAAGAACGTTCTGGTAGACATACCCGTTGATGTCGATAAGTTTTACTGCGGCAAATGTTCGTTGTGGTTTGATGATTTCAATACCCTCGATCATCATGTCCGAACCTCTCCTCCACACAGACTCTCCACACGAACACCTCTTTTCATGTGTTCAATATGCAAGGAACAGTTCGCAACGCTCGAGATGTTAAACGGTCACATTCTACAACCGCCACCGGGTTCGTCCATACACAGAATTTGGAAGATGGCGAGTCGTGCCATGATGGGTATTTATGAGCGTGAACACCAGTCGCGGAAAAGAGCGAGGCAAGATGATGATTTATTCTGCCCTCCATGCAAAAGATCCTTTATGACTCCAGATGCCCTCAGTCAGCATCGGAAACATTCAACCGCTCACAAGGCCAACCCCCCAACATACAAATGCGAATCTTGCGGTTGTGGTTTTTATGATCAGACTGCCCTAGATCAGCATTTAAAAGACTCACCTGCTCACCGTAAAGTTTACAAATGTGATTCTTGTGGTTTCACATTTTGTGATCAAACTGCCCTGGCTCAGCATTTAAAGCACTCGCCCTCTCACATCGCAAACCCCACGGTATACACCTGCGATTCCTGTCGCTGTGAGTTCAGTGATTCAGCTAACTTAGCTCAGCATTTGAAGGACTCACCTGCCCACCGCATGGTATATAAATGTGATCCTTGCGGCTTTACATTTTGTGATCAAATCGCCCTAGATCAGCACTTGAGGGACTCACCTGCTCACCACAAGGCATCCGACGATCAGGTCCGACTCTGATACAATCTTGGTTCGGTTCCTGTCATTCCTTTAATCGAGCTATGTATTTGGTTTGAATCATTGTTAATGACCTGCAATGACGCTAGAAAGCTATGCACCCTGTCCTCTCACACATGAAATCAACCTCAAGTTGGGGTACGTGTTCTTGAAGTTATCGGAGTATGTATTGATTTTATTTGTTAATCCACTACTATGTTGAAATCGGTTTCTCAAGGCACTTGTCGAGCTCATATCATTCTTTGTATCACGCAGTCGATACTATGATATCCATATGCTGCTGAATTAATCCATTGTTCTATTTGAAATTGTATTTCTACCAAGCTCTAGTCAACATTTCCTTTCGCAAGAATGTCATTTTGAGGCTTTCTAAGTTCGCCTCAGAGGAACGCATCACTATACCTCTCCAAGGCTAATCCCAAAGATACTATACATTACTTGATACATACCTGGATACATGTTTACGGGATAGGACTTTGGGTGCTATATGCAGCAAATTAGCAGGGCACCCCTCAGCATGAACAACTCACCAATGCATTATCCTATCATAAGCCAGCAAATCCAACGACAGCCTCATCCACCCCAGCAACATCAATATCCTTCCCACTAGTATTTATTTCAACACATTCAGCCATCCAGCAACTGCTCTAGCCATCATGGCACTCTGCTCCCCGTGCAATAGATCATTCAAGTCCGAGACCTCCCTTGACCAACACAAAAAGAACTCTCCAGTCCATGCTGCAATGGTCCCATGTGACAGATGTTCAATCTGGCTCCCCAACACCAATGCTCTCGAAGAGCACATCCAAACATCCACTGCTCACAACACACCGGAGTGTGACACGTCATCCAAGTTCAAGTGCGATATCTGTGATACGACATTTGTTAGCCAGATATTCCTTCACGAGCATCTCCAATACTCACCTCTTAATGCCACATCACTCGCGCACAAACTTTACAGTATAACCTTCCTTGCTAGAAAAGTATTGGAGGAAAGTCTGCAGAGCCTACAGAATTACACTCCAACCTTTGAATGCGATCCATGCGATCGATCATTTGTCAGCCAGGATGCGCTAGATAGCTATTATCAATTTGCATCAGAGCACACTTCGACATTCGAATGCGATCCACGCAACCGATCGATCACCAGTCAAGGTGCGTTAGATAGCCATATCCAATTTGCGCCGGCTTATACTCCAACCTTCGAATGCGATCCATGCAACCGGTCATTCATCAGTCAGGATGCGCTAGATAGCCATATCCAGACTTCATCAGCTCACACGGAACCCTTCAGATGCAATCCATGCAGTCGACCATTCAAAAGTCAGGCTGCGCTAGACTCGCACTTACAAAACTCGAAAGCCCACACCGGAGAACCTGACAACGCACGTACACAAGAACATCGTTCCAAACCTACACCAATAGACAAATTCTTCGCAAAATATCCATCGTTTGAATACAATCATAACCTTTCACCGTCTGTATCATACGCAAAGCTCGTGAAGTTCTACGGCTGGGATAAGAACGATCCCAAGGCTCGAAAAGCACGAAGGGAGTACCAGGTGGCTCTGGAAGATGAAGTTCGACTTTGGTTTGGGTCTACGAGTGATCTTGCTTCCTGGCATGCACTTTGCCGGGCTGTTGGGATTGAGCCATTGCCTCTGAGTTGTAAAGCTGGGAAAAAGGTATGTATATGCTTTGTTATTTTCTCACTATTGCAGGTTACTTCTTCTTGGACTGATCTATGACTTGCGTCTTCTGTTCTATCTAGGCTATCCGAGGCGTCTATGTCAATATTGTTGATTTGATTCAGTGGGCTCGAAAGGGGCTGGGAGATAGGCCCATTCGTCGATTTAAGAATCTGGATGAGCTAAGTGATTATACTAAGCTGACAGAAAAGTTCTACCCTAACAGGGGTCACAAACGGGAGGAAAGGAATGTTGTTCTTCGGCATTTGCTTCGTCATATCCTTTCCAGCGGCTCGCTTCTATTGGATTGATGTGTGTTGTCACCTGGGCAATGGCAGTGGAATCCACTCTGACCTCGGGGTCTGCTGCAGATACCAGAAACATTTGACACTGTACCCGAGGTCATATTATATGATAGCTGCATGCATGCATGTGATGTATTATCTGTATATCACGATAGCAGCAAGGCCCATCCAGATTAGGAACTTATGGACCCGGGTCCCGACAATTGAGAAATCAAAGTCCGTAGTATTCAACTGTATACCGGGGAAGCTCCAAAAGGATGCAAAACAGCATTTACAACGAAAACCACAAAACCAAGGCAAGAAGAGCGGATTCGTAGATACACAAGTTCCAAGATAAACGATACATGAACAGAGACCAAGGGAGCGAGGCGGAGAGGGAGTAGAGGAAAGAACAACAAAAAGGATTGGATGGGTATATAGATCTCAAACAGGGGAGGGAAAGCAAAATGTCCAAACGCCGCTTCCAGGGCGCACATTCAACAGTAAGAGAGCCATGTCTGGTAGAAGTTATTCTGCAGGCTGGTCGAGAGCGTTGCCATACCATATAGCAGGGCGGAGGATGGGGTGGGAATGTTGATGCGGGCCTATAGAATCACGCAGCGACAGCCAGGGCTGCGCTCGTTGTTATCGCGTCCCTGGCTGTATTGCGCCTTTGCTCCCTTGGCGTCTTCTTCGTCGACTACCTCCTGCGGCTTCACTGTCATATGTACGACATTAGGGGCATCGTGGTTGAATTTTGATTCTGAATCATGTAAGTATTAATACCTGTAGTGCTGGAAATGTAGACGGGACGATTGTACATACCAGAAAGAGGCGACTTGTCGTCCAACAATTTTCCGAAAGAAATCAAGCGAATGGAGCTTGGAGACGAAGGACGGGTTTCCCAATCTGCGAATGATTAGTTTCAATTCAGGATACCCCTGGCAGAATCCATGTCTTTCGACGAAAGCTTGACTTACCAGATCGCCACTCTCGCCAGATCAATTCTTTCAGAGTGTACACGCTCATCGCAAAAGGATCGGAATTCTCCACATTGACGGATCTCTTCCGCAAATATTGCCCATCGATCGTAAACGGGTGTCGTGAACCCGTTGTCAAAAGCAGCGTGATGTGAAGCGAAGGCCCAGCATCAACTTCCTTCCCTTCTGCATCCTCCTGTTCAGACGAGAGCTCTGCCCCAGGCTTCAACTCCTCGCTCTCTGTAGATGGCACATCCGTACTGGCAGGCTGCGCGATCGCGCCCGCAGATTCGTTCGCTGTAGTCGCCTCCACGGGAGTTTCGCCACCGTTAGTTGCGGGGTGGCTTGCGGGCGCATCGCCTGACTGAGTGTGGTCTGATGGAATAGCAGAGGTTTCGTGATCACCGATGGTGTTTTCGAGGACCGGGGAGGTTTTTGATTCGATTTGATGCGGGTGGGACTCCTGCGGAGAAGTGACAGCCACCGACTCGTGGTCTTTGGGGAGCCCGGGCTGCGGGTGGTCGTTGGAAGACATGGTTTAGTGGCCCCGGGAATATATGACAATTGACTTTCCCTTGTTAATTAGGGAAGCAACTGTCAACAGGGTGGACGGGGGATTGGGGAATGTAAAGAGGGAGAGAGTTGAAAGGTTGGAAATGGGCGATCGGGTTCCAGATGTGAGGAGTCGGGGTTCCAGACTAAGCGTGGCGGCACAATAGTGTTTCGCTAGTTTCTTTAACAACCTGTATTATGAAAAGGAGTCGAAATTTAAGAAATTTGACAAGTTGAAAAAGTTCAGGGTCTGGGAGGCGAAAGGAAAATGGTAAGGGTGATCGGCGCAAGGCCGCAATGGGTACTTCACGTACCTCAGGTGAAACTTAGTCAACCCGATCAATGGTAGAAGATGATCTCAGAATCTTGGAAGCGTCTATATATAGTAAATTTGTATGATTCTTACAAGATATTGGATATGCCAAGCTTAAGGCTGATAACGAAGATCCGGGGAAATCATGTTCTTAGTCACGATCTGGTCTACTGGGTCAAGTAGGAAGTCACCATTTGTTTGCGATCTACAGGATATGCATAATTCCCGCGAGAATTTGCCTTCAAGTCAGACGCTGTAAATTTGCCTGATATGCGGCAAATAGTCTATGTGCTATGTCGCCGGGTGCAGAATCCATGGGAGCTGGCCAATAGCCCTCTTTTGACATTTCAACTTCTCCAGGCCAAACCACAACACCAAACAAAACACGGTCGCACATGCTCACGGAGATACGGGACCAAGTCTCGTGCTGTGTGTATGCAGGGGCGCATGTAGTAGATACATCATATATTTGCATAGATACGGGGAAGTATGCGACTATCCGAGTCAGCTCCGCCTCCGGCGCTGTTCCAAGCGTTTGGAGAGAACTCGTGGGATCCGAGAGTCTGGCCGCATGGTATCGGAGCGAGGTTTCCTAGTCGAGCTCTGATATGGGAAGCTAGATATTCTAGACCCAGCCCGCATATTGCTCCAGCACTTCATTCTTCACCCCTTCGGACCCATGCCGGACACCCAGGAGTCGTACATTGCCAATCTTCCCACCGAAATCATCCTCCACCGCACTCTCATAGTTCTCGAATTGTTCGTTCAATCGTGTAATCACTGCAGGATCGTCCTTGATCAATAATACAATGGCATCGTATCCTCCAGCGCCGGGCACCACACCACCAATGACCCCATCGATCTCAGTGAGTCTGTCCAGCAGCTCAGTCTGTACACTCGGCTCAATGGGCACACCCGTCCGGCGGGTCATCGTGCGAATATGGTGCCGTGTGCGCTGGATATAATTCTGGATTTCCGAGAACTCGCCATCTGTGTTGGCATCGGGGTGTTGCGCAAGACGCTTGAGTTCCTGACGGAGACGCTCGTTGTTATTCTGAAGGCTGGCCCAGAGGATATCGGCCTCCTTGCGGTTTTCCTTCCTCCATGCTAACACCTTCTTAACCATCGAGGGCGTCTGCGAGCCACATTCGACATCGCATAGCACCATCTGCATCCCGCGCGGAAGCTGCATACCGAAATCCACGCACTCAGTATCCCATGGGTGCTCGGGGTCAGCGTCCTCTACAACGGCAAACAGTCGCTCGTCAAATCCAGGAGTTCCAACATCACCCACCGACTCGAGAATTGCCGGCGAGAAACGCTTGTACAGACAAGATCCGTACACGGCAGCGGCCACGTCAAAGCCGGACCCAACCTTGCCCTGGGCTGCGCAGTGGGCGGCTTGCGCCAAATTGTGGAGCTTGTCGCGGCCGGCGCCGAGATCATCAGCCTGCATAGTTCGGTGAATCACTAGTGAGGAAACAAGAGCGGTCACCAGGGCAGCTGATGAGCCCAGTCCTGTCTTGTGGGCTTCGAGGAGCGGGACACCGAAATTGACAAAGCGACCCCGACCCTGGGATGCAGGGCCCTTGGAGGTAGCAGTTTCCGAGTAGTAGTCATTATCAGCCAGAATGGTCACTGAGAGTGAGCCGAAATCCTTGGAGTCGGCGACATAGCCTATGTAGGTCAATGCATAGCTTAAGGAGGTTTCAACGAAAGGGTTCCGCGGTCTAGTAATCGTTCAGGTCAGCCATACTCGAGATATTTGACTAGGGAAACCGTTTCAAGTGTGGGGAAATCTAACCCATCATTTTTCTGGTTCACCTTTACTCCACCGCCATTTTCGCACCGCTGGATGCCATATTCCCAGATCGCATTGTCGAATTGCGGCGAGCGCACCACGATGGTGTCCTCGGCCTCAGTCTCGTCAACACCGGATCCCTCCAGTCGGGCAGAGTCCGTCTCGCTGCTTATGGTAGCGGCCTTGTGATCTGGTCCTGAGCCAGAGGCCCCGCGGCGGTGGCCCCGTCTCAGTTGCTGAACAACAACGTGGATGCGCGCATCGAGGGCGAAAACGGTGCCGGTGTAGGTGCGATCGAGGACTAGGTAGCCACCGGTCAGGAGGACCTTACCGGGCGCTGATAAGGCCGTTACGGAAGGTGGTTGAGATGCCATGGATATCGCTGATTTAAAGGAAGGCGGGGGGGTATTGTTCGGGAGAGGTTTGCCCCGCAGACAAAGGTGATTCGGGTCTGTATTTATCAGGGGAAGGGAATTCGGCTATAAGACTTGTGAAGTCGACCCGTTTCTCGTAGATTTTTCTGCAGCGCAGCTGGGCAGGAAAGGATGATTGGCGAAGAGGGCGGGCATCTTAGGTGGGGGGAATTCTTAACGCAAGGATGTATCGATATCTCCTAATGCGGGTTAGCGTTCCTGGGGGTTGCAAAGTATGCCCTAAGACACTCTAGGATACAAGTTGGGGCGTTGGGATGAAGACAAAGTACTAATTTTGCCAATTAAATTGCTTCTATCTAGGATACATTACTTACTAAATGACTCTGTATGTGAATTAATGGCCATAATGTGCTTGACATCCGTATGTATACTCCACAAGATATGCGCTAGTATCAATAGTCTTGTCGCCATTGAAAACAGAACGTGGCTGCGGACTACAGGCAATGAATTTCGACTCAATCAATTATGGAGTGAAATTACCAGGAACTTGGAGCAACGTAATCGCTAAAGGCAATAGAAAGCCATTGCTTACTCCCTTATTCAATGTGGCTTGAGATCCACCAAAGTAAAGACCGTGAGCACATAAATCATATCGGAGGTGAAGTAAGGCTGAGATAAGACCCAGAGATAAAGGATCGTGAGCATTACCACTAGTGGCTCTCGTCTAGATCCATCATTAGGGCGGAGATAATCACGAAATTTGCAGTCAAAGAGCCAGATAGTCATGATTTCATTATTCTTTCATGCTTGACAGTGACCAATGATAATGCAGTATTTGACAGGCGCTCGTCTATAAGCTTATGAATAGCCTAGAGCTTTTTGGATCATGAAGTTAATTACCAATCAATAGAATACCTTTTCTTTTCCCTCTTTCAGCTCTACCCCTCTAGATCGTGGGGGGTCATAAGTCATGCCCGAAGGCCATGGTTCCGTTTTCATAGATCATCTGGACTGCACAAGGTTTCTTCAAGATCAACCTTGGAACAGATTACGAAACTCAAAGCCACTTCAATTATGAAGATCAAATAAATTATCAACTAGATTATCAGGGTGCTATGGACTATATGCAAAATGACAATGTACTTCCAAACTCCAAAGATTCAAAAACAATAACGCGCAAACCAATGATTCAAAAGCAAAAACCAATAAACTCCCAAAGCCTCTAATCTTTTTCTGTACAGGGTATTTTCGAATATAATGCAGTCAATGACCAAGATGACGAAATGACGGAGCGGAGCGGCGCGGCGACACGAGAGGAAAGTAAGGGTGGCGGTGGAGCGGGCGTGCATCGAACGTGAATCTGTGGCGATTGGGCTGTGGTCGCACAACCTGTCGCAAAACCACCCCTGCCTTGATTTCTCCTCAATTATGCCTTGGGCTTCCGCGCAATGATGCTATAGCTCGTCGTGGCAAGACGCATGTTATCCATCTTGACAAAAGCCTGTCCATCCAAACACAAGCGGTTGATAAGCGTCTTGAAGTGACGCGGTATCATGCGGACCTTAACAAGACCCAGAATAACCTGGCGCAACGTCCGGAAGTAAATGTCCGCGTTGTCAATGAGCGGAGCCTGCAAGCCATCGATACTAGCGTTCTCGGACAGCACGATCTCAAAACCGGACTTGGTAAGAGCTTCCTCCAAGCTCTCCTTGGTGGGGGTGCCGACAGCTCCAATCAATGGTTTGACGCGGCGCATGAGCTCCGCATGTTCGGGGTTCGTGGGCTCGTAGGCAGGAAGACTGATCCAGTCTAAGAGCGAGATTTTAGCGCCGGGCTTGACAACGCGGAAGATTTCGGCGAAGAGTGCAGGTAGATCCTTGCATAGACTTAGCGCTTGGATCTGGTAGAAGGCGTCGAAGCTTTCGTTCGCGAAGGGCAAAGGGAGGCTGTTGAAATCTTGAACGACGAAGTTGTTCTGTAGACCGCGGGCTTCGTTGAAGGTTTTCGCTTGCGCGATTTGGTTCGGGTCGATGTTGAGGCCGGTAACGTGTGCGCCGGTGTGCTGGGCCATATGCGCTGCGACGCGACCACGGCCGCAACCAAGATCTAGCACCTTGTCTCCTGCAGTGAGACCAATGTTCTGAGCGATTGATCGTTCGTAGAGGATTTGATTCTCCAGAATGGAGGCCTTCTTGCTCATCCATGGCGGGATATACATCTTTTCCACGTCACCTAGCGCGCAAAGATGATTGAGCACGCCGTAGTATGACTTCAAGCAATCGCCAACTTTCTCCTGGTAATTTGGGCCCAGAGCCTCGATCATTTGCTTCTCATCGGACCAATCAAGATTGTAAATGATGTATGACGCCATAAACTCATCGACCTGCTTCGGAGTCAGGTTGGCCAAGTATCGGAATGAAGTCCAGAAGCTCTTCAATCGTTTCGGAGAGGCTGAATTGTCAGAATCCTTGCCATGCTTGCCCAGTGTAGTGACAAACAGCTTCTGCTTCGTCTCTGCGATCTCATCAAGCGAACTATCGCTCTCAGAGCCGCGCCCAGTCCGGCCCGGATGAGTAGGCGTCTCTATAAGCGTCTGTGACACCATTGTGTAGATAAGGTGGGAGAGCTTCAAAGCTGTATAAGATACGAGCAAGTTTGGGAAGGAAACGAGAAAAATTCCGAGAAGAAAAACGGATTGATCGCAAAAGAAGCTTGCACAATACCCAGCCCGCGCCGACGGGGGCCCAACGCCATTTATAAGCAGCTACCAACTCCGAGATCTTCGTTCTCCACGATCAGACCAAAGAAAAATTCATTCGCTTAGCCCATAGCGGTAAGTCGAGAGCCACCGTAGTGGATTGTCACCAGACCTAGCAGCTCCTATCCGGATGTACCGGCTCTGAGCCGATTAAACGCGAGCCGTTCATGGAAGCTCCGGCTCCTTTATTTTTTTGGTTACGGATAACCAGATCAAGAGGACCTTTGGAATAGTCATACGGTTAAACTACGGATACTTTGCTCTGCTCCTCATGGCGATAGAAAGTGCGAGTACTACTACATGGTCAGGCACGGATGACGCGGGAAGGACCACTGCGAAATGAGAATCGTCATGGGAACGACGATCCAGACCCACATTCAAAACTTCTTTTGACGATGAATATCTTTCTAATATGCGGGCTGCTGGAATGATTGGTATGTAATAGGAGTTCTGCCGCATGGGACGTGGCTTTACATACTGTACAACACCGAGACATCATCGTGCATACTGTGGTACTTATTGAGGTAAGTATTTCATAGTCATGAGATTGGGCTTACAGGTGAATAAAGTACTGGGCCCCAGCGGTTCCACTTAGTACGGTAGGCTCTCAAAGCGCTTGTTGAAGCTCCCTACGATGTACCTCCTGCAGGCCCGTTTCCTAACAGTGTCAGGTACATGATTAGTCCTAATCCTTGTGGCGTTCCCTTTACCTCATCAAGAAATACCAGCTTATATCACACGGCAAGTCGGCAACTGCGCATGGACTTTGTTCTGCAAGGCGTTCTGGAAATTCGGCGTTTCAAGCGTCGGATAGGTTTTTTCCTTTTTTCTTTTTTTCTTTTTTTCTCAATAAGAGAAAAATACTAAGAAATAAATTTCATGACTCGAATTGGACCATAAGGCCATGGCTCTGGAAAAGAAGTGGATCTACTATACAACAGACTGTCATGATAGAGGTGAATAATAAGTGACGGACCCACAATAGTTCCAAGTCTCCACTGCTTCGGGAAACTCGGACCCTTATACTGCAATACAACCGTAATCCCGGGATCCGAGCAATGGCCTACCATGATATCCACTTCGTTCCATTCTAGAACTGCCATAGGGTGGTTGCGGATCTCAATCGGGTAACATCCTCCTACGAGGAGTTTGGTTACCAACAATTATTAATCTCTGCTCGGCGGAACATGCCGTGCTATAGTCTTTTACTTGCTTGGCATTTGCTTGTTGATGTCTCCGCCGTTGTATCGCCTCTTAGCCGTCAAAACTAGTCCGCACTGTGGCGCTGATGATGAAAGTTTCTGCAGCCCTTTGCTTGATTTTCTTTTCTTTCCTTTTGGTTGTATTTCTATGGGGGACCTGCAGAGTAAAAACCGGTAATTTTAAATGGGATTTTAGGATCTACAGTACAACGTGGTCCACGTTGTGCGGCCAATGATGCAACGGTCTTGGCACGGGTTAGGTGCGTTGGGAGGTGGATCACAAAGGTAAAGATTTTTCAATATTCATTTAAGATCAGCAAATAAGACAATGATTCTGTCGGTGTTCCCATCTATCCGGTATTGCGTGGGTAGGCTGCTGTGGCTGGGAGGACGCTAAGTTGAGTAATCATAAGTTACATCGAAAGAAGTATATAAATGAGTCATGCCACCCTTTAATAAAGTATCTCAAGGTAAGCGAAGGATTTTCGGTGCGAAATCTCTTGGCGTCATAGGTTATAACGAATAGCGATTGTATTTAACCCCAGCGAGGACCAACTAGACAGGGCTAGTGCAGGCTCTTTGAAGCTTTCTACCGTTTCCAAGGTTCCCCTCTTCCTCGGTCACCCCGCGCACATATGCAAAAGTGGCATATGTGGAGGTGATGGGGTCTCTATGCGTGTGACGGCGGGTCGCTTTGTAAATTGATCGACCTCAAAGACCTCGGAAAAATATCCATTCTGGGGTTTTCTTGTCCTTATCAGAACGTTTTGACCCTGGCCTAGATTGCTGACAATCTATGAGCGAGCAAATCGTTGGTTTGGTTTTATTGTGGCAGAACGCTTACGCAGCAGCTTCAAGGATCTGATACCGATGGAATCAGCCACTTTTGACGAGCAATATTCACCTTGGAACGCCATAGCCTTGGAAAATCCCAACGTTAAAGTATCGTGGGGTCCTTCTGGTGGTTGATCATTACGAGATATGCCCCCGCCCTTCTCTGTAAGGGTCTATGATGATCCATGAGGCGGGAAATCGATCAACATGTCCCTAATTTGTCCGAGCGTTTCTCTCTTCATTTACCGTTTTAGTTGTGTCGGTTGGTTATCTGTCGATAGGATTCTGACCTGACGTCAGATTGACACATCTCCTCGTACTTCGTATTTACTGACTCCAGAATCGCCCCCCCATTGACGGACTATAATCCGGGTCCGTGATAAGCCTCCACTAGATCATCATATCTGGATCTCCATATACTGACTCTGGGTGCATTATAGATAGACATCACGACGGTATTGAATGCCTCTGATCTTGCACGTGATCCCAATGTGGATGAAGTTGTTGGCCCTTTTTCTCAGGTGTCAACTTTTTGCCCTTCTGGATCTCGAACGATCTCTTGGCAACGTCTGAACCATCAATTTTTTTCTAGATAGGTCATTTTGCATATCAATTAATTCGCCTATCGCTGAAATTGACCTCTCTTTGACTTTCATCCAAAAAGAAGGAAGCATGAAAGGCAGGCAGGCCGCATCGGTTGCCTACGGATATTCGAGGGAAGGCTCAGCCCCTGGAAAGCCAAATGCCAGTATATGCCTCATGGAATTCGGAGACAAAATTCAACTCCGCGGGCCTCAAACACCGTTAACACCGGTTCCGTGAGACCGAGTCGGGGAAGGGGCAGTGGTTTGGTCCGAAGAAAAAGAATCGGGACCGATTCAAGGTGACTCATATTGTATTGGGATCTGGTTGGTGGATCATCCGTGTTGTACTCCACTTTACATTGGATTTCTGACAAACCACATGACCCCTGAACAGGAACAGGTAAGTGTAGAGTGGGTGTAATGTATGAGGGATGGACGATAATGTACTGGATTCTTTGAATGTATCTATATTGGGATTCGAGTCTATCATATATGAGATAGGTAGAAAGAACTTGAAGTTAGATTCGAATGTTGACGTGTCTGAAGCTAAATCATAGATTCGCAACAATCTTGTTTTAGCTTCCAGGGATGGTACAGGGTACGGCGAGGCCGTGAGTGCCCCCTACAGAGTCGAAGGTACTTAGTACATCCAGAGGATTCTCCGGAGAGGATCGGCCCTAAGCCACAGGTGTCCCACTGTGAAACTCCATCTCTTTCCAGAAGTTTGGCGTGTGAGAGTCGGCTTTTCTTATTTCTTATTTCTTATTTCTCTTTTAGGCTCCTCTCTTTCCTGTCACCTTCATTTTTTATTTTTTTTATTAAATTCATCTACATCCATCCTACACCTATTCGAGGACCTACCAATCCACCGGTCTATTCTAATACCATCCCAATATTTCTACCTTCCCTGCCATAGCGCGTTCATTGGCGGCACGGAGTCGTCCAATGAGCCTGCATTTTCAATACCATTCTGACTGCAAGGTCCGCTATTCCTCCAGCGCGCATTCGCGGGCTTCACTGACGACTTATTCGTTTCACAGCATTGCCTCTTCGCATTGAAGAGGTCTTCCACTAGATAAATGGTTTTTAAGCCGTTCACCCACCTCGCGCGCCAGAGTTTCACCAAGGCCTTCACCCATGGCTATGCTCAATCGGTAGTCGCAGCATCGCAGACCTACGCGTCACCCCTAAACTCCATTGCCTCACAACCCGCCAAGTTCTCTCGCACCCAACTACAGAATGCTTTCACCAACGCGTCAAGCTCATCTGGCGGCGCCGGTGGCGCCAAGGCTAACCAGGCCTCTGGATCGGGGGATTCTGGCCTAGCTGCCTACTACGCCGCCTGGCAGCACGCGCAGCAAACTGGCGACGATAGTGACTGGTGCCAATTCCAGTTCAAGCGCCGCATCGACTGGAAGCCCTCCGCCGAAGAAATCGAGCAGGCCAACGAAGACCGGCCCGAATCCGCTCCTCCACATCTCACCAAGGCTGCCGCCAACGAGAATGTGAGCGCCCAGGTTGAGGAGGCGGTGGCTCTGGAGATCCAGAAGATCCAGGAGCAGCACGAACAATCGGAGGAATCCTCGGATGTGAGGGAGGCTGCGGCGAAGGAATCTGCCGTTGAGGATGTGATGCTCTCAGAGGCGATCTCGGAGGAGTCTAAGGCTGCTTCTGCGAAGATTATGCAGCTGGCTCAATCTAACAACTTTGCAGAGATCCCAGCTGCCTTCCAAGCTGTGCTTCGGGAGGGTCTGACACCGACCGTGGAGGCTTATAATGCTCTTCTCCTCGCGGCTATCAGACTTCACCCTGAGGCTTCGCAGGCGATCCCAAAGGCGCTCGATGTTTACTCCGATATGCTTCGTCGCAACGTCATGCCCGACGAGGATACCTATGAGACCCTTGTTCAGCTTTTGGTTGCCAACGCGAACGATTCGATCAAGGCCAAGGAGGTTTTGGAGCAGGAGCGGGTTCGTTATGGTGGCATGGAGGAGCCTGGCAAGTTCATGCTTCAGTCTCGCGAGTTGGAGCGCGACATTCTGGCTGAGGACCACTCCTTGTCTATTGCCGTGAAGCTGTTTAACACTGCCATTGCCCGTCACCCTCTATTGGTATTCCCTCTGGATTTGTACCGCCAGTTCATCATTGCCTGCGCTCGTGATGGCAAGGTAGATGACATGGTTCTTATCTACGCCCACATGGAATCGCAGAAGGTGCAGCCTCACGCCACCATTTATCCTCACATGATTGATGCTTTCGCCAGCACCGGTGATCTCAAGAGTGCGGTGGAATGCTATCAGGAGTACCGAAGCCTGGCCGTTTCGGACGACAGCGGAGTTTTCAGCATTGTTCAGCGACTCGACGGACAGGTTTACGCAGCCCTTATCCGTGCCTACTTATCTTGTGGCAAGGAAGAGGGTGCGATGAACTTCCTCGACCGGATTCGTTCTTCCTTTGATGGGGTTACCGAGGACCGCGAGAGCCGTTGGTCCGCTGTGGAGAGCGTGATTGTCCAGGAAGCATTTGTGCAACACTCCGTCAAGATTGGGGAGCACAGCAAGGCTTTAGAGAAGGCTAAGGCTGAGCTCCACAATGAGGCTCGGGATCAGGCCATTTCCCAGATTTGTGTGGCCGCGGCTGACGCAGGTGATCTAACCACTGCCTCCGAGGCGTATGATCGTCTGTCCACCGCGCCGGCAACACGCCAGGTTCCCGCCATCTCGCTCCTTGCCCTCCACATTCGTCGGGGCAATGTTTCCGCGGCACGTTCCTTGTGGATCATGCTGAACACCGTGGGTCAGGCAACCCCGGATATGGTGCAGCCGACCGCCATGTACGCAGTGGCGTTGTTGAAGAGTGGCCAGGTCGAGGCGGGTCTGCAGGAAGCTCGCAACATGTTTGCTCGCATCCGCACTTCCTCTGCTAACCAGGACGTTGCCGCGACGATTCGAGAGCAGATTACTGAGTCCCTCCACCTCTTCGGACGTGTCATCGTTCAGACCGCTGCCGTCCTGTCCCCGCAGTCGTCCATGTCACTGCTGTGGTCTATGATTGATAACGGTGGCCTGGTGTCCCCCCTAGCTGAACATGCCGTTGCCAATCTCACTCCCATCGGTATCTCGCAGTTGAACCCAGCCGACCTCACTCTTGCCCTTCAGGTTCAAGCTGGTATGCTTGCTAGCAACACTGCCATGCTGTTTGATATCGCCCACCCGGCCCGCTTTGCGCACATGCTCGATGTGGCTTTGTCAACTTCCCTCCCCTTGGACAACTACACCACTGGCCTGATCGACCAGGGTATCGCTCAGATCTTCGCTAACCGCCCCGACGTCGTCAAGAGATGGCAAGACCACATGGAGGCCAGTTCTCAGGCCTCTTTGCTGTCTGCGCGTCACAGTCCTGTCTCCGCTGCCGAAACCTCTATTACCGTCCCGTCTTCCAGCCCCGATTCCTTCGACCCCTACGCTTATGCCACCGACTTCCGCGCCTCTGCTATTATTGCGGAGGAGCTTGAGAAGACCGCTGGACGGCCTGAGTCACACCTTAGCGAAGCCATGATCCGTCTTAAGAACATGCGCCGCATTGGTCGTCACCCTCGCTACATCACATACGCTAAGCTGATCACCGCTGCTGCGAAGATTGGTCGCACGGAGTTGGTTCATGAGATTCACGCCATGGCCCGCACTGACGTTCCACTCAACTTGGCTCACAACACTGTTAAGTACGGTTGGGTTTCGATCCTTGATGCCATGGTTGCTGCTTGCCTTACTCTTGGAGACCGTCAGCTGGCTGGCCAGTTCCACCAAGAGCTTCTTGGTCTGGGCTCTGCGCCTTCCGCTAACACCTTTGGTCTGTACATCACTACTCTGAAGGAGTCTACCAAGACCTTCGACGAGGCCACTGAGGCTTTGAAGATCTTCCACCGCGCCGTCGCTGAAGGTGTCGAGCCTACCTCGTTCTTGTACAATGCGCTTATTGGAAAACTCGGAAAGGCTCGTCGCATTGACGACTGCCTTGCTTACTTCGCCGAAATGCGTGCCAACAACGTTCGCCCAACTAGCGTCACCTACGGAACTATCGTCAATGCGCTGTGTCGTGTCAGTGATGAGCGCTTCGCAGAGGAGATGTTCGAGGAGATGGAGTCCATGCCTAACTACAAGGCCCGCCCCGCTCCTTACAACTCCATGATCCAGTACTTCTTGAACACAAAGCAGGATCGCAGCAAGGTTCTGGCCTACTACGAGCGCATGCAGGCTCGCAACATCAAGCCAACCATGCACACTTACAAGCTGCTCGTTGACGCGCACGCCTCCCTCGAGCCCATTGACATGGATGCCGCTGAGAGAGTTCTTGAGTCCATGAAGGCTGCTGGTCAGCAACCCGATGCCGTCCACTATGCCTCCCTGATTCACGCCCAGGGCTGTGTCCAGCACAACCTGGTCGCTGCTCGCAAGATCTTCGACTCCGTCATCGCCGACCGCAACGTGCGCCCGCAGCCATGCTTGTTCCAGGCTCTTTTCGAAGCAATGGTCGCCAACAACCGCGTTGCCGACACCGAGGAGATTGTCCAGGGTATGATGCAGCGTAACGTCGAGATGACCGCTTACATTGCCAACACACTCATCTCCGGATGGGCCACTGAGGGCAATGTCATGAAGGCCAAGACCATCTACGACAGCATTGGAATTAAGAAGCGCGAGCCTAGCACTTACGAGGCTATGACCCGTGCTTTCCTCAGTGCTGATGACCGCAGCAGTGCCGCCACCATCGTCCAGGAGATGATGTCGCGCGGATACCCCCCTGCTGTGGCCAACAAGATCCTGGATCTTGTAGGCGGAGCTCCCTCTGTCTAATACCCTTTTCATTTGTTTCTCTTTTTGTTTTCCTGGCTACCGTTCAACCAGGTTAGATTAATGCTGTGGTTTTGGCTGCACCCTACATCACCTCGCCAGGGCTGGATCCCTTCGGCATGGGTTATTCCGGTTTGGCGCATGTAGGGCGGCATTGGATATACCTGGGATTTTTGGTTTTATGGTTAGTTGCATTCAGCGGGTTCTGGCGTTTATTTGGGGATCAAAACGGCATGTATACCATTGTGCGACGAATTTCTTCGTTATGTTCATAGACCTATCTCAACTCTGCATGGCCCTTCGCCAGGTCAAAATACAAAAAAAGTGATTTGAGATTTGATTATACTGTAGTAAAAAGGCCGTATAGGCATTTTAAGCGATAAGCACTTGAAATTAACATGATTAGCCTTATAAGCGGACGTTCTTATCGTCATTGGTCATTAACTGTCACTATCCTATGCCGAGGTAGACCAATCGAAGACTTTGACTCACGATGATTCGATACGACCAAATCTCACTAATTTACCTAAGTCGAAGCTTGAGTGATTAGAGAAATAGCACATATAAAATCGTTAAAACCATGACTCCCTGCAACTAGAGCTACACCCCCAACCATCTCTACATCCCACATTACCACCCTTTGAAGCCAACCACCCAACAAATTGGAGAATCAAGCCACTCTCAACCAACCACACAGTCCCACAATGGCCGACCATGATACCGAATTCCTCACCGAGCTCCCGGAAATCCCAGAAGGCGAATTCGTCATTTTCGGTACTGTTCACGCGATCCCAGAGCACGCAGATGCCCTAGAAGTCGTCTACGCGGAGACTACTCGTCTGGCACAGTCCGAGCCTGGCTCAATCTATTATTGCATCTGCAGAGATGAAAAGGATCGAAATATGTTTCATTTCTTTGAGCGCTACGCTAGTCGTCAGGCGTTTGAGGATCATAATGCCCAGGCTATCATTGTGAAGCTTATAGCGGATAAGTGGTTTAGGGGTGTCAAGGCGAAGTTTTTGAAAGCAATCCCGCCGACGAAGGTCTAGGATATATCATGTGGGATATATAAATGTAAATAGTTGTGAAGCTTATGTATATATGGGCGGGTTCGATTGGGTTTGCTCTGAATGTAGCTAAAAGTGGTTCCATCAAGCGGCAATGACATGGTATGACTCCTACGTCAAGTTCCCCAAATCTACATTCCAAGGTTTTCCTCTTCCTTTCCTCGTGTTCATACCTCAATTGATCTTGTCAACGTATATTTTGATTATTTAACCTCTGTTTAATGCTCTCTCGTTCCTCTTTCTCCATCTCGGCCCTTGATTCGTTTCTCCGCATTCGCTTCCGCACAGCTTCGCAACCCCGCCTTCAATCATTCCATTCAACCACCACCTCCAACGCCCCTAAAGCCACAATGTCTCAAAACGAAGGGCATCTACGCCCAAAGAAACTCATCTGTACGTCTCAAATACCTACATCTACTGCACATCATTTACCGCGCACACCTGAGGCAGGGACAGCGATCCCCGCGGGGAAAACCTACAGAGCTCAAGCTAACATACCTTTCTACAGTCGCACCAGGCGATATATCAGCAACCCCAGAACTCGAAGCGACCGAAACCCCGGCAACGCAAGCCGACTCATCTACTGCCCTCCGCTCCGAAACATCCACGCCCAATTCCGAAACCGAAACCGAAATCATCTCCCACCCCGCAAGAGCCCACCAGTTCATCACAAACCCACCCCTCACCGTCTCCCAAATCCACGGCACAAACCCCCTCCACCAATTCCACTCCTGGTTCAAGGACCCCCGCCTGTTGCCCAGCTCCGCCCCAGAAACCTGCACTCTAGCAACCGCTTCTCTACCCTCCGGCCGCGTCAGCGCCCGCGTCGTCTACCTGAAAGAGCTAGACGAGCGAGGCTGGGTTGTCTACAGTAACTGGGGTAGCCGCGAAGGCAAAGGCGGACAAGTCTTCGGCAACGAAGAGGGGGGATCGACTAAGCTCCCCGAGCCATCCGAGGCTGCAGCGTCGCACCTGGGTAACAGATGGGGTGCGCTGACATTCTGCTGGGCAGCCGTCGAGCGCCAGGTGCGTATTGAGGGAAAATTTGAGCCGCTTAGTCGGGAGGAAAGTGAGCTTTATTGGCGGACTCGCGAGCGGGGTAGTCAGATTGGAGGTTGGGCTAGTTGGCAGAGTAAGGTCCTTTGGTCTGCGCAGCCGGCACAGATGGAAGAGCGTCAGAGACGGAAAAGTGTTGCGAAAGTGCAGGAGGCGGAGGCTGGGAGTGACGCGCTTGCGAAGCTTGATCAGACGGATATTGATGATGGAAGAGCGGCTCTTGAGCAGCGGGTGAAGGATATGGAAAAGAAGTTTGAGGGTGTGAAGGATATCCCGCTTCCGCCTTTCTGGGGTGGTGTGCGCTTGGTTCCGGAGTCTGTGGAGTTTTGGCAGGGGAGGAAGAGTCGGTTGCATGATCGATTTAGGTATGTTAGGGAGGGAGAGGATGGACAGTGGCGGTTGCAGAGACTTTCTCCATGATTCAAGTCATTTACCAGAAATATGTATACATTGTACTATTCTAGACAAGAAATATACGAAGTCTTGTTGGAAATATTTGATTGTATGTCGAAATTTAGTAGTTCGGTACTGTATAGATTTGATGTCGATCCGGCACTATCTTATCAGTCTTGGCATTCAACGTCCTCCCTTGACACCCAGCTCCAGACTGTACGTATACATCTCGGATCCAGCATAATCAATCCAAACTCCTCCCATAACTACCCGCGCACATTCTCGAGTACATACACATACACCTTTCACAATGGCTACCCAAAAATCGTCAACGTCCCCTTGGATTCTCCTCGCCCTGGCAAGCGGCGCGTTCGCCGCGCTAAACGGACTCTTCGCGAAATTGTAAGCCAGAAACCTCGAGACTTGCATCAAAACACGGTCCTAGTCAATCATTTCAAGGTTGCTGGGCTATAGGGATCGTTCCAGCTAATGTGGTATAGAACAACCGATACTAACACCACATCCTTCGCGCAATCTCTCGCGCATCTTTTTGGTCTGGACTCCTCGCCTTTCTTGGAGTTGCTTGTTCGGGGTGTAAGTGCTTCTTTCTATTTCCATTTTCATTGACTATTTATGTATCATGGTCTTATACATATCTCAAACATGTATATGCAAACGTACTGTGTTCATATAACCAATTAACATAACTAACCTTGGAAACAGGCCTGCCTCGGACTTAACGTCCTCTGCAACATCATCATGTGGGCCCTCTTCACCCGTGCCTTGACAGCTGGCCCATCGACAGTGAAGGTATCCATTACCAACACGTCGGCAAACTTCCTTGCAACAGCACTGTTTGGGATGGTCATTTTCCGGGAGGCAGTTGGTGGCCTTTGGTGGGTTGGTGCAGCTATGATGGGGGCTGGGTGTATTTTGGTAGGTATGCGTGAGGGGGCTTGATTTCTTTATCACGGGTTTAAGTGATCCATGTTTGTACATAGTATGTGTGTGTCTTGCCGAAGGTCTAGCAACTAGAAGCATCATCGTTGTTCTTTCTAGTATCCTCTTTGGGTGGTTATTTGCTTGTCTACGTGGTAGTCATGTTACTGTAGTAGTATATTATAATTGAAAAGAAATCAACATGAAAGAGGTAATGAACAGCAATCACCATATGTCAGAGGTTATAAAAATGTAGACCCGTATCCCAGAACAGGCATGGCATAGAACGGGCATACCACACAACAAGAAGATGAGGAGAAACAATGACAGCAAAAGAACAGAACAACAATATGAAAAAAAACAATTGCCGACGGAAGGATTTGAACCCCCGATTATCAAGTTCCCCCCACCCGAAGAGGAAGTCACCCCCCTGAAAGGACCGACCTTAAGACCCATTAGCGTAACAGATACCATAAGGATAGCGGGTGTAAGAATGAATAATGGGCATTCGGTCTTTCCAGGGTTCGTACGTGGCTTGGGTGGCTTAGGTTTGACCGTGCTAACCACTACACTACGTCGGCTGGTTGTTGAATGTTTTTGGCAGTAGCGCTATATAGAGGAAGATTCATAAACATCTTGGGAAGGTATGCTTCGGTAGGCGCCGCAACGCCCCACTGACCCACGCATCAAGGACCCACACATTAATTATTCTACACTCATTCTTGCCTGTCTTGAGTCGTCTAGATGGTATGTCGTGCTTTCCAGGGATTTTTATCTAATCATTTGACGACATGGGGGCTTTTGAGTAGGGGGGTGGAGGATATTCAGGTTGGGGCGTATCCAACGGGGGTAAAGTGTCAAATCCAGCTCGCGTCAGTATGGATGTCTTGAATTCTAAACAGGCTTTAAAATAATCATAGAAATAAATCAAGCAAACTAGGTACCAGTATAAGCAACGATTTACATGAACGTCTCTATCCTATATCCACATAACTAGTTCATACAGTTGCCTCAATGACGAGGCCGTTCATCTCTGTCCTCCAGCTCAACCAAATCATCATCCTCGGTCCCATCCAGGATCTCAGTCGACTCCGCCGCCCCAGCTCGGTCTCGTTCACGCAGCCTTACGGGCCGGCGTGGACCAGAGCCTGATACGAATCCAATGACAGTCTGGATCAGACGCCACAAGCGGTCATCCAGTGTCTCTGCTGCGGGATTATTCAAATGGCCACCAAGACTGGAGAAATCGGAAGAGTTCGTCGCTGCAAGAGCGTGTTCTTCGGCTTCAACCTTGAATTGATACTTCAAGCAGTCCTTGACGGTCACTAGGCCAGCCAGGCGGCCGCGGTGCTCGACGATAATCACACGCGGGCCCATCTTCTTGAAGATTTCCATGACTGTCTCTAGTGGCAGACGCGGATGCACAGTGAGAGGAGTGTGGTCGACGAAGTGCGAGAAGTCAACGACACCGGCGCCAACAGTAGTCTGAATAGCGTCAAACGTATCGGGGGCGAGGTGACGTCCAGATGCGCGACGGGCAACAGATGCCTCTGCTGCGTCTTTTGTGAATACACATCGAGCGCGTGGGGAGAGGAGGCCCTGGCTTCGGGCACGGTCGATAGCGTATCGGAGCTCTGTACGTCCGATATAGCCGACGAGAGTCTTGCTGCTCCGGTCTTCTACAATCGGGAAGCCCTGGAACTTGTTGTCGCTGAGTAGGTGCTCGGCTTCCCGGACAGGGAAATCCGACGCTGGGATGAAAAGTGGGTCGGTTGTCATGGCGTGGGAGACTGGGACGTTAAAGACATGTTCTTCCTTGTTATCTAGGAAGGGGAATCCATTAAACCAGATCATGCGATCGGCGATACCGCCGTTTCCGAATCGATCGCCCACGGCCTTGGTGATACCCACCACAATCATGGTGGGCAGAATGTAGGTAAGAGCTCCTGTCAACTCGAACATGATGACGGTAACAGAGATGGTAATGTGCATGATTCCACTCAGCGCTGCTGCGGCACCCAGGAAAGCATAGGTACCTGGTGTGATGCACGGCACGTCCGGGTCGCATGACGCGAAAAACGCTGACTTAGGGAATGATTCATGCAACGCCTGCACCATGATTCCTATCATTCGCCCGAATGATGCGCCAATAGCCATAGATGGGACGAAAATACCGGCAGGGACTTTGCAGCCGTAGGAAATGATGACCAATCCCGTGCGTAGAATTGTAGCAAAAGCCAATGAGATAACCATCGACCATCGGTTTTTCTCTCTGTTGAAATTTGTTAGTATCATGTTTCTCAAGAGGGTTGGTGGTATACCTACTGGCAAAGTCCGTGGTAATCGTGACCTCCTCCACATTCGCGGAAAAGGATCTCCATCATCTCTGTCATGTTGATTTTCAAGAAAATGTTTGGGTAGCAAAGGATGGCTGTAAGTCCAGCAAGAACTACTGATTCGGCAATGGGGTATTTGCCAAGGTATTTCTTGCGGAATGATGCCATTCGGAGATTCCATTTGATCACGAAGGCACCATATAAACCACCGAAGACACCGATGAAAATGAAGAAAAGTAGTTCGAAAAAGTGCCAGGTGCGATCATATTCGACCTGAAACATGACCAGCTGTCCAGTTCTGAAAGGGTTCAAAGCCTAAAAAAAGTCAGAGCTGCATCGAAATGCTCATCGGGCAAGAAAACGTACAGCTAGCACACTTGTTGCCACCAGGGCACAGAAGTAGCTGCGCCAGAGAGTCTTGAGAGGGAAGTAATTGGCAATTTCCTATTCATGTTAGAGATCAATCTTGTTTTGAAGTTTGAGACCAAACAAACCTCCAGTGAAAACAGCACACCTCCTATAGGACTGCCAAAAGCCACAGCCACACCAGCTGCAGCCGATGCAGTCAAAATCTCTCTGGTCTTAGAGGCACTGGTCTTATATTTGCCAAAGAACCGTGAAATCACGTTTCCGGTACAGACGGCAAAATGAACACTGGGACCCTCCTTTCCAACAGAGAGACCAGATGCAATAGCTAGCGGTAGAGCAATTGACTTGATGATGAGCGTCCAGGCGCCTAGGAAGCCTTTCATAACGAATCCAGCAATGATACACTTGATCTCCGAAATGCCAGAGCCAGCGGCATACGGCGCAAAGGTCTTGACCAGAATGGCTGCGACAGCAGCAAGCAGCACCTAAGTCCGACATTAGCAAGCCGCCTTTTAAAGGAAAGTATGGTTAGTCATACCGCAAAGAAGAAATAAACCACATAATTAAACAGCCAGAATCCAGTCCAAGATTCCCATTCCTGGCAGCCTCCTTCGGCACCCCAGCAGCAGAATTGCTCATTTAGGTAAAATGCCGTAGTGCAGTGACCCAGCTTGATGTCTGACAACCATTCGGTGATAATATTCAGAATAGCTGAATTGACACCAATTGCCATACCAACGAGGGTCACCACAAGCCAGGCTTGACCCGCATCATAGGATTCGACCAGCTTGCGTCTCCAGCCAAAGACACCTTCCTGGTCCCAGAATCCTGTGCCGCTCCGTCGCTTAGCTCGTCGACGACTTTGTTCATACACAGCATCCTGGACCCAGTCTATTGTAGTAAAGTCTTCATATCTTTTGATCTCCGTGATTTCTTCAGTGATCGCGGGCGCATGTGCGTCGGGGGCTGGATTCGAATCGGCAGTGGATGAAACGGAAACAGAGCGGCCAGACAGCCGGCGCATATCCCGGCGCTCCTCTAGAATCGAGGGCGACCGGGGGTAGGTCGAGTTGGGGCGTGTCGAGGTCATAACATCGACCACAGTGGTAGGCTCAGCATAGTCGGGCTCGAGCTAAGTCGGTAATACGCTACCTCCGCGATGGGGGAGATCGCGGGATCGGGGCTGCGCAGGTCAAATCTTAAAATCTGACCAGCGCCTAGTATATCGTCATGGAATCTTTGACGAGGTCAAAGAATGGATCTGGGGAATTTGTGCAATTCCGGGGTGGGAATGATGTTGAGGTTAAGGTGTCAAAGGCTCAAGTTCCACGCCAAGTAATCGATAACGGAGATCTGCTGAGATAACGCCGCGCACACGCGTTTGACTTTCTTGTCTTAACAGTTGCGCGCTGCAAATCATTTACTCTGAGAAAAAGTTGCTCAAAGACACGACTAATTACTTCTAGTCCCTGGTTCTCATTGTCTACAGTTCCATATTATCAGTCATGTCTCCAAAGACTGTGGGCGAGCCGGATGAGATCACTGGTCAAAGTGCACTCCCTAGTGAGTACTACAGCTGCAGATAGGACCTTGATCCATATAACTGACGGCTGTGGTAGTATCTCGCATCAAAAAGATCGTTCAGCTTGACGACGACATTGTACAATGTTCCAACAACGCGACCTTCGTCATCGCCATGGCTACTGTACGGCACACTCGTATCCCATTGCAGAATATCGAACAAAGAACTGACGCAGTCAATAGGAAATGTTCATCCAATACCTCGCCGAGCAAGGCCACAATGTGGTAAAATCAGAACGCAAGCCACGGAAGACTGTCCAATACAAAGATCTGGGTAAGTGGCGGAAATGAGAACTATCTCTAGCGGCGGGATACTGATGAAGCATAATAGCCACGGCTGTGTCACATATTGACAATCTCGAATTCCTATCCGATGTTATCCCCAAGACTACAACCTACAAGCAATTCAAGGAGAAGAAGGCCAAGGAAGCGGCCGCACCTGGAGATTTGGAGAAGGGCCAGCGTACATTGAACGGCACCACTCCGGCAGCTGGAGAACAAAATGGCGATACCCCGGTGGAGTCAGCAACAAAGCCAGAAGGCTCAAGTCAATCGCCGACCATGCCTCGTACACCCATTGTCCCTGTGAGTGCGCTGATGGCGGATCGCACTGTCACTTCCGCACGCCACGACCCTGATGTTGAAATGAAGGATTAAAAGTACACAGGCTATTTGGTTTCTTGTGGCGGACTTGAGAACTGTCTTATTTCATTTGTTTTGCATTGGAGTTTTGTTTTTCATGAATTTCTGGCGATTGCTGCCGTTTCGCATTCGGCCCGAGGAGGAATGTATAGGATCTAGGTAGATACCAAATGACAACTCACTTTAATAAAATTTAAAAGCATGATTTACCCCGACAAATGAAATAAAGAGCAATTGAATTGGAATCGACGAAATTAAGGGTATAGTTCGGAGTAAATTGGTATACATAGTCGGTCAAATCCATGTTCACCCGCGCGACCCGCATCAGCCAATGACAGGCCCCGTGATTCCGATCGCTAGCGAAAGCTCTGGCTCCAACTTCGTCCCGGCTTCATCCACTCCTTCCCTACGTTCAAGCAACGCCGCGGTCACACCTCCCCCCTCAGTGGTCAATTGCCATCACTATGTCGCTCTCCTCCGCTTCCAGCACTCTGCTGCGCACTTGCGCCCGCCAGCAGCTGCCTACCACCCGCGCCGCCGTCACCTCCTGCCAGCAGCGGAGGGGAGTTGCGGATGCGAAGGCTTCCTTCGACAGCCCCTTCGTTAACGCCGGAGAGCGTGGCTCGACTGTGAAGATCCCCAACTTCAGCAAATACAAGTCCAACTCCTCTCCTCGCACCAACCAGGTCTTCTCCTACTTCATGGCTGGCACCATGGGTCTGGCCTCCGCCGTCGGTGCCAAGGCCACTGTCCAGGGTAGGTTTTTCTTTTCCTTCCATCGCGCTTTCCGGAGAGAACAGGGATATTCTAGGAGGATAATGGAAAGATTTGGATTGAATGGGCTCATTCCTAGTGGTGGATTGCGTGTGGATTGTGTGGTTCCGGATCCGATGACTGACTCGTGTGCTTTCGCCCCCTACAGACTTCTTGGTCAACATGTCCGCCTCCGCCGATGTCCTGGCCCAGGCCAAGGTTGAGATCGCTCTTGGTGCCATCCCCGAGGGCAAGAACGTACGTGATACCCCGGCTGATCACACCCGGTTTCACCCTATCCTAACATTCGTAATAGGTCATCATCAAGTGGCGTGGAAAGCCCGTCTTCGTCCGTCACCGTACCCAGGCTGAGATCGACGAGGCCCGCGAGTCCAAGTGGGAGTCTTTCCGTGACCCCCAGTCCGACGAGGACCGTGTCCAGCGCCCCGAGTGGTTGGTCATGCTTGGTACGTGCAATTCAATACCCCAACAAACGAAGACCAATAGCTAATCTGATTCCCCCAATAGGTGTCTGCACTCACCTTGGTTGTGTCCCCATTGGCGAGGCTGGTGACTATGGCGGCTGGTTCTGCCCCTGCCACGGCTCCCACTACGATATCTCTGGTCGTATCCGCAAGGGCCCGGCCCCTCTGAACCTGGAGGTTCCCCAATACAGCTTCCCCGAGGATGAGACTCTCGTCATTGGTTAAGCGATCTGTTACAATAAAATCCAGAATTGACTCGTTTAGACCGAAGTGGATGGGAAAGCGAGAGGTCCCGTGTATGTGCAGTGATTTGATTTATTTCCTTTTAGACAGAGCGGCCGTGTGTCATTGTCAAGATTAAGAGACCGTGTTTTAATATGGACAAAAATGAGCCTCTTTTTTACACCCATTTTTCCAAGGCCTGTTCTCGGTCTTGCGGCATTGATCTGCGGGTGTTTCTTTTGGCAGACCCGAGTCTTGCTTGGTTCTCGTGGTCTCCTTGAGTATATACTTGTTTTTTATATCTGCCAGTGTATTGCCTAGTCATGAAATTTCTTTTGTTTCATAATCAGTTCCAACTCCAACGTACCTTTCGTAAGGATCAGTGTAGGTAGGTATAGTGTGTAGAACCGTTTCCCTCGACTATTGGATATTGAATACCAGACAACCTTCCAAGGTTGTCTACCGAGGAAGCGTGGAAATGATGTCTTCAGTAATAATACACTAGATTTCTTTATATCTATCTCATCTGTACAATGATGATCGCCAAGGGAGAAAGTAGATGACAATGCGTAAACGCCCCGTATGAAGTCATGCAAAGGATGAGAAGGGCCACTTTAAACATATGTTCGCCATGTACAAAATGGACAAGCCACATTTTTACCGAGGTCTGACCAAAGCAAAAAGAAGACTCATCACGACCGCACCAGCTGCGGCGCTCTGCACGGCAGCCACAGTAAGGTCGCGCTGGGTAATAGCAACGCTGCGATCACTGAGGAGCTCATTCAGAGTCTGCTTCCAATATTCAAGAGAGAGAGGGGAATGGGAGTTTCCAACAAGGCGGGAGTAAAGGGATTGAGAAGCGTCATCAGAGGGTGAAATAGCCTCCACCAAAGCCTCATTCTGAGCCTGAGTCTCAACAGCAACAGCCTCGGCACCCTCGCTGATAGGCGAATCGGCCGTAGCAGCAACGGCAGCCACAACAGAGTCTTCAACCGGAGAATCAATAACCTTCTCCAGCTCCGAAGCCGCAATAGGACCTCCAACAAGAGCAGCTTGGTTGATAGCCTTCTCCTTCTCCAAAGCCTCGACGACCTTATCCTCGAAACCCTTCACCAGCCGGCGCCGGCGCCAAGGCTCCACGAGGATCTGGAAGATCAGGAATAGTAGAACATTCATACCCATCAATCCCCATGTTCCCCATGTGGACATGCGACGGATCTTGTCTGACCATACCTGTTCCTCGTGATAACGGGAAAGAATGCTCCTGCTCAGCTGGGCAGCTGCTTCTTCGGCTTCACGTTCAGCATGCGATAGTGCCTCCTGCGTCTCTGTCTCGGCCACTTCGTTGGTATGATCATTGCGGTAGAGAAGGGTGAAGCGCTCCAGATCGGTAGGAGACCAGGCATGCTTGCGCTGGAGGAGCTCGTTCACTTCGCGCTGCGAGGTGGAGCGGTTATTGATAGCAGCGGTGTAGGCGTCTTTAGCTTCCCGAACATGTGCGCGAGCTGCGCGAAGGCGGTTTTCTATACACCGAAAAGCAATTAGTCTCTTGATCGGTATCTCTTTTCATCTCCTCTGCACGGTGCTATCAGCTTACCTTGGTTGTGGATCTCCTTCTTAAGTGCCTCGATACCCGAGTAGCCGGTAAGATCATTCAGTCGCTGTCCAGCTACAAAAACATTGGACTGGAGATTGTCCATCATTCCCGTAAACTGCTTTGATAGCTTCGACCGCCGGCTTTCAAGGTAGGAGGGGAGACCTCCGCTCTTTGCGTCTGGGTTTGGCTTTTGCTCTTGTCCGGACTGTTCGTCCCTCTCCCTCTTCTGCTCCTCTGCAAGGTGATCTAGAAGTCCGCGCTCGGTCCCCTTTATCGTGGACTCTTCCACCAGCCGATCAAGCTCCGCTGCAGACAAGTTTGCTGCACGAGAGCTCCCCGCACCCGCCTCCGACGGAAAAGCAGCCTCGGATGCATCTGCGTCCTTGGTGGCCTTAGCCACGCCCTCGGAGTCTAAGCTGCTCTGTTCCTTGTTCTTCTCATTAAACGCATCGTAGGTGCTAGAACGTTGGCGAAATTGACATTGTAAACAGGCTGAGAAGGTCCGTACTGTCGGTCTAGCGGGAGCAGGGCCCGGAGGTGTCGGGCGGTAATTGAGCCGCGCTGGTCGAGCTGTGATACGGGATATGTGGATACTGGTTCTGAGTGATTGCCGGAAGAGCAATGGCATGGACTGCATGGCCGGGACTGAGGCCATGGGCCAGGAGTGGTGGGTTGGGAGTATGACCTGGAGGATTCCGGCAACGGAGAGGTACGCTCAGAGCGGGAATCGATTTGCTGCTTATCAGATGGTTCTGACCGCTTTATTGCCCGTATAGTATACAAAGCCCCCAGGCTTGATGTGGCCTTTGGTGTTCGTTCACTTGCATAATGTGAGCTATCTTCGTGTTTTTCAGGGCTGTCTCATCTGAGGCTCGACCTTAATTTTACAATCTTTGTCAATTCCAACTATCTCTTGACATGAACTCCCGCTTCCCTACAAATATATATACGCCGCACTATGCACCAAGCTTCCACCTCAACAGCTAACCATCCCCCAGACCATGTCGTATACACACTGGAAGGCACAATCAATGACTTCTTTGCTTCGCACATTTCCATCAGAAGACAAGAGTGCGATGAATTTGCAGCCTCTTTATACGGAGATCCAGTCAACGCCATGCCCATACAGGGCTGTTTCAGCTACACCGTCATAGCTGGACATAAGCAATCCAAGATTGTTCAATTCCGCGCTGTGGACTCAGATATTGATATGAATATCTTGTAACTAGCTCACCGAGTCTTTGGACAGCACCTTGTACCAGCATGTACTTTCCACGGCCAACTTGGCACCTCAGCACCGCTCTCCATCTATTCACTGGAAAAGCTTTCAGGTGATACATTCTTCTCGATACTCCGAGTACATGAAAGCGTCTGGAACACAGCCAGGACCAGGGCTAAGTCCCTATAATACCATATTGGACTTTGCTTTGTGAGTGGAACCTCATACTAATCTGATCCCGATTAACTTTTGATTCTAGGTTCTTCGCAGCGGCGTGGAAGGCACGACAGGTTATCGGTCCATATGCCGCCCAAGGAATTCATGCCAACTATCAGGAAAGATTCAAGCTTCTATCTCAAGTCTTGCCTTCCCGCTACCAGCAGAATTTGGAGATGGTCCGTAGAGGTCTCAGCCTGCTTTTCATGCCAACGTATCCAATGGTGCTGAGTCACGGTGACCTTCCTGGAACGAACGTCCTTGTAGATCCCAGCACCGGTCACCTTACTGGTGTTATTGACTGGGCCGAGGCGCAGATTTGTCCACTTGGAATGTCTCAATGGGGGCTCGAAAATATCCTAGGTACTATGGACTCGACGGGGTGGCATTACCATCCTGATCACGAAGCTCTCAGGATTCTGTTCTGGAAACGGTTTGAGGAAGCTGTTGGAGGGGTTTCGAAAAGCGATAAAACGACTATTAAGGTTGCAAGAATGGCTGGGTTGTTTCTTCGGTATGGCTTTAACTGGCAAATTGGAGGACGGAATCTTGTCGATGACGGAACCTCATCTTTCAAGTATCTCGATGCATTTTGTGCAACGTGGAGCTAGTCACTGACCATGAGCCTGTCTGTTCCAATACGACTCTTTATGTATATCTATCTAGGTGCACGTGTAGAGCCTTCGTTCGGTATTCTCATGTATCTAGTACTGGCGGGTTCAGATTCATGATCGGAAATCTTAAGGCTCTGAGATTCTCATGGTCCTTTGTTCCTCGCTTCAAATATTTTGGGGTCCATATTCATACCCTGAGGCTTAGCTCTAGATGTAAGCCGTACAAAATGCAGTCATCTGCTCCAAGTATAAGTGCATATAGCTCTAGGGTTACAGACTCCCAGATGATCAACATTCATGGGTTCCAGAGTGGTATTATGCATGCATGTGCATGTGATATCGGACACAAGCATGGATATGTCCAACTTTGAAACATTTGAAAGGAGACGCATCCCTTCACCTGATATCAAATGAAGTTTTCGCTCCCTTCAATTCCATATTTATTGTCCACAAGCCCGGAGAGGGGACTATACAGGTGGGCATCACCCTTTATTCACGGAGGACTAAGTATTTCGTCCAAAAAAACGAGGTCGCGGTGCTTGAATATAGGTATATTGTGATAGTAGAGAAAAGCGACAAGTAAAAGACCGGGAAAGTAGCCAAATCTTAATGACAATAATGATAACAATGAGTTCCAAAACTACAATAAAGTATTTCCTTCGTAAACGTCATAACAATCCTAGTCTCGAGAGTAATTGCAGGGCTCCCTAAAGGCAAAGGTATCCAAAGGTATCAGGGAAAAATAATGGAGTATGGACGATAGCCACACATCTGTTCATTCGCGCCGTTTTTCGTCCCTCTAATCCTGGGTCTGGATCTTGTGGTCACCCTGGACAGCCTCAGCATAGGTTGGTGGTGGTCGCGACTCAGCCTGTGGTTGTGCGCTGCTACTCCCAGCATTTCCCTCTTGATGATTATTTTGCGGCTTGCGCTGGGCTTTCTGGGGAGCTTGGTGCGCTGGGTCTGTGGTGCCGTAGGACCGCTGCGGTGGACCGCGGGGAGGCTGGTGTGAGACATAGTAGTAGGTCACTTGACCATTCTCCAGATCCCGACGCTGGCTGGAGCCGCCAGGGATGGGCTCATAGCCAACATCATCATAGTCTGGCTCTGGGTACTTAAGGATGATATACCAGGCGTGGATGAGACCGGGGAGGAAGCCGAGCAGGCAGAGGGCGATATTGATGAGGGAGTCTGCAGTGCAAATACCTGCCTTGACCCACACTAGAATTGGACACATAGGTTGTCAGTTCACATTTTTGTTTTTCTTTCTGCTTTTCGACTGGATCAGTCGCAAGGGAGTGGGGGTCTTACCGGCAATAGGCGGGAAAAAGACGGCCAAAATGGCCAAGAAGACATCGGAGCTACACATGGCTCCAGGTGGTTATGATCTATCCCTGACGGACGCTGGAAGGTGGCGTAAAAGAAGTTAAGGTCGAGGTCGAGGTTGAGAGAGAGGAAAAGCTTATCATGCTTTGATGGTCGGAAGATCAGTGAATGATGCAGGTGATATGGCAGCCTGGAATCAGATGACGTTGATCACATGACATTCCCGCCCATGGTTGGGGCTGTGGACACCTGAGGTTATTCGGCGATTGGACCACGCGAGTCTAAGGTTGGATACATCTCATTTCTGTTCTCGAGATAAATTGTCCTATTCTCTCTATCCACTCTTCTGTCTGATATGTATTTGCAGTGCTCAAATGTAAACTAAGGTTCGGACTCGTCGCATGCGCCAAAGCGGGGGTTCCAGGGTCTACGTATAATCCATGGTACTGGTACTTAACATAAAGAGATTGTTATTTATGTAGTGAAGTACCAGTACTTAATCCTTCCCCCCAACAGGAAGTGGCTGTGGCTGTCCCTCGCAGAGCTTACGTCGGTCCGCACAGTTCGCATGCATGATGCAAGGTCTTCGGAAAATTAACCAACTTTACAAAAAGAGCCCAAAGCAAAGAATTTTGCGCGGGAGGAAGAGATAGCGATCGGCGGGTCAACGGGTCCCAAGCGAGACCGACAGTGGAGGAATGCTGACCACGCCAGGTACAGACGGGACTAGATACGATTCGAACAGGAACTGCGGAGTTCTGGCACCAATCAACATATGTCTCAAGTCTCCAGTGAGATTTTGTGCCCCAATTTGAGACCCCAAAAAAAGAGACTCGTATAGTATACGGAGTCGGTACAGATAGTAAACAAAGCGATACGCCAGCCCCTTTTCCTCACTAGCAAAAGGATGTTAGCTTGCCCTGTTCTGGTATAGATGCCCAGTAATTATTGTAAATAGCGAGACGCTGGGGATTGATTTAATTCCACGCTAAACTACAAACGAAGCTCTCGGGGCTTTCCCGTTTCATCCAGTTCGTCTCATGCGCCCCCTAACCGGCTCGTTTGGTCCCCAGAGAAGCCCAGACCACTCGACACCTCAGACTTCCTTTTCCTCTTCTTCTTCTCTCCATTGGCCATTACCTTTCGTTCATTTTCGCCATTCGATTCAATTCGATCTAGAGAGCACCTCCGGGGCTCGATTGATCTTTCCTTCTGCGGGTCCACGGCATCGTCCGCCCGAAATCCACTCGTTTACTCCCTCTTCATTTCGCGTTTTTCACTTTCAACCACGCAGCTCGAAGCGCCGTTCGGAGGACCTGGGGTCTATCTTGTTTCATCGCCAATAAATATAACCAAAAAAATCACCTTGCAGCCTGATATCGGAAGAGACATGCGACAGTAAATCCCGAGAGATCTTTGACACATTCCGCGGCAACTTTTTCGGGGGGACTTTCGAGGCTTGAGGATTTCTGCCCGACATGACGGGCTGTGTTTCCCTCTCAGGGTCGACTGTCTGTCCCGCTTGGAGTAGCTCTTCGGTTTCGACCAATTCAACTCAATATGCGGACTTGTGCGTGACTCAGCAGGATACCAGAGGAATGTAGGGAATATTTGCTAACAAGGTATCTAGTCCATGGATGGAAAACGTTTCGAACGTCACATCTTTCGATACTTCTCTAGCAAACTATGTCTCGTCGACCTATGTGACGTCCAAGTATGTGATTTCCTAACCAATGTCGCGAGGATCTGGCTAACAAAACGCGTAGGTTTGTCGACTCTCTAGGGTGCAAGGGTCTGAATGAGAGCGCATTGAACGACTACTACGCCCAATATACGACCAGTGTTCTCTGTAGTAGCATTATCCAGAGCTCAATTGATGACTGCGGCTTGACTTCCAGTCAATCGGATCCGGTATGCGCGGACACGTGCGCGCTTATGGCGACCAGCGAGGAGGAAATCGTCGTCAACACAGATCTATGCTCAAGTGCCGGAAAGAACTACATGTCGCAAATTCGATCCGACTTCACCATCTGCTCGTCGCCTGCAGACTCGCTGACTGGAAGCTGTGTTGAGGGAGCCACTAATGAGCCTACCAACTGTGGATTCGCCAACAACACCATCGGACTTTGCACTTACTGCGACTCAGAAAGCGATTCATGTTGCACCAGTGCGAACGCCACCACAGTCTGTAAAGACGTTACTATTCCAACCTCGACCGCATCTCTACAGCCCGTTGTGACAACCAGCTCGGCAGCTGGCGCCGGCGCTGGCGCTGGCAATGGACTATCCGGGGGCGACATTGCAGGCATTGTGGTTGGCTCGGTTGCAGGAGTGGCCATCTTGATCGCGCTGATCGCTTTACTTTTCCTCTGCCGCAGACGCCGCCGCCGTGGGTCGCAGGGTGATGCTGTTAGTCTGAACCAGCCCAACCCACAAAGAAAAGGTGTTGCGCCGCCCATGCAGCATACGGATAGCCCGACATCGGCAACGTTTAATATGGTTCCAGGAGGCCGTGTTGCGCGCATGTCTGCCCTGCGTGAAATGCCTAGCTCTTCCCCCGCTCATTCCCGTACATCTGGTGCGATGTTCGCAGCCAAATACAGCGATACATCGGACTCGGAAGGTATGGGTGCTAGCCCGGGAGCCATGTCCAAGAGAATTCCTCCGGTGACCGGAAAGCGCCATGGCTCGCTTTCAAGTAGCTCTGCTCTGGCTGGACTGGACAGTGATAGCTCACCGCGCTCTGGAACCATTGGTCATTACTCTTCCCCTGAAGGGGTGACAAGTGGCCAGTCCGAGCAGCTATCCTATTTCCGTGACTACTACTCCCAGGATGATATCCATGCTGGTGACCAGGTGGCTGTTCTCTGGGCTTATTCACCACGGGCGGGTGACGAGTTTGAACTGGACCGGGGTGAGATGCTGAAGGTAATCGGCATCTGGGACGATGGCTGGGCCACGGGTGTTCGTATTAACGAGCGCGCCGAAGATTTTGACATGCGTCATCGTGAACAGCGTGACAGTGGTGTTTCCAATGGCTCGCATCGGCGAGGCCCGTCACCCACACCTTCTGGCGAGATCAAGGCTTTCCCCTTGGTCTGCATCTGTCTCCCGCAGCACTGGCACAAGATTATTGATGGCAGCTTGCAAGAGGAAGACGATGAGTTTTGAGCGCTAGGGAATTCTAACCCCTTGTTTCAGGCAAACTTAACGTTTTGACGACAGCGTATGCATCATTCTCTTGCGTCGTGCCAGCATTGTGCGAAGTTGTTGATGCTTTTGACTCAGGCTGGCCGAGTCCCTCCCCACCACCCCCTTTTACCTCATGACCATACTGGTTGTGTTCGATGCTCCGTGGCATGATTGTTCTTTTTTCTTCGTATTCTATATACCCCCCATTTTATGACGGTCGATCTGCTCGTCTTTTTCCTTTTATTATCTTCCCATTACTTCTCTGCTTGTGATTTGATCGATTCCTGTGGAAGCGATCGCTGGCGCAACAAGCAAGGTCATCAACCAATGCGGTCCTTGATCTTGAGCCGTCTTCTCAAATGCGTATCTAGGTCTCGATCTTGATGCGCGAGCTAGACGGTGCTGTCTACTCTGGCGGTTTCAATTTCTGAGTTTATCAAATACATATCTGCACGCATTAATGTATGTACATAATTAGACTCGAATCCCATTTCAAAAGTTGGCCTTTTAAATTTGTGTACAGTATGATCCAATGGTTCCATGGTCACTGCCAACCCCAAGTGCCGGTTTCTCCACATTCTCAATAGTTCTTATCCGTCGGGGATATCGGGATTGAATTCGCCATTGGGCTTTTACTAATCCAACCCCTCGGCATTTCGCGAATACCATAAGTAATGGCGACTTCCCAATTGTCCCCGCAATAATTTGATCTTAAGTTAAGTTTTGAATTACTTCTAGCTACCAGCCATCATGTCTGCCCCCAAGATCATCCTATACACCAACCGCCTCTGCCCATGGGCTCACCGCGCCCACATCGCGCTCAAGGAGTCCGGCCTCGACTTCGAGGAGGTCACTATTGATCTGGATACTCCCCGTGAGCCCTGGTACCTTGAGATCAACCCAGTAAGTCACTCACTATGCTACTTCGCATCGTTCAAGACTCAATGGCTGCATTGTGTACCCCGCATAGCTATACAAGAGAACTAACGCAAGCTTTCCTATAGCGCGGCCAAGTCCCCACTCTCTCCTACAACGGTACTATCATTAGAGAGTCTGGCATCATCGCCCAATTCATCGCTGATGCCCACCCCTCTAACCTTCTGCCCGCCTCCGGTCCAGCGGAGAACGCCCTCTTCCGCGCTCGCCTCTCCTTCTTCGTCGACTCTTTCTTCAGCAAAGTTGTACCCCACTTCTTCGCTAGTGTGCGCTCTGCCTCTGAAGAGGAGCGTGAATCTCACGCAGAGGCTCTTGTTGCTGCTGTTGTGAAGGAGGTTGAGCCTCTTCTTGCAGATACCGATGGCAAGGGACCGTTCTTTGGAGGAAATGAGAAGATCACACTGGCTGAGGTATGTGCTCACTTACGCAGAGATCCTATGTTTAACATATAGTGTTGCTGTTGTATAAGTTTCAGCATCGCTGACTAGCATCGCAGGTCCAATCTGGATCCTTCCAATGTCGTATCATGGGCTTCAGCAAGCCTGAGCATGGATTGGTCAGCAAGAATCTGCCTGCCCTGCTTGAGGCCCAGGCACCACGATTCAAGCGCTGGGCTGAGGCTGCTGCTCAGCAGGAGAGTGTTAACTATATGTTTGATTTGAATGCTGTTGCGAACCGGATGCGGGCTCGCTATGCACCTAAGAACTAAGCAGAAAAATAGGCACCTATTCTCTATTAATGCGCCTATACTTTCTCAACTGGGATGACATCATTGATGTTCGATTTGTAGTCCAGCTGGATATGAATCTGATGTGTTATGTTTTGTTATCTTCATAAGCAATTTTTGTTCGGCTGTAATTTGGCCTAGAATAAGTGGAGGGGCAGTGACGTGTTGGGACTATCAGTTCCATGGTCGAGTGCCCAATTCCAAATATAGCCCGCAGGGGGATATATGATATAGATGTATTCTGTGAGGCTGCCCAAGTCCACTGTAGTAGTGAATGTGGATTCCTGTACAGCATAATGTCATGCATGGCGCTCATGTCCGGTGGTGTGATCTTCGACAACCCTTCTGAATGCTGTCGGAGCTATGTGTTGGTAGAGACCGCAAAGCCTCCAGGCTGCCAGCAATCCATATGGATGCCTGATGAATAACTATAGTATATTGAGAGAAGACGTTTGAATTTAAAAGCATCATCAGCACCCACGAAATTGATTCTTTCCTAGAATTAATTGTTGAACGAAGTGCTTTGTTTATTGCCAAAAAGGGTGCCCCAGAATCACGTGCAGTCGCCCCCCCACTATCGCAACACCTGGGCAACAACCCCTCCGCCTCATCACCACCATCACCCCCATTGTCCCGTGAGTTACCCCGTTTCCTCGATCTTTTGTAAGTCTGTGCTGGTGAATTACCAAAGAGTGGATCAACACAGATTCGGAAGAACGGTCCCTTCTCTGTACCTGAAAGCTCAGCCACTGACATCGTGTGCCTACTCTAGGACCCGTCATCTCCCCTTTTTTGTCTTCTCTCATCTTCAGCAATCATGTCGGTACGTATACCAAATGAATTCCCTGCTCAAATAATTCATTCTTAATACTAACAATGTTGTTGCGCAGCTCGCATCTGGGTACGATGAAACTCGCCAATGACCCCCCGTTTCCCCTCCGTATTAACATTCGCCCCATAGAGTTTCGATCGCCGATGACTGCATCACGGAGTTTAACAACTTCCGTATGAGCCACGGCAAGACCAAGTACATCATCTTCAAGATTTCCGATGACAAGAAGACCGTCGTTATCGACAGCATTGGCAAGGAGCAGGACTACGAGGTCTTCCGCACTGCGCTTGAGAACTGCAAGAATGACGCCGGCAAGCCCATGCCCCGTTACGCTGTCTACGATGTCGAGTACGACCTTGGTAGCGGTGAGGGCAAGCGGTAATTTCCCCTTTACTTGCATGGAATTTGTCTCTTAAACAGCTCGCTGACCTTTGCTTTCCTCGTGTTTAGGAGCAAGATCATCTTCATCTCCTGGGTCCCCTCTGAAACCCCCACTCTGGTATGTCAACGAATTCCCGTTATTACGATGAACATCATGGACATCTACACAGAATCACCGGCTAATGTTTCAACAGTGGTCTATGATCTACGCCTCCACCCGTGAGAACCTCAAGAACGCCCTCAACATCGCCAGCTCCATCCACGCTGATGACAAGGGCGATATCGAGTGGAAGACTGTCCTCTCCGAGGCCAGCGGTGGTAAGGCTAAATAAATGGTACCGGCTGGGTCCGGACCATGCGATCGATAGGGATTCCAGTTGAACCCGGGATGCGCCACGGCACGATCAATCCATAAACCCTTTTTTTTTTTTTTCTCTGCACAATCCTCGTCATTCTCCTAGTTGCAATGCAAAGACCGTTACGACTTGGCCACTTTTTCTTTGCTTCTCTTATCTGCGGGACATGATTGTCATTTCTTTTTTGAATCTCTTGAGCGGTTTCTATGGCTGCTGACATGGCGGTTGTTTGAACTGAGCTTTGCTGCCTGTGGTATAGAGAGAAGGCGGGTGGCAATGGGCTGAAAATTCGATGTTTCGGGTGGTTTTGTTGTAGAGTATTCAGGCAATCTGACCACCAGTTCTATTCTTATCTGATTTTTCTGGTATCGTAAGATATATGGTGTTAGTAGGCAAGGTGTTAAACGGAGTAGAAGTCTGATGCGACCGGAAGATCATATATAATGCCTATGAGTGGTACTTGGCATTAGACATAACAAACAGAAGATAGTATCAAGTACCTTAGATTAAAAGATTTCGAAGGTTTCAGAGCTAATTACTGACATGATCCTTGACTATCCTAGAGTGATGAGCGAATGAGCCCGTCCGTCTTTAATCAGCCGACCGGGTGTGGCCGCGACGGCCCAATCAGAAGCCAGCTAAACCCAGAACAGCGCTAGTCCGGATTCTCGTCTTTCCACCTCAAACCACAAGAACAACTTCAGTCCTTCGCCCAACCCACACCACCCCTCCACTCACTTCCCCAGTCGAGTCTCCCGCGGTCCCAGACTCACCCGACCCCGGTATATCACTTCCAATACCCATTGACCCATTTTCGACGTGGTGCTACCACCTCCCACCTTCCGCACAATGTTTCTTCGCTCTCTCGCTCGCGCCGTCCCTCGCGGCCAGGCTCCCATCCGCGCTGCCCCCATTGCCTCCCTGAACGCTATGCAGGCTCGCTTTGCTTCCGACCATGCCATCGCCAACCCCACTCTCGCCAGCATTGAGAAGCGCTGGGAGGGCATGCCCCCTCAGGAGCAGGCCGAGCTCTGGATGTCCCTCCGCGACCGCATGAAGGTTGACTGGCACCAGATGACCCTCCAGGAGAAGAAGGCCGGTACGTACTGTCTTGCGAACACCTTAGATCGAGTTTTTTCATCGATTGCCATCAATCCTGCGACTTCCGAGGGAGGGACCTCACCTCCCGGTTTTACCCCCGACATCATACGACTTTTTATATACGCTTATAAAATGCTTCAATACTGATTGTCATCATCAATAGCTTACTGGATTGCTTTCGGTCCCCACGGACCCCGTGCCCAGACCCCCAAGGGTGAGGGCTGGAAGATCCTCTTCAAGGTCACCCAGCTGACCCTCGTCTCCTTCGCTCTCTTCTACGCCATCCACCTCTTCGCCAAGCCCCAGCCCAAGACCATGTCCAAGGAGTGGCAGGAGGCCTCCAACGAGTACGCTCTGGTATGTATAGCACTTCCTTCTGCGGGTACTTGGTCATACGACCGAGATCTGATCTCACATGCCGATCGGGCGCTGACATTTGCTTCCTTTTTTCTAGTCCGAGAACATGAACCCCATCCACGGTATCAGCAAGCCTGGTTACGAGGGCAAGGGCTTCGTCCAGAGCCCCCCCGCTGAGAAGTCATAAATGGGCTCATAGCCTAATCGAGGATGAATGATGTTCGGATATCAGCGTCGGACGGGGCACACGAAACCCATACTCTAGAGGCGTTGGTATCTAGAGCTGCGGCTCTCATGATGCTAGCGATTGTCTCCTCGATGGATGACACGCTTGCTCTCCCGGCGTCGAACTGAGCTTGTTCACCTAATTTTTTGTTTTGTCGTTTTGGTCGACCAGCATCTGAAAATGCGTGTATTCCGTACTTGTGCTATAATCAATGTATCTCTTTTGTAGCCATAGAGAAATATGTTGGATTTTTCTTTCTATTAGACTTCTATTTAGCTGTTTCCCCATGTCGCATTGACCTGTTGGCCCCAATGCATCTCTAAGGTCAAGGCGTTGGGCGGCCGGAGTGTTTCGGAACCTGCAGAGCTGGTGCGGAGAACCCCTGTCCATGTCTGCCGTCTGAGCCATTGCGGTTTGTCTAGCATGATGATCGGGGGGAAAATGATGTGGAAAATTGAAGGTGAATATGAACTATAATTCCAATAGCTGTTTATGTGCTATCAATCAAATATAATAGGTGGTGGTGACTTCGTAAGGTCCTCTCATACCATTCGGAACAGAGTGGGTGAGGGCTCCGGGACTACACGTCAGAGATTTCCACCGGGGAAGCTCCTGCAGGGGGAAGAGCTTGTTGGGAGAGCAACCACAGGTGAGTGATCAATGAATTAATTTTATAAAGTGGTAGAATATTTATACAAATTTATGTTCGGAACTATATAAGCTCTATATGAGAATCTTAGGCTATTTAGTTTACTCCAGAGCAAGCTTGACCCTGCTTTCGGATGCCAAGCCGGCGGATGCAAAGTGTGCGAATACCCTAGCAACGGGGCAGCGGAAGAGGACAGAAGTAGACTAAACAACCCATCACAACCAAGCAAGATGGGAGTCATTCCATAGGTTAAATTGTAAGCAAATTAAAGATCATAAAAGTAGAAGAATGTACCGGGGGATGCTCAGCTGTAAGTACAACAAGCACCTCCGTTGTCGGTTCATCACGGGACCATCGGCAAAACCGCCCCGGAAAGGCTAAGGGCGCCCAGTTCCCGTGCGAGTCCACCAAACCTCTTCCCATTCCTCTTCTTCCCTCTTTTCCTCCATCCACACCCTTCACATCCTTTAATACCACCTCGCTCTTCAACACCTTCATAATGTTCAAGAGGTATGTCCACGCCAAATTCGATTCCCCATTCATCACCCGCGACCATTTTTTCGTCAACATAGCAAATTTTCGTCCCCTAACTCGCGTTTCTTAGCGGTCTCGCCCGGACCTTCGGGAGGGCTGCCTATGCCCGGCCGACCCCCGTCGCCCGCGCTCTCCAGCCTCTCCGCTCCAATGCCCTGCCTGCCCTGTCTGCCCGTTACGCCAGCTCGGATTCCGTTCTCTCCGGAAAGGTTCACCAGGTCATTGGTGCCGTCGTTGACGGTACGTGTCGACTCCCTGGATGGATCGGTGGCATCGCGAAAATCTTTTTCCTGGGCCCCAATCCATCCCTAAATCCATCGCAATCGATCTCAATCGTCTCTCCTGATCATCGACTGACTTGCTACGTGCGATTCAACAGTGAAGTTCGAGGGTGACAAGCTCCCTGCCATTCTTAACGCCATTACCACCACCAACAACGGCCAGAAGCTTGTTCTGGAGGTTGCTGTACGTGCTTCGTGATTGGTTCAGCCCCCTTCGACTATTCCTTGATATTAACGATTACCTATAGCAACATCTTGGTGAGAATGTCGTCCGTACCATTGCCATGGACGGTAAGCTTACCCCTTCCACTTTGCCATATCCCCTGTTGGGCCGGTGTGTTGTCCCTTTTCACCCGAAAGGGGGACCCACACCCGCCCGGCCCGACAACTTCATCTCGAGCGCATCACTAACGCCTTCTTAGGTACTGAGGGTCTCTCCCGTGGTGTTGCCGCTCAGGACACCGGTGCCCCCATCAAGGTCCCCGTCGGTGCCGGCACCCTTGGCCGTATCATCAACGTTACTGGTGACCCCATTGACGAGCGTGGTCCCGTTAAGGCCACCAAGTTCAACCCCATTCACGCCGAGCCTCCTCTCTTCGTTGAGCAGTCCACCTCCGCTGAGATTCTGGTTACTGGTATTAAGGTCGTCGATCTGCTTGCCCCCTACGCCCGTGGTGGTAAGATTGGTCTGTTCGGTGGTGCCGGTGTCGGTAAGACTGTGTTCATTCAGGAGTTGATTGTGAGTTTGCCTTGTTCCAATCCCAATAAACAATAGAAATGGGCTATATACTAATCCTGCTCTAGAACAACATTGCCAAGGCCCACGGTGGTTACTCTGTCTTCTGTGGTGTCGGTGAGCGTACCCGTGAGGGTAACGATCTGTACCACGAGATGCAGGAGACTGGTGTCATCAACCTTGAGGGTGACTCCAAGGTCGCTCTGGTCTTCGGTCAGATGAACGAGCCCCCAGGTGCCCGTGCCCGTGTTGCCCTTACCGGTCTCACCATTGCCGAGTACTTCCGTGACGAGGAGGGTCAGGATGTGCTGCTCTTCATTGACAACATTTTCCGTTTCACCCAGGCCGGTTCCGAGGTGTCTGCCCTGCTCGGTCGTATTCCCTCCGCTGTCGGTTACCAGCCCACTCTGGCCGTCGACATGGGTGGTATGCAGGAGCGTATTACCACCACCCAGAAGGGTTCCATTACCTCCGTCCAGGCCGTCTACGTGCCCGCTGACGATTTGACTGATCCCGCCCCCGCTACCACCTTCGCTCACTTGGACGCCACCACTGTCCTGTCCCGTGGTATCTCCGAGTTGGGTATCTACCCCGCTGTCGACCCTCTCGACTCCAAGTCCCGTATGCTCGACCCCCGTATCATCGGTGACGAGCACTACAACACCGCCACCCGTGTCCAGCAGATGCTCCAGGAGTACAAGTCTCTCCAGGATATCATTGCCATTCTCGGTATGGACGAGTTGTCTGAGGCTGATAAGCTCACTGTCGAGCGTGCCCGTAAGCTCCAGCGTTTCCTGTCCCAGCCCTTCGCTGTCGCTCAGGTCTTCACTGGTATCGAGGGTCAGCTCGTTGACCTGAAGGACACCATTGCCTCCTTCAAGGCCATCATCGGTGGTGAGGGTGACGATCTCCCTGAGAACGCCTTCTACATGGTTGGTGACTTCCAGTCTGCCCGTGCTAAGGGTGAGAAGATTCTGGCTGAGCTTGAGAGCTCTGCTTAGATGTAATCCTATCATTTGTCTAGCTAGCGGCGTCTTCAACCTCTTCTCCTACCCCCCTTCAAACCCTCGCGCCATCTTCTAGCAAATTCTGTTTTATTTTTTCCCTTGGTCTCAATTTTCTCCTGCTATCCTCCTGTGGTCCGGAATTTTCCTTTGTTCGAACTTCTCTTGGTCACTGTGCCTCCTCCCATTCGACATCATCTTCCCTTCGGATGCGTGTATAATACTCGATCTAAAAGTGAAACAGAACCCCCAACAAGGGAATTTGATTGTCGATTTGTCTCGATTCGATTTCCCGAGGGGATTCCGTCTGATGTCGTTTGGGAGTCATGTCGCTTGTGTTTGAATTGCTTCGTTCTAGACTTCCCGTATGTTGTCCTGGAGACGGGACGACTAAAGTTGGTCTGCCCCACAAAAGGGGATTGGATCTGGACCTGGAGGATTCTTTTGAAAAAGATCGATCGGAAAATACGAGACGGTTGTTGCCGAAGAAGGGGAAAGGTCTTTTGGGGGCGTGGAGTGAAGTTGAAACGTGTCATGTCTAACTGAGCGAGTTGATGAGATTTCCCTGTTCCTCTTGGGCGAGAACTTTTAAAGCCTGGTCGGATATGCAATCCCCCCAAATACCGTCTGGCTGGCTTGTGTTTCATTATTGTGTATTTAGAGTTGAAAACCATGGCCTTACGAGGCGGCCCTGAGAAACTTGGTGTTCAATTGTATTTTCCTTTGTGAATGATTATGGTCTTGCGTAGAGTAATCAGTATAAGTAAAGCATTGATTGTCACGATAGCTATAGCAGTCGTCTCATTTCATCTAGTAGGACAGCCTTGAAGGACTTCATGGCCATGGACTAGGTACGCAATGCTACTCAAACCACGAAGCACAGAATTTCTTCTAGTCTCAAGATAAGTCATTCTAGTATGTATTAACGATCAGCTACCTAATAAATTTGGCTACATAAACCCAGCTCTGACCATGCAGTTTCGCGTATTGTTGAAACACAGCCAGAGACTATCAATATCCATTTACAGAGTCTCTTCCAAAGCCAGGACCTAAAAACATCGTTAGTTCAGAAAACACCAAGCTCCAGACATATGAACTCACCAAAGCAGTCCGCGTAGGAAGATAAACCTGCGTGAAGTTCTTCCTCCCATTCCACTCCATATCAGTGGTAAAGAATCTGGTGCCCAGCTCATTCCTCCCCAGACCTCCAAATTTCTTGTCATCAGTATCAAGCACAATCCGGTAAGTCCCCGGAACCTCAACACCAACCCGGTAATCGGTAAAGCTCTCAGTAGGGTTAAGGTTAAAGATCCAAAGCAAGCCCGCCCGTTCAAAAACAAGCACCTTGTCACTCTCATTCTTCAGACTGATATACGCCTGGTCCGAGTGCAACCAGCCATATTTCTCCTCGGTAAGCTGCATTGCCCGATCGAAATCGTTGAGGAACTTGTACCGGAGCAGAGGGTCCTCTGTTAGGTTTAGCTGGCGACGGGCGTACCAGAATGAGTTTCCGTTTCCTTCGCGGGGGAAGTCTAGCCATTCGGGGTGGCCGAATTCGTTGCCCTCGAAGTTTAGGTAACCTTCTCCGCCTAAGCTGTGGGTGATTAGGCGGATAATTTTGTGCATGGACATTCCTCTTTCGATGATGGGAGTGAATTCGGAGAGGGTAGACATGTGGGTATAGAGCTCTTTGTCGCAGAGCCACATCATGAGGGATTTGTCGCCGACAAGACTGGGAAGATTAGTATATGGATGATGGGTAAATGGGTGGAGTGGAGGGTGTGTCTTACGCTTGATCGTGGCTCTCGGCGTAGGCGATGGTCTTCTCGCCGTGTCGTCGGTTTACTAATGTGAAGGCTAGATTGCCGATATCCCACTCGCTGTCTTCCTTTTCTTTTAGGAGCTTGATGTACATGTCTGGGATGGCCATGGCAAGACGGTAGTCGAAGCCTACACCACCGAGCTTATGCGGGAGGCACAGGGCTGGCATGCCGGAGACGTCTTCGGCAACAGTGATACAATTGGGGTAGAGCTTGTGCAGCATTTCATTGGCCAGAGTGAGGTATGTGACGCCTTCCTCGTCAACAGTGGGACCGAAGTATTCATGGTAACCGCCGGAAAAGCCACTGGATCATGGTTAGCAAAGCTCAGCTCAATGTGAGGCCGATAAGAAAACATACCTTCCAATTCCATGGTGGACGTAGAGCATACTGGTGACACCGTCGAAACGGAATCCATCAAACTGGTACTCCTCCATCCAGAAACGAAGGTTGCTCAAGAGGAACCGGAGCACTTCATGGTTTCCATAGTTGAACAAACGACTATCCCACTGGTCGTGACGACCCTTACCACCCTCATGGAAGTACAGGTGATCAGTGCCATCGAACTCATTGATACCATCCGCAACATTCTTCGAAGCATGGCTGTGCACCACATCAAGCAGAACAACCAAGCCCATGCTATGCGCAGTATCAATGAGCTCCTTCAGATCCTCCGGGGACCCATAGCGACTGCTAGCAGCAAAGAAGTTGTTCACCTGGTAACCGAAACTAGCGTAGTACGCATGCTCCATAATGGCCATCAGCTGGATAGCATTGTAGCCCAGACCCTTAATGCGAGGCAGCATGTTCTTCGTGAACTCTTTGTAAGTAGCCACCCGTGTATCCGGGGACGAGATTCCAACGTGAGCCTCGTAGATACGCAAGCTCTTGGGCTTTTGGGGTCGGGCATGTTGGAAGGTGTAGCGCTCGTTGGCGGGCGGGTTCCAGAATACAGCGTCGTATATCGGGGAGATGTTCAAATCTTGGACAACGCGCTTGATCCAGGCTGGGATGCGGTAGATACGCTCGCCGCTGGGGAGAACCATTGTGATCTGATAGGGATGCTGTGTAAGTATGGGATCGAGAGCTGGAGTGACATCTATGGTGCACTTACCTTGATCTTGCTATCGTGAGGAATAGCTGGGGCACCACCCTTCGAGGGAACAGTGACGTTCCACACTCCGAAATCGTCCTTGGTCATTGTATTGGCGTTGACATCCCAGGAATCTGCCAGTCTCAATATTCATCCACCTAATAGCATCGCTTCTCGACGGAGTACATACTGAAATCGCCAACTAAAGACGCCTGCACCGCATTAGGCGCCCACTCGCGGTATATGATATCGCCATTTGACTGTGCATGGAGACCGAATGTCTCATAGCCCTAATTCGAAGCAAGAGTGTTGCGTCAGTATCGTGTTCATTGATCCCGTTACAGCTCAGCTTAGCCGCCAGCGAGCTTCAACATACCTTGCTAAACTTTTCCAGACCACCTTCTGTCCGATCAATATCGCTGGCCCATTTCTCGACCAAGCTGTACCTGTGCTTCAGCACATCCTTGTGAGGTTCGAGCCATGGGTCAAGCTTGAGAACACCTGCCGTTATCAATTAGCATGTCCCCGCATCGAGCAGATCGATCCAGGAAGCTTCCTCTTACCAGTTCCATCAGCGGGGTAATCGGCAGCTTCTACAGATGCCATTGTTAAAAAAAACCTTGGAGAGTTGTAAAAGAAAAGAGGAGGGGGCGAGGTGACAACCCCTCAACGTTTATCTTTCTCGGGGTGATTGGTTGCCGCAGCTTGTATTTGCGGGTGGGGATTGCGGAGAGCTCGGGCCCCCGTGGAGTCCAGACTGCCCACTTTCCAACTTTCTGGTGCCTACTTTTTGCATCATAGATGATAGCTGTCAATAATTCTCTTTGTATTGTTTAATTCAACTCTTTGCTAAACTATATCTGGTGGTGTTCTCACACACCTGGGCAGTATAATTTCTGCTCGTATTCCAAATGCAGATCCAAGCTTCTAAGGTTGATGTAACACTGTTCCTGGCCTGGCGCAACCCAGTTGCCGCTGAAAACGGGGCCAAATACTTTGTTGGGATACGCATTAGACTTTGAAAGCTCGTACCTGAGCGAATTTTATTCGTAGAATCCAGCGACCGGCGATGGAATAAATAGTTATGTACCCTATGAGCTGTTTGTAGCTCCATGTTGAATATGTACGGGGAAATCATATAAAACCAAAGAACCCCATCAAAACCTCCATCTCCTCCCGTCCCAAGACTTAGGATGCAGGACTTGGCGGCAGCTCACCTGTCGTCCAATTGACTGCGGTCGGCCCCAGCTCAAACTCCAGCGTGCCACCTTGCGCAAAGATGTCATCCCAGGTCAACCAGCTCTTCTTCCAGGCCTTGCCATTGACCTTGAGACTTTGCACATAGATGTCGCTGTCACCATTTCCATCTCCGCCCGAAGAAGTGATCTGTAGTGTCTTCTTATCGCCCAGATCAATGGTCATGGACGCGAACCAGGGTGAATGAATCAAGAAGGTTGTCTGGCCGGTGATCGGGTACAGGCCGATCATGTTCCAGAGCAACCAGGTCTGCATAGCTCCTGCATCACTGTTGCCCGGAAGTCCAGACACACCGGTCGTATAATCTTCTTTAGCGACCTTGCGAGATCGCGAGACAGCCAGATCCTGTCGACCGACAAAGTTGTACAGATATGGAAGATTAAACATTCTGACAGCACTCGTTAGTCCAGATCAAAGCTTAATGTAGAGAGGTTCCACTCACGGTTCGTTGGTCGGATCAAAAATAGTTCCACTCGATCCACTGGCACCATCAGTGAACATAGTATCCAGTCTCGAGACAACAGTTTCCGTCCCACCCATAAGATCAATCATGTGCTTCATATCATGCACATCCGCAAAAGAATACGCCCAAGAACTAGCCTCGTAATACGGATCACCCCAGTACCCACTATCAGTCAAAGGGTCCGTCTCAATAAAGCTGGAGGTATTGCGTGGGACCACGAAACCCGAGTATCCCAGCGAAGTCTGGTCCGGATTCCAATGATTCCGCCAGTTACGGGAGCGATTCAGATACGTTTTCGCATCTTCCGTCTTTCCCAGTCCAGACGCAACCTGGTAAAGTCCGAAATCGTTATATGCGTACTCCACGGCTCGGCTAACGGCCCGGCTGAAAGTGGGTGTGATATACCCGTATTCAAGCCAGTCTGGGAGTGCGCTTCGACCGTCGTGGGTCGAGGAGTCTGGGGCCATCCAGTCGACGGGCCAGTTCACGGGCGTGACTTCTGCGTCTTTGACCATGGCTTTGTAGCCGTCTTCCCAGTTCACTGAACCACGGACGCCTTTTACGTAGGCGTCTGCGAGGACATTGTCAGCGTTGGAACCACCTTGTGAGCGGCCGTTGTAGTTGGAAGATCGGGCGTCTGGCATGTAGCCGACGTTTCTCCAGATATCAATAAGAGAGCGGATTTGCTCTTCGTAAGCTGTTGGCTGGAGAACCTGCATAAGGGATGTGGAGCAGCGGAAGAGATCCTATTTGAGATGAGTGAATTTGTCTTAATATATCCTATTGCGGAGGATTCGAGATAGGACCTACCCAGAAAGTGAAAATGTCCTGGTAATAAGGCTCAGATGATGTCCAGCCCGGATTTTCTCCGGTCTGGTTTGTCGGGATGAGATGCATGAAGTAGAGGGACGTGTATAGTAGACTGAGACTGGTCTCGTTGGTGTTGCTTGTCGTGACCTTGGATAAGACCTCGCTGTTCCATTCGGTAACCGCATCATCCACGACCGAAGCAAATGATGTACCCTCTGGAATCTCGTTGTTCACATTGTCACAGGCTTTCTGAGTTGAGATCCAGGAGATGCCCACACGAGAGATGACTTCAGTGTCACTGAACGAGAACAAGCCACCGACACGAGTAGAGTTGGATGAAGACGTAGCAAAGCCACCGAGCTGCTCAACACTCTTAGCTGCACCTGTCGCCGTATAGGTCTTGTTACTCGTAGCAACAGAGTCGAAATAACCACCTAAAGAAAGTTAGCCTGTATATCAAACCAAGCACAAGCAAGACATACAGAAGTAAATGGTCCAGTCCGGCGCCTCATTCCATCCATTGTTATACACACCAGAGCCTTCATAATGGCCATCAGCGGAAATGGTAATGTTACCACCCTCATAGCCCTGACTCAGCCCTTGACCCCGGAATGAAGGCAACACATGCGATACATCAACCAGTACATTCCCTTGCGACCCCGAGGGGAATGTATAGCGATAGATACCTGCTCTGGAAGAAGCACTCAGTTCAACCTCAATGCCATCTCCAGTCTCAGCTTTGTAGTATCCGACAGAACCTTCATCAGTGCCACTTCGCGATACAGTGATGTTAGACAAGGGATCACTGATATTGCCAATCAAGGGCAATTGTGAGACAGTGCCGTATTTTGGTGCCCCGCCTGTCCCTTGTTCGTGCATCATGCTGAAACCCGAGAAGTTGCCATCGGGCAGATAGCCTGAGTATGAGTCTGTGCCTGATAGCAGGAGATCAGGGCCGAGCTTGACCATGCCGAAGGGTCGCACTGCTCCAGGGAAATTGTTGCCTCCACCTTCTGTTCCCATGCTACGACCATATTAGTTATGTCCTCACCCAGAGACGGAGAACGTACAAAATATCCACATGCTCGGTCAGATCCTCTCCTGCTGCAAGTGCCAACAGGGTAACGCCTGTCAACATCTTTGCATGCTTCATTGTGAATGTCCAGAAAGAAACAAAACACCTCGTGGGTGAGAAGCACCAACAATCTTGTACCACGCAGAGACAAATTCTGTCCCAGATCTGATAATCAGGACCTGCAGCGATCAACCTCGCACAGAGACAAAAGCAAAATATCTACAGGAGAGAAAGATAAACCCCGCGTCACGTCGAAGTCTAGTCGTGAGGGGAATCAGATAGCTTTATGACCCAGTCAGTACTGCACAACGTGCATGTGGCCCATTTAACTAGCACCGCCGAAACTAGCGCGAGTAACATCCATGGATACATCATACAACCCTGGAGAATCCCCGCTCGAACGTCCCGAAATCAGGAGTTTATGCTGCATTGTTGTCATATTGCTTCTCCCCAAGGGGCTCCGCTCCACCCCTAGACTCGGGGATAAGAATGGTTATGAATCCACAGACCCACCATAGAGACTTGGAAGGGCGACGAGACAAATAATGATTGAGCCTGGTATGAATCAATAAATAAGACAAGTAGGATCTGCGCTGTGCACGATCACTAGCAGCTATCCGGTTATGCATGAGGTATCGCCATCACCTCTGGCCAACCTTAGAATATTGCACCTGGTCATCTCCGGGATTATGAGTCGTCTAAGACTCAAGTTTGTTGTTCTGTTCTGGGAAGTAGGAATGCCGATTGTTCTTAAGTTGGAATAGTTAGATTGTTGATGTATAGAGTGATCAAATCAGGGGTCGCGGTGTACTCACATGCGCTGATCAGGGACCCGGACCACGTGTGGGGCTGGTTGGTTCTGCGCCATTGATTATACCACGCCAAAACATTGATACTGATAGTACTGAATATTTGATTTGATGTTATCTTCGAATCGGATCAGATAATGGGAGTTATGTCATTAATCTAATTTGGCCCGCTAAACTCCGAAGCCGGTTAAAATATGTACTGGATTCCCTGCTATATGCTTCTTTCAACATGAAACAAACCAGTCTCGAATATCGGGCTATTATGTGGCCTCCGCCTGTTCCTTCAACAATCGTTGAGTAAGATCATGCTGAATCCATTGCTCTACCAGTGCCACCGTTTCACCGACAAGGTTGTCATAACCCGGTCTATTTGGCAGAAACATGGACATATGCGCTTCCAGTTCAGTCATGTCCTCCAATTCCACCGGAAACCAGTTACGATTATTATGATACTTCCAATGAGAAGAGGGCAGAAGACAAAACCTGCGACTCTTGGCGGCCTTGGAAGGGTCAGAGCTATCACCAGAGCAGGACGTAGTAACAGAAAAAGTTTGCGAAAGGGCCTGGTCCCCTATCTGATTGACTGTGTTGGTGGATGCGATGCTTGGGGAAACAGACAGCCGGTTCTTTTTAGGTTTGTCATCTGCTTCCGGAGACTAATTAGAAACAGAGGACTCGACATAGATTAGGGAGGGTATTGTTTACCTTTGACTTTTTGCCGAGGAGTACTTGAGGTATAGTAATTGGTAAATCGTACTCTTTCTGGGTTGTCTTCATCTTTATCCCACTCCTGCATAAGCTGGTACCGCCGACGCAATGCTGCATAGTTGTTGACACCACCTGCAAATTTTAGAGGAGCCGTGAGGCGCTTAAGATGTGATGGAGCGGACTCCCGTTCTGCCCTCTTCTTCTGCACATAATTCTTCACGCTACTGACAAAGCTGCGCTCGGAACCATTCTGCCATTTAGGATCATAGTTAGGAGGAGGATCAGGGGGATTGAAGGTAGGATCATTGAGGATGGGTTCAAATTTCGCAGCATATGCAGATACTTGTTCTTCGGGTACTCCCCCCATCCTTTCCAAACAAGCTGCCGATGCCGGTGGAGACAACGTGAGGATGTAGTCCTAGGTAAGGAGTATCGTAGCTAATGATTCCCAAGATACGGTGCTTGGCCTTTGCAGTTTTATCCTTCTGCAAAAGTGCCACATCGGCAGCTATGATGCCACCCATACTGTGCCCGAGCAGGATGACATCTAGATCGTGAGACTCATGTGGCTCCAGCCTGCGGTTATCGTCAGCTTATTCTTCCTCAAATCTATTTTTGAAGCGATATGTCGACTTTATCGCTCCGTGCTGACATACCAGCCACTAAATCTTTTCACCGCCAGTTGATACTCGCCACGAGTCTTGAATCGAGGGTAAATACGGGTATATACCACGTGCGATTCGCTCAATAAGGCTGCCAACGCACTATGAACGTGCACGGGCATCTCCGAAAAAGTCGTTTCGGAGCCATTGAAGCCATGGATGTAAATCAACAATAGCCTTCGTCTAGTCGCATCCTGTGGCCCCGGCCCGGCCATCGATAGCATAGAGACCATTGACGAACCGGTTGAGGACCGATCCGGCGGAGTATAGACTGACTCCGGTTCCATGGTGAGATTTACAGAGAACGTGGATACGGGAGAGAAAAGCTTGAAATGACAGTTTAAAGCATTGGGACCTAAGCCGCATCGACCCCGCACAGTCCGGCCCCCACTTGTTAGCGTCAAACAATGATATGTGTAGACCTATGAAACCATGATGACTAGCAAATGGTGATTATCACTTCCTTTAATTAAGAAACTCAGCCCCACCGCATATTCGGGCCAAAACTAAGAATGGGTTAAATGTTTTCCCTTGGTGGCTGGAGGGCAGTAAACAAACAATTATTCCGACGTTGTAGAATCGAAAATTGTGTTTAAATACAGTAGCTTTGGCGTAACCTTGACTGAAGATTTCTGTCATCTTACTCTAGCTCTAGTCTATATATCAGATCTCCCTGTGGGGACTGAAGTCTGATGCCCAGCCCGCCCAGCCTGCCCAGCCTTACGGGGTTACAGCCGCAATGAGTTCTTGCTCTGATCTCACTTCACGTCAACACCTTCTTAATCCATGAAAATCCATAAATGTGCGGTATCATAAATGTGCGGTATTTACCTCCTAGAGAGCTGTGGACCTACAATGCTGATCTAGACCCATTTAACAGCGCGCAAGACGCCCCACACCCGCCACTATAATCAACTAGTCAGTCGACACCAGGAATCGAGCCATTGGGGGAAATTAGAAGCCATGGACTGGTTGAAGAGAGTATTCACTGGGAAAGATTCAGCGACAATAGCCGCCGAGAAAAAAAGCAAGCGCATCAGAAAAGCACGTCAACAGCAAATTCGCGCGCGGGAAGACGAGCTGAGACACCAAGCAGACGGCGATGGGGCCAAACACGCACGTCTCTTTGTTGGGTCACAGGGAAGGATGTACTCTCACGAAAGGGACGGGAAACGAAAATCAAGATAGAAAGAGGTTAAATTGCAAGCATGGCATGGTAGCTGGTTCAAGGTATCTGTTTAACATGGAAGGATTGGCGTCAAACATAGCAACTACATGATCATAGAGTGATTCTCATTTTAACACAGCGCATAATTCTCAAGCCCACAATTAGTCCTCCAACTTTGCCCGAGTAGGATTCCATGAAACAGGACTATACTCATCCGTTTCGAGCTCCTGCACCTCCTGGGCCGTAAGCGCAAAGTCGAAAACCTCGGCATTAGCAACAATGCGCGACGGCGTCACACTCTTAACCAACGGAATGTAACCCTTATCAATGCTCCACCGAATAAGCACCTGAGCTGGGGTCTTGGAATACTTCTCCGCGAGCTTCTTCACAGACGGTTCTTCAAAGCGAGTACCACGCACAATGGGACAGAATGCTTCAACAGCGATCCCACGCTTACTGCACCAGTCCGCGATCTCCGCGTGCGCCAGCCAAGGGTGAAGCTCGATCTGATTGATACTGACAGTCCCGCCTTTACCTTTTCCACCGCGCTCCGATTCTAGTTCGCTGATGTGTTGTTCCAGCTCGTTTAGGTGGTGTACACCGTAGTTGCTTACGCCAATAGAGCGTACTTTGCCGGCTTCGACAGCTTCAACGAGCTATGGAATGGGTTAGTATGAGATCTAGCGATTGGAAATACTTCGATGCTTACGGCTTTCCATCCGCCCTTGCGGTTCTCGGATCCACCGAAGGGGTTGTGGAGGAGCATCAGGTCTATATAGTCGAGTTTTGATTCGGAAAGGGTCTTGTCGACTTGCGCTTTGGCCTTTTCGTAGCTGATGTCGCCTACTTTGGATGTGAAGAATATTTGGTCGCGTGGGATTCCCGATGCGCGGATGGCGTTGCCACAGCCGGCTTCGTTGTAGTACTTGGCTGCTGAATCAATCTATGTTTGAGTTAGCATTTGCCTGCTACTATAATAGTGTGTTTGGCTTACGTGGCGATAGCCTGTCTGAAAGGCTTCGAGACAGCATCGCTCTGTTTCATCTGGTGGGCTTGATGAAAGTCAGCCTTCAGTGGATTAAGAACCAGGTCGATTGAGAGGGGATGTTACGTCTTGTAGACCTATGGCGATCTGTTAGTAATAAGATAACCACTGGAGACTCTACGGGACACATACCCCAAAGCCTAGCTTGGGAATCTCATAGCCACTGGCGAGCTTGATAGTGGGGTGGATTTTGGTGGCCATTCTTAGCATGAAGAGGAGTCGGTGTGGCGGGCAGGAGAAGAGAGTAGGTGAATGCACTCTATTATGGAGAAGTTTGATTGTTTTATAATCGGGTTTAAGATTGTCTTATCCGATTAACTCCTTTCGATAATCAGATGAACTATTCAACCAGCACTCAGTGGATGATGCTCCCGTTAGTCATTTGCGGGGCTGGTGATCGGGGACAACTGCATCCAGTAAGCCCGGTCGGACCTAGTCTGTTGCCCGGTCATCGATGATAATTTGTTTCAAACATTTGTCAATTGGATGTCTCATTTGAGATTATAATTTGGCATAATTCTTTTGACTTTGATGGTACTTAAGCTGTGCCAAACTGCAAATAGCCAGCTAAACATGATACCAAACAGTGACAGATCAGCTACCAAGGGTAACATCCACCTTTATGAAGAAATTTGCCAACATCGCCATCTCTCCGCCCGATTATTATCTCCATAATTGCCTTCCCCGATTCCATAGGATCGCCAGCATGGCCTTGAGCACTAACAGCCTCTTCAGAAGTCCCCCTAAGCATGGATCGCACAAGGCCTGGACAAAAGGCAAAAACACGGATGTTCTGGTCTTTGAGTCGCTTATGCATCTGAATTGTCATCATGTTAAGCGCAGCTTTGCTCATACGGTATTCATCCCACGCCGCGACACTGTGCGCACTCTGTAGATCAGATGCAAGTGCCAGCGAACCCAATCCGCTTGATATTTGAATGAGGCAAGGACGACGGGACTGCAGGAGAAGTGGAATGAAAGCCTCGGAAACAAGCATTGCACCAAAGACGTTCGTGGAGAATATCTTTCCGATCTTATCTCGTCCAGTAGAGCCAGGTGAAGTTGTACCTGCGTTACTTATGAAGACGTCGACTCGTCCGAATTGCTCGGACACGGTGTTGACGGCCTTGGAGATTGAAGCGTCATCTTCGACATCTAGCTGGACGACAGAAAGCGTTCCCTGGGCGTCGGTGGTTTGGAGTTGAGAACATGCGTCCTGTCCCTTCGGAAGATCTCGGCAGGCCAGTATTACATGGTAATTTGGGTGAGATATGATGGTTTTTGCTGTTGCGTAGCCGACACCTGAGTTGGCACCTATATGAAGTGATAAATATGGAGTAAATCACCTTTCGTAGCAGATATCTTACCAGTGATGAGGACAATGGTTGATTCCGACATCGCGTGCTGAAACAAAATGATCACGGGTCCACGGATAAAGATGGGTGGATTTGACACTTGGTGAATCCCAAAATTTCATTTATTGTATACATTCTGGCTTGAAAAGGGGGTTTTATAAAGCATTATTTGTGAATGTACAGTTGAAGTCGGAAATAAGAACAAATCCGAAGATAATATGTGATGTCACTATCCCCGATCTCCGGGGTAAAGCCGTCCCTGCAAGTGGATCTGGAAAAACACCTATAATGGCATCTAAGTACAGGCCTAATGAAGGAATTGGACCTCCAAAAATTAGCTGAGCTAAAGTCTGCCCAGGTGTGTCTATAGCCAAAAACATTATCCTCGAGTTATACCCAGCTTATAGCCCCATAACAGAATATCAGTGTTAAAAGAGAGACCTAGTACATACGCAGCAATAAAGATTAACACAAGTTACAGATCCCTCTCCCCCATTTTCTTCACGAGCGTGATAATTTTTGGTCTATAAAATAACCAGTTTATTTTCATCACGAAGTCGTGGCATTTGCCCGAATCAGCAACTTTGCCCACCAGTTCGAGCACCTCATTTGCAGTCTGTCTATATGCACTTTCATTGAATGTAAGGGCGGTGATCTTCTCCATCGGATCAGAAAGTCTGTTAGCGAGCGAGCGGAAGGGTTCCAAGTTTAGACGGATGCGCTCTGCGCGAGTGAACGGTTCCCTTAAAGCGGCTCATGTTTCTCTTGTTGTCTCGATGACATGTTTTTTGACCACAATTTCGAGAAACATGCCAGCTAGCGTAGCGGCAGCTTCAGCAGAAGGTACAATGTGCATATCAGTGTGATTTGTTGTACGATTGGTCGCTGTCAACTAGCAGAGACTGTTCATTCTGGGAAAAGCCATTTAAGGCCGGGGACAAGGGTAGTTTCGTTGACTTGGCAATTGCGGGGAAGGCGGCTCACGGACACTAATCTAATGTGAGGCTCCCATAAGACTATACACGAGACATGTGTACTAGGCGTACAGTACCATGTAATATTACGAAGCACATGTGTTCGCTCCACGCTTCACAGTTAAGATGACACTGTATCCTCGGTATCCAGTACCAAAGTGAATGATTGGCAGAATTTATTCGGGTCCACATAACCTGGGGCTTACTGCGTTAAGCAAGGGACCGAGACACCTGATCTACATCGCTGAGACCTATTTTGGTTGCCTGCCTCATTCAGCCCCATTGCAAGTCCCAATTCCGAAGCAATATTCAGGTCAGGAACATGTAAATCCCCCAATAAAATTACATAGATCAGTATGGTCATTTATCCGAATGGAAGCTTACAGTATATTCCAGCTTCACGTCACTGGGTTGTGCTGGAAGTAGGTATCAACTGAACACAAGGCTTTCCAAAGGGGCTGGACAGGGGCAAGGCAGCATCCTAGACACATTCGTTGTCGACCCCAATACGACCCGCGGGGCTTACCCTGGGGCAGTGTAGCGATGTGTTCGACTATGAACAGATGAGCTAATTATAATTTTGAATCCAAAACCAATGATCAAAAGTGCACAGACTCGCCATATGCAACTTCAATTATATTTTTGTCTTTCTCTCTCCACCCCGGGCCTTTTCTACTGTCCCCCTCGTATAAGTCTCACCTGAATTGGAGGTTCACTATGGCTGAAAGGCCGGACAGCGAAGGTCAGAGCAGCCCGCCATGACTTCATCATTTGTCGTATTCAAAACTGACCATTCACAGGCCTAATCCCAGTCGAGACTCTTGAACACCACTTAATAAGCCCTATCAGCCCTTTAAATTCCTCTGAACGAGCAAGCACCAATTCAGCACCCCTCTTGGACCCAATTAGCCCGCCTCCACTCCCAGCATACGAACGTACCCGACCAGAAGACGCACCGATGCCTGTTGACACTCCTCAGACTCACGGAAAGGATTACATAGGGCAAGCTCCTAGTGAATTCCAACCGGCATTTGCAGGTCAACACCCCATGAATTCGGTGGAGGAAGAGAAGACGTATCCCGGCCAGCCAGCGCCCAGCTATATACAGCCACCGCCGCTGGGGCCACCGCCGCAACAACAACCACAACCGTACTATGCACCAGCTGGTCAATCTAGTAGCTATGCGAGCGCAGTGCCTTTGCATGCACTTCGGCAGGCTCCGTGTCCTGTCGACTGTCCCGCCTGCGGACAACGGGAATTAACGAGGACACAACCAGTATCGGGATCAACTACGCAGTGAGTTTAAATTCATAATCAGGCTATTTTCTCGAAATAAATGAAACTGGTGCTAACTTTTAAATAGTGCCTGGGCCGCTATAGTTTGCTTCTGCTGCTGTCTCGGGTGTATTCCATATCTTCTTTCGTCTCTTAAAGATGTTGAACATTCTTGTGGAAAGTGTGGTGTAAAACTTGCATGTTGGCATAATAGTGGGCGTGTTGAAGTGTTCCAATATGGGCAAACCTCAGCAGTCTAATTTGGCTTTGATTGAGAAGATTCAGCTAACCAAACAGACATTGGAGTCTCACTATTCAGCGCTATTTGGTCGCATATTTGATTTAATGTTTGCTACGTTCTTGATGACGATACCGACTTATTTTACTACGGCTTTTTCTATTCTAGGCCTTCTGCGCGAAGGTCCTTTCGCGAATACAGTGTTTAATTTACATATCGCGCTCAAATTAAAGGCACCAAGAAATTTCCTACTCAATATCGAGAAGTTAAAGAAAATGATCCTGGCAAATCCCATGACTGATCTTCTCGAGATGCCAAGAAACTCGTATTTAGGTTCAGCTGACGCTCCGCTTGATGCCGTCATACACCCGCAGAGTCTTCAACCTACAAGACGACAAGCATCTTAACAGAGTTCTCATCACCATGCTAAGTCTGATTATAACGATCAGCGCCGTGCTGACTGGCTCATCGGCCGTATATATCTACATATTTCACCAAAAATTATCATCTCGCGTGCACCACAAATCACAATGCGGGCTATCATTAACAGAGTCCAAGCCACGGAACATCGAATCAGTCCCCGAGTGCGTCTTCACAGAAAAATACTTCGCACTCCATGATCACGCCTCGGCATCCGTACTTCGAAGCTCGCTTCCGAGCATCCCCACAGATATCCTATTCACCAAGCTGGTCCGGCGCAATATGACCACCTTCACACATTTCCCACAGGCCTTGATGATCAGGCTTGCCTGTGATACTCCAGAGGAAATCCAAAGCTTCAAAGCATCGCATATCTCTTCACTCGACTTCAATAAGGGGGATTTAGTTTGTGGCGTGTACCGTGTTATTGCGAGAAGAAAAAACAAAGTCGAATTTGAGATTAGGATGGTTAATATGGACTTTTGTTGTGCGAGACTCTCTTTGAGTTTCCATGAAATGGGAGATGAAGTTGTGTTTTGTTCTGAGACTATGATGTGGAGGCCGGCGGGTGAGTGTCAGAATATGCCGCTGGAGAGGCCGATCATTCGGTGGATGCATGAAACTGCGGCTTGGTGGCTAATTGAATCTGGTGTGAAATATCTGACAGAGCTGGAGTCGTGATTGGGTTGTTATTGTAGACTACTTTAATCTTGTTATATTGGGAGGTCTATGTTGTCTTCAAAATTGTACTCTTTGGTATAGAAACAACACAACATGATTGTATCAAACATGGCTAGTGAGGGGTCTACCTTACGATCTGTGGTGCTCAGTATAGACCATGATCATGGAAGCATGAAACTCATGGAGTTGGAGTGATATCATGTGATATGGAAACATGGGAGATGTGAGTGCTGTTAGTCGTACCTGAAACCATCAAGGATCCCCTGGCTATAAAAAGATATCCTTCTTACGTTCTGCATCCTCCCATTAAGTCTTTGTCTTCAACAAGGTCAAAGAATTCGAAGAGTTCTCTTTATCCCTGAGACTTGACAATGCACAAAGAAAATGACAAGTCCGCTGAGAACAGAAGCTTTGTTGTGCTTTGTTTGCAGATAGAGAGATAATGGTTCCCTACCGTGTATTCATGCCAGAATCTTTGTCGCTTTTACAGATAAAGAAGACAATAGTTCTACTTTGCTTCAATATCCATGAGTGCCATCGCAACCTTTAAAGTAGGGTACGTTCCCAAGTCCAAAATCTCCGTCCCAGAACTGATCTAAACAAACACACAATGTGCAGATATGCATACCACCACTATCCCAACTGTGGACACATCGCCAACTACACAGTCATGGGCTGCTTAGAGTTCACTAACCAGCTTCGATATCTTGCCAACGTGGAGATGTATTTAGCTTGCGACGATATCAAAATCTCTCATGATCTCCTTCCAGCAGACCATCCTGACCTCTGTCTACAATGCGCTTATGAATGGAAGAGCACATACCCCCAACAAGAACACGAGACTCAATTTGCCAAGAGGAATCGAGCCATGGAGGGATTGAACGCAGCAAATTCTATCATTGATTTCAAGGCCCGAATGGTTGGTCCCAAAAGTTCAGACACGAACGCAATACACGGAACGCGAACTGACATTTATCAGAGCAACCCTCTCCGACGCAACCCAGAATGCACGTGCTCTGCCTGTGTCAAATTGGCAAGCGTTGGATCTGATGTGAGAGAAGATCTTGATGTCCTGACCTGTGGCTCCCCTATGAGCTTGGAATCCCTGTCATTGGACACATCTGACTCGTCCTGCGTTTCTGAGTTGAACATATCTCATGCCCTTCACTTTAATTTATATGAGGTAACTAATCCCTGTTCACAGCTTAGTCTAGACCACGAAAAGCACGGACTATACATTCCCGCAGGTGGCGGCTTTGATGTGTGTGATATAGATAATCTTTTTCCCACCTTGTGCGATTTTGACCACCAATCTTATGTCTCAATTGGTTCCTCTCACAACGATGAGGCTGACATTTTCGAGCTTATGCCTGGAATTGTGACTGATTGCTTAGCACAGTTGGACCTAGACTGCGTGGAAGACCACGCAACCGACAGTACCAATATTGATCTTCTTGCAGGACTTCCTTCTCACAAGGATGTCATCCTGGAACTGGTCCAGGCCTTCCGAACAGGGATTATATCAAATGGCATCACCCATGAGATATCAACCACTGCCAAATCCAAAACTACTCATAAATCCCAAGCCATCAGCAAAACCTCAACCCTGAACCACTCCGACTCGAAGACTAGTCTGTGGCGCGCAAGCATGTCAAGTGCGTCTTCGCCTGAATTTCGTAATAGCGCTGACAAGTGGTTCTTGGGTTTTGAGCTTTCCTCATTCGGGACTGAAGATAATATCGACACCCTAGTCAGACATGGGACAACTGCAGAGTTCCTTGATTTCTCGGACGATGAAGACGGAGGCTGCTTGTTAGCAGGGTGGTAGATTCTTCTTTGAGTTGGATGCATGTATCTAGATAGGGCTTTTAACGCCTCGTTATATTTTTTTTAGTGACTAATATAGATGATGCGCTGGCTGCGCTGTCGGCGCTGTCGGCGCTTAGCTAAGTTATATGTGCTCATGTTATACTTAGTGGGCGCGATTCCGCCCGACGAGAACTAATTAACCTTGAATTCATGGACTTTTAAAATTGTACAATTGTACCGTTCTACAGCCTCTTTCATAAACTTCCTATGGGGCACAACTGTAGAGCTCTATAACCCTGGGACAAGCTCGGTCTATCCCGATCGACTCGGTATTCAACACCAGAGCTCGGGCAGTCGGACTTCGCCCGATCATCCCACTCGGGTTTAACTCCGTTTTCCCCAGAGCCCCTCCGACCCCCACGCCTCCACTCTTATTTATCAGGTTTATTTCCTCAGTTTCTGGTTTGTTTCCATCAATTATTTTTGTTTGAAACCATCACCAATTATGTCTAAGCCAGCTATCGGTTTCGTTGGCCTAGGAGCCATGGGCTTCGGCATGGCCACCAACCTTGTGAAGGAGGGATACCCAGTCCACGGATTCGACGTGTTCCCCGCATCAGTCGAGAGATTCAAGGATGCTGGCGGAATTCCTGCTTCCTCGTTACAGGATTCAGCTAGCGAGAAGCAGTACTATATTTGCATGGTCGCATCGGCTCCCCAAGTTCAGTCTGTCTTATTCGGCGAAGGTGGCATTGTTGCTGGTATGTAAATTACCTTGTTGAAACAAAGACATTGTTAACCAGTTGATTTCATTAGGTCTTCCCCAAAATGCGACCCTCATCTTGTGCTCAACAGTCCCGGCTTCGTATGCCCAGTCCGTTGCTAAGGAGCTCGTTCAGCATGGCCGTGGAGATATTCACTTTATTGATGCACCGGTGTCGGGTGGTGCTTTGCGCGCGGCGAACGGAACACTCTCTATAATGGCGGGCGCGCCAGATGCGGCTTTAGAGAGCGGCCGGTTCCTTCTCGAGGCCATGTCTGATACTAACAAATTGTACCTGGTGCCTGGTGGCATTGGAGCTGGAAGCAACATGAAGATGGTGCACCAGATTCTTGCGGGTATCCACATTCTCGGTGCCAGTGAGGCTATGGGCTTTGCAGCGCATTTGGGCTTGAATGCAGATGAAACTGCCGAAGCTATTAAGGAGTCTAGCGCGTGGACATGGATGCACGAGAACCGCTTGCAACGTATGGTGGAAGAGGATTGGATCCCCGGTGCTAGTGCTCTGACAATCATATTAAAGGATGTTGTAAGTGGATCTCCTACTCGTTTCGCAAATTTAGATGCGATTCGCTAACAAAGCCGTTCACAGGGAATCATTACCACTTCTGCTCGCGAGAACCACTTCCCAACCCCTCTTTGCTCCACGGCTGAGCAGGTCTACCTCGGAGCTCTTTTGCAAGGCTATGGAAATAAGGATGATTCCGTTATGGTTCGCCAGTACTTCTCTAAACCTCTCAGGGCTGTCTCGAATGCCAAGATGTTGGATAATGAGGCTGATTTGCGCCAATTGGTCCTGGACATGATGGAGGTGACAAACCTGGTCGCTGCGGCTGAAGCCATTTCATTTGCGCGCTATCTCAAGGTTGATCTAAAGCAATTCTTTGGGCTTGTCAGTAATGCCGCCGGTGCTAGTCGTCAATTCATGACAAGGGGATTGGAAATGATTGAAGGCAATATTGACATGCAACCTGGCTCGGAGAAAATTGATGCTGCCATTTTGCGATTGGAAAGAGCTGTACAAAAAGCGAGAGACCTGCATTGTCCATTGCACCTCGGAAACGCGGCACTCAATACGTTGTTTTTGGCTAAGCGGGCTGGCTTTGGGGATGAAAGCACTGTTAGCGTTATGCAAATTTATGGTCTTGGAATGTAGTTGTACGTACTATGTCTTTAATTTTATCTACCAATGCTAGTCTCATGTCCATGAATTCATCTTCCCAACGCTTGAATAAGCCGCAAATCACCCTAAGTGCCGCATTATCTCTGCCACGTGGAATTCCACTTTGATCTCAGTGGCTCGTGCTTGCCGTCTTGTGCTCACCTCCACCACCGAGCTTAGTCGTACGCATAGTTAGAGCCGCGGTAACCATGAACAGTAGCCATTCCAGGGCCCCGAAGACTGTCGCTGCCTCGAGCAACCCACAAGAGCTGTTCCCTGTCGCGCAAGTATCGTTTGATATTTGAACAGCGACGGCAATGAAACCAGCGAGCCATGAGAGGACAGCCACAGCCTCGAGGGCGACACGAACATAGCCAATCCACACACTATCCGCCAAGATGATCCCGGTAATGGAGTAGAAAATGACAATCACGACTGTCAAGGCAGCGCAGAATAACAAGAAGCCCCACGCATCAGGGACACCGTAGTAATCATAGAAGTTGCCGTACACGAAGTGTTCGTAGACAGTGTGGCCGCGAAACACATGGATAGCTAGGTGATGGGGTCAGAACGGTGAGTCGTAGAATGTATTGAGTATGCCTACCATAGCCGACTATTCCAATGATTGTTATGGCGAAGATGAGCTGCAGCGCTCGCAGGGCATACTTGAGCGTCTTGTTATACGATATGCTCACGGTCATGTTGGTAGCGTGGAATCTGGGAAGTGGCGGTTACAATGAGTGACTGGTATTGGAGTGAGGAATGTGGTTTGGAGTGAAGAGAAATCGAAGTTCAGACAATGGCGTGAAATGGATCATTATAAAGGGTATTCTCTCTCCTACTATAGATCACGCGAAATGCATGTTTGAGGGCGCTAACCCGTTTCTGGTTAGGCATTTACGAGGTTGTTTTGGGTTAGACAGCTACGAACCGTGAGCCAATCAAGAGTCTTTCTTGAGACAAGCTTCGCCACTTTTGGGTCGTAACGGGTCAACGATTACCTGCTTACCTGCTCACTGCCCGATTTTCCAAGCCTCGTAAGTTCTTGACCAATCATGTCAGCGGGTCTTAATAATGAGGCTGGACTGTTGCCTGTAAGGCTCGTAACTATCTAACCTTTTTTGGCTGATTTCGTGATTTGCAAAGATCTTTAAATATTAAGGTTACGAATAATGAATGGTACGTACGGACGGGAGTACTCCAAGGTGCTGGACCTAGATCACATCATCAATTTAATCATTCATAATATCATGCCAGGCTTTTGTCCTCTCTAGAGCGATGAGAATTGCACCGTTTGAACCTGTTCTCTCAGCTGCGCTCAAGTGGAATATCTTCCCACGCATGCTGCAGCCTTGGCTAGAAAGCCCTGGAGGCATATCATTTTGGTACTTTGGAGATATGAATACCCAATGCATCATAGCTCGATATACTCCGTGATTGTATGCCACTCTCCCAATGGCCCCCACGGCTTTGTGTGGAATACAGCTTCAACCATGCCTGGATAAGCCGGGCTGGGCACGATGCTGTAGCCAAACTTCCGAATGTCAAAAGGCATCTCGCTCAGGTTGTAGATCCGTGACCCATCATCGGGCAAGACGAGACCATACAGTCTCGAAGTCTCGTCTGGCAAGTCCTGGCCATTGAGATGTCTTTCTTCCAGCTCAATCACTCGCTTGGCAGTTACGTATGCGTGATGTGCATTCCAGAGCCCTTCCCGTCGAGGCGCCAATTGCAGCAATTCCAGGGCACGTCTCCGTGTTGCGGGATGACGGCATTTCAGCGCGGTATAATATAGGGGCCCTAGGATTTGAATGTCGAATGACAGCATTTGTGGTGTCGCCATTCCCACACCCGGCTTGACAACCTGTTCCGCGTAACGCACAAGCTCTTCAAAGTCAGCGTGGTAAGAGTCTGTGGCCATTTCCCCAGCTGCGGTGCAGACTCGTATCCAGATGTAAACGACTTTGTAATGTACCAAAAGTAGATTGAGTGCGTCTTCTTTCGCCGGCTTTCCGGCAGCCTGCATTCGTTCGAGAAGTTCATCTAGCCGGTCGCGCCATGTGTTTAGCCTTGTCTGATGTTTAATCTGTTCAATGAACTCGTCGACGTCGATTTGAAACATAGCTGCTTTGATACTGACTTTGCCAATGAATCGGATGCAGGTATCTAAGATTTCGATGAGCCGTTGTCTAGAATGAGCAAGGTCTTCCTGGGGAAAATCCTCTTTAGTTGTAGGGGCGTAAATTGGCGGAGTCATTCTGCCAGCGAGAGAACAAAGAACATTCAGGCGTGAAAATATCGGAATGATATGATCTTCGATGGCTTTAAGATCGTTGGACGAGAGGTTGGACCCTGGACCCTGGGCTGCGTCGCTGCTGGGACGGAGCGCAGCTAGAATTTTGAACCCACTCAGAACGTGAAGCATAGAAGATTCAACATTTCCTTTAAGGAGCTCGATACACGTGAACATAAGGCAGCAGGTCAAGGGTACCAAGTTCGAGTTGGGATGTGCTTGAATTCGCGCTGATAGGCTCTTCATTGCTTTGTTCCACTCTTTTTGAGCCTCAGGATTGGCATTAACATAGCCTGCCGGGTGCCGTAAAGACGATTCGACATCTTGATAAATAATGCTGATGGCTGATATGGCATGTCGAATTGATCGTTCGGAGTGTGATAGTTGTAAAACAAGCTTGCTCCAGAACTGTGAGGTGAATTGACCATCCAACTTCGCAGCAAGTTTCTGGTGGAAGAATTCGAGGCCGCGATCATTTACGAAGAATACCGGTTGACTTTGCGCAGGAGGCAGATATACCGTGACCACGTTTCGTGGTGGTGCTGTACGTGCGGTGCTATACTCGCATTCTCGGCCTCCAGTGGTGCAACGTCGACAGATAGGTTTTGCTTCATCGCATTTCACTCGACGAGCTTTACAAGTGCTGCATCCAGTTCGAACTCTGGACGTACTTTCTCGGTTTCTCTTTGGCGCAAGATTCAGGCTAGCATTCATGGTGAATGATGCGCCAAAGGGCGAGCTTATTATTTAAAGAATGGAACAAAAAATTCAGGACATCTGGAGGGGGAACTCAGAAGATGATAGAAAAAGAACAAAGGATGGAAGCTTGTATAAGTCGAGATTAGGCCGCCCCGTTTCTGTTGTGTGCTCATCAGCACTTGTTCACGTGACTTCAATCACAAGCTGACAACGATTAGCTCTAGATAGTCAACAATGAATACCAGCTTGATCATAATCTACCATTGTCAACCGGATTCGGTAGCTTATCAGATTCATGTGTAGACAATCAATTGGAAAGCCCCACCCTGCAGAGGAAATCCGGCACATCTAATGACCTATTATCAAGCATGCAAGGCTTCAATTTCCCTCAACCACTGATCAACTTGGAATGAAGGGCAATCTTTAAAGAAACAATTTAGCCCAAAGAAGTAATATACGTTTCCATAGTTCACAGAGTTGATGCGAGAGACCTACAACCTTGGATCCGGCCCACGTCAATTGACGTAATTAGACCCTCGGTCCATCTCCGACCCATCGGACAACATGCGACAGATAGCACCGCGGGCAGAACAGCGAACACCAGTAAGCAACAATTCGACCATTTAAAACTAGCTAAACCCCGCAATTAAGAATACCCCCCACGCACTCTCTACAGCTCTCATAGACCCAATTACCAGCCCAAGATGTCTCTCACCGAAAATCGCGCTTTGCGCATCCTCGATCATGCCTCAGAAAACCACTATGGCGTCCCAGCAATGTGCTGCTACAATGTCGAAGGCATCCTAGCCACAGTCCGCGCAGCAGAAGCCAAGCGCTCACCCGCCATGATCCTCCTCTTCCCCTGGGCAGTACACTACGCCGACGGAATCCTCGTCCACGCCGCCGCAGAAGCAGCACGCAAAGCAAGCGTCCCAGTAACAGTACACATGGACCACGCACAAACGCCCGAGATCATCCGGTATGCAGCCGACCTGGGTGGCTTCGACAGTATCATGGTCGACATGTCGCACTACGAGAAAGCGGAGAACCTAGCATTGACACGCGAGTTGGTGGATTATTGCCATGCGCGTGGAATCGCTACTGAAGCTGAGCCTGGACGTATCGAGGGTGGAGAGGATGGTGTTGCTGATACGGCTGATCTGGAGGGACTTTTGACCACTCCAGAGGAGAGTCAGGAGTTTGTTGATACGGGGATTGATTGGTTGGCACCTGCTTTCGGAAATGTGCATGGAGAGTATGGGCCAAGGGGAATTCAATTGGAGTATGAGCGGCTGCAGTCTATTAATGAGGCTGTTGGGAGGAAGGTTAGGCTTGTACTTCATGGGGCGGATCCTTTTTCGAAGGAGATTTTCCAGAAGTGCATTGATTGCGGGGTGTCGAAGATTAACATCAATAAGGTTTTGAATAATGAGTATGTTAAGGTGCAGGCGGAGAAGGCTGGGAAGGTGCCGCTGACTACTTTGTTGGAGGAAGCTACCAACGCTATGCAGAAGGCTGTTGAGGGATGTATTGAGATGTTGGGAGCTGCGGGGAGATACCCTTGAGACATGATTGTTATTTGGTGTTTTTATACGGACTATTTTAATTCAAGAATAGAACAGTTGTTTGTTTGATTTGTTACGGATTAAATAAGTTTCTTGATTATGAAAGAGGGCCTTCGCAACGACAATACCTCCACTTCACCCCTGGATATATGAGAATACAGAAACGCCAAAAATAGAAAGGAATAGAAAGTAACACATCTCTAACGGCCGCCAAGTCTGCCAAGGAGGCCACCAAGGAGAGGCAGGCCACCGACAAGCTGGGACACACCGCCGAGATTATCCAGACCACCGAGGGCATCATCAGTTGCCTTTGGTGTAGGAGTGGAGCTGGAAGGCGCGTCACTAGAGGGCGTAGCAGAGCCAGAAAGAGAGGCGTGGTGACGGCTGGGAATCAAGGGGGTGGACGTCGGCTTACTCGGCTTGCTCATAGGAGCCGGGGACGAGTGAGCGAGAGGAGTAGGCTTAACCATGGAGCTGAAAGAGCTCGGAGGCGATGGCTTCGGAGTGATATAAGCAGAAGAGCTGGAAGGGCTCGAGGGCGAGGACTCCGGAGTGACACTAGCTGAAGAGCTGGAAGAACTCGATGGCGAGGGCTTCGGAATCAGAGGAATGGAAGAGCTGTGCGAGGGTGTAGGCTTGGCAACCACAACATGCGAAGTGGACGAAGGAGCAACAGCCGCGGCTTGGGATGTGGGTGAAGGAGCAACAGGTTGCGGCATCGGAGGCACAACGTTCTCAAAGGGAAGAAACTCATCCTGGCCATCATCATCCTCGGATTCCTCGGTGGGCAGAGGCATGCTCTCCTCAGTAGGGGAAGGCTTGGACTTGGCGGATGGCTCCACGGAAGACATGTCGTCAATGTCAGGCATGGTCAAATCCGGCATAGCCAGATCATCGGCCACAGAAGCTGGCGTCTCAGCTGGCTTGGGGGTTTCGGACACAGTTGGCTTCGTCACGGGTGTGGGCTTCTTGGAAGTCTTGGGCTTTTCAGTGGGCTTGGGTGTCTCTGATGCCTCTGGTGTCACCATAGGCTTTGGCTTTTCAGTGGGCTTGGGCTCCTCCGTAGGCTTAGCTTTCTCGGTTGGCTTGGGTGTCTCCGAGGTCTCTGGCTTCGTAGCGGGTGTGGGCTTCTTAGAAGTCTTGGGCTTTTCAGTGGGCTTGGGTGTCTCTGATGCCTCTGGTGTCACCACAGGCTTTGGCTTTTCAGTGGGCTTGGGCTCCTCCGTAGGCTTAGCCTTCTCAGTGGGCTTGGGTGTCTCTGATACCTCTGGTGTCACCACAGGCTGTGGCTTTTCAGTGGGCTTGGGCTCCTCGGTGGGCTTGGCCTTTTGAGTCGGCTTAGGTTCCTCAGATGTCTCTGGCTTCACCACGGGCTTTGGCTTTTCGGTTGGCTTAGGAGTCTCGGAAGGCATTGTGTCAAATCCAGGCATATCCAGATCCGGCATATCGACATCTTCAGCCGAAGGAGATGGCTGAGCGGTCGGCTTGGGAGTCTCAGATACCTCTGGCTTCACCACAGGCTTGGGCTCCTCGGTAGGCTTGGGCTCAACAACAGGCTTAGGCTCCTCAGTAGGCTTGGTCTCTTCGGCAGGCTTTGCCATCTCCATAGGAGCATTGTGGTTCACAGGAGCCTCAGGAACCTCAGGGGCGACAGGTGCCTCAGGCTTATGCATCATCTTGTGAGCAGCAGATTGCACAGCTGCGTGGGATGGCTTTGCAGCAGCAGCCTGTTGCACTCCATAGGCCTTTGCGGACTCAACGGCATACATGGCCTCCATGGCGGCTGGAATGGCGCTATCCATTCCATCGTCATCGTCATCTACAGCTGAAGTTCCTCCCGCCATGAAAGGGAAACTGTTGAATGCATTTCCAGCGTCGTCGGGACGGGGGTAAGATGGCGCGGCGGTAGCGCTAAGGACGAAAGCCGCCAATGAGACGTAGGCGTAACGCATTTCGTTGAGACTGAGGTACTTACCTCTGTTACTTGTCGAAAGGAGTGTAATCGGTCGGAAAAATTACTATAGATGTGGGAATGGGGGCGAAGGGGTATCGAGGGTTTTATAAAGAGACGCGTTAGACTTTTGATCCCCATTCTGTTGTGATCTTTCACTACCGCGTCTCTCATACCAGACACGCGGGAACATGATCAGCGTTTTTGCCTGGGGCTATGACGAGTTTTCATAGCGTAGGGGCGTTTTAGGTCCCGTTGGTATGGTCGATCAGGAGAGACGCTTGGATTCCTCGATCCAGATTGGGTTGTCCGAGGAATGATAGCCGTTGAAGTTTCCTGTAATGGCTTGTAGGTGTTTGGAAGATGCAGTGGACCCTGAAATAATATTTCACATACAATGTAAGCAGGTCATGGAGCTCCATGGGTAGATGATAGAATGCTCCTGCAATGATTCTATTCTCGTTGCTCAAGATGGCAGGTGGTGAGATAGTTCTGTATGGAATCTGACCCTCAGTCAGACTAGTACAAAGTTAATGGAACGCCTCATTAGAAGCTTAAAGTGAACATTAATTCTTAGCAATGCTTGTAGGTGTCTGCCACAAGCTGTATCAGCAAGCTTTCGGACCTGCCAGAAGTAAGATGAAAAGGCTTATCCTACTTCTCGGCACATCAAATGACTAATAAAATGTGATCCCAAGAAACCATCTCTTGTCAGAAGTTCACTCTCCTTTCAAGGTTGTGTATGTAGGGATGCTCAGGCACGCAACGGAAAATTCCTCTGGTAACCCTGGCATCCCTTACAGCGTCGACCACCCGAAATACTGCCCAGCCTCTCTACCAGCCCCAACGAAAACTTATCACATCAACAATCGATTCTTAGTCTCGCGTTTTAAATACTCACATCGGTTGTTTTGATCTGCGGGGTGAAGTTTAAGTGATCCACATCTTTGTTACAAATACTGTATTTCTAATGCAGCCACATCGATATCTCTGCCAATTATAGATCCGTAAAACCCCCTGGCATGGATTGAACCTCATTACTGAGAGGACTTCTCTATTTATTGCAATTCCTTCCGGGCGTATCTAGCTGAATGCTCGAACATTATTTGGTAAACTCCCACACAACGAGAGCTATATCTAGCTTCTGGACCCACAGCTAATGGTCTGGAGACATACTGTACTCTTTTATTGAATGCACTATTTATGTGGATCCTATTTAAAGTAAATTCACACTGCAGCCTTGCAAGGCTGATAAAAGTTACTCCTTTGCCAACACCATATCTTACCCAGATGATCGCGATAGGTATGAAGGTTGTTGACATCGCAGAATTCGAAGCCAGCACTAGGCAATATTCAGAATTGAATCCTCATGTGAAATAACCTTGTATAACTGTCTGCCTGGATTGTCTTATGGGATTTGTAGGTTGGATCCCGTAGACTCTTCTGGACCACGTGGGTGCAAATCTACCAACCTTCCAACAATACGGGTTCCAAAGGTTGGCTATCTCAGTTACTGTATCAAATGTATTTGGTGAATCATATTAAACAATCCATTATTCTATCATGGATAGACCTTGAAATTCTGAACATTCATCTATTCGGGTTCGCAATTTTGAATTGTAGGTATGTGTAGTGGCAAGTCAGATATATATATTGATACTGAAACCATTGATCTGGATATCAATTGATATGTATCAACCATACCTAGTCGTCCTTTTAAGCACCTTCTTGCATCTATTCAGACTAATGACCTCAGTTAATCCAAGCATAGCTTAGTTATCGTAGCATTTGACAGAGTTAACTTTGTCAGAGCTGATGTTGTTACTACCGGGGGGATATCGCGGGTACCGCTGCCATTACAGACGGTGAAACTGTAAGAAATCACAAATTAGTCACTATTTTCTCATCAAGACACAATAGAGAGCACTTACCTCCAGAAGACGACAGCGGTAGCCATGGGGGATCCCAACTGACTTGACATTCCAAGGTTCTGGTTGACGGAACGGCCGTTCAAGGCGTCTGTACGCAATCAAGGGGTTAGCTTCAAAGGTGGCGGTTGACTTCGCTCGCAGTTTTGCTAAGCTAAAAGTGGGCAAGAATAGAATTGGATGATGGTAAAAGGCAATCATGTCGAGCGTAGATTACAACATCAACGCAGTTTCCTCTCATATTAACGTCGTTGCAGATTTTAATGCCGACTCCGACATCTCTCGCCCCGACCTCGACGGACTCAGCGCTGGGCGCGGCGGTGAGTATCAGGAAGCAGCAGTGAAACGCATGGTGGATGGTCCAAGTTTGTTTTGATGGTAGACAAGTGTTCTTAAACAAGTCAGATATCCTCATAAAGTCATGTAGGACTGGGCATAGGCAAGTCTATTGCTCTGGATTAGCCAAAAAATTCGCTTGTTCGATTAGATGTGCGCAAAGTTACTTGATTACTTCAGGCAGCTCCTTAAGTTATACCACCATGAGTTGATGAGAGAAGCCCATGCAGAAGTAGAGAGGCTGCTACTCAATTCATTGGGGTCGAGAATGACGTGTCACTTTATCACTCAAGAGGTAGAAAAGGGATTACCAAGCAAAAAGCCACCGCATCAGAGTGCTCTATGGATCTACGGAAGGCACAATTAACAGAGTTCTTACTCAAACCTCAAATGGAAGAAACATAGTTTGGTGAAGATATTTGCTGGGAATGCCCTGATTTGCTTTGCGTGTCTTCGGCATTTCGACAAGTTACCGATTCGAAATTAGTGTAAGGAGACTGTCATAGTCAAAAAAATTTGGACAAAATGCAGCCCCGAAGAGAAGTGCAAAACCAGCTTCACCAATTTGCACCCTTAGATTCTTTCTGCACCCCGATACCAAGACGCTAGCTGGAGAGATGGGCAAATATAAATAGAGTAGATAAATATAATTGCATTCATTCACAAAATTTCGCCTTCTATCTAGAAGACTTATCTGTCATCATATTGCCTTATTTCTCTGCCGCAGCCGCAGCCGCAGCCTTCTCCTTATCATCAATTGTCTTGGCAATAGCCGGGCGAGCCTTCATACGGTTCAACCAGGAATTAACATGCGGGAACTTCTTCTCGAGATCCATTTCCTTTGACCAGAAAAGCGCAGCCACCTCGAACCACGGCACAAAAGCAGCATCGGCATAGCTGAATTTACCGCCAACGAGGTACTCCTTGCCTTGGAGCGATCGATCAAGTACTCCCGAAACACGACAGATCTCGTTAACATAGCGTTCGACCGCACTAGGCACCTTCTCGGGGTGGTAGACCGTAAACCAGGTGGCCTGCCCAAAGTATGGTCCCTGGCCGGATACCTGGAAGTGTAGCCACTGCTTGCTCTCGTAGTACTCCTGCGAGCCGGCGGTGAAGCTGACCGTGTGTTGCTTGTCGTATGTGTCCATCAAGTACTCGAGGATAGCACCGGATTCCCAGATCGTGATACCGGTGTTCGGATCGTTGAGGGCAGGAACGCGACCATTAGGATTGACAGACTCGTAGGGTTCCTTCTTTAGGTCTTCGAGATCGACCAACTTGGTCTCGTATGGAACCTTTAGTTCTTCCAATATTATGAGGACCTTCCAGGGGTTGGGCGTGCCGGCGTGGCCCCGGAGAGTCCACAAAGTGAGAGGCTTGGAAGTCATGGCGAGTGAATTAATGACTGAATGATTGGGAGAAAGAGAGTTCGATGCAGAGACTACAATGACCGAGGGCTGGTCTGCTAAATAGTACCGGCATACTCCAATGGCGGGAGTAGCAGGACCCGAATTGTTTAGTTCGGCACTCAAGAAGACCGAACGCTTGGTAAGCTGGATAGTTACCAAATTCTCTTGTGATGTCCATCAGCGTTTAATAGGCCTTTCGTATAACAATCTACGGACCATGGAGCCACCCAGCCTAGACTTCGGAATGTTGATTGGCCCTTGGTCATCAAAACAAACAGCACAAAGTTATGATACAAACAAGGATTACTTAGAGCCAATCAAATGTTTTATGCGGCATTAGTCAAACGATTCGGGGCGGCGACAATCTTGCCCGAGATATTCATAATCAACAGGAGCGGGGGCCCCGTAGATAGCACAATCAAGCTTTGCTTCCCCGGCTTTTAATTTTTTGATGATTGATAACCTATTTGATTTAATGTAGGTTTACTACTAGCATTTTCATATAGTCGACTCTTTCGTATATGTAAATCATAGCTCCTTGCCAGTCCGACTACGGAACTAGCTGTGTGATCCTTTGCTTCGATTCCTTTTTTTGCTATCTTTTTATATTTTATTCTTACTTCGCAAATGTCGGCCGACACACTCTCACTTGCAGGAAAGACTGCTTTGGTCACGGGTTCTGGCAGAGAGACTGGCATCGGCGCCGCTATTGCCAGAGCTTTCGCCCGCAACGGCGCGTCTGTGGCAATCCATTATGTGTCGGAAGGCTCTAAGGCGCGGGCTGAGAAGGTAGCGACTGATATCAATAAAGAGTTTGGCACCAAAACCTTTGTCGTACAAGGGGGAGTGGAGAATTACGATACTGCGAAGAGGATGGTTGAGCAAATCCTGGAAGCATTTGGCGTCGATCACATCGATATTCTAGGTATGTCATGGGCGGCGTGATGTCTTTGCCGGGCAGTTGGACAAGACTGATTGACTACTTGTTCTAGTCAACAACGCAGCGGCTGCAAGCAACACATCTCTCTTGGAAGTCAAAAAAGAGCAGCTCGAATACGAATTTGCCGTCAACGTCTTCGGCGTGATCTACATGACACAAGCTGTTGTTGGCGTAGGTCGAATGCCGCAAGGCGGCCGCATTGTCAACATCGGCTCCATCGCCTCGAAGATTTTGGTTCCACCCCCTGTGTATGGTGCGGCAAAAGCTGCAATGGATGCGCTGACGACGTTTTGGGCTGGCGAGGTAAGCTTTCTTTCGTGTTTTACCACTCTCTACGCTCGACAACATCTTAACGAAACGCCGGACAGCTTGGCAAGAGCCACGGGATTACTGTTAATACACTCGCACCCGGTCCAGTTCCAACAGATATGTCGGCAGCGTATCTGGTGGCTCCTGACGGATCTCCAACTGCGCTCCAGCTTTCTATGTATGAACAGACGCGAGCTGCGAATCGCCTCGGATCAGTGGAGGATCTGGCTGATGCTACGCTTCTGCTAGTATCAGAAAAGAGCCGGTGGATCACTGCACAGTTTATCTCGGTTAGCGGCGGAGTTACTGGGACTATGTAGCCTGGGGGTTAAGTTGGCGCGCCCACTTTGACTAAATCAATGTGGACTATTCATTTAGAATTCCGAAAATCGCGTGCCCTTCTCAGGGGCCGCAGGTATCCTTCATGCTAGCTATAAATATATGAACCAACAGGCAAAGAGACAGAAGGCAAAGGAGTGACTAGGCATTCCTGACATGCTCCCGGTTAACTGATCACACCAGTACAACACCTACCACTTTCGCCATGACATCGAATTTCATATCCATCGAATAACCGACTCCCAGCTCTCGACGGACAATAAGGTGCTCCGCTGTGGTTTCATGCGGTTCCAACTCAAAGCGCCGCAAAACATGAGCCAAAGTCATGTAGATCTCCGCATAGGCAAGGCTAGTATTTTGTATTAGCAAAGGTAATTGTTTCATCGAGTAGATGTGCTCAAAATTGCTTACTTCATACCCAAGCATTGCTTGGCACCCTTGGTGAAAGCAACAATGTATCGGGTCAAATGTTCGCCCTTTTCTGCTGCCTGGACCCATCGCTCGGGATCGAATTTCTGGGGCTCGGGGAACAAAGTAGGATCCATGTGGACAAAATAATTTGATTGACTGACCGGGGTCTAAAAAGTGTCAGTAGATGAGTGGCCAAGACAATCAAGAGCTAGTACTTACACCGGCAGGAATGACCCAGTCCTTGTAGAGCATATTTTCAATCGGCGAGATACGACTCAAGCGTGCTGTCATACCGTGGCTTAGGCGCAGGCCCTCATTAACAACCCCAGTCTAGATATAATCAGCATATTTACGTGACTCTTAGTGCACAATACCCACAAGATAAGGAAGATGCTCCAACTCAGTCCATGTAGCCTTAGAAGTAGGCTTCTCCAAAACAGTCTTCAGCTCCTCTCTCAACTTATTCCCAATATTTTTATCGTTAATAACATGAAACATTGACACAGCAAGAGATCTAGCCGTAGTCTCGGTCCCCGCACCAAGAAGCAAAGCAGACTCATCAACCAATCGATCAACCGTCCTCTCATCCTCAGGCACATTCGGCGCAGTCAAGGCGTCAAAGATTGAATCTTTCGACTTCTCATCGCCCTCCTTCACCTCCGCGGACTTCTTCTTAAGTGCAGCAGTCGCCTGCTTACGCAGTTGAGCCTTGACTTCACATAAGTCACCCATCTGCGGCTGCACAAAGCGTACAACAGCCTGCGGGGCGTTCCGGAAGATAGTCACAAGAAATGGGAAGAACCGATTAACATGGAACATAAGCATGAGACCATTGACAGCGTCGACGAGGTCATTCCTCGTCGAACTCTTCGTGTCATCTAGATACCCATAGCTCCAGCCGTAGCAATACTGTGTAATCACATCAGCAGTGAGTGCACCAAAATCATGCTGGAGGTGAAGGACAGTTGAGTTTTCGTGGGCGGCTTGTAAGCGGTTGAGGAGCTGGTCAACCTTTGCCGATATATAGGGCGTTAGGCTTGTGACAGAGCGCTTGGAGAAGTAGTTCTGGATGAAACTTCGGCGGAATCGGTGGTGATCATGGTCTATTGTTCCGACAAGGGAATATGGTGCTCCGAACGAGACGGCATATTTCGGGTCTCTGTTGCGTTTACGAGAGCCACTGGCGTGGATGTCTTCGTAGTAATGCGAGTCTTTGATGTGCAGCTCTCGGGGACTTATGCGGACAATGGGACCTGGGAGGATCAGCGGGGCCGGACGAAGTTTGCGGAATTTGGTTGGAGATTGATTCGTGGCATTGGTTATGGGAGGACCTGATGAGAGATAAGAGTACATACCATATTTTTCATGCATTCGCTCTATTTCCCATAGGTACATGCCACGTTTGACGACATCGTAGTAGAATTCGTAGATGGAAGTCACGGCGGCTAGTTTGGGGCCGGGGAATCCTGACAATGGATGGACGTACAGACGATAGATGGCTTTGCAGATGGCTAGCAAGCTCAATAGGGCTGCAGCAATGACGGGGTAAGAAAGGACAAAGTCCATTGCAAAGGTACGGGCCGGGTAGTATTTCGGATCAAAACATCACATAGGAAGAGAAAAGTGACGCAAGATCGATGGGAGAGGGGAATCAACATAAATGGCGCACAGAGTTGAAATCAACTAATAGCACAAATTACAATTGACAAGGATATCTCATGTCGTTTCCACCAACAGCTGAAATTCGTGAATTCTTTGTCGTGACTGGCCGCTCAACAATTAATGCACCTAAGTGCAGCAAGCCACGCTATACGACCCATATCACAGGATGCAATAGTGCATTGGTGTGATAAAGCTAGGCGTGGACACGTCCTGCATGACTGGATCTCATGCAATCTGCGCTTGAGAATCGGACCAGTTAGCGTTCAAGAGACGAACTACTACTTACCCTGGGTCTTGCCTAGATGGGAAAGATGGTGACGCTAGGGCCGGACCTTCCTGCGGGCCGAATCGCGTTAAAAAAGAACAAATCACAATAATGATAATCAAGGCATTGTTCGAACAAAAAGAACAAAAAGAAAAGAAAGAAAAAAGAAATGGGATAGCCTGTGGACTATCTGGGAATCGAACCCAGGACCTCTCGCAGCTTCAAATGCGAAGCGAGCGCACTACCAACTGTGCTAACAGCCCAGATGATGTAATCCCGCTCAAATGAGTGGACTATAATCACACCAAATTAAGACCTGATACTTAAAACTGGAGTATCACAAAAGATGGGGAAAACAAATAGCCGCATGCATTGGACCCGCGTAAGTTAAAATCCCGAGAAAGTCTGGGGATCGACACCTGGGAAAGAGTGAAAATTGACAGAATCATCATGGAGTAATCTTAGTAATATATCGGTCAAATTCAAGTTCTCATATTCTTATAAACCGGATTCTAGATCGTACAGAATAAAGGGCTTGTGGCAAAATTGCTACGTGACATGGTTGCGGCTCATCGAGGCATATAGCCGAATCAACTCAACTCGGCTATGGAGATCAAGATTCAAGGAAATTGGATTACTGCATTCCTGGAAGAAAAATGTCCACACTTTACACCTATGAAAACATCCGTGATAGGGTCGGTAAATAAAAGTAAGATAAGAAACAAGGAAATAGAAAGACAAATAAAAAAGCGGCTGGCACATAGGAAAGGACTTCCAACTCCGTTTTTATATCCACAATTTAAGCGGCCAGGATCTTCTTGGTCTCAGCGATGGCACGACCGGGGTTAAGGCCCTTGGGGCAGGTTCGTGTGCAGTTGAGAATGGTGTGGCAACGGTAGACACTCATGCTGTTGTCGAGGGCGGCCTTGCGCTCGGCGGTCTTCTCGTCACGCGAGTCGATCAACCAACGGTAAGACTGGAGGAGAATGGCAGGACCAAGGTACTCCTCGCTGTTCCACCAGTAGGAGGGGCAGGAGGTAGAGCAGCAGGCGCACAGAATACATTCGTAAAGACCGTCGAGCTTCTTGCGGTCCTCGGGGCTTTGGCGGTTCTCAAGACCCTGTTTGTTCACTGTTAGTAAACATGCGCCTTACAAAGGACTGGGTGGCAATTGGAATATCGGTATCACTCACATCGGCAGTGGGGGTATCATTCTGCAGGTAGGGCTTGATAGACTTGTATTGCTTGTAGAACAGGGTAAGATCGGGAACAAGATCCTTGACGACGTAGGTGTGAGGCAACGGGTAGATGCGAGATTCTGAGGCAGTGTCGGTAGGAATACGGCCTGTTCGATGATCAGTAACTGCTGGACGCATTTGATGGAGGCCTCCATGTGGCGAGACCAGAGCGGAGGCGTGGGGACCACGTACACAAGCAAGCCAGGGTGTTAACACCGTCGATGTTCATGGCGCAAGAACCACAGATACCCTCACGGCAAGAGCGGCGGAAAGTCAGAGTAGGATCGATTTCGTTCTTAATGCGGATGAGAGCGTCGAGCATCATGGGGCCGGTCTTCTTCAGGTCGAGCTGGTAGCTCTCCATGGTGGGCTTCTCGCTCGGGGTGTCCGGGTTCCAACGGTAGACCTTGAAGGTCTTCATGGAAGGGTTCTCGGAGGGGATGGGGTCGACATTCTTGGTCGCCTCGACGGTGGCATAGGAGCGAGCAAAAGCGGCGGGCCGGAACAGCGGGCGCGACGCAGCGAAGAGTCGCGATGTGGTGCGGAGGGAGGCCATGGCGAAGGTGACAAAACTCCAGAGGTGATGGGTCAATGGAGTAGCAACACGCGGGGATTATTCCGTGGAGAGGAGAGGGTCAAGATGGAACGAGCCGTCGTTGAGGATCACCAACAAACCAAGACGAACAAATTGAGGTCAAGGAGTCCTGTCAGTAACCTCGGGTTTGAGAATCGGTAAAAAGCTGAGTCAGCGGGCTCGGACCAATCACGGCGGGGCTAATTGTCAAGAAATCGGGCGGACACGGCTTTTGCTTTGATGTGCGTCTGCTCTGGGGAGTTGTCTACTGCCGCTCGGTTGCCGGGTGACGATGGTATTGGAATTAAGCATAGACGCGATTGATAATGAACCACCGGATTGATATGATTGATTACCCAATTGATATGGAATGTCTTTCCTCTATAAGAGTTCCTCAATTGGTCTGGGTGGAACAATCCGGAGATTGACACCTCAGGCTTCAAGGCATCGACGTTCCCGGGTCGGTTGCCGAGTATTTAACGGCTTGCCAGCTCGGCTCAGCCTCGGTGCTATATGTGCTGACCTACTCACATGCCGCCAATGGACAGATGCCTCATCCAACCATCTCCATGGATTTCATTCAAACTTTGATACACCACTAACCACGATTTGCATAGTTCTGATGCCACTCATAGTCTTGATTCTCCCTTAAAAACGCGCGAATGGCCTCTCGGGCCGGCGTCGGCTCTCTCTCCAATAAATCCGCCATCAGCGATACAGTAACTCCAGCATCCCCCTTCTCGATCGCATCATACCACGTCACCAACTTCTGAAAGAAGGCCTTTGGCTTCCCTCCGATATCCTCAGCTGTCTTGATCCTCACAAACTCCTCGGGCGAGACTAGCTTTACCTGAACCTGTCGGCCAGTGGTCTCATTGATCACGTCGACTATTTCAGCGAAAGACACCGTTTCTTGTGCAGTGAGGAGCACAATCTCTCTATCATGGCCACCTCGAACCATCAGTCGAGCAGTCGCCTCGCCCAGCTCCGCCCGTAGCGTAAATGCGACCGGGCCGTCGGATGTCAGATATACCTTTTCGGTACTGGGGTACCAGCCCATGAAGACCGGGAACGCATCAGCATATATACCTTCGCGGATTGATGTAAAGTTGATGTCAGCGCTAGGATTCGAATTAGTTACACAAGTTTCCGGCGATCCCTGGATAGTCTGGCTTACTTTCGCAGCATCTCCTCCGTGATCAAATGGGCTTGTTGCACATCTGCTTTGGAGTCGGACTGGAATCCACCAAAGGCGAGAGATGTATACCACACCTGTTGACGGTCAATATACTGGTGTTTTGGATATGGAGTCATAGGCGTACATGTTTAACGTTCATCTCTTTCGCTGTGTCGACGAAGCGCTGGTGTTGTTTCTCTCGCTTCTCGACGTCGAACGTGTTGGTGCTCACGAAAAACAGATTTTCGACATCTTTGAACGCTTTCTTCATCGACGAAGCATCGTCGTAGTTCACTAACCGGAAGGCGATGCCTTGGTCTTCAAATCGCTTGCGGTTGGCTTCGCTCGAGGAGGCAGCGGCGTATTCTGATGCAGGAACATTGGCAACAAGGTAGGACAGTACCTGTGCGCCTAGACCTCCCGTGGCCCCGGTTATGAGATACTTGAGTGTCATGGTTCGGTAAAGAGTATATATATAGGTAGCGGGTTGAAGTTGCAGGGATAAATGAATAGGACCGACTGACTGAGCACTTTACAATTGAAAATGTACGAAATCCAGAATAGGTTATGAACTCAATTGCTGGGTCATTGTATATATATTTCTTCGGCCAATGCTTGTGAAAGGTGTAGAATTATCAGGAATGATTCGTGGGGTCTGTGCTACCATTTCGTGGTTTGTCAAACAAATGATTGTTAATCAACATTCTCGGTCCAAATTAAAGTGTAGTCAACACGAGAATCATGCAATTAACATAGCTAGTCCCTATTCGGTGCTGGATAGAGCCGAAAGGCCGAAGGTTAGCTTGATGGGGTTCCTGCATGAAAGTGGCCTAGAATTACACTAATTGCCCAAGCGATGCGGGGAAGCTTGAACCCACAAGGCAACGTTGGCTCCAAAATATATATCAATTATGATAGGTACGACCCAGAACAAAAACCCCCCAAAAAAATAAAATCCGGAAACAAGAATTTGATTATTATAAAAAGGAAGAGTTTTTGTTGTATTAGTTTATAATCTATATTAGACAGATTCTATGTTCTATGTCTCATGCACATGTGTCTCATGGGTAGAAGGCACCGAAGACTGCGGCGACGGCGATCTCTCCTCTCCACGAGTAATATTAACCTCATTAGTCACACGGATACCAGGAGTCTTCGTAGACTTCGACAGCTCCCGAGTGACAGAAACCTCCGACGGCATCATTTCATAATCATCCTTGCCGATTTTCGACCAATTAAGCAACCGTTTATCATCACGGACAGACGAGCCCAATGCACTCGTAGGCTTAGACTGACTCCGCAGTCTGTTTCCGGCAGACCGGGACTGGGACCGAGTGCGACTTCCAGTGTACTCAGTCAGACGAGAGAACATGTTTCCAAAGACGGGTTTCAGGGCGGGCACTGAAAGCGCAAGTAATGTGCCTGCGATTTCGGCGTTCTCGACACATAGCATGGGGTTGTAAGCCCAGCTACCATCGGAGGCCCACTGGCCCTTTACGACTAGCCAGACACGGACGGCGGAAATGACAATCACGCTGTGGGGCTGTTAGCTGGATAACGGAAGATTGGGAGGCGGGGGACTGACAAGACACCGGGGAACATGACAAAGGAGAGCTTGATCTTCTTATTCAAGGAAATGTGGAGTTGCTTGATGAGAAGCGCGGGGATGATGAACATCAGGACATCGCAGGCTAGCGAGAGGCCTGAGTTGACAGAGTAGACCAGACCCCAGGAGAGACACTTGTAATCATCGACACCTGGTTGCCAGGCATACGGCCACAACCCGGTGACGGGTTTGCAGTGGAAGATCAGAAGAAAGAGCTGGGGGAGGTATGCAGCGAAGAGGAAGGGTCCAGCGAAGAGAATAGCTTTGTGCAGCCGGCCCGTGCGTGCGGTAAGTCGGTGATAGAAGGCAAGACCGGACAGTCGACATAGGAAAAGAGCGGTTGTATAGAGAATGTGTGCAGTGAAGTCCAACACTTCGGTTTCACGGACGGTTGCTAACGATAGGACATATTCGATATACTCGATGTGACGACCACTTCCCAAGTTGATCAGGACAACGGAGAGAACCACAAAACTGATGTAGATCATCTAATCAAGATCTAGTTAGTTTCATGACTATTGCGAGGCCTCAAATTGAAAAATGCGTTGAATATGCAGAAGATTGATAAGAATATATTTAGAAGAGTACATACCCATGTCAAAATGGTTAACCAATCGTCCAGACCAACTTTCTTGATGAGGAAAACTCGAGCATAGAGACGCAAAATTGTCAGAATGCCGGTGAAACAGACCATGAACAAGATGCCCACGATGGCCGAATGATCGCGAGACTCCGCAAGGTATGTGAGGGAGATCCCATCAGGGATTCTCCCCGCCTTGTCTGCGGCGAGGATGTCGGCGGGAATTGTCATTGTAGATTCAATGAAACAATAAAATGACGGACACCACCTAGCAGGACATACTGAGTATAGCAAAAGTACTTTGGGGAGGGTCGACTATAATGAACGAATGACTGGAGCAAAAAGATTGAGCCGCCCTCTGCAAAGGAAAGAGAACGCGCTAGCGTGGGCTATTTGTTCAATAGATCCTGGCCACAATGATCGGAGCAGCCAACGAGAGGATGTACCAGCAAGCCATCGCCGGAGTCGACCAGATGAAGAAAAAAATTAGTGGAGTCAGAATAGATTTGTCCTCGGTCCAATTACATCCGGTCATGCCATTGTGCCATTGTGCGGTCCAATTACATCCGGTCATGCCACTGTGCGAAGGGGCAAATCCACACTGATTCATGCTTTGAAGAGAAAAAAAAGTTTAGATTCCACCGATCAAAGTTCATTATAGTGTATAGGGAAAGTCAAAAGTCAAAAGTCAAAAGTCAGACGTCAGACGTCAGACGTCAGTATCCGATTTACCAGCTTAAAAAAAGCCAAAGATATCAAAAGATCAGCATAAACACCAGTCCATGCGTCTAATCTACATAGACTTGCAGGAAGCGATCCCCAGCTGGTGCTAGGTGGAAAAGAATCCCAGTGAGGCATTTTCCGGCGAGTATCAGGGCCCATCAGGTGAAACATAGGCCTATCAATTAAATTGCTTGCGTAAGAGGAAGGTCGCTAGAACCATTCATCTGCAACCCAAGATGCTTGGTAGAAGTCCCTGCATCCACTTTGTGGGTCTAGATCGAGGGAAGACTGGTAAGCGATCTAGAAACCGGGCGAAATCCGGCTCCGACCGTGGGTGACATGCCATGCAAACTCTTCGGTTCTGATCGAACTAACACAATTAGGCAGGTCCAAACTTTGCCCTGCCGAAACGTACACACTAGCAGCGGCTATAATTGCCAGGAGCAATATATATTCGGCGCACATGGCAAACTAGGCGTAGTTGAGGTGTTTTCGTTGGTAGATAATAGCGCTCAGGCGCAACTTAATGCGCGCCCGTGCTTCTTTGCCGACGTTCCATCCCTTCCGGCAACTAGTAAACCAGGTATTGACTGGGAGAAAACATTCTCCTGCTGTGGAGTCGCGTGTGCGTTAGTCAACATGGGCCCATAACCCTTTCCGCGTGGTCCCCCCCAGTGGTTTGTATATGAAAATACAAGCTCCCCCAGAGATCGTCGCTTTCTCTTGCCACATGGTTTTCTGTGGAGTTTGATCTTGACCGTTTGACATATACACCATGTCGGTTTTGCTGCACGCGCTCGTGAGCGGCTTGGCCTTGGCCGGCTCCGCTGTTGCCACCACCCAGGAGGTCGACACTCTCGTCGCGTCCCAGATCCTCACTGATCCCTATGCCTATGACTTCCCTCGTCTGGGTGCCAATGGATCCTCCCTGTTCCCCATGCGCACCTGCCATGGGTTTCAGCTTGAGGAGGCCAGTGTGGACGATATTCAGAAGCGTCTGAGCAACGGTACCTTCACCAGTGTTCAATTGCTGGAGTGCTACCTCAACCGTATCTCCCAGACCCAGCCTTACCTCAAGTACGACCCCCCCCTTGATTGCAACCCGGTCCGTTCTCGTGCTAATTATTTTCCAGTGCTATTCTGCAGCACAACCCTGATGCATTCTCTATTGCTCAGAAGCTGGATGATGAGCGTGCCAAGGGCAAGGTCCGTGGCCCTCTGCACGGTATTCCTTTCATTGTCAAGGACAACATCGCCTCCAAGGACCGTATGGAGACCACTGCTGGTTGCTGGGCTCTGCTCGGTAGCGTTGTGCCCCGTGACTCCTTTGTTGTCCACGGTATGCGTAAGGCCGGTGCTCTGCTCCTGGGTAAGGGTGCCCTGAGCGAGTGGGCTGATATGCGCTCCAACAACTACTCTGAGGGTTTCAGTGCCCGTGGTGGCCAGTGCCGCAGTGCCTACAACTTCACCGTTAACCCCGGTGGTAGCAGCACTGGTCCCGGTGTCGCCGTCGGTGCCAACCTGATCCCGATTGCCCTCGGTACTGAGACCGATGGCAGTGTCATCAACCCCGCCCAGCGTAATGCTATCGTTGGTATCAAGCCTACCGTTGGTCTGACTTCCCGTGATGGTGTTATCCCCGAGTCTCTGCACCAGGATACCATTGGTACCTTCGGTAAGACCGTCCGTGATGCCGTCTACGCCCTGGATGCTATCTACGGTGTTGATACCCGCGACAACTACACCCTTGCTCAGGTTGGCAAGGTCCCTGCCAATGGCTACACCCAGTTCCTAGCTAAGAAAGATGCTCTCAAGGGCGCCGTCTTTGGTCTGCCCTGGAAGTCCTTCTGGGCTCTTAATGACCCTGTCCAGCTCGCTCAGCTCGAGGAGCTCCTTGATCTGATCAAGGCTGCTGGTGCCACCATCATCAACGGTACCGAGCTGCCCCACTACAAGACCATCGTTTCCCCTGACGGCTGGAACTGGGATTACGGTACCGACCGTGGTTACCCCAACGAGTCCGAGTACTCCTACGTCAAGGTCGACTTCTACAACAACCTGAAGACCTACCTTGCCGACCTGAACAACACCGACATCCGTTCCGTTGAGGACCTTGTCCAGAACAACATCGACAACTACGGCTCCGAGGGTGGTTACCCCAGCATCCACCCCGCCTTCGGCTCCGGCCAGGATGGTCTCATTGCCTCCATGGAGAGCAAGGGTGTCATGAACTCCACCTACTGGGAGGCTCTCGCTTTCTGCCAGCGCACCACCCGTGAGGAAGGTATTGACGCTGCCCTGAAGTGGCAGAACGGTACTCTGGATGGTCTCCTTGTGCCCCCTGATGTCGCTCAGAGCATTCAGATCGCCGCCCAGGCCGGTTACCCCGTTATCACTGTGCCGGCTGGTACCGAGGAGGTGTCTGGCATGCCTTACGGTCTTGCCATCATGAACACTGCCTTCTCCGAGCCCACTCTGATCAAGTACGCCAGTGCCATCGAGGATCTCCAGAAGACCTCCGGCACCAAGTGGCAGCGCACTCTTCCCAAGTGGCGCGGCTACCTTGAGCGCAACCTGCCCGTGATATAAGATTGCATATTTGCATAAATTAATTTTGATAGACGTGAGACTTACATCTCCTGTACACCTGTACACCTGCATCATGTATGAATAGCGGATTATTAATGGATGATTTGTTGCGGTATTCGCGGAATATACCTTTTACGTAGACCGTAGACCGGAGTCACGCTAGATATGGAAGAGAGAGAGAAAATGAACTTCCGGTCGGCCATCCAAATAACCAATAATTTGACAAGCTAATCAAGCCAGACTTTGTTGGGAATCTAAGTCCGGTATCAGCCATTCCTGCAATCTAGCCTTATAGTGCATCACTAGCCCAGCCTAGCGCCTTCAGTGGCCATGTGCTTTGCAATGGCTGAGAAATCAATCTAAATCCTCTTGCCACTAAGCTCGGTCACCAATGCCGATATTGATAGTGGAGCACCAAGCCTTTCTAGAACTAAGCATTATATTAACGTCCAATGGACAATTTCCGACTCCTCCTTATGATGCTATCTGGAGCCTCTTGTGGAGTCCCCTACAAAAAAAGAAAGTGGATAACTCTGCAGATCAGGTATATCATCCGACGATCATGACTGTGATCGTCGAGAGGTCAGGGCCATCCGCTCGTACCAGTACACGGGCTGATCTTATTGACGCAAAAATATGAGTTCGCAACCCCATGATCGGCGACCCTTTGAGTTTCGGAAGAACTTCCAAGGGGTTTTGTTTCAACCGGCAGTTGGATGTTGGGTGAACGGAGAAGTCAACTTGAGTTAGGACCAGTCTCCGCTGTATCGTAAAGTGGACAACTTCACAGCCAAGAGCCAAGACGGAAGAATTTGTTTTATCAGTGAGACATGCCAGGCTTAGCTATGCCTCATGTCGCCCCCCCTAGTAGCCTTTAGTAGCTTTCTAAAGCTTGGAAAAACCATTCACCATAGTCAACGGACACCCTCGGAACACCGTATCCAAGCGCCCTGAAATTACAAGGATAGGGTTGAGTCCGGAGAATCGTCCTCACCGAGTATAGCGTCCCGACAGATTACTCAATGGAGCTTATTGTGGGGCCAGGAACGACTTAAAGCAACAACGTGAAACATTATCATGCACCGAGCTAATCCTCTTGGTAGTTTTTTTTGCACACTTTAATTAATTTTAGTTTAGTCTCCGACTCTCACATCCCCACCTTGTGATTGGTGCTTCAACACGGCGAAATCATTCCATCGGGATATCGTCCTGCCCTGGATGTTTTTCCTGACTCCGCATAATGTGGAAACATTATACCCCTGTAATTCAGTCATCTGGGCCAAATGCCTAGTTCTGATTCGTCGGGAAATCGCCATGTGTGGCCGGTGACAGTTGGGAGATTCATGCAGGACGCGTTGATGGATCAAGCCACGCTAAGTGGAGTCAGAAGAACTTGAATCTTCCATTGCTTCCGAAGTATGTGCGATGAGACTTGCGAGTCAGTTGTTTCCAATGTCTATATAAGTTGTTTGACACACCCCCTGCATAGTATTTTTTTTTCTACACAATTGTCACTCTTTCCATTCTTTTTTTTATCATTCTTTCGTTCAATATGAAGTATACCGCTCTTTTGGCGGCTTTTGCTGCCCACGCTGCTGCTGTCAGTGTTTCCGGCTCCGCTGAGGGTTTCGCCGAGGGAACCACTGGTGGTGGTGATGCTACTGCTGTTTACCCGACTACCACTGACGAGCTGGTCTCGTACCTTGGTGACTCGGAGGCTCGCGTGATTGTTCTTACTAAGACTTTCGATTTCACTGGTACTGAGGGTACCACTACCTCCACTGGTTGTGCTCCTTGGGGTACTGCTTCTGGCTGCCAGGTTGCTATCAACCAGGATGACTGGTGTACCAACTACGAGCCCGATGCTCCCAGCGTTTCCGTTACCTAGTATGTGTTGGATCCTGAACCAGTGGCTGGACTGCATTGCTAATTGTTTATAGCGACAACGCTGGTATCCTGGGTATCACTGTTGCCTCCGACAAGACCCTTCTTGGTGAGGGCACTGCCGGTATCATCAAGGGTCGTGGTCTCCGTATTGTCAGCGGTGCTGAGAACATTATCATCCAGTACGTGATGAGCTTCCTTAGCCCATAAAATCCACTTGACTAATCAGTTATACAGGAACATTGCTGTTACTGACATCAACGCCGAGTACGTCTGGGGTGGTGACGCCATCACCATCGACGAGGCCGATCTGATCTGGATTGACCACGTTACCGTAAGTCCAAGTCCCTTATACCACAACCTTAAAAACAAGCATCCATCTAACAGTCCCAGACTGCCCGTATCGGTCGCCAGCACTACGTCCTCGGTACCTCCGCCGACAACCGCATCAGTTTGACCAACAACTACATCAACGGTGTTACTGACTACTCCGCAACCTGTGACGGCTACACCTACTGGGGTATCTACCTCGATGGTGACTCCGACCTCGTCACCCTGAAGGGCAACTACATCTACCACACGAGCGGACGTAGCCCCAAGGTCCAGGGTAACACTCTCCTGCACGCCGTCAACAACTACTGGTACGACAACTCCGGCCACGCATTCGAGATCGGTTCCGGTGGTTACGTCCTCGCCGAGGGCAACGTTTTCCAGAACATCGATACTGTTGTTGAGTCTCCCATTGATGGAGAGCTGTTCACTTCTCCTAGCACTAGCGTTAACGAGATTTGCGCCACCTACCTCGGACGTGATTGCGAGATCAACGGATTTGGATCGTCCGGTACTTTCAGCCAGGCTGATGAGGGTTTCCTGTCTGACTTTGAGGGCAAGAACATTGCTTCTGCTACTGCCTACACTGAGGTTGTGGCCAATGTTGAGGCCAATGCTGGTCAGGGTAACCTGTAAACAACCAACTTTGGTTGTTTGAGGCTTTGGCATCTATCTGTGGAGGATGAAGTCGAAGTGGAGTGAGATGTGAGATAGTGGTGCTTGTATTGTAGGGACTTTTCCATTCTTTAATCCAATCTTTATTATCAAATTTGCGAAGATGCAGTGCAAATAAATAGTTCCTTTCATTGGTAATGGGATAATTAAGCTAGTGCTCGACTGGGGCTCGGCTCCTGTTCAGGTACAAGTATCCACTAATGATAACATGCAACTAGACCAGCCAATCATACTTCGATCCAATCAATCAACAATAATGAGTCCAGGTCCCGCAAGCGTCCACTTGGCAACTGAGTTCGCGTTATCAAACGGACCATCACTCGTGGTCACAGCGGCAATGGTGAATCCATTCAATTCGTGGTCGTCATACGGGAACAGTGCGGTTGCTTCAATTAGAGAGCCGTTCTTCGAAACGACATGCAAAGGTTCAACAACCGGCAAGTTCAATTGGTTGATGTACGTTATCCATAAAAGGTGCTCGGCCTCGTTGTCTTTATCCTCAAAAGCAAAAGTGAGATTTTGCGACTCGGTCTTCGGCTTCGTGAGAATTTTCAAGTCCTCAAATGTACGCAGTGGGATCTCATCGATATTGGGACAGCTACCGGGCACGGTGAAGCCCTGCACAGCGGTGAATGCGAAGTTGAGATCCGAGGTCGTGGGGAAAGAAAGTTCACTAGGAATACGAGCCTGCATGACCCGGAACCAGCCTTGCTGTTCACCCTCATTGCCAATAACGGAAGCGATCTCACGAGCAAGATCGACATCCTGACCTATGGCAAAACGCTCGACCGCATCTTGCAGCGTACCGAGAACCAGGTCTGTGAAGGTAGAGGCGAGCGCGATGGCGGAGTCAAAATCTTGAACAGGAAAAACGTAATCGCACGGCTCGATAGGCTTTTGATTGAAGTGAACGAGAGCATTGTTCGCACGAATTGCATGAAGCTCTTCTTGCTGTGGATTGGGTAATCAGCACCGGTGACATACACATCTTGTGCGAACATGCTTACTGCCAGAATGGCTCTCAAGGCTGCGGTTACGAAGTCACGATCCCCCGTATCAGTGAAGCGGTAGCCGTCGACATTTTCGGTGATGTTCAAGAGGAGTTCGTGGAAGTAAGCCACTTCAAAGAGCTCGTTGAATGCGATCAGCTGGAGGTTGGTGATACCTTTGTTACTGATGACAGCTGGGGGTGGGCCATTTGGGAGTGTGCCATGAGCGGCTTGCTCGATGAGCGACAACTCGCTTGGGCTTGGGTAGGGCATGCCATCGGGGAGCTCATGTTGGATTGCTCGTGGAGCTTTTGCGGGAGCTGCAGAGACGGACGAAGCTACACCAAGTAGCGCAATGACGGGGAGTAAAAGACGCATGGTGATAGCGGAGAGAAAGGGGGAGATAAAAAGTAAAGCACCGGAGCAGCTAATCTGTACCGGATATCCCAAGTGTGAATAATGGGTGGGTGACTTGGAGAGATAAGAGTACAAGGCGAACTTCAGAAGTGGACGGACACTTCAGACCAGGTCAGGAAGGAGCATCGGGGGAAAGAGCATCTTGAGCCATGGGTATGCAGAGTCAATAAATAGTGACTCATGGTGTTGTACAATGTGACCTGTGCAATGATGGGCTAATTTTAGTTTAAGAATTGTGTAGCCAGACTGTACAGTCATCGGCCCTCCACCATTTTTCCGTTATTCAGCTCCATCAACATCGGGGGTAGATTCGAGCGCAAGGACAGGCTCGGGCTCCGGGACAGGGACAAATTCTGGCGCAGGGGAATCGTCAGCTTCATGGCCCGGGGCAGATTTGGGTGCGGAGGCAGAGTCGGTTTCAGGGCCAGGCGTAGGCTGTTAAGTAGACTGAGGGCCCTGAGCAGGATCGGGCTCAAGCGCGGGGACAGACAGGGGCGCGGGGGCAGAGTCGGCTTCGGGTCCGGGAGTAGACTGATCACTTCTTGCTTCATCGCGGCGTTGTTGCCACCCCCTGTGGCGTGCTCGTTTTCCCTCTCCAGAAGGCGCTTCGACATCGGGAGAATCTCCCTCTTCCCCGAGGCTTTCAGGGCATTCTCCGCTTGCTTTCATCACTTGTTAGCACACAGTTCAAACCTCATTTCAAGGAGAACAAACGATCTTCGCGACCGCCAGCTCACCTATCATTTGCATGGCCATTGACATATCAATGCGGGCTTGAGCCTAGCATGACGAGATGTCATGGCCGGATTTATCACATCGGGTACACCACTGTTCGTTGCTGGTCAGCATCAGGCATCATGATATTCACATCAGATCATTATGTATATTATTATGTATGTTATCATGTATGTTATCATCTCTGGCCCTTGACATCCATGGCATGATGTAAATCATGAACCCATACCATAAGCAAGATCATTACGTTTAATATATCAGAGCAGTTTATAGTGAACTTTTCGTGACGTAACTTACATGATGAATTATATGATGAATAAAAAAGATTCAATATGCATGGCTACGCAGAAGGAGTCTGTGTGTAGTGGTGGTAAGTATGATGCTATTCTCGGTGGATATACAGATCTTTATGGCATCGTCTGTGCAGGCAGGAGACAAACTAAGCCTATTCAGTAACCATTATGTGACGGAGATATACTTTAGGAATCTTACTAAATAACCTCAACCTACTCGATTTTCTTTCTCTTAGTATACCATCTATTGATCTTCTGATGAGCTGAGAGTGTTTTCAAGCTCATGATGCTGCCCCTATATATTCAGCTAATTGATCGTTACGGTCGCCTGGAAGATATTCGTGAATCGCTTTGGAACTTAAGAGTTGAAGCAGTACCTTCTGAGATGATTGAGCGACTCAGTATCGACTTCTGCTCCTTGGATGTCAACGCTGGGACTGCTACTGCTGCTGACATGGACACTCTTTACTTTCTTCCTCGCTGATCATTTCCAAGTTGTCGCGATTTTAAATCAGATGGGCTGGAGGACCCAATGATTAGCGAGGGACGAAACCGTGATTCGAGCATGGAGTACGACTTTTCTCTTATTAAAGTATGGTTCCCGACGTGCGTAAGGTTAACACCAAGATTCTACGCTACTGAGCTAAAGAGGAATCTATATGACCGTATCATGGGTAAACAGTAAGTCGATCTTAATAGTTAGCCCGAAGCCGCTGTCCCCTTTATATCTAATGAGCAATTAACTACTCTAGAGAAAGGCGCTATGGCTGGCTAGTAGAGGAGTAAGTTTATACTTTATTATGGATGAAATCGAATGCTAAGGCTTATTTAAGCTACCTTGGAGGACAAATTAGAAAAAGGCACACTGATTTCTTCTCACGCGGGATAAGATACATGGCTGATAACCTAGCCCTTAATGAGGGCGTTAAGAGCAATGTCAACCAAGCCACTCCTTCTAGCTTAGTCCACGATACAGCAAGTGATAGCACGCTATCTTCACAGTCTCCAAGTCATGGAATGACCGATATTTATGTTCACGATTGCCATAAAGGAATACCTTCAATCAGCGAAGTAGTCGCAGTTATTGATGAGATCCTAGATTCAATGAGGGCACAAAGAAAAAGACTACACGCCATGCCTCATGGGGAAAGCCCGACAATATTCCACCATATATTACCGGTTTGTAGTGTTTATATATATTTTGCCAACAGTTTTTACTAATATTTGAGTCTAGAGGCTGATCCAAATACTCGATGACAATGGGCATTGGCGCCTACTTCATGCCTACTTTGATGGAATCAAGTTGAAGGTGCATTTCACCGGACTAGTGGACTTCGCACCTTTCGCAGTCAGGTCGCCACCAGAGGTGGACTATCTTGACCTTATCGACTCATCTCAATATCATGACAAGCTTGATCAAATGATGAAATGGGCTTGGCCGGTTATACAAGGCTACACTGGGAAAGAAGGCCTGAAGGAGGAAAGGACAGAAGACGGCTTGGAAGAGAAAAGTAAATAAACATAGGACGCGTTGAGATGATGGAGGTCCTACCTCGCTTGTCCGTATTTGGTACTTTTGAATCCAATTTTCAACTTCAATTCAGGTGAAAGAAACTAGCTATTCATAAACCACATCCACGTCCACGGATATCATGATTCAAATCTTCAATACATCCCACAAATGAGCATTTGCTGTACCACCTGCTCGCTTTTTGAACCGCAGCAGATTTGACTTACGTGGAATCGCCGTGCAAGAAATACTGATATGTAGCTCGGAAGCTGCCACACTGTTAGTGTGTATCGTCAATGGTATTGAAGATTTATCGGGCTCTTGACCACTACCTTCATCCATACCCCACCCCGCTTTGTGGATCGAGGACCAGCACCTATAGGCCGAGTGGATGCCCTACTGCAGCTCTGTATGAGGAAAGCAAACCATAGGTTGGGACTATCAGTATATCCAATGACGCGTGCACTCTTATGGACAGTGTGGCCGTATTTTACCAGCAGATGTGGTGATATACAGACTCACTTCTAAATCTAGACTTTAGAGCTCACTTTTGATCCTGATACTGAATTCGTAGTGATTTAGTACAGTCAACTCTCACCCTTAGCACTCCCGCTCTTAGCACACTCCCGCCCTTAGCACACTCTCACCCTTAGCACTCCCGCTCTTAGCACACTCCCGCCCTTAGCACACTCTCACCCTTAGCACACTCTCACCCTTAGCACACCCGCTCTTAGCACACTCCCGCCCTTAGCACACTCCCGCCCTTAGCACACTCCCGCCCGTAGCACACTCCCGCCCTTAGCACACTCCCGCCCTTAGCACACTCCCGCCCTTAGCACACTCCCGCCCTTAGCACACTCCCGCCCTTAGCACACTCCCGCCCTTAGCACACTCCCGCCCTTAGCACACTCCCGCTCATAGCACATAAGTTGCTTGGATGGACCCACATTTTCTAGATTTTACATACAAAACTTCCGCTTTTAGCACACTCACTCTTTGCACACCTTTTTTTGCTGAGGAATTTGCTTAATCAGTACCACTAACCAATTAGAATGCCTAAAAACTATACTTTCCCCACCCCTACAAGACCGGTCACCCAGTGTCCAAGCCCATATTAAGTGATGAGACCCAACTTTAGACAATCAAGCAATGAGAAGCTTGGTTATGATGATGTTTCACTATTTGATTAATTCTTGGATCTAATAGAAGAAATCATTGTACTGTATAAACTCAAATCACGTTGCCGACGTATTCAAAACACTAAAAAGTACACACACCGAGCCATATACACCCACAAACTCCCCTATTTGTACAAACCCACTCTTGACCAGGACATTAATACTGGCTTTATTCGCCTTCCTTGCAATCGCAATCAACTCTGTCGTGGTACTTAGTGCTGTTGGAGCAAGAACTAGCTCATAAATCCGTGACCACTTCTTCACAAGCCCCTGTACGGCCTCAGTCGCATATCCCTTCCCCCAGAAGTCAGGGTGAAATGTATAGCCCAGTTCCCATCTAAGGTGTTCTGCACGTTGAATTCGCTCGAGCCCCACATAAAGTGATCCTACGATGCGCCTATCAGTAGAATCAGCACTGTATGTAGACAAAGGTGTATTGTAGAGATGGAAATAGAGCGATCTTAGATTGGAATATCTTACCCTTACCCTCCTTATCAGATACTGACATGGTGTGTGTATGTACTTCCCTCACCGCGTATGCGATCTTTAGATTCGAAGTTGAGAACGCCCGAATCCATTCCCTAGTATCTGAGATATCTATATCAGAGACTTTTTTGAAGCTATTTTTGAATCAGTAAATAACTTCCATTTCACTTGTTCAAGACATATCCAATCCTGTAGGAGACTGATCATACGTACCTATGCTTCATTGTCTCCTCTCTAGACCGGATATCGTACATTCCCTCCGCGTCGCTGTCTACGAGTGGACGAAGTTCGAGACGCTCAGTCCGGAAAACTAAGGGGGGAATTGGCTCCATTGCTAAAGAGAAAATAAGGTAAAATACAACGAGGTATGGTTGAGAAGCAAGTGCTTCAAATAAACAAAACCTTTGATATGGCAAAGATGAGTCATCTATATGCAATGAGTTATCTATATATAATGAGTCAGTTGCCTTTGATTAATAGGACTCAATTAGTGCTTCCGTCAAAATGACCAACCAATAGCCTGTTAATAATCAGGCTGAGTCATTTCTCCGCAGGTAAACAGAACGTACTAGCCATGGGGCAAGTCCGAATACCCAAAGTCTGTGTCATTCGCAATCAAGTGTAAAGTTCCTGGATCAATAATTTACTGCTTTGCAATTCTTTTCATCTCCGTTCTTCCCATCATGTGTGGACAGAAGATCTGGCTGTGCGCCGAAATCAAGCCTGCCGAGGCCCGGTCTGCCTAGGATCAGTAGGGACAGGAACGAAAGCCGGTATTAAGCTATGCTCTGCCTCGAAGCTATAGTATAGAAAAATCTGGGTTTCCCAGCTGCGAAAAAGATCTACTCGCGCGACCAGCCAGGGCTGGCTATGCGGGGGTGACGATCTCGGTGGGAAATTTACCAAGATTCTGGCGGTTGAAGAAGGGTAGGCAATACCATGCTGAATGCGACGTAGAAGAGCGATAGGAGATGGCAAGTGTGCAGCCAGATGATCAAAAATTCTCGTTTCATGTTGGTAGGTTTGAGGCTCCAGGGCTGCCATGGTGAATACGATTCTGGTTGATATACTGCGAAGCGATGAAATGCAAGTCAGGACTGGGATCCTTCGACTCGCAGATTTCTTTTTTTTTCTTTCCAATTTTAATATCTAACTAGCCAGTAAAATAGTCTACATGATCTCGGGTTATGAATGCTGATAAGGCATCTCAGACTAGCAGAAATAAGCGAGTGGCTGGAATTGGCTAAGCTGCAAAACCGCGTCATCGCCCCTTTTGTAGCTGGACAAGTGCGCCTCTCCATTCTGAATTCTACTTTTCCTGGTCTCCTCTGGCTCCTCGAAAAGACTTGTAATAGAGACTGGAAAATAGCTTGTCCTCGGGAATGTGAAGACCCACTACATGAATGTATTTCTGTCCGTACCAGAAACCACGCTAACCTGTATCAGGTTACTTTAAAACAGTAATAACAAGCTGTGTTACTTGAAAATTAAACTGGAGTTTTGTGTTTCAAGCCCTATAAGCAAACTTTTACTGTCTTGGTTTACTGAAATCATGAGGTACTGCGGTGCAGTACAACATCAAGATCGGATCTTCGGAACTACTTCAATACCTATGACAAGACTGAATTCATCACCTGACCGCATGTTTCCGACTTGAATGATTAGAGCCCTAGAATAGTTTCCAGGCAAGATCTAGTCTAGATTACTCTCTTAGAATTCGTAAATACTTCGTCGACAAATGCAGATAATGGAAATTGTCGAACATTTGATCTCTCACTGGATAGATTGTTGATTTGGTCTATTCGAGTTCAAGTGAGGTAAGTTAATCTACTCAATTGATTGGTCTAACTTAACCGCCAGCCTTGAGACTTCCCATAACAACCCGACCCAGCAAGTCTGAGACCAAAGCAATTCTTGAACTTTCACATTAGCTCCAATTTCCATTCAAGTAGGTCGATTTACCGCATGAATGCAGGACTAGAGACCACACATCTGCATAAATGCTTTGTCAGCGCGAACTGAGGAAGGGACAACAAACGCATGACATTCTAATCAAGTCTTGACACATTGTCACACAAACCACAAAAATGGCCTCTGATACACAGTACAAGCTCTCACCCGAGCAAGTTACCCACTTCATGCAGTATGGATACGTGCGCGTTCCAGAATGCTTTTCCCGCGACAAGGCAGCCGCATGGACCGCCGATGTGTGGACAAGACTCGGCTTCTCCCCGACAGACAAGGCAACCTGGAAAACCGAATGCACACATATGCCCGAGCACAAAGAAGTGTCCGTGAAGACGTTTGCGCCCAAAGCATGGTCTGCCATCTGTGAGCTACTTGGTGGCGAGAGTCGTATCGCCGAGCATTCGGCGACCTGGAATGATGCGTTTATTGTGAATCTTGGCACACCCGAGATGGAAGGAAAGTGGCCTCATCCATCTGAGCTACAGGAGTGGCATGTTGATGGAGACTTTTTTGTTCATTTTCTCGATTCGCCGGAGCAGGGGCTGCTGGTCATTCCCCTGTTCAGTGACATTCAGGAGCATGGGGGTGGAACGATGGTTTGTGCCGATTCGGTGAAGCAGATGGCTCGCTTTTTGGTAAAATGCTTTGTATTCACATGTGACCTTATCACTGATAATTGTTTCAGTATGACAATCCTCGAGGTGTATCCCCTTATATGATTCCCCGTGGGTGGAAGTTCCGCAAGCCAAAGGGCGATTTCTACGACTCGATTCTGGAAAAGTGTCAGGATTTCCATGAAATGACTGGCCAAGTGGGAGACGTGATTCTGCTTCATCCATTCATGGTACACTCACAGTCTTCCAACAGCCTGAGAATTCCCCGAATAATTCCCAATCCGCCAGTGTCGCTAAATGAGCCGTTCAATTTCGATCGTAAGGATCCCAGTCAGTACAGTGTAGTGGAGAGGAAGACACTTCAGGATCTTGGCAAGGATCGGTTGCGAGGCTGGAAAAGATCAAGGGTGGTCGGGAGTCCGTTGTTCATGAGCGGCTGGATGAGCAGGAGGAAATGAAGAACCAAGAGCTGGGAAGACTAAACGGCTGATGTCATTAGTGTTGCTTCGTCGATTGGTTGCTTATCATTACCCGAGGCTTGCTGGCATGCTCTTTACTTTATTACTACCCCAAGGCCACGATGCCTACAGAATGCAAGAATTCATGAAAGACAGATCGACATGAGGAGATGCTGGAATGAACACAGATAGCTTCAATTATGTTCATGAATTATCTCGGCTTATTGCCTCTTCCACAAGAATATAGACGAGATACCACCCAAGGCAGACACCCCTGCAATGACCTCCCAGACGACCTGCAAGGCAGATGCAGAGGCATCCTTAATGATATCCCTTTCACCATCAGACATCTGGGTCTGATCCATCAGAACTATGTACCCTCTTGCTGTGTTGATGACATCCCAGTCCAGTCCAAGGCTCTGCAGCTCATTCCCAAAGCAGGACAAGAAGATAATACCCCCAATAGGAACAGCAACCGCCATACCCCATGCCCGCATGAAGAGAGAAATGGTAATGGGTTTGGTGGAGAGAGCCGCTTCTTCATTCTTGGGTATGCTCTGGACGCGAATATTGTAACTGGAAAGTAACAGACCGTGACCCAGTCCAAATGTCAAAAGGAGAATCACCCATCCAACTGTGGGTGTGATGCGATCGAGGAGAATCGAGCAGCCAGCTGCTAGGGTGGTCAGGATCCATCCTCCGGAAATAATCCATTTGGAACACTTTGACTCATTCGCGAGTAGAATGCCAACCACTGCAGCGGGCGTGACTGCAAATCCAGTGATGGCGAAGAGCGCGACACCGGAGAGTGTCGCGGAGAAGTATCGTGTGCAGAGAAAGTAAAACGTGAAGAACTGCAACTGACAGAATATCTGCGCGAGAGTATTAGCGATAATTATCGGAGACTAGACAAATTGCGAGACTCACAACAAAACCATGACAGAAGCACCCGACATACGCCATGATAGTGGGCAAATCTCGAAAAACCCGCCTCCCAAATTGCGGATGTACTGCATACTTCGACTCGTAGAAAGCAAGTATCAGCATCACGAAAATCCCGAGACCGACCGGGACCAAAGTCTGCCACTGGTCCCAACCATATGAGACACCACCCCAGCTAATACCAACAAGGATAGCAGCCAAGCCAAACGAAGCCATCGCACCGCCAGTCCAGTCCAAAACACGCCATTTCCGCAGCGGGATATTCTTGGATACGCGCAGATCCACAGCAAACGGAATCGCAAGAAGACCCAACGCACAAAATATGAAGTTGAAGTAAAAAGCCCATGTCCAACTCGTATAATCCACGAATAAGCCACCAACAATCGGGCCGAGGATGAACCCAATGAGACGAGTGAGGAGGATGTAACATGAGTATCGTGAATGAATCGATTTCGGCGCCGATTCCTCCATGATAACGAAGCATAGGCCCAGGGCGCCGCCTCCGCCTATACCTTGTAGTAACCGACCGACCACAATCTCAATCAGACACATCGAGCCACTGCATATCCCGGTTCCGATTGTGGTGCATACGACCGCAACGATCCACACGGGTCCGAGACTGAATACATCGCACATCATCGTGAAGAATAGTTGACTAGTTGCGCTCGCGACCAGGTAGATTGTGTTAACCCAAAGCGTGCTGATAAGTGGTGTATTGAACACATTCGCTAGATCCTTTTCGCTTGTCAGTTCCAATATGCATATAGGTGTTCGGCAATCTTTAACTCACTGGCAACACAGTGATCATAACTGTGGAATCAAAAGCATCCATCATAGCCAAAATGACAATGCAAATAAAGACCAACCAATCCCGGACCCCAAATCGCCATTGTTGTTCCTCAGAAAGAGAGTCAGACTCAAACAGCTGAAGCGTGCTCTCTTGCGCCGGGTTGTACGAATTTTCAGCGCTCGAAAAGCGATCGAGCGTTGTTTTGGACTCCACATCGAAGCTTCTCTGCGATATCATCGGCCGTCCCATTTGGGAAATTGTTGTCGTGGTCGTTATCGTGTCGCTTGTTTCGTATCCTGAACGCTGTATGTACCGACCTCTGTGCTCGAGGCAGCTCGGATCCCGAAAACGTTTCATGCCTGAGCTTTGAAGGCCATGTTCTATACACAAGGGTGTCCATTCTGAGAGCTCCGGTGGGGATAGCTAGGAAGGATGAAGGGATCATAGATGCCTCGGGCCTTGGAAAGGGGTCTGTGCTCGGCATTCTTGAGGCTTAAGGGATATCAATTAAAGGGGGGTTGGTGATTGTGGGAAATCAAGGGATGATAAACAGTGATATCCCCACGTTTATTGGATTAAGCTCAAATGTTTCCAAAATTCCGGAATATGTAACGTCTTCCGAGGTTACTTTTGTGTAACTCTAATTGGCAGCACGTCAGATGGTGCGATATGTGAGCAGATTTACCAGGGCGGATCGGGAAATGAGGTCCGTGACCATAGTCAGTAAACCTTCGTTGGGTTAGTTGACTCCCCCAGGTCTGTGAACTTCTGTCAGTGGCTATTTTTGCAAGGACTTTTGGAAGGGAGAAACTTTTCAAGGGGAGATGACTGGGTTGTCGGATGTCCCTAGAAAAGAAGGGAATTATGTACTACGTTGTAGTTTCCAGGGTTATGTATTGTGGGGAAAGGAGCTCTTTTAAAGCTAGGATGATTTTGAGCCTCCAGGGCTATGATGTACCTGGGAGATCCCTTGACTGGACTGGAATGTAGTGACGTATGCAGTCCCTGGGGGTTTCCGCCGGTAGGGTCAGCCAACTTGAGTGAGATCTAATTAGTATATCAGCTGGGCAGTCTAACCACAAATGCTTTGCAGTAGGACCGGAGCATTGTGGAGATCAATATAGAAGATTCGCGACTGCACAAAAATATGCTCAGCATTCTAATGCTTGTACACCGAAATATTGGGGGACAAACTACAAAATTTATAATTAGATATTGTTTTCGGGCTTAGAGTCGGGAATAAACAAATAAGCATTGAGATTAACGGTCGGTTACTCGCCTAGTTTAGAAATAACACGATAGATCTCTGTCAAAAGGTGACTGGTTGCATTATGGGCAATTATATAAACCATAACGCCACCCGTAAATTGCTCCCTCTATCTTGCTTATTGAGTGAGGTATTCGAAAGTTTGCCTCTAAGATCATAGGTAATCTGGAATTGACCACTTCAGCCTTACAACACTTGTGACCTAAGCATGTCCAATGTTTTCTACGCTCCGACTGGAAAGAGTTCAAGATTAGATCTCTTAGTATTTGGAATATTGGAAGCATCCATGGATCCTGACAACCTTGGAAAAAACCCTTGATCTTTTGGGGCACCTTGAACTCGGAGATCCCGGGTTCCACATTATTGGAACATCTCCCCGATGTCGCAAAGCTCTCCTTATTCAAGTTAGCATTTAAAGTAAGATTGACTCGCCATCGTCAGCATTATGCCACCAATAAAAACCACGGAAAAGGAATCCTTTATGGGTCTGCAAGTTCCCCAATGCCGTGGGTCTAGCTGCATTTCCCCTATCAGGCGAGAAGTGGCTCAGCACCGGCTCGGTTCCCGGCGGGATTGTACCACATCGACGGGATTGATCACATCGCTCTCGGCCGGTTAGTCCCGCGATTAACAAAATGGGAGTTTTCGTCTTCCAAGCACTTAAAAAAAAATCTGGTTTTGGTGGTGTTAGCGCCGCCGGACATATTCCGACCGTACTACGGCCAATGGTTATGGCCCCCAGTATTTGCGGATCCCGATTCGACCGGGGATCCACAAGGTCAACGCCCCCATACTTGAATACTTGGTAAGCGCTTTCAATGGCTTATCACTAAGCCCAAAGTTGGCAATTTTTCCAGAATCTTACAGAAGGACCGTGTAAAAAGTAAGCTTTAGGTGTAAATAAATAGAATTGTGGCTGTTGGGGCCGATACGGTTTACGAATTTGGGTGGCATGATATCATTAGTTGACTGGTCGTCTGAAGATTACCATTCTGGAAGATGAAACGAAACGCTAAATTGGGGCGAGAACTAGTCAATGGGAGTTGAGCTAAACCTTTTAACTTTCGACATCGACAGAGCACACGTGGTTTAAGCTGTGCCGGGGTAAATCTTAGATGGGGGCGTTTTCTTTTTGAGTCTTGGCGCTTACATTCGCAATACTAAAGACCTGATTACGGATCTCACTGGATAGAATTGATTATTGTCTTGTTTCTCATATTGATGACGCGGGAATATGCAATCTGACAAGCGAACTCGTCGAAAGCCGATTAAATCATGTTTGGAATGTAATCGCAGAAAGCAAAAGGTGCACATATTTTTTAGTCACATGTCTCGGAGAAGAAAGGCAAACTAATCCTACTTCTCTTTCTTTAGTGCAATCGTGAGACGCCATGCAATCACTGTATAGGTCGTGGGGTGGAATATCTTTGTGTCTATTCTAATCTCCCACCGGTGAGAGATGCCGCCAGAGGCCGTCGTGTTCACCATGCACCAAGACCGAACTCGGCATTCGAGGGGAGCGAGGAAAGGGACACTTCGACTACCATGTCTTCCCATGAATCAGACTCAAACGATACGGGCTTGGGAGCTTTGGAAGCCCGAGGATATACATCACCACAAACAAACACATTCCTGTCACCAACTATTTATACACAGTTCGTCAACACAAACACCCCTCCAACCCCTCAACTCCTTAGTCCTCCTAACAATGTGGGAACAACAGAAGTTCACCTTCATTATCCAGGGACAGTCTGATTCCCTCACCTCGACGTCGCAGATTATGGCCGGATCGGCCCGTGGTGGACTTCCTGATTGGCATGTTCCTTAAGGAGATGAACCGAGTCCACGAGATGATCCACCCGCCATCCTTTCAGAGCAACTATAACGCGTGGTGGACCAAACAGGAGCAAATCAACATATCAGGAGACACACTTATGTCGGATGATGATATGAATTTCGGATTGCTGGTGATCCGAATCTGCCTCGTCAGCATCCAATGTCTTCCACATTCGAAGTTCCCCACAGAAGGAATAATCAAGACATCCCCATATAACATTGAGCAATGGCTCTATTCCATAGCCGACGAGATTGATAAGTCATTACAGTCCAAGAAGCCCTCTCTGGTGACTGTTCAGCATCGTTTCTACCACGTATGCTACCTGAAGGCCCATGCGAGGATCCGAGAATGCTGGTCCATTCTCAGCGCGACTGTCAAGGATGCACACGAGATTGGACTGCATCTGAAAGACCCAGGTGCTCCATTCACAGAGCTTGAGATGGAAATTCGCAGACGAACCTTCTGGAACCTATACATATGGGACCGGTAGGTGCACCAGTCTAATCTCTACCGAAACACTCAACTAACCATATTCAAGGTTCATGTCTTCCTTTTTCGGACACTGGCCGCTCATTCCCGAAGGATATTTTGATATCGAACCACCACATGATAACCTCCAAGCTTTCACCATCACCCCCTACGTCCTCACCCCATTCACCGATCGAGTATTCGTCATGAAATTAGCCCGCTTCATAACAGCATTTATGAGCCCACCATCCTGGCAACATGATCGCGTCGACTCCATTGTAATCGCCGACTTCTCACAAAGATTCCAACAAGTCATCATCGATCAACTTCCCCATGCATTTTGGTTAGAAAATCCGGACACCACATGGGATTCCGTTGACTCCGCCTTGCCCGGCAAGAGGGAGACGCTCCACCTCTGTATCTGGGCTACGAAAGCCGGCCTTTACAAAGCCTTCGCCGACCCATGCAGAAGTCTCCAGCAGCAGAAGAGCCCAGTCTTGAAGCATGGAAGTGATCTACTTGCGCTCGCTCATCGCCGAACCTTGATGGAAACAACTCGCAAAGTTATCTCGTCGGTCGGTAGTTTATACATGCTCCTTGGCGATGAAGAAGGAGGCACGACAGAGAAATTATTCTTCCTGCCCGTATGCTTGGTTGAAGCACTCGCAAATCTGGGTGTTTGTTTACTATCAACCCAGGCGGATGAGAGAATTCTCACTGTAGATGGTATTCAGTTCGTTACGGACCCTGATCTAGCACGTAACTACTTGGCGTTCTTTGAAGGATATGGTCTGCTTTGTCGACAGAGTTCTCGACAGGCGATCGCAAGGAAGAGCGTGAATGTGCTTAAAGTTCTTCATGATGCGTTGCGAGCTTCGTTCCGCGCCGGTGAAATACTGGATGCCCACGGCGGAGGGACGCTGAGCTCGGGGTCTCTTGTGGCGGGGCAGTATGGAGCTGGTCAATTTCAGCTGGAACATGCATTGGTTTCACTGCATAGTCATGGGGGAGAGGCTAGCCAAGGAGTTCGAGGAGATTCTTTCTTTCCACTGCCTGACTGGTTGCCGTCATTTATGGCATCACCAGGCCGATCGTGGCTGTTTCATGATAATGCGGCGTTTGGGGATTTGATGGCATAGATGGGTGTAGACTAAGACGGATGTCCGATCAGACATATGATGTATATTATGATTATAAACGGGGTTGGCTGGTCCAGGATCGATTGCCAGGCTTTATTGAAACAATGAATTACGTTGAACATTTCAATGTCTAATCGGTTCAATCAATTGAGTTTACAATGGTATACTATTAGTGGGTATAGTTGCAGACTGGGACAATTCGGTATGCGATCCAAGAACAAAACTCTAATGGGGAAGGTCGTACCTGAATTTGCACATTTGAAAAAAATATCGCACCTCCGATATGTATGACGCTCATGTGTGGGTATAGGGTATGATAGAAAAACATGATGATGAAGAGATTGGGCATTTTAGTCCCCGGCCAACCGACTTAATCCGGATTACGTCCGAAACCATTGCCCCTCGCGTATACTAGTATGTGCCTGTGCCTGTTCCTGGCCTGTGCTGGCTCTCCACATTTCTAAATTTACAGGGCGACGATGAATTATCGCCACAATATTGGAGTTATTCGCATCTAAATCTCCTTCCTGAATAAGGGAATCCTGTCAACGGACTGGCCCGCACGGTCAATGCAGGTCAGATGTCGATCAGTTACCGATCTAGGATGGGTACACGGTAGTTGCTAGGAAAGGATCCTTGGCTCACATCACCAGGAACTTGTTTCCCGGTCGAATGGTCGATTTTACTTGGTTTTCAGCGACAGGCACAAGCCCTATACCATATATGGTTTAGATCAAAAAGGGGCCAATTCCCACCGTCTCTACCATAGAAAGGGATTACCCGCCTCAGGCAACATTCTTGGAAGTTATCACGAAAAACTCAAAAAGACGTCAAAGCTTGACATTCCCATCTTTATAGGTTATAGATAAGAATTATAGCTGCATGTAGGTCTATAATGAAAGCGCAGAATAGAGTTGGGCGCATGAATCATGAGACGAATCGGCTGGTTGCAGCCGTTACTCTGTGCGACCGTCATCGACGTCATTTGAGGAGAAAAAAAGAGAAAAAATAAGAAAAATTGCCAAGATAACACTGACAGCTGGATCTCCATTCTTTGGATCTATTTTCCCCCCCTCATTTATCCATCAGCCTTAAATTTATAAGTATTCACATCTTTCAAGTTTAGGGAGGTTAGCACGAAATCAGCACAGTCCACCTAACCCCCTGGCGCGAACCGAGAGGGTCTAGACGATCCCGCGTCCCCGTGAAAATCCCTCCAAACATTGAATCCCTGAATTTCACCCCATGGCATACATGCTACCTGCATTTTCATTCTCATAATACCTCCTCCGGCGTCGACCGGCAAGCTCGACGATGCGCCCCGGGTTGGATAAACCGGGCGCGCTGCCACTCCTGGCCCTGATCATCTTCTCCCTACTCACGTTGGTGCCTTCACTACCGAGTATTTACAGTTTGAAGCTTGCCGACTTCACACACCTTATTGGCAAAGCACGTAAGTGCAATTGATTCTACAAGACGCCTAATCACCTCAAGCTAATAAGTTATGTTTTTTAGAAGTTCCTCTCATCCAGGAAAACGTCGCCGAGCTTTCTTCAGACACACCACCCAGCGATCGCACTCCATGGATCCTGGCTGCACCGTCTCGACCGCGTCTCGACCGTTTTTCACGGCCTGCGCGACTTGCCAACGGCGCGCCGACCATCTCTTGCGAGACGCCGTCTGTGGAAAATAGGTCTCGCTCTTCCTATCCGGCTGAATCAACATTCCTCTTCAGTCGGAGAGCCCGCGCCTTTCGCACATACTTCATCCAACAATTAGACGACTATCAATTCCTCACACCCTTCTCCACCCGCAGCGTGTCAACCGGAGCTACTCCTGATCCAACTCTTACACCTAATCTCGCCCCTCTCCCGGCTTCAATTGACGACTCAAATCCCACCACCACACCCCCATTGCATAATGATTCTATCTCCTCAACACCCCCACCGGACTTGACTCCGAAGCTTCCTTTCACCGACATGTGGCAGCAGGCCTGCCAGGCGGCCAGCGGCCTTTGGGAGCTTGCAAATGAGTCCCCGAAACCCAATTTCCAGCGCTTGGTCCGGTGGGGTACAAGTTATGCTCAATCAACCTTCTTGCCCTCCAAATTGGTCGACAGTCACACACCTACACCCTTAATCCACCTTCAAAATGACACTCAACCTGAAATCGAAGAATGCACTTGCATGTCTGCGAACAAAACTCTTCCCCCTTCAAACGACCAGTCTACCGACGCTGCTGGCCGGCACTCATCGGAGCTCCAGGGTAGCTGTATGGCAGTGGTGATCGGCCTGGTCGTCGGGATAATGTGGTTCTAAGTGACAATATGTTTATAATTCATGTTGACTAAGTTCTCGACGGCGAGGGACGCGCTTCGGGATATCTACATATTTTGATCCCCCTTTTCTTTCTTGGCATTGATTGAATGCCCTTGGTATTCGGAATTTTGCCATGCCATTTATGTGTTTTGATGTCTGAAACGAGGTTTTCTTTTCTCTTCTTATCTCCCCTGGGCTGGCGTGCACGGATGGGATTGACGGACGGCTCTGGTTTAGCGTCCTATGGATATTACTAATGAAATTTCCTGTCATTTGGTTTGGTTGGTTTGGTTGGTGTACGTAGACATAGATATCCACATACAATGATGATTCTGAACTTTTGAAAATGATACGAGAATTTGTACCCTACCTCTAGGAGCTGTCTAGGTGTGGTTATAGATGTCCAGCCATGCCACCTTGAGAATCATGAGCTCTCAACATTTGTCGTAATCTCGTCCCAAGATGGTCAATGATTCCTCCAGGCTAAGGCCCAGACGAGGTCGAGGGAAAGATCAAAGCTCTTTCAATAGACTTATTGATCCCAAAACTTCATTGCCTTGCGCAAATCCTGAGTTGAACATATGATCATTCGAGATAGATTCCCCCCCCGTCCCCCTTCCTTCTCTGAATGTATATACAGCTCTAATGTATCATGGTCTGGAAGGGATGAATCTTATGTAACTGCAAAACAATAAAATTCTATCTCATCTAATATACCCTTGTGCCAAACGCCCCATAGATCCAACCGCATTTCCGACAATAATAGTAACATAACTGTAACAAAAGAAAAAGAAAAAGAATGGAAGAATGCAAGCCAGTGCAACCTCATCTCGTCATCGAAGCAGGCTTGTACTCAGTCAAAGGCACATTTTCAGCCATCATGTCCGGTGAATTTAGCCTCTCAAAATCCGTCTTCACAAGCCTCCTCGCCTTCTTGATAAGCAAACCAGGATGGTAAACAGCCAAAACAAGCAGCGAAACAAACATCATAGCCGCGTCAAATACATAAATATACACCTCACTGGTATTAACAGCTGCCTTCGAACTCGCCCCGAACTGAATAGTCCGAACCAGATTCCGAATCATAATAGCAGCACAGACAACATACATTGCCCACATGTACCTCGTCCAATTAAGATCATTATTCACCAACAAAAATGGCGGCGGGTTTCTCAAAAGTCTCCGATGGAACTTGGCAGCAACCAGCACAAAAAAACCGAAGACGACAAGTGAGAAGATTAGACCCGCTAATACGACTTTCTTGCCTATATCCATGATTTCCGCATCACCCGTTACTTGTACACCTGCTCCACCGAGCTGTGTACAAAAACAGAGGACGTCGTTCAAGACAAAGATGAGTGTGAGGCGTTTGGGCCGGATGCTGGATAGGTGTTCTGCGTTGAAGGATAGGATTATACGACCGAGGACCATGTAGACTGTGGCTGATACGAGTGGTGGGGCACAGAGAATGAGCATTTCTTGTAATGCCCATGCGCCAATATCTGTTCTGTCTCCGTGCGCCCATGCTCGTCCGTAATAGCCGAATGTCTCACCTATCTCTCGTGTTAGACTGGAGTCTTGGTACATCGAAGAAAGAGAGAGATGGGTCCTTACATAAACCGCCCAAGACCAGGGGAATAAAGTATGCAGCGCGGAAGGGAATAGTCAAAATTATGTGAACGATAGTCGAGATCCCGAATATGGCCATAAAGGCATATCCGGCTGTCTCTGATGGTGCGTATGGGTAGAAGTCGACGTAGGGGCTTGAGCCGTTTACGCCGGCGTGGAAGACGATATCCATTCTTGAGTGTTGAACTTGAAATTTCAATGGCTTAGTATGGGGTGTTTTGATCAAGAATCTGAGCAATTGGATCCTATTTATGAGGAGATGAATAGGTGCTTGTTTGACGATCTATTTCTATGTGCCAAACTAGGAAATGTCTGTACGAGTACGGGTGGAGAAGTGTGGGGCGTTTTACGATAACCTCATACTGAGCTTTTCTTTTGTGGGTCATGTCCATTTTCCTTAGATATTTCATGGTTCAGGCAGACAACAGGATTAATTATAGAACTGGGCCATAATTTTCAATGTTACAGTGCTTCAAGAATTCAGTGTCATCACCTACACTGTTTTTTGGATCCAGACTGCCAAGACACTCTTGCCGGGGGGTTCTGCATTATCCCTGTCCAGCGGCTAGTGTTGTATCTTCCAATCATACCCAGTAACTTTATGTACCAGACATGTGGCTTAGATTATCAACATAAATAATAGCTGCCAACTCAGTGCCCCGCCTTGATCAAATTCCCCCTAACGCTTTTCCCCTCCTTTCTCTCCGCCTACGATCTCCACTCCGCGAATCCGTCCACTTCCTTCTATCCGCTGTTTATTGAGATTCGCCTTGGTTTGACTTAGTAAGCTTATACATGGCACCTGTCACAGTCCACGATTATTATGCGATCCTCGGGATGTCCCAGTCTGCAGATTCGGCCGAGATCAGATCAGCATACAAAAAAATAGCTTTGGTCAAGCATCCGGACCGTCAAATACATGTGCCCAATGCAAAGGCCGAATTCCAACTAGTAAGCTTAATTACCAATTTTTGTAGTGCGAACTATGACTTATGCAGTTGTAACCAGCTTAAAGAAGCGTACGATCACCTTTATGATCCCGATATGCGCCAAGAATACAACAAACTATACCAATCAACGATACTTCCAGGGCGAATTAAGGATCAGAAGATAGCAGGGCTAAAGAAACAGCTTCGACAGCAGGTGTATAAGCGCAGGGAGGCAGAATTCGTTCTAGCCAACGCAAAAAAGGATCTGATCAGACTACACGCTGAGAGAGACAGTAAAAAGGGAGAGAAAGAACGAATGATGAGGGACAGGGCTACCGAGGAGACATGGTTTCTAAACTCATGGATCAATTACTTCTTTCTGCCAGGCAAGGCTGCAAAAATTGCACAACGGAAGCAACAACAAGAGTCCGACATCAATACGCTGATTGGACAACAACGTACAAAAGAGAAGAGTATTTATCTCAAATTGAAGGGAAATGAAAACTTCACGGCGAGGATTAATTCTGCTTATGCTGCTGAGAGCAAGATCGAAGCAGACATACGAAAGATCGAAGAGGACTGGCTCGAAATGATTAAGCGACAGGAAATGGAAAGATTGCTTGCAGAAAGGAGAGAGAAAAGCCGTCAGGCATATTGGACTTGGTCCTCAACCCAGACAAATTCCACAGGAGCAAATAGCTATTTTCATCAGTCAAATGCTTCGGAGTTCTAAAATCTCTCTGCGGTTGTTCGTTGAAGTACAAGAAACGGGTCCCATGACCCGTCGGTTGAAGGAAAATCTATGATTTGCAGGTTTACTGTTCTACAACAATTGGGCAAGGAAAAAAAATAACAATATTCTATAGATATGCGTTATGATACTCGGTAATACTAGTTCATGCAAATTGATCCCGATGGGCTTTCCGCAAAGGCCATTCTATCCAAGGACTGTAATCCAAATGTAATGAGCCCGATATTCCCATCATTACATGTTCAGACCAGCCTTCGATGAACCACGCCGACTCCATATACTTCAACAGAACCACCCAGTGCGCAAGTATTACTAGAGCTCGAGGCTGTTTCAGTTCCAAAAGATGCACGAACTCTTCAGGTCGGCGATAAAGCCATCCAATCACCAGATCCATCAACGAGACACCTTTCTTCCCGGCAGATACCCTCTCATAGAACTCATTCATGATATTGAACAAGTCTTGTATAGCAGACATGCCTAGTTCCCGCTCGTCCGCATCTGAAGCCTCCTCTTCGATGAGCCGCCGCACTGACTGAAGGTGGACCATATGTTCATGACGTTCGCTGCGCATCGCAGGAGTGATTGTGTATGAAGGTTTATCGCCGGTTGGCTCAAGGAGTCCACTGAATATTTTCACATGATGGGAAGATAAGAGAAGTTTAACTCCGTTCAAGAGGACTAGCCATTCTGATGGGCCGCTGTCACTAAAAACGAGGTACTCGCCCGCTCTTGGGCCTCTCGCGAAATAGATGAAACAAATCAGAGAAGCTGCCATGTAGACCCTTTGGCAATTGTCGTCATTGACTTGGGAGAGAACGGATGTGACTGAACGGACACCAAATGTGAAACGATTGTCTGCTCTTTCAAAATATTGATTTCGTAGTTCTGGCTTATTATGCGCCAAGTGGAGTGCTGACAATGCTAGTATCAGGTGTAGAATGGAAGGAAACTCGACGCCCCATTCAGGGAGATGTCTTTGCCATAGGTCGTGTATATCTTGTCCTTCGTCTCGCATGGTCTTATATGTTGAGATTGTGTAGTGATGAAAGAGCTGTAGATCAGCTAGCGAGAAAGTCTCGGTTGATTCATCCAGAGAGAGTTCGCATTGGGTCGCCTCGGACTGCGTTGGTTGCGGCCGTGGTTGCGGTGGCAGGTCTTTCGGCTTGGAGAGTTTGAAAGTCTGCTTCAATTCCCCCGTGGAATAGCGATAGGGTCGGAATCTCTGTGCCCGGGGCTGTGCTTCAGGAGGTGATAGTGATGTCTCCGTAGTTGAAAATGTCGTAGACGGTTCATTGCAGGTGAACGAACATTCCACGTCGTGGTTGGTACAGTTGAGGCATGATGGCCGTTTTTCATCGCACTTCAAATGATCTTTCAGTTGGTCATCTTCTACTCCGAATAAGGTGTGCCATCGTCCTTGGGAACAGAATAAGGAGAGAAGGAAGTCTCGCATGACGGTGAAGAGCAAGCCCAATTACTTTGCGGCTCAACAAGGTACAGGTGCAGAAAAGGATTTGGAAGATGATATGTCGCATATATACTCACTTTGATCCGACGTTTCTTACAATTAACGCACCCTCCCCGCGACTTCCGATGCGTGCGCCGCGACCGAACTTGCTTTTGGTCCATTTTCTTCGTAAAAGAAGATGGGTCGTATTCGTTCCCTTTATGCCCTTCTCAGTCGCAAATATAAACGCCGAGGTGTGGCTGCCCTTTCCAATATTCCTGAAATAGTTTGATTTCACTGCAAATACCACTGGCAAGATTGGCGGCGCTAACTAGTAGAAAATGTTGCAGAACCAAGATCCGAATACGCAGAAATTGCCTGATTTGGGCTGTTGCTGCTTACATAATGCCTTGTTGACGTCGGATAGTTCTTAAACCGGTAATCGTTCGTATAGATACCGCACGCAGTGGCTCAGGACGTAAAAAAGAAATCCAGGCGCCTAATCCACTGACTTTCCCATTAAATGAAACAATTCCGGGCTACAGAGAAGGAACACGGGAAGTTGGTTCCTCTAATGGACTGGGCAGGCTAGTGATCTTAGGCTTTGACATTTGGATAATTATCCATCATGACCATTTGACCTTATCTTGACAATGAATATGGGTGTCCTTTTCTAATTGTTGATAAAGTGCCAATAGTCTAGCACTCAGGGAGCTCAAAGCGGTAGTCTACAATTCATCACCTCACCACTCAGCCTTGAAATATGAGAAAGTTTAGTTGGAAGAGTTCATGAACTTGTTCCAATGTTTGACGCGATACCTTGCAATGATACTTTTGTTTGTCTGCTACCTTTCCTTGCCATGTGATCATTTCAAGTCCAACGAACAGTACAAGAATAGAGCCAGATCCATCACAATGCACAGTCCTCAGCCACCTCTTAGCCGTACCCAAGGTAAAATCCACGCAACAAAGTAGGTTCCACAAGTTAGCTGTCGCCGAGTGGATGCAACTGTTACATTTGCCGAGAAAAATGCTCTCTGTCAGCTTATACTATCCAGCATACTTCGCAAAAAGACACGCAACATCTTGGTGCAGTGCAGGATGACAGAGAAGAAGTACAAACACAAGCATAAGGAACCCTAGACAAAATTCTGTCGCCAGAACACTAGCAAGCGTTTTAAAGAAACTAACTCGAGCTGACCATGAGAAGCTCTGCCATGCCCTATAGATACTGATATTTCTATCCGCCATATGTCTTGCGCCCTTTTGCGACGGTAGTGTGGAGCCAGCCACCCGGATGAAGACGGCATATGCAGGTACCGCAAACCCAAAATAGAGAACCGAAATCACACCAATAAGAAATGCGATTTTCAAGTTCCTATGAGACATAAAGTCACCGGCTTCGAAGAACACCAAACGCCCAATGTGGAGGGGGAGGTAAAAGCATATGCTTGAGCATATGCTGTATAGAAGCGCGGCCGAAAAGGTTTCACGCCATATCGATAAACTGAAGATGCACCGGAAAGTCGATATCATCATTGTATCCTTCGAGTGCTGAGAAATGATATTATGCACATTGGCCACTTTCAGCGTTGAAAGTAGCATTTCTGCCATGATATTCAAAAGGAAGCAGCCCACCAAATTTGAACCCTGCACTGACAATCGAGAAAGTATTGCAACCTTTGCTAAACGATGGAAGATGAATATTGGAACCCCGTGGAATCTTTGTCGTAGGCGAAGTCGAATAGCACCTCCGTCTTCTCTCAAAGTAGCTGAAAGTGTTGCGTTGATATTACCATCCAAATTCACAGCCTTGATAATATTATTATAAAGGGAACAAGCGAGTCAGAGTTTCAGACTGGACTTACAAGAGCGGTGGCAACGAAGACTGCTGACAGGGTCAAGAGAAATGGTAGATCCAGTGATGGCCGTGCCAAGTTCGCATCCTGATTTGGAAAAGCCCCATTCTGAACTTCTAATGCTGTCTCCGAAGACATGGGTAGCGACTGGTTGAGGGCGGATGAATGATGGAATGAGTATCCTCTGGACTGGCATAGAAGAAGAAAACAAATTCTTAAGAGGGGGTTGACAGTAATAGCCTAGCCTAGCCAGAACTTGAAAGAAAAGAAAGGAAAGAACAAACAACCAAGAACGAGTTCTGGCCACTTCATGGTCAAAAAAATACCATGCTGATTGATTATCGGTGATAGCCGGGAGATTTCTCGCAACATCCCTAATTCTAAGACAATCTTAGAGTGGGGGCGCAGAGGCCGGAAAAATCGCACTAATGGCCGCGTCATCTTGCATCGACCTCGATCTTCATCGCAATGGAACCCTCGCATACTGTATACTGTATGCGGTGTAAATCCTCTCAAATATCCAGTGGTAATAGATTTCAACGTCAGTAAGATATACATAGTCTGACCAAGGAGATGCCATAGTTCTTTCCATTGCGATTAATTGGCCTATTTCAGACATTACATCTACGGGTGGTTGCTACCTAGTTGGGTAAACTCTTAGTTGATACCACAGCACGCTTCTTAACCCCTTGTTGGGTAAGTGGTAGCGCTAACAAAAAGACTATCACCAGCTTTGGAGCGTATCCCTGAGGTCCGGACAGAAGCTTTTACGTCTAGAGCCCCCACTCCTAACGGAGTGTGGGGCCGGAAGCTAAGCTTCCAAAAATTGGCCAAGAACATGTGGAGAATCGTGAATGGGTAAAACTCTGCTATGCGTGTTGGGCGCTCTTATGTGCATTCCAATTCTATACTAACCGATTGGCATATATACCGGATAATGTCTGGCAATATTTGATTTCCCTTTCCATTACAGTGATCACCCTTTGCCGCTTTTTGCTCACTGAGTTAAAATGAGCACGCCCCTAAGCACCCACCCAAGCAAAGTGCGGGACTAACTAAGTCAATAGCTCGCGTCAATAAAATACACCACGCTAGCTCTATCTAATTACAGTCGTTCGACTAGTACTATTGACCATTGTCCACTTAAAGGCAAAGTCGGCTTCATCAATTTCATGGTTGGTCCTATTTATTCACGTCCAGCTAGGAGGCAGACACATAGTGGGCCCAAATCTATTAGTTCTGCAATTTTCACTATTATCTCATTACGCAACGCTAATTAGTCATATTGAGTATCGCTCGTTTGGTTTATACTTACTAGGTGTATACTCAATCCTTAAGTTGCTACTTCGCAACCATACTATTGCTAATTGATGTTAGGTAGATTAAAAGAAACGCTAACCGCTTTTGGCTCATCGTGTCCCACATCAGTCCCTCTCATTCGCAATCAATAACATAGCTTCCTACCTCATTGGTTTTGGCTATCAGATCACTTCGGAAGTTTTTGAGACGTCTGTTGCTGTGTCCTTAATTCTTTTTTTTTTGCCATATTCTCGGTCCTTGACTTGAAAGGTTACCAATTCGGGACTAGTGTCACTCTGAGCTACGGAGATAAAGGCTAACCAAATTGGGGGGAGAGGCTCGCTTGTGAAATACGTTAGTCGGAAATGTGTATGGAGGCCGGATATATCAGGCACCAAGAAAAGGAGAGTTGGCTAATGGGGACGCGATTAATCGCCAACTCTCCAAAAAATCGCCAGCCTCCCAGATTATCAAATCGAAACATACATATTCAGTGAAGCGCATTGAAAAAGAGCAGAAGAATGAGGACGCCAAACTCGGCTACATCTGAAAATGTTGAGACATGTGGGATATTCCACAAGCTAACCCCCACCACCCTTCTGCCTAAGAATGCCTAGAAAACAACGCCAACAAAATCATATTGGGTTTAGTATGTCGGATTCGAACTTTTATAAGAAGATTCGACACGCCTTTTCCTGATAGAGAATTGAAAATTTTACTGCAACCAAGAACATGGCATCATTCGATTTCCCCGCGGAGCTACTTGCAATCATCGCATCTCTCTCGGACACGGAAACCCTCAAGGGCCTAAGACTAACAAACCACATGCTATCCGCCTTGGCAACCAGGAATCTGTTCTCCACGCTCTCACTGTACACCGACGATAAAAGCTGTGAGGCTTTCGAGTCAATCGTAGCCCATCCGCAGTTAAAAGAACATGTGCGCAAGATCCGCTTCAATACTGTCGAGGTCGACTCTGTAAGTGAGATGCGAATCTGAGATGGAACAATATTGTCGTACATTCAAAGGTTGCCTAACATGTAGTACATCAGAAGGACGGAGATGACGAAGAACTTGAGCTACCTTTCAAATGGAAGGAGCTCCTACCTATGCTTCCGAAATTTCCGAATCTCGAAAGCGTCGCGCTGCGCTTTGACCAAAACTGCTCGTTTGAGGATGCCTTTGGCCATGCACCCTCCCAGTCAGTTGATGACCGAGAAACCATCATAAAATGGCTGGGTACGGCGCTGGTGTCTTTAAAGCAACCCTTGAAAGAACTGGGGATTCAGAATCAGCATAACATAACACCATTAAGCAAAGATTTCCAGCAAGTACTGAGCAAGCTTAGTTCACTAAGACTGAACGTTATGCATGAGTTTGTACCGGCGTGTCCTGAAAATGAAATCGAGGTTTGTACCTACTTCAGTCTGTTCAAGCTTATGTATAGTTGTTCGTGCTAATCTGGGGAAACATCTGACAGAAAGATGAAGTGCTAGAGTTCCACGCACGTATACTGCCGTCAGTCTGGCTGAAACCCACCATGGGATCACTTCGGAAGCTATCTCTGTACTCCAACCTTTACTGGGGATTCTACCCCAAACTCAGCCTCGAAGGGATCCACTGCCCAAATTTGCAGTCGCTAACTCTGGGCAACTTCTCCTTTTTCGAAGACCAACAACTCGATTGGATTCTATCGCACTCGTCAACACTCCAAGAACTTTACCTTGATGATTGTCCGATTTTATTCCGAGTGAGAATCCTAGATTGCGAGTCCCAGCTTGCCAAATGTCCGCTACCGAAATCCAAAATGAAATTTCAAGCTAGTGAGCGCTGGAGCGATTCCTGGCACTACAATTATTCACGCCGATGGAATGACTATCTTGCCTCATTTGAGACAGGCCTTCCACACCTCCGTCGTTTTGCAATTGGTCACAGTGAAGCATGGAACTCAGGGAATTTGGGGTATGAGATACCTTTTGAGAAAGAGCTGGAACTTGTGCCGGTATTGATGCAAGAACGGTACATGGCGTTTGATGGCGGTATAGGGCCTTCTCAAACTTTTTCATCAAGGTGGACATCAGAGCAGGATGGTTGGCCACATTGCGATGACAAAGATCGCGAGGCTTTGAAGGCATTATATCGGAAGATCAAGCAGCAGGTAAACTGTGGAAAGTTTGAGATGGGACTTTGTGAGGTGGCTGATTTGGTAGAAGTTTCCTATCAATAAATGGGAATCGACGAGCTGGATGAAAGCAAAACAAGCAACATTCCGGATTACTTTATACATGAGCTATGAGCATTAGCCGGCTTTCTGAATAGATTTCTAGCAAATTCGCCTCGCATATTTGAGCTCTATCAATTCTGGAGAGCCTGGATTGGTCGGAAAAATGAGGAGTCCGAGCAATGTATCAATCAGATTTATTGCCGCAAGATTTGAGAGAAGTCGATCCGCGAGGATCACCCGTAGGAAGATAATTCAACCTAATGGCTATTTGGAAATTATACGGATAAACTATTAACTTATATGATACATGTCTACCATACACTAATTTTGCGCAATTTTCCTACAAACGAACAATCGTTGAATGTTTGGTCGAAGTGTCACCACTGGCTATCCTTTTTGCTCACGCTGAACAGCAGCTGAGGTATTTCTGTTTTTGTTTCTATTTGACAATAGTGCTATGTACACTTAGCGACTAGTCCAATGATTGATTCGTGCATTAAGCGATTCATTTATTAGGGGGTTCGTGTACCCAAAGCGTAGGGCGTAGGGCGTAGATATGGTGAAGATACACACTGATGGCTTATTTTTGGCCTGAGTATAGGTAGACTATGTATATTTGTAAGTGAGCTCTCAATGAAATTCACAAATGTAACTTGAACGCTAGCGTTGTTAATCTGATGAAAATGACTTTCCAATCCATTACTCTTTCTCAAATCTTCATGAGTTCTAGAGCGTGAAAAACTGCATGGAGGAAGATATTGCCTTGAAATATGGTGGAATCACGTATGTTTAGTTGTGTTTTCACAGATTTATAGTCTAGGTATGGGGGCAGAGGGCAGGTGAGCGCAGGGTAGCTTCTGATATGTTCCTCGTGCTACAAAATTCCATATACCAAGAAAAGTCAAAAAGGTTTGAAATGTAAAGCTAATTGATATTCAATAGGTCATAACGCAATCTTCGTAAGGTAAATCGATACATGTAGTGACAAAGCACTGTGTTTTATCCACAATAAAAAATTTAAAGACGAGCAGGGCGGCTGGAAGGAGCAGCGTACGCCAAGTCAAAGCGGTCCAGGTTCATAACCTTATCCCAAGCAGCAACAAAGTCGCGCACAAACTGGGAATGACCATCGTGGCTACCGTAAAGCTCAGCAAGAGCACGCAGCTCAGCGTGGTGACCAAAAATAAGATCAACACGAGTAGCGTTCCACTTCTTGGCACCGGACTTGCGGTCGACACCCTCGAAGGTCTCGTTATCAGAGCTAGTAGGCTTCCACTCGGTGTTCATGTCGAGCAGGTTGACGAAGAAGTCGTTGGTGAGCTGGCCAGGACGCTGGGTGAGGACACCGGTGTTGGAGCGGTCCCAGTTACCGTTGAGGACACGCAGACCACCAACGAGGACGGTCAGCTCAGGAGCGGAGAGAGTGAGGAGCTGAGCACGGTCGACGAGCATCTGCTCAGTGCGGACACGGCCAGTCGAGCGGCCGTAGTTACGGAAACCGTCGGCGAAGGGCTCGAGGAAGCCGAAGGAGTCGGTATCGGTCTGCTCCTGGGTGGCGTCTGTGCGGCCGGGGGTGAAGGGAACGGGAATACCGGCGGCCTTCTCCAGAGCGGCGGAACCAGCCAAAACAATGAGGTCGGCCAGCGACACACGCTTGTTGCCCGTCTGGGAGTTGTTGTAGCGGCGCTGGATGTCTTCCAGGACCTTCAAAACCTCTTGCAGCTGGGCGGGGTTGTTGATCTCCCACTTGTTCTGGGGAGAGAGGCGAATGCGGGCACCGTTGGCTCCGCCACGCTTGTCACCGCCACGGAAGGTGGAGGCTGAGGCCCAAGCAGTGGAGATGAACTTGGTGTGGTCGACGCCAGAGTTGAGAATCTCGCGCTTGAGCTCGGCAACGTCCTCGACGTCGATCAGAGGGTGGTTTACAGCAGGAACGGGGTCCTCCCAGAGCAGAGTCTCCTGGGGAACCTCAGGTCCGAGCCAGCGGACACGGGGACCCATGTCACGGTGAAGCAACTTGAACCAAGCGCGGGCAAAGGCATCGGCGAACTGGTCAGGGTTGGCAAGGAAGCGGCGCGAGATCTTCTCGTACTCAGGGTCGAAGCGGAGAGACAGATCAGTGGTAAGCATGTGGGGCTTGAGCTTCTTGTTAGGGTCGAACGCGTGGGGAATGATATCGTCGGCGTTCTTAGCGACCCACTGGTGGGCACCGGCAGGGGACTTGGTGAGCTCCCACTCATACTTGAAGAGGTACTCGAGGAACTGGTTGCTCCACTTGGTAGGAGTCTTAGTCCAGGTAACTTCCAGACCAGAGGTGATGGTATCAGCACCCTTGCCGGAGCCGTGCTTGTTGGACCAGCCAAGACCCTGCTGGTGAATACCGGCAGCCTCAGGCTCATCACCAACGTTGTCGGCAGGAGCAGCTCCGTGGGTCTTACCGAAGGTGTGACCACCAGCAATCAGAGCAACGGTCTCCTCGTCGTTCATGGCCATGCGGCCGAAGGTGATGCGAATATCACGAGCGGCAGCAAGGGGGTCGGGGTTGGCGTCGGGACCCTCAGGGTTGACGTAGATCAAACCCATAACGACAGCAGCCAGGGGGTTCTCGAGATCACGAGTGCGAATGTCACCCTGCTTCTTCTTGTCTGCCTCAGATTCTTCCTTGTAGCGGACGTCGTTGGTGAACCACACGGTCTCACCACCCCAGTAAACCGACTCATCGGCCTCCCAGACATCGGGACGACCACCAGCGAAGCCAAAGGTCTTGAAACCCATGGACTCGAGAGCAACATTACCGGTAAGGAGCAGCAAATCAGCCCAGGAGATCTTGTTGCCGTACTTCTGCTTAATGGGCCACAACAGGCGACGGGCCTTGTCCAGGCTGACGTTGTCGGGCCAGCTGTTAAGTGGGGCAAATCTCTGCTGGCCTTGACCACCACCGCCGCGGCCGTCAAACACTCGGTAAGTACCGGCACTGTGCCACGCCATCCGAATGAACAAACCACCGTAGTGGCCAAAGTCGGCAGGCCAGAAGTCCTGAGAGTCTGTCATAAGGTCATTGAGATCCTTCTTCAGGGCATAGTAGTCTAAGCTCTTGAATGCCTGTGCGTAATCGAAGTCCTTGCCCATTGGGTTGGTGGACTCGGTGTGCTGGCGCAGGACATTGAGCTTGAGGCCCTCGGGCCACCAGTTGTGGTTTCTGGTGCCGCCGCCAGCAACATTGGCGGGCTTATGAACTGGACATTCACCCATGCTTGCGATATGAAACAATGGTTGAAGGTATTATGGGTATCAAGAGAGGGGGATGAAAAAAAAAAGTCAAAAAAGCCGCGGATGGAGGGCACCCCGCACTTCTTAAGAGACGAATAACGGGAAACACATTAGAAGCTCCTCGGGAAGGTGTTTTGTCATCTGGTTGGCGGAGAAGTTCTGGGCCAACGCTGATTCCTAAGCTACGACATTCTATTGGGCCAGACCGCCGGGCTTGTTAATGTCCTCATGTGGGGGTGGACTCGATGCTCATGCGGGGAAGAAAGCTACGAATCAGCGGCGAACCCCGGTTGATTATCTTATTAACCTAGCCACTTTTGTACGACTAAGCATCTAAATCGAGACACTGTACTCCAATTTTCCGTTTGATTCCGAACTCACCTCGACCACATTCCGCTTACACAATCCCTTTGACGTAAACGGTCGGCATGAATATTTCTCCTGATCCAGGCTAGAGCATTATAAATTCTTAAAACTCTTAATTTGACCTCATTTTATTGTAGGTCGTCATGACTACACCCTCCACCATGGTACCGTGGTATTGGCTACAGTGTATTTGGATATATTCTCCTTCGCGGTACTCGCCGATAGTGGCACCACCGATGCATGACGTCATAGGTCAAAAGAGCCTCGGAACAAATTGAGCATAATCTTTGGGCCCTTTTTTTGTTTTCTAGAAAATTCTCCAAGACCTGATCCAACATCTTTCATCTCCTTTTGAACATGGGTGCTAAAATACTACGTGCAATTATTTAGGACATTTCGACAGGATTTTCCGTATATAGCTGACATAATAGGAAGGTGTATCCGAGCTGGAATACTGCCCTGCTTAGGCTAGTGGAGCCTCAACAAAACACGAAGAACTGTTGAATCGGCCACTTGTCTCAAAACAAACATACAAGGGAGATGATGAGGATTTAATATAAGGTATACATCAATAGATACTGTGGTCACCAGTGCCAAATTCAGATGTTCTCGCTTGGGTGCTCTCTTTTGCCAAGCTATCAATAGATTCACCACATCTCTCCCGCTATAGCCCTCAAAGCCCTGAGCAGGTCGTCATCGCCCTCCTGCAACAGCGTTTTCCGGTCACCTGGTAAGTCAAATGGTTTATCGTAGACCTGGCACAGTGTTCCATGAGCTGGAAGTGTGCCGGTTTGGAAATAAGCTCGTACTGCCTTTGCGGTACAAAGGGACGGTGTCGACAGTGATAAGTGCTAGATTTGCGATATTACTATTGCCATTCGGGATAGGAAACGCATCGCTGGACTTACACCTTCTGAGTCTTGTTGAATGAGGCCCGATCCAGGAAATCTCTGACTCATTTTCTTCGCACTATTCCAGAAGTCATGTTAATGCACATGAAGTAGTTTTTATCGATGTTTTGCGTACTTATCAAGGGAAGTGACCGGGTCCAAGGTATTTCCAATGAACAAGATGGGATCTGTATGGACTCCGATCGGCCCTTGGAAGATGGCAATATTCAGTATACGTTGAAGAGCGGAGGTTTATTCTAAGGGTAAAATTGCTTACCAGAGTACACGAATTCAGGTCTGGTTTTCCAAAACAGGCAGAGAAGTCTATTTTGACTCCATCGATCACCAAGGTAGCTACTCTGGTGACGCATCTTCTGCCAATATTCCACAAACTCTTCTTTGGTAGTATTAGTCTGATCAAGACCATCGGTGCAAGATATAGCTCCAACCGCCTCTTCTGCATAATCAGCAGGCTCGGAGAAAAGCGATGATGTTTGCTTTCGATTAGCGATGATATTTCCATCTCCATTGGCCAAATTGTATAGCGCTTGCGCGAGACCCTCAAATTCCTTGAATGGCTCATATAGCGAATCCCGAATTATCTTCTGCACGTCACTATGGGTGACGATCTCTGGTCCATGTGCGGACTGCACGGCTTTGGTCGTATTTTCAGAGTTTGCAATGATATTGTCAAGCTCGGATTGGATGAATCCAGGGCCCTTTTCAGAGAACAAAGGACATTTATCAGGCCCTGCTCGATAGCAATAGATGCTGAATCGCTCCATGATAGCATCTGCATCGTCGATTTCTCCGTCCCAGGTACCTATGCTTTCAGCAATCAAGAGACCGGAGTGATATGGTAGGCACATTTACCAGCATAGTGTCGATCACTATCAATAACGCCATCAAGCACCAGACGGCCCACGAGGTGTGGATACATGCTTGCAAATGTCTCACCTAAGACAGTTCCATATGAGAACCCCCAATACTGTGACTTATTCCAGTCTGGATGGGAATTCCCGCTCTTTTCTCTTCTCCATGTCGCAAGTGCTTCTACAACCGCAGCCATATCCATCGCAACGACCGCAGTATTCATTCGTGTACTAATCCTCTCATCCCCAACTTCGTCGCATGCTTCAGCCAGGGCTTGCTTTCTCGCCCATATACGGCTAAATGCCACATCGGAGCTGCCAAGTAGACCATCCGTGTTAGAAGCTATTTGCCACAATAGTCTCTGCTGGGAGTTGGCAAAGCATGTGAATGATGGGGTAGTGAAGCCGACACCCCTTGGGTCAAAAGCCACAATATCGAAATACTTTGATTCTGAGTTATTGGAGCTGAGCGGAGAATCAATGATTGTTTGGAGGTTGTCGCCATGAAGACGGACAAGGTTAACACCTGAGCCTCCTGGACCACCTGGGGACGCTTTGTTAGCAATCTTCCCCAATTTCATTGCGGCCTTCACGGGCAAAACAGATACCTGGATTGACCAGAACAGAACCGCCGTATCGCGGGTCGCTCACGTCAACCTTTGCGGGCAGTCTAATTAGCGCAACGGCAACTGATGAGTCGGATGCATTGTTCCAATCCATGGGGACAGCAAGGCGGGCGCATTCAAAAGTAGAATAGCAAGGGTGGAAGTGGATATTCGCCGATGGAACAATCTAAAGCAACGGTTTTCAGATCACGCGGCTACTCTCATTATTATGGGGTTTGTCCTACACTATCCCATGTCGAATGGTGCTGAGACTGACTCAGAGACTGTGGCGATACAGATGAGATTGGTAATTGACCTGAGATTGCATCCCATGTATGCAAAATGGAAGGTATCGGGAAATGCATGTTGTGGATTTTGAAAGCGAGAGATACATGAATTCATGTGAAATCGGGGGAAGAGAAGATACCATAGAGCGCTGTGTTTAACTTCGGCTTCGCAGCTTCTTGGTCAAGCTTTACAAGACAGATCCCACGTAATTTACCTACGGACTCCGCAGGGGGTAGCTTACGCAAACATGTCAGGGACCAACCAAGAGCCTTCACGCCAAATATTGCGTGGGCTGGTCTCTATGTGGCTAGGCTACCTAGACCCCTGCAGCGCTGACATGCCCCGCCAAAATGGGGGCCAAATGCAGGTTTTCACTTCTTACCTTGACATAATTGCATCAACAGTGTAGTTGAGCATCCGCACGCTAACATGTATACAGATGGGTCTGGTTCACAAGTGAAATGACTGTCACGCCAGAATTCTTCTTATATGCCAAATGTCGAGCGGGGCATCCCTGCAACGCCCCCGTACTCTATCGATCCCGATATCTGTGGGAGCCGTCAAAGGCCTATGCCAATTTGAAACATTGGCTCGATGTTTGGCAGGCAGAAAGGCTGAGATGTAGCAGGGCTGAAGGCTTGGGGCCATTTCCCTAGTGATTTGGCGGTGACCTTGGAAGTGTTGCGTGTGATGTAAATACTGAGTGCCGATCAGGTCCATAAAAACAAGTGTGTTTCCTTACTTTGTGTATATATCATTGGATCTCATACTTTAAGAACCCACCAGGCAAACACTACGCCCCAGACCTCCTGGCCTTACCGCCCTTTAGTGGGGGCCATAACTTGCAAACATGACCCCGAGATACTGTGAACCGACACCATTTCGAACGCTTTCACCTTCAACAACAAGAGACTATCGTTGAAGTTCATATCAATCAGACCAAGAGAAGAAATGGATCCACAACTGCTCCCACCAGATGAACAGTATACGTCGGACGTCACCTCTGAGAGCCAAGAAACCGGTCTTGAAGGCAACAACAACCCCGGAAAAAGCGATTCACAGAAGCCAGCAGAAGCCGAGGACGACACCGTCTCAGATGATGAAACTAGCCAGTCTGGAAATGACGAAGGGGAACTTTCACAACCTTGCCATGCAACCCCAGGAGGGATGGACGAGAATCCTATGCGTGCAAAAGTCGACTTTTGGGACTTTCAAATACAGTTGATGGTGTTGGAACAACAAAACAAGCGAAGGCTCATGATAGCACGCCATGAACAAGAAAGATTGAGAGGATGTGCGACGCAGCCAGCGCAAGAACAAGCGCTAGAAAAAGCGCAAAAACAAGCACAAGAACAAATGCGCCAAATATTAGAGAGCATGGCAATCACAAATGCAGAATGGACAGGAGGCTCCTCGCCAAATACAGACAGCATAGTCTCACCAGGCCCGAGACAGCCCTCATGTCTGTTGCTGGACCTAGATTCTGCCCCAGAAAGGCATGAGCCAATCCTCCGCTCACGGTTATGATGGATGGGTTAGATGAGTGACCCTCTCATCAGTGGGGAATAGCTATTTGGTCTCTTAGGGAGATTCGACGGTGGTGTCGAGATGTTACAAGGATTTTGTATCAAGCCGATAGAAACATATGTTGTGGATCCTTTTGGAAAGGAGAAGTCTTAGAGGTAATTTCTCGTCACGACCAGGGTCTTTTGATAGTATTACAAGAATCGCATGTTACTTACCGAGGCTAGAAGAACCGACAATTAGAAGCCAGCTTCAAGTTAGATGTAAAGGGACACTCAATCAGAAATGACGAAGTTACAAACCTTGCATTAATGTACAGGTGACTCCTGTTGCACGTTCTGAGTTACGAGGAGAAGTGATTATCCAACTATGATGACGGCCAGAAGCTCACTTCAACCTTGGAAAGCTCTGAGGGATAATTTTGGCAATGTCAACCACTACAATCTCACAAATAGAAGTAATGCCCGGAAAGAGCAACAGCAATCTCCAATTTTAGACCCCAAAGCAAAGCCCTCACTATCTATCCTGTATCTTGGAGATAATATTCATCTTCATTAGACAGTATCAAGGGAATTCTTGGTCTCGGTCAGGCAACGGCTACGCGAATCAATTATACTTTTACGACCATTGTGTATTTGCTGTCCATGTTCACGGGTGTGGTTGCCGATGGCTGGTGGGGGAAATATAGGATGATAAAATGGGCAACTGCGTATGTTATTCAACGTCCTTCAATTCGTTTACGTCTAACATTCAATCTCTGTCTCTGAAAATAGTGTTTATCTGGCTGGCCTAGCAATTATCTTACTTACAACGATTCCTCCAGCTATGAAAGCAGGCGCTGCACCCGCCGGGTATGTCACCGGGCTAGTATTAATTGCGATTGGACTTGGCGGGTGTCAGTCAACCATTGTTCCTTTTATCGGTAGGGCCCTCGCCTATTACTCTCTTGGGGGTCGAGAATGCTCCGAGCTATGTATACTGAGTACATTCTTAGCGGACCAGTATGAAAAATTCAGCCCCCGAACCAAAGTCACGACAAAGGGCCAGCAAGTGGTGATCACCCGAGATAAAACACTTACATACATCTACAGTCTCTACTTCTGGTCAGTTTACGAGCCCCTCCGTGTGCTCGATAACGCTGTATCTCACCTTAGCTACTCCAGGATGGTTAACGTCGGCTCTCTGAGTAGTATTGCCACCACCCTCTTGGAAGAGAAGGTTGGTTTCTGGGCAGCATACATTATAACATTTGCTTGCATGCTGTTGTCAGTCATTTTATTGCATATTGGCGATACTGCATTCGGTAAGTCCTTGCCCTGAATCATAGACACTGATCTAATTGAGTGCTGTATGTAGTGCAAGTTCCGCCCTCAGGAACCATGCTGCCCACTGCCTTCAAAGTAGTGGGCTGTTCGATTAAGAACGGGTTCAAAACTCGAGGCATCATCTCCCGCTTATCAAAGAAGTGTTCATAACCAAACTGTCCCATGGACCGAAAAATTCCACACTGGGATTTGCTCTGGCTTCAAGGCCATAAAAGTCTAGCATGTTCTTCCTTGTATATTATAACATTCATGATTTCACTGGGAAATTGAAGGGGTTGGCTCATACCCCCAACAGCTGTGCCTGGCCAGCCCTGTGGCTCTGCATATTCCAGGCCTCTGCCAACAGGATATCTCAAGCTGCCCAGATGGAAACAATGGGCATCCCGAACGACGCCATGAAAACTAGCAATGCAATGGCCCTCGTCATTCTCGGAATAGCAGTCGAAAAGTGGTTATATCCAGCTTTGGAAAATCGCAAAATCCAGTTCAAGCCAATGGCCCGTATCACTGTTGGACTATTGTTCATGACACTGGGCATTGCATACGGAACCGCTGTGCAGGTGATGATATACCACGCGGGGCCTTGTTATCAGTATCCGACAGAGTGTGGTGCCTCAGAAAACGGACTTCCCAATCACATCAATGTCATGGTTACTCTACCGATGTATATGCTGATCGCCTTAGCGGAGATTTTTGCATTCGTTACGGGGAACGAGTATGCCTATAAGCAAGCTCCGAAGGATATGAAGAGCGTGATGCAGTCCATATATGCGCTTATGACTGCAATTGTTCTGGGAATAGCCCTCTCTCCGTTGTCCCAAAATCCTCTGCTGATCGTGAGCTGGGGTACAGTGACGGGGATCATGTTTGTGGTAACCTGCTTCTTTTGGGTGATCTTTCACAAGCACGACAGGATTTAAATTTTGAAATCTAGCAACATACGAAGTCGCTTGAACATTTCCATTTGTAATAACTTATAACAAATTAATATTATGCATTTCAAAACCAGAAGGTTCTGAACGCCTTAGTCGAACAATATGTCAAAACCATATAAAGCACTTATTCGCCATCTTCCTGTCGAGACTTCGTACTAGAAGAACGAATAAATAGAGCCGAGACCAAACCAGCACATGCGAGATACAGTGCAAATCGGAAGGCTTGGTGAAGCGCGTCCAAATAACAGTCGTCTCCTTCAATACAGGCACTACCATTCACCAAAGAAGCCAGATTGAGCCGGTAGTTGAAAATCGCACTTGCAACAGACAGACCCACTGTGGACCCTGTCGATCGAAAAGCGTATAGGGCAGAGGTGGCCGTCGCATGCTTCTCGTGCGGGACAGCATGAAGTAATGCGAGAATTAACATAGTCAGACCACCACCCATTCCAAATCCTTTGCAGAACAGGTAGACTTCTGGCAGAATCCAATGTGTTTCTCGTGAAATAACAGTGAATCCGGCCGATGCAATAACCAGAAGAAGTGTCATGGTGTACCTGAACACTCCATATCCTCCGGTTACCCGAATAACCAAGCCAACGATGAAAGATCCCAGTCCGGCGCCGATAGAGTCGGGGAGAAGGTAAAGGCCTGTCTCGCTTGTTGAATGTCCCAGCATCTGCAGATATAGCGGAACATAAAAGGTGAGCGCATAAAACGCCATGGACATGAACCAAGCTGTCAAGCACGCTGCAACCACAGTCCGTCGACCGAAAAGTGAGAGGGGAATTATTGGCTCTTTTGCCCACCGATATTCAATGATGATGAATGTCAATAGAAGCATGAGACCAAGAGGAATGGCAACGACAAATAGAGGTGAGCCCTCTTGGATTCCATCGTGATTGAGGCCAAGCAATAGCAGAACCAGAGATGACACCAAAGTCACAGAACCGAGAAAATCAACTCGACCGAGCATCTCCCTAAAGTTCTCTTTGCCATCGGTGTTGTTTGGCACAAATGTCGCAACGCCTAATCCGGCAACGAGTGATACCGGCGCAATACCAATGAACGCCCATCTCCAGCCCGCAGCATCATTTACTGCACCACCGATCACAGCTCCTAGACCCATACCAGAGGTATAGACGACAGCACCAACACCTTGCCAGATACCGCGACGATGAAGAGGAATATTATCGGATGCGATGAAGCTCGCGATGGAAATGCATCCACCACCTCCGATGCCAGTAATAACGCGCGCGGCAATAAGTACTATCTTCGAATGAGAGAAGCCACAGATGAGATTGCCGATGGTGAATAACCCCGACGCGACGCAAAAGGTCACGCGCCGGCCGAAGATATCACTTAGTTTTCCGCTGAGAGGTTGTGTGGCTGTAAGGCCAATTAGGTAACCTGAGCCCAGCCATGATACAAGGGCCAGGGATCCAAATTCATAGGCGATGGTGGCAGATAGTGTTGAGGTGATGGTGCTGTCCGCTGCCGCGAGAAATGTTGCAATCCATGTGGAGACAATCGCGGCGACGACAGCAGGCCTTATTTGTGGGTCTTCTTGGATTGGGACAAGGGGCGACCGGGGCTTACGGCCGGGCGATCCCTGAGGAAGCAGAGGCGATTGCTCAGGTGTTGAAACCATGGTGCTCATGCCATAAATCCTTCACGAGAGTTTGCAGGTGGGCTCAGAGGGAGATTGGGTGCGGAGCGGGAAAAGGGGATTGATTCATGATCTACACAGCTGACTCGTCTTTTTGAATGCAAGGAACCTTGGAATGGAAAGCGATACATCCAGACATATTTTAAACTGGCCAATTGCATCAACATTGTATTCACTCTCTATTCAATTCTTTGCCTTGGTGTCTCACTTCAATGTAGACCAATGGTTGCTTTTCTCAACCGTCCTTCCCTGCAGACGAAAAGTGCCAAGACAGCCGTTCATGACATGCAGGCCCGCACTACCCGCATTTGAACGATGTCAAGGTTGTCTTGGCATTTGTTACGTCAGAAAATATCCTCGAAGGAATGCTGACATGAGTCTAACCATATTGAGTTGGGTCTGTGCCTCCATATGATATCGATGACAGAAAGCTAGCCTGTTGCGGACACAGAATTTGCCAGTGGAGTCGTCCACTGTATACTTCATTACCAGGAAAGAAAGACAAATAGCCATGAAGACTTAATTTAAAAGGATCCATTGTTGCTTGTAAAACTAACAATCGGTTACTACACTTTCCACGTTTTATATTTCATTTCACGCAATATGTCCGCAAAACAAATTCTTCGCTCCGAGGCCATTCTCGAAAAGTATGGCAAAGCAATTGCTGGAAAGACAAGTATTCACAGCCTCAGCCCTTGCACCTTATTGTTCTCATCCTGAACTGATCAAAACAAGTCTTGATCACTGGCATCTCCGATATATCCATTGCCGGAGAACTGGCAATCCAGCTCTCCACCGCCAACCCCAAACTCCTTATCCTGAGTGCTCGAGCCGAATCAAAGGTAACTTCCGTGATCGAAAAGATCAAAGAAACCAAGCCCAATGTCATGACTCGATTCTTCAACATGGATCTTAACTATCTGAGTGGAATTCGCGAAGCCGTTGAACATGATCTTGCGGATATTAATCAGATCGACCATGTGATCTGCGCAGCTGGAGTGATGGCTTGTCCCTACACAACGACAAAAGATGGGGTTGAGATGCAGTTTGGCGTCAACTACCTAGCCAACTTCTTGCTAGTCAAGCTTCTTCTTCCTAAGGTTCAAGCTGCAGGCCCATCGTCTTCTATCATCAGTGTGGCGAGTGCTGCTGCTCGACAAGGTAAGGTAGATTTTGATGATATCGGCTTTAGTGTAAGTTGATCCATATGAAGAGACATATTGGTATTTGATCTGACGATCCTTGAAGAACGGAGAAACCTACGAGCCAATCGCTGCATATTGCCAGTCCAAAGTTGCACGGGTCATGTTCGCCAAGAAACTCAGTGAGAACTTGAAGGGCCAAGGGATCCGAGTCTATAGTATTGACCCTGGCTGTAAGTGAAATGTCTCTTTTGATTGTCAAGTGTGTAAGGCTCATTATCATAGCCGTTACCACCGGACTCCAACGTCATGTGGATGCAGAAATGGCAGCAGCTATTGAGAAATTGAGGAAAGGCGGATGTATGTGACTTGCAACTCGCGAATCCACTTGATTCTAATTGCTTCCAGATTTCGTCGACTTCGATGGAAATCAATGGCAATCTCAGCCGCGTACCACTCGCTCTGAGGGTGCAGCAACCATCATCACGGGCATGATCGATCCCACAATCACAGGTTAGTTCGCCATTTTATGTCTTGTGAGATGAATCACTAACGATAAATTTCATGATACAAGATCACAATGGAGCTTATTTGAGCCAAAACGCTCTTGCGGACGATGAGCTGCATAGCCATATCCTCGACGAGAAGAACTGGGCCCGACTTTGGGAACTAAGCGAGAAATTGATCCAAGGTCAATGATATCGCAAAGATCAGTTGTGAGAATGAGAAGAGAAGAGAAGGGTATATCCATATTAGTTTAGTATTCAATATACTTCTCCTTGCACAGTTACATCATTCCTGAACTTCCTCAGAATGCACAAATCCGACCGGTTGTCCAATATGTAACGGCTTCTCGCCCCGAATCCTCCTCCAATGATTCGTAGTCTTTATAATCTCCGGACACTCCTTCAACAACCAAGCCCACTTCCTAAAAACACCCTCCGAAATCTCATAAGCAGTCGGATCCCACGGCTCACCCCAGGAAATCAGCCCAATCCCATTTGAAGCTCCAATCTGGCCGTGAAGATCACCACAGAAATCATCTTCGTCATATCTATCCAAATTCTTCAACAATACGTCTCGGAAAGATTTCATGGGCATAAGATCTATCCAGGGATGATGAAGAATTTCTATTTGGGTAGACGTTGGCTGTAAACTTGGTGGGAGCTGCATGGTCATTGGTCCGGGGATGTTGAATGTGGAGACAATATCTTCACCCAGTATTTCTAGCGTTAGACCCATAAATGTTGCATTGATCAACATGGCGTTCACGATATTCAGGTTGGTGACTGGGGCGAGAAGGGTAAGTTGGTGCAGCTGGTTGGCTGCTGCAGAAGCGACCCTTTGTTCTAGTTGTGCAATAAGGTAGTTTTTTCGGGCATTCCAGTCTGCAATAGTGGCGCTGGTCTGTGGATTTGATTGACACGATTTATGTGTGGGCTTTTTTGGTGGTATTGAAGATATAATCATATGGTCGGTTTTGACCAGTTCTGCTTCTGCATGAGCTTTGGCTTCTTCGGTATAGATTATCCATCGTTTTTGTTTGTTACTGTGCTTTCCGGCCTTGAGAGCTCTTCTCTCCCCTGTATTCAATGTTAGAGTGGAATTTCGGTAGACGTGGCAAAATGGAGATGTCACATACGGCTGGCCCGCTGGTTGAGGCGGTTCTGGAGTCGTCGCTTTGCCGCGGCATCTGTCGTTGGCGGAGCCTTCGGCATATCTATTGTGGATATTGATTGATCTGATGTGGTGTCCATTACGTGCAGTGTCTGGTAATGTTGAACGTAGACTGTGGAGGCTGAGCCTGCGTTAAAATAGAATTTCGGAATTAAGGTAAACGCCGCCGCCGTGAACCATGAAGGCAGGTGGGTCCCATTCGAAAAGGGGTTTGTAAATGGGCAACAGATTTCGTCAATTTCATGAAGGAAATGTATTTCATAATAGAGTATTGGGAATAAAGGATGGTATCAAATATGTACATGACTGAAACTGAGAATTATGTATAAGAATGGTAAAAGAATGACTGAAAGTCTGACTCCCGCGTCATGACGGGCTCCGTAACGTGGGAGGTTTCCCAGGAGTAAGAGGTGTTCGTAAGAATGATTGAGCCTCTTCATTGTGCTCAAAATTCATCTCGCTGACTCCGAGTGGAACAGGCTTATAATCTGATGCCATCTGAGATTTCCGGTAGGTGCATGTCTTCCATATCCAGTAGACGCCCAGCAGCACGCAGCATGCAATCATGAAAATCGAGAGAACAACACCAGAAGAGAGAGAAACGGCGGGTGACGAGCTTCCATGCGACTGGAGTCCTAGTGTATCAGTAGCACCGAGAAGTTCGCGCTTATCATTCAAGGCAGCGACACGGAAATAGACATGGGGTAGGTTGGTCGGAAGTTCGATCTCCGTCTCAAAACCATCCTTTTCAACGAGATTCTGCGGGCGGAACTTCATTTCCTTCATGTCCACACCATCCCATAGCTCAAGTCTCCAATAAGCGACTTCTGTTGCTCCATTCCAGTTCACGTACACTGAACCGCCCGCCACGACGCCCTGCGGGCTCGTGTCTGGTTGACCGGCCCAGCTTCCCTTAGCGATGCGGTATGAAACGGCCTGTCCAAGCTGGAACCAATTTGAGGGCGCAAAATGTGTGTCGCATAGCATCTCTCCGTCGCTCGAAAACTCGGTGAACGCAGCGCAGTGGCCCCAAGCAACCAAGACATTACCCGAGTCAGCTAGGACTTGCATGTTGCCTTGTGATGTCGCGCGGATTCCTTCAGGGTGGTAGTATTCCGATCGAAGAGTTGCGATTAAGTTGTCGGTATCAAGTTCGACGGTCATTCCCCGGCTCTCTGTCGGTCCGTCCATAAACGTCTCGGCGGTGTTGTCGAAAAGGGTCAGTGTGTGCTCCCCGCGCCATCGCGCATCATGTTGCCAGCAGAAGTTTGTCGCCCGTCCTTCCGATGCGTCGGCGAAATCGTTTAGTTTCCCGCCTAATGTCCACAGGACCTCGCCAGTCTTCCCATCAATGCTCGTGATAGAGTGTGTGTGACGCGCGGAAACAAGATAGTTGCCTGCGCTATCTTTGTCAATGCTGTTCATGTGGAAGACATCGTAAGGGTCGCTGAAGGCTAGGCCCCGGCCTTGCAGTTGCTCGTATGATGCGTTGAGAGGGACATGCTCCGACATGCGCCATTCGAAAATAAGGTCTCCTGTCGCAATGTCGATTTCCTGGAAGAGACATTCAGAGAAGTAGCCGTACTCTGGGCCTCCTAGCGCGCTCAAGTCGGTTGGTTGGACGTCATAGACAATCACCATGGCGGTGCCATTCTCGGTGATCTGGAAATCATGCATATCACCATCATGATTACCGACCGCTTGCACTTCAAAGCGGTGCGTGTAAGTCGAATCTAGCTGCAAGGAGTTAGGATCCGAAATGTATAAAATTGGAATCATGGATAATAGCCTACCATGGACCAAGCACCACGACCGTGCCCGCCGTCTGCTTTTCCGTGCCAGTACGTCAGGTACTGTTCACCCAAGTACTCCTGTACGCGGAAATCCTGGATTTTATCAGATCCCGGCTTCATCATCCATACGAGGTTGCCGAGAGAATCGAGGATCATGGCACCCGGGTTCTCAACGGCGTTTCCATGTGGCGCCATGAAGGTATAATCATTGCTGCACCTGGGACTCCATGTAGCCAGCTCGACGGCCGGAGACTCGTATTCAAACGAGACATATTTGCGAGTTGGGTAGAACCCGTAAAATCCGTCGTCAAATAACGAAACACCTATTTGGAGGTGGAGACGCTGCAGATTCGGAAGCGCGAGGAACCGAAGCGCAACAATTAAAGTAATGAGGATAAATAGCCATGACGCGATGGCTTGCTTCCCATAACGCCGCCGCCACGGCCATTTAGAGCGAGAAAACAACATCGCTCACTCACTGTCGCTCCCTGGTGGTGATGTGGTTTGTCGAAACATTATCACAATAAGGAGAAACGGTCCATGATTCAGGGCCTACGTTATGGAGAAAATTAATCAATGAGCGGATCTAGTAATTAGGGCCGCTATACAGGGTGAAAAGTTTTGAAGGCATCCGATTGGCCCGGTTTGGGCTCGCGGGCCCTCTGGATTACGACAAGCGGAGGGATAGTATTCGTAATGCCCAGACTGATAGTGCAGTTCCACCTTTAGGGACCAAGGAGGTGGGGATTGTGACAGGGAATAGTGCAAGAAATGGGAAATGATCTGTAAATCACCTGCGCATGATCTCCCTTTACATTGGAAAAGCTTGATTCCATCCCAACCTTCAACGCCAACCTTTCAAACGGGTGTTCGGCTTGCAGTAAATGATTCGCTCTGTCAATAATGTGGCATACTAAGCTAAAAGGGGCTGCATGATCGTCATCCAAAACTTATCTCCACCCAATGACCGGTAATTGTCCAGCGGCGGGTTCTTGGCGTCTCCACAGGCCACGAGTTAGCGAACGCCAAGGCTTTCGGAATTCGTTTCGCCGTATTGCGTGGTCGTACATCTGATTAAAATGGGCCCGCCAAGGATAAAAAAATACCCCTGTGGGGATCGTAATCGCTTATCTCACAAAACTTGCGTCATGTTGATGTACGTAGACCATCGGAGTAAATATCAGATCAATATGGAATTAATGCATAGGAGTTTCACAATAACAGGGTATCAAGGTGTCAGAATAAGGATATTAGGCAGGGTATCAGGCAGGGCATCAGGAATGGTATTCGGGCAGGGTATCGGGCAGGGTGTTAGACTAACGATACTAGTGAGAATGCTAGAATAAGGATATCAAAGAATCGAAAGATCGGCGGTGGGTAGCAGAATTAGAGTAGTTATCAGGGGCCACCTTAACCATCGGGTCAGGCCATCAGGTCAACTGGTAAACTTTCAAACCAGCCAAGCAATCTGGAAACATCAGGGAAACGAGGGTGAGGGGGGATTGGAGGGTCAACCCTGATTCTAGCATAAAGCTTGTGCCATGAGAGCTTGTCAAAGTCAACATATTCGGAAGTCAAAGCCGACTTGTTCGGCTCATCAGCAAGCTTCGAAACATCACGCAACGCCTGCTGACATATGCAAAACAGGTGGCTCAGATCTTGGTTATCTTCCATATTTTTTTCGCCTATTTCGAGGAGGCGAAGAATCTTGTCGAATTGTCCAGCATGGTAGACTCGTACTTCTTTGTCCTTACTGTCGGTAGAGATAAAACGAAGACCACGAGCTGCGATTATGGCCAGACCGCAGGCATATGCATAGTGGGCGTATTCGCATGCCAACGCGTCGATTGGTAGGGACGCGGATTCCTTGCATTGCCACAACAGATCTGTAAGTTGTGCAGCAAGATTCAGGCATTTGGAGGAAGCATTCCGGATGATCGTAAGGATGGACAAGCCATGTTTTCCATATTTGTTTTGGCGTCTCATATGAGGTCCTGAACCACAAGCACAACTAACGGAAAGGGCAACACCAAGAATCAACAGCGGTCGGTAGAGACGAATTTTGAAATAGAGGTATCGCATAAGCAGACGGCTACGTAGCCTACCAATCAATGGACTGGGGCTATCGGACTGAAACTTGTCCCGTAGAGCAGTAGGATCTTGTAGAACAGTAGGCAGTGATTCGTACCAACTTTCCAGTCTAGTCTCCATGTTCAGGAAGTCTCGGAGGTCCGCCTCCTTGATCTTCTGAAGGGCGCATTGACCGTTGGAGAGTCGTACCTCTTCTTCGAAATCAACCAGCTCGTCCATTATGACGTGAAGACTGCGAGATGCATAAAAGAACTTGGAAATACAGATGCTTGTACCCTGGCCATTTTCGGCCAATCCCGGGACACCATCAGCCCACGTATCTGAGAATGGCGCTTTGTTGAAGATAGAGTCGATTCCACAGTACGTCACACCTAAATCCAGGGCCAGAGAACGCTCCATCATTTGCATGCTGTGCCAGAGACGCACTGCTAGCTTGTTGGAGGTACTATCGGGATCAAAGGCCTTGTCCAACTTTGCATTGATGCCAAACGTATGAGCCTTCCGTATGGCCAAGCCAATGACTTCCCATGCGGAAGTCAAATCCCCAACCGCTCGCAAATATTGGCTCTGCAGGACTTGGCATTGCACAAGACTTAGCATGTCTCCAGAATTCATAATTGAGGGCATGGAATCCTGCGCGGACCGGTAAAGTGTCGGTGCATGTTTGAGTACACGAGAATCACCATAACTCAAACAGGCAAGTGCATGACAGAACTTCAACGGCCCAGCTTGCGAGTTTTCGATGGCACCCCCTTGAGATTTTGAAGGGTCTTGGTATGGTTCGAACACGAGCAAATCAATTATTGGCAGCAAGGGATAGTCCGTATGACAATAAACCTCGAACAACCTGGCTGCGAGACTCTCGGACAATTGAAACGTGGGCCTTGGATGTGGCAATGCGGTCGATGGTTCTATTCGGAAGGTTGGCTCAGGATCGGAGAGACTATTGGATAATGTAGGTCTTGAGGTGACAGTCGGTTGTTTTGGCTTTGGTGCAGACAATATCTTCGCTTGCACGGTGCGTTCTGGCACTTGGACTTGACTCGCATGCTCGGATCGGCAGATTTGACTTCGAGTAGACCTGCCGGCCTGCTTTGCAACCGAGTCTCGAAACAAAATATTCATGCAGTTTTGCCACGTCGTTCGGCTCATGGGCACTTCAGTTTCGAGGGCAGTATTGAGTTCAATCAAAACCTGTTTATCCCGTGGGTTTAGCTGTGATTTCCTTAGGACGCGATGGAGAAGTCTTAAACCCGCAGGGGACCAGCTTTTCATCGGTCTCTGACGGTCGCCACTCATCGAGGGGGTGAATATTCCTAGGCAAATGTCCCGTTCATGAGCATCGACAGCGGAGCGATCCATGAATGGTACTTTTAAGATGAACTCTAGAGCACGCATATCAGAATTGCTGAGCTTACCACCTTTTGTAGGCCCGTCCCATCTTTCCTGTATCATGACCGAAAACTCTGCCTTTTCCTGCAGTTCATCCTCGGAGTATGACGGATGATCTTGTTGCAAGACCTCGAGCAGGCGAATCAGGGTGGGGGCTTCCAGTGAAGCAGCATTCCGCTTGTTATGAATGATCTTCACCAGATCCCAACGCAAAAGATCCATCTCATTGGGGCCGTCGGGTAGTTGAATATCATCTGGTATCTTGGGCTCATTCTCGGAGCTTTGTTCATCAGAAGTGGACGCGTGTCTCTGTCTCCGTGGCCTCTTCGTGGGTGTAGCTGGCTCCTCTGTTGAGACACGTCCGGACTCTGGTCTTCGGCGCCGTTTTGCGGGTCGAAGAGACTCAGACGAGTCAGATTCCGCTTCCATGAGCGCAGGAGAGGGCTCGACCTCTTTCTCGCCTCGAGGACTGGCGTGCCTGGCCCGGTGAGCTAATGTTATAAGTGCACGAGAAGAGACTGTGAGCTTACGATACATTGGGTGGAGGCATGTCTTCCGGTCGGTATGAGCAGGAAATGTCATTCCCATTGTCTGCGCAAGTTCCACATGCTGAATCATAACATCAGTACATATATCCCACGGAAGCAGCCACAGTGCCTCGCTAGTTGCAGGACCTAGGTAACTCACTGGGCTTCACTTTGTCGCAGCCCCGTCTCTTAGATCTGCACATTGAGCACGGAGTTTCAGCATACTCATGTGAACCTTCATCCTCTGAATCCTCGATGACTTGTGGTTCCTCCATGACTATGAGAATGGGGACCCGCTCTTGGTGGAGATTGGCTTCTGGGCCGATGATTTGGTACTAGAAAATTTGATAGAGAGAAGAGAAGTAGAACGAAGGCAAAATTTGAAACATCAATTGACAGCATAGAATAAGCGCGTTAAATGCACACGAAAGATAAAAATTGTGTAGTGAATACAACAAGTGAAGGTGGACAAGATGCCAATGGTGGATCACGCGCCGGGACGCGTTCGGGACGGTGGGTCCGCGAGATCTATCATGCCCGGCGCTTAAGGGGGCATGCACGTGGTGATCGTGGCGGGGTGATGAGATAGTCTGTCTTTCGGCCAATCATTCAACCCTGGGGGTATCAATCAGTTGATCTTCCTAGACGATCGATTTATCCTGTCGATATCAAACAAAGCGGTTAATTATTCCCTATATTAGTGTACCACCTAAGCAATTGAGTAGACCTGCAAGCTTTCTTTGATATGGTGCGATCTTAGGTTAGTAAACACCTTTTTATAGCCTTCAATAATTAGATCTTAACATTTGAGATTCATTTGGTATTATACACTAGCGCCTAGTTCGTTGGTGGGCCACTTCACCATTGCTTCATGACAAGTACAGTCGATTTCTGCGTACAAGCTTGGTATCTCCATGATAAGCCCTGTGAGGATCTATGACAGATTGCATAGCTACCACCCTTTTCTGAGAATATGTTTGCAATTGCACTTTAGGGCTTTGCTGGAGGGTCATGATAGGGTTTGAGCTACCAACTTCATCCCCTTGCCCAATCCATGACCACGTTTGAGTACAGGTCAGGGGAATTGTTCAAAGATCAAACGTCTCCTAGAGTCATGGGAATAAGTTCAATGCCAGAGTGCTCATTTTTCTGCCTCATCCACGAGTTTTTCAACCTCCTGTTCCGTCATTCGATGGAACAACTTTCGTGCATCTGAGAGCTCAGCCTCCTTGGGGAGTCCATTGTTGACCGATTGCACATGAAGCACAGGTACATCGTAGTCGTAGACATCCTTCCATGCCTTATTGACTGGTTCCTGGATATCTTTCTCCACATACTCGAAAGGACGGCGCTTATTGAGTTGAACGACCGTATGTTTTGCCGTGTCGCACAGCCCGCAACCGGCTCGGGTAAAAAAGGGTCAAGCGAGCTTGACCAAGAAGGGCACGAGTAGGAAGCATGGCTGTAGTTGTATGAACAATTGAATATAGAAGGAAATAGAAATAAAACGGTGTTCTCGGAGATCTGTAAGGTTGATCGCGAATCACGGAGAGCGGTCAGACAATCTCCGCGATGGAACCTTCGAGCTTCGCGGGGCTAACCCGATTTAGGTAACCTGCGCCAGTGTGCTGCGAATTGTTAATCCCAAATTTCGCCCAGATCTCTCTACGTTTTCCGGTTCTCATCTCAATCTCTCCTAATTTCACGCAGGATACCATTGCACGCCATGACCGAAAAGTGCGTCCACAAGGGGTGTGGGAAGACCTTCTCCGATCCGGAGGAAGACTGCGTCTACCATCCGGGTCCTCCAGTGTTTCACGAAGGCCAGAAAGGTAAAGTACCTTGGTGCTGGAGCTATTCCACATTGGTGTCCATTCATCTTTTCTTTACCCACCCAATAGAAAGGAGAATGCAAAGCCGATCTCCATTTGCTGCGAAACAATCGGGCTGACTTTGACCAGGCTGGAAATGCTGCAAACCCCGCGTCTTGACTTTTGAGGAATTCCTCGCGATCGCGCCATGCACCACTGGCAAGCACTCGACTGTCGATGACACCCCCGCTCCAGAACCCCCCAAGGCCACCGAAGAGCCCCCTGTTCCTGCTCCCGCACCCGTCCAAGTGAAGACGCTGCCCGAGCGCCCCGCCATCACCGCCATTGCGCCGCCCACGCCCCCCGCCAACCCCTCACCAACAGAGCCTGACTCGGACGACCCGTCGCTGGATATTCCTGCCAACGCAACATGCCGTCGCAGAGGCTGTGGCACTACATACACGGGATCCGCGGCGCGGGATGACGAGAAATGCGTGCACCACCCAGGCCAACCGATCTTCCACGAGGGCAGCAAAGGATGGACCTGCTGCAAGCGCCGTGTGCTTGAGTTTGACCAATTTCTGAAGATCCCCGGCTGTACCGAGAAAACAAGACACATGTTTGTGGGCAAGCCCAAGCCTGAAGGCGAAGAGAAGGTGGAATCCGTTCGGTAGGTCTTACCAGCCATTGACTGATCGACACATCGCCCCGCGGCCTCAAACTGACTTGGATTTTCAACAGCAATGACTTCTACCAGACCGCGACCTCCGTGAACGTTTCGCTCTACTTGAAAAAGATTGACAAGGAGCGTGCCAGCGTCAAGCTTGCCGAGAAGTCTATTACTTTCGACCTACCCACCTCCGATAACAAGCGCTTCCAGGACACCTACAGCCTCTTTGCTCCGATTGATGCAGAGAAGTCGAGCTTCCGTGTGTTGGGTACCAAGCTGGAGCTGACACTGGTCAAGGCCGACGGCACCAGCTGGCCGGTGTTGCGCAGCGATGATAAGTGGACTGGAGAACGCATTCAGATTGGCAATGCCGGACGGGCATAAGAACTGAGCATATAGAACACGACAAATGTGTTTATGTGACTTGAAGATAATGCCGGAGCTGAGCTTTATGACCTGGTAGCTAGTAGGCTGCCTATTATGAAAAGGAAATTGTTGAGCAATTGAGTTGAATGAGACAATAATAAGAATTACTGACGCCCATTAGCGCAGACGCGTCATTTCCATACTACGCAAGCAGTTCATGGAAGAAGGGTGGCATTTAAGGTTGTGACAGGGCTTGACACAGGCTTGTACTCCGTACATCTTATGGTGATAGCGCGACCACATAAGACGCCATGAGCGGGTTCAAGGAGTTTACGATCGCCTTGCAGGTAGATTGTATCATCATACATGCATGAAAGCCCGGAGGTCATTCATGTCCCGCTAGGAAACAACCTTATGTGCTTTAAGCGTATCTGCTAGGAATGCAAACAGCTTAAAGCTCTATAGGATTTACCGTATTCATATCAAGATTCTACAAGTCAATTCTAAGCAGAATCTTGACAATAAATAATGGTTTAAAAAGTGGTATGTCGTGCCCCCTCCACAGCATAAGCGCATGGAGCTCCCGTGAGGGAACCCTAGCTCAGCCATAATTGTTTGGGATAAAGGGAGACCATTTGTCTGCAGAGCCGGGAACGGAAGAAAGCCCATGGAGGTATAAACCACAAGGACAACCCTCAGCAAGCCGCGTACGGAGCCCTGGGAGAAAATTTTACATTGTTATGTAAAACCTCTACTGATGATGTGGAAAAGAAAAAGAAAACCTTCCTGGGCCGGGGTGACCGACCGTATTTATACCTGTGCATGTGAGTAGACGCTAGTGCTGATTGGGCCGGGACTAATGGTTCCGCCGTGATCCGCGCGCTAGTGGTAACCGAGAGAAATATCAAATTCTCGGATAAACACTTTCGCCACAATCCGCTGATCTAGTCCTGATGAGGCAGTTAGGGCCTGGGTTTTTCTCCTAGGGCACAGTGAGCCCAGTGACCCCCTCCCCTGTCTCACATGTGAAAGTGTTGTGACCCCGCCTAGTGGAGTTATTCTGCCGTTGCGGCCCATCTTTTTTTCTTTGACAATGGTTACACTTCAACAGTCATGTAGTCCGTGTACTACGATTTCCTCTATAAATCTTGGTGTCAAGTTAACTGCTGCTTTATTAATTGAATCCTATTCTATCATTTCTTTTATCGTACTACTTAAATGTTGCACTCGACTCAGGATCCATGGAAGTTCCTTTAATTGGGGCAATACTCTTCCAATCATGGGTCAGGAGCACGAGACCAAATCAATCCCCTGTCTCATTCTTCGCCTTTAAACCTTAGTCTCAACAACAACTCAGGCTGCAGCCTTAGACCACTATTCATTTTCCCATGCGACCTCTTTCCTCCTAAGGAAATCTTAAACATAAAAACTTCTCAATTATTCCATTCAGCCTTCACATCCTTCCTTTGCAGATCTCCCGTTCTCCAACGTGCCCCCAAGATAAATTGTTTGAGCCTCCAGAAATAGGACCCTGTCTCGGATGTCCACTAACATGAGCCAGGCCCAATCACTCGGTGCTTGATTTAAAAGCCGCGCTCCGGACCGAGACCCTGAGACCCAACTTTTTTCTCCTTCAATCCTCCGACAACCCCCTATTCCACCCCCACCATGGGCTCCTCCGAGAACCAGATCGCCACGCCAAACTTGCGATACATCCCCCTCTCCTATAGCCCCGCAGACTCCCAGGCATCCGCCCTGCGACTGATCCTGACGCTCTTTCCAGACTGGGAGGGCCCGGAGAACAAGATCGAGTTCGTGCGCTTCACCGATGGCATCACCAACACTGTTTGTCTCCCCGCAGTCCAAGGGCCTTGATCCCGGAGTGATTATTGCAACGCCAGGACCTAACTGACTGGGATCCTACAGCTTTTGAAAATCATCAACCGCAAGGCCGGCTTGACGGACGAGCAGGTAGACAATGATGCGGTATTAATGCGCGCATACGGCAACGGCACTGAGATCCTCATAGACCGCGAAAGTACGAAGACCCAGGAGTTGGGATTAATAACCTAATCCCTCTCTCTCTCCCTGCGATCTATACCTTCGCTGCCCAGTGCGACATATGCTAAAGTAGACTATTGTGCGTCATTTTAGGAGAAACTACATCCCACGCCCTTCTTGCCAGCTGCGGCCTCGCTCCCCCTCTCCTCGCTCGTTTTAATAATGGCCTTCTCTACCGCTTCATCCGTGGTAAGCCCTGCGGCCACGAGGACTTGGCAACTGCTCCCATTTACCGTGGTGTTGCTCGGCGACTTGCGCAGTGGCATGCGGTTCTTCCTATTTCCGGTGCCGTTTCTACCTCCGGGGCAGACTCGACCGGAGCCAATGGCGAGAAGCAGGGCTTTGAGATGATCCAACCGCGTCGCGCGGGGCCCTCCATGTGGGCTGTTCTTCAGAAGTGGATTATTGCTCTCCCGGTGGCCACGCCTGAACAGCGGGCCCGCCAGTTGAACCTGCAACAGGAACTGCAGTGGGTGGTGGGCCAGCTCGACGATGGCAAGGGAATCGGTGAAGACGGGGTAAGCCAATGACTGCATACACTTTTTTGCTTTATTTGGGTGGACATTTGATTGACTTCTGCCTAGCTTGTTTTCTCTCACTGCGATTTGCTTTGCGCCAATGTGATTGTCCTGCCCAGCGACGAGAACTCTAAGCCATCCGATGATATCACCCCCGTTAACTTCATCGACTACGAATATGCCGTTCCTGCCCCGGCAGCCTTCGACATTGCCAACCACTTGGCTGAGTGGATCGGCTACGACTGCGATTACAACATGATCCCCACGCAATCAGTGCGCCGTCAATTCCTGACCGAGTACACTAAGAGCTACATTCAGCACCGCAAGTTGGATACTTCTTCCGAAAGCGAGATCGTCGCCAGATTATATGAGGATGTCGACCGGTTCCGCGGTATTCCCGGTCTATACTGGTGAGTGACGTACCCGCGACTTAACCAGGCCATCAAAATAATCCCCAAAAAGTCCACAGCTAACTAATCCACCCAGGGGTGTTTGGGCTCTTATCCAAGCTCAGATTTCGCAGATCGATTTCGACTACGCTAGCTACGCCGAGCTCCGTCTAGGCGAGTACTGGGCCTGGAAACGCGAAATTGACGGAACCCGTCAAACCAGCGGAGAAGCTATGCCCCTCCGTGAGCAGCGCTGGGCGCAACAGGCATGATAAGCCCCTCACCGCATAACACGCCACTCGCCCATCCTCCCCCTCTCGTCCCACCTCAGATTCGTGGGATCAATATTATTCGACAGCAACTCCTGCCCCTCATTCGATGGCCTAGATACCCCACTTTCCACTTTTCTGGTCTAACCCAACTTTGCCTACAATAACACCTGCACGGGTTTATTTTCTGGCTAGCACTTGGTTTAAAAAAAATTTCAACATTCAATACCGGGGAGTCGGAGATGGGACCAATCGATACGAGAATTGGGAGCCACGTGCGTGAGTGGGGAGAAGATGTTGAAACTAAAATGGTCCACTACAGGATCTATATGCATTGCGACGTCATTGGTGTTTTATTCCTTTCCATGTTTTTTTTAACCTTGTTCATCCTGAGTCCTGTTGTCACCATGGATGTTTTGTGTTGATCAACTTTGCACATAGCTTTTTGGAGGATCTCAAATTCTATCCAGTTGGAATATATTATTGACAATGCATAGCTAGTTATTTAATTCATAATGTTTTGTTCGATTAGAACCTGCCCTGATTGACCTACAGATTGACATTATGCACCCTTCTGAATGGGGATGGGGTGTATGTATGTCCCGCCAACTTGCAGGCTCTAGACTCCACCCTGCATTTCATGCAGTCTGCATTGGGCTAGCGGAACGGTACAGTAGTTCTTGCTTTTCTCATTAGGAAAACATACTTGAGAGTAGTTTAGCGCAGTGCGAGTCCGTGTGACCCCTCGATGACGTTGACTTTGCTCTACTTGATGGCTTTAAGTGTACACTACGTATTCTGCTATGCCTGAGATATTCATTTCCCATCGATTTCAATTTTTATCCTATTCAAAAAGCTATCCATTCTCAATATCCATGACAATTCGAATTCTCAATCCTTTTCCATCTTTCCATTCTAATAATCTCCACCATAAAGCAATGTAGCAAATTCCAACCACCAAGCAATTACTTCACTCACAGCCTAGTAGAGCAAATACGTCTCTACTTCCCGTAGAACCCCATTATCTCTTCGCCAAAGACACTTTCCCAGCCCTCGTATTTCGGGGCATATGTTTTATCACCGATGTGTGCATCTCGAAACTGGTACCACTGAAACACATCCCCAAACAGCTCGTCTCTCTCATCCTCATCCAACTGAAAATACCAGTTTTCCAATGCAATAAGGAATCGTCGTGGCTCATCATACATCATCCAGGCCTCTGAAATGCCAAATCGTCTCGCGCCAGCTCGCAGCTCTTCGGCAGGTCGACCCCAGTGGTAACCTTCGCGGTCATAGGCGCAATGATTGTCGTCGAGTGCCAGGTTCCCTCTTCCGACCTTTCCGCGTCGAAAGTCTGTGGCTGATTTGACATCAAGTGTTGAGCAAAGTCCTTTCTTGTTTCCCCATGCCGGATTGTCTCCTGCCCATTGGATGTGTCTCTCGATCTGCCAGGCTACACTTCTATTGAAGTTGTCGCGGTCAGGTAGGTTTTTAATGTTGTCACCGGCAAATCTGATAAGGAGTTCGTCATCGGAGTCTGAGGATTCGGAGGCTTGGGCATTGTTTTCTGGTGCGGTCGCAGTCACGGTGATTCGTCCTTGTTTGCCTTCAAGCTCAGCGCCGCGCGGAGGCTTTGGTGCAGCCTTCGTTTCAATGGCTCCTTGTTCGAGTTCAAGTCCGGAAGTCTCATCATCATTCTCTGTCTTTGTCTTGGACTTGATGAGGCTTTGCTCTTCGCCTAAAAAGTAGCATTCTTCGCGTCTGGGTAGTTCCCGGAAGATTTCTTCGTAGAATTCGCTGTCGTCTTGAGTGATGTTGTGATCCTCCGAATCTGTCTCCGTCTCTCCCTTTCTACCACTGTAGTACATTTCCGATGCAACCATGTAAATTTGCCTTCCCCAGATCTCTTCCAGGTAGATGTCTGTGTCGTATTTTTCCTGTTCCTTCAAAAACTTATCATCCTGTTCCTCCCCCTTTTTGGCGAGTTTTTCATTCAAAGTCAGGAAATTGTTGAATTTATGTCGCGCTCTGAGATTCTCCAGCGCAATCCTTTTATGGTCCAGCTTCCTTTCAAGGTATGCCATCTTCGACTTCCTTTCCTTGTCTTCTAGCTTTAGCTTTGTCAAGGACAGCAGTATCTTCCGGTATGAGTGTCCTTTTTTCCGGAGTCTTTTCAGTTTCTTCCTCGCATCCTTCGCGGCTTTCTCTGGATCTCGGATATTGACCATGGTGAATGGTTTTCCTGGAAAGGATATTTGTAAGGTGGGGTTATCGTGGTTAAAGAAGGAGCACAAACCAGTGGGGGACTTGGGGATGGATTCAAAGGTAAACTGAAAGGAAGTCAGTTGTAAGGAAAGAGGAGTGTTGTGATGGGGAAGAACGTTGAGCTGGGAGAGGTTGAGAGACTCTTAATAGTCCCTGCCTGGCAAACAACTTGACATCCCGGATATTGCCGATCATTTCGAAGTGTCAGAGGATGTTTTCTGGATGGGTATCTCTTGCCAATTTCCAATTTCCTGAAACATTTTGAAATATCAAGAATACGTAGGTTTCAATGGCCTCAAAAGCAACTATTTTGCGCGGCACCACGTCCAGCCACCCCCACTCACAAACGCTCACCCACATACCAGGACGACTTTGCTAGGCACCATAGAGGAACGAACAGCTAAGCCAGCTGAGTACAATAATGACAATGGGCCCCAAACCATGCACCACAAGGGAGCCCTTGCTGACTATCTTTCCTAGTCTACGAATAACACTGTCTTACTACCGAACACCCTACTCAGGACATTAGCTTACTGGTGTTCCAACACAACATGTTCAGTATCAAGAGACTTTTTTGGCTTAGAAATAGCAAAGCAGCCCAGCAGGTTGGTAACACATGTCTCAGTCTCCCTGCTCATGCAAACTTGTCTTTCTGCTCATGCAAACTTGAAACCTCAAATCCAGGTCCACATCCACAAAGAAAAAATCAAATGTAAGCTTTATCAGTCCCTTCGCTTTCCCCTCTGCTCTTTCGGCATCTTTTTCCCCTGCCGCAACCACATACCGAGAAGGCCTGGTTCCATTTTTCTTTTTCGGCTTCTTGCATCTCAGTCCAGCACCATGCATTTTTGGCGAGTGATTGCTGTTCTGGCCCATCAAGGTCGAAATACCATTTTTCCATGGCAATAAGAAGTTTCCGTGGCTCATCAAGCAACATCCAGTCTTCTGGATTGTTACAGTAGGATCTTGCGGCTACTAGAAGAGCTGCTGCAGGCCGACCCCATGGACAATCCTTTAGCTCCTGGTCAACCTCATCGCCCATGGTTCCGTGATAACCTTCCGTGCGTGCGATTTTGATTCCCAAATTTCCGTCGTTGAATGGCTTTCTGTTCTTCAAATCTTTTGCTGTGCACATACGGAAAGTTGAACAAAAGAAATCCTTATCCTTAGACTTGCAATCAATCAAATCTTCTTTATCCTCGTAGTCGGAATCGTCGATCCATTGAATGTGCCTCTCAATCTGCCAGGCTACTAGCCTATCGAGATTTCTGCCCGGTGGTGGGTAGATGGAGATTTTCCATGGGATCTCGTCATCGTCCAACAGAATTTTGTGGTCATTATCTTTGTTGGAACAGTCGTCGTAGGCGTCGATCTTCTGTGAAACATCGTCTGCTGGCTCGAAGTTGCACTGACTCACCTCGTCGGAGAGGATGGACTGGCTCATATTTTTGGTTACAAAGCTGTAGGAAGTGTAGATTAGGCCTGCTTTGAAGTGAAGGTGAAGAAAGCGATGGAGACGAAGTCTGCGAAGTTGCGATTAGGCAACTTGTTTGGGTGCGAAGAGAGGGTAAAGATATAAGAGTTTTGACCTGCCAGCTTCGAGTTAGTGAGGCTCTTTTCTCTATTTGAGGGACTGTTGCTTACCGGTGGGTTGGAAATGGTGATTTGTGGGAACGAAGGGAAGTAGTGAGGTGTAGGAGAAGAAGAAGTTCAGCAAGAACGGAGAAGATAGGTGATTTAAGAAGTGAAATATCGGCGTTCAACTACAATCAAAGAATCTGTTGTGTTCTGGAGATCTCCTTCTTCTCACAAAGTTTTTCAGATCACACAAAATAAACCAAATGATAGACCAAAGCGAAATATGATAGGCCACCTTGAAAAGGTAGATGAGATCTCGCGAAAAGAAAGAATAAGAGCTTTGAGGGCTTCGAAATGTCTAAGGCACCTGTGTGTATGAACTAATATTCATAAAATACTCCTTGAGGTATCAAGTGAGTTGTCCAGCCCGAAGAAAATGTTCTCTTGATAGATGTAGAAGTATAGTTTTCACAAGTAGAGATACAAAAGACAGATATTGCTCTCGTGTCTAAAAGCCGTAGAAGACACTGTGCTTGAAGACCTATTCCTATCGTCTGAAGATATTGCTCTGTAAAGCATCTCATCGAGCTTCAATCTCAATGAAAGGGTGTGAACTCCTTCGAAATCACAGTCAGTGGGTGTTCAATTTATCAGAGAATATTTCATCATCATGCTTACGCCCCTCAGACGTTTTTTATTACAATTATCATGCCAACAAATCAACGGCAATCTCAACAGGCTGACCAGTCTGCATAGCCTTCTGAACAGCCTCACAAACAACCAAAGCCCTCAACCCCTCCTCCCCAGAACAACTAGGCTCCGCCTCACCCCTGATGACATCCACAAAATGCGCAACCTGCAAATCAAAAGGCGCAGACTCATCCGGCAACGGAATTTTCTCAACATTCAGTGTCTGCGACCAACTCTTCTCAGCTTGTCCATCATAGCTCCATCTCGTCAAATCAGGCACACTGAGCGAGGCATCAGATCCAAAGATCCGGTAGAAATCCGCACCTTCACCCGTCGGCGAACGCGCGATGAGCGGGTTCTCCCCGGTACCGGTTTCAAAGTTATGCGGGGAAGGTGTAGCGTCGCAGACGAGGAATGTACCAACAACTCCCGATGCAAATCGCAGTGTTAATGCGGCGCCTTCGTCTGCATCGTGGGGTGGACTTGGGCGCTGAGGTAGGATCTTCTCAGCTTGTACACGGACGATGGGCCCGAAGAAGTGGTGCATTAGGTCGATATCATGAACGAGATTAATGGGGATTACGCCGCCGCCTTGGTTGCGTGATGCGCGCCAGTCTGTTGGGGCTTCGAAGTATGTGGCTGGCTTGTAGATGGTCCAGAGGCCGTTAACAGCGATTGGACGGCCTAGAGAGCCGGAGTCGAGGACAGACTTGGTTGCGCGTGTGTATGGGTTAAACCGGCGATGGTGGCCGACAAGTAGTTTCAGATGGGCGCGTTCAGGTGCTTTTGCGAATTCCAGGAGACTACGGCCTGTCTCCAGTGTCTCGCTGAAAGGTTTCTCGAGGAGGACATGAACGCCGCCTGCTAGGAGCTCCTTTGCGACTGGGACGTGGGTGTGATTTGGTGTGCAGACGATTGCTGCGTCTGGTTTGTTGGGGGAGGATAAGAGTGCTGATACGGATGGGAAGTAGTTTGTCTTCAATTCGGCGGCCGTACTTGCGCCTGTTGCGGCGGGGTCTACTAGGCCGACTAGCTCTGTGGATGGGTTTGACAGCACAGATTGGGCGTGGCGGGGGCCGATAAGGCCTGCGCCGATGATGGCCACTTTGATGGACATTGTAGGTGGGAAATTGAGGAAATTGAGGCAAAAGAGAGGTGCGAGAGTCGTGACGTTCACGGCTGGGTTTTATACTTGGGGTTACTAGCGGCTATGACTTGATTTCCCGACAGGCTTGGCCCGTCGGGGTTCGGGGAGCATTCTGACCGAGTCTGCATTTGGCAGTCATCCGACACTCTTGGTGGAGGAGAATTGGACATCATGTAACGAGTCCCTTGGACATGATGTTGTAGTGGGTCCGGGGAAATAGTTTAGGCAATGATCCTGTCCTGATTGGAGGATGCCAAGATCGAAGCGGATAAGGTCATTCCGACAGGAACGACCTTAGCCGATCAGGTGACCTCTATGATCTTGACTATAAGTGAGGCCTATTACTTGTATTAAATTTGCGTGAGAGTCATTCTGTAATGATATATTATCCGCAGGAAAGGAGCTCGATTATGAGTAGTTTCTTTTCCATCAATCTTGGAACTTCTTTGGAGACTATCGTGCCTACGACTCTATTACTGATATGCAAATGGTTTGATTGTTCATAACCTCAACCTTGGAAGTATTTGAAATTCGCCCCAACGTTTTATTGCTTATCATTGTTACTTATGGATTGAGTAATATGATTGTTTAGACATTGTCATTATTCAATTCTATTGGTATCAAACCAAGGCAAGACTCTCTGAGTCATCACCATATTCATCACAAAGTATAAACATTCAATCGCAAGACAACATATCAGCGGAAAAAGAAGGAAATCACTCATTTAACATCTATTACAATGGCCCCATTACGCGTACTTGCCAGCCTCGACAGCGGTGTCCTCGACTTGCTCGGCACCCATCTTGCTGGCAGCGAGACCAGAGTCCTGGATATCGTGACGGAAGTTCTCCTCGTCCTCGCGCAATTTGGCAATGATCTGAGCGTGCGCGTTTCGGATGGGCTTGATCTCGAAGAGCTGATCCATGCTCTCGAGGGGTACACCCTTGGTCTCCGGGATGAGGAAGTACACGAACACAATGGAGCAGAGCATCAGAGACGCGAAGAAGAAGTAGACACCGTAATCCATCTTGGCGAACATCTGAGGAGTGAAGCGGGAAATGAGGAAGTTCCAGAGCCAGTTGGATGCGGCAGCACAAGCCTGGGCTAGGGAACGCATGTTGGGGTCGAACATTTCCGAGTTGAGGACCCAGGGGGTACCGTTCCAGGTGGGGGTATAGAAGACGGTCCAGAGGTAGAAGAAGAACATAGCTGCGATGCCGCCGCTGTCCATGTGGGTCTTGGGGTTCGCGGTCGGGTCGGCGACCTTGATGTAGGCACCGACGATCCAGAGACAGACCGAACCACCGAAGGCGCCGACCAGGAGCAAGTTGCGACGACCAACACGGTCAATCAGGTACAGAAGCCAGACAAAGGTGACAACAGTTTTGACGACACCGAAGATACCGGTGGTGAGCATGCTTGTGTTGGCACCAGTGACACCAATGCTCTTGAAGACGGTCGGGGAGTAGTAGTTGATGGCATTGATACCAGAGCCGTTTTGCCAGAAGAACAGCATGCTTCCAAGGAACAGGCGGTATAGGACTTTGTTGTTTGAGTAAGCGGCCTTGAATGGCTTCCAGAACCCAAGGCCAATAGACGAGCGCTGCTCTTCCAAGGCCTGGTCAATGGCGCCGATCTCCTCAATAATGTAGATATCGTTCTCTGGCAGTTGGCGAACCCAGGTCAGGTTCCTGATGGCCTCCTCGCGGCGGCCCTTCGAGAACAGCCAGCGAGGCGATTCACGAATGAAGGATCCACCGATAAGTAAGAGACCGGCAGGGATCAGCTGGACGGCGAAGGGAATAAGCCACTGCTTGTGGCTAGGGGCCATAGTCGAGTCAACACCATACTAAAACAAAGATTAGCACATGAACAACAAGTCATAGCGGATGGTAGCAAGTAACTTACGTTGATCCAGAAGCCGACCAGGCCACCAACCTGCCAGCCAAGCTCGTACACTCCGACGAGTCTACCACGGATAGCCGGGGGAGACAGTTCGGAAATGTAGATGGGGGTAATGTTAGAGCCAGCGCCAACACCCAGACCCGCTAGGACACGACCAGCGTAGATCAAGCCCAAGCCACGGTCGCCATTGGCACCCAGCATGAGACCAGCACCGAGAATAAAGACCAAAGCAGAAATCAGGAGAGCAATCTTGCGACCCCAGAAGTGACCAAGAGGGTAACCGAAGAAGGCACCGAAGAAAGCACCAGCTTGGTAAAGGGAGACGATGTTGGCGCTGAGCAAATTCTGCGCCGATTTGGACATAGTGTCGAACTTGAACTCAGACTTGAACGAATCCAAGGCTAATGTGGTGCCGATGAAGGCACTGTCATAACCGATCATGCAGGAGGTGAACGACGCCACAGCCGCCAGAAGGTAAACCTTCCAGTTGTATACGGCCTTGGGGGTCGGTCGGTCCTCGACCAATGCGAGAATACCCATGATGTATATAAATGTGAAAAGTAGAGGATAAGGAGGATAGAGACAAAAATGGACGAGGCCAAGCACTCGACCTATGTTACCAATGCAAGGTGCAGAGGAACAATCACTCGCGAAGAGGTACCACACTTGTGGTGGAAGGTGGAAGGGAGCAGAAGGGAGAAGGTTGGGTTGGGAAAGGAGACTTGGGGTGGAATGGAAATGAAGATATTTCTCCACCACCGGGGGAGAAGACGGGGAATTAAATAGTCTCTCCAGATGGGAACGGTAAAGTGTTTTTGTGGGGGAAAATCGATCAAATCTGGGGATAAAGCTCTAGAGGCGAAACCTGCGAAAAACGTGGAGGCGGAGAAGTGTATAAGACAAATTACCTTTTCTTCGCCCTTGGGAAATGGCGCCAGCGCCAAGTCGGCAAAACGATGAGAGACGAAATGAGAGGACAAAGCAAGCGAAAGAACAGGGATTAGACTCTCGGCCATCTTGGCCACGAGGGGGTTTAGAAATGTTTTAGCCTTGAGAAGGCTCAGGAGGCGTTTTTTAGCGATGGGCGGATTGGCCAAATATCAAGTCAATAAGCGTTGGTTGGTGGAACTCTAAGAATGTGGGGATTCCAAGCCGTGAAGAAGTGGGGATAGGGTCTTGGCCTGGGGAGAATCACCTGCGGCTAGGTCGCGGACGCTTTGTCGCAACCTGGGGTATTCTGGGGAGGCAAAGTAAATTCAATTGTCCTTGATAGGCTGTGCAGCGAAGACAGGCAGATCGTGATTGGTCTAGTCTAATTGCCCCACGCATTGGTTATGATGGGATCAACCAATGATTGTTGCAAGTCTTGTTGTGGCGGGGAAAAGCGATCCGCCGGCTGTCTCGTGACTTGCACTGCAGCGTAGAGGGTACTCCATTTTCTTCATTATTTTGCGTCGGTAAAACGCCCCGAAAACAGCCCGACAAACTCTATGTTAATAAGGTTCTTGCACTTTCCAATAGTAAATTCACTCCAAAAAAGTCCTCATATGTACTCGTCGTCTAGGATGTTTGTCTCATTGTGCGTATATTCTGTAGCTACGGTTATCCTCAAGAACCTATACTTAGATCTTTGTCACCAGATCAGGCCACATGGACAAGATCAAGGCTAACATCAAGTCTAGCCTCATTTACATGAGCTGGGCCCTAAATATAGTTGCTCCGCCACATGAAAGATTTTAGTGCGATCAACTAGCCACGGGGAGCCGCTTTAATATTGTCTTCGGGCCGTATGCACAAAATAGTTTTTGAATTGAAAAATTTACGTTCCGGCCCTAGTAACACCGATTCTCTCATTGGCCCGGGCAAGGTCTACGCAATGGCCAAGTATGTACATCACAGTACATATTCCCCGTGGGGTGAAAATTGTAGTCCTCGGGAAAGCGTTCATCCCCCGGGCAGATGGAAAATCAACGGCGTTATTCAGAGGCCAAACAAGTATTTGAGAAGTAAAGATACCAGTAAGAACACAGCAGAGACATTTTTGACTTTGTTTTCTATCATTAGAATCATCATTGACTTTTTAGGGTTGGAATGATGGAAGTTTGCCAGGAAAAGAAGAATGACGGCGAAAAGTGTTTCTCCGCCTTGAGGCGGGACGTTGGGACCGGCTTTACTTTTACTCGAGATTAAAAACCTGATGATAGCTTCAATACATTGCCGCCCGGCCCGATGATAATCAAGCCCCTCCTTTCAATTGAATATATTTTCTTCCCCTCTACTTCTCTCTCCAACACACAATAAAATAAAATTCACACAATGGCCGCACCCGCAGTCACCGTCGCCCAGACTCAGCCCGAGGAGCCCATCACCATCCCCGACAACCGGGATGGTGTTGCCTACCTGTACGGCCACCCGCTGCTGAACTCCCTGTCGCCTCCTCTGCACCAGACCATCTACAATGCGCTCGGTCTCAACTGGACTCAGATCCCTCTGTCTAGCGTGTACGGCACATCAGCCACCTACCCTCCCCCATACACCAAGTCGCCCTCTATCGAGACCTACATGGCCTCGATCCGCTCCAACCCTAAGTTCGTTGGATCTTCCGTGACAATGCCTCACAAGGTCGCCATCATGCCTCACCTGGATGATCTGACCGAGCACGCCCGGCAGGCCGGTGCCTGCAACACCATCTTCCTGCGCGACGACCCCACTACCGGCAAGAAGCAGTACGTCGGCACCAACACTGACTGTGACGGCATCCGCGAGGCCCTCACCCAGAACGCTCCTAACCCCGAGCGCTTCCGCGGCCGGCCCGCGCTCATCATTGGTGGTGGTGGTACCGCCCGTACTGCCATCTACGTTATGCGCCGCTGGCTCGGCTCCAGCAAGATCTACGTTGTTAACCGTGACGCCGCTGAGGTTGCTGCTATTCTTGAGGAGGACCGCCAGCGCAACCCTGATTCCAACGCTCAGGCTCCTTTGATCCACGTCACTGATCCCGCTGAGGCTGCTCGCCTTGAGGCCCCTGCCGCTATTGTCTCCGGTATCCCCAACTACCCTCCCAAGACCGCCGAGGAGTTGAACTCTCGCGCCATCATCCAGGCTTTCCTTGGTGATGAGACTACCGCCGATAAGCAGGAGGGTGTCATTCTTGAGATGTGCTACCACCCCATTCCTTGGACTGACATTGCCAAGCTCGCCTCTGCTGGCGGCTGGAAGGTCATCCTTGGCTCTGAGGCGCTGATCTGGCAGGGTCTGGAGCAGGCTCACCTCTGGACTGGCAAGGACATTATCAACACTCCTGGTCTCGTTCAGAAGGTTAAGGACACCGTTGCTGAGATCTTGGCTGAGCGACTTGCCAAGTCCAACCTATGATTTATGTAAAACCTTTCTTTTGGTTTATTCTCCATGTCATGTTACGATTGTATAGACACATCAAAATTCTTGCATATATTAGTTAGATAGTTGATATCATTTGTGGAAATACATTATATCCATATGAACCTACAGATGGAGGCCTTCCAAACACATGAATATCTCATTATAAAATTTACCGAAACCCTGTACAATCTGATAATCTATGGTAAGATCTTATTTGATCTTATACAGGAATCTATTAAACCTTTACGCGCCGGGTCGAGTGTAGGACAAGTGACGGACCCGCCGCCAGACTTCGCGCACTGTGCGCTCCTGAGTCTCCCGACCAGTCTCAGTTTCAGAGGGTCCAGCAGGTCTAGATATCAATTAGCTTCCATCTTCATCGTAATCAATCTCATCCCAACTAACCTGATGGCCAGATATAGCCGACTACCTAGTCGCATATCCTCAATGGGCGCAGTATCCGGATCCTCAGGTGGATTAGCCGTAGTAACAAGCCCACCAGCCTCCAGAAGAATAGCAATTCCAGCAGCGACATCCCTATAGATCAATCAGTACACCAAGCGCAATCACTATGGTTGAAATTAAAGACTCACCACTCCCAACAACCACCCTCCCACCAAATATCAAACGATCCCATAGCAGTATACGCCAAATCCAGCGTCGCACTACCCAGACTCCGCATACCATGCACCATACCACCCTTACCCCCACGCGAACCCAGCTCCGCAGCCATATTGACAAAACTCTCAATCTTGCGATGCATATTTCCATCCGGGATATCACGTCGGTCCTTGCCCCATTCGCAGGAGAAGACACATTGTGAGGGCGCATTTGCGGGCATGGGTGGAATTGATGGTTTGCGAATTAATGGGAGCTGACGTTTCTCATTCAGCCAGGCTCCCCGGCCGGTACAGGATGAGAAGAGCTGGTCTTGGAATGGGGCGTAGATTACGCCGATGACGGGTTTATGGTTTACTATGAAGCCGATGGAGACGCAGAACATGGGGAAGATGTGGGTATAATTGACGGTTCCTGGTGATGATGTTAGATTCGATGCTTCGGGGGAGGGAGGGTAGTCTTACCATCTAAGGGATCAATGCACCATGTCGGTTGTTCGTCAATTAGGTAGTCGCGGGATGAGCCTTTGGCATAGGTTTCTTCACCGAGGAATCTTTGGTCTGTTAGCTTGTTTGTCAAGGTAAATTAGTCGCCACTGATCTGATGGCAGAACGTACTTGTGCGTGGGGTATCTGGTCTGGAGAGCATTGCGAATAAATACCTCCACATCTGAAATCAACATGGTCAGCTCCATCTCTCACGTTATGCATTAGTTCCTCTGGGCTTCTCCACTTATCTTACCCTCATCTGTCTGCGTCACTATATCGACCGAGCTATCCTTCTCCTCGAACTTCTGCGAATTTCCTTCACCACCGGAGATACGGAGTTCCACACGCTCCATTAGCAGATCACCGGCCTTGCGGCCAAGATCCACGGCAAAGGTATATATCTCATCGAGCTCATTCTGGGTGAAATTGGGGACGGCCATAGCGGAAGCGGGGTCGTCGGATATGGGGCAACGTTCAAGTCCTGGGGTTGGAGAAAGGGTTCAAGCTCAGGTTGAAGGGGTTGATGGAAGGTTACGAAGGTAATGATGGGGTAGATGCAAGGAGAGATTGTCAGTTAGCCGGGGTCCTCTTTGACTCACGTCGCCCGGTGAAAAATGGTCGATTTCACCGCCGCTAGCCGGTATTTGCCTTATCGGATTTCCCCACTTTGAGGTGGAGCCGGACTTTGATGATGCATTGCTGATGTTGTAGGATGCTGTGAGCTCCGATCTGACAAGTTTGGCATTCCTATTGGTAAGCCGGAGTTGGCGCTCGAGTATTGCTTAGATATATTATATATAAGTGGCATAAAGTGGTCTCTTTGTAGAAGATGTGTGGATGTGGAGCTGTGAGGGGCATTGGCAGAGGCACCGGGTATTACTCCAGGTTGTACGTTAGAGACACTTTGGGTGTCGCATGTTTCTTATGAAAGTACTGTAACTTAATTTAACTCTAATAATGTTTATTTCAACCTCCTTGTTATTAATTGCCGTTTGCTCTATGGAAGACAAGCCAGAGAGCATCTGATGTTCATCGCAACTTGCCGATTAAAAGCCGTTTACTCCACTCACGGCTATTTACCTAATAACCAGCAGGTGACACGTGATATCGGCTCTCACCTGACCAAACGCTTCGTTCATAGTTTACATACTTGTGATAATCAATTAGGCCAAGTTATTCAAAAAAGAAATATTGCCTTCAATAAATGTTACTAATCAACAATTGTTAATCCGGGGTTTGCAAGATTTGACGTGTCATGAGAAAAATGGATGTAAATAATTGCGTGCGGACTGAGAATATATGTTTGGCTAGCCGCATCACCAAACCTCACTCTACACACCTAGACATTTCTGAGCTGCCTGGACGTGGGATGATCCTGAGATTGTCGAACTGCAGAGCTTCAAGGTCTCAAGATTTGGCTGAGCCACCATAAAAAGCTGCTAGATTTTGCCAGCTCTTGAAAGTAGCTTTCCATTGGGGTCATGGTATTCTACTTTCCAAGTTTAGAGACAGTAAATGGATTTCTACGCCCGGCCAGGTCTGCCCAGTTGAAGCGGACCTTGAGTTATAGCTTACAACCTTGAAGGCCGTTGGTGATATCGAGCGCTTGGAATAGGTATACTACCTGTACAATTTCTAAGGATGTCTTATACCTAGTGGCGGAGGCGGATAAGATGTACGACTGATCTCCAAAGACCCAATATAATTGGAAATCCAATCCACGTGTCCATGCCCATGATGCCGAGAATGAAGGCCCAAGGGAGTGCCAAGAGACCTCTGAGCAAGTACCCTAGACTGGTGGTTTCTAGAAATAGCACTGCAATTGAACTCGAGGAACTCACTGAGGTCACAAGTACAAAATTTTCTCCACTCTAGCCTAGAGAATCGGATATAATCTTAGGCTAATCACAGACCGGGCCGGACCCATCAAGGGAATCCCCATCCATCCGTCGGTCAAGCTATATCCGGCCCACAGCAACAGCATTATACGACCCCACAATCCATTGACTCCGACTATTGAATGAGACATACTTTCGCTAAATTATTGATTGCTCTCAATGGCCTATGACATAGCTAAATTTGGGTCAATACCCCATATTCAGTAGAATATTTTCCGAGACCCCATATCCGTATCTATAGGCGTTGACATAAAAAACCCTGCACAATTATCCCGGCTACAAGCTATGAGCTAACTTCAACCCCACAATCCCACAATGAATCAATTCGAAATGCAAATAAATACCCTGACTAACAGAATGGAAATATTACCAACTCATACAGAAGCAAAAAAAAGGACCCCAAACCCACTCGACCCAAGAAACCCGCACACGGCAAAGCGCTCAGCCGAACCGAGGGGCAATGCGGAGAAAGTTCAGAGCGAATCTGGGCATCATTATGTAGCATTATATTTTCGAGCACAAAGCCCACAACTAAACAACAATAATTCCTCGATAATTACTTACTCCAAACATATTATCAATTCCAATCCAATCATCAAAATGGTCAAGTCAATCCTCCTCATCAACGGCCCCAACCTCAACCTCCTGGGTACCCGCGAACCCCACATCTACGGCTCAACCACCCTCCCCGACGTCGAAGCCAGCGCAAAGGCCCAAGCCACCAGTCTCGGCTGCACCCTCGAGACCTTCCAGAGCAACCACGAAGGCGCAATCGTTGACCGTATCCAGGAGGCTCGTGGTAAGGTTGACGGCATCATTATCAACCCTGGCGCGTACACGCACACTTCCGTCGCGATCCGGGATGCGTTGCTTGGTGTTGCTATTCCCTTTATCGAGCTCCATGTGAGCAACGTGCACGCTCGCGAGCCGTTCAGACACCACTCTTACTTCAGCGATAAGGCTGCTGCTATCATTGTTGGACTGGGTGTCTATGGATATAAGGTTGCTGTTGAGCATATTGCGGTTAACTTCAAGGAGTTGGAGAAGGCTAGCCTGTAAGGGTTAGGTTTCTACCGGATTAAAAAAAAGTTGGATTTATTTGTTATGCGGGGGATTTTTCTTTGTATGATGTGTGTATATAGAGTTGTACATAGGGCAATGGGTTTGGAATACTTTGACAATTATTTTGTCGACTATATTGGGACTAGATTCTAAGTACTAGACACTTGTGGGTCTCTGACCTAAGGAGTTTTCCAAGGTTGTCGAGGCCCAATTATTGGCCTCGGGAAGGCCCGTGTAAGACGGGATGAGACTTCATAGGTCTCTTGCTCATGATGGCAATCACAGGTATCTCTTTGTATCCAAGGTCTCTAGTCACACGTATGGGTATCAATGCACATCAGTGCCGCGCGTATGAAAAGAAGAATTGCCGAGCATCCGACTGGAGGCAAAAGCCGCCATCAGCCGGGTTGGTGCCGACCAGCGGCTACAAGCAGAACCATGATTATCGTTTCGGCGTTCCGGACATGCTGAGTGACTGCGACTCCCTTCGAACTCCGGAAGAAGACCCATTGCTTGGTATTTGTTGTGTTTGAGCCAGCAGGAAAGGCTCAATTTGACTCGAAAAAGAGTACATTTCCGGCACTCCTGAATCAGCGACGAAGCCCAGATTTTGCATGAATTCGGGTTGATTGTCGGGTCTGGAGATTGGGTTAGACAATAGCAAATATTAGTGGTAACGCGGGAACTCACTTTTCAGCACCGTCGAGCGACGCCAGCTCGTCGAATAGTGCATCGAGATCCGGAGCAATTCGCTGCTGTCGGCGTGGTGGGCCGTAGCCGTCCATGTCGACGAAAGGGCCGAGGCCAAGAGATGGATCTTGATATGCTGCATGGTACTGTGTGCCTGGAGGGAATTGAGGGGCAAGGTCGGGAAGCATGGCTGGGCCAGGATGGGTTTTTGAAGGGGCGGAGGTCGACTGGCGAAGACCACTGCCCAGCCCTCCATCTAGATGGCCTTGTTGTGCCGAGACCTCGGAGGCGCCGCCAATGGTGGTCAAAGATGGGGTGGGTGTAGATAGCAATGGTGCTCCATCGTCCATGTTTTGAGCGGCCCTGATCCATGGAGTAGAGATAAAAGCGTCGGGTGTCGATGTCGGATGTGCGGAGCCAGGAGCATGTGCTTCTGTAGATCCGGTGAGATGATGAGAAGTGTTTGAAGGCGGAAGACCATGGGGATGGCGCAACGAAGGGTCTTCATTCGCTGAAAAATCCGGTTGCTGCGACATTGAAGGTGAAGCCATCGTCCCCTGGCTTAGTTGAGCGGTCGTTTGGCCCGTGTGTGGTCGGTCTGATACGGACCAGAGCTGCACTAGATGAGATGAATAGGATTGAATCTTATTCCGCAGACTAAGCTCGACATCGGACACGATATCTCGCGAGAATGAACGAGGAAGACAGTATCTCAAGATCATGCCAAATATAGGTGTGGTCGCCGAGAGGCTGTAGGTCTCCAAGTAAGCCTGGAGACAGTTTAGCAACCGACTCGAGCTATCAATCGCACGTGCCTTGTGTGGCATCTCGGGGATATTTTGATCGCTCTCCCGTGTAGCGATCTGCAAGCTCAAGGACGAGATGATGCTTTGATATGTCATTTCAAGTGCAAAGATATGCGGTGACGCCACCTTGAGTGGCCGATTTTGTAAGTCTACTCGATAACTTTTCGGTAAAGCGGCTGCCCAACGATGCAAAGTGAGCTCAAGTGACTCCAGTTGTGATCGAGAAATAGTTGGATCTTGCTTATAGCAACAAAGATCATTCAGGATGGAGACAAGAGACACAAGGCGGTTGAATGTGCTCAGTGCATGAAGTGGTCCCCGTTGCATGGATGCTCGAGATGCCTGTGTCGGTCTTAAACCAGTCATATCCTCCCAAGGATGCCATTCTTCCAATCCATCTTCATTGATGGATCCTACTCGAGCTAGGTCGTCCTTTCGCAACGATGGACATTGCGAGGTTTGTTCCGCAATAAGTGTCTCTAATACAAAGCAACCCAAAAATACGTGCTTCGCTCGTCCTAATTGTTTTCCTTGTTCAGGGGACCTTGAGGAAGCTGTATGAAACGATGGCTGGTCCAGACCCAGTGTCTGAGCAATTCTGACTGAATGGCCCACCAGCATCCAGGCTGCTGTCCATTCCTGCTGACCGAACTTAATGAGAGACAGGATAAGCAAGGCTTGAACATGCCCTACTTCAAATGGACCAGTCTCTGCAGGGATCAGGTCCCGGGCTGTGTTGTAGAGTTGTGAGGGGTTCACCCGAACAGACATGGGGTCAGATTCCCGAGCCGTAATAGATGCATCTTGAAGGGATGCAAGGGTAAGAACGGCCCAAAGGGCAGCATGATCACCGGAGCCGGGCGCTGTCCGCGTCATATACACGTCGCCTTCAGTGTATTGAAATGCCGTTCGAAGAATATCGTGCTTTTCCAGTATGGGTAGCCAACACTGTGTGTATGAGAAATAAATGTCAAGGAGAGGCCAGGCGTTATACGGTAGTTGGAGTGGAGAGTTGGTTGAGATCGCTCTCGGGTCGTCAGGGTTAAGGGAGATGGCGAGTGTAGGTGAATGGAATCCATCCGCGGGTGTTGTTTGAGCTCCCGAGTCTCGGGTGCGATATACAAGAGGCCGGGGTGCCGACATGACCATGGAAGTCCGCGAGGGAGATATCCCAGAGTGAGGTGTCTCGCGAGCCTCGAGTCCCTCTGGAATTTGCCATTCCTGGGCGTCAGAGGAAGCTAGGATCCCATCGACATCTAATGGAGTGTCTCCTTCGCCGTATGCTTGCAAACTGCGATCCCTCTCCTCCTCAGGCTGTTCCAAAACGACCAGCATTCGCTCAATATCCCTCAAGACGGTACTGTTCTTGAAGGAGGACAGCAGGGTGTCCGAACCTTCCGCTTCTTTGCCCATGGTGGCAAGGTGACTGGGTAGGTTGACTGATCTCATCAAGGCTCGCATGACATCTTCACTTCCTTGAATTTTCTGGAAGACCAGCCCCCAGAGTAGCTCGAGCGAACGGATATAACCGGTGGGCAGACCTCGCTTCTTTGGATTGGCCTTGTAGGTGCATGGCCGGCATAGTTGTGCACATGTCGAACAGACGGGCTGAACACCGTCGCATTTGTCCTTCTTAGATCTGCAGCTATCGCAGGCACGCGACACGCGCTGCCGCTTCGGCTGGGATGATAGGTCGTCCGGGCCGTTCATTTTGCCATCGTCTTCAGGGTCGGTCCAGCGACGTTTGGATTTTCCGCTCGCGCTGGGGGCTTGGCGAGGGTCAGAGCTCATTATGATTGAAGCGTTGATCCACTAGGCGATTTCGGGCGCATTTTCGAACGTACGCAGCACGCAGCGGGTGTTGAATCTTTTGCCGACAGGCTTGCGCAGAGAAGCGGGCAAGCTATTCACAATGGCCCCCACTGACCTCGGATGGACCGTGCGAGTGTAGAAATCGGTGGGAAATTGGAGTCCTGGGGTAACTCGGTGTACCGGAAGAATGTAAAAGAAGAAAGAGGTGGCCGCACAGGAACCGGTCCAACCGAGGTGATTCGCTCGATGGAAGGATTCTCTCGTTCCGGGGAAGGAACACGGACTAGCCAGCGGTGAACCAGTCGCGGGTTGGCAAAATGTCAGAATGGGGCAAAGGCCCAGTGTAGTACCTAATGGAAACTGTTTTATAAAAACCACTTTCAATTGGAATTTGGTAACTATCATACTTTTATATTATATGCCTAGAAGCCTGAACTGTTTCATACCCATAGCTTTGATTCCCCTCCCCGTGATTAATAGACTTTTTTTCCCTTCAATAAAATCTCGGGAGTTAATGCTTGCAAATCCGGGCAGCTGCAGGCCAAGGTGCGTACCCCACGGGGCGGGGAAAACCCGTATCCCGTCAGTATCGGCGGCAGAGTACTTTTCCCGGTGACGCTAGTCCCCTGTAACCTGTGTAATTTTGGTAAATACGGTGAAAACTGACCGAGGCCAAAAACAGACAGAAAACCTCACCCCCGCAAAATCCCACACGTTTACATAACGCTAGTGGTTCGTGCTCTACTTTCCAGATTTGCCCGAGATCCTGCAGCCTTTGTACTTTTTTTTCCCTCCTTTCTCCCACCGTGATTCTTTATTACCCCCTTTCTCAGCTGGTGATGGGCTCGTCTCATCTTTTTGCATAACGTCGAATATGTCCATACTCGTGCGCCCGCCCAAGCGCAAGTTGCACGAGGTCGACGAAGGACCTCGGAAACTCAGCACCGTATCATGGTCTCCCGCAACTCGTTCCGACTCACAATCCAGTTCAAGACGACCTAGTGAACCACTGGACTCTCAAAGCGATAGCCACCCACATGCCACATCCCTTCGAGAGTTACACTCCAATCGCGCGTCCCCAGTCCTCTTCGATAAAGGAACCCTGCAGACCCCACGCATTTTCAGCCCCACCGCCTCCATTGTTCTCATCGGTATCCGAGGTACAGGCAAGTCCAGTTTAGCAGTAATTCTTGCTGCGACGTCCGGTCGACGCCTCATTGATTCCGACCGGTACTTTCAACAGGTGTCCGGCTGTTCCCGCGCCGCTTTCAAGAAGGACAATGACCATACCGAATACCGACTACAAGAGGCCCGCGTCTTTGAATCTATGTTGGCGGACAATCAAGAAGGATGTGTGATCGCGTGCGGAGCCGGATCAATGGAGCGCAGCGGGCAAAGATTGCTACGGGAGTATGCCCAGACACATCCGGTCATCCATGTTAGCCGCGACCCCGAAAGTATTCAGTCATATCTTAAAGCATGGCATACACAAAAGGTCCGACACTTTCTGGAACTCTCAGGGCCAATATATCGCGGGTGCTCGAATTTGGAATTCTTCAATCTGTCGGAATCGGGCAGCAGCCAACATATCACCAAGGACGGCAACAATTCGTCACCGGGACCGAAGTTGGACCAGAGATCCCAAACACCCACTCCATTCTTGACTTTGAAACGTGTGCAGCGGGACTTTCTCCGTTTCATTGCCTTCGTGACGGGTGATGTCACTGAAATGAACCGTCAGCATTCGTCGTTCCCCTTGTCTCTTTTACCCGTACCGTCGCGGCCCTATACAAATTCCGTGTCGGTTCCATTCTCTGCCTTGCGAGACAATAGCTTGGATATTGAGGAGATTGAGTTTGGCGTTGATGCATTCGAAGTAGCCATTGATGTCACCGCCCCTTCAGACCAAATGGGTTTAGACTCGAATCTGGCGGACAGCATCAGTCAGGTTATTTCGACAATTCGTCGAAATATCATAGTACCAATAATTTATCACGTTGAGAGTTATACCTCACCGAAAGGCCATCTTTCACCGCCGCAGAATGCTCGGTCCACCGATGAAGCATATGCAAGCCTGGTTCGGCATGGCCTACGACTTGCGCCAACATTCCTGACAGTTGATCTGTCTCGCGATGACAGTCTCTTCAGCGAAGTTATTAATGCGCGGGGTCGTACCAGTATCATTGGCCATTTCGAGACCTTCCGGCCTCTGCCAGGGGGGTGGGATGGCGATGAATACATGCAGATCTATGAGCGGGCAAAGAGACTTGGATGTGACATGGTACGACTTTGTCAACCAGCAGAGACTTCGGAAGACAATGCGGCAGTTGAAAGATTCCGACACCGTATCCAAGGCCACCCAGGCGCCGTTCCGATCATTGCATACAATACCGGCCCTCTAGGACGTATGTCGCGCTGCTTCAACCCTATCCTGAGTCCAGTCACTCATCCATCCCTAATGCGCGACAACCCTTCCCACGTACGATCAAATATAACCGCTCGAGAAGCACAACAGGCTCTTTTTAGCTCTTTTGCGCTAGATCCCATGCAGTTCTTCGTCTTTGGCGCCAATGTGACTTACAGTATGTCACCAGCGATGCACAACACTTCCTTTAAACTATGTGGGATGCCTCACCAATATACAATATTTCAATCGCCCACTATTCGGGGGTTGAATGAGCTCGTTGAAAACCAATTTTTTGGTGGATCGAGTGTCAGTCTTCCTTACAAAACAGAAGTCATTCCCCTCCTCCACTCCATGTCTCCTCATGCGCGGGCTATTGGCGCCGTCAACACCCTGATTCCCATTCGGAACGATGACGATTCCGATCCTCGCCTCTCCCAAGAATCTTCGATTTACTTGCAAAAGAGTCGCGCCGGTCCAATCAAAGGCTTGCACGGCGACAACACCGACTGGATCGGCATTTGCAACTGTATTCGTCGAGGTCTTTCACCTGCCAATGCTGTCCGGCCTACGACAACTGGTCTTGTCATTGGGTCTGGCGGTATGGCACGTGCTGCTGTTTACTCGATGATTCACCTTGGTGTGCAGCACATCTTTGTTTACAACCGCACCCTCGCGAATGCAGAAAAACTGGCACACCATTACAACCGTCAGGAAATTTTCTCTGGTGAACAAGCCGGAGGTGATGGACGTCCTCGGGTCAGCACCCTCACCTCAATCAACGAGCCATGGCCAGCAGACTATAAACAACCAACAATAATTGTATCAGGTATCCCAGCCCACAGTCTCGGTGGCCAGCCAGCACCGAACTTCCATGTTCCCACCCAGTGGCTTGAAAGCCCTACGGGTGGTGTCGTTGTTGATGTGAGTAAAAAGATCTCTCTTGTCTATTCATCTTGTGCTGATTCATCTTATAGTTGGCCTACAAACCCCTCAACACTCCTTTGATGAAGCAAATACGTGCTTTGTCGCACCGAGGCTGGGTAGCTCTGGATGGACTTGATGTCCTCCCCGAGCAAGGATTTGCCCAATTTGAACTGTTCACCGGTCGCCGTGCACCACGCCGACTGATGCGGACGATTGTTCTACGGGAATACGTGGATGAAGAGGGCCATGATGACCCACGCGCGATCCATGACAGACTACAGAACCTAGACGGCCAGCCATCCTGAGTATTGATCAGGATCTGGCTACATCTAGGTTTAAATTACATCTCATCTTTCATTTCAGTGCAGATGTGGATCCTCAGGGATCGACAGCCAAGCCGATCGCGGGTCTGAGGTAAAACGACAGCCCCTCGACCCCGCAGATAGTACTATCCCGCCGGTGGACGGAGATCAGAGCCATTATTCCAGAGCGGATGGTCCGTGGGTCTTTTTTACTCCGGTGATGATCATTATAAAGAAAGTCAGCTCAGAATTTGACTGCCTCGCTGGGCGGGGCGTCATGATCCGTTCTCTAATGGACAATGCGCCTAATTGGGGGCCAATTTTGATGAAGAGGCTAGAAGCCCTTACGAATGGAAAATGTATATAGACATGAACTAACGCCAGATATCCAAATCGGAATTTTGGATTATGCTCAATGGTATTTTTGTCACATCCTGTAGCTCCTTTATATCTACCTCTCTGGGTAATATCGGTGGCCCAGAAATAGATGTTGTTTTGCCACTGACCTCGTGATTAGTCTTTGGCCCTAAAGCCCGTCAGACCTTGGGGTTATGCAGGTCTTCCGCTACATAGCAACTTATGTCTTTGCCAAGCAAGACCTTTCACCTTTTTTGAGTCCTAGAAAACTGTTCTCGTTTACTTCTTTCACCAGCTTGTCAGTTCCAGTCAATAAGCAGGGGATGTGACTGCATCGATTGGCCAGACTCCATCATGCAAGGGCTTTAGACGATCCGTGGCCCTGAAACCGAATAGTGTAACAGATACAGTCACTGCGATCTAAGAAAATCGCCTTCTGCGCCGACAGTTCATGCTCCTCCTGTTTAGGAACATTTAGCGCGCGATGATCGTGCATCAGGATTCCGATCCCGAACGATACCCAAGAAGCCCTAAATCCTGGTCTATAAATGGCGGAGTGTTCTGGAACTAGCCCAATTTTTGCTTTTTCTAAATTCAGAGATCTGAAACAGTATAACATGACGGTGTGCCTGCCACGTGATCATTCAGGACTGCTGAAACAGCGGCCTGAGCCTGGGTCAAGAGGATTCTCGCCTCTCCCGTCAGGGGCGAAGAGGGGCTAAATGGCCGCCATGCTGTTTAGTTGGATTTTCACGGCCTAGGGCACGATTCTGACGTCGTTGTGCATGCGGACGGCCTAAAAGGAGAGTGAATCGTCAGGCTAGACCTCTCTCCGTTGAGGGCGAAAACAAAAAAGAATCCCGGACAGGAAAGTAGTTGCTTCCCCCCTGTCGGTACCTGATGCACTTACTCCGTTAGCCTGCCCCAGTTGTGCCGCGAACTTAAGAGTAATTTGCAGGGGAAAAGGTCCGCGTAGCTTGAGACAGACGACCCGTTCCATACCATGGAACACTTAGACCTTTAGCCCACCCTAACTTGGGTGGAGCCGGAGCTGATGCCCTTCGAGCAGAGGTACCTGATACCAGTTTAGGTTATTTTTCGACCGGACTTGGTCTGTGGCTCGTATGATGTCTTATTGCTGTTCTTGTTCCTGTTCTTGTGCTTGCTGTTGTCCTTTGCCCTCGTGTTTTGTCAGTTGTGGTGGCTTCGGAGTCCATAGAATGAAGCATATTGTGGAAATGAAATATGGCCCAGGGGCTGTGGTGATCTGATTGGGCCGTGCACCCCTCATAGACAACAAAGTGGCCCGCACGTTCTGGCTCCGCGTCGTCAGTTAAAATGGAATCCACGTATGATGAAGTAAGTTTTGCATTTTATTTTAGGACATGCCAAAAGTGTAAATAAATCATGTAGGGAAAAGTCGAGAGAAACAGAAAGAATTGAGCAAAGAAAGACTTTGTTCCAGACTTTACTTCAATTGAATTCTGCCATTTCCATCCACTCACTAAACTCAAACCCACTCTTATCCTTCTCCTTCCCTCCTCTCTCCCCCCTTAGTCAATTAAACGTCCTTCGAGTTTTTCTTTTGTTTTCTTTATGTTGACCTCTTTACATTTTCTGACATTGCGTCCTCTTCATTTTCGGAGTTGATTCCGAACGACATTGCATCGCGATCCCAGCGCCCGCGAGGGGCAAATCAATCCACTCCAATTTAAACAACCCTCGTCTGCAGCGCTTATCATAACACCCGCGCTTTCTTCTACCTGAAACAACAGCAATCCCAACTGGAACCAGTAGTGTGCATCTAGGTACGTTCCGTTCAAATTTGATGCCCTCCCTAATTTGTGCGGGGAGATTGCCTAGCATGCCCGAAGCCCATTTCGAACCTGACTCCGTCGTGCACCCTATTATCTGCCCTTTTGAGTTCAGCTGAGAGCGATCATTTACCGGACCCCAAAGGGGGGCGGTTGTCTCACGCTTAAACCTGATGATGGGTCCTCTTTTGGCTAACGCCTCAGCAGTCTGCTTCAGCCACTAGTCTCGCTCTCTTTCAGCCCCCCCTTGTCGCATTCCTCCCACTCCGATCCCGCGCTCTCCATCTCTGTATCTCGCCCATCGCAGACTTTCGACACCGTGAGATCTTGGAGCGCTGGCACTGGCTGCTTGCGCATGCGTGTGTTGCTTGCCCCTCGTTGCTGAGTACCGGTGGTTGGTTTCATATTCGACTTGAAACAAACGGTGAACGTTGGAGGCCTTAAAGTTTCGAGAATACACGATGGAGTCCACGATGGAATCTCCGTCGCTACAACCAGAGTCGCCGATGGAGCAGGAGGACATGCCCTACCCTTGTATGGGTTGTGGAGAGGTATGAACAGAGCGGTATTCGCCCGTGCTAGTCTCTCCAGCTAACGTTGCTTTTTTCCCCGGAATTTAGATCCTGGAGGAAGGAAAAGCTTTTGAACTTTGTACGTTGATAACGATTACTTTCAGATGGGTCTCTGCTAACTTTTTCAAAGCTGGACAACGATGGCATATCGATTGTTTCCGATGCAGCACTTGCAACACCCTCCTCGACTCCGATGCCCACCTCCTCCTACTTGGCGATGGCTCGTTAATCTGTAGCGGCTGTACCTACAGCTGCAACTCATGTGGAAACAAAATTGAAGATTTGGCCATTCTAACTGGTGATCAAGCGTTTTGTGCTCAGTGTTTCCGATGCCGCAACTGCAAGAGAAAGATCGAAAACCTCCGCTATGCCCGAACATCCCAAGGAATATTTTGCATGGACTGCCATGAGTCTTTAATGCAACGCAGGCGGAAGAAAAAAGCTACGGCGGCCAATAAAAGGCCGGGGGGACCGGGGGTCAAGCTGGACAAGTCGTTGCCTTCGCTGCCACCCAACTTTGAGGACACCCGGTCCCTGGAAGAAACACCGAGCGAAGGATATGTGGAGGCAGCAGCAGATATGATGCCTGGCAAGGACGCGGATGGAGCTCAATCCGAAGCCTCTCTTTCTCGCCCAACTACTGCGCAAGGTAAGGACAGCGCTGCTTTTTTCAGGGAAGCCGGTCACTAATAAAATCTCTACAGATAACTTGATTCTCCCTTCTAGCACCTATCGAAGCAGTCGTCTCCTGAGTTCGCAGCGTGATAATGAACCCGCAGACGCCGGTGGGGAATTGCTAATACCCCTCGCCTTTGACCCCTCCGAGAGCCAACGCTCCTCGCGGAGACAATCACAGGCTATACAGGAGCTGCCTCGCGATTACTTCAACCACATCCGATCCGGTGATTCTTCGGTTAGGGCTTCCCGTGACGGCATCGAACCTCTTTCCCACACGTCCACCGACAACTCATCTGCTCATATTGCGTATCAGGAGAAGGGCTGGGAGCGCACGGAGACCGATTCCGCTCGACGTGATTTGGACGGAGTTAATGGCACAGGGGCCAAACCACCTACGGGTGTTGATTACAACAGACTTGGAAAGACCGAGTCTGCTCGCAGCTCGAGGTCAGATTTGCCATTGGCTCTAAGAGAAACCAGTGCTTTCTCAGGTGCGACAAGCCCCGTAAGCACTCGTTCGAAGGACGATGTCTCGCGGCACACCCCTCTGGACAGTATTGCCCCGGCGCGTCCCTCTGGTGAATTGCGCAGACTCCATGAACATGGCTCAGGAGAATCTGCCCGGTCTCAGCCTCCATCTAGCCAATTGGCTCACCTACCCAAGCGGGGTGATTCCCTTGAAAGCAAGACTTATCAAGTGCCACGGAAGGACATTGGAGCTTCTCCCAGTTCCTCCACATACGGTTCGCCCAAATTGCCCGAGATTGGTACAGAGCAAACGAAGCAGAACATCACTTCAGGCAATACATCGCTCTCTGACACTCGGCGGCCCTTGGACAGCGCTGGATCGCCGTCCCTACCTCAGTATACCAGTAATAGTGATTTCTCTCAGGATGAGGACCTGGCACGATTCATTGGCGGTGACATGAGCGACTCTTTCTTGCGCTTCCGCACCACCTCAAATGCCTCTAACCGTCATAACCGGAGTATGAGCGACAAGAGTGCGCGGACCAGCAAGGATATCAAGAATGCTTACCCCGCCAATGGAGGCGATATTGGTAGTCCCTCCGCTGGTACTACCCAGTCCGAAGAATTGGCCTGGCTGCGCGGTGAGCTGCGCAAGGAACGTCAGCGTATTGCTGAGATGGAGAGCGCCCTTCGTGCCACCGCAGATGTGAAGCAAGTCAACACTGAGCTCTCGGAGAAACGGTCAACCATGGTTGTCCTGGATGCGCAAAGAGAGATTGTTCTGCGTGAGCTCACCGTGCTCACCGATCACATCGAATCAGAGAAGCGTGGTGGCTCTGATGCACCATTAGATCTTGGGAAGCTTTCGAACCACGTTCTGCGGGAACTTGCGGAGTCGATTCACAAGCTGAAGGCTTCCTATACCCCGCAGATCGAGGAGCTTATTCAAAAGCGCAACGATCTTAATGAGGAACTCGTTGAAATCAACCGCAGCAAGGAGAAGGCCTTTCAGGAGTTCGAGCAGCTGTCTTCCAAGAATGCTCAATTGGCGGAGCTCAACAACCAATTGGTACACCAGATCCAGGAGCTCTACAAAACCAACCATGACCACCGTGGTCCGAATGGCCTCGGTATTTCACACAACAAGGACAGGTCTATCACCTCTCTAGAGGGAATGAAGCCTGGAAGTACCCACGAGATTGCCACGTCGATCTCGACTGCTCACATGCATGAGGACGGTGAGCCCGCTACTGCTACCGTCGTGCCCGGACCACAGGTTGTCAGTATTCGCAAGGGCCAGCCTCGCAAGTTCAACTGGAAGAAGGGTGGCCAGAACGTGGCGAAGGGTGTCAAGGGTCTCAAGGGTGCGTTTATGGGTAATGATGAGCCCGGCGGTCTGCCCCGTTCTCAAACTCAAGATCCCAGTCGTCAGGGCTTTGGTTTCTTTGGAAATCAGAGAAGACCAACAGGTAAAATGTCCCAGGCAGACAGTGTGCCAGCACTCTCTGAAGCCGTGGGTAGTCTTTTCGGTGTAGACCTGGAGGCTCGCATGGAACACGAGAAGAGCATCATTCCTGCCATCGTCACTCGATGCATTCAGGAAGTTGAATTGCGAGGTTCGTTTCAAATTTGTTCTCGTTCCGTATGCTTATTTCTGACCCGATTTCAGGTATGGATATGGAAGGTATCTATCGCAAATCTGGTGCTGCATCTGCTATCCAAGGTATCCGCGAGGGCTTTGAACGCAATCCTTTTGATTACGATATTTCGGACCCAGATCTCGATATCCACGCTGTCACTTCCGCCCTGAAGCAGTATTTCCGCAAACTACCTAACCCCCTGATCACATACGAAGTCTACGAGCTGATCATTGAATCTGGAGAAATCACTGACGCTTCTACCCGGATTGATGTCCTGGTGAAGGGTCTGCGAGAGCTTCCCCGTGCCCACCGTGATGTCCTCGAGTTCCTCATGTTCCACTTGCAGCGTGTCGTTGAGCGCCAGGATGAGAACTTGATGACGTGCCAAAACATTGCCGTCGTTTTTGCCCCGACCATCATGAGGCCCGAGAGCTTAGCCCGGGAGATGACGGATGTGCAGAAAAAGAATGATGTTCTCAAATTCATGCTTGAGAACCTTAATGACATATTTGTGGGCATGTCCAGTGGCTAGTTGGGGCCAACAAACTATCCTTATTTATTTCTGTCTTTTGCGTTTCTTTCTTTGCACATCCCCCGTCAGGTTATTGGGATTTGTAACGAGGCTTGTACGGGTGTCTTTCTGTTGGCGCTTCTCCCTTCACAGATACCAACATCTTTCTTTGGTCATTTGTCTCGTTTTCCTGTTTCCTCATGCACCTTCCCCATCTCTACACTCTGTTCATGATCAGCGCTGCACGCTTGATACAGATACCCTGGTTTGCCCCCTTGTTTATTTTACATATTCCGCAGGTTCGAAGCTAGTCATTCCCTCGGGTCCTCACGGTCTCAAATAAAAGCGCCTCGTCGGTGACCATTGGGGGAAACCAAAATTTATACCTTTGGGTGGTTTCATCCATGTGATTTATCTTATGATGTTTTCCTTTTGTCTTTGACGTACTCTTTCGTGTTGAGCGAGCATTGGACCATGTCTAGCGTTATGCATCTCCATCGCAGGCCGAATACAGAGATTTTGTAGAGTGTGAAATGTTCTAGTTGAATTTCCTATCCATCTCATGTGATCAAAGTAGCTCAAACCCCTTTGAATATCACTGAATTATAGAAATCTACAAAGTGATTGTCGTATACTCCACCTTGAAACTAAAGTACCCGTGTCCGCATCCCGCACCAATCACCTCCGACCGCCTACGACATCACAGCTCCAGCTCCAACCACCCGTCCATCCACGATCTACCCCCTCAAACCCTCATGCCCGCTGCGAGGGCCCTACACTCATTCAAGCCGACTAATTAAAGCTCGCTCCGGCCGGCCCCAAAATCAACGATGTCGAAACCAGGCAAATACCTCCTCCTATCCCTCCCCACCTCCATCGTCCCCTCGCACCACAAAGATGATGCCCTCGACGCTGTCTCGAAAACCGTCTCCCCCGACAATGGCTCCGCTGCGTCCTTTCCCATTCCGGAGTTCAAGATCGGCACATTAGATGCCCTGGTCCAGCAGGCGGATGAGCTTGCGAAGCTGGAGGGACAGTGCGAGGGTGTTGTTGCTAAGGTGGGAGATGCGTTGAAGAATATCCTTGATGGAGATGAGGCGCAGATTGAGAGGATGAAGGTCGTCAATGATAGTATGTTACTTGTTGCGCTATGAGGTCCTCCCCAGTGCGCTGCTTATGTGGAGCTTGGAACTGACTGGTTGCAGAGCCTGTGGACCAGTACCTCCGCTCGTTCCAGTGGAATAAGGTTAAGTACCGTGCTGATAAGCCACTGGCTGAATTGATCGATCTGCTGTCGAAGGTAAGTGGGAGTTCGAGCAATATGTTTCCAAGAATAAGGCTAATATGCGCCGCTACAGGAAGCTGCCAGCATCGACAATGACATCCGATTCAAGTATTCGCAATATAACCAGGTTAAGAACAACCTGGCTACTCTCCAGCGGAAACAAGCGTGCGTCCAAATCCTCTTCGAATTTCTTTCGACTCGTCCATATAGCTAACTACTCGGTTGGCATTTAGAGGAAACCTCTCCACAAAGTCCCTCGCCTCCATCGTCGATCCCAAATCGATCGTCCAAGACTCCGAGTACATCGAAACCCATCTGATTGCTGTGCCCTCCCAACTAGTTAAGGACTTCCTCAAGACCTACGAGACCGTCTCGGCAATGGTCGTCCCCCGCTCTGCGCAGCTCGTTGCCTCTGACAGTGAGTTCTCGCTGTACGCCGTGACGGCGTTTAAAAAGCACAGCGCCGAGTTTGTGCACAAGTGTCGTGAGCAGAAGTGGATTCCGCGAGACTTCAAGTATGTGGAGGGTGGTAAGGAGGAGGAGAAGAAGGAGGTTGAGAGAGTCGGAGGAGATGAGCGCAAGCTTTGGGGAGAGACGCTGCGCCTTGGTCGGACGGCTTGGAGTGAGGCTGTTATGGTCTGGATTCATATCCTTGTATTGAGGGTTTTCGTTGAGACTGTGCTCCGGTATGGATTGCCGCTGGACTTTGTCTGTGCTTTGATTCGGGTATGTTTATTCTCTCTCAACTTTTCTGGTCAATTACTAACTCCCGGGTACAGACTCCGTCAGCGAAGCAAGCAGACAAGGCTAAGCAGCTTCTGGATGATAAGTACTCCTACCTGGCCGGCAATGCCTTCGGTCGCGACAAGAAGGGCCGTGTCAAGAAGGATGACCCCAACGAGATGCACGGAGCTGGCGAGGGCAGCGCTGAGTACACGCCCTATGTGTTCTACGAATTCGAGTTCCAGTGATCGGACAGAAGACGTTGCGTTGCGTACATATACCACCCTGGTCCATTAAGCACCAAGTACTTAGCATTTTGGAATTTGGCTTCATATTTGTTCATCATTTCGTTCTATTCAGTAACTACTCAATTGCTAGATAAAACTTTACTCGCAGGGTTCATTGTATAAATGTTTCAATAATTTTCACATTCAAAGCAATCTATGTGCCAATGTATTTACAGCGCCTGGCTAACCAAAACCTGTACAAACAAAACCCCAAACCTTCACTCAAAACCGACCTAGTTCTGAGCAGCAGGCAAGTAACCCTTAGAGTCAAGGTACTCAATGATCTGCTTAACAGCATCGACAATAGGCAAATCGACATTCTTAATGTGAACCTCGGGCTTCTCAGGAGCCTCGTAAGGAGCAGAGATACCAGTGAAATCCTTAATAATTCCAGCACGAGCCTTCTGGTACAATCCCTTGGGATCACGCTTCTCAGCAACCTCAACGGGAACATCAACGTACACCTCGACGAAAGGCAGACCAGTCTCCTCACCAGGGGTGGGGACCTCGTGCAGAGCGCGGGCGGTGTCACGGTCCTTCTTGTAGGGGGAGATGAAAGAGGTAATGGCGACAGAGGAGGAATCAGCGAAGAGCTTAGCAACCTCGGCGATACGGCGGATGTTCTCGTTACGGTCAGTCTCGCTGAATCCGAGGTCCTTGTTCAGTCCGAAACGGATGTTGTCGCCATCAAGGCGGTAGGCGTGGACGCCGCGGTCGCGGATGAGCTGCTTCTCGAGCTCGACGGCGAGAGTGGACTTTCCGGAGGCGCTGAGGCCGGTGAGCCAGATTGTGAGACCCTGTTGGTTGCGGAGGGTGCTGCGCTCGGTGCGGGTGACGCCCGAGGCGTGGAAGGTGATGTTGCTGCGGGGTGTTAGTTGACATTACGTGGGTTGTATTTTGGGTTGGAATTGGGTGTTGGAAGCAATTGACTTACGTGGCCATTGTGAATGTGTGTTTTAGTGATGGGGTGGAGGGAAGAGAAGGAGAGGAAGAATAAGGGTGAGGAGGGGCAATAGACGGTGAAACGGGCCGCGTAAGAGGTCCTGGAGCGGAAACGGAGCGCTGATCGCGGGGCATTTTCGGTGCTCTTGGCGCTATACGAAGTTTACGAACATTATCTTAGTTAAATTTAAGGTTGACATATGCAGTCTAAGAATATAATGCATTTCGATGCTTGCTTCTCGTCATCTATGCTATACATGAAGTATAATGAAGCGATTTTACTTCGCCAAAAAAAATCATACACGAATGGACCCTTCTATAGAAATGGCGCAATCGATCCATCTCCGCCAAACACCAGGAACCAGGAACGGGGCTTTCGCCACTTTAAACCGGGCACAGAGATTTCTATTCGTTCGCACCACGGTACAACTGCGAAAGGGCCTAGAACTTTAATCAGCCTCATCCAAGTAAAAAAAAAAAAAAAAAAGTTGCGACAGAAAATAGAAACCGGGGACGAATATAGGAATGGGGGTAGGTGATGCGTATGGACTTACCGCAGCCTGCTTAGGCTCAATGAACAAAGCCTTAGCCTGAACCAACACGACAGGGTCACTTCCATCAAGAGGAAGAGTCTCAATCCGTCCTTCAACCCACGCCTTCCGTCCCTCAACCTTAACAGTCTCCGCCCGCAAAGCCACATAGGAATCCGCCATAGCCGGCGCCCGGTAATCAATATTCAGATTAGCAGTAACACCGATCTTATTAGGAAGCGCAGGGAAACAGCAACGCGCCAACCCCTCATCCAAAAGTGTCGCTAACAATCCACCGTGAATGATCCCGGGGTGTCCACAGATCTCCGAGCCAAGGTACATAAGCGACACGAGGCTCTTGCCGTCGCGCTCGCTGAATACGTAAGGGGGCACGACGATCTTGTTAGGACCGGCCAGTGTGCCTGCAGTCAAACTGCGGGGGCGCATAGACTCGGGGATCTTGAGGTGGGGGCGGGATTCTTTGTAGTCGGGGTTTGCGCGGAGCGCGAGGGCATCGGGGTGGTTTTGGAGTGTTGTGTTGATCTCTTCCGCGGTCTCGTCTACTGGCTTGAAGGCGGACAGAGTCTGTTCGTCGGAGAGAATTGGTTCGGCCATTATTTGTGAGACGGTGCGGTAGGATGTGTAGGTGAGGCCAGCTGTGAAGGCTATGAGGGCGATGGAGACGAAGCCTGCGACGCGGCGGATACGCGATTGTTTTGGTGGAGGTGGTATAGAAATGTAGGGGGGTTGTGCTAAGGTTCGAGTTAGTGAGTTTCTTTGCTGTGTTTGTACTTGTAGAGGGACTGTTGCCCACCTGTAGACTGGAAGCGATTATTGGCGTGTAGGGGATATGAGGCCGAGCGCTGGGTCAGGAGGCGGGTAGGGGAGGATGTCAATCGGGGTGAAGGGGTGGTGAGAGAGGGAGAAAGACGGATATATGACGGTCGGAGCATTTTCCAACTTGATCAGGGCTATCGCGTTTGGGTCCAGGTTGTTGGGAGGCAAAGGTTGAGGTGGTGTGGATTCTAAGAAAGTTACCTCGGCATCTTTTGGCCGTGGGTCTCGGTGTCTCCGAAAGTCTTGGAAAATCTAGGTCTGGGCCAAACCCATAGGAAAAGAAGAATCAGGCAGACGTTTCTATATCAACGTCTTGCTTTCATCTTGACAGAGTTCATCTTGACAAGGCAGCTTGCTCGGAATAAAATTAAGTGGATCCTGCAGGTGTTTAGATGTGGCGTATTGATCTGCGTACTGACAGAGGCCCACGTAGTAGTACCCACGAGGTGATAAGGATCCAATTTTCTATTCAACGAGATCTGCTGGCTGCTTAGCCTAAGCTGCTAGCCAGGTACCTTATTTTTGTTCTTGGTTCACCCTAGCTTTGTAATTGGATTTCAAGGTAAATAATCATAGGGTCTCTGGCTAGGTGCCTGGGTAGCTTGCTGTGTACATACTGGCGTCCCAATCCCTACTGTTTAAGGACATCATCATTCCTTCCAATCTCTCAAGTATTAGTCGTCTTCAACTTTGTCGAGTCTGAATTCCAGGCTCGCGGTAAATGGAGCATAGAAAGTTTCCCACGTGTCCTTGAATGATAATTGATCCTTCAAGTTGCTCCTTATTTGTGCCAGTGAGATTCTATCATGAAAGAAATCCTGCTGTTCCCATTTTCTCACCAAGCAGTGCACGGTCATAACTAATAGAAATTTATGATTACAAATATGATCATAGTGAGCCCTTATGCGAGGACTTATGGATGATTGATGATTAATGAAGAGAACCGGGCCGAAGCCACGACCATTCTTATCGAAAGAATCGGGCCAATGAGATCACCCATCTCCTTGACCTCGGCATAATAGCCAAGTTGAAAACCTTCATGGTCGGCTTTATTTGCAATAAGGAATTATCATAGACATTGCCATCTAGCTTGGGTTGGGACTCTGGGGATTAGAGAGCTTTTACGAAAATGTCTACTAGCGGTGCATCATGGATGAAAGAATAGACTGGAGTTTTAACAAGAAATATTTAAAGGTTGGCAGAAGAAGACATTCATGTTTCCTAGTCTCTGGTAAATGCCCTTCGTCGCCGGTGCTCAATCGACCAAACCGCTCTCTGAAAGTTCCATCAGCGTGCAATCTAAATTTTGTACTACCCGTTGCTCAGGAATGAGGAATACCGCTATGTAAGTAAATAGTTTCATTAATTCGAGGCTGACAACAAAATACAGCTCATATCAAGTACATAAAATAAATGCCGTGGGTCGAGGCACTAACCTTGGCAGTTGAGACATGTAGAACCTGCCATTTCCTAGAAACATATATATCGTCCAATATTCGTTTCACTTGTCTGAAACCCCACTTTCCAGGGTTCTCTTTGGTTTTCCAGCAGTACTCAAGTAGCCCTAGAGTATCTTCACGGATCTAACAACCTTTCTTGGGATATAATCATTGATAGGTTCGAGAATATATTCACGGGAAGAACCTGGTGCTGATGTACGAAGCACCTTGGAATTTTGGGAAGTTGCTGCAGGAATGTGACCATTTGCTACCATGTCAAAATCATTCTAGAAGTTTATGGTTATCTCAAGAATGTTTATAGATATTTATTTAATCCTTTCAAATTAGACCCTCCATAATCAGGTCATAATTGCCGGCCAATGGAAAATGACAAATGTTCCAAGCCTCGGCCATAGACTCCAGATACCCTGAAACGAATACGCATAACAGACCCCTGTATAACCAATCCGAACAACTACAACTCAAATGACCCATCACACGCGACCAGGTCGCATGATATTGTCACAGATAAGGGCCCGGCGGTTCTTGATGCAACCCAGCGACGCGGGGTTGATCGACAGGGGCCCGCATACCAGACAAGCACGACGCGACAGGGGCCAAAGGGGGACCTAAATACCGGCGATCCTGCAATGACAATGATCTCACGCGCAAATATTTCTCCAACCGCCCGCTATGCCCTTGCGCCGCGTACTTACGTCGCTCTTTCTCGCCAGCAGTTGCGCGTTGGTTAACGCCGAGCTTCCAGATCTACCGGATGATTATGATGTACTCCAATATATTGACCCGCTGATCGGCACGGCAAACGGAGGTAAGGGCCTTGAGGAAAGGTGCAGAACAGATGTATACTGATCGTCTTTGTAATAGGCAATGTCTTTCCGGGAGCCACTTTGCCGTATGGCATGGCTAAGGCTGTCGCCGATACTGATTCAGAAAGCAACCAGGGCGGTTTTGCATATGATGGTAGCAATGTGACTGGTTTCTCGAGTATGCATGACTCTGGTACTGGAGGTAGTCCTTCTTTGGGGAACTTCCCTCTGTTTGCGTACCCGCAGTGCGCAAATGATGTTGTGGATGGTTGTGTCTTCCCGAAGAAGGCTAGAGCTACACCCTATACGAAGGGCTCTGTTGAGTCCCATCCAGGCTATTTTGCTATTTCGCTGCCGTCTGGAGTGCGGGTCGACATGACTGCTGCTCATCATACATCGCTTTTTCGGTTTAATTTCACAAATGCTACCAGTCCGCTGATCCTTCTGGATCTTTCTGACCTGTCGGACTCGCGGCAAGACAATGCAACTATATCTGTTGATGAGCTCACGGGACGTATGACTGGAAATGCTAAGTTCCTGCCTAGCTTTGGTAGCGGATCATACACTCTTCATTTCTGTGCCGATTTCAACAGCTCTGCCAGTTTAAGGGATAGTGGCATCTTTGTTGATGCACGGGCAAGCACTGATGTTCATGATTTGAAGATATCGCGGAGTATCAATGGCTACCCTCTCCCAGTGAGTAAAAGCCAACATTCATTTTTGATGTTGAAGAGCTAACCAGTGAAGGGTGGTGGCTTTGTTCGCTTCAATCCTCCGTCTGATGGCATCATTCAGGCTCGTGTTGGAGTAAGCTTTATCAGCCCAGACCAGGCCTGCTCTCATGCCGAATCAGAGATCGGTGACTTCAACTTTGAGTCTACACATAGTAATGCTGTTGAGAAATGGACCGAGAAACTCAGTCCAATTCGCGTTTCACGAACCGGTGTTGAATCATCGGTTCTCACCAATTTCTACAGCGGCATCTATCGGACAATGGTGAACCCCCAGAACTATACTGGAGAGAATCCCCTCTGGACCAGCACAGAGCCGTATTTTGATTCTTTTTACTGGTTTGTAGCACCACCCCTGGCTTCATGTTCGCCGCTTACCATTACTAGTCTATGGGACTCTTTCCGCTCCCAGATTCCTTTCCTCACAATCACCGATCCTAGTGCAGTCGCTCAGATGGTCCGTTCCTTGATTGATACCCAGCGCCATCTCGGATGGCTTCCCGACTGTCGCATGTCACTTTGCAAGGGTATGGAGCTTCTAGTCCTTGGTCTGAAAATTAGACTAATTTGCATCGATTAAAGGCTACACTCAGGGAGGATCAAATGCCGACAACATCCTTGTTGATGCTTATGTGAAGGGCATCAATGATGGGATTGACTGGGACTATGGATATGCCGCAGTCCAAAAAGATGCCGAGGTGGAGCCTTTTGACTGGTCCAATGAGGGCCGTGGTGGACTTCATAGCTGGAAAACGCTGAACTATATCCCTGTCGAAGACTTTGACTACGTGGGCTTCGGAACTATGACTCGAAGTATTTCACGCACGCTTGAGTACTCATACAATGACTATGCCATCGCCCAGATGGCTCGTGGAATGAACAAAACGGCCGACGCAGAGAAGTACGAAAAGAACTCGGGAGCATGGCAAAACTTATTCAAGAAGGATCAAACTTCATACCTCAAGAAGAACAACACTGGCTTTGTGGGATTCTTCCAGCCCAAGTATCTCAATGGGACCTGGGGACACCAGGATCCTCTTAAGTGCTCGAACATTGACAACTCCGGAAGCATATGCTCCCTCCAGAACACTGGCGCGGAAACATTCGAGTCCAGTATTTGGGAGTATCAATTGTAAGAACCTTTCTCTCCTCACAAAATGACTGGACTAACGCTCCTTAGCTTCGTACCCCACGACATGGCTGCACTTATCCCTCTACTCGGCGGTGCCTCAAGCTTTGTCAAGCGCCTCGACTACCTGCATGACAAAAACATCACATACATCGGCAACGAGCCTGCTTTCTTGACCGTTTTCCAATACCATTATGCTGGACGTCCTGCAAAATCTACTGCGCGAGTTCGCACATACATTCCGGATTACTTTTCTCCGACTCCTACTGGTCTACCTGGTAACGACGACTCCGGCGCCATGGGATCCTTTGTCGCAATGTCGATGATGGGTCTCTTCCCGAATCCAGGACAGAGCGTCTACCTGATCACTGTCCCGTTCTTTGAATCGGTGAGTATCACCTCGCCGCTGACAGGCAAAACGGCTTCTCTGCGCGTTGTCAACTGGGCCGATTATAACAGCCTCAACAACACCGGTGGATCAGGTTTCATTCAATCCGCTACTCTTAATGGCTTGCCGTATACACGAAACTGGGTCGACCATGGCTTCTTCACCCAGGGCCAGGATTTGGTTCTCACCTTGGGCCTCAATGAGAGTAATTGGGGTACGAAGCCTGAAGATCTGCCACCTTCTTTGTCACATTCCGCGGACGTGGATGCGCGTGACCTTGACTATGACGATCTTCGGGAGAGCGGAATTCTAGGAAGTGGGGAGGCATATCGCACAGAACATCATTGATATAGTACTTTGGTAGCTGAAATGAGCTGTGATCCTGTCGAGATTCATATTGTATAGTGCATCGACTGGTCTTATAATCATAGCTCCAATCACACTAATCCGTTTCATTTCATACTTATTATATAGACATGCTTTGTTCGTGCTAGTCATCATAAATCGTCATTTGGAGCTTGGCGTCTGAGAACCTCCTGTTCTCTGACGATGAATCTCCTTCTTTTCTAAATAAACATCCTTCCATTCCTGACTGTGGGGGATCATATGCCATGCAACCATGCGCTCATCTTCTTCGGGCGTCAAACACAACCAAGCAAATAAATCCTGCCGGCGTTCTTGCACAGGATGCGTCTTTCTTTTGGGCGCGGAATGCTCCAAGTCGGTCGCTGTCCGTTGACTCCACGGCCACGAGGAGACAGTCGTTTTGACTTCCTTCGGCCCCAAGAATTCTTCTTCCTTTTGCACGGGCTCCCATTGAGTGTACTCCGCCGGATAAGAGGAAACTGTGGCTTTCAATCTCGAAGTAACCCAGCAACTCCAATCCTTCTCTTCGCTATCAGAGTGGTGCCACTTGCGCCGAAGATCGCTTGCTAGCTGCGAATCCTCGCTACCAACTTTATAAGCCGTGAGAACGGTTGCCGAGAGGATCAACACAATCGTGCAAATCTGCGTGTACAACGCAGCCATACCGATACTGACAACATGGACGGCGAATGCAATCCAGCCGATAACCCGACAAAGCATGTAAAACCTCGGATTGGGTATATGAGGGGCGGCTGTGAATGCAGGTTTGACAAGAAATGCAGGCGCAAGAAGAGTCAAGACCTTGGAATCTTCCGTTACCACAAGAAGCTTCACAAGATCGTGGTCCCTTGGCCGACTCGGCATTTTGATATTATCGCAACCCTCCGTCCGACGACGCTGCGCAACTTTCATAGCAGCCTCATATTTCGCCAAATTCTTATTGGCATCTTCTTCAGCTCTCCGGATATTCTCATTAATCCCAGCTTGATTCTCCGCCACTTGCACATATCTCACAAAGACCGAGATAACCATAGCCAGAACATTCGCGAAACCCCACCAATCCGTCGCCAGGACTGTCAGGGCAAGAAGCATACCGTGCAAAGGCAAGCTGATAAGAAACAAGCCGACGGAAAGTGTTTTTCTCCGTGGTGGCCGATCAACAACCTCCCAGGTAATTTTACTCCGGATCTTGTGGAATTCCTGCGCGCGAAGCCATCGCGAGAACCAGCCTGATAACTCAGTGGTTACGATCCCGGCGGAGATATTATAGAGCGTATACCCGAGTTTGCGCTCTTTAAATCGGTCGCCGGCCACAATAAATGCGCCGAGAAGTGGTAGATAGTCAAAGTACACGCTTGGCATCAGTCTTCCTATGCTGCGGTCCATTTCTTCTGCACCCAGGAGTGTGACGAGGCCTAAGGCGTCGATTTGAAAGCCTGCGCCCTTGGCCCAGGCCTTTAGTGAGTGGTGCCAGGGATACATGGCGCTGGACTCAGATTGTGCTTGAGAGTGAGGTGCCTGAGCCTTCGTTGAGTTGTTTGTTAGCCTTTGTGGCACATTCAAACTCTTATGACGTGCATCTTGAGGCGTGACGAGATGAAAACAGTGGTTTTCCGAGCTAATCAATCAGAGCTGGCGAAACGAATTTCATTATCCGCTAAACTGTTAGTGGAGGCTTGGTTATCGACATGTCCATGCGTGCTCACGCTTGGGGGCGGAAGGATTCGAGAGGACTTAGCGCAGGAACAAGGTCGTGCCCATGAGCGATGACTGCGGCTGAGATTTGTAATAATACTTGGTTCTTGCATATACCTGCAGAAATTGCCGGGGACGTGCAGACCGTAGCAGCAAGTACGACGCCCTCCGCGATTGCCCAATCTTCTTCCCTGCGAGGCAGTACCGCTACTTGGATATTTTTATGACCCTTGACTAGCGTCGTTGTGGCTGCTGACTTGTGACCACTTTTAGGGGGAAATCATCAAACGAGAGCCCAAGCTTGCAAAAAGAAACGCTATGGCGGGATCTATACGAGGTCCGCCGTGACCGAGAACAGACTAGCCAATACCAAGTGAAAAGCATGGTCGGCGGTTGGCAAGATCGTGCAGAGGAAGTGGGGTGGTGGAAATTAGCGTGCCGTCCCGTGGGGTTCCTTGGTTCGCCCGGGTTCGCTGTCCTGTCAGCGCTTAACTCTAAAGGGTCGTGCCGACCGAGGGGTTTGACCTAGTTGGGGGCGGTGTTGATCTTGTCTGTCCCTTGTGGTCCGCATCTTTGTGATGAGCAATGTTTCCATGTTGAAGTGACTCAGTTCTTTCCAAAATTCTATTTATTGGGGTCGAGATTAAGGTTTCCTCGTATAATCCCGGTTCCTCGCGGTCTGCGGCCACGTTGTGTCCAGTTCTCGTATTCAGGGTTATATGTGGTTATATGATTTCGGGTATAGTGTTTCATTTCTTGGGTATCTAATTTGGCACCCAGATTGCAAACAATCTCATGATTATCACAAGTGCAATATTAGTGCGTATTGTGGAGTGAAATCGGCGTTGACGGAATGGGATAACTTAAAGTTTAAGGGCCCCTGCACTGCTAGTACTAATATTTCAACGGACCCTAACGTCTAAGAAGGAATTTGTTTTCAATATGTAGAGTCACTTTTGACTCTTAGAGTGGCTGTATGACGCGTTGTTTTATTGCTTGCCACCATGCTTAAAAAGGTCCGCGTATGATTTTTGCGCAATGAGCTATATTGCGAGATGAATTATGAAGAACGACGCACGGGGCACTCCAAATCCAAAATGATATAACAGGGCTAGGTCTATCTATAGAGTTAGAGGCCTAAGCGACTATGGGGTCTAAATTTTGCTGCTGGTAGTGGATTGGTCAGATTCATTGATGATTACTGGCTTGTTTCATGCTAGATATTGGGCTCTTCTAGCCTTCATGGTGACTGGATGCCCCTGACCTTAGGCCCCCAAAGCTGAGCCTCTCCTCCTCGGCACGGAAAGTCCCCGGGTGGATCTAGATATCTGCCTTTGAACAGCAATAAAACCCTACAATAGCCCCACTATTTCGCATTTGTTTTATTCATGCACATATCATTACTATCCAAAATATAGGTTTTCGTCGCCATTATGGGCGCCGCTCAATCTTCGAACAAAGAAGAGGTAGAGCACCAGGCATGGAAGAAGCACCTTGAGAAGCAGTACGATGGACATAGACACTGGTCGACTGGTGTCCGGTTCAAACGGCCACCGAAGCTCACCCCAAGCCAACTGAATGATCGCATGATCGAGCTCGAACACGAAGAACCGACCGGTTACAAGCGCGAATACCTCAACCCGAATGGAGACGATGAGCACAAGAAATTTCCCGACCTGGATACATACTATAGCACGACCAAAGAGATCCCCCGTCGACTTGTCGTGCAAGCGACTGAAGATGCCCAGAATGATCCTCGACAAAGACACTGGGGTCAGAAGCGTATCGATGGACGGACACCGTTTATCATTCGATTGTCGGAACTTTGTCTGAACCCGTTGAACCTCGAAAGATACGATTCCGGCCATGCTAAAGAGCTCAAAAACAATAATGCGAACACGACACCACCGCTGAAGAAGACCGGGGCTCAGAATGTACGGATGATCTTCTTTCGTACCATACACCATATATTGTCGATATTTTTTACCTTGACGTTGGCATGGATTATTCAGGTCTTGCTTTCCGTCGACATCATCACTGAGCCATGGAGTAGTGAAGGATCGTCCGAGAATTACGAGAATTACGATAACGTGCACTGGGACTGGCCCAAACACGCCATCAATAGACTGGACCAGTCGCCAGATAACGATCGACCGCAAGCAAGCCTTACCAGGCTTATGATTCCCCGCCGCCTGGTGGTTTGGGACAAAGAGAAGAAAGATTGGGTAGCCAAAGACACCAGCGAGCTTCGGGACAAAGTAACAGGAATGCTGCAGCCCTATGTTTTCTTGAGTTTCTCGAGAGGCAATTACGGCGCCAGTGACGATGTACTAAGACCTTTCTTCCACAACGTGGCTCAAAGTATCCTGGATGAAGAAAACGCCGATCTAGGTTCAAAAGAGGACCCAATCAAAGCATTCTGGGTGGATGTTGACTGTGTCAGTCACGAGAACCCAGCCGACGAGGCTAGGGATATCAACTCTATCTGTGATGCTGTGCGCTGCGCTAGACGAGTTTATATCATGCTACCAAACGATAGCAACGATGAAAAGAAGAAATGGGGGAAGCGAGTCTGGACTTTACCCGAAGTCCTCCTCGCGGCTGAGAAAATCCGATACTGCATCACACCCTTGTGGAACTGGTCTTCGTCCGTCGGAAACATGCCGGCGAAAAATAAATTCCAGAGAGTCTCTTTGACAGACATGTACAACAGCTTCTGGCCGAGATATGAGCCCGTTTCCACATTGTCAACTACCGAGAGCCATGGGGAGGGACGACCTGAAGATGCAATCAGTCATCTTATCGATCACTATACGAACCGGACTAAGCTCAGTGAGCTGCAATTGTTCACCTTTGCCGTTCAAGCTATGGCAAAAATGGTTACTGGAGATGTTGAAGGTTATACAACCACGAGCATGGCCTATGCTGCAATGGGCTTGTTGTCTTATCGCATAACGCCAGATGAGAAGGATGACACGTTCAAGGCGATTGCGCGCTTATCTCTTGTGAATGATAGCAACCAAATGCTAGAGCGTCTCGTTTGTCTGTGGCCGAAGTACGTATCGACTAATCCCGGAAAGTCCAGCATCCAAGGAGAAGAAAAATATGCTTTTGCTGGCAGTGAAAGTCTTCTCCAAAACATCGCGGATCAAGACCAGTATAACGTTCATCTTTGGGATGTCCATCCATTATGCGATGTAGTCGGTATTGGAAACGACAAATTTGCTCCCACAGTTATCTTGGACCGGTGCCGCGGCATTCCTATCCGATGGAAGAGCTTCCCGCAAGTGAAGTACGTACAGAACTTCACAGGCTGGCGCGAAAATATATCGCAGCTTATTGTGTGGATGGGAGCCTGGTTCTTGCTGACTGGTTTCAATCTGTTCGCCACCGTGATCTCCCTTGCCTTTGCAGGCGTGAACCAAAAGGACACCATCAGCATTGACCAGTACATGTATGGTATCCTGGTATACGTCGGTATCGCCTGGATAATCTCCTGGTTCAGCCCAAGAGCAGTCCGACATCTATGCAGCGGAGGATCTTCCGGACTTTCCTGCCATCTAGTCGGATTCGAAGGCACGATGACCCTCCGAGAAATTGAGAAAAAGATATACGGCAACTATAATGCTCGTCTATCTTATGCACCTTCTTCCACGATCTTCTCTGAAAAGTTACGTCACCACAAGTTTCGAATGGGCGTTGAGCCTTGTGGTAACAGTGATGATTACTGGAAACAACAAAGGAAGGAACACGGCATTCCAGACACGCATCGCTTGTTTACTATTGTTGATACGGGAGATATGAGTGTGTCGGTTATTGCGGCTGAGCGACCACCGGTTGTAGCATTGATTTGTGGACGTGAGGGTGGTATGTTGCGGGGGCTTTTGTGCAGTTGGAGATTTGATAAGAATTGCTTGTATCGGGAATCTGTTGTACGCATGCGGAGCTCACTTGAGGATCAGGCTCAGCCTAATGACTGGTTGAAAGTTAGTCTGGCTAGTCAAGGTGAAGTTGACCGGACCTGGTTGAGATTTGCTCAGCAGGAGAAGAAGGCTTCCCTTGCTCCTTCGGTGTCGCTTCCTCCTCCAACTCCTCCTCAGAAAGATACTTGGGTACAGAGAGTTGTTACCGAAGTACCGTCTCATTCTTAGCTTCTTTGTTTGCGAGTTGGTTTTCATGTTATACCCCTTGGAGACTGTAATGGTAATGTTCTGCCCATTTGATATAATTTAAAACTATGAGATAGGAGATAATGAAGAAGAGGAATTTATTGGTGCAAATATAGTCAAACAATCGCTGTCGTTAATGCAACGACTCCTTCGGGTACATCGATGCTCTCTAAAATAGTAGGGTCTTTATCAAACTCCCCAGTCTCAACGTACTGTTTCATAACCGACAGCACGCTCCGCTCAATGACCAGCACCGATAGATCCACAGACTCTTCTAGAGTCATGAGGCGTGCGAGGTATTGCCAAGCGCACGTCAATGATTCCTTGTCTCCGATCTGGCTAAGAAAAGCAGGCATATAAGTGGGTTGAACTGCAGGTCTCCCACTCACGCCATCGAGATTGAGTGCATATTCCAGCTTATCTCTAACAGAAGTCTCCAACAAGTCCCACGTGTCTTTAAACATGTTCGCTGTTTCACGGGTCGTGACATTGCCCATGCAGAGTAGTCGCACCAATGCACGATGATCCAAATCGTCGACATTCAACAACGGGAATCCCTTCCCATGTAGAAACTCCGCTCTTCTTGAAAGAATCAAGTCATATCCCTCCCGAAGGTTCGAGGTATTAGCAATAACACTCTGACACGCATCATAGACATTTCGGTAAGAGTCAAATATGGGCTGGATAAGTTTCTTTGCGCAGGTACAGTCAATATGTCCTGCAGCCCCGGAAATATCCAGAATTTGCTCCATAAACCGGAACTGGAAAGAACGTGGGGTATCTTTCATCGATAGCAGACCTGATAAACAAGCGGGGACATTTTCGGCCTGGGCCAGCTGACCAAAATTGAATGTCGCCCCCAGCTCAATGCCACGGACGAGATCGTCCTTGTAGTGAACTGGTAGCTTCTCCAATGACCGAACTAGTCCGACCGTGAAAGCTTTTAGAAGGATTGCATCATGATTCAGATCTGCAATGTCGATACCAGTAATGTTTTGATAGTCGGATGCAAGTTGTGGATCCTTGCCCAGATCATTAATGACGATGGATGTAATCAGTGTATAAAGCGCATCAGCGTCCACAATGACTTTATTATAGAATTTCTGAATCCATTCGAATGATTCTCTGTTCAATCGAACATCTGGTGGCTGTGAGCCGACAAAATTCTCGTATTCTCCGAGGTGAATCCAGCGCAGGGCGAGGAACCCCACTAACGTTCGGTTAACCTCGTCATAATCTGCTTGGTACAGGATGTAGGAGGGCGACTGTGTAGTGAAAGTTATTTGTTGGCAGGATCGAATGGAATATGCTCGTTTGAGTCGATCAAGGTCTTTTGTGAACTCTTGATAGACCATGCGTAGGAGGTCATCTTGCGGAAGCGCAAACAAGGAGTCTGGATGAGCGCACGCTGCCCGGAGAGAGCGTGAAACCATTTGTTTAGAGCAGATGAACTTGAAAGGCCAGTTCATCTCTTCTTAAATATCAATGATATAAGGAAAGTTTTTCAATTTGCCCAGCTGAGAAGTCACTTGCACAGCCACAGCTCACACGACCTGGATCAGCGCTTAGGGAACGAGGCGCAGTTGAGATCGGACCGCTCATAACCGGGACCGAATCTAACATAACGCACTCTCCAGTGTCGCAGAATAAAAGTATATAAGAGCAGCCTCCTCTGACTAGTGATCACACCTACTCATATACAACATATTGCTGATAGTCATTGTCTCATGCTCTGGTTTGTGGGAACAGTCACGTGGTGTTTCTATGCGGCCTGATAGCTATTAGGCTTGACTTCTCCCTTCCGGTCATATCAGTTCATGAGGTTGTCAATAGTAATGGGAAGAGTGGCAACGGAGAGGTGGTTATTAAGATACAGTAACCCTCACGCACCGACCAGGAGGTAGCTGAGAATTCGGTTGGCCTATGCCGGGCCTTCATCAGTCGAGTCGCCTGGAATGATCTAAAACGCTTGAAACACTCATTATTTATGTTCAATCGGCGATTCTGCGATCATTCGTCTTATGTTAATTCGCCAGCTATTGCGAACACAAGCCAGGTGGAGTTCGAAGAAGCATCAGGCCACAGATGTGGAGGATCTGGTCAGTCTCGCGGTAGACGAGCTGAGTCCATCAAACTGTACCTCTGTGAATCGTTGTCTGTCCTTTGGATGGCAAGGATCAACTCCCTCCCAATGGAGGGAAAGTTCAAGAGTGAATTGGCGCTGAAAGTTCTACCAGTTGAAGAGAACAAACTTGATCGACTTATGGAGCTTGTCGAAATGAACGTGCCTCAAAACAGGAAACTTAATGGAACCAGGCACTCATGCAGCATATATCAAGAGATTTAGATGCTCATCCAGTCTCTCACTCCTAAGTCCAGCGCCGACATAACGATAGTACTCTACAGACACTAGAGAGAGCAGTACTTACCTAATAGCAGTTGCCTAGATAGCTACCAGGACCTCGGGAGTACGGGAATATGAATCTATATTACTTTGGGGCAACTTATCATGCCTGAACCTGATAGCAATCAAGGCTGCAAGCACGGAGAACAGGTCGATCAAAAAGCACAGCCCCACCCCCGCACGGTGTTCTCACAAGCACCGAGCTTTCCGTCCCCACGCTTTTCCAAATCAAACGGCACAAGCAATTACGGCATGGGCAGGCTTTATGTCTTAAATCTCTAGATGCGATGCATCAATTGATATTGCATCATGTCACAAAAATTAGCGGCACCAACACGCTTGAAGCCAGAAATTCGGCTAGCGCAGGCGATTTCCCTGTTCGAAGCTGACCTCTCCGACAACCAAAAATTAGCGTTCCAGAATGAAAAGGCTCGATTCTATGGAGCGCCTCCCAGAACACAAGATGTCTTGCGTCTCACGGCAGAGATAGACCAAATTGCATTGGTGTCTACGCGACGTTGCTTTGGGGCCCGGATGATGAACGTTCTCGAAGCCGTTCAACAGTTCGCGGCGCTGGGCGACATAATTGTTGGTGGCTCCCAGAACCTGATTGCTTGTGGTGTTTGGACGGTTGTCAGGTCGTCATTATTGGTTAGTCTCGACGATTTGTTCAGATGCTATCGAGCTCACGCGCAACACAGCTCGTGACAAAGAATTCTTCTTATCTTGAGAGATTATCGACACTGTTCATGATCGCTGGCCGGTCTGCACCCCGTTATGAGAAAATGGCTCTTCTTTACCCGGGCTCCAAGAACTTGCAGTCCTACATGTGCGACTACTTCATCACACTCGTGCAGGTATGTCACAAAATTTTGAGATTCACCAAAAAGTCGACTTTTGGCCAGCTCAAAGCAGCCTGGAATGAGGGAGAGCTTCATTCTTTTCAATTGAATCTAGAGCGCTGGGCCGCGAGTATCAAGGAAGAGGTGACCCTGCTGATGGCCGAGAAAATTGAGAATGAGGCCGTCAAAACATCCAAATTTCAGAATGCTTTATGGAAAAAAATCATTAAGTCAGACGATGACATACTTCAAGCGAAAATCAATGCTCGGCTTCAAGTATTGAACTTTTGCTCACAATTCGACCACACGGTTATCTGGAAACAGACTCGAAAGGCGGGAACTACAATTCTCTTTCGCGACAGTCCAGAGTATATTGCCTGGAAAGACCCGGCTCTCTCCTGCATCTCCTGCTCACTCGTATATACGGGCAAGCTGGGATCTGGAAAATCAGTCGTTTTGGCCAATATTGTTGAGGATCTGCATCTTCAATCCGACGTCCTGGTGGCATATTTCTTTTGCCGACACGATGTTGCCAAATCACTCAAAGCTCGCACGGTGATCGGATCACTCAATAGACAAATACTGAGTGGGGTTCAAGACCTTACGCCAGTAGCAGAGGCTCTAAATCAATGCGTGGAATTAGATGAATTCGAAAAGATGACATCTCTACTCGAGCGTGCATTCCCATCCGGCACGTTACAATGTTTCATGGTTGTCGATGGTCTCGACGATCTAGACAAGTCTGAACGGCTTAAACTAATAACAGAACTATCAAAGCTTCAAGAAAGGTTCCACATACGTCTTTGCGGGTCTTTCCGTTCCGATCCAACAAGCTATGACCGCAATATCGACTCGGTGGGTTTTAGCTCCGCCACTGTGATGCCAATTCCAGACAATAGTTCCGAGATTCAAGGTTATATCCTAGAAGAGCTAGAAACCTGTCTTGAAGCACAGAAGCTAGTTATGAGAGACCCTACACTCATCTTAGAAATTCGAGATGCGCTTTTCCACGGATCCCAGGGCATGTTTCTTTGGGTTGCTCTACAGATCGAAACACTGTGCATGATGAAAACCGACTTTGAGCTCCGTCAAGCGCTACAAGACTTCCCTAAAGATCTAGCCGGAACATTTTCTCGTGTTTTAGATCGGCTTGATTGGAAAGAGCCATCTCAACAGGGATCAATCCTCAAGCTGGTAATTGCTGCTCAGCGTCCTTTAACAGTGCACGAGTTGCAGGAGGCATTAAGTGTTGTTCTAGGTAATACAGAATGGGACCCTTCAAAAAGTCTCAACAATATCTATACCACTCTGGCAAGCTGTGGTTGTCTCATCAACATCGACGAAGAAGAACTGACAGCACGACTCGTTCATCCAAGTCTGGAACAATTTCTTTTGGATTCTCCTGAACAGACAAAAGAAGCGCCATTGAGTCTTACATTAGGAACTGCGCATCAATATATGGTCGATATCATCTTCACGTACCTCAACTACAATGTGTTCGATAGACAACTGTCTCGAACCGTCATTCCGCGAATGAACGCCAGTGCGGCAACATCCACCATTTTGCAGTCTACCTTTTCATCCACCAGTGTCCGACACCTCGCCATCAAGTTACTCAAAGGCAAATCCCAATCTGGCGTTGATATTGGTAAAACGCTTGCCCAGGCTCGTTCCCCCTATCACGATCAAGCAAATCACATTTTCTCTTTCCACTCATACGCAATCTCTTATTGGCACTCTCATTTCGCTCGTACGACCGAGAAACATGGCAGCACTCATGAATTACTTGTCAAGCTCTTCAAGACCAGAGAACTTGATGCGAATGCATTGGACGATGACGGCTTTACACCATTAATGTTGGCATCGGTACAGGGGAATGCCAACGCCGTGAGATTCTATCTCACACTGAACAAGGTGGATGTCAATGCGAAGTCTGAATCAGGTCTCACGGCGCTCCATCTGGCTCTAATTCACAAGAAGTACCAAACTTGTAGAGCAATATTGGGATGTTCCACGAGGCCTGTCAATATCACTGATAAAGAAGGTCGAACACTGTTGATCTTTGCAGCCGAGCAAGGCGATACAGAGATATTTGAAACACTTGCACACCATCATGCTTATCCTGGCTTTACGCTTCCAGTGCCTGGGGGGCTTAATTGCGTCAATAGTGATGGAGAAACGGCATTACATATTGCTTCCCGTCTGGGATTTTTTACTATGGTTGTGGTTCTCCTTGCCTTCAAGCAGGTGGATGTCAATGCCAAGGATGCGAACGGAAACACGCCTTTGCATAAAGCGATTCAAAGTGAACAAGAGGAAATCGTCGAACAACTGCTCATGTGTGATCGAGTGAATGTGAATGCGGAGAATCACTATGGACGGAACGCATTGTCCATGACTATTAATTCCCGGAATGAGGATATAGCTCGGCTTCTGTGGTTTTCTCGCTTGGATGGAGGGTCTAAAGATAGATTGAAGCAGACAGGACTGTACACCTCCCCACGACACACAATTTAATCCCACCATTGACTAATGTACTTTTCGTGACTACGGTGGCCCATTACCGCTAAAACTTGGATGCCTGATTTTGCCTGATGTTTGATCTACGTAATAAAAAGTTTGATTGCAGGAATTACCAAGACTAAGTCGAGCTTATATACGCAACCAAGAGCGCCCATTTTATGTCTGTCATGAAAAGCAGTTGAAAATGTGAAATCCTTGTAGGCACTCGTAAAACAGCAGTTTAAATCACAGATCTTCCTGATATCACTCTGAATTCTCCTCCTCCCACCATGTCATACATGTAGGACAACAGCAATCTCCGTCATCCGGGAAATGCAGGGGGATGAGGCGAGTAGGGCTGAGAATGAAGGAGAGATTTGTCGCTACAACACAGAGGCATCGCTCACCGTTAATGTCATAGAATCCAACCCAGTTACCGGAAGCTTGCATATGACCCCCGTGGGCAGGCGTGGGAAAATTGTTCCATCGCGGACCGTCAGGCAGGGCACAAGCCACCTTAAAAGTGGAGAACTTGGGGGCATTCTGGTTGCGATTCCTCTCGTTGTTGTAGACAGTTGTCGTAAACACAAAGAGTCGATGGCCGGATTCAACACGAGTGTTGACTAGTGTTCCAATAAACGAGAGGGAGCCGTGGGCCATGAAAGGCATATGCTTTCCAAATTCGCTGGATTCCGGGTCGCCTTGCATGCTATTGAGATTCATGTTAGAAGAGTAACACTGAATGAACAATGCTACTTACGGGATCAGCTGATCAGCACGAATTAACGCCTTTGGGCTTGCGTCCCCAGTAGCTTGTGCGGAATCAATAGAAACAGCACCTTGCACGAAGGCAATCGTGCCGGGAAGGAACTCGGCCCGACCACTATTATAGTAGTCGATAGTCATAGGTATGCCATACTCTCCCTTGAACACATTGGCGAGGGCTTCGTAGAGGGGGCCTTGCGAGAGTGCCTCACAGGCCATTCGGATCGCAGTTTTGTTCCCTGGAACCACGTCTAGTATCACAACACCAGAAAAGAAAGCATGAGTGTTGGCTGGACTTGAGGATGTGATGAATTGAGCCATGATGATGAAGGTGTCGGTAATTTCAAGGTTTGGAAGGTGCTAAGGGGGTCGTTGTGGATGTGAAGGAACTGAAGAGAGAGGAAATGGTAGATGTGTTGGAAGGAGACAAAGAGAAGGAAAAGTTGAAATAGTGTTGTTTTCAAAAATTGTGTACGCTTTGTGACGACGTGATTTTACTTTATTTTGAAAGGTTTTTGCCTGAGCAAACATTGTTCATAGACACATCTCTCAAGAAAAGTTTCCATACAAAATCCAGGCCTTGGCTTTTTTTTTCGGAGTCTCAATATTCATCACATTCGTGGAGACGAGATCCCTCTATGTAGATTCTCTCTGAATTATGGTGAAACCAGATTTGTGCTGCCAACGAGCGTTCCCCTCTTCACCAGGTCAACTCAAATTGGAATAAGGGTATGTGACATAAGCGATGAAATTGTAGCTAAAAAATTCGCTTCATAATGCATTAATGAATTCCCCACGCTCAGTACGATTAATATACACCCTCACATCATGAATAAGTTTAGTCTCTTTCCAATCCAATACAACACCCACAATACCTTGACTACCCTATTATCCCCAAATGGATAGCCGACAAGATTATTTCCCACAATAGCTAACACCCAGTCCGAATATAAGGCCCCTAATACCACCGTGCATAGTATAAAAGCTAAAAGTCCAGTGAGACCCCCAAATGCCCCCTTCACAAACGGATTATAATCTTTGTGCCGGCATGCACAGCAGGCAATGATCACGAAGACAAGCGAGCAGGCTAGAGCGAGACACCCGAACACAGCTGAAATGATCATTATTGAATGGTTAAATCCCGATATCGCCAATGAGATGGTTCCTGCCGTGCCGGCGATCGCGCCAGGAATATAAAGCAATACCCACATAGCTTTGTCTTCGTAATCGCTCGGACAAAAGCCGATTAGGGAGGAGGTGAGTGCAAGGGCAAATTTCATTGCGGCTATTGTCTCGAATTGCCTAGAAGTGACTTCCATCAGCGTCATCCGTTGCAACCTGCGTTTAGGAAGAACTATCAATCTTACCAAGAGTGGCTACATTTGACCATAGTGTAAATGCAAGGAACAGATGTGCATATCAATTTTGCAATCGCAAGAGTGATGTTCCACTCTGTTGCTTCGAGCTCACTCCATGGAAGCAGTGGCCTCCTCCCCATACACAACAATGTCATGGTATAGTAGGTTAAGACATGAGAAAAGAATCCGAAGCCTCCATAGGGTAGATTGTAGCATTTGATCTCTTCGTCGTATAGGCCTTCATCGCTGTTAGAGGTGTCAATATCATTTGCGCTCACGATGCACGCATAGAAAGCGAGAACGATAAAGACGAGAGAGGGCGACATAGATGGAGTCATGACTGATGCCTGCTATTGCATTTGCTTGGAGGATATTCAGGGAGGACAACACCATTTGGTTGTCCCCCTCCGTGCCTATATATATCCATTTGGAGTCTTGCAGTATTGATCATGAGAAGATTGAAGGAGGTCAATACGAGTTTAGTTGCTTGTTGTCATTCAGCCACCCTTATAGATGGTGGCGGCGCTGCAATGTATATGCATCAACGGCGGTAAGCTCGTGTAGCCAATTGGTCCAGCAGCGTGTAGGAATGGAACGGTGATACCACCCAAGCTTCATGATAACCCTTCAAAATCATATGAGGCTCAAAGTGAATGAGTGTAAGCCAATCAAATTTTCATCAGCACTGCAAAAGTGAATTATGGAGGTTACAAGAAAGCCTTGGGCCGAATCGCAATAAAGCCTTGGGCTGGATCGAACGCAATGCAGGGTCGCAAGAGAGCCTTGTATTAGTACCACCACTAAACCCCCTGATTTCCCCCGGGTTAAACGTCGGACATGCCAACCCTATTCTAGCGAGATGCCGACGCAGCAAGATATTGTGTTTCGTTATTGGCCGCTGGGCGCAGTGTTTCCCGAGTCCTGGGCCTCCCTATTGGTTGGTCAGCCAAGTAGATAGCGCCTCATTATAATAAGTCACACTATCTCATGAAAGACATACAAAATACATGGATATTGCTTCTTTTTTTTCTGTCAAGCAATCAGAAACTGAGCAAGACTCACATGAGTAGACACTTTCGTCAAATTAGTCTTTTCTCTCCTTTTTTTTTTTTTTTGAAATAATTTCTGCATTTGTTACCTCCCAGCCGATTGACCGAACACACCAGTGCATTGAACTAGTGTCTACGGTATTCTCTGCACAATCTGCATTGAATTTTCCTTAGGTGTGGGTTCTGTTTGAGGCACTGTAGAGCCGCGCGCAAGATCTTGCTCAAGTCTTAGAATATCCTCTGCAGCTCCCTTAATATCCCCAAATATCTGCATAGTCCACCAGCTGATGAGAAGGCTCCCCTCTTGAGCATCAAAGGCCATCTCCGCATCCGGAATCATGCAGAGACAACAAAGTGGACAAAGCGGCATATAATATACTGGCTCGTTCTTGTATTTGCCTTCGGTATGCAAGACCATTGGTCACATCAAGGGGTGCATGTCAAACAAGGGCGCTAATCAACATAAGCAGTCAGACGAGTTTCAGCCTCCTCAGTTTCGGCCTTAACATATCAATGACTGACCTTTTGTACTTGTACGTGTTCTCTTAGATCTATTTTTGTAAGCGCGCCGTTCGTCTACGACCCTAGCCCTAAGTAGTGAGAGGACCCGTTAACTGAAGGTACTAGTCCTAATCAGGACATCAACAGTACTACTCCGAAACCTACATCTAATTTCGGGAACAGCAACTCTCTCGAGGTCCAAGGCTCTTGCTAATATGGAAATAAGACTTGTTTAATCGACTAAACAAATGATGATCTAGGACTGTTGAAGTAGATGCATTTATTGGTGGGAAACACCGATAATGTTAAAAATGTATAAAGCAAGGCTGCAAAAAGAAAATGTATGTACAAGTGCAACCGTACGCATTCACCACGCTTTCTTCGGAAATCATAACAGATGGGGACATAACCAACAAACAAGGACATAAGGTCAAGCTGACCGCTCAGCTTAGGACGGGCGGTGGAACTTGCTCTCGATCCAAGGCATACCAGCAACACTGGCCTTGCGAACCTTGTTGCGAACCTTGACACCAACCTCGGTGCCCTTCTTGTGGAACCCTGACTTGACATAGGCCATGGCAATGTTCAGGCCGCCAAGCGACGGGCTAGGCACACCGGATGTAACAACACCGATATCGACGGGGTTGGCAGGATCAGAAATATCCACAACAACGGCACCCTCACGAGCAGGTGAGCCCTTCTCAACGGTAAGACCAACACGACGTTGCTTCAGAGTCTTTGCGGGGCTGGCGAGCTGGGGCAGGATAGCGGAGGCACCGTTGAAGGTAGCAGTCTCAGGATCGCGGCGGTCACGGCCAACGACCCAGCCCAGGGCAGCGGCGGGGGGAGTCTGTGCGGTGGAGATATCATGGCCATAGAGACACATGCCAGCTTCCAGGCGAAGGGAGTCACGAGCTGCGAGACCGGCGAGGCGGGTGGTGTCCTTATCCTGGAGAAGGAGGTTCACAACTTGCTCCGGGAGGGAGGCGGAGGCGGAAGTAGGGATAGAGATCTCGAAGCCGTCTTCACCGGTGTAGCCAGTTCGGGAGATCAGGAGAGGGGGGGGGGTGGCGGTGCCATCGGGGAGGGTGAGGTGAAGCTCGCGGCAGTTACCAAAGTAGAGAGTGCTCAGGTCTGTCTCGGCGGCGGAGGCATTAGTGGCGTTGATGAGGGGCTGCAGGACGCTGGCGGCGAGGGGACCCTGCAGGGCAATCAAGGCGCGGTCCTCGAGGATATCCCACTTGATGCTGTCGGCGCCGTTCTTGGAGCGGTAGGCTTCGATCTCGGCTGTGAGGAAGGCAAGATCCTCGGTGCGGCGGCCAGCGTTGGTGACGAAGTAGAAGGTGTCCTCGCCGCGGCGGGTGATGACAGTGTCATCCACGATACCACCGGTGCCTTCTTCCAAGAGGCAAGACAGGGTAGAAGTGTTGGGGGCCAATTTGTCAAGGGAAGAAGGGGTGATCTTCATCAAAAGCTCGAGGGCACCTGGTCCGCTCAGGTGGTGTTGCACCCTATAGACATGATAATTAGAATCAATTGAGCTTTGTAAAAACGCACATAGCTCCATAACTTACATGTGGCTGACATCAAACAAGCTGGCCTTCTCACGAGTCCACATGTGGCTTTCCACATGGCTCAAGTCGGTATACTGGAGCGGCATGGCGAACCCAGCGAAGGGGACCATCTTAGCGCCATGGGCCTCGTGCAACGCGTACAGCTGTGTCTTGCTGAGAGGCTCGCTTGAGCTTGAAGCATATCGGACGGTCTGAATCTTTCCAATTGCCTTGGGAACAGCAACGCGGGCGCTAGGCACACGGGCAGCTGGCCGCACCGAGGCAGTTGATAGCTCCCGCCGCAAAAGTGTGGAGCCGATAGAAGCGCGGGGTGCATGGAGAGCGGCCGCTCGGGCAGCGACGAGGTCTGCGCCTTTCTTGAGAGTACGAACGCTAGCCATTGTGCTTCAATGCTAATCTGAGAATGAAATTGGATTTACAGGAGAAAAGAAAGAAGAAAGAAGAGGGAAATGGGTCACTCAAGAACTTACTCCGCCGTCGGAGAAGCACAGCGGAAAAGTCACGTGGAGATAGGGTGGCCGCTGCCCGGCGGCATTTACGCATGAGTCAGCAGAAGCTTTTTTTTTAAATCTATAGTTTCAACTTGTACTTGTTAGATAAGTTGAATTGGGAATACGGAGTCTGTGAATGCTTGTGACGATGGCAAATGATTATTCGGGTCAAATGTTTGACCCGATGCCAATCGTCCGATTGAATTTCGGTCGTCGTTATGTGCAAAGACTGTTGGCGCGGTAGGATGGATATATAAGAACAGAACAACCCCAACATCCCAATCGTCCCCAAAATTATACCAATATCGCGTAAATGTCCATCAATTGATGACACCAAGAATAGAAATCCACCGGCATATTCATTGACAAACCATTGAACCCTAATAATCGGAAATGTGCGCAGACGGTCCTTCTGCCTCTCGGTTGTCATGTCATGAAAACCTCCGATGATGACAATATCAGCTCCGGATGAATGCAACAATGATACGAGATGTGATGAAATCGCAAAAAGAAAAACAAGAACAAAGTAGAATAGGAACCCCGCCCCGCAGGATTTTAAAGTGCGTTGCTGGCGCAGGTGAAGACGCCGCCAACGGTACCCTCTCTGTAACTGATGATTACAGACATGACAGAAGCCTATGGATGAATGTTAGCAAACGTACAACAAAAGACGATCTCAATAAACTTACGTAGGTACCAGGTCCCAAGAAGTACAGTCCCATGAAGATCAGACTGACATTAAAAATGGCACCCAACCAACCACGAATGCCCCGCTTCTTGTAGAAGTCGGGTCCGTGGTCAGCCCTACGCATGCGAAGGTAGGCCACTCCCCAGAAAATGAAACCGAAGAAGGAATCAAACAGGGAACTCATGATCGACTCCAGATCCGAGAAGAACGGAATGACCTCGGCAATAACCCAGGCCATGATCCAGAGCACAGCGAGAATACCAGCCCAGGAGGCCCACCCCACCACAGTGTTTTGGGTCTTGTGGCGTGTACCCTCGAAGATGTTGAAGAAAATGAAACGCGCAGAGACGGATGCGTAAAGAACACCGAGGAAAATGAGGGTAGGGATCATGAAGGAGAAGGAGACCTTCTTGTACACCTCATTCGAGATAGAGCCGAACGCAGGCGCTGTCATATAGGCAGATTGCGAGCCAGTGTAGGCGTAGATAATCGATCCGACCAGACTGAACAAAATCACCTCGGCGATAGTCACGGCAGTCACGGACTTCCAGAAGTCTCTTGGCTCCTTCATCTCGGCGATGAAACTGGGCAGGGTGATCTGTCCGATGAAAGTGTAGCTGATGTTCAGGAAAGCGCTCATTCCACTGACGAAAGTGGTGCCCTTGGCTGGGATGGCGAGAACTTCCGGTTCGCCGGCGCTGGGGTAGCCAGCTGGGTGACCCTCGATACCGATGAAGATCATGGCCAGCAAGACGGAGACAAATGTGAAGAAGGCGGACAATGTCGCCAATCGAGCAAGAGCGCTAAATGTACGCGGCAAGGAAACAAAGAAGGAGATGATCGCCACGATGAGCGAGAAAACAACGGTGCAGGCACCGCCATTGGAGATGGTGTTGAGGTACTCGGATCCCACCACGCAATGCAAGCCTTGAATGAAGGTGTTGTTGAGAAGGAACATGATGGCAGTAAACCACCAAGCCACTTTCGAGTCCCAAAATAGGTACTGGCCGATGTCACACACATCGCGAATTTCCGGGTGGCGCAAACAAAATTTCCTGGAAAATAATTAATATATGCGCAACGCATTGACCGTGCGACGACCTGCGCGGGGAACATACCAAATTGTCAACGAAGTATACAACACCACACCAGCAATGAAAACAGTCAAAATCAAACCCGGCACCAGACCGAGAACAGAGTATGACCAGGGAAAGGACATCATCGCCAGACAAATATACTCGGAGAAGAGCAGGGCAGCCGTCTATACTAGATTAGCAACCGCCAAATACCGCCACATCCAATTTATCTGCAAGTCGTAAGACTCCAAACTCACTTTTTGCCAGCTGCATGTACGGTACTTGATACCATTCTCAGCTTCGAGCTCAATTTGCCGACCGACGCTCTCGGAAGTGGAAGACGAATCGAGGGCAACATGGGAATGCGACAAGCGACGACCTTGACCCTCGAGATCGAAATCCTTTAGCTTGGGATCCTGTTCGACCTTGTCACTCAGGTGAGGGGTTTCAGACTGGTCGCTATCGGAACGATGGTCCCATTTTGCGATATGTTCTGGCGCAGCCATGTTAATCTTAACGAGCGGGTAAACCGCTTTTGACGATACTCGGTGGAGTGGAAGGAAACGGGACCGAAAACCGGATACATAAAACTGTTGATGAGCTCCAGATACAAGACAGGGACCGGGCACAGGGAGTGGTGCTCGAAAGTGCTTTTGGGGATTTGTCGCTCGGCGAAGAAAATGTTGTTGCGAGGGCTGTTCTCTATTGTTGCGGCGGGATGAGATTCAGGGACCGGGTGAGTGATGACGCTGGAGATTTAGGGCAAACGGAATCTACAAGGACCCGTGGATGAATGGTAAGGTTTCAATAGAATTGAATAGATCTATCGCGGACGAGTGCGACGAGAGAGATTTAAAGAAACCAGGGAAAGAAAAAAAGAAAAAAAGAGGAAAAAAATCGAAATGAGACTAACGATGACCAAGATGGTAATGGGTATCTGGTATACGAGAGGAACTACCTCAGGGCCATAATGGGGGGGTAATTATGGTTATGCTGGATACCCCTGTCATTTTAGAAATCGGATACTCCCAGTTATTGCCGGAAAGGTACTAGTAGGAACTGAGGTCGATCCGGGCGCAATTGCATGACGTGATGGACATAATCCGCTGCAAATGCGGATGTTTCAAGCCATGGATCAAGCCACGGCGCTGCCAAGGGCGAAAAGTCACTCGGGAGAGGCAGCCGCGCCCCCCAGGGGCTTACCCAGACTACCTTATTATGGGGTTCTTTCGACGTGCCCTGACTACTGTACATGCCTGGTGGCCGATTAAACACGTTCGAGTGTTGGCAATAATTTTCTATTTTCTGTAATTTTCTCATCCTGGTGAAATAAGGGGCCACGAGGCAGTAAGTAAAATGGTCGTGTTCCGTTAAAGCAACGACTTGCCAAAGTGGGCCTAAACCCACCCCGCATGCAGTTGTCGAATTGAGAGAGCTAATGGGGGCAGGAACCCCCGGTCGGGATCAGACAGTGCAGTCATATTAAGCCCGAAAACATGGAAGGCTGCGCAGTGACCTTTTTCTATGTGCTGATTCGATCGTGGCGGGACGTGCTTAACCGGATGCGGAGGCAAATATGGATCCTCTGGGGCCATTTCGCGGTTGAAGTCAGGTATTTTATGAGAGAACAGGATTGACGGGAAAAAATCAGAGAAAAATCAAATTAAATATTGAGAAATGTTTTCCATCCAAACTGTAGTTGAAGAAGCTGCGAAAAGAAAAAAAAAGATAAAAAAATGAGAAAAAGAAATATTATTTCGACCTGAGCCACGTGTGGATGACTCAGCATTCTGGACTCGATGACTGAATCAAGTAGAAGATCTTCACTGCAGATATGCTTTCAGCTTGGATTTGAATAAATAAACAGATAAGATACTGCTCAAATTAATACGTTATGACAGACAAGAACCATACTTTTCCATGGTAGTGTATTCCTATATTGGAAAAATTGCATGACATTGTCCTCATCCTGGAAAGCCTCGACCTCGCTATACCGCGGTCCACTCTTGCGTGCTTGTCACCCATGATGGCCTCATGCGGAATCCACATACTCACTCGGGAACAACGGCATCCCCGACCCCATAGCCCCCAAGAGGATGGATTGGAGTTTAATCCAACGCCTCGCTCGTCAGTGAGAAACCGAAACCCGATTTCTAGATTACCGAAATGCTCGCGTGATGTGCGCTGCAGGGATACCTTTTGGGTCTAGGTTTTGGCTTATCAGGATGCAGGATTTGGGGGCAACCTTTTGCCTTCTTGGGTCAAACTTGGGGTCTACCCCAGAGATAGTGTACATACTGTAGCTGGAGGTGTGGTATTCTGGGTACAAGCGCCAAGTGGGGAAACTAAGTCCAAAGATAAGGATAAATTGTGATTGGTATTTATTTAGGCCATGGCCAGATATAGACCATACATCGAGACAGACATGTAAACATACAAAAGAACCCGGAGAACGCCGTCGACAATAGGGAATGCACGGTATAATGTCGGTGCGACGTCACTTTTGATAAAGGAAAATAACGTATATGCAAAGGAGAAGAGGCGCAGTAACACCACTTACATACCATCCTCCTCGTCCGCCAGCAGGGCTGCGTAGTCGTCGGCCGAGGCGAAGGTAGGCAGGTGCTTGAGCTTGCGGCGCTTCTTCTTCGAGTCCGAAGGAGCAGCTGCGGCTTCGACGGCTTCCAGGTCCACACCACCGAGCTCCATGTCCGAGGGCAGATCGTCGTCGCTGTCGAGGAATGCCTCGTCGTCCGAGACATCCATGTCGAAGGCGTCCTCTTCGTCTTCCTCCTCGACCTTCTTCTTCGGCTTCTCCTCCTTGACGGGCTTCTTGGCCTTCTTGGAGACAGGGGCCTCCTCTTCCTCGTCGAAGCCATCGAAGTCTTCCATCTCCTCGTCGGAGGGAACGTCGGACTCGTCGTTGAAGATGACCTCATCATCGCTACCCTCGATGTCAACCTCATCCTCATCATCATCGTAGGCAGATTCCAGATCGTCCAGGTCCAGATCGTCATCGCTATCGTCGGCGGCTTCCAGGTCAGGTCGGGAGCCAACCATGGCCTTCCAGATCTCGTCCTCATTGTCGCTGACGCCCTCGGGGTCAGCCTCATCATCACTGTCACGGGCTTCGGTAGCCTTGCCCTTCTTGGCACGGGTCTTGTCCTTGTTGACACGGTTGAAGTACTCGTGGAAGAAGACATCCTCCGCGGCGACCTGGTCAGCCTTCTTCTTCCAGAAGTTCTCGGAGTTGAAAGGCATAGCCTGCTGGCCAGACTTGGCAGCCTCCACCAACCGGTCGGCGGCGTCACCACCAGCGAGAGGCTGCATGATAGAGGCTCCACGGGATGCAGCGTTGGCCTTGGGAGTGCGGTAAACGAAGCGGTCCAAGAAGTGGGTAAGGGTATGAATAGTCAAATCTGGCTTTCCGCTCATAGGGTTGTGCTCCAAGAGGTTCACGGCATTGACGGAAACAGAGGGATGGAAGTGAGAAGTGTAGGGTAGCAATTCCCAGAGACAGGTCTTGTCAGCGTTGCTGTGCTCAGGATCACGCTTGCGAGGATCATAAGTGTTGGCAGACTTCTTGGGTGTGGTTTCAACGACAGGAGTAGGCTCAGGCTGCTCATCGTCTTCGTCAGGAACGTCACGGAAGACTTCCTCGTCATCGCTGTCATTCGCCTGGGGCTGGTCGAACAGAGAAGAAAGGCTAGTGAAAGTCTTCTCCAGCTCGCGGATCAGGTAGAAAACACCGCAAACAAAGGCAGGCTGGTGCAGTCCGAGGACTTGAACGATACGCTTGACAAATGCCTTGACTCGGCGAACATTCAAATCGTTCTTAAGAGCCTTGAACAAAACGTTGAGGTAGAGTGACTGCTTAGAGGAGGTGGTGACACGGGGATCCAGTAGCGACTCGTACAAGGTGCGGTAGAAGCGGTCATTGCCAACTTGGTGAGAGGCGGTAAGTTGCTGGATCAGCATCAGGGCCTGGATGCTGGTGTTGAAGTTCGAGGAGTGGGTGATGCGGAAGAGAGTGTCAATGTGCTTCGAGAGTCTGCAATGAGGTGGTTAGCATGCGTCCAGGTATCCAATATATCAGTGCTTGGGTTCTTACCGGTCAGAATCAGAGTCAGTGAACGGATACGCGCGGTTGACACCGGTCAAGACACCAGAGGTGAGCTTCTCGCGCATTTCATCGGTCTGGGCTTCTCCCTTTTCTCCCTTGGGAGGAGCCTTGCCCTTAGGGCCCTTCTTGCCATTTGGCTTTCCCTTGTAGCTAGGCTGAGTGGACTGCGCTGGCTTCAAGAGGGTAACAAACATAGAAAAGTAAATGTCAAGTAACTGCGCAGCAACCTTTTGTTCCTTTTGGCTGAGGACAGTCTGGTTAAGGGTGATGATGGCGTAGTACTTTGCATGCTGGCTCTGGCCAGGACGGAACAAGAGCTCCTCAACGGCCTTGATAATCAAGGGCTTCATCATGGGGTGCGTCTGCTCTAGCTGCAGGAGAAGGTAAGAGGCACGCGAAGCAATCTTCTTGCCAGGATCTCCAAGTTTGTTGACCAGCAGACGCAATAAGTTGGCTTCTTGCTCTGGCTTCTCCTTGAGGAGCTCGTAAACATAACTGACAGCACGGGTTCGTGAGAACTCAATCTCATCATTACACCAGATCTCAAGAATCTTGAGGACCTCAAAGAACTGGTCCTTGACAATGTTCTCAAAAGCCCAAAGCATGAGGTGGCTCTTCTGTAGACCTCCAGGGAGCGGGTCACGCTCGGTCCAGCGACCACCAGCGCCTTGGAAGGCAGCGACCAGGGATGGCTGGTTAGCAAATGCCTTCAGACGACGGTCACTGGGCAACAAGGTTCCCTGAGCAAACATATCCTTCAATGAACGAAGTACCTCAACTGCTTGCGCACGACTGCGCTTGCGGCCCAGGGCGATCAAGGCCTCGAGAGACTTCGTATTGTGCAGCGGCGACTCTTGAACAGCAAGAGTTAATGCGGAAATCTTATCGCTCAGGGTACCAGAGGCCATAATGGTGGTGTAGAACTTGTGGGACGACGAAGCCGAGGTTTGCTGGGCTTTGGCGTATTTCTCATTCTCTTCTTGCAGAAGCGAATTGGCGAGCTCGTGGATGCGGTCAACCAAGTGTCGGGGAAGGGCAGTCATTTGCTTCGCATTACCGCTGGCAACTTTAGGAACAGGAGCTGCGTACCAATCGGAACGAGGGAGGATGGCCTAGTAGTCAAATGTCAACAGCAAAATCAAGTCAAAGGACCATCATGCATACTCACCAGTGAGGCATATTCCTTAGGGATCATAATTTCGGGTTGCCTTTCCTTGGGCTTGGGCGCCTCCTCAACTTCCGACATTTCGGAAACATCTTCAGGCACGCTCTCCTCGACATCGCTAATCTCGACGTCTTCACCATCTTCTTCGGCATCCTCTTCCTCCTCCTCCTCTTCCTCTTCTTCCTCCTCGACTTCATCATCGGCTAAGTCTTGGGGCACAACATGACCTGCAGCCTCCAACAGCTTTGAAAGTTCTTTCCGAAGGTCATTATCACCACTCTTGGCGTTGACACCCTCAACCTCTGACTCGGAGTCGACATCGGCGAGAAGCTCAAGGTCCTCCTCGGTGCCGCCCATGGCCAAGATCTCTTGTCGGAGGGTTTCATCATCACCGCCCTTCTTAGGCGACTTGACAATCTTGTTCTTTCCTTCCTTCTTGTCCTCGCGAGCAATCACTTCTCCATTGCGATCCCGCTTCTTGCCATGCGCAGAAGCATCCTTGGCTTTACCAGCCTTAGGAGCAACTTCCTTCTCTTGCTTTGTAGGCGTGGGCTGAGCCGGAGCATTTGACTTGTCGTTCTTCTTCGATTTTCCCTTGGCGGAGCTCTGGTCCTTCAATCGTTGCTCAATTTTCTGGCGTAGACCGGCGAAGGCGCTCTCGTCGATCTGAGGCTCGCTAGGCGTAGACTGGGATTCGGAAAGTGAGACACCTCCATCAGGGATGGGCTCGTTAGCGCCCGAAGGGCGCTTGCCTTTCCCTTTGACCATTGTGGTATATCTGGGGTTGCGGTATGTTTTTTAGACGGAGAGAAAAATGAACGGAGAAATCTTTTGCGGCGGGCCCGTTATCAGGACGCTCGGACCAACCCGATAAGAAACAGTCCAGGAGTGACTGCAACGATTTCTCGGGTTTCTTATTTGTCGACTGAGTTGTGGTAATTGATTCGGAGGGCTTTAAGAACTGCCTTCCACATTACTCATGTCAATGCTTCTCACACTCGAAGCCCGTCGCTTGTTAAGGATACGGCGGGCGCCGGCATTCCGCGTTCAGCAATGCGGTTTACATGTACGCGTTTCCCGAAAACCGTCGAGCAGCTTGATTGAAATATTAATGTTTTATAGTATGATGGACGAAGTCGAGTCTCTAATTTCTGGATTCCCACTGGTGGTATTTCCAAGAAACCTGTCGATGGACAAACAGGTGCGTTATCGGCCACTTGACAAGATAGTATGATCCGCAAAGCTAATGAAATACCAGAGGATGCCAATGATCTATTAATTCGCGCTGGATTTCTCCGCCAGGTGGGCAATTAATTGGCCTTACATTTGAAAATACTAATGGTCATTGACAGGCATACTCGGGGGTTTTTCATCTCCTTCCCCTTGGACTTCGCGTGCAAGACAAGCTCGAACGCCTCATTGACAAGCATATGCGCTCATTAGGCACGCTGCCCCCTTATTCTATACGAACCAGAACTAATAGGCCATATAGGTGCATCTAAAGTATCTTTGTCTTCGTTATCCTCTCAGGAGCTATGGGAAAAGTCCGGCCGGTTAAGCGCGAGCTCAGAAGTATGTTTATTGGCTTGTCCTCCCGTATAGTGTAATGCTAATATAGCTCCCAGGAAGTATTTCGACTCAATGATCGGAAGGATACCCGTTTTCTCCTTGCTCCCACTCATGAGGAGGAAATAACTACACTCGTTGGGAGCCTCACTACTTCCTATAAAAGCCTCCCTCTGCGAGTGTATCAAATCTGTAAGCGTCAACATAACACATGAGGATACTCGAGTCGCTGATCAATCAAAGCAAGAAAATATCGAGATGAAGCACGACCACGGCAGGGTCTCCTTCGTGGCCGGGAATTCATCATGAAGGACTTGTACACATTTGACTACAATGTTCAGGAAGCATTGAAGACTTACCACGCGGTCAAACACGCCTATACCCAGCTTTTCGATGAACTCAAAGTCCCCTATCTGGTTGCTGCCGCTGACTCAGGAAACATGGGTGGTAGCCTTAGCCATGAATTTCACTTTATCAGCTCCAAAGGCGAAGACCGCGTGGTGAGCTGCTCACACTGTGATCACGTATACAACGAGGAACTTGCCGATGGAAAAACACACAGCTTCAACGAATCCACGGAGTCGAATAGTGTCCCAGGCTTCCAGACCGAAGATGCATCCACCGAAGTTACCCCCACAGTCTCTACTGGCATGTGGATGTCCATCTCGCAAGACGGAAACACTCTGTTACGTGGCTGGTACCCCAAATTCTCGATGCAAAACGGGTCTACAGAGCCTGTTGAGCGCCATGTCAACTCGCACGCTGTCAAGGCAATCGCCACTGCCGCTGGAGTGGACCTCGATTTAAGTGTGGAGAACCCAATGGATAAATGGGTTGCGCGTGTTAAATCGCGCTCGGCTGGTCAAAAACCTCGCGTTCTAGATCTGTACGACTCCCAGGTACGGGTATACCAGCGTCCACCATTGAGTGATCTTCTCGAGAAAGCAGGATGCACTGTCGCTGACATCGAATACTCAATGTTGGACCGGTTCCCTGATGCATCAAACAAACTCAGCCTGGTTCGCGTGCACGATGATGATAAATGTTCGCATTGTGCGGATGGACTCTTAACCAGCAACCCGGCTGTTGAGCTGGGACACACATTCCACCTGGGCACTCGCTATAGTGAGGTGCTGCAGGCATCTGTGTCGGTCAATCCCGCCCTACTTGAGGGCGCATCTCCGTCAGATGTCAAATCGGGCAAGGAACAGATTGTGCCGATGCAAATGGGCTGCCATGGAATCGGCGTCTCACGTATGGTCTCTGCCGTTGCCAACCGACTTGTGGATTCTAAGGGCCTCAACTGGCCCCGTGCGATGGCTCCCTATGAAGTCGTAGTGGTCCCCGGAAAGGGACTGGACTCCGTCGCGGAGCAGGTCTACGATAGCCTTACCTCGGGAAATAAGCCCGTGGACACGCTCCTCGATGACCGTGACAAGGGCATGGGCTGGAAGCTTGGAGACGCAGACCTGATCGGATACCCTGTCATCATTGTGGTGGGTAATGGCTGGAAGAAGCACCAGACTTTAGAGGTGCAATGTCGCCAACTCGACGTGAAGAAGGATGTTTCCCTGGACCAGCTACCCGAGTTCGTTGACAGTCTGCTCACACAACTGTGATCAAGCAGCTTTTAGTTGAACCTGTACCATTAGCATATCTGCAATTGAGCCTGTACATTACTTTGTATTACAATTTATTCTCTTCTTCAACTCCCAAATACACACATAATGTGCGTGTGCATACCACATCCATTAGTGGGACCACAAACAAAGACGGCTGCAACCACACTAATGCCACGCCCCCCACCCCACCTCCGCCCGCATCAACTCAACGCGCTCGAATCTCTAATTTTCAAACCACTACCCTCAAACCACCCACAATGTCGGCTCAAAACTCCGACTCAAGCTCCGGTGGAGCTCCCCCAGGCACAGGTTAGTCCGATAAGATCAGATGGAAACAATCCCATCTTCTGCAGCCGCGACCTTAGCCAGGTTCTCCCACAGGGAAACCTAGCTTGGAAGCAAGCTACCCTGTCTCCGATCCACAGCGCACAGCAGACATCTGTACCAATTGGACCCGTTTCTAATTCCGATATAGTGAACCTGGCTACCCTTTCTCTGCCCCAACTCCGCGCCCTTCAAACCCGTCTTACCTCCGAATTGGAGCACCTGACAACCTCCCACTCGAAGCTGCGCGCCGCGCAAGCCAAGTTCCGCGACTGTGTGCGCTCAATCAATGATGGTGTGACTGGCTCTGCGGCTAAGGGAACCGCCGGCTGCGACGAGATCCTGGTGCCGCTTACAAGCTCCTTGTATGTCAAGGGTCGCTTGACGAACCGGGAGAAGGTGCTTGTTGATGTTGGTACTGGATACTATGTTGAGAAGGTATGGCATTGCGTCCTGTTCGTTTTATGGTAAAGCGATCCGCTGACAAATGCTTTTCTACGACTCAGACACCCCAGAAGGCTATTTCTTTTTACGATGAGAAGGTGAAGGGATTAGATGCGAACCTGGTTGAGTTGGAGAAGATTGTCCAGGGTAAAAACTCTCAGCTGCGGGTTGTGGAAGAAGGTAAGTTCTGAGTTGTCCCGAAATGACTTGAGATATATATACTGACTGTTTCTAGTGCTCAGACAGAAAATGCTTGCCGGCGAGGGGGCAGAGGCTGGTGCGAGTGCCTAAACTTGCACACCACTTACGAAGCTTGATGACGGCTTTAGATAAGCCAGTAAATATAAATCAAAAGACTTCCTTTTTCATGATGTTCGGTTTTTTTATTCTCGCAAAAGGCACGCTCAAATTAATGCAGAGTGAAAGGGTCTCGTGGCCATTGATATCAATAGACAATAGACAAATTCGACGACTTTAAGCATCAGACTTGTTGAATGGCAAAGAAACAGAGGGAAGAAAACCCAATCCGAACCTAAAACAGCATTCCAAGCTCCACATCCATCAATCCCGCCATTCTCTGTTTGATGGAGTTCTCCGAAAGTCTCTCAAAATCTTGTTTGCTCAATCCGAGAAGGCCAGAGAGATCATGAACGAGTTTCAGATACTCCCAGAAACCCTCATTATCGCCACCGAGGCTTGCAGCTTCCTGTGGGAAGAAAGACTCGAAATCTCCCACCCGTCTCGCTGTATCCTTCGGGTCCGTTGCAAATGACCTGATAGATGCGCCTAGGGCAGCATCCCAGCCAGGATTGAATAGAGTCGCACTCCATGCAACATCTGGTGTCGTGGTCCATCCAAGCGTCCGCCGGGTGTATCGATCAAACCGAGCCAATTCTAACACATACTTTGTTCCTTTGACGGTCAACTGGATTGCTGATTTCTCAATAAAATTGGATACTGATGCGTCTTGGTTGAAGAGAACCTTCTTGCGGGGACTGGTGGCCATACCGTGCACTCGTAGCTTGTTATCGAATCTGATTGAGTGGAGAAAGCTACCTAAATGTTCGCTCATCTGATCATTGTGCAGGGGCTCGAAGAGTTCGATATCGGCTTGCCAGTCCGACCTGAAAAGACGTCAGTATATAAAGCTTTAGACTGGGAAATAAAAGGCTGTACCTTATGAAGTTCATCACACCAAGTTGCATGGGGAGTAAGCGGGCATTTTCACTTTGCTCGTCATGGGTGTTGAACCATCGGTGGTAAATCTTTTCAATCTCAGTACTGCGTCGCCGGAAATCTACTTCCAGGCGAAATGGGGAGTTGGCTGCTCCCGAAAACTGGAAACTAGCTGAATAGGTGGGTATGATGCTCTTGAGTTCCTTGAGTTTGTATGAAGTATCCACCGGTTCAAAAACGGAGGTAGCGCTCATGCATCGAGATAGCAGCTGTTCGCCACTGATTTTCAATCTGATAATCGCAAAAGTCTTGGTTAAGATTATACGTTTGAAGATGGGGAACTTGGAATTCCTTACCCTGGTACCAGCCGTCCTCTGGCACGTTCAAGGAGAACCATCTCCCGGAATTCTTCAAGCCCGTACGCCTTTTGGCCATTGTCAGGTGCTTGAAACCTATCCATAACAAAGGAGCCAAAGTGCACACGCATCCGCAGGTAGCCAGCGAAAAGGTTTGCTTGCGACAAGGCTTCTTGAAAGCTACCCAACAGTAGCTGGCTGTTGTTCCTCTGGATATCATCAATATTGTCGCGCTTTTGATCATGTTTTGCCCCCAAGAGACGATGCTGAGTTGCATGAAGGAATGGCAATGCAATCTTGCCACTCTTCACCAAAATCACTGTGTTTCGCATGATTTCCTTTGCGGGTGGCTCAACAAGGTAGGCTTTGATGCGGGTGTTAGTCTTTGCCATGGTTGTTTTCCATAATCTTTGCATTCGAACAATGATCTGCTCCATGTCAGTATCCTTCTTTCCAGAGATACAAATGTTGTCAGTGGAGCCTTCCTCCAGATACACGTGCACACTGAACTCTTTTCGAATGAGGTCCAGCTTTTCCAGGTGATTACCGAGTTCCTCCTGCGCTGTCGGGCCATCTTTAGGCCAAGTGTACACCCTCTTACCCGTGGAGCCGGTTAGCTGAATGACCAAAACGCCAGCAAACGTCTCTTGCTATGAATATCTCGCTCACCTGGGACTCAGACGTGGCTGTCGTGGGTTTCCCACGCAGTGAAGCCTCTTCATTCTTGAAAGCCATGACCTGCAGCGTTTTTTGGATGTCCTGTTCATATTCTGGGTGGATCTTGGCCCAGCTACGCTGTCCATCAACAGGACTTTGGCAGTAGAACCACTCAAGCAGCCTCAAGAGGAGAGTCCTTGCTGCTTTTACTTGCTCAGGCTCTCCCCAGATACAAAGAGTCTTTCTACTCGTTAGCCTTTAGAACACCATATGCCATTGTTCACTTACTCGATCATGCTGACTGCCGCGTTTCATGAATACACCAGTCAGCTGGGCGATGCGCTTTAAAACCTCGTCCCGCTCCCGGAAGTGAGCCAGGGATTTCATTAATGCGATCGAGGGAGCCTTTTCCCCAAGACCACTTCAATGCGTCAGTCAAAGGGTCCTGGAATGTTCTGAGCACAAGCATTTCTTACTAGGGTTTGGCTTTGGTAACTTCGTCAGGCAGACGTACAGACGCTAATTCACTGTTAACATAAGAAATCCAAGCATATAAATGTTAATCATACCATCGGGCTTCCGGCCCTCTTGCCATCGCTTCTTTGCTGGGGAATCATTGAAAGCCGGAGCAGCTAATGCGGCCTGCTGCTGGAAACCATCCACGGGCTCCCCACTTATGGGAGCCTGCTTCGGAGGTTGGATGGAGCGGGTGGGCGGCTCGGAAATAGCCTCGAATGGAGCTTCTTCATTGGTTGAACTTGGATTTGTCGCGGGTGCCGGTGGTGTGGTTGAGATCAAGTCCGGTATAAGGGGTATCTCTGTGGTGGCATTTAGAGCAGGACCGGTGCCGTTCTTATCACGCCCATAGTCAGGCAAAGACCAGTCTATTCACGATTAGTATAATTTGATGGAGCGAATGCTATCTGTCAGTCAGAATGAGACATGATAATCCACCTTGCGCCGCAGTCTTTTCCCACCTGAAGTTCACGTTAGCACAATGCCAAACCTCCAAATTCAAGTCTGACTTACTCCATCATAAGCTTGTTCAACAATGAGTGTGTGTATGATGGTTTGTCAAAGTGAAAGGTCGTGATTTCAATTAGGCAGTGTTAGAATAGGCAAAAGCCTTCGAACATGCTGCGAGGTTGTAGCAAGCGAAAAGGGCGAAGAGGCAATTGAATACTTCCATAATCTCACGTTAAGAAGCTGCATAAAGTGATGTGAACTTCAGTGAAGCATTGTTTCTTTACTTGAAAGGACATCTTATCTCTCTCTTCCTTTTCACGTCTTTCCTTCTCCCGTCCTAGCTTGTCACGACCATGACATATACCCTTTCCTGGCGAAGGAAAGACGTTCATCCATTTATTACGGTATAACTCAAACGATAGGCGATTTAGCGATGGAAACTGACACCAAGTCACCTGTCCATCCCCCTGCTCTTACTCGATATTTCATCGAGGGATTGGCCGGTCGTCTGCAGTTTCCTGTGTACGAGACAGTAAGTGAGCATGACCTGGATATCCGTTCACCTATAGCAAAGACTACTTTCTAATGGCTACAGTAGAACGTCAAAGGGGATGTGATTGTTGTGCCTGGAGAAACGGTGTGTCGAGTGCCTGGCTGCTCAAACAGCACAGTGAGTCCAAGTAACTCATCTTTTGGTCAAGAACTCACAGTTGGTAGAACGCCATGGTCACTTCTAATACTATCCAGAAACATCCAGTAGAGTGGCACAACCTGGTGGGTGAGGCTAGCATTATTGCCCAGTCTACCAAAGAGGATAAGAGAGCACGAATAAAGTGATTTGAACAAATCCCGTTGGTGGAGCCTGTGGAGGAGAAGCAGGAGGGAGCAAAGGATGAAATGAGAAAAGCAGTCATCTAGATTTCATGGGCCTATAAAAATGTTTTTTTTTTTTTTGCACAGCTTTCAGTGCAACGAACCTAAGTCATTGAGTCCGTGGAAGATTTGTCTCGAATGTAGTGATTTCCTTTGCTCTAAGTCTGTGTAGTAGATTGTGGCGATTTGATTGGCCAAGACTTCCAGGGATTGGCGCTAAACCAGATCAGGATGAAAGTGGACAACGCGTAGCTTAACTCCAACGCGATCTCCATTTCCCGATTTTAGCCCTTTCAAGTGTCGGAGTTGACCACTCTACTATCAAATTATGACAATGGCTGCCGACTTGGATCATTCAAGCGATGCTGAGCCACAGCAGCCTCGCACCAATGCACGCCAACGTGCCCAACAATGGATGACCAAGGGCGGCCTGGTCCGTGAAGACTCAGACGACGAATTGGGCGACGAGGACCACCCATGGGACTGGATATATGCCGACAATGAAGCCGAGACAGAAGAAAACAACAACCCCAGCCCAGAAAAATCCAATCGACGACGATCCTCCCGCCCGGCCAGGAAGAAGCGCGCAATTGTCGGAGCTCGCATGGGATCATTCGAATGCAAGATCGGCGAAATCGTGCTTTTGAAATCTCCAGAGGCTGGCAAGGACTGGGTGGGAATTATAATGGAGTTTTTGGAGGAGGAGGATGAAGATGGAGAAGATGAGAAGATTAAGTCGGCCAGCATTATGTGGTTTGCTTCTCCGGACGAGTTTCTGTCTACGAGGAATAAGCGCAGAACCGATGCGCTGCCGAACGAACAGTATCTGACTCAAGACTTCAACACAAATCCTCTTTACTCTATTAGTGGTAAGGCCAGGGTTATGTCGAAGGATGTTTTCTTTGCGAAATACCCCAACGGGGAACCTCCCAAGGACAAAGCCCAATTGGCGGAATACAACAAGTGTATCGTCTGCCGCAGAGGTGTGAACCAGGTCCAAGGGCGATACACAGAAGAATTTGTCTGGGAGGAAGTTTATCGGGAAGACAATGTTTTTGAGCTCATCACTATGGTTAAGGATGGGTTGAAAGCAGCCAGAAAGCGCAAGGCCGCTGACTCCGACGTGAGTGACATTAACCTGCAGAATGATACTGCGCAAGTATGCTAACTTTTGTTCCCTATCGCAGTATGTCGAGGCCAAGGAAGAAAGCACAGCACCCGCAACTCCGAGGAAAAAGCAGCGAGTAGCCTCCAGTGGGACACCCAAGTCCCAGCGGAAGAAGCCATTGACGACACCGACACATAAAAGAATTGTCGTCAAGAAGCCTCTTGAATTTACACCATTGGGCACACGTGTTCTCTCACAAGACCATTTCGCCTCGCCATATCGTCAAGCCCGCACCTTGCTCCATGTCTCCACCGTTCCGGAATCCCTACCATGCCGGAAGAACGAATTCAACGAAGTCTACAACCATCTCAGTGCGGCTATCATGGAGGGCACGGGGGCCTGTATCTATATCTCAGGCACTCCAGGTACTGGAAAAACAGCCACCGTTCGAGAAGTAGTAGCCCAGCTGAACGCGGCCGTGGAAGCCGAGGAGATGGACGATTTCATCTTCTGCGAAATCAACGGCATGAAAATCACAGACCCACACCAAGCGTATTCAATGCTATGGAAAGAACTAAAAGGAGATCGAGTATCTCCTTCTCATGCGTTGGATCTACTCGAACAGGAATTCTCCCACCCTTCACCACGTCGAGTGTCCTGCGTCGTGCTGATGGATGAATTAGACCAGCTGGTCACCAAAAACCAGTCGGTCATGTACAACTTCTTCAACTGGCCCGCTCTGCGCCACTCACGGCTTATTGTTCTGGCTGTGGCCAACACTATGGATCTTCCAGAACGAACACTCAGCAACAAGATTTCTAGTCGTCTTGGTCTTACCCGTATCACATTCCCAGGATACAAGCACACAGACCTGATGGAAATTATCGGCACACGACTCGCAAACGTACCGGGCAACATTGTCGAACCAGACGCTGTCCAATTCGCCAGTCGAAAAGTCGCCGCCGTCAGCGGTGATGCCCGTCGTGCACTAGATATTTGTCGTCGTGCCGTTGAAATCGCCGAACAAGAAGCCGAAGAAGCCGCTGCCGCGGACTCAATCATTCCAGAAGAAGATGAAGACGATGTACCCCCAACACCCAGCAAAACGCCAGCCCGACGCAATAAATCACTCGCAGCAGAACCAGCCAATTCCCCTGCGCTGAAACCTAAGCCAGGCAAAGGAAAGCCCGGCCGTGTCACAATCGCCACTATCAAACAAGCCATCCAGGAAGCAACCTCAACACCACTCCAGCAATCACTCCGCTGCCTCCCACTCTCAGGCAAACTTTTCCTAGCAGCACTACTCGCTCGCGTCCACCGCACCGGTATCACCGAGTCAACATTCGGTGATGTCCTCGATGAAGCACGCCGTATCGCTGATGCATCTGTCGCAGTTGCCGGTGCTGCAGGTATGGGTGTGAAAGAATTCCTGCTTGGCGGGGGTGCTACTGCTCGAGTGCGTGCTTTAGGTTTCGCAGCTATGGAACTGATGAATGCGGGTATCTTAGCCTTAGAACAGGGTAATGGATCGAAGAATTTGCTAGGTGGTTCTACGATCCCGACTCGCGGTGACCGAACGGGCAAGGTTCGGCTGCGGGTTGCGGCTGAAGATGTTCGATCTGCGTTTCGGGAGGATACTGAGGCGAAGGGCTTTGGATTGGGGATTGATGTGTAATTGTAAGAGGGAATCCCTCCATTTCTCGAAGATTTTGTACCACTACGTCTACGCATTTAGACATGCATTGCATATGATACCCATTGCATAATACCTATACTGTCCCTGAAAAAATGTAGGCACCTTCCAAGGTCAAACCTAGATTGGGTAATTGAGACTCTGCCCCTCGGGCAAAGGCCTCGACTAATTGGTGGGAGGCCCAAACATTTGAAGTCGACATAACGACCCAGGTGCATGTGTAAAAGGCATATTGTCCCAATTCCCGTTGAATTCTCAACGTTCAGGTTTACGAAGTCAATCAGTTTATCAATGGTGTGTAGGTACTTGTACAGAAAGTTGAATTCTTTTAGATGACATGAGACCCTTTCCCAGAAGATATAAATTCTTGCATACCCAAGGAATTTTCAGGCAATTGCAAAACCACGCTTAACTCCACACGGTGCCGTAAAAAGAAAAGATCAAGCATAAGGGTATTAATGACACAGGACCGACTAGAGTCTAGTACCGCGTTCTACCCAAGCTGGGAGCCCAGGTAACGGGGTGAGACTCGGGTGTAGCATTCTCATCAGGCTTCCAGACCTTGATAGTCTTATCAGCCTCGCCAGTAATGAGACGCAAGCCTGTTTTATCGAAGGTCGAGGCCATGATACCCGCCTCGGCCTCCAACGAACCGGGCTGCGCAGTGGTCTCAATTGATTGGAAGCGGTGACCAGTCTTCCAATCCCAAAAGGACATGGAACCATTGTCACCTCCTGAGAACATGACATTCTCGTCGTTGACAGCCAAAGAGTTGATGACGGCGTTCTGTCCCTCAAAGTTTTGCATGAAGGCACCCTCGGGGCACTTCCACTGCTTGATGCTGCCAGTACTGGCACTGGCAAAAGTGAACTCGCTTGGGTGGGTGGCAAGAGCACGAACACCCTTCTTGTGGTGTGTCAGGACTCCCATGGATTTACCCGCAGCCAAATCCCACAGTCGAACCGTAGCGTCGAGCGAACCGGAAATGACTTGGGGATCAGCTTCTTGACACTTAATATCGGCAACAGTGCCCTTGTGACCAGCGAGAACGTGAACATTGCTTCGTGTACGCATATCCCATACTCGGCACACACCATCGCGACCACCAGTAACCAGCAAATCGAGACGAGGGTGCAGAGCCAGCGTGTACACACCACTCAGATGACCGTGGTAGTGACGAATGACCTTGTTGGTTTCCAAATCCCAGCACTTGACCATCTTATCCTCACCGCACGAGAAAAGGTACGGATGCCGCGGCGACACCGCCAACCCACGAACAGTAGAAATGTGACCAGTCAGCGTGAGGCGCAGGTTACCAGTCGCCAAGTCCCAGATCTTGATCGTCCGGTCTCCGGCACCACTAGCAAACCACTGGTTATTAGGTTCAACAGCAAGAGCGCGCACCCAGCCCAAGTGGCCCGAGATAACACGCATGAGCTTCCACGGCGCATGCCAGTCTGGTCGCTGCTGCTTCGTCGCTGACGGCCTCTGGATCAGGCTCTTGGGCTGGTCCTCGCCACCTGCTGCGCCAGCACCGGCACCTGGTGTTCTCTTTACAAGTGACATCGACGCACCGCTCCCATCACCGGATGTCTGCTGTGCCTGCGGTTGGATCTTGGGTCGTTTCGAGCGTCCGGCGGCGGCTTTGGCTTGGATTTCAGCGAGTGCGCGGGGCAATTCTTTCACATCATCGTATTCAGCTCTCCGCCGGTAAGAAATGCCGATTGAATCGTCTGTCAGTGTCGTTGGTGTGACCATCAAGTAATCTGTACCGAAAAGATCGGCGGTGCGCTTCGCGGAGACCCGAACGGCCTCGTCGGCGGTGTGAGATGCGACAGAATCCATGGTTATTAGGAGTCAGGCAGAGCGAATGAAGTGAGGGACAGAGTCGAATAAGCTCAGGAGGGATGTAAAGAGGTTCCTCGTTCGAAGGTTTCGGGGCCTGACTAAGGTGTGCGCAAAGAAAACCCTGCGCCGGGGTTGGGGATCAAGGTAAGATACGCGGCGGACTCAGCGCATCGGAATTGGTATATGTCGTCAACGGGGTTCGAAGAAGGAAACCCGCGCGTGGCGATTGTCGAGGCGTTCGTAGATGTGGAAGTGAAGCTCGTGAATCTCTGCGGGCGGAAAGAAGGTCTGATTGTTGCCTGAGGCGTTAACAGGTGTCGACGCGCCAGTTTACTTATCGCAGCTCTTATCGATCATTCCACCTTCCAAATCGTCATGGATCCCACTCAGAACGCCAAGTTTCCTCTGCATGAGGCTGCCCGGGAGGGTAGAAGTAAGTCAGGAATTGAGGTAGTTGTTGGAGAATTTACTGACTGCTGGGTTAGCTCAAGTCGTGGAATCTCTTCTTAGCGTACGTGAAAGCAGTGCTTACAGCTGCCCCGCAAAACCCACCATCTACAACCGATAAAAACCGGCATTGTACAAATCAAGGTGCAAATTGGACTGATCATATATATAGACAAACCCAAAAGCTGCAGCTATCAAAGATGATGATGATCGTCTTCCTATCCACTGGGCTGTAGCCAACAACCGACTAGCTGTTGTCGAGCTCCTAGTAGCCGTCAAGAATTTTGACCCTGATGTTGAAGTACGTATGATCCCATTCACTCATACGCATCGTACATTGAGCTTACGAGATTCAAATAGGATGGATCCGGTTGGACTTCACTCATGATCGCGGCCAGTCTCAGAGAAGCCGCGGGCGATCCAATCATCGATCTACTCCTGCGCAAAGGAGCCGATGTGAGCATCAAGAGCAATTCTGGACAGGTAGGACATCCCCGTAATCAACAATAAAACTAGCAGCTGATGAAATACGTTAACTACACAGAATGCTCTCCACTTTGCTACCTCCAAGGCCAATATCTCCACAGTTCGAACTTTGATTGCCAATAAGTGCAGTGCCCGGGTGAAGGACATCCGAGGGCAGTTACCACTGCACCGAGCAGCCGCAGTTGGCTCCGTTCCAATTCTTAAAATCCTTCTCGAAGAGGGAAAGAGCCCCATTAACGCGACGGATGGGGATGGCTTCACGGCTTTACACCACGCCGTGTCAGAGGGACATGGTGATGCAGCAATCCTTCTCTTGAAAGCCGGTGCAGAGGCAGACAAGAGAGATAATGAAGGCCGGCTGGCAGTCGATTTAATTCCCGATGATAAGGTAAGTTACTAATCGTGGCGGAATGATTCGGCCATTGTGGATCTAACTTCCTTTTAGGTCAAGCAATACATTTTGCAAACTGCGGAGCGAGAAGGAATTGAGCTCCCCTGACGAATTATACTGTATACTATTGCTAATAGTACCCCGCTCATACAATGAAATGATTTCTGCAGACCTCGGCGATTTCCAATTATCTTCCCCGCACTTCCAGCTCCATATTACCGAGAATCTAGGTGACCCTCGGATATACCCGTGCATAAAAAAGTCGTACTTTCTTCAAAAGGCTTCGTGCACAAGTTACGTAGGCATGTCTCTCACTTCGGCTTTGTTTTTTTGTTACTGAGGGTCGGCGACTTGGTTGTCAAACTTGACGCAAGTTTGATGGAGAAAGTTGTCACCATTGTTTCAACCAATGTTCGACTTGAAGATTCCTGATCATTTTTGAGCTTGGTCAAGTTATGCGGGGTCATGCCTATTTGTGGAACTGAGGGGATCCAGTCAAGATATCAACTCTATATCCGGATCCAGGGTCGCCGATCAATCGAAAGAGGGGGTCTAACATTCTAGCTTGCTCACTCAGAATTCCTGTTCAGCACCCAAATTCAACCTTCATCTCATAATAATTCAAACAATATGTCAAGGCCATGTAGCACACGTCTTCCGGTTGGGAATAAGGATTTCACAGAAGCGACAGTGGTCATAATCGGGGCTGGGATATCTGGCAAGCAAACCTTGGCCTTTTAGTCGCGGCGAATCCTCACATAAGCTAACTACACGCACAGGAATGTGTATGGCCATTGACCTGATCAAAAGGAATCAATGCCGGAACTTCGTCATCCTCGAGAAGGGTAGTAGTGTTGGAGGGACATGGAATGACAACAGATATCCAGGATGTTGCTGTGACGGTAGATTGCCACACTACAGAATCGGGTTTGTGAACATCGCTAATCAGCACATAGTTTGGAGTACTCTGTACAGCTACTCCTTTGAGCAGAATCCGAACTGGACGAGACAGTATCCAGGACAGGAGGAGCTCCATGTAAGAATGCCCCAAGCGGAAAAACCCTAGCGTTAGAATGTTTGCAAGCTGATGTTAAATGGTGCTAGGCCTATCTAGTCCGCGTTGCTGAGAAGTATGGACTTTACAAACACATTCGATTCAATTCGACCGTTGAAGAAGCAAAATGGAACGATATTGAATGCAAGTGGGAAGTTGGCGTAAAGGTGACAGGACAAAAGGATAGCGAATTCTCCGATTCCTACATCATGAACTCCGGATTCCTGATCTCGGCGGTCGGTCAGCTTAACGCACCACAAGAGCCCAACATCGAGGGCTTGAAAGAGTTCCAGGGGAAGATGATGCACACCGCTCGATGGGACTGGAGCTATGATCTGAAGAACAAACGGGTAGCAATTGTTGGCAATGGTACACATCGTTCTTCATCCTCCACATTGGCATACAGAGAGGAAGCTAACAAACGACCAAGGTGCAACGGCGGTGCAAATCGTCCCCGAAATTGTCACAGAGGTATCACACCTCACCATCTTTCAGCGAACCCCAAACTGGATCATTCCTCGGCTTGATGCACCCGTATCTCCACTTCAGCAAGCTCTATTAACCTACATTCCCCCGCTCCGCTGGCGCAAGCGCTCTTTGCAGATGGACTACCGCGAGAATTTCCATGACGCCATTTTTGACAATGACTCGGAATACGCAAATCGTCTCCGTGGCTGGGGCAATGATCTCCGCAAGGCTCAGTTGGCCGAACATCCAGAGCTATGGGCCAAATTGACACCGAACTATGCGCCAGGCTGCAAGAGAGTGATAATATCCGACGACTACTATCCCGCCCTTACGCGCGACAATGTCAGCCTGGAGACGCGACCCATTACCCGTATCACGGAACGAGGCATTGAAGTGGAGGGTGATGGCGAGCAGGAATACGACCTTATCATATTGGCGACTGGATTCAAGACTGTCGAGTTCATGTATCCCATCAAGGTATGTGGTGCAAACGGGAGACCCCTCGAGGACATTTGGAAAGACGGTGCCAGGGCCTACAGAGGTGTCACTGTTGAGGACTTGCCAAACTTTGGCATGTTCTACGGTCCCAACACTAATCTTGGTGAGTAACAAAAACTCAAACTCAGCTAGACATACTCCTTTGGCTAAACTTTGCCATTTACAGGACACAATTCCATCATCCTTATGATTGAGGCCCAATCCAGGTACCTTAATTGCCTGGTTGGAGAGGTCATGCGAGCTAAACAGCAGGGACAAAAGCTATCCCTTAAGCCAAGTCTTGCAGCGATGAAAGCATTCAATGATAGGATTCAAGCTCTACTTCGGGATAGTAGCTTTGCAGACCCAAATTGCAACAGCTGGTATAAACGAGCCGATGGAATCATCACCAATAACTGGTCCGGAACGGTCGTTGAGTATCAGGAGGAACTTTCACAAATTCAATGGGAAGATTATATTGCTGATGGATCCGGAAAGGACCTTGTTGCCAATAAGCGACCAACAAGTTTGGGAAGAATCAGGGAGGAGTCGTTTTTCTCCAACATGTCACTTCTTATTGGCACTTTTGGCGCACTAGCTGTTTTTGGTGGCTATCTGGCTGTCCGTCCTAAGCTGTCGAGGTCTAGGTGATTCATTCTAGAGTGAGTTTGAAGATTAAACCCGATAGTGAGGTGACTTGCTGTGAATTAATCATGGTTCGGTCGCTGCAGGCGTTTTGGTATCAAATTCTGGTAGTTACTATAAACTATCTTTTGAACCCCTATAAATACCTTTCTTTCCTTCTTTTACTTCTTCTTTCTTACAAATCTCTTCTCCGAGGTACCGAATACACAAAGTATCCAGGCCATAATTTTCCATCGGGTAAACGGTAGGAGCTTCTCAATTGGACACCACAGGATTGGTTGAAAACCCTCACTAACCACCTTCACAGCCGCATTCTTCGAAATTCAGGTAAAAATACTGTTGAGTACATAACCAGGTGCCTTAGTATAGTCCATTGAGCTCTTGTAGATAATCGAATTTATCAGATGAGATCCTTCCTAGACTCAACCTTTGCTACCACGACAAAATTAGCTTACATGATAATACCACTGTCTACCTTATGCTTCGTAGCAGTCTCGTTGTCAGTCAAAACTACATTAGTCGCGTTGAACGTCACAAAATCAAGATAACGAAATGCTTTCGGTGCCAACAGTTTGGATATTTGGCGTGGTCGTGTACAGCCAAGTGCAAAACCGACTTCACCATTCCACACTCACAAATTCATTATAAGCCCAACTGCCAGGGCGCTATCTAGAAAATCAGGTTCATTCCAGTGGATAGTATGACTACCGTGACATTCGTTTCACGTGACTATATGGGGCTGAAGGATATCCGCCCCGCGTTCCTGCCTTCCTAATAGGAAGGGATCATTGCTAGAGACAGCCCGGATCCTTTGCAATCTTGCTCCCGCCGATGCTAACATGTTGATGTTATGCATTGATGAGAATGTCTGATCCGAAAATCTACACTGTTGGCTGGATTTGCGCCATCACCACGGAATATGTTGCCGCTCAAGCCTTCCTCGATGAAGAGCACGAGGGCCCAGAATACTTACCAGCTCACAACAAAAACGACTATACATTAGGCAGAGTCGGAAGACACAATGTGGTAATCTCCGTTCTACCTTTAGGTTCATACGGCACCACCTCGGCAGCGCGAGTTGCCGAGGATATGTTACACAGCTTCCCAAATGTTCGAATCGGTCTAATGGTCGGTATCGGTGGCGGAGCACCAAGTCCAAATCACGATATACGCCTTGGCGATGTTGTGGTCAGCATCCCATCTAATGACCGAGGTGGAGTATTCCAGCACGACTTTGGTAAAACGATACAAGGCCAAAGCTTCCAGCTAACGGGCTTTCTTGATCAGCCGCCTCTTATTCTCCTCGCAGCGGTCAACGGACTTCGAGCGCGGTATGAGAGCGAGGGTAATCGGCTCGAAGAGGCTGTCAATATGGCTCTCGAGAAAAAGCCAAGGCTACAGAAATTATATAAACGGCCAGCGCAAGAAAGTGACCGGCTATACCAAAGTCATATCGTTCATCCAACAGATAAAAGAGCAACTTGCGCTACATATTGCGGTAATGACTTAACAAATTTGATCTCCCGAGATCCACGATCTAAGGATGAAGACAATCCAGCTATACACTACGGACTGATTGCGTCAAGCAATCAGTTAATAAAGGATGCTTCGGTCCGCGATAGACTTGCCACAGAAAGGGGTGTTTTATGCTTTGAGATGGAAGCGGCCGGGCTGATGAATCATTTCCCGTGCCTTGTGATCCGTGGCATTTGCGACTACTCTGATTCACATAAGAACAAAGAATGGCAAGGGTTTGCGGCAATGGTTGCGGCAGCATATGCCAAAGATCTCCTTTGTCGAATTGTCCCTCGAAATGTGGAAGCACAAGAAAGTCTTTCAGAAATCCTAAAGCCTCGTCATAACCATATGACTGAGGTCACAGACCACATTACATCTAGGCCACCAAAAACAGATGAGAATTGCGGCGTGAAGTTGCAGACTCTTCAAGGCCATTCTCGTTTAGTAAATTCGATGGTCTTCTCTCCCGACGGCCGACTAGTAGCCTCCGGGTCTATGGATCATACCGTGCGGCTCTGGGACATCTCCACTGGTGCTCTACAGCACACCCTCCAAGGGCATTCCAAATGGGTATCGTCCGTAGCCTTCTCTCCCGACGGCCGACTGGTAGCCTCAGGCTCTGAGGATCAGACTATACGGCTCTGGGATACGGCCACAGGCACTCTACAGCAGACACTTGAAGGCCATTCCCTTCGTGTTGATTCGGTGGCCTTTTCTCCCGACAGCCGAGCGGTAGCTTCAGGCTCCTATGGTTCTGTCCGACTCTGGAATACCGCCACAGGCACTCCATACCAGACCCTCACAGGCCATTCTGGTCCAGTGGCCTTCTCTCCCGATGGCCGACTAGTAGCCTCCGGCTCTAACAATCATACCGTCCAGCTCTGGGACGCCTCTACATGCACTTTACGGCACATTCTCATAGGTCATACCATTATGGTCTTGTCAATAGCCTTCTCCCCTAACGGACGACTGATAGCCTCAGGCTCTTATGGTTCTGTCCGACTCTGGGATACCGCCACGGGTGCTCTACAACACACCTTCAAAGGCCATTCTGGTCCGGTTGCCTTCTCTCCCGACGGCCGACTAGTAGCCTCCGGCTCTAACGATCATACCGTCCGGCTCTGGAATACCTCCACGGGCGCTCTGCAGAACATTCTCATAGGCCATTCCATTATGGTATTGTCGGTAGCCTTCTCCCCTGACGGACGACTGGTAGCCTCAGGCTCTTATGGTTCTGTCCGACTCTGGGATACCGCCACGGGTGCTCTACAACAGACCATCAAAAGGTTCTGGTCCGGTGGCCTTCTCTCCTGACGGCCGACCAGTAACCTTGAGCTTCCTTAACCACGCCATCCCCGCCTCTGTATACCACCACAGGCGATCTACAGGATACAGTGAATTGCACGCATGTCTATGCGACAATCCATGGCCATATGAAGCAGCGTTCATGACGTAGTGTACAAAGGTCCATTCGAATGTACCCATTTCTCAAGTTGGCGTCTTGGCGGTGGGGCCCTGAATTAAGAGAAGAGTATGAAATGGTGAAGCTGGTTTTGCACTTTGTTGTAGCGATACACCGCGATGCCCACTTGGCGTGAGAGCCCGGCGACTCGAGTATATTAATGGTTGCCTGTAGGGCCATCAACAGTGCCCGACCCTAACGATCTCCAATCTAGAGAGAAACCTTCACGTCCTACGGTAGAACATCATGAAATCGGCCGAGAATAGAAGTACTGATCACAGAGCACTAGAGTTAAGCCCTAGATGTCCTTGTTATCCAGAAGCCATCAATGACCACCTATCGCACGTACGTTAACATTGTATAGTAAGCATAAAAGAACGAGGCTATGGAAGGTTTCAATTTAGCCTCGAGTGAGATCGTTTTGGTTCCGGCCTATAAAAAAGCCTAGATGAATTGATGAGTAAGTTGCTGTGTTAGCAAAAAGAGTGAAATATTGTGGTGGCCATCTTTCCAACCAATATGTCAACCTATTCCAATTCATCACTCTCCAATGGTGTATGAGGTTGCTTTAATAATACGGATAGATATTTGAGGCAGTGCCTAGGTGGGTATTCTCACCTCGTCCTCACCTCTTTCACCCAGTCTCCGGGATTCCGATCCATAACGCTTCACAATTCACTAAAAATCATACACTTTGTCAAAAGCAAAAACATACAAAAACATACAACAGTCAGGATTCGCATGTGGTCACCCACCATACTACTAACTAACCGGCGTGTGGCTTAAGTACGGCTGAGCGGACGGGAAGCCCTGTTCTCCACACCCTATGGTCGTATGTACTCGAATGTGTACTGGATTGGGATATATAGTTCGGGTATAGGGTGTGATTTGAATAGAACAGACTCTGAACCAAATGCACTTGTATAATTCGAGTGCCAAGCCAGGAATTGGAAGATCTGGAGACCATATAAGAGGGGGGGAAAAGAGTCTCTAGTGAAGCGCCATCTCGTATATTGACGTGACTTAAAGCGAGGTGATGTGATGCCCTTTGATATTTGCGATAATATCATCTATATCATAATTATAGTGCTACTTTAACTACGATTTGTGAAGGTATTTGACTAATTTTGCGAAGTTCAATTCTCGCACTTCAAAGGGTATTATGCGAATTTTCAAGTGAAACGTATTATTTTACTCCAAGAAACCCTTCATTGAAATAGATAAATAATCAATTGCATGAATGTTGAAGCTGGCATTACACAGTTGTGGAAAGAAGAAGAAGGATGGCAACATCGGGTGTTTTTATTCATGGAAGATAAAGGTCTGAGGAGGCGAGACAGAAGTAAAAGCAGAAGAAAGTGAGGCTTCTCAACCATCATTCACCAGTCACATTAGCATGCGATATATGGTATTTGCAGACAAGAGGGCACATGAAGGAGGTGAGCTTTGTTGAATGAATGAATCGAACATATCAGTCACATATTTGTAGCGCTAAGTTTATAAAGCATTAGGTGTCTCGCTGTGAATCTATTCTTCAAGAGGTATCGAAAGGATAATAAACCATAGACAAGGCCCCGCTGCTCTTCGTCGGCACAAAAGATTGTTAGTTGAAATCCAAATTCCCTCTGTAGTCGAGATGCTAATAATGCATAAACTCCCATTTGACAGTTCAAACTCTTTCAACTTCCTTTTCTATCAACCTTTCTCAAAACCAGGGCATCTAGCCCCTTCACATATCTTTCCCACAAGCCTCCAGAACCCAGCAAGATCACCCGTTTAAACCGAGAGTAATGGTGGATGGGCTCGTCTTGTTCTTCTGTCTCAATCTTCTCTTCAGAATTAGGGCCCCAAATCTTCCACAGACTGGTATCAGATTCTTGCTCCCATGGAGCCTGGCCATACACAAATCGAAGCCAGGCAGTTTGAAGATCACCCCCCATTGCGCGCTCCGCTTCATTGAGCTCTGTGTCGAGATTCCGAAATAGATAAATCACCTCGAAGCCGTGGTAGGACTTACCCTGGAGGATATTGTGGATGCGAGAACGCTGGTCAAAGTGATATTTGAAGAGTGCACCTTCTTCCTGGAGACGCTTGTTCACAATTGCGGTCCGATAATTCTCGATTTTGAATACAGCCTCGGCGGCCATCGTGCATACCCTATCGATGAGTACAGCCTGCGCCAAGTCCGGGGTAATGCCATATTCGTCAAATGCAGCATTGAGGAAGCTTTCATCTTGGACATGCTCCATAAGCGTAGCTCGAACGATGTCATATGTGTCCTTTCTCAGTCTCAAGATGAAAATGACTCCCTCGTCATGAACATCACCGAACATGAAGGATCTCACATAGCTGGGTGCTTCTGTGAGTTCCTGGGGGTCGTGTGCATAGAACCAACCATCCAGACATGGATTTCCAGTGCTAGTTGGCACACCCTGAATGACACTGTCTGCATCGGCCAGAACTTGCTGATCAATTTGGCGCAAACGATCCAATGCATCTGGAGCATGTGGGTCAATATCAAAATAGCGACACGTGCTTTGGAACAAGTTCTCATGTTCCTCCAGTGACAATGCCCGCAAAGTTGTCCCAACACCGGACATGCAAACTGCGCGGTGGAACTTCATTGGATGATTCGACGCCATGTGGTGGCCGATACTGACGCCTCCTGCTGATTGTCCCACAACAGTAACATTGCTAGGATCTCCTCCGAAATTCTCAATATACCTCTGTACCCAGTCCAGCGCCGCTTTTTGATCTGTGAAACCGAAATTGCCGTCCCCAGCAAACCCATCTCGCTTTAACTCTTTTGCAATCTTCGCGCCAGCCAGGAACCCACCCAATCCGAGTCTGTAGTTGATACTCACGGCGACTATGGGGAGTCCAACGGTCTTGCTGTGGGAAACGAGATTCACGGTATCGTATATGCCATAATTTACGCTTCCGAATAACAAAGACCCGCCGTGGATCCACACAAAGACAGGAAGCTTCTGCTTTGCCGGCTCGGCAGAAGATTTTTGAGCTGTGGCGATATTTAAGACGAGCGCGGATTTTTCGTCGCTTATGGGAGTCCTTGTGAAGGTTGGGTTTGGGGGGACTGGTATGAAAGGATTCATCGGGCTAGAATCACTTCCCGAGACTTGAGGACGTGGGCAGTTATTACTTTAGCTCTGGTCAGTCATGGCTAATAGGTCTAAGAGCAGGAAAGATGACTTACCCCAGCTGAGTCCCATCGTGATATCTGTCTGGCCAGGAAGTCTTCAGCACAGAACGCGTCCAGCGTTTGGGAAGGTCTGCGTATGGGATGCCGCAGTACTGCTCCACTCCGTCTGCATAGTGCCAGCCATCAATCTTCCCGAGAGAGTGAACATCCAATGAACTTTTGTTTAGGGGAACCTGAAACGTCATCATGGGTGCCAGGTGGAATTGTGTGAAGAGCTCAAATCAATCAAGAGGCAAGGGTTGATGTTTGGTCGCAGATATGATTTGCTCTTTCCCGGCCGATTTAGAGATTTCTGTAAGGATTTTGGAGCTTGAACTGCGCACCAGAAGACAACTTTCGAATATTGTTCCACAAAGATCTCAAAGACCAACGATGATCATGTGTGGGAAGTAGAAGTCGAAAGTAACCGGTGAATATGAGAAAAAATCCGACTCCGAGATGCAACACCGGGGGATATGCGACTCTATACCTCCGAGATTCCTCTGGTCCGACCAAAAAGCATGAAGATCGACCCTTTGTTCCATAATTACCCCTCGAGAATGCCCTTGCTCAAGTGGACAATAAATATACAGATCGACAGCAAATAAGTGGGTCTGGGTAGAGGTTCGCCAAACGGAAGTGGCCGCAGGAATCACTGTGGGGACGGAAGTACATCAGACTCAAAATTGAAAACCTGGGAGTTGGTCTATCCAAATTCGCGTATACTAGGCAGTAGAGTTACGTCACTTACATGGGAAATTTGCTATTCAAATGATGATCATATTATGTTGACCTTAAGTTTCATGTACTGCATAAAAAGAGAGATCCCACCGAAACCCTGAACCCCAGAACGTCCATGGTAATGATCAAGATAGTACTCCCGAAACAATGTGGAGCAGGATTATTGATGCTGTATCGCGATAGGAATAAAATGCCGCTAAAGATGCATAGATTTGATTTGATGAGCTCGCAGCCTACATCATGTCCATATCATCATCATCCCAGCCCAGCTGGTCATAGATCGATTTGGATTGTGATTTGTCTGGCGTCACAGGAATGACAGCGGCACTCTTGATTGGTGTGCCGAGCACAACTGGCGAAGATGGTGGACGAGTATTGCGGATGCCCATTACCGGAAAATTAGGAGCTGCGGGAATAGAGCGAGGGGCAGGCATGGTTTCTGGGCCATGCTGCTTGGGTGGTGTTTCCATGATCATTGAGGAGCGAGCACCTTCGAAAACCTGGCTAAGAGGCCGTGATACCTCGGGTGTAGACATTGGGTTGATCGGTTTACGGCGGGATGAAACTGGGGTCGAAGGAGCCATCGGCTCCGTAGGGTTTGCACGAGGCTCTGGAATCTGAGGTACTCGGAACAGGTCTGCCCCTTTGCTTGCGGATGAGGATACTCGGCGGAAATCTGTGCTGCCGGTTTTGTTGGTGTCAAACAATAGCCTATTGGGAGGGGGTCGGGTGGGTGTTTCTTGGATAGACCCAAGCTCTGCTGGCCGGGCCTGTCGTCGCCCACTGTCGCTTGTGTCAACGGCATGGCGAGACTTGAAAGGGTTCGAGTCAGGCCCGGAGAATGAAATTGCCCGCCGGCTCGAAGACGGGATCATAATTGGGGATTCGGCTAGGGAACGACTTTCTATTTCCCCAGCAAAAGATCTGGAAGATTTGAGGCTTCGAGGTAGTGGAGGCATCCCCACGACCGCATCCTTCTTGCGATTGCCACGGGGCGTTGCCATGACCTGAACGCCTTGGCCGTAGGGATTACGAACGGGGTTCTTCGGCTTCCGGGAACTACCTCCAGTGGAAACCCGTTTGGTGGCATCATCGGCAATGTCTTTGGCGACCATCTCTCTGTTTGGTTTGCGCAGAGCGTGAATGGCAGCATCGAGCTCCTTCTTCTGGTCGGCCAACATTTGAACCTTTCGAAGTTTACTCTCGTGTTGGCGAGCTGCTGCATTTAGATCAACTTCCCTGTTTTCCACGCGCTTAACTTGGATTCCACCTCGCACATTCCCTGACAGAACAGTAGGAAGCAGGGGCTCCATAGAGTCACGCATAGTCTCTTGCTTGCTTGGTGCAGTATTAGATCGATGTAGAGATGGATGTCGGTTTTGAGATGCAGCCGCCGCCTTCTCATCAGTCAAGACGCGCTGTAACGAGCGGCGGATGTTCTGAGTCGGCGCTTGTCGTTTGACTTCGGCCCCTGGCCCTGGACGCTCTCTTTTGTTTGATGACTTCTTGGCTGCTGGTGAGACACCACCAGATACGCCGAATTTGCGAGTGATCAACTTGCATTTGTTTGGCAAGCGGGCTGCATAAAATGGAATAATAACCTCGGTGCAGAAATCGCGCACGGCATCGCTCTCAACCTTCTTTCCAGACATGTGGCCTTCGTTGAAAGCTGATGTTCTTGCTGTTTCGGCAGTCGAAGATTCCTCGAGACCGACAGCATGCCAGATGCACAGCCGGTCAAGATGCAGTTCAAGGAGCACGTTCAAATCTTGAGGCTTCTTAGGTTTGGGCTTCTTGGTGGAGCCCTTATCTTCAGTCTCCTTTGTGGGTTCCCCGTCCTTGTTCTCAATGGCAAGAGTCGACTCCAAAGCCATCACTTCCAAGATGAGAAGTATTTGCAGCTGGATTTCACGCAATCGAAGGTCAGAGATGTGCTTTTTGGTCTCTGCTTCCCGTGAAACCTCGTGCGTAGATGTTTCATTCATGCTCCGCCCCTTCCACCACTTATGGATGAAGCTGTTCTCTTCAGGATACAGACCATTCTTGCTCATTTTCTTCTTTTTGCTCTTCCGCTTCTTTATACCACCCTCCCCATCAGACACGGCGAGCACTGCTTCCCGAACAGCCGCTGGCAAAGCTTCTCGGTATTTGAGGTCCATTTTCTTAGCAGCCAGAATAGCCTCACGGTAAAACTCAATTAGTCCGCTTGATGCCTGGGAGTTTTCAGAGGTTGATGATTGAATAGCAGTACGACAGCGGGTCATAGGACCCTTAGCAAAGTAGGCCAGAGATGTCTAAGGAGATTGTCAGATACCAAGACCCAGACCAAACTGAGCAGAACACTAACTTTTGAGATGTAGAGAGCTTGCAAGTAATGGTCTCTCATTCCATCAAGCAGCTCTTCGGGCGACTGCTTCACGTCAATGCCATTGTTGTCTGTGATGTCGACATCCATCGCTTCCGTAAGCCCCATGCCCTGGGACTCGGAGGGTGCAAATGAAGCCTCTCTGTGAATATTCGTATTTTTTGAGACAGGAGCAAGAGAGTTGCCTCGGAACTCGAGTACATCGACGAAAGAAGGTGCAACAGTCTCAGTGTCCACCTCATCCTCGAACATAACATCAACCTGTAGCCCAGCGAAGTCATCTCCCAACCCGAGATCAGAAAGCGGCTCTTCAATCCGCGCGGCCTGCCACCAATTGAGAGCATCCGGAACAGGTAGAGACTTCTCAACTTCAACGTCCATATCTACCGCTCGTGGAGACCCTTGCCAGCCCTTCACGGCAACCACAATATCACCCTCATGCACCCATCGTGCAAGCCTAGTGAGCGAGTAAATACCCCTCTTCACCCGCTCAACCACATAGAGACTGCCGTCAGCGACCAGCCGCACGGCAAGTACGATAGGCTCTGCACAAGCACATAATTCATTTTCTAGGGCGGGGATATCGGCGACGAATAAGCCGCCCGGCTGCGTGTCAGAATGTGACCATGACGTGTCTTCAAGCCATGAGAGCGGTAATTTGGTGCGGGGAAGTGCTGCAATGCGATCTAGAACGAGTGGTTCATCGGATAGTGAAGCGGCGTGGGCCTAGAGATCAAACAACAATGGTGAGCTAGGGATACGTGGATCGATGGTACATGGCTGTACGAATCATTCAAACATACTCTGATCACTATAGAAGAACTAGCTATCTGTCCAGCAGTAGCGTCATGGCCAAATTTCCGCTTCTTGGATAGCGTTTGGGCCGCTTCGGGGAGTCTGTTCAGCGCGGATGCATTGAGGGGATCTAGGACGGTCGGAATCACATGCGCGGTCATGATCGCGTCTAGACGATGGTGCTCATTGTGTAGGGGTCGTAATTCCAGGAAACGGTATGCGAAATAACAGAAATCGGAATATGCTGATGCAATGCACGTCAATAGGTTTAAGTGGGAGATCGCGGGTTCAATTGTCCAGTAGAGTTTTGGCGTCACGCGTCGCGGTCCAGGCACTAAGGTTGTCCCCGCCCGAACTAAAGAATCTCGGTCCTTAATTGATTCTCGCTGAGGGTCTCTCCTCCTACTTGATATTGAAAATGAATATTTTTACGATAGAATTGGAATTGATGATTGTTTTAAATCATTGAGATTGTTATTATTGTAATGCTAATGTTTAGATTAGCGACCTCTAAGCCGCAAAAATGGGTCTTAGGGTGTAAAAGTCCGACTCACTTGTCACCAGTAAATCCTCGAATCCAGTCAATAGCAATAGTACGCAGTACTTATCAGCCATGAGCAAGATATCTAGGTAGGTGAGAAGGAGAAAGGGGTAATATGGTTGTTGAAGACTTCGCTCCCGAAAAAAACGCCTGAACATCCCGTCCCAGTTGATGAAAGTGGTATCATGTTGAATTTTATCTTCGCCGTAATTTGCAAGACAAGCATGCAGATAATGAAACAAGAAAGAGTGAATTCCAAGAGGAATCAAACTTTTGAAAGATTTTTGTCGTTTTAGGTGTTATAATGCTCTATGCATGTGCTTTGAGTTGTTGAAAACAAAGCTATCTCATCACGTTCGTCAAAGCGTCTCCAAAGTTAATGGATGGAGGATTCCATTTAGAACTTCAGAGTCTTAGGCTTCTCCCAGGTGAAGCTCTGGTTGGTGAAGTGACCGTTCTTGGCAGTCTGGATGTAGATGGGCTTGGCCAGGTCAAGATCCTTGACAATCACACCAGGACGGAGATCGAAGTTGTTGCGGATGATCTCCACAAGCTCATCGGAGGTCTTGTCGGAGGTGCCGTAGGTCTCGACGAAGATGGACAGGGGCTCGGCGACACCAATGGCGTACGACAGCTGGACGAGCGCACGGCGGGCCAACTTGGCGTTAACCAGGGACTTGGCGATCCAGCGGGCAACGTAGGCAGCGGAACGATCGACCTTTGAGTAGTCCTTTCCGGAGAAAGCACCACCACCGTGGGCACCCCAACCACCGTAGGTATCAACGATGATCTTACGGCCAGTGAGACCAGCGTCACCCTGGGGACCACCGATGACGAAGCGGCCGGAGGGCTGCAGGTGGTAGACAGTGCGGTCATCCAAAAGCTCGGCAGGGATAACCTTCTTAACAATCTTCTCCTTAAGAACGGCACGGATCTCCTCAGTGGAGACATCATCAGAGTGCTGGGCAGAGATAACAACGGTGTCGACACGCAGGGGCTTGACAGCACCGTTGTCGTGAGCGTACTCGACGGTGACCTGGGTCTTGGTGTCGGGCAGCAACCAGGGGATGGTGCCGTCATTGCGAGCGGCCTTCATGGCAGCGTTGAGCTTGTGAGAAAGGAGAATGGTGAGGGGGAGGAGCTCAGGGGTCTCGTCAGTGGCATAACCGAACATGATACCCTGGTCACCGGCACCGAGCTTCTCAAGAGCCTCATCGTAGTGAAGACCCTGAGCGATATCGGGGGACTGCTGCTCAATGGCAACAAGAACGTTGCAAGTCTTGTAGTCGAAGCCCTTCTCGGAGGCATCGTAACCGATGTCCTTGATAGCGCCACGGATGACCTTCTGGTAGTCCAGCTGGGCCTTGGTGGTAATCTCACCGAAGACCATAATCATACCTGGAGGAGAGGAACGATATGTCAGATTTGGTTCCGGTCAGATTGCCAATTGGGGGCCATTGGACTTGTCACATACCAGTCTTGGTGGCAGTCTCGCAAGCAACCTTGGAGAGAGGGTCCTCCTTAAGACAGGCATCGAGGATGGCATCCGAGACCTGGTCACTATAAATGGGAACAGGGTAATTAGAATTGATGCACGGAGAGTTTTCGGCGCACGCCTCAGGGGAAAATAAACCGCGGAAAAAACTCACGCAATCTTATCGGGGTGACCCTCTCCGACGGACTCGGAGGTGAAGAGGAAAGTGCCAGGCTTCTGAGCAACGGAACCCATTGTGAAGGATGGTGTGTGATTAAATTAAAGAGAGGTGAAGAGAAAAAGGGATGGATGAGGAAGAAGAAAAAAAGAAGAAGAAAAAGAGGGAGAGGGGTTGGTATATGAGAGCGGGGCAGAAAAAATGGGACCCGGAACCATAGAGTGAGGACAGTTCTGTCTTCGGGTTCCGACCATCGACCATTCGCGACTCGATAACGCCATCCGTGCATGACTGGTCCGGGCTACTAGTTTCACCGCCTGGCCCCCAACCCCATCGCCATGCAAATCAAGCAAAATCGAACCAGTCAACTTCCCCTCCGTTTCACCGCCTAGCCCCGCCCCACCGGCAGTGGAAAATTCTCAGTTACCGATAAGCAATCACTGAGATAATCTTCGTGTTATACCTACAGCTCACTACAGGACCATTTTTCCCATTATCCAATTAATCATGTCCAAGTTCGGCGTCTTGGTCATGGGCCCTGCTGGCGCAGGTAAAACCACCTTCAGCAATGCCGTGATCCAACACCTTCACAGCACTCGACGAAGCTGTTTTTATGTCAATCTGGACCCCGCCGCCGAAAACTTCACATACGAACCGGATCTCGACATTCGGGACCTGATTACATTAGAAGATGTCATGGAGGAACTGCAGCTTGGGCCCAACGGAGGTCTTATCTACTGTTTCGAGTTCCTTCTCCAGAATCTGGAATTCCTATCTGAGGCGCTTGAGCCACTGAGTGAGGAATACCTCATTATCTTCGATATGCCCGGCCAAATCGAACTCTACACCCACATTCCTCTCCTACCATCCCTCACACAATTCCTTTCTCGCCAAGGTCCCTTGAATATCAACCTCTGCGCCGCATACCTACTCGAAAGCACATTCGTCGTTGATAAAGCCAAATTCTTTGCTGGCACCTTGAGTGCCATGTCCGCCATGCTGATGCTCGAAATCCCCCATGTGAACATTCTCAGCAAAATGGATCAGGTCCGGGATATGGTTAGCCGCCGGGAGCTAAGAAGGTTCACCAATGTGGACATGCAATTGCTATCAAATGAGGAGGACGATCCGGCTGTGAGCGCCAACCCCATGGCCAAGGATGCCCTAATGAGTGGCGGTTCCTTCAGTCAGCTCAACCGGGCTGTGGCACAATTAATTGATGACTTCAGCATGGTTTCTTTCCTACAACTGGAGGTTCAGAATGAGGACAGCGTTGCCGGTGTTTTGAGCCATATTGATGATGCCATCCAATACCACGAGGCTCAGGAGCCCAGGGAGCCCAAAGACGAGCAGGAGGTCAATTACGAGGACGAATAAACAATTCGGTCTTTTTTTTGTTTTCATTTTCCCGGTTCGGTGTTTTACGGACACCATGTAATCCCGAGACCGGATAAAATGTCATACCCTCCGAGCTATGTCGGCGCTTATTTGTCGCCCCTATACTGCTGTGAACCGAGCCCTGAGGATTCGGTGAAACTGATAACGGTCATTTTTTCAAGCGACAACGAAATGTCCGGCTTGACGGCGGGAACGCGATGTACAGACGCCCGGGCGCGGGGGCGTGGGGAGGAAGATAGAGACCCCACCAGCACCACATACAGCACCACAACAAGCGCCACATCAGAGTCCCACTGTTCAGAGGTCCCCTCATTCGGGAGGAAATTAGAAAAATATTGACATGATCAGACTTAATAATACGCTAAATCCAATAAAGAAAGCCCATGAATGATGATAGCTCTCAAAATAAACAAACAGAAACACCGCAACCACAGACATAATATATCTCGTTCAAAAGTAATACCCAAAGAATCGGAGGTCGTTCATCTGTTCCACGTTCCCTTTACCTCCAGGCCCCACGAGCCCCTCGTTTCCCCGATTCCGAGCCTGGGCCTGACCTGGACACCCAGCCCCCAGAAGTACTCCCACCCTTCTGGAAATCCTCCACAAACCCCATTGCGACACCAAACAGCCAACCCAGATCCCTCCCTGCATTTTCCACGCCAACCTGATAAACATAGAAGCCGAGCCCAATCAGAGAGCCCCAGAAGGCTAATCGGAAAGCCAACATCACCCAAAACATAACAAGCCTGCGCGCATAGTCGAGGATCTTGAGCGAGATGAAAAAGATGACCACTAGCAAGAATACGGAGAGAAGATCAGGCATTGCGGCGGTGCTTGTGGAGGTGAGGAAGCTCGAGAGCGGTTCAACGATGTAGGGCTGGACATAGGCGGAGCGCAAGTTGGCAAGCTGTGTTGTTACCTGGCTCTGGGTTGTGGTACGAAGGAAAGACACAGTTGGGTGTTGGAGAAGTGTTTGAATGTTTTCTAAAGAATAGGAGTTGGGGTTAGTAAATGGTTTGTCTGCGATTTCCAAGCTCTCCAAGAGAAGAATAGAAAAATTGTTTTTTTTTCTCGCTGGCAAGCTTGAGATAAGAAGTCACACGTACCTGGAAGGAAATCCATGACTTAAGGTAGAAAAATGCTCGACTGGATATACGCAGTTGGATGAGAGAAAGAGAAGAGCAGTGTTTTCCAGTCCACTCTTTGGAATTCTGCTCCGACTGATTCAATCTTTGAAAGCGGCTTTGTTTGGGGTGGCGGTTTCCGGTTGAAGTATTTGATGGCTCCGTGTAAGCTCTGCGAAGGCTATCAAATGAGCGGGCGTCAAAAGTATGGTCAAAGACTTCCAACGAGAGGAAACTCAGGATTTTATCAAAGTTCCGTTATGCAAGGTATCGCGAAGTGGCAGCTGTTGCACGCAGCAACGGCGATAACAGAATGCAAACCAAACAAACGAGAGGTGTCTCCACCTTTATTCCTCCATTTAACTGGTTAGAAGAATATACATAGACCGTACAATGAACATTGGATAATAAACAATGATCTTTACTTATAATAAAGATAAAAAAAGGGCAAAATAATGTCTTCTAGAATGAATACATACTTTACTTTCATCCTATCACAGTTGATTGGTCTACTGTCATGCAAATCCATAACTGCTCATTTCCCCTCAATATTTTGAGGGACCTCCGGGATAATTTTGATGTAGAGGTTCACCTTCTCCCTCTCCCCCTCCGCCTCCGCCTCATACCCAATATATTCTGCATTGCTGGCGGTACCAGATGCGGCCCAATAATCAGCAGTCTCAGTAGCCATGTCTTGGTAATCCCCTTTGGTAAGCTCTTCTTTTTTATGCTTGTACATGTCGAAGGTCACCTTGAAACCGGGGTGATGATATCTCTTGCCCATTCCGGATGTCAGACCCTCCACAATCCCAGATGTGGAATGGATGACAACGCTACCATTGCGATAGTAGTTCACTTGGAAGGAGCCCTTTGCTAGATATCCCAAGGTGGGGATGTCCCTTATCTGAAAGCTTTCCAAAAGTCCGGGTTCTCCACCCAGGCGCTTCTCAGCCTCCTGGGTGTGGTTCGTGTGAACGGCTACCTGGATATCGGCATATACGAGGCCATGAGCCTCTATTGCAGCAATAAACATGTCTCGGTAGCTGTTGAAGCTGGGGGGCAGGTGGCTGGGCTTGCGCTCGAACTTGGGCTCGCCACGATAGTCAGACATGGCAGTCAAAATTATGGCTAGAACGGAGGCAATCATCATGCCAACTTCGTTGCACAAGGCATGGCCGAACAGCCTAGAGACGCTCCGTGCCAGCAAACCTCCGGCTATAACACACACCAACCTAGAATACCTAGGCAAATTAGTCGAGAAACTATGATCAAAGTGCGCATCAACAGTGCTTAATGAGAGTCTTACTCGCTGCGACTTATGTCAAGACCTCTGGCGATTCTACTCGCCAAATGGGAGATGCTGGTCCGATTTTCAGAACTTGCCAGTACATGACTCTGCGCACCAAATTCCCCACTAACCGATTTAGAGTGGTCTTGGTCTGTGACAATAACTTCAGTGGGTATATATGTAGACCCCAATGAATCTTCAATCAAGTTGCAGTGACTTGTCTGGTATGCTGCCAGGGCGAGGAGAAGGGGGCTGATGATTCTAAAGACAGTCTGGGAATCTAGTGAAGCTTCCAATGGGAACTTCAAGGCACTGTGACCGGTCTATTAATTCAAGGTGATTGACCGAAATGGATATATTATGGACGAACCCTGATTGGAAATTGTTTCTCGATTCTTCCCATGGAGGAACATCGGGTGAATAGATGGCTCTGGTAGTCAGATCCTTGTCTGGAAGCAGGGGCGTGTTTTCATCATCCCAATGAGCCTCGTGTGCCATTTCCTGTATTCATTCTTGAACTGACTGAAAGTGTAGCTAATCTTAGAATCACCTCAGATAGGAGCCTAAGTTTCCAATTTGGACGGGGATTTGGTGACGCTGTTTGGTTGGATGGCCAGCCCCGGAGGGCCCACTCAACTATCCCACTCGGGACTCGGTGGAGCATGGTCCTTGAAATGTATATTTTTCTATCACAAAGCTAAATAATGAGACTATCTTTTGAAGTAAATTTCAGTAAGTCAGTACCGAGAGTCACTGAGATATCCTCTAGCTTCTCTCTTAGCCAAGCTTTCTGTTTATTAGGAACAGATTCTATACTGATCGCAATTGTCAGTGGCCAAGCTAACAAAGTAGCTGCCATAGGAGATAGTTCACTATCAAGAGCACTGTTGGCATCAGTGATAGTGGCTGAATTGAAGAAAAAGTTGACACTGTAGCATAAACCCCTAGCCACACAGTCCACTGTATATCTGCAATTTTGAATCTGCGTGTTCAAGTCTCGATTTTTAGGTGAATTTTTGACCAATGTGAGGAGCAGCCGCAAGTAAGTGCTAAGAACAATCAAACGACCGGCACGGTATCGATTCCAAACAGTTGCATGGTCAAGTGTCAAGTAGATATGGGCGGAGCCTTCGTATAGAAGATGAGACCTAGGTGACCCGATATCTTGGGGAGAGTAACGAGTAAATTTCCACTCATCGGGTAGAATATATTCCCAAAGTTCAAAAGCAGAGTCCAACTCTCCAGCCTCGGTCACTAGGCTCTGAACTTGGGAGATAACGGGGTTGTCGCATTGGTGGAGAAGTTGTAGGCATTTCGACCGTAGAATAGTAAGCCGAGTGTAAATATCATCAAGTATGGCTACTGGATCATCAGAAGCAAAGTCTTCCATTTCTTCTTGAGGCCAATAAGGAGCCGGAACTCCGCGATGTAGACACGACCGCACCTTTGAATACCTGTCAATTTATGCTGCTTTGAACAAGTTCATAAAACTTTACTTACGATGGGCCGTCGAGCAATTCGATCAAGGCACGAGTCTGAACCCCATCCTTGCTGCCTTCGAGTCTGTAAAAGACCCGCCGTCCCTTGGCAATGACTGATACCGGGCAGGAAGTTGGAATCAGTGCCAATTCCAGACCTGTCGATAGAAGGAGAAGTCCCAATAGCGGCATTTCCTCTGTTTGGAACCGTAATATTCTAGAATATATTAGCAATAATCCACGGACACCATTCCACATTCCAACGCACATCATATACACCCATAAGCAACGTAGCAACGAGCAGCTGATCAATCGTCTCACTCGACAAACAAGCTATTTCCACCTGCATACGCTTAATGCTTCTCCCATACACAACCTCAGCTCTCCTAATAGCTTCATCTGACCGCACCGCTTGCCCAAATTTTGCCAACGCAAAAGCAGAAACAGAGAGACGAAGCGCCGAGCGTGGATGGCAATGGTTCAAAAGACGGAGTGCAGAGGCACCAAACTCGCACTCAATTTCTTGTAGACCACTAGGCCATGATGTAAAGTTCGCTATCCAGTATTTCATTGCATAGACTTCCAGTGGCAAAGATGGAGATATGCCCAGTGGAGATGGTTGTTTAACCACCAGGTCTTGCAAAGATGGTTTGGCATGGTGGGCACGAGGACGCCGTCGTTTGCCTTCGGCGGATGCATTCTCATTCTTGAATTGCCAGGACTCCGATTGGTCTGATTGCCAGGTACAGTTTCGGTTTGCTTTCTGACAGCGATTGCAGCTGGGTCTAGAGGAATCACACTGGAGATATTGAGCTTTGCGGTTTGGACATCGGGAATAGAGCATATACCTTGACACGTCGCTTTTTACATGTAATGCAGCCAGGACTTGGGAAGACCATATTCAACTATGTGATTTACTTGTGCTTGCAGTGAAGTAGAATTTAAGAGTGGGAGACCAGGATGCATGCTGCAGCTAGTGGAACGGATTTAGTCTAACTCCGGTGTTCGTAAAGGCCGAAATATATTTGTGTCTTCAAACTCACAGTCCTTGGTATTCCTAGTCTGCAAAGTGTCCATTAACATGAAAGCACCACCCTTAGTCAACGGCTCGTCCGCAAGGGATGTCTATATACAAATATTCTCAATCATAAAACCGCCAGTCATGCTCATTAAGTCTCTAGGGGAAGCTAGAACGCATGAGACTAAAGCAATGCATCCTCAACTTCTTCATCTCATAGTGCTATCCACCAATTCGCGATAGATCTTCTTCAAGTCAGCAATGTCAGCTTCAAGTTCTTCGACTTGTTCGCTCTTTTCGCCCAGCATCTCGAGGGTAGTCTGGTATCGTTGATCGATCTCCTCAAGTCTGGCATTGAGTTCCTCCACGCGGGAGTCTGCGTTTTTCTTTTCCTCTAGCTCGCGCATGAGGTCCACGACTTGCTGTCTGGATTCATCGCGCTGGGCCGTGACACGCGCCAGCTCGTCCTTGGACCCGGCACGTTCACTTTCTAGCCGACGAACGGTAGCGCTCATGCGCTCGACTAACTGCACTGATGGGCCGGCGCCGACAGTTGACTCGGAAATGATATCGTTGATACCGCGCGATGGTAGGGCCTGTGTACCGCCATACATGGATGGAGTAGCCGGAGTGGCAGAGCCGAAAAATTCGTCTGGCTCAAATGTGATTGAAGGAGTCTCCATGATGGTGTTGATTGGGGGAGGAGAGAGCGTTCCCTGATTAATTGATGCTGGGTAGGAGTTCTGGCGCGGTGGTGTGCCAATATCTGGCGAGGCTGCGGGCATGGTGGACGAGCGACGGCTAGAAGGACGATGATCATATAGACTCGATGGGCCGGTGTCTAGATTACTTGATCGCCGTAAAGATTGGACGGGGGATACACCTCTAGGTTGAGGCAGGTTGTTCATTTGCTCCCGCCATTTGGTTCGTTCGTCTTCCAATTTCTGTGCCCACGAGGCATCACAGACCTTCTTTTGCTCCACAAGGTCTTTTTGGGCGGTAGCAAGGTCTTCAAGAGCCTTGTCCAGCTTTTGTTGCATCTTCTGCAATTCCTGCATCCGCTCTTCGAGTTTGTTCTCCACATCGTGCTCGGCCTCTTTGGCCGTCTCAATCTCCTCTTCCAGCTTCTTGGTTTTCAGATTCTATTAAGTTGTTAGCCAATCAGATAATACAGTAGCAGTAGTGGGAGCATTGCTTACCAACTCCCGAATCTTCTTCCTAAGATCACCTTCTTTTCGACCAAGGTCATCCCGTTCTTTCTCAACATTGGCCAATCGAGAAAGCAACGAGCCTTCCAGAGTATGCCAATTCTCGCTGGCGACCGAATATTGAGTCTGTAGGGTTTCAATCTGTCGCAAAAGCTTGGCCTGGGTCTCCCCAGTTGCGCCAGATGACGCTTCTTCTGCCCGAGTCCGAAGACTCTCCATTTTGCTTTCCAAGACTGACTGCTCACCCTTCAACTCTGCTTCAAGCATACGTGCGCGTTCTTTCTCCTGGTCAAGCTTCTCCTTCAATTCAGCGATCTCCTTCTTCCCCTTCTCCTCACTGATATCTCGCTCGATCTTTGTATTTGCCAGCTCCTCTTCCAACTCATCAGCTTTGCGCTTCTCTTGTTCCAACGCATCAGAATGAGCCTTGGCCTCGGCAGCTTCGGCACGCGCAAGAGCTCGACTCAGCTGTGCTTTCATTTCAGAGACGGTCTGGTTCAGCGCATTCCGCTCATTTGACACTGCATCAAAGTCTTTGGTGGTTTTTGTTTGCGATGACAAAGATTCAGTCGCTCTCTTTTCTGCAGCCTCAGCTCGTTTCGCTCTCGCTTCTAAGTTGGCAAAATCTCGTTCTAGTTTCTCGTTCTTCTTCTTTATATCTGTCTGACTCTTGGTGTTATCAACAAGCTGTTGGCGAAGCTTCTTGATGACGGTGCGATGGTCCATCTCCGACTTCGAAAGCTTCTGTCCCTCTTCGAGTAGCAATGCAATCTTTTCGTCCTTCTCTAGCAGCTGTTTCTTGGCACTGCCTGGTGAAGCGCTAGCAGCTGCATTTCTGGCTGATTCGGCAGCTTCTTTGGCGAGGTATTTGAGCTTTGACTGTAGTGCGTCGATGCGTTCGATGTATCCGTGTATCTCCTCCTGTCTCTCAGATTCGGCTGTTTTCTCGTCATTGAGGTCAGTTTCCGACGGCATGTCCACGCTTATCCGTGGACTGTCTACCGAGGCACGAATCACGGAATCTCCAATTATCTGGGACTCTGTAAGTCCCTCACTGGTACTATTCAAGTTGTCTGGTCGCTCTCCCACGTCGCTCGAAGCCCGCGGCAGTGATTCTGCAACGCTCATCTCTGTAGAATTTCTTATCGATGTTCCGGAATCGTAATTGGGCTCCGGCAAATTTGCCTCCGATTCTGTCCCTTCTTCAGTATTCAATGGGCTCTTGAGACTTTCATCAACAATCTCCGTGGAGGATGCTAGAGTGGTATCGACGTCTATGCTCCGTCGCGCATCATTGCTCGGTCGTGGGCTCGCAGCTGGCGATGAGCGGCTCGGCGAAGACTGTGTGTTCCAGTTTGTCGTATTCGATTTAACCATGGCACGCGCCAGGCGCTCTTGCAGCCGATCGTTTCTTCGCGCATTTGAGGAGCTACGAGAGATTGCTAGAATATTGCATTAGCCAGGTTCGCGTTCAATCGTAATCTAAGGATCCCTACAGCCAGCTGGAGACCTTGTAAATGGCGTATTTTTGGTCTCAGCCTCTTGAGGCTTCGCATTCGCAGCCGCATTTTTCTGTCTCTCCTCCTCGTCCAACAGAATGTGGTCCAGCCGAGATTCGACACCTGCAACTGCCTGTTGAAAGAACGATCCCACTCCCCATTTTGGTTTGGATGGATTCTGCGAATCCTGCGCCATTGTATCAGACACGCAATGCGATGCGACTCGGGTTACTGGGCTGTAAACGCCTTATGTTCAATTTGCATGAGTTCGGTGGGGGCTGCGCTCGGACAACGGCTCGTTGAATGCGATACAATAGGTGGGGTGTTAAGATTGATGACAGGAGTATTTGCTCCGTTTAAAGAGAAGTAGGCGACAGGCTTAAGGCTGGGAAACGAAGGACTCGTAGGATTCGAAGCCAAGAAGTACTAGGCAACGACCACGTTGCTAAATGATGGTCGCACAAAGCGTGCAGGTCAGAGAGAACGGTAGAATTTAATCTCACGTCAATTGAATGGCCAGTATTGCATAATAGCAAGGCAATACCTGGGGTAGAGGAGAAGAGGGGGGGGAAGGCTCGCAAAGATGAAACGATCAACCCCGATCGGTTGGGATGGATGTCGGTCTTGGCAAGAAGCTTCCGTCATCTCCCCAAGCTTCTCCCTCCTCCGACCATAAGTAACCCCCTCCTTCCATATCTTCCCCGGTTCTTAACCTTTCTCTCTGGGGATAGTTCAATATGTCGTTGGATCCACCCACTTACTTCAGCTCCCTTCAAAACAACATTCGGGCTCGGCCAATTCCTTGGGAGGGTGCAGTCCGAGCGGGCAACATCACTGATGACCATCTGAAGAAGATCAAGGCCGTGGACAAGGTGCGCAAGGAGCAGCGCAAGCAGACAATAGAAGCAGACCTTGACGGCTACACCAGCTTGCTTGCTGGTGGCTCACAAGGCAAGAGTGTGCTGGAGTCGGCTTCCCGCAGGACAGATATCGTGCAGTACATCTTGGTGCTGGCCTCGGATCTGATTCAGGGTATGTGGCTGACTCTCCGAATAAGACAACCTGGACAGGATTGCTGATACATAGAATCTATATAGACGTTCCCTCGCTGGCCGATGCGCTCGTTTCTCACCCTGAACCGTACAAGCCATTCCTACCATTCTTGCATCAATCATCCAATGCCGAGGACCCCATCCCGCTGCTCACATCAACCTTCCTCACGGCTCTCGTGTCGCACAGTCTTACTAGCTCATCCAAACCCGCCTCCCGCGATGATGAAGCTCTTCCGCAGCTATACCTTTACCTCTCTACTCTGACCAAGAACCAAGACAGCGGGCTGCAGGACATTGGTGTTCAGGGATTCTCAGAGCTGCTCAGAAAGAAACGTTCGCGCGAGATCTTCTGGAACCACCGGAAGGAAACTTTGGATCCCCTGATTGATACTCTTCGTACTGCAGCGGGCATCAAGGAAATTGTTTCTGCAGGAACCAGTACACGTGGCACTGACTCTGGTCTGGCAGGAGGTGTTGGTCTTCAACTGCTTTATCGGGTACTTCTCGTAGTATGGCAGCTCACTTTTGAGAGTGAATTGGTTGGTGAGGAATTGCAAGAGTAAGTACCAAGAACAAGAGCCTTTTCCAGATCAAAACCACTAACCTTTCCTAGGAAATACGATATCATTCAGCTCTACAATCAGCTCCTGGTCATTTCCCAAAAGGAGAAGACTATCCGTCTGCTTCTTGCAACCCTGCTCAACCTCCTCTCCAATAACCGTACTACCTTGCTTCCTGCTGCCGTCTTTGTCCGCCTACCTGTCCAACTCACCAAATTATCCGGACGTCATTTGACCGACGAGGACCTTGTTGAAGACCTCCAAGCCTTGTCTACTATGCTTGATGAGTACACCAAAACCCAGACCACATTTGATGAATACGCAGCCGAAATCCAGTCCGGTCACTTGCGCTGGTCGCCCCCGCACAAGAACCCCACTTTCTGGAAAGAAAACGCCCGTCGGATCTTGGAGGAGTCCAACGCAGCCTTGCCTAAGAAGCTCGCTGAGATCATGTCCCAGAGCTGGGAGAATGACAAGCAGGTCTTGGCCATTGCCTGTAATGATGTGGGACACTTGGTGAAGGAGCTTCCTGAAAAGCGTACCCAACTGGAACGTCTTGGTCTGAAGGCTCGAGTGATGGAGTTGATGGCAGACCAGGACGAGTCGGTGCGATGGGAGAGTCTGCGCGCCGTCGGCGAGTGGCTGCGATATACCTTTGAGTAGAGACCTGTCAAGGGATTTTTGCTTTGTGTCTTCTTTTAGGGATTCTGAACTTTCTCCATCTGTGAGATGAACATATACACTTTTCTTTTTGGCATGTACTGCGTATTTCTGCCATAGCGCATATTATACTCCTGTCTCAGATCAACTTGTTTCCTACAATATTTCAATCTGATTGGCAAGTTCTGGACTGATAACCCGCTGATCTGTGGATCCCCCACGAGAAAAGGCCCGCTTCTCAACACATCTTTGCGCGATCCTAATGGCAAATCCCATAAATTCTCGATAGTCTTTATTATAACAGAGTTTAACTTTATGTGACCCCAACGACCTCGTCCCTCTCTCTCCTGAGAATCTGTTCCTTGGATACCGTCCGAATTTGCCACACGCGGGCGGAGATCTCAGACTTCCCCGCAGAAATTATTCTCTAGGAACACCATCCACTCCACCCAGCACCCATGTCGAGATCCTTCAACGGTTGCACAAGATGTAAAGCGCGGCGTCAAAAATGTGACGAGCAGAGACCGACATGCGGCCGCTGCTCGACCGCAGGCGTGCAATGCAAGTATGCAATGCAGCTGCAGTGGGGAGGGCGGGCTTTTTCACGATCGCGATTCGGCGCCTGCGTAGGCACCGGCGGCATGCAAAGACTGGGTAAGTTGGAGGTGGCGGAGGATACAGACTTACGCCCAAGTGGAAGGATTGTGCGCTGATCAGATCCCAGAATACTCACCAGGAGAATTTATCTACACCACCAAATCCAAGTCCAAATCGGCTCAAGCCGCATCATCAGATCTCGCTCTGACACAACCCGTCGATCCTTTCTCGTCCCTCTCACCCGATCAGAGAGCATTGCTACACCATTTCATTAATGATGCATCCCAAATTACGGCCTGCCATTCCGGTATGCAGCAAGATATCTGCCGCATGCTCGTACCCATGGCTTTACAAACACCATCCTTACTCTACGCTACCACTGCCCTTTCAGCGATACATCTCCAAGCCCTACATAACCAGTCCGAGAGCGTGAAGACAGCACCCGATATAGCCCGGTATATGGCGCTAAGTTTGGAGCATTTCCGGAAGGAATTGCAAAACCCGGCCGCGAAAGGCTCAGAGGCGCTGGTGGCAACCGCACGAACACTCTGCCTAGCAGAGATCCACTCTGGCGCAATCAATCCCAATTCCTGGAGAGCACATATTGAAGGCGCGAGGGCCTTAATGAAGACCACAGACCGAGCCGGGGGAGACAATTCACTCGCATCAGCAAACGGATTTCGCCGGTATCTGGATCGCTGGTATTGGTCGATCGTATCACTGACAGCATTAACGGGCAATGGCCCGCCAATTGGTGATAACTCAGACTTCGCTTCATTCGACATGACTAGTCAACGAGAGTCCCCAGACTATTTAGATGACTACTGGGGCTTCACAGTCGATTTGGCAGCAGTATTCCGCCAAATCGGTGCAGCTGCCTGGCGCAACCTCGAAGCCGAGAAGGGAGCGCAAGGATTCGTTGAAGGAGAGGTTGAGAGCAATTCCGAAGACGACGCCGCATTGTTAGAAACGTCAGTACGACAGCTCATGGATCGAGGCGCTACTTCACAGCCTTCGCTTTATCCCGATGTAGCGGAGGGCTTGACAGCAGAGAGTATACAGCAACTTGCACTTTGTAACGAAGCATTCCAGCACAGTGCTCTTATTCAGATTCATAGACGCCTTCGCAAAACCCCGACCACTTCGGTTTATGTGCAGCAGTCTGTTCAACGAATTCTGGAGTGTACGGCACAGATTGGTCCTTCGTCTGGATTAAGTCCGTGGGTTATGCTCACGACTCCGATCTTTATTGCTGGGTGTGAAGCGCGAGGAGAGGATCGGGATACGGTGCGGCGGCTACTTACAACTTTGCATGATACCGTGCGCATTCCGAATGTGCTACAGTCTTTGAAGTTCCTCGAGCAGTATTGGGCGAATCAGCTAAGCGAGGATGAGGATTGGAGTCACTTTCTTGGTATGTTCCCTCCACGCATGAAAGAAGGTTGTCATTTCTAACTCATGGTCTAGATCGGATGAAATTTGATTTCATTCCTTATTAGCGTCGAGGGAGCTCCTTGATATGTGTCATGTGCAACGAACAATGTTTCTCTAGGTGGTGCTAAGGTTGATGGTTTCTCCATCCAAGTGTTGCTCTCTTGTGTTATATTTTATCTTTCTCCAGGACTGGTGTCAATAAGCTGCAGGGTTCCTTGTGGGTGCATATTATTGCCATGGCGTTTCGAATTGTGGCATCGTGATTTCTTTAGCAATAAACTATATTCCAGGTTAAACTCCAGAGCTCCTATTCAGAGCCAGTAGCAGGTTAAGTGGGCTTAGCTTTAAGTGAAAGCTTCCAAGGGTGTCAAAAGCCCTGGGAGCGACCAGGAAGAGCGAGGATATCTTCTATATAATTCCGGTCTTTCTGTGAGGCACGCGCCTCGGCTCTCTTTATATGTTTTTGTTGATCAGTAGCCATACTGCATCCAAAAGCTTCTGGGGTATTATGTGAATACCTTTTGCATCACTTTCGACTGGTCTAGACCCCTTGAGCGCTAAAAGGGGGTTTCGATATTATCACCAGGGGTCCTTTAATGTTTGCTCTAGGGTGTATGGGGTATAAATAGATATGACCCACATCACATATGTTGACAGCAATAAAGCCAGCACTTGAGGCTGGAGGTCAAAGTAGTCTCACCTATATTAAGAATAATGGATACAGAATATAGAAACGTATTGACGTATTTCAAGGGTGGTGGGGACATATTGAGCGGCAAGGAGGTCATCCAGATCTAGACCCAGACTATGGATACAAGCTTGCTTCAGGGTCTTCAATATTCAAACATTAAATTTCTCAGGCGCCCGGAATGTGTCGAATGTTGGCGATGCGTACCTTTGTAGTTGACATCGGCATACCTACTTTAGGGTCAAATCCCGAGGTCGGGTTCGATACATCTACTTGTCTACATGACTTGCAACAAATCACCAAAGCCTGAGGACTCAAATATTCATCTGCACCAGTTGAGGTCTAGATTAATCTATAGTCAATGACATAGATTGCAACGCCTCTTCAGGACCGATATATTGAGACCGAGGCTGGTCACTATCTCAACAGCAGCCACATTATAGGGGAAGACCAGGGTGGGACCCTTGAAACCAGCCCTACGTAGACCCTGGCCAGCCACCGCCCCTGGAACAATAGATCCAGCCACCACGTTCAACTTCAATTGCTTAAACCGCAGGTGAGTGTATCACCCAGATAGGTCTTTGATTGTCTCGAAGTTGCTAGATCATATTCTCATTTTCATCACTACCCGTCGTACTACGTAGAAAGTATCAGGTCTTCGCAAAGTGGATACATGGATCAGACCCATTTCGCTAAGACGCAATCGAGCAAAAGAAAAAACTAATTGGAAAAAGAAAAGGAAAATAGGCCTAGCAGCCTTAGCTCCAGCACGGTCTCGAACTGTGACGCGGTCACGAACTCCACCAGGATTAGGATTTCTGTTCTGCATGGTTTCAGGAGTTGCCGAGACATTTCGCCGTGCAATGACGGGAGCATGAAATGTACCCCATGTCTCAATCCCAAAAATGGGTCGAGGGATTGGGGCTAAGACTGCAGCTGGTTGGAAATGGATTTTTAGCCAAAGGTTAGATAAAAGAAAAAAAGTAAATTCGGATCATCGATTGGATCAGCATAATCGAGTGGAAAGGCAGCTGAGGTTACAATCGTCAGCTTGGCTCGTATGATGATAGGGCGAAAGAACTGGGCAATTTAATGCGATGTGCAGGGACAAAGTCCCATTGCGCAAGCACCATTGGAAGGTTAGCGCTGAAGGTGACAGGCGCAGGAACATGGGCTACACAGACCATGCCTGTTAGAGGAAGAAGCGGCCACGCGTTGGCCCGAGTGTGCCGGCGACACGCCAGACTTGGGTTAACCCGGGCCTGTGATTGGTGATCCGACACGGCACACTACTGTAGTACGGTTAGGGTGCAGGAACGCAGCACGTTCTTGAGAGAACTTGGAACTTGGTTATGCACGGGCCGAAAGGGAAACTCCTGCGAACAAAAAGGGGGCGTAGTAGAAGTATTTTGTAGAACCAGAGCCAGAAGCTGGTGAACTCCACTGGGATCCACTGGGAGCGACACATTTACAGATCGGAGGTTTACGTAGAGTATGGAGAACCCCTTAATCTGTACGGACTAAGTAGGTTTGCTACCCACAAATAATTGTGCTCGTTCATAGTTCGTACCAGAGTATGAACGGTCTTGATTACGTAGATAACAAGGTTACTATGTACTGTCATTGTCGAGGCCAATTGGTGAAGCCTTGCGTGATGGAAACCTTGGAGCCTTTCAAGTACAGTGGCGTATCCTCGAAGTACCTTAAGCATTAAGGAAGGGACAGAAAGTATATTAGAAAGTATATTAATTATGCTGCAGGTACCTAGGAGGTACCCAAGTGGTAATTACCCCTGAATTGCGCCAAAGTAACTAGCGTGGGTCCTGACCCAGTCCTTGACCTTGACGACTCAAGGGGCTCATTGGCTGGTGAACTATTGATTCTAGTTCTATTTTTAAGAGATTGTATAGCAATGACCTACGTTTCCTATGTTTTGAGATCAGACGTGAATGGTTATAGAATGATGTAACAACATTCTTATAACAGTATAGAAATCAAGAAATATAGAAAATCCCAAAAAAAACAGCATGTCGATCACGGCCAGAGCGGTCCTTGGCAGCGCTATCAGGAACAATGTGTAGTTCTGTACCAATTGAATCCATGCATGGGAGACTCCATAGGCGCTTAACCCCCTGCAAAACACCTGAACTCCACTCACGCTTACTCGTCCCGTTCTGCTTTTCCTCTTTGCGCCCATTAAGGAAAAGTCGTCGTAGACTTTCTCCTTTTTTTTTAACATTTCTTTAATTGGATTTTTGATGATTATCACTTTGTGTCTCCTCCCATTATTCCCCCTAAAACATCCTTTCCTCTTTGGTCCTCAATTGGCGCCTCTTGTCTACCCGTGCTAATCGGCATGAGCGACCGTCGATCGATGGCTATTTTTTAGATACGACCAGGGTTTCATGGCGTCTCTCCATACTCGCGGGTCTCCCGCTCCTTCTGTCTCCTCCGACGGTTCTTCATATTCCCCTCCATCGTCTCAAGTGCGCAGGAAACCTGTGCCGCTGAACCCCATCCCGTCACCTCGTTTGAACTCCCTGTCTATCGAGGATATATCCACCTCCATTCCCCCTCCTGGCGCCAGACCACCTTCCTTGTCTTCGCTGGAAGGCTCCTTTATATCGCCAAGGAATTCTAACAGGTATGCGTGGAGCCACACCCCCCGAATTGCGAATGCGCGCCCTCCCCTTTTCTTTTTCTTTGGGTCAAACAAAGAAAAAGAACCCCAATCCACCTGTCAACTCAAAGAAACCACTATCGAAGCTTCCAGGCTATAGTGTGACATGGCCTCTACATGCTGCGACGCTTCCCCAGACTCCGACCTCATTACTTACCTACGTCGCACTTCCCCAGATTCTCCCGCGGCCGCAACTCGTCGGAACCTCTCCGCATCGACACGTCTGCCCGTGCCTCTGCTTCATACCTGAGGTCCGTGGTTGAAGACGACGACGACGACTCCGAAGAAGGCGACGATTACTTTGACGAGATATACGAACACCAGTTCACGAATGGAACCCCTTCCTCCCTCCACAGTCGTCTAGTGAGCGAACCCTTTATACCGATCTTGACCTCCCCTCCCTCAACCGGCCGGCGCGCCTCGAGCATGGCCTTGCACCCGCCCATGAACCGGCCACCTCTACATATTGATATAGATAATCGGCGGTCACTGTCCATGGGACAACCCAAGACACCCGGCAACAAGATCAGCTCCTTTTTCGGGTGGAAAGGGAACACTGCTAGCTCCCCCGGCGGCGAATCATCCAGCACCGAGATCTCGGACGGTGGTCGCTCCCCTATGCCTTCGCCAATGCCTCCCCTGGCGAACGTTCCTATTAAACCACCCTCCCCTTATGATACCAAATCCAACCACTATGGCCTGCCGGCTAGAACACCGTCGGTCAGCGGTATGAGTGCTCAGGATGTTATATACGCGTCCAAATTTGCAGATTTAGAGAATGAATTACGAGAAATCAGTTCCGAGTTGGCTGGCTCCATCCGTCGGGAGATGGAGCTGGAGGATCTGATTGAGCGTTTCCAGTCCGAGGGACCGGAATTTAATCGTCGGACAAGTGATTATTTTTCGGACTCAGGTACTAGCTCGGTTCGAATCACCTCCGATGTGAGTCGTTTGGAAGAGGATATGGGCAAGATTCGCCGAGCTGCTGAGCAGGAACGTGCGCAGTTGAAGGTGCAGCTATCACAGAAGCTGCAAGAAGAGCGCTTGAAGCGCACCACGTCAGAGTCGCACGTTCAGATCCTGGAGAATCAGGTTCAACAGGTAAGATGAACCTATATCATATCGAGACTGTGTAACTAACGCTTGGGGACTTAGCTTCGCCGTGAACGAGTCGACCTATCCGACCTTTCGTCGAAGACCCGGGAACTCGAAACCGCTCTCGAAGATACTCGCCGAAAGCTGCTCGAGGAGCGACAATCAAAAGATAACTTTGAAGATTTGTTGACGGCCATGCGTGTGGAATTAGAGCAATTACGAAACGAACGAGATATACTTCGGGAAGACAAAGCAGCACCTGCCCCGGCGCCTGTTCCCGTCCCTGCTCCTGCTCCTGTCGAGACTCGGGACATGCAGGAAACACAACGACTAGTCGAAGAGATCGAAGCTCTCAAGGTCGAAAACGCATCTCTTGCACAGCTACATGGCGGACGATTTGCCTCGATTGCGGAAGAAGAGGGCGGAGCGAGCAAGCGAAACTCGGCTTTCGGTCTTTCACGATCCAATTCTCTTGCCCGTAAGCCTACCGGGTTAGCACGATCTGGCTCATTATCAAGATCCAACTCGGTGAAGGCCTCCAACGAACGGGAGAGTGGAGGTGAGGGTTCGTTGGTCGACAAGGTGAAGGACATCGAAGCTCAGCGTGACGCCCTCCACCGAACATTAAAAAGTCTCCTCGATCGCCATACCCAGCAAGCGCGCGAGTTTGAAAAACGCGCCCGCATTATGGAGGTGGAACTTGAGCGTGCCCAGCAGGCCGGTCCTCCCCGCAAGCCCGGGTATGAAAGAGACGTGCAGAGCCTGCGCGACGAGGTGAACCATCTTCGCATGCGTGCTGAAGATGCCCTGGATGGCAAGTGGCAGTGCGAGAAGAACCTGGCGGGTCTGAAGATGGATCTTGATCGTGCCGAGCAGGAGACCAGCTCTTTGAGAGTGCTACTCCAGGAGCTTGACACAGGTGCCTCTGACGCGCTGGACGCAGATCAAGACAGCTTTGCCGAGGTGATGGCAACCTCATCATCTCTTGAGGATGCGTACCAGCAGCTGCAGGCCGACCGACAGCAAGTCGAGGCCAGCGCTGGGCCTGATGACTTAGCTGCCTCAGAGCAGCTGGCTCGCGACGTACAGCAGCAGTTGCAGATCAACACCTCCCTGCGTAGCCGTCTGGCAACTGCCATCGATAAGGGTGAGAGAGACCAACACCTCTCCGTTGAGCGCATCAATTACCTCCAAAATCGCATGAAGGAATCAGAGGACGCCCTGTTGTTCGCTCAACACCACTCCGAAGAAGAAATGAGTAAACACGAGGAAGACATCCGCCTCTTGAAGGAGAGCCACAATGCCCAACTGCTCAGGATGAAGACCGGTTCACGCACCCCTGCAGCTATCTCACCACGACCCTTGAATGCCCCCTTCAGCACTCGCTCCCCACGTCTAGACAAGACCACCAGCGGCGAGGGCATCCCACTAGTCGAGATCGTTCAAACCGAAGCCCTCGAGAAGCACGTCAAGAACCTCGAAAGACTCCTTCGCGACGCAGACATGGAGATGGAAGAAGTGGTAGGACGAATGAATCGCGCACAGGTGGATGTAGCACAACTCCAATCTGACAGGTATGTTTTCCACAAAATTTTTTTTCTCCGAGCCCTATCTATTTGACTGGTCGTGTTTCGGGATTGCGGAGAACTAAAACTAACCAATCCACTTACAGAGATGAGGCACTCCGTCAGACCCGCCGACTTCAGGCGGACATTCAAGCCGAGCGTGAGACATTGAAGACTTTAATGGGCTACGCATGATTTAAGAAATGATTTTTTTCTATTAAAAAAATCTGTCGCGCTTCCCTCATCCACATGTTGGATTCTGATTCTGAATCTTTGGATCTGGATTTTTTTTCGTTCCCATATACCACCACATCTGCATCTGCATCGGACTTTACAACTGACTCATATAACGGGAGTCAGGTTGGTTAGTCTTTGGCGTTGACTTGATTGGCGTTTTACATTCGCTTTTTTACATTCTTTTTGGGGGTGTTTATTGGATCTTGGATCCTTGCGCTGGCATCGCGCATACTGGTGGATCCGGTTTTATTGGCTTTGTTTTGGTTCCGCTTGTATATATGGACCATGCACGGCTTGACTTTAGTAAATAATCTATTTGTACAGTACTCGACTCACTTGTCGAGAGTCATTCTTTCTTGAAATATTTCTTTTGGTAATGCTGTAATATTTCACATGGCCCTCCGAGGTTTTAGCTTTTATGCGAATAGATCTCCAACTTTGGCTTGTTAATTGTGGTGGCCTTAACAGTTTCATCGCTACTCACGGCCATGCGTGTGGAATTCAAGTGATGACGAAACGAACGGGAAATACTTCGGGAAGACAAAGAAGCACTTCCTGCCCCGGCGTCTGCTCCTGTTCGGGACTCGGGACAGCAAAGTTTGGACGTGTAATATGCATCCACTCGGGCCATATGAAACATTTGATTTGTTGGTCTTTCAGAACCTTTCCGAGGCATCAGCATGGGTAGCCCATGGACCCTGACCGCGCGTGACTCGCTATCTCATCTGACTGTTTTCAACTCTATGTTAGTCCAAGGCTGTATGATCATTACTATATGTATTTTTGGAAGATTTTATCACACGCCAAAGGATTACGAAGAGAAATGAAGATCTCATTCGTAGGAGCCTGCACTGCTATTGAATAAAGAAAAAGAAAAGAGCGAAGATAAGGGAAAATTGGAAGACATTGAATGATCAATCAATTGAATCAAAAACGGAGGCTCATATTACCAGATGTTCATATAGACAATTACACTCCACGATATCCTAGAAGTGACCAGCTACCGGTCTCGCTTCATAGGCTTCCTCCAGGTATGCCATATCTTCATCTGTCAACACCTTCCCTTTCAACCCACCCATATCCTCAATCTTGTCAACAGAAGTGCAACCCACAATTGGAATGGTACCTTTACTCCTAAGCCAGACCAAAGCAACATGGCTCATATTCCAGTTCTTCTTCTCAGCAACTGTCTGAACACGCCCGATGATAGTCTTGTCGGCCTCGGTCAAGCCAGCATGGTGATATGAGGGCCGCTTAGATCGTACTGAACTCTCACTTCCAACCGGACGAGCCAACCGTCCCGCAAACAACGGCGACCAGGGCATAAGACCAACACCAGTCTCGTTACAGTAACGGTTCATCTCACGCTCTTCCTCGCGGTAGCAGAGATTGTAGTAATTCTGCATACTGATGAACTTGGTCCATCCGTTCTTTTCGGCCAGAAACTGCAGCTGGGCGAATTGCGTGGCCCACATGGAGCTTGCACCAAGGTACCGGACTTTGCCTGCCTGTACGAGATCGTGTAGGGCTTTCATTGTTTCCTCGGGTGGTGTTAGGGGATCATAGCGCTGGATCTGCAGTAGGTCGATGTATGTGGTTCCTAGACGGGCTAGGGAGGCGTCGACTGCATGGAAGATAGCGCTCCGGGTCAAGCCTGTAATCACTCATCAGAATAGCAATGTGCATACTTGACGAAGTTTTGCTTACCTCCTTGGTTGACATAGTCTTTGCTTTGGTTCAGTTCGTCTGCGAAGGCCGCGCCGATGACGTCTATCTCTTCGCCAACATGGAATGCGCACTTCGTCATAATCACGACCTTCTCCCGGGGAATGTTGAATTTTTGGATTGCCTTGCCAATAATCTCCTCACTTGCCCCGTTTGAGTAGACGTTTGCTGTGTCCCAGGTGTTGATGCCACAGTCGTAAGCTGCTTTCAAGACTTCGAGTGACGCCTCTTCGTTTAGAAGCCATGGTGCGACTGGCTGAGGGGGTCCGAAGGACAATGCGCCCAATATCGGGCAGGAAACTCGCAAGCCAGATTTTCCCAGTTGGCAGTATTCGACGTTGGTACCGTCCAGTGACTCTTTGAGAGATGGTGGAAGAGGGATTCCGTACATGGTGAAGAAAGCTTGCGGTTGCTCAAGTGCGTGTAAATGAAGATTGGTCTGGTTTGGAAAATACCCGGTGCTCATCTCAGCCTTTTATATCTTTCATTTTCTTTTTGCATCTTCATATTCCGAGAGATTTACCGGAAAATATCGGTAATAAGCAATCCAAAACCCGAGATAATATTATGCCTCGCGGGTTTTTCTAGAAACGGCTAGCGCCATGAGCTTAAATTGGAGTTCGCGAGTTTATCTTAATGAGGACTAGCGTGTTATGCCTTGAACATAATCATTCCTAATGTCCAGTGCAACGAGTGGCAGTGGCAGTACCCCCACATTGTTGAAAAAAGCAATATCTAAAGATTCCATATTTGATTCATTGTAACAGACTCACTCATGACATTTTAAGCTTTGGGACAGCAACCCAAGTACACTGTTGCCCGAAAATAAGCCGCGATGTGAGATGACAAGGGCTGGTGCAGGTCTCACAGATGTCTTAGTCAGATTCTGAACATCTGACTCAAATTTGAATTCATATCTCTAATCATACGCCCAGATTTAAGAATCTCATTTTCAATCTCAAGATCGTCTTCAGTCTGCTTCGAATTACCCAGCACTAGATTCAGGATTTCAAAGCTCAGCAGAAGCTTTAAATCTCATTCTGGTAACTCAAAGCTCAAAAACCGCGAAAGCAAAGACTGTAACAGCGACGATGAACATATAGCCACATACCAGACTCCTAGCTCATTGACTAAAGGCTTGCTTTAAGCTTGTTCATCATGAAAATTCTTTCCTCCATCTCCTGGTAGAGCTTTCTACGTCGGACAGTCTCACGTAAAATGGCGAGGTTTAGGTTAAAATCCCGCTCTCCTGGAGAGCTCTCTTCCACCGAAACTGGCGCTATAAAGCCCTGCTGGCAGGCCTCGCTCCACTGCTGAATACTTGCTTCCGGCCAGCCTTTGTGGCGAAGCCATGCACCTGCAAATCCAGACGATTTGTTAACTTCGACAAAATATTCGAGGCATTCCTCATCTGTCCACTGCTGCGCTCGGAGTTGGTCGTAAAAAGCCTTTGCAGAGGAAGTGAGACTCGCAAGGTATGTATGTTTAGGTGGAAAAACAGGATTGTTGCTTGGTATGTCGTTCTTGAATGGAAAAGGCAGTGCCTTGGTCTGAATGTGAAACTCAAGTGTCATTTTCAAATAAGTAGTAAGTATATGGACCCTCAGGTGTAGATGTGGCTGATGAGAATGTGGAGAGGTTGACTGAAATATTAAGCCTACTGGGAAGAAATCAGAAAACCAGGAATGAGACATTGATATGGTATTGTCTATTTGACGTATTGATTATACGACTGCTGTTTGACACGTGTATAGCCCTGGAAACCGATAAGGTTAAAGTCAAAACGAGGTCCCAGGCATCCATGGATTTGCTTATACTTGTTTAACCTTTGATACAGACATCATGACACGTTTTTACAGACTTCAATGGAACGAGCACGACCAGGTACTGTTTCTCCTTCTAATTTGTCGTATATCACAGGCACATTACTTCTGGTAAAGTTTGAGTTCTCGGGGAAATCTCCGTGAATGCGATCCACCAGATTATTACAATCTAGACTCATAAGAAACCTGAATATCAGAACTCTTTACTCTCCCCAATATTGCACACGTCAAATACTCCAGTCTCAGGAATTCCGCTTTTAGCGAGTGCTTTCCTCAGTAACTGTGGTGGTTCCATGGCATCCTCTTCCGCCACAGCCCAGGTTCCCCAGTGAATGCCAATCGCTTTCTTACATTTTGTATCCTTGAAGATCTCAACGGAGTCATACGGATTTGAGTGGACGGAACTCAGAACATGTCGTGGCTTATACGCTCCTATTGGAACCAGGCCAAGATCAAATGGTCCCCGCAATTCGCCAATTTGGTTGAAAGCAGGGCAGACGGGCAGATGAGCAAGGTCTGATCCCCAGTCATCAACATCTCTAGGCAAATACGGGACTGTACGATAGCCAGTGTCACCTGCGAAGTACACAGACTTCCCACCTGAGGAAACAGACCAAGAAGCCCACAATGTGGCTCCTTTATCGAAAGGAGTACGCGCAGATGTATGTTGACAAGGGAGGCATGAGATTTCAGCCTTAACATCATCGCCGCTGGTCGACTTCAATGTGAGATCGATGTCCTCCCACCAGTCGAGCTCAATAGCGTCCTTGATGCCGCAGTCTGCGAACCATTGTTTGAGACCCTTTGGGACACAGAATTGGGCCGACGGGTGATGTTTTTGAATTTCTAGGATAGTGGGGTACGAAAGATGATCGTAATGAGAGTGGCTTATGATAACCTTCTCATCATGCATACATTAGCTTTAGCTACCAGTGAAAGGAGAGTGAGAACATGACTTACACAATCAATAATTAGAATATCAGAGATATCGCAAGGCTTAGGTGTGAGCCTTTTATGTCCTATCCAGGAGAAAGGAGAGCAGCGCTCTTCGAATACGGGATCAAAGAGAAACCGTAGGCCAGTCGGAAACTCAACGAAGTAACAGGCATGACCTAACCATGTTGCACGCAGAGCTTTGCAACCAGTTCTTGACGGGAGAAAGGTTGGTTTGACGACAGGTATAGTTGACGAGGTAGTATCAGGTTTCTGGCTGTCTCCAGAGAAGAATTTATGCCTTAAGGCATGTCAGCAATTCAACTACTATTGGTGTGCATAGGTGGCTGGGCTGAGAAAGTACACACTTAATCATGGCCCTGAATAGTGCTGGAAAAGACAACACACGAGAGCTTTCCCATGGATTTGCAAAGCCCGTCACATCGCCGTTACCTCCCGCATTTCTCACCCAGTGGCTCTTGTCCCCCGCGCTCTCCGGCACCGCTCTTGGAGCGGTCGGCTTACTAAATTTCAAGTTACAATCACTCGAAGAACTCATGTATTTGAATTTTTGCAAGGCAGCGTTTGTTACATGCCGGGGGCGTTGTTTCAAGGATAATGGTCGGAAGCTGTTCCACATAAGGCACTGATAGCTGTCCGTCGCATTCAGCCCCTGATAAAGTAGGCGTTGGAAAGGATAAGAGTGCTTCACCCAAATTTAGAAGGCGGTCGGTTCTAATCTTTGTGGCCAATGAGATATACTATATAAGCTTACAGTAGTAGTTGGTCGCGCTCAGGCCTCGTCATCTCAGTCTTGTACCAAACGGGGTTTAGTGTCAGGCGTACAATCCTTCGCACAGATGTGATCACAAAGCCTCTTGAATCATGAGAGATAAACGTGTTTATGATAGTGTATCTCCTAGCACCAAAATACATATCACAGCAGTCGTTATCATCTACTTTAAGTATACCTTCGATATCACATTCTGGCCCATTTTCGTTTCTTCATCCTCTAGCAACACGAATTGTCTAATTGAGCGACGAGCAAAGTCTCCGCCTCCTGGTATGTCGCCTGATCTAGCTGTTTATATTAATCTACACGATCATGAAAGGAACATAAAAATGGAATAGTTATCCTGGACATTAGATAGTGGCTAATTGATTGATGCGGTCGACTTGGAACATACCCTATTCAATTTGTCCCCACTTGAATTACAATCCTCGCCCTTTTCCCTTTCTCTTTTCTAGAGCCACTGCTATCGTAGTAGTCAGAGCCTCGAGCACACTAACATCATGTTCCCCTTCTTCCAACTAGCATACACTGCAGGACTTTCCCTGAAGGGCCTCAGCTACCGAGTAATAAGCCGGCTTGGCTTGAAGAGTGTTATTAAAGAGATCGGCACCACCCTGCCCAGAGAATGTGCTTGGCACCCAAGAATAAGCATCATCAAAGTCCCAGACAACGATACCAACACATCGAGGCCCAGCATCAATACAACTGGTAATAGTGGTATAATAATCAGTGGCTTGTTGCTGCTGAACAGCAGCAGTGTAGTAAGGAGCCTCCGAGAATCGAATATCAAGCTCAGTGATCACGACATCCAAGTCCGCCTTGATATAAGCTTTCTTGGTGAAGACCTGGTCGGCAAGAGAGGGCGTTTCTCCAACAATAAAATGCGACTCGAGACCAACCCCGTCAATTCGAATTCTACGCTTCCGTAGTTCACTCACAAGATCCATAACAGCGTCAGCCTTGGTGCCAGGATTCTCAATGCCATAGTCATTGTAATAGAGCTTCACATCATGGGCGCCGATCTCTGCCAATGCCTCCTGGGCATACTTGTAGGCGAGGAAGAAATAATCTTCTCCGATTGTATCATACCAGACGCTGGAGGAGAAGGTCCCGTCGCTATTGAGCGCCTCGTTGACCACGTCCCACGAATAGCAGCGTCGACCAAAGTGCTGGACAGTCTTGAAGATATGGTTCTTCATCACTAAGGTGAGAGCTTCGGCAGTCCAATTCGTCGATGTGACGAAGTCCGAAAGTTGGCTCACCCAGACGAGATTGTGACAACGTACGCGGGTATTATACTTTTCAGCGACCTTGAGGAAGTAATCGCCTTCGGTGAAGTTGAATACATTCTGCTCGGGCTCGGTGTACATAAACTATGGCAACCACATCTTAGCATGAGAATAAACACTGATCTTGAGTTTGATGGTACCTTCATGGCATTCGCTGGCGTAATCTCACCAAAGTTCTGCTGCAAAATCTTCAAGTAGGCCGCGTCGGTCGTCTCAGCTGTTCCAGGAATATCGGCCGCGGTGCCAAACCAGAGCTTTCCTGCACGCTGGGCAAGGGCATTCAGGTCAACATTGCCATTGGACTGGGAATGGGATTGGTGAGGAGCTGCCTGGCTGAGACCGGCCAGAAGAGCCGTAGTGCCAATAATTGCGCGCATTATGACCCGGCTTTGTATGAAAAAAGAAAATCGAAAGAGGCTTGAAAAATTGTAGCATTCAGAATACCTTCAAAGCTGGATTATTTAAGTAAAACCCAGATAGATCACTTGCATTTTCCCCGCAAAACAATAATCCGCTCCAAGGTGTGGAGTAATTTCCCCACAGCCTGAAGCCACAGGGGTGACATTGCTTCGCTTCTCTGGATGCAGATTTCCTTCAGGCAAAATAGAAGATGAATCAGGCTATAGGATGTACTAGGAGCCTCGCCTAAACTAACCTGTTTCCTAAGTGAAGGAACAGCAGTCACCAGTAATGAGTCTTCACATTGGCACCACACAAGGCTCACAAACCTCCGGTTTAGGCTAAATTATAAACAATGTAGAAAGCTAGAGCAAGCTACCGAGGTTTTTTATCTGGCACCTTATAATTAATGGCTGGCCTGCCTAAATTGAGGGGGAGGGGTGTTTTTGAAGCGATTGGTCGTGACCTTTCGGGCAACGGCAATTTGACGGCACTAAAATCCGCCTAATTTGTATTCGGAAAAGTGCCTTCGCTATTCCCAAATATTTGGTTACTCATTCCCTTGGCAATCGATTGGTTCAATTTATTGCAAAATATCAGACGTACCATCTATCATATGCTAAAATTGGGTTTCTAAGTGCGAACCAAAAACCAATATATGCGGGACGCTCTAGTGGATTTTTAAGAATTATTTGAGCCATAACCCAGTGCTGAAATGAATAGCACAAGTGAGAGGCGTGAGCCGTGTCAGTCGTCGGTGTTGAAAGGCGCTTTTTAAAAGCCCTAATCACCGTGGCCTTAACTTGAGAAATCTCCTTGTCAGCTCCTAAACCGGAAATATAACAGAATTTATTGACTGGGCTGTATCAAGGAGACTGCCGGTTGCATATGCACTATAGAGGCTTGAGAATCTTGGGTTAATCGCTTAAAAGGGTGACACTACTACGATCGCTACCACGACTCGACTGGCAAGCTTTTCAAGAAGAGGTTCAAAATCTCTCTAAACTGGCTTGTGTTTTATCCGCGCTGAGAGGGATGATTGGTCTTTGTACCATTATAATTCTTTGATATAAAAGGCGAAGTGAAAGGTCTGCAAGTGGACAAGCCGGATATTCGCTCGCATTTGTCAATGCTTTATGTACCACTGCTGAAAAAAGTCCTCTTTCTTAGCCTGTTTTCGATATGTTAGAATGATATTAAAAAATGCTTAGTATAAAAGTAAATATCTACCCGCACACCTAAGTTACTAAAGACAATACAATCTCACACAAGCCTTCAATTCTCATAGCCCTGGCCTTAGACCGAAGCATCTTGGCTTCACGTTGGACACTTGAGGTTTGTTGACCGAGTTGTCCAGGTGCCTTTGAGAAATCTAATTGTTGTAGGTAGACTGAGTTGCTAGAAACCATTGCAGGGATATACCGATAGCGGACCGAATATTCACCTGAGCTTTATCACATCACGCAAACAACCCATGCATAAGTGTCATGTGATTGCAGCCTATGTCTCCTAAGGTTGACATTGAGTACGCTCATTTGTCTTTACCTTGAAGTATCTAGTTCATCTCATCAATTACTGCCACCTCCCGTCCATTTAGCTGCAGTTCTCTATTAGCCAAAACTCTTGAAGTTAAAGGCGATCTTTGCCTTCCAAATATCAAACCAATCCACCTGCTCTATGTGTCTGCATTCGAAGACCGAAACATCGATGTCGGTCAATGAGCATACATCTGACCCACCGATGGCAATGCCCAAAAGGTCCACCCCTGTACCCCAATATACACCAGTTCAAGAAGGCAAAACAGCTGTTCTTTCTGTAAGCCAGGGATGTATCATCACTGCAGAGGGAAGGGAAGGGAAGTGGGTGTACTACCGTGGGAGAACCGTGATGTGCAGAAATGGAAAATCGAGATGAAAGATGGACGCTATTCCTTCCCGAAATATACACAGTGGCATGCTCCTTGGTCTCCATTCCTTTGGCAACGTCGTCGCGGGTGTTCCAAAGATTAACGAATGGGAATTATTCACCTTGGATCCTGTGGATGGCGGTTACAAATTTACGGTACATAATTACTGGCTGTGGAGCACCGGGGCTCTCTTACGACCTACTCTCACGAATCGTCTCACGTATTCTTCAGAAGGAGGAAGCTTTAGCCCTATTAATATCGAATATGTTGATTGCTGATAGTGGGTGGGAGACAAGCAAAAGAGGGGTAACGGGGTTGTACTTTCGCCCCTTCGATGTTCTTTCGTTTCCTATCACACACCAATACTTGGATTTTCTTTCTGGAACAAAGAACGGAGTTGTTCTTCTAATAATGCGAGAGTTTCAGAAATTCATATAAAATTCCGTTGAGAATCAGATCTACTCACTCTAGCCAACGCACCAATTTTCCCGATTGGCAAATCCTCACCTCTTCTTCCCCAAGGCTCTCAGCTTCGGCCCCCAAATCCACAACAACAGTGGTGTCGGCACCCCAAGAGCGATAAATACAAAACCCAACAAACTATTCCCCCATCCATAACCAAGCCGATTATACATCTGTGGCGCAAATATGGGGAAAGCAAACCCACACATATTTGAAAGCATCCGAGAAGCAGCATTAGCAGACGCAGCATGCTCAATCTCATCCAAGAGATACGCCAACATGCCTTGCGTAACAATAAAGCTTCCACACGTATAAATGGCAGCACCGGCATCAACCATCACCCAAGACATGGTTTTATTGGCAGACCATCCATACCAGAAAAGACCAATGGGAACCAGCATAACGCCTGGCACCAAAAAGGGGGCCCGGTATTCAGGACTGGCTTGGCCTTTGTTCCTCTTCCGGAGTTTTCGATAAATCCAGTCCATTCCATAGCCCCCAGCTTGTGTTGCGATTGTTGTACCGATGGCTATAGCGATGTAGTTTAGGCTACTAATCGTTTCGCTTTCGTTGTATCTATCAGTCCACAAGCTGGCGTAGGTGGAAAGCATCAAGCAGTAGACCCCAAAGTTTAAGGAGACAATGAGCGATACAGCTTGAATCAGAGGTCTTTTTACCAGTAGGAGAATCGGGCGCAGAATGCTAGGTTTCAGCCTCTTGGATAAATCCCGGTAGAAGACCTTGACCTTCACCACTTTGGATGATGGTAGAGACGGATCGTGTCGCTGGGCTGCAGCTTTACGACGAAGCAAGGTCGGCGTATAAGTCTCAACGAATAACATGAGACCAACAAGAGTGATGGCAGCTTCAAAAAGTGAGAGAATCCAAAAAGACCACTCCCACCTTAGGTTTTGAGAAATCACTCCGCCCAAGATTGGTCCTATGGCCGGACCTAGGTAAGGAATGAAGGTGGCGATAGCCAAAGACTTCCCTCTGTGCTCAGCACGATAAATATCTGTAAGCACAGATGAATTGAGCTAGAATGGAGACTCAGCGCATGTTAATTTTCTGGGTGCCATGGTGATTTACCGTTGTCCCCACACTAGCCCCAGACCCTGCCATAAAACGTCCAACAATCATCATCCCACTAGAGTGACCGACAGGACATAATGAGTTCCAAAGAATATACCACGAGTTGCAGATGATCCATATCCTTTTTCGGCCGTACATTTCGGATAGTGCGGCGATAAGGAAGGGAGCAAATGCAAGTCCAAGGACGAAAATGGAAAACGTAATTTGCATTTCTGAAGATCCCATATGCAAATCCTGGGCGATTGTTGACAAAGATGGGGCTACTATACTTGTCGTCATGATGGTGACAAGTTGGCCCATTGAGACAATGATGGCCACGGTGATTTTGCGAGTAGAAGACCAGTTATATGGATCTTGAGGATCAGAGGGGCCGTCCCAGGTGCTCTGGTCATGGTAAATATCTTGCTAGAATGGTCAAGGGCTAATTTGTTGCTTTATACTTACACCGTGTTCTTTCAGGAGGGCATTCAATCGGTTTTGTTGTTCTAGTTGCTCGAGTTCCTCCTCGGTCGGTTCGATAGTTATCCCGAGCACTGGGGCTTTCTCGACATCTAGGGTAGCCGTCATTGTCTAGGTAAATTTGAATTCGATCAGTAACTCTCAATTTGGTTCCTGTCTGGTCCAAATATTTATTCAATTTTGCTAGGTATTTATTGTGATTCATGGTCAACGCCTCACGAGCTATAAAACCGAGCTCCGAGCTCCGAGCCAAAGCCGACTATCATCATTCTAGATGTTATACGACCTAGGTTATCAGACTGGCTTGAGACAGAGATAATGATCCTTCGCGGGTCTGTTGAATTTTATCTCGGCTTTGTATTATCACGCAAGAACGGCTTGCCTTTCCCCGCTCAATCACTCGGTTGCTAGACCGAACCATTCTTCCCGCTCTTGACAGCCAATGTTAAATTCTCTCTGCACCGTTATCATATCCGAGCACTCATTCATATTAAGAGCATAAATTCCTGTATTCTTGTAAACTCTCGGTGTTCTATATCTCATGTCACATACTTTCGAAATCCTGACATCAGCCAAGATTTCTTTCAAAGTTGTGAAGAACGATTGGTCACTTCTTTCACTGTTTAGCCTCCGTATGCTTTTCATTGGTAAGTTTGTGCCGCTCGGTTCATGGCTGTCTGGCTTGGGACCTCAGATCTGGTTTAATGTTGGATCAAATACGTATCGCGTCATATAGAGGCCAACTTCCATTGCTAGTCAAATCAAGAGTTCCGGATAGACTATAGTATATGTACATAATATACAGTTGGTTTTTAATGACGCTGTTATGATGGGCTCTAAATGAGAGGCGGTCCGAGGAATAATTGCGTTTCTGCGCTTTCATTGGTGGCTTGGTGAAGCGACTGAGAATTATACACCTGATATTCATACGCACCATCGGAATTTCCAAATCAAGCAAATCCTTCAAGGTAGGTGGCAACTAATAATTTAACATAGTGGCGTTCAATTCTTGACGAGATCTAATTTTCCAAATCATGAATAGTGCATACGATGGAGTATGATTCCAAAGTGAGGCGGAAAAAAATCCACCCAATGATGAGGCGTCTCGAGCCTCAAGGTACACTAAAGTGGGGACCGCAGCGACCGTGCAGCTCGACAGCCTTCGAAAGCTTTCGACAGCTTCCAATTATCTAGCGCGTCAAAGGTACAGGGTCTGAAAAAAGCACTAGACAATAAAGACAGCATGAAAGTACCTCTGAGGGAGTTGTTACTAAATATAATCGAGATTTTTGCCGCTGCTCCTCAAGTGGTGATTGTGATCACCTTATTCAATACTCCAATAGGCATTACTATAAGCGGTAATTGATATGATCCCCACTCTTTTCCACACGGGTCAGATGATCCTAGTGAGTCAGATGCAAGGTAAAAAGATGCAAGAAATCTGGGGAATTTGGGGAATTAAGAAACTAGGGGCAGTGACGTCTAGAAAATGGGTTTCAGATTACAAGGAGAGAAAACGAATTTTGACCAGCAAAAAAATTGGGTTTGTGAATTAAGTGGATATAGCCTATATACAGGATCCAATTTTGAGTCTATCATCAAGTAGTCGTCATAACATCAATAAGTCGTAAATGGTCGGGTTGAAGGTGCCGAAAGAATCGGTGGCGTAGAGGTGGAGAAAGGTGAGGGTGGCATGTTGAAAGGATTCTCGCCCTAGGCGGCAATGGGTTGGACGGTAACAGCACATAGATTGCGATCCATGTATTTTTCGGAAAGATCACTCTCAGGCAGGATCTCAGATGATGTGATGAGAGGTTCTTTGTCTTCGGGCGTAATTTGCACCGTAACGATGGTGTTTTGGGATTTTTGGGACTTTTGTCTCAGCTTGATCTCGTTCATCTTCTTGTGGTCGAAATCGTCCTCAGACTCGGACTCGGACTCCTCGAATTCAAAGGAGCTAATGCGAGACTTCATGTCGTTCTCGGTCCAGAGGACGGAACCGCAGTGTAGACGGAAGTGTGCTACACAGCGGCGAAGGTCTGGGTCTGGAGCAGTAGCTTCACGGGCCAATTTCTCCTTGGAGATGACCGTGAGCTTGTATGGGAGGGCATTGCGGTTTGCCATGGGGGGCCAACGCTTTCTGGTGTTCTTTTGGAAAGCGAGGAGAGAGGGTCGTTGTGGTGGCGTAGCGGGAGTGCCGTTGGCAACAGTCATTATGGGCGACTGCTTTATTGTGGGGTTTATATAGATTTTGATGGAAATTGATTAAACCCAGGTCTCGATTATGCAGAGTAGATTTATGCGGTGGTGAATTGGTTTAGACTCGAAAGGAGAGGAGGTAAAACAAAAAGCTAGGGAGTAGGAAGACACGGAGTTTTATACGGACAGATCTGCAGCGAACCTGGCTCCCAAAAAGAATCTTTCAAGCGGGTCACCAGGACTGGCCCCACTGTGCACATCCGGGTACCCGTTCTAGACCATGGTCCAGCGCCTGGATGGCTTCCACGCTAAACTACTTCTCTGTTTTCCACGTCCACAAACCTGATCTTTGCCAATGCACCACTCCATTGACCCCGCTTAGGGAGAATCGATCGAGACTCCAGACTTGGTTTACCTTTCCCCTTGTCTGCATCTATCCTCAGGCCCTAAACAGGAAATGGGAGACATCCTTTGGGGCCGGCTACATGAAGGCAAAAACGGCTGTTCGATCCCTCCAGAAGTGGGTCTTTGTGGGCTCTGGACCCAGTTTTATTGATCAGACGATGCCACGAAAAATTTTCCAGTGGAGACCCTTCGTAGCTTATCTTCCTTTTTACTTCGAGAATAGAAACGCCACTCGGCGAACCTGCTATGAACACTCACGATCTCCACGGGTTACCGAGTCTGGAAGGCCGAACCCCCTCAACATCGTGAAACCTTCGCATGCGGCACCGTGCGCCGTCAACGGCGATTTGGTTTCGTCTTTCACTCGAGTCAAGATCATACCCTCAATTCAAATTCCCTTGGTTCTTTGATTCCTCCTACTTTATGAATATCCTATGAAAATCCTTAGCAAAGAACCACGGTTCTATTTTTCCTTGACTCAACAGGCGGAGTCCAGATCATCGTGAGGAAGCACCCCTGAAATGGCGTGCTATGACTCAGCATTCCTTGGCGAACTTCCATTCTATCAAATTCCTCCGTGGAAGTACCAAGTTCCACTCAAACTCCACTCTGGCTTTTTTCCCATTCACTGACACAGCCTTCTCCGCACCCCAATTGCCCCATGGCACGACTACTTTTCTAGAAATATCCATGCCTCGCCTCAGCTCACGAGGTTGAAACGTGTCCATCTTCCGATGGAAGATCGTCACCTCCTGGTCGCGAATTATCGTGGTTCCAAGGGGGTCAATATTGCTCAGATGATCTTCCTTCACCGCTTGGTAATAATATTGGGCGAGACGCCCTCGACCCCACTCACTCTGCGTTGTCCGCAAACGGGGTCTACGGACCCGAAAATCGCTACTTTACTAATGTTATTGATCATCGCTTTACAACGTACGTCTTCGTCCGCGACCAAAAATCAGAAACAAGTCAGCCCACGTTGTACGTTTGATGTACTGTAGCAATGGTTCATTGTCTACTCGAAAATGTTTCACAAACAGATCCGACCCTGCCGATCACGAAAATCGAAGAACGGACCCTCAAGAACACTAACAGCAAAACAAAAGCAAAAATGAATACAATGCTGCGATTCGAATGCACTCACTAGCGTCGAACTCTACTAACAAATTGCAATGAATCACCACTTCTTCCCCGCCATCTCTATAGGTGAAAAAAGTATTCACGTGGACCACGATTCCCGCGCGGGCCTTCTTCACGACGCCTTCTCCGTGCATACCCCAGTATGTCCGTCCTTGGCGGCAATATGCCGCTTTTCCGGCATACACATCCTGGTTTGAGAAATCAAGAAATTTTAGCGGACCAGGTCGGAAATTGGGATCATGGGAACATTGAACGGCCCTTTCTTGCCAAATCGAGAGCTCTAACAGACCTGCTTGATGTTGAGAGTAGTGCAGTTTACCAATGATATTGAAAGTTACACCGACTGGAGTATTAGATGCAAGGCGACATGTCCAAGTCAATATGGGAACACGAGTGAGGCGCCCGGCATTCAGCAATAAGGCTTTGATTCGTCCAACCTATTCGTGTTGAAGCTCACACCCTGCCTATGGACGCGGTCGCTTTGCAACATGTTGTTACGCCATGCTCTCGATCCTCATTTCTGGGAGCAGACATTCATCATGTCTCAGCTCCTCAAAATACTACCGCTAGACGATTCTGCTGTTCATCCATCTCTCTATTTGATCATATTCGCGACGTGCTTTAGTTGTTGATAATCTACAAATAGCAGTACTCATTCCTTCAGCTTCTTGTGTTTCTTTTCTCTCCCTCGTGGTCATTATTTTTAGTTGGCTTCTCATAGAACAAGCCGACAACAAGGAATGAAAGGGCCAATCTGCCTCGCAGAAAGAACGTCCTGCTCACTTTGATAGATGCTTTCTGCTAATTGCTTTACAATCCAGACCTCCCTGAGGCTTCATTGATATCATCAATATGTTCATGTTCTTGAAGTATGGTTCCCTCTGTTGTTTGTACTAACAATTGCTATTCAATGACTAGCAACCTCAAGTTGCCCAACCTTGGAAAAAGAGCGGAGTGTTTCAATGTTCCAATATCTTGTGCATAGCAAGTCACCTCTCCCAATCAGATCCTCTTCTACAAATTAGATACAACTCAGTCGCGATTACGCTTTATCCTTAAATCTTTATGTCCTTCTTTGTAATCATTAACACATGAACGACTAAAGCCCTAGCGCTACCTTTAGTCTTGTTTTATATCCCTGGAAGAACGGAAATTCCCTATAGTGGGTACTTCTGGATCTGCTTTAACGCTTTGTCGGGACAAGACGTTGCTACGCATGGATCGGGGATATGCATCATCTACCTAACGGTTTATTCATGCATGGATGATGGTGTGTTAGCGTCTGATCCCAAGATTTAAGCAACATCGGCGATACTGCCAAGTGATATCTAACGCCAAGATTCAGTATATTGGCCGATTATTCATCTTTTTCGTTCCTATTACTTTTGCCTATCTTGCTGATCACCCAGATATCTGCTACAGCACATCAAACCCAGATAGGGATATTCGTATTGGTTGATAGGCGCATTGGGCATCCACATCTGTGTTGCAATATTAGATTCCAAGCACCAACACGCCATCTCGGATAGGCAACGAGGGGCTCCAACGGCCAACGGAGTAATCCCAGTGTGGAATACTCCGAGATTCATATGTACCGGCAGTCAGGATCTAAACGCAGTGCATGATCATGTTCATTCTCTACCCTAAGGAGCCACCCACTTAGGCATGTTAATCTCCCCAAACCCTGAAAAATCTAGCATTCTCAAGGCCTACCTAGTCCGTTTCTGCATGATAGCGAATGACTTCCTCAACGTCGCCTCGCAAATCCTGATCTACCGGTCATGGGTCCTAATTAGCCCCGCCCCATGCACGTCGCCTCCCGGCTTTCCTGCAACCTGAAACGTCCCTAGCTCCCACTAATGCATGGACGCGACCGACCATTCCACGTCTGGGAACATTCCCTGTATTATCACCTCGCTAACATGGATCTTCAGCCAGCGTAAGCTCGCTTCCCACGATCCCGCTCGGCACGTCTGAGAAATCAGATTTAAACTTAAGTTCAAAGCTGAGGCCTGGTACACAAGCTATCATGAAATCCTCCGTTCCATCCTCGGGTGTAAGAACTTAACCCAGAGACTCGGGGCACATCAGTCAGGCCTAATGTATTCGAGAGATGAGAGAGGGGAATGGACCACTAGGACTGCTTTACTTGGAGTTGGATATCCTCCCCTGTGGAGACTTCTATGATCTACGTTAATATAGACTGATTGGGATAGGTATAGACGGTAGGCACGGCGAATTGTCTTGTCCCAGTGATATTCTGCTCAAGATAAATAGAGTTTGGGTTCTGAACGTTTGGGTTCTGAACGGTTGAGGCTGTTTCCAAGCAGTTCTAAAGTCTCTAGTCCTGTGATAGATCAGCATAAGCCTGGATTTTTTTCTGTACGCCTTTTATTCTTGCCCTTGGGTGCCCTATTCGAGCCCGAGATGCAACGTGGATCGCGTGGCTTATTTTCCTCCGAATCGCAACTCTACGTCCCGATATCAAGCATACGTCCGTTCTAGTGAAAGCATGGTAGAGAAACAGAAACAAGGACAGGAAGGAGCAAGAGAGACAACAAAGAGACAGAAAATCCACAGAAACAGGGAACTGCAAAATGCGAAAATGCGAAAATCCCAAATGGAGATAACAAGGCAAAGGAAAAAGAAACCCCTCGATTACTTCCGTGGCTCTGTGGCGCGCGTGATGAACATGTCCGCATGCCACGAGCTTCCTTGCTTTCCATTTTCCTGTCGAATGAGACCTCGCTTCGCCTCGTGAATCGCCGTTTCCGGCTATGCCATGGTGTTGGAATAGGTCAGGATCTGCGTCCTTTGTAGATGTTGCCTTGCTATTCATTTCATCAAGTCTCGGTTAGATGGGATTGTAAGCTAGGAAGCTTTTTTCTGTGATGAGGCACTTTTGTTAATTTGCCACTTCTCGTCTTGGTACCTGGTGCTCCCGTTGCATTTGGAAAGAGGCACCGGAGTCCCTTACGTGAGCCTTTGGAATCAGCCCACAACAAAGAATGTGCTGATGGCGTCTGTCAACTTGTCATGGTCTATCTCATCGAGCTGACGAATGTGGCTATTCCTCTTCTGGTTGATAATTGTCTTCTGGTAGATAAGATGCCCCACATTTAGGCTGCTGAATATCTGGATTGCTGGGCCATCTAGAAGAAGCTTTTTGCATATCTATTGGTCAGCAATGCAACTGGTTGAAGAATGTAATTGAGATGAGGATTTCAGGATTTGATAGCATTAAGACCATATACGACCCTTCAAATATTAAGAGAACATATGGATATATGTCTTTTATATCGTGTATTCTGAGTATCATTACTCCGATCAGCCTCTTGCATACACATCAAATATATGGCCAACGCCGTTGGGGCTGCACGTTGCATGCCAAGGTACAGATTTGGTTAGGGACTGGCACTGCATCGATGCGAGCACCTAGCACGAGGGCATCAGGCTTTTCCAAAATCGGG